CATCCTCCCCCCAAGCCAACCTCAGAGTATCCCCACCCACCCCCTAAGCCGACTTCCAAGTCTGAGTATCCTCATCCTCCACCTAAGCCAACCTCGGAGTATCCCCACCCACCCCCTAAGCCGACTTCCAAGTCTGAGTATCCTCATCCTCCACCTAAGCCAACCTCGGAGTATCCTCATCCTCCTCCCAAGCCGACTTCCAAGTCTGAGTATCCCCACCCGCCTCCCAAGCCGACCTCGGAGTATCCTCATCCTCCTCCCAAGCCAACCTCGGAGTATCCTCACCCACCTCCAAAGCCGACTTCTAAGTCCGAGTATCCTCACCCGCCTCCTAAGCCAACCTCTAAGTCTGAGTACCCTCACCCACCACCACCGAAGCCATCTACCTTCACCACGAAGACTTCCGAGTACCCTCATCCACCACCTAAGCCCACTTCTGAGTACCCACACCCACCACCCAAGCCCACGTCTGAGTATCCAGTTCCTCCCCCACCAAAGCCCACGACCGAGTACCCAGTTCCTCCCAAGCCTACCAGCGAGTACCCAGTTCCTCCCCCACCAAAGCCCACGACCGAGTACCCAGTTCCTCCCAAGCCTACCAGCGAGTACCCAGTTCCTCCACCTCCCAAGCCCACGACTGAGTACCCAGTTCCTCCTAAGCCAACTTCTGAGCATCCTCCTCCTCCTCCCAAGCCTACTTCTGAGTACCCAGTTCCTCCTCCACCTAAGCCTACGAGTGAGAAGCCTGCTCCTCCTCCTCCCGCGCCAACGACAGTGTACCCAGTTCCTCCTCCACCCAAGCCAACCAGCGAGAAGCCTGCTCCTCCTCCTCCGGCCCCAACGACAGTCTACCCTGTCCCTCCCAAGCCGACCTCCGAGCAGCCTCCCGCTCCTCCGGCACCTCAGCCAACTTCCCCAGCTCCCGCTCCTCCGGCACCTGCGCCTTCCAGCCAGGCTCCTCCCGCACCAGTAGCTCCCTCTTCGGTTGTCCCCGCTCCCCCAGCAGAGTCCACCCCTGCCGAGTTCCCTGGTGCCGCCTATGCCAACAAGCCCGTGGCCGCCCTCATCGCTGGAGCCGTTGCCTTCGCCATCTTCGCTTAGGTCCTCTAACCTTTCTTGTACATTGTTTATCATTATTTCATGTTTTTCTTACATAATCTTCTTCACACTCCTTCATTACGATACAAAAGTTTTACGACATCATGAGGCTGGGTTCTTGGATTGGGCAACTGGTCTGGTTTGTGGAGTAATTCTTCTTCTACCTACACACACTCCTTTTAATAGGTGTTATGTTATGTTATATATGATTGGTCCTGGAATATGGGTATCAAGTACGGTACATGATAAACACACGCTCCTTCAACACTATTGCAATGTTTAGTTGGCACTTGTTGTGGCTTTTGTTTATTGCCTGCAATAACTGGGGCGGGGGAGAGCAAGAGTGTAATGTGGAGCAGACTGCGTCGGCAGTGAAGGGGAAATTTGTATGTATGTTATTGTCTGCTGTCCTATCGGATAACTATGGCGACATATAATAGTAGTGTTAGTAAAGTAAATTGCTGTTGAGCTTTTGCCAATATCGTCCTGTCGTGAACCATTAAATTCCGGCGGTGTGATGCTAGCTACCTAGGTACCTAGGTGCCTAGTGATGCATGCTGCGAGCTTAAAGCTTGCCAGTTATGGTTCACGCCTCGCCGGATTGATTCAAATGTCAACTACGGAGGACCAGTACCAAACATCAATGAACTATAAAATGAGGCAGAGGGCCATTCCAACCATTTCCATCAATCTGGTCCTCCGATGGGTGATGATTGCCGAATTCCGGTGACTTCACCCCTTGCAAGTGTAAGCGAACTGGCCAATCAGCATGTGGACGAAGCGGCAACCACCACGTAGTGTGTAGTATGATATATATGCTCTCTCATGGCAGCCTTCAGACATTGCGAAACACGACAGACCAGATCCAGGGCGACGCAGACGCAGACGCAGACCACGCGCATAAATATCACTCGTAGATGAGTCGGAACACGTCTCTTACGTAGTACCCGTGATGATCCACTCACGAGACGAAGACAAGAGTCCGATCATAAGAAATGGGCCTCTAGAACGGTGAATATCTGCGCGGGGTAGAGATGAGGGCCGGTCATGCACAGGTTGTCGTCTCGACAACGAATCGTCAAGATGTGAAAGATGCTAAAGGGCCGTCGTGACAAGGCTGCAGCGTGCGATCCCTCTATCAGGCTGATCCATGTTTCCCGTGTTGGGAGTATCCCCTTTCGAATAGAAAGGGTTTGCCTTGGTCGCAGAGTGTGATTTTCCCCTTTCCCCAGCCCCTTGACCGCCGTATCGGCAAAGAGGCGGCCATGCGAGCGGCGCTCACATCTGTGCTGATGGAATAGAACTGCGTCGTTGTGGAGGCGGAAAGGGTGTTTGTTATTTCTTTGAGAAGGTGGAATATGTGCTATTATGGGTTGGTGGTAATGACGACTCAGCTCCCAAAGACTGACCGGAAACTCACCGGGCCCGTGCACCCTACATCAACCAATTAGACTGAGACCTCAGGGTTGTTAGCGGAATAGGTGGCCCCCACCTTGTCACGACGCCTCACCGGTCACCGGTGAATAGACGAAAGGGAATCAATTGATATTCCTCACGACAGCTCTCCTGCTCTTGAGCCTGCTATCTGCCAAATTTTTCCTTCTCTTTCCTTCTTGTGTGGTTCTTGTCTCTTTTAGCGATCAGGTACAAATCGACGACGGGCGGCTCAAGATGGATTCAGGCGCGATCAATGCAAGCAATGCGGGTGAGCTGGCTGAAAGGCTGCGATGGGAACAGCAGGACTACTGGGTACATCTGGAGGCAGAGAGCCCTCTGGAGAAGTATCCTGGTAAGACACCGGGAATTATTCGCAACTACTTCTGGATCGTGTGTACTGAGAAACAAAAGCCAAACAACATGCCAGGCGCGTGGCGGAAGAGCTGAGGACGTTGGGCAGGGGCGACGGCTTGATCTATCTGCCCGGAACCCCGAGTCGCAACATTGAAGACAGCGACATGCCCATCAAGTGGCGCCAACGACGCTATTTCTACTACGTGAGCGGGTTTGTGCGCCGTGCTGCTAGATGAAGGCGCTTGCTGATGAAGAGAAAAAAGCTGTAATGAACCCGATTGTCACCTGACCTACGACACCGACATCGACAGACTTGTCCTTTATATCCCCAGGATCGACCCAAGGAAAGCCCTCTACAATGGGCGAGGTTCGACCAGAGCAGAGGCCCTGCAGAAGTACGATATTGATGATGTTCACTATGTCGACGAGTTGCCTCGCGCGATCAAGTACTGGCAGGACTATCATTCTGGCTCTGTTTACGCACTGCACCCTTCACAATTTCCCCCTGCCGGAAAGGAGTCGCGTCGGGGTATGGACCTGACCCCTTCCACCCGTTTTGATGCCGTTTGGTTGCAGCCTGCCATGAATCGTGCACGCATCATCAAAGACGAGCACGAGATCAAGCTTATCAAGAAGGCCAACGACATAAGTTCGCAAGCCCATGCAGAAGTGCTAGCTAACATCCTGAGGTTCAAGAATGAGGCACAAGTCGAAGGTCTGTTCCTCAACTACTGCATCTCGAAACAAGCAAAGGAACAGGCGTATGATCCTATTGCTGCGTCAGGTCCCAATGCTGGAACATTGCATTATTCTGCCAATAATGAAGATTTTGGCGATAGGCAGTTGATGTGCTTGGATGCTAGCTGCGAGTATGAACTCTATGCAAGTGATATCACGAGAACGTTCCCACTATCTGGCGCATGGCCTAGTAATGAGGCAAGAAACATTTACCACCTTGTTGAACGCATGCAGGACGCCTGCATAAAGCGCGTTGCCCCCGGTGTGAGATATCTCGATCTTCATATCTTGGCTCATCAGATTGCAATCGATGGGCTGATCAGCCTGGGCATCCTGCACAATGGCACAAGAGAAGAAATCTTCAAGGCTGGGACATCAAGAGCTTTCTTCCCGCACGGCCTTGGCCATCACGTAGGTCTTGAGGTGCACGATGTGGGTCAGGGTGAATTGATGAGTATCACGAAGAGTGGCCGAAACGCTGCCAAGGTAAATGCCGTCGTCTGTTTTACTTGGAGCTTTGACTGATTCTGAAAGGCACCGTCGTTGTATCCCGAGGATTTTCATCTGCCCGTTTGGAGTGCCGCACACTGCATGGCACCCGCAGATCCCCACAGTCCTCACCTTGAAGAGAACATGGTCGTAACTATCGAGCCCGGAATGTAAGGAACACCTGCCCTCTTGAAAGGGATCCAAGGCTGATCATGATACAGTTACTTTTCTTCTTACATGCTTACTAATTTCTACCTTCCTGACCCCATCCATTCTCGATATATAAACCTCAAAGTCCTGAAGAAGTACATGCCAATCGGCGGAGTGCGCATCGAAGATGACATCCGTGTGACATCGAAAGGCTACGAAAATCTTACCACCGCACCGAAAGGCGAGGAAATGATTGAGATCATCCGCAAGCAGAAATCCGATTGGCCGTATACATCAAACCCCAAGGATTCTAGCACGTCCGATAGGATACCAAAATACCCGCGGCGGTCCTTGGGGGAACCCGAGCCCCTAGAAAGGGCTCCTGGTATCAGCAAAGATGCTCCGCATTTGATGCAGATGCCTCTGGCAAGAGCGCAAACTCTACCTAGCGAGAGGAGAGAGAGACGATCGGTGGACTTCGAGCCATTCGATGGACCGTCTCTATTTTCTGGATTCAAGAGAGCGTCCACTGTGGACGAAGTGACGTTAGGTCAACGGCGCACGACTTCAAAGCAGAAGATTGCTCGTGTATCAGTATGTGGCGATGATTCATCGGATTTCGAACACTCCTACGTCGGATTTTCCGGAGAAGCACATTCAAGACATAGTATGCGAACCGGTACGAAGAAGCCTTTGTGCCAAAGTTGCTGCATTCTCGTACAGACTCTGGGTCGATTACGGCAAAATCTCCCTAAATCGGTACACAGCTCTCCAAATCGGGAGAAGAAGCAAACGCAGGAACCACCACCGCCACCTCAAGAGGAACAAACTAGGCAAGTACGTCGCGTATCTACTATGCCCTGCGTGGACGACGCAACGACAATACCTTCGCTACGAAGCCATTCGTCCATTCCGGACCTCCCACATCGAAAGTCGCAGGCAGAATTTGTCAAGATCCCGTCCAGCACCCAATTGCATTCAAGGCGAACACAGGATGCTCGTCAACAGCAGAGATTTGAGAATATCAAAGAAGAATCTCGTAAACTAGACCGCGCATCAACACTGCCTACCTTCAATCCTTCGAGTGCCGACGTCGAGTATCTCTATAGGAAATCACTCAACCCCCAAGGTTTTGCGCCACCATTCTACACTGGCCCTTTCAACGATACGCATTCCACACCCGACTCCAAAACGATAACGACAACAAGTACCAAGTCATTCCCTTCATCCACAGCTCCATCCACAGCCCTTCCCAGCAGGTCCTCCCATAGCACACCGAGTTACTCAGAAAAAACTGCGAAACAACCCTACACCGACTACATAAACCCCTCCCAAGCCGCTATGGCCCATTCTCTGCAGCCCAATCTCAAAGAAGATAAGGACAAAATAACGCACTTGCTGCAGAAACTAAACAGCCTCGATCTCTCTCAACCTGGCGCTTCAGCCGATTTCAAGGCCCAAGGAAAAGAGCTCCTGCGACATTTGGAGAGACTGCGCCTTTCCGACAAAGGACTTGCAGAAACAAAGCCGGCCCGGGATCGAGGTAGCCACAAAGACGCCAAGAACGAGCAATTTGAGCTGATCTAATACGTGCAATCCATTCGTTTGAAACGGGTATATTTGAGACAGGGTCAAGGAGAAATGGAGTCTTCTTTTGGTGTTAGTGCAAAATATTACGTTCCTCTTTATTGATAGCAATTATTTGCAAGGGTTCAATGGGGGTATCTTCCTGTCATAAGAAGAAGTAGGGGTTTGGGTTGTTGTACGCAGGCTTGTTTCACGATTTATATTATACGTTCTAGCTTAATGAAACCCCGTTACGACCAGGCTAGTCCAAGTACACGTTATTGACAGTGCTTAGATCTCTACATGCCTCGGAAAGGAATTCTCCAGGACCTGTCTTGCAACACTGCCATCTAAGTACTTTCGGCGAACGATGTCACTTGTCGCAATGTATGAACGAAAATCCACCAACATGCCGATCATCGGAAGCATCTTCCTGTATAATTTCCAAAACCTTCGTATTATGGCCAGAAGTTAAGCACACCAGGTGGAGTGTTGCATGTAGCGTTATTAGAATGAATGGAAGTAGTCTAAGTATACAGTATAATACATATATATGAGATTGGTAACGGCAGAAAGGCTCTCGACAGTAAACATCATTTACCGCGATGGCTTGAAACTCCAAAATAGTTATCTTATACATTCACCATATTGTGCTACAATGTTGATCAACCGCTCGGAGTCTTGTTCCGGTTCGTCTACTCCCATTCCAATTGATGACGCTTTTCGACTGCCAAGGAGCAAAACGCATCAAGGATGGCGTACTTTACGTTAGGCTCGGTGTATTTAAAAGTCCAGGGTTTTGTAGAAATAAGTTCTTTGCGTGAACAGCGGTCAATGGCGGTTATACCAAAAACTGGTTCGCCGGCACGGCGACACCGCTCGAAAAATATTTTGAGAGTTGTTGGTTGAGGACGCTTTTGAAATATACTTTCCATCAACCCTAGAAACAAACCACGATTAGACTAAATCTCTTTCTATCTGAGTCTTTCCAACTTACTTTGGACAATGCGAATCTCCTTGTCGTACTTGCGCAGCTCGGCCTTGAACTTGAAGTCGGCACTAAACTCGATTATCGGCTTGGAATCGTCGCTGTTTTCGTCCGTGTTTATGAAAGGTTTAACTTCAGGAAATTCTTCCGATATTTCTCTCATTTCTTTAAGTAGCCATGATTGCTCAGGCTCCGAAGTGGTGGTCTCCGGATTGAGATTGGAAGCGCTGGCTTGGCCTGTTCCGTTCGGGCTCGACATCTTTTCTGCTAGGGGAGGCGGGGGTCCTTAGGTATTAAGGTGATAGTGAGTATATCGGAAATGTATTAGGAAGCAAAATAGAATGTGTAACGAAAATGAGGGTAGTGTTGATGTAAATTGTGAAGTCGATTGTATGAACTCGGCGGCAGGAATTCATCCTTTATACAAGCTTCCTGACTCACAAAATATGAGTCTTGACTATGACTTATTGGTCCACCATTACTATGACTAGAGAATAAGTTGTGATTGTAAATTAGGATGATTCCGCTAGCCGTGGTTGTATCATGTCATCGTGGCTTTCCGGGTCCGCATCTGCAGAGTAAGTAATATTAGAATTACTTCTATGGACTTGGGCAATTATCTAGCAGAAAAGGCTACCATCGAAATTGCATATCGCAATAGGAATCATATTGTATCAATGCATCAAATTGTATTGTAATAGATGATTCCTGTACTGTAAACATAGTATCAGATAACTGCACACACTGTCTGATTAATCTTCTCTCGTTCACACATCGAAACTAGTCATTGGAATAATCCTCCACGCAAGATTAGGACTCCAACCTGCGCACTAGTTAAGTTTTCACAAGATGGATGGATCTCCCCAACTGCCCTTCTTCCCTTCCTTTTTCCGTGCTAACCATTCACACATTTCTTCGATAACCTGCTCTACCATAGGCTCTGCCATTGCAAACCCCCCCGTACTCGCGACTTCATATTTATCCTTTTTGAAAAGAACTTTCATTTTCAATCGCACATTGGGCCCAGAAGAATTCGTCAGTTTATCGTTCGAGTCGTATCCACCAATCCTGAGTTCTATTTCCTTGTTTCCCCAGAATTGGGTAGCTGACACTACAACCTGCAATAAGAATCTCGTAGATGACGAAGTCCAATGAAACTTACTTCTGGCAAAACATAATTCCCGTTTGTAACGATCCACCGCTGTTCTGAAACAAAAGTTTTTCGGAACGTGGCATCCGGTGGGAGAGGAGCTGCCAATCTTGCGTGACTTGTCGATCATTTCCGTACATTTGGGATACTCCTTCCTAATTCTTTCCAAGATGGGAATTTCCTCTTGGTATTCAGGCTCTGTCACGATAATTTTTGGCTTTTTCGCTGTTGGCATTATGTTCAACTGGCTGGAGAGTGATGGTGGTATAGAGGACTGTAGTAAACCCTTCGACGGTATCTAGGTTATATTGCGAATAAACCAAAAGTCAAAGAATGAAAGATCTCGGGCATGGGTAGTGTGGGAACAAAGTGATGTATTGTGGACGAAACATATTCGACGAGGAAGCCGGCTTTTATGCCTTCGTTGAGTCAACAGAGAATGAGTGACTGTGTGCACAGCTTTGTAGTGAGTCTCTTTGGCACATGCATGAGTAACTCTTAGTCCGACTCACATGTCGATGTCAATCGTGCGTGTGGAGTAACAGCATATAGGACTTGGTGTGACGTTGGAGATGACTGTAGAAAGGCTCGTGCTGAGTATGGCTCTCAGCAAAGCTCTCTTACCAAGAAACATGGTGTGATATGTTCAACTACTTTAGATCTATGTCCATGTGTTTGTTTTGATGGCAATTATAGCACAACGCTGGCAAAGTTGACCTATGCAGACGGCAAAGGGGGAAAATCTTGCAGTGATACAAGATGCATTCTACCATAAATGTACATAATGTCCCAATTTAGCTAACATTACACTTGCAGCAGTGATGTAGATATTGTTACCCGATGAACCTTTCAATTCCTCTCCAGCAGCTGATCATCTTTACATATAGTGATTATTGACCACCCACCTCAAGTCTTCCACTGCGTCGTCGGGATATGTAAATCGGCCACTCTGAAGGCTTGGTTCATTGAGCACCTTCTCCCCGCCATCTTCAAAGGACCAGAACCTGAGCACCGCTTGGCATTTGTCGTCAACGGGCCATATTTCTATGTCCCATTCTTCATCACAATATATCGTTTTTAGTTTTTCTAAGGTTTTTAGAAACCGAGCAATCAATTCTCGTTTGACACTATATCTCACCTTTGGTGGCTGCTGCAGATTTGTCTATCGCAGCTTGGTATCCATCAACGATTCTTTTCTGCTTTGCCGACAAATTTGGGTGATCGTCGCAGTATGAACGAAACACGCGCTCGTTGAAGTAGGGGTTGTCTGGCCTGCGAGGATCTACGTATCCGAGATCTTCCTCACGTAGAAGTCCTGTGACCACGTAGTCACCACGGCGCAGTAGGTCCTTTTCTTGCAATCCATTGCGACTCTCTTTGGATGTAGAAGGTGCATTGCGCCTGTCACTGCGACTCTCCCTTTGTGAATGACGTTCGCGTGATCCCGGGGCGCGACTGGATCTGGTGGAGACATGTTCAACGCCTTCTCGTGTGGAGTTGGACCTTCTCCGTCTCGTTATTTCATCACTCACAAGCGGGTGAGTATCATGTCGCTGTCTCAGTTGCACTTCAACATAAGCTCGATGGGAGTAACGATAGCGGATAACAGTAGTAGAACTTGTAGGCATGACTTGTTGATTTCGCGAAGGAAGTTCTCGTGAATCTGTGGGGATATAGATTTCCAACGGTTTGGAAGAAAGAGGGTCTCCAATGAACGTGAGAAAATTTTGTTTTCGAACACTTATGACTATGTAGCCAATGGCCGTATGGCTTGAATGGGGAGTCAAAGATGTACTGAGTAGGAGTCATTGTATCCATCCGACCAAAGAGTTCGCTGTTGCGGATCCAACCTTCAGTCATTTAGAAGAACGAAAGCGGAAAACACAGTTCAATAGTGGAGTCAGATTGTTAAAAAGACGAATGGCTCACATTGACCAGAATGTAGTATTGCGATTCTACTAATCATAACGAAGCCTCCTCACAATGTTCTTGAGATCTTCCATGGCATCCTGAGGATAACTTCTTCTCTCGCTTTGAGCGACTGCGTTGTCTAGATTGTTGTCACGCAAGACCTCGTCCTCAGTCTTTCCCAGCCACAATCCTGCTATGCACTTATCCCCGTCAGGAATAATCTTGCAATTAGCCCAGTCAAAGGGGAAAATGTCGTCTGTGATCTCTTTTGTACTATAAGCATGTGTTCGAAAGCCCCGGAAAAAAATCACTCACCCAGGATCCTATCCTGAAACAGCTGTGTATGTTTATTGTACTTCAAGATAACCTCTCTCTGAGATGGGAGGAGTTCATGTTCACGTCCAGCGTAGGATGAAAATTCATTATACTTGAATCTGCGGTGGTGATCCCGTCTTTCCTCGTGGAATGCAGGTGGCAGAGAGGGCGCGGGTACCCGCGAGTGCTGTGAATGAGAGCTATCGTCCCAATCACTGCCCTGATAGGTGTGTCGCGGCTTGATGGGACGTGTTTGATGATAATGCTGGGGCTCGGCCTGCTTTCGTGATATCCCGGTAGGCTCAAATCTGGTGGGACTGTAGGTCTTGGGGGTTCTGCTCCTCCCACGAGCAGGAAAGTCTAGATCGGCATCCTCTTCTGTGAAGAACGTATGTCGGCTTTTGGTGTATCTGGCGGGCGCTGTCATGGTGCGGTGGGTTTTTCTTGTCGGCAGAAAATCCAGCGTGTCTTCCGTTACATAGATCTTCGAATCTTTGACTCGTTTATACTTTTTGTCTGATAATGGCGGATGTTCCAAGCCCTCCTCATCAATGAAAAGGTCATCCTTGATGGATCTATGCGAAGGCCGTGACGAATAATGTGCTTGAGAATGACTATGGCGTTGGATTCCAACAAAGTCGCTGCCTCCATAATGCCGACTCAGATATCTTAATGGTAGAACTGTTCGCTATACGTCAAGTCAGACATGATTCAGTGACGTTCTGTACAGAGGGCCTCACGGTTGTGAAGGTTTGATAAGTCATGATCAAGATTCTATTCTGTTATGGCCGTAGGTATGATGGAAAAAGATGGACATTGAACTTGAAAGCTTAGACTCTGAACAATGTAGAATATTGGTGTGGATATATTCTTCTCGCGAGGGCGAAAGGGCAAGATGCGTCAGGCTGAGGCTTGGGTGGGAGGACAATATCTTTAATGAGGGGGCGAATCACCAGCTCGGATTGGGTCAGTACACGTACCCGACCAAAATCACTGAACGGGCCTGCGCACCGTATGAGAGAAACAAGTCGTATAGCGAGCATTACTCTTTATTACGAGGTAGGTTTCATGCCAATTAACGGTTTGGGTAGCATTGAATGTGCAATTCGGCGTATGATTGTGAACGGCTTTGCCAGGACCGACACAAAGTGAGTCAACCGGGAGGGCAATCCATACTTTTATCTGCCTCATAAATTGGTAGCCCAGAATCTGTATCGCATACGTACAATGCGAGTCTTCGCATCTTCAGCTCAAAGCACCCCGCCTTTGTGGAGGCGAACAGTGAGGCTGGCATTATCTTGCCGCGCCCTATTTTACACAGCCTCATGAGGTGACGAACCTGACGAACCAATGATTGCCCCTATCAACCATCAAGTCCCAACGCACAATCTTCAAACTCTGCGCCACCTGCCACTGGATTGTTTGGTCTCCTTACTTTTGATCATTTATCGCCAAAGGTAATTCATGAAGCACTGGTCGCTTGCCTGCGGCGCGCGCGCGCGTCCACATTGATTTGTTTTCAATATCAGAACGAAGGCACCTTCCTTGTTGGAGCAGAATAATAACAAGCACACCTCTGCGGACCGAGAACTCAAAATAATGAGGACAAGGCTTTGAATTTCTTTTTTTTTTTTTTGGGTTCTGTGAAAAACTTTTCCGGTTGGCGGGTTATAGATAGTTACTCCGTATACATTTTCAGACACGAAGAAACTTGCGCATGAGATATTTTCCGTGGAACTTTCTTCACTTTACAGCCTTCATTTCCTCACAAAATACTTTTCCAAAGTACTGGTACGATTCCATCTTTTGTTGAAAAGTGAAATGGGACTTTCGGGGTCATCTGCCTTCCTCGATCTGCCCCGACCCATCACAACAACATGTATCGGGTCTCGGCCGTGCCAAATCCATTGGCGTGGTGGCAAGTTCGCGTAAAGCAAAACGCTTCATTCTGAGGACATAAATCTTCTGCAACCAATTTCATTCTAAGTTTTCTACATGAAACTGATATGGAAGGTGTGCACGACAACAAATTGGGAAACCCTTTGACCGACGGAGCTATCAATGCCTTTGACCGACGGAGCTATCAATAACCTTCGGTCGATCCCGCCAGGACGTACGGCAATTGCAGATACAAGCGTTGAACAAATCACTTGCTTTCATCGCCGTTGTTCGACTTGCCCTCTTCGGACTTACCCTCTTCGATTGTAGAAAGTGCGGTCTTGCCATTGCCAGCTGGATTGGGGTTGTACCCTTTCCTCGTCTTAGGTCTATGCAATAAAATTTCAGCATTTACAATGTAGAATTTGAGAGGATACTGCGTACCCGATGTCAGCCCCTGTGTCAGATACCTCATCGGACTCGCGCGGTTTCGCGTTGTGCTCCGCCACCATTACTGATAATTCATCTGGCTTTAGAATAATATTAGCATATTGATCGAACATCGAGAACAGCTTCACTTGCCTCGTGCTCCCTATTTTTTGCGTATTGAGCTCCATAACCTGTCTTTTCGCCAGCCACGCCACGGCCATCGGGACCTCTGTTATCCTTGAACTGCTGTTCGTAGCCACCCGTAGGGTTCGATTTGCTAGAGCCGCTTCCTGATGCAGACATGATACTATATGGAGTGTGTTCGTGTTGTGGGGTATATGGGGCTTGTTGATTGTGTCCAATTGTACAGATTTGTAGCTATTTTCGCGGGTGTTTGCATAGGCAGTGATGAAGAATGCATTTCGGAGCCTGGAGTACGATGATTTATAGTATCTTAGCATGACTGCTCGCGGCATTCATTGCGTGCTGTAATGACTGAATAGAAAGAGTCACCTCAGAAGATGGGTGCGCGAGCATGTGCGTTGATTGATCAGAGCACCGGTGACAAACATTGCGAAACATAGAGTCAATGGAGAGTTCTGTCACACAGCTGGTACGCGAAAAAAGCTCAGCACGAGCACGCGTTTAGTTAACACCAGAGTCATTATTTAGTAGGGAATGAGTCTCGATGATGATGACTGAATGGGGCACTTCCCTTCTTCCACACTCTCAGAGTCACCAATATCACATTATGGCATGGAGTGCGAACATCAGAAATTTGGCTTGCTCAATTCTTGGATTGTTACTCAGTTGATCGAGTGGTTGCGTCAACAGGTCGTGTGAAGCTGGAGATAATGTGGAATGCAATTCAAGTTCTTTTTATGGCAATAGATCAAAATATCTGTCACAAGATTACAAGATGTACAATTCGAGGGAAAAGATCAACTCAGATTGTTGTGAAGTCAAATCAATACTGAATAACTCGTAAGACTTAATTTGATTACATAGAGATCAAAACAATGAGAATTCGTCATGACAAAGAGGGTTGTAAACTATAGGGTTGATTGACAATAATCACCCAAGAGAAGCATTGTACAGATCTTGAAGAGTGAAAGTTGGGGCGTGATAGGCTCAGCCCGATGTTTTGAATTGTGAGTGTACAATGCCCTACGCATTGTTGCCTCCCTGCTTTAAATGACTACTTGATCCTCTGTTGCCGAGGCAATTATTCCTATTATTCCCAAACCTACGTTGACTTTTTATTTCGAACAACTACTATGAATAGGCCTATGATCGAGGAGCTCCGGAGGCGCCTCACTGATATCGGCAATGATGCCAAATCGAGTGGCGTGAGCCTCCGCGAGATCATTCCCCCAGATTTTCTAGACCATTTCCCCGAGCTGGCACGGCTACAAGACACTGAGACTAAGCTACGCGACACTAAGTATGAACTGGAAGTTAGTGAGGGAAAGCTACACGATGCTAAGAGAATGCTGGAAGATAACGAGCACCGCGAAAGGAGCTTCTTGGAGAAATTCAAGGAAATGAGTAAATCCAAATCAAAAACCAAGGAAGAGGGTGAATCAACTGAAGATGATACTCCTCTTCCGACTGATGTGAGGGTGGAGAAGAATCGAGTTAAGCACTACAAAAAGCTTTATGTGTGTGCCCAAGAGTACGCTGGAGCCTTGGAAAGCCAAATTGAGGTGCTCAAGCTCGATGCCGAAAAGGAAGTTCAGAAGGTCATACTGGACACAAAGGAAGCAAATCAGAGGGATCGGAAAGCCGATCACCGTATCATTGATGGCTACGCAAAAGATGTGAACCGGCTAACAGAACAAAACAAAGAACTCGAGAAGGCTAATCAAGAGCTCCAAAACGCAACACAAAACGCACTCAAGGCCAAGGATGAGCAACTTTCGGCGCTAGTCGTAGAAATTAGGGAGCTTAATCGTTGTTCCAAAGAACGCGAGAAGGAAGACGACAATATTGAGAAAGCATTTGATGATCTGATCGAGCGCTTAGGGGAACTGAACGACGATAATGTAGAATCTATCAACCGGCAAGAAGATCTCTCCCGTGAGCACAACCACTTGCGAAATGCCGCAGTCTCCGAAGCTAGGGTTCTTAATCGTTACTTTAGTGTAGCTTTGCAAGCTATGTCTAGACTGCTAGAGATACTCGGGCCAATGTTGCCTTCAGGGGATGCCGAGCCCAAAGACGGTCCGCGAAAATTCTTAAGATTTGCGCTCCAAGAAGATACCGAGGACAAACCAATGAGCCACAATCTGCGACATTTCCTAAATCTCGCGGTCGAGCAAAATGCCGAGACGAGTTCAATATCCTGCAGCTTTCCAGATATATTAAATCTCACGACCCAAGCATCCTTAGATGCTATCACAATGTACGACCATTTCGACCAGGAGGGCATAAATCAGGGAGGATTGCGTAAAGAACTAACTGGCATGTTTCTATCGGCAATTAAATTCCAGTTGAATTTAGAGCACTTCAAGGATGGGCTGGGAGGTTTATCAAAAGAACTAGAACACAAGCCTAGCATGTGGTGTTCTTTTAAGAAGGTTTCATTAGTCCATCTAGTCGGGCTGGTCAACAAAGGTCCCAAGTCGAAATCGAAACGGAGAAGGTCTTGCCTATGGCCCAGCTTGAGTTAGAGAAAAGGAGAACAATCTCTATTGAACTTTATCTTGATGTTATAGAAGCACTTTCTAGCCTATTACGGCACCTTTTTTCTGGATCACATTCATAACAGCGTGCTCTCACTCTATCAAATCTTGGAATAGAATAGCCATGTTCACCTAATTATCTCTGGAATCATCCCTATCTGAGTTGAAGCTACGCCAATCTAAATATACATAAATCATCCACGCCCGTCCTTTATTAATCCGTATGCCAAAGTAACGCAAATTCATCCAACTCCTCCGTGCAAATGCGAGGCTCCAGATGTTTATTTTGGCGGGACGGATGCTTGATACTTCCGGTGTTCGTAGTAAAGACAAGCTTGGCGTGTTTCAGCGTGTAGACTTACATCAGGTGGACAAGGTCTAGACACTACATGCAGTCTTCGAGTCCACCCTCTAGTATATCATCAGAGAACTCATCAATGGAGGAGGGCTAAAGGGCCCGTCAAAGAGAACTAGCAATGCATTGCATCTCTTCAGTAGCTCTTGACCCTGTTACAGTCTAGTCTATTGCCTCCAAACAATATTGCGTTTCTGATTGCCTTAATTGGCGTAAAACGTCGTTCTACCACGACTGTCTAGGTCTCTAAGAACAAGTCCAAAGCATAGCAACACGTATGTACTGCCGGGAATAATTTCAGAAACGGGCTCCGTATAGCGGGGGAAAAAGGCAAGAATGTATGCATTAGATTGTTGCGGCCTAAGGAGTTGGACGTAATTGTTGCATCACTTCCGGGGTCATATCATACTATCTCGTCGAGCACTTATTGTCAGTTGCCTACCTACGGCCAGAAACAGCAACTATGTTGGACAATCTGATATCGGCCCTGTGGCAACGGAGTTACAGTGCATAAGGCAAATATTCTAAAAGGGAATGTGGCAACATGATAGACTTTGTTTTACATACGTGTCGACCAAAATCAACCAGGTTTGGGTCAAGGGTTGTAGATTTCCTACCAATCATGCAACGGAGCATCTCTCGGTGTTGGGAACATTTCGTCCCGCAAACGTCTGCCTAATATTGACGCGTTATTGGCGTAGACTACAACTAAAAACCTCTATGAATCTTTTACTCCGCAATGTGGTCTATTGGTGGGCTGATACTGATGGAGAATCAGTCACAGTTCTTACGATCTACACCTTTGGTCTCATTCTTTGCCCACGAAATGTATTATGTTCACATCGAGGGACTTGAGATGGCGCATTGTGATTAGAAAATACTTTTATCCATGTCACCGTCCTTCTTTTCAAATTATAATGCGTTCAAAATCTAGACGATCATCGAGTTCACCTTACAAGGGGTCTGTTATCTATCCTCAGTGTAGAAGATTTTGTTACTTTGCTGCAATAATGATATATTTCGAAGTGTGAACATAGCGATACATTACATATCAAACTTCTCAACGCAATAGGTGATAATAAGAAAGCAATATCTGTTCTGGAATCCATGATCGAGTCTTAATTACTCGTCACAACACCTATTTCGGTTGTCTTTCTGATTGAAGTCAGGGACAAAGGACTCAGCGAGACGTTCATCCCTGGAATTCGGTCCTCTTTCTGTCCAATACGCATTGTGCGATCCTCATTAGTGATACTCTGCTCCTCAAGCGGTATGTACATACAATCCGTGTCTCTGCAGACGGTGTACCATTCGTGAGATTTGTCGCCTTTGTTGTTTGAAGCCTGACTTGAACCTTTGATTCTTCCTTCTTGGCTAGACATGTGTGCTCCAGAAATTGGCTTATCATGGCCCCTCAAGAACTTCCATAGGCGAGGGAGGGGCGGGAAACAGCCTACTATGATAACTGTAGCAAATTCTGCTAGGCTGGGAATAAAGTCAGTTGATCCAGCGCGGAAGTGAGGGATGCACTTACGACCACATGCCTACTGGAGCAATTGCCCATGTAATATCATGTGTTTGGGACAATTTTACGCTGTAGTATAGACGCAGGATGCTCGCGATGCATGCACTATTGGACTTAGCATTGTAATGAGGAAGGGAGTGATGTTTCTTCGCAAGAAAAACACACTTACAATAGTCCAATAGCGAATACAGTTGACACTCCAATCTTCTTCTTCAAAGGCAGTTGAAGACGGGAGATGCTCAGTAGTGGAAGGAAGAGTATTGTAAAATCAGAGAGTATATTGATTGCCGACGTCGCGATGATGGAGGCATTCGTGGAGATGCATCTACCGTATAGGTGAGGGTGCCAGATCTTTTCGCGGGGCCAACAAGCGAAAATAAACGCAAAGAACAATGCCAGATACACAAGAAAGTTGCATGCGAGGAGCGTATGAACGGCATAATAGTTGAAATTACGCTGATGTTTAGTGAAAATATGTTTGATCTGCAGTAGAATTGCAAACTTTGCAGCAAACATCGTTGGTGGATAGATGATCTCAAGTATATTGGCAAACTAAAGCGAATTAATGAGCAGCCATGTGGGTTCTCAGTCTGCCGATTTACTCTTGCGATTCTTTGCAAATCTGCAACCGAAACGTTCCATTGGTGCTTTCCTTGACCACATTCGCCAGCTTTTATCATTACGCTTGTGAATGCAGTGAATCCAACCTAGAAGTTTCTGAGTAGTTGCAAACGGACTTTGATGAGGAACCCCTGACCGTAGATATAGCAAGAGCATCTACTAGACAGTCAGTAACTGAACAGTTAATCGATTGGTGTACTTACAGTCTTCAAGATCCAACGTTTTAAGTAGATAAGCCTTCGTGAACAGCCGACTGGCAAGGAAGATAAAAGATAACGCCAAACAAGTTGCAGCTGTAGCAATAAGATGAGGATGTTGTGAATTTGCATTAATGAGGTCGGACTGGCCCCCATCTGGAGCAGTCATTGCAGGAGTCGTATAAATGGTATAGTCAGTCATATTGGTTAAGCATATGAAGGTAGTAGAGCTTTCAATTGCGGCGGGCAGTTGACAATTTAAGATGTGGCTTGTTGTTGCTATCTACTAAGTCCTCAGGGTGGCGGCCTCTGACGCTCATCAACTGATGCGGAAGGGACTAGCAATACCGCCAGCGCGGACTTAACCCACTGTTCAGGTCCTTCGGATTCCGTGTATATTGATAGAAGGACCATCTATATGTAGTCAGACGTAGTGTAACATACAAGTGTACATGGGGGATAAGCTGCTACGCCACATCCGCAACATCCTAAAAGCACTCTCATTCCATCGAATAAAAGATAAAACTATTTTTTCATCATGGTCCATTACTTGCTGCATTAATTTCAATCTGAAGCCCAACATCAGACTCAGTATCCGCAGATATGGCCGAATATGGCAGAAGAACCTTGCCCCAAGCATTGGACCACCATGCTAGGGCTGTACCAGATAGACTCTATGCTTCCATTCCCAAGGAAATGAATCTTTCCAATGGATTTCAAGATATCACGTGTAAAGATATGGCCCGATGCACTGACTTCATCGCTCACTGGATTGAGGCTCGTTTTGGTCAAAGCAGCTCCTTTGAGACAATTGCGTACCTGGGCATACCAGACCTCAGGAGCGCAGCGGTATTCCTGGGTGCAGTCAAAGCAGGATACAAGGTAAGTCTGGAACGAAGTATACAAGGTTGAACTCTTGGAGAATTACTTAATTATGGCAGGTCCTGCTCCCTTCTCCACGAAACCCACCCGCAGTCAACCTGTCGCTAATGGAGCAAACGTATTGTGTGAAGTTATTGCATACCAGCGAACTGTTACCAATGATCAATCAACTAAAAGTTGAAAATTCTGAAATTCTTACTGAAGAAATCCCTTCCTTCAATCATATTTTGAATTCGGAACCGGAGGACTTTCCCTTCGATCCCCACTATGAGGAAGTGAAGGACAACCCTATTGTTGTATTGCATTCTTCTGGATCCACCGGTAAGCCTTTGCATGACTGGACATTGAGATCAAGACTCATAGTTTGCCAGGGCTTCCGAGACCAATCACAATGACACACGCTACCTTTGCTGTTCTCGACAATGAAAGAAAACTGCCTACAGTACCAGGACGCAGAAACCGGGATTTCTCTATATGGGATTTCAAGACTGGAGGTCGGTTCTATACCGTGTTTCCCTACTTTCATTTGGCTGGATTTCTTTCATTATTAGGTTTGTAGTAACTTAACTTTCATTCCTTGATCCTTGAACTGATAATTTCAAAGTTAATCCTATTCTAACAGAAGCGTCGAGTCCTGTTCTGGGTCCGCCCTTAATGCCACCCAGTGGTGAGCTTCTGAGATCCGTCATGCAACACCAAGAGATACGAGCTTTGTATCTCCCTCCTTCGATAGCAGAGCAGCTTCTTCGTGAACCGAATGGCCTCGACTTCTTCAAAAACCTTGATTTTCTATGCTATACCGGCGGACCATTTTCTCCCGAAGCTGGTCAGCAACTATCGAGAGTTACTGAACTTTGCCCACTTTACGGTTCAACAGAGGCATTTCAAGTCCCTCAGCTGGTCCCCGCTCCCGAGGATTGGGCATGGATGGAGTGGAATCCCCACTTCAAACTTGAGATGCAGCCCTTGCCCGAGGAGAAAGACACCTTTGAGCTGGTGCTTTTCGCCAATGAATCAACCGAACATATGTCAGCCTTGAATCACAATCTTCCCGGTGTGTCTGAATATCGGACTAAAGATTTGTTTAAACAACATCCTCAGAAGCATTCACTATGGCAATATTATGGCAGGAAGGATGATATCGTTGTGCTCTCAAACGGTGGGAAGTTTAATCCAGTTCCAGCGGAGTTGTTGATTCAATCTCATCCTGCAGTGAATGGGGCACTTGTTGTTGGTACTGGCAGAGTTCAAGCCGCTTTACTCGTCGAAATCAATCAAGAATCTGGCCAGGAGGACATTGGTCGACTCATCAGTGTCATATGGCCAACCGTAGGGAAAGCAAATCAATTGCTTCCAGGCCAGGGTCAAATCATGAAAGACAAGATTTTACTGTCACGCAGTACCAAACCCTTTGTCCGTGCAGGGAAAGGAACGGTCGTCAGAAAGTTGACAGAAAACCTGTATGAGGCCGAGATTGACGAGGTGTATGATGACTCTCAACTCAACCCTTCCTTCAGATTGCCCGATATCCAAACCAATGCAGAAAAGGGTTTCGACATGAAATCAGTAGTGAATTTCGTTCGCGATATCGTTGTTAGCGCATTTCCGGAGATGAGCGCTGTTACCGACAACGAAAGTTTCTTCTCACATGGCCTGGATTCGATCAAGATCAACCAGCTCGTGAGTGATTTTCGACTTGCATTGCGAAAAAGCACGAAGGAAGAAGATTTATCATGGATTACTGCACGATTAATCTTCGACCACCCAACTATCAAGAAGCTTTCATGGCAGATTTTTGAGTTCCTCAGGACTGGCCACTATCAACCCCCGGATCACGAAGCTGCTCGGGTTGAGGATATGCAAGAATTAGTCGACCGATATGTCGCAGGCCTAAGCATATCCAGTCAATCACTCGCACCTTCCCGATCCCAACGGGTTGTGGCCATTATTGGATCAACGGGATATCTTGGCCCTTATATACTGTCTTCATTACTCCAGACCGACTTTGTCTCGAGAGTCATTTGTTTGAATCGAAGCCACGACGCAAAGCAGCGAACACTTTCGGCTGTGCCAATCCTCCAAAATCAAGGCTCGACATGCCAAATATCGTTTATTACTGCGGATATTGGAAAGGAAAATTTCGGCCTCGACGACAAAGACTATAATTTGCTTACTTCAACCGTCGATGAGATAATTTTCAATTCTTGGAATCCGAATTTCTCCATTCCGCTCGCTTCATTCGAGCAGCCTTTTCTCCAAGGCCTGCGTACCGTGATGAAGTGGAGCTTATCATCCTCGCGGCGACCAAGGATTATCTACGTCTCCTCCATTGCAGCCGTCGGGAACTGGTCTAAGATTTACCCGGACCAACCTCTTGCACCCGAGAAGCCAGCTACCGACAGCCGGATTGCTATGGATATGGGCTATGGAGAATCCAAAAATGTCGCTGAGCATATGCTTGTACAGGTGCATGAGAAGTATGGCGTGCCGGTGGCTGTCATCCGCGCTGGCCAAATTGGTGGTCCATCTGACCCATCACTTGGGTCATGGCCCCGACAAGGATGGTTGTTCTCCCTGATCAAGGCCTCAGTGAAAATTCGCGCATTTCCGGCCAAAGTCTCTCCACTTGATTGGATTCCCGTCGATTCCTTTGCCTCGGCGATTGTAGCGATCATAGAAACTAAAGCCGATATGGCCCCTCAGGTTTTCAACATGGTCCATCCTCAACCAGAACCCTGGAGTTTGTTCCTTAATGTTTTGCAGAAGCAATTAAAACTAGAGCTCGCTAGCATGAGTCTTTCAGAGTGGTTGAACAAATTAGACCAATCACTATCGCCCAATCCCGAAAATTTAAGTGGTACTCCGAAACTGAAGATTCACGACTTCCTTCGAACTCTGGGTGAAGGGAGAGAGGATGACATGAGATGCACCATCAACAATGCCAAAACATTAGTCGCGCACGTTACGCCCTTGAGCGAGGACCTATTGGCAGCTTGGCTCATGAGTTGGGATCTTGGACTGGAGGATATGAAGACCAAGATGTAGATTCTATTGACTTTGAAAGGTGGTCGTTATCAAACCCTTTCATTCTTCGTGCGATTGAACTTCCTTGCTATTGAATCCATTGTAGTTGTCGGTGTTTGAACGACCTACCGAACGTGGATCTCTAATCCACTTTTGAGTACTGATCGTATACAATAATGGGGGAAGGACTTATACTTCCCCATTAAAACAGAGAACTGGCAATGTGAACGTTGTCCAAATCATAAGACGCATCAATGATAGTGTGATGAATATACATACTAGTCATAGTGAGATTCCAGGGTGGTCAAACTCACCGCGAGGTTTCAGGGTTCGAGATGTCATTGAACCATAGCTGCATGAAATGTACATCCGGCGCTGCATGCATTTTGACCCTGAAGCTGCGCGTCTAAATAATCTACAAGAGAATAAACTCATTTCATCATTGCGGGCAAATGCGCTATTGGATATAGTGTCAATATCCAAATGCGATTCAAATCGAATTACATACTACAGCGCTCTACATAACAGGATATCTATTCACCCCAACCATAGTCGACTACTGTCGCCCACTTTGTAGTTAATAAAAGTGGCCTATATCAAAGTGCATGGCACCTTATTCACTTAGCCTGCATCTCTATTTGATTGTCCTGTTGCATCTTGATCGCATACGCCAACTCTTCGTCTGCCTTGGCCGCTCTCCTTTTATCTTCCTCACCTAGCTTGACATTTCGAGCGAAGTATGCCAGGATCAGAAGAACGCCTGATACACAGACAGAGCCGATAGCCAGAGTTTGCTGCGTTTGGCGGTAACATTCGTTAATGGCGTCACGTTCAGGGCTGCCGACGGCATATTTCCTCGCAACTACGATGGAGCCAAAGATCTTTCGAGCTTCCTTACTATCGAAGTAGGCATTCAGTTTGCGCGGGAGGAGAGAGTTCCAAATTGCGCCACTGATTGTCGTTCCGATGTTGGATCCGAAGCCTAGGGAAGAGAGATACACGGCGGTTGCAACTGCAATATGCTCGCTATCGAGAACAGCTTGGAGAGAGACCTGCAAAGAGACCTGAGCAAGACCGCGTCCCACTCCGAGAAGCGACTTGGAGGTAATGAAAGCGGCTTCGCTAGCGATATGCGTGCCGTTGATATTGGTGAGGTAAATAGGTAGTCCAGATGCGAGAATGATCATACAAAAGCCCAGGATGATGAATGGCTTGGTATGTTTGACGTACTTCAGGCATATACCGGAGAATAGAGCGCCGATATTATACGCAACACGCTGTGCGTTGTCCACGCGCGTCGCAGCACCAGGCGAGTAATGGTCCGCAACTTGCAGAAAGCTGGAAAGAAAAGGTCGGTAGATGCTGTCGGATGCGGCGATGAAGATAACGGACACACACGCAACAATAACGTTGCGTTCCCTAATGGTGCGGTAAGGCACGATAGGGTTTGACGCAAACTTTCCATCCCAAACTAGGAACGCGATGAATGTCAAGACACCGATGATGAGGAGTATAATAGACGACGGCTTTTCCCATCTGTCAGTGTTCTTTCGTCCTGCAATTGTCATGGGAAGAAGTGTCATAGCCAGACCCCCGATGAGCAAAAGAGCACCGAGGAGATCGAGATGGATGGCTATGTGTTTCGCCTTGCCGAGTATGCCTGAAGGTGCGCCTTGCATCAATGATACCTGTTCGTGGATTAAGCCCATTCGCTTGGCCCGACGGCTCATCCACATGATGATGGCGATGGTGGGAATTGCAGTGACGGGCAGGACGATAGCCCACATCCCGTAGCCCCACCTCCAGGTCGAAGTTGTCAGGATATGTTCGCCCAGGTAAGTTCCTGCGTACAGTGTGGGAATAGCGGAAAGTGATTCTGGTAGGGTGAAGAGAATTCCTCTGTTCACGAGGCTAGTAACATCGGCAACGAAGATTTGCTGGGAAATATTCCACCATGAATCACCAAAGGAGTCAAAGATACCACCTGCCTAAAAAACTGTTAGTCTTGACATCCTTTGCTCAGAGGCTGCAATCGTACCAAGAAAGTTCCCACGTTCCCGCAGGCAGCGTACATGACATTGCCGAGGGCCATGGAAAGCGCGCCTCCTGCAAAACCTTGAGGGCGACCAAAATGCTACGTAATTTAGTGATGATATGTTGATAGGTGCATGACAACATACATCGGCCAATTTTGCAAGAAGTGGGTATCCCACAATTCTAACAAGACCATTGATGATAGAGCCAGTAGCGAGGAGGGAGTGTCCGTCGAAATGGCTTGTTGCGTAGGGTTCATAGACATTCTGTGTGTAGACCGTGAAATTCATGAAGAAGTTCATGACGAGAAGGCTGCAGAATGCTTAGACACAATATCCAAGAACATGTTCAGTTTGCGGAGCAACATACCATCCAATCGCACAGCCCAGTGCTCGAGGTGTCCATAGCTTCCGAAGAGCTTCTGAAGCCTTTCTTGGTGCAGGACCTTCTTCAAGTGTAGATGGCGAAGGACCATTGTTAGCTTGCTGTTCAGTCGCCATACTGCGCACGCGTGCTTGATGTCAAATAATGAGTTACAAAGGAACCATAGAGAACTGTTTTGACGAGGAGAATCATTTCTTATAATGAAAACCCTGCCTTGACGAACACGGCGCTGAACCCCAATCCAGCCTGCCACGCTTCGCGGATATCAGATCATCATTGCTATCTACAGTATAACCCATCTCCGGACGATAGTCAGTAGCTCACCTTGACCCCACGGCCTATTCCACGTCTGGGTTAAACGTTGTCTTCAGGGACCGTGATAATTGGGGTTTCGGTGTAATATCCCTGCATTGTCGACCATTAAAATGTTATCTGATCCTTCTTTTACGAACATAAAGTGGGTCACGTCGCAAGTTCTCTGTCGCCCAGTCTGTGCCGTTTCTCGGCATGCATTAATAAAAGAAAAGTCTTCCGGATCTTGAATAAAGGAAGTGCTTATTTTTACTATTTCTCCCGTCGTCAATTACACAGTACAGAGAAGAGTTGAAAAATTGGATGCGTTGCCAAGACCATGCGTCCGATTTCGCAAACGGAAGTTGGGAACGCTATGAGCAGATGGTACTAAGTGGCAATGACAGACAACAACCGAGAGTCCGCAACAACGTTGAGAACAGAACAGTAGTGCTATTAGTGCTCACATTTGCAGTAGATCCGGATCAAACGGGTCTAAGTTTAATCAGATTTTCACTCTTGCAGATGGCATTACTCGCTTAGTGATTGTATGGATAGATGCTCGGCTGTCTTGATGCTCCTACCATTAAATTGTAGGCTGACCAATGCGATCTGAGCTGCAGGCTCATAACGAAGATCGGGTATTGCTTGCATAGCATATCAGCAGTATCATTTAGGTCATTAGTCTCTTGCGTATTTTCACATTACTGTTGTTTCTGAACGGATTCGATCTGGATCTCATGCTTGCCCTAGGACGAAGCGAAGTGGAAGCAGGTGACTCTGCCGATCATCACATAGTTGATATGTTTCTAACCTGAATCATATAGTTGTTTTGAGACCGATTTCTTGGAACGGATGGCGCTTGAGTTATTTGCGCTGCTCCACACTTTCGTATAATACTTGAAAGGCGTATGACCTCTGTATTTGCAGTAGAAATTGATGTGAGAAAAAAGAACCGCGTTCTTTTATTCATCAACGTTGAACCACGAGGCACCCTGCATATGATTATTCTGTGGCTCCTGAACGATCTGACATTTTGGTGCACACGTGATGCTAAGAGTGTATATAACCGTAGTACAAATTCTACGATCAAAACAATGGCCCTGTAATCAAACGACCTGTTTGTGTTAGTACGTAAAATCAGCCGCTACCACGTGGATAGCAGGCTCGGGCAGCCCTAGGCTTGAATTATGTATGATGATGCTGGCGAAACCTTCTATCAGCTCACTCGTTCGCGTCGGTGTTTTAGAATCGATGCAGGTAGTATTCCTTTTTTGGGGATGCTGAGTTGATTGAACTGTCTTAGCTACCTACCTTGTACAAGGGGGTTCAAGTCTTCATTCACCTGGCTCATGCGCGTAGCTTTCCTTGCATGGCACGCACGTTGCTTAGCGTTGAGCCCTGCAAGGTGCGTAGCCAGACGTCTACTTGCAGATCAATCAGTCAACTTTATGTCATTACAAATGACTGCGGCAAATGTCTTTAATTGTGATTCCCATTGCAATTATATACGGGTTCGGCCTATGTTCTGAAAACAAAAACATCTAAAAAAGCGTTTACACAACATGCGAACTCAAAGGGGGCTTGCCCCCAAAATTGAGAACCACGTCATGCATGCAAAAATATCAATAAGGCAAACAATAGGCTGAAAGACGAAGAAAGAAACCTGCGGGGAAATCTTCTTGGTGTTCAAAAGCCGCGCGAACGCAGAGGAGAAATCGCCAAATTGCGTCTTTCAATCTTCCTCGTCTTCGTCGTCTTCATCCTCATCATCGCTATCTTCTTCATTACTGTCGTTGTTTTCGTAGCTCTCATGGTCGTTGTTATTGTCGCCAAGATCGTTCTCATCGCCGTTGTCGTCGATTAAGTAAGGCAAAGGTTGACAATGAAAGCCTGAATAGTACTGACGTTCAAATTCGGCAGCTAAGATGGCAATTCTCTGTCGATTGGACGAAGCCTCACCGTCTGTGCTACCGTCGGTCTCTGCACCATCGTGTTTTGATCTTTGGTCTTCGACGAATAAGCATCGAGCAGCAATGGCTTCAAAATGTGGCGTGTCATTGAGTGAGGACTTCAGTGGCGATTGAAGACCACAGTGATAGCGCTCAACAAATTCCGACCTCTTGTAGGTCCATGGATTGCGACAGGCTTCTCTGGCAATCCGCCTCTTCATCCTATGTCGTAATGTCGAGTGTACGCTTTCCGAAGCATTGGCAACCAGATCTGACAATCCCTGGCCATGCAACGCATCGATCCAAAAATTTCGAGCTGGATCGGATTCCTCTGTGCCCATGAATAGGCGCTCTATTGACTCAAGGAGAATTTCCACCTCCTTCTCATTTTCAAGTGACCGACACCAGTGGTCAATGATCGTGTTCCTGACATGGCAATCCTGGAGTTGGGCTGCGAGGATGTAAAGATCGACAGTTTTTCTCATGGACCACTGAATCTTAGACACCTTGGGCTGTTTGTGCCTGAGAAGCTGGAAGTCGCAGGTTGGCAGAGCCCTTTGCACTTCTGGGGAGATCATTGTTATATATCTCGCCAGTGTCTGCTGCTTTGTGGCCATGAAGGATAGTTCTACCGAGATGAATTCCTTCAGATAATCGGCGTAGACCTGGGAGCTTGCCGAGAGGTCCCGAAGGGGTATGGCACAGCTTCCATTCATCATACCATCTTCCGTTTCCACTGTGAGATGTGCCCAGTAAGGGCGTTCTTCGTCTGAGATCTCAATATCATGGCCTGGTTTGGAGGGTGGTTTCTTTTCTCCGGCATCCGAGCTGTTCTCCTTGAACTCGGCGAATTTTGCATCGTCTAAGGGCCATGTAGTATAGCGCTGATTATCCACTTCTGTCGAATCTGTCCCCTTTGTAGCATCATCCGCTACTTTCGTCTTCTCGTTGGGACCATCGTTGCGTGTTTGAGTCTTTGTCGGATTCCCATCAAGTTCTTTCTCTGGAACGTCTTGATTGAACGCTACTGCGGAGTCTTTTCTCGGGATTCTCTTAGGCTTTGCCTCTTTTGGAGTATATACAATATTTGCTGGATAGTTGGGATTCTTTTCACGATATTTTGAAATGCAAGTTCGATATCGTTTCTCAACCGCTGCCGGACCAACGTTCCTGCCAAACTTTTCGTTGTACAGCTTTGCGACCTCTCCATATGTCAATCTTCTGGTAGTCGTGGAATGAGTACCGAAGGGATCTGGGAGGTTGTTGTCTCGCGCATGTATCACGAATTCGATCTCGTCGGAAGCCAGTGACTGTTGAGCTGGTTTGGTAGTTCTTTCGGATGTCGCAGCGAGAGATGTCATTCTTGAGTCGGTCACTACTATATGTTCATTGTTTTATTCAATCATAATGCGGTTTGTTTGTGGCCTACCTGTTTCGGTTGGTTCACTCGATGGTTGCCGAGATGAGGGAGATGTTCCTGTGGTAGTACTTCCCCGGCGAAAGGTTTCCTCATAGGGCCGAAATCTCTTCGATGATCTCGCGGGCTCATGGATATCATCGTCGTCTGACGAACGGGCTTTTCTTTTCAATGATTTCGGTTTCGCATGACTGGAATATCGTTGATGCTTAGGGCGCTTGCTCGATGGTTCGCGATCATCATCGCTACAACCCTCCCCCGACAGAGCAGAAGCTTTTCTCTTGTTCGGTTCCATGATGAACAAAAAGGTTAAGTTGGATATTCCCACCGACTGCTAGTCGATAAATGTCGGTTGAGCTTTTCGATGTTTGTGAGGCCGTCTCAGAATGGGGGGAAAGGTAGGTTTGTCTAACAAGGAAAGGCGGGACTATATAGCAGTGTACCAGACGAGAATCACTCGACAACCGTGCACGTATATTCACCGCAGCTTTGCGATGATACTAGCGAGGAGCGGTACCAGAGTGAATGCCAGAACACCGCCTATAGCATTCACCCTGTGTTGCCTAAGTCCGGGGTTTGTTTCGAAGCCAAGATTCACTCTTTATCGGGGGAGTGGAAAAAACGTAAGCCAGTATGCGCGAGATGCTACCAAAACCTAAATATGCAGGATCAAATATTCGGCCTGTCTCATTGAGTAGTAGACTGTTTGGAGGTTATTCACTCGGTATTGCGCTACTTTGTGTGTGGTTAATAGAATAAACTGCGCCCATCGTTATAAATGTGTAATACATCGTGTACTTTGCTCCTCAATTAGAAACTGATGTCGCGTCACGTAGCCTGGCACTGCTGAATTAAACTACTGGCCTTATCATCTATAGGAACTTAAGTTTGGTTGATTGGGCCCTTTTCCTTGTTATAGCTCCTACCAGCACTAGATAAATGTAGTGGCCAACATGAAGTGCAAACGTATCACTCCCTTCATCCAACACAACCTCCCTCACTATTGGTTCTCATTACCAACGCAGTACCTACCAAGTGCATCTGTACTTCAAAACTGAATGGCTTCACTATTAGTTGTAATGATCCTTGTTGATAGGAAATACAGTGTTTGCTTTTCAGGCATTTGCGTCGTCATCTATGAAATTTGCAGTGAACTAAAGAAGAGCCAAAAGAACACTTCACAGTGAGTCCCGAACTACTGTTACGTCACCTGAGCTTGAAAGCATAATACCTTTTGCGCTGACCACTTGACACATCACGGAGACCGCGACACCGCGAGAGAGCACGCTGTCGCTAACCTCTCTTTCCATCGACAAAAGACACTGTAGAAGCGGGCTCGACCAATTCATCCGCAGCAATCCTGAGTCAGGGATGCACCATGTTCTGTATATTTAACATATGGATTACTGGAGTCAATGGGAAAGATAAGGCAATTGATTTGGCTCGTTTGCCCCGAGAACTGAAGGTCCTACGTTCGATGTAAAGAGTGGCTGAGAGTTTCGATGTGAGGTTCGAAAAGAGGAACAATATGAATTACAGTGATTGATCCAATAGAAGAGAAAACGGTTGCATCGCAAAAGATCAACAGGCGTGTAGTGAATGTTAGCTAGTTCATGGCGGCCAACGCGATAGAGACTACCGCAGATGAATTTATCACCCTTCATGACAGTGGGAAGAAACCTGCGTGGTAAATACGTTCCACCATCGCCCGAATAGTCATTGTGGGTGTTATACAGTATTAGGCATGTTCTCTAATCCATTGGTTCTCTCAGAGCGCGTATACTCTTATCGTCTTCTTCGGCCACAGGACTCCAAGCCACAGAAGGTACAATAAAGGGGACGACTAGCACACAGACCAGGAGCATACGATCGAAGGCCACCAGGAATCAGGTGGTTCTTGTGGTACTTTGGATTTGAGTTCCAATTTGGAATCGCATTTTAGCTCTGTTGGTTCATACGGAATTGATCCGCAACGGCTCCCTACGTTGATAGGCTTGATCAACCCAAGCGAAAAAACGCCGTTGGTTCTTTCCCAAACATGGCGAGAAAATGCATTCAATTGAGGACGGAAGAGGGCTCTTCAACGGTATCTAAGTTCTCCTAGAGAGCAAAAAGATGCGTAACCTTTGTAAAATTTCGGAGAAGCTCAAACTACGGTAGTTTGCTTGAATAGCAAAAGCACCTTCGCTGAGAAGCTCGCCACTTGTGTCACACAACCTGTCACCGCTATCCAGTGAGCCACGACAACTGGTGCCATGAGATAGATCAACAATCCCCATACGGAGGTTTTGTATTTGTGTTTAGCATTGCCTGTTCCAGAAACTACCAGCCTAAAACTTGATTGGTCGCATGTCCATGTCTCGCGCGAACTGACCCGACAGAAGCTTGCTCTATTAATTAGGAAGGACATGGCAACGCACTGATCTCGGTAACGATTGTACAGGGCCAATATACTTCATCTACCTCGCACTCTTGGAGATAACGGCAGTTGCTAAACCCCCAACAACAACCCCACACCCGGTTGAATCGGGACCGAAGCTGAATTATAATGTCGCTATACAAATAGAGGCGACTTGAACAATCTCCTCGTAGAAAGGTAAGGAACTGCTGATCCTGTACACAAGTCATGATGCATTCCGTCGTGCTTAATACGCTCCTCTTTGCGGCTACTGCTACAGCCCAGCGAGCGGCGATGCTTCGGTTTGGCTGCTCACAGCTCACCGTGGAGCGTCTTGATCCGCTCGTGAATCCGGCACAAGTTGGTACTCCACACGTGCATCAAATCATCGGAGGCAACTCTTTTCGACCAGACATGAAGCCGGTGGAGTACGATCTCGTCGAGAACTCGAACTGCACAAGTTGCACTTTCAGCGAGGATTTCAGTACGTAGGGCCCCCATCTATTGGTAGAAAAAAGGTGCCTGATAGCAAGTTAGGCAACTACTGGACTGCTGCGATGTACTTCCGTGCGAGAAACGGAACGTTCAAACGTGTCCAACAATTTGAGAATGGAGGATTGAGGCAGAATGGCGGCATGACTGTGTATTACATAGCTCCTTATGACGGTGTCAGCAAAGTTACAGCTTTCAAGCCAGTAAGTCGGTTCCTTTTGATATCGTGTCAAACAGCTCTTTTCACTTTCCGTTGGTATCTTGAACACAACACTCCTGACATCAAACACAGGGTTTCCGCATGCTAGCAGGAAATCCGACGCTGCGAAACACGACTGGCGAGTCCCGCGGTATCTGTCATCGATGCTTTGAAGGCGAGAATTTCGAACCCTTCGGTGGCGCACCATGCACTGGCAACGATACGACTCACCTACCCGATCACTTCTGTCCTGGCGGCATCAGAACCCAAGTAACGTTCCCGACCTGCTGGGACGGAGTGAACCTGGACTCACCAGACCATCAAAGCCATGTAGCATACGCGACTATTCCGTTCGAGCCCTACGCCGATCCCGTCGCAGTACGACCAATCACACCAGAATCGCAGCGAGGAAAATGCCCAGAAACTCATCCAGTACATCTTCCGCAGCTCATGTTCGAAGTTATGTTCGACTCGCGGCCATGGAACAATAAGGACCTCTGGCCGGAAGATGGGAGCCAGCCGTTTGTGTTCTCCATGGGCGACGCAACAGGCCACGGCAATCATGGTGATTACATGTGAGCATTCGTTCAGCGGCGGTGTGTTATTGATAATCATTGACGATGACTAGGTTCGGTTGGAAGGGTGATTCTTTGCAGCGCGCTATGAATGCCCGATGCAACAATGACAAATGCTCAGAGCTACTTGACCAGACTCCTGAGGAGGCAATGAAATGTACTGTTCCGACGACAGTGAAGGAAGATGTTGGTGACGATACATGTGAGTGAATCTTGTCTATTATCCAAATTTGTGAAGGAAGTTGTCTAATCGCAACATAGGGCTCGACATGATTCCTGGATCGGTCCTTCCTAATTAGTTGTTCTGGTTGCGATACATGGAATCAGAATCATAATGTGTTGGATTTTGGAGTACGTATCAGACGGCCTCGCGATAGCCAATGAAACCCCAGCTTTGACGAATTTCGAATGCATCGCCTTTCTGATTCGAACTACTAGAGGACGATAGTCTTAAGTCTCTACATTACATTTCTGGTGGGTGCATGTGGTACAGGTACAAGTTACGAGGTAGGTTTGAAGTCATGCGATACTCCGCCTGCGATTGGGAACAGTCGCGTGATATCCACATTCGTTCAATCAATCCCCATTCAAGCAAGACCTCGTATTGGCAACACAACACACCCCGCCTCAGCTGTGACGTTCTTTCGTTCCCGCTGCCTTGCGAGCCACCGCAGGGTTCCAATGCAGAGACAGTACGAGCATCGGCAGCCCCGCGGAAAGGTTTCGAGCTGGATGTTCCTCGGTTCCAAGACTAGCTTTGTTGCTCCCACCAGCCACAGCGCATCTGTTGATTTTGAAGCTGCATCTGGTTCGCTTGTGGTGGAGGGTCGGCTGTGCATCATCCGCTTCGTCCTCACAATCTTCCCTCCATGTGGCTTGCGCAAACAGCGCAAGACTAACGCCTCCGCAGCCTTGCACTGCTGAAGCAGTGAATCGAATAATTCCAGAACGGATTCCTCAAAGTTGCATGTGTCAATGGGTATAAATATGATAGTTTTCGTTGGACATTGGGAACATCATCAAGCAATATCAACTACCTCTCCTAGAACATAAAATCAAGTTCTCAATCTTTGTCCGAATCAAATCATTTCGCCACCTCAAGATGTCTCCCGAGATCAAATTCAAACCTGGCTGGGCCAACCACCCGCAAAAAGCCAAACTTACTCAAGAAGTCCAAGAATGGGTCGCTAAGACCGATCCGATCCCAGGTCTCCAACCAGGGAAGAAGCCGGCATGGATCGAGCTGGGGTAAGCGTCGACGCCACACCCGCATCGTCTCTTCACAACTCAAGTAGGATCTCTGACATTCTGTACAGTGCGCATCGCCTTGATGATGTTCAAAAATGTTATGGCTGGTACGAAGGTGTGGAGAATGCTGATTATCAGCTCAAGGGCGCCCCGGCCTTTGGCGGTGGACTCAGCATTCCTCTCTCGTTCATTCCTCAAAAGCCCTACTAAGTCGACTCACATTATCATATGGTTAGTCTTTCCATCACCATGACCCTTTTCTTTGGAAATTCTTGCCGTCGCACCCGTATTGACAGAAGACTATAGATGTAGTATCGTGCCGAGTCGGACGTACATTCAAACTCGTGGTCGTAAAAAGCGTTGGATTTGATGGCTAAAGATGGCGGGCGCTGGAAATAGGCTTTATGGGTACAGAGTAGTCGTTCCTACTTAGGCGAGTTGGTGAAACGTTTCCTCCGCTTGCCCTTCGTATTCCATTTTCTAGTCCCCTTTTTCCATTACCCCATGGCATCATCAATGCAGATACCTGAGTAGGCTCGGAATAGAGAGAGAATTATCATAAACTCATTATAGCAAAGACAATGTGGTACAGAATGATGACTCTGCATTTCCAACGTCGTGCATGACCCTCGCATCCTGAAGACACCGCGTAAGCCAGTGCAGCGTTCTTTACCCTTGGTCTTCAGAATTAGATGTCAAATGTTCCCGTGGTGTCTTGTGTTTCGTGATTTTAGGTTTAGCATAGTGTGCGGTAGGCTTTGGTCCGTCTCTACGAATTGCGGGTCGGTCGGTGCTCAGTGAAAAATGGGGAGTTGCGGAGGATGTGAGTAGGGTAGGGTAGGGGTGATTTGATCTTGGTTAGCGACATCTGTAAGAACATGAAGATAGGATGATAGATAAATCTGCCATGCGTGGGTATTAAAGAAACCGAGGAAAAGTCTCTTTCTCTATGCGCTTTGAATCGACATTTAAAGATTAACATCCAATCCAATAAGACTCCCATGGCAATACAGAATTGCAGTGCCCGACTAATGAAGCATGGTGTGAACACTACCCGCGAGAACCTTCGGATCAGAAAGCATTCGGGCATTCTCTATAATTAGACATGATTACCTGGATCTGCATGCAGAATATTGAAATTATGTATCCCGAAACCCTGTCAAGATGCCCCAGTGCAATTATCTGCAGGCCGCACGAGGTGATACAATTACCTTTGCTTCGTCGACTATAAAGCTCCACAACCCAGCTGCTCATTCAAAATCAGGCAGCATCAATCGTCTCGTTCACAATCCCACCATCAGTCGCTTCTGCATAAAATTCATTATCTTCCATTATTCTCAATAAAATACCAACTGTCCACCAAAATGCAACTCACAGCCCTACTCCTCGCAACGGTCGCCAGTGCATCCCCACTCATCCAGCGCCAAACAACCCAACTTCTCCCATGGGAGATCACTGGTGTGGGCGGCCACAGTCCCTCCGGCAGACCAGGCAACGACCCTCACAGCACCATCACCATCTGGATCAACAACCCGAATACTATACCAGTCCGCAGTGCTCCACACAACGGGAATGTTGTCCTCTCACCCCTCTGGTCCAACTGCACAATTTCGTGGATCAAGAAGGAAGACATTCCCTGGGGCGTACCTCAACCTTGTCAATTCAACGGGGTGCAAACCGGCGACGGCGAAATAGCTGGTGACGCCTTCGGAACATTCACCGTCACGATTCGTGAAGGGGATGGGGAGTATGCGCCGCAAGGAGACTTCAATGTCGACATCAAAGAGTTCAGGGAAATGAGGCCCTATAATGAATTGATACAAAGGACCTATGAGGGGTCCGCTAAGTTTAAGATTGGGCTCAATATGAGGCAGGTTTGCGGTGGATCGGGAGTTTGCAATTGGGGGCTTAGCGATGGGCTAGTCACTGTGCAGCAGACATTGACGGAGTCTGTTGGGGGATATCCACCTACCAAGAGGTAGAGTATGTATCCGTATGCAGAGCCTGATAGGGTCACCGGAAGAGAAAGCAGTGAGGAAAGTTCAGAAACGTTGGCTCCACTACCACTCCAAATGGCAACTCGTCAATGTTCCGTATTTTTTTTACTTTCGGTCCAATTACCTTTATTCCAAATGTGTCTAACCTTCACCATACTCCAAATGGTCCAAAGCGGCAAATACAAGACCAGCCCACATGTACTAGTAGATTTTGAGTTCAAATACGAACCTAGAGAGCATCTATGTAGCCCTGAGCAACGTGGAGGGACCCGTGCACTAACTCTCTCGTTTATAAGGAGGAACCTTCTTCTGGATGTCCTTGACTTTGTAGCAACTCCAAGACATGCGATAATGACCTAATATTTGAATTGAATAAGAATGATTTCTTGATTATTGTCGTGACTATTGGTGTCTGAAGACTGAATTACGGTAGATAGGCGCCAAGTGTTAAAGATCTAGTGTGCTGGCCACGTGCAAGGCTTCGTGAAGATCCTCACAGTCTTCCGCGAATCGGACATTGCTGCGCTGAGCATGAAGGAGTGCCAAAATCTCGTGACCGCTTTTGTAGTTCCTCAGAGCTGAAGTAAACAAACCCCCTGTAATCACGACTTCGTCTCTGCGCCGGGCGAGCAGGAGTGTCATGATATCTTTACCATTTTCACTTCCTACAAGTAATTCAAGTATCCTCTCTGTGATCGGGATGGTGTCTCCGTACCGGTCAAGGAGAAGTGTCATAGCCTCCTTATCGTTGTTAAGGTTCCTTGCAGTCATAAAAACTGCCTCTTCCCAGATCACCGCATTGTCTCCATGCAGGTCAGGAGGCTGTGCCATTGTATCAAATATCCAGGACAGTGCAGCTGGAGTGACCAACTGACATATTTTCTGAACTCGATTGAGAAGATATGCCGTGAACGTGTTGCTTGGAGTTCTTGTAGCCATAAGCTGATCTGATCCCAGCAGAATCCTTATGCACGCCCTACTTCGGTTGATCAAGGCGACATTCAAGAGATTTTGGCAGCTCTTGGGCGTGATCTGCAATGGTATAGCTGGATCTTTCAATATGTCCTCTAATAATTCGCTGAAGTCAAAAGCGCATGAAGCCAACAAACGGATAGACAAATCTGAATCTAGATCCCCAACAGAGTCTCTTAGATTCAATCTTCCGAACCAGTCCAGATGTATTCCTCTAGACTTCTGTATCCGTTTGATCCAGTGGACAAGAGCGGAGTTCGTGTTCGTGCCGCCAAGACCAAACACATGTTGTAATATTGGCTTCAAGTTCCCAGACTTCCTTTTGTGCTCTGCTCCCCGGCAATGGTGGGGCCATTGAGCATCTGCGTATTTGCGCAATTCTTCAAAATCATACTGAGATGAATGCGCGTGCAAACCTAAGTTCCAAAGCAATTTCCGGGATGAAAAGTTTGAGTCGGCGGACAGTACATTGTGGAGACAAACTTCTGCCGTCAGAGCGTTCGTTTCCGAGCTGTTGAATTCGACCTTCTGCTTCAAATACTCTTGGACGGACCAGTGGGCAAAGCGGAAGGTTTCCAGCTGATGATCATAGACAACGAAGTTGTTACAAATCTCGAGCACGCGGCCTATTGATACAACGGCTTCGTTACGGTCCGACTGGAGATTAAATGACACAACATGAAGGAATTCTTGGGCTCGCAGCCTCGTCCGGGCACACAATAGCCAGCAAATTGCATTCTTGAAAATTGCTGCCTCGTTCCTGCATGGAGGTATAGAAACAATATCGTAAATCTCATCGTACAGGGTATTCAGGTCTGGTGGAAGTCGACCGAGGCTGTTCTTAATGTCGTAATCAGATTTGAATGAGCAAAGATATTTGAGCTGCATGCTTGCCCAACGGAACCTAGAAGCCAATGTCAGTATAATGCTAAAACTATCGTCAACTTCAACCTACATGCCACCAGCACCCTCGATCACCTTAGCTTCGATGAATTCCTTCATATCTTCCACCGAGTCGCTCTCATTTAGCAGCGTTCCAGATGCTACGAGTTTCTCAATTTGACCTTTTACAACTCGCGCAATGTCGTCACTGTTTCTTTGGGCGTCAATCTCGAGTTTTAGACAATGTGGTAAATGTGAGACATCTTGATCGGTGCGACTCGATATGAATATCTTGACGGGACTGGTCGACCTTCGGATAATGTCTTCTAGAGCTCTAAGTAGCCCAGGTCGCTCTTGAGGGTTGCATGCATCCAAGGCGTCTATCACGATAGTGATCGAATCGTAGAATGGAGTGAGTTGTAAAATAAGCTTCAGGCTTTCTTCCATCGTAAGTGATGCAGACGCAAACCCGTTCATCTGCCTTTCTTTGAAAAGCTGGACGGCAGGTGCCAGTAAAGGCTTTCCCGGTTCAGCACAGGATAATTGTCTCGCAAGACTAGCAAGTATTGCCTGAGGTTTAGAACGCGTATGCTCCAATGGGTTTCGTGAGCAATAGAAGAAGACCATCTTTGAGCGAGGGTCGCTTTTATAATCCACAAGAGCCTTCTCTATCACCAACGAACTGAGCACATTAGTAACGGGTGCACTTAGGTTAGACATACAAGCACACTTACACAAGTGTACTCTTGCCAGATCCAAGAATTCCATGAAGCAATAGAATGGAGGAATCTGTGTCGCCTCTCCAGTCTCTGAAGACAGGATCAGATAGCAGCCATTGCCCAGTTCCGTCTAGAAAGTCCTGGTGGTATTGTTGATGATGCTGCATGTACGGCTCCGGAGAGAGCCACTCAAGAATCTTTGCACGCTCGGCATCTTTATATGGTTAGCCAGTATCTAGCTAGCTTACAGATGTTCTGACCTTTGAGACCGCCCTGGACGTCGTTTAGGATGTTCTCAGCCCCTGCCATTGCACGTAGCACTTGTGCATATCTATCAATGTTATCTGTGAAAGTATCAGCGTCGTTCAAGCGTTATGCGGGTCGCTTCGAACCTTGTCGATCTACTAGCCGCATGCAAGCCTCAACCTCCTTTTCTGCCTGGCGGGCGTCGCCGAGACCCGTTCGAAGGTCCGATTCTGAGGCAAATGTGCTTTTGATCGTTTTTTCTGACCGAGAGTCAATAATTGTCCATATTGTGGAAAGCATACACGTAGTCAGGGTCCCCTGTTCGAGATAGCGGATTGCCTTGGACAAGAAGCTTAAGATACTTGCATAGAGTTTGACCACACCCTTTTCTAGCTCCTTCACCGCTTCTGACGTGCCCTGAAGATATAATTTCTCGACAAGAACGAACTTGCAAATGCACTCGGATATCTCCTCAAGATCGGCAATCACTGATGCTCGTTTCTTGAAATCATTGATAGCGATCTGCAATAAAGGTCAGTAGCTGCCTTCAAGAGTCCAAGAGCGCGATCTGCCTGTAAAATGAACCGAATCCCCGCCCAAGGGAGAGCGGCATGCGCAGGATCATGCTGAACGGCAACATCGCCGACATCCTTGAACACGTCGACCCACCCAACAATCTTTCCAAACACGTCCCTCAATATAACAACCTTCCCATTCTTGCGAGTGTATTTCCATCTGGCCTCTTCGTTCTGTTGCATAGAATTCATGGCGGCGGCGTGCACGTCGTTAAGGATCTGGAGCCTATCGGAGCTGTAGATATCGTCATCGGTGATACGCTTGTCGTTGTCCGAGAGCTCTTTCACTGCGCGAGCCCAAAGGTCGTTACTAATAAAAGCAAGGTATGTTAGCAGGCTTGCTGGAGCAGCTAGAACCAGTGACCTCACCTGCGGTCTCCGACTTCGGTAGAAGGAGCCATTGATATTGTATTGTGTCTTGATGATAAAGCGTACAAATCTGGAAAATTTTGTCCTTGTACTCAAGGAGAAGGAGCGGGGACCAGGGTGAAAGGCGCAGATAGGCGTGTTTTGACGAAGTCCACGGAAGGCAATTGAACATAAAGATACCACAGAAACACTAATCGGTACGAGAGATCAAAACTGAGTGGTTCTGAAAACGAAGGATCGTTTGATAAGGAATGAGAGTAAAGCTGCGCTGGAAGCTGGGCTTTAAGGCTGGAAGGTTGAGCAAACACCATGGCGTACGGGCCACGGCTGCCAGCGTCACAGCCTATCAGTGACAAGATGATGGACAATATCAGGGGCACATGTCTCGGGAACGGACGTACAACATATGCTCACTAAACCCTCTTGTGTGAGTAACCCATGGCGTTGATAGACTATATAAAAAAGTGTACAGCGCTCAAAGATATTCGGAATTATTTCGAGACAACAGTGTTCTATGCACTTGCAGCAGGGTCCATGCTATATAGTAGGTAAGCTACTTCACTGCAATGCGGGAAACTTGGTTCTGCTGTTTCACCACAGGAAGCTTCCCGTTAGGTAGCACGTGAGCGAAGACAGCCACCATGCATGTGACTACAATTCAATCTTCCTCACAGTCCCAGATCAACCAGGACCAGTGATGAAAAAAATGAAGACAAGACTTAGTTCGCATCAGCCAGAAGTAGTGCGGAGTATACTGGCGACACAATGTCCAGGGCGATCCAACGAGCAAGCAAGTGGCGTTCGCTCAGACTGAGTGTAAAAATAAAAGGTAAAGTGGTAAGAGGCCCGATAAGCCCCGGGTCCAAGCAGTTACGCTATGGAAGAACAGATACTACACTTGATCTAAGCCAAAATGGCAAAGAGAGCTGAGGAATTCTAAATTGGACGGGATTTTGGGGGGTTTATATACTTGGGGTGGTGATTTAGGCAACGGAGTGAGCACGTGACATGGTGTTGATGCCTGGTCGGGATGATGGTGGGCATATGAGTTGATTCATTGAAGACGATGCACAATGCCTATAGAGACTGAGAAGGTAGATGACCTCTCCCTACACTACACAACCTAACCCAATTGGGTCTTATGTGGAATTGATGAAATTAGAGGATGGTCTCTGAGAATACTGACTGCGTAATCAAAGTGGTATCACTTCCGCTGCTATGGATCAAGCTAGAAACTTAAGCTCGTCTACTTCCAATCCAGTCCAATCATTCTCCTTTGAACGTTCGCCGCCACCATACAACGACGTATCAGCATAGCTTTGGAATAAATTGTAATTGCGGGTGACAGAGGTCTGAGGGCCTGGTAGTCATTAAAACATGCGAACAAGGATATCTTAACCTGTAGTTTTTGAGCAACATTAACATGCTTCTTAGTGTTCTAACCTTTCCCTCGTCGTGAAGGATTTTGTGAATAAGACGAAGAATCTACACCAACATCAACATCGGCGGTTAATTTTAGAAGTATAGTAACCTGAGCTATGGAACTGTGTGTTCATGTTCTTGAAGTCTAGAGTATTGCGTCTTTCGCCAATGAACCAAAGAACCTGTCAACGCTCATGTCTTCGCGAGCTTGGTTCTCTTTCCAGCTATGTACAAGGGCAAAGGCATCGTACAGAGTAGCAATTTTTGATCTGTCCAATTGAATGTTCAATCTTCCCTTTGCCAGTCCTCGTGCGTCGAGCGCAATACCGAGGCAGACGAATTGACCTACCGTTCCTGACTGCTCCGTCAATGCGCACCAGGACTGATAAAAGCCTTGTACTTAAATCTCCTTCCCAAACAAACCGCGCACGCTTCATCGAAATGGTACATTCTTCCTAGCGCCCGGCTTCAGTGATGGGGAAACCTGCGGGGTGCATACCTCCGAAGGGAATAAACTGGGCTTAGGTGGCCGTGGATATTGCGGGGTATACTCAACCCCGGCACCGTAGACAGTCACGCTGGCACCTCAAGATGTGCGAACTTCAATGCGGCTGCCAGGGATCGTCGGATCTTCGATTACTTTGAGCACTCTTGGGCTTGCAATTCATCTATCATGCATCTAACTAAACCCCATGGGTTCAGTTTGGGCCGAGTTATCGACCACTGACTTGTTTAACATCGCGATCGTCCAGGTACCGGTGTGAACTTGGTACAGTTCAACCGGGGACCAGAGACATGGTTGCATACATGTTTATCGCATCTCAACCCACGGATGGCTCAAATAATTTCCAAGCTCCGAACGAAGTGCAGCGCCCTACGAAGTGACTAAATGGACCGCTAGCCCATTGAACGGACACTCGCGCCAGAAGAGGATGTCATGTCCTTTGGTACATGAATCTTGTGGGCAAGATGGAAGATATAAATTGGCACGATGCCTCGCATCAAACAACCAGCAACTCTCCCTCCAACTCCAGGAAAGTCCACCTCCAGTTAGCTCATCCCATCTTCACGAGAAGTCTTGCTTTTCAAGATGAAGTTTCTTTCCGTCCTCTCCCTCGCTTCTTTAGCGATTGCCATCCCCGTCGACGTTGTTTCGCCCCGTCAATCAAGCAGCACAACACGAACCGAATTGGAGAGCGGTAGCAGCTCAGCATGCCCCAAGGCAATCTTCATCTATGCACGTGGCTCGACTGAAGCTGGCAACATGGTACGTATCATCCACTTGCAATTCCGACGAAATCAATCTGACTCCTTCTACTAGGGCGACGGGGAAGGAATTCTTGTTGCAGACAAGTTGGAGGCCCGGTATGGGGCTGCTAATGTCTGGGTTCAGGGTGTTGGGGGGCCCTACTCTGCGGATCTGATATCAAATCTGCTTCCCAAGGGTACAAGTGACGCTGCCATCAATGAGGCTGTCAGGCTCTTCAACCTAGCCCGTTCAAAGTGCCCCAACGCTGCAATCACTGCCGGAGGATACAGGTTAGATCCTCCTACCAATATCCACCAAAATCACAAAGCTAACATTCGACAACAGTCAAGGTACAGCTGTTATCGCTGGTGCCATTTCCACCCTCAGCTCTGCAGTCTCAAACCAGGTCAAAGGCGTCGTGTTCTTCGGCTATACCAGGAACAAGCAGAACAACGGCGCGATCCCTAATTTCTCGAGCAGTAAGTTGCAGGTGTACTGCGAGTCGGGCGATCTCGTTTGCGATGGGACTTTGGTTATAACACCAGCGCACTTTGAGTATTCCGATGAGGCTGCTGGACCGGCGCCGAATTTCTTGATCAGCAAGATCGGAGCGTGAATTGTTGGATCTGGCATTATTGAATAAGGTTATCACTGTGATGTTGTCAGTGGATGTATATGGCATGAGATATGACGCTTTTCTTTCACGTACAAACATTAGGCTATGAAGAGATTGCCGGTCAAAAATGGGCCATTAGTTTCCCTATTCCTAAGGAGAATCATTGCGAGAACCTTCAACTTTCGGGATATTGTGATTCATCTTATTGTTCCTTATCGAGCAATTATAGTTAGGTTTCGCTGCATAGTTCTCACCGTTCAATTCCGACCCATGGAATTCTACGAGGCTGACCTGCGCTAACCACCATTCAACAAATCAAACCTGTCCCTGTACCCGAAGGCCTAGACAGAACGCACCACAGAACTGTGCAGTTGATTTCACAATACTCCTTGCCCAAACGTATTGACCAACCTGGCCGTTGGACATTGAACTCTCAGAGCCTCTTTGCTTGAATCAACTTCAAGGGTCTTTGCCCACAACCATGATTCAAGCTACAAATGCTGACTCATGCATTAGTGTAGTTACGCAAAATTGGTTACCTCCACAACGTAAAAGATTTTACCATGTCCTGATAGATAATTGAACAAGGATGTTTCAGGTTTTCCACTCATTGAATTGCTTATCTCCGAGTTCTACTGCCAAAATGATGTTTCATCCATTTGATTCAACGATGCTGATAGGCCGGACCAAGGCATCAAGTCAACTTCAGCGCTTCGCTTCATCGAACCGAAGGAAAAGTTACCTATTTTGTAAGAGCAGGACACCACACATCGATCGATCGGATGCGACGAGCGACCTATATCATGATAAACAGAGCCTCGTATTGGTTAGTAATGCCAAATTTGGCTGATGATCGTATTGTGCTGGCCCCGGTTGACTATTATCTTTTGTCATAAAGGGATAAGGACTGAAAGCTACCAGTGGCCCGTCGGGCTCCCCGCCTGCTAGATTCATTTATAGTTTTACCTTGAACATATCGTCTACTACGTGTTCTTCCTTGAATAGGCAAATCCTGCTACGAAGCGAGCGCGCAACTAGAAGCAATAACATCAATAACGATGCCGGCTTGATGTCGATTGATTCCGACAACCCCACGCCGTATATACTATGGCCGATAGCCGAGCGTAGCATCGGAATCAATTCTGTAGTTATAAGCATACACTGGATCCTCGTCCGTTCGCCAACGCATCTCCATTCTCAACTTTGTGAACTGAGCAGTGGCCTCTCTGCGAACACCAGAATGAGTATCCCAAACACCAATGACCCATGCGGGATCATGCCCTTCGCGACTTATGACTGGCACGATATTTCGTGCAACTTCAACGATTACGGCTATCACATACCATGGAATCCTTCCGTCTTCTGCATTTATGCAGCGATCACTGCAGTCGCTACACAGCTGGTCTTGCAGCTCATTGGTCGTACAATAATTCGCTTTAAGCGCAGAGATACTTTGTATTTCTGGTAAGAGCTGAACTACATCAAGTCGTGGCGTCAACATTAATCACTTGAAGGTCTCTCATCATAGTATCGACGGGCATCTTGATGTATATCATGGCGCTTCTGTTCCGAATCTTTATCCTTCCTGTGACTAGCCTCGCTTTCTCCTTGCCATACCTTTTTGCTCAGATATTCATCTTAACTGGATTCGGGCTAGTTCTCTATTCCCGGCTACATCTAATAACGGACGATCCTTGGATAATACGATGCATGCTAAGCATGATTGTCGTTTGCGCCTTTCTCGGACACACGATGTCTGTTGTTCAGACAGCTATCATCTCACTCCAGAAAACACTCCTTTCAAGACGCATAATGAACCATATTTCGTGGATAGACTGCGTCTTTACCGGCCAAGACCTGATCCTTTCAGTGGCATACGTCTACCTGTACTGGAAACGTATGAAGGAATCCGAGGCATTTGCTTCCGAGCGGTCGAAAAGACGGGATGCAAAAACGTTCAAATTGCTGATAACTGCTAACAGCATCGTTCTGCTGCTTGATGTGGTTCAGAACTTTCTTTTATGCCGGAAGATTTACATTGCGAGATACATGTGTTTTCCACTTATCTGCGCAATCAAATTGGAGGTTGAGTTCATCGTGTTGAACCGTTTGGTCAAGAATACAGAGAAGAGTGTGCAGTCTCTACAAGTTCCTTCACTCGGCATTGAAACCTCTGTCGCAGAGGTCAGGGACGCTGAAGCGGGTGAACCGAGAGTAGAGGCTAGACCCATGGTCACTACGCAAATTTTGGATGAGAAATCCAGGGATACCGAGCGATAGTGTTAAGATCAAGGAATAACCGTAGGGGTAGACCTAAAGGACCTAGGATGGATGACAATCATGTCATCAACGTGTTTGTCAGCGTAATGCCTAGAGAACACCTGTGTCGACGAAACGTTTTAAGAAGTATGAATCATGAATCAAGAATGGATTAAATGTAATATCATCAAAACCAGTTCAAAATCCACCAGATATGAATGCAAACCAGTGTATAAGTAAATAACTTCACTAGCCAGGTTTTCAGCGTAAAGGCGAAAAGGAATATGAAGGCGCGCATACTCTCGTTCGATGGCGGGTTTCAGCGTGTGTACATAGACCCAAGTTATTACTAGCCAATCTTGTTCTTGGTGAATATATACACTGTAATATACTGTGTAGAAAGTAAGGAAGTATTGCGAAACCAAGTTTGACTGCAGATGCACACCGGTCTGAACTTACAATATTGATAGAACTACATTGATACCATTTCAATGGCAGCAAACCTCACAAATGTGTTGAGTCAACATCTCCAAGTGGAACCCAGCAAAGTCCATTTAATTTGGCTGTATAGCAGCAAGAATCAAGGCTAGATACACAAGTACAATTTGCCAACCATGAGCAGTCTGGTTCAACACCCCCTCTCCCAAAACAGGTACGTCCACAGTCGCCTGTGTCACACCACACGCATACGGTCTAACCGCTCTGCTGAGCACACCACATCGAGGTCGCCGCATTATCCAATGGTTGATCTAAATCCGCCAAATCCACAATGTTCGTCGAAAAGAAGAACGTTTGTTGCGAATCTGGATCGCAGTTCGGTCCGCTGCAATTTATATTAGCAAAATGTGCGACCTACGCACTACAAACAGGGTGGTTGGAGGAAAGAGGAGAAACTCACTCATAAAGCCTGCAGTAAAACCCAGCGTTCTCGCCGCTCAACTGAACAGAAGAGGCCTGGTTATCGATGGAGGCTGGAAGAGAAGGCTCAACACAAGCTCCTTGGCCGTCGATGGTGAAGGAAATAGTGTAGCCTGTGCCACCGAAGTTGGTCTCTGGAAAGAGAGTGACCGAACCTGAGACCTCGCGTTTCTGGACGGGAGATGCCATGGTAGTGGCGAGGAGGGTGGCAAGGATGGCAGCGGTGGAAGAGGTAGTCTTCATTTTGAACGAGATTAGATGAAAGCAATATCTGTGGGTTGAAGTCTTCAGATGAGAGCAGATCAGAGTTGGTGATGGTGAGGTAGTTCACGGTCGTGGAAGCAGCTGCCTTTTATATATTTTTTGCAAAGCTTTTCTACAGAGCATTTCAATTCTTGACAAGCTTGACGTCTTCTATTGCATTGACAAATCTATTCCACTGCCACCACAGCTTCAACGAGCTATGCTAACCTCTCAAGGAAACAATCCACAAAACATCTATTTCATTGGTGAACTCACCCAATATCTCACGATTATATGTCCGCCCTGATCCTTTATTCACCCTTCTATTATGTCAATTTCCTTCTATCTCGCTTTTGATAGGTGAAGTTGAATAATTCAATCACATATTGGTGTGTCCCGGCAGTTTCATCAATCTCGATTGACGTTGAAACTCTGGCAAGAATGACTCTGCATATACGCGGCTCCTATATGTGCTCTATAACGATCTTATGTCAGCTTCGAGCGAACGCGCGAAGGATTTCGCACGTGCAGGGTACACGGTAGGTCTGGTGGTATCTGCCGTTTCTGGAGGGGGCCAGTTTTGAACGCCCGTTCAGGCGTTCCTCGTGGTTCGATTACTCGGAACAGATTGGGGGGGGAATTCCATGCATACACGTTAATTTCGCGTTCAGAGTGGTAGCCTTCGAAATGTGACGATTGTAACGTAGAGGGAAAGTGTTAATGACAGCTGATCCTGTTCTTCCGATCAGTTTCTATTCGTAAATTTACTGTCAGTGTTCCTTATCCAATCTGAATCATTTTGGTTGAAGGTAGACGTACAAATCGAAAATGGATTAGAGGTGGTGCTATCAAAAGCCAAAAGCTTGAGTAGAGTCAGTGGTCAGTGGCTATGCTGGTCAGCATGCATTCCTCCGAGGGATCGCACACAATTACGTAGTCGCCAAACAACGTGAAACTTTACTGACAAGGAAATGCTGGTGAGCAAAATATGTAACGATTTTAGCTAAATGTAGGACCTTGACTTATGTGAAAACTATTAGCCGCTGCCTTGCAGAATGCGAAACTTTTGGTATGGAGCTCGTAGCATGTTGCACCTGATTTTAGTTTGCATCCAACTCAACGAATAATCTCAATTCCTTCTCGACCATAACGTTGTAAACCCTCCTCAGCTCCTCCGTGGTCAATATCTGGTCATACAGATGAGTAAAGGCTAGCATCATGTAGTCTTTGCACCACGGGAGGGACGTCAATCCCTGAAAGAAGGTTTCCTTGACCCTCCGGTAGTGCTCTTCAAGTCTAGTCTCGTTCTTAGGACCTTTGCCCTCGTGTCTTTGCTTCTTCGATGGTCTTCTTGCCCGCTCCTTCGTAGCCTCGTCCAGCTCGAACAGCACATGACTGATCCATAACGCGGGACAGTGAGCTCCAATGTCATCTTCGGCTTTTTTGAATAAGGCGCGAATAGAATGACTAGTGGAACCCGCAATCTCACCTCTCAGCATCTCGTATCGGATGGCAAAAAACCAACCGAAAATACTATTTTCCCTTCCGTTCCCCAGGACTCTCTGCTGTAGCGTGTCTCTTACACGGCCTTCGATCGAAAAGCGAATTTCGTTCGCTGCGTATAAGCTCAACAGCAGGGTATTGGTAGGGAAACGAATAATAAGAGGGTCGAGCGTCATCCGCAACAGCGCAGGCTTGACAATGGGGGCGTGTGACACATGATGCATGAGAAAGTGTGCAACGGCCTGTGCAAGAAGCTCTGCCGCTGGACCGTGTGACATTCTATGCGCAAGTAGCCAATCTGACAATCTTTCGAAGTGTGTGAGCCCTGCCTCCGCTTTCTTGTCTTCTAGTATATAAGCAAGAAGAGCGAGAAGTGACGTGAACAGGGTGGCAGACTGATAGTCATTAGCTAGCGAAGCCCGGTCATTCCCCTCCTGGAATAGAGCTCGTGCTCGCAAAATTGCTGCTTGGTCTGGCTCTTCAGCTGACTGTTGTGGTACTTGCCCACGGGGAGATACAAGTCGCCACAGGGTATCGGCAGCTGAACCGCTTCGTGCCCCCTCCCAAACCCAGTTGCTAAATAGATGGAGACTATCGAGAGTCGCAAGTGGCCGAGACTCGCTCTGCATGGACAGAGCTGCTTCGAATACCTGTTGAGACTTCTCCGTTTTGCCACGACCGGACTCGACAAGACCATAAGCATTATAGAGTCGAAGACTTGAGGGGTTCGCTTTCAGAAGTTCCTTGGCCGTTTTGAAGACCTCAGAGGGAAAGATATGAAGTTCCAATGCCAAGAGATATTCCCCAATGGCATCAACCTGGGTAGTATCTGATGCCATGAGTTTCAGTGTACGTTGTGCTACAAGGGCTGTGCTGGTCTGATGAATGGACCGAAAGCCGCAGTCGAATAGGAGTTCCGTGGTCATCTGCACGGACATCGATCCTTGCATAAAAGTCCTCATCGCCTGCGCGAGGTTCCCGGACTGAAAAGTATCTAGTTGGCTATTGGGGTTGCGGAAGTGTAGATAAGGGTCTCTGAGCCAAACAGCATGATATAGCTGAGACGGGCAGAGCGGTGGTAAGCCGAGAAAATAAAGAAATGCATCAAGTAAAAGAGTGCCTGGGATATTCTGGGGCATCAGTTGCAGATACTCTGCTACATCAGCGAAGAAGATCGTATGGAAGGGATCGTCTTCGCCAACTTCATGGGTTGTCCGTCCTGCGAAATACAAGTTGGTGATATGTTCGGTTTCATCCTCGCCGAATGTATTCAAAGAGGGAGAACCCGCGGGGCGTCGGAGGGTTTGTGGTTCGGCAAGAACTGGCATTGAACCGTTGAGGACACAGTTACACCAGCCTTTCGCGTTTGGTTCGCCAATGCGTGGCACTTCGCTGTCCCAGAATTCCTCAAAACTTTCGAGGCATTCGGCGATTGATTTTCCACTCAAATCAACAGGACGGTAGATGTGAAACTCAAGAAGAGCTTGCCATATAGATAGAGCTATCTCCCGATAACCAGAATCTCGAATCATTGATGTCAGCCGGAGCATAACATGTACCAAAGACTCCGGCGGGGTGGACTTGTTTGTTGTGATGAGAGTTCTTAAGCACCGGCCGAATGCTACTTTACAATTCTCGTATTTGAAACTGCCGAAATCATTTTGCTTGAAGTCGAGATACTTAATCCACAAGTCCAACGAGTGCGGAAATTTTGTCAAAATGTCATCCCATTTCTTCGATAATCGGGTGCTGTCCCAAGATCTCAATGCCTCGGTCATGAGTCCAAGGTATAATTGAATCATATTTTCCTCATTGGAACCACTTTTTCGGATCGCTTGCTCGTACATGTGTATTCTTACATCTGCCAAGTGAACTCGGTCGGAGGTGGTCAAGTTGGCAGTCGAGCGATCTAAGGCCATCATCGCGTCCTGGTGTTCCACCAAGGAAACCCATGCTTTAACATCTTCTGGATGATCTCGAGTCCGGCGAATCAACTCTGAATTCGTCGCTTTGAGTTCGGCGACATGTGCATCCTCATTGCCTCCTGGTTCGTAATCAAGATCGGCGCTCGGTGAACGATGTCTCTCGGAGTCAATCGCCCTATAGTCTGCTCCATCTGAGTCTGAGCTGTGGTCCCTCTTCCTTTTATCCGTCTTTGAAAGTGGGATATAGTCCGCGGTATGTTGATCTCCATCTGGACCTGCTTTTACCACTCGCAGGAGCCGATTGGGCTCCTTTTGACGTTTGGAGAGCAAGCGCCGTTCTTGGCGGCGGTATGTGGCATCGACAACATAGAGAGCTTTGTCAGAGCTATTGATCCTGTCAATCTTCACATAAGTAGGCAATCCTAGAAGTGCGCCATAACCGTAACGCCGATATGGCGGGGTATCATAGGTATTGAGTGTTCCGTAGTTCAATATGTCTGGATCACCTCTGCGATCAATGAAGTACGGTAAATCGGCAGCTGTTTTACGTGTCTGCCCCATTCTAGGAACATCCGACTCTAAAGAAGCAGTTCGTATTGAGTGATGACCTTTTCCCTGTCGAATGGTTAAATCCTCTTTGACATGTTCGTTCTGGCGGTCCGCTCTGTGGCGTCTTTCAGATCTTGCACGTAAATCATCCTCTCGGTCCCTGCTAGATCTATGACTTTTTCTTCGCCTTTCTTGATTGTCCCTGTCAGCGGGCTTGCCATGACTGTCATCTTTCGGAGATCTTTCTTGGGTTGGAGGTTGCCTGGGCTCAGTTCTGGATTTCGGCCGGAAGCTTGAGAATTTGGGCACGTTGGAAGCCATGATAAGAGATAGCGTGAAATCTAACCAGGATTACGATAGGTAACTCAAGATGGCAGTCGTGTCGGTCATCCGTAGCCAAAACCCCGTGCCTGGCAGACGGGGCAGGCGTTTGGTAAGTGGTTATATAGCTGCTTCAACAAAGTATGCGCTGCAGATAACGAGTTGGTTCATCTTATGTGTGGTATGAATTATCTGATAATTAGTCACTCCCAAGAGGCTGATGTGTGATCTCATGTATGTGTCGATTTGTAGACGAGATGCTTGTCTTGTCTCTCGCTGTCGACTGTTGTTGATGTGCAAGGCAAGATGCGCCGGCCAGTCGGTCATTGCGGAGTGGCCCGTGCCTCCTCCCCCGATGCGCGCTAATGCAAGAAATCTTGGCAGATTGGAATTTTTGTTCAAAGTTCATCTTTCGCAAACTTGAACGAAAGACTTCTGCAACCTTCTTACAGCCGCTGTTACAGTAAGGTTCGCAAACCCAATGGAATACCGAGAACTAGCCACAGGATCGACTTTCATGCCTAGGTGCCTTTAATCAACATCAAATATGTCTTCCCTACAGCAGCAATTAGCTGCCATTGCCGCGACTAGCACCCATCAGCTCGACCTCAAGGCGCAGAAAACTGCACATGGAAAATCTTTACTCTTCGAATCACGCGTTGCCGCTTCACAATCTTTCGATCTGATATTCTCGATATGTTACGAAGGGTTTCGCGATTTGTGCGCGCTTGATCAAAGGTTCCTCTCTTTTGCGCGGACGCTCTTCAGCGAACAGAGCAAGTCAGAAGACCGCACCCAGATGACCAAGAAGGAAAACGACGAATTGGATCGAGTTTTGGAGTCTTTCATAACCTTAGTTGGATCTCGAATACTTTTGAAACCAGCCGAGAAAGCCCTAGAGTGGTTGGTCCGAAGATTTCGGTATGTTGGACATGAATTTAGATGGACGAGTCGGAAAATGTGCTAACACCAGGACAGAGTCCACGAGTACAACACAGAAACTCTAGTGCTCTCATATCTTCCTTACCACAGTACACCGCAGTTTCTAGCACTCCTCTCTATCCTCCCATCTACACCACCGCCAACCCTGCGATTCCTCCAACCATATCTGGCGCCGCCCACGAATCCTCCTCGTGAGGCCATCGTGTATACCGCTGTCAATACTCCCGCTCTCTTCGCAGCGTTACAGAGTTACGTCGTCAAATCTCTTCAGGCGAAGCATCATGGTGCTAGCCTGTTATCATTTTGGGCCAGCGTAACCGCCCAGGCGTTGGATGCTATATTAGATGCCTCAAGATCAGGCCGGAGGGAGATACAAGATCAGCGAACGGAACAAGTCCTTCTCAGGATTCTCCCTGCACTCAACGAGTGCCTGAAGCTCTCCGACATCCCAGATGCCAATCTTGGATGCTACATGATCTTGATCATACTTGTGACCAAAGCGTCCTTTGAGGACAAGGTCTTGGACTCCTTGCTCGAAGCTGTCATACGAAGCTATGGATTGGAGACTGCTGATGGATGCCTAACATGTTTAGCAATCATCGCGGAAGAGCGATCAAGCATAACTCTCCCCATCCCAGTAGAAAAGAGACTCTTCAGAATTCCAGATCTGCCGCAAGCTCTTGAAGTGCTTGCCACCAAATGCCGTGCTGAGCGCCTTGCTCTCGGTAGCGCACTTGCATCTCTGGATCGGCTCTCGCACGGCAAACACCCCGAGGAAAGCCGCGAAATATTTCAACGTATTCTTGAATCGAGTATCCTAGGTCCGTCGTACAAATCGGCTGCAGTATCATCCTTCTTTCGTGTATTTGAAGAGAGCACTCCAGGATCTGAGGCTCATGGTCAGTTACTGGAGCTTCTTAGCCAACTGTCCGAGTCGATGCACCTTGCGCCACTTCTCCAAACGATTGCTCAAGCGAATGGCATAGACATGGACGCTATGGGGGTAACCGTACAAGTATCTCTCCAGGTGGAGGATCAGGGTAATGAGAACTCCGATGAGGAAATGTTGGACGTGGGTGAAACGTCTCAACAGGAAGAGCAGCCCAGCATTACTCTTCCAAAGATCGACGACTCTACGTTTTTCTGCGAGAATGTTTCATCATTCTCCGGTGCACTTGCGACCTTTGAGCGCGCGGTGGTCTCTAAACAAGCCGCTCAACTTTTGGCCTCGAAAGAGCTCGAAACCCAAAATGGGCACTCCAAACCCCTTTTCTTAAGTTTCCTGGTCCGAACTTGGTCCACCTCCTCGAGCGTGCCGACCCGCATTGAGGCGATTGTTTCCACTACCAAATTCATCAAGAAGACCGAAACCGCCATTGATCTGCAAATACTGATTCCGTACCTACTTTTGGCTCTTTCCGACCCAGCACCTGCCGTACGACGTGCAGCTGCTACATGCATTGCAACACTCACCGAGAAGAGCATGGGTAACGGTGCAAAAACTGAAATTTGGGCTTCGTCAACATTTTACGGACAGAAATCTTCAAGTATATCACACTTGAAGTCCGGAGAATGTGCGCAGTTGCTGTCTTCGCTGTTCGTGCCTATGCTTGAAGAGTGTGTGATGGATTCTACATCCGCCATAAGACTCGTCAGAGAGAGTTTGGAAGGCTCAAAGTCTATCAAAACCCAGGCAGGTCCTTCCTTGAAATCGTCCGTACGAGGATCCGCCTTAACGTTCTTTGCTTCACACATTGCCGTAACCCCATTGCTGCAGGCTCGTCTTCGTCTCCTCCCGATTTTCAATTTCACAGGAAAGCACGCCATTGGGGTGCGGACAACACATATCATTCCTACCATTCGTACATGGTGTTCTCTTTCAAACGAGGAGGCCAGTTCAAGATGTGCAGCTGCGAATATCAACCTCTCAACCGCCAATGCTGTCCATTTAGGTGGAATTGTCGCAAGAGAGCATGAGTCTGTAAAGATACTACAAGACTTGATTTCGGGAGATCTTCGCACGGACAATCTAGATGTTGTTTCTGCTGCTTTCGACCGCTTAATAGCCGTTTGGACTTCCATCAAGTCAGAAACGCGCCTATCCATTGGACAAATCCTGTTAGACTTGGCCTTGCAAGAAAAGCACATATCTGAAAGTGAGAAATTGCGATGCAATCGATCCCTTGAGGCACTGCGCGTTCTCCGGCTGGACACCGCTATTCTTTCCGACTTCATTGAGAGTATCCCGAACGCCCTGCAGATGCCGGAGGGTCCTCCAACAAAGAAGAGGAGAAGGAGCAGCCGCAATGAGATGGTCAGGGCCGAAATTCAGTCTCCCGAGGACGTATCCAAATTGCTTCGACGAACGACTATTGTACTTGAGTTGATCGAGGCTTCTAGCCCCGGCGACCACCCAGTGCTATTGAAGAACTTATTTGGAATCCTTGGTGATCTACAGCAATTACGACATCAGTCTGGATCTGATCTGGTCTACCTACAAAGTTTAGTCCTGGGTTCCCTCACTCCTATCGTTGATCGATTGAAAGACGATCGCAATGCTGCAGAATATCAAGCCTCTGTCAGAGCAGATCTACTCGTCGATTGCATTCGCCACTCGACCAATCCCCAAGTGCAAAGCGCTGCTTTGCTTCTGATTGCAAGCCTGGCCTCCTGGGTGCCTGAGGTTGTTCTCCATAATCTCATGCCTATTTTCACATTCATTGGATCCACTCTTCTGAGGCAAACTGACGACTACTCTGCACATGTCGTTGACCAGACAATATCGCGGGTCGTACCGCAACTAGCGGAGTCGTTAAGGAAGAGAGACAAAAACCTCATTACAGGAGTTGCAGATCTTCTTTTGAGCTTTACCGCCGCTTTCGAACACGTGCCTCTGCATAGAAGACTCAGGTTGTTTTCGGAGCTCGCTCGCACGCTTGGACCCGACGACTCTCTCTCGGCAATCATTGCTCTTCTAGTCGATCGATATCCGAACAGCACCGAACCTAGGAAATTCGTTCCTGGACTTCTGCTCCAATTCGACCCAGTCACGACACTCAAAGCATTCAAGGGCTACTTGGCCTTGGTCAGCGATGGGTGTAGCGAGAAACGGAAGATCTCCGATGTTCTCTTCAGTTTGAACGAGAAACAGCCGACCCAAGTCGAGAATGCCCTCAATCAGCTGTTGGGTGCACTTGCGGAATTGGCGGCAAACCAGACAATTCACACCCATATCGCCAAGGCATTCCGCAAGAATAGGGATCGGTCCCTACCTCGGGCCGTTTTTGCAGACATCATCGAGTCGATCATTCAATTGTCAAAGCAAGTTGCAGGTAGACCGAAGCTTAATGAAAGCTGCCGTCGCGTGCTGACCAAATGTCTCGACCTCCTCCCGACTATCGATCTCATCAGCTCTGCTGAGCTTCTCCTTTCGAATCCGGATCCGAAGGTGCAAGTTGCTGCTGTTAGGTCCGTTGAACTCAGGGCGGGGTCCGTGGTACAACATGACCAGCAGTCGGTCGATTCGCTCCTGTCTTTCCTACCGCAGGCCGATGCACTTCTGCAGAAGTCTGAGGATATTGACGTGAAGGCCGTCACAGTCAGTTGCATCGACCGCGTCATCGAACGATTTGGAAAGAAAGATGTTACCGCTGTTGAGAGTGTTGCCCGTACTATTGCTGGCGCACAGTCTTTGGCAAGCAAGGAGGATCGAGTACGCATTCTATCGCTGCTGTGCATCACCTCCATTGTTGATGTGTTGGAAGAGGAGGCTATATCTCTATTGCCAACGGTACTGCCCATCGCCTTCAAATACTTGGAAGAGAGCATTACGGAGGAAAAACGAGGCTTACACAACGCGGTCTTTGCCCTGCTTACAAACATTGTGGACCGTTTGGCGTTCATGTTCTCCCGCGAATATTTGATTCCGGCCCTGAAGCTTTCTCACCGTTCCGCTGTCGGTGATCTTGGAGATAGCTGCGATGAGTCCCGACGCGGATTCTACCAGAGCTTGTCCGCCGGTCTCGAGGCACAGGAAATCTTTGTCGCTATCAAGTCCACATGGTCAGCGGCTCTCAGTAATGGGTATGAATCGTCACGGGAAATGCTGGACCTCATCCTCGCAACAATTGAGAATCAAACCAAGTCGAAGATGGTCAAGGCTAGCTCCACACTTTTCAATGTTCTGTTGGAAACATTTGACATTCGAAGAGCTATCACTGCCGAGGCTACTAAGGCGACTCTTGAAGAGGACGAGTTGGAGCTGCTTGAGACTGCTCTTATCGAATCCATAATTGCAATGACCCTCAAGCTGAACGATAGTCTATTCCGGCCGTTCTTCGTGCAGCTTGTGGATGCAGCGAACTCGTCGTCCAAGCAGGTCAAGAGTCACTCTATCACGCTCTGCAAGTTCCTTGCGGCATTTTTTGATCGATTCAAGGTACGAAAATTCATGATGTGATCAATTTCGCCTACTAACATCTACAGTCTATCGTCACGAGCTACTCAAGCTATATCATTGAGCATACTGTGTCGTTGCTGAACTACATTGCGCAAAATCCAGAAGAATCGGATCTTCAAACCGCTGTGTTGAAAGCTTTACAGAAGAGCTTCCAGCACGATCAGGATGGTAAGTGTCATTGTTCTACTTCGAAGTGCGCCTATTGTACATATTAACATGTCATTCATAGGATTCTGGCAATCGCCGTCACACTATTCGCAAATACTCGTCCCTCTCCTTACTCAACTCACTCTCCCTCCCCAGGAATCCGCCACGCCTGTTATTCCTACCATAACTGAACTCGCCACTGCCTCTGCTTCTTCAGTTGACAACCATCGCGAGATGAACGCTATTCTCTTGAAATATATGCGCTCCGAGTCCGCGTCTACGCGCCTTGCCACAGTGAAGTGCGAGCAAAGTTTGACGAAGCGGTTGGGCGAAGAGTGGCTAGCGTTGTTGCCTGAGATGCTGCCATTCATCAGCGAGCTACGTGAGGACGATGATGAGGAGGTCGAAAGGGAGACACAGAGGTGGATCAACATGGTTGAAGAAATTTTGGGAGAGGATTTAGAGGCTATGTTGCAGTAGATAATTGTAAAGAGTATATGGTAGATGGTGAAAGAATACCCATGTCGCAACGTCTTTTTCGCTTTCAACATTCAGTATGATGATCTCGATCTTGTGACAAGACATTGCATCGCATGTAATACGAAAGACCATTGGAAACGAAGGGAATGCTACCCGTAACTAACTCAAATATTTAACAAGAATACGATGATTGCTCTCCACTCGTAGCACTGACTGAACATACGAGACGAGTACCTCGAAAACACCCCTTGGGGCGGAGGATCGTTACAGCGCGAGTGGACGGGGGCGCGGCAATAGCAGCCGAAGAACGCCTGCTTGGTCTTGGTTTGGTTGGTTGCCTGGCTGTCCGCAACTCCAAGCTTCCCCATTCTCCGCCTCCCATCTTCCCGCGAAACATGCGCTGACAAGCTGCGCCGCTACACCAATCAACAAACGATTCCTCCGACTTATACAACAGCCTCTCACCTAACACCAGGCCACAGTTCCCTTATCCCAACCATCATCATCCACATGCCTCCCACGGCCTATTGACCGTACCTTGGAATCCTCCGTCTCTGTTGACCATGTCTTCATCCTCTCGTTCCAGCGCCACAGATGTGGATAACAACAACAACAACAACAACAACAACAGCGAAAACCTAGCGCCGCAGCTCTCCGCTCTCTTCCTGATACGGTTCGACAAGAAAGTCGGGTACGTGCCTACTTTCCCTAGACCCTTCTCCTCTACCTCTCATCCGTGTCCGACACCTTCCCACATCAAATGATCGCACTACTGATGGACATGCTCGTTTTATAGCTACACAATCGCATGGAAACGAACCGCGAGCGACATCCCGCTGGACGGCGAAGTCGAGTTCAAGTCGCTCCCCTCGGGGCTCCACGGTGTCAAGTCTGACCTCGTGTACTTTGTGCATGAGGGATACGCGGGACTGAGCGCATTCGCGAATGGGGAAGCGGGGGAGGAAGACAGAAACGCACAGTTCGTGGCTGTAGGCATCTTAGTGCCATTGAGTTATGGGAGGTTAGGAAGGAGTTGGCTGCATGCGCGGAGGTTGATGAAGATTGCCAGGCAGGTCACGCGCTCGATGCCCGCTGTATGATGAGGCTAATACTGAGATAGTGCACTGGCAGAAGATCCCAAAGCCACAGCGCCGCTCGAGGCGTTCTGGGAAGAACAATCGAAACCGCGATCCGAGAGCTCGACGCTCAAACCCGAACAATTCAAGGGACATAGCCGGACGCGAGCGCTATCTAGGATCACCGCGGTAATACCTTCCGAGCAATCGCTACCCCCATTCCATCCTGCTTTATCAATTGTAGAATACATCGATATTTTTGGACCGTTGGTTTTCCGGTTACAGCAGGCGGCGCTTTTGAGGAAGAGGATATTGTTTGTTGGCGCGCCTCCGGTTAGGAATACTTGCGAATTTGGTATGTATTAAGACGACTTATTGAAAACATTGGTCACTGACAGGAGTATAGTCTACAATCTTTCCGTTTTAGCGAGTATACCCAATTCTGCTGCCGAACTGCTTTCTCCCGGCACAGAAAGCCTTCTTCGTCTTCGCTCCCTTTTTTCCGTTGGCATACACGATATACCCCTGTTAGAAAAGCTACGTTCGGCGTCGGATAGCGAGGAGTTGAGTGAGGATGGTCTTGCGGCTCACGGTTGGGTGGCGTGCACGACAGACGAGATCATGGTGCACAAGAATCAATTATACGACATTGTTGTTGAGATACCGCCAACGTATGAGGCTGCCCCACAGAGAAGACGATGGCCGGTTGTGCGGACATCAGATGGAACGCAAATCAAAGCCAGTCAACGCGACGTTTGGAGATATAAACTACTACATCACGAATTGTGGAAATACCGAAATGGTTCTGGACAAGCCAATGGGGATGCAGCTTCGGACGATGACCAAGCGGCGCTGCTCGGAAATAAGGTCACCGAGGCCTCTGAAGAAGATTACAACGAGGCATATGACGAGACGGTAGTCGAACCCATGGGCTGGTCTCGATTTGCCTACCTGGGGTTCATGTGGTGGGCATCGGCAGGCGAGAGCGATGCATATACAACGAGGGAACGGGAGCGGGACAGGGAGCTGTTAGGTGACCTCTCGGACTTCCAAGACGGTTTGCATACAGCAATCATTGCGTACTTCCACCGTTCGACGTCGTCGTTGATAACCAGGCTAGCGGAGGTGATCGAGCTGGTGGACGATGAAGATGAGGACCAAGATTCGTTGGTGCTGGGCAAAGACGACATCAGCCGGATTGGATTGGATACCTGGAGCGAAGGTGACAAGGCATTTGTGCAGGAGTTCTTATTGATGTATTTTGGCCGGCGAGCAGAGGTTCATGGTGCGAATTTGGAGTGTTGTGGAGTGCGGGTACCTGTGTTCTGATCTTGACAAGCAAAAGCTATTGGGAGACGACCATACAAGTGCGATAATCTGACATGATATTTTGATTGAAGCGACCAACTACGAGTACAAACATTGTCTACAATACCAACAATTGGGCACGAGTAAACGAGGTAACCAGCAAATTGCAAGGGCTTCATTGCAAGTTTAGTGCGTCATCCGACTTCGGCGAGAGTTATTCGATATCACGTGCTCGTGATGTCGGAATTGGAGAGGTTGCCCCGCAGTGTTACTGACCAACTAGTGACTAGTCGGGCCGAATGGGGAAAGGATCCTTTTAGCCCCGCCCCCGTTATGAATAGGAACAAATTTGAATGTCGCGCCTGTAGGGCGTAACACGCACGCTTCACTTTAACTATTACTATTACGAGTAGTTATCATCATCATTTGCTGCTCGTAAAGGAAAGAGTCACATCTTCCTCATAGTCGTAGCTGACTGGCTAATTGATTCACATCGATTGGCAGTTCTTGTGGGACGCTTTTCCTTCTTCTTCTCTCCACTCCACTTTGTCCCTCTCACGTTCCTACCTCTGCCGTCATAAACCGAAGGCGCCGGTTTTTGCACTACCCAGCCAGAAATTTGTGAATTGTGACTCCTCTACGCACCCTTTGACTCTTACATTCACTTCAATCCAAAGCCTTCCTCCCTTGAATTATTTTTAATCCGATACCTCCCTCGTGGCCTGTTCTCTTTTTTCCTTTTTCTACATTCCCCTTTGCAGATACCCCACCGCCGCCACCAAATTTCAACCTCACAATGCCGATGCTCAAAGACCCCTCGAAAAAGTACAAGAAGTTTGCGCCACTGAACCTCCCGGACAGGTCGTGGCCATCCAAGACAATCGACAAGCCGCCGCGATGGCTGTCGACGGACCTCCGTGACGGTAACCAATCCTTGGTCGATCCCATGGTACGTCACCCCGAGCAATTGAGCATAAGCATCGTGGACTGATCAAGTGCATTACAGGATGGAGAGCAGAAGTGGAAGTACTTCCAAATGCTCGTACAGCTCGGCTACAAGGAAATCGAAGTCTCCTTTCCCTCTGCCTCACAAACCGACTTCGACTTCACAAGACGTTTAATCGAGACTCCCGGCGCAGTTCCAGACGACGTCTGGGTGCAAGTCCTCTCACCATGCCGAAAGGAACTCATTACCCGAACCGTCGAATCCCTCAAGGGTGCAAAGAAAGCTCTCCTCCATCTCTACCTCGCCACGAGCCCATGCTTCCAGAAGATCGTTTTCAACATGAACAATGCAGAGAGCAAGGCCCTCGCGGTGGAATGTACAAAGTATGCGCGATCGATTACAAAGGATGACCCGAGCCAGGCAGGAACAGAATGGGCCTACGAATTCTCGCCCGAGACATTCTCAGATACTGATCCGGACTTTGCGCTCGAGGTCTGCGAGGCTGTGAAGGAGGCATGGGGACCCACCGAGGAGAATCCCATCATCTTCAACCTTCCCGCAACAGTCGAGATGTCCACGCCAAACGTTTACGCTGATCAGATTGAGTACTTCTGCAGGAATATCTCCGAGCGCAACAAGGTCTGCGTTTCTCTCCACCCCCATAACGATCGTGGATGCGCCGTGGCTGCCGCGGAATTGGCCCAAATGGCCGGTGCCGACCGGGTGGAGGGAACTCTCTTCGGAAATGGCGAAAGAACCGGAAACGTTGATCTCGTGACACTGGCCCTCAACCTCTACACACAAGGCATCCACCCCGGTATCGACTTCTCCGACCTCAAGTCCGTTATCGACGTGGTCGAATCTAGTAACAAGATCCCCGTGCATCCTCGCGCCCCATACGGTGGTCAGCTTGTTGTATGCGCCTTCAGTGGTTCTCACCAAGATGCCATCAAGAAGGGATTCCACTTGCGAAAGGTGGAGGGCGACACAGACGACAATCATTGGCAGGTCCCATATTTACCTCTCGATCCCCAAGATATCGGCCGTACATATGAAGCCGTCATTCGTGTCAACTCCCAGAGTGGCAAGGGAGGCGTTGCCTGGATCATCCTCCGACAGCTTGAGCTTGACCTTCCCCGTGGTCTGCAAGTCGCCTTCTCCAAGATCGTCCAGCGCGAGACCGACAACTTGGGTCGCGAGCTCCTTCCTACGGAAATCACAAAACTGTTCGAGGACGCCTACCACCTCAAGAGGAACAATCGATTCTCCCTCGTCGATTACGATATTACCACCGACCGCTCCAAATCTCCCGCCCCGCCAGAGGCTGGAAAGACGCAGAGCAACCGCAATCTACAGCGAAGATTCAGGGGTGTCATCGAAATCGACGGCCAGGAGCACACCATCGAGGGCGTCGGCAACGGTGCGATTTCCTCCCTCGCAGACGCCCTTAAGCGTCTAGGTATCGATCTCGACGTCGCAGACTACAAGGAGCACGCCATTGGTGGCCACAAGAACGTGAAAGCCGCCACATACATTGAGTGCACGGCCGCCGGCTCCACCCAAAAGGTGTGGGGTGTCGGCATCCATGAGGATGTTGTCCAAGCCTCCCTCATTGCTCTTCTCAGTGCTGCCTCTTCGGTAATTCCATCCCCGCCTCCGACTTATCACAACCCTACTAATACCCCATCACAGTTCCTCTCCTCAAGACCAACAACCCCAATTCCATTTCGCCCTAAGAGAAGCGATACCCTGGATATTCCCAACGGTGACTTGAGCCCAAAGGATCACAAACCTGCCAACGGAAGCCCTCTCGTGCAGCGTCTTGAGGCCAGCGTCAACGGAACGCAATAGATTGCAACAACGCAAGCAATGCTAACAACAAAAAGATGAAGAAAAAGAGAGAAAACCGAGCAGTCCCATACCTAAAAATCTGTACTTTCGTTATATTCCCTTTTTCAAAAGTCAGAGACGCGAACAACTGATTTGGAATCCTATATCATGGGTGTGCCTTTTTTGCATATTGTTTCGCATTTCACATAGGGAGAATGACGGCGTTGTTTTTCACTCCAATGAGGATATGTGTTTCGTTTCCTATACAGAATCGAGACCGAACAAAAAAAGGCTATTTTCACTCCTCACTAGGATCATCTAGTGAAGGAGAAAAAGTTCTCATTCTTCTTCTTTTTGGAATCAAAACCTTGAAAGGAGATTGTGTGTATGTAGTCAGTCTGATGGACCAAATATTATCATCATGTTCAAACGCATTCAATACTGTCTGTCTATGCTTGACTTTCTTGTCTTCGTTTTGTTTCAAGACCATGTCTTTGTGTCAATATGTGATGCTTTGGATTGTCATTAAAAACTGTGATCGCTTCCAAGAACACGCACCGAGTAAAATCTCTCCATGCCATGTTGAAAGAAAACCGACCCTCTTTGTCTCTATTCACCTTCCATGCCATCCACACAATCACTTCAAATTCACAGTGCAATTTGACAATCCTGAGAACTGCTGTTCGATTGTCTTGTCAAAAAGTGTATGACTGGAAATATTCTGTGCACGGGCGAGACAGGTTCACAATCATGTCTTAGCTTTAATATGACTGCGACATTGTGAACTGTACAAAGGACGCAACTCCACTCCCTTCACTACGACAGAAATAGAGACTTCAACTCTTATATTCTATAAAGCATTCACGCTGGCCCCCACCGAACGAGACTACATTCACCCAAACGAACAACCCAACCCCCGCTTCCATTTCTACATCTCTCCATTTCTTCTCAGCAACAAAACCTCACAAAACATGGCACTGCGCATCGGACCCGTCTTCCGCGGCAACACACCCAGCAACCCCTACCCCCTCGACAGCGACCACGATCCAGGCCAAGAAATCACCCTCACCATCGCCATCGCCATCTCGGACCCCTACCCCTCCTCCTCCTCCTCCACCACCTCCTCCAAACCCCTCCTCACGTTCGAACGCAAACTCCTCAGGAAGGACCTCCCCACCAAACTCTGGTGCACCCACATCTGCGAAAAAGAAAGCGATGGTTGCTCAGGAGGGCAATGTTTCTGGATTTTCACGGGGCTGTTGGATAAGATCAAGAGAAAGCTTTCCCCGGAGTCGTGGGAACAGATCAAGTTGAATCTTTCCCATGACAGAACTGCGAAGGGCGTTAAAATGACAGGTTGGGCGAGAATCGCCACGGAGAATTGGTTCAAGCAGTACTATGCGATTACATTTGAGGACGATTACTGGCGTTACTATGGGGAGGAGGCTAGGAGAAAGATTGAGGAGGCAAGGAGGAAGTAGAGGGGGGTAGGGGTAGAGGAGGAGTTCGGATGGACGGTCAAGAGGTTAATGAGAGGGTTGAAAGAAGGTTGAGAGGGAGGTTCCGTGGGAGGGAGAATGGGGGTGGCTGAGACGGTTGAGGGAGAGATGAGCTAACTTTGGAAGCTTGGAAGATGGGTTCGCTTTGTGATCAAGGCTAATGATTTCGATTTGTGATGAAAGAATGGATGAGCTCGCTTTGTTGTCAAGAATAGATGAGTTTGTTTTGTGATCAAGAATAGATGAGCCCGTTTTGTGAACAAGAGAAATAGCATGACTTCATAAACAAAGAGAGAGATATTTTTAATCTTTGAGAAGGGAGGGAACAAGGTGGCAATAGTGTCGTTGTAGATTTAGATATCTGCTACAAAAAGGAGTAATCCCTTCCTTGCCCAGGTCAACACAGAGATTCACAAACTCAACAGTTTCTCCAATACTTTCAAGATATTCCCTTCCTTCCCCAGGTCGACGCAGAGATTCAGAAACTCAACAGTTTCTCCAACACTTACGCAACATTCTCCTCCAAGACTCAATATGACAGAACTACAAGAACGACAAGAACTCTTGGCCGATGTTGCTGAGTGGGAACGATACCAACGCTTGAGATATGATGAGCAGCATTGGCGATCTCTCTTCATCTGCATCGCAAATTCAGATCCATACCCAGCGGGTCCATCATCTCATAAGCGCGGCGAGCACACTTCCTTCCAAATCAGTGAACGGTGGGACAGAATCCCGACTTCTCTCCGGTACGAGCACATATTACCGGATGGCAGCGATTATTGCGATAGCGGGACATGCTTCTGGATGCAGGCGAGCCATATAGATGATCCAGAACGTATTTGGAAGGTCAAAAGGACGGAATCTTCATTAAATAAGGAACGTGACTATGAAAGGGAGCTTTTTAAAAAGTGGTACGCGGCTAAGGAAAAGCTTCTCACGAGTCGGAAAGATGGCGATTCAGGTATGGATGGAACTCTCTCGCGTCAGGGCGCAGATAGAGAGGCTCCGTTAGGGGAGAGGGGAAGGGAGAAGAATAGTTAAGGGAGAGATGTGTGTGTTATTTGGGCCGCAGATGGAGAGGCTTCTTTAGGGGAAGGGGGGAGGTAGAAGAGGTTCTGTGGGAGGGAGAATGGGGATGGCTGAGGCGGTTGAGGGAGAGATGGGTTCCCTTTGTGATCAAGAATAAATGAGTTTGCTTTGTAAACAAGAATAGATCGTTTGCTTTGTGGATAAAGAGAGATAATTTAACTTTATGATCAAGAGAGACAACTTTACGTTATAAACAAAGAGAGATATTTATAGTCTACAAAAGGGGAGGGGACAAGTTAGTAATAATGCCGTTGGATTTGAAATATCTGCTATAAAAAGAGGACTTCCCTTCCTTGCCCAGGACCTCCCTGGGATTTTCCAACTCGACTTTTTCCAATAGTTCCACAATATTCTCATATACTTCTAAACATGACGACATGGCAAGCAATCAAGGCCAAAAGGGCTGAGTGGGAGCGATACAATCGCGTGAGATACAAAATTGAACCTCCGCGCTTTCTCGACGTCGCTATCGCATCTTCAGATCCATACCCAGCAGATCCATCATCTGATGAGCGCGACACTACCATCACCACCAATTACGACATCGTAACACTCATTGTACCTTGGGATTTAGTCACGATTGATCTCCGGTGCGAGCATCTGTGCTTGGACGGCAGCTTCGAATGCGAGAGCGGGAAATGCTTCTGGATGGAGAAGAGCGCAAAAGATCTCCAATATCCTTTTTCTGAGATTAAAAGAACGGAGGCTTCTGCCAAGAAGCAACTTGAGTATGAAAATAAGTGTCGAATGGACCTTAGATCGGCTGCAAGAGAGTTTAATAGAGATGACGATTGAAATATGGATCTCAAAGAGGACGCTGGAGCCGCAGATGTAGAGGCTTCTTTGGGAGAAGTGGGAAGGGAGAAGCATGGTCGAGGGAGAGATGTGTGCGTCATTAGCCATTTGCGGTTCTTGTTTCCTGGTATGTGGCTCCCGTGAATTGGGAGTACCACGTTAGATGGAAGGGAACAGTTGAGAAAGTAATTCGATAAAGAATGAATGAATCGTAACGACAGTCATATTGTATTGCTGTCAGCACACGGACATGTGATGTATGGTTACCAGTATATTGATATACCGTTGATCTGGCTAACACTGTTGGGAAGGAACAGTCAGAACTCAACGTCTGGAAAAATCATACTGTTGGGATGGAAGAGTCGGGACTCAACTTCGGGACAGCGTTGTCTCTGATAAGTTGAAAATTTTCACATTTCAATGAAAAAGCCAAAGTGGCCTTCACTTCACCTCTCCCCCGTCCCTTCATTATTATTCAGTCCCGTCAGTACGCAGATACACATAATCCCACGATGTACAATCCCGTCGCAGTGAGCTACGCCCTCGCATCTGCTCTCGCAATGTCGACCTCACCACCTCACCATCAGCCCCGATCCTCGGAGATCCAATACTGCAACCCTCTACCCTATGGCGCCGGCCCCGTCCCATCACCCGACACAGCGGACGCCTTCCTCGCCTCCCGCGAACTCTTCACGATCGCCAAAGCCGCTTCAACGCCCTCTGGCTACACTCAAGCCTACGCCAACCTCCACGCCTCGAGCACCGCGTCCGACTACCTTGGTTTCGTGCCGCTGGACACGTACAACACTAGCGAGTGCTCCTCTCAGTGCGACATCCGTTCCGGATGTGCGTCGTTCAACATCTTCTTCGAGCGGGCGCCCCTGCAGCATGTCGGCGACGCGTGCAAGGATCCTGACAGCACGACGATGATCAAGTGCGTGCTTTGGGGCGGGAAGGTCGGAGTGAAGAATGCGGAGAACGAAGGTTACAAAGTCGAGGACTTTGAGGTCAAGATCGCGGGGTCGAATGGGTACATCAAGATTGGGAAACCGGCTGGAGGACAGACTACTGGTGGAGGAAAGAGTGGGTGAGTGGTGATCTTTCTCACTTGTGTACGAAGCCTTTTCCCTTTGTATTGTCGACTTGGAAACGTATTGGAGCTGATGAAGGGTGCTTTAGGTCGAAGGGTGCTGAGAATAGTGTGGCGGCTCGCATTCCTGATATGAAGTTCACAAACATCCCTAATGTTATGTTTGCACTTTTTGTGGCTGTTGCGATTGGGTGCTGTCTGCTTTGATGGGCGTCATGATCCTACCTCGGGGCTCGACAATTTTCGGGTGTTTTGTTCCGAGTGGGAACTACTGGTGAATGCACCGAGTCTGGAGGCCGTCGGGTGATAATCTGGGTGACTGAGAAAGAAAGAGCTCTCTGATCAAAGGGCAATGCTGAATTGGGAGTCAGTCATGTTTACGAGAAGCTACATTCCATCTTGAACTATCGTGACTCGATCGGCCAGTGCTCGAGAGCCAGTGAATTCTTAACAAACAGTAACTGCTCACTCCTTTAGAAGAAGATTCTACGACCTCCTTGTTCATGAGAGACTTTGGGTTAGTGTCGAGGAAGGTCAAATTTTATCAAAACCAAGCTGACACAAGTGCTGAGAGTGAGAAGCCGATGGTGTACATATGTTTTGGTGGGCGTGCAGATTGTCCGATGAAAAACTGACACCATTAATATCTGAAGCGAATCCTGATCACTATAAAACGAGCGTCTAAATGGCGATCGGATGAGGATTCTTCCAGGTGTTAATCCCGACCGTGTGGAAACACCGCATGGTATTTAGCCCAAGTATGCGGGGATGAGCCTGACCACAATCAATGCCTCGTGCCATCAACCTTGCCAACGCCCACAGACAATCCTCCTTGTATTACGAGAAGATGACAAAATCTAGAACGCAGGTTTTCCAAAAAGCTTGAGAAAAATCTTCAAAGAAGCTTTTCTCGAGATCTATCCGTAATACGCCAAGCTCAATAAGCCTAGTAATGAGATCTATGTCCGTGATCCATTCGCCAATCATCGAGCGGTCTGGGGTCGTGGCCTGGCTTCGTTATTGAGAGTGCATATTACTGGGTCACGATGCGACCCAGGGCTGTTGTTGGGGTAATGTACGAAGTGCCGTCACAGCCTGCTTGGGGAAATAAAATAATATAAGAAGATGCTACGCTGCGATGTGCGGGGAGCATGGTCGACTCGATCGTCGCTTCCAAGTTACGATGATTGACGTCCTTTTGCTCTGACGAAATTCAGTCTTCTGTCCTTCAGTACCAACCTGCGACAATATTCAAGAATTTGGTGTCTTTGAATGTTGCGGGTAATCAACGACTTGCACTTCGCTTAATTCAGCAATTGCTTCAATTGGCGAAGTGTGACAACAAGTCGCTGCAATTGCGCAATGCTTCCTTGTCGGAAGTACATGCATCTCCTCAAAGGAGCCGCTTTGTTGTCAAACATTCCTCTAGTAACATCACAAGCGCCTACACCATCTTCAACACAGCCATCAATCATCGAACAACCGATCTTCCGTCCAACCCGTGAAGACGTCTTGATTCCAGGCGGCACGTTTAAGATCGAATGGACACCAGACAAACACTTCGAGAACGTGACTCTAGAACTATGGGATAAAACATCATGGGGATATTCTCGAGACTTTGGATCCCTGTGCTATCACTGGGTGAATCCTTTCTGTGGCACTATTGCATCCCACGCACCGAACAACGGCTCCTTCGAATGGCAGATACCGAAGCCAGGTAGCGATTTCCCGCGGGGTGAGCGCGTGTACTGGATCAAAATGTATGTGGACGACTACATCAAGCCGGATATCGGGAACAAAGATCCAGTTCTCAGCTACAGCCCGAACTTCATGTTCATCCCTGAGAATGGAGAGATACCACCACCGGAGCAGCAAACTATAACAAATACAATGTCCTCGCCACCGACATTATGGCCCAGTCCTGAGACCGTCTTCGTTACGGTGACTGATGGAAGTTTCATCACTGGCGCCCCGCCGGTGGCTTTTACTACCACATCTTTGTCGTCGAATGCAAGCCAGACTGCGAGCTTAAATTCAACGGTACCAACATCAAGCGAGGGAGCTGCGCCAGGCTGGAAAGTTTCAATATCGTGGCTCTTTGTTTTGTCCCTAGGACTAATTTGATAGCTGGTCTTACAACCAGTAGAAAATCTTCATCTAAGGCATTCTTTCAGCGTTCAAGATACAGCCTTTGTACACATGAACATGCAAGGAAGGGTTCAACTTCATCGGAACTTATATTGAGCACAGTATGACATGTCAAAGAGCTCAAATATTGTAGTGTTCCTTGATGATTATCGGGTGGGGAGCTTGGCGCGATGTCCGATCGCGATCGTGAGCGATTGGGGCATCCTGAAGGACAACTGCAGTCTATGAAGGATGGAAAGTTGTACAGAGCTGCAAGACTACTTTTGGGCAATTAGACACATTATAAAACAGGGATATCGTTTGCTTACAGCGTTGAAGATGTTATACGTGTCTTCATTCGCGAGTGTTCAACCAATCCACAATGTCTCTGAAGTCACTGGTGTCAAGGTCGATGCTCGGTACTGGCTCATGATCTACCCCTTCTAGACCATACACCAGAACTGGACCTCTCCAATCTCTTGTTTTATTTTTGACATCGCTTCTCAACGTTTTCCAGATAGCCTTGTTAACCTTCGATCCATCGTTCATGAAATTATCTCGATATCGAACCAAGAGGCAATGTGGTAACTCGCGTCCGAGCCGTGCATTCTCTAGAATGTAATGAATACCGCCCGCATCAATCCCGAATCCTTTCAATTGAGGGTTGTCGTATAGCAGTCCATCGCCAAATATATCTTCTCTCTTAAACTCCACCCAAACGAAGCGAGGCTTCTCCTCGTCAGGATGGAAGAGGACAGCGCGACGAAAGATCGAGCCAGGACCTTTTGATGGCGGACGACCAAAATCCGAGTATTCTTGGAAGCTTTTACATACTAGCTTATGTTTGCTCCAGCCTTCCTTCTGGCAGGATCCCGAGCAGTATCGTGAGACCTTGCAGGCGCCACAACGAGTTGAGCCGACTTTGTCACAGATTTCGCAAAGCTTGGTCTGAAGTTCGGCTGGCTTAACTTCGGGTGTATCTTCATTGTTTACGTTTTCTGGATTTTTCGCCATTTTATAAAGGAAATCCTTGTCTTTGGGTTAGTAGGAGGCGACGGTGTATGCTGCTGGCATCAAGGAGAACTTGCAGTTGCTCTGGGTCTAGTCTTAAAAAGGTCTAGCGGCCCCACCATTCTGGATTGTCACTTTGAGATTGAACCGTCCAGCTCCTGCTTGCAAATGTAAGGAAAGAAGAATTTGATAGTTCTATGAAGTTCTTGTCCACTGAGATGATACGTGAGTGCCTGAATGTCTGTGTTAACGTGGGCGTTGAAAAAGAGAGGTCATCTACCTCGATATGTCCACCTCATTTGCCGATGCGGGGCATGAAGCAATGAGCTTGTATGCACGATTCATTTGTACTTTCGCAGGGAGTATAAATGTAGTCCGAACGTACTGATTTCAGGTAACAATAATTCTTCCCCCTATCTGTGAGATCTCTTGGACTACTACGGAGCAGTGTACAGCATGCCTGACCAAGGCTCAGTATTTGATTACATCGTCGTTGGAGGAGGCACCGCAGGAGTGGCTATTGCATCCCGTCTGAGCAAGTATCTTCCTAATTGCAAGATTGCATTGTTCGAGTCCGGTCCAGATGCCACTCATCACCCTAAAGTCAATGATCCCAACCTTTGGCCCTCTCTCATTCAAGAAGGTCTTCTCGTTGATTATCAAACAACGCCTCAAGTCCACCTTGACGACCGAGTCGTCCCAGCTAATCTAGCAGGCCGTCTGCTTTCTGGATCTAGTGGTACTAATGTGGGTGTATGGATGAGAGCCTCGAGGACAGACTATGATGTCATCGCCAAAGCGGCCGGACATTCCAGATTCACGTTCGAAAAGTTGCTACCTTACTTCAAGAGACTTGAAAATCACTGGGACGTGAATGCTGGTTCGAAGTATCACGGCTTTAGTGGTCCCTTTCGTACGGTTGGTGGGCGAGAATACCCTCTGAGGCAGCCAATATTGCAGAGTGCGGAAAGACTTGGGATTCCATACAATCCTGACTCTGCCAATGGCGACCCAACTGGAGTCAGCGACTTGACTCAAAATTTTCGTATTATTTCGCCCTCGAAGTCCGAACGGCAACAGAGTGCGAAGGTCTATGATCTTACGAGAGTGCACGTCGAGTGCGATAGTCCAGTTGCTCGGATCATCGTCGATACAACGGGTACTGCAAAGGGACTCGAATTGGTTTCTGGGCAGAAATTCCACTCCAGAAGAGAGGTCATCATCAGCTGTGGAGCCCATAAAACACCTCAAATTCTTCTTCTATCTGGAATTGGTCCTAGAGAAGAATTGGAGAAGCATAGAATCCCACAAATACTAAACTCGCCAGCTGTCGGGCAAAATCTACACGACCACTCTCAGCTTACCTTATTCTTCAAGCTCAGAGATCCTAAAAAGGGGCAAGCTTTACCATTCAATGGTACAATGAAACCTGAGTTTGGGCACGGCACTCCTTGGGAGTTTAACATATTTTCACATATACCTGCCTCTGAACTTTCGCCAATTCTTACCTCCGATGGCCTTCCTGGGGTAGCTGACGAAACACATTCTTTGTTGGGAAACAAAAGATGCCATACAATGACCATGCCGATTTACTTCCCCATCCAAGCAAATCCCCTAGCCAACCCTGACATTGGTATTATGGCCGGAACACATGTCTCATTTGTTGCTTTACATCTCCTGCCAGTCTCACGCGGGACCATCGCGCTCAAATCCGCCAATCCAAAAGACGAACCTATCATAGATCCAAAGTTCATGTCTACGAACACAGATCGCTACATAATACGCCGGGCAATACGAGACGTTCTACGGCTTGTTGAGACCGAACCACTCGCTTCAGAACTGGACGGCGAAGCACCGCCGCTTGATCATGGACACCCAGCGCTGACAAGTAAAAGCACGGATGGGGAGATCGATGCAAGGGTTCGTCGGTATGTGAGTACCATTTCGCATCCGATGGGGACATGTGCATTGGGGAAGGTGCTGGACACTGAGTTTCGTGTGAAAGGTGTAAAGGGTTTGAGGGTTTGTGATGCGAGTGTCTTTCCGGAACCTCTCGGGGCAATGCCGATGCAGACTATCTACGCGTTGGCAGAACTGTGTGCAGATTTGATTGCTGGCCAGGCTGAAACTTGAGGTTCTTAGATTATCAAAGGAAATCAGAAGACATCGTAGCTGTCAATATAACTACTGATTTAGCTTCCGCCATCAAAGCCACAACTTCGAGTTTAGACAGCTTGATGTACATAGGTCTATTTTAATAAAACGACGGAATGAAGGCCGATTGTCCTACATTACTCAAACACGGTACTGAGCTTGTGTGACCATCCTCAGATCCACTGCCTTGAATTGCTGCGACCTCGCTCCAACATAACGTATGATGCAATATTGAACGTCTGTTCCGGTACACAAGGCTACGGATTAATCCTATATTTAGCTATGTCAAGGAGCGGAAATAACCTCAACCATACTACCCCATAGACTCATAATGGGTTCAAAGTGGACTTTGTCCCTTATTGAGCACAGCACCGGCGGTAAACCCGGTAGGGCTAACGACAAATACGAAGATGACCGACATATGTGCGAGATTCGCCAGGTTCGCGACGGAAACTTAATATCAGCCGGCCCCCTCCACTGCTTATTCATCCCATTCCTTGCATGGAGGAGTTGCACGCGCCAAGGACGTTCCTTCGACAGATGCGAATAGATGCAGTGATATTGGAATGGTCGCGCTGAATGAAGACTATGGCATTCGTTAATGGAACCTCTTAAGCCGGTGATCTTCTTACGAGTACCGTACAGCGAGTCTTCACAAGTTCGATTCCTCTAGTAACGATATGATGCGCAAATAGCGTCACTAGAATCATTGGTCACTCCAAAGCCTATGCGTAGTATTCGTGTCTTTATCAAGATGTACTTCATAAAAATTATGATTAGTCCCTTATCTTCGGCCAGTATCAGGTGGGATCCGGAATTTGGGCATATGGGAGGAATTGAATAATGATATGTATGTAATCGGCTTGCAAAGTTTGACGGGAATCTGCCGCCAGATGTTACGAGGTACTGTCACTGCTACTCGTTGGGAATCTGACATAGCAGAATGAATGAGTGGCTTGATCGATATGTAACATGATACCTATCTCGTATGGTCTAGGTATCGATATCGGGCCAATAGTTACTGAGCAATAAAGATGTGTGCATTTTATGACGGTACATAGTATCCAATGTGACGTTGAATGGGGGCCTCAGCCTGACCCCTCATTCGTGTTGCGGGACTCCCGGAGAAGTCCGTGCGTTACCTCTGCATTCTACCAACCAAAATCCGGCGGATTGCGATGCGGTGTCGTTGACAAAACGGTTGGGAGAGCTCTGTACATATTCCGCACTGTTCCATGTTCTTACTTTCTAGATGTTAGACGATCAGTCTTCGTCTTCTCACAATGGCGCCTATGGTCTCGATCCGGCCCGGAACGACGACATTACGTCGCGCTGCGAAATGTGGCGATAGCCTTCGCAGAGTCACAACTTGCACAAGCTCCATACGGAGCAGGAACATAACGACGGCGGCGACGAGTAATCCTCCTGGAGACACTGTTAGAGACTACCCTGGCCCATTCAGACCTCGAGCACCTCCGCCGCCGATCCAAAATATAGAGAAACGCAAAGAGGCGATACGAAAAGCGAAACCTTTCTCTGAATTCCTAACGGATACCTTCAACAGGCAGCATGATTATCTACGGATCAGTATAACGGAGCGCTGTAATTTACGATGTTTGTACTGTATGCCAGAAGGTATGGCTGTCTCATCGTCTATCCAAAGTTCTACAAGCTAACATCAACAGAGGGTGTACCTCTTTCTCCCCCAGCGCATTTGCTCACCACACCCGAAATCTTTTATCTCTCCTCATTATTCGTCTCGCAAGGCGTCACGAAAATACGTTTAACCGGAGGCGAGCCGACTGTACGCCGCGATATCGTTCCCTTGATGCAATCGATTGGTTCACTTCGCCCGAAAGGCCTGAAGGAGCTGGCCATAACTACAAATGGAATTTCTCTGTACCGTAAATTGGACACCATGGTTGAGGCCGGATTGACGGGTATAAATCTCAGTTTGGATACACTGGATCCCTTCCAGTTCCAGATAATGACGAGGAGGAACGGCTTTGATGCTGTCATGAAGTGTATCGACCGTGTCCTAGAGATGAAAAGGTTGGGTGCCAACCTCAAGCTCAAGGTCAACTGCGTGGTTATGCGTGGACTCAACGAACGAGATATCATACCATTTGTCGAACTTGGCCGCGAAAAGGATATCGAAGTGCGCTTTATCGAGTATATGCCATTTGGTGGAAACAAGTGGAGTCCAGGAAAGATGATCAGTTTTCAAGAGATGGTAGACATTATCAGAACAAAGTATCCAGGCTTGAGATCAGTCGCCGGGCACAAGAACGACACAAGCAAGACATACCACGTTCCTGGATTTGTCGGCAGAGTGGGCTTTATCACAAGTATGACCAACGACTTTTGTGGATCTTGCAATCGTCTGCGCATCACTAGCGATGGTAATCTTAAGGTTTGCCTCCACGGCAACGCAGAAGTCTCCCTGCGCGACCTGCTTCGCAAAGATAATGGTGGTGAGCCCATAGATCAGGAAGCTTTTGAACGAATAAAGCAAATTGAAATGGATCGTCGAGACGGGCGTCTCAGCGATGAAACGATCCTGGGGTGGGGCGAGCGAGAAAGGGAGCTTCTCAACGTCATTGGAGCCGCTGTCAAGCGGAAAGCAGAGAAACACGCAGATATCGGTGATCTCGAAAATATGGAGAACAGGCCGATGATATTAATTGGTGGGTGATCTTGACGTTTTCATTATTTGGGATCTTGAGGGACGGATGCGATACCACGGCGGTCATTACAGCATTGGTGGCGTTTGAATCAGATGGGATTCATTGGTCGTATTGGATATATTGGCGTATTCAAAATTGAGTTGATTACGACTTGTCTACTAGAACAACCCTTACGTGATGTCCCATGCTGATGGTTATGTAGGGCCACCTACGAAAGCTCAACATCGAGTTCCACATCATGCGTTTGCTCCTACCCCTACGATAGTGCGACCATGGTCGGCCATGAACCCGAACCTGCCAATTTTGCACTCATCAATGGGATCATTTCCTACCTCAAATACTCGTTACTTTTCTACGTCACGGACTGCAAATGACTTGTTGAATGCAACTGTAGAACGAGCCCCGACTGGATCACCCACTCACGCCTTCTTTCTTCATGGGCACAGAGGAAACGACTTCCCAAATGGCGGGAAAGGCTTCCCAGAGCCTATAGAGAACGTCAACGAGCAAAGAGGCATAAAAAAACGAAGAACAGATGCCGTGGGAACGTTGATGAGCGATATGATTGGCAGAGAACATTCCGTCGGTCCTGTGTCATCAGAGTTGAAAGATGTCATTGCCGCCCTCGAATCCAAAATAGATCTTCTGGACGCACGCCTTGTACTCGAGAAGACGCACATTCCATCTATATCCTTTCCGCCATGGGAAGACTTCTTAAACAGAGCGTCTCTCAAAGCAAATCTTGATCATTTGACGGATCGGGCCTTGTGGCGGTTGCGAAAGCGGGCATACTTGGCCGTCAAGACACTGGAGGAGAACCCAACGATCACTCAAGATCATGAGAAATTCCCACGAGAAGTTGTCGAACGCGCCATTGAGAAGCGCACTCAAGACATACATGAGCAAAACGTCCTCGAGCTGCAGGACATATTGACTGGGTTTAGAACGCAGTTGATCCGCGTGCAAGAAAACGAAAAAGAGAAGCAGGCCAGACTGGAGGACTTGAAACAACGAGGCGAGGCTTTGGAAGAGTTGAAGGACGCGAAACTAGGAAATATTCAGGGTTGGGAGGACGGCAAGGATCCAGAAGCATCAGACCTGATGCAGCCTTCATCACAACTCACACCTGGGCCTCCGGTCACTTCGCCTATTGGTGAAATTGTCCAGCCTTCGAAATCGAATCATATCACTCATGAAAAGCTTTACGGGGATGTCAAGTCTCCCTTGCTTCTAGTAGATTCATACCTGGCGATTGACCTCGAAGCTCCTGTTCCACAACTTCAGTCTCAATTATTCGAATTACATCAGCGGCTTAAACATCCATACCCGCAAATCGACTATCTCCCTTACAATGTATGGGAGTCGCAGAATGTGAGAACACTGCGATTGTGGACCAAGATTCTTTGGAACAAATACCAAACACGCTTCGACCATATGGATATTGAAGTAGACCCGCTCTTAGAAAACGTTCTAGCTGAATTCCTAAGAGACCACAAACTCAGCAAAGAAGCAGCAGAGCGAATGGCGATGAGGTTTGACGCCGTTTTCCGTCGTAAGATGCGGGTAGATGGACATGCAGAAGGAGAGTTGAAATGGGACGAGATAGATGCCTCCATCGGAAGCTGGCTGAAAGATACCCAGAGCGAACAACGTCTAGATTTCCAACGAGAAGAAAAGCTTCTGCATGCGCAGCCGGAAAGGGGTTTTCCAATACGCCAACGACAATCATTCAGACGCGCCCAACTTCCGTCTCGACAATACTCCACATCCGCACGCCCACCGCCTGTTTCCAAGGAGTCGAAATATCCAAGTGGACCCACTATCGACTCAGATAAGGTCAAATCAACCACAACACCACCAGAGCCAAACGCGCTACCTCATCTCACACCTTCAGGGTCTGCGCACATGGTCTCCGTCTCCTCCAAACCAGATACTGTCCGCACCGCCATTGCCGTAGGCATAGTACACTTCTCCAACTCCCAACCACTCTCTCTGGTCAAAATGAACGCCCTCAAGAAAGGAGACGTACTATCCGTCTCTCGGATCGCAGGAATCATGGCAGCAAAAGCCACCCCAACTCTCATCCCACTATGCCACCCCATTGCCCTGACGCACGTCAGCGTCGAGTTGAGGCTACTAGATGCTGATGCCTCCCGTCAATTCGGCGGCGTACATGTCGAGGCGAAAGTGGCTTGCACGGGTCCCACGGGCGTTGAAATGGAAGCATTGACTGCAGTTATGGGCGCAGGGCTTACGGTGGTAGATATGTGTAAGGCGGTGGACAAGGGCATGCGGTTTACTGACGTGAGGGTCGTGCTTAAGGAAGGTGGGAGAAGTGGGACTTGGAAGGAGGAGGGTTGGGTAAGTCCTACTGTAGAAGGATCATGATACTCGGCCGAGAGAATTGTAAGATATGGGTGATTAGAAATAGAGTTAATGAGCCCTATGTATCAATCATAGCGTGGCATGCGAGCCACAAGAGTAGCAAGACCATGAACATTCTCAGTCAACAATAGCTGCTCGCTGTTAAATGTTACATTACATTGTTTCTGTTGGACTTACCGCCAATGTTGAGGCATCGTATCAACGCAAATGTGTGGACCATGGATACCCCGATATTACTCCATACCGAGAAGTATCTTGCAATGCACACATCTGGACTCTGAAGGAAGTACGAAAAACCGGTGAGGTAGAATGAATACAGGGCGACGTCTGCCTGGTTGGGACATAGTCCAATAACATTATTATGCATTCAGCTGTGTCTTCGCCGCATGGACGCATTGTGAAGGAACGCGCAAATCTACTATTTGCTCCCCGCTTCTCCTTTGGTATCGTGTAGAGAAGGCGGCTAAGCTTCATCTCCAAGCCTACCATTCGATCTCACCTCTATTGTGAAGTCATGTAGGAGAGGGAGCTGAGCTGTAATGCATGTACGACGAAGCGACTAGTGAATAAGCAGATAAGACTGCGTGTAAGATTTGTAGGCTGGTTGAGAAAAGCCACGTAAATCCATTCGCATTTCAGTACCAGCGCAATAGGTTTGCGGCTCGCATGGTTCTCTGTTCATATTGTTAGTCGAGATTGTATTCAGATTGGAATATTCAGACACTAGCTGGTTTGATAGGTGCTTCAGGTATGATACCCCGTCTTGAAAAATAGAGATTCAGCTACCTGTTTCGGCCCGCTCTCTGAATGGTCGCTTTGAGTTCAGCCTCATTCAGTGCGTCGGATGTTCGACGTTCTCGCAGCCCTAAAAAGATTAGCCACAGTCGGACATAACAAGAAGGCCCCCACGAAGACAAAGCATAGAAATGATCACAAGTGACAGAGTAAGACATATCTTACTAACTTGTAGGCAGCCAATCTCTTACCTAAAATTCATCATAGGTGAATGAGAGGACAGTCGTACAAAGAGCCAATTATGCATGATTCGAGCGTAGGCATCATTGCCCTACGAATAGCGAGCTTTGGCATTACGATATAGCATACAACAAACATAGAACCGAGATATGAAAGGATATATCAACAACAAAACACCATACAGAAATCCGACACAGGCCGTTATCCCAGAGGCTCCGGATGGCCCCGATCTTCGCCGTCTAACTCCCCCCGAATCGCAAGGAAAACAAGGACGTATGTTCTGAGTGCTGGGATGGGGGACAAAATCAACGTGATTCGCGAAGTTTCCGATTTTATCAAAACGAGAATCACAAAGCAGAAGACCGATTAAATAGCAATTTCTCCTGCCGAACGCCAGCGTCGTAATTATTCCACGTATTTCGCTTGCAACAGTTGGGATCATGATTGACGTATGTTTAGTATCTTCGCATTCTTTGGTGGACTTGTATTGGTTGATTAACGAAAACGTCGACTTCGTCCGCTCGGCGAGATTGTTTCTCTTCATAGTGTCGAGAAGCAGCTTTGATGTCTTCGATTTGATGCTTTCATGTTGATCAGCCAATAAGTCCCCCATAACAATTTGGTACTTACCTTAGTCAACTGAGGCCCTGAAGCTGTTACAAGGAATCCGTCGCGGCCCTAAGCAATCGATCAGTCATGGTGTGGTAACTTAGACTTGGCGATCAACATCTCATACCTGGAGAGTATAAGGTCTTACGATTGCATCTGGCCCGCAGTGGTATCGTATCTCAGACTGGATTACCGCTCTCGAGATGCCGAACCCTGGAAGAAAGTACTGATTTGTCGCGGACATAATGGAAAAATAAAATAAAACGTATAGTAAGAACGTATGGTTGAAACGTATGGTGAATGCAAGAAAAGAAAGGTAAATGATAGACACAAACAGCCGATCTTGACGCAAGGAATCCTTAGTATATGTGTTGTCTGATATCCGAGCTTTGGAGGACCATCAGTGTTTATATAATTTCAAGGACGATGAAGCAGGACGATTGTTATCTGAATTCGAAGTTCACCGGTAGGCTATACTTTTCAAAGGACACCCATCGGGCTGTAACGTCTTATTTGTGTGCATTGACGCCCTCAAGCGCTGCACTCCTTGTCCTAGTTAAGAGAATGAGGCGGCGTCGGCTCGCCTCACCCCAGAGACCCAACGATGCCCAACGAAGAGATACCCACCCAGTCGAACAACAATAATGTCTCCCATCTGCACCTCATCCGGCATCCATTCTGAATAGATCTTCGGGTCGCCTCATGTTCCGCCTTCATTTCTTTTGAGCCGGGCCATTATTACTAGCACTATATGCTCCGGCCTTTCTGACTTGCAATTGTTTTTGAGGTTTGCGCTTTCGCCACCCACCCCTGGCCCATGAATCAATATCTGGAACACCTAGCTCCATTCAATTAATGACCCTTAATGATTATTTTGGCAATTATGTCTTTTTCTTTCAAAAACCTGAAGGCTTACTGCAAGACTTCAAGGTGATCACAATTTAAGGTGCACGCGGCGAATGTAGTGTACAACAGCCAACGAAAAATGGGCCTTGGCGGCACCTGACGCCAGGAAGATCCTACCTCGATATGAACGTCAAACTGACGGACGTAAATATCGGAACGGAGACGCTTAGAGATACGGTGTCTCTAACCGGAACTCTGGGAAAATTCACGGTGTCTTGCGTTGGGCACCCTTCACCGCCATCGTCACCTCATACGCCAGCTGGGACGGACCCAGTAGGCCACAAGGAACATCCCTTTCGAACCATGTCACAACGACAACATCAAGTTACTTCTCTTTTCTGTACGCAAAGAAGCAAGTTTCATCCGCGGCATTTACAATGATTTCTAACTTCAAGATACGACAATTCCTGGTTCTGAACGGATAGCTCGGTTCCATCAATCTTCAATGCTGCATTGTGGCTCCAGCATGTATTTGATGATATTTCGTGGTCAGGATTTCCATAGACTTCTGGATATTCGAAAGGTCTTTGTTATCACTGCTTCTACTGTTTCTACTCAGTTCAACCTACTCAGCGTCGAACCGCCTAAATGAAGGCAAATCTGTGGATAGTCGTAGGTACAGGATCCCTTGGCCATGAACTGCCACGCGCGACAAAATACGAGGATTCCCCGTAATTGATCCATGGATAGCACACGATCCAGAGTTCTTGCCGCGTACGCTACAGAGATCGGCATCACGCCAGAAAGTTGAGGTTGTTCTCTGCCCATTCCTAGGTAGCAAGTCTGACAACGCAACCGCAATATCCTTCCTCGGGCAACGCCACTGCGTCAGGCCATTTCTCCAAAAACTATGCAAGGGAAGCAAATGCTGAGTGCCGCTTCTAACGTCTTCTACACTTTGTATGAACTGTTAAGACTCCAGGAATCCGGTTCTCCGAATCCATCGAACCATAGGCGACCAATCATTACGGACTGAGCACGAATTGGGACCAGTCTGGAGAGGCCTTGCTGCACTTACCCCGCTCGCTTCTACTCCATATGGCTGCTCCCAAGCTACACGTATCTGGATATCTAGTAATGACGGACTTGGGCATCGCAGCCAACGGCATTATTGTGGGGAAAGACAGGGCGCGCAAGCAAGGATGCCTTAGACAAAAGCACAGACTGGGTTCGTTCGTCCTGGTAAGAACTCGGTACCTTTGACGGGAGTCTCCTTAGCTACCGGGTTTTGACAGCTCGTTATCGCTTGGCTTCGAGAAGTTGTGAGAGGTCGACCGAGGATCACCATGCAGGATCAAAAGCATTTGGACGTCGAATCTTACGTGGCAGTGTGGCAAATATGCAACACCGATATCATCATGCTGAGATATTCCAGGAGCCATCACCGAGTCCGTAACGAAGGTTCTACCAGTATGCATCCAGAGGATTTCAACACCAACTTACTACTGTTCGCACCCTAGTAAGTTGCACACCTCAGTGCCTTGGTGACCGGATGCTGGATGAATATGGATCTTATCAGTAACTGAACTCCCGTGTATGCGCATAGCCCCGAACCTGCAGACCCGAACGATTGGTCTCACCGCACCCACCCTTCGGTTGAATCAAGTGGCCGCCGCAAATATCATCAAACACCTCATCAAGGTGATTACCAAACTCACTGTACGATGTCAAGGAAGCTACGTTGCTGCATGACCGCAAAATATCCGATGATCCCTCCAATTCATTGCACGGCAATGTGTTGTCTCACACCATGTTCTATGAGGTGTTGAACAAGAACTTCGCAAATTATAGCCTTGTTTAATTGTTTACATGGACAGTAATGAACTATTTGTTCCCACTCCCGATTTACCAGGACTTGAAGTACTGCAGACAATGATTATGATATCAACAATCACAACAAGTAAGGGTTGACAGATGTCGGTCTCCTATCGATACAGTACAGGCACTCATGTACTCAGGAGAGTAATTATTTTCCCCTCGGGCCGATTTCTCCTATTTCTCAAACACCACAAAATTCCAGACACCAGGTATAGCGGGCATCACTGCGGGACCCTCCGTATGGAGTCTTTAGTGGAAAACTATTACCGATATTGCTTATTCCTATCACACAGCTCAGAATGGTCCTCCACCCAAGTCACAAGACCAATGCTTCCAGACAAGGCGACGAATAGAATATAACGGAAATGATCAACATCTTACAAGATTCAGTATTACATATTTTATATTCCGAGATGCTGCGGACGAATTATTTTTCTTTATCACAGTTGCTGACGAACTGGTGGTTCGTGAGATGAGGACCATCGCAAGTACCACGCCGCACGGGGCAACAGACACTTCAGATCATTTCCATAAGCAGTCACGGGCATTTAACTACCGAACGCCTAATCCATGTATCATCCCTCAGTTCGGTTTACAAAAATGTGAGGCGTTAGGGTCGTCCTCAGAGTCCGTTCCTCCAATCTCGACCAAACGTGACTATCGTTGTGTACCAATTAGCGTCAGCTGCTCGGGTGGACTCCAAGTGATCATCTCAAAGTCAAGGACGGCAAAGGTACACCACCAATGTTAAGGCGACCAATCAGCAGAACAGTGATATCTTGGACAGTGCAAGTGGACTCAGACATTTCGTGCTTTTGCGCTCATCAGATGATGCCGACGAGTAAGCTGAGTGGTCCCTAAACCGATTTGCTTTTTCCCTCTGACGCCTAGATTTCAAGGAATGATATGACAGGCCAGTGACCAATTTCCTATGCTCCTAAACAGAAAATGACATAACAATCTCAGGGGACAGAGTAGTATCATAATTCATTAGAAGGATACTGGAGATTGCCATGGGAGACGGGAGTTTCTCGTTAACTTGTGTCGGTTTACCGTGACGACTTGTATTATGCAAAGCAATTTGAACTCGCCATCGGATATACTCAAGTAATCAGCAGTCTTTGAAGCCTCTCTCATTCTGATAGATAGTATTGACCCCAATATCCGGGATGTGATAAGAGCAGACTCCTCGTACTGTGTCTGGGTTCGAAAACATCCATAGTATCGAAAATACGTCTGCGATCGCGAGCCGTTCTTTGATGATGGCAATTCTGTCAAGCAACGTCTTGAATCCGATGAAATCTGTCCGAAAAGGTCATCTGCGAATCGAAGTTGTGAACAGGTGCCCTTCTTATTGATAACACGGTATCAGTAGCTAACAATATGAGATACAGATACTGACATTGGGTTTACATCCCTCCCAGACCACATCGAGATGTAACCCAATGAGCTCACCGATTACCCTCGCCCATCCTACCAAACGGTTCTACCTTCGAAGAACAATGACCATCTTGCTGGTCAACTGAAAGCTACGAAATGTATAATACCATTTATCCGCCACGTAGTTGGACTCGGACTCGTTCGATGCCAGCTGTTCCATGCTATCGTGTAGAAGATAAACCCCTTGGACGTGAAGGTCAAGTGCGACCCAGTGCGCCAAGATGCCTGTGAAAGGACAACCAGATCTTCCTACAGCGAGTAGGCGAGAAAATAGCGGCACGACCAAAGCACGTCCGAAACAACGTAACGAATTCCACAGACGTTGATAATTCCTTGCGCAGTTGGATCGGTCCACGACCTCGAAATGTTGGGTAACACTGCCTTTGGAGCTGAATCTCGAGTTGTATCATCAGTTGGTCACGCCACGATTCTCATACAAGGGAACAAGATAGGGGCTTTGATGAACCTCAGATGCATTAGGTCTTTACGATTTTGAAGTATTCGGATTAGACATGGCGAATCGCTTTACCGTGAGGTCGTTCCACATTGGCCGACCTAGAGTACCAGTCAAAGGCTTCCAAGTTTCTGGGTCCTTCTAAGTACTCTTCAACGATTCATGGCTTCAAGTCATATGGAGGGGGGCGGTTTAGTCTTGTGGGTGGTTGGGGGTATGTCTCAATGAGTGAGAGCAAGGACATATCGATCATTAGCAGCGATCGTGAGGCTCGGAATGAGACTTCGCATGTTCTTCCGTGGTTGGGAAAAGTGTGAGATCTTGATTAGGACAATGTGTGCGGTACCATGATTCAATAGTATTGCCTTCCATCGGACGGTGAGGCCGTCTGGTACCAATAGTTCAAAATTGTTGAGATCAGATTTTGAGAACAATCGGAATGGCCGATTCACCGTATATTTAAAGCGTATACTCTGCTCGCTCTCTTGTTCCTTCTCATCACACACTCCTCACACCCTGCTCAGCTGGAAAAGCACAAGTCTGCCTCTCCATCAAGCTTCACCCAAAACCTCATCCCCCGAAAATCCCAGACTCAGACAAACATCTCATCTGGAAATCTGATCAACATGGAATCTTCCTTTACCATTACAGCACCAGCTATTTCGATTGCGTCGAGCATCTATAGCTGCGAGTCTCTCCCAAGCCTAATCAATACAAGCTCTTCGCCCGCAAGTGAAGTGCCAACTGCATCCGCGACATCGAGCGTCAGTGATTTCGAGTTGCGCCCCAATCTACTCAAGATGAACTCTTCTTCAAGGGCTGCATCACCTCCATCAAGCCTCAACAACTACAGGTCGCCCCCGAGTTCGATCAACCTGAGCACCTCCTCGACGGCTGTATCGCCGACTGAATCGATGGAAGCGAACCTCAACAGCTACAAATCGCCCCCGAGCCTATCAAGTATCCTGCCTCATCCCATCAAACTCCCGATATCTCGCCCAACAATTCCCGAAGAAAATTTCCTAAAGGGCAGTTTCCAAGACAAGTGCTCCTTCCCCATCGAGACAAACGGCGCAATCCGCTGCAAAAGCTGTGGCGAGATGCCCCGTGTCATCTTCAGAATTCGCCAGGCCTTTGGGTGCGGACACACCCTCTGCAGCGGATGCATCAACCGAGCGGTCCTCAGTAACCCTGGAAAGTCGAAGAGCTGCCCGTGCTGCGGCGCGACCTGGATCAAAAATGTTGAGTTGCAGCAATCTTCTTCAACGGCTCCGCCGTTCCAGCCAGCCGTGGTTGGGAAGGACACTTTCTGGACGCGAGTCTTCGGATCATTTATGAGTCGTCAGCGACAATAATCATATCGCCATATTCGGGAAAAGGACGCTTGACTACTTCATTCTGTTGGGTGCATACGTTGCCCCAATTTGCTCAGCATGGGATTTCTTGGTTCATGGAAGCATTGTTTGGTTGGGATCGACATTTCTGGCGATAACAGGTTCATCAAAAAATTCGTCTGGTTCATCAATTATTTCGCTTTTAATCTGGTCAGCATTGTATGCTTTGATTCACGAGAGTATTTATGGGTCAGAAGTGCGTAACTGACGATATCATCAACTCGCCTCCTTCGTCCAACATTCCATTAGAAGCATGCGTTGCTTCGTTATACTCAGCATGAAATTTCTTGGTTCACGAAGGCATTTTGGGTTCTGGGGGAGAGCATTTGAAACGATTTTGGATTTGGGAAGTCCAGTAGCACCATAGCAAAATAATCATCATCAATCAAGTCAACATGCGAGGTAGTTTGTTTCATTTATTGAATAGTGGCGGCCATTCAGCTAAGTTATCAATCATTCACATCATTGTGGACCGGCCTACCTAATTATGCCTGGTGTATACTGATGGTACTGATTTTCGACGATGCTTGCCATATCGCTGCCCATTTCCATTGCGTTTAATTATGGGTGCTATTTGCCTTATGGAGTGAATGATGTCCACAGAAGGTGTCTTCACCCATTTGGATAGTGAACATCCAAGAATACCTCCCAAAGCATGGATTTAAAAATTAACATTGTTTCCTCTGCATTCACATATTCTTTATGGTACCAACAGGTTGATATGGCAGGCTTTCGATTGTCGTTACGATCAGGTCGACATCACGTGACTTACCGATAGTCTCTATATACTTCTATCTTCCAACTATCACTAACCCTAGCCACTGTCTACCGTTCTATGTAGCGGAAACGAGTTTTGAATCTTAATTGGACCTCTGGAAGTACGGAAGCATATATCTTGGCATCACGAAGGTCTCGCGCCGTCTACTCTTAAAGTTCACACTATTTCGATCCATCGATTCGTCCCAACTCCCAAGTCGCTGAAGGCTCAATGATTGGTGGTTGTCTACTTGATCATTCATCCAAACTCTTCCAAATCATCTCGAGTGAATTTCTATATCATACAAAAGAAGTATAATTATTTGATTGTATAAGCATTCCCGAGCTTCACCCAGACTCCACAGCAAGCTGCGCAAAGAAGCGATAAGGACATTCCAAATACGACACACATGACGATTCTTCCCTTCTTCATCGCTCGTATTTCCCAATTGGACGGAGAGCCCAAATCCAGGCCTTGCTCACCTCGTGCCGTCCTGTTTCGAACGAGTCAAGGTAGCCCGTTTCCCCTCATCACGGGCAGAAAGAGGTCAAAGGTCGGTGCTTCGTACAGATATGCACTACGCCTGCCTCATCGGGATCTCCGGATCTGCACTAAGCCTATCGCGGGGTTAGAGAGCCGGGGCGCCACGTGGATGTCGCAGGGGCAGTCCTGCTTTAGCGAGGTTCGTTGGGGAGGGAAGGGGGGGCCTTTCTTCGGGGTGTGCGAGCGTGCATGGGGAGGAAAAGGGCTGAGCCAGGTAGGCGGGTGGGAGGTGGATGGATGGTCCCTAGCCCTAGGCCGCGCGCATGCACAGGTGGTACGATGGAGGTTGACAACAGTGGTTGCGGCGTTGAATCGTCGATGTTAGGTATGGCGAGTAAGTGGGTATTGAAGGAAATTTTATTGCGATTGAGCGTTATTCGTAAGGGGGCTTTTGGGAAGTCAGGGTAGTCAGAAGGACGTAATGTGTCCGCGGAGCCGGAAGCCTTCGAATCGAGGAAAACAGGATTAATTAACCAACTTCCACATGATTTCATCGCAATTCCCCTCTTCTTTGCTATCGAATTATGCTCGGCAGGCCAGCCATGATCGCAAAGCTTGGTATTGATGGGATCCTATCGGGGCTTCTGCCGCAGGGACCTGAGCTCACATGACGCACGTGTCAGAACCATTGCAACGGAATCGAGGCCGTGGTTCGTGGGGGAGATGAGACGAGGATGTAATGTGTACGTGCAATGGCAGAATGTGGACTGATCGTCTTTCAGCCTTGCTGTTGTTGTCCTTGCTACTCTCCTGCTTCGGACGGCAGCTGACGGTTTAGGGACGTGATCCTAGCCCAGCTGAGATTCTAGATCTCACGCTAGGGCTGAGTGGGGAAGAGGGTCTGGTGGTGCGATTACCTACGAGATAGGAAAGGATTCTGATACGGGGATAGTCGCTTAAATGGGTTTTTTTTCCTTGTCGAATACCAAAGGCAGTAAGAAGTCTTGAGGCAAGTAAGGCAACCTGCCGGTTTTGGTCTTTGATTTGTTGCTTGTCATTGCTGCGGAATTTGATGACCTATCATGAGCTACATGCTTAGTTGGAAAATAAATCAAAAACAATATGCCAAATGTAGAATTGATATCGGAAAAGACGAAGTAGATGATGAATAATGCAGAACTAAGCACTGAGTTGAGCGGAGAGGTGACAAGTACCTCAAAAGACCAGAACCCCAAACACGAGAGAAAAAATAAACATGTGCAAACAATTTGTAAATGCGAAGACCCCAGACCAGGCATTGAAGAGTGAAAAGCAGTCCAGGCTCTTGTTGACCGCCTTCCAGGCCAAAAGGTCACTTTGTACCAGATCCAGATCCATTGCTAAGACCTTCCAGCTGGTGTGACACCATGCCTAATACAGCGAAGAACAAAACCCTGGGTTGCTCAACTAGAACAACAGCGCCGAACACCAACGCCAACACCAACGCTAACAATAACCTAAAAGTGTGTGTATGCTTTTGTCTAAGAAATCGAGTTGTCTCATGGCCTGCAGAGCCGTCGTGGGTGTAGAATCAAAAGGCCAGTATGGGCAGAAGGACCGAAGCTAGGTCGACTTCGAAAAATTGCTTGCGCCTCGTGGAAACGAAGAGAAGATTGTAAGAGTATGCCGAGTGCAATGCCGAAAAATATGAAGATGGGTGATCGTAGTCGGCAGCAGTACCGTATCGCTGGAAGGCTAGTCGATGACGCGTGCGAAAATGTTGGGGTATCGTCGAAGAGAAGAAGGATAGCAGGAAACGGCGAAAGGAACTAAATCACGGCGCGGAGAGACGGTTCTCTCCTTATCGGCGCATCAAATTTTGCTGGATGTGAGCCAGCGACGGGTCTTCCGCGAGCCACTTCCCTTGGGCAGCGTCCTGGTTCCTGAGAGTGTTTTCAACATGAAGATCAGAAATGGCGAGGAGCTCCTGATAGAATATATATTAGCATCTCTGTGCCCTATGGGTAAGGGGGAGACTGGGGGAAGTGGGTAGTAAACAATGATATGACGTACCGACCGCAGTGTGTTGTCAGCTGCCTGCAACGCCTCGAAGTGACCTGCATGAGGCTTCTGGCCACGCAGGATGGAGTTCCTGGAGTTCATCCACCGTAGACCCGCGTGCGCCCTTAGGTACGCCCTCTGGCATTGGAATCGCCGGACAGCAGCATCGACAATGATCCTGGTTCCTGACGTCAGCTTGCCATCTCCCTGTGTTTTACTGGCTCTCTGCATCCAAGACTTCCATTGAATCAAATGGACGTGCATCTCTCGAGGGTGGAGAAATGATACAAGAACAGAAAAAGATGGCTTACATTTGCAGTTGTGCTTTCTCGGCCTCCAAGTCACCGCCAGGCGCTCCTGAACTGCCAGCGAATGGAGTTTGAAGAATTGTCTGCGCTTCATCCGAGCATTGTCGAAGTAACGAGTAACCTTCGAGATAGTATTCCTCCGCCGTCGGATTAGTACGAAGTTGATTGAGGTAGTGTTGAAGAGAGCGAAAGTCGGCCATGATCTCCGTGATGCGGATAGCGCGAGCGTCGTTAACTGTGAAGAGAACCGCATTAGCAAGAAGCATATCAACGACTGTGAAAGGCCGATGTCTAAGCAGAGATGGATTCTCTTCTTGAGGCGTGATAAAATGCTGAAAGAGTCTTTGCAGGAGGGGTAGCCTTACGACCGTCCATTGTGAGGATTAGATAGAATGTGATCGGGAAGTTGGCGGTGGAAGAAGATGGCGAATTGATAGATCAGAATTATTAGTCCTGTGCGTTGTCTGGTAGTGAGGCTTGACGGCTGCTGTAGTGGTGATGGTGGTGGTGATGGCAGCGTGGCGACCGTTATATAATGGCAACGGGCGTTCTCATGAACGATGTTCGGGAAGCATAGAGATTCGTTCGACAGGGCTGTTCCCGCCGCCAGTGCTTGCCGAGTCCCACATTTGGGCCGTGAGCTGCTCGTCCAGCTGGCGACTTACACCATTCAGCATCGCAAGGGCAGAAAATAGAAAGGGGGGATTGCAGTTAGGGTGTAAGTAAGATGTTGGACTGTGTCAAGACATGTCGTGAGGTTAGTTAGAGTAGAGACTACACAGGATGCAGCGATGCAGCAGACATTAGGACACCGACACAATCAACGCACAAGCACAAAAGCAGGTTGACCTATTTTCCAACCTGCTTCTCCCATGGATACCATTACAGCTGACTTGAGTGTGCGATGGTGATTTTTGCTGGACCTGCCAGATGCCCTCAGCTAAAGGTTAGGACGCCACATGCCAAGTCCATGTCCAGATCGGGTAAGGGCATGGCAGGGAGGGCATGCAGCAGGCGCAATTGGCGCTCTGATTGGTCCGTCTGTTATAATTAGCGGTGCGGCTTTCGCGTGTTCTCTGCTGAAGGTGACCGTCGTTTCTTGCGCCTCAGATGGAACCTGAGTACTAGATATCTCTCCAATCGTCCAAATAGTCTTAACACTCCGATCCAGCAACGTTTATTCTCCTCCCGTAGTCAGCCACAGTACGGCTGTGCTGTCCTCCTCAGCCAGTCAGATGACGTCGAGCGCCTGTTTGTGTCAACGGTCAAGTGTGATCGCAGCTGGTATCTAAGGCACTGGCTGTCATTCATGAGCGGATATTGTAGTACCTACAGACCATGTGGAGCCTGGCTGAACACCCTAAAGACACAAATGCCATTCCCATCAACCGCTTCAATGTGCGCTTATGCAGGAGTAAACACTTCAATTCCCAGGCACATCGTGATGTGGAAGCATGTCTGACGTATGAGAGGTCTATTGCTGTCCTCGCCCACGAGGCTCTCACCATGCACTACTCCGATCATGCTTTAGCGTTTGGCCCACCGGCCGTTCCCCTGGAGCTCTTCTTTTCATGCTCAGTCCTTGTCTGCGATCGATTGTAGTCGTTCGTCGATTTCCTCCTCCGTCAACGCGCGGAACTGCGGGTCCGTGCCCTCTGAGCCGTCCGTCCTGGGTCCTCCTACGATGCCAACCTCCAACTCTCCCTTCTTGAAATCGACAGAGAGAACCGTGCTTAAAGTCGTGATCCCCAGCTCGACAACGTCCTCCCAGCTGCCTTCAGCATGATCCTTGTTCTTCAGCTTCTTCTCCAAGAAGTTAAGAGCTTCCTGTGTCTTCGGACCAGAGGCGGTTGCTTTGTAGCCGGTGTAGTATCCTGCAGGGTCGCACTTATACAGCTGGGGGCCGAACTCAGAATCAAGCGAGATGATGGTCGTTGCCACGCCCAGTGGACGCATATAAGCCTGAAGGATTGGTTAGCAACAGTCCTCGCCGCTTGCAACAGAGCGCCCAGTGGTGGTATCGCTTACTCGCTGAGTGTAGACTTGGCTGATGTTGGCTATCCTCTTCGCCAGGACATCGCAGGGCATTTCGTATCCAAACTTATAACGGAACTCAGCAGCCTCGCCACGGGCTCGGTTCACGGACGCTCGTGCATCTGCAATAGATCCTGTCATGACGCAACCAACGGACGGAGAGAGCTTGAAGATGTACGAGACAGAGGAGGGCTCGATGAGTTTATCCTATACACAGCTTGTTAGAGAAAGATATAGCCACGTAGGCCTTTAAATCGTACCGGGACCTTCTTTTGCGAAATGACTACAGCGCAGTCCTTTCCTCGGACGCCCACTGATGTGATGTTTGCCGCGGTGATGGCCTTGAATGCATATTCTGTGCCCGCATGTCAGTCTACCCCACCCGCAGATCGTTCGATGGGGAGCAAGCACGACGTACCGACTTGGTATAATCGACCCTGATCGGAGAAGATGGTAATGTGTCTATCATAACCCGCGCTTCCTGTGTTGTAACGTTCCCATTAGCCTATTGCCCCTCTCAATGGGAAGCTCTGGATAGCATCATGGACGCACCAGACATGACGGCGGCGGATGTATATGTGTTTTTCGGCTCTTCAGCTTTGCTTGTAGCTTTGGGAAATTAGTCGTAAGCTCCGTCTTGGTGTTTTGATGATGGCGAGGGTGGTATTTCGTTGTCGTTGGTTGTTTGTACGCGTTGCTTCGGCGGCCTAGAGCTTGACGTTCGTTCGGGATCGACGGACGCACGGACCGTCATCAGCCACAGCTGTCCAAAATCTCTGCTGCTGCCTCCCATTCGACCTTTGCATACTGACAAACGCTGCACTGCGAGCTGATTCGGCTTGAGCGATGAGAGAAAAGACCGAGGCATAGAGTAAAAAGGATTGCCATTGCCTACTTTGAACATGGCCCAAGACAGCAATTTCGTTCCAGCATGGAAGAGACTGGGACTAAAGCTCAGGAGTGACGGCCAATCCGGAGACACCGCGCCTGACGTGAATGAACCACAGAACACCGCTCGACGATCCATAGAACAACGCAATGGACCAAAAAGCGGAAATGAGGATTCCGTCCCGCATGTTGTGCCCACTGAGATTGGAACACCGTCCAAGCTTGGCAAGAGAAAACATGTAGACAACTCGGCTGAAGAGCAGCACCAAACGCCCAAGAAAAGTAAAACGAAGCAATCCTCACCAGAGAGCGCTCCTATCGCACCCGCCGTAGATCCAGTCGCGGCCGCAAAGTCAACGCCCCAGGCAGGCAATTCCAAAGGAGATCCAAATTACCGAAAGAAGAAGACCAAACGCCCTACTGGTGGTTCGTCAGGTGAGAGTCGCCGACTTGATGATGGTTCTACTCTACTTCCCTCTACGGAAAATGGATACTCAGCTTCACTTCGACTCGCCACACCCGAGCAAGCGAGATTCAACCCATCCTCGAGCCATGAGGCATCCAATGCCACACTTCACTCTTCACCCTCTCGTGCGGATCGTCGCAAATCCGTAACATTCACTCCAGACACGAAAACCAGTGACGGCAACAGCGCCCAGAATCTCTTCAAGAAGTGGGTTTCAGAGCAAAAAAGCGAAGAAGGGGGCTTCTCATCAGCTGAGGTGAACCAATTTGCACCCCCTCCCAAATCTCACCCTGCAAACGATATGCCAACGAGTCAGCCTGTCCGTACTGAGGAAGCTTCCAAAAAGAAGAAGCAGAAGAAGAACAACGGCAAAGCCGACAACAAGACGCCCACAGACAGCCAGACAGCCAAATCTGGAACTGATTCTCAACCCAGGGACACGAATGTATCAAAAGGAAAGAAGGATTTCTCGCTATATACCTCCTACCTGACACAGTATCACGAGGACCGTGATAATTGGAAGTTCAACAAGGCCAAGCAAAACTCGCTATTGGATAACGCTCTCAATATATTCCGCATTCCGAACGAACATATGGATGCACTCGTAGCCTACGTGCAAGGCCTTAAGGGGGCCTCGCTCGTTGATCGCCTAATAGAGAGGTGCGAGACTAAGATTAAGGAGCTTGATGGAATGAGTCCCAAAACGGCTCTTACGGACGAGGAAGCACGCGATTTCGCACGGCTCGAAGCGCTTGACGACCAATTATCGCGGGAAAAGCGAAGGCGACAGACGAATGCCGATCTGGAACAAATCGCCGGCCATCCATTCCCCGAAGCTTTTGTCGGGCGATTAGAACGTCGACGCGCCGCAGCACTCCTCGAAGCTCTGAATATGTCTTCTCCATTTGCGCCCAAGGAGCCGTTGAAGCAGCCAGTTGCCCACCTCAAGTTCGGGGATGACACCCCGATGCCTCTTGTACGAAACTCACAAAAGCGCAAATCAAGGACCGACATCTCCAGCGACGAGTCCAGTAGTGATAGCAGCAGTGAGGATTCAAGTTCTGACGAGTCCAGCTCTGAGGATCCCAGCTCCGACGAATCAAGCTCGGAAGAAGATTCTGACGAGTCAGATTCAGAAGCGTCAAGTGATGCAGACGGTCCGGCCAGCGCTTCTTCGGACGGCGATTCTAGCTCGGATAAGAACGCTAGCGACAAGGAAGACGCAGAGTCCACTGATTCAGAGAGTGAGGATGATAGCGACTGAAAGGCGCCGGCGCATCTTCGACTTCCTGTTTACCAGCTCTGTATATAACTCTAGATTGCCAGTAAGCCCTGGGCTCCTCAATGTACAATAGCAGCATCAATACCTAAATACTGAGATCTTTCTAGTCCTCTCATTCGTGTTATATTGACCTCTTTGCAACTTTGAACTGGCTGTGCTGGTGGCATTGCCATCCATTAGCTTCATACAATTACCCTGTGCGATGTCCTGATGTCAGCCATAATAGTTGATTATGAGTGAATTGATATGGAGTCAATGTTGGAATAAATTACTACAAACCTCAAAGGCAATGTGAACTCAGTCATCAATATCGGTATCGAAGTTGATGCTAACTTCGAAGAAGACGCGATCCTGAGGTCGATATCAACTGCAGACCAACCTGCGATCTCTATCAACTTCAATTCCAATGCTCAGGAAATTCTTCGCTCAGACATCCATCAGATATTGTCCTGCATGGCCACTGATTGGCTGAGGGGCTGACAGAGTGGCTCGTGCGCGGCTCAACTCAAGAGCCGAATTCTTTCGATGAGTCTGACAACCTACTCGTAAGGTAAGCAAAGGGTACCTCCTTTGAACAGGCAAAAGGCTACGCAAGATCGAATGCGACCGAAATTCATCTCGTGATAAAATGTTGACTTCTCTTCCAACGGAGCTCGTGGAGGCGATAGCAAGCTATTTACCATTAACAGATTTCCGCCGTCTCCGCCTCCTCTGTTCTTCCTTAACTCAGCAGGTTCATCACCAGTTCAAGCATCGATTCTTCCAACAGCACACCCTCGATTGGACCGTTGCTGGCTTTCAAACTCTCTCTAATATTGTCAACGACGACCAGTTCAGGTCTTCTTTGCAATCCATCGTCATCGTTTCCACGCCACTGCAACAGATGCGGTTATGGATGGCGTCAAGACGAGCGGTTGCAAGTTTATATCCTGGGCCTCAGACGGAGCCCAGTGAAGAAGAGATACGGCTCACAGACGAAACTAATAAGGCTGCAAAGTTCTGGAATGAATCGCGGCACGACTATACTAGCCTTACTGCTACCTTTGAGAGACTCAGATCCATTGACTCCATTGTTTTTGCATATGACGGCATGGATAAAACGTGGAGCAAATTTGGGCGATTCTATTGCGAGCGGAGCACAAACGAGATGAGCCGACCCTTTATCGTTACCATGGCCGCAATCGCAGAATCTCACTTTCATGTGCGAACGATGACTATGCATGAGGAAAAGAAATATGGGGCAGTTGGTATAGGACGACTCGAATCTCTCGCACCAAGGTTGTCAACACTCCAGGATGCTCTCGGCCACATTCAAACTCTGCGACTTAATTTGCGGGACTGGCGTTCTCCCGAGGAGGGCTTCGATCCTCCAGTAAGAAGAACGCCTTTCGTTGTCAGATTTCTTTCCTGCTTTAAGAATCTTCGATCTTTCGAGTTCTCATGCTATAGTAGTCTCGAGGACAATATCTTCTCGGAAATGGCGACGCACTGTAAATTCCCGTACCTAGAACGTTGTGACCTTGGACTCATTCGCCTGGTCTCCATGGACGATCTTTTCAACTTTCTCAACCCAGCGAAGGGTCATCTACGTAGTCTTACGCTGAGCAACATGGTTCTCCGAGATGAAACGGTATCCTGGTCGGACCTCTTGCGTTGCATTGCCACATCTCTTGACCTTGAAGAATTCGTTCTACGAGATGCTTTCTGTCGCAATGGGGCCAGGATCGGAATAGCAGGCATGCTTCTAGAAAAGCTCTCGTTACACGGCCATGATATCAAAAAGGAGCTCGAATACCACGCTGATCGTCTTCTGGTGGGGAATTGGGGACCTGCTTGGCATCTGGCTGCAGTAGCCTATCCGTTCTTCGGGCACCGTACGTAGTGGAGATTGGAACTCCCTGCACATGTATATGCGCCCTCGCGCTTTAGCCTAGTTCTCCCGTCAAGGCATTGGATCTGAGACTTGGAGGTATGCGCAGAGCAAGGGGCCAACGCTTTCCTCAGACTTGGACAAGACAAAGTAATTCCAGGGTCGATCTAGCAAAGGCGTAAAATTACCTCTAGCTAACATCTCGATTGGTGCTTATGTGTAAACCACTCGGCGACATGGGGATTGTAGGTCCGGCATCTGCTGCAGTGCAGATGTGCATCCAGCTACTTTCCATTAGGTACGCGGGACGGGAAAGGAACGGCACGTCAACGGCACGTCTTTCCCGTGCCCACGAACAATTGTGTGTGTTTTCGATTGATGAGCACTGTAACTTGTAGAGGTTGATCGCTAGTGTTGGTTCTGCTTTGCCCCTTTCGTCTTCCTACACAAGGTGTACCGGTAATTGATCGGTGGCCCGTCCAGTCTACTATGTCTTGCTTTGCTGGCTGGACAGGGTAGGATGTATCAAAGTTATGTTGAAAAGGACTTTCACGGAACTGTTTTTAACAAGGTTCGTTTTTGTTGTCGACTACTACTGAGCAGAGACTGGTGGCTCCCGACCGAAAAGTGGTGGCCACCGATCAACTATTACCAGGACTATCGCGGCACATCCAACGTTCATCGTACTCGGATGCAAATTGACATTGGACAGCCTTGCGCATTCTACCAGCAGTTCCCAACATAGGTGCGATCGACATTTCGCTAAATAGGTAACCTAGTCATAGCCCACACCATATGCCTACTTCAACGTAGAATGGGAAACCTACGATTGGCCATTTCACATATGGCACTCTTTCGAACTCACTTTGCCATGCAGACATGCTCTTTCACTTAGAGGACCCATACCGTGGTAATACAGCGCAGTTTGATTCGTCTTCCATCAAGGGCTGGTTTTAGCGCCAACACTCGGACACCGTACGTGCAGTGCCGCATCCCACACTCATGATTTAGGTTACACTTTGAGCATGTCTGGGATACTTCGCAGCATTGACTTAAGCTTACCAAGATGCTCCATTCATTTGGGTCCAGCGCCTCAACCCAGTGTTTTCAGATATTAAAGATCTGAAAAGTGCCACAAAAGGACCAGCGTTAATCAATACTCGGTCGATAATTACTGCCCATCTAGACACATGGAGCTCCTCATCTCTTACACAGCTGCAGATCAACAATCCACATAGCCTGGCGTGCTATGTTAGGTAAAGTCTGCAAGATGGTATCTATCGATCTTTCACAGCCAGTACTGCCTCCTGCGGCTGGAATACAATCCAACTTCATCAATCCAGAAAACGAAGCGGCGTTGGCATATGGCGCAGTCATTTCATCCATCGTTCTCGTCACTCTGTTCACCTGGTTCCGATTAAGCGTGAAGCTTTGGCTGGTGGGTTCATTACATTGTGAAGATTGTAGGTTTACCTCTGCACAACTCGTCCAGAGAATAGCAGAAGCTAAACAGTTTAGACATACTTCCTTTCGCTTGGGTATGCTTCGAGAGCCCTGAGTATGGCGATGATGGCTCACCTGTGTGTAGATTTTTGGAATAGCCAACTTCACAACTAGCTTGTTGATTTACGACTTTGCACCTATAATACACAGCTGGGATATGCAAATGCATGCATTCTCCAAATTCCTTCTGGTAAATTATATCCAGGCTCAATGCCATCCACGCAATTCACGACAGCTAACTTCGGAGTATTAGCTATCTCGCTTGAGCTGGACTTTCTACAATATTAGTATTCTTCTAATCAAGAACGCCATGCTAATTCAGGTGTTACGAATCTTTGTCCCGCGTGGTACCTCGTCTTTCACCTACTACGCTATACATGCAGTACTGTGGACATCGACACTGTACTACACCATCACGGCATTTCTTCATATCTTTACCTGCAACCCGATCCATAAGATATGGCACCCGTGGGTGGAGGGTACATGTGTGAACAAGGAAGTCATGCTGTTAACAACTACGGTGGTTAACGTAGTCACTGACCTCTTTATTCTATACATCTCCCAAAGAGTGATCTGGAAGACAATGGGTAACCGAGGGCCAGACCGCATAAAAATCAGCTTACTCTTCGGCGCCGGACTTATGTATGTATCTATGCTTCCTGTGAAATTATACAACGGCTCACATACGAGGATAGCCCAGCCGTCTTCTCCGGCATATGCTTCTACTACATGTACCTCGCGACCACAAAAGTCGACTTTATTTACCACGCATCGTACATGGAGCTTGCTTGCTTTGGCGAGATCGTCGGAGGAATGTTCGTACTGTTTCTGGCCGTTTTGCCAAGCTTCTTTACGCACGTTAGAGATACAATCACGCAAAGGTCCAGCTCCGGCGCGAATGAGGACCTTGAGGTTGCCGATGTCACTAAAACTACTAATGATAGATTCCAGTCATGGAATGAGAGCGAGGATAGCGTCCGACGGCTCACTTTTCCATCCTCGGTCTTTCATGTTGATTTCCATCCTGGGTCGGATGAGAAAGGGTTTTGGGGAAAATACTACATTTCTACCAAACGCAGCAGCGAGGAAAATACCCCGACGACGCCCACATTCTTTATGTCATCATGCGGCTGTTGAACTATCCGCGGATCGTATTTCTATTTACATTTCCTATAATTTCCCGATACCCGAAAGCTTGTGTAACAAATGCTGTTGTTTGTTTAGTTCTAATTAATCCTGTTGATAAATATACATGGTTGTATTTCGCTCTCATTAGTGGCGTCTGTGTGTGTAACCTACATTAGATCGCACGCGTTCCTGATTAGGCAGGATCTATCCTTCACTTCACAATCACCATCGCTTTCACTTCCCACTCTGCCACGTCCCAAGATCACGTCTAATATTTGATGGAAAACAAGCAAAGGCCCATCTTATTGGAATCACAACAAACACGATAAGTCTCTATCGCTCTCTGGGTGAGATATCGCGAACCATCACATTCTTTGCCGACCTAGATGCTTCACTCGTCGGAATGCAGTCGCCCAAGCCAGCACAGTATGATCTCATTTTCGCCCTCCTCTCGATTTTTATTGACATAATAGTGGCTTAATCTCTCGAGCGCCGTCCGCTGACAGGACTGAGCGCGCTGCCTCCGATATCGACGACGAAGATTCTGTGCTAGGCTATCCGGACCTTGATTACGGCTCGCCTTTCAGAAATGCGGAACGGATTGGTGCGCCACCTTGTCCCAAGGGTATCAAGGAAGTCATATTTGTTCTTGACGAAGAAGAAATTCGCAAAGACCCATCCTTGCGCATGAAAATATGCGACGATTACCCAGAATTTTTCAATCACGGAAAAGCAACGCTTCAGGACACAGCTTATCGGGACGACTACGATCACAGAAGCGTCCAGACGGAGCTGCATCCATACAACGATTCTGTCACCCAAACTTCACTCGAGCGTCCTAATGAAACCTCTCCAGGGGACACATCGGAGTCGGTAACAACCGTGGAGTTTGCCTGTCAAACAGAAACTTCCATGGCAGTCGGATCTCTTCGAGATCCCGGCGATATTGAAAGTCTATCTTTACGAAGCCCTAATTTACATGATCCATTGACAACTAGCCCAACTAGCCCTGCGTTGTCCGAGGAAGTGGAGTCGAATGCTTTATTAGATCCACTCCAAATTACAACAGCGGAGCAAAGCTGCTGTACGAAGATAGTGCGCCTTCCCATGAAGTTTCCACTCACTGTCCACCAAATGGCACAATGCCTGGTCGTTTCTTCGTCAGATAGTAGTAGCCATGGCGGCAACAACGATGCAGATTCAGCCCTGCATCAGCACTTTTCCAATGCCTTCCAGCAAGTTTCTTTCGATGAAATTGTAGAGAAGTCAGGTCTAAAGATGGCCGATAAGGACACTGTTGCATCAATGTTCAATCAGTGGCGATCGAGTGCCACTATCCGACAGTTTGGACCAAAATTTTCAACGCTGCAACAATACTACGAGAATCTGGTTGACATCTGTATCGTCGGTCACAGCATCAATGACATAAATATACAGGACGCAATTCTTCGCAGATGGCAGAACACGATGTACCGAAAGATGGGTAAATTTCCAAGTGTTCATTCTGCAGTTAAGGCGATTCAATATCTGCCTAAAGACTCGAGGCTGTGTCGATGGATCATAATGACCTTTGCATATCTTTGGGAGACGGGAGTACACGATTTCAGAGAATTCACATCGGAGTTGGCTCTTTTAGATCCTGATGCGGTGATCAACTTCCTGTGGCACATCTGTCGGGTAAGATGTAGCTACACTGACGGCTCTGACGCAAAGGTCCTAAGCTCCTGGTGCGAATTCGAACATGATGAATTGCATTGGGACTTCCATTCCCATGGCACTAAAGAGGAGGGCAAGAATTGCAGAACCGAGAGGGACAAGCTCAGTAAACTATCTCTGAAAGAGGCTCTCAGAAACAAGAAGTCGGAAGACAAAAAGAAAGCAGCCGAGATTATAGACGCAAACGGGGGTACCGTAGTATGGAGAAGGCAATCTTCCGACTCGCTAATGGTGAAAAAGAGGACGAACGAGTTGTCTGATTCCTCATCGGACTCAGTTACCCCTTCCAAGAGAGCAAGGCATGGAGCTAGAGGCAGGCCCGGCTCCCGTTCTAGCGCTAGAAACACGCTTTAGACTCAGGAAGCATTTCCCGACTCATCAACAGGGAAAGGGCGTGGCTTTTATGCTGATAATTTCGTGGCGGGCATTGCGGTGCGTCAAGTAGTATGGAATGACCAAGTAAGATTGCGGCATGTATCGTGATCATCAAGCAAATCAATGTCTTCAAAATCAATTGAAATCAATATCTTTATGAACACTACCTTCTGATATCTGTCTAAAATAGGATTTATTCTGAGCTCGTCTATCAAGTATTGAGCTTTTCCTACGAGCTCTATTGCTATGTTTCGGAATACCTTTTCCATCACCAAGACGTCTTTGAGGCCGCCATTTCAGAATTCGCTGCTATCTAAGTGCTTTAAACGCCCGCCTATTGGCTACAACATAAGAATCTATCTAATAATTAGAAGTGGTGGTAGTAAGCTTAGGAGGGGGAGGGTATGTGTTGGGAAAGAACAGTGTAACTGCCGGCTGCCCAACGCACGACTTCCTTCTCATTTAAACCCATCTTGAAACCAGTCAACCGCCCAATATTTTTTCCTTTTCTTCATCTTCGTCTTTGTTTCTGACCAACAGTTCCTGATGCTAATTCCACTGCTCGGTGGCACACTTGTGCCCCGTATCACTTCTCACCCTCTCCACCGAGCTTTGTGCGCCTTGCCCTTCATGATATATACACAGTAAGTCAATCATCATTCCTCTCGTTCTCCCCCAAGATTTTCGAGCTACGTAGACACGATCTCTAGGCATCATTTGGTTCACTATCCTCGCATGACCTAAATTTACGATTGATATACGCGAGCCCGCGTACCCTAACGAAAGAAGAAGCTGCAGCTGCTAAAAAGGAGAAGAAGGGGAAGAAAAAGAAAATCAAGACGACGGCGATGATGATGACGACAAGGGTGACGACAAGAACAATGATCAGGGTGACGACGAGGATGCGGTCGACGAGATGAAGAAGCCGCAGGGATGAGGGACTTGATGGAGATTTGGATCTAGATGTGGCTGCCGACGTCTAAAAGCACGAGTGGCGACGAAATGAACGAACCTAAATAGCCCACCTTCACCACGATGAACTTGATTGTGTGACTGAGGTTGACAGGTGACATTCACGCAAGAGGACGGGCGACTTGTAGTAGGACTTATTCTAGATCTCATCAGTGCCTCTCTAGGAATGGAATCAGCTCGGGTGACATTGTAAGAAACTTTCAAAATCTATGCTCTGTTCATTAAGTACTTGGTCTGTAGTTTTCCAAAAAATATGGAACACCTTTGGTTGTAAAGTGAACTAGAGCGAGGAATTGTTACACGCGGCTGCAGCCCACAATCAACCAACGCGGACAGTTACATGAAACTGAAAGTTGTCTACCATTTTCAGGCTGTCTGACTAAAATTAATGTCAGGAGGACAAGTTTAATCTCGATGTTCAATAGTACCCGGCGTTTATAATAGTTTACCTACAATAGTGGTTCTTGGTTAGGGATTCTCGGACACTTTTCCGGCATTCCAACTTTTCCGTAGCGCCTCTCTAAGCTCATCATACGTCAGCAAATATAAATTCCAAGTTGTGAAGACCACGACATTGACTCGAATTCGAATAGAAGTTCGTGCTTTTTCTTTGTTGGCTCGTAATGGTTTTACAAATAGCTATTACCACTCATCATGAGCACAGCTCTCCGACTGTTTCCTTCCCGAATTTGCTGTTGGAGTGGGACCGCCATCCAGGAAATGCGCGCAATTGGAGTACCTTCCGGAAAGTTTACACTATTGCGATAGTTTCGGTCATCGGCTTCGTTTCTACCATTGCTACATCCATGTACTCTCCCGGGCACCAGGACGTCGCACGCGAGTTTGGTGTGTCTGAAACAATGGCGATGCTACCTTTGTCATTCTACGCCTTGGGCCTGGCCTTCGGGCCCATGCTGGGATCCCCCATGAGCGAAACATTTGGTCGCAAGATCGTTTACCTTTCTACGATACCTGCTTTTGCAATGTTCATCTTGGGGTCGGGATTGTCCAAAAGCATAGCAAGTCTCTGCGTGTGCAGATTCTTCGCAGGCTTCTTTGCAGCACCTGGGGTCAGCATCGCAACGGCGACCATCGCAGACACTGTAGCACCAGATGGCAGAGGGGTGCCTCTAGCAATATACTTCACCATGCCTTTCGTTGGATCACTCTTGGGACCCGTGATAGGGGGACTTGTGTCGGAGTGGAAAGGTTGGCGATGGACTCAATGGACGACACTCTTCTTCGCAGCCACAGCCTTCCCGCTGCTTGGATTCGTCCATGAATCGTATCGTGGGGTACTGCTCCAGCGCATTGCAAAGAGAGAGGGAATAGGGAGTTCCGAGCATTCAAAGAAATTATCTAATTCTTTGAGAGCCTTCTTTACCAAGACAGTCTCCCGGCCTGTACACATGCTTTTCACTGAGCCCATCGTGGGATTCGTATGTCTGTACTGCTCGTTCCAATTTGCGCTCCTATACACTTTTATTGTCGGCATGCCTTATGTATTCTCTCATACCTACGGCTTCTCTGCCATGCAGCAGAGTCTCTCGTTCCTCGGTCTCACGATCGGGGCTATCCTCGCCGGCATCACACTCGTCATCATGGATTACTACGTTTACCAATCCATTCACCGAAGGTTCCGCGTCGCCACTCCAAATGGATTCTTCCCGCCAGAACATCGACTCTACCCCGCTATGCTCGGGTCCTGCCTGCTTCCAATCGGACTATTCTTCTTCGCTTGGACTGCACGGTCCGATGTGACATGGGTAGTCTCGCTCCTCGCTCAGTGCGTCACTATGCTTGGTTCGATTCTTGCATACGTTAGCGTTAACATGTACATGCTTGACACTTATGGCCCACTTTACGGTGCTTCGGCGGCTGGTGCAAGCAGTCTCGCCAGATATGTTTTAACAGCTTGCTTTCCGTTGTTCACACTGCATATGTATAAGAGCCTCGGGACGAATTGGACGGCGAGCTTGTTAGGATTTTGTACTTTGGCTATGGCCCCAATACCTTTGGTGTTCTGGAAATGGGGAGCAAGGTTGAGGGCGAGAAGCTGCTATGAGATGGAACTGTGAATCGTCGGTGTTAGTTGATAAAGTGCTCTAGGTACATTGAAAAATCCTTTGCTTTTGATCACTTTGTCACTTTAACAGAATTCTCAAATAAAAGTATTCCTCGCTAGGAAACCTATTAATGGAAATAAATGAGGAGTTTTGATAAAATCTTGACCGATATTATGCAAGGCAATTAAACTTGTATAGGCACTGATTACTTCCTCTTTTCAGCTTTGATGGCGAATTGTTGTTATGTACGACGTTTGATCGGATCGCTGGGATTAGGACATCGTGCGAGGGGACTGTTGATGGCAGGCTGCGGCAATGGGAGAAGTTGAATAGACGCACCATTGGATAACTGAAAAATAAAAAGAAATCATTGAAGTAACTGGATTTACTGGAATTCCCAAGTGCAACGCCGAGGCTGCGAAACATTCCTCGTCATTATACCCAATGTTGTCTCCGTATTGCTGCATTGAGGAAACGTAGGTAACAAAGCACATAAAGTCAAATTCCAGCAAGTACCGAAGAATCCCACGGCATCCTTTCGTCTTGTACCTTTCAGTCCAGATGTATATTTAAGTAGTCATTACAAGAGATACGTCAAACTGAAAACCAGAATCGTACTCCGCGTTGGGGGACTGCAAAACATTAAGGAAGACAATATAGAACGATATAGCAGCAGATGGCATGATAATTGAAGTTGAACAAGCAAGAAATAAAACTACCTAATCACATCGTATCCGTCCATCTCAAGCGCAATGAGTCTACGTCTGATAATGGAGGAAAGTTCAGAGGCGATCATACAGTAATTTGTTTATTGAGTCGTGAAGCTATAGGCTCATTCTTAGGATTTCATATCATGTCCACGACTTTATCCATGGAACCAGAACCTCGCTGTTATCTTTAAGAGAGAGAAGAGGGATGTAGATTGGCGGGATTCTCCCCAGGCTCGGCTTTCCCTAATCCATCAAGTGCGCAGGCAGTCCGTTGTCGAACAGGATATGTATTTGTCTTGTAGGTCCACATGCCTTAACTATAGGAGTTTCAGTCATCTCTTTTGTTCTTTGTATCATGATCGCGTCTTAAGAATTGATCTTTCATGATAAAGGTGCAGGTGTATAGGCCCTAGGGGAAACTCCTCGCGTTCCATTTTCGATCTCCAGTTTATTGGACGCACGCGACAAGTGTCTAGGTGTTTGTGAAATTCAGACGGTAGGTATAGACAGTCTTGGTCCTCTGTGTAGAGACACATTGTACAGAACACGCCCATCTCCGAGCCGTTGTAAGATATCCAGGGCGCTACCACCATTGCCATATTCTTTCGTTGCTCTCGCGGAAAGGTGGAGAACCTAAGGGTGGTTCCCCACTGCGGCTTCTGGAAAAGTAAGTCCATCACTGCACATTCTTCTAGTGGATTCGGTCGTACCGTCTTGCCAGTTCGATCGAATAGCAGCTGTGCAGCTGCACGGGTATCATACACGATGTGCCGCTCTTCGATTCTGAAAACATTTTCGTTGTTGTGGAATGTAGCTGGTGGAGAATAAAAAGACATAATTGCCTCTAAATCTTTAGGTTCAAGTTCATAGCGGCGGAGAAGCTCTTCGGCCAATAGAGGGACTGGGACTAGCGAGAGATTCCGTGAGCATTTGCGGCATAGGCGCGACACTGTTGGCAGCCATAAGTACTGCCCGGGTTCTCCACAGAGATCGCATAAGCGTTGACGAAGCCTCTGGAATAGCTCCGGTAGTGTGATGTTGATACGGATTTGCACCGATAAGATGCCCAGGAGTGCCTGTGGAGCTTGATCAACAATGGCTCGAAACATAGGTAACCAATCGATAATATGGCGAGCATGACGATTCACATCTCGGAAGTGAAGCAAAGAAGGCAATGGAAGTTGTTCTAGAATCTCGAGTAATATCTCGGTCGGGAGTTCTTCAAACTTGCCTATGCTGGACAGTATCAGTGGTGAATTTGTGCGCCTGAGATCCAAGGGACAGTGAGCTCTTAGGAATTCCTCCCTCATTACACCATGTATATCTTCGGATTGAGGGTAGGTTAAGGCTGCTGGGAAGATCTTTGGTGAATCAGCCATGGGTTCCATGTCGGCCAGTCGAGATAGAAGGACTTCTAGTAGCGGTTGTTGCAGGATTCTTTGGAAGGTTGCGGTCGAGAAGGTTCGAGGTAACTCTGAGTGCTGCTGTAGGGGTTGTTTGGTTGTGAGCGAGAGTGGCTACGTTTAAGTGTTTCGCAAACTAACGATTGAGACTGCGCCTAGGGGAAAAGGTCAATGTAGCCAATTTATACCACGCTGGACGTGAAAGTGGGTGAATGGTTGCGTTCCAGGCAGCCACTCAACCTAACCTACCTACCTACCTCTCCCATGGTTGACTTGAAAATGTAGCCGAGGAGGTGGGCTATTCTCTGTTGGATAGAACTTTGCTTAGCTTCAGTGGGAATTTCTGGTTTCAACATTTTTCTTTCACTAGCAGAAGTGCCAGCGAACGTAGATTCTGTTGAAGCACATATCAGCGTGAGACACAGTTGCCCACTGTTAGCATCAAGGTAAGGTTCAAAGTAAGAAGCGAGGACAATCATACCAATCAGATCAGCAGGGCTCCCAATGCGTCTCATGCTCAGCTACAACAAAATTGCATTGCCCGGACGGCCCCACGTGGAGGTGCAAGAGTCTGACTTCACCAGCCCTCCCCTTCGTCGCCGAAGCGCATCTGGGGACGAGCACTAGAGCCGTGAGCAACAGGCTACGCCAAAAATGGGCTGTTCAGATGAGTGTGAAGACTGTTATTGATCATTACCACAGACACTGGAGCGCTCGATCAGTCGTCAAGCACGCCTTCAAGCTATTGAGCGGGTATAGCAGGCGTTTTTGCCAACGTGCCCGGTCGTCCTCCAGAATGCTCTATGTTGCGAACGTTGTATCATTTTTCCGGTTATTCCTATGCTACGGTACAACATACACTTGACCCTCTGCTTAGACTCAAGCTCTGGTAAAAATAACTGCCAATTCCATCACACGATCCCCTGAAATCTGCTATCTTAAGTATTATGGCAGGCGGTTCAGAGCAGTCTTAAAAAGAATCATGACAATCGATGCTAGTCACGGCACCCGATATTCAAACCCAAGATACTGGCAGGAGAGGGATTAACATTACTTCAGGTCCACCATACGTGGCGAATGACTATTCCAAGTTCAAAATTATGTCGATAAGCCGTCATTGCAAAGTCATTTCCATGGGGTCGGTATATCAACCACGGGAGTCTGTGGCTACTTCGACGAAACGTACCAACGGCCACTATGCAACATTTTTATTGAATAGCGCCCACCACCTTACTCTAGATATAAAAAGACGATCGCTCATCTCTTCCTCTTAACATATCCACGTAACACCCCACTGTCACGACTCCAACACAACGAAGCAACCTCTCAAACAAACACACTCCAACTCCTAAAACAAGCCAAAAACACTCCTCAACCTACCAACAAGATGAAGTTCAACAACATCATCATCCCCACTCTTCTCAGCATGGCTGCTCTGGCTACTTCATCCCGAAACATGGCTGAGGAGCGTCACCAATTCATTACGTCTCGCTCGGTCATTGACGGCTCTCCGTGCATCATACCTATGGAATCTGCCGTCGCCACCCCCAAGGTGACCGCCCGCCTCTTCGGCCTCTCCCAGTTCAAACACGAGTTCACTTCCGACTCAACGACCAGCCCGGTCAGCGACAATCAGCAAAGGCTAGCCAACAAGGCGCTCGAGCCTCGCTCCGATGCCTCAACAACAACGGCAACAAAAGCGGGACGAACAACAATCTCAACGACTGAGGATAGGACCCTCGAGGTCCTGGCAGCGGGAGTGATCCCACCCGTCGTCGATGCCATGAGTCTTCTACTAGGTCCAACCTTGGAGATGACCGGCAAGATCTTCGAGGATGCTCAAATCCAGGCTGAAATCCCGGAGGTCCAAGGAAAGGCAAACCAAGGAAATGGTGTCCCAGATCCATCTGAGCCTCAGGCACTCTCGCAAATTGTTGAGCGGGAGGATAAGGGTGAGGATGAGAATGGGGGTGATGTCCTCTGCCCTCGGGTGGGTGCGAACGATGAGGAAGGCAAATGTGAGACTTTGGATCTAAATGAGACTAGCTAACTTTGTCATTTATCTGTTGAGGTCCGATATATTGCTTCTTCCGAGTCACGATGGGTCATGATCCAGTGGTATGGTTGTATACGGTACTAGGCTCCTTTTCCGGGTTTCCGGGTTTGGCTCCGCAGGTTGGAACCCACATCTTCGTAAAGCGTCAGACGACCTGATATAGATTTCCATTAATACACTTCAAATACCTGCTAATTCTTGTTTCATTGCTGACTTCACATTGCGATAATGTCACAGAAAGGAAACGTCACTGTCAAGTCCTTGTGATGTGTAGAATGTTGCAAAGCATTGAAAGTAGATCCAAAAATTGGTTTTAATTATTCTCAAGGAGTGTATGTAGAAGTAAAGTTTATGTCGTAAATGCAAAACCCAAGTATTAGAATTTAAAAACCCAAGCCCCAAAGCGCTATGCAAATATCTGTGATTGTCCTGAAATGATCGTATTAATGTAAGGACTGTCCAATCTCCCACCCATACTAGCACCCATCACCCCTTCAGCAATCGATCGTGAAGAATCGTTTAAGCAGTCTTGCAGGTGAAGGTGAAGCCATTGAGGTTGACTGGGACAGCACCAGGAGTGAGGTCGAGATCGACCCAGGTCTGGCGGCTGTTGATGTTGACGGTCTTGCCGGGAGCGTTGAAGCTGCAGTAGACATCGGTGGGGAACTTGACGAGCTGGGCGCTGCTGGCGAGGATGTTACCGGCGTTGTCGACGCGGGATCCCGAGAAGAGAGAAGGAATAGTGTAGACTGTGCCGTCGGCGTTGACGGTCGCTGGTGCGTTGGCACCGCTCTGGTCGTTGATGAGAGAGAGGGTGACGGTGGGGACCTGGCGCTCCCTGAGAGATGGGGCGGAGAGGGCAGCGCCGAAGAGAGCGAAAGCGACAGCGGAGGTGGTCTTCATTTTGAAAGTTGAGGTTTGGGGTTGGTTGGTTGGTTGAGTAGAAGATTAGATTTTGAAGTTGGAAGAGCGAGTGTTCCAAGGAAATGGAATTAGAGAAGAGATAAGAGAAGATTGTACTGTTGTTTGAAGCTGTGTTGATGAGATGATAATGATAACTTTGGTGGGAAAAGCAGATATCTTTATACTTGAACAGTACTCACACCTTGAGGCTCAAAGTCTATGATTTTGGTGCTACCAGGCCTTGCTTATTTTCAGCTTCATGGTAGCCTTGAAGCCATGTCTCGATAATAGACATTGGAATCGTATCCGAAATGCTACCTACGTAACTCCGCCACTGCCATCGTGAAAAGTCTGGTAGGATAGGCCTGAGCGAAAATTAGCGGAGCTGTAATTGGAAGCTGGAGGCTTTTCCAGCTGCTGCTCCCCACGCTTCAACTGCATTCGGCTAATAGCAGGAGACTCGGTACCGAGCAGGGATAAGCTTATGATGATGATGAGGATGAGATGCAAATGGGAAATCTGCGCCTGCGCCACTGGAGGAACCCATCCACATGGAATCCAGCCGAATTAGCGGGATGAGTTTAACTTACGCGACATTCACTGGGCTGAACCATATCTAACGGCTTACGGTGTGGTCCAGCTTGGCATTGTCAGCACCTTAAAACGTTTGTAAGTATCTGTCGATCTATTTTTGAAAACAGGAGGCCTTCTACGAGCTTGGCCGAAGTAAGACATCGAGTCCTGTGATCATTGGGTTGCACTCGTCTTTCGTATGAGGTAGCTCTGTGCGGGGTGCATGCCGGTCAGTAATGGTGGAGGCTGAAGGCTGAACTTAGTTCATTCACTAATTAGGTGGTTCCTCACAGAATTTTGAGGGATCTGTTGATGAGCCACACCAAACCGTGGCTACAGCTGGATTCCAGACGAGACTACCCGTGACATCCGATCCTCTTTCTCTGGATGTCCTGTTAATGCTACCCATTCAGGTTTAGATACCTCGACTAATTAGCTGTTGATGGTTAATCAAGTAGCTGAGCATTGTGTCGGAAGGGCATGTCCCGATTGGGATTTTGCTCTTCGGGATCCTGCGACAGTTTTCAGTCTACAACTTTCCACCATTTGCTTCGCCCTCGATATAATTATTATTTCGTAACAGCGAGAAACATTGCAGAACCAACCGTATACTCGGCGCCAGGCCTCCAGCGAGGAGAGACTTAACGCGTGCTGATCGAGGGTAAGCGAACAGACAGCTCCTCGACATGTGGTGCCACGAAAGCCCAGAGGACAATGTGCTTTTCTCCGCCCCCTCAAAATGTATGTACTCGTATGTCTTAATTAGGTCACGCCGCATTCGGGCGCCGAGACATGCTTTCTCACATACATATCACGAGAGTCGTATTGAGAATTGTATTGAGCGGAATACGAGATATCAGGCCTTCATCCATCGCAAATAATATCATTTTCCAATGTGTGAGTGACTGGCGCCAATGACAACAGCGATATGCGCCAGGACGACATTGCAACTAATAATTCCGAGACCCAAACGTATTGGGGTCTTGAAATGGCTGTTATTTGCGCTATCTTTAGTAGTGTTGTTGGTAGCCTCGATCTGAGGTTCGGCTTTCAGCTGTGCTGTGCAGTGCCCTCATGCCCGGAAGGTTCCGGTGAACTATCATAGTGGGGTGAGGTCTGGGTACATACAGGTAGCCTCGAGTTGATGGGTTTGATGAGTTCAAAGACTATTGGCAGGTCATGATATTCGTGAGATATTACCAGAATAGCCAGCCTAATAATGCTGAGGAAAGACAGTTTGATGCTACTTAATAATGTTCCTGCTGACGTGCCTCGCAATCACATCCTCTGATAATGACCAGTATAGGACAAAGGCAATTTTGAATATATAATTTAATTTTCTTCATGTACAAGGCACAACCTAGCTAAGGCTGTGCACATCGGGTGCGCTTTCTTAGAAGATTTCCTGATCGTCGTATGCTCTCACGCTCTCCAGACGCTTCTTAACCAAAGACCAATCGCGGCACACTATCATCAGGTATTAGTACAGTTCTATGTGAGACCTTCATAGTCATCTAGGAGAGCCGACTTACCATGTAAGCTATCCCATCCGTCACTTCCGCCGTTATGATCGGGAAATGTAGTTTCTAGGCCCTCCAGCGCTATGTCTGCATTGCACATGATTGCTTGTCTCATGTAATCGAAGCAGTGGATCATATGCCAGTGATGATCTATTTCCCAGTTAGCCTTCACCGACATATTGAACATTCGTAATAGAGAAGCACTCACCTTCAGGTAGCGGTGTGTTCGAGGTCAGACCAGAGTACACCTCCACAACGGCGTACAAACAATGCAGCTGGTGCGTCACAGAAGTGGTGAACACAGTCGTACCTTCGTCCCATACGATGGGCGTTGGCAAGTCGTGGTATGACTCCGGGTCAGGTATCTGTTGAAATCCCATTCCATGAGGCAGAAGGTCGTTCCAAGCTTGTAGGACTTCTGGCCTGAAGAAGTCGGCGGTGTTGTTCGGTGCATAGGTCTGATTGATTTCAAACTTGGTGAGTTTCGTGGGTACTGCAGTCATAGGTCAGTGTTTGTTCAAATCAACTGAATGGGTAATAGGCCACGGACTGTGAGGTCCCCATCCTGTGATATCGCCGCCAACCTCGTTCGCACTCGACCGCTGCTTGGATCCCCATCCGGCTAATAGGCCTTGTTCTTTTGCGAGAAGGCCGACGATAACGAGCTGCAATACTATCACGACGAACCATCGTGACGCTTGAAATATCGCTATGCATGTATTCCTCTTCGAATGCCTTGTCCTGCCGGAAATATATCTCTCCGATGCCCATTGCTTCTCATCGGTTCCTACCAACGATTCCACTTCTGTCGATGAGTCGTCGTGGCGGTCGTCGGCGTAAACCTCTTGGTAGGTACGTGAAGGCTCCATCATTTTATAATAATCAAGATCGAAAGAATTAGATATGTTGAATAGATGACGCCAGGTCTAGGAGAATCGAAAAATTGGTAAGAGCAAAGAAGAGAGTGGTGAGCACAGCTACAGAACGAAAGAACCAAGGAGGAGGGCGATGCCTCAGATCTATAGTATTCGAACTGGACATCAAGGGCCAACCTGCTGCTCTGCTACCAGACACGTTTGAGCATTAATCGCGCCCGGACGACCATGGCACGGGAAACGGTATTGCGCATTGTTACAACAATAAGGCAGTTTGACAGCGAGAGCGCGAGCCAATAAGAGGGCCGATGGCTGTGGCGCTCGTGTCAAACTTCCCAAGAGCTATTCTGATGTTTGTTAGACCGCCAAGATGAAACAGTGGTGAATCGCAAAGACGGAGATGGCGACCCCGGTGGAGCGACCCAAGCGAGGAACATCTGAAACTCAAACAGGACTACAAAGGGATTCTGTTCGTATCGCTCAATAGTCATGCACTTTAATTGTAGACAGGCAAATCGATGATTCTCAACAGGAACAACATACAGGGTTCACAACAATTCTATACCAGGATGCATTCTTTCAGAGCAAATATCACTACCTGAGGCATGTTCACAATCCATTTCGGTCTGTTATAAAGATTCCTGTGAAGTCAACACTACTCCGTACCATTATGACAGATCGAAGATCATGTTGAACAGAGGTGAGACCTGATATAGTATCGGGAACTGGTATCTGTTCCAGCGTATATATCACACGATTCGACCAAGAAAAGTGTATCTATCAATAACGCACGACTAGCTACAGTCACGAACAAATCTTTTGGATAGTTGGGCTAGCCGCCCGCGTGATCCAGCTTTGCGATCTCATTGACCACCCGAAAGGTAGCGAACGGGAGCTCGAAGATGGCTAGTGCACTAACAGACCGCTAAGGACTCAAAGTTTTTCATAGACCATGTGCATCCCAGGTTGGTTGATCTTACATCGGATTGGTCGAAAATTTGAACATATCTGAAAAAAGTATTTAGGGTGATAGTCATGCTATCGTCGAGAGGAAATGGCGATTATCGTTGTACACATAGATCGCTCCGAATAACCCATTTCTCGCCCTTCAGAACCTCGCGGCCCTCGTGAAGCATGCACTCAGCACCGTGTCGATGCAACAATGCCATACCAACCTCCAAGTCTACGATGAAGGGTTCTGGTGGTGGCTCCTTGCGGTTCTTCTTACCCACGGGAGGATCTGGGTAGAATACTGTTTCGCCCCCAAGGCATCCAGTTGCGGGCGAAGTCAGATACAGTAACAACGTCCAAGTAGTTCGTGCTTGAACTGGAGATGATCCCGGTATTTCAACATTGTTGGAATCATCGTCTGCTATGTCTCAGTGACAGATTACACCCAATACTAGGTGAACGTACAGTGTTGGTCAAAGAATTGGCCTTTGGAGTATCTATAGATACGGATATTGGGATTCAGCCCAACCTAAAATAAGTTACTTGAGGTTGGTAAAGATTAGAAAAGACCGGAAGAGCTGATCATACCACTTCGCCGCCCCACAACTCTTTCCGTTGACTATCATCTAAGTCCAGTGTGCCCTCAGCTTTGCCTGTGATAAGGTCTTTCAACGAAGTTTCACGCCAAAGACGTTCTGCGAAGGCAGGGTCATCGATCTGAAAGCGATCATTGACACGAACGGCGTCGCCCTTCTTGGGCTTGCCGGGTGTGGTAGTTAATGGAAGCGATGTAAGGAAAGACACATAATTCTTGCACAAGGTCGCCGTCCAGAAGTTCGGAATGGTTACGATCTGCCCAGGTAGCGCATGCTGCAAGTAAAGATCAATGGTTGGTATAAGCGGTGTGAAGGGAGGCCAGTCAGGTGTCGGCTGAACCGCAGGCTTCGAGACTACCTCTTTCGGCTTTCTTTTGGGAGGCATATCAGTGACCAGACTGCGTAAATTGGTATTCCAGTGATAACAAGTGATTCCAAGTTCGAATTATGGCTTGAATGTGTGTCCGAGTGATCAGTGCGGCAGGGCAACTCTGAGAATTACTGGGTGAAGGACGCCTCAACAGACAGCAACTTCACTTATCCCACCCACTCTGTTTCCATGGGATTTGAACAGTCTAAACTCCCCCAGTTGCCTATCGGTCTGGTCCAAACACCGTTACCTGCTACTAATTCACTTCGTCTTCCTGATGGAATTCCCCCGCGAGAAGTGCTGACCGCCGAACGAAGCTCACCTGATTAGTCGGAGGCAGATACCGACAACAGGAGAAACAAGGCAGCCACAGGCAGTTGTACAAAAATAAGTTGCGCTAGTGAAGACAGATGGATGTCCTCACCGTCACAGCTGACGATGGCGTTGGTGATGGAGCATCGATGAGGCGCCAAGGCAAGGCACATGAGTTGGGACCACTTAAATTTGAGTCCAGCCGGGATTTGCCGCGACCGCAAAGCCAAACCCAACTGGATTTGCTGGACTCGTTGGACTTTGTCGCTGGAGACGCCGACAACTTTTCCTTCGAACTGTTTACCCTGAGCCTTGACGAAGACTCGAGCGCTGAACTTCAGAGCGAATACGTCGACGAATTACTCTCACCCGGTACGGCTCTACCACCTCAGCGTCGGTCTCTGGACTGCGCCGTGGCCAGCTCACCGACCTCCTACGAAGACTAGAGAGTTACTGATCGCCAGCGCAGACTTCGACCTCCACACCCTCAACACCGCAAACCTCGACGAACCCTCCGAATTGAACCAATATGGCATGCTCAGCGGCACCAATGTTTTAAGCCGTGCGCCATTGTCAACGACCGACAGCAATGGTTCAGCCCTCCAAAATGGTCTCCCCAGCGCTACTGCCACCAGACTCAACGAAAGATATCCCTCAGACTTATTCCCACGCGCCGGCATGGAAGTCGCTACCGCAGCCAATGCGCCTGCACCCGACGCGGTCATGTCCGCCGATACGCTCCCTCCGTTCGAAGGCGCGACCGAATTTCCAGACGCGATACCGCAAAGTCTCCCCATTTCCACGATTCCTGCCGATCTTCCACCCCTCGATGCCCCGATCGCGCTTGATCAGCCCATGAGCGATGCCTTTGCAGCGAGCTATGTCCCTGACATGACCGCAATGCAGATGTCTGACGTCCCCATGAATGATTACGCGGTCACTCCCGAGGACCGCCTCAGCGCGTTCGCGCGTTTGCGCTTCAGCGATGGGAACTATTATATGCACACTTACCAGATCATCCTGGGCCGGAATGTACAACTCGCACGCAAGGATATGCTTCGTCTCAAGCGAGCTAAAGAACGCGGTGACTCCGGAGGTGACACCAGCGGCAGGAAACGAAAACGAGGACATCACCGCCCACGTAGCGTCATAAGCAACACTGGAGGCATCGTGAATGCTGCCGTGGCTGCTCTACCTGTTGAATACCAACAGCGCCGCCAAAGCGTTACCGAAAATTCTCACGACTCAAATTCCAACCATGCAGCAGATCCAAATCAAGCCGATGCTGTGGAGCAGGCGCCTCAGGATGTCCTTATGGAGGCTTTTGCCCCCGTGCCACAACAACTAGAAGGTCATGTCCCAGAGAATCCGCACGACTGTCCTACTGTGCCCATTCATCCTGCAGATATCAATTCAATGTCCACCGTACAAGGGCCTAAGGGCATTTCTCGCCAACACGCAAAGATAGCCTACAATTTTGACAAGCGATATTTTGAGCTGGAAGTGCTCAGTAGGAACGGGCTGTATCATGAGGATCGCTTCTACCGAGCGGGCGACGCGGTCAGACTCAATCATGGTGACACGATCGTGATTGGAGCTGTTGATATGACTTTCACTCTTCCCGAGGTCGCGCTTACCGACGAAGACAGAGCACGACAAGGTCCAGACTCCCGTCCAATGAGTTTCTCCTTCGAGAATGGCCAGGGTGAGCTCGAGAGTGACGATATGTACGACGAGTCAGCTAGTGAGGGTACAAGCGTGAATCCAAGGCACATTTTCTACAGCCTGCATCCATCAGATTCTGATATGGATGATATGGCCGAAGATGAGGTGGATGACGAAGAGGACGACGAGGACGATGAAGACGACGAACCTCTCTCGCCTGTTCCAAGGCACAAGAAGAAGAAATTCATCAAGAAACCCGCAATCAAACAGAAGCTCAAGATAAGCCTAAAGAACAAGCCTCTGCCGCCACAACACTCGAGAAAGGAGAGCAAGAGCTTCCACAAGAGGAAGATTATCCGCGAGCCTTCGCCAGAGTCGCCAGATGAGGAGCCTCTGGCCAAACGCGCGAAAAAGAAACCCAAAGAGGTTTCGGAAGAACCTCCAAAGGAGAAAGGAAAAGCTCCAGCAAAGACAGCCAACAAAATACCAATCAAGGAACCACCCAAGGCCAGCTCCCCTGAAAAACCAGAACCTCAGGAAACACCGATGTCCGAAAGCCCTACGCTTGCTAAGAAGCCTGTGCTTGAAAATGCTGCAACAGCCGACGATACCGAGCAGGATGGCATCATTACTGCTGAAATTGCTAGGCAGCACGGTCTCCCTGACACGCTCATAGGGCAAGTATTGGAGAAACGTAAAGGCCCAGGACGCCCACCAAAAGATGGCGTTATGTCAAAACGTCAACGAGCACAGCTTATCAAACATCATAAGGAGATGGAGAAAGCTAAAGCTGCTGGCATCGACATTACAACAATTCCTGCACCAGCTGTCAAACCAAAGATTGCTCGTGCACGTAAAGACTCAACCTCGAATGCCCTCGAAGGTGACGACGATGACATTCGGGAGAGTACCGAAAGGGGCGAAAATGCAGCGAATTCCACGGACAAGAAGCCAAACAAACCGAGTAAACCACCAAGGACACCATCCCCCGAACTCAAGGTGGAGGATTATACTGAAGAACAGTTGCAACGACCGTCTGCTAATTATGTCGTGCTCATTCACGAAGCGATTAGTTCGTCTGCAACCGGTCAGATGAATCTGCAACAAATTTATAACTACATTGAGAAGAAGTATCCCTGGTATAAATTCAAGACCACCACGAGCGGCTGGCAATCTAGTGTCCGTCACAACCTCGGTCAACACGACGCATTCGTCAAAGGTGATAAAGAGGGCAAAGGGTACAACTGGAAGATCAACCCTGAAGTTTCCATTGAAAAGGAACGCCGCAAAAGACAAGTCAGTCCACAGGCCAGTCATGTTCCAAGACAAGGATACTACCCTCCTCCGAATGGTTATCCCGCCTACGGACAGCCTGGCGCGCCCCCATATTATCCAGGTCTCCCTCAAGGAATTCCCAATCCTGGTCCAAGACCACCACCTAGTGTCGAATCCGTACAACCACGTCTACCACCCAGTCTCGCTCGTAATGCGGCATCGGCCACAGCACCCGCTTCTCAGGCTGCTCCAAATCCCTCTCCGTACAGCTCACCTTGGGCTGGCGGTAATCCTGCTGGCAGCCCAGCTGCCCAGGCTCCACCGCGCCCATATCCACAACACCCCAATGCCCAAGCAACACCAGGCGGTGGCCCGCCGGCAGCACCAAATGCATCGGGACAGTACGGAGTGCTCATGCCAACCAATGGACCATATTCGGCCAGTCCCTATGGCAATCAGTATGCCTCAACCGGCGCCAGTCCCTATGCCAACGCAGCGAATCGGACGTATTCACCCTATGCTGCTGCAGCATCTTCGTCAGCAACACCACAGGCAGCTTCGGCGCCGTCACAATACCCAAACTCCACAGCCTCTGCACATAGTGCGATACCGCAGCCTCCTCCAGCAAACACACATGTCGGTCCGCACCCATCGGGACGCTACCCAATCTCAACGGATCTGGCCGTGATAACTCAACTCGAAGCTTTCCGTACGCATTATCTAGAGAAGACAACACTAGACAGGCGCCTTGAAGAAGTTAAAGTGGACAACGCTATTCGAGCAGTCGTGAACCCTGGCATAGCAACAGGTGTGACCGATGAAGAACAGAGGCTAGTGATCGTCTTGCAGAACTTCCTGTCACAAATTGGTATAAAACAACTACCTCGCGCCGAGACTCAAGAACCCAAGAAAGATGTGGCCATAAAGCAAGAAGAGACAAATGGGAGACATCCGAGTGAACCTCAAATCCAGGCCAACACTACCAACGAAGTCAAGTCACAACCTCCACCACCGCCGGCAACAACAACTGCCAGCACCGCTGCCGCCATCGCCGCCAGCGATGCAGCAGTCGCTGCTTCGGGTCAGCCTCAGCAATCCTCTTCTCATACATCTAGCCAGCCTCCCCAAGAGGCAGTTGCTAATACTACTACGAAATCTGAGTCACAATCGTCGCCGTGGCCGCCCGCAACTTCTGTCAACTCCACCGCTGAAAATCAGCCGAACGCATCATCTGCGGCCCCTGCTACAGGATCTACTGTTAATGGGACCAATGTTGCTGTTCCATCTCCTGTCAGTACGCACACGGCCAGGCCTAGTGTCGAGCCTCTCACGCCTGTCCCAGGCTCTCCTGCCGTCCCTGGTGGCTCTCTTGTCAAACAGGCCCTCACTCAATTCAATGAGCAAACAGATAATAAGGTCAGCGCACCCCAACCTACCACCGACGATACCAAGGCGGGGGCACCCGAGAATAGCATAGCAGAGGCAGGCCATGATGACACTCCGAAGCAAGAATAGATCTTGCACGCTGCAAAGATGCAAAGGGCTTGCACGAATATTTCAATACCAGCTCATAATCACAAAAGTTTTCAGGTTGCCGTATTATAATTTAGCGCTTTGTCAAGGGGGTGCACAGATACCCGGATCAGGCGCATTCCATTAGGCGTTTAGGGAGGAACCTTCTTCTTTCATCTTACGTACATATATTTCCTCGAGGAGGATCCTTGCTTGCTATGGGATCAACCAATACCAATTCTACGACCGTTCACGCACACTAGCGGTGAGGGAAAGCGGAAATTTCACGAGATGCTGTTATGCACGAATGAGACGCACACTTCCCTCATATGGATCATTGAGAGGGAGATGACGAACTGGTTTTGACTTTCCAGTTGTACACGTAGATAGATGAAATGAATTTAGCTCACTTAAAAGACTTTGTCGTGTGATTGTTTGGTTTCCGCAGGCACCAGTATTATGCTGCCGAAGGCAACAATGACAACCTTGTATATGCATTGAAAAAGTGAGTCCTCGTGGATGTCTCGCTCGTCACACATAGTGGTGTCTTACGTACCTAGGTGTCAGCAGTAGGAGAGATTGCTATGCTTTCCAACACGCGTGGCACTCTCTGCACTGAAAGCATTTCGTCACAACTCAATTCAGCAAGAAGAAAATGTCTGAGTTTAACAGGTGTATTGATTGAGCAGGACCGACACGACCAGTCTTCCCGGATTAGAGAGAAGATAAGAGCATTTCGTCCCTTTGGTGAATCATCGCTAACTTGGAAAGAGAAAAGTGAAACCCCTGAATAAACAGCGCAAACGAGAACAAGATATACAGGTTGTTCTGCCTCCTCTTGAAGACATTATCCGGGAGCATATTTCTACCATGCATAGGACCGGGGGTGTGATAGGGAGTGTATCAAAGAGGAGGGAACTATAGATGAACGTAGATGGAAAGGAGGAGGAGATCGAAAGGATGATGATGCACCCTCTGATGAACAAAATTACGCCCAGTACGCCGTAATGATTCTCTATGCAGCTCGCTACGATTCGTTCCACCTCCGTCAACAGTTATCTTCGGTCCATGCGCCATGCAGATGAACAACTTTGTAACGTGTGCGCTCATCGACTGAGAAAGATCCTCCTCTGGCGCATTTGTAGAAGACACTGTTGACGTAGTACGATGTCGTCACGCAGCGGATATCTCATATTATATGTCGAAAAGGTTGCTTCGAACCGCGGCCATAACATCATAAATGGGGAGACGCTCACATGGCCATCTCTGCTTGTAGCTTCCGCAGCTCCTCCTCTTCATCATCCTCAACCGATGCCTTGTTCTTCGTGACGGTCTGCGGAGCGCTCGGCAGTTGGCCCACTTTGTCGCCGACTGGCACGCTGCCGGTGTTGAGCATTTGTTCGTCGAGTTGCTCTTGTTGCAATTCTGCGAGTTCGTCTTCGAGTTCCATGTCGTCGATTCCGGTCGTGCTGACGCCTTGCGTTATCGCCTCGCTGATCTCCTCGCCGATAGCATGCTGTTCGCGGAGATCTTCCCTGTGGGATACGGTTAGGACTGATATCGCGGGTAGGGTGGGGAAACACGAACATGACATTGTCGACCTTGTCGATCGACAAGCCTGCGTGAATTTGTTGCATGGCCTTTCCGGCATTCTTCATAGCATCCAGAGTCTCCTTGTTGATGTTTGCGGTCTCAATGCTGTAGATCTCACGCTCGAGGGTCATGATTTGCGAGCTCGTTTGCTCTAGTGAATGCTCGAACTGCTTCTTCCGTCGCAGAGCCGCCTTAGCCGCTACGTTTCGACGTGTCAGTGTCGTGTGCAGTATACGTCCAGAGGCGCGGACGTTATGATAAGGAAATGAGTGCGGGGCGGGGCTCTATCATTACCGGCTTTATTTGTAGATACATGTTTCCGTGCCAGGCTGTCTTGTTCGTCCATTTGGTTTTGCAAATGTTTCTCTCGCTTTGTTAACATCTCCAACTGCCCCCTCAGTTGAAGAATAGCCTTCTTGGGCGCGTCTTTCGTCTTCTGGTTGCCGCCGCCGAACCAACCCAAACCCCACCCAGACATGTTGACGACGTAATAGAGGGAAAAGAGGTGTAGTGAAAAGGGTGATAGGAAGCGTAGCGGGAGGTTTGAAGCCGTACGAGAAAGTGAAATGTCGCAAGATGTCGCAGTGGTCTCGAGGATAGAAGAATATATCGGTGCCTGGGTGCATTCAGTAATGAGAAGCAGGTATGATGTAGAGAGTCTAAGACCCATGGCACGTGCGGGCTTGGCATTTATCACGCCTGCGGCCTGCCCAACATCGGCATCAGGTTTCACCGCGTCCGGACCGTATCCAACTTACTCGTACCTTGATGGTAGTGCGAACACGCTTCCTTGTCCACACATGTCCGCTGCTCCCATACCTTCGACTCTGGTATTACTCTCAGAGCTTGGACGCTGCACCGCCGGTCAGAAGGTTCGGTTTCTGGGCCTGCACGTTCTCCATCTGTTATGTGCATTCAGACTCGTCGAAGCTAACATGCCCCAGTGTGCATGAGTATACAACAAGCACAGCAACCTTGACGTTGAAGCACGATTATCCTCCGGACAGTCCCACAAAGATCGCGAAAGTTGACATCACCCATGTCCTCGAGAGCATCAAGCAGACGGAGATAGATGTAGGAACATGGCTAAATGTGATCGGATATGTCGAGCACAAGAAGGATCAGGTTGTATCTGTGCAAGCGGTCACCGTCTGGGATGCCCTCGACGTAAATGTGGATGCCTACGAACAAGCTTTTGAAGCTAGGAGATATACTGGATCAGACTGTCACTCGTGAAGCGCCACGATTGTTCCGTTCAGTAATCATGCTTCCCAAAATCCGTGGACTCGTCACCTTGACCAAATTCATGAATCTATGGTATGGACCAAGGGTGTTCTTCTAGTAGAGGTCAATCTGGCATTGCTTGCTGCTCCTAGACACTGCTGTTGCCGTCCTTGCGATTATCGGGAATGATAAAGCAAGGAAATTGCCGTACCATTTCCGGCAACCTGTAAAGGAGTAAGATTATGGATTTGGCAACTTACTTCAGCTAGGCTGCTCGCAATGAAGTTGAGGTATCAATACAGCATGTTCTTTCGCAATAACGGCTCCCTTGATGTGCGCCACCATGATGTTCAATGTGTGCTTATACATACTCGTGTCAAGCTCTTAAGTTTTGCTATAACAACTATCTGTCTTTTGTTATGCACTGTAGCCTGTCGAATCCAACTATTCGGTGGTACCGAGAATCTATCATAATCATTTTCTCGGAACTTAGATCCGAGTATACTCAATGCAAAACAGCCTATTACCAGGCATCGTTATCCCTGCTCATCGCCTTGCCATTTACGGTAAGTAATTCTGGAGATAGCCAAAGAGCCTCAACGCAATGTTTACGACTGGTGAAGAGCGACTTTTTACAAAAAGAAGCAATCGCGAAGATCGACTTTTTCAAGAACATTTCATTCCTTTTCTAAACATCATTATCCAGCCATCCAGTCCGCCAATCCCTGTGTCCCTGTCGAAGACCCGCCCAGTAAAAGTCAGCACATCAAACCAAACTCTACGCCATGCCTAGCACTTGGCCGTATCTATTTACCGGGTCCTGCTATGCAAGATCACCACCAAGATTTCTTGTAGCAACTTAGTATATCATGTGGTGAGATTGCCATGCCAATTCTAAATGCTTGCCAAGTGAGTGCATGCTTGACATCTCTTAATCTCGCGCTCTTATTGTAGACGTGGTGCGAATCTATAAGATGGAAAGACGAACCTATGTCCATTGCATGTTTGGAGCAACGTAGCCCAATACGACGAGATGTTATTCCATGTGCTTATATGCTCTCTCGCTCTTACGGCCTCGGCTTTAGCCTCCACTGTGGTCAGTGGTGGTTCAGGCGATGCTCAGTTATGGCAGCCATTTCGCGGGAAGAAGATTCGTTGTCTCAAACAAGACCCCCAGTTGTTCAAAGAGGGCGTGCCCGAGAATACATATGTAGGGCCATGCTCAGATACAGGTATGTACTCAATTACACTTTAGCGTGAGATCATTTCTGACATGGGCAGACTGTGGAATAGAGAGAGCGGACTGCAGACGAGCTTCGAAATGGTGTTGGAGATCGGGAGGTAGAGGTAATTGCAGTTCTGATTAATTCATCGAGCCATTCCTAACGAGTAGCAGAATGTCCCGTCACTAGCTGTGAATGCGTATCGATTTAGACAGCAAGGGTGTCGAAGATGTCAAAAGTTCTCATGTTCAGCTCTACGATGTAGAGTCTTCTGAGTCAGATTTCTATGCTTATTGATTTTGTTTTGGTCGGCACCAGCGCATTATTGAATAATGACATTGGTTCGGCGGCATTAGTATCTGTAGTCGGGTTGATGCAGTCTTCGATACTCTTACAGTATATTAGAATCACAAGCAGTCTGAGTAGCCATTTATCGCCATTTTTATTCACCGCATCACTGACCGAGGCAGTGTTGTGCATAAGGAAAGTTACGCGCGTGATATCGGACGCTTCCGCGGTGAATGATTGTGAGGTTCCGAAAACCTGAATTTACGATAATAGACATTCACTGATTATCGCTGAGCACCCTCCTACTGCTTACTTCAGTATAAAAGTTCAACTCTCTACAACGAGTACTAGCTGTACCAAACAATGCCTACAACTATCTTCCTTCTACCCCTTCGGCACAACCCTGAGTAGTAAGTACTATTCACTCAACATCATGTCGGTACCTCGAAGACACAATTACGTCGTTCCAGAGATCCGGTTCATTCATCTGGAGAACATCTTGGCCCCTGCAAGCGTGCGACAAGATCCTAGTGTCGCCGGCTCAGTCATGGCCTACTTCGCAGCTCTCGCCCTGCACATTCTGAATACGCCAGTAGATGTCCTCCCTGAGGACCGACTGGCCATGCACTTTCTTCGATTCTGGCGACACGTGTGTTTCCTACAGGCTTTGCGGGCACAGATAATTCTGAGTCAAGTCTCGGAGTCTCGTCTGTTAGGTGATCTATCAACGCTGGTCTATCTACGTCCAACTGACGTGCCTGTCGAAGACTTTCGACGTAAAATCATCGCATCGGTCATGGTTACCGGATATAACGCTTTGGGCATCCTAGATGCATCGGACCATCAAAACCCCGTAGTCGCCGAACGCTGGATGACTACATTTCAGCAGGTCGGTTGGTATTACGAAACTGAACAGATTGCATGTGTGGTATCTCTTGTAAGCATTGACGCCATTTCTAGACCTCTTGGGGAGTCATGCGCCGAAGAATGCTCGATATGTGCTGGAGAGCTTAACAACCCGGTCAAGCTCAACGTGTGCTCACATATCTTCTGTCGAAACTGTATCGACCATTGGGTGAGGGGCATGAGCTGGGGAGGCACCGAGCAATGCCCGCTATGCAGGAGGTCTCTTTTGTAGGACACGCAGGCATGGACAATAGATTCATACCTGTAAGGACTATGATAAGTAGACAAGATAAATTTGAGCATACCATGGGCATTGTCAACAATGGTATAAGGTGGATGCCTTCAAAGATGCAGGGGGTATTACGAACTAATATGATGTTGAGTCACTATTCCTCCTACAATGATATCTCCCAAGTTTCCAACGCTGAGAATCTTCTATACTGTTTCCCTTGCGATTAAATTATTTAGCTTGCTGCTCTACGTATGAGCTTCCCTCACTCTTATTCTTGTTCGAATTGCCGTTTTCCATTACTTGCTCCGTACCGACAGCCTCCCGCTTGACACCACCCTGGCCAGTGACACTCTCACGGCGAATCGCAGCTTCTTCGGTTTCTTGATAATCGATGAGGACTTCGCCATTCTTGCCATAGCGACGCGGCTCGTTGCGGGCGACACTGACACAGTTCCAGACGGAAGTAGTCTTGTGGAATATTGTGTCCATCTCTTCCAAGCTTCGGTATGCTGTCTCCGGGTAAAAGAAGTACACAACGGGGACAATGAAGGCGTTGATGACGGCGAAGATGATGTACGTTTGGTAGCCGATGGTTTCGAAGGCGACTGGAGTTATCATGACAACCATGAACTATAGTTCATTAGCCTCCCATCAATTGATGGAAAAGTAAGAGGGAAGTACTCACATTGAAAGCCCAGTTGGCCGAAGTCGAAAGGGCATTGGCAGGAGCACGAATTTTCAGTGGCACAATTTCAGCAGGGTAAAGCCAAGTCATTCCCAGCCAACCAATGGCGAAGAAAGTGTTGAAGATGAAAAGGAAAGCCGCTGCAACGATTCCGGGTGCGGTTCCTTGCACCGAAGTGGTTCCTGCAAGAACTGCCATAGAAATTGCCATTCCTGCTGCACCAAAAAGCATAAGGGAACGTCTCCCGAATCTTTCGATTGTGAAGACTGCAATCCACGAGGCGAGGAAGTACTCCGTTCCGTTTGCAGCTGCTAAGAGACGGGATGTAAACCCATCCAGACCAATGTACCTCTCGTAAATTTGTGCTGCGTAGTAGGTAATTAAATTAATACCGCTTATTTGTTGAAATACCTGATTCGCGTAAGCAAGTACAACGCGATGGAAATGCCTGTTCTCGTCGTTGGTGAATAGGTCGGAAAATTTGGCTGCGGAGGACTCAAGCACGGTATCCTTGATAGCGGTGAATTCGGAGATGATATAAGGATCATCTTTGGGAAGGCTACTAAGAGCGCCAAGCACTTCAAGAGCCTCGTCTTCCTTGCCCTTGAGGATCAGCCAACGTGGGGACTCGGGGAGCTCGAGGATGAAGGCTAGAATAATGAGAGCGAAGATGATCTGGAACGCGATAGGGAACCTCCAAGAGATACTGGAAGGCTCTAGGAAAGAGAATCCAAGATCAAGCCAATAAGACAGACAGATACCACCAGTGATCAAGGCACCTTCAATCATGACCATCATGCCTCGCCGGTGAGCTTTGCATGTCTAGTAGCTTGTCAGCAATTATTCGAGACGAGTGATGATACGCCTGTAGACGAGATGAGACGAACCTCAGATTGCCATGTAGGAACTGTCGAAGTGTTTATGCCATTTCCAATACCAGTAATGATTCTACCCACAATAAAATGGGAAAGACTGTATGCAGATGTTTGTAGAGCAGCACCAACGACCATGATGGCAGATCCTAGGAAGATGGTTTTCCTACGGCCGAGAAGATCACCAATCCAGATACAAGCAATAGCTCCGCAGAAGCAGCCTATCGTTGTCAGTGGGCAGCCACTCTCTCGGATACTTGCAAACACATACCAATGTTGTAGGAAGCGACAGAGATACCCTGAATAGTCGATGCGTGGCTACGGTTGCTAGAGTTCTCGACATCGATCTCAGGGAAAGTATGGACGAAAGATGGAAGTGTGAGCAATCCGCCCATAACACCTTGGTCATAGCCGAACCTTGACATTCGTTAATCCGGGACAAGTTTCTGCATCACCTATGCAAGTACTTACAGCCTAGAAGTTGTTAGCATTCATTGTCATGATGTCTGAGGCTATGATACTCACAAGAAGTCGAGACCGGCGATGAAACTGACGGCAATATTCAGCTTCGACCCAGTAAGGCCGAAGAACCTTTTACCAAACATGTTGGTCCAAATTGTTGAGGATACTCGTGAACAAATGGGTATCAACAAAAGCAACGGCCCAGCAGCAGCAGCCAAGAAAATGAATAAATCACAACACAAACTCGCAATTGCAGACAACAAAAAAGCAACGGAATCTGCGATATTTATTATGTATGCCCAACCCAAGTACCGATACAGCATCCCGCAGGCCTATTCGCCGCAATCGAATCCTGTATTCCAAGGCGTGCCTGGATCCATAAAATCGGCTGCTCTAGCGTCCTAGAGCATGTTACCTTGATGAATACCAAGAAGCAAAGCACGTGTTAACTCCGCAAAGTTCCCCAATCAAACTCCCCATCTCAATTGCTTGTGGAGAAATGGTGCAGGCTTAGGCTGGCGAGGGATGGGGTAGAATGTGAGAGATGGTGTGCGGATTACCCTTTTCGGACATCCGAAAAGACCGCAACGTGAACCATGCATGACAATCTCGAAAATTTGACAATGTTGTCATAGCATGCGACCGAAAGTTGGCCGCGGTCACAGACAATTTTGCCTTCTTGAGAGCCATCAGGCGATGCTTGAGTCATGCCGAGTCTTCCATGGAGGAGCGGAAGTTGAAGTACCCCACAGCACACTCTTCTGGCTTCGTGCTACTAACGACAGTCCATTCAATTCTGGTTTAACAATGATGTTGATATCGTCAAAAGAATCAACGGAGAGAATGGCCCAAGGTTTGTTTCCGATTCCGTCGAGACATGCCAGATGACGTCAAAGTGTTTACCGTTTGGGTTGCGTTACATTCGAAGAACTGATTAAGGAGAAATACTTTGCAAGAAGGGTATGGCGTTATCGGGTGATGACCTTACTTTACTCGGGCTATCCGTGAACATGGCCAAGAATTGCTTCGCCAGACTCAGCCTCATCTTAACGCTTTCGTGAACCTTGATATCAAAGTACTCTTGTCTAAAGCTCACCTGATCTAGGTTTTCCTTGTGGGAGTTTTACTCCTTCCTAACTACTTACGTTCTTCCCGAGTTATACAGAGGATTGGCACGTCAGGCTGGCCCTATGCTAATATGTTATGCCTATAACCGTGCCTTAGCAAGGTTTATTGCAAGCAGTTAAGATTGTCTACTAGCTACAGTATATTCCTAAGTAGACACTTTAGGTATAGAAGATACATGAAGTTAGCAGGTAGTCAGCCCGACGTGCTAACCCTCTGTACCATATCATATCTAGTCCACTATCGCGTCTTTCTCCAGAGTTCAACATCCCCACGATCTCACCGATCTACATACTCTAACATCCCCAGCTTGAAGCAACGTGAGCTTCATTGAGTCCCTGCATGTTTCCAGAGTTTCGGGTTGACGTCCTGGCATTGATCAACATAGACTCATCATGACCCAGTAAGAATACTAAGGCGTGATGAAGACATTCGACGAACTATTGTCTCCATATTCCCTCTTATCGATGTCCATGCCATTCTCACCTCTCTATAGAAGTTCAAACCACACATTCTTCCTCACGATTTCTGAGCAGCATAGTCAAGCCAATCACCCTGAGTAACGTGTTTTCTTTTCGGAACCAGACAGGAAGAATCCCCGGGAACCTTGGGACAATCCAGCGGCTCTCCAGAAAGCCGGGAAACATAGCGCCTCATCAGTGACAATCCCCGACTCGCCCGAAAGACCCGAAGACTTTCTTCCCGGACCCGCCAATGTAATCTCAACCGGCGCAGGAAAATCATGATAAACTGATTTCATTTGTTCCTATCACCTTTAACAATATCAAGCATCAGATTACAGTCACCCACAAGCCTGGAATCCCAACATCCGTTCCAACAGACATCCTTCTCGACATATATATTTTCCGAAGCCAGATTCATCTGAAATCGCTTCTCCGCTTTCCGGGACATTCGATCTCGTATGCTCGAGTCTGGCTTCAGGAAGAAATCACCGCAGAAACCTTGGGGTTGCCGTTTATATCTTGCGGAATACCCGGATAGGATTAGCTTGTATCGGTGCTGGTGAATGAGCCCCTGGCTACACGATAATGACACTATAAGCCATGTCCTGCATACACAATTAGCTGATCTACAACACGGAGGGAGTAGGGAGTCTGGGTTGAGATGATTGTCAAACCATGTTGCAGTCGAGCACACTTCACATTCAAACACAATCATGCCTTAAAATCATTGAAGCCAGTCATAAGCTGAGTGATGATGACCTTGAGAACTTATCTTACAAACCATGCCTGCACACTTCCATTCAAACGACAGCAAGAAGAGAGCTATCGTTCCAGATAGATATCTCCCAACTTCCCTTTTATCACTCCACCCACTAGCCTGCGGATGCTTCACATAATGAAGTTCAGTGACCGCCAGCTCCATCCTCGATCTCCTTCCCGGATTCGAAAGATTCCCCTCAACACTGTCGCTATCATAGGTCCTCATGCCTGCTCGTCTTCTTGCACATCCTAACATCCTGAGATCCCTCCCCTCAGGCTCATCACGAAGGGAAAAGGCCACCCCATCAACAGTCAACGCACCACTTCTCCTATCGATAAAACATACTCCTGGAGTCCTCGACGGACTTCAATTGTTATTCCTTCCATTAAGGAGAGGCTTCACACATCTCTCTCTGCCTGTCTACTCGACACCTAAACCCAACAGCGCCCAAAGGCACGACACCTTACAGAAATCCATAAAGCCCAACGATCCCTCTCACGACCCCCCACTTGTACACTCCTCGCGATTGCATCGTGACAGGCGAATGAAAGGTTTCCATGACGGCAACCCAGAGATAGCATGTGGTGGAAGGAGATATTCCATTTGTTATTCGACGGTGCAACAACGTTAATCTAGGTCGTAGGGACATTGATTCGAGTTTCACAAACACTTCAAGGGAATCCAAGCTGTAATAAAAATCATCTCATTTGCGACTACACATACATGCGAAGCACGAACCCACGCTAAAAGATACAGCCGACGACATCTAAACTCATGCCAATCGTGCCGCTACGTGGTATAGATTTACCAAAACAAAAAAAGAAGACAAACCAAAACGGTAGGTAAACCCATGTATCCCTTTAACACGCCGAGCGTCCAATAACCCTATCATTGCATATTTTGAGAAGAAGACCAAGATAAGAAGGAAGACAGGTGTTGAAGGAAAGGGAAGGGAAAGGCTAACTCCGAGAAGTAAGCATGCAAAAGGAGAGAAACGGGAGAACGGGCAATATATCAAACAGCGCCCGAAGCTTCCCAGGCCCGATGCCAATAAAATCGTACCTAGTGCGCCGCCATAACATTCCTCGTATAGGTGAAACCCCACGTATCGTGGACGCAGGCGCACCTGAGGAAATGAAAGAGGCACCAACCAGGTAGATGAATGAACCGGTGCCAGAGTTCTTTTAGCGCCATCAACGCCCCAATATGAATCAAGCCGCCAGTTTATCTACAGCCCGACCTAGAGATTACTGAAAGAAATGTTTGCGCCGCAGGTGTGAAGGTGTGCTAGAAGAATGTCGTGGTGGAGGTGCGGATACGCCTATGTCCGGTTGTACAGGTGAAGGGTGAAAAGGCATTGAATTACAAGGGTATAGTCCGGATCGTATCTTCATTCAGATCATCCGACTCGCAGAGCTCGGATGTCATGTTTCTCTCTCCAAGTCTGAATAGGGGCTCCATAAATCGAAGCGTTCCTAACTGTTGAAACGAGTTAGTAACTGGTCCCCAAGATCACGCAAAGTTGATGAGAGATCCTTACCGAGCTTGCATCTGGCCTCCCATATTGGGCATGCCCATTTGTACACCATTCGGCATTTGGGCAATGCCATAGGGATTTTGGTGAGCTGCCTCGCCGCCTAGGAATGTGTTCATGTTCATACCGCTGAGGCCCTGAGCGTGAGACACTGGGCAGTCTTTGTGTGCGAGAAGGAGAGTTTTGAGGTTGACAATCTCCTCGCGGAGTTGAGTGACGGTGGCAGAAAGGGCGTCGTTCTCCGTACTGAACAACTCAACCTTGGTCTGAAGGTTCGCCAACCACTGCTTCTTGCGCTGTCGGCACTTGAGAGCGGCAACCCTGTTCCGCTCCAGGAAGTTCTTGCGCTTCTCCTCGTCGGTCATCTTCTTGCCGTTCTCGTCCTCTGGCTTTGGACTGGTATCATCTTCAGAATCCTCGTCCATGTCAGGCATGCCGTCGTTGGCCGACTTGGCCTTCTTTGCGCCCTTTGGTGCCTCGTCTGCTTTCCGCTTCGTGCCAGCAGCTTGCTTAGTGTTAGCGGCACCCTTCTTGCTGCGTGATGGTCGGCTGTTAGGCTTGGCATGTTCACTTCCGCTCTCAGAGAAGTCACCCGTTTCAGCGGAACCCATGCTGTTGATGGAGCCCTTGGTGTCTCGCCGTGAGGGTTGGCCGACTGGAAGTACAGGCATATGGCCCACATTGGTGCTCGACGGCGCCTGTGTCGTCATAGGATAATTCGATGCCCCATTGCGTGCACCAGTTGTTCCATTCTGTGTTGCAAATGAAAGAAGATCATTGGCGGCGTTGCTAACGTCATGATTGGCATAAGGATCGGTGGGTTGGCGTGGTGCCGGAGGTTGCTGTGTCTGGAAGTTGCTCTGTCGGTCCATGGCTGCTGTTACGACCTCAGGTTGCGACGTGGGAGCTGTGGTAGCAGCGGGTTTGTTCTGGCTTGCTTGGGCAGCCGCGCGGAGAGCAGATTGTTGAAAGTCGGCAGTACTTGGGGTGACACCTCCACTTTGCAAGTTGAATAGCGCTTGTGTATTGGGTGATGGGGCAGGGAACATAGACCCGCCTCCACCGGGTGTGAGACCTGTGCGCAAGGAAGATTCGTTGGGTGTAGGGAAACCGCGGAAGGACTCGCTGAAGTAGTCAGTCTGGCTGGTCGGACCAGTTAGCATGGCAGGGCTCAGAGGTCCGGCTCGCAATGACTGCCACCCAGGTGTGATGCCGGGGAGAGGCGAGGGTGATGTGATGTTGGCGACTGGTGGAAGAACGGTACGGCCTGGAGTCTCTACTGATGGGTTGCCGAAGGACTGTTCGAAGACATTCGGCTCGAGGTTGAAGGGATTGTGGTGGACGCCGCTGAAGTAGTCGCCACCTTCCGCTGCAGACGTGGTTGGTCGAGGGGGAGGTGCGAGGGGTGCGTTCGAGGTGGCAGTCTTGCTCTCAGCCTGTGAAGTTGCAGCCTCTGAAGTGGAAGCTACCATCCTGCAGTGTTAGCTTTCGATCGAACGACAACGGCGACGACAATTGACAACAAACAGTGTTGGGTGGAGGAGGTCCATCGATGACGTCCATGCGAGGATGGGTACGACAAGACGGTTGTATTTCTAAGCGAAAGGGACGGGCAAGTGGACTTGACTTACGCTTTTCTTGCGAGGCAGGTTCGACTTTGGTAGGTTCTATGCGACAACATTGTTAGCGACCATTATAGTTCATCGCAGCGAAGGCTGGCAATAGCTGCAGAGGTGCAATGACGATGCGACGACAATACTATGCTTGCACAGCAGCGTAGGCATCTAGCAAAGCATGGTGCAGTGAAGCGCAGGGCGGCGATGACAAAGGTAGCGATCATCGCATGAGGGTATACACACCTTCTGTCTTAGTCACAACGGGTATCTTCTTCTTGCTGTCCTTGGGCGAAGAGGACATCCTTGAGTTGGATTGTGGAGGAATGCTCGCTGGTCTTGAGGTGACGGCGGCCATTATGGGTGGTGACGTAGTTAGATGGTTGAGAGAGATCGCCCTGAAAACTTCGGTCCTTTCAACTCCTCAACTCTCACACGAACTTGTTGTAGACGGGTGGACGGCACGGTACGGGGCCTAAAACACAACTTGGACGGTTAGAAACGAATGCGCACGACAATGAGAGAGGGAGGCTGGTTGCAGGCAGTTTGTGGGTATTGAGGTTGTTGTCGCAGGCTCGTACGCGCCGCGGAAGGGAAGTACTGTGGGTGTGTCCAGAGAGGGAGGGAGGCAGAGTGTGCAGCAACAGCGACAGCAGCAACGCGCATCCACACCCGCACCCACAACGACGACGACAAGACTAGGAAGATCAAAGGATAGATTGGGGCGGCGCATAGAACGTACCTTGCACTCGACGGCAGGGAGGACACGGGCAGAGCGGGGTTCAGCTCGATCCGGGTAGAATAATATTATTGAACTGTTTGGTGAATGTGCTTCACAGCCAGACAGAATCAGACAGGACAGCGCAGACGAGGAAAAGAAAGTGTGGAGGGAACGACGTAGGTGTGTCGATTGGGGGGGGAAGGTGGTTGTTGGGTTGATGACGTCGGTTCAAAAACTGCCTGGGCCCCCTTTCTCTCTCTCTCGCTCGCTCTCTGTCTGCGGACTCTGCAAGCGAGCGAAACTGGCAAAAGACAGCACGCGCGCGCGCGACAGTGACAGTTGGTAGGAGAGGAAAGAGTATTATCGACGGGGTAGTGGAACGTCGACGGTACTTTGGCGATGACCTTTCGGTAGAATAGAATCGTGGTACCACTGTACAGATGAGATGTGAGGCTCTGCTTAGCCCTTTGGGACGTGGGACGATGATGATGATGGCGAGTGGTGAATTGAGTGGGTGGATGGGTGAGGGAGGGAGTCGGACAGAAATGACGAAAGTGGTGACGAAGTTGTTCGAGGGAGGAAGAAATTCTGGGAAAAGAAGGGGAGTGACGCAAGACCCTCACGTGATGTCACCCGTAACTTCTTGGCAATTCCCTCCCCATTCCCATTCCCTTTCTCCCCATTAAATATTCCACTTTCATCCCATCCACCTCCTCTTGAATTAATAATAACAACAACACCCACCTTAACTACGCCTTTATCCCACCATCTAACTGACTACACCATCATACAATTGTTTGCTCGTAGTCACATCTACATCTTACCCTACTGAACAACTACCTACCTGAACTACACCACCATCTAATAATACATACTCACTTGATACTTCATTTACGACTACAACAACGTTCAAGTCTTAACTACCCACCCATCCATCTCCTCATCCATCAGTCGTCAGTCTAGGTCTCAGCCTCTCCCATCAGTCGACCGCCGATGATGATCTCGGTCTTCAATCGTCTCATCCTCTCTTCAGTCTTAGACGGTCCGTCCGTCGTTGCCGTCCTGGCGCAATACACGGGGGCGATGATTGGTAAGTTCCACTGACCGCCTTGCCGATCTTTTACCCAGACGGGTAGGAGACTATTCCTCTGGTGTCCTATTCGTGTCCACAAGGTTGTTGGAGACGGGCATGCAATCATCGTCCGAATCGCAAGCCATCGCGACCTATTGTGGTCGCTATCGTGCGCTTTCGATTACCCGGCAAAGGAGGGATGGTAGAAAACATACCCATCCATTATTCCAAGCAATTGGATATTCCCCACACGATTTCCATTGGGAAGTCTCCTTTGACCATGATTGTTGTCATTTAGATATCATTTAGATGTCATTTAAAATACAGTGACCGCAGTGCGAGACTACGAGTACAACCTAGTCCAGTGCTGTACAACACACTCTGGAAACGAGTCCACATCGCACTGCATTGCATTGCATCGTAGACAGCGCCAAAATCCCGCGTGGCAAACACACACGGGTCTGTCAGTTCTGTCAGGTCTGTACTCAAGGTCCGAATCTTCTCCAAATACGGAGTACTAGTAGTTACCATCCAGCCATGTATTACGACCTTCTATCTACAATCTTCATTGTTCTCTATCAAGATCAAGAGGGCACTTGAGACTGCGACATGTGCTGGTGCAACCCTCAATGACTTGTAACTACCGCAACCAGGATGAAGGGGGGGAGAAATGCTGGGACTGAACCATCCGCTGGCTGGGCTGATGCAGGACCACTCGTTCGATCTCTGGACCTCGCCGGTTGAGCCGCGATCGCCGATGACACACACTTATCCCTACTCGTACAACAAACCTACACTTTCAACACCATCATCTACAGAGTACACACTACAGAGACACCATTCTGGCACGAGCAATCTTCGTACAAGAACGAGCAAATGTTTCCATGTCGTTCCTACTGATCAATTCTGCCACGCAGTAGTAACTCTAGTGTCTTCCGGTTTTTCTTCTACGCCGTTGCTACTGACACGCAAGATGGCAAATTCCCCCTTTTCGCCTCTGCATTGGTCATCCCTTACGAGGTGTGCCGGGACCGCTGTGAAGGCGAATCCAATAATTTTCTTTCCATTCGAATTCTGCACTTTTAACTCCAACTCGATAGGTAGGACTTGTGTCACATTGCTCCTCGTGCCAGGCGATGGCGCCATAACCCGGACAAAGAACCCGTTTCAACAACCATCTCCCGGTACTTTACCCCGGCGGTGCTTTTGCCCATCTAGGTATCTACATTGCTTTGTTTTGCCTGACTGTCCGCCAAAGAATCTAATAAATCCTTCCATGCCCTTGTGTGCACTGTGAACCCAGATGCAAGCCCGTCAGCAAAGAACAATCTATGGCTGACCCGATGAGACCAACGACCATCCAATACGCCCAACGGCTCGCCTAGGCTTACTCCTGCATGCTACAGCTACAATACCCGCACGATTCGTCTAGCGCAATTCCTCTCTACAACAGTCCTTCTACCTACTGTGTAGTCTAGTCCTGTACAGTACAAGAACTTGTCTCCGTCTATCGATTCTACCCCTGGTTTCCTTAGCCGAGTCCGCATTTGGCACGCGAGATCGTTTTTTAGACTTGTATGCTTCCAGTAAACAATAACGTCACTGTTCTTCAATGGTCCGTTACAAGTCATTATTATCAGCCTTTGCAGCTTCAAACGTGATATGCATGGTTCATACTATCTACATCAACATCTCGTCATTATTATTGACGAAAAGAAAGTTGACTGTAGCCCGTTTGGTAACTTTAACAACATCTCCATTTGTATGTACTTCGTAAAATTATCGTGAGCCTATAAACACACATTTAAATACTTGAAAAAATAGTTGAAAAATCGACGTCACATGTACAATCAAATCTATACACCTACTAAACGCAAGAACATCTGTTTCAATAATAAATAAATAAAACATCACATTCCAATCCCAACCCTAATCCAACAGTATCTCACATCAAAAACTACCTCGCCAATCCACGTACCGATCACCCATCTTCACTATCACAAAACACCAAAATCTTAGGCGCAGCAGGTATCCTATAGTACCTCATTCGCGCAAGAATAGAGACCACACAGGAGAAATTTCCTACGTAAACTACATCCACAATTTTTTCAAGCAGGCCCCTTCTAGACGCGAAACGTCCAAGAATTATAAACTACTCTGCTGGGGAGACAGCGGCGTGAATTTCAGATCTCAGCAGTGGTAGCGGTGATTATGATGGCATTCCATGATTAAACTAAACGACCTGCAGAGGAATAGCATGTGAATTGATCGAGCATGACGAGAAGCCTCGATACCAACGCTCTGTACACCATCAGACTCGTCTATAAGAAACGAGGGCAATACATAGCGATACATTTCAATAGATCTTTACGATATCACTACCTCCCAAAGAGCTCAGCTAACAGAATTGCCTGTGAGAACATGTAGCAAGATGGGGTTTATGAGATGTCGAGCAATACGTGATGTGAATGATGACGAAGCAATAAGTGCAATGGCTGTCTGTGTTTCGATGTTGTGAATGGGTTAGATGGTGTCGGTGGGATATATGTACGTACATACACACGATGACCACTTCTCTGTGAAAGTCTGACAGACACGCGAGGGAGGTATAGGAGAGCGGTTCGACCAGGTGGGAGATAGGTAGTGTTTGGAAACAAGATTGAAAGTAAATCAAATGATTGCATGAAATCGTTGCTACGCACTTCGTAAGAGCAGTGAATGAAGTACCGTCACATTGGTCGCTCACTTCTTATATAATAGATGATGGTAATAACAACACATAGCCAGTTCTCGAAAGAGCGTCCCTAAAACTTTCCGAAAACATGACGGATACGCTTCGAGTAAGTCAGCGAGACGTTGATACAATATCCAACAGACCAGGGGAAAGTGCTGGTTTAGTTGTTCCTTACATTGTACAACTCTGGAATGGACTAACTAGACGGTTTCGCTCCGTGGAAAAGTTATGAAGGACAGTTGAGAGGAAAGTAAAGTTTCTCGGATGCGGGGGTTTCAGTGATGGATTTGGGCTGCATAAATAGTTGCGATCTTGCAGTTCTGAGGTATATCTTTTGGTGGATTTGGGAAGTAGAGAACTGTGGGAGGGATGATTTCAAGGGGGCTACAAAGTTGCGAAGATTTTACTGAAACGTTTGGATTGGCTGAGATAACTTTAACGCGTATTATGGATGGATAAGGGAATACAAAGGTCGACATATATTCCCAACGCTGGTTCGAGTCTGCTGTTACATTTAATTAGCATCACTGGCCCGAACAAGGTCACCATTATACATAGAATTCATACTCACTCAAGGTGTAGAAAAGGACTGGCACTCGTACTACAACTAAGTAATTTCTTCGTTAAAACTATCGTCTGTGCTTGAGTATGATCTCCCAACTCGTAGATTCTGAGTCTCTTCTTCGGACAATTGACTGCGAGGCATTATCATTGCCTAGCCGTTGTTGTAACGCCGAATGACTCCCTGTCCCACGTTTTTTTTAAGAATGTGCAAGTACACAAGGGGAATGATATGTATAGCGTAGTGTAAAGCTGTTCTGGTTCAGATGGTAAACACGAATATTGGCAAATGCATTACACCCCTGAAGATGCAATCTAGGCGGTCCGGCAACTGCGAAAAGAAGGAAATGTGAACAGAATCATACCCAACTACTGGGCTCGAAAAAGAAGAACGGAGTCTGAGATTCAAGATCCTTGGACGCATGCTAGTCAGTGAATGGAAAGTGCTATGTGTTGTCCCTATATCAAGCTGTGCTATGCTGTTCAAGAATTACAACGAATTACGAAACTACGGAAAAGTAAAATCGAAAAAAAATCTAGCTACTACTCTGATTCCCTCTCGATTTGTGAAACCGACCAACTACTTCGTACTCCTGAAATTGAATACATACGTATGAATCCTACCCCCCTTTCCCATTCCCCTTCTGCACAGTCCTCCTTCGCAAATGTAACCTCCAACAAGAAAAAATCCTCGATTTCGAGTCCATCCCCCCCATGGACTCTCCCCCTTCTCTCTGATCTCAAGAAGAAGTGAAGGTAGACATGAACATCCGCTATCCAAAACCTACCCGGCATAAGAACCTCTAAGTACCTTTGCTTCACGTCTAACTCCTTTTTGCTTTTGCTGGATGCGTATTGATACCATTCCCTCTCTCCCTATTCCTTCACACGAATATTAGTATGGTACTTTTATGAAATGAAAATAGAAGATAAGAGACAGCATGTGAACAGTTACCATTCCTTTTCTTCCGTCCGTTCTTGTTTCTGTCTCTATTTTCCATGTACACGCATGTGTTGGTTGGTTATTTACTCCATTATACACTCTCGTAAGACTTCTCCATTCAAAGCATGTAACATTAAACACCCTCTTCTATAGCTCGGCCCCTGGATTGTTGATCCAAGCATTGCCTACACGTGAGCGGTATGTGCTTCAAATCACGGGCCCTAACGAAGAGAACGTACCTTGACGAAGCACTGTACGTTCCATCTTATCTAACCAACAGCATATAAAGATAGGGGCCATTCACCATCGCTTAATTCCGAATATACCGTACACACACCGACCTCTCCACAGCAGCCGGGAAGACATTTGCAAGGTGATGGGCAGGCACTCTGAGTTGCCCTTGACCTTTGGATTGTCTAGACAGATGGACGCATAGTGATCATGAAGATGAAATGAAGCATCTGTGACACCCAACCCTACGCCTTAGAAACGAAGAAAACATCCAAAAGTACGCACCATTACATCTACTCACGGAGTCATCCATCATTCAACCAACACACAATAGCTCAAACATCCAACACACAAACTCAACACCATCGTCCTCAAACCCTTCAGAAACCCATCGATCCCCCTCGGAACAGTCTATCAAGCCACTCCACCCCCCCCTTCACCCCACAATACAAACACCCACAGAGGTCAGAAAGACCGACAGGGACATTCTGCCCGCGTCGTCGGTCTTCCTTGCCTTCCTTCCTTCCTTCCACCATAAACACCAGTACTCTCTGCTTCAGGCAGATAAAGGAGAATGAGGGCCAGACACTCAACTTCAACACCGCCCACCCCGCAGCCCGTCAGACGTTAATTGACAACCAGCATCTTCGCCATCTTCGTGATTAAAGCCAGATGCCGGGGAGGTTTTTCGCGGGACACGTATAGGCTGGGTAAGCATTCAAGGGATGTGAGATACATGGTGAAGCTTGTGAGGCATATACACATGTATGGAGTGCGGAGTATATGTGTGTGTCCCTATATGAGAGGCGGGGGAAGGGATGCGTGGGGTATAAGAGAGCTGTTATGTCAGCGATGTATCTAGGGTTGTTGGCATATGATGCACATATTGATCGATGGACATTGATCTACAATCTACGATTTACGAGGGGTAATCATGATGGTTTTATGGGTAGGGATTGTTTGAAGACGTGCGGGGGGTGTGAGGGGTGTTGATATATATAATATGGATATGGAGGTGAATTGTTATAGTTTTCTGAAGGACTAGAAGGGCTGGTGATGGGGTTGGCGGATGGATGTATGTATTTTTGGAGGATGAGTGGTTACGATGGATTGTCACTTGAGTGCACGATGGGAACGAGTATGATTATCTACTACGTAGGAACAGAACCACAATGCTGCGTGCAATAACTATCAGCAAAAGACGCGTGCACCAAATCTTCACATCCTCAGTGCCAGATGAGATTACGGGAACACAGCAGCGCATCCATCAGTTACACCGTACAACCACAGCACCGCCGACAGGTTTCGCCTTCGCGCATCTGTGGAACGTATATCCCGCGGATCAACGCGGGCTCGACCTGGACCTGCGCACAGAAATTATTCTCCGACTCGATCCGCTGTCATTCCCTCTCCCTACCTTTCCCTTCCTTCGTTCCCTTTTTGCACCTGTGCGTTGTAGTGCGTTGCGTTGGGGGGAAATTTGCAATCATGCGGCAGCGTCGGGATAATGCGCTGTGGTTGGCTGACGGGGGGAAATTGGATGATTTGAGATTTTTTTTTAATTCCCTGACGACAGCAAGTACGGAGTAGTCGTAATCCTTCGCTCGGGAACGTTGCCGTGGGGAAGATTTGATTCCCAATCATCGGCCTAACTGGGGGATAAGATAAGTGCCGTTGAGTAGGGTAACTATTTTACTGTTCTAGAGTCGAGGAGAGGATCAAGGGAGGCCTAGAATCGCGACGATCTCTCTGCTGTGTTCCTGAATTTGAATAATATTAATGGAACCAACTTGTTGTACGGAGTACTGCCCACCCCAACCCATCGGAAGTTTGAGAATTGTGGGGACCGTTGAGGGGGGCGGTGGTTGTGTGTGCTGTGCTCTTACTGTGTACAACGCCGGAGAGTTAAGTAGTCAGGTTAGGTACCTACATAGTTATGCAGTAGTGTGTATGGAGTATGTAAGTCAGAGTTAGTTGATGCAGCTACGTTGGCCTTATTTTTCGTGAAGGGGAGGAGAGCGAGGAGTAACGGGATTGTTGGGTCGGGTCGGTGTACGAAGAATTGGAAGTTTCAACAGAACAGAAGCTGCAGAACAGAACAGAACAGAACAGAACAGAACAGAACAGAACAGAACAGAACAGCGACGGGTGTGACGATGACCCGGCCATGTGTAGTTACCTACAGTCTACAGTGTGCGATGACTGCGATGGGATGGCGCGCGGCGATTGACGACTGGCGCGACAGGAAAATGCCCTTGGGAGTGGAGCCGCTAGGGCGAACGAGCAGTCGAGTAGACTTGAAGTGGTTACGTAGGTGCGTAGGTTGTGGAGGAAAATCTCCCCTCTCGTATTGTCGTCGTTTGATGTGATGATTATTATGCCCGAGTACGAGGATAGCAACAGAAGACGAACACGACGACGACGTTTGCAGACTGACATACGATAGAGCGTGACATGTACCTATAGTGTCACTGTTATGATATGGACGTAGCTTTGGTACAGCAATTGAACACCCCACTTTGCACGTGGAAGGCAGGAGGATACACCTAGACGAGTAAGTACAGGCAGTACAGGCAGTACAGAGTGGATATGGATCGATATATTGGACCAGGGCAGATGCCCATATGAGGTTGATTGAGGAATAGAGTAGAGATAGAGTGGTCAAGATGCAGAGACATTTACCCAGCCGGTGTTAATGGTCGATAACCTATAGTATAGTGACAGACGAGAGAGAGGTACCTATAGTAAGAGAGTGTTATTGTGGGAGAGCAGCCAATGGCGGCGGGAGAGACCCTTTGGTTCCCTTGCTGGTTCGCTTCATGGGAGGGCCGCCCACCCGCATGCCCTAGTCAGTCCAGTTCCACTTCCAGTTCCCTTGGACAGTTCAACATACGGTACGGTACTCGTAGTTAGACGTATACAATGGATGCTACCTCGTAGTCGTATTCAGTCAGTCCATGACCTTAGTTATTATCATAATGGACCAAAGAATCAACACTCTCAAAGAGTGGTAGTCTTAAAGAGAGGATACATCAACGGGAGACTGGGAGTGGATGGAAGCCGAAATGAAGGAGTGACTAGGGTGGTCAAGGACCTAGCCCCGATGTGGTAGTAGCGTAGTATGAGAAAATAGATTAGGTTTGGGGCTCGTGGCTGGCTTTTTGTGGCGTCCGGCCGACTCTCTTTCAGATACTGAACTGTCACTACCTGTTAACAACGGCTCAGCTGAGAGATGATGGCGGTTGTTGAAGTCGTAGAAAGGATAGGTAGATGGATATAATTGCATTGTTGAGTGAATGGGTTAGTATCTCGCAAGATAAATGCATGACTTGTGGCTGTCTTTGCCAATCTGTCCACCCTAGGACGAGTTGAGATAAGGCTGGCACATGCCCTTGTGGATGTACAACCGCAACGACAAAGCAGCATCACGGGGAGTTTCCCTTGTTGAGGTGAGGCAAGTAGAACAGTCGAGTGACAGGATACGAAAGAGAAAGAGAAAGAGAAAAGGAAAAGGAAGTCATCAATCAGTCAGTCAGTGCATGGAATTGTTTGAAGAGTCGAGAGTCAAGAGTCCAGAAGAAGGCCCAAGAGGAGGTACGAAACTGGCTAACCCGAAAGTGGAGGGCTGAGCTCCCCTTCCTTCCTTCCTGTTCCTTCCCTGTAACTGTTCCTTCCTTGCCATGAATCCCATCTGGTGAACCCATTCGCTCCTTCCCTGTTGCATCCAATCCCATCCAACCGCCCCTTCCCTTGTCCTTGTCCCTCCTTGTCTGCCCTTGATCTCACCCAACACACCCACCCATAGCCCATAGCCCTTTCCTGTGTAAGTACCCACCCACTCCACCACTCCACTCCACTCGCTGGTAGACACAGGCACGCCCGGCCCAGGCGTCAAAGGCACCCACACCCTTCCATCCAGCTGCTCCTCCCTTCCTTCCCCTTCTACCCTTCTTGCTCCCTCACCTTCTCACCTTCTCACCTCTCACCTCACCTCACCCTTCAACACCTCCACCACCAACACCATCATTCTCCGTAACCATCAAACACCACCCCCAAAGGAAGTGCCGCTGGTCTCCAAAATCCACCACTCTCCATAACCTTGGTCAATCACCAGTCACTCGTTTCAACCTCCAACTATCGCCTTTCTCTCTCCACATCTCACGATCTACCATCGACCAGCGACCATCGACCATCGACCATCGATCAACAGCGCTCACCTCCGCTCCGTTCCTTCACTCGTCTCCGATCTTGTCCATCCTTATCCTTCCAGACCGTACGGTTCCTATTCCTTCGTCGCTACAACCAATATTTCATTCTTATTTTCGCTTCTTGTTCTTCCTCCGACTGGACTTGATCATCCTGTCCTGGATCTTCTCCCCGCCGGATCTTCCCTCGACGCTATCTCGTCGCTACCTCTCTTCGGACTCGCACTCTACCACGGTACACTCCGGTGCTGCGCGGTGTAGCCAGAGACCCAACCGGACCTCTGCTGCACGTCAACATCCACAGCTACAGTCCACATCATGGCGGCTTTTACTCCTCGAGGTATGCTTTCCCGGACTTTGCAATCACCCTTATCATCCCGCTGCAATCGGACAATCATTGCTCACTAACCACCCGCAGATGCAGACAACGTCTTGCGAAGCATCTTCAAGCGATGCGTCGAATGCCCCAAAACCGAGAGGCCATCATGCTCATCCATGAAGGAGCCCTGCGGTAAGGGCTTCATGTGCGTCTACACTCCCGAGAGCTGCGATAGCTGCGCCTTCGTATCCTGCATAGCCGAGAGTATGGATCCAACTTCATCCGCAAAGAAATCGGACGGTCCCAACGTAGGCGCCATCGCTGGAGGTGTGGTCGGAGGAGTCGTCTTCGTTGCAATCATGGTTTTTGTCGTCTGGAAGTTCTGTCTCAAGGGCCGTCGGCGGCCATACGACGAGGGAGAATGGCAAGAGGTGGACATGGCTACGCAAGAGAAGGCAGACAGCGAATTCATCTCCCGAAGAAACACCCGGGCCTCCACGCACACGGTCGCATCCATGGCCTCGTCTGTCCTCACCCGCGCTTCCAACATCATCCAGATCGCCTACATCCCCGGTGTCACCAACCGCTCAGGACCTGGATCTCCAGACCTCCTCGTGCCCCCCGTCCCACCGATTCCCGCCATGTCTCCGTCGACTGGTATGAGCAGCCCGTATTCCGCCTCCGAACAGCACTTCTTCGTCCCCGACTTCCGCGATTCCATGGCCTCCACCAACACGGACGTACGCAGCAGCTTTGCTCGCACCAGCATCGCACCCAGCCTTGCCCGCGCCAGCGTTGCCTCGACCATGTACCGCCAGAACGCCATCGTCTCTCCTCTCCCCGCGCAGACCATCGTCCGAGGCAAGGCGGCCGTCGTCAGCGTCAAGTCGAGCGGTTCTAACTCGCCGACCGACACGCCTGGCTTGGAGACTCCTCCCGTCCCTCAGATCGATCCTAAGCACACCGTCAAGCCCGTCCGCATTCAGATGCCAGGCGTCTCGACCTCGCCCTCGCTCAGCTCCTCGAACTCGATCCGAAGCACTGCCACTCTCGGAAAGGTCAAGGCGCTCACCATCACCAAGAAGAAGTCCGCCGCAGACACCACGACCACCACGACCACTACCACCCGCACCCCAAGCTTGACATCGACCGCGACGGAAGACACGCTCATCGCGCCCGACGTTCTCGTTCCTCCTATGCGACCGTTGACAGACATCTCTGCCACATCGACCGACGATGGCTTTGGCCATGCCCGCGCTCGCAAGGCCGATATGGATTCGGATTCAGAGTCCGACAGCGACGACCACTCCCGCGCTCGTCGCAGCCTCCTCCGCGACTCGCAGGTCACTGATATTCAGGACACGCCTGCTACTGAGCAGAGTCCCTTCTCGGACAATTCCGCGATCGAGCCCTCCCGGCCAGACATGGCGAAACGAACAACGTCATCCTCTAGCGGGCTTCGTGCTCCCATGAGCCCGATCCGGGAAGAGGCGTCCAAGCGTGCGAGCCACGCATCCAAGCGGACGCAGAGCCCATTTTCAGACGACAACAGGAGCGAGCTTTAAAGTCGGCGCGGCGCGCAGATTCATTTTCATAACGGCGTTTTACGGTATACAGGCCACGACAGCGTGTGTCATTAGGATCTAGGACATCACAGGCCCACAGCGGCACACCAAATTTTTTATTTACTGTATCTACTTATTCGATTCTATGAGATACCCCGATTGTATCTCCACCACCTTTTAGGAATATAATGGGATTAGGCCCAGGCTTTCCCAGTTGGACCGCGATGCCCAAAGCGATATGTGATTGCAGATGTATGCAATGATCAAGGCACTATTTTTCTATGTATCTAGCTCATTACCACCTCCCTTAGGGACGGACAGCTCAACGAATCTATTGATCTCACCAGACGTTTGATTGGAAGATGCTATTCGTGACTGATTGCTATGATGTTGATTATTCACAAAGGAAACGGAGTGTTTTATCCAGGTTCAGATAGAAATGGTCAACGACTGAGGAAAGCATTAAGATATAATGTTCGGTGATCGGCGACGGCAGCGAATCTGGAGGGGTCCGGAGACCACCGACGATGGAGTAGAGGTGGAGCTCTGACGCCAATCAGTAGTAGGCAGGCACACAGGTATATAGCGGGGCAGCTGTCCCCGTCAACCACATCCATTGCTCAACTCCGCCTTTCGACTTTTGACATTTGCGTAAGTCCAGTGCTGTACCGTTCAAATATCACATCATTGACCGCTCTTACAGTTTCACGACACCTTCTTGCCACCAATTTGCTGAGGCCATTCGACTAGACATCTTTTAAAGAAGAGCAATCGCAGTATCGGAGCTCTCACCACCACTATTACAACCACAAGATATAGAGGACTCGAGACCACAACTACAACCACCACCCAAGATCACGATCGCCACTCAGTCTATAGAAACCTCCACAGCAATCGCATGACACCCTCTCAAACTCCATCCTCCACCCCAACGTCCCGAATCGAAGCTCTATCCAAGCACCTCCTCCCCCAATCCACAACAACCACAACCACAACCACAATGGCTACCACGACATCCCCCGAAAAGAAGCCCCCGATAACCTGCCACATTCTCGACACGACGCGCGGGCGGCCCGCCTCCTCAATCCCCACAACCCTCACCCTCCACAACCCACCCCCCACCATCTCCAGCGTCCCCCTAACCTTCACCTCGACCACCAATTCCGACGGCCGCGTCACATCCTGGACGCCCACCGCCGCCGCCTTCTCTTCCTCCTCCTCGCCGTCGTCGTCCCTGGACGCCGTGTTCGCAGCCGCAGCGGCGGACCAGCAGTACAGTCTGACGTTCGACACGCGGGCGTACTGGAAGGAGAACGGGGTCGAGGAGAGCTTTTACGACGATGTGGTTGTGAGGTTCGTGGTTAGGAGGGCGATGGCGGAACGGAAGGAGCATTTTCATGTCCCCGTGCTGTTGGGGCCGTTTGGGTATACGACGTATAGGGGGTCGTGAGATGGATGGGGAAGGATTGAGGATGGTGTGGGTGGATGGTTGGGTATGTTGGCGGAGTGTGTTGTGGATACGTGGCAGCGGCTGCTTTTCTCGAGCATTGAGATGGTGAAAGTTGGTTTGGTGATGCTGTTTCGTTGGAATCGAGGTGGGAATGCAAGGAAGACATCTACATGCATGTTTGGATGTCCTCACCCAAATCGAACGCAAGAAACATGACAAAAGTCGTGCCTGGAAGCTTAGATCGGATATACGAATGAGAAATTATAACAATCCCCGACCCTTTTGTGTTTTAATTGACCGTCACCATCATCGCCGCTGATGCCCTTACACATGACTATAGCAAGCATGTTTCCCGGAAAACCACACACATACACCCTTTTCCGGACCACACACCCTCCCACTCCCTATACCGCCAGGAACGACATATGACCAGAACAAATATTTAGCAACTAAATCGTATTGTAATCTCTTCAAAAGGGAAAGAGGAAGTACCGGAGAAACATAATCTGCGTATGACTCTAACCCTGCATGTCTGCGGTGGAGACTTTGATATGTCTCCGATTCGTCTCACAGCTTCCTTGTAGGGTACGATGGTGTTACTTATATGCAGATGCCGTTGTAAGCCGCTCGCTTTACGCGGGTAGGCGGACGGACGGATGGACATGCTTTTTGGGGAATAGGCATTTAGGGTCTGAGAAGGTGTGATTATGGTGTAGTCAGAGGGAAGAGGTGCGAGAGGGAGAGTTGTGGTGGAGATCTACGGAGTATGGGACTTGGATTCGTTAGTCGACTACAGGTATGTTACAGCAAATACGCATGTATGTACATATAAACATTAGCACATATAGTCTCCGCCTATCTATGTACAATCATGCCTGCAGCCTTGGCAGATCGCAAAATATTTCCATTATTCCAGAGCTTTGGCGATCGTTTCTTCCCCGTCATCCAATCATATATCTATGCAACTACCTCCTGTCGTAACGTCCCACCAACAACCCCTCATACGACGACAACGACATCCCAATTCCGGCAATCCGACCAAATGTCGTACATAACAACAATTCGCCGCTGAGGCCGAAAAGAGCGAGTGATTGGGGTCTTTGCCGAGTGAGATGCCGATTGAGGAGTCATACTTGGATGGAGGAACGGCTGCAGCGCTAGTTAGTTAATGTTTCCAATGTTCTTAGAGCGCGCATGATTCCTGTATGTATTTGTCTACCTACCATGTTCAATTGGTTTTCGAAGTAGTTCGGAATTGACTTTCCTGTGAAAGTTACAATACGAGTACGGCATATATAAGTATCTCTTCCTCTCGCTCTTCTCGTCGTCGCTCACGATTCTCAGGTGTTTAAGCAATTGAGGATAATACAATTGCCCCTCCATTCACCCAATATCAACACCATCTCTCGACATCAGTAGAATCTCAACATTAGCAAAAACATCAACAACCACAATGTCGTCCACCACACCCACCACCACCAGCCCATCCCCCCTCAAAGCCCCCCAGCACATCCTCTCCCTCCTCTCCACCCTGCACGCCCGCTCCCTCGAGCAAGAATCCCAACTCTCCGCCACCGGCAAAGTATTCTCCTCCACCGTGCTCGGCGACCTCGAAGACAAGAAGAACTCCTCCACCACCTCCACCACAACCGCAAAAGCCGACTTCGACGCCCTCATGCTCGACAAATTCATCGCCCTCGACGAGGACAAATGCCACTTCACCTACCAACTCCTGACCGCGCTCCGCGCCACCAACGTCGTCGAAGCCGGCACCAGCTTCGGCGTCAGCACAATCTACCTCGCGCTCGCGGTGTCGCGCAACATGGCCGCGACGGGGAAACCGGGGACCGTCATCGCGACGGAGAAGGAGGAGCAGAAGGCGGATGTCGCGAGGGGGTACTGGCGGGAGTGTGGTGAGGAGGTCGAGGGGGTTGTTGATCTTCGCGTTGGGGATCTGTTGGAGACGCTGAAGGAGGGGCTGCCGGAGAGGGTGGATTTGTTGCTGTTGGATAGTGAGTTTCTCTTCTTTTCCATTTCATACTATTCCATTCTTCTGTTCTCTCGAATTCCCTCCCCGTTGCATAGGAAACTGACGAAAGCGATTCTTTAATTGTGCAGTATGGTCCGCCCTCGCGCTCCCGACACTCAAGACTGTCCTCCCGCGCCTCCGCGCTGGCTCCGTGGTGCTGGCCGATAATACGATCTCCGGCGCTGAGGGGTATAAGGACCTCCTTGCGTTCTTGCGTGCGCCGGACAGTGGGTTCACGAATGTTACGTTGCCGTATACGAATGGGTTTGAGATGAGCGTTTATGCGGGGGCTGAGTAGGTGGGATGTTCGATTGTGGGGAAGGGGATGGGATGGGCGGAGGATGGGTGATTGTGGATGTATGTACGGGTTATGCTAATAATGATATGATATGATATGATATGATGTTGACTACAATGGTACTACCCAGTTCAACAGAAAATGGGAAATCTAACTGAAGCCCAACAATGTAGAAAGATGGATCATAAGACGAGACAGCACACGATGTACACTTTCCCAAAGAAACAGTGACAGTGTCTTATTCCAGTTACAACGAGAAATGGAAATGCCTTTTCTTTGTGGTCCCCCACAAGCCATTGTGAGACTCGTCTTTCGATACTTCATTATCAACTGTAGTAGAAAAAGTATGTTATTCGTATGATATGATAGGTTATGTTACAATGACACGACATCCAACACCACCAATCCCTTCTTCCCCAGAAACCCCAAAAGAGATCACCGAACTTCAAACCTCACGCCTCACCACTCAATCTAATAACGACGTTCAGTGGTTTTTTGTCCTGTCCATTGTCAGTCATCATATCCCCTTACCCCCAATGAAACCAGAACAAACAAGAAGAAATTGGAAGAACTCACCCAAAAAATAAAAGTATCCTGCGCGCCCCAGTCCCAGCGATCCTTGGCATCCTTAAGGGAAAAATCGAACGCGTAAACGAGCCTCGCGACGACGAGCCGCATCTCCGCGAGCGCGAGCTTCATTCCTATGCAGCTGTGGCGGCCGATGCCGAAGGGCTGGAAGGTCGTGAAGTCGTCTTTTCCCGCAGCAGGGGAGAGGAAGCGCTCGGGGAGGAAGGTGTTGGGGGAGTGGAAGTTGGAGGGTTGGCGGTTCGAGGGGTATTGGTTGTATGTTACGTATGTCTGTAGGGTTAGTTGGGGGGTTGTGGGAGGAGGTATGGGAGTGAGGGCGTACGTACGTTCTCCGGGACGAACTTCCCGCAGATGATGTCTCCGCCTTTTGGCATGACGCGTGGGACGCCGATGACGACGGGCGGGTCGAGTCGCAGGCCCTCGTTGATGACGGCGTTGAGGTACGCGAGGTTACCCGTCGATGCGATCGTGATGTCTTGCTCACTATCGAACGCCTGTCTGACTTCCCCTGAAAGTCGCTGGAGGACGCCGCGGTTCTGCACGAGCTCTCGCATGATGGCAGTCAGGGCACTCGCTGTGGTCTCGCTGCCCGCGAAGACGACGATCATCATGTTGATGGCCCATTCGTCGTCAGTGAAGGGCTGGTTCTTGTCTTTGGTGTACTTCAATGCCGGGGTTACGAAGTCTGGGCGGTTGGACTCCGTGTGCACTCTTTTCTTTGCTTTCTCGGCGCTCATGCGGCGGTGGTCGAGTTGTCGCTGCTTGATCTTCTCCGGGATGACGAAGCGGAGGAGTCTGTCGATGGGAGGGTACTGGTTCAGCGCGGAGACCATGGCGAGTCCCTTTCCAAAGTCCTGTACGATCTCGACCCAATAGTGCATTTTGCCTGTCTTCACGCAGTCGAAGGATTCGCCAAAGGAGAGGTCGCCTGAGATATCGAAGGTGAGAAAGTTGAGCCACTGGGTCAAATCCACGGTGGCACTGCGTCGTCCTTTGGAAAGATTGATCCTGCGCTTGAAGTTGTCGATCATGGAGGAGACGTAACCCTCCACGGCTGGCGACTGGTCTCGAAGGCTCTTCTCCGAGAAGGAGTTTGCGAAGGCGCGACGCATTCTGGCGTGCGCGTCTTCATCCGGTCCCATGATCGACTCCGGTTCGTCGGGGTGTTGCTTCTTGAACCATGTTGGGTTGCGCTTGAATGGGAGGTGGCCGGGCCGGCTTGCGTAGATGTCCTTCCATGCAGCGCCGTCTGCGTAGGATAGCTCGTTGGGCGCGATGCGAACGACAGGACCGTATTTTCCATGGAACGCAGTGAGCTGGGTATGGATCTTGCCTCGCTGCACACTGACAACATAGGGGAGTCTGAAAGCGCACCAGAGACGTGGGCCGGGATAGGAACGGAGCGGATGCAAGTAGACGTTGTAGAATGCATAGAGAAAGATTGTCTACATAGATTTCATGAATTTGGTTCTTTAATCGTTGTAGTCGCAAAACATTACTCACTGCTATACACAAACTTGCGACGAGTATGCCCTGAGCCACAACATCCAGCCCTCCAACGGAGATCATGATGTCATCTATGGGACCTGGCTGTGCCCTCCTTTGCGGAGTTTTGACCACTTGACGACCCCGAATCTAAATGTTTCTTGACGGACTGTTGTGGTTGACCGTGCGAGAGAGGGAGAGGGATCCGCAGCTTGACAAACGTTTGCCTGGAGATTCGTGGAATTATGAGTGGGGTCGGGGACTTTACGTTGTTTGTGGTCACGAACACGAATACTAGGACCATTGTGGATGGATGTACTTGTAGAATCTCAACTTAGATTATCACATTGCTACATGAGAGTTTTGGCATCTACATTTCGTCGGAAGAGGCCACTGAATGGATCGCCCATTTTGAGCATTCATTGCACACTTTGTCTGACGACAACGTGATTTCGCTGACATGTTCTGGTACTGTGGTTCGAAGTAACGAGGCGCACTAGCCTGAAGGAGCGTTCTGTTGTCTTTTCAGCTTCTTTGGGCACAACAATCGAAGCACAGACGGAGCTGGAAATGATATCGCAGCACGAAGAAACTGTCATGTAACTACGGAGTATATGCGCGTGCACTCAATTTGCTTGTTGACGGGACACAGCTGTGACCGACTTGAACTATCGAATGCACTCCCCTCACATCGAGACGATGCATCGATTACTCCCGGGACCATTCTCTTCCATCGGTCGCGCATGAGAAGCAGGGAGAAATCACGACTCGGCTGTAAGATTTCCTTGACTCGCTTCGTGCATCGGTGGGTGTCACGGTTTCGGAAGCTCGTGATGCAGGGCTACCTCGAGTTTGAAAAGCAGTCAGCAAGCAAAAGCACGCGTTCCGTCTGTCTGCGCTCCTGAACCGTTCTCATCACAAACTCCCCGGATTAGAGCTAGCTATGTCCAAAGAGGAGAAGAACGTTTCATTTCCTGACTTGAGGGCCTCGAAGGCTCGTTTACACGATGATGAAGGTTTGGTGCCTGTATCAGAACCTGTGGAGTGCGCACTGGCACTTGAAACATCACCGTACAGCTCCTGACACAGACCTTGGCAACGTGCGGAATCGTTCACGGAGATTCATGAAACGAAACAAGGCGATCATTCTGGCTGATATCGCATATCGCGAACGACACACACAGAACTCGAAACAAATGTTGGCTCCGACATTTGTTTTCTATCAAGACGAGGCACGCGGAGTTGGACAGTCTGCTGCTGACAGGCGAACACGCAGTAGTACGGTCACTTCGGTGGGAAATGCTTTTGCGACGAGAAAAGAGGAAGAACGCCCGAGGCCAGTGCCAGGGTCAGCAAGCCCAGCGAAGGACTCGATATAGGACCAATAGCGCTTCGGGTGTAATGGCCCAACGCCATGCCTGCGACGGGGCTAATTTCAACGAAAGTGGAGGTTTTACTATCACTTAGGTTAACTTAGGTATGGATTAGTATTGCTTTCTCCTCCCATATTTGGAGTTGGACCAGGCGAGACGAGAAGAAAATAGCACGGGATCATAGTCTTCCAGATGCTTAATCTCGGCCGCTTGCGAGGCCTGTGGGGGAGAGCGCTGCATAGCTGCATTCGGATCTATTGTTCTCCGCAAAAACAATATAAATTAGCAGCGGTCAAGAGATCGGTCATACCATCAGTTGCCGAAATCCAGGGAGAAGGGAGAGGTGCAAGTAAGCACAATCCCCTCTATCCGAGGCGGTCGCATTTACTCGCATGGTCACTGGCTCGCAAGACGAGAGTCTCCTGCGAGGGGGGTGAGCAATCATCGTCCAAGGGCCCAAGTGTCCAAGTCCCCCACCCGGGATGTTGGATTATTGTGAACATTCTTGTGTGAAAGGATCTTTTGGCTGCTTTGGCTGCTTTGGCTGCTTTGGCTGCAAGGCGTCGTGGGCGTGTTCGTTCGTGGTGCCCTCGCCGTAGGCAATGTAAGCCGCTACCATGCAGCTGCGCGATTAATTAACACGCGATAATGACTAAAGAGGGTCATTTGTCAATAGTTCTGCAGCCACAATGGGTCCATTTGCTGGGTATTCGACACGTTTTGGGAGGATTTTGCCAACATTTCCAGTAGTGCAAGCCTCTGTAGTGCACGGTGGTGGAGACGATGGTGATCGCTTCAGTCGACAACAACAATGGGTTGTGTGTATCCATGCGTCGGTAAGGCGACCTGCCATCTGATTCTTCCAACCTCTTTCCTCCCTCCCCGGCTTGGATTGTTTCTTTTGAGATGACGGGGAGGTCGCTCGCTCTGGACTCTGGGCTGTACCTTTGCGGAAGAGGTTCGGATGAATTGGGGCCTGCGCGGACCCCCTAGCGACCCCGTCTTTCTGCCTGCCTCTTCCCTCTGCTCTGTATCTGAGTCCAGCCTCCGACTCTGCAGGTACCAAACAAGTACGTTTGAGATCAACGGTTCAAACGGGGGTTGCAAGTGCGAGACGGCAGACATGGTTGAAGGTGCTTGAATCGTATGATGATGGTGGATTATTATTCACTATTGCTACTTCGGGACAAACTCTATCACTCAATCATGATCTTCTGAATTGGGTAGGTAGCTACTATTTTCGTGGCACAGGAGGCGAATGGTACGGTAGTGAGTGAACTGGAACCTTTGAAAGACTTGCCAGTCGCTTGTATCCGTGGAGAAGATTGGAGGCGACCTTTGCCATGTGTGCGAATGGGGCCTGCCCACGACGGAAGGACTGCACCTGCACATATGCGGCTCAGCAGACCGGTACTGTAGAGCCCAGTAATGGTAAGAAGTAGATGCAGTCGGATCTGCCTAGAGAGTAGAGCAAGCGGACGGGGCGTTGTTGGAGTGGATGAAGGGGGGAGAGGAGCATAGGAGGGGCGTAAGTTACCCTGGCCGCGCATCGTGGTGGATGTTTGTGGAGAGTGAGATGGATGAGGTTGGGTGGGTGTAGGCTGGAGGTGATGGGCCAATCAGCGACGTTGCCGGGCACAAGCATTTTACAGTTACTAGGAGGGGGAAGAGGGAGGTTGGCCCGCCCAGCCCGCAAGCGCCTCAGATCTGGAAGAAGCAAAGCAAAAGGAAACCCCCCCTGTTCTAATTCCAGTCCACGGTCTCACATTCAATTTAGGTCGTGCATGTCGCTTCTCGGAGGTGCATGTACTTATTATTGTTACGCCTGTTGGTGGTGGTCTTGACGGTAATGATGGTGGATGACAAGGGGAACCAACGGAGTATAATCAGTGTGTGCAGTAAACGACATACTCCGTAGACCATCTACAGTACTCGTGCCGCAGTGCAGTACACTACCTAACTGGGTGCGAAAGCGAGAAGGCGTATGTGCGGGCGTGTGTGTACACAACACTAGGTACGGGTATTGCAGGCGCGTGGATGAAGAGGCGCATGGCACGGATGATGAGTGGCTTTCTCTCGACTCAATTGCATTGTTCTTTCATGATGATATGGCCTGACACGATAGCTAAGAAACTAAAGAAGAAAAAGAATAGAGGTGTGGATGGGTGGGACATTGATTGATTCAACGGCCCTACTGCAGTCTATCATTTTCTGAGGTGGGTTTTCGTGTGTGGTGGTGGATGCAGTAGTGTTAGCAGTACGGAGTAACTTCGAGGTGCAGATGAAGATGCAGATGCAGGCGTAGCAGGTGGAGTCTACCGTCTCCCGTCCACATACTCAGATACTGTGCTGTACTACCTTAGTCGGGTTGCGGGTAGATACGCAGGGTTGGTTTGGGGACATGGATTATCCATCATGGCTAAGGATGGCTTTGACCAAGGGTAAATGGTCATGGTCAAGGGTAAAAAAGGCGTCAAGGATTAAGGGTTATGGATTATGGGTTTGGGGTAGACTGCAAGAAAAGACGGTAGACACTAGGTACGGAGTAGACAGTAAACCTCTTCCTCCTCCAGGCGCCTTACCTTGTACTCCAATTGCATACCCAATCCCAATTCATACCAATAATCATATTTCCTATAAAGACGCCCATGGATGGAAGCCGTTGTGGAACGAAAGAACCCACCAACGAGCCAGCCTCAATCTCCTCTCCCCTCAGCCTCTCTCAACTGGGTACAGATCTACTACATATTCTCTTCACATCCACCTCAATTCTATCCCATCCATCAAACAACTCTACTTGACTTTTTTGTTTTTAATCGCTTCCACATCAATCTTCCTCTGAACGGTGTCTGCAATCCTTCGTAGTAGTCATCATCTCCTCTCACCACACCACACCACACCATACCAAAGCCTCACCTCACTCATCCTTCCCTTTTCGTTCTATATATACCTACACACACAAATACACACCAAAATATTCCTCACCATACCAAAATAACCCAACCACGACTAATTCTCACGTCCTACACAAAAACAACTACCACTACCACCACCGATATACCTCTTCGCCCTCTAGATCTGTCCTGATATATACCTCGTCTACAATCCTCGTCTCGTCCTTCTCTCCTCAAACACTCTCAGGTCTATCATTCCTCCATTGAGCAGTTTCGTCCATTCCTTTCAACAAATTCACCATGCTCTTCTCCGTGCTCTCAACCGCCGCAATGGCACTATCCATCCTGGCACCAACCGTCGCCGCTGTCCCTACCCCTGGCCCTCAAAAGGGCAATACTGGGCTCACCAAACTCGCCGCAAGAATGCCCAAGAGTGCCCTGCCCGCTCCTGATGGTCTTCAACTAAAGTTCGTTGGCCTTGGAATTGGTACCCAGAACTATACCTGCAAACCTGGCAATGACACTGCTGAGCCTGGTACCACTGGCGCAGTTGGTATGTATACACTACTACCCCCCTGGACAACCCTTTCAAGTCACTGACACATCACAGCCAAACTATATGATCTTGGTACGCGCCTTAACACCGATCCTCTCGCAGACTGGAAGATCAGCACCATCAGTGGACTGGCCCTCAACATGTACGACTACCCGGCCGTCCTCAACGGGTTGTTGTGGTCACAGGGATACCAACAAGTCCTTGGTGACCATTTCTTCACCATCACCGTCCCTACCTTCTACCTCAACAAGGTCAACGCCACCCCCAAGCCGCTCGCATTCGTCAAGAAGAATCTCGGTGTCGATGCGCCCAAGTCCGCTTGCCCCGGCATCAAGGGAGAAGGTGCGATCCAATGGCTTCACCTCATCGACAATGGTAACAGCCAGGGTGGTGTTAACACCGTCTACCGTCTCGAGACTGCCGGCGGCGCGAAGCCAAAGACCTGCAAGGGCATGCCTGAGCACTGGGAGGTCCCATACGCTGCCCAATACTGGGTCTATGGCCCAGCTGCTTGAGCGACTCCGACCATACGACGTGGAGCACCTCAGCAGGCGCCTGACATAACGCGCGCGCGGCCTTGTCCGCACACCCAGTTTCAGTTTCATTAACACCTTCACACCTACTACTACTACCTACCTACTTATCTACACACTCGTTCGATGAGTGCGTGTGTGCAACACCACACCACATAGCATATTGAGATACCCAACTGTTTTTTGTTTCGCGGAGATTAGAGCGCGCGTCGAAGAAGAAGAAAAAGCATCCAACCATTTCCCCTTTTCCATTTTATTTTCGGACGGGGCGCTCAGCGTTCTCGGTCAACACAACACACATCAAGAGGGAGGAAGGCATAGAGTGACGTTAGTTTGCATTCACACCTGGTGTCGGAAAGCAAAAGAACATGGACTTGGGACATGGGGGCATTCGTCTGTCTGGATGTATATATAATAAGAAAGCACGCACGCATGTAATTAATTCATAACCCTTTTCAACCCTTCAAACTTCAAATTTCAGACCTACTCCTGCATTTCCAGATCCATCGTGAACAACAATATCAATATCATCGTCTCCTGCAACACTCACCATTCGTTCAGTACCCTACAACGCCTGACACGCAATCCCATCTATTCAATATATTACCTCTCGCCCCATATCTACAAATACCACCACCCACCTACCCGTCTCCAGGTCAAGACCCTCTCGTGAGCCAAAAGCACGCGAAAACGCACGACCCGGGGCGTAACCTGCCTGCGTCAGCATCGCTTCGCTGACCACAGCATCTATCTATACCCGCCCTTCCACCCATCCATCCATCCATCCATCCATGAAAGGGGAAAGTACCTCGTAGATCTGACATCCTTCGATCGTGAAAATCCACATTAAAAAAGCCCAAGAAAAAAAAAGAAAAGAAAGGAACGAAACGATGGTTGGCGTAGTTAGTGCATACACGGTGACATTCGTAAACCCCCACCCATCCAAGCACCGCGAGTACTGTATGTATGGGCACTATGGATTATGCTTGCGCTTCCTCAGAGTAGTATGATAGGAAAGCGAAGACGGAAAGGGAGTGGCGTCGTGTTTTGTCTTCCGCGTTTTGTGTCTGCTTGGTTGCTTGATGGTGAGCGCTTTCGCATGCGCTGTTATAGGCTGGGGATGGGGTGGCGATGAGTGATCAGGAGTGCGAACGTTGCACGCGACACGTTTTGCCATCGTGGAAGCAACGGTAGGTTCTATGAGAGGAGTCATGTGTGGTATCATATGGCATGGTATGGTATTGTTCACGAGGGAAGGAGACAGCAAGGGCAAGAAGCAACGAAGGACATTCGGTGGGCGGTGATTTGCTACCTGAATTATGGTTCTTGGGGGGAGGGGGAGGGAACTACTGAGCGGGTAGCGGGTAGGGTACGGGAGGGTAGGGTAGAAGAAGATGGGTGCGAAGTACGCAATAATGCGATCGATGGGACATGGGATAGCTGCATGGGATTGATGGAGTACGTGGAAGGGTTTGGCGGGCAGGTTGAGGCGGTTGAGGATGGGACGGGATGGAGTAATCAATAGAGAGGCAGGAAGAGAGGGAATGTGTGAGTGTGAGTATGGCTGATTGGTTGGACTGGATGGGTGAGTAGATTTGTATTGGGTATTTGGCGCCGTCGTGAAGGGTGTGTATCTATGGCATATGCGACGGACGGTACGGAGCTGGATGAAATGTATGGAAGTTCGGCATACGGTGGCTGGTAGTCGACCGTAAGAGAAAGATTACTACAAGGTGCGGGCAGAGCCGAGAGATGGCACTTCCTTGGATACATGGAATGAAGAAAAGAGAAAGCGAGAGGAGATGCGGAGAAATGATGATGGATCATTGATGCGAAAGAAGAGACAAGACATGGGTTGGTGGGTGGGTGGGTGGGTGTATTGTGTTGGTTATATCCGGGCGCGTAACTTGATAAGACTCGAGATTTGATTGAAGACGTGAACCTGGGCATTTGGGTGAGGTGTTCATTACCAAATCCGACTCATTCTCCGTACTTATTGTTTATTATATCTCTCGTGTAGTTGGCTTGAGAAAGGGAGGATTTATCCAAGATGAAGTGGATATGGGTGTTATTGGAAGGAAGATGGAAATTTCCATGTCTGGTAACAAAGCGTCTATGGTGCACGTAGGTATCCAGCAGAATGATCATGGTTGAGACAGAACATGCAATCGGGTCGATGTACCAGAGGCGACAGCGGTTGCATGTCTTGGTTGTTATAATACATACTCACCTATTGTGTGGAGTATGTCCATGTTGGTATGGCACGTATGTAGAAGTATGTACATAGAACTATGTATCTTCATACATGTTCTCTGCAATGTGATAATGCGCGTAATGGCCTTCGATCGATGTCCGTCCTTGGCGAGGCCAATCTGGTCACCCGTCACCGGCCAGCGAACATGCGTTCGCGCTGATCTTCTGCTTATTCCAATATATACCTTGTTGATTTGTGTGTGTCTACTCCGTCCCTCGTCCTCGTACCTTTTTGTGCTCATACGTCCGGTAAGGTCGTGGTCGAGGTGGAGGAGGGGACCGGTCGAATGGCGGGCCGGTCTAAACTCGACAGGGATGTTCCCAGAATCCCTTCCCTTTGCCTTCCTTTCAGCCCTTTCACACAAATACATCAACACACCAATACACCAACAACGGCTTCCAGACTCTTGAGACTACCTCGTACTGTGTAACTACTGGGCCATCTGGAACTCCCTTAACTACTACGAGTAGCCCCTTGTCAAAGACTATTTTTCTCTTATATCATATCTATGCTAAATGTCTTGTGTTCAGTGTCGAGTGTGTGTAACCACGTCTGAATCCCCAGAGTCGCTTTCTTTTCCTTCTCGATCGCCGTCTCCTTCAGCCCATTGACGGAGGAGTCTCCCGTGAGCCATCGCTCGTGCAATCCTACACTTGGGTTTTCACTTCCCCGACTCCAACATCTTCAAAGCGTTCCGCTACTTGAAGGTCCGGGCCGTGCGATCTACAAAACGGGGTGCTTGTCGAACTGCCCGTGCTCCTTGGATATTTGTAGTTTGCTAATATATCCCCACCCACTGATTAGTTATACTCGTACATTCGGACCAGTGCTGCGCCGACATCAACAACTTCCATAGTGCAAGATTGGTAGTCTAGAAGTCTGACCGAGCTTGCTAACGTTGCCGCAGCACTCCCTAAGTAGATCTCCATCCAGGCTAGACTTGGTGACGCAGACCCCTCCAGCTGCGAAGGGTTCACTAGACTTGGTCCGGCGCCTGGAACACACTCCGACCGTGAACCCTCAAAGACAGCATCTGACCTGCTAGCAGCCCGGTGCCTGCCGCAGCAATGTCTGTCTCTTCATCAGATTTCCCACTCACTGAACGCTTCCTCTCTCTGTGACGTCCTCATCACAATACCCTTCTAACCCAACTACTGCTTGCCCGTAGTTGTGCGCCCATGCCCCGGTCGACCCCAACGCTCACCAGCAGCTCTTCGCGACCTCGATGCTCGCTGAATCCGAACAGTCGCAACGCGAGAATCGTTACCACAATGCCATCGGCCAGACCCAGCGCGAACTGGCGAGGCGCTCCCTTACCGAGCTGAGGAGGGAGACCTCCCAGCGGGAGCTCACTTCCTATGCCCTCATTGACATTCTGGATATCGATGATCGACCCTCATTCATAATCGACCTTTCCCTTCCTTCCCCTCGCCACGCCCTCATCAATCCGATATACCACAATCCGGCATTGGCCGCTGCTGGACGGTTATGGGCGCAGATACAGGAACCGAGCAATCCCCTCGGCCCTTTGGCGGAGGGAAACGCGGCCTTCCGGTGCTGGGTGTTTGACGAGTTGAAAGAGATAGATTTGGTGAGCCGTGGCCGAACACATAGTTGGGAGGGCTACATATGGTCCGCAACCACTATAAAACAGCATCGCATAGTGAGCGGCGTATTGGGCCCGCCAACGCGAGTCGAGCGATCATCCTCCCTGAGGACGATAGACTCGCGGGAGCACAAGGAGCCAAAGAACCTACCACAGCTCCTCGAGTCTCATTTGCCATCTGTGCCAAACGCGACCCCCTCGGGAAGTTCACGTGAGAATGATAGTTATCCATTGCAGTCCGATGTACCGCAGGACAATTTCGATTTTACCAGGGATCCTCCGTCAATGAGACTGACTCCCCATTTGGAATACTTCCGCAGCATTGGCTGGGCCAATACAAAGCTCGGCCCAATGAAGGATTGGTCTCCTCAGCTGCGATCCGCCGCAAATTTGGTCTTGAATGATACACACCCGGCGCTCCTCTTGTGGAGTGACGATGTTATCATGATATATAACGAAGCCTACGTCGAGGTGATTGGGCTGCTTCATCCTTGTATGGGACAAAGTTCACGTGTCGCTGGTAAGGATTACTGGGGTTATTTCAAACCGCTTTTAGACCACATCAGGGCAACGGGCGAGACTCTTACTGAAAATGATATGCCCATCTTCATCGACAGGCATGGATTTTTAGAAGAAGTCTTTTATTCTTTCCAATTTATGCCAATCTTGGATGGTGATGGCAAAGTAGGGGGTTATTACCAGATCCTTAGGGAGACTACCCAGAACAATATTCTTCAGCGGAGAGTGTCGAGTCTCGTCGAGATCGGGAGCCAGACTGCAAAAGCACGCGACCCGGATGCATACTGGGATCTTGTCTTGAACACGCTAGCCATTAACGAAAAGGATGCACCGTTCGCTCTCTTGTATGCCGTAGAGCATGAGGTCGGAACGGACGTATCCTCCATCTCTTCTCCTGGCAGCACAACCTCTATTGATCGTTGCATTCTCAAAGGGGCTATTGGTGTAGAGGCTGATCACCCGATCGCACCTTCGGTCATAGCTCTCGACGAGAGCGGCGCGATTTTCTCGCCTCATCTTCGGAAAGCTGCCAAGTCAAGAAGGCCTACGCTTGTGCATTTTGAGGACATCGACGTTCCAAAGTCGGTGCTGGACGGAATAGCGTGGAAGGGGTACGGCGAGCCCTGTAGATGTGTCGTAGTGTGCCCTCTTCTCCCTACAACCAGTGAACAACTTTTAGGATTTATGATTCTTGGAGTAAACCCCAGAAGGCCTTTTGACCTCGAGTATGAACAATTTGTACACGTTACTAACCGTCTGCTCGGAACCTCTCTTGCTTCAGTCGTTCTCTTCGATGAGGAACTCCGACAAAAGGAGACTGCTATTGGACAGGCAGCACTTATACAAGAGCATCTTCTTGCTGAGCTTAGCAACAAAGAGAAAAAATTTCAGCGATTCGCAGAGCGCTCAGACATTGCGATCTTTATCCTGTCACCAGAGGGCCGTTACACATATAGGAATCAGCGGTGGTTTGAAATCTTCAAAGACGCCGCCAACGCAGACGATGTCGCTATGGTTTGGAAGAGTGTTGTTTTCCCTGAAGATATTTCATTCTGTGAGGGTCTTTTCTCTAAACTTGTCGATCACAAGACGCCCATCAGCTTCGAATTAAAGACGACAATGCGGTTCGACCCGCCCGATGACTTGGCAGAACCCAGTGACTCTTCACAGGAGCACTACCAATGGATCATCTGCTCCGCCTATGCGGAACTGAACAGCAAAGGCGACATTGTCGAAATCGTCGGGAATGTGACCGACATCTCCAAGCAGAAATGGGCTGAAGAGCTGCAAAAGATGAGAACGGACAGTGCCCTCGAAAGCAAGGATCATCTCGAGCACTTCATCGATACAACTTCCCACGAGATGAGGAACCCGCTGTCCGCCATCATGCAATGCGCCGACGAGATCCTTACTTCTACACGTGGATCGCGAGATGGCGGTCTCGCCGCTTTGTCCGCCGCCAGCTACGAAGAAATATTCGAGCAGGCGCTGGATGCTGCACAAACGATCGCGCAGTGCGCACAGCACATGAAACGCATCGTGGATGACATACTCACCATATCCAAGCTGGACTCGGGTCTCCTCGTCATCACCCCTGTTGACGCACAACCGCACGTCATTGTCAGTCACGCCGTCAAAATGTTCAACACCGAAGCCAAGGCGTCAGGAATCGAGATGAAATTCATTATTGAGGAGTCTTATCGCGATCTTGGTCTGGACTGGGTGTCTCTAGACCCTACAAGACTACTTCAGGTGAGCGAGCGATGATTCAAGATCTTACTCCTGACTCTAGCTAACTTTCCAGGTCCTCATCAATCTTATCACCAACGCCGTGAAGTTCACGCGCCTGGAACCAGTCCGACTCATTACAGTATCAATGGGTGCCAGTTCCACCCCGCCGCCCTCCACCACTCCTGGCGGCGTCCAATACATCACCACGAAACTCGTAGGCGAAAACCGCCAGCTGCGGGATGACTGGAAACATGGCAGTGCCGTCTACCTCGAGTTCTCCGTCCGAGACACCGGTCGGGGGCTCGCCGAAGACGAAAAGGAAACCCTTTTCTCCCGCTTCTCGCAAGCTTCGCCACGCACCCACATCCACTACGGCGGCTCCGGCCTCGGCCTCTTCATCTCGCGACGCCTGACCGAGATGCAAGGCGGTTCCATCGGACTAGCCAGCGAATACAAGAAGGGCAGCACATTCGCATTCTATATCAAAGCCCGCCGCTCGCGATCTGGCTCACGGCGCGGCAGCCTCCCGCACGTCTTCCCAGAGGACATACGACATCGGCCGCACACGCCCAAGGAATTCGACAGACTCCTCAACCCGGTACATCCGTACCCCGTGCCCAAGCTCAGCGGCGCGTCGCCACACCCCCACCATCACGAACAACCCTCCTCGTCCCAAGCACCGCATCAACAACAACCCACCGACAACACCTCCTCCCCACCCGTCTTCGACGAAGACGACCTCCGCTGCGTGCCCGAGACCCTCCACGTCCTCGTCGTAGAAGACAACCTCGTCAACCAAAAAGTCCTCGCAAAGCAACTCCGCAAACTCGGCTGCGAAGTCTCGGTCGCGAACCACGGCGTCGAAGCCCTTGACTTCCTCAAGAAGACCCGGCATTGGGACCACTCGAAGCCCTGCACCGTCGTCACAACCTCCAACAATGGCAAAAGTAGAAGCAATAGCAATAGCAAAAGTAACAAGCCAACGACGCCTCCTCATCCCGGCGGGGGGAATGCTAAGCCGCTCTCGCTCTCTTTGATCCTAATGGACTGGGAAATGCCCATAATGAACGGGCTGACGTGCGTGTCGAAGATCCGCGCGCTCGAGCGGGAAGGGGTGGTCACGACGCATATACCGATCATTGGTGTGACGGCCAACGTCCGGCAGCAGCAGATCACAACGGCCATGGAGGTGGGGATGGACGATGTGGTCGGGAAGCCGTTCCGTGTCGCGGATCTGCTGGCGAGGATGAGGGGTGTGATATCGGGGACGGTGGGGATTAAGGCTGAGAGCATTGAGGGGAGTGATGGGGAGAAGGTGCGGGAGGGGAGTTGATGTGTTAGGATGATTAATTGCCTGATTGATGATGCAGATACTGGTACTGGTGCTCTATGTAAATACGAAGACATATTACCTCCGCGATGATACAATAAACGAAATCCCATCGTGTATACATCGTGCTCCCCAAATCTATCCAATTTCCAATCTCAAGGCGCATAATCGATATTAAGCTTCCTGTACTTCTTAATCAGCTTTCTCATTTTCCCCCTCGACATCCCATACTTCTCAGCCTTGATTCTTACCTCCTCCTCCAACTCCTCATCCCCGCCCCCACCCTCTCGACTCGCCACCCTCGCGCCGTACTCAGCCAGCATCTTTCTCGCCTTGACATTCCCCACCGTGCTCCCCCTCGCCGCCGCCTCGAGCGCCGTGCCGTAGAATGACGCTTTGGCGTGGACGTCGGCGCCACTTTCGAGGAGGAGCTTGACGAGGGGGAAATGCCCTTTCCATGCTGCGATCTGCAACGCGGTGCCGTAGGTTTTGCTCCCGGGGGCATTTGGGTCGGCGCCTGCGTCGAGGAGGTAGTGGGCGGCCTGGAGGTGGCCGTCGTAGCATGCGGTCTGCAGGACGTTGCCGTACTGGCCACAGTGAGCGTTCGGGGAGGCGCCTGCGTCGAGGAGGAGTTTGGCGATGGCCGTCTTGTTGGCGGCAGTGCCGGAGATGGCGTGGGAGAGCGCGGTTTGCCTACCTGTGTCGGCGTAGTCGATTTCGAGGCCCGGGGCAGAGAGGAGAAGGGTCACGATGGGGACATAGCCGCAGCGTGAGGCCCACATTAGGGGCGTGCAGCCGAATTGCGTATCCTTGGAGTGCGGGTCTACGAATGGGGAGGCGAGGAGTAGGGAGACGACGTCGAGGTGGCCGTGGTGGACGGCGTAGGAGAGCGGGGTTTGGCCGGTTGAGGTGGAAGGGGGGTCTGGGTCGGCGGTCGTGTTGTTTAGGAAGAGGGCGACGATGTCATCGTAGCCTCTCTCGGCGGCAAGGGAGAGGGGGGTTTGCCCGTGCTTGCCCTCGGTGGCTTCGAGGTCAGTGGATGGGTGAGCTATGAGGAGGGAGACGACGTTCGTCCAGCCTTCTTGGGATGCGATGGAGAGAGCGGTCTGTTGGGACTCTGGAAGTCTGGCGTTGACGTCGATGTCCGGGCGGGAGAGGAGAATCTTCACGATTGATGGATGGTTTTCTTTGGCGGCGTAGAGCAGGGGCGTCCAGTGGGCCCATATCATGTTTGGACCCTCCGTGGTGTTGACGTCTGCGCCCAAGGAGAGCATCCGGAGGAGAGTAGCTTCTCGGTCGTTTTCTGCGGCCCAGAGTAGAGCCAGGCCATTGTTGTGCTTTATTTCGAAACGATAAATGTAGTCATTCAGGACAGAGTATAGATAGATGTTGGTCTGTGCCAAACGGTTGATGTCGTCGAGTCCGCTGTACGGGCGATCTAGTCCGCTGTCCAGGCAATCTGCTATGGTCAGAAGTAGTTCGGCTGGAAGACCTGGGAGCGAATTGGGGTTGACGTTGGCCGTCTTTGTAGTTGTTATATGATCGGCTTGTGGCTTATGTTTCGACATGTTTGGTGTATGTTGTTAGTCGAGAGAAAGAGAGATTACTTTTGAAGGAGAGTGTCTGGTCTTTATTCTGTCAATGTTGGACTATCCCGGTCACGCATGAATGGTTGCAGTCGTTTATACTTTGAGGCAGAGTTGGGGCGGAGTAAGTAGTCCGTGCGCTGTGCAGATAGACAGATGGTCAGTTGTTTGTTGGCTGATATTCTGGGTGGTATTGAAAGACAACGTTAATGGATGTTTCAACAAATAGAGCAGTGATCGTTTGATACAGTGGAGGAAGAGAAGTCTTTTCGTATCTGTAGAAATATTTAATCTTCACGTCGGTGGACACTGCCAGTTGACCTTTGACTCATAGTTAGCCTAATTCAGTTGTGTTGTGCGAGGGATGGAAGGATCGAACGCTCGAATAGGAAAGTGAACATGGGTGGATATCTGATGATGAACTTCTGATACGAGATGCAGTACGAGGCATACTGATGTCTACATACCTAAACACGCATTGGCGGCTAATCGGTTTGAACACAATGATAGCGGTATGCTTAGAGTCGACGTACTGCAAGAAATGTATATTATATATCATTAGGAAATCTGTATTCTGATCCGAGTATCCCAGATGATTTTCATGACGACTAGCAGCCCTCTTGATCGAACATGGAGATGACGGTCGCGTTCGATCCAAGGCAGACGGCTCGCTGAATCCAAGCCTAGAATTGAATGTCAGCGGGCGTTGATCGGGTTCGTAGTGGACAGATCCAGATATGTAACCTACATCAATCTGCTCCTGGCCAGGTTGGCGCTCTCGGCTCAAAATGTACAAAACTCCCCATTCCTGGGTTTGTACTATGGCGTAATCACCGCCGTACTCTAGAAACATCGGTAAGTTACCATCTACAGCTCACCGGAATAGTATGAGTCTTACCTTGAACGATGTAGTTGGGCCCGGGGCATTCAGCAGGGGAAGATTCCGGGAACGAGACCACAAAAGCTCCACCAAAGCCATATTGCGCGCTAACAGGAGCTGCGGTGCCATTTGCGCCTACTGACCGACCTCCGGCCGTTGCTGTGTTAATGACCTTCACAGTTCCATCGTCCTGATCACAATCATATCAGTAGTTGATTGTAAGGCTAGCGGATTTAGGGCCATACATTGGCTTGATACTCGGCAGTGACACACTTTGCGCCTGAAGTCTCACCAAATGGAGTTCCAGCGACTTGATACCACGTGCCTAGATACTCTTCGAGGACAAAAGAGGGATCGGGGACTGGGTAGAAACATTGTCTGGGCTAAAGTCAATTGCATCCAGTTGAGTTGAAGGCAGCGAACTATACCCATCATAGTATGCAGGGACGACTTCGCGTCCGGCAGTTTGTTCAGCTCGAGGGATAACAGCAGCCGATGCTGCGAGGCCAAAAGAGGCAAGGAGACCTAGGACAGCGTGCATTTTGCTCAAGTTGCGGAGGTTGAAAAAGATGTTCTCAATTCTGTCGATGGATAATTTGGGAGTACCCAGATTGGAAAGTTTATAGAGTAGTAGGCCGGTTGATGATCTCGTCAATTGATCGTGGAGTGACCGTCAACAATGGATATCGGCCTTTATAAACAATCTCGTTCAAAGTCGGCATCGTTACGTCGCACATCAAGGTTTACCGGCAAAACATATAGTGTAAACGTTCGTTCATTCGAGTCACGTTATGCTCGCCCAATACGCACTACACACTGTAAATCATCACGCCAAGGTGTAAAAGGTCTTGACATCCGTCAGTACCACGTAGCAACGCAGGTACTCAAGGGACAATAAGCTCGCCTGTTGGTAATATGTATTACGAACAGCAAGGCCAACAATTGTCCGGCGAGGAGTGCGAACTGATGGTACTGAGAAGGTGAACGATCTAAGCAAAATATCTATGACGTAGATCGAACCTTGGCATTGTAGATTGAAGCCGAACAATCCGACTTCATGAAATGATACAAGACGCGAATTATTGGTAGATATTGATTGCGACTGCACTTATGCACTTACACGGTTTAGATTGTGCTGTACGCCCGTCGCTTTTGCCCTGGACCTGGTCGCTGCATGTGCCAACGGGTTGTACCTGGCTAGCACAAATAGAGGCAGCCAAATCGATCGGCTGTAGCATCATCCTGGCTGCAAGTGATGTATTTACAGCTTCGGCTTGGCCTTCAGATCTTATTCAGAGCTGTCCTGCTCTTTATGTTACGACAAGGTTGAGACTCTCATATTGATGCTCTCCTGCGAGCCTCAGGAAGCGGATGCGTCTCAACGCGCGGGACTGACAGCTCTTTCCGCCGGGCTGGTAGTTCTACTAGTTCCGACACCACTGGCCAGTAACTCTAATCTGCTGGCCTGCACTCTGTGCTTCTTCATCACCTCAATCCACTCGTCTTCCGCTTCGTCATCGTTATCATGGCCAAGCTCAGCGCGCAAGTCTTCCTCGAGCAGAGCAATCATCATACTGAAGTCACCACCTCTTCTTCCCAGGGAATTGGCGCAGTAAAGGACTTGTGTAAGTAGAGAGTCCCTTGATGATCGGTCTTGAATGTTTGGAAGATAAGTTCGCAGGGTGTCGAAAAGTAGCTCAACCAAATGGAGTGGGAAAGTTGCGAGAGCGGATGGAATCGGCTGAAGTGGGTTTGCCTGCGCATTGTTTACGGGTTGGACTGCAGGAGCAGGGTCATCTTCTGTCGATGGAATTGGGAGCGCGGAGGGGAAGATATCCTTGTACATAGAGATAATGGCGAAGCTCTGCTCCCGAAAGATCTCGATATATCTCTTCAAATATCGTTCTGTTTGCTGGCCCCAACCCGTGCTTTTGTTTCCAGACTTAAGTCTCTGTTCTGTCTCTTGGTCTGCTAGTTCTTTCAATGGGTCTAGTGCCGACAGAATCCCCTCGAGGCAGCCATATCTGCAAACCAGGAACAATGCACCTAAACTGCCCTCGCCGGTGCCAATGGTAGACTTTTTGGAGGACCAGGACTCATCAAGTTCAGGGGCAACCCGCCGCAGCCAACCAATTGTTCGCATTGCACCCGCAAGTTTGATTGACTGGGACTGCAGACCAGCGATCAGGTTTGATGTCATGGTCTTCATTTCTTGCTCAGCCTGGGAGGACAGGGAGGCTATGAGTTGGGATTCTGGATACAAGGTCGAAAGCCGCTTGATGTGTGCGTATAGGTCGAGAGCTGAGGCATAATTTGCGTTTGTGGCAGACGTAGTGTTATTCGAAGCTGCCTGAGCTGGTGTAGTAGAAGATGCGATAGCGGACGACAGGAGTGTAGGTAGGTCGAGTACATCGGACACTCTGTCGATATTCCTTGCGAGAAGCATTGCTTTGGCCCGGCGTTCAAGTATGGGATTTTCGCTAGTCTTGGAATACTTGTCGGAAAAACGTCTTGCAGCTGACTCGAGTTTTGGTAATTCTGTGTGGACAGCATTTGCATTGGTTCCAATTTGCGGGAGTGTATCTCGGAGATGTGAAAGGTGGTCTGAAGACGCTATTATCGGTTTATAGGACCGTTTAGAGAGGGATTGGAGGGACCGTAGTATAGAGTGAGAGCTCTGTGCGAGGGACTGCTGTTCGGAAGAAGATAATGCGGCAAGCGGGAGTGTGGTCAATCGGGACAGGTATGCGGTGGTCGCGGTGTCGGTAGGGGAGGGCGCATTGTGAGTAGACGTGTCTTGCGCATCAAAGTAGGGTACGAGCAGTTCGTACAATGGGTCGGCCATGATCTGAGGGAGGGCGGGGGTGTGCTATCGAGTCGAAGTTGGGAAGAGTGGAGTGACGCTGTTGTTGGTGTTGTTTGTTATGTCGGGAACCATGCAATGCGATTGTGTACAGTGCTGGGTGAACGTAGTGTGGTATACAATGTACCGTACTATGCTCGGATACCTAGTTAGTGAGTTCGGAGTAAATAGGCGGCCGATCTTTCACATGCGGAATCGGATGCAGCCACTGGGCGCACCGCCACTTCTATCACTTATTGTAGCCCAACAACTTTGAGCATTTTACAAAGTGAGAATGGACGTTTAAACAATGATATAATCTTATTAAATCCTATTCTGGTTGTTCCGTGCTTGCGTAAATAAAACAAACCTGCCTGCCTTGTCATGTTGTGAGCCGACAACCTCTCTTTTACACCAATCATCGTCGCCAGACAAATACTTCACTACTTGCACACTCCGACTACTATCACTAACTCTACCATCACACAAGCCCTCGAAACCCTCACTCACTCACTCACTCACTCCACCACTGCCAAAAACGAAGACGGATCTTTTGCTAACGCACTGCTGCAAGATACACAGGAGACCCTCCGCCACCACTCTATCCTGCCTATAAGCGTGGGTCTAGACACAGGCAGGCCTGTTTGACTCTGTGACGACCGTTCCCTCCGCCTGCCGAACCCCACACCCTCGACTCGTACGCGCAAAGCGCAAGAAGGTGCATAACGCAAACACGACACAGGCGCAACAAAATCCTACCCCCCGCTTCCTACACGTCTCTAGCCCGGACAGCATGCCTGACGGCGCTGTGCAGTTCTGCGTCGAGGATACCATCGGACTCAAGGATGATAGCACCCAAGTGGGCGTTGTCGACCGGGCCTTTGGTGACGTCGATTCCCACGAACCCCGCCCGCAACGCGACTACGAAGACGATATCATACGGCATGATGACATACCGGAAGATGACTTCATGAAGTTTCTACGCTCCGGCATCCCCCCACGCGGCACCGTCCTCGTCTCATGGCAAACCGCAGTCAAGACGGAATTAATACCAGAGAGTAGACTGGAATTACTGGACCGGGCACTCTATGTGGGAGACGTTGTCAAGAAAAACGCAAAAGACCATATGAGTGGAACGGTGATTGGGAAGAACGTGACTTGCAATCTGTTTCCCACAGCCTTTTTCAACGGCGGCCAAGTCAGTCATTCAGTCATAGAAGAGCGCTCGATACGGCGCGTGCCCGTCGAGGAGATCATAAACTGTCACGAATATGTGGAAGGTGCGCTAGCCTTGTATGGCGACTGGGTGGGCCGCATAGAACAGGTCTATGACGAAGTCGCGGTCAAATTAAGCAACAATTCGGTCGTTGTCATCGAGAACGCGGATGAACTAGAGCCGGATGATACCACCATGGATCGCCTCAGTGTCGGCGACATGATTACCACTAAGAAAGGGACGTTGAGAAGAGGAAGGTGGCGGTATGGAGTCTACGATGCCAACATACGACCTCGAGGGATGGTCGTTGAGACACGGACGGTCTGGATCAGTGTGCAATGGCTCGCAAAGAAATTTGGCGCTGGAGGAGCGAACGTGGGCGGTCGCAGCATTGAGCCACCATCAGAGCTAAGCCTTGACGAACTGGAAAGTGGAAGATTCCGCGTTTACGATGCCAGCGGCAACTCAAGCAGCACCCTCCCACTCATGGCCAACGGCGTGGATCATTCGTACCATGTCGCTGATATAGCCGTGGCGGACCGAGTACGATTCAAAGACCTTGCTGGAGCTGCCGTAAAGTATGATGGGACTACACTACTAACTGATGGCAAACCTCAGGGGAAAGTCACAAAGATCCCGCGCACCGAGACCCTGGGAAGCGACATGAACGTCTACCTCTGCTTGCAGTCCCACACACGGGTCACCGTTCAGTGGCAAGATCTCTCCGTCACCGAAGATTATAGCTCTAGCTTCATTCCAGACCCCAACGTTGAAGACGACGACGAAGTTTGGCCAGGAGAAATCGTCTGTACCAAAGAGCAGCGCGAGAAGGCCGCGGATGTGACATGGACCTTCGAGCCAAATAAAGTCGGTGTCGTTCAATCCGTCAATTCCCGAGATCGGATTGCGTCAGTTCGGTGGTTTAAGAATCCTAACATTAGGTTCTTAGGGGACGACCTCATCCCACCATCAGAGACGGGGTCATTGCACACTGCAACTGAAGATGTGAGCTTGTACGACATTCGCTCCACCCCCAGTCTGACGCGGCGACGTGGCGACTTCGTTCTCATTCATCCTGATTCCATCCCGACCTCAGTACATGACTCCTCCGAGCCCACGTGGTTTGGTGAAGTGGTCGACTTGGGATTGGACGGCCAACTCACGATCAGGCTAGGGGCAGCAAGGCCGGTGATTGATATACAACTTCCTGCCGAGCGCGTGACCCTTGTTTATAGCAGTGATATGCCTGACAGCTCCCTAGGCAATCTCATGCAAACCCTTGATGGAGACTCTATCGAAGACTCGGAGGAAGAAGATCTTTCCGATTTCGATAACGCATCGTTCAACGACATGTGGATCGAGTATGAAGGCGCACAGCCTGTTGGTAACGTGGATGATGACGACTGGTCGACTGAGGACGAGGAGTCTGATGATGACGAGTCAATGCCAGATCTAGCGCCTGCAGACAATGTTGAAACTTCGAAAACCACGCCAGAAATCCAGTCCGATGCTGAGCACCATTCGACCGATCCATTGCTTCAGCCACAGCCAGGCGTCCATCGTTCTTCCTCGAAGTCAGAAGATCTCACATTAGGTTCGGCAGATTTCAACGCAGACGTCGATCCGGATGCGCCCTCGCCCTTTCTGGTACTGGACAGCGAACCTCCGTTAGATCACCGCTATCTTGATGTCCCAGTAGTTAACACGCCAGGTTTCACCAAACGCATTGCAAAAGAACACAAAATACTTCGCTCCGCATTACCCCCCGGGATCTTTGTTCGCACCTGGGAGTCGCGCCTCGATGTCTTACGGGTCCTAATGATTGGACCCTCTGATACGCCGTATGAGTTCGCGCCGTTCATCATTGACTTCCACCTAAGTGCTTCATATCCTGCGCAGCCACCTGCAGCCTTCTTCCACAGCTGGACTAACGGGAATGGACCGGTCAACCCGAATCTTTACGAGGATGGGAAGATCTGTTTGAGCCTTCTTGGAACATGGCACGCAGACGAGCGCAACGAATCCTGGTCCCCCGCCAAAAGCACCTTGCTCCAAGTGCTAGTGTCCCTGATGGGCCTCGTGCTCGTAAAAGAACCGTACTACAACGAAGCCGGGTACGATGTCCACCGCGCAGCTCCCGAGACAAAGCTTAGCAGCGCCCTTTACACCGAGCGTGCATACTTCCGAGCCCGCGCTTTCATTACCCACGCGCTCGAAAACAACATCTCGCCCTTCTCCGAAGAGATCAAGTATCTGTATCTCAGCAACAAGGAGAACGCCCCGCGCTTACTAGACAGCGCAATCCAGGCCTCGAAAGATATCCTCACGCGCAGTCAAAACAGCGCGAACGAAGAGGAACGCGATGGCCTCCGCAAGATCAGCCTCGGCGCCACAGTCATGCTGAAGCGCCAATTAGACAAGCTCGAAAGGCTCCGGACCGCAAATTCGAAGTAAAGTCGAACTTAAATCACATGTACTGGTACTGTAGGAATAGAATTCAAAATATCGCATCTTGGACGGCGCCTTGACTTTATGGAAAGGATCGGATCGGATCATGGAGGTCATACCCATTAGTGATTTGTTTGGGAGGGCATGTGTGGGTGGGATTGGTGTTTACTCTTCATGTGACTTTCTAATACGAGTGAATAGGATAATGTAGACATCGACCGATATGGCTGTGCAGTGTATATAGTCTCGCTGGCTGTTTCGTCAGGGGGGTGCATGCACATTTAATATAATGGTCTATCCTGATATACATGCTATCATGCTTGAAAAATTTCCATCACCAAGACAATAGAACTTTATGTTAGGTACAGTGTGGTAAAAACAAATGCCTTGGTCTTCACTGACACCGACTTTCAGTTTATTAGACTCCGGTGCTACTCGGATTATTACAGATAGCAAATATCAGTTCTCAGCACTGCAACTCCCGCAATCCCAAGTACCTCAATCAAAATGCTCGCAAAAAGAAACCACAATCATAACTTATAACCAAACCCGCGTTCCTCAAGTCTCCTCACCCAAAAACCAGCGCTCTAACCTCAATGCTATCCCTCCCAACCGCGCCCTCAGGCGTCCTCGGATCCACAAAAGCCGTATGCGGCACCCTCCCCCACTGACCGACCGCCTCATCGCTATCAAAGCACTTAAGCAACAACCTCTCCTCATCCCGCATCCCACTCCAATAATACCACCTCTGCCCCTCATGGTACCTCACGGCCGCCGTCTCGCCCGTCCTGTGCGGATACCGATGCTCGACCGGGATGAGATCCTCGTCACGGACGGTCGCGCTGTCCGCGACGGCGAGCGGGTGCGCCATGACGGGCCCGTTCAGCGGACGCCAGACGTTGACGATGCGGTAGCGGCTGCGGAGGAGCGTGTCTGCTTCGTCCGGGAGGTGGTAGCGGACGCGGGACTCGGCGGACGAGGGCGTCTGGTCGATGTGCACGCGGGTGACGGGCGCGCGGTTGGCGTTGGGGGTCGAGCGTCGGACGGTGTAGTCGAAGAGGAGGATGCGGGTTGCGCCGGGGATGGTGGACAGGAGGAGTTGCTCGACTTCAGGGTAGTAGGTTGATTTTATTTTGGCGTCGTCTGTGAAGTCGGAGGAGACGGTGGAGCTGGGGATGTTGGAGAGGACAGAGAAGGCGTTGTTGTCGAGTGTGAAGTTGGATTCGAGGCCGCGGAGGTCGCTGAGGGGGACGGATTCCCAGGCTTCGCCGAAGTTGCGCTGGGGGCGGCCGTCGGTGGGGGGTTCGACGTAGTTGTGAGGGGCAGAGCCGTCTTCTGGGGGTTTGTAGAAGGAGAGCGAGGCGGTTACGGTGCCACGGGGAATTGGGAGGCCTTGGTGGTTTACATCTTTGGTGATGGAAGAAGTTGAAGGTTGCTGTGATGTAGTGGAGGATTGAAGCTCATGAGCGGGAATGGGACGGGTGGCGGGAGTTGCCATGATAGCTGTATAAATTGGACAGTTTATATGTTTGGATATCCTGTCTTGAGACCTTTCTTCGATGTGAGAGTTGTAAATCGGCAGTAAGAAGGTACAAAGTACGTTGCTATCTTGTATAAGATGGTAATCGGATTGATGTCTGAGGTTGTGATATGTGGATGATCAGTAACTATGAAGAGCCGTTGCAGCAAATATATATACCCGTATCTCGAGTGATGTTTACTCTTCCAATTCGAGGATTAGAAATCTTTGAGTTACAAATCCCATACGCCAATCTCTCGGCAAGATTTCAGGGTCTCACTCGTAGGGGCATGGAAGATATGTTTTTAATGGATGGAATTTGCGGAGTCATTTAGCGATGATGCCATCGCGCTTTATTCCCGAGGTAGAAAGCACAACGTCCAATGGGAATTCGGTACGGCTGACAAACCGTCTATTGCGTGATAGCTGTCATACTCTAAATGTACATCGTTGTAAGGCAGAACGTAATATTATGATGAAGAAACAGGTGCATTTCCAATAAGAATGTGAGATGTCGTATAGGAAATATGACCGTGTGACGTTGGACCTCTGTTCGACAAGATTGATATTCGGATTTTACTCGCAGTCATCTCGGATGGCATCACTTGATTCATAATGATGCTGCTTAGTTGTAAACCATTGTATTATTCTGTCTTTCACGACTCTAATGGCAGGATATGTTTAGAGAAAGTTCTAAGATGACCTTATAGAATTCATATAGTACCCGTTGGTATTGATCAACTACCAGGGCCATCCACAGATGAGCTTCAAGTACCTAGGTCTATCGTGAGACTAAGGGCCAACGCTAATTACTCGACCTCGCATTGTTTTCTCTGCATTGCTAACAACATAGTATTTCATAAGATACTCGATCGATAGTTTCGATGTAGGATAACACTTATGAGTGCAGGCAGACGAAATCTCCCGCATATGAGCTAAAGACATCAACCCAATACTCCCTTAGCCCTTATGTCGTCTAGACGTCATGATGTTGACATGTATTAATCACATCCACAAATCCACAAACCCAACAACCCTCTCTCCCTTCCTACTTCTGCCTCCACAATGCTACGACTTTTCACACGCACAGCCCCCACCCTCCGTAACTCATTCCTACCCAGATCTCCATACCTCATCGCACGAACCATGAGCGGCAAAGCAGACAACGAGCAATTGAAGAGCTCAAAGCTCTTCGACGTCTCCCACGTGACCGCTGTCGTTACAGGCGGTGGAACGGGTATTGGCTTGATGATCACACAAGCTCTCGTTGCCAATGGCGCGAAAGTGTACATCACGTCTAGGCGTGAAGAGGTGCTCGAAAAGACGGAGAGTCTCTACAACAGCGGTCCTGGACAAGTGATACCGTAAGTCCCCTCGACCGCATGCAATAGCAAGAACACTAACACAGAATAAACATAGGCTTCAAGGCGACGTAAGCGACAAAAACGACATCAAGCGTCTCGCCGACGAAATCGCCAAAAAGGAGCCCAAGGGTATCCAACTCCTCGTCAACAACGCAGGCATCGCACGGGACGACAAGACCAAATTCAGCACCGCAGGCCAACCCGACCTCGACGACGCCGAGGCCATCTCAGCGCACTTCTGGAACTCGGAGCCGGACAGCTGGGCGGATACGTTCAGAACTAACGTCACGGGGCTGTACTTCATGTCCGTTGCCTTTTTGCCGCTGCTCGCGAAGGGAAGGGAGGTTACGCCGGGGTATACGTCGAGTGTCATCAATGTGACATCGATTTCCGGGTTCATGAAGGGGAGTAGTGGTGGGCAGCCGGCGTATGCGGCTAGTAAGGCGGCGGCTACGCATGTTTCGAGGATGCTGGCGACGACGTTTGCGCAGACGAAGGTTAGGGTGAATGTTATTGCGCCGGGTGTGTTTCCTAGCGAGGTAAGCTTACAGTTTCCATCTCATATAGGTATCCTTTGGAACATGTGAATGCTAAAATGTGCAATAGATGACGACTGGTGAGTCGGGCGAGGATAATAAGTCGGCCATTGACAAGAAGATGAGCAATCCTGCTGGGCGGCCGGGGAATGATTTCGATATGGCAGCGACTGTTCTCTTCTTGGCTGGTCCAGGCGGCGTGTTTTATAACGAGCAGATTCTTTTCCCCGATGGAGGTGAGTTCATGCGGTGGTAGCCCATTGTGGAATATTGAGCAGTGCTGATTTCATTGTAGGCAATACGCTTGTCCAGCCCGCGACGAACTGATAGAGCAACAACGAATGGATCAGGGCGAGAAAGATATAGGAGACTGCGTCTCGAGCATTGATACATTATATCGTAATCTAATGATGCTAGCGCTCGTCAATGCCGGGTCAATAAAGTTAGAAAATTATACATTTATAATTTGTTGAATTTTGTGCAAGACATGCAATACGACGGAATGTGATAAAGAAACGCTCAAACAAGGGTATCATCTCAACGAACAACAGAAATCTCAACGATGGCGCAATGGAACATTTGCGATTTCATTCTTATCCCCACACTGTCTGTGGCGGCATGTTGCCTTTGGTTTCGGTCTGTGTCTGCGCAGGCGCAGGGGACTGTGGTGATTGCGGGTTACCCTGAACAGGAGCCTGCATCTGCTGCGGATACATCTGTCCCGGCTGATTCGGCTGCTGGTAATACACCTGTGGTGGGGGATACATCGCGATGTTGTCCACGCTGGGGGCATCCTCAAAACCAGCATACCTTCCCTTCCCGCCGAACAGCCAGCTCATGCCTCCGCGATCACGGACCAGGATCCAGGTAGATACCATGACTAGAAGGGCGGAAATGGCTAAAGGTATGAGAATGTATCTCGATGTTTGCTGTACCACGTTCAGTATCACATGGTCAATTCGAAAAACACATCTGGAGAGGAAAGCATACCGCAACTCCACAGGCAACACCAGCCCAATCCTCCGTGCGATAGAATTTCTTGATGTCGCATGACCAAGTCTCGCGCGTGAAGCGAAACTCCTTGCCCACATCCTCATACGACTTCCAACCCTCGGTGCTTTGAACAACGCTCGCATAGATCAGAATCGCAATAGACGCCACCGCCGTCACGAGATTCGTCATGAGGTTCGTCCAGCTCCATATGCGCTGATGCCTCTGGGGTCCCTGGATGGTACGCAGTTCCCAGATCCCACACGCGGAGATCAGGGAGAAGATGCATGCGGCGATGCTGACGGCGATGAAGCAATACGCGGAAGTCGAGTTCACGTCGACTACGATTCTGATGCTGCTCCAGTCTTCCTCGGGTTGGGTCGCCGTGCGCGGGCCATACACGGTGATGGTGTGGCGGCCATATCCGCTGTAGTAGCGATATCCTTGGCTGGTTTGGAAGGTGAAAAGACTGGCTGCGGTGCGCTCGAGGGCGATGGTGACGAGCGAGAGCGGGAAGAGGAGAAATATGGCGGGCGCAAGCAGGATCACGGTTTGGAAGCCTCGGCGGTTGTGCATGTTCGCGACGGCGACGAGAAGTCGCGTGGGGTAAACACCGAACGGAGAGGAAGATCGCTGGAGATATACAGCGGGGCGGGCGTCAAGACATTTAAAGGAACGAAGTTGAGGGCAAGAACGGGGCGTTGTATTATCGAGTCACATGGATACGAGTTGTGCCTGGGCCCTTGACCGGAAAAGAATTAAACGGGCAATCGATAGGATGTTTTTCGATTGATCAGGGGATGGGAGATTTCCTAAAAGGGGTGGGGAGCCTAACAAATTTCCCATGGAAGGATTCTAATATTGCTTCGATAGGGCTGTGCTGGTCTGGCCTCTTCATGACGTTCAACTCTGACTCCTACCTAGGTAGCTATCATACCTGCATTAATGCCAGCCTCGTCTTCACGTCCAAGTATATAAAATCCCCTAGTCTTTAAAATATTAATGAGTATGAATGATGAAAAAGCCTGGGTACTCGGGTCGTATCTCGTTGACCGTCTCGAAGTATAGTTCATTACGAGGTGGTACCTGAATTAAGTACAAAAATTCTATTTTTACTACCTACCTAGAGGCTAGGCTAGGTAGTCACTACTTGAACATACGAGGGCATCTAGAACTCGCATTGTCTAATAATACAGAAAAGACATTATCGGCATTCAACATTGGAGATCAACGATTGCACTTTCACGTCATTACAGCGTGAGCTATAGGTCCACAGACAGTGCATGCTTAGTTTATTCACGATTCTGGAAACGCTTCTCAATAATCGACTCGAAGACTTTGTTGCCATAGCGCTTCTAGCCAAATTCGCCGCCGCCGTGGGAAGACCTCCAAATTGGACGTCTCCAACGCATTTGAACAGACCATCCGAGTCTGGACTTATTATATGTTCTCGGAGTCTCCTCATGAGGAGATCGTGGATGTAAATACTCTGCGCGCTAGAAAGAATATTCTGTTCACGAGACGTTCATGCAAGATGCCAAACATTGCATGATGAGCTGGTCAGAATCACCTTGGATGGATGGATTAGCAGTGCTTTCAATTCGTGAACCACAAGTTTCATTTGGTATATTTTTGTGTTATAGGATGAGCATCTAACGTGCACCCTAAGGCTTTATATCTTAGGACAGCAGAAGTAGCACTAGATATACACGTAGCAGTGACACTAGAGGATCGCAGAGGGATGCTAATTCTTCAATCGATGTGTGTTTCATGGTATAAGTAGTGTTCGTATGATATACCTATTCCCTGCTCGAATCACTTCTACGACCCAAACGACCCAGCCATGCCTAGTATATCCCTAGATCAAGTCTACCAAAGATATTCTAGTTGCATGGTGCATTCCTTTAGCATACCTGCAAGCCACAGCTATTAGTCACCCAGTTGACAGTGACCTCACCTAAGTCAACATTATTGCCAGGATATACAGGGACACTTCCACAGGCTCTGCAACCATGCTTGTATATATCAAGCAGCTTCTCTCTAACAACGGAGCCCTTGATCTTCTTTCCCTCCATGTTCTGAGTGAAAGCGCAGATTCCAAGTTTCGTAAACGGAATACGACAGTCGCCACAGACAATGCGCTTGTTTTCGGGATACTCGGCGTCGTTCTCGATGAACGAGGCCATATCGAGAAGACGATTGAGATAATGTCCGCACCCCAAACACATGGCGCTGCCTCTGCAGTTGATGCCCAGCCGTTTCTCTAGTCTGGTGCTGTTCGAAGGGAGTTCCTCAGTCACTGATGGAGGTTTAGTGTACTGGTAAGACTCTTTTGATAGTGTAGTGAGACAGGCTTACCAGAAGTGGGTTGCGCGAAGGCAAAGGTGACGAAGAAGGCCAGGCAAGCGAGAAATTTTCCAAATTTCTTGAGCTCCATTCCAACGCAGGTAGTAAGTGAAGCAGGTTGGAAACGGTTCTTTATCTTGCTTGTCAGTTAAAGTAGTAGACGATGTATGAAGAGAACTGTGTGGTGTATCTTTTTGACTCGTAGAGGTTTGTGATCAACTCAAAATACTATATAGAGTTGCGCTGCCATAAAAAATGAACCTCACTATGGACAGTCATCGAGTGTGAGAGAGCGAACGAAATGATATAGTGGTGGCTCAGTGCTGAGCTATGACTGGTAAATCGAAGTGAAGGCAATTTCACTTTGCCTACTGACTGAAAGCACGTATCACCAACGGGGCCAGAGATTGATACCCCAAAGACAAGAACCGTGTGCAAGTATCATGCGTTCCCAAGTCACCGTTGGGAGAGTTTCCTACGAAATTTATCCTCTGTACTGATTCTTAGTAGCATCATCTGTGTGACTTCCCGCAATTCGGTCATCACCTCTTCGTAGCTTTACACTCATATTGGCTAAATAATTGATGTGAACATGCAGTTCGACAAGATTGAGAGTATTCTACGTAGCAATATTCACTCACCGTGAACAGATCAATTGGCTATGATCGAGGCCAGAAACGTTCAAAATTTCCCCTTGTATAGGATGTACATATTGCACTAATTAGACGTCACTCAGAGTCATAGTGCATTGACTTCTCCGGTTGCACGTGGACTCTCCAGAACGGCTACTCTTTAGAAAGACCACAAAGGCTAGAGCTATGGCATTTGCATGTCAGGCTAAACAATCACATGGACTACTCGTATAATTGGATGTCATTACGCTTTCTCTGGAATCTGCTTTCTGCACGTCTAGTACACATGTGACTGTGGCAGTTGGTTCCCCAAGATTGCACCCTACCGACGGAAAAGCTACCACGGGGAAGCAGCATCGATTAATGCAAGTACTTCTACTAGTATCTTGGTACTGGTAACACGACCACTGCTAAGGGCAAAGAACGCGGAGGTCCGGGGCACCCATACTATAGTGAGTAGTAGATCATCGGTCTACTTTGAAGGAAGGGTAACATCACATCCTCCACGCCTACTCGTATTATCGTGAGCACAAACGTACTCGCAGCGTGTAGCATACCTTGGCTGCAACCCCAAGCAGTATGTGATGAACCAATTTCGGAATGAAAAGATGATAGCGTACCTGATTATTTTAAGTACTAGATGTACTAGGTAGCCCTACGGAAGAGTCGTTGCTAGTTCCTTCTTAGTGGCGGTACGGGCCAAGGTCGGTTCAAGGTTCTCAACATCATATGTGGGTCGATACAGAGCTTTGTTGCCTCTCACCACCATTCCATTACCAAATGGCGTCCCACTCCAAACATCTTTGCAAAAATATTCATCGCGAGATGCTGGACCGTGCAAATTCATCGCCTGCATTGCCTGCATCGCATGTCTTGGGTATGACCATCGTGCGCCCACTTCTCCACATTCCGAAGCATGTCCACCGGAGCAAATCTCCCTTGAATGAGCAGAATGAGACTGGTCAGATCCAGGGTCCCGAGGCTTCAACGACTCATCCAGAAAAACTTCAATGGCGAAGTCGGAGGCTAGTACAGTTTTAAATCGGGGAAACCTGGCGAGACGGGGTCGTCCGAGTGAACCGTGGATTGCTTTTATAAGAATCATTCCCTGGGTCATGCTATCCTCCGCTCTCCCCTCGGACGACCTCCAATCCACTTCACACCATCTTTTGATTATATCCCAAGCCCAGCATGGCATACGCTCAGGATGAAGAGCCCCATTACAGCGAGAAAGATAACATGGGCATCGACTATGCACGAGATGCGTACAAACACGATGAACCATACCAGTCCGAGGAGACCTACCGTACCCTAGGGAGATGGCGAGCATGTGTCATTCTCATCACCATCGAGGTTGGAATCGGTGTTTTGAGTTTGCCATCAGCTTTGAAGACTCTCGGCCTGATCCCAGGAATCATTGCACTGTTCTTCTTTGGCGCCCTTACCACCTACTGCGGCTGGATCCTACTGTTGTTCTACCGAGCATATCCCATGGTTACCAATCTGGTAGACTGCGCTCGCTGTGTCGGAGGAAAGCCCTTTGAGGTCTCCCTGGGAATTGTCTTTGTAATGGAACTCGTCCTCATCTGCGCTTCTGCGAATATCACACTGTAAGCTCCACTTTTCGAGATTTCTATGCAACTCAACTAAATTAAACCCTTGCAGATCTATCGCCCTCAACTCTATCACTGGCCACGCTCTTTGCACCGTAATCTTCATGGCAATTCCGCATATTGCTTGTTGGTTGCTGTGCATTCCGAGGAAGCTCACATTTGCCGCGTTCTTCAGCTGGATATGCACGGTCTCGATTGTCGCTGCGGTTCTCATCGTCATGATTGCATTGGGTGTGTCGGGGCCAAATGCTCCTCCCGGTTTCGAAGCCGAGATCGTGCTCGTCGGAAAGCCAACGTTCGTTGAAGCGGTCAACGCGCTCCTCAATATCGCCTTCGCTTTTGCCGGAAACCAGAGCTTCATCTCAGTCATGGCCGAAATGAGAGATCCGTCAAAAGACTTCACACCAGCTTTGATCATGCAAAAGGGTTTCGAGGTTGTTGTTTATGTCGTTGTGGCCTGCGTGATCTACGCATTGGCAGGTGATGCTGTCACGTCTCCAGCCTTGGGATCTGCTCCCCGACTCCCCGCGAAGATCGCCTATGGCATTTTGATCCCTTCCGTCTTGGGCACCGGCTTGCTCATCGGTATCACGGCCATAAAGTACATGTACACAGCGTTCATGAGGAAGACGAGGCCCGACCAAGTGAACACGCACAACACATGGACATGGACGGTGTGGATTACCATTGGAACTGTGTTCTGGATCGTGACATTTGTCGTATCCAACGCCATCCCTATCTTCAACTCCATATTAAGCATCAGCGCGGCCGTCTTCATTTCCTGGTTCACTTTTGGTCTTACGAGTTTGTTCTGGTTGCATCTCAACTGGAAAGTACAGTTCAGCACACCCACAAAGACGTGCTTGGCAGTTTACAACTACTTGATCATTCTTATGACCTTATTCTTGAACGCCGGCGGCCTCTATGCGTCTTTGCGTGCGCTCATTGATTTGTTCAATGACCCCGACAATTCGCTCAATGGCCCGTTTACTTGCGGGGATAATAGCCTTTTCTAGACTGCCTGCTTTTTTCTTCTTTTATCTGCGTATGGCACGTTTTTGCATAGCAATTCAAATCTTCTATTAAGAACAATTGAACCCGTCCAACTTGTACAATGTGATAGAAAGCCGAACAAGTGATGTAGCGTAGAGACATTCAACGTCATAGTAAGAGTGCTAGTCCAGGAACATGTTTACGTATGCTGAATGTTTGGACATCCACGACAATCATATTTAAACATTTCTATTGGCCAATTGTGACCAATGCCAACTGTATTGCCAGCTGCAAGCAGAGACTAGTGCAATTGCAAAAGATAGTGCAGATTTGCCTTGTACGGGTAATTATGTGTCAGTCGAATCGACATCGCAAGTAGTACTCGCAGTTAGGCTGGATAACCTGTTCCCCCACAGCCAAGCCGAAGCGGTTGGAGACGCTCACCCACGGCATCCGTAACATCCACCAACACCAAACACTGGCTCAACACCATGTATCCTTCCTCAGCATGTGGAAACCTCCAGTTCGCTCCTACAAAGCCAGTCGATGGCCTCCGTCCCCGACTGGCGCACCCAATCGCGACTGGGTCGGTTCTGCCACGGTAATAACGAGCTCAAGTAGCTGCCGCGTCCCCCTCCACCTCCGCCGTCCGTTCCACGAGTACTTCGTGACGCATCTTCCTTCCACCTCGCTGCATCCCGATTCCAGAGCGCCCTTCGGACCGCATCACAAGCTTCCGCGAGATAAAAGCACGCCGCACGACCCTCATGGCACGAATAGAACCCCGGCCGCGGCGATGCCCATGGCGGGGTCGTCGCGGGAGATGACAGTCGTACGGATACCATTGAAGAGCGCAAAACACCACTTTGGCGTTTCGTTGTCGCGGGGAACACGCCCATACAACGAGGATGCATTCCAGGCAGGCACAATTGAGATTCCCGCGTTCGCGAAGCGACGCCCGATCTCATTGACCAGGAGGAGCGGCAGCGCACCGGCTATTACACCCGCCGACAGTGCAAGCGGAGATCCGCAGGTGTTCTACTTTGGAGTGTTCGATGGGCATGGCGGGAATGAGTGCTCGGGGTTTCTGAGGGAACAGCTGCATAATTATTTGGAGGACGCTACGAAACAATTCGAATTGGCGAGTAGCTTGCAGAAGAGTACCAATGGAACGTACCCCGGTGGTTACAATAGCTTTGGAGAAAGGGTAGGCCTCGCTGCAGGCAGCGCAGATGAAGTGACGGGCAGAGACGTTTTAAAATCAGTAAAAACACATACACCTCCTGGAGTGAGGCCCCTCAAACCACCAGAGCCGGGAACAGGCCAAAAGCCCCCTCCACCAGCATCCAAGAGTAAGGAGGAATTGGTCGACAGCGCACCGCCGGTCAAGCAATCAGACAGCATCAGAAAGGCCGAGGAGCTGGAGCGTTGCCTCGTCAGGGACTGGAAAGAGTTGGTCGGAGGCTACTTTCGACGCTTCAAGCCAGAATACTTCTCCATGTCCGCAGGTGGACGCGGGCACCCTGCTGAGAAGGCCGTCATTTCAAAGCGCAATTCCCCTAACTCGTCAATCTCGGATGATACCATAGAGGGCATCGGAATCGAAACAGTGCTACAGTATGCATTTCTCAAGGCCGACTATGACTTCGTCGCCGCGCAAGTAGGCAAACAAGACGAAGACCCCGTGTTAGCGGATAAAGCCATCAACGACGATGACATTCTGGGGCATCCTTCACGCTCAGGAAAAAGCATTGGCGGGCCGAACCGGTTCAAGGGCGGTAGCACCTGCAGTATCGCTCTGATATCTACGCCCACACCGTCTCCATTCTGGCACCCTGCGTCGCCTTCCACCATCATCACAGCACACGTCGGCGACACCCGCATCATCCTATGCAAGACCGCCACTGGCCTCGCCGTGCCGCTCACCTCCAACCATCACCCTTCGCTACCCGAAGAAGCAACACGCCTGCGCCGCTACGCCGCAACTTTCGTGACCGATTCGTTCGGCGAAGAACGAGTCTCTGGGCTCGCCAACACACGAGCATTCGGAGACATGGCATCCAAACGCATCGGCGTATCCGCCGAACCCGAAATCAGACGTGTCGAGCTCGCCCCCGCAGAATACTCCTTCATGGTCCTCATCTCCGACGGTGTCTCAGGACACCTGTCAGACCAAGAGATCGTAGACATCGTGAAGGAAGCAAAGACGCCTGAGCAGGCCGCACGAGACGTGACGAGCTTCGCGACCGAGGTAGCCAGCGACGCGGACAACGCGACGACGCTTGTTGTGAGACTGGGCGGATGGGAGAGGAGGAGCGAAGGCGGGTTGGGGAGCATGGGGACGAAGGAGATGAGGGATTGGAGGAAGGAGGAGGCGGAGAATCCGAGGGGGAGAGGGAGGATGTGATGGTGATTCAATCCTCCTCATGCGTGCGGCATTGCCCACGCGGTTATTTATTAACTACTACTTATTTTCTCCTTTGTTTTCAATGTCGAGGGGACATGATGTCTATACAGCGAGTTGGTACTCCTCAGCCATCGCATCATCACAAGCAAGGTGTTCTGCAGCTCATAGGGTGAACTATTCTTTTTCGTACGGACAGTGAGTTCGTATCATCGTATCATATCCTTCATGTGCAATCATCCGAGTTATTGCAGTCATCGGAGATGTTCGCTCCCTATTGCGGACAACTTCACCCAGTACATATAGGTACCTAACCTACCTAGATATATCGCAGCCACTCTAAGAACTGCTCTTCCAAACAATACAAGATTCGCACCCTACAAAAAAAGACAGTAACTCCGTAATTCAACGCCCGCCCATAAATGCCAATTAAAAAAACAAAACTTTACCAGTTCCGGAATTCAGCACCAAGAGGCGTAATGATTAATGACGTCTCCCTCCGTGGCAAATCACCACCACGCCAAACTGTCCGTCCAATGGATGACGGTGGATTGACGACGCATCAGCCAAGCGAGAAAGAGCCGCCGACCGCCCGGCTCCCAGGAGCCCGAGGAAAGGGGAATGGGGGAGCTGGTACTGGCGTGGCTGTCACTGGGTCGACTGGGCTTGTGTTGTTGGTTTGTATGGTTCGTCTGTATTGGAATTGCTCGTGCTATGGAGGAATATACTGTCAGCGTAGTGAGGGCAGAGAATGCACGGTGGTGCTCGTGGTGCTGAGAACGGCTGGAGGGTTAATAAGGCAACCAAGGAGGTCGCCAGCCCAGCCAGCCAGCCAGCCGGTCAGGGTCCGTAGTTTACTCGTATAGGGCTGCAGTCCGGGGAGGAGGGACGGAGGGAGGGTTTTCTTCGCGGTACTCCGTACAAAGTATTGGAAGCGAACCAATAATTGGGTTTTGTTCTTTTTTCTTTCTTTTCTTGTTTTGCTTGATGCTGTCTTGCTATTGATTATTGCTGAAATGTGGTTGCCTTCCGAGAGGTACCTTTTAAACTCTTTTTCCCTTATAATGACATTTGGTAGGGATAAAGAAAGAGGGGCTTGGTCGTCAAGGAATGTCAGCCACAACGTCTATGGAGGCATTATTGTGAGGTAAATGCAGTGACGACTGCCCGGAAGTCGGTGTGGAGGGGACCATGACACATAATTGCATGAGACAGGCACATGAACAAGAAAGATGTTAAGACTAAGAATGAGGCAAAGACAGGATGTGTTCCCCGCGTATGTTGCCCGTATACGTATTGTCTTGTGTACCTATAGGTAGGTACCTACACATACCGGCTTTGTCTGCCTAGTACTAATTACTTCTCGTACTAAAGCGAGAATCTTCATTTACAGGTACATCTACAACGACACTGTTGAACTGAGGAGATTGAGTCCTCTTCGACAGACACCGCTGCCTTCCATCTGACAGGCGCACTCCTACCCAGGGACGGGATACAGCTGCTCTCATAATAATACTTCAACTCCACAAGACGGCGCATGTGAAGTTGAAGAGAAGCTAGGGCTGTCTCTTCATCTCGCCCTACGCCACGGTCCTTGTACTAGTCTTCTAACGAATCCCCTTCTCCCCTTTTCTAGAAGAAAAATTAAGAGAAAAAAAACAAAAACAAGAAGAGGAACCAGCATTATTACCGCCGAGAGGAAAGCGTGGGTGGGGCAGGCTTCGTAAGAGGGAGAAGAGATGAGATTCAATAAGACACCCACCGCACAAGAAAACAAAGGTTCATATTATTCTTTCAGAACTTTGCCTTGTCTATTGATATTCAGGTGACGTTGGGTGGTGGCCGTGTGTGGCAGCTTTACCTATGCTGCTGGTACCTTTACCTGCATAGCTGCATACCCAGGTACCTGTACTTATGGAACTAGCTGGAATACTGTGTATGTGGTAGTAGCTGTTACTTGTACCTTTGTAGTAATGGTGGCAGCAATAGTGGAAGTATTAGTTGGTAGCAATAATAATAGTAGAATGTAGTAGTAAGTAAAGATGTGAAGTAATATCTCTCTTTTTCTTCTCTTTCTCTTGTACGAGTAATAGTTGCCGCGCTACCTTCTTTCGCTTCAAAAATTCCCTTCCCCCTACAGTTGCCCTACACAGTACAGTACGGGAGTACACTACACTACACAGTACACTACGTGACTACACACACTACTGCTCTTCCGCCCACCGCAACTTCCTACTCCCTCCTACCCTACCACCTAAACTACTAACTACTACCACCACCCACTACCTCCACCTCCTCTCCCCCCAAAACAACAATCCCTTTCTCTCCTTCACACAAACTTCAACCCTCCTACCACTCCCCCCGCACCCCGACACCTTCATCATCATTCTTTTTCTACTCACAACAACTCCTCCTGTCCCTCTCTGAGACCCATACCCACACACACGCACCTTTTCTTTCTTGCTCAGCGCTAGTAACAGTTACAAAACTGAGTACCCCTCCATAATCAGAACTCCCTCCCTCCCTCCTACAACATGGACATCAACCAAGTGTTGGAGGGGACCCTCTCCGCAGGTAGGCTACTCTCCTTTGCTTCTGATTTTGACCGCCTCCTCTACCGCTACGGTACAATACTCACCTTTTCTCAGATGCCAACATCCGTCAGGCTGCTGAGCAGCAGCTCACCCAGGCCGCCGAAGCCGACTTCGTAAGTCCCGCCCTGTCCCTGAATTCAAGCCCGCTTGAGACAGCAATCCCCCTCCCAAATTCTTCACCCGCTGACCTGGTCTTCTCTATAGCCTCAATACCTCACCATCCTCGGCACCGAGCTCGCAAACGACGGTGCCCAGCCTCACATTCGAACCGCTGCCGGTCTCGCCCTCAAGAACGCATTCACTGCACGCGAATATTCCAGGTTACGCGAGGTCCAGGACCGATGGTTGAACCTCGACACCGAGATTAAGTCAAATGTCAAGGCTCTTGGTCTCCGCACGTTGGCTTCGGCGGACTCCCGCGCCGGACAGTCGGCTGCCCAGTTCATTGCCTCTATTGCAGCCATCGAGATACCCCGCCAACAATGGCCGGAGCTTATGCCCACGCTTGTGGAGAACGTGGGACAAGGAGCGGACCACCAAAAACAGGCCTCTTTGACCACAATAGGCTTCATCTGCGATACTGACGACGTCGAGCTCAGGGACGCTCTGGCACACCATTCCAACGCTATTCTCACGGCCGTTGTCCAGGGTGCCCGCAAGGAGGAGACCAACAATGACGTCCGATTCGCCGCCATTTCCGCCCTCAGCGACTCCATCGAGTTCGTCCGGTCCAACTTTGACAACGAGGGAGAGCGCAACTACATCATGCAGGTCATTTGCGAGGCTACGCAGGCGGACGACAATCGCATCCAGCAGGGAGCTTACGGCTGTTTGAACAGGATCATGGGCTTGTACTATGACAAGATGCGTTTCTACATGGAGAAGGCACTCTTCGGTTTGACCATTCAGGGCATGAAGAGTGACGAAGAGGATGTTGCCAAGCTTGCTGTAGAGTTCTGGTGCACCGTTTGCGAGGAGGAAATCTCCATTGAGGACGACAACGCTCAGGCCCACGACGAGGGTTCCACGGAGTTGAGGCAATATCATAACTTTGCTCGCGTAGCCACCCAGGAGGTCATTCCCGTCCTCCTTGAACTCCTTGCTAAGCAGGATGAGGATGCCGACGACAACGAGTACAACACATCCCGCGCCGCATACCAATGTCTTCACCTCTGGGCACAGTGCGTCGGTTCGGCTGTCGTGCCCGCGGTCCTCAGTTTCGTCGAGAAGCACATCCGCTCCGAAGACTGGCATTTCCGTGATGCTTCCGTCTCGGCCTTCGGTGCCATTATGGAGGGCCCCGAGGAGCAGGTTTTGGATCCCATCGTCAAGCAGGCTCTGCCCGTCTTGATCGCGATGATGGATGACCAGGTCGTTCACGTCAAGGACTCCGCAGCGTACGCCCTCGGACGCATTACCGAGGCGGTTCCCCACGCCCTGGACGAGCAGCAGCATCTCCCCACTCTCATTGGAGCTCTTTTCAATGGTCTGTCAAGCCACCCCAAGATGGCTGCATCTTGCTGCTGGGCATTGATGAACCTTGCCGAGAGGTTTGCCGGTGAGCCTGGCTGCCAGACAAACCCTCTGTCCGCCCACTTCCAGCAGAGCATCACCCACCTCCTCCAGGTCACTGAGCGTGCCGATGCGGATAACCAGCTCAGGACCGCTGCCTACGAAGTGCTCAATGCTTTCGTCACCAACTCCGCTGGAGACAGCGTCGCAATGGTCGCTAGCTTGTCAAACGTCATCCTTGAACGATTAGAGAAATCCATCGCCCTTCAATCCCAGGTTGTCAGCGTTGAGGACAAGTTGACATTGGAGGAGATGCAAACCAGCCTTGCTAGTGTTATCATGGTAAGATCAAAATGTGAACCTCTCACGCAATGCAACTAACCAGTTTTACAGGCCATTGTCCAGAGATTGGAGGCTGATATCAAGCCGCAAGCCGACCGCATCATGCAGACCTTGCTCCAACTTCTCTCTGCTGTTGGTGCTAAGTCCAGTGTCCCTGACACCGTTTTCGCTGCCATTGGCTCCATTGCCACCGCTCTCGAGGAGGATTTCCTCGTATACATGGAGGCCTTCAAGCCCTACCTTTTCAATGCTCTCGGCAACCAGGAGGAACCTGGCCTTTGCTCCATGGCGATTGGTCTTGTTAGCGACATCACTCGATCTCTAGGAGAGAAGGTCCAGCCTTACTGCGATGCCTTCATGAACTACCTCCTCAACAACCTCAGGGTACGTTTTCCACGCTATAATCATTCCATGCAATCGCTAATGAGCAATTTCTAGAGTTCGCAACTTGGCAACACGTTCAAGCCATCTATCCTCCAGTGCTTTGGTGACATCGCACAGGCTATCGGTGGTCACTTCGAGACATACCTTGTCGTTGTTGCTCAAGTTCTTCAGCAGGCTGCCACTGTTTCGGTGAACAACGCAACCAGCTTTGAGATGATGGACTACGTCACTTCGCTCAGGGAAGGTATCGTGGATGCTTGGGATGGTGCTATCATCGCCATGAAGATCAGCAACAAGAGTGAGTCGATACATTATTCCTTCACATGACAAGCAATGCTTACAATGCGCAGCTCAACTTCTCGCCCCTTACGTCGAGTCTATCTTCCACCTCCTGAACATCATCCACCAAGACCCTAACAGGACCGAGTCCCTGCTACGATCTTCGTGCGGTGTGATTGGGTATGTAAATTTTCCTAATCTTGGTTTCTGATGCTAACGAAAATAGTGATCTCGCGGACGCATTCCCTCAAGGTGAATTCCGAGACTACTTCCGACAGGACTTCTTGACCACCATGACGAGGGAGACCCGAGCCAACCAGGACTACCTCAACCGCACACGCGACACCGCCCGATGGGCACGTGAGCAGATCAAGCGCCAGATTGGTATGTGAACTCTGTATTGGATCAGACTTCACACCTGTTCGTATCTAACTTGACTAGGCGGCAACCAAGGCGTCATGGCCTGATCGTGACATGGCTCGTCCACATCCTCGGCGTCGTATCAAGGCAAAGGATCAGATTCTAGTTTCGTGCTTTTAGGCATGCACAAGATTCACGGTCTCTTCGTCTGGCAAGTCGAGCGTTCGAGTTTGCACCTCAGATACGAGACGGCCGTGTCCTATGCTCTGTGGCATTGCAGGTCCACGGACCGATGCGCACACTTGTATTAATATGAGTCAGTGTCTGGAGCCGCCGGAGTCCCCTGATGGGAGATTGTACACTCTTCACACATCTCCAACGCATCGACCCGTCGCCGATTCGATGCGCTCCCCCGAGCACACATCCCCTTCTCGGCATAGCATAGATCCCCGGCACCATCCACAGCCCTTTGCCCCGATCCGCCACACCGCCGCCATTGCGAATGCCCACCCTCGCATCATCCTGCACCTCCACCCATTGCACCCACCACCACACTCCTCCAAAACAGTCATGTAGCCCCATAGTCATGTAAGGCAGACAACGCAACCAACGTCCAAGTTTTCACCTTTGCTTTCTTATCACGGACGGTTGTCTAGCCAGGAGACGAATGAATGTCGACGTTGTTTTTCTTTCTCCTTCGTTTTTATAGGAAGACGGTTTCCAGGACAGTCCCCACCCCCAGTACTTGTACATTGGAGTGCCCCTTTACCACCAAGCCAGCGCCCCTCCCCAAAACTCTTCCTACATCAATGTGTTTTAGAAATACCACTACTACCCTCTATACTGTAGCTCCCTTATAATGCATCGTGTCCTTCTGCCTCGTCGTTCCCTTCACACACACACCCACGCCGTTTACCTTCCACCAAGATATACATGTAGATACAAAAGATCGGTGGCTTTTGCTGCTCTTACCCCTTGTACTCGAAATGTACACACAATTTCTCATGCACCAACATTGACAACAGTACAGTGTAACGAAAGTGGCATTCCCTGTGTTTGTCGTGGTCATATATCGCCTCCTCTCCCTCTCGTCGTGTTTCTTCACCCCCCTATCGTCCCCGTTATAGATTATCGTCCCGTTCTTCCTCGGTGTTTCATGATGGAAGACGAGGTAAGGGAGCGTTGCCCCATGATATGTTCTAGTCACTGGACCGACTAGACCTCTACGACACCTGCTGCAGAAAGGCAATTACACCGTTGTATTTGACTATGAACTTTTTAACAGCAACAGCCGTACGGTCGTAAGAACTATCGAGGAGTGGCGGTAGAAGGCAGATGGAGCAGCCAGCCAACCATTGAAGAAAGAATCTCCGTCTTCGATCTTAAAGTCTCAACGCCAGGCAACGCCATGTGATTTCTGAAGCCATTGTCTCCCGGCTTCTGATAGTTTCCTGGTCCCTCTTCTCACTTGAAGAGAAACACCTTCGCTTTGCATAGCACATCCTCCTTCCATACCCGCTGACGGCTACCCCCTTCCAGTTCCTCCTCCACGATCGAACCCCTGATCACGACAGGCGCGACACACCACCTAACACGAAAGCTCTCCGGCTCCCTTAACGGTGCGTCCTTATACGCCCCAGGCACCACATCCACCATCTCCTCGGGCACAAACGTCACCGAGTCCCTTACCCACCTAACATCATACCTCTCGTCCCTCCCCGCCTTCATCCCAAACCCAATCTCAAACCCCTTCATGAAAATTTCTTCCAACGTGATGCAGAACTGCCTGGTCCCGGGTTCAAACGCCAGCGTATCCGGCCACACCCTCATAAGCGGCCGCACTTTCCTCGCCGTCTCCCTCGCCAACACTTCACACGCCTCCCGCCTCCACGTCGCGAACCCGTCCTTCCCCGCCACGAGCTCAAACTCCTCGGCCTGCGCCTCGAGGAACCGCGTCTTGTCTTCCAGCGTCGCCTGCGCCGCGAACCAACCGTCCAGCACCCTCCCCGCGTCGTGGCCGGAGTGGAACAGGAAACTTTCGCACAGGCAGTGCCTTGTGAGGATTTTGGCGACGATGGCGGAGAGGAGGAGCGTGGTGGTGGGGCGGTGGTGCAGGATGGCGGACGAGCAGCGGGTTAGGCTGCCGTTGGGGAGGAAGGCGCGGAGGGTGGTGGTGAGTGTTGGGGAAGGGGTGAAGGTTGGGTTCGCCCATTGGGTTGCCCAGGCGTTGATGTCTGAGAAGAGGGAGGTTAGGGGGGCGTGGTGGGAGGAGAGGCGGGGGTTGCTGGGTATAGTTTGGGTGGTGGTTGTGGTTTTGGTTTGGGTTTTGGTTTTGTTGGTTGTGGGTGTGGGTGTGGAGGGAGTCATGGTGAGGGAAGGGTGGTGGGTGATTTATATAGGTGGTGATTGAAGGGTGGATAGTACTGGGACTTTATGTCAGTGAAGTGGACAGGAGGGATGGATGGCTGATAGCTCACATGGCCCGAAGAGAAGTTCTTGATTGTGGAATTGAAGTGTTGAAGGGTGCCAGAGCTGGACAATCAAGAGGCCTCTGAATAGGTTGTCGCGATTGAGTAGGAGAGAAGGCAAAGTGAAGTCTGAAACCGATTGACAGAGTCGAAGAATGCTGATCCGATTGATCACGCGAACCGTTCTTCAATAGGTTGTTATTCCAAACAAGAACAATGGGAAGTCAGATTGAATGTTAGAGAAGAAGATTCAAGGTGAGAGCGAGAGAAATTTATCAGTGTTTATTTACCTTAGCACTCCATCTGAAAATCGAGACGATTCCAAGTGAAATTAGAAATGTCCATGCTTTACTGTTTTGGGGAAGACAATAGCAGGTATGAAACCACTTTTGATGATTTATATGACGTATATAGGTATTCAATTTTCGATTATGGGATAATGTGAGGGGCTTGCAGATTTGTCTTCACTCTTGCTTTTTCGGTAATCAATTGTGAAGGAGTGAGTGAATTCAGACTTGAGGCTACACTTCATGGTCTTCTATGAACAATACGTCTCAGTGCAGACTTAATCAGGGATATGGTAATTCTTGTCAAGCCGCTTGAAGATGGAATTCGTCAGTGGTAATACCGACAGAAGGCGTTTTAGGTCATGCACAGCAACGTGAAGTCAAGTCTGAAACGAACAGAGACAATAGGTAGGCAGATCCAATGATGCCGACTATCTCTAAATGAGAGATTTATTGTTCGTATAATCATTCACGCAACTACTACACTGATAATTGATCAATAAGTGATAATTTTACATTATCGTAAGCACTTCCCATGATATACCAACAACTCCACGGCAACCAACGGAAACTATATCAACAAGGTCACTCGATTCATTATAACACAAGCAACACCGCAACAAAAGCAACCACACACCCCATCCCAGTCCCCAGCGACCTCGAACGCCGTCCTCCCGACTGCATCGAATCCTTAATCGCATCGACATACACCTGCGATAACTCCTCATTCGCCTCCTTCACCTCCGTCGGCAGCGCCGCATACCACTCCGGAGCATATCTATACACCGTGACCTGGTCCGTCTCAGTCGCCGTCACCACGGCGGGGATGTCGTACGTGGCCGTCGCAACGAATTCTTGCAGCGGCGTGTTGGCGGCTTCGACCTTGCTGGCGAGGGAGCGGCCTTCGGGGCCTGTGATGTAGGATTCGAAGCGGCCAGCAGCTTCGAGGACTACGCCTGCTGCCCATGTCTGGGCCTGTGGTTGGGGAGTTAGAATTAGTGGAATGGGGAGAGAGGGGGAGGAGGGTGGGGCGACTTACGGCTGCTTCGTTCGAGAATGTGCGGATGGGCAGTAGGGAGATTTCGTCTTCGGGGACGACGAGGAAGCTGGCGAGGGAGATGGTGAAGAGTGTAGATGCGACGAGTGCGATGTTTTTGAAGATCATATTTGCGGTATGGTCTTGGAAATTAACAGGATACTTTTGATATATGACGAAGTAATGCAATTGAGAGGATTCAAAGAAGGAAAATTTTGTACGTCGATCAATTGTTGCTTTCTTCTTCTTCACGCAATTTATAGTATTCTCGATTGTAACCTTCAGCCACAGGGTATGTAGCTCTGCCACTTGGTTGCCTTGTGGGATTGGACTGCGCCTCTGTCCAGCATTCGGACTGTGATGCTTCAAAATGCGTCGTCTCGCGCTTAGATGATTTCACCCTTACGCTTCTTTGACGAACTGATAATGATAGTCCTATACTTAATTTAATAGCGCCAACTACTAGTATATAATAATAAGGGGCAACATTCCTTCTCAATCTAAGAACACGATCACGCGCATCATACAAGAGCAGTTCAATCCCACTGCCACAGCCAGTCTAAGCGTATCCATACCGTGCCCAAAACATCTCTGAAGTCCGTTAGAGAGAACCACAATCACTCGCAGCGCGTAACTATAGCCGCCCAAGTCCCTCAGGTCCACGTCCCTCTTATCCAAGCTCTGGGATATTTATAAGAGGAGATACAAGCTGTGACCTAGTGGACGAACTCCATTCATAAGCACGACCACGGATTGTAAGGGTACGGGTGACTTAATAGGCATTTCTACGAGCTCTGTTGGTAGTGCTTTCCCATAGGCCCATGCTGTGTATAAGAGATAATTAAGTGTAGACCATTGCCTAGTACACTCTATATTCCCGATACTTGAAGTCTATTCACTACCTCTATCAGCCCTCACACTCCATTCGCACAAAAGCACTCCACCACCAATAGCAAAATTGTAAAAAAAAAAAAAGTGTTGTTATATTCAAACGGGAGTGGTATATAAAAAGGTGAAGATCTACGAAAGTAAAAAAGGAAGCCACCCCTAAAGAAAGGGATGTTTCCAAAAAAAATGAGAGGCACAATGAATGCAGCCCAGTGCACCAGTTCTGTGAACTTTTTAAAATCAAACAACAACAACTCCGACTCCGACCCACGACGAACACGAGGGACATCACAACTCCTCAATCACACAATCTCAACTCTCATCCCCATAAAGTCGTCAGACCCCGCGGCGGCCAATCTACAAGAAGGTAAGACCCATGACGACACCAGCCAGTAGCGCAGCGCCGAAGCTGAGCTGCTCCTGCTGGGCGTCGCTCTTGGGCCGTGGGGAACCTGTACTCGAGGCCTCAGCGGGTGCGGTCGCGGTGTCGACGACGAGGGTTGTGTTCTCGCCGGCCTTGTTCTCGATGATCGTCGAGACAATAGTCTGGACGCCTGGTGCGGCTGCGGTGTCGGTGGTAAGTGTCGAGAGGACGGTGGATGATGATTCGTTGACTGGGAGTTCGGCCTGGGGTTGTTAGTATTTGTTGTAGTTATTGATTTGCAGAGTGAGAATTGCTTACTTGTTCGGTCGCGAGGGCTGGTGTTGATTCGGCGACGGGGATGAATGGGGAGGGGGAGGCGTTGGCTTGCGCGACGGCCATGGTGGTGCCGAAGGTGGCAGCGAGGAGGGTGAGTGACTTGTACATTTTTGGTGGATTTGATCTGATGGTGGAGATGGTTTTTTGGTTTTTGTTTAAGATTCGAATTCGAGATTCGGTCACACACAGAGCTGGCTGGGTATATGTTTATGTGGAAGGCTTCTCTTGAAGGATAGCTTGGTAGGATTGAAGAGGAAGATTGAGCTTAATGATTCTGGATGGACAAAAGCTGATCCCCAGAAGGGACCATCTTGTTCTTTATACCGGAAACTCTCTCGCTGTCGTTTCATTGTGTTCCTACGTTAGTTGTTTACGTAGCTTTTGGGATTAATGGGGCCTCCGAAAGGGCCGTCAGCAACTTTTGGTTGTGCTTGACTTTAGGTGTTGTGTCCTAGTTGGGCGATACGGCGTGTGTGAGGCTACGTCGTCCGTAACCTGGGGCTTCGCCACAAAGTTCGAGACGGCAACGTTTGTTACTACTGGCTGGGGCTGGCCGTGCCTCAGACTGCAAAAGAGGACAGCATGTGCTCGGAAGGATCCTCATTGGGAGGCGCTGTTTACTGATCGGCTGCTCGAATGCGCGAATCATGGTTGTTGTTGTTCTGTGAGGACGTTTCTTGTTGCTCCATGTGTTGTTTGCTATGTCTGACTCTCAAGCGAACCGCCGCAGTAAGAAGGCCAAATGGCTTTCTTACGGTCGTCATAGCTCTTTCGAAGGCGACGTCAAGTCACCTTAGTAATAAATTTGGCCTTGCGGCGGGACTGTCTGCGTGTCTCCTTGCTATTAACTACCGTTACTCTTCATTACAGTCATTAGTAGCGTGACTGCTCAACCTGCAAGCACATCTCCTCGCGACGGACGTCCTACCTCACGGCCTTCAGGAACATGCATCATTTTCAGAGCAATTTTGTAGTTTAATAGGCATCTTTGATAACATCATCGTGAAAGGATCGATGGAGTAATTGAATGCTATTGGGAAGAAGGTAAAATGTAATGGATGCACTGAAGGAAGAATTTGGTTGGACGGAAGCAATGGGGCACAACAATGAGCTTGCTATTTTGGTGGTCAGAATAGAACACCTTTGCTGAAGTAAAGACGGTTCGACGCGTAGCATGAAGGACGATGATCAATCTGCATTTATTTCTTCATCAAGAATATAGAAATTAATATGGCTACCGGATGTTTGTTTTTCTTAGTTTACAGTAAATGGGTGCCAGCTCCAAGGTTATCATCGACGTAGTAGTTGGTAGTATTTCTCGTGGGGTCGTCAAATCAGAGCGCTCAGAGCACACAGCTAGGGCTCTTTAAATGCCACTATCAACGTTAAGCAGACGACTTGAAGGCTCGCAAGCAATAGCTAAAGTAAACATACATCGTAAGTGCTGTCCATGCACCCAACCACCTGACATACACAATACAAGCGATCTAATCTCTGCACCTAAGTAAAGCGCATCGACCCATAGTCTTGTTGCGTCTGGTGCTGCTTCATCACCTGTGCATGAAAGTAAGCCTGCCATCCTTTCCACGAGGCAGGATCGAAAGACCGTAAGAATTGAACTGACAGGAATTGCTCCTGTCATCTTTGCCTTATAGCATGTCGTACAAGGAACTCAGCCCTTCAATCATGAGAGTCTGTCGAGCGCCTCATCGATCACACCATCAATATTACACATTTTATCCTTCTATGTTAGAGATAGAGATCACCGACGAGGTAGGTGGCTACAGATCAGGATCACGAACAAGGCTACTGAAGGTTGGCCAAGTCTGAAAAATGCAATGTGCACTTGTATTTCTCAACAGGGAAGAATATGACAAATGAAGAATACACTAGAAGTATGCAGCCACCCCGCGCGGCTCGAATCCAAACAACAATGCTCGCGATATTGCGAAATCCGATACTCCGTGAAGAGCAAAACAAAAATCCATGCAATGCCGCTCCGCATGGCGAAAGAAACAAAAATGAAGGAAGTCCAATGCTCTCACGTGGACGGAAGCTATGTCCATGAGGATCACGAGCTCAAAAAGCCTCTCGCCCGATTCCTGCTCCTTTCCATGCTGTATCCTTCCATTCGGACGCCACAGAGGATAACCTGCATCTTCCCAACCTCGGCTTCGTCAGGTTCGACTCGGAGTCGCCAATGCGCCTTCTTGATCACCCATTCCTCTCCCTCGCCGTGGTCTTCGAAATAGGAGTCGTTGGTTGGAGGGCCACCCCAGACCCATTCGTTGTCAGCACCACCGGCATAGCCCTGGTTTCGCCCGGCTATCTTGGTCCTTTTAGTTGGTCTTTGGTTCAAATGCCGTATGCCCATGCGTCCTGTGGTGGGGTCCACGCCCACCTCGACCGGCGAACCGTCGATCTCGATGTAGGTATCGGAGCCCAGTCGGGCTCGCACCCGGCGTTCACTGACTCCAGAGTTCGCAGGAGATATAGGCTGAGCCGCTACGCCTCCGCCAGACTGAAGCATCATGAGCCCAAGGGGTTGGGTAGCTGGGAGGCCCATCTTTGACGCAATGACAGAGAACAAGGATGTTATCCGCGCCAACGTGGTTCCATGGAACGACACCCGCAGATCTAGACTGAGTGGCGCTAAGGCTGAAGGTATCATCTGCGCAGAAGCCGGGAAATGCAAGGTGGTATGCTCAACGTCTGCAATTTCAAGCACAAGGATATTCGTGCTTGAATGATCATCCGTAAATGGCCGCGCGTACGACACCAGGCCTGTTCTCTGTTGGCTGTCTAGACCGGCAAAGGCAGAGTTTGTAGGGTTGCTAATACCACTGCCTGATGAGACTGCTGGGGTTGATTTCATAGAGCTCGACTCAGAACCGGACTTGTTAAGGCCTGCATCTGGGGTAACAGACACTCCAGATTGACGTATGTCCTCCAGGCGTAACACAATTTCAGACTGACCCCTATTCAGGTTGAAAGAAATGTCACAGGGGATCAACCGTTGTTCGAGTCCCTTCAGATGAAAATACCGTGCGTCTCGTAATAGTTGTGACCTGTGCGCCTCATTCCGAATATCGACATTATATCCCTGAAGCATTCTGATCAATTCAGCGAAAGTTTCGCCACTCCTGTTGGGTACTTGGGGTGGAGATATTGATGGCGGCCTTAGTAAAGAACTCCGATCAAGACCAGGGAACACTTCGCTCGGTGTAGAGAAGAACTGTGCAAACCCGAGAGAGAAGTAATTCGGGCTGTCACCGGGGGCAGAGAACAAATCGCGAGGAATTTGAAATGGGGTGTCGCCTATGCGAATGAAGATATCGGTGCTGAATAGCTGCTTCGTGAGCCGCGGCACTGCAAGGATATCAGCCATGTTAATAGTGAAGTCAAGGGTGGCAGTGAGAACTCACGGGAGTAGAATTGAGCATCTGCATACAAACGGACATAATGCTCCCCATCACGAGGAATAACATGATATCCCTGTAAATGCAGCGCAATGTCACGAAAGGTTCCCGGATCACGATCGATGTAGAGAGTTTTCATGTCGCCAGCACGTCCAGAACTATTCTTGAGTTGGTCACAGAAAAAATGGGAAAAGTATGAGGGTGCTCTAGCATAGTCAGTATTCGCACGTCCAATGATAATAACGGATATGCCCACCATCAGACGATAGAGATGCTCCCGATAGCCTAAACAGCTCTGAACCTATCTGTATAGGGAACACCTTGCCAGCAGGCAGTATGTCTGATCCACTCGGGGTCTCGACAATTCTCCGTGGCTTCGATACATCGATAACCCTTCCCTGAGGGCCAGTTCCTTTGCCCTGCTCCTTCTTTCGCTGGAAGTCTGTACCCGAACTCGAACTCGATTGTATTCCGGACTCGGAGGCTGCCATGGCGCCAGCCGTATGTGGCAAGGATGTTCGACGATTATCGTTGGCGGTTGCGCCCTGAGATGGCGTCAAAAGCGCAGGCGAATTTGCAGAGGCAGAAGAAGACGATCTTGATTTGTTAACTCGTTTCGTGGGACCTTGATGTACTTCACTACTGAATGTTTGCGAGACAGCAGATGAAGGTTCAGAGTCGACTTTTCTCTTCATACTCATTTGCCCAGTAGGGTTCTGCATGAGCTTTGGGGGCGCTGAAAGGGGCGTTGGCGCATTCGCGGAGGTCGTGTTCTGTATCAATGCAGGCGACTGGGAGAGTAGGCCGTGAACGGTGCCAGGAAGGGGAACGGAGAAGTCTTTTGAGCTTGAGGCCTGGTTCTGGAAATCCTGCACGAGCTCGCCCTGTGGTTCGTATTGAGACGAGTACGCAGAAAGGTCAATTGAGTTGTTCCAGTCCCAATTCATTTGCCCCTCAGGATTGAAGCCGTAGCTATCAAGTTGTCCTTGCGATTGTGGCGGTAGCGACCCCGGCTGGGTATTAAAGTCGGAGTAGCTCAGCGGAGCATTATTGAGATGTCCTTGTAGTGGAGCCGAGGACGCAGTGGGGATGTTGGCAGGCTGCTGAGCATTATCGCGGAATTGAAGCTGGGGAGCGTGAGGAAAACCCGACGCGCTCGCGGGTTGCGCACCCGCAAGCTGCTGCTGGCGGGCAAGAGATTGGTCAGAGCTTTGAAATGCGAAATCTCGAGAAGTGGAGCGATCAGACTGGTCAGGCATCGGCCACAGTGAACTTGCGGGGGACTGAAAAGGCTAGATGGAGCTGCTGCTACTACTGCTTGGGGCAGCCTTTGAAAGGAGGAGCAACGCGAGGGTGCGAAGGATGGTGGAGTGACTGATTGCTGATTGCTGATGAAGACCTGAGTAAGAATCCAGGGTCCCCCAGTGGCAGCACGCTTGCACGATCTCCCTTTAGCCTCTCCGGATCCGGAATGGTCAACCGTTTTAGGATATCCAGACGCTCGCCAGCAATGTATCTCTGTGCTCTAGTAGATATTTCCTGGAGGTTCAATTGTTATCCAAAGTGATGTTCGTATCTTGGCTCGAAGAGTGTGGTCGGTCGGGTAGTTCTACGGTCGCGATGTACGCCTATGGATAGAACAGAAGAGGTTGGTTGAAGGTGTATGTAACTCGTGAAGCGGTGGGGTCGTGGAGTAGAAGAATGTTGAATTGACTTGAATTGACTTCCTCGCTACGAGGGGAGAACGAGGTAACTGAGACTTTATCTCTATGTTGGCTGCAACTGACTATGACGAAGGTGCGACCATCTGTATCGAAAACGAGCACAATGCAAGGCAATGGCAATCCACGTTCGATCATCCATATTTATGATATTCACCATCACAGTCATATGGACAAATGGACCCTTCTTAGCCAGCGTCGGCGCTCGGACGAGGCGCGCTCTCGGGCGAATTTCTGCTTGAGAGCGCAGACGGAGCTTACAATGGCACGAATGGATGGATGGAATGATGGAATCAGCCCTTTTTCATTCTAGAAGCATGTAGCACTCTTAGGGCGGATAAGCTATAGCAACGGTAGGTCTTAACCTGTCAGCTATCGCGCTGCACAAATAGGAACCCTCGCAACTCTTTGCGCCGTCTTTTAACTCGTCAGTCTAGGCTTATTGTCAGCTTCAACCGGTCATTTTCATGCCCGGCCGAGATACGAGACCAATGATAATGGCGGAATACAATACAGAGACGCAAGATGGGTATTTTTTCTCGTCTTGAGACGTCATACTTCTATTTGCAATGCTTGCAAACACAACTGCCCTGAACTAAAAAGTGATTTCCTAAGATGTCCACCATCATTCGCAGGCAGCTTAAAATTTGACCTCCGAGAAAGGTACGAACTTTTCCCCTGTTGCAGATTCAATCCTCTGCCCTGCTCGCTTGTACGATTCTGTATCCTGGAATCTCCTGACGTAGCTGTAAAGCTTAGGATATGCACTCTCTGTAAGACATCCATGCGATACCGCGCCTTCAAGTACGAAGCTCAGCTGGATATCAGCAGCAGTGATGCTTGGACCACAGAAGTATGATCCTCCACCTGGCGCCGTAGCTAGATAGTTCTCAAGAAAGCTCAAGTGATTCTTCAACTCAGGATTGATGAATACGCTATATACTTTGTTCGCAATACCACCGGTGATTGGCTTCAAGAAGAATGGAACTGGGGCATTGCGAATGCCTATGCGTGTTAACGTTGTTGAATGACCAATGTGACGTAGGTATGTGCTTACCATCAACTACAATGCAAATGATCAAGACAGGCATGAAACTGCCCTCGGAATAATGTAGGAGATACTGGGTATTTCGAATCAGTCTCAGATCTATGCATGGGTGGCGAATGTAATCAATGGGCAGTATGGGCGAATCAGAACCACTCACCCGATATCTCAACCACGCATCAGTTTCCGCACCGACGCCGCCATCTTTGCCCTCCGGATAACGATCAGGAATCAAACGCTTTCCAAAATGCTCAGCGAGATATTCGATAATCACACCACTCTCTGCTAGAACGATTGGCTTTTCAGCTCCCTCTGGCTGGATACTGATGAGCGGCGATTTGCCCAATGGGTGGATGTCCTTGAGCTCCTTGGGTGCCAACTTGTCGCTGCCACGTTTGTATATCTTCAATTCATATTCGAGATTGAGTTCCTCCAGAAGCCATACAATGCGCTGGGCGCGAGACTTCTCCAACCTGTTGGGCGATCAGTCGTCACTCACAAGATAGTCGATTTTCACATGATGTAATGTATAGGAGCGAACTCGTACGATTGACATTAGATTTCGGAAAACATACCAATACACAATGATCTTACAATTTTGCTGATTAGACATGATCACACGTTATCGCTCGGAAATCTTATTGGGAGAGATAATGGAAGAGATTCGCGAGTATGGTTTGTTGGTGGTCGATGATGAAAGGGCACGAAAATAGTGCCTCGGGCTGATCTTTATGTTTCGGTGCGAGCGGTGCTTTCAGCAGCCGGCGCGAGTTCAAGCCCACAAGTTCCTACCAAGGCCTCGAATCCCACCGAGTGCAAGATCGAGTTGAACCCTGATGGTCGTCGGACACCTGCGTGTGCCCACACATCATCGAGTACTAAAAAAGGCAGCCTTCTAACTTGAATTGGATCCTTCTATACGAACGCAGCAATCGGAGAGATCCGGACATAATCAAACTGCTGTTGCCTTGGGATCGAAATGTCTCCATGCGAATGCACAATCAATAATTGACTCAATTCCACTCCAAAATGATGACTGCAGTGATTCAGGGTAGCAATTACGATGGAATCAATTCACAATAATGCATTGATCAAACTACAACACTTTATCACTTGATGTATCTACCTGTCAAATCAACGATGAGGAAATATGCCAAGACTTAGCTTAGTCATGCACTTCGAAACCTCATGACAACCTCACATCGATGATTCGCGAGCTTGCTGCGACCCACGAATCTCCCCAGAAACGTCAGGTCAATCACTCACCATGGCGGGACACAATCACCCACCCAGTTCGTACCCCTCATAATACTCGATCAATGATCAATTGCTAACACATCCTCCCGCAGCGGTCCACATGGACCCAGCTCTCATCAAATGGAACAGTATGCCTACCCACCGACCCCGATGACTTCGCGACAAGCTGTGGATACGTATACGATGTATCAGGATGATCAGTATTGACATATGGTTACAGACATGGTGGTCAACCGCCACAAGTACTTCCGCTGGACACCGCGCACCGCCTGGATCACCGTCGCCTACGTTGTCGCTGTACCCGCTCTCCTTGGAACCGTTGGATACATGACCGATGTCAGACCCCCAATTCGACTCACTGCGCAAAGCATGGGCTAATAAATAACAGGGAAAATGGGATATGCGTGGAAAGAGGCGGGGCGACCTCGTCTCCGAGTTCTAAATGCTCTCCGGGGAATGGCGTGGGAAAAAAGAATCACGTTGGGCACAATTGCACGATGCCGGAAACTGTATATATTGGGAATTGAATCTCTTTCAAGGCTATCAAATGCATTACCTGGATTTTCGGGAACTTTGTGTTCACCTATGCATCGAACGCCGTGATAGCTATTGCTTGATAAAATGCTCCGTCCTCTGTACGATAGGGATATTTCGTGAGGGCGTTCATCATGCTTCACATATCGCCGCACGCCACACTAGCCCACAGCTTCCTCTCGACCGCTAACCTCGTCCCACTTTCTTCAGCCAGTCACTTTCCTCGCCATCTGGAGCTATATGAAGTGGCTGCGCGTTTGCTCGTGTCCAGTAATTCATACTCCGCGGGAAGATTTTGATCCGAGGATCCTGGTACACATCCACCAGTGCCTTGTAGAAAGCATTGCATTCATCTTCTAGGCCAAGGACTCTCAGACAGCGTAGGATGCGCGTTATGCGCAGGTGGTTGTGGTCCATAGGGTGTGCCCAATTCGCAAAGGATGTCTTCCAACCAGCTCGACGGACAACAGTCAATGGCTTTGGCGGCGATGAACTTGTGTCCAGAAGAGACTTGGGGTGCTCTTCGGTAGGTGCGGCATCTTTCCCTGCAGCTGCTGGGTTTCCAGTTGGCTCTTGTTGTGAGGCGTTCTCTGAGCTGGCAGCTTGAGAATCATCGAGGGAATCGTCTGTCGGCTCTTCGGTAGATGGTAGTTCTTGATCTGTTTGTTCCACATTGGTAGCTCCCGCCTCTGTATCATCCTCGCTTTCGCTCGTAGATGTGGTACTATCCTGAATCTCAAAGCCGTAGAACTTCAATATCCGCTCGAATGACTCGCGCAGCCTAAGCCGTAACTCCTCCCTAGCACGAAAAGCATCGTAGACCCCACGATCAATAATCGGCGCGGAAATGTTGTAAGGACTACCTTCCGGAAGTGGGAAAAGGACCTGGATATAGTTGTGGCTGCGCTCCAGCATTATGTCCGGCCAAGCTAGAATTTCGTCCAATGTTCTGTGGCGTGCATCTTCGCCTTTGATGTCTGGGTCGTAGAAATTTATGATGAGGTTGTCTGATGTGTCCGCCATGTCTTTGTTCGTATCGTTGTCTGACCCTTTCGACTTTCGGGAGAAGTTGAGCCTCATGTGGGTTGAGGATCGGGAAGTCCAGTCTGGTTGTGGGGATGCGATTGGTACCTAAGTACCTGCCTGCTGGATATTCTGAACACGGACCAGGTGAGAGAACCCAGGTAGTTTCTGTTCGCTGGTTTCCCAATCACTGAAGGTTAGAGAGTGAAATAGCCGAAACCAACAATTACTGAAGCTACTCTGTTCACTCTCTACGTGGGGTAGTTTTCCAGTGAAAGTGGCTATGCAAATGCAGGGCTAAACCAAAATATCACACCTGTTATCGATCGTGCAAACGGATAATGAGATAAAAATTCAGGTACAGCTCTAAGTCATGTCTATGAGTTACAGTGCTCATGATATGATCAAGCATAATGTCCATCTAGGCACCTCACCTGGCTTCACCGCGTACCTTCATCGGGTGAAACAACTAGGCTAACCGAGTTAAGTCAAGGGCGGTTGTGGACGATCTTCATCAATGCCGCCAATCGTCTGCAATTGATCAACATCCGGTGCATCCCCGCTACTCTCTGTGCTCTTCTATGCTTCTAAATTGACTACAAGTACCTATAATCAGCCAACTTCTTCTGCTGGACACTGTATTTTGATACCTACAACATCCCATCCTTCTTGCTTCAAATCATATCTTCCCGGTGCCCTTTTCTCCACTACAATGTACGACGACGTCATCCTGATTCTAGGCCACTCTTATCTTCCCGTTGCACCATTGCCCAGCTTAAATGGCGCACCACGCCTAATCGAGCCATGTGGCAGCGCTTGTGCATAGGATTTGCTGGGTTGTAAATCTGACGTCGCGATGAAAATCAAGGAACTAGTTCAGAGAAAAAAGCAATCTAGTAGTAGCCTGGAATCACTTTAAGATTGGATATAAATCTGGCGCAGTGCCCCTCTATACAAAGGTTTTAACCTATAGACAAAGATTTCATAGACTTTTGGTTTATTGCTTAGAGCACCTTTTGCTTTCTCGCGAGTTTAGATCTTACTTAGATTCCAACATGGGAGACAAAGGTACCCTTCCCTCCACGCTCCCTCGAACCAGAATAGCACGCTCATTGAGACCAATTTAGGCCAAGAACCGACTGAAGAGAACCACACCCTCTTCCAGGCGTTCGAATGGAACGTCCCTGCAGACAAGGCTCACTGGAAGAGACTAGCAACTGCCTTGCCGAAATTAAAGGCCATCGGCATCGACAACATCTGGCTTCCTCCAGGCTGCAAAGCATCGTCTCCCGAGGGCAATGGCTACGACGTCTACGATCTCTACGATCTCGGTGAATTCGATCAGAAGGGCGGCCGTGCCACCAAATGGGGCACCAAAGAAGAGCTTCAAGAGCTATGCAAAATCGCACGAGAGCAGGGCGTTGGCGTGTATTGGGATGCTGTATTGAACCACAAGGCCGGTGCCGACAGGACCGAGCGTTGCCGTGTCATTGAAGTCGATCAGAACGATCGTACCAAAGAAATTGGGGAACCATACGAGATCGAGGGGTGGCTCGGCTTCGACTTTCCCGGCCGAGGCGAGAAGTACTCGAACTTGAAGTACCACTGGGAGCATTTCAGCGGCACCGATTACAACCAGGAGAACGAGAAGAAAGCCATTTACAAGATTCTTGGAGACAATAAGGGATGGTCAAACTCTGTGGACGGCGAGAATGGAAACGCAGACTTCCTCATGTTTGCAGACATCGATTACTCGCATCCCGAAGTGCAGGCAGACGTTAAGAAGTGGGGTGTGTGGATTACCCAAGAACTCGGATTGAAGGGATTTCGATTGGACGCCGTCCAGCATTTCTCGGAGAGGTTCACGAATGAGTGGATTGACAATCTCCGCGAACAATGCGGACATGATATCTTCGTGGTGGGAGAATTCTGGTCAGGCGACGCCCAGCTTATGACCGATTGGCTCCGGGATCTGAATCACGCGTTCTCTCTGTACGACTCTCCGTTGCTCAACAACTTCGCCAGACTGTCGACTACTGAAGATGCCGATCTCCGTAAGGTTTTCGATGGCAGTCTTGTCCAGGCTCAACCAAGCAATGCTGTCACAGTGGTTATGAACCACGACACACAACCTGGTCAAACGGTTGCTACGCATATTGAAGGTTTCTTCAAACCCCTCGCATATTCACTAATCCTCCTCCGCGAGGAGGGATACCCATGCCCCTTCTACGGCGATCTCTACGGCATGAAGGGCGAGAACCCGGAGCCGGCCTCTTGCGGTGGAAAACTCGCAGACATCATCCTCGCGCGTAAGCTATATGCATACGGTGACCAAGAAGACTACTGGGACAACCCCAACTGCATCGGATTCGTGCGACGAGCAACGTGGGACAGGCCAGATGGTCTTGCCTGCATCATGAGCAACACGAAGCCAGGGGAGATCAGGATGGCAGTAGGAACAGAGCATACGGGCGAGGTGTGGACTGATATCTTGGGCTGGGAACAAGGCGAGGTGACGATTGATGACGAAGGGTTCGGCCTTTTCAAGTGCCCTGGCATCAGTGTCAGTATCTGGGTCAACAAGGAGGCTCAAGGAAGGGACCAATTCCCTACTAATTTCGATTCCAACATCTATGGAGAATAGATTGGCATTTAGAGATATACATAGACTTTTTAATTTCACTTCTTTGGATACTTCATTAACCCACTTTTTGGTACCATAGCTTTAAATTTTGCTACTTTGAGTAGATTATTCAATACTATTCTTGAATACAACAACCTGAAAAGAAACTGGAACGTGACCTGTGCATGTACAATCATGGTACTTGTGACTAATAAATTAATACACAAGACTTGGAATCGGACTTGGTGTACAACTTGAGTACCGGTGAACACATCTCGAGGTAATGCTTGAATTGATGTGATTGGGTGCCTTGAAGAGACTTAGTTGACCGGATTTCCGCGAGCATCCTTAATGCTGGGGGAAATGTGATCAATGTCTTTGAGCTTCCCTTACCCGATATAGTATCGTCAAATCCTTAGGATCATGCAGCGCAGTCATAATGCGAATCGAAACAATATGGATGGATCATAGATCCATCGAATCATCCCATGTGGTGGAAAGGAAAAAGGATGTTGCGGGCGGAAGCGGAGCGGAGTGGCCTGACCGGGATTCTGTGTCACGCTATACCCGATATTTGCTAGTGCATGTGTGACGTATTTGGCGGGGGCGGAAATGGCTGGAAGCTTCCTTGAATGTTCTCCAAGCAGCGAGAGACATCGGGCAGCACCTCGACATCACTGGTTACTTCATGACGCTCCTCCAAGGATCCACGTTCCACCTGCCACGACTATATATATTATCCTCGACTCACCCTGCCACCTTTTTCCTCCATAGACTTCAACACAATCTACAACAATCATAGAGTTGTTCTAGTAAACACTGCAAACTCACCCTCTTTCCACATCATATATACCCGAGTCACTGCTAGTTACTGTTCATAACCACACACATTCACCATGACTTCATTCGACCAATACACAGATCGTGCGGCTAAGGCACTGGCCGACAGTTTCGACCTGGCCAAGTCGTACGCACACTCACAACTCGCACCGATCCATCTCGCCGTTTCCCTTATCGACCCCCCTCCAGACCCAGCCTTCCCCGACAAACAACAATCAGCGCCCATGTTCAGGCAGGTCGTCGACCGTGCAAATGGAGACGCCCAGCAGTTTGAACGCGCGCTGAAGAAGGCACTGGTCAGGCTACCGAGCCAGGACCCTCCACCAGAGCGAACCTCACCCTCTCCTGGCATGACCAAGGTGCTTCGCGCAGCCGAAGACCTCAGCCGAACCCAAAAGGATAGCTACATTGCCGTAGAACATCTTATCTCCAGCTTGGTGCAGGACGCCAGCATTCAAAAATGTCTCGCCGAGGCCAATGTACCAAACACCAAGCAGATCGACCAGGCTATCCAGGCAATCCGGGGAACAAAGCGAGTGGACTCGAAAACCGCAGATGCAGAGGAGGATAATGAGAACCTGAAGAAGTTCACGATTGACATGACGGCGATGGCGAGGGACGGCAAGATCGACCCTGTCATCGGCCGTGAAGAAGAGATTCGTCGCGTGGTTCGCATTCTGTCCAGGCGAACCAAGAACAACCCAGTTCTTATTGGAGAACCCGGTGTAGGAAAGACCACAGTCGTTGAAGGTCTTGCACGACGAATTGTTGATGCTGACGTTCCGGCCAACCTTGCAGCCTGCAAGTTGCTTTCCCTCGATGTAGGTGCCTTGGTTGCCGGCAGCAAATACCGCGGAGAGTTCGAAGAGCGCATGAAGGGAGTGTTGAAGGAGATTGAGGAATCTAAGGAGATGATAGTGCTCTTCGTAGACGAAATTCATCTTCTCATGGGAGCCGGTTCTTCCGGTGAGGGAGGCATGGACGCTGCCAACTTGCTCAAGCCCATGCTTGCCCGTGGCCAGCTTCACTGTATCGGTGCCACAACACTAGGAGAGTACCGCAAGTACATTGAGAAGGACCAGGCTTTCGAACGTCGTTTCCAGCAGGTCCTTGTCAAGGAGCCGTCGATCCCTGAGACCATTTCCATTCTTCGTGGATTGAAGGAGAAGTACGAGACCCATCACGGTGTCACCATCATGGATGGTGCCATTGTTTCTGCTGCTACTTTGGCAGCCCGCTACCTCACCCAGCGCCGTCTTCCCGACTCCGCAGTCGACCTTATTGATGAGGCTGCAGCGGCAGTGCGGGTGACCCGCGAATCGCAACCAGAAGCGCTTGATAATCTCGAGCGCCGTCTGCGTCAGCTCCAGATTGAAATCCATGCTCTCGACCGAGAAAAGGATGATGCTTCCCGCCAACGTCTGAAGGAAGCAAGGGCAGAGGCCGCCAACATTGAGGAAGAACTCAAGCCTCTGCGCGAAATGTACGAGCGCGAAAAGGAGCGTGGCAAGGAGATTCAGGAAGCGAAATTGAAGCTCGAGAACCTCCGCAACAAACTTCTCGAGGCTGAACGTATTCGAGACATCCAGACCGCTTCGGATCTCAAGTACTACGCCATCCCCGATGTGGAGCAGCGCATTGATGAGCTGGAACATGAAAAGAAGAAGAATGATGCCGAGATGTGGAGCCGTCAGGGCGGGGCCGGAGAAGCACTTCTGAGCGACACCGTTGGACCAGACCAGATTAACGAGATTGTTGCTCGATGGACCGGTATTCCTGTCACCCGACTCAGGACAACCGAGAAGGAGAAGCTCATTCACATGGAAAACCATTTGAGTAAGGTTGTTGTTGGTCAAAGAGAGGCAGTCCAGGCTGTCTCGAATTCCATCCGACTTCAACGGTCTGGCCTTGCCAATCCCAATCAACCGCCCAGTTTCTTGTTCTGTGGTCCCTCTGGTACTGGTAAAACGCTCCTTACCAAGGCATTGGCCGAGTTCCTGTTCGATGACCCAAAGAGCATGATCCGGTTCGATATGTCAGAATACCAGGAGAGGCATTCGCTCAGCCGAATGATTGGTGCTCCGCCAGGATACGTGGGCCACGATGCAGGAGGTCAGCTCACCGAAGCTCTCCGACGTCGTCCATTCTCTATCTTGTTATTTGATGAGGTGGAGAAGGCTGCCAAAGAGGTCCTAACTGTCCTCTTGCAGCTCATGGATGACGGCCGCATCACCGATGGACAAGGTCGTATCGTCGATGCAAAGAACTGCATTGTCGTCATGACTTCCAACTTGGGTGCTGAATACCTCTCACGTCCAAACGCTGCAGATGGCCGCATCGATCCAACCACGAAGGACATGGTCATGGGTGCTTTGCGCTCATACTTCCTTCCGGAGTTCTTGAACCGTATCTCCTCCATCGTTATCTTCAACCGTCTTACAAAGAAAGAGATTCGCAAGATTGTCGATGTGCGCATGTCAGAGATCCAGAAACGACTGGTAGACAACGGACGGAATGTGTTCATCGACATGACACCGGATGTCCGCGACTACCTTGGTTCTGCTGGATACTCGCCAGCTTATGGTGCTCGTCCTCTCGCACGCTTGATCGAGAAGGAAGTGCTCAACCGTCTCGCCGTTATGATCCTAAGAGGATCGATCAAGGATGGCGAAACCGCCCGGGTTGTCATGGACGATGGTCACATCCTCGTGCTACCCAACCACACCGACAGCGAGGATGATTCAGAGATGTATGAGGATGAAGACGATGCATTGGCAGATCTCGAAGGTGATGAGGGCATGGACCTCTACGACTAAATCAACCACACCCCATCAACCGAGATGTAGAAACAGAAAAAAAAAGTACAATGTCTAGAGTTGGTCTAGTATCATCTAGGACGGAGCGAATGGAGTTTTATGAAGGTTATGAGTTTACGACTGTACTTTGGGAACATACATTTCTCATAGTATCATGATCATTAATACTGTTAGAGCATTTGCATCACACTTTTGATGCAATAATATATACAAATTCTCAGAAAATAGGGATAAACGAAAAGTCTTCTTCTGTAGATAGGTATTTCCAAGCCTATAAAAGAATTAATCTTGATATCACAAAACATTATCTCTTCCGAATATATGTGACTTCCAGTGAATCAAAGTGTATGGTATATTGTGTCTTCGCTATCTTATTTACAATTGCATGCCTATGGAGTACCTCATCTTAAACCTCACTAAAAACCTAAACGCGCTGGGGGCATTCAGCGAACTGTAAAACCTTTGCATCAGGGTCTCTTTAAGATGCGCCAGAAGCACTTCAGCGAACTATAAAAACTTTATATGAGAATCTCTCTAAGATACGCTAGAAGCACTTCAGCGGACCGTAGAAAACCTACATCCGGATCTCCTCGACATGCCCTCAAACGATGTCCACATATCCGCGCGTTGGATGCCCAGCTCATCACGACTCGCCATGCCGTCCTCGGCAATGCGAACCTAGGATCTTCACTTCCATATGAGAGTCTCGCGCTCTTTCTGCAGCGCGCCCACAAGCGCGTGCGTGTTGAGTGGGACGCCCATAAGGTTCAGCAAGTGGTCGAAGATATCATCGACGACATTGCTCAGGACCAGGACGTGCGTATCACTCTCACCATTCGGACAGCGCCCAACTTGCCAGAGGGAAGTAATGAGGATGTGACTGCTCTGTTTTCTCTGTTGGCAGGGGTACGTAAGGCTTTGTGTGGGATCGAGCAGTTCATGCAAGGCCGTGCCGGGCAGCTCCGTGAGCAACACGGGGGAGTGCAAAAGCATGACTCGATGGAGGATCTGACGGCAAAAGTTGGGAACTGCGTCGACAGGAGCGCTCTCAAGGTTCTAGTGGAGCAGGTATTTGCCATGCATGCAGAGCAATTGGCAACCACTAACGGAGAGGGTGCAATGCTTATCAGAAAAATAGTCAAGCTGATCGATATGGCACTCGTCCAGCAGAAGTAAGGCTTTGTATGCCAGGCCATAGGCTATACCCTACTACAGAGGAATGCCTCCATTGCACACGGTCCTACCATGGTCGAGTGCTGCCCAAGTTACTGTATGTCACCTTCTAGTCACAGAATTAAGAATCTTTAGTGACACTTCATCTATCTTTCCATCATCACCACTACCTTCTGAAGCAATATGCTATGCCCTTGACTATCTCGTATATGAAGCTAAGTAGTAACACTCGGTAGATAACCTGAAATCAACGGTATATGCATCAGACACGTACAGTGTTGAGACGACTCGAAAATCCATGGTATTTGCATGCACTTCCTACGCATACGGCTCAACCTACACCATGTGTCGTCACAGCAACAATATACTCTCATAACAAACAGCTTTCAATATCGAAACCCAGTAGTGGTCTTCCAATAGATAAACTCAGTCTTCGTTCATTGGACATTCAACTCATCCCCTTCCCAGTCCATCTGTCCTCCCTCTTCGTCCTGCGCGCAAGGTATCCGGAGCACCACAGACACCTTCCTCACCGTTGAAGTCATTCTTTATCATGAACCTTACGCGTGTATTACTCACGTCGATCGATTCAGCAGCGCTCGCTTGCTCGGGAAACGTAGGGTCTTCTGTAATCAGTCAGTATAGACCACACCCTCGTCTTCCTCCTAAGAGATAGGTACATGCGGACTACAAGTAACTCTTACGTAGAGACAAAGACAGAGGGAGTATGAACCGCTGGGGAGACGCAGGTGGTGATCCCGCGCGGTCTCCCTGTTTCTTCGGGAATCAATCGTGCACCTATTCTGAGTATCATGATGTAATTTGGTATAATGTAATTTAGTATGATATGGTGTGGTATTGTAACATAACCCTAACACGAAACGTGCACACGCTGCTAAATGCTAAATTTTCTCTATAAAAACGTCAAAACTTCAAGAGCTGCCGCCATCTTCGTCACTGCCTTCTTCGTCATCGTCCGCGATGTCAGTGCGCTCGACGATGAGATTCCCGCTCCTGCCTATCCTCTCGCGGAGGGATCCCCCGTTCTTGAGTTCGTAGGCCTCCCTCGGCATCGGCGACACGAGCTGGAATTTGTACTCGTGCTCGAAGCCCGACGGCTCTTCGGCGCTGCCGCCGGTATTGTCGTCATCGGACGCGGGGTTCAAGACATCGTAGCACTCGACGAAAGCGTATAGTTCCTCGATGTGCGCGTCGGCTCTGAATTTCCGCACGATGCGGTCGCCAGACGGCATACGGAGGCTTATCCGCACGACGTCTTTGTCGTCGGGGCCGGGCTCGCTGGGGATGGACGTCGCGCGCCATCTGCGCCACTGCGCGAGCTGCTGTGCGTATCGCTCTTTGGCTTGCTCGCGCTCGAGGGCTTCTTTCTCCTCGCGGGCCTTGCGCTCGGCTTCTTCTTTCTTCTTGCGGGCGCGCTCGCGGTCGACGGCGAGGGACCGCTCGTATGCGCTGTCTTGCTCTTGTCGGATGTTTCGGGTGGCTTGTTGTTCGGCTCGTTGCGCGCGCACGCGGTTTAGCGGTTCGCTGTGGGCTTGGATGCCCTGGCGGAGCTTCGAGACGAATTGCGCGGGGGGTGTGGGGCCGGCGATGCGCGTGGCGATGCCCATTGCGGTGGAGGAGACTTGGGGTGTGTGGACGATGAGTGCGCCGAAGGGGAACTTGGTGCAATTGAGCGCGGTGGACACTTGGTATGCCTCTGAATCCTGCACGTTGCCTGCCCATAGTATGATGTTGTTCTCCGGGTTTCGCACGAAATCAACCACCTCTTGCGATAGCAACGTGTCTCGGATGAAAGATGAAGTCTCGTCGTGCTCGGGAGACACGAGGACCACGAGGAGGAACTTGAGGTCCTTCTTTGCGATGTCGAAAGCGCTGGCATATCCGCCCTCGTGGAAGGGCAGGGTGTTGCTGCCATACTCCTCCTCGAACTCCCGGATGAACCGTGCCGCATTGTCCCTTGGGTTGAGCGGCCGCCTCCCACCTGTGGTCCTCCGGCCCGCAGGTGTATTGATATTGCTCGCTGTTAGACGACCCCATAACCTCGGCACGAATGGGAATAGATATCCCATGAACCGGAAATACTTGGAAAGCAGAGAGAACACCAGACTGAATGGCGCGAACAGTAATGTCAGGACCAAAGGTGCTTGTGTTGCTACCTGGTTCTCAGGCTGGGGCACGACTCGAGGCGCGGGTTCTACGCGGACTCGACGGCTGGAGGAGGTGGAGGATCGAGGTGAGCTGGAGAAGCCATTCAGCAATGTCTCTTGTCTCCGCGTGTCTTGCGGCGCTGGTATGTCTGCCGTGGCGGCGGCTGCGATTGGGTCTTCTGCGGGTTCGCCGTCGAAGAAGCGGGCTATCGCAATCTACATATATGTCGGTCGTCAGTCTCAACTCGCGATTCCATGCTTGGGCTGCTGTCTTGCTCTTACCTGTACGTTCCATTGACACCGTTGTAAGAGCGGAACCGCCACATTGATGTCCTGGTCCGTCACCGCGGTGAATTGCTGCAGTGCGAGCTGCTGCTCCTCGGAAAGCTGCGCGATGTCGACTCCGCCGTCGGCCATGGTGATCGTCGTCCGTCCTTTCACCTTCTACGTATACCTTCTCTTATCCTAATATCGGAGCTGTATCGATTGTATGTCGTGAGGACAGAATGGCAGGCTGGGGGGTGCCTCTTTTTCTAGTCCAACAGAAATGGGAGTGTCGGTTGGATCAAATGTTGAGAAGAGTAATGTTGCGTTACGCTGCGTTGAGTTGATGGTTCGGGACGGGTGGACTAGTCCGAAAGTCACAACGTTGCCTTGAGGGTGGGTTATGATGAAATGGCTGCGGCGGCCGCGAATCTTCCACCGCCGAATTGCCAAGATTTCGGAACCAGATCCATCGCTTCTTTGTGTCCACCTTTGGTACTCGATAGATAAAGTTGCGGTATGCTGTATCCTCATATGCATTCTCACTACTATTGTCGAAATCATTCTGTCACATTTCCCAAAAGAAACGACACAGCCGTTAACCTTAAATACCTACCTAGGTGATCAGTCCTATATTCGTTCCCCAAAGTAATGAAGGATACACTCACAAGTAAACCACATTGTATCAACAAACACCTCTATAAACTTACCATCAAAACAGGTTAAAAACAACCAGTCCCCAACACCATAATCCAGAATGAACCAAACCATTCCTACAACATACACCAGGGAGTAGAAACCGCTTAAAAATAAAAAAATAAAGACAAGAACACGTCAGGCGCCTCAAAACACAGCTGCTAAACAATACCAACTCTATGCACGTATAGAACATTAGACAGCAAGTAGCGCACAGTAGTACATTAAAAAGGTTCAATGGCTGTGATAACGTATAAAGGATCCGGTATTGTTGAATACTTATGTATGTGTGTGGTCGAGTGGGCAAGACGACCCTATGAGGACCTTCGCTCCCCTATGTTTGCTCCACCTAGAGTGCCCTCTGACTGGCTTCGAGTACATCTTCAGCCCTAGCCGCCCTGCTCATCACGCGTGTTGTAAGATATACAATCTTCAATGTCGTCATTTCTTGATTCTTTTCTGGCATTGTATCCCGAGCATGTTCTTTGCTTCGAGATGGCCATGTGAGCTTAGAAGGTGGGTAGAAAATATCTTCTCGTGATGACGGACGACGTCCAAATGGAGTACATAATCATGTATGAGTTGATTGCATTATTATCTTAGTAAGATTGGGGTATTTATTGATCATGATACATCGGTTGGGGAAACCCGCCATGGAATGCGAACTTTTAGGAATAACGATGCCAATGCGATAGGGTATATGTTATAGGAGAAAGGGACAAAGGAAAAGGTGAAAGATGTGCTGTCGGACCCCAGGGGTTGATATCGAATGTTCCCCTCCGCCCCACCAAAGAAAAACGCCGTAAATGCTCGTACGAATGCTATGCCATGTGTGAAACCTGCTGCGAATAGCAATCACATGTTTCCAAAAGTGTCCGAAGTACAGAATGCCGGTCGCGCTATAAGTGGTAATTCGATCGTGATGTGGAAATAGAGATAAGTGGATGGGCGGCGCCGTGCACCGAGATCGTGGCTTCGGGACCGCACGCACTTCTCCGAAGGCGCAACGCCATTATGTATGTATGCATGTATGTTTTCTACAAATTAATTACCGAGTCGTTTCGGAACTTGCCACAAGACCCAAATGGGTTCCTATCGCTTGAAGATGGCGATGAAGCTCTTTCTTTTTCCAACCCTAGGGGACTTTGTATCCACTGGGATGGGTGGCGGTGCAATATTGAAGGCCGGTGTGGACTTCGAGCTGGATTTTTCCTTGAGTTGCTTTGAGGATTTTTCTTTGGTTGAGACCTTGCGCGTCAGGTTGCTGGTGCTCGTTATTTCCTGGTCTTTATCATTCACTGCGATGCCAGAGTCACAAGGGCCCGGACTGGGAAGAGGAGGGGTTGCCCGCTCGCTCTCGACCACCCTAGAGTCGTGCCTGGCGAGCTGGAAGCTGCTCTTAGCCTTGGTGATAACAGATCGTTTCGAGCTCTTCGTAAGAGCACGAACGAGACTAGTGCTCTCTGCAGCCTGCTGGCGTTCTAGTCGCTCAATCTCTCCAAGCATCGTCATGCCATTTGTGGCGAGGCTTTCTTCGGCGATGGGCACAAATTTGATGATGCCACGATCTGCATGTACGCCAATCGTTTCGAACAGGAAGGACTGGATAAGCGCGGCGTTTCGTTTGTTGAGAGTAGGCTGAATAGAGACGGGGAGTGCGTTGATAGTGAGGATGTAGGTTGGTTCAAAGGATCCGCCGAGCAAGAGGCAAGCCGAGTGGTTGACAGTAATCATGATCGACGATTCTGGTCGCTGGTATCGCTGGGACAGATGGTGTGATAGGTCGGTCACCAGGGTGTACTCGTCCTTGATCTGTGTAACATTAGCAAGCGTTCCAGTCTAGAAGGGGACATGGGTGCAGCGGGGAACGTACAATGACATTCGTGCGGAGGTCCGCAATGACAGGTGCATCCTTGGTCACGCGGTCGCGAGAGGAGGAAGTGGAATCGTCCTTGTATGCAAACCGATCCTCAAAGAACTGGGCGCGCTGGCGCGAGTTTGAGTTGGTCGGTGGGTGGTGGCCATTTGTGGCACCACGACTGGCGGATCGGGTATGTCGTGCATCATCAAAACCAACGTTTTGCTCGGAAATGGCCTGGACAGAGCGCGGCGAGGAATCGAAGGAAACGGTTGACCTGGATGGCGACAAATGGCCTTCCGTAGGTCTAGGAGCCTGGAGGGAGATGCCGGCAGGTTTTGGAAAGGCATCGGCTTCGACTTGAGCGGTAGTATTTGTATTGGTATCCTCAGCAGAGGGCGAGGACGATCGCGACATTGGCGTGGGCGAGCTACCGTTCGCCGAATGTGGCATGCTGTCGTAGGCACGTCACAGCAGAAAGTATGGTACAGATGGGTGCCCAGAAGAAGGTCAAGTCAGCGCCGTTGGGTATGTTCGTCTGTATTCGATATGTACGTCTCTGTTTTGTGTGTATTTGAAGGGCCTGGATACGTAATGACTGTTTACAGTGACTGTGGGAGGCGGTATGCCTGGACAACGAACGATGGAGGTTGACCGAGTGTTGTTTGGTTACTTCTGGGTGTTTGTTGTTTGGAGAGGGGAGCCGTGGAATTCCTGAGGCGGGACCGAAGGGGAGTGAAGGGACTAGATATGGATTAAAAGAGGTGTGGGTGATGTGGTAAGGCACTTGTAGTGGTACTACCGTGCAGATCACGGGCCCTTGAGTAGTCCGGAATGGGGTGTCTCTTATCGATGGTCCACGGGGTGACAGACAGGTAACTTAGGTTTAGTATAGGTAGTTAGGAGAGACAGTTCGAGTCGGTGGAGGCGTTCGGTTGTGTGCGATGCGTGAGCATGAGAGTGAGAGTGAGAGTGAGAGTGAGCGTGGTCGTGGTTCAAGGTTGATCAGAGGGGTGGTTTTAGGTGGGTGGGTGGGTGTTCAAACTCAGGGTAATACTCGTAGATGAAGTTGTGGTGGCGGAGGGGCGAGGAGAAACGAGAGGACGCGTGTGAGTGGGAAAATGTGGGATGGGAGTCTGGTAGTAATATTTGTGTAATAATAGAGCTGGAAGAGGTGGAACAAACAACAGGAGCGAGGGACAGGAGTAAAGTAGAAAGTAGAAGGGAGGGAGGATAGAGAGAGAAGGAGGCGAAGGAAAAGGAGCAGGAGTCAGGATGAGAAGTAGTGACCTGGTGTATGGAGTGGTTGAAACAATGTGGAGGATCGCCCGGTGGATATTTGGTTGATTATATTATGGGAGGAGTAGAAAGAGGAAGAAGAAGAAGAGGCCGAGAGGAATGTATATCATGGAGGGATGAAGGCGTACTTTAATGGGATGCATGGAATGGCGGTGATGGTGGGAATAATAATAATTAATTCATGCGCCGTCCATAACAAGTCAATTAGGTTCACGTTAGTTTGGTCGAGAGTACAGAGGATTAATTATAGTAATTACAGTAAGGTATCCATGGTCTACATTACATGGCTGGGGAGTACGGGGGAGTACAGAGTATCTTCGAAGTATTCTGTTGATTTGTTGGTAGAGGAAGAAGACGGTGGTGATGATGGTTATGATAATATAAAAAGAGTGTGCATGTGCGCTGAAGAGTGGAACGGGAGGCTGTAAATTGATTGATTTGATCGATTGAATCGAATGAATGGATGAACCTTCCATACCAGAACCCTGTCACCCTGTCTACAGAGGGTTGGCACGTCTTCTATAATTACCTAGAGTATCCATATCAGAGTGTACTGTAGCCAATAAATAATCTCAACTCCTTGCAATGAAACCTTGTAAATGCACTGTTGTAGGCATAAAATACTACCAGCGGCAGAGAGCCAGCCCGACATGCCAACCCTCTGTACCAACGGGGATGTGACTTTCGCATTGCATCACGCAGCACTTTAAACCCACCCACACGTCCCCAACCAATGAACCTGCACTACACACAACAATACACTCTACATACAACTACAAGTACGCTGCCTGTTTTTCTTGGGCGATGAGGGACGAGGGACGAGGGACGAAGGTGGGCCAGGCAGGGTTTGAATGGACTCGCCTAGGTTTCCGCTCTTCTTAATTCATGCCGGACATTTGGTCCCTCTTCTATGATCAAGGATCTCTTATATTTATTTCCTACAGTAGAGAGACATACAGAGTACTGAAGACAGAGAAAGTACGGTTTGTATAGAGTATTCAGTACTCCATACGTAGTTGTAGACCGAGTAATCGTGCTAAGCTAAGAATAATTACCTACCTAGAACGCCTAGGTAGATAATACCATCGTTGTGTACGGAGTACAACATCTACTAAGCGCTGGCAACTTGTCAGACGCCGGTGTGCGGCGCATACATGATACATATCCATACAAACATCCGAAGCATACATGCCCTAGGTACATTCGGTATCTACTGGTAGGTCGGTATCTCCATATGTTGCTCCACACGGCTTCAGCATACTCTTTTCGGCCTACAGTCTACCCAACCCAACCTACTTGTATGTATTTTAGTACTTTGTAACCATCTTCAATGGCATTGCTCTTCCCACGACTGCTAACTACAAAATGATAGATGCTTCGTAACTAATTACCAACGTTGGTACGCACAGTACTGTGTATACGTGACCTTACGCCAGTCCCCTTGATTCAGGATCCTTCATGTCTTCTTTTGGACATGTCTCAGCCGTGCTCCCAACATCTGCCCGCCGAACATCCTCTTGCATCTTGCAACCACACGTCTCTCCAATAGTTATCTTCACATCCCTTTTACATATTAAAAGGCCACCCTGCCCTACTGTTTACATACTCGCCCCGCCCGGCGCTGGCGCGGCTGGCCTGGACACCTGCAACCTCCAAGAATTGAAATGAATCTCGACATCTGGCACCAGCCTTACCTACACGCTACCTGTACAGTTTACACACACGCTCGCTCTAGACACCCGGTGAACGCACGCATGTACACCCCTGCTGCCGTGCTACTCGTACTGCACGTACCGAAGTATAGATGAAAACCCATGGACCTTGACGCCGATATCGACATGACCTAGTCGAACCTCTCACCAAAGCTGTCATTAAATATTGCTGCACGCGGTCCATCGAAGCTTCTCTGTGCGGCTGCTGACGTTGTGGTCATGCTGCAGTGCCTCCGTGTCCCCTGCGCTTTGGTCTACGCGAAGCTGCACTCCCCTTTACGGCACCGTTCCTCTTCGAATTTTCGATATTTCAGGCCTGCTTTGCTATACTAATTCACCACGATACGTGGTTCTTGCCCAAAATGACCATCTTTTGCTCAGTCTCGCTTCGCTCAAACGTTGCCCCAAACAGCTGGAGATCTGGTTGCCCTTAGTGCCCGGCGCCTTGAGGTTCGAGACTACAGACAGTCTTCCACGTACTACCCACCATCAAACCCAAGGATTAATTAGTGGAAAGGTCACAAACACAATTTCTTGATTCTTTTTGCTTTGTATCTGGGGCGCGACGTGGCCTACCTTATTCCATCTTCCAATTGCTACGGCCTGCCACACTACCTTCGCAAGGTACGACTTTGCTTCGCTCTGCCACAATTTTGTTTTGTTCTTCATCCGTCCTCATGCAAGAACATCACCTGGCCACTCACCGGAGCAGCCCCGAATCCGACAGCTATCCCTTCCTGTTCTACATAGACTACTTAGGCATACACCTGTCACGACATGTACACCCATATGCACCCCAGGCCAGGGCCACCAGATACTCCTGGCAGCCGACGACCGAGAACAAGTCCCAGGAATTGAATCCCCTGCTGTGCTCCGGCTTTCCATCCTGATTGACATCTTCGGGGTACAGCAATGTAGTACCAGAAAGCCACGAACCCTACTTTCAGTCTGGCGTCCAAGATCAGTTGCAGGTGGGTGGTGTGCGTGCTTCCGATCTTAGATTAATCGTCTACCCGTCTGCAAAGGTGACGATAACATTGTTTGGCCGTCTCATTTCATATGTACAGACGGTAGGCTCCTTGCTAGTATTTCATGCCTACAACTATATATTCACGAGTAAATTTGTGAGGCCATGAGGCTGCTGAACTGGTTACAACTGAGTATGTACTCCTGAATAACCAGCTCAAACCCCAGACCTCGATCAAGATCTGGCCGACCACACCTGCTGCACACATTCACAAACGAGGCCGAACCGCGCATGTCAGAACTCTGTCGAGATTGGATACGTACTGCATCTGCCGCGTAACGTTCTACGGTACTGGCTCTGCAGCAACACGACCCAAACTTTTCCGCAAAAAGAGGAAAATCGAACAATATTGATACGCTATTCTCCCTCATACTCACCCACCCTATTCGACTTTGTGAGTCGTCTCCAAGCCTCCTTTTCAATGTGAAACCGCCCGCACCCACCGTCTGCAATGGCCCTTTCTTCCGGAGAATTTCGTTTGTCTTCGGCGATGCAAGAAACATTGGTGGTGTTAGTGGTACGGGATCAGCTAAACGGTGTACTACCAAATGATCGGTGGTATCTGTGATCGCCATGAGATCGGGAGACGCTGTGCTTGATATTCCCCTCTGAGCCCGCTGGTAAAAGATTAGAGAATGTGGATTGAAGGTTTGATATTGCTGGCTTAATGAAATATTCATTATTTGCTGGTGCTTCTTGACAATCTACTCGTAGACTACAGACATAAACTTGTTCGCTAGTGGTAGCTGAGGGTTTTAGTCTTGTGATGCAATAATGGTAGGGATATGCGGAGCAGGTAATTAGTAGTCCGTAGAGTGTTTGGCATCGCCAATCTCGACAACAAACCCATTTTAAATTGTAAACCGACACACCGTAGCTGTGGGAATTCGAACAACTTAACCAGGTAGATTTCTGCATATCAACTTGCGGTGAATGCTGGAGGTGCTGTCCATTTCTTGAGTGCAGGCCACGTGCATTGGCAAGGCTCACCTGATAGCGCGCGCGTCCAGCACCAACACCATAACACGCTGCACAGCACGTCTAGCACAACCAACGAACACCTCACTTCCACAAAAAGCGCAAACTCAACGACGACGATGCCGCCAGCCCCAAAGGCAAGCAACGTTCCGAAGCGAAAGGGCCCGGCATTCAAACCGCCCCGTCCTGTCAATTCGTCCACGACGACTGCACAACGCGGTCCAGCGGCGACGACTTCGCGCGTTTCCGGCCCCGCAAAGAGAACATCTGCTGCGGGGGCTGGTTTGCAGCCCTCTTTGACGCTCATTTCTGATTCAGAGGATGAGGACGACGAACAGGATGCCCTTTCACAGTCGGATCGCGATGAATTGATGGAGGATGCGACTGAGGTCGAACATACTTCGATACTGCAGCCTCAGCTGGATCCTATACCCGAAAAGTTGCTGGCAAGACTGTTATACGAGGGTTTCGAGGACAAGGACATGAAAATCCAGAAGGGTGCTATGGAGCTCGTGGGAAAGTACATGGAGATATTTGTGCGCGAAGCTGTTGCGAGAGCGCGATTCGAGCGCAGCGAAGCCCGGCAAGGAGGCAGCCATATGGACGGGTATTTGCAAGTTGAGGATCTTGAGAAACTGGCGCCACAGCTGGTGCTGGATTTCTAAGTTGGGGTCGCCTTCTCCAGATATTGATCACCCGCGAAAAGAAGGGGTGTGGCGCGTTCTCGTGCCAGAGTGCCTCGTTACCTTTCCTGTAAAGGGCTTAAACATACGACTGACTACGAAACTATTGTCGCTCGCAAACAGAGATTGTTCGCAGAGTCGCTGAAGCAAAAACAATGCTATGAAACGCGACAAGACGGACTGCCCTGGCCAGAGGGTGCCTTGATGTCATCCTCGCAATAACGAACTCATGTTACATCAAACAATATCCACGGATGGGCAGTTTCCACCGGCATGAGGTGGACATGAATACAGCAAACAATGCAATCTCGCATGGGAGCCATCCGAACGTTTTTGGTAACCCCGGTCTAGACGTTCCCGGATCAACAGGTCGTGTCGGGCATGCTGAGGCATTCTGTAACGCAGACCAAACAGGGGACGCTTCGTCACATCAACCCCCCAACCCCAAAACGAGAATAATTTCGACCTCCCTAATTTGGTATGAACGAATGCAATAATTCAACGAACACAGTTGATGGATTAGTATGAAATGAATTGCACGAATTGACTGAGCCATTCGATCTTATTATCACATTTGCGCTGCACTGTGGTCATTCAAAAGTTGCGATTCGCGTGGTTGTACTCTCCGTACAATAGCAGACTGGGGCCAGTCGGGGGATATTATCTCGCTTCGGCACGTTGAGCCTCAGATCCGGAAGTTAACCCGCCGAGCGCGTGGCTGATGCACGAACTGATTCTGACATGTCGCAGATGGGACATTCTATGCTTCGAATACGTCTTGGCTACCCTGGAGTACGTCGGCACCAGTGCGCACTAGCCGTTGATCCACAGACGTCTTCATGCCTTAAGAATCGCTATAGCCATGTAGTCAGGCTCACATCTCCTCCATCTCCTCCGTACTTTGTGTTTGCTTTCCTTTCCACTTTCTCTTCAATTCCTTTCTTGCGGTCTTCCGTATTCAATTCTTAATTTCATCTGGCCAGTCCAGTTCAGAGCGCTAGTCGCCTTTATTCACGCACGTCTATTACAATCTAGTAATTCCAAAGTCACTCCTTTCGACAAGGTCAGAAAAATTAAAAAATCCACATACACAATGTATTTCTCGAGATCAATCATCGCCTCTGCCCTTCTTGGGTTCGCAGCAGCCACCACCCACGGCGAGGGCGAGCAGGCCACCGCGATAGTAGCATCGGAGACTCTGCTCGCAACAGGAACCACTGCGGCGGCATTGGCAACAGGAACTGGACTTCTTGGGGAGGCTCCACCAGCAGGAATGGTCAATACTCACGTTATTCAAGTCGGCGGACCAAATGGAACTCTCGAATTCCTTCCTCCCAACATCCAGGCAAAGCCTGGTGACTTGGTTCAGTTCCAGTTCAACCCCAAGGCAAGTCCACTCACTTCGCAATCTGCGTTCTTCCAGCTAACTCTTCACAGAACCACTCTGTTGCTGAGTCTACCTTCGGACAGCCTTGCGTTCCTATCCAGAACGTCATGGCCAATAAGACAGATGCTTTCTGGTCCGGATTCATGCCTGCCTCGTTGGCCGCTGGCAATGGAACTGGCGGTGGCAAGTTGACCTACACAATCCGCGTTAAGGACGAGAAGCCCATCTGGTTCTACTGCTCCCAAGGCCAACATTGCCAAAACGGCATGGCTGGTGCCATCAACGCGTAAGTTCCCTATAATGTCTCAACCATCCTCCCAATTCCAACTAACACGCCATTCCAGTCCTTTGACCGGCAACCGCACCGTCGAGGCCTTCCAAGCCCTCGCCGCCAACGCCCCCGAGAACCTCAGCCCTGGCCAGAGCGGCGGCGGCTCCTCCACCTCGCCCTCCTCCACCCCAGGCGACACCCAGAACCCCGGCACCGAAGCCTCCAACACCGCCGGCGGCCTCACTCCCACATCCACCTCCGTCGACCCCGCCCAGCAGAGCGTCAACGCCGCTCCCGCCCTCTCCTCGCAATCGTACTTCGGCCTTGGACTGGCCGGTCTTGCAGCCCTTTTCGTATTGTAAAAATACCACCCCCTTTCCTCTTGGAGGACATTTTCTTGTGATCTTCGCCGCTGCCGCAACGTAAGCGCGGCGGCGGGATGGGTGAGGGCACTTTGGATTGAGAGCATGATACCATTCTTATATAAAGACCTGGCTCCAAGACAGCAAGCAGCCGATGGGGAAATCCATGGTACTTTGCTTGGGCTAGGGCGGCGTTTTTTTATATTTTCCTTTGATTTTAACATAAAGAAGTGGATGTGGGCGAGGGGCAGCGGGTCGTGCGAGAAGCCCATACTTAGAGTAGGCATAATACAAATGAATTCTGACCACCAAAGTTTTTGTGTGTTTTGATTGCTTGCGTTGTGATTGTTCGAGGATAGAAGGTGAATGCTGATGAATGGTTCTACAATTCATGGAATGTCGGTACGTTGAGCTGGCTGCATGGTAGATTTATGTATCGTCTAAACTAGTGAGCTATCTGAAAGCATACTGTAAGAAAATCAATAGGTTTCGGGCCTTATGAGGTAGACATTCTGGGAGAGACTTTACTCAATTAATAATAGTCAAAAGAGCTTTTAAAAATACATATTCCAGAGTACCTTAGGTACAGAGGGTTGGCACGTTGGGCTGGCCCCCTGGTAGTATTTTATGTCCACAACAGCGCCTTTGCAAGGTTTGTCGCGAGCAGTTAAGGTTGTTTACTGGCTACAGTACACTCTTACATAGACACTTTAGGCATAGAATATACATGCACGGAGTCCAGTTGTAAAACTTAAAACTTTCAGGAAGCCAGCCTTACATGCCTAACTTCAATTAAAATATCTGAGCACTACAAAGCAAGTGTTCTTTGTTTGCCATCTTGCTTTTCTTGTATTTTGCTCGTTCCAGAACAGGAGAGGTGAATGCTAATGATTGGCTCTGTACTGTTACCGTTGTTGGACCCTGGCCTGATAACGCGCTTGGCAGGGACAAGATGGCAGGGATGGGCACAATTGCGTCACTCACTCTCCCAATGCCAGGGCAGGGCCACACGAAATGCAACTTCTTCGTACGCCAATGATGATGATCGCTCCTGCAGCTCTGCATTCCTTGATTTTGACTTCGCGTGGACGCTGGTCGTCCAGCTTCATCTTTATCCTTAAACCACATTGACACCCTCACATCCCTTCACTTCCTCACCCATTCCCTGTTCATATTACCTACTTTATCACGCGGTATCGGGTTCATTCTTTGGACCTGATCGCGTATTACTATCACTTACCACTAAGCATTCAAGTCTCAACCTCATTTATCCTGTACTACCTCTAAACCGAATATCGCCATGAAGTCAGTCCAAGCCAGAGGCCGTCGTACTGGCACAGCTCGTTTTCAGATGCTTCCCTCCCTATGTGCAGCGCTTAGTCTGATATCGAGCCTTCCATTCGCTGATGGAATGCACCATATGGCGAGCGTGGCGCCTCGTCGCGTAGACCGGAGGAAAGAACCCGTTACCCCTCTGCTCATCACCAACAACTGCCCCGAAACCATCTGGCCTGGGATTAGAACTCAATCTGGAGATGGACCTGCGAAGCAAGGCTTTGAACTGCAGCCTGGCAAGACATCCAACCAGACAGTGTCAGAGGACTGGCAGGGGCGCGTATGGGGCCGGACGAATTGCACTTTCAACGAGGACGGCACTGGTCCGAAGGAAGGCAGTGGGCGGGCGTGCAAGTCTGGAGACTGCTATGGCGTTCTGGACTGTAAGGTCGGGGTGAGTATAAGTCCGCTTTGGCCATGTCGCTTGCATTCATCTAATACATGCGTATGTAGGGTGACGTTCCAGTGTCCCTCGCCGAGTTCACTCTGGATGCAGGTGATGGACATACCTATTACGACATCTCACTTGTTGACGGGTACAATCTTCCGATGGCGATAGTGCTTCAACCACTTCAGAATATGAGCCTGGAAGATATACCTCCGAATCTAGTCCATCCGTCATGTCAAGGGACGTTTGGTCTCTTGGAACAGCCGGGCTACGATCCATACACCAGTGGCCACGAAAATTTCCTCCGGACCAACAGCTCTTACCCATTGGATTTCGATCAAAAGGTCAACGACAAACAGGTCTCCCGGTGGTGTCCGTGGGATCTGCAGCAGGAGCCCCCCGAGAAGCCCGGCGATGGTGTGTACCCTTACCCTGACGATAACATCCAGCGGCCCGCATTCAATCCCTGCTTCTCGGCCTGTGCGAAGAACAATCGTCCCGAAGACTGCTGCACGGGAGAGTACAATTCGCCGGACGTTTGCAAACCCGGCGACTACTCAAAATCAGTGAAGAAAATCTGCCCAGATGCTTACAGCTTTGGTAAGATTAAACAGTTGGAGCGTACCTTGAGATGCACCGCTAACATGATGCCCTTAGCATATGACGACCAACTCTCTACCTTTATCATCCCATCAGGCGCTGGGTTCGAGGTCGTTTTCTGCCCGGGTGCGCGCTCCACAAATATTCTGGCCACAAACGCAGAGGCTATGCGTCAGCTTGCTCAAGATGGGCGTGTATCCAAGGAGAAGAACAGTCAATCTGCAATGTCGATGAAAAAAATCAGGGCCGATGTAGTCCGACGCAGTGATGGAATGCGGAGCATCCGATTGGACAGTACCGCCCTCATGGTAACTTTCTTCATGGCTGCATGCACTGTTGCATGCATGACGATCCTGTAAGTGCGAGTATGATATGGAAAGCTCGGAGATTTGTTCAGAAGAGGAGAAGATGGAAGCGTTTGAGATTGTTGATTACGTGTCGCGTCTGTAGTAGAGTCATTTTAGATACCCTCTTCGTAGCTGCCAATGCAGTATTCTTCTATGTTATCGTTCCTTAGTATTACTTACCTATAGACTTGTTTTAAGGGAAACAATAACTTCGCTATGAGCACGTCATTAGCTCCAACAATCGGGATTTCCTGATTACAACCTGCCTCGACTGGCTACAGCACGTTCTTTAATAAGATCCACGGAGTCTTTACCAAAAGTGTTGTCTCTGTAACCTGGTTGCATGAGATATAGCACCACATGGACGAAGATAGCGGTAAGATAGCTGATACGGCCTCACCAACGCCTTGTGCACTTCGCTCTGTAGATAGGCTAAATTGAGAAACCAATGCAATCCGGTTCTTCGAATGCGTGTTCGAAAAACAGTGTTACCGAAGGACCCTATCCCTCCCGGTGGGACTTCAACACTTCCATCTCACCAACAACATGGTCCATGGAACGGGAGACGGGAGCACGCCTGCGCATCAGCGCCCGCAGCCATGCATACATGCATGTACGCTGCAGCCGTCAGACTTTCGAATTGGGCATGGATACGCGAAGTATACCAGCTTTTTTCGGTTTCCACATAGAGTGTTGGCGTTGAAATCATCGAATACTAGGCCAAAATGCCAACATCTACCTGCTGACATGCTTTCTCGAGTTGCATGAATTGCTCGCGACGTATGCCAACTGCCGACGAAACCCTCCTGTGCGTTCCGTTTCGTTGAGGAGCGAGCGGTGAGCGTGCGTGGGAAAATGTCAAGTGATGCAGTTTTGTTTTATGGAAATTGCTTAACATGATCCCTATACGTTACGGAGGGCGTGCTGCCATCCATTTAGGGTATTCCTGCTCTGGGGATATAATTTCTTTGGGATATTATAGTTGTTGCTTTTTTGTTTACCCCACGTGGGGGGCGGGGCGTGAGTGTGTCCATGGAGGAATGGGAGGGGAGGGGGAGGGGCCACATGGCACGACGTCACCTCGAGATATAGATGACTTACTGTAACAAGTACAATCAATTATTAACTTTACAACACTACTGCGCTGTTGGAATTGGCATAGAGAAAAGAAGCAAACAAAGAAAGGTACGGAATAAATTCTCCATTTTTGATATCGACAAGAATAGAGATGCGATGTGTTTCTCGGATGAAGCTCCCGAACTGCATCCTTCCATCGTCCATCGTGTACCTATGTAATGCAAAACGCACCCTCCATCTCCCATCGCCATCGCCATCTTCCTCGTATTTGAAAACGCCAACGACGGTTCCTCGCAGCGTACCCCGCCAAGGGTAGCCACTGAGACGAAGGGACAACCGCCCCATCGAGCATCTGACGGCTCTCCTGACCACGGAGAGGGATCCTCCGCTCCCTTAACGGAGATGCCGCGTCTCTTCAGTCATTCTGTGTCCCTCCATCGAAGCATCTCACCGCTGTGTCGGGCGCGCGGGCCATACCTCCCCTCGCTGCCTCGCTGCCTCGCGCGGCTGGCTTGCTGCGTCGTGCCTAATTTTCGGTACGACTCCGCAGCCACCAAAAGATATCAACTAAAACAAGTCACTAAACCATCTTGGAAACGGAGCTGTCTCTTTGCACCTCCCGTTTCGTACCAGCTTGCCCACTATCCAGCTCCACTCGTACTATGTAACCACCAGACCGTGGTGGGAAAAATAATCTGAGGTACCACAAACGGCCTCAAGTGCTCCGGCCAAGTCGCAACGTCCTTACCTCTTTGTCGGCGTGTTCTGCGTGTGTGCCGTGTTTCTGTCTCGTGTCAGAAGACTAGGAAATATTTACTAATTGATGAGCTTATTTACATGTAGCAGAAAGAAATAAGAGCCATGCCATCTGCTGCTGCATGCATGGCGACTGAGAAGAGCTCCAAACATTGAAAAACCACCGGACATCCCTTTCTTTTTGCCAATTCCCAATTCTTATACTCTCGTTCTTCTTCTTCTCTCTTCTTTGGAAGGGAACAACGGCATTTTCTTTTTACTGAATGCGCATCCTGGTGTGCAATCAACCGAGTGATTGTCCTCGTCCTGCATCACAGCTACCATCGACGTCCCTGTCAACGTCGTCATCGACCTCAGTTGCTGTTATCGATATCAAGCACCCCTCCAAAACCGAAACCATGGCCCAAGCTCTCAACGTCCACGAGCTCTCTGAGGGCTGGTCCTTCAAGCAAGCAGATGATACCGCAGCAGACGCCTGGTTGTCCGTCGCTCGCGTCCCAACTAATGTCCATCTGGACTTAATTGATCATGGAAAGTATGTCATACCCGCATGGGAGGGGGATCCCTGTTGGAATTGTGAATAGAAGAAACAATAATCCCAAGTCTCCCAATATGAAAGAGACATGCCCCGTCGAATATGAAAGCATGAACTAACACGTCTGCGCCCACGCATAGAATCCCCGACCCCTTCCTAGGCTTCAACGAGCTCAAGGCCGAATGGGTCGCCGACAAGACATGGACGTACAAGACCAAGCTGCCCTCCGTCGAAGCTTCCAAGGACGGCGTCGTCCACGTCCTCGCCTTCGACGGCCTCGACACATTCGCGACTGTAAAGCTTAACGGCGACGTCATCCTGAAGAGCGACAACATGTTCATCCCGCACCGCATCGACGTGACGAAGCAATTGAAACCCGGATCCGACAACGTCTTGGAGATCGATTTCGCCTCGGCACGCCTGGAGGCCATTAAGATCCGTGAGGCGCATCCCGAGCACCAATGGGTTGGTTTCAATGGCGATATGTCTCGTCTCGCTGTGCGGAAGGCACAATACCACTGGTAAGTAGGGTTGCACCCTGTTTCCCCTATCATCTGAATTATGATCGCTGACTGTAATGTGCATAAAGGGGATGGGACTGGGGCCCGATTCTCAACACCTGCGGTCCATGGCGTCCAGTCCGACTGGAGACATACCAGTCTAGAATCTCGGACCTTCGCGTCGACTACAAACTCTCGGACAACCTTCAGACGGTGAGCGGCACCATCACCGCAAAGGTCGAGGGCGTATCTGGAAACAGCGTCGCCTTCGAGGTTCGCGACGGCGAGAACGCGGTGTTCAAAGAGACGGCCTCCGTCAGCGACGGCGTAGCCACCGTCGAGTTCCACGTCAAGGAGCCCAAGCTGTGGTTCCCGCACGGCTACGGTCCACAGTCCCTGTACAAAGTGACCGCGGTGGTGTCGTCGGCGGACGGCGTCGAGCTGCACCAGTCCAGCCGTCGTACCGGCTTCCGCAAGGGAGAGCTCGTCCAGCAGCCCGACGAGATCGGAAAGACGTTTTACTTCCGCATCAACAACGTCGACGTCTTCTGCGGCGGGTCCGACTGGATTCCAGCGGATTCGTTCACGCCCCGCGTCACGGAGGAGAGGTACCGCAAGTGGTTGGAGATGATGGTGGATGGATACCAGGTCATGATTCGGTGAGCATTGTACTCCATGGGTGAAAAGTGAGATGGAGAGAAGAGTGTCAGACTAACCATGAACGCAGCATCTGGGGCGGAGGTATCTGGGAAGAAAACATCTTCTACGACATCTGCGACGAGATCGGCGTGCTGGTCTGGCAGGATTTCATGTTCGGCTGCGGAAACTACCCAGCGTTCCCGGAGATCCTCAAGTCGATCGAGCAGGAGTGCACCGCCAACGTCGGCAGGCTACGACACCATCCCTCGATCGCAATCTACGCCGGCAACAACGAGGATTACCAAGTGCAGGAGTCTTACGGCCTGACTTACAACTACGAAGACAAGGACCCGGAGAACTGGCTCAAGACCGATTTCCCCGCGAGATATATTTATGAGAAGGTAAGCTGTCTCAAATGTATAGTGCAGTGCAGTGCAGTATTATCAGATACTTGGCTGGGCTGTTCAGATACCGCGTATCCGCACGCACTTTACCATTGCAGTTCAGTTTCTAATCATGGATCTACGATAGATACTACCCGAAGTTGTCGAGGCAGAAAGCCCTCACATCCCGTACCACCCGGGAAGCCCATGGGGCGATGGCTTGAAGACGTCGAACAAGACGGTTGGAGACATGCATCAGTGGAACGGTGAGTGATCTCCCAATAGACAATTGGATCACACCCACACCCCCTTTACTCTCACGCTCTCACATGCTATCATGCACCCTCAACAAAGGCTGACAAGAAGGGTTTGGTGAACAGTATGGCACGGCACGCAGGAGAAGTATCAAATCTTCGACACCCTCGGCGGACGCTTCAACAGCGAGTTTGGCATGGAGGCCTTCCCGCACATCGACACGATCAAGTACTACTGCACGGATCCGACACAACTGTACCCGCAATCACACATGCTCGACTTCCACAACAAGGCCGACGGCCACGAGCGACGCATCGCGACCTACTTGGTGGAGAATTTCAGGACCCAGACCGACCTAGAGGTTAGTTCTTCTTTCTTTGTTGCAGTGTTCTGTTCTTTTTTTACCCTCTCTCCTTATACTATATGACCCTCTGTCCGGTTTTATAGTTTATGGTTTGATATTCGCTTGCGTTTTACCTGTTCTACCTGCATGCAGGCCAGGTTGCGTTGCGTTTAGCGTTACGTTGAGAGTACTTTGTTGCGAGGGGCCACTGCCTCCCCCTCCCCTCCCCTATAATATACTTGTGCTAAGATTGAAATGTGAACATGGCAGGCATTTATCCACCTGACGCAACTGTCGCAAGCGGAGGCGTTAATGTTTGGGTACCGTGGATGGCGCAGGCAGTGGGGCCAGAAGCGGTTCTGCGGAGGCGCCCTGGTATGGCAGCTCAACGACTGCTGGCCCGTCACCTCGTGGTCCATCGTCGACTACTTCCAGCGCAAGAAGCCGGCGTACTACGCCATGAGGCGCGTGCTGGCGCCCGTCGCCGTCGCCGTCAAGCGCGCCCACTTCGACTGGAGCGTCGTCCACGCCCGCGTGCCGCCGACCAGCGACTTCGAGTTGTGGGTCGCGAGCGGCAAGACGGAGGAGCTGACGGCCACCGTGGAGCTGCGCTTCATCTCCATCGCGACCGGCAAGGAGATCAAGGACAAGGTTGTCAAGAAGGACATCAGAGTGGTAGCGAACGGCACGACGGACGTGCTATCGGGCACGATTGACAATGTCAACGAGGAGCCACACGTCCTGGCCGCAAGGATATGGGTCGACGGGGAGATTGTCTCGCGCGATTGCGATTGGCCGCAGCCGCTCAAGTACCTCGACTTCCACGACCGAGGCCTCGAGGTCGAGCCCAGGGGCGACACGATTCTCGTCAGGGCCAGCAAGCCGACCAAGGGTCTGGTGTTCGAGGAGAGGGCCGGCGTGCTGGTCAACGACTCCGCAATCGATGTCGTCCCAGGCGACGAGCAGGTCATCAAGGTCAGGGGACTCGGCGCAAACGACGCTGCGCTCAAGTGGACATATCTTGGCAAGGAATAATGGTCATGATGGTGGAGTGAGGGTGGGCTGCTGCTTGCGAAAATCGAGAAGGCTAAAAAGAAGGGAAGAAAAGAGACAGGTTCGGCAAAAGACAAAAGAGAGGGAGAGAAAGAGAAAGCGAGCGTGAGGGTGACGATGATCTGATACTACGAGACGCACGAACGCACGCACGCATGCACATAACACCGACGAGGGGTGTAAGAAAAAACGGACAGGATCTTAAGATTTCAAGGATGATACTTGATGAGCAACAAGAAAGAAAGAGAAAGTACCAGCAGCAGAATCGAAAGGGACAAGAGACACAAAACCGAAAGAGCAAGAAATAAAAAAAGGATATTATCGACATGCGTTCCTACCACCACCGGAGCAACAACGTACGTATGTACAGGGTCTTGGGTTGAAAGCAAAAAGACCCGCCCGCCGCCGCCGGTCCTAACAATCATCCAGTCCAGTCCAGCGTCCTGAGGATATTATCATTGTTATAGAATGGGGGGTATATGTGGGGCTATTATAGGCGTCTGCATCGTACGGTCGGTCGAGAAAGCGCTCATATTATGAGTTGAGTTCAAAAACCTACCTTACCTTGCCTTACCTAAAAACACTACCCGTACAAGTTACAACTTAAACTTTTTAAGCATCCACATCCCATGCGATACCACATCCCCTCCTCAATAATAATAATAACCCCCATAATAATAAAATAAAACGCCCGCCAGCATGACATTGGAGCACCAAGCGAAAACGGTTTTTGCTAGGGCCCGGAGGGGCCACGGCATGGATGTATGCCCCCCATGGCGTGTGTGTGTGCGTGTGTGCGTGCTTTTCGCATGCAACGTTCGGGAAGCAGGGGAGGGGTATCGCATCCCATGCCCTTCCTTCAACAGCCCAGCCAATGTGCGGCCGTGGATGAAAAAGAATACAGCGAACTAGTAGAAAAGGAATATCCAAAACGCAATTGATAATATGGGACTGCTGGCTGGGGTGGAGAGAGAGAGGAGAGGATCGGTGAAGCGTTTGATATGCTTGCTTGCTTACGAGATAGATGGGCAAGGTTAGGTAGTTGATGGACGAACTTGGGTCTCATGTCTAGCTTTGGTGGTTTTGATTGTTCTTTCTGCTTGCGCGCGCGTGCGTAGACTGGAGTGGAGTGGAGTAGTGTGGAGATTGGTTGTTGGAGTGATAATCCGCCTACTGTAGGTTGTAGATACTTTTATTTTCTAAATCTACATGTCTGTTCTAGAGTATGTTGTAGCCGGTTGAGAGTATGAAGGCCTTGCAAGCCAGGTATTGTAGAGTTGAATGTAGCCAGTTAACAGTCTAATGATCTCACGAATGCACTCTTGAATACAGAATTGAAGGCATATAATAGTAGCAGGGAGCCAGCCCGATATGCCGACACTTTGTACCTGGACCGTTTGTAATTAGATGTGCCAACCAGCAGTGGAGGCCGGCGGCTGTGACGTTGACAAAGAGAAGATCCGACTACATGAGTGGGTGTAAAGAGAGGATGACGCTGACGACAATGAATGATGATGAGCAGCATGCAAAAGGATTGCTTCTCGACGATCCCGGCAGCGGTTACCGGTTGCTCATTTGGCGTGTGCCTGGAGAGATAGATAGGATTAGAGAGATCCTGGCCGGGCGTGGCTGGGTGCCTGGCCTGGATAATGAATGATGTGATGTTATTGGGAGTCTGGAATATGGGATTGGATGGGTTGTATGGGTTGTATGGGATGGACGGGGAGGGTTGTAATTGTGGTATGGGTAAGGAATCTAGGATATGGGTATGGCGTGCGGGTGTGGGTGAGATGATCCGCGGTGTGAAACGGGCTTGCAGTAGTCGCCGGCTTTGCCTATGCGGTGATGATGATGGTGATGATGATTGACTGATGTCTGTTATAGACACAGGTTTGTGGTAATTGTGGACTCGGGCCAGGTTGTTGGCAAAGAAGTCAAGAAAGCTTCTGCTTCTCGAACAAGTATGGGAACAGGTATCAGACATGGGGGGAACGAGAGATGGTGGTTATTGGTTTGGGTTGGTGGTGGATACGACAAATCTCGCTTCAGGTCACTTGAGGTTCTATGAGGTAGCCTAGATGCCGCCGGATCTTGGGGACACCGTGCTCACCCGAATCAACATGCGCTTTGCTTTGCTGAGTACACTGTAATCATCCCTAGGTGTAATTACCTCAGGTATTCACTGTTTGCAACTCATCATGCAAACACTGTGCGGAGTACAATACACAGTGGATCGCTGTTGGTGTGATTGTGATGAGTTACAGAAGTTGTAGATTCAATCTCTTTTGCGTCAAGTGTAGTGGTAGGTTTGTCAGGTTTGGGTTTAGTTCATTTCGTCGGATTCAATCATTTCCATCTTCATATGTTCCCTAAATTTCTTTTGCTTTATTCATACACTCACACTCTAAACAATTCCGGTTCCGGGACAACGAACACCATCACCATCATCACAATTATATGATTGCGAACCCGAAATGATAAAGTTTAAACAGAACAGCCAAGCCTTTGTCATATCAGTCATGTCCGGGGCCCTCATAATAATGCGGGGGGGCTAATGATGCTCGATTACTCTAGTTCACTTGATGGCGGCCCGTTGTTCGTTGGTGTTTTTTTCTCTGCCCTGGAAGCGGGAACGAAGGGATTAAGTCCCCTACCCTTTAATGACAATCCGACCTAATACCTACAACATCCAGGACACACACACCCCCAGGACGTCCCCATAGGTACATTATCATTCCTACCATAATTTACACGACCATATTCCCGGCCATCCACCCAGGAGGACCACAAGCGAGAAAGCTCGAGCATCATATACGCCTGGGAATAGCCACAAGCGCCCTCACCCCCATACGCATACGGTAGATCCATTCAAGCCCACAGTGCACTGAGGGCAGACACACACACTTTTAGGTAGATGCACACACATGCATACATACACATACATCTATACTTACAATCGGTCTGTACGGTACCAGCCCAGTGCATGAGGCAGACAAGCATATCTCATCCATCCATCCATCCCTCCCTCCATCCATCCACATCAACCTCCACACACTCATACACCCTCACGCACGCTAGCCTTGCCAAAGGACAAGGAGACAAGCATCAGCGTACGGAGCCAACAACCGGCGCAGTATCGTACTCGTAGTGGTGGTAATCTGCAGCCTGAACAGACACCATACCAGTCTCCCCGATCCGACTGTCTATCCTATCCCATCTAGATCTACTTTTACTTTCTTGCTGCTACTCGCTGTTTTCCTCTTCCATCTCTCTTCTCATCTCCCTGTACCCAGCTGGCTATTATATTATATCATCCGCTCAACCCTGTTGTTACCCCATTTTTTTCCCTTCGCTCCCACTTCTATCCACCTACTACTTTTCTCTTAACCTCCCCTCGTGGCCTTTATCTTTCTGATTATTTCCAATTGCTCCCTGCACCTACACTACTGCTTTTAGACCCCCGCCAGTCTTCAAAGTTTGATATCAACTTTGTTCACTGCGTTCATGTCTACCGGGCCACTTTTTGTTTGAGCCGCGGCCCCTCCACACCGACCGAAGAATTGCGGCGACCAACCTGCCGATCCCCCTTCCAAAAATCCCCCAGTCCCAGATGTTCCACACATTCCAATCGTCGGTAGGACTTCGGTCGCCTGGAGCAGATGGAGATGGCACTACCAACAAGCCTACTCGTGCAGCGGGTTCGCGACGAATATCCACAAGCAATGCATGTGTCGAATGTAGACGCCGCAAGATTCGCTGTGATGGCACCCAGCCCTGCGGGCAATGCCAGTGGTACCAACATCCCGAAGCGTGCGGGTATTCCAAGCCAGCTCAAAGGGTTGTCCCGAGCAGAAAGTATGCATCCTGTAATTTGAGTCGTTGCGATGGAAGCTGATTCATGATGAACAAATCTAGGCTAGTCGATAAGCTATCGAACAACATTGAGCAGTACAAGGCCGTGCTTGCTAAGCTGTATCCAAGCAAGGATCTAGAGTCCCTGACTTCTATGCCCCGCGAAGAACTTTTGGAATTGGCACTTTCCAGTCCAGCTGTAGCAACCTCTCCTCAAGGGGAGAATGCTCAAGCGATATCCGAGGTCGTCTCCCATGGCTCGGAAGGCGCCGAGAGTCTCGAGGCACTCGAACAGGCACCTCAGGAGGACCCTTATTGGGATGAACAACGCAAACACATTGGCCGAGTCCAAGGGATCTCTGACGATGTCAACGGCCTGTCTATGTCCGTGGATAAACTGTCTTCCTACGTCGGCATCTCCTCCATCACGGCAGCTCTCAAAGTCATCGTTCGATGCGCACCACATGCGAAACCCATGATTGCTAGTAATAATCAGGAGACGGCCGTCCCCAGTCGAGCTGGATCACCTCCTCCTGAGCTGTTGGACACCAGTCCGTTGGCACTGCCCACGCCCGCCCAAGGTCAAGAACTCATTGAGAGCTACTTTGAACGAGTGCATCTCTTCTTTCCTCTCATCGAAGAGCGCAAATTCTGGTCTACGTATATGTACAGCAACCGGAAAGACTCGCCATGGCTGGCACTGTTGAACATGGTCTTCGCACTGGGATCGTTGGCGTCATCGACCTCGGACAACGAAGCCCATTACGTCTACTTTATTCGGTCACGCAAGCATCTCACTTTGGAATCCTTCGGCAGTGGGAACCTGGAAGTGCTGCAGGCTTTGGCGATCATGAGCGGGTACTATATGCACTATCTAAATCGACCAAACGAGGCGCATTCGCTTATGGGCGGCACCCTTCGCATGGCTACTGCATTGGGCCTGCATCGCGAGTACTCGGACTGCAAAGGTGAATCTAGCAAGTATCTCAATGTGAAGACCCCATCAGAAACAGACTCCATCTCGCCCGAGATGCGGAGGCGAATATGGTGGAGCCTGTTCTGTCTCGATGCCTGGGCGTCAACGACCACAGGAAGACCTTCACTTGGAAGAATGGGGCCCTCTATAACGGTTCTTCCACCTGGCTCAATAAGAAACGCGGTTCGTGGGAAAACCCGCCCCCCTCAATCAATCGCCATGCTAATTAATCCCACAGGCTACCCCTACCCCGCTGCAGCCCAGCACGCCGCAATACATTGAACAGCTCAAGGTGCTTCCTTTGGTCCATAACGCCGAATTTTGCAAGATAGCCACCAAGATCCAGGATCGGCTTGTCGAGAGCCCATTACTCACCCCTTCCGAAACTTCCGCATACGACGATGAGATACTTCGCTGGTACGACGAACTACCCAGTATCCTGTCCGACATGGGCGAGTCATGTCCGGATTTCCTCCGACGCGTCCGCCATGTCATGAAATGGCGATTCCAGAACATCCGACTCGTGCTGCACCGACCGGTTTTACTGAACACCGCCCTCAGACGCTGTGCCTTTGTGAACCTCAGCGCAGAGGAGAAAGTCGCAGTGGGCAAGTGTCGACTCGTTGCTGCGAAGACCATCGAAGACATTTCGAGCGAGTGCCTACCCGATCTGATATCGGGATGGAACGCGGTTTGGTTCGTCTTCCAGGCGTGCATGGTGCCTTTGGTCTCCCTGTTCAGTGACCATAGCATGCCTGAGGAAGCTGAGAAATGGCGAGCGAGCATTGAGACTGCGCTCGCATTCTTCGAACGGATTCAACCTTGGAGCATTGCTGCAAAGCGCAGTATGGACGCAGTCTCACGACTCTATCAGACCTCAAAGGCTCAATTCCAGCAGCAGCAGCAGCAGCAACAGCAGCAACAGCTTCACATGCAGCCCCCTGAGCACACACAACAACACAACAACGGCCATCACGCTCAGTTCAACGGTCACAATATTCCTCAGATGGGCAGTCACTTCGAATACAACGGAATCCCCGACGTCACCGGGCTATCCATGAACCCGAACGCGGTGGGCACCTGGAACGGGGACCCAGCCGCCATGCAGCAACTGAACGGCTTCTGGGACGACATGATGTGGGATACGAACCTACCGGACATGCTCGACACGCCGTTCGGACTCAGCAACGAATACGAATTCCAAGGCGCAGCGCAGGACACCGGCGCACCATGCTGGATGCAGGGCAATTGAGAGACGCTGATGGATGCCAAGGGTGTATGTACAGAGGGTTGGCACGTCGGGCTGGCTCCCTCCTAATATACTATACCTACATTCACGAGGGTTCAAGCCTGTTAATGGCTACAGTGCACTCTTGATTTAGGTATAGAAGATACATGAAGCTAGCATGTGGTCAGCCCGACGTGCCAACCATCTGTAGGTAGGCATCGTGGAAAAGCCGGTGATCGTCCCGCAACGGAGCTTAGATCACCCGTCAATACGAGGTGCACATCAGACGGACGGGGTGGGCGCAAAGGGGGAGGGGGTTTCGTCATGATTTGGTTTGGCGTATCGCACATAGGAAAAACATGTTCGCGATTGGCATCATTCGGCGGAATGGAAGGACCTGCGCCAAGTAAACGAGCACGCTTTCCTTGTAGGGCAGGTTGGAATGCAAAAAGAAGAGAAACAGAGTCGAGGGAGAGAGCGAGAGCAAAGGAGCATGGGCATGGGATGGGATATGGGGGCCAACCATTCACGGGGCATGGGTGTTGGCCATCGGTGTTCTTCTTTTCACTCGTTCGTCGTTCGTTGGAGGTGCATGCATATTGGGGTCCCGGTTATGGGAAAAGGGTTGCAAGTTTTTTTTCCTTGCTTTGATTGGATGGATTTCCAGCCCTTTCTAAACGTTCTGTCTTGCATCGCTTGGTCGACTGTTTCTTTTGCGTTGTTGCTGTTCCTTTCACTGTTCTTGCATCGTTACTGTTTTATTGCATTTTGTCACTTGTACTTTTGCCGTTCGCTTTGCATCATTTTTCTTGCTTTTTGGTTCGATACCGTTTAGATATGCTTGTCCTTTTTCACATCGTATGTACTTGATCTCACTTGCATCTGCTGTATATTGTTCGCATCCGAACCGACGGAGCATTGAGAAGACACATTTTGGTAGCGATCTTCTGAATGAATTCCATTCACAAATGACAGGCATGTCAAGCTAGGGCCCTTTTTGCTAACAACTGTACATTCGCAAGCATGTTTGCGAGGTCTTAGGACTGTTAACTGGCTACAGTACATTCTTGAATGGCTACTTCAGGCATAGAATATACATGAAGCTAGCAAGCGGCCACCCCGACGTGCCTACGATTCTGCAGTTGCTGAGATCTCGGACACTGCATTATAATTACAAAGGGGGCCCACGCATGCGGTACTTTTATTCCGGAACAAATTGCGTCTCTCTTCAAAAGCTAGTGCACACACACGACAACCCCGATGAGGATGGTGCAGAAGGTTGAGAGACTCCACAGTAGCAACCATGAGTTCACTATAGGGCCGGGGGGGCTATAACATTCCCCAGATTCCAGGACGTGACGCGAGCCGTCGAATCTTAAGGCTAAAGACGTGCATTTCTTGGTCAAAGTCGCAACGAAGAGAGGCAGGCCAGGCTAGCAGGGCAGCAGCAGACAAGGCGAACAGAATCCCCGTCACTCTGCTGTGCTGCTGCACCGTTGCACGCTTCCGGTATGCCTTCCTGCGCTACGCAACGCAGGCCTGCAGGCCACTCTGCGCATCGTAGGTCTGGAGGAGAGATAATAGGTATAGTGTGGTTAATACAGGGCCGATATACCGAGCGAGACTGCCTTTCTCTCGTCCCCATCTCACCCATGATCGTCGTCCAATCCCACAGCGAATGAGACGTGGAGAGCGACGAGGTGGAGTTTGCATTGCATACGGCCGGCGGTCGTTCCCCATCGTACTGTACACATGTACCGCAGCAAGAACAGGAAAAGAACAATCGTCGACCACTCGACCTCTTATTACCCGCTGGCGCAGTAGTCCTGCTACTGTACATACATACACGTCGACCGATCGATTCGACGGCCTTTTCGCTTTCTTGCGCCGCAGGACTTTCATGCGCGCGAGTATCTTTTGCAGCATTAATTGACGTCTGTTAAGCAGGTGTTCTGTTCTGGATGTACATGTACTCCTCACTGCCTACGTTTCCCCCTCTTCTCTCATCCCCGCCCTTTCGGCGTTCGAAGCTCAAAAGCCTAAAGACGCGTTCCTGCAGCAAAAGGCAGGCCTTGCCAATCGTTCTCCGTCCATCGTCGAGGGATGTGACTTACGTAGCTCAGCGACGTGGTTATGACATGACATGGGAAATGCTAGCAAGCGGGCGCTAAACAATGGGAAACGGCAAAAATAGAGACATCCTGGTATATTTCCACTCATCCCTCCTCAAGCAGGTTTGGCTGGATTTTGGAAGGGGAAAGGATTGCGGTTGAGAGAGGGGGGTGTGACGTCGTGTGCTTCTGGAAGAATGGGGAGTTGAGGGTGGTGTGCATGTATGTATCTACCATGTGTGGAGTTGAGGTGGTGATTGACTGATGGATGGTGGTGGTGGTGGGTGCAATGCGACATCGCAATAATGCGAAGACTATTCGCATTACCCATGTAGAAAACGGACGAAGAAGAACGGGTTTTGTGTGTATTGTTCTTGGGCTGGCTCATGGTGAATTGCCAACAAGGGCCTGAGAAACCCAAGATTGCGATGAGTGAGAACATATGCCATACATTCACAGATCCGCACTCGCAATCGCACTCGTAAATCATACATCCGTACTCCACAGAAAACATCGTCACTATATCTCCTCTGCTTTGCGACCCAACCAACTTTCGGTAGATGCAACAGAATAGATGGATCGAACCAAAAAACACCACAGCCCCCTCGCTACCAATATTCCCCCTCCCCCCAACGTTACACGAGTCGGCATACAGGCCATCGGAGCCGGCACCGTCGTACGAACCTGTTTTCTCTTTATTTTCCTTTCCGTTGTTTATTTTCTTCCCCTGGTTAATTTCGCGTGAGGCCTGCGCGCGCAGGCCTTCGACGGCACTTCTAGAAACATACCGGGATGGGAGATCTAGTAGGCAAGCCTGTTTCTCTTCCTCTCTCCCTCCCTCTTTCTCCTGGACGAAATCTGCTAAAACCCCTTGTCACTTTACTTTTTTTGCCTACACAGTATTACCACAAAACAACACCCTGGCTTTCGATGAACTCCTTGAAGGGCCCCTGGGCGTATTCAGAGCCGCGGAAGGTGAACGCAAGGGAATGTATTGTAGACATGACATGGCATGGATGCGAATGTTTGTGGAGCGATTTATTCCATCCTGGGTGGCAACAAGGGACCTTGTAACTATGCATACCTGTGTATGCATATAACTACCTAACAAGCAAGCTATGCGAACCTCGCACTCGCAAGAAGCAACGCGAGCCTCGAATTGGATCTAGCGTCGCTATGGCCCGACAGGTAAGATGTAAATTGGTTGATCAAAGGTATTGTCAGGTTTGCGGCAACTACAGGATGTGAGGTGCGGGTAATGGTAGGAGCATATGATACCTAATTATTGGTGTGTCTTGGGGCGGTGCGTGTGGGTTGCGTGTTAGTAGCACAGTACTTCGTATTCATAGTGTGTTTAATCATACTCAAAGGTATAGACAAGACATTGGAGTCGCGATATTGAGTATTGTACTCCGTTGGTTGGTTAGGTAGGTATGGGTGTGCACTACTGCATTAGGTACCTATGTATGTAGAAGTATGTACATGTGGGTTTGACCAAGTACCGCAACCTTGAACCAGGCCGCTGGCAGAGTGGAGGCATTTTCGAAGAAGCAGCAAGATTGATCTTCCATGTACCGGCAGGCGTAGACGAGATGCTCATTTATCTGAGCGAAATGATGATTATGATGATGCCTTGTTGTTACGCGGTCTTTTCGCTAGTGGTCGGAAACTTGCAAATATCCGCATACCGTGCCAATGCACCGAAAGCCGAACAACGACAAATACTTCGTAACAGATACCTATAACATCTATAGTCACTGCCTAGAGCACATGTCAAGAAGATAATAAAAGGAGTAAGATCTCGGAAGCCGGAGAAACCGAGGTTCCATACATCTCGCCACGACACGCGATTTACTGGTGACTTTTTGCTGCCTCGTACTAAAGTAATACTAAAACCGATTGAAATGGAAAAATGAAATTGATCTGCTCTTGGCGTGAGAAAGCTTAACGCGTGCACTAACAGGAATAGTCCAAGTGGATTGGTTGGATCCCATCCCGTCTCCTGACATTATTCTTACCCTGCTCTACCACGTCTACCTAACTCTTCTACCTCTCCGCGCCCTCCGCAGTCTATCACCAATTCTCCCTCCTATTCTGTGCATTCCCTTTTGCTCCCACTCTCCTTGATTGCGCGCCGGTTTTCTGTTTTCATTTCCCACGCCAGTATATACACTTGGTGTCTCTCCCTTCGGTTCTCTCTGCGTCCCGACCGCCATCTTACATTTCAGTCCGACCCTTCCGACGCCACCTCTTCACGGCTACAATAGCCTTTCCACCATCCGAGTCTCGAAGTGCATATACCTACGTCTAGCCTCCCAGGAAGCGTACATTGTGCAGCATATAGATTACTCGACCACCACCTTCTGCATACCAGATCTACCTGCCCGCAGCCACCCACGTAGCCTTGCGTGCAGCAACCGGAACTCGCGACCGAAATCCCCTCTCACGGAACCTCGAGCCCAACGTGAATCTGGTCTCCCAGAAGCACGGTCTCGAACATTTCTCTCCCATCATGCCTGCCCGAACCCTCCCGACCATTCCCCTCGCCGATATCGAGGCGCATAACACCGACAAGTCCTGTTATGTTACGATCGGTACTAAGGTGTACGATGTCACTTCTTTCCTGTCCGATCATCCAGGTGGCGCGGATCTAGTCCTCGAGTACGGTGGAAAAGATGTCAAGGCCATCATGGAGGATGAGGTGTCCCACACGCACTCCGAGGCTGCGTACGAGATTCTTGACGAGAGTTTGATTGGCTTCGTAGCAACGGAGGCTGTCGTGAATGGTGCCACGAAGAGCGGGAAACCTGCGGAGATTGTGCCCCTCCCGCCTTCTGCGGAAGGTGTAGAGGAGCTCAAGAACATCAAGCAGAATGGCAAGCCCGTGTACGAAGCCACGGGCATGTCTTCGGAGGAAGATCTCAGCCGTGAGACCGACTTGGATGCAGACTACAAGACGCACAAGTTCCTTGACTTGAACAAGCCGCTCATCATGCAGGTTTGGAATGGAGGATTCTCCAAGAAGTTCTACCTAGAGCAGGTCCATCGACCCAGGCACTACCGCGGTGGTGACTCTGCCCCCCTATTTGGAAATTTCTTGGAGCCGCTGACCAAGACGCCTTGGTGGGTTGTGCCTACCATCTGGGTGCCTCCCGTCGCCTATGGTACTTATCTAGGTGTCACTGGGTTGGGAGGAGGTGTCACGGCTGCATACTGGGCCCTTGGGTTGGGCATTTGGACACTTGTGGAGTACATTCTTCATAGGTGCTTGTTCCATCTTGACGAGTGAGTTGATTGCCCTTTGCTTGAGCGATATCACATTCGAAATCTTTACTGACTCTGTGTAGGCATCTTCCTGATAACAGAGTCGGACTTACTCTTCACTTCCTCCTCCACGGCATTCATCATTATCTTCCTATGGACAAGTACAGATTGGTCATGCCTCCAACCCTGTTTGTTGCTCTTGCTGCACCATTCTGGAAGTTGGCTCACTGTGTCTTCTTCTACAACTGGTATGCCGCCGTTTCGGTCTACAGTGGTGGCATTTTCGGCTACATCTGCTACGACTTGACCCACTACTTCTTGCACCACCGCAAGTGAGTTCATCCCACGCCATTATCAGGCCCATCATATATAGACCTTCTTGCTAACTTCTTTTTAGCCTCCCTCCCTGGTACCGCGAGCTGAAGAAGTACCATCTCAAGCATCACTTTGCGGATTACCAGAATGGTTTCGGCGTTACCAGCCGCTTCTGGGATTGGGTCTTCAACACTGAGCTGGAGATGACTCAGCCCAAGGTGATCAAGTCAACATAGTCGACTGCCACTTTGAATGTTCATATGTATACCTTAATAAGCATTGCGGGCGTTCTTATGGAGTAGATGACGACGGTGTAGAGATAGGGGGGAATTCGGGTCACGATACCACCAAATGAATATATTTTAATAATGTACCATACATGCTAATAATGTAACATGCGCACCACAACATACTCACCTTTACCTGTTGTTACTGTCGTCGTTTGTTGTCACTGTCTAACCTTTTTCGTGACGTCAAGCACGGGCCATGCGCTCGCTAGCCATTTGCCTGCCAAGCAAACTATATAATCTCACTTGCCTCGTCGCTCCTCCACCTCCGCGCAACACCCCAACCTCACCTACTCTCTCTTTGCTGCCACACCCACAGCTCCCGCCCCGCTTCTTCTCAGACTTTATCATAGCTATACACAGTCGGCAAGTCAATCGCAAACACCAGCAGTTAATTCTGCGACTCCCATTGCTCGCTCACCGCGCTATTTTTCAGTTCGAAACCCCACGTCCGCCAACCTTCCGAGCCTCGTTGCCGCGCTCCGAAGTCACCTTCACTTACTTCCACTACCTCACTCAAGCAAACAACACAAAGCTAGATTCTAGTAACTCGCCCATCATGGTCGACTATGACCCTCTTGCCATCGAGGCCTTCCTTGACAGCACCGCCGCCGAAGTTGAGGCCGAGAAGCGAAGCAAGGAAGCCGCTGCTCGTCGCTCAAGCTCTGATGCCCGCTCAGTTTCTCGCGATCGTAAAGACGATCGTGACCGTCGCGACAGAGACCGCGACCGTGATCGCGCCAGGGACCGTGACAGCAACCGTGATCGGGATCGCCGTGATCGAGACCGCAACCGCAATCGAGATTATCGTGAGTCTAATAACGAGGGCGATAGGAGTCGTGAACGAGAACGACGCCGACGTGACGGAAGCAGGCCATCTTCCTCGCACAAGGATGCTAACACAGATGATGAAGGCAGTTTTCGTCGAAACGATCGCTCTCGCGATCGTCGTGGCCCACGCGACCGTGATCGGGATCGCCGTGGTGGTGACTTCTACACTGGCGGTGGTAGGGCTCGCTCAAGGTCCCCTCGCCGCCGTGACCGTGATGACGGACGCAATAGGCTCCGTTCTGACCGTTCCCGTGACCGTCGCCGCCGCGACGATGATCGTCGTGGTCCAGCCACGCCGCCCAAGCCTGAGCTTAATGAAGACGACAAAGATAAGCGCACTGTTTTCGTCCAGCAGATCTCCCAGCGTGCCGAGACGCGCCACCTTCGTGCCTTCTTCGAAGCTGTTGGCACTGTTGTCGAGGCCCAGATTGTCACTGATCGTGTGACCGGACGCTCCAAAGGGTGAGTTCAATTCCAGCAGAACCAAAGTTCGGATTTGTAATTAACTTAAATAGTGTTGGTTATGTTGAGTTCAAAGAGCTAGAGTCTGTCGCTAAAGCTATTGAGCTCACCGGCCAGAAGTTGAAGGGTGTGCCTATTATCGCACAACTCACCGAAGCTGAGAAGAATCGTGCTTCCCGAGCTGCCGCTGCAGATGCCAATGGCTCATCCAACCCACAGGCCCCGTTCCATCGTCTCTATGTCGGTAACATTCACTTCAGCATCACCGAAGAAGATCTCGAGACCGTCTTCGGCCCTTACGGCGAGCTTGAGCATGTTCAGTTGCAACGTGATGAGGCCCCGAATGGCGGTGCAGGCCGTTCTAGAGGATACGGTTTTGTCCAGTATGTCCTGAACCTGCCTTGGATTGTGTGATCGAGCTAACATTCCATAGATATCGCGATCCCGCTGCAGCGAAGTCCGCCCTCGAGACCATGAACGGCTTTGAACTCGCAAACCGCCAGATCCGCGTCGGTCTCGGCAATGACAAATTTACTCCGGAGTCCACCGCCAACTTACTTCGAAACTTCAACCAGCAGGCTTCAAGCTACCAGGGCTCTGCTTTCTCTGGAGCTGGTGGACGGGGCGCTTATGCTGGCGGCTCTGGTGGTGTCTTTGACCGGACTCATGGACGTGACGACCGTGGTGTGACTGGAGCCTCTGCCCTTGATGATAACGATGTCGCCGGTATCAATATTAACAACATGAATCGCGACCGACTTATGAATTTGCTAGCTCGTAATCCCGTCGACGAGCCTTCTCGTGGAAATGCCCATAACTCTCAAGCAGCTATTGCCAGATCCCGCGCACCCGTTGTCGAGCAGCCAATGGCATCTAGGTGCATCAAGATCAATGATGCTTTCAGCCCCGAAGAGTGAGTCATACTCATTGCACCATTTCGAATCAGCTTGTCGCTAACAAGACAACAGAGAGCAGAAGCAATGGGGCGCTAATTGGGTCAAAGACCTCGAAGCAGAGGTCAAGCACGAGTGTGACAAAAAGTATGGCAAGGTCGTACACATTGCTGTTGATCCAAACACAGATGGCGACATTTATGTCAAATTCGATACGGTCACCGCAGGCGAGAAAGCCATTCAGGGTCTCAATGGCCGCACCTTTAACTTCCGCCACATCCGTGCCAGCTACGTCGTGGACAAGATCTACAACTCTCTCTACGGTCTTCGCAACTAATAGGTTCCGAAATACTTTTCCGACTGGTTTGCATCTGATCGGCTTTTTACGAGCAGCTTAACTACATGTCCAGGTCGGAACCTGCACCAACGACACTTACCTTTGCACTTCATGTGCTCTGGTATTCCATCCTTCGATGACGATTGACAAAGCAGATCATCCTGCCGATACACGACGGATCCAACATCGTCCGAAGGTAATGCTTGCTTGTTTATGCTTCAACCCTTTTCCCCATGCCACTGCCAATGGCTTACACTCTGTACAATGTCCCCCTTTTTCTCTGAACCCTCGGGTCACTACCTATAGTTCTTGTTTTTTGTTTTGAATTGCGACCAGGGATGGGAATGGGCGCTACATGAATAGGCGCTTGGAGTCTGGCTAGGGGAGGATATGAGGACGAATCTTGTGCCCCGACGACACACTTTGAGACGGATAACTGGGTCGAGAAAAGGTGGGGGCCTTGGGTTTGGTAAAAGTTTTCATGTCTCTTCTTTTCCCTCAGCTATCGCTTTGGCGACGAATGCTGGGGCTCTTACACTGGTGTGTCTAGGTCTTTGAGCGTTTGGGAACTGGGGCTTACACGGTAGGGCTGGGATGGGAGATCCACTAATTGTTCCTTAGGAACGGTCTTGGGTTTTCACAACCCGGTCTAACGGAATACGCTGCATGGGTACCGGCTCTTTGATTATAACATGACTTCTAGGCATCTGCGATCGATGAATATGACTCTCCTCAAACATAACATGAACAGATGCATTGTGATGTCCTGCAGGTCGTTGTGGATTCGTCTGTTGGATTCTCTCGTCGCGACTGGTTTGTTTCTCTTCTACCGCCTGGCTGAACTGCTTCTTTTGCCCTGACAGCGTGACAGATATGCGGATGTACTTGATATCTCACTTACTGCCCCCTTCACCCCTATCACGTTGGAACACATTTGCTAATGTCAATACCAGCAGTCCCAAACTTGTTAGATGAACAATTGTCTTGCGTGTTGACCGATTTCTACGGAAGGTCTCGATTCCATTGCGACACTTTGTCTCTTATGCGAGATACACTATCTAAAACAACGTCTCGTCATAAAGATTTCAGTCGCTATAGGCGCGGGCAAATATTGATTGCTTGCCAAAAGCTCTTGAAGTAATGTGTCCGTTGATGAAACACTTTCACGGCAGCATCTTAACTTCCGCGAATGCCCTCGTTTTCCGAAATGAAACGATGTAATTCTAAAAGAACTTGCGTTCAGCGGATACTGTAGTAGAACTGACCATTTAGCTTCTTGGTTCCTAAAATTATTTATCCTATAGGTCTTTTCACTACTGTCCTTTCGGCTCTATTCAATCAAGCTGGATTACTCTCGTGACTTTCTAAGTTTCTATCACAACAAGAGTCAAATGAGACACTTGTTGACGACCCAGAATTGGTTTTCCTACATACCTAATTAGTAGATGTACAATTCAATGAAGTATCTTCACAGCATTCTGAGAATGGACCTCCCTGAGTGAATAATGAATTTCAATTGTATTGGGGAAAGGAAATCAAAGTATTCCGCCCAGCCACAAATCTCCAAAACCACACCGTATATCCGACTGCTACTGCCGTTGATCAATGGTCAGTCCCAACATGATCTTGCGTAGTCTTATCTCTGGTCTGCAGGCTCCTCTTCCTGAACATGAACTTTGGAGCTCTTGGGTTCCCACAAATATCATTAAGATAATCACAGACTCCACCGCCGCAGCAAGTGTTCAGAGCGCAGAAGCCTCCAACACCGCAGTCTGCATCCTCACTACAGGCCGGGGAGCATGCGCTGCCCATTAAGCACAGGGCTCCATTGGAGACCGTCTGCCGGCAATAGCAGCCTGCTCCTCCACACATGATGCTGTTACCGCACTGGCCTGCCTGTGGGCATGTGGTAAGTGGGCGACATTGTCCGCCACGGCAGTCGCGCGACGCACACTGGGAAGTTGGTTAGTATCCATGGCATCTATCTATGCATCGGGACAGTGATATCACCTACCGTGTTGCCACATCTACCGCAATTGTTGGGGTCATCCGCCAGGCTGACGCAGGTTGTGCCACACAGGTTTGGTTTATCAAAGGTGCAGGCTTCAGTGCGTTAGACAAGTGCTTGCTTTGATTATGGACTAGGACACTTACGACATGTCGGCTGTACAACTGTTACGGTACTGACAGTTGTGGCCGTCGGGGTAGACGTCGTGGTAGCAGCAATCTGGCACATGATTAGCAAAGCTTCTATGCATCCACTCGAATGACTGACATTGGCTGTGTCGGTGACGGTAGCCTTAGCTGTCACCGTAGACACTGACGTAGCTGTCACTACCGAAGTCGTCGTGGGTGTCGGTATAGACAAGCATTCGCATGCGGTCGACACGAGCGGGCAGCCGAAGACCTTTAACGCAAGTGGTGCCTTTGAGCAGTCGAGAACGATCTTCTTGGTGACTGCAGCACGCTTCACGGGCTCTTCTGCCCTCTTGGCGTTGATTGCAACTAGTGTGGGTTCGCTGGCTGCCGTTGCAGCTTCACGCTTCAGGACCGTCGGGCAGATTTGTGTCAAGCTGGTACTATTCCAAGCATTAGTACGAGGAGGAAGACCGACAGGCACATCCGAACTTACATCGTCGTGAAGGCAGTTGCAGTGACTTCCGCCGCCGTAACAGTCACGGTTCCCGCATCACCTCCGACGACCGTGGTGGTCGTGCGGTCAGTGATTGTCGACGTGGTGGTAGTAACTGATGTCGTCGTAGACTTGACCGTGACAGTCGAGATGCTGAGGAACGAAGAGCAAAACGCCGTTGCACTATTTACCACCCGCAACACTTTGATGACAGCACTGACTGGCTTGCATAGCGCCTGATCAATTTTCCTCTCCTCAATCACCTGGTGGACTTCATACACCTCTCGCGGGAACGCCGCCACAGTGCCCAAGAAAAGAACGACAAAAGGTTTGAGTTGCACCATTCTGGACTGATTTTCCTAGATTTCGATCTGGGTATTCTCACTCACATCGGCCGGCTTCTGTCTTCTTGCACTTATATGCTTTGCCCTACTCGGTATCCTCGAATATCAGTGTAACGTCCACCAAAAAGAGAATTCCCATGCGTGACAATACATGCGCCTCGTATATGCTGTCGAGCGCGTCTTTTCGTCCTAGTCCCTTGGCCGCTCTAGCCTCTAGGTCACCTCCCTTCTTTCAGGCAGCCTCCGCGAACAATGGGGAATACAATGGGCTTTTTGTACATGGGGTATGCATGACGGGTTGGTCCCTGTTAGCATGCAAAGCCCGCGACTGTAGCATTGGCACAGACTTCTGGACTGCTAATTACAGGGGATAGACATGTGAGACTGGACCTATGATGGTATTGTATGCCTACATTTGCAAGTGCATTCACGATTCCTTGAGACTGTTTACTAGCTACAATATACTCTTGAACAGCTAAATCAGGTACAAAAGATACACATGTCTACGACCTACAACTGTACATTGGCGAGTATACTTGCAGGGCCTTGAGAAACAGTTCGCTAGCTACAGTAGAAAAATGAATATTCAATTCAGATAAATAAGATACAGAAAGTTATCAGGCGGCCAGCCCGGCGACCTCTACCCTATGCAACCCCTCTAGACTGCCTCCAGATTCCCATTACGGAAGATGCATGCGAAGCCCGCCCGAAAAGCACTACACCTCTGAACGGTCACCAAGCACGGTTTCCCACCAAAGGAAACCTGGGGTAGAAGGATTTCCGAAAGAGGACATCAGCGTTGGCATTGTTGCAGGGATCAACACGAGGTGCAGACAGGTCTGGGTCCCGCCACGAGGGCTCTACGTGCATCGAAGCGATGTCCCAACAGCCAGCCACAGCAGCCTCACGTCGGCAGCTGCTTCTTGTGTAGCCGTCGGGGGAAGCGGTAAACTGCCAGCTGATGGCATTGTTGCATCTGACAATGGAGAATCCCCTGGCGAGGCGGGATGGTTATGGTGAGGTTTTCGCTTGTGCCGAGGTGGGAAAGGGATGCATGCTTGCCGCTTGGAGGGGTGGCGTTTTCTGGAGCGGTACTGGCTAACTACTCGTTTGGTGTTGCAATGTGTAAATCATGCAGTAAGAAAAGATATATCGGGAACATGAATGACCAAGCATGCATCCTCGTCATTTTATGCGAATTGCCGCGAGGGTGGGGTTCATACTTGCCAAAGAAGAGACTCGATTCGGGTGAAAATTGTAACTTGTTTGTTGTAAGCTTTCCAGGTGTTCAATATTGAATTCCGTGAGCGGCACAGATTGAGAGAGACAATGATATACATTTCCATGTCTGTACGTTCCATCCATGTAGCTCTTCTTCTTGCTCTACGACTAGAAGCTAAGACATGGGATACGCGGTGACTGGGCCTCCACCACCGTGCAGAGCCACCTGTCAACCCCTACACTTCAGCTACGCCGTAAATACCACCGATAAGCGCAGAGGGGGACAGGGGAGGCATTTAGTATTCAGCGCAATGCCTTTCGACCACTTTTCCCATCGTCGCTCTTTACGGGCGATTCTGAGTGGCTATCGATTCACCTCATGTGGGAGGTGCCAGAGGGCCCCCCTAGTCGCAGCGGGAGGGGTGCTGGCGCTGGCAACGCTTTCATAATAAGGTGGACACTCTCAGAAGAAGTATGGACATCTGTACGAACTTTCAAGTACATGAAACCCTTCAAGCGCAATTGCAAAATGAATCGTGCTCATGTAAGTTACGCAGTGCTGATCCACAGACACGCGTTGATAGCTTAATCAAAAGACAAACGGTGTAGGGAGCCCATGAGTCAACTTACTATTTTTCTTATTGTTTGAAATATGTCACAGTGAATTCAAAGATAGAATGGACAGTGATATGGTATTCACTTCCAACTCCAGGAGAAAACAGTACTCATGCCTCATATAACATTTGTATACTAGCTTTAAGATACTCTATAATAGCTAGCTCAGGTATAGAAGACATATAAACTAGCAGGCAGCCAGTATGACATGTCTGGTCTCTGAAAAAATGAAAGTTGAAAATTTGATGGAAGAACCCCCAAAGGCAGGCTCTACTATAACTTGAACACTTCTCGGCTTAGCAGTGAATCAACTACATGCACCAATAACAGTGAACTTCGCATTTTGTAGTCTATTCCAATGGTGAAAATATAAAATTGAGTTCCATCTGCTAAACCCTCTTGAATGGAGGGCTGGGACAATAGGGCGTCCACATGGGTAGTTGCATGTATGCACACTACTCACAGGGCTCGGCCAGCCAACTATGTATCGCAACAATTACATGAACCTCTTTCTACTTGCAAAGCGAGATTTCAAGTACAGCTAAGAAAGCGTTTCAAGGCTCCCGTAAAGGCGACCTTGCAAAACGATTCTCGCCGATTCGAAATCACAGAAGAAAGGACCTCACAGCCTTTAGGAGGCCTCTACAAGATTGTATGCGCTGATTAGACTGTTTGTATGCCATAGTTGTTTGTAGACAGAAGAATATAAATTCAAAAGGCCAAGAGATTCAAGTAATATGACGTGTTGGAGCACATTTGATGCACACAAAAGAATCACATATTGCATTTCTACCTTTCCTGAATTGCCCAGAAACCAGCATTTGGGAACTCAACTGTTGTATGCCCACGGCCAAGTTGCACTGGAACATGAAAATTCACTGTTACACTGAGCACCTCGGAAGACGCTTGCATCTGTAATTTCCTGCCGTGATGATTCTTCTACTCGATTTATTTTAGAAGCCTGCATGTTTTTCTCTCACGATTTTATGACGCGTAGGCATGTGTAGGTTACTGGGTGACTCTGGGGTTGAGTGGAAGCATACCTGCCGTGGTGATTCAGAGACTTGGTGTTTCTTCACGATTGAGTATGCTTACCGAAGTGGTTGGGAAAACGCAATCATTGGAGGGATGGGAGGAAGAATTGCAAAAATTGTCAAAGGAGTGATTGATGGAGTCACTGGTGATTGTGATTATCAAGTTTTGTGGCGGCTGTGATAGGTAGTTGAGGAGTGGGGCTCTTGTTTTCGTGCTGCTCAAGTGAATTTCGCTCACTCTCCCAGCGCGAGCCAGTTGGGGCCTTCTACCCAACTCATAAGTTCACTTCCACTCCGTTCATGGTAAAAGTCCATTGCTTCGGGTTAACCACACGAAATGGCAACTTTCAAAGCAATGATGTCGTCAAAACCCTTGCTGCACTCACGCATCCTCCATCGCCAGTTCAACTCCTTCTTCGTTCCGAAGGCAAGGCCATTACCCTACGGCAGTCAGAACCGACATGCTCTCAATGCAAGACTGTCTAGCTCGACCGCTACCAATGACGACTCTGAAGAAACAATACATTACGACATTCTTGAATCAGTGGAGAGCATTTGGGGCTATTGTCCTGGAGGCTATCATCCGCTCACATTGGGAGAACTACTTCATGATCGATATCGAGTAATTCACAAGCTGGGGTACGGTAGTTCCTCAACCGTTTGGCTAGCCCGGGATGAACAATCCGATCAAAATGTTGCTTTAAAAGTCGGCGAATCAAAGAGAAGAACTAGTGAAGTCGACATTATTACTGCACTTGGTCGATCTCAAAGTAACTTCTTCAATGTCTCCGGCGAGATGATGATTCCTACAGTCCTGGATACCTTCAAGATTCGCGGGCCTAATGGAGTCCATCCTTGCTATGTCACCACGACTTGCGGACCTAGTCTTCGTGATTTGAAAGGGGAATGGAGTGCGGATCTGTTTCAGATCGATGTAGCGCGAGCGTTGGCTGCACAGCTTGTCCTTGCTGTCGAACTCGTCCACGCACAAGGCATCGTTCATGGAGATATTCATCTAGGCAACATTCTTCTTCACAATAGGCCCAACTTTAACAAGCTCCCAGTAAAGCAGATATACAAGAGATTTAGAAAGCCACAGCTGCAAGTAGTCAGTCGTGCGGATGGCAGACCCAACCCTCGAGGTGTACCGTCGCACCTGGTTACACCTATCTGGCTTGGAAAGGCCTGTGAGAGGATCACCCTTGCGGAGGCCAGAATTCAACTTATAGATTTCGGCGATTATCATAACGGTCTAGACTACATGGAATGCTCACTTTGGAATTCTTCCACGCCCGAGTGTCGATTCGAGAAACCGAAACCGCCTTCTTTTCCGTCGGACGTTTGGGCTATGGCATGTACCATCTGGGAAATCATTGCCAATTTCACCCTTTTCGAGAAATACAGCTATTGCGCGGACGATATCACCCGCGACAATGTCGAGGTCCTTGGAATGTTACCACCAGAGTGGTGGAGTGCTTGGGGGGCGCGAGCAGAGTCATATCGTGAGGATGGTACGCCGATCAAAAAAAATGAAATCAGGACTTGGGAGGCTCGATTCGAGAATTCTATCCAGAAACCGAGGAATAAGAGGGGGATGCCCTTGATTGGTGCACGGGAGCGAGAGGCCATCTTCAATATGCTACGGCCGATGCTGAAGTATAGGCCTGAGGATCGATGTACGACAAGACAGGTCCTTGAGTCCGAATGGATGGTCCAGTGGGCTCTTCCGGAATATGAAAAAGCGAAAAGGCTTCCGTGGAAGTCTTTAAGATAATGAAATAGGTGGACTCTACCAATTGTTCGCAGGACCGACGGATCGGGTCCAGATTGGCTCTCCATTTCTCGTCAGTCGTCATGGGATTTTTCTAGATCTCTTTGATCGAGCGACGACAACTAGGCAATTGACTTCGGACTCAATGGTTGCGGACCTCATCCTCTACGGACTTCTCGCTAACACAACACTCTCGGCAAATCCAATCTTCACTCTTTCCTCTGTATTATCTGTCTCCCATACCTCCCTGCACCTTATTAACACTCCACTCAGATACCCTCGCTTAAGTGGCATGAACCCTCTCAAAGGCACTCTAATAGTTTATGTTCACATAGCAGCGTGTAAAAATACAAATGTAAACAACTCATCAAGAAGTCAATTGTAATACTCAGTTATTCTAAGTATCGGTGCATCAATAGTATTGGCGAATGAAGTCATGAAACTATTTAAAAACCCAGTGGATCCATCTAGTTTGGACAGTAGTAGGTCGTCATCAATAGGATTGCTATCTTTATACGGAGAGAATCTATGAAATCGATGTGTAGGAAGTTGTGCTGCGCCTCTCGTTTGGCTTGAATGAGTTGTCAATGTTGTCAGGGCTGCAGGAACAGTAGGACTCTACCTCCGCCTTGTGCAAGTGCTGTACGCCTTTGAAATTAACAACGGTGGGAATTCTACAAGCACGGGGAATCACAGAACGCTATAAATGTACACGTTATCAAATCTCTCTTCTGCTCTTGCACCCTGTTCTACCAATTGAATGTCAATGAACCTAGGAGCAGGGGGTGAAGGGGGTTGGTGGGGTTCAAACATATTCAGAACAGGATCAAGTCATGGCAAGCTCTGACTGAGTGAAGTAAAGTCAATTTTGATCTGCACGTTGTTCATCTTGAACCAGTCACAATCTATATTTCTTTAATAATGGGTATCCAATCATAATTAATGTACAACTGCCATGTAACCGATTCATGGCAGAGCAAGGTACGCCAAAGATACATTTAGTGGCGGCCTTCACGGGAACCCGCATACAAGAAAAAGCACACACTCGTTTTATGTTATCAATACATGCTGTGAATTTCCCAATCACCTGAGTTCACGATTTCACTACCGATGAAATGCCTACAGAGTGTACAATTGGACAACTGATGTCGCCATTTGACGATCCATCACTACGAGAGGCCTGGGCGAAACAAGGTGTTTGATTGCTGCCAAAACTAGCAAACTCAAGATGAAAGAAGCTCAATTGATCAAACAAACTCATTTGTTTGGACTCACATGAATCTTTGTTCGAAAGCAGTGCAATATATGACATACGGGGGAAGCTTGAACATGTCTCATTTTACCTTCTCATTCATTCGCACCTATTCAATACACTCGGAAATTCCTTTCCATCATTGCCAAAGATGGTACGCTTCAATTTCTTCAAGTTCTACACCAACATTCCACTCCCGAACGATCAGAACAAAGTGCGCAAAGCCATGGATCTTGCATACAAAACTGCATGTCAAAAGGTCACGCCCAAAGTGATCTTTCTCAGGCATGTACCTACTCCCACACTATCCCCATTTAAATAACCGCGTTGTCCATTTCCATCTTTAGCAATTGCGATGTATCATTTGAATTCTAATAGTCTACAGATCTTGGGTACACTTCTCCAAGAAGTCGACACCTCCACCTATCACCAAGAAGTCGACACACCCACATATCACCAAGTCGAAATACCCCCACATAACCGTATCCTACAAAGGAAAACGACAAATTCGTGACCAGACACACCTGACGAGTCATATACACGTTCGCGGGCCTAACAACCTTACTCTCGTTGAAACGAAACACCGCCCCGGAAAGCCAGACGCGGTTCTGAAGAGCGACGGGAGCCCGGTATGGCCACCAACGGAAAAACTGACGGCATTGGCGGTCATCTCTTACCCCCGTGGGAAGGGTCTTCGATGAGATTCCTCAATGCTACAACACCGCGAGAGTGCAATGATTGGATTCGACGGCACGGACGAACGTACAAGTTACTATACATCTATCAATCATGCGGATCAGTTCACTGAGGGCTTTGTACATGTCAAAATTCAATGTACACTGGGAGCGAAGTCTTGTCTGCCAGTTATTATTGCCCAACAGACAGAATGATATTCATAACCCCAACAATTATATGTGTTAAACTGTGTTGCCATCTAATAAATCGTCAAGATTTACATGTTCTCTTGCTTGTGAACTGGCTCTGGCCTGAAAACCAAAACGTCTAATCTACCCCCTCTGTGAGATATAGTCCGCATCTTGGTTGAAACTTCCAGTATGCCCTCTTTGAAGTGTTTAACATTCCATCGTTGAGATCATGGCATGCTACAGGTGCGTTAACAGTCAATGATCATTGTATATTGAGCAACGGGCACTGTACGATCTCGCTAAGAAGAATATTTACCCCAGGAAGTTTATTAACACTTATTCGGGCAAATACGGCTTAATCAGTGAATGAGCGCTGAAATTTCTGCAGTGTGCCATGATGTTGGTGTTGCTGGCTATCTTCCATACAGTCGACCCCGCGGCGGAAATATCTCGAACACCGCTCATCCCTTCTAATGCTATGAGCACGGCACCCTGCGCAAGAAACGGCAGAGATGTTAGTTAGCTCATTTTTATTTCTCGCCTTAATAAAAGATGAACAATGATGATAATGATGATGATAATGATGATGATAATGATGATGATAATGATGATGATAATGATGATGATAATGATGATGATAATGATGATGATAATGATGATGATAATAATGATGATAATAATGGACCAACTGCCAACTCCGACAGTGTCCCTGCGACCTTTCATGCTTCTTGGCCTCTCCTACAGTGCATTCATTATAGCATGTTCATCGCGCATGAAATCCGAACTATTGGCGTCCCATTTTCATTTCCTTTGCTACTATCTGCGCGAGCAGCCCGCTGTACAACTTCTGACTCTGAGTTCCTGGAGCCCGAGCGGCTCGCTGCATGACTTCTTGCTCTAAGCTTCTGGAGCCCGAACCGCTCACTGCATGACCTTCTGTTCTATTGCTTTTATAATGCGACGTGTTCCTCAGTAAATGAAACCTAAAGGATTCTTCAACCGTAGCGCTCGCTTTTGTGTAGTATTGAGGCTCTTTTTTGTCTTTACTTCTGGCCGCGTGAGCGGCTTGTTTGTGGAGGTAGGCAACGGGCCCTTCGGAGGAAATGCGGAAGAATCCTGTAAGCTGTGAGCGGGATGCGCTGGGAACACGAAAGATCAAAACCTTCCTTATGAGTGGTCTTTGCAACCTGGAGTACTTAGGATAGGCATAGGTAGCAAGTTCGATGGTTTCAATCAACAGTCTTCTCCACCATGCCTCAGTGATTGCGACCGTGGTTACCTATTGCAAGTGTTGATGTTCGAGCAATAGACAAGCCTCTCTACAGTCGACATTTCTAAGCGTGCACAAGCCAATACGAAATACTCCTTTGTAGAGGTTGTACTGCAAGGTTGTACACAGCATAGACAAGTAGCATCACATACCATATATCATCAATGTCTCCGTCCACCCAACAAGTTTGCGACGCTGTCCAATCTTGTTCTGATAGTAGTCGGCAATCTGATGTATTGTAGTCGAGATACTAAGGTAACCAAAGGGACGTATCAAAGGGACGTATCAAAGGGACGTATCTTAGGAACGATAAATCGTTGTAGTATAGACAGTGAGGGGAAAGAAAGGATATTGCAAGGCTGATAATATGCTGTAGTCAGGATAGTAGGGTAGAAGGAGGGATGTATCAAGATACTCTGGGTCAAGCAATGTTAGAATTAAGGTTGAGTGTATCTTATTCGCGGCATGTCGTTGGTCAACCTTAAATGGACGACGTCGAAAATCTCAACGCCGCCAGTTGCTCCCAACACCTTCCGAGGCCGCGTCACGTGATATCAAAATCGACATTCCAAAAAGCTGTCTTGTTAAATAACGAAGCTCCATCTATTTTGCAGCTAATCTTTCTTCGGATCGATACTGTTACAATTCTCCCTCGTTCTAATGGTTCAATTAGACATGGGAAATGGAAAAGTCTATAACTGCTCTGCACACGCAAAATGTAGGGAGATTTCGAAGGGGAAGAAGAACGAGGAAACCATGCCCGGAACCATATGCAAAGAAAACGCACAAAGGCTAGCCAAGCTTTTGATGTTGTACCGTGCCGATATGAAGTGTCGGCCCTTATTTGGAGGATGTTGGCTGCCTTGGTATCATCTCCAACACCCACCACCTCATCTCCCACTTCCACGACTTCATTTCCAACTCCCGCTACCTCCTCATTATCGTATTCTTCGTCTATTTGGAGATTTCTACCCCACCTGTGGCTCCAAGCGCCTTCTTAATATCTGCGATCCCGTGAGTATTCTGTAGGCAATGTGGAGTTGAATTTTGGATACTTACCTCCGTAGATAGCAAATTGTCCGGCCGTGAGTGTGCCAACAATTGGGGCGTCAGCTTTATTTGAATTGAATGATAATCAGTGGTTTGGAAGACTTACCCATGAAGAGACGAGCTCCAATACCGGCGTAAGAGCCACGGAGGCCGAGCTCCTTGGCGATCTTGATCAAACGGGAAGTGGTTCCCTCTCCGGGAAGACCCTTGGTCTTATTGATCTTGGAAAGCATGGTGTCGGCAGGCTGGGAGACGACGGCGGCGGCCATACCGGCAACGAGACCAGATCCGAGGTTGATGACGGTCTGCATGCCGTCGGAGGTGGTAGCCTTGTCAACGGTCTTGTAGACGGCCTCGTTGACCTTCTCGAAGACGACGAACTTGGCCATGGTGTAAGGAACCCTGCATGGGTTGTTAGCTGTGTCCAAAATTTTCACCTGGCTGGCTCATGGCTGGAATTGAGACATACTGCTTGAACAGGATGGGTCCGAAACCAGAGTAGAAAGCGCCGATACCCTCGTTCTTCAAGATCTTGCTGAAACCGCCGATGAGTCCATTGGCGAAGGTAGGATCCGAGACGAGACGGATACGGGTGGCCTCGAGAGGGCAGAGGGCAATGTCGGCGAAGAACTCTCCAAGAGCGGAAGAGGCGAGGTAGACGGCAGTGCGGTTCTGGGAAGCGGTCTCGTAGCCGAGCAAGTTAATGCTCTGCTGCTTGAAGAACTCGTATCCACCGAACTTGAAGGCACCCTGGAGGAAGTATCCGGCGGCGGTGGGACCGAAACCGGTCCAGACGGCACCAGCACCCTCCTTAGAGATGACCTGCTTGAATCCACCGATGAGGCCGCGGTTGTAGGTTACGGGGTCGAGCTGGATCCTGGTCTTGACGCTGGAGAGGTGTTAGCTCGGCAATTCATGGCAAGGTGGTGAAAAAGTCGAATTGCGCAGCGCAGCGACCGCGCAACGCGCCATTGAGGCACGAGACAGTGATTATAGGTAAAGGGAATGCGTACACATCGACGGGAGTAAGAGCACCGTGGGTAATTGAGCAGCAGACGGCACCAGCGAAGGCGAATCTGGAGTAGAGGTCAAGTCCCTGGGGCTTGGTAGGGTCGGCGGCGACGGCCTTAGCCTTGATGGCCTCGATCTTTGCAGACATCGTGAATGGATGGGATGGAGACCGACGGTAAAGGACGGTTTTTGGGTTGAGGGGAGATTGTAGAGTAAGTGGATGAGGAGTAGTAGGAGAGAGGGAAGATATGAGGTTGGGGTGTGGGAAAGTTGATAGCGGCGCACGGTTGATTACTGTGGTGACGGTGTGCGTAGCGGCTAACAAGGCAAAGGCAGGGCGGGAAGAGGAAAAAGGAAAAGTTCCTCTCTCCCGCAGCCCAAAAACTCTGCGCGCGCCCCGACTTGCCCCGAAAGCCGATGAATGGCAACTTGTCCAACCAATCACATCCATTCACTCGATCCCAGAGAGTCTCAACAACCAACCATTCACACCCCATTCATCTAGTGCGTGCTTCATCCGATTACTTGGACTGTTCGACTATACCACATGGAATACTTTTTACCACTTACAAGTTACGAGGTATTCTAACCAATTTACACTACTTACAATCAAACTAATAATAAAAGCCGGCTACCATCTCTTTATGCTCCATTATAATGACGCACTCTCCCTCTCCACCACCGTTCCTCTCGCAGCAATAAACTGTCCACTTGTTACCCCAGAAAGCGAACTCCCTCGCACCCCTGATGCTGGTCATATTGCACAATATGTACTCTTTAGTTACGTTCAGCCTCATCCAGAAGATCCTTCGGCAATCGGTCCGTCCATCATCCGCCTACCTTTAAATTCATCCTTGGCCATTCTCCCTTCGGTTCTCTCTCTCACACTTTACCCATCACCCACTAGTTTGATCGACACATCGATAATATGCATATCATAACGGGTAACTAACAGTTGCTATTCTATACGAGCATATACTCCCTCTACGACAAACCACATACCTTCAGACACACGTCGAGATGGAAATGTTGTGATTCCGCCTAGAAATGGCGGAATTCGCTCGTGACCAATTCGACGCCCAGTAGCCACTGTGCCACGTACCTGGTAAGATGAGTAGACCTCCGCGCATTATTGTAATCTGTAATATAAAGAGAGAGGGACCGGCGCTAGTAGGATAATCAAAAGACCTATTGTTCTCGAACGCTTGGTTCATGTGCATTCACGTACGTACCTATCCTGAACATCCTACCTCAACTTCAGATCTATATACACTGGAATCGTCGACAACCTCCAAAAGCACCAAATCAATTGCCCGAAGAGAGCACGTCTTCCATCGCCTCGTCCGAACCGAGCCAGTTGTACATGTCGTCACACGCCTGGAATCGACACTTAGTCGCCTCCAATATCTCCTGCAACACATTCTCCATGTCTGTGACCCTCCGACGTAGCACATTAGACGTGTTCTGCACACTCTGGTTTTCCCCTATCACACCCATCATCATGATAGACGTCAACGGATTGTCCATCCTCTCCCTAAGCACCTGATCACGTCGTTCCTCCGGTACATCCAATGCTGCAAACCTCCGCACTCTCCTCAGATTTCTCGTACCGAGCCCTTGCAGTACCTCTCCGATCGTATGGACCACCACTTGTTCATCTTCGAGTTCGCCTATCTGCTTGCGGAGTGTTTTGACCAATCGCAAATCTGCTTCCTCGCAAATTTGCTGCAAGAGGTGCAATGGCGGATGCGCGAGGAGAAGATTTAAATGCCACTTTTGGCCGGTTTGTGCCGCGGCCAGCTCTTGCAGGCTGTCGAGCTCCTTCTTCCATAGTCCCTTCCTCCCGCGTTTCAAATCATCAATGACCATGGTAGCTGCCTTGGGTACGCTCTTCTTATTTACGCCGGCCAGACCCTTCTCCAGCCTGTTCGAATTCCCAGGATCTCGTTCCACGCGTGCAGAGTTCGACTCTGTCTTCAAAGACGATCTTTTCTCTTCATGGAACTTCTTTTCCAAACTATAGAGAGTCTCCATCAACATTGTTTTGAAGACCGTATCCCAAAGAAGCCCCCCAACGCCGCCCGTGAGGGTTGGTCTCACGATGGTGTGGTTTACAGTCAGATTGACGAGCAAATGATACAAGTCCTGTCCGGCGAAAACAGCAGTCTCGGGGCAGTATGCTCGTACAGCTTGCACTGCACGGGCATCACTTGGGTCTTCCTCGAATTCTGCAGTTTCGATCAAATGTGCTAACTCGCGAATTCGCTGATTTAGGGCATCGAGGAGCTCCTCGTACTTGGCGCTACAGTCAGCTTCGTCATCGCATCTTTGGGTCATGCTTTCGTGGCTCAAGGCTAACAGCTTCTCTAACATCTGTGGATAAGTGCATGGCTGCGTGCTTTCAGATTGTTCATCTGCGCCTTTCTTACACAGCAACAGGAGCGCGTCCGAACATTCTTTTGCGACACGGGGACCTAGGCCAAGACGGATAGGCGTCAAGATACCAGTGTTTATACTTAAGCCCGATATACCATTGCCATCAGGAGAAACCGCACGGGGATTAGATGTGTAATCTAGAGACCAATCTAAGGAGGACGATTCTTCGTGTATCAAATCGTTCAGATACTCTCTGGTGGCAGCGAATGAGGGGTCAACGGGCTTACATACGGCGACCGCGTGCTCTTCGAAGTTTTTGGAGTTGATAAGGTCACTGTCTGATGGGGTCTCTACAACATCTTCCTCTCCGTCGTCAGGGTCCCGCAGATAGGCTTGTACCAACGACCGAGTAATACGCTGTGAGGATGTCATTTGTCCAGGTTGCTCCATGACAATCATGTAGTTGTCAAATATTGCTAGGTAAGCAGACCTCTGAAGAGTTCCATTTTCTAAATATTTGCAGTCAATGTTGCACTTCACGATACTCGCAGCATACTGGTCATAGACGTCACACAACCCGACAAGTCAATTGAAGGATCCTCAGACCGTGGAAAATATTCCATCTTCGACAACATTGACACATTGGCTTCAAGGCTTGATTTTGTTGAACAGCCAGCTATCACAATCGAATGTCCATACCGTGCATGCAATGCGGTCAGCATCGAGTGCAGTAATAGCCGGACGTGGGTGGGGTGGGGTTTCTTCCAAACCAGGTTGAGGTACAGCAATCCAAAGGCCCTAGAACTCCATAGTTGGAGCAGGGATGTAGCCCATCTCGGATGCGATTCGGGAGCACGGAGTGGGAAGACCATGCAGACCGATGCGCATATCAGGAGTTCGTTTAGATGATGTTGATGATGAGAGAAGAAGAAGCACGTCCACTGCAATGACAATCACATTGCATCGATGATCGCGAGGTTACGGGGTACGCTTAGTGGTTCGATTGCGACACGCTGATAGGCAAATTCTTCCCGCCGGAAACCAATCAGAAGCCGAGAAAGCTGGATAGCGTACTTTTGGCCTACCACCTCCAACATGGACCGTTCGACCCGTTCGACCTTCTCAAACCTCCGACCATCGACCGACCGGCAAACGCATGGTTGATGCAAGTGCAGCGCAACACAGCACAGCACAGCACAGCAACAGCAGGCAGTGTCGCCCCTCAACACGTACAATCCCAATCAATCTCGTTCTCTCACCGCATCGTCGGTATTGCGTGATGGACGATAGCCAGCATCTGGGGGACAATTCACTCCGACCCGCACACAAACAAGCCATCTGCCCCACATGTTGCTGTAGCATGTGACCCTACCTAGAAGGTCGAGATCCCGCGTTCGGCCAGGCCAGGCAAGACGAGGCAAGGCAATCCACCACCTGGAGTCTAACAAAATAACAATCAGGGTCCTAATAAAAACTCCCCTTCGCGCTCCCTTCTCCTATTTCTCGTTCAATTTCCTGCTCGCAAAACTCTGCTCTGTCCTCCCTACCACTTCTTGCGTGCAATTCATCTTGCCGCATCCCCCTCCGCTGTTCTATTAGAGTATTGTTATGTCTCTAATCCAGCATGTCACTCAGACCGAGGGTACCGATCGAGAGGAGGCGCTGGTCGATCTCTTCTTGCCTCCCCTAGAACGCCAGATAACAGCAGAACGCGATGCAGAACGACGCTTTTCAATCGAAAGTGGTTTTCGTCCCGGAAGCCTTCGATCTGTCCGCCGCGTTATCAGTTATGATGCACTCAAACCACCGGAAGAGCTCCCGATAGATAATGGCGGTGTCACCCAATACACTGTCTCAAAAAGGAAGCGAATTGGTAAGCTAGTCCCGATCGGGGTCGATATATAAAAGAACCCAGCTCGACTAACAACCCTCGTTTCTAGCTCAGGTTATCGTCACGGTTCTTGTATGCTGGTTTGCAAGTGGAATTGTCTTCGGTTTTGCCGCGCTCAAGCCGATTTTAGTCAAGGAAGGCGTGTTCCGAGAACTTTGCACCCAGGAAGAGCTAGATGCAGATGTCGACGTTTGCTATGAACAGGATCTCCGATTGAATTTCTTCTTCAGCTTGGCTTCTACCACAGCAAATGTCTCCGCCCTTCCCATCGGTACTATGCTTGATCGCTACGGCCCCAAAGCCTGCTTCCTGTTTGGCAGTGCCTGCCTTGCCCTTGGTAGTCTTCTAATGAGCCTCGCATTCCAGATTCCGGAGTTTGATGGCTATACCATGGGCAACTTTCTCATCGCTCTTGGTGGAACCGCTGTCTTTCTCCCAGCCTTTCAGATTGCCAATGCTTTCCCAAAATACTCGGGAACAATCGTAGCCCTTGTTACGGGTGCTTTTGATGCATCTGCTGCGGTCTTCCTCTTTTACAGGATTGCGTACGAAGCCACCGATGGCCACTTCACTCCGCGTATATTCTTTCTTGTCTATCTCCTCGTGCCTGTCGCCCTTGTTATTGCACAGCTCACTCTCTTGCCCAGTGAGGCCTACAAGTCTCTATCACAATTAGAAGAGAAGATTGCACGCGCAGAGGATCCAACTCGCGATGTCCACGATTCAGACGAGGAGCTTCCTGGCGAAGAAGTATGGCGGGTTCGCAAAGGCCGCAGTATCCAACGTCGCAAGCGACTTCAAAAACTCGATAAGTTGGTAGGAAGTCCTGATACGAGAAAGCAGAAGGAGGAAAAGGAGGAGCAGCACCACGAGGCCTCTGGTGTCTGGGGCGCTTTGCACAATAAGTCTGCCGCAGAACAGATGAGGACACCCTGGTTTATTCTACTCACTCTACTCACCGTCCTCCAAATGATGCGCATGAACTATTTCATCTCAACCATTCGCGAGCAGTACGACTACATGTTGGATTCTGGCGAGCTTGGTACCCGCGTCAACGAGTTCTTCGATTGGGCTCTCCCGCTTGGCGGAGCTCTCTCAACGCCGTTCCTGGGAGCTTTGCTTGACAACGTCAGCACGCCGATTGTGCTGTTGATCATTTTGATCATGACCACAATCATTGGCGTTGTTAGTTGCATTCCGGCCCTCTGGGCAGGCTACATCAACGTTATCTTGTTCGTGCTGTTGCGTCCACTCTACTATTCGGCCATGTCGGATTACGCGACCAAAGTCTTTGGTTTCGCAACCTTTGGCCGCGTCTACGGCACAATCGTTTGCGTTTCAGGTCTTTTCAACCTTTGCCAGACGGCGATTGATGCTTTGACCAAGCGTACATTCCATGGAAACCCGATCCCCGTCAATGCATCGCTCGCAGTGGCAGGATTCATTTTTGGTGCAGCATTGGTGCTCTACGTATCTATTCAGGTGCATCGATTGCGCAAGAAGTTGGACGAAGAGGATGCAATCACGGTCACCAACACCGAGGCCGATAGCGTTCTGGATAGTCTTATGGAGGAGGATGAACCGAGGGGCTATGGAAGTTTTGGCCCTTGACGGTCTGCTCGAACTGTGTAAGTCTCCGTTTGGAGCAACCTAATTATATCTGAGCGACATTGAATGGTAAGTTCTCTCGTTAGCGATGGAGTTTCCAGGTACTGAGCGTAACTTTTCCTTGGTCCTTGTCCTAGCAATCTTGAGCGTTACTACTTAATCTTGTTTTCATAGGTTTGGTCCTTCTATGTTTTTCATGTTTTTCATGCTTTTCATGCAAAAATTCTGGTCACTTTTCTTTTTTCTTTGCAAGCGATGATTCAAGCATATCTATGGAGTACAAGCGTCGGTGTCTTTGGGTGAAATGGGCTTCGGAAACCAAAAGCAGTAACACGAATCCAATGCGACTTTCATGATGATCTCATCAACCATATCTTCCTATGCGACTTTTGCGTCACTAACATAGAGTTTGTACCACGACCATGACTTAGAGTGCATGGGATATCCTTCGCAATGACCATGTACGGCCCGGGTTCTCACGTTCATTGGTCCGGTGCGGAGTACAAAGTTGTGGTACCCACGAAACCGTATCAAGCACCATGATGAAGCAATTCTGAAGTCCTTCACGAGGTTCTACTACTCGACCATGTTTTACCACCATCAGAGTTTCTAAGGCTACACTCGACCCCGTAAACACCTCCATATATCGCATCGCATATCCAACCACCCAAGATTGACGTTGTACAAACACTTTTCCTGACGTTAAACCGCGGTGGAACTAAACCCCAACCAGCATAGCGATCGACACCTCCTCGTAACGTTCGCGTAACCCGCCCATGCTCCACACACCACTCAAAAGCGACCCAAAGCGCCGGGGTTTGGTTGGTGTCATTAGGCGGGCACAGGCGGGCGCGCGGGTGCGCGGGTGGTGGTGGAGGTGACGGACTGGCTCTACTGACGTCACATGCTGTCACAGGTCAAGTTGGGAACGAAAAAGCAAGCTTGGGATCCTACGAGTACAAAGGCGTAGGAATATAATAAGAAAGCCGCTCTTTTCTTGTACGATAGCTATTCCATTTTGAATACACCAAGAACGAAATACTTTGAAATACTTCGAGAGGAAAAGACGTTTATCTCGATTCCGTGCCATCTCGAACTCGACAAACCAAACGAACATCCACATACAACCACATACAACCAACATGTCGTCCTCAGACAACACCGCCAACAAACAGCACAATGAGCAACAAGGCGACCACATCCCCACGACCAACGAGTCCCAACCCGAAGAGCAACAATCCACCTCCTCAGGCGGCCTCCTCTCCTCCGTCGGCGACCCCCTCGGTACGTCCTCCCCCACGCCCCCTTCCCATTCCCACCACCCTCCCTAACAACCCCCCAGGCAAAGCCCTAAACAAAGGCCTCCGCCCCATCGGCTACCCCCTAGAAAAAGGCGTAACAGGCCCTCTCGGCAACGCGCTCGGCGGCACGACGCGTGGCGCGCTGGGCCCGCTCATGGGCGAGCAGCACGAGCGGATGGAGGTGCTGGGCGGAGACAACAAGGATAGCTATGAGAGTACGCCTGAGAAGATCGCGGGTAAGGAGCAGACGGGGGATAATCCCCTGGGGTTGGATCAGAGCGGTAGGTGGGGGTTTAGGGATGAGTGAGTAGGAGATGGAGCGGGGGGGAGTGTATGATTATTAGGTAGTGAGATGGATGGGGAATATGAATATATCCTGGGTTTTTCTTTTTTTGAATGTAAAGAAATATGAATGTTATAGTGTAATGTCGCGGATACAAGGGTGGTTTGTTGCGAAAGGAACTTGTCAGTGCAGAATGCCGCGACGTTCTTCTGAAGTGTGTTTAATATGGGGTATATATATGGTAGATGAAGCTCTTTTCCCTTTTATTTTGTTCCCGACCATATCCAAAAATGCGCCGTCCCATGCCATCCGGTCCCGGGAAAGGAGAGAGCAAAAGGAAAGATAACAGATGACACAAGCATTACAACGTAGAAAGCATCCGTTCAAAACATCTCATCCATCCCACTCTCGTAAAAGATGCTTTTCTGCTCCACCTCGTATTCTTGCCCTCGACCGCCAGACCCAACCGGCAACCGCTTATCCCTGAACGTGTCTTCCAGGTTCTCAGCAGAGTCGCCATTCTCGTCGTCCATATCGTCATCCTCTCGTGCAGATTGGTGCAACGGCGGAATTGGCGTCCGTCCGGTTAGGATGTCGTACAGACTATCATCACTGTCATCGCCCTCCACGCTCTCGAAGCGGAGAATCTGGTCCTTGCCGTCGGGCCAGAGTAGGATGCAGCCTTGTTGGTGGCCCAGCACGATGGATGTCTTCTTGTCTGGGGTGGTTGGGAGCCATTTTGCGTCCCAACGGGCCGGGACGGAGCCTGCACACTTGGTGATGTGGTCTTTTAGGGTGATGATCGTGGGTTCCATGGGGGTTCTGGACGAGGATGTGGAGGCTCCGAATGTGGATGATTGGAGTGATGGGGCGCGCCAGAGATATAGAGTCGGAGTGTCTTGTGTAGTCTGGATGAGAAGGAGTGAAGGATCGGTCGGATGCCATTGTAAGCTCTTGACAGGCGAGTGCTGGATCAGTATCATGCTGGGCCTCAGGCTCCGCAGATCCCATATCCATATCGTCGTTGGCGTAGCATCATCTCTCGTAGCGCAAATCGTGCCGTCCATGTTGAACGCGAGCAGGCTTATGCCTTGCTTCATCGCCCCTGTGTCGTTCTTCTCCGTGACTGCTTTTGGAGGCTCCACGGGCTGTTGGGTCAAGCTGTACCGTCGATTCCCTCTGGCGTCCACCTCTTCGGTGTAGACCGCAGCGCTTGGGACGTTTATCTGCGCCGTGTGATCCAGGAACACGACTGGCGCGAACGTGCGGGTGGAAAGTATGCGAACTCGGCGGTCCCAGCCTCCCACTGCCAACCACTGGTTCCCTGGCACCCATTCCACGCTCTTGATCCCCAAACCCTCCACTGTCCAATCACTCAGTCGATCCGACGGTTCGCGACCAACAGTCTTATACAGATGTCCGTCCGCGGTGTAAACATGCAATTGGAACCCCGAAGCAGCAGAATCCCAAACAGCAATCCACCGCCCATCCAAACTCCACTTCAACCCCACCGCGTCCACCGTCGGTAAATCCACCCTCTTAACAACCTGATACTTGACCCCATCCAGTATCAGCAAGACATCCTGCCCCGCAGACCGACACAACATCGCCAACACCCTCCCATCCCTCCTCACGTCCACCGTTCCCGTCTCGCTGGACTCCGCACCACAAGGCCGATACCCCCAGCCCTTCCCCTCCCTCCCCGAGAACTTCGGATCCTTGATCTCGACCGTGCGTCCCGTCCTTAGACACCACACCGTCGCCTTACTCGCGAAATCGCTCCAAATCACAACCTCGTCCTCCGTGCCCCCGAAAACAGCATGCACGTTCTTGCCCATCCCGCCCGACCCATTACTTATCGTCGCGCTCCATTTCTGGTCGCGCAGATCGTACACCCGCGTCGTCTCCTCGGCGGCGACGAGTATGCGGTTCGAGCGCGGGGCCGTCCTCCTGCGGGTTCGCGGCGGGGTCGCTGCGGCGCTCGACGAGGTCGGGTTGTCGGGGCGTGGGGATGTCGAGGGCGGGGACCACGCGAGACGGGCGTTGCGCACGTCGAGGGATGCGGGGAGCGCGATGTTCCGGATTACTTCGTTGGAGGCGACGCAGCGGATTTGGAGGCGCGTGCCGGTGATGCAGGCGAGGTGTGCGGCGGTGGGCGAGGGGAGGTATTGTGATGCTGTTTGTTGTGGGGTGATTGGTGAGTGGGGAGTGGAGGAAGGGTGGGTCATGGGAGGTGGCGGGAGTTACCTTTGAATTGTTGGGATACCTCTAGGTTCTCCATGGTGAATGTGTGCTCGGAATCATGGGTTGGATTTCGGAATAACGTTGGAGGACATTCACATGGAGTGGGGTGTTTGTAAACAAAAGCTTAGACCCTGGCTTGGCTTGGCACCTCCCCAGCTTCCATATCCATGTGGGTGCCGTCATTGAACTAATAATCTCAAATTGATCTGCTAATAGCTCACTAAAAGAACATCCTTATTATATTATGCCTTTTCCAATTTTTATGAAAGAGCTTGCAATTGTCAAAGTGATAGATAGTAAAGCATTTCATTTCATGATGTCACAGTCGTCTTTTCTATGCATTCGGCAGGTTTAGATGGGGAAATCTTGGGCAGTGATGCTCAATTTGTATATGGAGAAAGACCGCGCCAATTGACACTCTAAAGACGAGATGGCGTCCAAAAGAAAAGGCAGCGACATGGGTATCGAATCGAATCGCACATCGAAAGACCCGCTATAAAGAATAGATAAAAAGAGATCAATCGCATGAGGTATGAACATTTTTTAGCCACCATCCCCCGATCCAATCAATGGTTCTGCAGCTTGTAGGAGGCGCCAATATGTGAATAAATATTAAACCAAACAGGAAAAAAAAAATGAGACATTCGTTACCACGTCCATCTAGATCGTCAAGAATACGCAACCCAAGTCATTCTACAGGGGGTATATTCACAATGGGAACTCATCATCAATGACCGTTTCACGTCGTGTATACGGGGGCTTTGATGAGAATGCTCTTTCCACGGGTCTGGACCGCGACTCCAACGGCCAGACGGACTCGCTGGGGCGGTGATTCATCTTTGCTACCGCTCGAACTGCTCGGCCGGGGTTGTAACAAGCTGTGCTGGCTGCCCTGGTCGAGAGTCGATTCGCGCTTTCCGAGCTGCGCGGGGGTCTGCGACGGCTTCTTCGAGCTCCTAAAGTTGTCGAACATGCTGCGCTTCTTGTCCGCAGCCTCCTTGGGAACCTGGCTAGCTTGTTGGGCTTGCTCATGCTCGGCAAGAGACGCGGAGTCTTCGGCCTTAGATGCGACGCTTCGCAGAGACGCCCGATCGGCCTCCTCGCTGTCAACGATGGGGTTCGTCAGGGCGGGGATGCCCGATTCCACCTTCATCATGTCGGGAAGAAGGCCCTGGCCAGGATAGAAATACTCAATATGTACTTCTCGGCTCTCGAGTGGCAGATGTTGGGCAACGCTGACAGCCAATTCGATGATCATCGTCACACCTCCGTTGAGGTCCGGCGGAGCAGGGTCGTTGAGATACATTTGGAGTGATGCGATGAGCTTCTCGTTCAGCTCTTCAATCAGAGCCTGGCGATTCGTCGCCGACTGCTGGGCTTTGAGCAAATCCGCCAAGCCTTCCAATGTAGCTAGCCGCCAATTAATGACTTTGGCCACAATAGCCTCTTCGTCTTCGCTCGTCTGGCACGCGGGGGAGAACTTTCGGATGTTAAGCTGGATCGTCTTCAATTGTGTAGACAGGCCGACTTCGAGATCTGGGTGAAAGTACTTGTCGAAGATGTTTTCGACCAACCACGACGAAATAAACGCGCGACCGACCGCCGTCATCTCCTGTTTACCCGTCTCAACAGCCGTCTTGTTCACAACGGGGTGGAGCCATTGCGGTATTGTCTTCCAATCCTTGCGAATGGAGAATGATAGCTGTGCTATCAGCCCGTCTATCCTGTTAAATCGAGTAGCATATTCACTGTCGTCCCAAGACGTTCGCGACAGCGACAATCGCTGATGTGCGAGGGTGTTCTGTAACTGGTGTACCTGTGACTGTTGCTCAAAGAAGTAACGCTTGACCTTTTGATATTTCTCGCCTGTATCAAATTCATCAGCTTCATGGGGTCACAACCTGAGAGAAGGGAAATGCTTACGCAGCACATCATGCTCCTTGACCAATTGCAATACTTCATCTTCCGACATTTCGGTCGCAGATCGCGGCGGCGGTGTAGCTCTACCCAAGTCCCCACTCTGGCCTGGCTGTCCTGCCTTATCCCCTCGGTAGGGTTGTCCTTGTGAAGCTGAGGGCACGACGTTAGCCCCGAATGTGGCGATGCCCGGCGACACGGGTGGTTGTCCTGGATTCTGACCTTGACCTGACGGTTGTTGCAGGAGAGAAGACTCTCGCGAGGGCATGTTGGGCTGACCGCCGGCCTCGTTGACCTTGCGCAGCGTGTTGCGGGGCTGGCTGGACGGCGCCATGCTGTCCTGACCCTGTTGACCCTGTTGTGGGGGAGTTATGGATTGACCGTGAGTCTCGGCGGATTGGGTAGTTTGGCCCTGCTGTACGTCGTGAGTCTGATACTGAGGTGTTTGCTGGATGGGCGAGGGTGGGGCAAGCTGATGCTGTGAAGGCGGGCGGAGTGACTGTAGGTGGTGGGGGTCAGCTTGGGTCGCTTGTTGCACGATCTGGGGTATTTGGTGCTGTTGGGATTGGAGAATCGAGAGCTCTTGCTGCTGCGATGGAGGACGGTCGTGCTGGAGGTGCCGTTGATGGAAGTCTTGGCCCTGCTGCGGCTGAGGCGGAGGTGCGAATTGTTGCTGTTGGGCTTGGTATAGGATGTTGGGGTGTTGGTGATCTTGGGGAGAATGTTGCTGTACCTGTTGATTCGTTTGCTGTGGTGGCGGTGGTTGCTGTTGTTGTGGTGGTGGTTGATATGGGTAGAAGGGTTGTTGTTGCTGCTGCTGCTGTTGTTGTTGTTGGGGTGAGAGGTCTTGAGGCTGCAGCTGAGAGTTAGGGTGGGGGCCCTGCGCACTCTGCGGGTGGAACGCCTGATACTCGTTCGGGTTTTGGGGTTGGTGCTGAGGCGCTGGCGTGTAACTTTGATAAATTTGCTGTGGCTGCTGCTGCTGTTGCTGCTGCGACTGTGGTGGTTGAGGTTGTTGTTGTTGAGGTTGCTGCTGCTGCTGTTGCTGTTGCTGCTGTTGCGGCGTGAGACCCTGTTGGTGCTCGGGGCTATAGTGATCTACCCCGCCTTGTGTATGATAACTCCCTTCGGTGTTTACTTTAGCGAGTGGGGGCCGACCGTACTGCTGCTGCTGCTCCTGGTGCGAGCTCTGCACAAATTGCTGAGGATGCTGCTGCTGGTGAAAAGATGGATCTTTTGGCGGTGGCTGCGGTGTAGCACGATCGTCTTGTTGGAGGAACGGGTCTAAGTCGTCCTCGTCCTGCTCGTTAGACGTGGGCAGATGCGGGCTGGATCCCTGCCTCTGCGACCACTGCTGAGCCTGAAGCCTGTCGTTGCCCGTCGATTGGTAGCTCTCCGGTCGTGGTTGTGTATCGTTCTTCCTGACCGATACGCGTCTTCCGACAATGCCGTTCCCCTTTGAATGCCGACTTTCGTCGTCTTTGTGCCCAGTCAGCCCGGCCGCAATGCGGCTGCGCAACGACTTTTTATGAGTCTCCTGCTGTGGCTGCTGTTGTTGCTGCTGCTGCTGTTGCTGTTGCACGTAATTGCTCGATTGCGGTTGGTATGAGCCACGTCTCTGTTGCTCAATGGCCGCCGGTGAGGGTTGCGGCGCGATGGGATTCTGGCCGGGCTGGATGACCAGCGCGGGCTGCTGGAGGGAGAGGTTGGTGGAGTGTCGGTGACTTGTCGTGCGAGCGGGGAATTGCTGTCTATATGCGTCCTGTGCGGCGGATTGAGGGATCTGCTGCTGTATTAAAGGTTGCTGTTGGCCCTGGAGAGGTTGTTGTGGTTGCTGGCCGTCGGGGGCAGTAAATCGCTGTGCAGCGGCCTCGTTGTTCACTACAGCCGCTCGTTCGTCAGCCGCACAACTCATTGGGCAGCGCGAAGCGCTCAACTCACTAGAAGGCACAGGCGAGGAATGGCCAGAGGAATGGTCAACAGAATGCTGCGAGCGATTCGACTTGGACCATGGAAGTTTCGAAGGCATCGCAGTGCTGGCGGCCAAGAGCTTCCCTACGGTTGAAAGCTTGTGGGGAGGTTTTTGGGGGAGGTCGAAGGTAGTCGATGGCTTCAGCTAAGAATAACCCGACAGCTGCGATCAGCGGGGGGTCGATCTGCTTGTGGTGCTGTGTGAGCCTTGAGGTGTGTGTATGACTACCCTGGTATGAGCGCACTAATTCGTTAGAGTGCGCGCCCCGATTGTAAAGAGAAAAGGGAGAGGGCGCCTGGAGCTGGGTGTTCGGTCAGTCGGTCAGCCAGCCAGCAGCATCGCAGGGCGACGGAAGCAATCCACAATTCGCGGTGGTGGACACTGGTGGTGGTGTTGATGATGGCGGCTGTGGTCTGTTGAAGTATTATTGTATTTGCTTGCGGTACGTACCGCCGTAGAACGTATGAATGTATGTACAGGGCTGCTACTGGAGAGACAGAGAGAGAGACAGGCAGAAAGGCGGCAACACCGATACGAGCAACCAACCAACCCCGGTAATAAGAATAAGAGACTTAAGGATATTGGGGGCTCTGGAGCGGCGATGGGGCAGGCAAAAGTCCCCAAGAGGGCAGCCGGCGAAGAAGAGCGAGAAAGTGAATGGTTCGTTACCGCCGCGGGCCAGCCGCAAGTGCAGGGCTGGTCTTATGGTGGAGCGGGAAGTGGCATGGGATGAGATACACAGTAGATACCTAATCTGCTCCATACAATTGTACTATTGCAGTATAGTCTGTACAAAGTATTGTTGAAGCCTATGGGCTAGCTATCTGCCCACATAGAGCGCACTTGAAGATACATAGTTACATACCTTACGTAGATGAGTACTTATCTCGATCAGGTACGGTGGAGGACATAGTTCTTCCTCCCCTACTTTCATTTCCATATGACCCAAACTATTAATCGCCTTTGGTTCAGACGCAACAATTATGGAGTACTTCTGGTAAAGCTCGCACCAAAGTACCAGGCAACTAGACCCGGGCATAAAATCCAGGCACACCCACTCACACCTCAGCAAAAGAGATGAAGCAACAATGGTCCTCATGGCCAACGGCACTCCGCGGCAACCAAAGCTGGACCGGCGCGCAGCCCACGCAGGCATGGGAAACGCTTATACGCTTTAAAACTGTTTAGGTGCTGCCATCTCCCAGGGTCGTGGTGGCAGTGCAAAAACTACTCCATAATCCCCTTGTCCGTATACTGTAGCAGCATGTCACCTTTTCCCCCTCCTTGTTCAATATCTATGTTTCGATTTACAATATACCAGTACGATTCCTTATGCTCTCTGGAACGTAATGCGCTATGCGTCCATCCTTCGCGCTCATCACCGTCGCCGCCGGCAGTGAGTTTTTCGACGTTGATAGGCGTCGGTTGTAGCTGCAAGGTCGTGGGGTGAATGGGATTTGGATTGGGCTGAACGATTTGTGCTGGCTGGGTTTAGGTAGGTAGTTCACGTTGCCCAAATCTTACACGCGCCAGCGCCATCTTAGATTGACGTTCTATCTATCAGCCGTGGTAGGCAAATATTGGAATTTTGATAATCGCTGCAGTACGGAGTAATAATGATGATGTTGCCTTCCTCTGCGGAGTAGTACATACATGCATACATCAGCTATTCTACCTGACTTGCCTGCACAATATCTACCTACACCCTTACGATTGTTTAATGTAGCACGTGGGTAGGCAGTCGTAGGCATTGTAACAGTGTAACTATTGTACGACCGCTTGAACTGTGCCGGTTATTTTTAGATGCTGACTGGAAGCGGGCCGCTAGTCTATGCCAGCCTTGGAATGGAACCTCTAGGCTCAAGTTACCCTCCCATGCTCCCCCATCATCCCAGCCCAGCTCTCGACCTTCTCTGCAGCCTTACACAACAGAACAGTACTCTGCGGTGACTGGTGACATTCTCGAAGCAAGGCTGAGATGCTTCTAGAACACTACACGCACGCACGCATTCACCCTCTTCGTTACTTTCGGAATATTCATCAACTGACCGGATTACATTTCGGACGGATTGTGATCGTCGACGCATGCAATTATTGATTTTGAAAATGGTTCTATTGAAATCGCTATGGGGGCCGTGGGGTCCGCGGGATCCCTAAGTCCACATGTTTTTCCGTCTCAGCAATCGATATGCGGGTATCGATATTGACTTCATGAACAGGCGATCTTTTACCAAATCCTGAGTTACCTCCCAAACAAGTACTCTTGTTCTTCTTGGTATGATACCCTGCATCCTTCCAACGGGTCCATTCCGAGCCTTTGAACCGCACACTTCCAATACCCGGAGATCTCCAAATATACATCTGGCCCGCATAAACACAAGATATACGACCACTCCGCATCATTAAGCATATTGATCCTTCCCCTCCAACTCCGCCTCTTTAGTACTAACCCTCCTCCTCTCCCTCACCCTCTTCACCTCTCCGAACACCGACACCGACACCCAAAGCAACCACACGAGCCCCGCAACCACCCCATACGCAATCATCTGGCCCCTCGTGGGAACGAACATCCGCGTCTCCGTGGCAAACAGCATCCCGAGCCCCCCGTTGATGATCCCCAGCGTGATGGCGATCCTGCCCAGCCAGAGATGTCCGTACGTCCAGATAGTCCGACGACCATGCTTCTTGAACTTCGAGTGGTGCAGGAGTCCGAGGATGGGTTGGAAGGCTAAGAGGACGAGCACGACGATGCCGATGATGGGGTGGTAGTGGTCGAGGAGGTTGACGGGGACGTTATTGACCATCCAGACGCCGATGCCAAATGCAGCGATGTAGGTGACCAACGCGAACGTTTGGAGCAGGCCGTGGATGAGCCATGCGCCGCGGAAGGACCCGAGGCGGATTAGGATTGCTCCTGCGGGGAAGAAGATGACGAAGGCGAGGGCGGCGAGCACGCCGTGGGCGATGACGATCTTCTCGCGCTGGTTGAGGAAGTCCTGGTAGCTGGTGTAGCCGAAGGGTCCTCGGCCTCTGCCTCCTCGTCCATAGGGTCCGTAGCCTGGTCCCGGATCAGGGCCTCGGTAGGGGCCGTATCTGCCTCCAGGGCCGAATTGGGCGGTTGCTAGAGACACTTGGAAGTGTAAGTATTGGGTTGCAGGTGTAGCAAAGGGCAATTGGGGGTTGGCTTACCTAGACTGAAGTAAAAGGTGATTCGGGCGAGCATGGTATTGTGCGACATGATATTTTACTGGAAAATCGATCTTTCAAGTTCGTTGATTGGGCACAGTATATGCTTTGCTCTCTATACGAGCAACAGCAGTTGAAATCAAAACGAGAGCAAGCTGGTTAAGATGGCTCGCAGCTGAGATATATGGCCGCAAGCCAAGATCGAATGCATATTTGACGTCGATGGTCTCTTGGAAACATGCATGCTTACGCGTACGAAAGACCATAAAGGAGCAACGGGAGTGGTCCAAATGAAATACAAGATCGTTACACTGAGCTGAGCATGGCACGTAGGCTCGGAGAATAGGTTTGGAGAGCCGACAGTTTGGTTGGACGTCGGTGAAATCTGGACGCAAAACGCCGACCCCTGCGTCATTACGCTTTGTGACTCTGTACCTAGGTAGTTATGTTTGTCTGATTCGAAGAATGTGTTTCCCAGTCAAGATTTTCCGAAGTTGTTATGAGTACTTTCTGAATGATGAATAATAAGGTGATGTACTAGTCAAAACTTGAAGACTTAGTTGGTGGCGATTCTCATTCATATTAGCATTATCTCAGGTCACGTACGATCTGGACATTTGCATTCTCGAAACTACTTTATCAAGCAATGAAATGATCACTTTTTTATGTGGAGTTCACACTATGAAGTCGAAGTTCTAGTTGTATGTAACATGCACCGTGTCTGAGTGATATGATAATATATTGACTTAGGAAAAGTGGAATCTTGTGAGTGGACACAGATACCACAGCACAGGCAGGACAGAAGGTAGTGATCAAACTCTTTCCCCTCGTGGTAAGAAGAAGTACCTTGATCAACCGCCCATTCCTTGCTCACCAGCTTCTCGCTCTAGCCATTTTGGAATTGAGAAGTACAGCCTCTGTGTTTCTCCAGTATGGTATTTCGCCAAATTATAGTAGTAGCCATCGTCTGGGTCCTGAACTAGAGGACTCATATCAAAAATTATCCGGCGGTATGAATGCTGAACTAGAGAACTAACACTGAGAAGCGTCAGTGAATTTGGATGCATGCCTGTCAAGAAATACTTACCGGGTCCTTTCCCGGTCCTCTGATACTTCGGGGGGAGCATTGAGGGGAAAGGTTGCTATATTGTGGTCGATGAGCTGCCTCATGGCCTCCTTAAACTCGGATTCTTCAATCTTCCTGCCGATGATATTTTCCTTCTTGGGTTCTTCTATGACCTGACCATCTTGCAGCCCCAAGTCAACGAACACCCATTCCCCTAATTTGGTATCAATGAATAGAGTGCGAAGGCTCCCCGTTTGACCAGCGGCATTTTTTTCAACTTTTCCTGTCGCACTTTGAACACGTTGAATATTGTTCAATGCTTGCCGAGTTATGATAATCGAGCCGAGGAAGGTCTTCTCATCTGTTTCTGATCCCGGACGCGTGGCACAGAGGCTTCTACTTGCTTCATCGTATCTCCATTCAAGGAAGCATACACGAATGCTCTTATCGTCGGCATTTCTCTTATTAACAGTCTCGGCCAGCCACGATAGCACGTCAATACTTTCTGGTCAGCTTATGTTGAATCAAGGGTGATGTATTCCACTCATGTCGCCTGGTTCGGTGCCGCTATTTCCCAGCCTTGCCTTACAAACTTTGCCCCTGCTGCGTTTGATGGATTCATGGAGTGATGGAGTGATGGAGTGATGTAGTGATAGAGAGATTGATTCAAGTGTAGAAGATGATGTCCATTTCCTCTCAGGAAATCTTCTGCCTTTATACTTTGTTTCACGGGCAGTGTCCCGCAACACTATTTCCTGAGTCATTCGTGACATTACTCATAAGTTGCAGAGAGATTGTATCGATTTCAATCGCCTCGATCCTTCAATAACTCTATAGCATGGCACGACTCATATGAAAATCATAGTTGTCGTGAGTCAGGTCAGTGCCAACAAAGTGACCGTGCAGACTTTATTTACTATCGTCAAACGGGCGGGAGATTATATTAAACCGTGGGGTATGTGATCTAACGAACCACTCAGAATTTATTGTATGGGTTTCAGTACGTGTTGAGCATGCGCACAATGTGGTAGTGGCGAAGAAATCAACGAAAAGACTCGATCTTTATCATGAGTACCTAGATAGGCAAGAACGTGTCGCTTTTATTATGAGCAGAGGTAAGTATCAGGACCAGTGTATTGATATATAGGCCTATGACCCCAGTGAGTAATTTGGGGGACTCCAGTGGAAAATTCGGCTGACTCTCTTGAACCGTGATTGACTCGAATGAATCACTATTGACTTTGGAAAATTGATAATATACACCAACAGATGACCATTAGCTCTAGGTACCAATAATGCGCGCTCACGTCTCCTTTAAGAGGAGGCAATGGAGACAAAGGTTGCCACATTCTCGGCGATGAGCTTTCTCATGGCCTGTTTAGTACTCTGTTCATGTAAATCTCCCTGTTCTGGCCAGGTGTCCCTGGTGATTTCACCACGTTCCAGTGTGAGACGACCGAGCACCCATTTCTTCGAGGAGCTATCGATGTGTAAATAGCGCAAACTTCCCGTCATACCAACAGCATAGTCCTGGATTATTTTTTTCAAAGCCTTGTGACTTTTATCATTTTGCAGAATACTTGGAGATGTTCTGATTTCGCCGACGAAAATCCCGTTCGAATCTGTTCCTCCTTGACGGAAGCACAAGACGATATTACACGAATAGCTATTTCTGTTTGCTTTGTCCGTCCACAAATTAAGGCTTTGGTCATCAGCCGTTTTCTCCTCCAATACTTCGATTAGCCATGCCCACAAGGTTTCACTCTCTGGTCAGTTGACGTTCTGTGGAGAATGGTGCCATGTACTTACTTTTCGAATTTTGTCGCCATGTTTGATTGAATGGTTGAATGGTTGAGTGATTGAGTGATTGAGTGATTGAGTGATTGATCGAAATATGGAAGATGATGTCCATTCTTCTCTTGAGGAGTGCCTTGCCTTTATGCTTCTTCTTACGAACAGTGCCCTACAGAATCATTACCTGAGTCGTGTATCAGAAGACCTAAGAGTCACGGAATAATAGTGTCATACTCGATCGCTTTGAATGTTTAAGAGTCTCAAGGTATAGTATAGCACGGCTCATATCGAAATTATTGCTAACGTGAGTCAGGCCAGTGCCGAAAAAGTGACAATGGAGACATCATTTCGTGTCATCAAGGCTGATTCATCGGGTATGTGATTTAATGAACTTCTTAGATTTGGTTGTACATATGGGGTAGACTATGTGGTAGCCAGACGCACAATGTGGCTGAAATAAAGGAAACACAGATGACGGAAAACTCAATATTTATCATGAGTACCTAGGTAAACAGGAACAATTACATTTGGCTATGAGAAGAAGTGAATTTTGGAGTAATGTACAGAGATCCACAGAGGGATGACTCCGATGAGCCAATTTAGTTGACTCCAGTGGACAACTGACTCGATTGCGTCGAAGATGGTAATGAATCACGATTGACTCTAGTACAACTTGACTGATTCTGGGGAGTGGATGGTTGGTTGACTCCAATAGATAATAGGTGACTTCAACGAACAATGACGACGCACCTTGCCCCTTCTATTCTGTGATCAAAAAACACTCAAATCGCTAGTCAGAATATTGTCTTCAAACCGGACGGCAAAGACTCTAGTGAAATTTCGAACCGTGTCTCGTTCTTGTAGAAATGAACTGCCCGAACAAAAGAAATAGCGAGCGTGTTTTCTATCGAGACATGTGGGCGGACAGTTAAATTTGACTTCAAATAATGGAATTCATATGGATGAACGCCGACATAAACATATGATAGTGCCATGTTCGTCCTCAAGATCGTTTCCTAGCATCTCATTATAGACCTCTTTATATAGGACTTTCGAGGTGAGTATTGCTATGGACACTGAGCAACTTTGAAGTGATTGCCCGAATTCGAAGACAGATTGGGGCATTGAAAGTGGGCTCATCTTGGTAAAATTCATACATATCTGATTGAGCCACATCTATATCTAAATCCAATGGCGTATGTTTCCCTCCTAGCTATCAAATAGTTTAGCCCTGAACTTCTTGACACGTAGTAAAGACATGCTAGTATCAGAGATTGCACATCATTAAACTATTTCTCGACTTGGCGAACAGTGTTGTAGGGTAAAATATGATTGCAAGAAAATAGTTTCGGGGATTCTGTTCAGTTTCCAATTATCTTTTTTCACCCTCGTGAACAAAACTCTCCACACTATATCTTTATGCCATAACTAGAATTGGAGAACAGTGGCATAGTATTTGTCGAAATGAGTTAGAAAGATTTCGTCCCACAAAAAGAAAGCATTCAAGTAGATTAAATTGTACTAAAAGAAAGCAGATTGAACAGTATGTATACTGGCTTAATGTATCTGCTACACCTAACTGTAGTAGCAGCTTAATTAGTATATTAATATCAATTTACAAGAATTTTCTCCCTATACAAATAGTCGAAGATTATTTGATGAAGAAAAGAGAACGATCCTGGGTGGCAGTGATTACTTGCGCCGTGAACACTGCTTAAAGATACAAAGTGTTTTTTGCATCTTAATCTTTTGAATAGCTCTTGCGGCTGACCCTTGAGGAAATGGTCATCCGGCGCATCCAACACCAGCGTAGGTGTGACAATATCCTCCACGATCCCATTCAAGTTGTACTTTCCAACCTCTCTGAAGAGCTCCGCCGCGGAAGAAAGTCCAAACGTCCATTTACCATTGAGGAGTCCCCATCGCATTCCAGTATCAAATTTCGAAGCCATCTTGAGGAGGAACCCGACCAGTTTGTCCCATTTATTCCTTATCAAATACTGGATAGCGGATGGCACAGAAGCACTGAAGGCACTGCCAAAGTCAAAGACGCCGTCATCTAGAATGACAGCAGCGAAGCGATGCTCACTCGTGGTGGCACGGGCCGCGAGATATCCCCCCATACTCCAACCGAAGAGTACCAGCTTCTTCTCATCGAACTCAGGTCGAGTGAGCGCGAAGTCAACCACCGGAGTCAATACATTTTCCCAGTCGTGTCGGAAGAATAGATGTTGCTCCCGTAGTGCGCGGCCTTGACCGGGTCCGTCGAAAGCCAATATATTGCAGCCGCGGCGTAATGCTGGAGCAGCAATGGCGAACCAAGACTCTTCCCCAACAGAGTCAAAGCCACCATTGAAAATTATTGTAGGTCGTGGAGTGGAATTGGCGTCGCACCGTAAGATAAAGCCGGGAAGCGTAGTGTCTTGGTATGGGATTTTGATCTCTTCGAAGGGATAACCCGTCAACTTCATGGCCGACAAGAATGCTCCGTTACACAACTTGACGAGGTCCTTCGAAATTTCGTCATCAAAGGGTGCCGTACGCCGATAGAAGTCAGCAGTTCGATAGTAGTTGGAAGCTCTTAGAAATGCTTCTTCCGCACTTCGGATATTACCCAATGCCAAACTGTCTCGCCCGAGCTTCATCGCAAAGTCAGCTGCCTCCTTCCATTCTGCCATCCAACTCTCTTCATCGCCGGATCGGATCCGGGAGCAGATAGCAATAACACCTGCGATGTCCGCACCGCCATAATTGCTATAACCCACAGCTCTCAGGGCTTCGTACCCAAAGGACGCATTGCTTGGATAGAAATGCTTCAATATGCCAGCCATCACAAAACTGGTAACGCTCAATGTGCCGAATCCTCTGAATGGCCTTCTTGAGCACAGGGCTTTAAATACGCGAACGCATGTCCTTAGTCCACCCCGCGCGTGTTCGGCTCCGAGCTATGTAACGAGGCATCTGGAGATAGATACAAGAAACAATCTGTAATCTCCATGCCCCTTCGGATCCGAGCTATTTACCGAAGTCGTCAACGGAATCAGCTTTTCATGCCGCTCTTTAGAAGCTTTAGTTCCGCTCTAGGCATTGGTGAATTGGGGGGTAGAAGGAGCCCGAACCGATTCGGAACAAGGGTCCGAAGCCACCAATCAGAACGTGAGTTGGGAACCGAATGGTGGTCAATTCGGAGTTTGGCGGATTGGTACAGGGGAATGGTATCAAATTTCTTTTGGGGGAAGAACAATAATTAGTCCATATGCACGTGTCTCCCAATGCTGGAGGTAAACTGTTGGGCTGTCCGGTTCCTGGCTTGAAACTCCTGTATTCCTCCCGAATGAGGTAGTGTTTCAGTAAGAAGTCGTCGATAAAAGGAAACAAAGCCGTGGAGAAATTTGTCAGATTCTTCTGCCACCTGGATTTGCCCATGGAAATGAAGAATCAACAGAACGTGACTATGCTTTATCAACCCGATCTGAAGTGAAATGTTTGGGGAGACAGGGTATCTCGTACCATGAGCCATGCGTGTAGTTCGCCATTCTCCCGGAGTTCTCCGCGCGCTACGCATCCTCACCCTTTTATCTGGCAGCAGCACCATTGCCCGTTCTCTACTTGGCACCTCTGCACGCATATGGCCACTAACCTGCACTCAGCACTACACGAAGACATTATTCCGTCTCCGACCAAAGAGACGAGGAGAAAGGTGGTCATGAGCTCATCACTTGCAAAGTCAACCGGTCCGAATAATCAAAGCCCATTGGCTGGCTCAGATCAGGCAAAGTCCAAGACGGCATGTCAGAGATGTAGAGACCAGAAGGTGACCAAGATATCTTGCCTTTTCCCAGTCGAACAGTCCGCGCGGCTAACTATCGCTGGAGCTCAAATGTAGCCGCGATTACCCGATCTGCTTCAGGTGCAAGAGACTGAACGGACTATGCTCATATCCAAAGTTAGCCAGTCGCAGACGATTCAGACCCATTCCAAGGGTTAGAGGGGATGAAGGCGGATTGGCCTCTGCTTGTGGTCCGGAAGCTTATGATGTAGTGGCCGGGCCGACTCCGCAATCAGAACAGTACCACTCTAACAATCTCGACGAAAACCGGACTGTTCCTAGCTATACCCAGGCCGCCATCTCGACCTTTCCAGTTGGCTCATCCACAGAAGATGGAACCTCAAGTCCGCATTTCGCCTTGGATAAAGGCGGACAGGATGCGTCTCCTCTCTCCACACTCTCCCCTGATGTAAGCTCATCCCATTCCCTTATTACGGGTATGAGCTTGCCCAAAGATGCCAACTAAATCCTGTAGACGTACCATCACTATCTACGAAATGTAGACCTTCGGAATGTTGTTTTAAATCCTCTTGGAAGCAACAGCGACCCGCCACCTGCAGCAGCCAGTTTGCCTCCACTCGCGGCTGGGCTAGTCCTTCTCGAAATATATTTTTCAAGGATATATAATGCTCCTCTTCTGTTTGTCAAGTCGGCGCTTTTTCAAGATTACATTGAGGGGTGTGTTCCGGATGTTCTTCTCAAGTCAATTTTTGCGTTGGCTTCCTTGTAAGATTGCGTTGTCGCCAGCACGATAACGTCCTAACTAACTTTGTCATTAGATTCTTGGTACGACAAGCAGATAGGCACCAGAATAGCAGACTGTCGTTCAGCGAGCTGAATGCAGTGGGCGTATTCCATACGCAAGGCAGGCCGTGGGCAGAATCCGCCATGCAGGACGCAATGTCGTCAATCATGGTGAAGCCATCTTTGGCTATTGTCCAAACCCTTGAATGTTTGGTAATATACTGGTTCGGTGTTGGAGAATCAGATAGAGGTGATTTGTGTCTAAGTGAGTCGCTTCCGACCGAATGATGGCTGCTCCACGCGGAAGCTGACCCATAAAAAGGCCTTGCCTATCGATACTGTCGCCTGTCTAGATATTATGAACCAGCTCCACCTTCAGGGCACGATTCTGAAGCATGCTTGCAATCTGAGCTCAAGCGCCGTTGCCTGTGGGCATGCTGGGCCTCATTATGCATAGTCGTCGAGCCAAAGCCATATATCAAGGCTGCTTGGTCAGAGGTCGCCAACTTACCGCTTCCAGGATCCATCATTTCCACTAGCGGTAGGCTGAAGATCGTCCTGTGCGAGAAGATGGACGAGAATTGGGGCTCTACTACCATTGGCGACGAAATCGCCAATCAGGATCAGGGGCTCTTGATAGTCCTTGGACTGATGAAAATGATTGGGGTTTGGTAGGCAGCCCGAAGATAATCTTGTTTCCAAATGCTTACAGATTCAAACCAGGGCCAAAATTCAACTCTACGCTAGCGAACTTTCCGCCGATAAGTCTAGGAGGAGTCTGCCGCATGCACAACATCTGTCAGAACTTGCGTCATCAATATATCACAGCCTAGACTTCGGACATCTATCTTCTGAAGACAATCCGTCCCTTGTCAAATTTAGGAACCAAGCCATCCTGGTTGAGTGTCTCTATTATCTCTGTCAAATGGTTCTACATTCCACAAATGTGTTTCTATTTTCCGGCTGCCCTGCCGATTCTTCCATATCGGACGACGTGGTGCAGGCCAGCGCCACTGTTGTAGTGCACAATGCAGATCTTTCCGGCCAGTTTTTTGAACGGCTTTGGGCTCAAGGCTCAGACGTTACGAGGCTTTGTCCGCTGGCTGGTTATGCAGCATTTGTCACCGCTGTCATGCTTATGATTTCGGAGACCTGGTGCCAGCAGCAAAATCGGCCTCTGATAACCTCTAGCCCGGAGAAAAGGAGGAATAGAATGGCAGCGATGAAAGCGATCTTGAAGACCTTGGATATTTTGCGTGGCTTTTGGCAAGCCCTACAGCGGCCTGTGAGTGAAATGCCCCCCCTGTCCGAGGTGATCCAGCTACCTTCAAGACTGACTGAAACATGGAATTTATAGTGGGAAACTTTGAATGTAGCAATGCAAATGTTCCACACCCATGAGGAAGCATACCGTTCCAGACGGATCAACTCGCAGCAGCTCCTTAGTCGCAGAGAATTCGAGCAAGGTGGTCCTAATAGCGACAATTACGACCAACTCCTAATCCTTCCCAATTCGAGGACACCATCGGGTCCAACATCCTCTCCGCAGTTCCATCCAGGGGACGAATTGGATGGCTGCACCTCCTACGATGGTTGCCATCAGCGTAATACAAGCGGAAAAGCTGCTGAGAATATCCTCACAGATCAGCTCGGCATTGACGATGCATGGTGGGATCTATCACTGCTCACTGGTTTCCAGGATGGCAATTATAACCTCGGCGCTTAAAAATATGTAAGACCATTTTGAAGTGCTTTTGCGGCTTTGAACAAACAAAAGGGTATACTTGTGAGGAATCACAGACCCCTTTTCGATGTGTATAGTAGTATTTCTGTTACTCGTCTTCTTTGACCGCCTCGAGCAGCTCTGTCTACCCGACCACTACTGCCATGTCCGATATCAGCAACTCTTTCTCAAACCGATGTCCACCATTGTATTGTCGCTATGTTGAGCGATCAGTTCATGAAGATATGTATACGCAGCCAGCATCAGAGACTAGCTTGCAAATCATCCGGGAATATCTCCGAAGTAATTCCAAATACACAAAATGGATGACTTCATTGCAGCCTGGTCCGGCCGGAACGAACCACTCATCTATCATCCGAACAAGCTGCAACCCCAAAACTACTGGTAATTCGACTCAAAACAACCTCCTATGCCATTTTCAATTAATCTCGACATCGGAAGTTCTGAAGGAACATGCTGTTAAGATCTTTGGGAACATTATAATTCAGCTGGGGTCTAGAGAGTAGATAATAAACAATCCTTTCTCCACTGATGGTTTGTGAGCGAGTGAACGAGCTTTTGATGATCCCGCTGATCCAGCTCTCAAATACCGCCATTTGATTGCTGCTCTTGTATTTGAGATTTGATCAGTTAGGCGTAGTTCAAAGACTCACTCGATTCTCAATCTTTTGTGCTATGTCAAGGGATCCTCGTTCGTTCTCTGCTGAACCGTTGCCCCTATGAACCGAACCGCACCCGCAAATTGATTAGCGCGAGTTGATCGGACATCTCTACTTCAATTACTACGCCCCAGGCTCTAGAGGCCATGATTGCAAGGAGTGACAAATTCCCCGCTATCCCCACTCTCTGTCAGTTCATAACCCATCACATGGCTCGAAGATGATAGAACAGCAATGGCCTGTCCAAACCCGGACCATGCAAGTGTTCTAAACGCTCAGGCCGAACCCGTCTCGAGCTTAGCAGCCGAATCTCCGAGTCACCGAATCGCCGAAGCCGCGGATCAGTCCAAGCGAGGAATGAAGTATAATTATGACGACGACATTTACAGGAATAAGGGTAGAAAGTGATGATTTGCCGTTGCTGAAGCCTACCCCAGCTCAACAAGTGGGGTTGTCGTATCAGCAGGCTCCAGGTAATTTCACAGGCCTCAATAGAGTTATGCTCTTTGATGTCCGTTGATCTTGTTGGACTGCAATATTTCAGCTTCTGAGTGAGCTTGATGTCGATTCATGTTACACCTTCAATGTTAAAATATTTCAACAAAATAATGTAGTATTTCAAACACTACGTGTATGGAAGACATGCACGTCTGTACGCTACGTGTATCGTTCAAAACAGCTACGAGGGACAGTAATCTTTAAGAAGGCGGCCTGGCTAGATAGTGGTTACCTTCCTCTACTGCTTCTATCGAGCCTTTGTGTAGGGCCGTCAGGCCGCGATGCTGTGGCCACGCCGTGCTGCCATACGTGTGGCTAACACCCTCGTTTGCCCACCCACTTTATGACCGTTACTAACTGTACCGTGACGTCGACTTAGCTTTTCCTGTAGAGTAATGGTGGAAGAGAACAGGAATGACATCTTCTGATCTGCCAGTCTCTTCGATGTTGTGGCGTATCCAGTTCTCAGCTGTTGATTTCGAGTATATAAAAGGAACAATGAGCCAGTTCAGAATTATACCTAAGATAGGTATGTCCGATCCAACCACATTTTCCGTATAGAAGCGAGATCCTCCCGGTACTTGAGAATAGTAGTGGATAACTCGACAAACAGATAAGCCATATCTTTTGACGGTGAACGTAAACTCCTCGGAGTCCAGACGATCAGTCGTGACTACGACGTCGATGACTTCGTGGAAGTCATTGAATTGCTCGGTAATCTTGGTAGTTGCCCCTTTCCTAAAACCGTTCCCGGTTCCCTCGGTGGGGATGACGGAGACGTGGTCGCGATGATGCCACAAGTGATAGAAGGAAATTTCGGGACCCTCAAACTCTTTGCCGTCCCCATCGCGTTTTGCGGCCGAGATTCTCAAACCACCATTGGATCATTTCTGGTGAACAGTGGCGGACCGTGTCGTGCTCAATGCGAACGTGTAGTTTGCCAGACCATTTTCGCTCCACGTCTACCCATTTAGCAGAGGATACTGGCTTGAAGCCCAGGGTGCCAGCACGTTCCAGCGCGCTTCGAGCTGCGAGACGAGCTTCTCGGAGCGCTTGACTGACGACCATTGCAGAATTAATACGTGAAATAGGACAAGGTGAACGAAGCAAGAGGGCTTCAAGACAGTGATATTAGTTGTTATGTAAAGACGATGAACTCGGTCGTGTACATGCGTAGATTCTGTCTTATGTATTCTGATTTCAAACGCAGGGGCCGAGGCCCAGAAGCCATCAGCCATGGTTGACAGCAAGTCCTCACATCTAACAATCGGGTTCCATGAGATTCGGAGTTTCTCCTTCACTCAGCTTCTGGTAATGCCTCTAGGGTAGTAAATCTTCCAAAGGCTCGCTAGACTTAGGGCTTTTGCATTCATAGTAATGAAAAAACACATTCCCTCTTCATTTTATAGAACATAGCCCTGTTTATTGTATTTTAGAATCTATGAGGATAGAAAAGACACTGTCAACAGTTAATTACTAGGTAATGAGGTATTTTGGCTCATAGTTACGCTCATAATAAAAATAAATAAAAACAAAGGCCTCCATATAAAAAGCCATCTTCACTAGTTAGTATAGGTTGATTAGTAGCCCTTATGGTAACTATTTGGAAAGAGCGAATCCCCGAGGACCAATGCTATGTAGAACAATTAAGGATTTGCTCTCCGGTACAGAGGTTACACAAGGGTTTGAAGCATGTAAGGTAGTCGGCTCCGGGGCGTAGTTGATCCGAATGGGCTAGAGCACCCTGTTTCGGTGACGTTCCGAGGTTTTCCGACCGAGGTTCTTGTCATATCGAGTTCAACCCGTTACAAGAACAGACATGACTCGGACGGTGATTTGTCTTGTTGAGGACCTAGAGTGTACAAAACGCAAGGCGTCATGTATTACTGTTGTGCAAGCCACTATTTATGTATTTACTTAGGTTGGGCTGTGTATAGCTGCCTGGTGAATTATGTATGTGTGCCTGGGTACCTATGTACCTCGTCTGTCTGCATGTACAACACAACAGTGGACACCGATGGCGGCGAGTGGAGAAGACGCAAAGAGAGTGTGATGAGTTGTATTGTGGGGAAGTGGAACAGTGGGACCGTCTAAACAGTGCAAAGATGGGATTGTAGACATGTGAATTGAAGTTGATTCGGTGGTGTCACTGGTGTTGCGGTGATGAAATGGATGAGTTGTCTTGTCGTCTTGTCGGCGTGCGATGTCGGGCTCCGCCACACGCACAGACTGAGGCCATGTTGGTGGTGTGCGCTTGGTGGTCACTTTTGACCAATCATGTTGCATTGAAGATTTGCAAAACTCCCTGATCTAGTTAGATTCAGGGTTCGACTCACACCATCCCGTATGACTCCCATCCCATCTTTTCTTCATGATCGTATTGCCTAGAGTGCGTGAGTGCCTATTGTATGTACACATTATGCACTAGGTGGTTTTACGAGGATTAAACTGTGCTATGCTATGGCTGTGGTCCGTGTGGGTATAGTCACTATAGCCATAGAATCGTCTCGTCATCGTCACCTGCTTCCCAAATGAGTCACCAAAACCCTTTTCCATCTTATGACTCTCGATATCCGGTTATTGTGGCGGTTACTAGGTAGCCACAGTTCCTAGGAACCATGAAGATCGTTCAACATATAAGGCCCTACACCTCTCTCTCATCTCTCCCTCGCGATCTCTCTCCACCTGTCTTCGCTATCCGCGGCGGCTCGTCGCCACACCATACCATACTCTTAAAACCATATCCCAAACCCTAAGGCACCTTTTCCGGACCACATATCTATCCGCCATGAGCAAACGTCACAATCGCAAGCGAACCAGAAGCCGGCCTCGTAACCGTGATCCCGGCCATAATCGCTCTTTACATCTTCAAACCCCTTCCATCGACAACTACCATTTGACTTCAGTTGTTCCAGCCACGCCCGCACCCTTCCCTTCGATGAACTTGGGAGCACCGGAAGTCGCTTGGAAGCAAATCAACCATCTACAAAACCAACAGCGCATCCTTCAATTCCAGCAGAAACGGGACAGGGACATGGAAACCCAGCGACTTCGCTTCTTTGGAGGCTACATCGATGATGAAGTTAGTCTGTTCGAGCCGATGTTGAAGGTCGTTACCGATCTTTTCGACGGGAACACCGACTACGAGGATCCCTGATCGACTCTGCTTCTTCTGCTCTCCTCTCTCTCTACCCCAACCCTCTCCTCTCGTCCTGTTCTCCTGCTTCCCAGGATGGCATCCCACGGGAAGCCAAATGTTTCTCTCATCTCTTTTAGCACCAGGTGATACATTTTGGCTTAGGCTTCTCATGCCTTCATCAATAATACCAGACCCAGCTTTAGCTGGTCACCACCAATCCGTGCAAATCTAGATGACAGAAATCCATCCCCATAGCTCAGACCCTAGTAGTCTCACTACAGCTATACATACATACACACAAAGGCTCAAGGACGTCGATAACAAACGCTCCTACCACCGTGCCAGAGGCGTGGGACACATCAGCCGGCGAGGACTCGCAACAGTGAACGACACCCTCACCCAGCTCGGCCGGGTTGGCTCTCCACGAGGGTGTCCGATCGGTCCAGTAAAGCCCTGCCCTAGGACTCTCGGTGACGCGTGTCTGCGGAGGAATAAATGGTCAGACTGCCCTAACTACCGTGTACTGAATGACAGCTAGATGCACGCCTTGGAGATGCGAAGGATCGACGGACGATTAGTTCGCGTGACACGCTACTCCCTGGCTTGAGCGTCGCTGCCTACGCGGTACGATGGGAAAGACATGTGTCGTTCGGTGGGAGGAGTCATCGCGTCCGGGGTTCAGCACTATATATACTACTACCTACATGCTGTGTCGACGGGCGGTCTTACGCCGCAATTTCCGGAAGGGCTGTCTTTGTATTTTGTTTTTTACTATTATACCCCCTTCTACTTTAGGTAGACGTTCTGTTTTGAATTGGATTCATTTCATACCGCGCCACTTCAACTTGCAATGACTGACGTGTCGATGTTACCTGTTCGTGCTTCGATGCCTAGGGGCACAGTGACATACGTTATCTGATGAATTTGCATTATGACCGCGCGCGGCAAGTAACAATGAACATGTTTCGTGAATGTATAGATCCCTGCGTCTTGGGGTGTTACGGGACAAAAACAGGCAGACATTCTCTTTCTTATTAGAGAAAATGTGGACTAACTTTCAGCAGACCTCTGTCGCTACAGCGTCCTTTTTGACATCTAGTCTTCTAGAAAGATTCTATTTAACCCTGCAGCCATCTCTAGAGTGTACAGAGATTGAATCTCGTCTTGGGGCTGGTATCATACAGAGAGTTGTTATACGTAGTATCTACCGCTACTCTATCTTTTCATGTTGTAATGCAGTTTTGTAGTGCCAAAGGCATCTTGAGGTGCTGGGATGCTGTGCACCGAGTGCTTTTACCCGCCCTTCGTATGCTCGCTGGTACAATTCAACAGCAGCAGGGAACAGTTGCTTTCGATGGAAGAGTATTGCTGAATTATGTACGGTGGCGAGCGTGTCGGGATGCTCTCGCCCAAGCACCTTCTCTCTCCCTTGTAGCGCCTGTCGATATATTGCTTCTGCCTCTTCATACTTTCCCTGCTTATTTAGTAATACACCAAGGTTGTTCAAACTAAGAAGCGTGTCGGGATGCTCTCGCCCAAGCACCTTCTCTCTCCCTTGTAGCGCCTGTCGATATATTGCTTCTGCCTCTTCATACTTTCCCTGATTAGTTAGCACCGTCCCAAGGTTGTCGATGCACCTGAGCGTGTCGGGATTCTCTTGCCCAAGCACCTTCATTCTTCCCTCAAGCGCCTGTTGATGCATTGCTTCTGCTTCTTTGTACTTTCCCTGCTTTGATAGTGTTACCCCAAGATAGCTCATACTATCAAACGTATTAAGTTGCTCTCGCCCGATCAGCTTTTCCTTTTCTTCCAGCACCTGCCGATGCATGGCTTCTGCTTCTTCGTGCTTTCCCTGCTTCTGGAGCACCCACCCAAGGCTGCCCATGTTGTGAAGCGTATCGGGGCGACCTTGCCCATGCACCTTATGTCCTTCTAGCGCCTGTCGATATATTGCTTCTGCTTCTTCGAATTTTCCCTGCTTTGAAAGCACCGTCCCGAGGCCGTTAATGCTGCGAAGCGTATCAGGATGATCTCGCCCTAACACCCTTTCCCGTCCTTGCAGTGCCTGTCGATGCATTGCTTCTGCTGCTTCGTACTTTCCCTGCCAAAAAAGAACATCCCCAAAGCTGAGAATGCTGGTGAGCGTATCGGGATGCTCTCGCCCAAGAGCCGCAGCCCTAGCGTCTAATGACATCTGAAGAAGACCCTCTGCTGCCGTATACTCTCCCCTCAGAAGCAGATACCACCCCGCCCTTGAAGCGCTTCTCGCTTGCCCCACTAAACCTTCGCTATCTTCTGGCTTATGGTCCAACACCTCTTTTAGATGCGGCAGCAGCACTTTGCACTGCTCCCAATTCTGATAGTCCTCGCTCGGAAATGCCGCGCTTATAGCCAGGATCGAGTTCTTTACCCATCGGTGAAGTTCCTTCTCCGCTTCTAGCCATCTCCTCATCGACAGCTGCACTAACCGGTGCATTGTGAATGCCTGGGTACCGACTTCTGCCCTAACTAAAGAGAAGCTCAGCAAAGGTGCCAGAGCGTCATTGAATTCCAGCTGGCGGGTGAAGTACTGCTGTAACAACGAGTACGGGATCCCCTGCTTGTCAAACATACTCATCAGGGCAAGAAGGTCTGCAGCTGACCGCTCCATCTTCTGAATGTACTCGAACGAGATCTGCAATGTCGTAATCACGGCATCCCGGCTGCTGTGGTCTCGTCGAATATCCTTCAACTCCTTCCTGCTAAGCAGGTGCACCTTGCTAGCCTCGCTCTCGCGAAACAGCTCGAGGTAGGTGGAGATGGTCATTGTAGATGCGCGTGTCTTAATGTAGGCCGCAGCGTGTGTGATGGCAAGAGGTATACACTCGAGCGCGTCAACAAGCTCTTTGGCGTCTGGTTGACTAGACTCGTCTAACGGCACTCGTGTTTTAAGCAGTTCCAGTGCCTCGTCTTCTCCCATAGGCTCAACCTGGACAACGTCGCCGTGTCCGCCAACAAGATTGGTGGCCGCCATGCTGTTTCTTGATGTGATCAGAATTGTCCCGTGCGCTGTCTGTGGAAGGAAGCTCTCGAGTGGCCTACTATTGCCTGCCGATGTGCCTGTGCTGTCTTGGTGGTCACCAAAGAAGACCCCGTCATCGTCGACGTTGTCGAGTATCATCAGCCATGTCCCGTTCCGACGGTCTGACAGCCAGGCATGCACTAACTGCAAGACGTCTGCCTTTACGTCTTCCCGTCCAGGCAGCAGAAGCTTGTCGGCAAGATCTCTATATCCCTGCCGGAACCGGGTGGGATTGCTCGCATGTATCCAGACCACCAGGGCATGTGGATTTGCCTTCTGAAATCTGTATGCATACTCAATTGCAATCTGCGACTTTCTAGTCTCGGATCAATGCTACCGATCGCAGCAAACGCGTGGCAATAATGCTTACCCAACACCTCCAAGTCCAACCAAAGCCACGCGCGTGTGTGTTGGTGTGGCTACTTTGCGCTCGCTAATCTTCGTGATCGTGTCCTCTCGACCGACGAACGAGTCGTCCCTCGCAAAGGGCACTATGAACAGGGCATCACTCGCTAGTGGCAGGAATCCTCTGTAAGTGCTTGGTCTTGCTATGTTCTATAAGCAACAGACTTACGTACATATGGCATCGGTTGTATCCACCATAGCCGCAGGGGGTATCTGCTGGCGCTCCTGCCCCTGCCGCACGTAAGTCTTCAACACACCAAAGATAGCACGATAGCCTAGATCATCTCTGCTGCTGTATCTAACCATTTGTATGTGGTTCGCGTCAATGCTTTCGACTATCTCCAGCGCTAGTGGGAGATCGAGTTTGGACGAAAAGTCATCCACCACCTGCGGCTGTCAGCGTTGCCTTTTGACCTTACGGCACGCGACGTAAAGTTATATAGAACCACATACCTTCGCGCTTGCGCCCTTCATACCTGTGATGCCCTGTGCCTCCTGAAAAGAATGAATTTTCATAGTGCCACCAAACACAATAGTCTTAAACTCTTCGTGGATGTTATCCAAGACCTCGTCGTTGTGTTCAAGCCTCTTGATGATTTTCTTATTCGAATCTTGAAGGGCCAGGCTCGAAAGGTTGAAAATGACCTCGCCCCAGCCTGCGTACGCACTGCCCCGGTGTGGCGTCCCTAGGAATACGATAAGCTTTGTCTGGTTGCGGGCCAGCTCTGACCGGCGGATAGCCTGTAGTAGCATGTTAGCAGATTCGTTGTTATCTTGTGTATCACCAGGCCCTTACATCTTTCAGGACGATGCCACCCAGACTGTACGCTATAAACACGAGTGGTTTCTGCACTACTGTTAATCACAGTCCTTGAGTAACTTCTTGGATAGGGCGGTGTATACTCCGTTATCGATCTCCCGCTCAAGATGCACCGATAGATCCCGGCCATGCTGGGAGATGCTATTTTTGTTGTTGGCCTGGAAAAGATCTCCAATAACGTCTGCATTGTATCCGTATGTCCACACGCGGGCCTCTGGGATATCTACGGCGAGATATTCTTTAGGCCAGAAGACGGTAGGCAGCGGTCGCGACAACCCAACGCTAGAGGCGGGGCCTGCAGCTTTCCCTGTGTCTGTTGTGGAGGATCGATCTTTCCGTGATTTGAAGAAAGACCTAAGTCCTTTAGGCTTTTTCGTCTCGTCGCTGCTGCCGTGACTCGCACCCGCCGCCATTTCCCAGGTCCCTTGAGGGTGACCTAGGAGGCCATGAATGAATACGATGCTATACACTGTCAGCAACTCTCTAACTATATGTGCGATCGTGTGGCAGGCTTACTTTATGCAGAACTCCTCATCGCTCTGTGTACTAGGACTCAGCCTTGAGAAGCCGAGGCGATGAACCTTTGCCATGTTCACTGCAGGCCTAAATGCGCGTTATTGTCAGGACACTGCAACGATATTCGGCACTGGGAGGAGTGGAAGACACTTTTGCATCGAAGAGATCTTTTCATGAAGATCATCCCTTCAGCTGTGGCGGGGTGAGGTTGCAAGCCATCGGCCTCAGCCTTGCGCTCAGCAACTGCATTAGGAAGTAAGCATGCGTGGCACACTCTACCAGGTTCTCTTCACGCAAGGCTCGCTTGCAGTTTTGCTGGCTTACTACTGGTAGGATTTGGTACAACGGGATGGAAGTCCCAACGGACATGATAATCTAGCAACAGTCTCTGCGTATGGTAGAAAAGACTGTAGGCGAAGATAAACCTTGGTAGCAGACTAGATAGCGGTAAGAGCTTGATCTTGGCGTTGTAGCGAAGGAAGTCAGTTTGTGAGAGAGATACTCTTTCCGGATTAGGCAGTCGTGCCCCGACGTGACAGTATTTTGATGTTGTCTTTGAACAGAGTGCACTTCGATAGCAGCGGCGGGAGATTCATAGAGAACCCGAGCATATATCAATACGTCGGCGACGTCGTAGTGATTTCGTACAACCTTTACTAGAATCTACGCGGTAAAGAATAGTGTATCAGAGGTTCAGTAGCTATTGTTGAAATAGTTGATATCTAGAACTAGAAAACTATTTAGAGAGGTCGGAAGATGAAAGTGTCCCATGACACCATGCGTCACAGGATGTATGATTCTACCAGAAAAGTGTAGGTCCAAGTACTCCCTAAATAAAGATATAACTGGCTCAAAATATATACAAAGTAAGAAGGAACTACATATATACAACATCCCTAGCAAGATATATACACAAACACCCCCATTTCATAGACTCCAGGTACCACACGTAATCAGCTCAAACCCGCCACTCAGTAAACAGTCTTCAACACCTTGCCCCACCCGCCGTCACTCCCCTTGAACGGAACACCATCAGGTATGCATACCTCTCCTGACTCAGGCAGGGCGCCCGAATCAAGATATCTCTGCACGTAGTCCCTCGCGCACTTTGAAGGCGCGGTGATGGTACCATGGCCAACGCCGTTGACGATGAGGAGTGACGAGCCGGGGAACGAGGTGGTCATTTTCTGGGCGCCTTTGAGCGGGGATGTTGGGTCTATGGTGTTTGAGAGAAAGAGGATGGGAGAGGTTTTTATGGTGTCGTTGGCTGATGGGAGACCTTTGTCATTGTTGTTAGAGACTTGGTAGATGGGAATAGGGGGAATGTTTGAACATACCACTGAACTGCTGGCTCTTCGGCGATCTGATGTCCAAGTTTCTACAGTTCAATCCCACAGTCGCGCCCGCCCAGCTCTCGCCTAGGTAGAAGCTCTGCTCGACCATGTATTCCATCGACTCTGCGAACGCATCCATGCTGGAAAGATTCGTGCGGCCGTTGGCATCATTGCACGCGATGATCAACCTAGGCTCCTCCATATGATACTCCCGCGCAGGCGTCTCACCAGGACACTCCGTGGCGAGAGTCCCAAATCCCGAGTTCTTCGCCAGCGCACTTCCATTCCTCTTCTCAACTCCCAGCATGAGCTGCGCGAACGCTGGAAACCTCGTGATGGGCGCGAACGTCGCCTGTAGTACGAACGACTGGAGCGTCTTATACGTAGCAAGGGTGGGCATCTGCACAAAGTACGGGTCGACAACGACAATCGGATCCTCCTTGATACTCAGCAGCGCGTTCCTGAACCTCGTCTCAATAGCCTCCGGACTCTCCGCATGGAACGCGCAGCCCTCCTTCCCAGCCTCGTGGCAGAACTTGAAGAACGACCGCACAGCCGCGTCAGCGTCGTTTAGGTTCTCGCGAGACGCACCACTGTAGTAATCTTCCACGTCCATCGGCGCATCGAGGATCATCCTGCCCACGCGATCCGGATACAAAGATGCGAATGTGCTTCCGATTACCGTCCCGTAGCTGAGCCCGTAGAACCACAGTTTCGCGTCGTCAGCGCTGGCACCTCGACCCACGCTCCTAGATTCGATGAATCGGAGGAGGTCGGCGGAGACAGCAGGTGTGTTGGCATATTTTGCGTGAGTGTCGCGATTGGCTTTGCTACACCATTGGCTCCATCCACCGGCTAGTTCGTACGCTTCTGCGATCGAGGTGGTGGAGTTGGAGTCGATGGGGAGGCCGAGCGTGCGGCCAAAGACAAGCTGGGCGGCCTCGCTCGAGGGGAAACATGTCAGTGTTGGACCACTGTTGTTGACGCCACGGGGGTCGAAGCCGATGAGGTTGTACTCTGCGCCAAAGAGGTTTTCGAGCAGTGAGGCGCCTTTGAGAACGAAGTCTATGCCGGAGTTGCTGGGGCCGCCTGGGATGATAGTCAGTTTTGTCTTGAAGACATAGGGTAGGAGACGGTATGTTGATTGACTTGATTCCTTACCTGGGTTGATGAGAATGTCCTCTGCGGACTCGTTGAGAGATGCCTTCTTAATGAATGCAATGTTCGTCGTCCCGGCCTGTGAGTCTTCATAATCCAATGGGACCTGGCAATATCCCGTTAAGATGTATGCATGTTTTAAAAAAAGAGCCAATCGTTGTCGAAGAAATAGGAGGCATTGAAACACACCTCGAGGTTCGCACACATGAAATTAACGTAACATGGTGTCCAAGAGAGATTTGCGGACGGCTTGATCTGAATCATGCGTTAACATACATCAAATGAACAATCCAACTTCCGTGAGTTGTTCTCACATACCTCTTCAAAACTGTAAACGACAGATTCGTTCCCGCTGCTAGCAGCAATGGCCACAGATACTATGGACAAGAGACCCGCTCCGATCCCAATGATTGTCGTTGATCTGAACATCATTACAGTCGCAATTCAGCCACAAAGAAAGACAAAAAAAATCAAAGAAATAAGTGAGCGAACAAAAAGGAACAAAGCCCGCGAACAAGCCTATCTACAAAGCAGCACCTTTCATTCCCATCTTATTATTGTTGCTTTGACCGGTGCCAATAATGCATGCGCCCACGAGATGGTTTCCCCATCTATGTACATTCCCGAGTCAAGACCTGTCGATGCATAGTGCAGGAAGGTACAGGTTGTTTTCACTGTGCTGGCGAGGGTGTTCGTGGTTGGTTGAAGTCCGTCTCATGTCAGACAGAGCATAGCGAGTGGTGGACGTCGTCCCTTGACACTCGACGAGTGCAAGTATGTCTGTCCTACCTATGTTCCCATTGCTGACAACATTGAATGTGTGACTTCGCGGTACCTTGCATAAGTGTCTAGCGGAAGATCTCACTCGTTGTATTGAGATTAATTGGCAGTGTTGGGGGTATTGAAGGCAGGGAGATGTTTCGGGATTGTAGTCATTGGCTTGGTCGCCGCTCGCTTATTCTCGAGGCGGGGGATTTGTGTGGCCGTACGTTACCCACCCCCACAACTAGGTATGTTCCCCGTAAGTGTTATTTCCGGAATAGTTAGGATTCTGAAAGTGGTAGGACGCCTAATGTTGGGCGCGTGGTGGAAGGGTGCAGAGGGTGAAGTGGATCTCGTATTTATATGGGCAGAATATGGTTTGGGGTTCCGAAGGGAATTTATGTCTATTGTTGCGCTTCGAGCACCTTCTGGGTTATTGAATTAGTACTTTTTAATATAAATCTCGTATGAGGAGGAAAAGGCATGAATGGTGACATTCTGGACATCATAGCTATGAAAGATACAAGTAGAGTGCTGGCGCCAAAACCGTACAATGTGATACCAAAAGCATTCTCGGTGTAACTACGAACCCACGACGCAAACCATCGAATCCAAACTCTCCAGTCCATTCGTATGATATGCTCCCTTCACATCTGCCTCAACCTGACCGTAGCAATCGCAGCCCCCGCGACATGAACATTGAAGATGACTATATCCGCCTGTTCAGTGACCATATATTCGACCGCCATTATGAACATATTGTGCACTACCTGCGGACCTATCTCCTCTATCAACGCGACAGCAGGATATCGTATGTTTCTCGCAAACAGGCCGTTGACTTCAATTTCGTACACCAGACCCGACGGTCCTTCAATCCAGGCATGGTAGTCTTCCTGTAAGTCATGGTGAGTCTCGTCCCAGTACGTCTGTACCACCGTTCTCATATCTCCATTCACTCCATTCGGGTTGACGTTGTTTGCGCCGTCGTGTTGTAGATTTCCGATAGTCGCGACTTGTCCTCCAAGGTATCGATCACCTGCACGGTATTGCGCCATGTAGAACGTCGCTCCGTTCTCGAGATCATACGCCGGCCCGCATCTCTGTCGCTTCTCGAATTTTTCAGTGACGCCAGCCGTCGTCGTTACGTTCGCCTCTACGTCGTCTAGAAGCGAACGCTTGCCTCTGATAGGGAAGCTACCGGTGCAGCTCGTCCTGTATGATCGCATGCCACCGGGCCAGCCCAGACAGTTGCATTTCCCGGCCGTGGTGTCGACTGTGTGCACCAGCGACTTGCAGTTGTTGTCCGAGTAGAAGGAGAACGTGCATGCTGGGGCGATGTTGTCGTTTGACAGCACGGCCCCTTGGAACGTCTGGATGCAGCCGGTGTTCTGGCTGGCAGAGCCGCAATCTACATCACCATACGCCTCACCCACCGCCCCAACAACGTCCCGAGCCCTGCATAACAGACCGCCGCCACCAACCCGCCCTCGCTAACGCACTCCCACCCCTGCACCTCTTACCCCATCAAGTCACTATCTGGAGAAAAAACTCCCACCCACATCGTCAGCATCGCAGCTTCCAACACCCAATCTTCATATTCCTGCAGTGCGTGAGGCATCTCGGCCGCATCCGCACGCGGAACCCTGGGAATCGTGAGCTTCGATGTGCTTAGCGACGTCTTGGAGGCTCTTGAGTCGTACGGCGATGCTGGTCGTGCGTCGGGAACACGAGGGAGCTGAGGATATGAGGCGGTGGAGTGGTGTGGTGATATATGTTGAGGGGATGGCGAGGGACGAGTGTATGCGTTCTGCGGTGAGTTGGTTGGATGTGAATGCTCATTGCATGCCTATGTTGGAGGCCATGTCTAACACTGACAAGGCTGACCAGCGCATAGAGTTGGTTGCGAGGCTGGAAGGGTGCTTGGAGTGTTTGATAGGTAAGAAACATCTACATACCTAGGTGGGTAACTAGCAGCAGAAGAAGCACAGAAAAGCACAAGGATTGGCACCAATGGAATACCATATCCACAGCCTCGCTCTCATATGTGGTAGGTATACAAAGTTTTGACTGAAGAATTCAACATGTAACTTCGTAATAAATCCTTTGACAAAAATCCATAAAATAATCAATTCTAACATAAAAAACTTATCACTACAAAAAGGTTATCCACAAAACATTTACAACCATCATCTCCAACACCATCCTCCCCCTCCCCTACACACACCAAACCCCCAATCTTCACTGTCCCTACAATCACAACTCGTCAGCGCGCACCCCAGCCTGCACTACAATGCAAAGACCAAAACGACGCCAAGTACCAATCAGAAAAGGCGAAACCATGCCACGGCGTGTCTCCGCATGAGGACTAGGAACGGCGAGTGAAATACCATTTCATCACTGGGGGAATAGAAGGGGGAGGAAATGAGATATCCTTACATGGTGTTTATATTGGACATGCGCATTATTGCGCACCCTTCATTGTGCTGGACTACTCTATTATGACGATCAACGGTGGATGGGATGAAGAGGTGTTGGCAATGGAACTGGAGATGGATTGTAGATATATTTGAACATTCAGAAAGCACAGGGTATGCTTATCTCGCTATGTGTCTATGATATGGTATTGCTCAGAATGAGTGTGAGATGGCTCAAAATGAGTCATTGGCTGCCAAATGCAAGTGGTCAATTTGAAAGAGCATGCTACGTTTTTGGCTTGCAGTTGAGATAGTCAAGTGCTATGTTTTTTGTATTGCAATGAACATGCTTCGCCGAAACATGTATATAATTCCTGTTGTGGGTATGTACAGCAACGTTATTAGGGTTAGGGTTGTGTCCTGTGCGTCAAGTTTCCTCTTACGCAGCGACGCTTATTTGCACCAGCGGGGAAGACGAACACAAAACTTAAATAATCACACATTTCAATCCAATCAAAGCCTCATGAAGTTTAAGTAATCATTATATTGCTCTACCCTCGACTCTCGGATACTCATCCGAACAAGCCAGAGGATCTATTGCATCTAGACAAAAGAAAAATGCTGCGATCGATATCTCCAGGCAAATATGCCTTCGATCGAGCTACATGATTTTATATGATCGCATCGCCAAACAGCGAAGACGATGATGCCAGAAAGAAAAGTGTTGGAAAAGGAAATAAAACTCCGAAGGTCATGCAAGAAGCCGTGGCGAGCAGGCAAGAAAGGGGAATCTCAATTGCGCCCCCGGTTTCGCTATGGTGTAGATGCAATGTTGCGCGTGAAGATCGATGGTGATATATGTTGGTATGTTGTTGTGTTGCGGTAGATCGTGTGGTTTATTTGGCGATTGGCTCGAGCAGGTTGGAGCCGCCGTACAAGGCGGTTTCTCCGCGCAACTTTTGCTGTTCGAAGCGGTCCATGGCACCGGTCATGGCGCGGCCTTCTTGTCGTGCGACGACGGTGGTGTATGTGAAGGAGCAAGCTGGAGAAGGATTGTTAGTTGGGATAATAGATTATGGGATGGATGGTTGGAAGAACGTACCAACGAAGCCAACGAGTGCAGGCCAGAAGGACTTAGCGGCGGCAGGCATTTTGGTTTGGATTTGGTTGGAGGAGTTGTTTTGGGTGGAGAGTTGTTTTTGGTGGTTTGAGGATGAGGGGAATTGATTGGTTGAAACTTGGTGTTGATGTTTCGATTGATTGATGATTGGATTGCCGGATTGGATTGTAGTAGAGGAGTGGTGGTGATGATTGTTGACTGTAGTGAGGAATGGAATAATTGGAGGCGAACTCCCAGTGGATTATATATGGATTACACAAAGACGAAGCTGTGCATCTTTGCATACATTTCGGTAGCTACCGAAGAACAAAAAGTGTCGCATAGCGTGATATTTTCCCATAGCCAGGAACGAGAACAAATCCCACGAGCCTGAGTCTGGCGAACACCGACCGTGGGATCGGGTGACAGAACACAAGGGGAGGTGCGTGATTGGCCGGATGGGAAAACAAGCAACACGCTGACCCGGATCCAGCCCAAGTGACAGACGTCTGGGGTAACTCTGGTGGTGAGATATTTCGGTCTCGAAGGTGTCGATTAGGGCGGATTAGGGGGAGGAGAGACCAGCTCAGCCTTATTTTGGGGAGGACATTGGGGCTTGGACAATCGCGGTGGGGTGACCTAGACGACAATCTTCCTGACAGTCGTACGACCCTACGCTGATCTGTCCTTGTCCTCACCTCAACTCATCCTCTGCATCGCACTTCTATCTGACCACCTGCTACCTCTCATCCCTAAAATTCCCTAGTATGGCCATGTTTCAAAAAATTTCCACATCACGACTTCTAAGAATCCAACACCTGGTGCGGGGATAATTAAAGAGTCACTCCAATAATGCCCCTTGTGTGCAACCAAATCCGGTTTAGCGTACAACCGAATCAGTAGGAAAGTCAGGAACAACACCATTATTCATTATTGTATACGATGACGCTGCAGCTTTTCCAAGTTTTACTCAGAGATGACTCCGCAATGTTTTCTAGTCTTGTCACTGGGGATCGCCTATCAAATGGTGTCGTTATCATAATAACACCGATGACAGATGACAAGATTTATGACTTCTAACTACTAGCAAGTGGGCAAGGATCAATGGAGGCGTTTGAACTTGGCTCTACAATCCAAGGCACGAACCTGTTCCACAACTGTTTATGCAAGGCACTGATTGACCCAAATCTTCATGGAGAGCTACAACATCTTTCGAAAACATAACGTCGGACACGAAGCACAAGAAATCACCGCTTCTTTCGCAACGCACCACCGTCCACTGTGATATCTTGCTAGAAGATTGTCAGCTTCTCCTTCATACTTTCAAAATCCGCAATCCACTTACCCCAGTCACAAAACCCGCCTCTATAAGATACAGAGCAGCGTCCGCGATATCCTTCGGCCTCCCCGCCCGGTTCGTAGGATGATCATCGACATCCTTCTCGCTAATCTGGCCCTCCCAGTCCGTCTCATTCTCGTCTCCCTCCCTACTCTCATGAGCAACCTTGACCCTTCCGGGCGCAATCAGATTGACGCGGATGCCCAGAGGACCCAGGGAGATGGCCATGGAGTGCATCAACCCCAGCTGACCCGCTTTACTCGATGCGTACCCCTCCTGGTTGGGATCCGACTGGTGGGCGCGGAATGAACCGATGTGTATGATGCATGGCCCGGCGTTAGGCGAGGTATGTGCTCCGGTGTTGCCATCGTCTGCCCGGAACTTCATATACGGGATGCAGGCCTGGCTCATTGCGAACGGCGCCGTCAGGTTCGTCTCGATGTATGCTTGCCACTCTTTATATGTCGATGGGTCCTCCATGGTCTTGCCTTCGCTCCATTGGGGACTCGCGATTCCACCGTTGTTGATTAGAACGTCGATCTTTTGGTTGAAGAACTTCGCGGCTGTGGCGACTTTGGATCGAATGTCTTCCACGTCGCGTAGATTGCACACGGCCGAGTCGACCTTTCCTTCTCGGTGGTATTGGGAAAGGTGAGTTGTCGTGGTGTACTTGAGCTCGTCCTCGTCAATGTCGAAGATGTAGACCCTGTGTCCGGCTTCCAGCAGGTAGCGAGACAGTGCGCGTCCGATGCCACGAGCACCCCCTGACACGACGATATTCCTCGATATTTGATTCTTTCCAGATACCATATCCCGTTTTGCGTATGGTTTGTTTTAGATGGAGTGTACCCTTGAACACGATTGCTGCTGATAAGGAGATATATGTCTGCATCCCGACCGCATAGTGCAACGTCGATCTGACGTCACATTTCGTCACGGAATCGATATCGATATTTCGACTTCAATTCGATCGCATGAGGCATGTAAACCGTTATCTCAGGAAAAAGGCGTGCAAATCGCTTATGTGGTTGTGCGGGATGATATTTCCCTTCCGGCTATGCACCTGTGAACCATGAACCCACAAATCGATCTGCTATCATGACAGTTAGCACATAAGCACTTCCAACCAGTTTCAGAGCCCAATTTATCCAGCTTTGCTTTGTTGCTTGATATGTATGGTATTAATATTGTTGTACTGTATAGATTTACGTCTTTGGATATCTTGATCGCGACGCCCTCAATTCCCCATCTCTACACTCACTCAAACCACAAACATCGCCAACGCAGCACCGAAGCCCGCAAGCGCAGGAGCCATCGTCCTCAACGGGACCGCAGCCCCCGTCTCAGACGTCGTCGCCGTTCCCGTTCCGGAGCTCCCACTCTGCGCAGCGCTCGCAGCAGTCGAGCTTCCAGTTCCCGTGGGCGTAGTGTTCGACCCCGTAGACTGCGCACTGGACGGCGTAACACTCGCGCCCGTCGTCGCAACAGCGCTCAACTTCTCCTCACCAGCCGTGATGATCACCTCGTAGGTGCCGATCTCCGACTGCGCGAGGGTGAAGACGTCGCGGGCGAGGCTGGCCGGGAGCTCCGTGCCCTCGGTGCACCAGGCGGGCAGCGTGTACGAATCGGTGGTCCACTCGGCCTGCTGCGTGAAGTCTGCGCAGGCCATGGCGTGCGCGAGGACGCCGGCGAACGAGTACGAGCATGAGGCTCCTGCGCGGGCGCGTGGCGCCTTGCTGCACTGCGCGCTGTAGGTGTAGTCGCCTGAGGTTTCGGGGTCGGTCAAGGTGGTTTGCGTCGCCCAGAAGGTGGGTGCGACGGTGACGGTGGCCATGGGCTCCGAGGCGTTGTAGGGTTCATTGTAGGCGAGGGCGAGGGTTACGGCCTCTTTGTTCGCGCCGATGACGGATCCGCGGAAGGTGACTGAGTCGTCGTCCATGCCGTTTGGCATCCATATTGAGGTGGTGAGTTTTGCGAATGCGGTGTTGGTGTTGGAGAGGGCGGAGAGGAGTATTATGGAGGTGATGGCGATCATTTTGACTGTTTTCAAAAGGAGTGGACTGTATCAAAGCGATAACGGTATTATGTGAAACAGATTTGAATTTTGAAGTAATTAACGAATGACTTTCCGATATGGGCGCGCACACGAGAGAACGACAAAAAGAAAGACGAGCGGCGATCAGAGCCATCTTATTAACATATGAAAAACTAGGCAGCCTACATGAACGTCCAATGACAACAGCAAACGACCCAGAAGGATGAACGAGCAAGCTATGCGCAAGGAAGAAAAAGGTGTGTGCATGGCACATGGGAAAGGCTTCATGCATCTAGCGGCCCCTGAAACGGTGCATGGCAATTCGAGACTTTCAGGCGCGCTGTCTGGGATTGGCCGCTTTCCCGTCTCGTGGGGTTCCTTCGCGATGTTCTTCTGGGATTCTTCGTTATTAGCTCGCGTAAACCCCCTTTTGGACCAATCCTCTCACCGGAATTGTCGTTTTAGATTGGATGGCAGCCTTAGAGCCGCATGGTTGATTACCTTCTTAGGCTAAGCTGCGCAACGGCGATAACGTTGAGGGCAACGTCTGCTCACTCCGAATTCTGCACACTGCGACTACGCACGTAAGTCCATCCCCTTGACGAAATCATCTATGCTTTCAACGAAGACAGTAAAACGCATTCAGCATTGCTGTTGATGGCTTGCGATAACATGCCGCACGATCCCGACACAACAGAGGGCAGACACGTCGGGATGGACGCATGCTCGTATTCTCCATGTCCACAACTGTACAAGTACAAGTACATATCTCGCGAGGCCTTGTGACTGTTAGCCAACTACAGCATATTATTTGAATAACTACTTCATGGATAGGAAGCTAGGACGGCCCAACGCGCCTATCCTCTGTACTAAAACGCTTGCATGCTCTTACAACCAACACAAAAAGCCGCTGCAAAATGCTTCATACGACAACGTCATCATCATCACCATCATCGCGAAATTACAACCCGAACTTCTCGCCCTTCGCAATCGACATATATGTGCATCCCTTCGCATCGCAAGTATTCTGTGCCGGTGAAGAGAACAAATTAGCGCACGTCCCCATTGAGATCCAAAGCAAGGGATGAGATCCAACTTACAGAATTGACCGTCGTGCCCCACCAGGAGAACTTCGCCGCGGCGCCGGTATAGAAGATGGCGAAGAAGATGACGATGCCGCAGATGGCGACGGAGCAGTCGAGCGCGGAGCTGAGGATGAAGTTGTACCTGGTCCACCACTCGCGTTGGCGGCGCTTGACCCACAGACCGGCGACGAGGCCGACGATGGCCCAGCTGGCGTAGTTCATGCCGGACGCCGGGGGGATGTAGTTCAGGCCGCCGAGGAAGACGGGGATGTGGACTTTGCTGAGCCAGCGGGACCCGAAGAAGAACCTCCTGCGCGCGAAGTAGACAATGACGGGGAGGACGGCGCCCACGAGGAAGAACCAGAGGAGGGGTTGGTACAGGGCGCCGCTGGCGAAGAAGCGGCGGGGTCCGACGGCGCCCCAGATTAGGCTCGTGTTGAAGTGCGTCTGCGAGAAGGGGCACGTGAAGCCGTTGGGGGCTTTCTTCGTGCAGATGTTGGGGATGTGGTTTAGGGCCCAGTTTACGACGGCGACTTGGCTGAGGGTTCCGAAGAGGATGCCGACGGCCTGGGCGATAAAGAGCTTCCTCGGTGGTATCTGGGGATCGTCAGACTTGGGATTTGAAGAAGACGGAGAAGGACCGTAGTTCACGGTGGATGATGCGATGGATGTTCAGAATTAACTTACGCCGCAGTAGATTCCTAGCTTCAGATCTTGCGCAAATGCAAGGCCCTTGATCGACGAAATGTAGCCGAGATCAAAGAACCAGATGTTTGCCAGAACCTTGCCCTCCCATAAGAAACCCGCAATGATACGGCACAAGATCTCGGTCTGGATCTTGATGTTGGCCGTGGCGTATACCCAAGCAAGCTACCACAATATCAGCAAGCGAAACCCACAAACGATCATCAAGGCGATCGACCAGGGAGATGACCTACGGGAAGAAAGAAGATGAAAGAGATGAAGAAAGCGAAAATAGCGCCATACCAGCGCAACTGAACAGGGTAATACTCGCAGGCGAAGATGCCCAGAGCCATCGCAACAAGCCCGGCGGCAGAGTACCACCACGTCGGAGTGCCGGCGTAGTTGGGCTGAGGGTTTCGCAGAGCAAACTTGTTGAATCTCTTCAGCCATGGAATGCCGGTCCACGACGCGGCTACGATGTTCATGATGACTTTGCGCTTCTCAAGGAAGAGCCACACGAAGATCGAAGTTAGCGTTGCAAAGCACAGTCCGAAGGTGTTCAATGCGTAAACGACCGGTAGGTACGGCTGTAGATGTTGTCATTAACCTATATGTTCGGGATTCTTTCGAACGGTGCACACGTACCTCCGAGTAGTGCTCATACTTGGTAACGTTGAAAGCGAACCCATCGGATTTATCGATGACCTTGGAAACGTTGTATGCTTTTCCAGTGTTGTCGAAGATCTTGTTGCTCTGGAAGGGCAAGTATGCTGACTTCCAGGTGTTGGTATAGTAGATTGCGGGAGACACGATCCAGATCCAGAAGACCAGAGAAGCCAGCACATTCAGAATTGTCCAAGTTGGTACCACGAGGGGCGAACCGATGTAGGATATTTGGGCCCCTGTGTTAGAGTCAGTGGCAGGCACGGAGCAAGATACGTCTGTGAGATCTTACAATCGAATGTTACAGGGAGGAGGCCCATGCCGCTGCTCATGCCGAATACCTGGTTGACGACGACATTGTTTGGCGCAGCCCAGCAGATGAACGCGAAGGAGCTCAGAGCTGGGAAGATGAAGTCGGGGAACCAATACCAGACGAAAGAAATGCAGAACGCAATGATGAAGAATCGATAACGCGACATGGTCCATTTGGTTCTGGTAGGTATTAGCATCGGTGCAGGCTTCTCAGGACAAGATCACTGAGCGATACAAAGCTCTTCGCGGGAAAGATCATGCCACTCACTCTTTCGTGCTGTCGTTGTCACGAGCATGCAAAGCATAGTTGAGGGCTGTGTCACTCAATACACCAGGCCATACGAATCCCGGGGGATCGATGACAAGAGCGCGGAAAATGCCCGACAACGCGAACCCAAAGATTGTTGTAGCGAATGTGATTGCGAGCTCGAATCCCCATCCTGCCTTGACCCCAAAGAAGAACCGCTGTTCGGTCAGGACGTCTGCGCTCAACCTAGTCAGGAAGCTGAGATTGGCTAGGATGTAGATAAGGATGTTCTCCTGGAAGCAAAAGTCAGCGTGGGTCCGTTGTTCGCAGTTTCTTCATCATTTACCTTGGCGTTGAAAGGACCTGGGTTGAGAGAGATGCGAGACCCAAAGCAGTTGAATCCAACGTCTGGCAAGGTATGCTCCCACAGCTTGCCCAGCGGGAAGGCAAGGAACTGGACAGCCGATTGAGAGAGGGTAACGGACGGCAATCGAAATGTATACAGTGTATTGAGACCGCTACCAAGGAGACAAAAACCGATGCCAATAACCCACATACGGATTGTCAGACAAGGAAGGTTCGGGTCATCATCCTTGATGCCTATGCCTGCAGCAAAGAGGATCTCCTTGCTGGGCGCGCTGGATTCATCTGACGAAGGTCAGCCTTGGGAACGAAAAGAATTTTCACTGCGATCGCAGATGCATACCTGACATTCGTCGCCGCTTCGGAACAGTCTCATGGTCCTGAGAACTTGATCCATCGCTCAATGGGTCAGCACGGATCGATTCCTGTGCGTCCCATTTCTCGGCATTGGCAGTAGGAGCAGCCATTGGCAATTGATGTTCAGATGAAAGATCTAATCAAACAGTGGCAACTGCTGAAGACAAGCCATCAGATAAGATGGACATTCACATCTAGATAAATACCATTTTTGATTATCACGAACGACGCCACAAACATGTGGCTGCCGGATTTTCCGGCTGGTGTTGTCGCCCCACATAAGGACTACGCAAATGGGAATACGACGAAGCCCAAAACTCAGCTAAAGTGGGTGAACACCGGTACATCGGCAATACTTACGGCGGTATTGACTTCCCTATACAGCTCAGAATAGTGGTCTTCAGTTTCGAGAATGAAGACATAGAATCATTGGATTGTCTCAAGATGAGCCAGATTCTCCCAGAAAAGCGCAATTACTCTTTTCATGGAGATCTAATCGAACTCGGTTGCTCAGAAATGGGACTGCCACAATGCCAACCAAGCTCATATGGCGAGTAGCTAAGCTTCGGCGAGACTAAATTATCCGCATTAGATAGTAGGCCCCTACTTCTATCGGATCCAAATCAACAACGTTGAGTCTGTGAGCTTGAATAGCGTTCGTTGTCACCATCCGGTGTTCCGTTCTGGCGACGCCCTGAGCGTTTTACAGATACATGAACGACCCAGTCGACTGCTGTAAAGGTAATAGAAGCGCACCTGGCTCGGACAATGAATGCCGATGTCGTATCTGTTTGCACCAAGAACACGAGAATTTGCAATTCTCATCACATTGTCCACGTATGAAATTCGGCTCACTCGATAGGTATACACTGCCGATTGACTTCTTTCCCTACTTACACGATTTACAATCACTTCCTAGCCGCCGTGTGCATCGCGGTAATAGTTCCTCGACTCTTTCGAAAGACAAGCTTTTCCATAGTCAGGCTTATGTGTCGCCGAGCACGATCCTGGCCGGCGCCGAGTCTGAAGCGAGGGAGGGAAAGGCTTAATTACGATCAGATATGATCCGCTTTCACCAGCCATGGGCCGATTACTTTCACTAGAGAACAGGCTGAGGCGGGAAGAAGCAAGAGTTCCTAGAGCTAGAGAGCAGGTGTGGCGTGCAGACCTTTCGTTTCCGCTGATTCGTGAGGCCGTGTGGCAATGACCTGGACCGACTCATAGGTAGCATGCGAGCATGAACGGAGTATAATTCCAGGCGATCGGATACCTCGGCCTCTTAGTTCGGGTACAAGGCATGTTCGAGATGCAAGAACATTTCGACGGAAGCAAAAATCAGATAATACCAATTCGTTTGATGGTACGATTGAAGGAAATAAAAATGGGGCGTTCGCACGCTCTTGCAGTGCTAATACTGTTCCATCTGATACAGATTACAACAACATCATTATCCGGAGTGCGCGAGTTCAATCGACATATTCCACCAATACGACAATAAGAAGGAGTGACGCATGCTAGGGAACCATTTCGGTGAATGATTATGTTCAGTCTCCAATGACTATGGAGCGTATGTCGTCCAATCAACAATCTCATACTTAGATATAACGCTCAATACTTCATGTCTGAAGGGCATATACATGCAACCTGCATTGGGCAAAAGATGTAAAAGGCGCATAAGCCACAGGGTTTGCACGCCGCTCGCCGCTCGCCGCAATCGGCCCGTACAATTTGTGGCGTCTAAATCTTCAGATCACTCAGCTAGCGACAACGCTTGTAAAGGAACACCACAGTCTTTCGCGCCGAATAGGTACAAAGGGTCGACGGTGCGGGTTGCTCACGTCTGTGCATTTTCTCATAGAAATTCTATCGGTAATAGTCGGTCCTGTCGTGCGCCTGGGAGCAAAGTCTTTCACTGGAGGCGTTTGCAGCCTCGCTAAGCAGTCCTCAGCAGCAGCTCCTCATTGTCTCCCTAGGCTTTTGTAAAAGCAGTAGATAATATTAGAATCCACCTTCCCCTCTTGGTTGGTTACCTAGGGCCCTGTTGCCGATGGTGTCAAGGTCAAATGAGACTTCTTAGTTCGCTGATTCCCAGGGACTGGTTGTTCCCGTCCGCATTATTTGTGTCTTTGCATCTTTCAACTGCTTTCTACAGCCTCGCCATCATTCCCAGGAATAGCTTGCACGAGAACTAGTAAGACCTTTGTACGATGCGATGGTATACAAGAGTCTGTCAAGTTTCAGAGCGAAGAGGCTACGTGCAATTGGATCGCCCTGAATAGAACGTTTTGTTTAAACTGCTAGAATGCTAGCGAATCGTTCCCTGCAGATTAGAACATTTGAAAATAGATACATGTCACTTCCTAAAGTAGGTACCGGTCATCGGAGGTCGCCGCTCCTCTGGCTATGAAGCCTTTGAAATCACCCTTCCAGCCACGAGCCACGAACTTTGGTATTGCACTTTGTGTTTCCCATACATAGAAATCTTTGTTACCCCTAGTAAGTCTGTCTTCAGGTTTGGTTTTCGGCAGTACATGCACAGAAAGCCTGCTTTCGCAATAGTTCATCATAGCTTGCCACTGATGGCGGGTCTCTATACGGTTGTATAGTGGGTTAACTGAACACGATGTTGTTTCAGCACAAGGAAAGAAGTTGGTGTCGCACGATAATTCCATCAGCCCAGAAATCTTCCGGCCAGTACAAAGGGAAAGACGTCATAATAGCTCAGGGAAGGTCGTTTACGGAGGAATCCGATCGCGACATCCAGCTTACAATTCTAGAGAGTACAATTGCAATCTATATTTCTCGTAATGTAAAGTAGAATCGGTGCATTTCGAGGGAATTCGGACATACGAGATGGCAGAGTGTCACAGGGTATTTAAGGCCAGGCAACCCCGCTATCAACACCCCATCGCAGCCACACACCGAGCCCTGAACCCTGCATCCAACTTTTCGTCCACAGTAACCTCAAGAATAGACTTAAACTTTTCATCAAATAGTTGAAAACTTGGCTCTTCGGACGATCATGGCATTTGACAAGATCTTACGCAAGAAACAGGAAGTCCTCCTGCAGCACTGTGGCACTACAGACATGGCTGAAATAAGCGCCATGCGGCTCAAAGTGACACAAAATGTGCCATGTGATGAACAGCAATTCGAGAAATGGTATAAGATCAAGCTACCTTATCAAGCGCCTAACTACCCACGCATACCATCTCTTGCGGAGATTCAAAAGGCCTTTGCGCCTCGGTCAGACGGTTTTACTCCGCAAGAATGTATCGTTGATAATTGCGTGATAAAACAAAGTTCCGATCCGTCTGTTATCCAGGAAGCAGAGACTTTGATGTTCCTGCATAACATTCTTGGGTTAAGAGTACCCCAAGTCTACGCAGCCTTTAAATACTACCTTGAAGATTGGCAAGGAGATATATACTTTCATGCTGTAGAGGTACCCAAAGGGGAATTCTTAAGTCGGGACAAATGGGCTACTTTCGATGACGAAATCAAAAATGTACTCTGCTCTAAGCTTGCTAAGCAGTTCGAAATCCTTAGATCAATTCCTCAAGAGGGCGGTTCAGATTATTATGGCCGGGTTAACCGTGGCCCATGGGCAACTGATATGCCGGCTTTTAAATTATTTGGCTATGAGACTCGTGGCCCCTTCGATAGTTACCAGCAATTATTCTCAGCAATGATTGATTCTGCACAGCTTGTCTTCGCAACATCGCATGAGCAGGCAGACTACTATCCGCATGAAGTAAAGAGTCTAGGGGAAATCGTAGAGATCCTTGGGGAGAGTGAGAACACTAGGCCTTGTTTTACGCACATGTATCCTTCCCTTAACAATATTTTAGTTCGTCCAATATGCGATCCCTCTGGAGCTATAACTGATTGGGATGTGGCTCTATGGGGCTGGAAGCATGCTGGATGGTTTCCTGCCTATGTACAGACTGTTCAGTTGCACAAAAGCTTCCTCTATCTTGGCAAAGATGCGGCTGAATCGACCATAGAACGAATTGTTCCTCACTGGAGGGACTCATGCCTAAGGGAGGTGGAGTTGATGGGGCATGGTTGCAAGTATAAATTTGCCTTCTGGAGTTGATGGGGCATGATTGCAGGTATAAATTTGCCTTCTAAGGAGATCCATATATTCAGGACACATAGATCATTTCTTTTCGAATAAACACCTGAGTATGCCTTAACTTCTCACATGAGCGAGCACGACAGATCAAACTATACAAATCGGCTACATAACAATGATAACTGTGTTTTCGAAACTTTGCTTCAGCTCCCACGAGAGGCCCAAGTGCCTGATTATCATCCTATGTGATGAAGCAAATCTGGTGATAGTGTTTATATGTGCTTTGCTTTACTCTTGCTCGACACATTTAATGTGAAGCGATTCCAGTCAGAAATTAAACGCAGATGTTTTCGCTACCCTGGCTGCATCACTACGTATCGCATACGAAAACTTCTAGACGCAAATTCCTAACAACAGACGAACCTATTATTCGTCGCGCAATGTAAGAACAAGGGCATCCGGTCCGAAGATCAACGGAGTTCAATAGTTGTGAAATCAGACAGTGTGCACGAGGGTGTGGAGAGATATTGGCAGAAGCAAAGCAGTCTATTTGAATTATCTTGTAAGAAACCATGGTGGTTGAGCTCATCCCGTCTATGAAAGCTGTGCTGAAAGGACATCAAAAGAGATATCCTACCATCCCAGTCTATGGAAGCTGTGCCAAAAGGAGACCGAGAGAGATATTCCACCACCCCACCTCATATGCTGAACATTCCCAAGCTCAAAACAACACCGTTGTACCGAAGCATTTGCGAGATGGACTTCGCAAATGGTGGAGCCTGCGTGCTATGCGAGCACCTCGACTTCCGCTGTCCATGTTCCCGTGTTGGAGGGATGTCGTTACATGATGTTGCCAAGATTCGGAGCCCAGCGGGAGCTGTGATGGACTTGGAGATTGTGCAGCAACATGGCCACCCAAGCATGGAAGGTGGAAACGTGGCCGGCCTGGTGTAGGGGTACCGGGGTCGCAAGGCAGATTGATTTCAACAAGGTTGGATTGGTGAACCAACCTAGTTCATGAACCATGAAGGGTGTAGCTGCCCCCTCTTCCGTGGTTATGGTGTTGGCCGCGGCATCCATCATGACCCAGATGCAGCTGTGATCGGGTTTGAGGGTTTTGGATTCGGAGCCATCTCCAGTGGAGATGCACAGCTTGAGAGTGCCCTCATGATCGTGTCGGAGTGCGACCAAATACCCGCGGGGGCGTGACATATTGTGGTTGATGCTTGTTTGCAGGGAATCGTTCCCTGGCTCGGAGTGTGTGAATCGGTCGACACGGGCTTCGATTGGGAGGTTAGGAGGGTTGAAAGGCGTTGCTTTTGGATCTTTCTGAGGATTGACGATCGAATGGAGGGGGTTTTGGGAAGCTGTGCAGCGCGATTTGCTCGACGGAGGCTTCGATTCGTGGGTTGGGAGGTTGGGAGGTTGGTCGAACGCGCCGTCCTTCCAATTCTTAGAGAATTGTTGGGCGACGTGAGGGGTCTGTTGAAAGTTCTGATCGATTTTTCTATTGCAAAACGGTCCATGGTTGGGATATTATACCTGACAGAATGCGGTTGGGTTTGGTAGGAGACAGAGAGAGAGCGCGCGTCTGTGTTAGACAAACAGCAACTTCAGAAACTTCTAGAGAAGGGCATGCAGCCAGAAGTTTGCTTCTGCTCAGTGTCATCGGTTCCCCTTTGTCGGTCTGAAAGGACATGCCGCAAGATGGTGCCTCCCAGAAAGACACTGCGTCATCTTCTGCTTCGTTGCAAACGAGAACGAACGACATGTTTGACCTGGCGTACCGCTTGGAGCGTCGTTCATTCATGTCAAAGAAGCACTCAAGACTGAAATGTCGATGCATACGATAGTAAAACGTGAAGTAGCGAAAAGAAATATGGGGACAGTATGCACATGTCCATAAGCCGCCCTGCAAGAAGCATGTGCAAAGGCACTGATAGCAGATATTGTGTGCCTACAATGAGTTGGAATTCGCGGAGCAGTGAGCGTGCGCCACAGGGTTGACCAGGTAGCTTGGCTTGGCTTGCAGCCACGGCATAAAGGCACGGGAGGGTGCAGAAACAATTCCACTGTCTTCCAGTAGCATCCAATTTCAGGTCCAAAGTAAGGCTGCGTAGGGTATCCACGCACTCCCCGGCCATCTTTGCGTGCCCATGCTTGCAGCGATTTTTCGGGACTGGCAGCGACTGAGGGTGAGCCCCATTTCTTTGGAGAAAGTACACGTCAAAAGTCGGATATGTGAAAAGTGCCTTCGGTATGTATACATTATTCATTAATAAAATGGTATAAACATATGAACAGCCGTCATCATCATCATCGTCGTCGACGTCGACATTATCTAAAGACCGGAGTCCCCAAGCTCAAATCCATTCGGATAGAACTCAGTCTGGAAGTCCTTCCACGACGCACATTGATCCTCAAAGATCTCCGTGTGCTTCAGTATCCCCGGGATCTCGTCGACCCTTTCGAGGAACTGCAGTCCAAAGCCTGCGGAGACGTGGAAGGGGATGTGACAGTGCATGAGCCACGCTCCGGGATTGTCGGACTCAAAGGCGAGGACCAGGTACCCTCTTGCGGGGAGAGTGGCCGTGTCGCGACGGACGGGATTGTCCATCTTCAAGCGCGAAATGTCGCCTGTCCAGTTCGCGTTCGCGGCGTGGTCGAGAACGAAGAAGTCGTGGCCGTGCAAGTGGATGGGATGCGGCAGAGGTGGAGTCGTGCTGTCTTGTTGGATGACCCAGTATTGCCACTGTTGGTGTCATGTTAGTGCTAGCAATGATAATAGATAATATGTTTTACCTCATTCTTATCTCCAACAGTGAAGAGGTTTTCTTTTGTGTTGAAGGTATCGTTGCCGTCGATGACGTTCTTCAATGTGGGCCTCGTGAAGTCGACTAAGATGGGTTCGCCATTGATGAGCCATTGCACGAGATTGGTGCCCGCAGCAGTAGTCGTAAAACCGGTGTTGAGTTCCTTTGGCACTTTCCGGGGCACGGTGTTCTTGTGATATGGTACGATGCCCTCTTCATCATAACAGCCACCCGGTAACGTGACCGCAGAGGCATTAGACTGGTGCTTGGCACCCTCGTAGTGAAAAATACTCCTAATGTTGGCTGCATTCGTGTTCCTGGAGGAGCAAGTCAACACCTGTAAAGGTGGCCATTGTCGCCTTCCTCGAATGGGGTTTATTGGGCAGGACAATGTAGGTACTTACGGGCCGTCGCATCTGTTTCCGCCAACACCAACATAGAGCCAGTAGTCATTGACCGGCTGACTTGCATCTATGATGACATCATAACGCTGACCTAATCATTGCCATTATGTTAGCGAACGGCTCGGACGTATAGAATTCGAAATGGTGCAATTTGAGCTGCGAATACTGACCGACGGAAAGCGATAGAGTGGACGCAGTAAATGGCTCAATTGGGACGAAATCAGCAGCAATGACAGTGAATTCGTGTCCCTGCAAGCCGACATGAATCCAGTTGTTGATGCCTGTATTTACCAGGCGCAACAAATGCTTCTTTCCAGGCTGCAGATTCGTGACCGCATAGCTACCACCTGACCCCGAGGTCATGGTTCCATTTACTAGGACGTTGTCGGCGATCGGAGGACCGGTAGCATGGAGAGCAGCAGCATTGACCGTGAATCTGCGACCTTTGTTAGCGAGTCATTCGAATTCATCAAGCGCGTTTACATACATCGGAGTGTGGAACCAGTCAGTGAAAGGAAGCAATCCAAGGTCTATGTCGTAATTTGCGGTTGCCGGGCCATGGATGACGATACCTCCAACGATTCCGTCGCCGTATTGAACACTGTAATGCGAATGATACCAGGAAGAGCCATATTGTATTGCCTGGAACTCGTAGGTCCGGGTCTCGCCCGGCGCAATAGGACATTCGGTGATTCCACCGACACCATCCATCTCGTTTGTGCCTACTTGGCGGAAGCCATGCCAATGTATGCCAGTGCCGTTCAATTCCAAGGAATTCTTCACGTTGACCTTGATGTAGTCGCCCCAATCGGCTTCGATCGTCTGGATAATGTTATTCTAGTTCAATACGTTTTGACCTCGGCAATGACTTACTGGTCCAGGATATTGCCCGTTGATTACAAGCATGAGTCTCTCAACACCATCGGGTGCCATAGTGGTGTTTGTGATTTCGAAATCGTACTACATGATACCGGTCAGCCACAAACAGTACAAATGCTTCAGAATCATTACTGCATACTGTCACCGTCTTGCCTGTGTTTGGCCATTGCCTATGGAAGTCCGTATCAATGCTGGTTCCATCCACCCAGCATCCTCTTGACTTCGGTCCATTCGTACAGCCAGTTGGATATCCCTGAGGTTTCCTCGAGCTCAACCCTCTGCTCTTCCATGGCACATCTGGTGTACGGGGTAAAATTGGGCCAGAAGGCACAGCTGCAGCAAATACAAAAGAGTGAAGAATGGTCAAAACCACACAGGCCTTAGCAAAGAATGCCATGGCGACTTGCGAACCAGCTCAAGTGACAGTGGAAATTCGCACTTGGGAAAAGGGAAAAACGAGAGAGAAAACGTCAGTAGAAACTAAGACGCGTGAAAATCCACAGCAGCACAAAAAAAAAGTCGGGGGCGTCTGCCCCCATGGCTTTATGTCTGCAGCACAGCACATCGTCAAAAGGTTTCTTTTGAGTAGCTGATCTGCATAAGCCATGAGCTAAGACACGGAAAGGCTATGTAGAGCGGTGGCTACTGCGGTGGGTTGGCATCGATTGCTAGGCGTCTTCAAATCAACACCAAGGCTATCGTGATCATCTTGCAAGGCTTCAAGATGGTGGTGGGGTTAGGGGGCGATGTGGAGCTGATGGGCGCCACCAGGATACAAGGACCATCTCGTATGTAAAGGCTATGGATGAAGGGCTTATTCAATCGCGCAATCATCTTTGCAGGGCTTCATAGCGGGCCAATCGGTCGTGACAGACAGGCGTTCAGAAGTATCGATTAGGTGGCGCTTCTCCAGGGCAGGTTTCCTTAAACAGTGATAGATCGATGATAATTGAGAAGCCGACAGTAGACTAATTGTCGTTATCCTTGTAGAATTTCTAATCCGAGCAGGTGGATAAGGAAGCAGTCAAAGGAAGCGTGCCGTGTCGGTGTGTACCCCGAGCGTGGAGGTCAATTGTCTACCCCATTAAGGGTATTGGAACACGAGGTACGGTTGTGTAATGTGAGTGAGATGGAAGAAAGTTGTGAAGTCGAGGTTGATCAGGTTATCCCCCCGCTAGTCCCAGGCGACATTGGGGGCCTCGCTTCGGGGGTCTCCCCTGTAATATCAGCATTGGAGCATCCGGAGTATGGGAATGGGGAGCCGGATATCAGCGCCTTCAACGAATCATCGCCAGTCGGCAGTGCCATCACTTTCTACTACTGGCAAACTCAGTGCCTAGTCTGCTGGAGCCTGACGTCTGTCGTATGTTGTGTCCGAAGGGGAAGCGAACCGGCTTCAGTCCTGCTGTCTGGGGTACCTAGAGGTGCAGATGCTGTGTACTGCTGCGAAGAATCCAAATGATCAACTTCTCAACTGACACTCTGCCAGCCATGTATGCACTCCACTCAGGTGAGCTTCAATATCTCGGAGGGAGGTTACAGTGGCAGCCTTATCGAACACAGTCAGTAGACTCCATGCATGGAATGTACAACAATTGCACAAAATCCCATTCGATCCGTCATCTCCACGCTGATGTAGTAACACGTCGCATACACACGGCGTTGTTAGACAACAGACACGTTCTATGCAAGGCATCACGCTACACATTATCGACACAAGTTGATGGCAGAGCTCAAAATAAACATACCTCATGCCTAGTCTAGGATCTTGCCTCACGCTTGTACCTGTCCAATCCGAGTACCAATCACCTGCCTGGAGGCTTTCGTCCCTCGGGGTCTGCAATTGGTCATTTAGTTTGACTATCCTAGGAAAGGGTTCGAGTCTCCTCAACAGTAAGCTCTGGCAGCCGTCCATGTCCATTATCAAGACATACTGGGACAATTGCAGCATGCGCTTACAGGAGCGGGGGGGAGTCAGCCGCACGCGAAGGAGAGAGTGTCTTTCAATCGCGACAGCGCAACAATCGAGCCAAGTTGGGCCCGCGCCACAATATTGAATGGGACGTGGCCAAGGATTAGCTGTTCGGAGCTGCATTGCATGATCAGATGGATTTCCCAGTGAAAACCTGCCTGTTGTGCTTGCATGTGCTGCACGGCTTTGGAGAGGAAGCCGTTGACGTACCACCACGTCTAGACCGACACTACCGATAAGGCTCACTCCCTACAGCTACAGCTACAGCTACAGCTTGTAATATCAGCATGGATTAGGAAAATCTCCGGGCGATCAACATAGCGGGAAACGGTATATAACGAAAATGCCCTAAGCACGCTTACTTTTAATATAAACAAAATTGAGAACCTACGTTCAGTCCATTGACTCAACGGCCGCACGCACGCGGAATGATGCACCCTCCCATGTAGCAACGAGAAAGATTGATCCATTGATTCCTAATGCTACATTAATGACATAGGAGGGAACAATGTATATTCGCGCAAGAGCTGAATCAAAAAAACAAACCCAGCCTTTGTAAACACCTACTGACCCTTACACTCAGGACCTGGTAGCACTCAGCCTCACAACATCCAACGTCAATGCAACGCCAAATCCCCAACACATCACCACCATCTAACCCTCAAGCCCTCAAATCTCAAACTACCATATATTCATCTTCCAACCCTACCGTCTTGTCTCCAGCACCATCTTTTAACTATGTTTCAAACACCCGTCGAGCCCGACTAACTCTCGCATTCCCGCTACCTCTCCCACAATTGCACACGAAAAAAAGACACCGCCCATACAAATCCCCCCAATATTCTTTCCAATCCGCTCTTAACTCCCTCCTTCCCTCCGCTCTTCACCGAGATAATCAATGTAAACACCCCCGATTCCATTTCACAGAGCGCACGAGATACGATGCCAATCACCACCAACCCATTTCCTCGCCGAGAACACGGGGACGAAAAGTCCTCAGGGGTACGAAAGTTTCTCATGTCTACCGGCGTACCTGCTTGCTTGGTTATCTACCCGCATATTCCATAGCCAAAGGCCAGGTATTAGGTGTCAATTCAACCTCATCACCATTCATTCCCTCGCACCGAGAACATCCGTATCTCTACATTTTAACTGAATCAATAGCACACTATCATGAAGAATATGAGCACATACACCCGCTCGTGGCGTTCACATCTATCAATAGGACGGGAGAGGTGGGATTAGGTAATTCGTCTTCTGTATATTCATGTATTCGTTTGATTCTGGACTATGGAGCTATGGGATAGGGGTATAGATAGATATATGGATACGTATGTCCGTCCATCTATGCCTGTTTGTACGTGTGACGTTGTATGTACCATGAGCCCACCCATTAACCTTCACGTCCATATTCGCGTGTACATCATCGAAGGTCAGGGCAGTGTAGGTTCCGTTCGTACGTCGAAACTCACGATCACTCCCCCTCCTCCTCCTCCCACCGCGGCGCTCCCAACGACGGCGTCGGCATCACGCCCCCCCTCGTCGCCGTCCCAGCCAGCGTCCCCCTCCCCTTCCCCCCAGAATACGGCCTCATCTCCCCCGCATACTCCTGCACAAGACTCTTCAGCTCCAAACTCCTCTCCAACGCATCGTCCACGCCCTCCCGCAGCGCAATCGTCAAGTACACCCTTGAAAGATACGCCACGCACTGCCAGCTCCTTACGCCCTCTCTGTCTTCCCCGAGCCCGCGGACGCCGCGGGGTTTCACGCCGTAGCCCGCGAGCTCCGCGACGAGCGGCAGGTCGGAGAATTGGAGGGCCCCGGCGTTGAGCATGTCGAGTTCGGAGGCTTTGCCGCGGAGGAGCGGCCAGGTTGTGAGCCAGTGGGGCGCGTGGTCGCGGGTGAAGGGGGTGGTGCTGCCGGTGCCGGTGCGGCCGAAGAAGAGGATTTGGGATGTTGTTGGGGATGTGAGGGGGGGTGAGGCGCCGGAGAGGTTGATGGAGATGGTGAAGCGCGGGTCTGTGGCTGAGAGGTAGGTTGCTACGGTGCCGCCGAGGCCGTGGCCGATGATGCCGAGGGGGGTGGAGGGGGTGAGGGAGAAGGGGTGGGTGAAGGTTAGGGAGGGGAAGAGGTCGTTGAGGTGCCGGAGGGTGAGGAGCTCGTGGAGGACGAAGTTGATGTCGGCGATGCGGGTGGTGAGGGCTTCGGTTACGGTGGTGTTCCAGGGCCGGAGGGGCTCGTAGGGGGAGAGCTTGATGGTTTGGTGAACGACGGTGTGGGTGTCGGGTGTGGGCGAGAATTCGACGACGAGGCTGTCGGACGGGTGGTCGATGACGATGACGGGGTGGCCTTGAGAGACGATTTCTCGTGCCATGGCGGTGTAGAGGTGTCTGCTAGTGCCGACGTCGGGCTCGAAGATGACGGGTGTGTATTGGGAGAGGTCGATGGTGGTGTTGGAACCGCAGCATTGTTCGCCGTGGATGCTTTCGAAGATGCCGGCGGATTCGTTTCCGAAGAACTGCTTGTTGGCTACTTTGGCAGTCTCGGGAGGCATGTAGTCGAAGCTGCAGGAGTCGTTGCAGTGCGTGGCATTGATCGGGAGGTGCAGTGTCATCATGACCGCGCGCTGAGCCGTATTGAAGTCGTATGGGTCGAGGCGATCATTGTCATAGAGCGCAATATGACCTTTAAGAAGGGCATTGGTTAGCAAGCAGTCCATCAAATGTCAGACAGACCTTTGTCCTGGACATGTGACACACAGTGTGTAGTGCAGTGTCGTTGTACCGGACAAAGAGACCCTAATGGAAGGCAATCTATGCTAAGTCGAACAAATACATACCAGTGAACACTTCGAACTCCGGACGCGAAGGCTTCGGAAGCTTGATGTCTAAGGCGACGGCAGTGGCAGCCAGGCCAGCGACGACATGGGCCCACAAAACCATGTTTACCCAAACAGTGTGTACTTCTAGTATCGATGTTTCCAATGAAGGTTGCAAAAGTAATGTAGAAGCCAAGACAGGTTGTGTAGATCCGAGCTCCAAGTTGAATGTTGAAGAGACCGTAGGTGTTGGGGAAGATGGTGAGAGTTCAGTCGAGTAAATAAATAGTAATAGGTGTTGTTGTATTCACATCTGCTTGGGCCACTCTCTTGGTCTAGCACTGACCAATCGCGGTCACTGTAAAGATCCTATGGAACAGATTCACTTTGAACGATTGGGAAAGGCGGTGACTAGCAGGCACAGTGCGCTACACTGCTCGAAACCCGTGATGTGACCACTGACCAACTTCGAAGAGTGCCTAGCCAATGAACGGACAAGGCGGCTTGAAGTGAAAGAAGGCAGGCAAAAGTACGGTGGGGCCTATGGAAGATGATCTCTGCTTCGATGTAGTCCTTTGGTTATCTTGCAGTGATTCCTGATTAAGCTATCCGATGCTTATGCGAAAATTTCTGAGGGCAGAGTGTATCTGAAGAGAATGGACAGTGCGAAGTAATCGTATTCACTCTCCTATGTAGCACTTAGTTTGCATTAATGACGTCTACACGCGAAGGGAACTGGAACTGGCCACATCAGACAGTTGTTATTGCACTTGTTCTAGTCTAACAAACGGTGGGGGTTGACTTTGTCAATCACCTTCTATACGAATGGTCAAACGAATCCACAAAACAATCACTCACAACGTGTTCGAAATGTCTTATCACTGAACAACTCGGCATGTCCTCAAGGGACTATCGATGCGATTTGTTGACGTGCTTGTTGTCCAATCCTAACCTCCGCTATTCACTGGCTAGAATGGAGGTTGGCCAGCATTGGTACGCGTGGAAGCAATCACTGCTACATTCCGAGCAACGTGCAAAGCCCTTTCCAGTGATTTCATTGTATCTGGAGGGGTACATTGCTGGCGTGTCGAAATCTCCGTGTTCGGCTCGGACGACTTCGTGCTTTGGTGGTGGGGGTCTGGCTTCTTGTAGTTATACATGTCGAAACTGATGCTTCATCCACAGACCACGCCTTCCTTGGGTATCTCCACCTGTTTCTCTTCAACTCCATTTGCACCGTTCGCAGTGACAAGAGTCTCTTTCTCAATACGGCCACCCGGCTCAAGCCCCGCAGCTTTGGCATTTTCTTCCTCTTCCTGTAGCTTCTTCTTCTGCTTCTTGCTGAGCGACATGGAGCCCTTCTCGAACGCCTCCTTTGGAACGGGTCGAACATAAGCCTGGCACACCCACCAAGGGCGTTTGCAACGAGCGACAGCCTTGTGTGAGGATTGCCATGGGTCGTCGATCTCTTCTGTGGCTCCTTCTTGCGTCGTCTCAGGCGCCTTTTCGGCCTCAACAGATGGCTCGTCCGTCGTAGCAGCGTTGTCCTTCTCATACTGGATCAACCCTTCCTTGACGGCCTTCTCGACGAGCCGAAGGACGTTCTCAAAAGCGTCGATCTGTCCCACGCGACACTTGGCCAGTGCGTCGCGAACGTCGTGATGCACCGCGACGAGCGGCTTGAGGAGATTGAACAAGTGTGCCTGCATTGCGGTGAGGTTGGGGTTCTTGACGCTTTCTTTCCTCTTGTCCGCCTTTGACTGCTTGATCTTCTTCTTTGGTGGGCCGTCTTCTTCGCTTTCTGGGGCGGCGACAGGTTCCACGACCTCCTCTTCGGCATCTCCTGGTAGGTACAGTTGCTTCCGTTCCGGCGGGGCCTGTCCGAGCGCATATTTGTGGATGATGTCCATGTACCGGCGCATCACGGCGTCGACTCTATATCCACCCTTTCCGTCTCGACCGCGCCAGTATTCTCTACCCTCTTGACCCACAGGCGGGGGTTCTGCGAAGATAGTCGGATCGTTAAGGTTACCCTCAGCACTCATGACACCATCAGCACCCGTCTCAGCCAAACACTGCTCAATATCCCCATGCTGCAAGATATTCCCATTCGCAAAGATAACCGTATCCTCGGGCAAATTATCCCTCAGATACCTTATCGCCGTCCAATCCGCCAAGCCTGTATTATGACCCTTCTGCTCCCTGCGCCGTCCATGCACCGTAATGATACTCGCGCCGGAATCCAGAATCATCTTCGCGTACTCCAACGTCTTCTCCCTCGTCTCTTGGATGCGGAACTTCGCGGTGACGGGGATCTCCAGCTCCGCGTGCAGCTTCTTGATCATGCTCGATATCAACGGCCAGTTTTCCTGCAGGAACGCGCCGTAGTTGCCGCGCCGCGCGATGCCCTGGGGGCATCCTAGGTTGAGGTCGACGGCGTCGCAGAAGGGGGCTACGTGCTTCGCTGCGTTGAGGAAGTCGTCGGGGTCGTTGGAGCAGAATTGTACGGTCAGCGGCCTGTCTATCTCGGGGTGGCCGTCCAGGTGGAGGTCCGAGGGGGGAGTCTGGGAGAGGTGGTAGGAGTCCGGCGGGGAAGGTATGGCGCCTTTGAGCGGTTGGAAGTGCGAGTCGCGGTACTTGGGCATCTCGGAGAACATCTTGGAGTGGAACATCGGGGTGTAGCAGAGGAGGTTGCGTTGTTCGGAGGCGGGGAGGAAGGAGCGGGTTAGCATTCGCCATGCCTGTATTCCCAGTTAGTACACAGTGATGCTTGAAGATAATCCTAAGGTAGATAGGATAGAATAAACGTACGAATTCAGACTGCTCGACCATAGGCGCAAGCACGAGTTTCGGACTCCCGATGCTCTCGTAGAAGGCACGCCCGTGCAGCTTCGTCTTCCCATTGCTGCGGCCCTGCTCCCCTGACACAGCAGCTTGGGCTTCCGGAATAGTTTCAGCAGCCATAGCTCGTGAGAAATATCTACTTCTCGCTCTCAGACTGGGGGCGCAACAGCGGAGAGGCCCGAGGCCCCCGAACGAAGGGCGGAGAGAGCGAATGACGGACGCAAGGCGCGAGCCCCAAGAAGTCCCAACAGATGCAAGAGGCCGTTTGTAAAGATGCACAAGATCCCAATTATCCTTTGTTATGCCAACTGCACAGAATGCGTATTCGTACGTGCAGGAGCGGTGTGAATCACGAAGTCGTCGTTTGAACCTTGCACGACGACAAAAAAGTGTCGTTGATGTAAAAAAACCGGCCCCTCAGGGTCCACCGAGCCGGCCAATCAGAGGCTGCCAGCCCATAGTGCCCCCCAATCAATTCGGGATCCCGCTGGGTGGGCGTGGTAGGACAGGATGATGGACATGGCGAATGGGGTATCGTTTGCAGCTGACGTTTCTATAGCTTGTATGACCTGTTACGTTTGGAAAAGTCGGGTCATCCTACGTGTCAGTGTGTTTTCTGCTGCCTTATATTTGTCTTGTTCCTCTCCTTTCAACAAAAGTCATCTTCTCACTCTTTTGAATCCATTCAATGCACACAGCAACCGCTCGATTGCTCACCGCAGGCACCCGTTTGAACGCACCATTGACACCTGCAACATCACGGCATGACAGCCTAGCATGGCCAGCACGGTACTCTTGTATCACGAGATCAAGGATGTATAAGTTGAACCTGATAGTTTGATTGTCTTGTATGAAGTCTAGGGAAGGGCGAGGCCATCGACATCGACCCTTCGGAAATTATGGCTCCTGACTATGGAGTGAAAGCGCGCGTGGTCGGAGCACGGAAAAAGCTCAACCAAGAAGAGAAGGAAGCACTCGCATCGCAAGGTCTATAATGCCAACGCAAACATTATCGATTCCAATCATATCTGTCGGACTGCCCCCATTGCCTGGGACAAGATGTTCGCAGAAGTCCACCACCCAGAGAAAGCAATGAAAATCATTAGTTGTTGGATATCTCGACGGCCGTAAAAACAGAAACGAGTCTGCAAGTAACGTGCTGGTCTATCATGCAGGGTAGAGAAGGAAAAAGGTCGCTAAAAGTTGCAGAGATAAAGGCCGCCGTCCCCTTTGGATAAAACGCCATGAATGCTAAATCGAAATGCAAGATGTTTATGGAGATCTCTCTCTCATGAAATCGGAGTCCGGATGCGGAAATCTCCACCCGACTGGGGTATTTAAAACCGTCCGTGGTAGTACTGGACTGTGAGAAGAGAAAGAGTGCGGAACGAGAACTAGAACGTGCTCCAGTTCCAGGCGCCTTGGAAGCTCGTTGCGAGGCTGCCTACACGCTGTGCATCTGGGCGCTTCGCGGCCGTCGGCGTACCAATTCTAACTGCGGTGGTGCTCCCGGAGCTCTCGCTGTTAGCACGGCTAGAACGAGCTTGTTCCCACTCCCGGAATTGGGAGTGGCACCGGTCACAAGCACGCTGGAGCTCGCCCTCGGGGTGGAAGAGTGCATGCTCATTCAGCTTCACTCTCCTCTGGGAGTGCTGCCAGCAGAAGATGCCTCCGCACTTGCGGCAGTGATGCTTGCGGACAAAGACTCCGAAGGGAGTCTGGCAGGAAGAGGCGGTGCATACAGCAGTGGAATTATCGGGCTAGACGGATCTGTCAGTCTTATTGATCGTGAAAAGCGAAAGATGCGCAAAGGCCGCGTGACGAAGAAGGAGCATGGATGACCGATGGTCGCAATGCAATGCCTCAGCAAAGCAAAACAAAGGGGTCTGTGTGACGACGAGGTGGACGTCTGCTTTGGGGCGGATCCGCTAGTGTGGGGGATGTGGGTTGCAATGCAAGCATCGGATGAACGCAAAAACGGCTTTTGGCAAGTCGCAAGCGAAAAGACAGAGCTTGAGTGACACTCCACCAGGGCAGACCGTGCCTGGACAATGCACGATCTCTTCGAAGCCAAACAGGAACGATCAATCTATCAGCAGAGTGGATGCATTGCAGCGCACTGTACGATAGATTTGATAACTGTTTGTAATTCGCAAACCCTTCATCGAGCGAGCGGCTCCAAGAAAAGAAAGGCGCTTCGGAAATCGGCGAAAGTGGCAGGGAAGGGGAGGGTAGTTGAGCGTAGTGAGGGTAGTGAAGGGTAGTGAGGGAGGCCAAAGCAGCGCTAGAGGGGTCCACCCCGGAGCCCATGTACGTAACAGCTGAAAACTTAGGGAAAGTGATGCACGCGGCAGACCAAGCAAGCAGGGTAGGCATCTTCTCGAGTCTAGGACTCCCAAGACAAGACCCACGCACCTACACACGGTCTGGCTACGCTATCCTTTCCCTGCCTTTTCCCAGGGCCTATGAGAGATGAACGAAAAGTCAACAAAACTTACCTGCCAGTGGTTCTTGGTGATCGGTCCGCACACCGGGGACAGAGGGGTATCTTCATGTATGCTGTGGAGATCCTCTGTCGATATGCGTGGGAATGGCGATGGGCTGCCATCGACACCTGGCGACTGTGGGAAAGAGTTCATCCAAGGGCTCTCGGTGGGGTCCATGACCGAATCGACTTTGGGAGGCGACTGATTCGGTCTTTGGGTTCTCCGCAGCGCAGCAGGAACGTAGATTGGAGGCTTCTGTGGTCGCAGCTGTGTAGGGTAGTTGGGATACTGGGGCAAATTCGAATTGCTCCCAGGTGAGGCGGGTGACGAGTTCAACGGCGAGGTGTTGCCCGAGCGCATCGTGGGTTGGTAATTTGTGGAGTTCTTGTATCCATGCTGCTGGTAGGGTGCATGCTGAGACATCATTTGCGCAGTCGCCATTATGAAAGTATTGGTGGTGTTCCGGTAAAGCTTGAATGCTGTTGCGAAGATGTTGGAGGCGGTGGTTGATAGGCGGTTGGGTGAGAGGATGCGATTAGAGTTGGCGGTGAAGGTAGAGACCGAGAGGTACAGAAGTACGCGCGCCTAAGTAAGAGGTTGTTCGTGGAAAGGTTGTTGGTAGTAGGTGTGTGTGTGTGCGTGTGTATGTGTTCGAAGGCAATGAGTCGTGGGTATGGAATGGTATGGATGCGAGTGGGTTGAAATGGTCGTCTGGTAGAGGATGACGATGGAGAGGAGTAGGAGGTGGTTATGAACAGTTGTAGGGTAGTGCAACTGCGCGGTAGATACCTACTGGGTTTAGGTAGATAGTAGATACGAGCGAGAGTCCGAGTAGGAAGAGGAGGGATGTGTAGAGGGAGATTGTGGAGGCTCTGGGAGGGGACGTTGAGGAGTTATCAATGAGGAGCGTCTATTGGTAGATTTGCGGTTGAGCGGTGGATGATAAGAGAGAAACTCGGGCGGTACAGCAGACGCATCGACCGCCGGGGGGTGGCAGACCTGGCCTGGGATGGAGGGGGGACGGAGGGAGGGGGGTGCCACAAAAAACTGATAGGTAGGCTAAGGCGATTGGGCGGCAGTCAGAGTCGGGCTAGAGCGAAGCGAGGGTCAATTCCCAGATACTCGTACTTGTACTCGTTACTTGCAGACTGCAGTTGCAGTTACAGAGTATGTACTCTGACTTTGCACTTGTATTTGGACTTCTACTCCGTATCGTGAGTGTATTTTCCCGAGGACAGCGTTCTTAAATGGAAGGTGATCGAAGAGACACATGTGTTGACATCTCCATGTGAAGAGAGGCAACGGATGTGGTGGGAAGCGGAAGGGTGAATCAAGGGAAGTACGGAGTGTGTAGGCCTGGTCTGGGTCTGGGAGATTATTGGATTCGCAACACAAGAGCAGCAGCAAAAGGCAGAAGAATGGTATGGGATCGGATGGTTAAGGTATGGGGCGACCCCGGGCCGGTAGTGGTGGTGGCATTAGTTAGTGCTGGTAGAGGTGGGAAAGGCAGGCAACATGTGGTAAGGATGGGATGGGATGGGATGGGAAGGGTACGGGTAGTTAGAGTGGTGAAAGTGAACGTGAACGTGAATGTGAACATGGTCATGGTGGTTACGGTCGTGGTTGAATTGAAGGGTCTAGCGCATGCGTACTGCCGTCTTCCTGGTTCCTACGCAGTGCAATAATTATCCCTACCCTACCGACTGCAACACTCCGTACAATTAAAATAGGCCGATTATTGCCATCCCTCGCCTCGCCGAGGATCAAGACGAGAGAGGCGATGGATGGCGATGGATGAGATGGGATGAGATGGGGACGGGCTAAAGAGCTTAAGCAAGCAACGATGGGTGGTTGATGGGTGGCTTTTGGGTAAAAGAGACCGGCTCGGGCTAGCACCGGCCGTCGAGGATCTGTCCTGTCCTTGTCTGATCTTCTTCCCTTTTTTCACGTTAATTCTCTTTAGGTAACTGTGCACGCCCGGTTTACTTTCCAGCCTCAATCAAACTCCAAGAGATTCACCACTACTCCGTCCTACTGGTACTTATCGTTGATGAGAGCCGTTGCTATCAGCAATCGTCATCACCGTCATCGTCATTATCATCATCACTACCATCGCCATCGTATTCTCGCCACTACATAATGATGGAAGCCCAAGGATGGATGAATGAGCGGAGAAATGTTCCTGTGGCATGTACCGGGTACCCTACCGTTGTACAAGATCAAGATCCGCACTCCTACTTGTACGGAGTACTGTGACAGAATACGAGGATGCAACGATATATGAGATGATGATGATAATACTGCTATTAATGGCAGATATTTGTGAACATCAAACATCAATCGTTATCTTGCCAAGTGTGTATTCATCTACCATTGTAGCACACCCCTCCTCGCGATCTCCAGGTTCGTAACTCGCGTGTAGCATGTTGGTGGTACAAGTGCCAGGAGGAATCAGGATACGATATCTCCTGTTCGTTTAGGACGTTTGAAGCCTCCATACCGTTTGTGGGAAAACAAATGCACTCTCCGCATACTACCAGGGTCAAGGACGATTAACTCCGAAAGATTGGTAGTAAAGCCACTAGGGATGATAATAGATAGATTGATGGATAGATTGAAGGTTTGATTGATCGATTCGCAAGCAGGCGGTGGTGGCGGAAAGTGTGGCAGCGGTGGGCGTTTCTGGCATCTCCGTGCCCATGTCCCATGTCTATTATTACCTATTACTGAGGATATCCATTTGTCTGTGTCAAGTCAATACATCCTCTTCGTAACTGGTAGGCAAGGCAAGGCAAGGCAAGCAAGCAAGCAATCCCGCCGCAAACGCCGCTGTAACGCTAACTAACGGCTAGCCGGTGGCCAAGTGGGCCCAGCGTCACGGAAGCCAATCGCAAGCCACCCTCTTATCTTTGAGCATGACACAACCAATCAGAGTGCTGGCCTTGTAATCCCTTCCTAATTGTTATTGCTTAAGGAATTCTCAGTGACATCTTGACCTTAACCCGATCCATCCATCTCCCCTTCCTATTTCAGTCTTAGTCCCTTTCTCTGTCATGTTCTGCGACTCCTACGGCCTGCCCTGTCAGTCACTGCCCAGGTATGTATCTGGCATCGGCTGAAGATCGAACATGAACAGACTTCAGACTTCAAAACCGGCGAGACATGTCCCTGCTGGGCCGGCCCAATGCCAATGTCACCTCCGCCCAGCATCTTCATCCATCCCATCACCCAATCACCCGTCACCATCTCCTCCTCCACCGGATCCATTCCTCCACTCCTCCACTCCTCCCTCCCGTCGCCTGCTCCTCCCACTGATGACGCCCGCCCATCCATTAACTCTCCCTTAGTGGTGATTGTGATGGTCGACGCGCGCAGCCAACGGCGTCATGATCGTCCTCGAGACGGCAAGCAGACCCACGGATTCACCTTCACCGACTTCTGCTCAAGAGATTCCACGAGCATCTGCATCGGACGGTGGTTACTGCACTGCACGTATCCAGAGTTACATGCGCATAATCCGTACACTTCACCCCGTACACAAGCGTTCTCTCAGCCAATCACCGCTTGATACGGAGAAACCACGGAATACATTTGAGCCTACAGGACAGTAATAGTAGATGGTGAGTAAGTACGGAGTACTCCGTATTAATGAGGCTGGGAATCAAGCTACTGTGGAGGTGGCCGTTCCAGGTCATTTTGCTTCACGAGCTCCGAGCCCTTCCTATCTGGTGTCCACGGAGTAGCATCGCCTCGTATCCTCTTCGCTGTCTGGCTCCAGGCCTTGAACATCTCCAGGGCAGAACCGGCGGGGAGGAGAGAGAGCATTGAGAAACGATGGAATGCACCAAGCCAGCCAGAGACCCTTCCGCTACCCAGCCATTCCATGTTACTGTTCGCCGTATCCATTGTTGTGGCCGGCTCCAAGTACCCATCCATTGGCAATACCCACTCAATCCCAGGGTCTCGCCCACATCAATACTGCACAACGCAAGTGTGCTGGGCATAGCCTGGCCCGGGTCACCTGACTCCACTTCACTCTCCAAGTCCTTGCCCCACCGCCTTGCATGTCTCTGTGCATGCGTATGCGCATGTGCTCTCTCCAAAGTCTCCACTCTCAAGCTCTCGACCCTTTTCTGATAATATCTGTTACATACACTTTTGATGCTTAACACAGTAGACCAGACCGCATCGCAAACAAATCTCCGTGTCTGTTTGGGCAATCTCCAATCTCGAAAGATGGCGATCCACTGCAATCGTCGCGGGGTACTGTACGTGTTCTGCAGGCATCACAAGCCTTGCATTGTGGGTGCACCATCGATCGGACAATGTACACAATACGAACCCAAGTCTACCTCCCAATTCCCTATCGCAGGATCTCGACACGGTCGGATGTAAACAACTCCAACGACCATCAACACCGTGCCCTGCCTGCGCACATCTACTCCAAATCTCAAACTTAGTCTCTTTACGAAAAAGGATACCCTACCCGACTTAGCTCATTCGTGTAGCGTCGGCCCGTGTCCTGCCTAACTAACTAAATCTCACGCGGCGGGCAGACACGTGAACGTAGCCGCAGCCACAATCGCCACAGCCACGCGAGCGTCCCTTTGTCGTGCCGAGTTCGAGTCCAGCGCCCACGCGACGTCAACGGAACATCTAAGGTACCAGTATGGGGTCGCCGATGGTCTACCGATACATACCTAAGTAGGTACTGCTTATGGTCGACCAAAAGCAACAAACTCAGCCTCAACAGCAGCCTCGGTGCGGCGAACGTGAACTCACCCAAGGCTTTTGAATGGCATCAGCCACACTGGATAAACGTCGGTCAAGCCGAGGCACGGCCGGGTCCGAATTAATGCCGGGTAGTGTCGCCTCATCACGGCAAACGCGTGCTTTGCCTCAGAATGTTTCTCGCGACGACAAGTTGGAGTTGAGGATGTCTTAGACTTGAGGATGTCTTAGACTTTATTGTTGACATCGAATTCGAACTCACAGTAGAGAGTAGTCGTTCAAAGGAAATTCTCTCTATCAGGAATTCCATAGGCAATGGCAGCTCATTATACGCGTTGGTCTGATGTATATCACATCGAGCCTTTGATATCAAGTACAATCCCTTTGAACTCCATCCTTCCATTCCAGAATCAAGTCATCGGGCTACGATACCGGCTTTTGTGGTGCATATATAACCACATAGCTCCACCAAGTCTATCCCATCGCCTCGATTCCCGCATGCAATTATCTTTCCTCAGCATACAGTCAGAGAAGGTATGTTTGCATATATATATATATATGTGTGTGTGTGTGTGTGTTCAACAAAGGCATTTGGTAGACAGTGATGAATTGTACTGAAGGAGGTCCACGGACTCACGACATCTCTACTTGGTTACGATTAGCGATATTGCCAGTGAGATGATGTTGTTGAATTCAATGGGAAATCCGAAGTAGCAAGTATTGTTTGTATTCGATACCTTAATGGTGGATCTTTTGTTTATTGTTTTGTAGAATATAATTGCAATAAGTGGAAGCACTTGGATTAAACTTGATGTACTATTAGGCGTAAGGGTCATTCTGTTGAGTAGTTATAAAGGTTCGGCTAACAATACCATCTAGATCAATATAGAGATAGATATACGATAAAGATACATGTTTACCTGTGCATCGAGCCAATGCGCATCATTCGCTGTGCATGAGAGGTTAGTGCGATAAGGGGTATCTAGATCTAAACTCAAATGCTATCCCTGAGCGATGACCACTCTGGGGACTCCCTCGACGCTCTTTAAGTTCCAGTAATCATCGGTCATGATGTCTGACATCGAAGCCCTTTTCATGGGATCGAGGTTCGTCATCCTCAATATCAGCCTTTTTATCTCACTGTCGAGGTTAGGAAATGTATTTGACGACCAGCTGTCGAACGATTCGTTGGTCTCGTCCTCTGATATTGCTTGCCACAGGGCTCTCAAGAGCTCCTCCGATTCAGCATCGTTGACGTGTTCAACGAGCGCGTCTGGTAGAGGTCCAAAGACCGAAAGTAACTTGAATAGTATCACCGACTCTGGTTCAACCTCCAGCGTCTCAAAGTCAGCGTGGAGCCACTCCACGCCCGTGATGACATAGAAGCACTGGTCCTTTCGATCAGTACGTCCACCGTAGCATTGTCGAAAGGTAACTCACAAGGAGTCCAAATGAGAACACTTCGGAATGCTTGCCCACGCCCTTTCCCAATTGACCCTCTGGGCTACGCCACATGACGTTTCCTACCTTGTGATCGAACAGCTTCCCGTCTTCTAGCTTCAGAGCGACGTCCAAGTCACCCAGTGCTACCTTCGACAAGTGGACTCGCCCGTCTTTGTCTATGTCCCAGTTGACAAAGACATTATCTGGCTTCACATCTAAAAACAACAGGTCAACACTAAGCAAATCCCGACGGCAGATTCGGCTTGATGAACGGAATCGTACCAAGGTGGATCCAATTCTTCGCATGCGTGTCCTTTAGCCCAAGCCCGACCTCCCTAAGAATCGTCTTTCGTGCCTCAAGTGGGAGCAGTGCATAGTTCTTCACCAACGAAAGCACATCGGTGGCGAACCCCTTGTATACGACCACGTTCTCCTGGTCATTGTAGTCAACATGGGTGCGCAGGGGAGGGTTATCAGCGAATTCTTTGTTGAAATCCAGCGAGTGGCTAAAGATAGACTGCGAGACAGGTTTTAGGACAAAGAATTGGTTGTCTGAGCTGGTAGTTGCTCCTCCTCAGGTATTGTTTGTTTCTAAGAAGGTCCGAGGGAGAATAGCTGGCAATCTCGCGTTGCGAGATGCATGTCCAGCGCTGGGTTTCTGGGGTGGGAATGAAGTGCTTGGATTCGCTTGTATTTGCGACCAGAATCGCCTGTTAGGGTTCATTGCTTTCTATCAGGTATGAGTCGACCAGCCCGGAAGCTCGCCCGGTGCTGCGGGATGTTTATGTAGTGCCTTGGGGTGACAGTTGGCGAACAGGATATGAGATGGGACGTTGGCGTGAACGAGCGCGGAAGCATGCCGACGCTGGCCCGGATGGGATCCGGGTGGAATCCGATTGTGAAGAAAGCTGAAGAAAGTGCGAAGTCGTCGCATTTATCAGGTGATGGTGGGGCAAAGCTTAGAAAACCTGAAGACTGTAAACGTGTTTGAAGTATGAAGAATCGGCAAATAGGCATAGACTGAGAACATACACAGTAAGGATCTATCCCTGGATAAACCTTACATATTCTCTGAACAATATAGATTTTTATTCACAGGTAAATTTCCCTAGCAATACAGGCTTAGACCGTGGATCGCTTTCTTGTAAATAAGTATAAATGTGGCTATTAAATATTATTTCGATCTCTAAGTATTTCTACTATCCATAAGTAGGTAATGACTTTCACAATAGTTCATACTGCCAAGATAACACTTCAGGAATCTTGACCCACATAGCATAACGACTATGTTGTAACAAGATAATGAGCCATCAAAGCGCTGATGTGAGATCGCAAATTCCCACCACGATCCCACCAAACAAAACAGCATAACCGTGTCCAAGCCGCCCAACACGGATATCCCGCGATGCTATCCCGTAGTCAGACGCTACCGAGGCTCTCTCGCCTCACATGTTTGGGACGGTCTCCAGGAACCGACGACTCCACATCCATGCACGCCCCCTGTTTGATAGAAATGCGGGGAACCAACCATGTCCATCCAACCTCACGTCTCAGCTCTTGATATGTTTACCATCGCAATTACAACTGCCAGATTCCTAATCAAAACCCACAACTCTCAACCACAGCCTCAATTAGTCGCCCACCAGCCCTGCGACAATACATGCGAAAAGTGATTCCTTCTTCCAGGATAAAATATAACAATCAACCCTTTGGACCCTGAAAAACAACTCATCTGAATTCCCTTCAAAATCCTCCATCACAATGTCCCTCTCTCTCCCAACCCAACCCGTCTCCCCAACAACAATCCCCAAACTTCCCCCTCCCCCATCCGACCCCCTAACAGAAGACCAATGGAAAACCCTCCTGTCGATCGCAGACGCCATAATCCCGGCCGTGAAGCCCACCGCCTCCGCCAACTCGACCACAGACATCGCAGCAAAGGACGACGAGTACGCGAGTGCGATTAAGAAACTGACAAGCCTCGCGCCGGGGGGAGTCAAAGATGAAGAGACGGCGAGGAGGTTTTTAGAGGAGAGCGCGTCGGGGAATCCCGCGTTTCGGGAGGCGCTGCATAGGGTTTTTGCGGTGCATATGCCGGTGGCGTCGGCGAAGCAGTTGGGGATGGTGTTGAGTATTTTGGGGTGAGTTTTGGTTATTGCTATGCTGAGTTTGTGATTGTTTGTCGTGTTCTGTTTTATGGGTGTTTTAATATTGGATGCGTTTATGATTGAATTTCTGGATTCAGGGGTACATGATTTCTTTTGGATGTCACTCCTTTTTTCTATTTTCAGCGTCTCTATGATGATCATTTTGATATCGACCATATCGGACATCTCCCCCTTCTCAAGATTAGATGCACGACTATGAGAAAGAACAAAAACTAATTTCTTCTGCAGAACCCGCGCCGGATCCCTATTCCTCACCGGATACCTCACCCCCATCAGCGAGCAACCCGCCTCCATCCGCGAATCCATCATCAAAAGCTGGTCCACCGCGCGCCTGCCCCTCCTCCGCCAACTCTTCCGCTCCCTCACCATGATCACCAAGCAAACCTGGATCAAAGTGACGCCGACGCTGCCCCAGATCCTCGGCATCCCCCGCGTGCCGACAGGCATGATCCCCGGCAAGGGCTTCGACTACGAGTTCCTGCAGATGCCGCCGGGGAGCGAGCCCGAGGTCATCGAGACAGACGTCGTGATCATTGGTAGCGGGTGCGGTGCAGGAGTCAGCGCGAAGAATCTCGCTGAGGCGGGGCATAGGGTCCTCGTTGTTGAGAAGGCGTATCATTGGACTCCGGACCACTTTCCTATGAATGAGAGAAATGGGTGGGAACATTTGTTCATGAGTGGAGCTGCCATGGTTTGTAAGTACCCGTCTCTCCGCATCTTTACATACAATACGTAAAGCGTTGTCAACACAACCACTAACCATCACCCCCAGCCGACGACACCACCATGACCGTGATAGCCGGGCAATCCTGGGGCGGCGGCGGCACTGTAAACTGGTCCGCGTCCCTCCAGACGCAAGGCTACGTGCGACAAGCCTGGGCGGACAGCGGCCTCCCCTTCTTCACGTCGGCCGAGTACCAGGACTGCCTGGACCGCGTCTGCGACCGTATGGGCGTCTCGACCGAGCACATCCAGCACAACCCGCAGAACCGGCACCTGCTCGAGGGGTCCCGAAAGCTCGGGTACACGCACAAGGCCGTGCCGCAGAACACGGGCAGGAAGCAGCATAATTGCGGGCACTGCACGTTTGGGTGTGGGTCCTGCGAGAAGCAGGGGCCCGTCGTGTCGTTCCTGCCAGATGCCGCGCGCGCGGGTGCCCGCTTCATCGAGGGGTTCCATGCGGAGAAGGTGCTGTTCGAGTCGAGGAATGGGGAGAAGGTTGCGACGGGGGTGAGGGGTACGTGGGCGTCGAGGGATGAGCATGGTGGTGTGGCGGGCGAGCCGTTGGTGAAGAGGGAGGTTATTATTAAGGCGAAGAGAGTTATCGTGTCAGCGGGCACAATGCAGAGCCCTCTATTGCTCCTGCGATCAGGACTCACGAACTATCATATTGGTCGGAACTTGCATCTCCACCCTGTCTCGCTGGTCGGCGCAGTGTACGACGAGGAGATCAAGCCATGGGAAGGTCCCATTCTCACGTCAGTGTGCAGCGAGTACGAGAACCTAGACGGCAAAGGTCACGGCACGAAGCTCGAAGCCACGAACATGCTCCCGTCGTCCTGGCTCATCTGGTTGAACTGGAAGAGCGGACTCGACTACAAGCTCAACGCCGCGCGCATGTAAGTACCACCACCACCCCTCCTCCTTCACACATCATGTAGCCCCATGACTAACACCTCCACCCCACAGGAAACACATGGCTGGCTACATCTCCGTCGCGCGGGACCGCGACACCGGCCGCGTATACCCGGACCCCGTAGACGGCCGCGTCCGCTTCGAATACACGACCTCCAAGTACGACCAGCAGCACATCCTGACTGGGCTCCTCGCCCTCGCGCGGATCCAATACGTCGCCGGGGCCCGCGAGATCTTCACCGTGCTCCCGGGGGCCCCCACCTTCATCCGCGACGACTCCGCCTCCTCGGATGGCATCAACGACGCGAAGTTCAAGGCGTGGCTCGAGGAGATTAAGTACATTGGGTTCCCGAGCCCGGACAGCATGTTCGTGAGTGCGCATCAGATGTCGACGTGTAGGATGAGTGCGACGAAGGGAGGGGGCGTGGTGGATGAGAATGGGCTGGTTTGGGGCACGAAGGGGTTGTATGTGGCGGATGCGAGTGCGATGCCCTCGGCTAGTGGGGTTAATCCTATGGTTACGAATATGGCGATTGCGGATTGGATTTCCAGGGGCGTGGCGAGGGGATTGAGGGAGCAGGCGAAGTTGTAGGTTGGTTGTCGAGTGTAAGAGAGGAGTGGGAGTTGGGGGGCATGTATTCCGTATGTAGGTGTATGTCTGGGAAGATTGTGGCCACTCGTAGTTATGGTTGTATATGAGACTATGGGTCGACTTTTGGGACGATATATATAATGGGGCGTAAATTCTAATGGGTTAATGACTAAATCTACCTGTTCCACCGCAACAACAACATCCACTATCGTAGGCGTTCTTTCTGCTCTGTAACGAACATAAGCTTGAACTTCGGCCCATTGGACGTCTCCAATATGTTGTTGAAACCAAGACGCTTTTGGAAAAGAAAAGGGGAGAAAAAGGAAAAAGGGGGATATCGAGTCGTTCCGTCATAAAATTCTCGATCATAGGGGGTATACTCTATCCATGCTCATCGAAAGACCAAATGAAAAACCAAAACCAAAACGAAAGTCAACGGCATGATGCAGGGGAGGGTAGAGATGGTGAACGAATGCAGTGAACACCAGGGCCAAGTTACCACGTTACAACCTCCCGTGGTCCAACTTCAACCTCTTCCACATGCCCAAATGCTCGATTCCCTCCTCGACCCAGTGCTCCTCCTTTGCGATCTCGACTTTTCCGTCCTCGTCCACCAGTTCCTCCGTGAAGCCATGCTTCTCCCACATCGACTTCACACCCACTTGCGCGTGTATCATAGCAAGTCCATTCCATATGACAGCCTTCTCCACAGCCTCGCCCATCTGGCTCGCAAGCTCCATTGTGGTCGGCGACGGTGGCGGTTGAATGGTGTCGGCATTCTTAGCAGCGTAGGTGAGGGCAGCATTGATTAGTAGCTGCGAGAGGCCCATCTTACGGTAGGGCCTGAGGATGGCTAGTCGACCGAGTTTTATGTAAGGTTCGGCGGGATGCTCATGAGCCACACTGGCAGGGGGATCGGTATCGGGATGAGATTTGTCCCCCTCGGACAGTTCTGTCTTGTATTTGTTCGGGCCATGCGGAGGCGGGACCAGACGTATTGTGCCAACGGCGAGGCGTTGGGCTGTCGCTGAAGCGCGGCGCTCCTCTTCTGCGGGAGTCCCTGTGGCTGCGGCCGTCAGGTTTGCAGGCGGCGTTGAGGAAGAGGCGACTGATGCGTAGACGACCCAGTGCCAGCTTCGTGAGTCATCCTCGTCAAATTCTGCCTCGAGTGGAACGCCTTGTTCGCCGTATACCTCCTCGCGAACGGACATTGCGTCCAGGAAGACCTGGGGGACGCTGATGGTCTGCTTGTCGTGTGTTATGGTGTTGTCGTAGTCCTTGACTGCATCGCCGGGTGGGCTTTGGATGGAGAGAAACTCGGTGCCTCCTCCATTGCCGTTCATGGCCCCGAAGCCGGAAACCACGTTGGTCATCGTAATCGCGTTGATGAAGTGTTGGTCAGAGTTGTTGTAGGCGCAGGGTGTATGTTAACCAGTTGAGTAGGCTGTTGTGTTACACTAGAGTAAAGAAGTGATGAAGGGAGAAGAAGGGATGGGTAGAGGGAGTTCGAAAGTTATATTTGGCGTCCAAGGAAGGCGCTTTCGACTCAAGATATGGTGTGAGATTATCAAATTCGGACTCGTTCGCGCTATCGTTTCGGGCAAATCTTAGTTGTTCTATGTGAGAGATCGTCCTGGGCCACAGCCACGAGACCGCGTGCACTTTGCTCGGTGAGTATCCAGAACTGAGACAGATGTTCAGCACGGTGCTGATGATTCGCCAGTAGATCTGTGAGGGGTTGCTGCCACGCAATGTGAGGGTGGGTTTCAAACCTTGCCTGATGACGTCGTTGCTGTCCATCACCGCCAGAAAGTTTTGGACCCTTAGATTCGGCTGACTTCCCGAGCCAATGGGACAGTTTCATCTTCTTATTCAGCCACCACATTCATCTTCTTCGCCTGCACTGTGCAAGCAAATCCACTGTACTTGCTACACGTGGAACAAGATTTGTTGATTTCGTCCCGTCTTTGCACCAAGATTTTCCATTTGTACAGGTTTTCCAATAACAATGCCTGGTCTCCTCTGCATATCATTCCGATTCGAAACTCGGCTCCAAAGGGTCTGGGTGCGGGGTCCATATCACGTGATGGTATGGACGTTGCTCAGACTTGGATTTTGGGTTTTCAAGATCAAATTAAGTTTAGAACATCCGGCAGAAGAATTGCAATGGGAATATGGCGGTGTATCTATTTAGTAACATATTAATTTGCATGAACCAAAAGAATATGCGACCAATGGTACTGGATATTCCGTTCTGTTGTTCTGTGGTGATCGCTTTTGCAGGTCGGACCGTGCGCACGCTAAAATCTATCTCTCGTCTCTACGCAGCACCGCAGTTCGACGACGTCTATCTGTGAGGCATCGTGACCTACAAGCATACATCAACAATGCAGCGTCGAATGGTATGAACTTAGTCTTTTGATGGGACGTAATTCACCAAGTCGTCTACCAGTACTAACTCAAGGACAGCTCAGCAAAGAGGACGAGGCGGCGACAGGTGGGGAGGATGTGCAAGTGCGTCGCGAGGACCAGGAGAAAATCAACAAGTTTAGCACACTTCACCAGAAGGAGGTCGCGCTCGAAGATGAGTTGAAGGCGAAGCAGGTAAGCTCGATCAACTAGCAATAGCAAATTATTGACCTACTATTTTTGGGAACTCTGGCTGATTGGACAAAACAGAAAGAGAAAGAGGATTTAGAGGAAATCAGCATGGAATTGGAGCTCGTCGACGAGGATGATAAAGTACCGTAAGTACTATATTTCTGTAGAATGCCTCATGCTTGATGTTTTCTTCAGATTTCATCTGTTTCATCTCTGAGGAATTCAATGGGAATTCGACGGAACAATCATGAAATGCTCGGACTACAATTCCGATACCCAACGACGCAACAACATGCTTACCATGTATAGATACAAAGTCGGTGACTCATTCGTCTCCTTACCGCAGCCTCAAGTTCTCGAGATGCTCTCCGCATCTACAGAAAGCATCGATGAAGAAGTCTCCGTGCTGAGGGAGAAGATCGATAGCATCCATGAAGAGATGGAAGGCTTGAAGACGGCGCTGTATGGACGATTTGGAAGAAGCATCAATCTGGAGACCTAAAGCGTTAGCATGAATGACGGCAATTCGGGTGTAGCGGCAAGACCGTCGTCCAGAGACATGCCGATTTGGAACAATCTCTATCTGGCTGCAACCGAACAGAAAGCATTCCGGAAACGGAACTGGAACAGCTTCTGGACGCGCCAACTCCGAACGGAATGCATCTTTTGGAAGACTCGGAACCAAAATCTCTTGTGCGCACGCCCTACGCCATGCCACGCCTTGCCCTTTTCTTCATTTCCGAGAATTTGCGGCAATAAACAATTGGGTTCTCAAATACGACAACCAGTCACAGTTCATTGGGCTTCATAACCGGCCGGTAAGTGGGTCGAAAATCGAAGCTAGCCTAGTTTGCCGCCTTAAACGAACCAATCAACACAAGTTTCAGCCATGATCCAGTCGTGTATGCACATCCTTCTCCCAAACGAGTAAACTTTGTTGCGGATATGAGAGCAGTTTTTGGGACCGCGACCTCGGATATGCTAATTAGTCTCGTAGCAGCGGGGTCAATGAATCGTCATTCCTTATCACAGATGAATTATAAACTGCTAGTTTCTAACCTCAATTTCGACAAAAGCCTTTTTGCTCCCTTTTTTACATTCGTTCAAAGTCTCTACGTCGTGGGACGAGGCATGATCCAACATGTCGAACCTCGAAAAGACCTTTTCGCGTGAGCAATCGCGACTTGGCAATGATAATGAACTCCGAGCCGTTACTACGCCACATAGTGAAATTGTTCGAACTGTGACTCAAGGTGCGCCGCCCCTTAATAACTAATCATAGACTGCGAGAGATCGTTTGAATTAACCCATCTTCAGAGAGATCTTCCCGTCTTCCGCGGATAAAAAGCGAGGCAGATGATATTGATGCGCAAATCGACTTTGAGAAAGACGAAGAATACAACGCCGATTCCCCGGATTCGGAGACTTCCCCAACAGGACAAGATGGAGAAGAGAATGCGTCTCATCGAATTATAATTCGATTTGATGATGACGATCCTGAGCAACCCAACAATTGGAGTAATGTAAGCCTTTACTCATTGTTCCACCATGTCAAGAATTTGGGACTAATAGACATGAGTAGAAGCGAAAGATTTACGCCATCTTCGTGGCTATAATGATGGGTAAGACCTTCTACGAAGCATGAAATCTAATATGGGAATTGCCGGCTAACGAATCGATAGTCATGAATTCAACAATATCAAGTTCCCTTGCCGCAGGTGCAACCAAGCCAATCTCGAAGAAATTCGGAGTAACTGACGAAACACGCCTCATTCTCCCAACATCCATCTTTCTCGTTGGATATACCTGCGGACCTTTGGTATGGGGACCATTATCGGAATCATTTGGCAGGAAATGGCCCATGATCGCCTCGTTTGCCATGTTCACAATATTCTCAATCGCATCTGCAGTATCACCGAATTTTGCATCCCTGGTAGTCTTCCGTTGGCTCGTCGGAGTGGGAGGGAGCTGTTCTCTCAGCGTTGTTGGTGGTATCTGCGCCGATGTTTACCATGACCCAGTCAGCCGTGGTAGGAGTATGGCCTATTTCATGGCGGCTACCACATTTGGTCCTATCATGGGCCCCCCAATATCCGGTTACATCTCAACCGTTTCCTGGAGCTGGACCTTCTGGATTGGAGCAATCATCGCTGGCGCTACCTGGCCGCTCATTTTGGTTTTCCCCGAGACATATGCACCCGCCATATTAAAGCAACGTGCCCGGAAGCTAAGGAAGGAGTCTGGAAACATGGATATCATCGCACCCATAGAACTGGAGAAAACCGACATAGGCCACATCATCACGGTAGTACTTACGCGGCCTTTCCGCATGATACTTACCGAGCCTCTGGTATACTGCACTTGCCTGTACCTAAGTTACGCCTGTAAGTTTCACTCTTACCAACCATCCCCAAAAAGTCCTCTCTCGCTGACTGTCCAACCCCAGACGCAATCTTCTACATTTTCTTCCAATCATACCCGATAATCTTCCAAGGCATCTACGGCTTCAGCGCCGGAGAATCGGGCCTCACGTTCCTCCCCATCGGCGTCGGCGCCGTCCTGGCCGCCGGCATCTACCTAGCCTGGGACCACATCCTCCTACGCGCGCAACGCACCCACAAACCGTGGGCCCAGTCCGAAGAGATGCGGCGCCTCCCCCTCGCCGCCATCGCCGGCCCATGGTTCGTCTGCAGCCTCTTCTGGATGGGCTGGTCCTCCCGCGACGACATCCACTGGATCGTGCCCACGCTCGCGGGAATCCCCTTCGGAATAGGGTATCTGTGTCTCTTCATGGCACTGCTCAACTACCTCGTCGACGCGTACGAGATCTTCGCTGCGTCTGCGATGGCGGCGGCCTCGTTCACGCGCTCGACGTTCGGCGCTGTGCTGCCGTTCGCCGCGAAGCCGATGTACAGGAAGCTCGGCGTGCCGTGGGCGTGTAGTCTGCTGGGCTTCTTGAGCGTCGCGCTGTGCGCTATCCCGTTTGTGTTTTTGAAGTTCGGTCCGCAGATCAGGGCGAGGTCGAAGTTTTGCCAGTATTTGGCGCAGAAGAAGGCGGAGGAGATGGAGGAGGCGCAGAGGAGGAGGGGGAGTAAGGCGCCGATGGAGGTTGTGAGGGAGTCGGCATAGAGTTGTTTCGTTGCGTCTGCATATTGCATCTGCATGAGAAGATGAGAAATAAAAGCATATCGGAGCATGGCGTTTGGCATTGATCAAAAGGACAAAGGTATTTCTTTGTGGAAAGCATTTTGAAGACACTTCATACAACGGCTTCACGAAAGCCAGGTTTAATAAAGTAATAATAATATAATTGCATCCTTCATATCAACAAATGTTATCATATATAGATCTATTCGACACGCTCAATAGTCGGCCCCGCCTCTTCTATCTTATCCGCGAGATCGACGCTTATTTGCAGATTCCTCGCGCCGTTCAACGCCTTCGCTATGCCCGTCTCCGCACGCTCTTTAACCAGCAACCTAAGACTACTAATCAGGAAAGCACCCAACACATCCACGCTCCATTCATTCGGGATGATCTCAAGCACCTCTATCACGTCGAACCAGCCGCCGAACCGCTCGAGCAATTCGCCCGTCCTCGCGACGCGCTGTGCGAGATCGTCGAGACGCAGGGTTTCCTGTAGGAGGTGGTGGAGCAAGACGGCTTGCTCCTCGCGGCTGGGGATCTCGTTCGCGGGGATGTAGCCTGAGCCTTCGGGACGGTAGATGCTTGATCCGCCGAGGAGGCAGTAGGAGATGGCGGTGTCGTAGTCGCCGAGGCCGTGGGTCAGCAGACGAATGGCTTCTTGGTGGCGGCCTTGTCTGCCGCTCAGGATGATCATTTCTGGGACGAGTTCCTTACTGTACGGCTCGAGTCGAGAGAGGATTAAGGGGACGTCGTAGGAGGAGGTGGCGGGCTGGTTGCTGCCCAGGAGTTGGAGGAGGCGGAGTCGAGAGTTCCACCATTCTGTGCCGAGTGCGTTGTCGGTGATAAATTGTCGATAAGTGGGCTTGGGAGGTTGAAGGATTCGGTAGGTTTCGTAGGTTTGAAGGAGAATGTCACGCGACTCGGATGAGCTTTCGAGCTCGTCGATGACGATGTCCAGGTAGAATGAGATGAGTTCGTTGACGTATTGAGTGTGCTGTGAGTGTTAGGGGTTGGTTTCTTCCAAGAGGATAGGAGTCCATACCTTTTGGCCAAAGACGAGATACTCTAGGTACTCTTTGACAGCACCTGGCGCCTTTTCGCGGAGAAGAGGAACCGCGCGTGCCGGATCAAACTTCACTCTACTTGAATCGTCTGCAAAGACTTGCACGCCCAACTTAGGGTTGCGGTTCGCCAGCCACGAACCGTATTCCTCGACAAGAGATTGATCTCGAATTTTGGAGAGATATTCTCGTACCCTGACTTCGCCATTGACGAACTCACCTCCCTCGTCGGCCTCGCCTTCGAGAATGCGCTGCCATACCGACAGAACATTGGAAGCTTTCGCTGATGACTTACTGTTGCATTGGTAGAAACGACTAAGCACGTATAATCGTTTGAACTTCTCAAGCAGGGTTACTGCTCGATCAAAGCATTCGACTTCGCCGTCAACGAATTTGTTGAGCTCGTCCCGGACGGAACCAGACCCACTGGCTGCAGGCCCCTTCGAACTGTTCTGATCAAGCAACAGCAAAATGTGAAGATAGGCAGCGTCGATCGTTTGGAAGACGTATGGGTCGTTAGTGACACTTGCCATACCCTTACGTCTTCTCCAGAACTGCAAGTACGTTTTAACGAGTCGAAGCAAATTATCGCCAAATGGCCCATTGACGGATGCAGGCATTGCAGCTATTTCATTTTGCTGCGAGAATTCCTCAACTAGTGATGTGATTCCACCAGAGATCTGTATGCCTTCTGGCCCTTGCACAACTTCCTGATTCAGAATGGGCAAGAGAGAAAGAACTACTCGGGGATCGATTTCTCCCTCTATCAGCGCTTGTTCGGTAATGCGCTTCTCGCTCTCGAAGATGATGATATTAGTGTTACTGCGGAGTATAAGGTCCATGAAAAGAAGCAGAGATGCTTTCTGCCGAATGTATATAAGACCAAGGTACTCGGACTCATTACGAGGCTCTTGGTCGCGAACATCACCTAGAACTTGCTCAATGGTGCTGCGAGTTGGTTGGATCCGTTCTCCGTCCCCAGTCGGTGTAGTCTGAGCATATTCTAGACGGGCATCAAGGCGAGTAACGAGTGGATTGCGCACAACCCAGCTTATTTGATCACCGGTCCATAGGATTGTACGGGTTTGTAGTTTAGATAGTCGTTCCGCGAATTCGAGGTCTTCCTTCTCCAGCTTGGCTTGAGGGTGATGGTCTGTAGTGTCTCGGCCTTCTTGCGCATCTGATGAAATTTTCAGACGTTTAACTGTAAGCTTCTCGCCAATTTCCGAGAAGATCAGGTCGCTTTTTTCTACGACCGTCCGGAGACCCAGTGGTGCCTTGGCACGTTGTCCACCCTCCTGCGACAGAGCTTCTCCAAGAGGGGTCAGATCGAGCCACTCCTTCGATGCCTCGCCTTCGCCAGGATCTACGTCCCAGCGTTGAATCTCGATACCGTACTCGGTGTTATCATTCGAAAGGTTGCGTACTGCAGCCAGAACGTACCCTTCTTCGGCATCAAAGTCAGGACTTATCGAGGCGGATAAATCAATCCCGGAACCATCTACAACGATGGCATCGGGGTAACTCGCAAATTGAATGCTTCCTCTACACATGTCACCGTCTAAGTTGACAAACATGCCGACTCCCGGTTCCGCCGGCGTGGTACCCACAGTAAGTAAGAACTCTGTCGGACACGGCGATGCAACGTGCGGCTTGAGAGGAACAAATTCTTGTACCTGGACTTGCACTTGCGGCTCGGTGCTCTCCTGAGACACTGGCGGCGGGGGAAGCGGCTTCTCCGGCGAGGGACTGGTTCGCCTGGTTGTACTTGATGGACGGCCAAGTCTTTCGGGAGATCGCCCAGGAGTTCCAGGAGCAGGCGAAATCGTCCTAGATAATGATTCTGGCACATCAAACCCATAACGTTGTCGAGACGGTCTTGGGCTCTCGGTTCGAGAAACGGGACCTGTGTTTCCAAAGATTCCCAGACTAGAGCTACGTCCATGTCCCCGGTGCTCTTCAGGACCGGGTCCGCGCGGATGCACACTCGCTGAAGAAGTGCTCCGCGATGGGGCATGAGCAGTGGTAGTTATATCCTCAGCTGCTCCGCCAACGTGACCAGCTTCGGGATCCAAAGATGATATCGGGAACAGGCCAATCTTCTGTTGGTGCTCAACATCCAGGAGGGCATAAGAATGCGAGTCGGCTGCGCAGGAGAAGGCATCGCGACGGACAGAAATCAGACAGCCCCCGTATTCAATAGTTTTAAGGCTTCTAGGTTGTGCATGCTCGGACACCCTGATCAAGCGAATCCTGCTTTTAAGACCCAGCATCACCACCACACCTTCGCCGCCAGCTTCATCCTCAATATTCAGATCGGTCCCACCGACCCATGTACAAGTCAATGGCTTGGTGCTTGAATCGGGGCTAAGTTCGGGCAGAGAATAGAAGGTCAGAGTGTTGTTGCAGAGGATACAAGCCTTATTGACTTTTGGTAGTAAGAGGATCTGTTGAACGCCGACACCGATATTATTGGAGTATGGAGGTTCGAGCCTAGAGGCTATAATGGCGGTGGGCTCGTTCGAGGAAGCATTGGGTTCGGGTGGTAACAGTACGAAGTGGAGGATCTCAGCGGCAGAGGTACCAACGTAGAGGTTGTTATCTACAAACAATTGAGCGACGCATTCTATAGAGACAACAATTTCGCGCACTTACTCCATACTTCCACACAGGTAATGTTTACGTCTGTCGACTGGCCATCAGCAGAGAGAGGTAAGTCGGAAACGAGGCGGCGAAGCACGTAGGCACCGTCTTGAGGTGGGCGCCTCTGCGGCATGATTGACGACGATGCTTCTGACATATCGTTGAATCGCCGTAATCGCCATAACTGCCTTTCAGCAGCACGACAGGTTCCCGATCATCCTAGGGTCGATTGTCGGTAGAACAGGAAGTTGTGTACACACGAGTGTGCTCGTACCTGTTGAGTGGTGTTGGAGTTGAGCTCTGCGGGCCTGAGCTTGCGACGCGCACCAATCGGGGCTTGGGACCATGCCGCATCACCTCCGGATTGTGAAAGCTGTCTGTACGATGTAGCCAACACCACCTCTGTAATCACTGCAAGACGTCGCGACATCCCATGTTGCAGATCACAACCACTCGCTCGGACTGGACTCATCTTCCCGTTACTTCGGAACGCGCGACAGCACTGCTAAACCACCTGCACCGATAATTTACACGATCATCGCAACACGTTGCGCACAGGGATGGAGGGCGGATTAGATCTCGAGCATAGCATCTCGCAGGATGCTGTGCGAGATGACAAAGAGCAGCAGGAACTGGCGCAAGAATCTGCGGGAGACAACAAATTCCAGACTGCCATCGGTGCCTGGAGAAGTACGCCAACATTGCCTTTGATCTAGACATGAACCAGTCTGACCTTGTCCATAGACATCGACTTGAATACGCTGGTCCCCCAGCTTGACACTGTAGCCTCGGACCTTGTTGCTCACCAGCGCGATGCTCTTACACAGCGAAAGGATCTCGCACAGAAGACCAAGGACTTCAGACGCTTGGATGATGCCAGCAAGTTGAATGACATCAAAGGGCTTTTGAAATGTTGGTGATTCCCCATACGAAGTCTCTCTGAATTTACAATACTCATGAACCATACAGCCTACCAATCTTTCATCGACCTAATCTCGAACCAATCCAAGACTGTCCAGGCAGCATTCTTTCAAGTTTACTCACCACTGTCCGATGCCCCCGATCCGTATCCCTTGCTCGAAGCCTCGGTAGATTCGCTAGTCACGGCCGAGGAGACATTGCCAAAACTCACCTCGGAGAATGAGCGCCTGCAAAGGACCGTTGCGACACTTACCACACAGCTTGAACATGCAGAGAAGAAACTGGAAGAGGAGCGCACGGCTCGCCGAGCGTTGGAAGAGGGTCGCGATAGCCAGGTCAAAGAGGTCGAGGCGTCATGGACAGCAGTATTGAAAGAAAAGCAGGACAATTGGGAGGCAAAGGAGAAGAGTCTGGAAGAGAAGGTTGAGAGTCAAGACAAGTTGCTCAAGGAGCTCAAGGCCAGCTACGAGGTTTCGCAACGATTGGGCAAGGGAGAGGATGCAGACGGCGAGGCCACCCGTGGGGCTACAGCTGCAGAACTCGAGATCGTCAGCTCCGAATTGGAGAGGACGAGCCACCGTCTAGCTGATGTGGAGGCCCGCAACGAACAATTGCGCTTAGAACTGGCCCAATCTGCATCGGCACAGGTCACTCGACAGACACCTGTTGAGGACGATCCTGCTTATCTACGATTGCAATCCGAAAACTCTTCCCTCCTCAGGAAACTCGAAAACTCACGCTTCGAAAAGGACTCTGATCGAAGCAAGCTTGAGACCGAGACCAGAAGCTTGGAGCGAGAGATCAAGTCACTCAAGAATGAGAAGGACGCTTTGCGGGAGAAGGTACAGAAATGGAGCGATTATGAGAACGTCAAGCAGGAACTTGAAGTGCTCAAGGTACGTATCACGTTCCCCTTGCAGGATAACAACTTACCTTTCCTAGTCCATCGAATTCGCGACAGGTGACGATGACGACGAGGCAACCGAGATTGCGCTTTCGCAAAATGGCGCCGCAGCCAAGGGCAAAGGAGAAACCCTGGAACAGCTTCTCCTCGCTCGAAACAAGAAACTAAGCAACGAACTCACAGTCCTCAGAGTCTCGCATCAAGACCTGCAAAGTCGATTGGAGACCATGCAGGAAGAGCTCTCCAGCACAAACATGGAACTAGAGAAGTCAAGAAACTTGAACGAAACACTCGAGGCCGACCTGGAAAAAGTCCAACAAGAGGCTTCGAACGCCTTCGAATCGTCAGCCATGTCAGTCGCTGGCACATACACATCCCGTTACCCCCAATCATCGTACGGGGGCACTCGGCGTGGACGAGCCACATCTCCAACATCATCCATCATCTCCGGCTTCGACCCGGCACACTCGCAGACGACCCTCTCATCTTTGCGAGCCGGTGGCGAGCCCGGCGGCGGAGGTTCAGGTATCCTCCCCATGGTCACCGCGCAACGAGACCGCTTCAAAAAGCGCAACGGCGAGCTCGAGGCCGAGCTCCAAAAGTCCTACAAGACAGTATCGACTCTCCGTTCCGAAATTTCGGCCCTGCAGAAAGACAATCTCGATCTGTACGAAAAGACAAGATACGTCTCGAGCTACAACCGCGGCGGTCATGCGTCGGGAACTTCCGCGACTGCGGTGAATGCCAACCCTTCGACTATCCACGTCTCCTCGGACACATCATCTGGCCTCACCATGGATCGTTACCGCTCAGCTTACGAGTCGTCGATCTCGCCTTTCGCGGCTTTCAGGGGCCGGGAATCGAACAGGGCGTTGAAGAGGATGAGCGTGTTCGAGCGGCTTGTCTTCCGCATCACACGGCTCGTGCTCGCTACGCGAACGAGCAGAAACCTCTTCGCAGCGTACTGCATGGGCTTACACCTCATGGTCTTCTGGATGCTGTATAGCTACGCGACGGCAGACATTGGCGCAGCGGTGGCCACGGCGACGGCGGCAGGTGGACCGGTCGCTGTACCGGGGACAGAACCTGTCGAGTGGCAGAAAGAAAGCTTCGAAGAAGCGGGATAAATTCGGTTTTCTTGACTCCTCCGATAGATGTTGTGAGGATGCTTGTACTATTAGTGCCGTTCACGCCTCGAACCTATTTGCTGGTGCATGCTGCACATTTGCACACATACTAGGGTATCAGATTTCCTTGGAGCGTTCATGGTTGTGGGCATCATAATCACTGGAAAGATGAATAGCATATGTTTTCGGGAATTTGAAGACCAATTCATTTCACTATCTGCCACTGTTAATGTTCAGCTCGTTCCCGCCCTAAATTCCTTTCACTTCAAAGAACACGAAATGATGAATGAAATATGTTTAATTAAATCCCATCCGGGTATTCCAGTAAGTTATATATGCTACATGGCGGAGCCCAAGCCGCCATTTACAAGAAAAGAAGCAGCAGCAGGCGCAGCAGAAGAAACGCCAATTACAATGCAGACCTAGCTACAAAAGCGGTGCGCTATGCCAACGAAGAAGATACCATCCCAACAACATTCCCCCCCGTTTTTTAGTTGTAGAACCAGTACTCAGCGGCGTACTCGACAGTGAAAGCACCAGTGATGCCCTCGCACGTCTTGGGAGCGACGCCGCCAGCAGTGTTGATGCGGTACACGGCCTTGTAGTCACCCTCGACAGCGTCGAGCTTGAGCCAGGGGACGCTGCCGAGGTTGTTGGTGCCCTTGGTGGCGGTGGTGGGAGCGTCGGAGGAGCTGTTCTTCTTGGCTTGCACGTAGCCGTAGTTGTTGTTGTCGGACTGGAGGAGGAAGAGAGGGACGCCGGCGGCGGTGAACTCGTGGTGCCCGGAGAGGAGCTTCTGGGCGATGTCGTTCTTGGGGATCGCGTGGTCGAGTGCGAGCTTGGTGATGTCGGCGAGCACGGCGGGAGCGCGCACCGCGGAGCAGGTCGCGTTGTAGAGGGATGCGACGGCGCCGACGGCTTTGGGTGCGTCCGTTGAGGAGGCGGTTGCGCAGGTGTAGTTTTGTGTGCCGCGGCCGACGGCGATGTGTGCGAGTTTGAGGCCGAAGGGTTCGGGGAGAGGTGTTGGTGCTAAGGCAAAGAGTCAATTTGAAGTTTGAATAGTTGAATGCATTGAGGACGTACCGATTGGCATCTTTAATTCGGAGAGATCGCAGGTTCCGTTCTGAAGAAGCTTCACTGTAGCGGCGGAGAGGTCGCGCTTGGTTGGGGTGGGAGCGGCGAAGAGAGCCGTGGGCGCAACGGCCAGGATGAAGGCAAGAGTGTTTGTGAAAAGCATTGTGTATGTTGTTGATCGATTTGTTTCAATTTTTCTGTTCCAAGTCGTATCGTTTGCAATAGAGGTAGTCCTAAAGGTACCCAAGTGAAACCACGAAAAGAGAAAAGTGACGAAGGAAACAAGAGATCCGGATCTCTCTCAAGGAAACGCTCGATAGGAAAAGAGAAAAAAGAGAAAAGGTGGAATGTTTTTGATGTTTGTTGAAGGCTGTGAATGAAACGAAACATTTGGTAGTGTACGAAGCATACCATATATATATCGAACGTCGACTCCACAAACACGTTGACTAGTGTACGCGCTCCCCATAGCAAAGATTAACCAAAAATAGTGGCAGTGGACGGTGATTGGCCGGCTGCAGATCTAGGTAAGCGCTTAAACCTTTGGTTCGTTAATCTTCCGACGGCAACCAACCCATTATGGGACTAGTAGCGGTTGCGAGTCGAGCCAGTACCCACGAAAAGGGCTATTTTGGGGACATTCTTAGATCTTTCCAAAGTTTACAATCAAGTGAGTGGGCCCTTGGCTGGTGGAAAGTCTGGCTTCCGAGAAGCTAGCTTGTGGTACTCGTACAGCAGATGTGGAGAATGGGAATTGTAGAAATGGTGTATCTATTCTTGAAACTCTCCAATTGAACTATGTTCTTTGACTAAGAGGTTACCTTTGGTCCATAGTACTCCATACAAGGCACACAGTTTCGCAATGTACTTGAGTATTTTGATCTCAACTTGCACTGGATACTAGATGGGTTGGCACTATTGTGTGCATTGTTTGGAGGGGATGCGCGTCGAATCTGTCGAATCTACGTGCAGAACCGTTTGTGGAACCGATAATTAAAGCCAGGATGGCGACCACCATCCGGCCTTAATTTGCCGTTCCTTGCGAGGTAATGAGCTCGATTTGGAAGGTCAAATTACACTTAATATAGATTATGGAGGGTCATATTAATGTCCTATCTCTGTGTGGATCCAGGCGTGTTGAAGGCTGGCCAATGAAATGAACATTGGCGGGGGGACGTAAGCGCGGGAATCCCAGCATGGGTCGAGGGTTGCAGCTGCACGGTAAACGAGATTGGTATGACTGGATGAGGAAGTTTGGTTTTGATCTTGGTAGACCGCGGAAATGCACGACTTATGGAAGATCTTTTTATCGAACCCAAGAGTGTGGGCGGTTCTTTGGTCGAGTTCGCGCAGACCAACAGAGCGTGGTCTGGCGCGTGCGAGGCTCCCATAACCGGGAGCTCTCTCATTCTGTGCCTCTTGACTGCAGCTTTCAAAGACTATTATAACCCCACCTTATGTCCCCTCATTTACCTGCATCGGATCGTTGACTTCCCATCCTTCTCACGCATAAGTTGCTAAGTAAGGATGTCGAATGACCCATTTACTAAGGTAAGCACGTTCAGAATTACGTGCTAACGTGGATACCCCAGGTGAGATTCGCATTCATCTCTCCTATTATGCGTTCTCCAATAAGCGATTCGAACTTTTGCTCGCGGAGTGTGTTGCAAGGATCGGATATCTTTCACATGGGACATCGAAGTACGTATGTACAATTCTCTCGGAGGGCGTACATTCGAATTCTGAAGTCTTGATTGCCTTTGCGAAATCCTTCGGCGGGGACGGCAAGTATGTGGAAATGAGCTGTCTCACTCTTCTCTCTTCTCCCGGCGGTGTCTCGAGCTTTTCTTCCGGGCCATCCCAGTGTCTACCTCCTTCCTGACTGGGTCTTTCTTCGGCCATGTCCTTGCAATATCGATACCAGATCGGGGCGCAAAGATTTCCAAGAATACGTATAACAGATAATCTATGATTGCACATAGGCAGAACAATTTGCCGGCCCAGATTCCGCAGCCGTAGTATCGCTTCAGTCTCTCGATGAGCGCGAAGCTCTGTACGCCGGCACGTCCTCGAGTTGCACTCCAAGCACCACCAGCTCCAGCACCCTGGTAGAATTCATCATGGCTAAGGGCGCCGCTGATACCATCGTAGACTCTTTCTGTGCGCTGTGCAACATCTGTCCACGAGTACATCTGCTTGACTTGGTTGTGGAAAAGCTCCGTTCGGACCTTGCCCGCCCTCAAAGCAGCAATTGCGCGCTCAGTTGCAGCAACAATATCATCCTCCTCAGGGGCCGCAAATTCGGTCATATGGCGCGGTAAGACTTCTGGTATACCTCCAACGCGCGTACAGACTACGTAAAGGCCGCAGGATGCAGCCTCAACAATGACAGTTCCGAAGGCTTCTGTGAGAGATGGATGAAGATAGATATGCCCTTGTACCATTACATCCCTGACCTCTTCGTGCCTAACTGGGCCAAATAGCAAGACCTTCTCTTGTAAGACATTCCTTTCTATCATTTGTTCAAGATCAATAGCTTTAGGCCCACTGCCTGCGATAATAAATCGCACGTTGGGGTTTGAAGCAAGAATGCGGGGTATGGCGGCAACCAGGAGATCGGTGCCTTTGTTAGTGAACAGACGCGAAATGACTACAATCTTGATAATGTCATGTGGTCCAAAGCGATGCGGTGGGCCCGGTGCATCGTGGGAAGAAGCATGCTCCAGGGGTTGAAAGTTCTCCGCGACAACTGCATTCGGAATGACGGACACCATTAAAGGGTCCAGAGAGGCTCGCAAGACGGTGTTTTCTTTGCTATTGCACTGGTCAGATGCCGCACAAATCTATTCTGGGAAGGGTATAACGTACCAAGTATGGCTGACGCAGATACAGTGATCCACATCGCTTAAAGTAAATTTTAGCAACTTATTTGTAAGTATACTTGCTGCATCTGAGAAGCCGAACAGACTATGATCAGTGAACACCGTCCTCAGACCCATCGTCCGCGCATGTAAGATTGCTTCGTGGCAGAGATTGCTTAAGCTGCCATGTCCATGCACAATTTCAATTTGCTCCCTGATGACGATGTTTCGAAAGACAGGGAAGAATGAGAAGACAGTAGGGAATGTCGTCTCCCGATATATCACCCAAAAGGGGACGTGATAAACTTTGAGCCCATTCGTGAGGTATCGCACACCTGTTCGACCAGCATATGCATGTGTCACGATAATGACCTTATGGCCCCGATCTATGAGTTTCTATGTCTTACTTAGTACAGATGGAATGAGAAAGAGGAATGAAGAACTAACACTCGAGAGCTGATATATGTGACTCTCAACACCACCTGGAAATCATTAGAAGAGAGTTCTAGCAACACAAGGACAAACATGCCTGGTTGTGGGAAGAAGTAGTCGCTGATCATACTAGAATGCACGAATTAGGATCTATCTGCCAATGAGGGTCATCAGACGTACGCAATATTGTACGGCATATTGACTGAATACACGGAAGACCTCCGCAGGGCAAAGCAGGCGATAGAGTTTCAAACATGACAAGTCAACGCAAGCTCATGAGACTGACATCTAAGCTTCCCGCTGTCAGATTTGGTGATGGCGTCGATTTCTCCTACGGAAATGTTGAATGGAACGTTTAGAGAAGTTGCCATGTAGAAGAAAGAAGGGGCTAGCGTATCGCTGTAGCTTTACCCCTGCTAGTAAGATGTCGGCGCATCAAAGCTCCGATCTTCCTTGGCGCCATTGGAATTTCTTCTGTCCATCTTGAATTTATTCTCAATCTTAGAAATCGAATTGCGCATTGCGATTCTTCTACATTTCCTCACCATAACGATGCCCGGGGAACTCTATACGCGATGGGTTCCTCCGTCCAAACCCATGGCCTCCATTACATCCACTCCGAGCAAAGCAAAACAAGAAAGATCAAGTCCAAATGCGACACTCATTACCAAAACTCCGGATGACGAGCTTGAAGAAGAGACGAGTTCTTCGAGTTCAGAGGCCTCCGACGAAGATGATCAGGACGAAAGGAGTACTACGCCAGAGCCTGCCCCACGAGCGAAAAAGCGCAAGAGAGGTTCCGACGTTCAGGTTGCGGCAGACGAGGTTGACCCAAGTTTAAAGAAACATCGATCAATCTTGTCCAAATTCGAGAAATCTATGAAGTTATCTGCTCAGGAGAGTGCCAACAACAAGAACAAGGATGCCGAAGAGGAAGAGGCGCCAGCCGAAGAGTTACATGGTACGTACAAACATCAAGCGCAGCAGCCATGATTTCGCAAAGATCAACCTACTGACCTCTTTCCTAGATCTGGTACCACTCCTACAACCAGCTCCCGTGCCTGACGCTCCCTTCAAACCCACGTTTTCGACCCTCCCAACGTGGCTTGCCAAACCCATCACCGTGAGCTCGACGAAAGCTGCGCCGTTTGCTAGTTTAGGTGTTGACGAAGTAATGCTGGTCAAATTGAAGAAACAAGGTTACGAAAACGCATTGGCTGTTCAATCCGCTTTGGTACCAATGCTACAACCCGGATTTGAGCAACACCTAGGCGACATCTGTGTGTCGGCCAGGACAGGATCAGGCAAAACACTCGCATATCTCCTTCCAATCGTCGCGGCATTGAAAGATCGAGCGGTTACAACACTGTCTGCAATTGTCATAGTTCCATCCAGACAATTGGTTGATCAGGTGGTCAAAGTTGCCGAGGAGCTGTGCGTCGGAACAAGGCTAAAGGTTGCAGCCGCACAAGGCAGTGTGCCTCTCACAACGGAACAGAATATGCTCGTGCGGATACGGCAGCAATATGATCCAAGGCGGTCGAAGGAGCGACAGGGAAAAGCTAACCCCAAGTCGAACTTGGGTTTCACCCAGCGAGGTAGCATTCGCGACCATCTTGCGGTTATGGCCCCTGACCATGTACCAAAGTATGAATCGAGTGTTGATATCCTCGTTTGTACTCCGGGTCGTCTTGTGGAGCATATCGAAGCAACTGATGGCTTTTCACTCCATTCAGTTCGCTGGCTGGTCATTGATGAGGCTGATCAGCTCTTGAATCAAAATTTCCAAGGCTGGTCAAACGTAGTCATGGATGCGTTAGAACGAGACACATCTAGTTACTCTACAGACGATTCTGCGTCCCGTCATCTCCGTCCGGAGTCTATCATATCTCTCGCCTTACCAAAGCGAAGGCAAATTACCAAGGTTATATTGAGTGCAACCATGAAGAAAGATCTGACGAAGCTGGGCACGCTCAGATTAAGGCGGCCGAAGCTTGTCGTTGTGGAAAATGATCTCGATGAACAACGACTATCTGCGGCGGATGGCGATGTGTTCGAGCTGCCAACAACTCTCGATGAATTCGGCCTACCAGTCTCGGATGGATCCAAAAAGCCTTTGTATCTCCTCTATCTATTGCTTTATCATATCTTCAGCGAAGATGGTTCCAACAATGAATCTAAGGATACCTCAGAGTCCGATTCCAATGCGGAGTCAGGTTCGAACCAACCGGGCCTAGGTGCTACCCTGGCGAGACATTCAAGTCGCGTTTTGATTTTCACCAAGAGCAACGAGAACGCCTCGAGGCTTTTACATCTACTAAGCTTCCTTGAGCCACCACTGGTACCATACATGAAAGCAATGGCGCCGTCAGCTACATCGAAAGCATCACAGAAAATACTCAGGTACTTTGCTCAGGGAAAAACCAAGATTCTAGTGGCTTCCGATGCAGCTTCGAGAGGACTAGACATCCCTGACATTACCCACGTCGTGAACTATGACATACCATCGTCAATTACAAGCTACGTTCATCGTGTTGGGAGAACGGCAAGAGCAGGGAAGGCTGGTCAGGCCTGGACACTCGTGGCCAAGAATGAAGCAGCGTGGTTCTGGAAAACTATTGCAACTGGCGGTGTCGTTAATCGAGGAGAAAGGAAGGTAACTCGACAAGAACTTAGCGAACGGGACGTGACTTGGGATAGAAAGAGAATGTACCAGGAAGCCCTCAGCAAGTTGCAAGGTGCCGTAGAAGATGGTGGCGAAATTGCGGCATGATCCATACACTTACGCCCCCACGCCTCGCTGTAAGCTTTTAATATACGAAGCGAATAGACCAACAATGCTTAGCGCATAAAGAAGCTTTTGGTCAAATGGTTATCATTCCTACATTGCACCATAAAGGCCGAGGCTGGTTGGAAGAGACGGCAAGCTTATGAATGCTCCGATCAGATGTTTAGATTTATGAGCAACAATGCTTTCCTATCACGGTATTCTTCTAGTACTTGCAATCAAAAGAGCAATTGACGACATTGCATGTTCCACAAGTAAATGTGTGAACCGAACCAAAGATGGAGGGTCTAATGCATGTAGGCATTCTCAATGCACATATTAGGACCTTGAATCCGGAGTTCATGTCGAGCTGATCAAACTCTGCATTGTATTTCGGCCAACCTGATGCGTTACTATTGGACAAGGGTGGAACACTTGTGATGGGTAATGCGGGTAGCCGCTTGGTCACCAAAGGTCTCGTGATAGAGACGATACCTGTCAACGACATAAGTGTGTAGGCACAAAGACACAAGGAAATGTTCTATGGTCTTACGATACTTGGCAATGGTGTATTTTCCCTTCCTGTGTCCAGTACAACTTGGACAGTATAGCAAGGAACGGGACTTCGGCGTCTTCGGACATTAATGATGCGCTTGCACCGTCGTTTCATGCACGCGATCCGTTAATCACGTCTGGGGCCCCTTCCAAGACGTGCTGTGTATCTCCAATCCATTGTACGCTCTAGCTGGGTCGGTGAAATCCGTGTAGGTCTCGACGGACGCTAGACATAGTAGGATGTTCTATATTGAAGAAGATCGCTCTCCTTGGAAGGTGCTCATTCACTGCCGCACACCCCAGTCGCTGAAATACGGCCGATCCGTCGCTCTAAGATCTTCTGACCAACCAACAAGCCTCAGACCTAGGAACTCAATCCGCCAAGCTCGGATCCAAATGCTTGACCAGGCTTGCCAGAGGCTTAAGTGGCCAACGGAGCTTGTTCGTGCAGGGCAGCATCATCTTCAATGTTGCAAGGTTGACATCCATTGAACACAGTAACGGCGAAGACGGCTGCTCCGTTATCATTTGTACATCCTACCAATAGAACTCTATTATTCCCGCCCACCTGCTATATGAAAATCCCCACCAAGTTTGTGAGCTGCTACTTTGTCCAAGGTGCATCTTTGTGGCAGTACATTGCCTCTTAGACTATTGGTCGATGCAATATATTCTCTACAATTGCGTCTTCTTACCCATGTTCCCTACTGGTTCCCTCGAAGGCCTGAAGCCGCTCCCAAGGGAACAACACTAATTCACAAATGAGCTATCGCACACATTGCGCATTATAATGAGTCGTTTAGATGGTCAGTATCGGAACACAGCCTAAAGCAGAAGGTCAACGGATGTACACACCAGGCTACTATACTCAACTGCCAAGATAGGACATTTCGCATTGAGTGGCCGCGAATTTGATTGAGCATGTCGATCCCCAGCATGTTCGGAACGTTTTTGAGTGCTTTGCAATACAGCACACATATCGTCGTCGTGCCAGCGACACAACTATATAAGAGTCGTATTGCTCTACGTTACTCGACTTCTGTACTCCCAAGCACTACCATCCTCAGGGCCGAATTCGCTTTAAAGGTCGCTCTCCTCTCGCTCATTTGTTCTTCTGTCTGTACGGTGCTCCTGTGCAATTCCTTCCATTATGCCTTCGCTCTCTGCTCTCGCCACCCTGTTGGCGTTCTCTGATGTCATCCTGGGCTCTCCAGTTGATGTCCAGAAGCGCAAGCCCTTCTCCCTCGGCCAAGTCGAGCGAAAGAAATTCGTCAAGCATGGACCTACGCAGATGGCCAAGGATCTGCGCAAGCATGGAGTCGCAGTGCCGGAAGCCATTTCGATCGCGGCGGCCGCCGGTCCGAACGGCAGTGCCCCAGCTGTTCCAGGCGACCAGTACGATTCTCTGTAAGGACTCCCGACATATTCTCAGCCCAGTTGCCACGAGCATCATTGACTGAACAATTATGCAGATATCTTACGCCTGTCACCGTTGGAAGCTCGACGTTGCAACTCGATTTCGACACCGGCAGTTCTGATCTGTGAGTACCTTTATTCTTCCATATCATCCGCTGCCCGATTGGGCAGTCAGAGATGCTGCCAAGTCGGAAGCATTGGAGTGCATCGGGACCAGATATCGCACATTATCGCGCCATGGTCATGACGCAACATAAAGTCCTTTCTGGCATGTTGCAGTGTCTTATGCCATCCTGTTGGATTGCATGGCTGTCAAAGCGTGATAAGCAGAGAAGGGGGCAGTCCAGCCATTCAATACGACTCTTACGAAAATTCGCCTCTTCAAATCATGACTGTCACATCAGACATAGAAAAAGAGTAGCAGCTAACTCTCTCTCAGATGGGTGTTCTCGTCCCTTCAAGCTTCCAGCCAATTGACCGGCCACGATTACTACAAAGTCGATGCAAGCAAGAAGGTTGCAGGCGCAACCTGGAAGATCTCTTACGGCGATGGATCAGGAGCATCCGGCACCGTGTACGCCGACAAAGTCGTTGTTGGCGGCGTGACTGCGACCTCTCAAGCAGTCGAAGCCGCAACATCCGTCTCCGCCGCCTTCCAGCGCGACACCGACACTGACGGACTCCTCGGCCTGGCCTTCAGCTCCCTCAACACCATCAAGCCCACGCCGTCAAAGACCTGGTTCGACACCATCAAGGGCAACCTCCCCTCCCCTATCTTCGCCGTAACCCTCAAGTACCACGCCGCCGGTACCTACGACTTCGGCTTCATCGACAAGTCCAAGTACACTGGCGATATCACATATGTGAACGTTGACAACAGCGACGGCTTCTGGGGTTTCACCGCCACTGGCTACGCCGTCGGCACCGGCGCCGAGGTCAAGACGTCCATCCCCGCCATCGGCGACACAGGCACAACCCTCCTCTACCTCCCCACCGCCATCGTGAAGGCATACTACGCCAAAGTCAGCGGCGCGAAGCTCGACAGCACCAACGCGGGCGGTTGGGTCTTCCCCTGCTCGGCCACCCTCCCAGACTTCACCGCCACCATCGGCGGCGCGAAGCAGGTCGTCCCTGGCAAATACATCAACTACGCGCCCCTGGAGACTGGCAGCACGACCTGCTTCGGTGGCATCCAGGTCAATGACGGTCTGCCGTTCAGCATCTTTGGAGACATCTTCTTGAAGAGCAAGTATGTTGTTCATGAGTTGAGCGCGACACCCAGGTTGGGATTCGCCCAGCAGGCAGGTGTTTAAGCGGGTGTTGAGATAGGATGAGCTGGGATGGGACAGGGGAGTCAGCCTTTTGGTCCCGTCTTTCTTCTTCGGGGTTTCTTTTCTTTCTTCTTTGGTGGGAGTTTACCTTTTTGCGTTTCGCTAGGCATGATGATGACTGTGTGTTGGGAGTGCATTCCTGGGGACTCGAGAGGCGTAGCTGGCTGGCTGCGTAGGATGTGTAGCAGGTTTCTTTTCAAATGACACAAATTTCCATGAAAATCGCTGATGAGTCATGTAAACCACTTGGTACCCATGTATTCATTCAATGTCGTGCTCTTTCTCAGAGGGTGGTCGATAGCAACTGGCCGATAGTGAATTGACGGTTTCGTACAAACATGCCGGCGATCATGAATGAGTAGTAAGCACAGTTATCAAAACATCGACACTAGAGCACAGAGCGGATATCCGCAAGCCCAAGCGAAGTAGAGTCGATTACCTCAGCAGACTCTCTTCAATCATCATGGGCGTGAGGATATCTCTCCTCACCGTTCACGACACCGGCACTGTCACCGGAATGAAGAAAGACGTAAGCACGATAAACCTTTCCCGGCCCATAATTTCGTCCATAAGGGCCAGCCCCCAAAGAGTGTACACCATTAAGTCACATTGTTTAGCTCGCCCTCCAATGATGATTCTCGCGCGGCGGCCCGTCCAGAGAGCGGGAAAGAGGGGGGATCCAGTACATCCCATAAACGAAGAGAAGGACACACACAGAGAGCGACGCCGCAGTGCCGCAGTGCCGACCGAAACGCTGAGAAACTTTGTTTCCACACGTCGTGGTGGTCGGACGACGCCGCCATGGGACGAGGGAACGATTGCCAGTCGAATCGGCTCATGCATGCAGTAGTGCTGGGACGGCTGCTTTGCACGTTATTGACGTCAACCCCTTACCGGATATGGATTGACATGCATGCAAGAACGTATGCATGAACCATGCGAGCTGGGGGAGATGACAAGACCTGGCGGTCGTGGGACCTGTTTCTTGGAGTCTAATAGGGAGGCTAATAGGGGCGGCTGATGCGAGGGAATGCAGTGACGGTTGCCTTATTCTTTGTGGAAGTTGGGAGAAGGGGACAATTCCGGACGAGGTGATCAGGGACGACGGTGATTGTTCGCTTGGCTTGCGTTGAGAAGGACTTTGATTGTGGTATCTATGATCGCGAGTGGGCGTGTACAGCGTGTGGACATGCAATGTTTGGAAGTCTAGAACGGAATGGATGGTGCAAGTTATGGGACAGCATATGCGAAGATAGGGCTGATCCAGTGGGTCGAAGAAGAGTGGAGAGAGGTCGCAGCAGTAGGATTATTGGAAATGATCGCTTCACTGCTCCCAAGACAAGTGTGATGGAGGTGCGGAAACTGTATGTTCGTTGGGATCCTGGCTTCGATCAGGGATTGACGCCAATGGGGAAATTCGATCGATGGACGAGCATGGGGAAACCAGAAAGCTTACTGTTACAAGAGCTGGAGGGGCGGAGCGGGGAGAACGTGCCGCGAGTCAATATACTCTGGATTGAGGTTGCACGATTGCTGCTTAGGCGAATGAGATGCCGGAGCGTCTGCTCACCGCCTGTGAGGCGCCCACAAAAGCGATGCTGGCTAAGGTTGAACGGTCAGACAGAAGCATAGCGATGAGGGACTGGGTGTTATGGAATTGTGGTGTGACGATCACGGCTCGAAGAAACATCAGTTGCACTATTGGAGATTGTCAGAAGCTGAGGGGTTGCTTGCATGGAAAGAAGTAACATTATGCGGGCTGGTGTTCCACTAAAATGGTCAGCCAATTCGAACGACGAGATGGCGTTTCAAGGGTAGAATGAGCATTGCGTCAGTAGCCTGTACCTAGAACTTGCGTCTTGTGAGACATTAATAGGTCAACATAGACAATTGAATCAAACAGGATAGGTTGGAGCGACGACTATTAGTTCGAAGATCGTTCGATACATTGAACAATGCAATGCAAGCGGGATCTTATTCGCATTGAAGCTAACGCATGCTATGGATCCCACCGTCACCCAATCCGCATAGAGAAATGGGCACGGGAGGTTTGTCAACCGAATTTAGGTCAACTAAGATATCTTGAGGTTGTAGACTCGGCATGTCGTCGCTGGTAGTGGATGGTCAGAGGCCCATACACCGGGAATCCGTAGACTGGTGTGCGTTGTATATTTGTGTGAACTTGGTAATACGAAAAGTTTTGTTTTCATGACTGGCTTGGAGTTCACTTCTTCTTTTTATCCTTTTTCTTCTTTCCCTCTCCTCCAGTGCTCGATGCGCCTCCACCCATCATGCCAGGCAGTGCGGGCATCCCGGGCATCCCACCCATTTCGCCCATTTCTGCCATCATATCTTGCAAGAAATTCTCCGAAACACCGCCTCCTGTCAAAGCAGGCGAATGGAGAGGGAGGATGGTGTTCACCTTCCATCCCCTGGGGACAGCAGGCTCCGGCAAAGGCTCTTTGGGAGTTGGGAGACCGGCGATCCTGAGTCTCAAGGGGGTATTCTTTTCAGTAGGGTTCTGTTGCAGGTACTGGCTGATAAGAATATACAGGTGATGCTTGTTCTTGATTCTGTGGTCCATCACCTTGCCATCCTCTTTGAGCAAGATGCGTATGCGGCCAGGGTTGCTCCAATCCTTAGGATGTGTTTTATCCGGTTCGAACACAGTCTTCAAGCCCAGGCTTGCCGCGGCATCTGCCATTTCGCGCGCGAGAGGATTCTCTACTGCCAGTTGATCGCCGACTCGCCTCCCCTCCGCCCGTGTACGGGATTTGTCAAAATAGATGGGATAGAGACATTGGTAATGCTTGGATGCTTCCCGATCTGCAGAGGCTTTGATGGCAGGGGATTGCGGCTGGAGCATTTGCGTCGGCATGGACGAGGATGTGGGGATCGAAGCGGGGCTAATCAACGAGGGTACGTCAGAAAGGTCCATCTCAGGCGGGTCTGAGTCCGAATCACTGATTTCCTCGACGCGGGGATTCATTGTGAAGGTCGAGTTCGGGTTCTCGAGCAGGGTTTAGGCTGGTGAAATGACGGAACTCGCCCGTAGCTTAGCGTTCGCAATTGCTAGGGAGGTGTAGACAGGCAAGCGAGTTGAAGAAGCCTTGGGCGTATGTGTTATCAGGGAGTAGGGTTCGCGAAGAGGAGACAGGTCGAATCGAGTGGAATTGGATCGATTGGGTCCGTCCGTAGTGATGTGTGGAAGATACTGTAGCGAGTGTCTGACAGGGATTGGCAACCGGCGTCGAGGGGTACAGTGTATGTACAGTAATGGCGCGGTACGTAGTGTACGTGGCCCTGGGTATGTGTGCACTGTGATAAGTGTGGTGGATTGGGTTGGGTTGAGTTGAGAATAGACTCGGTATTGAGAGTGGCAGAATACAAAAGTAAGATGGGATGCTGCAAGTGGGATGTTTCGTCAAATCTTGGCGTGGGGCGCTTTGTCCCTCCGTCTCTACGGAGTACTCTACTATGAACTCTCCTCCCTACTATTATTACCTCGTTTGGTTAACAGTCTACGGAGCACCTATGAGTTCATCCCATTTCATCCATCCCATCCCATCCCGTCCTATCCCATCTCCAAGCTCTTCGTCCCATCATCCCCCCTGTCCTTGATGGTTACACTCGTACTCGTGCAACAATCCTGAACTATACAACTCAGCCGAACCAACATCAGGCTAGGGCTAGCATGATTCATGACATGTCATTCACACGGCACGCACACACGGCCATCGGGATCCCTGGTCGTGCCGAATCTCGGGAAACAGAATTTGGATTCAATGCGTTGGTCCTTTTCGTCCCAAGAAAATCTCGAACCGTGGACGGGGACGGGTTCAATCACAAGTGACTTATCGGCACGAGAATCAATCCATCCTTCCACACAGCCCGGAGTGATTACCGTACCCTACTAGCTGACCCTCTCCCTCCAACCATAACAGCTTCCAACCTCGGATCTGGGGATGATTCAGTTAGATTCTCTCCTTCGTCTAGTACATTTACTGCCTTAGTGCTCAGACATACCGCCCCTTTGTTCGATCTGGTTGGTAACATCCGACCTGCGATCCGTTCAAGCGTCTCTTGTCATCTTGAGCTCCTTGATATCGTCCATTCACAGCCATTGACACCCATTTCCTCGCCTGTCAATCAAATGTCCCTGCTCTACTCTCCCTCAAGGTTCAACCCCGTCCCGGCTAAAGTTTTAAGGCGAGGCGCCACCAGTGCGGTAAGAGTCCTCAGAGGTTGATTGATTGATTGATTGATCGATCAAATCAGCCCGGTCAGGTCAGGTCGAGTCGAGTCAAAATATCCAGAGATGGCGGCCGTGACTGTCGGAGCCTCCCACCTCCCACTTACTGCTTACTCCTGCGGCGAGGCCGATGGGAAAAGAAAAAGAAAGAGAGGGAAAGTGACCAAAAGAACGCCTTATTGCATATCATTCTCTTTGTCTTGCGGCGTTGCCCCCTCCTCACCGATCTGTTACAGGAAATGTGAACCCTACAATTGGGTCAACGTTAATCCTCACCCCATAGCAGCAACATTGATGTCTTTCTGATTCTTAGCGCCACGGCTTAGACATGCTCCAAAGATCCGGTCGCCCTATTCCCAGAACCACCACCTCAACCCCCAGTTTCCAATCCCAGAGTTTGCTTCTCCTACATTGGCCCCTTGCCGCATCTTGCATCTGCCGAACGCCTTCTTACTCGTCTGCAGGCCACATGTGCAGGCTCTGAATTCGTGCTGATACCATGTAGGACACGGCCGGTAACGTGGTCGTAAGGGCCCCTTGCATGTCTGCAACTGTCCCTTTGCAATGCTTTCTGCTTGCTCTTCCATTATTCGTTGGCTGTTAGACCAGGACCGCTCGCTTGTTGTCACATGATGTAAAGCTGATCCCAGCCCTGCTTTTACACGGAACTCTCTTACACATCTCTTCGATCCAATCTCGTACTCAGGCGGGCCCATCATTCCCTCGAGCAACACATAGCACACTAAAATAGCCTGTGTCCACACCGCCTAAGGGCATTGCATGTGTCTAAATCCAGTACAGGTCTAGGTAGATGGCTGTAGCGATGCCTATCGGTGTGGTCTGCCGTCCACAAACATTCCTGCCTCTCCGCATGGTTCCATTCAGATGCACTCGGGCCGCTCTGCTCACCTTTTGCCCATCAGTCCCGGTACTTAGTAGGAATGCTAAGAGGGTAACATGGTACACGCACATGTCCTGTACCGTCCTCAGACCTCACCTATCCTGTAATAAGCGATAGGAGCAACTCAACTTCCATTATCGAGCCCCCCACGTTCAGAAGCATCAATTTACCTTTTCGGAATCCTTCCGGAAAATTGCCTGTCGCTTTACTGATTTTCAAAGCACTGATTCGGCAACAATCGGTGCATTGTCCCAGAGCGCGTGCGGCGTATAGCGTTAATAGATCCAGTGACGTGGGCCTATAGGCGACCCAGCCAACCATACATATCTACGGATGCGGCGCGAGCTGGGTTGCCTGCACCTTGGAAGCCGTCATTATTATACTGTATCCTTCAGGTCCAAATAATCAACACACCCTCGACGTTCTTGACTTCCTTCTTTGGGTACGCCCTGCATATTTGCCATGAGGGCATCGTAAAATAGCGTCCAGCCACTGGCGTCGGCATTATCTGCTCCTGGTTCTGCAGTTACACAGCAACTTCAAACGGCTATCACGTCAAGCCGCGAATCATAGTGGCGACGAATGGCATGGTCATGACGATCTACGGGCCGGCCGTATCTTTGCCTGCGTCAGAATTCAGCTTGCTTGGCCGCAGTGCGCTAAAATGTTCGATTTGGTACCAATTCGTCAACCTGCAGATGGTTTGCAAGATGTGACTTCTGGAGGGTGGGCTTTGTCTCCGTGAGAATAGCCTCGCAAAACCCCAGAAATTCCTCGAAGTGGAACGGAGGGAGACCCTTCAACGTTGCACTATTACGGCCCGAGGATAGTAATCGACTAAGACCGGTAAACCGACGAGGCTTGATTATGCTCAAAATCGGGGTCAGATGGCTGCACATGACATGACCAACCCATCCGGAGACTGCCTGCCGCGTCTTAGCTGGACCACGCAGGCTCCTAGCAATTGACATAAAAGAGTCGGTGAGTAGCCTCGTTGCTGTTCTTTGATCATTATCGGACCCTTCCTCTTTCACATTGCGATTTTCTGGCTCACTAAGTTGAACCATTCCGTTAGCGTACTTCACTACGACGCCCCAACTCAACCACAACCCCAACCACAACACTGCCATCCATATAGCTCAACATTCACTATTCTGGTAAGCTGCATTTCGACAACTTTCCATTCACTTGCATTCCATCCTCCTGCTAAATTTATATCAGCAACAACTTCCCAGGACTCAAGATTCACACCCGTTTCTACCTAGAATCCTTGGAAATGCCGATAGCATCCGACTCACTGTCATCAGTGGTTTCCACCATGGGCGGCAGGGCACAGGAGCAATTGACAGAAGATTCTCAAGACTTGGACCAAAGCGTTCTCCTGCATCGAAATCTCAAGGAGTTGCCACCGACAATGGTCCGGGAAGAAGGTAATTACTTCTGGCTCGAGGACGGTCGCAAGATTTTCGACGCCGCCACTGGCGCTGCCGTTGTCTGTATGGGCTATCACAATGCTCGCATCAATGAGGCCCTAGTACGACAGATCCAGGAAGGGCCCATGTACTGTCCACAACTATCATACAGGACCCACATTGGCGAAAAGTATGGCAGGGAGTTGATCAATTCTACCGATGGCAAAATGTCGCTAGTCAGCTTTTACTCTTCAGGTAGGTGAGACTTCCCCCCAAATACGGTCTCTATCCTTATTTCACTCTTCCTCTCCTTTGCTAACTTCAGTAAGGCTCTGAGGCGTCCGAAGCCAGCTACAAGTGTGCTTGGCAATACCATCGCGAGGTTGACAAAGACTCGAAGCGCAACATCTTCATTGCCAGAGAGCATTCTTATCATGGGAACACGTTGTTTGCACTTTCAGTGAGTGGACACAAGGCTCGCCGCGCCATGTATGAGGATACGTTGGCAGAGAACGTTGCACGTGTTTCCGCCTACAATCCATACTTCAAAAGGCGCCCATATGAGACCGAAGACCAGTACACAGACCGTATGCTCGATGAACTTAAGACTAAATTCGAGACCCACCTCGGAAAGGTTGTTGCCTTCGTCGCTGAACCAATTGTGGGGGCGGTAAGTGACGAATCCTCTGCCAATCCAGCCTTTCCCCACTGCTATAACCGATCCACTGCCATGCGATCGTTTGAGACACTTCGCCCTGGGCGTATATTGATACAGTTATAGGCACTCGGATGTGTTCCTGCAGCAGCTCGATATTGGAAGGGGGTTAGGGCGCTCTGCGATCAGCACGGCGCTTTGCTCCTCTTCGACGAAGTGATGTGTGGCATGGGGCGTTGCGGCACGTTGCATGCATGGCAGCACCCAGATGTAGGAGTCGTCCCGGATATTCAAACTGTCGGCAAGGGGCTTGGAGGCGGCTTCCCCATCTCAGGCATGCTTCTCAATCACCGCGTCGCAAAGGCTTTCAAGAAGGGTAGCGGTGAGTTCGCTCATGGACACACCTACCAGGGCAATCCCTTGGGCTGTGCCGCCGGCCTTGAGGTCCTCAAGATCATCGAGGATGAGAATCTTCTCGAGAATGTGACTCGCATGGGAGAGCTTCTGCATCAGTGCCTCGAGGATTCCATTGGCTCGCACCCTAACGTCGGATACCTTCCAGGCAAAGGCCTTTTCCGGGGCGTAAGTCACTGCTGACCATTCTGTCATCATTCATATGACTAACCATGATCAGATCATCTTTGTGGAGGACAAGGCTGGAAGGCAGCCTTTCCACCCGGAGCGCAAAATTGCCACGAAATTCATGGACTTTGGTAAGTGAGCCAGTGAATGATTGCCATGTAACATCAAAGCTGACAATGCATGTCATCACAGCTCAGCGTGAGCCATATCTACTAAAGGTATACGCCGGTTCGGGCTCAAAGGATGGATACTGTGGCGACCACGCCCTTCTCGCTCCCGCGTACAACATCACTGAGGATGATGTCTATCATATCGTCACCCAGCTTACGATGGCCATCAACGACTTCTTCGTATTGGAGGAGGAAAATAAGCGTCTTCAGATGTTGAAGCATGCGCAGCATCTTTGAGCGATCGGTATATACCACGGGAAACTATTGGCGTGACGAAAGAGGTCAGAGATAAGGATTCAAAAGGAGAAGAAAGTGTGGACTACTAGCGGATTCTACGATACATGAAAACAGAAGTACGGTCACTGCTCCTTTCTGGGTAAATGAAAGAGTATGGAAGGACGGAAGCTGTAGATACACTGGGGTTTTTCCATCACGGATGGAAGAGACATCTGGCACAGGAGAGGAGGTAATCTTTCTTTACTCCCCGGATTTTTCCCCCAATCACCACTTTCTTTACTTGTACATTTTCGATTCTCCTAGGCGTCTCCAAAAACTTTCCTGAGTCTTGCATTCAGTCTGGGAGATAGAAAATCTTTCTCTGGTAAATGCTTCTGGGCGGACGGTTTTGCTATTGAGCAACAAACAGGCAGGTGGCTTTTGTGAATTTGACTGTCTGATTCTGTATGTATGTCTGCCTATCTGTGTTTATTTGCCTCTCCTTTAGCAGTTCTCTGCTTGTTTTCCTTTCGTTCTCAGCGTGCTACCAGTTTCTTCCTGTCCTTTTTCGCCTTCTTCTACGCTTTGTTATTTCTCCCACTCTCGTCGTTTTCTACTGATATTTTATCACTCCTTCCAGCGTCTAGCAATCGATCCTTTCGGACTCTATAGGTTATCACGATAGCAAAACATAGCGTCAATGATTATATCGGCCTTCACTCTCCACTCCATGTCATATCACGTCTATCCCTTCCACCACCGCTTGTCGACGGCGTGCGAGGATCCACCATTCCTTATATTGAGAAGAGTCCCAACCTTGAAGACTCGAAGATACTACACCCCCTGTGCATATCATATTATGCTTCTCGACTTTTCTTTCTCTCTATGTCTTCTTTCCGGATCGTCTAAATAAACAACGTCATCGCACAATTTCCCAACGACTTCCCCCAACGACCCCGAGAAACAAATCGAACATGATGGGTCTCGAATATCAAGCACCACTACAACGTGGCCCTTTCACCCCTCTTACCACGCCTCACCTACACAATCCCCGTGAATCGTCAAGCATAGAACGTGAACTCACTTGTCTCAATAGCCGATAATCGCACCACCACCACTACCAATAGCACACATGAGGATGAAATGAAATCACCATCGAGGTTTTGACAACAGTGCAGCGGGGGTGCCTGGTCGATAATGGCGACGATAATAACATCAACGACATTAATAATGACAGCATCACTATTCACCAAAAAAAGGCAACAATGTCATTGACTTTAAGAATGATGAGTTCAACAATGACAAGGCAACAAACAAATCAACAACGCTAAGACCAACTACCTAGGTATATAATCACCAACGACAAGACCACCTACCTAATAAATTCAACAACCTCAACGAAAACTTCAACAACACTCCAGCAACAACTTCAACGATGCCTTGGATGCAGTTCTCGATACCTTCGACAAACAATATCGTGATGCCTCCGACCACCCCTTCAACAACCACGACGACGACCAAGACAGGCTGGACAACCACGACAACCACTACATCACGAGCCACTACAACAACAGCCACGGCGTCAACAACCACCACATCAACGACGACAACAATTACGACGGAGACAGTCACCCCATTTGGAACATCCACGTCAAAGAAGACCTCAACTGTGACAAGTACGATTAGCTCGACGGCTCCAGGCACCAGGATGATCACAATCACGTCGACGGATCCAGCCACCTCGACGATCACAGCCAGGTCGACGGAGTCAGCTACTCGACGAGGATAGCGGACTGAACGGGGACAAGCCCTTGACGAGCTTGACGAGGACAAATCCTCAACGAGCATATCGAGCATCCCGGCACCACCCCGCCACCTATCACCACCAAAACCCCCAACATTTTATCAACCAAACCGGCATCCCCATCCTCCCCGTACATAAACAGACCCGTACAACCTTACCTAGCCCTGTGTTTCTACCCTCCTACCCACTGTGCTCGCCTCTGCTGCCTCTTACCCTTCAATTCACAGCAATTCAGTGGAGCAATGAGAGAGGTGTTTACGTCCTCCACAACCCACAACACCATCCCCGTCCCCTCCCCTACCACAGAAACAACGATGTGCAAGTCGAGTTCCAAGCACTACTTCGCCTTTCCCTCGCAATCTCGCTACCTCAACCATCCGCTCACCGGACGAGATAAAAGCCAAGAGAAGCGTACACCATAGATTGAACACATACGTACGACAGGAGGGATGGCAAGGTGCGGGCTCCTTGTTGGTCGAAGTTCACGATGATTGAAGCGTGAGAAGGATGGAAGGGGGAATGGAAGGTAGATAGATATCCGACTACTTAATACATATCTTATTGTCGAACTTGATGTCCTCATGCTTGCCGTGCTCATGCTCGACGTGCTCATACTCGTCAACATTATCCTCGTCTACCTTATCCCCATCGTCCTTATCCTCGTTGACCTTGTCCTCCTCGACGTCCTTGTCCTCGTCCTTGTTCTTGTCGACGCACTCGTCAATGCCCTCGTCGACGCACTCGTCAATGCCCTCGTCGATGCACTCGTTAATGTCCTCGTCAACGCACTCGTCAGTGTCCTCGTCAATGTCCTCGTCGTTGTTGTTCTTGTCGACGTCCTTAACGTTGTTGTCCTCCTCGTTGACCCTATCCTCGACGTCCTTATGCTTATGCTTGTCGTCCTCATCCTTGTTGACCTCATCCTCGTCGACCTTGTCCTCCTCGTCGACCTTATCCTCATCAACATCATCCTCGTTGACCTCATCCTCGACAAGCTCATCCTCAATGAGCTCATCCTAGCCTTCTACATGCTCATACCCTCATACAGACGTGTGTTCTATCATACCTACCAATTCCCTATCCAATTCCATCCAGTATATTATCTCTATATTCACAAGCCAGGGGTTCTTTTACATCACAAGCAGGCAGTCTCTCAATCTCTCAATCTCTCAAACTTTCAATTTTTCATCATTTCCAGTCATAAACAGTCTCCAAGGGAGAGATTTCTTTTACAAGAAGAAAGGGCATGTGTGATGCACTGAATATACCTGGAGATGATAAGATAAACATGGGATAAAAATTGTACATATATATGGATTTATATGGATTTATGAAATAACAAAACGAAAGAAGAACGAATAATTCAAACACCCCATATACACGTGTGAAAGTACGAAAAAAATTACAAGTGACTCAGTCATGGTGCCCAGGCCAGCGAGCGCGCGGGTAACAGCCTCACGAGCGCAACCATGGACGTGAGGCGTGATGTAAGGCTGCATTATACCTACTCTACCCTACCCTACCATACATTACCAAGGCGAGCGAACGTTCGAATAAACGAAGTATGAGCGTGAGCATGCGTGATATAGGTTGATACGCTACCTATTTTACCACGGAAGTATTTCCAAGGAAAAAATGATTGGGTGGAATGTAGAGAAATGGGGGAGTGTGATAGTTTTGATCGGTGTGATTTGATGGAGGAGAGGTGGAGGGGAGGGATGCATGGGGCGTATGTTGTGTGGTGCATTGGGTGGAGTGAGTGTATGAGGTCATGTTGGAACTTGGGGATGACGGTGGTGACGGCACTTATCGATTTGTTATATGTGTGTATGGCATGTTAGGTAGGTAGATGACATAGATGGTTGATAAGGCGTGACTGGGTAGGTGATGGAGAGGGGAGAGGGAGGGGGTGGTGGTGGTGGTGGTGGGTGTCACGATGGTGACGGCGGTAATTGATATCATCTCACATTGAATCGTTGATAAGTACCTGACCTAAGTACCTGGGCAGGTGGAATAGGTGCATTGGGAGGCGATAGGAAATACTGTTTGAGGAAGCACATCGTCTGTCCTCCAACGAGCGTAAACGGTGTGAAATGGGATGGAGACATCGACGCCTCCTATACACTTCAACCTACCGAGACCAATGCATGTGTTCGTTTGCTCGTTCTCACATCAGCGCGTGTTGATACGGTTTCTTGGGAGCCTGTGCTGCCTGCACTTCGCCAGCCAGGCGTGGATGTCTGCGCTGCTCTGGTTTCATTTGCTGACTGCGTTAGAGCACGGAGAATTAATGAGAACGACTAACGGTGGGTTTCTGGGAATAATGAGTATTTATTGATGGGATCAGAGGTGGGACATGTCCGGTTTGCTTGGGCTGCATTGAGTTTCGGGATTATGTGTGGTTTTGTAGCCCAGGGTGACAGGCAATGAGGATGATGGTGTGTGGTATGTATGAGTACCTAAGTAGGTACGTATGCAATTTGTTGCCGGAGAAGTGATCGCCTCGTTTTGCGTGCGAGTTATTTCATGCCCAAGTAGGTATATATGCGAAGGGTATGTGGAATGTACATGTACATACACACGTGTGATTTACCCAGTTGCGAAGTTGCATAACTTATATGTAACTGTAGATTATATGTCATGTGTCTGTTCCATGTGAGAGATTTCTGACTATTCTGCCTCGCAATGTTTGAGGCAATGCTATATTGTCCTGTCCTGATGGTAATTACTTGTACTGTGTACACGACACGTGACGAAATGCAGTTTGAATATGTAAGTTAATTCCGTTTCACCACTGAAGCGGCAGGTGGAAATCCCGGGGGGTTTGAACATGTTTTAGAGAAACGTATCAAGTCAGACCCAAGTCTCCAAGCCGGGCAAGGCGAAATTGCGAAGGGAGGAGGGTGGTTTTTTACGTTCGCGCTACGGGATGGATGGTACTGCGAGATTTCGTGCATTGCATACGCGGCGAAGTAGAAAAGGAAAAGAAGAATTGGAAGAGTGAAGAACGAGCAGTCCACCGCAATTACTAACGGCATTAGTTGAAGAGGAGAGAGAATAGAGGAGAGCAGAGGATGGCAATCAATATGGGTCGGATAGATGGTGGATCTAAGCCGGCAACGGACCCGCCTAGTGATTGCAGTGCATGGCTGAGTAGGCGTCACGGTGCGGAGAGAACAGACGGGGCTTTCCACTGTCCATTTCCACTTTCCACTTTCCGTTACGGGTGCAGAGCCGGAATGAATGAATGATCAACCATGTACGGAGTACTTGCATTGGGTGAGTAAGAGAGGAAGAGGAGGATTGTTGGGGCGAGGTTCTCAATGTGGTTGTCGATGATCGATCTGGTCGGGTCTCTGGCTGGTCTGGTCCGGTCTGGTCTTCTTCGCTTTCTTCGTTTCGGCAATCAGGCGCGATGGCAAAGGCTGCGTTTCTAATAAATCATACCCACATCCGTCTGTGAGGGTGGGTGTGCGGTTACGGCGCGAAGAATTCCTTTTCCTCCCCACAGCCTAGCTTGGGGGTCGGGAGAAAGCGATTGCCTATGATAGTAATTTGTGACAGAGTCCAGCAAGAAAGAAGACTGGGCCGGAACCGTGGAGACTCTGAGAGAGGGAACGAATCGAGGACCGATGGCATCAGTCGCGCGCTAGACGGTTGGCTTATCCCACATTAATTCGAGTAGACGAGGCAGATGAGGGATTCTCGCCGACCGACCGAGGAGAAGGATGTTATCATTATTGACACTGGGATGAATTGGGATGAATAAGACAGTCATCCTGATGTTTTCAAGTCGGTTGGTTGAGAGGATTGAGTTTCAGTGGAGGAGTCTTGAGGGCCTCGAGATGGAAGGAAGGAAGAAGAAGAGACCCGAAGCCGGGGCCGTCCAATCCCACAATCGCACAATCAATTATTACATTATATTCAGAATATTAAAACAAATAGAACGGAGTAGTTATATGGTGAGCATAATTGATACGCGATTCTAATGTAGTTCTTGGACGCGTGGTGAAGATGAAGATGAAGGTGAATATAATAATAACCCACCCCAGTTGAACCATCTCATACAAGCAACGTTTTGTTTGCTATGAATATGATTATGATTACTGCAGTGAATAGATCAAATTAGATAGAGAAAGACATTACCTTTGTTATATGCACAGCGTGTACACATACCATACAGTGATACACACTCATCATACCACCTATCCTCCTCCAATTCAACCCCATCATCCACCACACGCCAACTGGTCACTTCACACTCCGTCTATGGGATCATCTTCACGTGTGTTGACTGTCCTTTTTTTTCTTTTTCTCAATCTCTTCACGTTTGCTCTTCTCTTTACTCCTCATATCGGTGGGTAGTGCACTCGTCGTCTCGGCAGCAGAAGTATTAGTCGATTTAGTGAATCCCTCCCTCGATTACCCATACCGATACCCTTCTCTTGTCCCGTGTACAGTAAAGTCATCAGCCGTATGCGTCCGTGTGCAGCCGCGTAAAGAGAGAGAGCGAGAGTTACGAGTTAGTTGCTAGTTACTGTAGTAGTTAGCAGTTAGCAGGATATCTCCGCACCAGAACCAGAGACCAGCAGACCAACAACCATACAACCGCACAACCACTCAACCCAGGGCCTTGAACCTGGGTCCTTGAACGAGTCTCTTAATCAACAACAACTCGCGACAGTCAGTCAGTATCTGCTGCTCCCTGCACCATCTGTGCAACTCCCTCGATCACCCCGTGATTTCTCCATTCGACCACCAAGGCGACCTACCTTGAACCGACCAAACCCAAACGAACTGTGTCTGCAACTGGACTGGGACTGACTGGGACTGGGACTGGGACTGGCAAGTTGCAACCAACGAACGGCTGCCCGTCGCCTCCGCCGTCCTTTGACGACATCTCAACCGTCAGAAGGGCCTCCAACCTCGTCTCTACTCTATACCACCAAACGTCTGCTTCACATCTCCACCACCCTCTCTCCCCATCATCTCCCTCCTCCTCTCCTCCACCTCTGACTACTCTCTACCCTCCTACCTCGCTCGCGTCCGTCTCCCGCTCGCACGCTCCCACTCGCGCACGTCGTCTCCTCCCATCCTTCTTCGCCGTCGGCCGCTTCCCGTCTGCCGACTGCGAAAGATTCAGCGTCTTGACGCCTGCTCTCTCGCACGCCTGACGGCTACGCGGCGATGTCGACGCCCTCAACAGCCACTGCGACCCTCCCTCCCCATCATCAGTTCTATTCTCACCATCAGGCATATCAACCAAACATCTCAAATTCTCAACTCACCAATGGCTCCTCTCGAATAGGCAATTCGCTGTACAACGGCTACCCTAATACCTCGTCCAATACCAACACCAACAACACCAACAACACCACAACCGCAACCTCCTCTGCCTCAAACACCGAGATGCGTCGAACCGCGACCGCACACACGCGCCAGCCGCCCCAACTCCCTCCTCTCACACCCACAAATACATCTGGCCCGGAGACAAACTTGGATTCGGGCCATTCCGCTACTGGGCGAAAGCGGAACCCCGACTGGGCAAACTTCTACAAGAATGGCCTGCCCAAAGAGGTCATCGTCATCGACGACGACGACGACGAGGAGGCTGACGATGAGGGTGACCATGCATCTCGTCACCCTCCGCGACCAGCCCAGTCCGGGACCGCGAGGACGGCCACCAACGGCGCCCAGCGACACGCCGATAAGAAGCGCAAGACCACCGCGTCCACCGCCTACGATCCCGTCTACAATCAACACACTTCGTATTCAACGACCCAAACGCCTTACTACTCGCCTAATGATTCACGATCGACCGACAGGACATCTGCCCTCAACACGACGGCGCCCACTTCGCTGGGCTCGACGGCCGGCAGCGGCGGCCATATCTCTCCACTCGACACCACTGCCGTTGGCCAGAAGCGAAAACGCACTCGGGCGGCTGCACAGGACGAGGCCAAAGAGGCCAAGCGACGGGAACTCGACCATAGCGATGATCCATTCAGCCTCTATCAACCACCTCCGAATCCTGTCGTGAAGGCCAAGGATGTCTACGTCCAAGTCGTCCCAGACGTAAGGAAACCAAACGCGACTGTCCATTCCGCGCAAGCACTGACCGCAATCCAGAAGTCGTATATGAAGGATCAGAAAGTCGACGACGAAGATGGTCACTACATTGTGGTGCCCGAGGCTGACCTCACCGAGCGATGTACGATGATTTCTTTCCCGCCCCATCTTCGCAATGACTAATCGTGTAACAGATTCGATATTGAAGTTACTCGGCCAGGGTACCTTCGGCAAGGTCGTCGAGGCCTGGGACAAGAAGAAGCAGACAAAGTGTGCCATCAAGGTCATCCGATCGGTTCCGAAGTACCGCGATGCCTCACGCATTGAATTGCGAGTACTCTCCACCCTCGCATCCAACGACAAGCACAATATCAACCGATGTATCCATCTTCGGGACTGCTTCGACTTTAGGAATCACATCTGCATCGTGACCGATCTCTATGGCCAGAGCGTGTTCGACTTCCTCAAATCAAACGGCTTCGTGCCGTTCCCCAGTTCTCACATCCAAAAGTTTGCAAAGCAGCTGTTCACCAGCGTAGCCTGTTCGTATCCTGTCTTCACATTGGTAAAGACTGTTATTGACAATTATTTATAGTCTTGCACGATCTCAACCTCATCCACACTGATCTGAAGCCAGAGAACATCTTGCTCGTCAACAACAACTACCAAACCTTCACGTACAACCGCACAGTGCCCTCCTCTTCCACGGCCACGAACCGAACGGCAAGACACCGAAAGGTCTTGCTGGATCCGGAGATCCGATTGATCGATTTCGGCTCAGCCACCTTCAACGACGAATACCACTCGTCGGTCGTCTCCACTCGACACTACCGCGCACCCGAGATCATCCTCAATCTAGGTTGGAGCTTTCCCTGTGACATCTGGAGCATAGGGTGTATACTGGTCGAGTTCTTCACCGGAGACGCCCTCTTCCAGACGCACGACAACCTAGAGCACCTAGCCATGATGGAAGCAGTGTGTGGGGGTAAGCTGGACCGCGAGATCATCCGCCAGGTCTACAAGAACGACCGTGCGTCTTCTCGTGCCTCGGCTTCATCGTAAGTCTTCTTTTTCCTCTACGATCGACCCAAAGCTAACACATCCTTGTTCTGCGCGCAGTTACTTCAAGAACCAGAAGTTGGACTATCCCAATGCCGAGACACCGAAGGCGTCGAAGAAATATGTCAAGGCCATGAAGAAGTTGAACGTATGTTTATCTGCAGGATGCAGCTACGACTTGACGACTGACCCGTCCGTACAGGAAACCATCCCGCCCCACACCCCGTTCAACCGACAGTTCCTCGACCTACTACGCCGGATATTCGTTTACGACCCCAAGAAGCGCATCACAGCAAAGGAAGCGCTCCAGCACCCATGGTTCAAGGAATCGCTCATGGACGACGGCACGGAGGCACACAAGATCCGAATGGAGCGGGAGAAGAAGCGGTTGCGTCAGGAGGAAGACCGCCGGTACCGAGACCGGGGCTACTGAACGCACGGGGGGAGGTTGCGACCATGTAACGCATGTTACATTGTTCCTATCTGTTTTTTTCCACACACTCATGAACCGCCGCCACTGAGAGCGCGTTTGCCCGCCCATCAATCGTGGCGCTGACGGACGGACTGGGTGGTCTGGCGGTCTACTTCACATATTGTTATTTTCTATTTTTGCATTTACGAAAGGGCGGTTATTACGATGCATGCAGGAGTAGGACTCGAACGAGCATGGGTTCCCTCCACACTCACATACACACACAACAACAACATCCACAAAGCCTTACGCGCGGACGAACGAACGGAGGCTGCCACTGTTATATTGGTTTATGTGCTTCTTTTTCTTCTACTCATCTCATCTTCCCCTCGTACAAACTCTACGTTTCCCCCCAGGTATTGGGGGGGGGGGGGGGGGATTCAGAGGGGGGAGGCGCTCGTGCGTTTTTGGTCTATGGTCTACGGTGGTCTGTTGTGGTGTTCTTTTTCTTTTCTTTACTTGCCATGCCAATGAAGACAAGACGTACCCGTCGTCGTGTCCCATGACATATCATTTGCAAAGGGTGGTTCGGTTCCGTTCGCATATTGGATGTTCTTTTTATATTTGAGATGGGGGCACATAGCTCATATCTTCGAGAAGAAAGTCGAGAGAGAGGTCGCAAAAAAGGAGGAGGACTTATTGGATGTGCTGCATATTGATTGCAATTCTACCAGAGGAATGGGGGAGGTTGTTCTAGCGTCCAGCCTAGAGATTGAGAGAGGGAAAGCAGAGGGAGTTGTATAGTTTCACGTACCCACGTCCCCGAATGAGAGAAGGTGGCGAATGGATGAATTGAAGCGCGGATTGTATTATACCTTTTTCTCTTGTTGTTCGTCGGTATCATCGTTACCATGGCGAGAGAGTACACTTCGATGCGAATGTGAAGTACTACCACATGGGAGGAAGGAAGGATAGGGAGGGTTTATGTGATGGTTGGTATCATATATCAGGGTTGACGACCGCACGTATGTCCCCGAAATGATCAAAATGAAAGGAAAGAAAATATTATCAACATTTTCACCGTGCAATCCAATCTCATAGTTTATGTTTCCGATATATCGAACGATTGGCAGAGTACGAGACGTCCCAGTATCAGTATCACCCTACGAACGCCTTCACACCAACCACGCGAACCAACACCGCACACACAACACCACCATCCTACCCAACCCCTCGTACAAAACCAGAAACCCCATCCTCAACACCTAACAACGTCCAAATTCTTCCCGCATTCAGAACCCATACCATTCCATCGTTGAGAACTCACTCAAAGAAGCCAGAAACGGCACCCATGCGGGCCCCGCCCACGCGCCGCCGAACAAGGAAATACAGCCGAACCCAAAACCACGCTAGACCTATCCTGTGCGTTACGCGGGGGTTCGGTCGCGTCTCGCGGTCTGCGTGCCGAGACATTTGTGCTTGTGATGGCCGTTCCCCGCTAGGGGAGTAAACAGAACATTTGACGGAACGTAACGGACGACTACGACGAGATTGAATTGCGCTTCGAGCTTTGAGAAGAGAGGGGTTTGACGACGAATATAGCTGCGAGTTAAGAATTTGAGAATAGGGAATAAGAGAAGGGAAAGGGATTGCTTTGCCCGCGAAAGCGAGGGAGGAACATAGAGTAGTGTATACGGACACCGCGACATCGCGACGACAAACTCACAGTCGCACAAAATGGCGAGCGCAAAACAGCAGGAAAACATGCTGCTGACCGAGCACTTTACATGGTCTCCCATCGTACGCCCTCCCCTCCCCCCTCCACATACCCATCGTCTTGGGCGATCGAGTGACTGAAATATGTGCTATGTAACAGTCCCTCCTCGACGACATCATCAACGCCGCCAATGAAGTCCTCTACAAATGCACCGACACATTCGAATCGGGGCTCCTGTCCGCCGACGCTTCTGTCCTCGGGTTCACGCCCTCCACCTCCCACTCTTCCTCCTCAGACGACCTAGAACAGCGCAAGCGCCTCGAGATAGAAGAAGGCGTCCTCAAGCTCGAAACGCTGCTCGAAAACGCACTCGACAGGAACCTCGATCGCCTTGAGATATGGACGCTTCGAAACGTGCTGTGTGTCCCGGGCGAGGTGAGGGAGTGGGTGCGGTTGAAGGGGTATGAGGTACGCAGCTGTCTCCCCTCCCCGTCTTCGTTCATATACATCCTCAGATTCTCTCATGCATTTATGATACTCAATCGTATGACATTTCATGAGACCGACTGACGCGATTGCGAACATAGAACATCACAACGCCCCCCTCAAACAACACAACAACCCCCGAATCCCTCCACGCCCTCCGCCGCAAACTCCTCGAAACGCAGCGCCTGCACGCCGCGCTCACGGCCGAGAAGACGCGCAACGACGCGCTGATATCGCAGCTCCGTTCGCTCCTCACACCCTCCACCTCTACATCCCTTCCCACATCCACATCCACCTCAGAATCGATACCGGGCGCACAGTTCGGATTTTTGACGCACGCGCCCGCCGCGCAAAGCCTAGGCATAACGACGAACGAAAACGGAACGGAGAAGGAGGCGGAGGTGCTGAGAACGCACACGACGTTCACGGCATCACACCTCCCACACCTACACGCCCTCCTCACCTCCCTCCGCCCATACCTCCCCTCCACATCGTTACCCCTCCCTTCGAGTTCTTCCGAGGGGGCGACGGGGGATGAGAGGAGGGTGTACATTGAGAGTCAGAGTAAGCGCGTTTTAGAGCGCAGGGGGGTTGACACTAGGGATGGGGTTGAGGGTGTTGTTGGCGGCCCGGGGGAGGGGGGGGGGAAGGGGGGAGAGGTTGGGGCGTTGGAGGGGATGGTTGCGGGGGGCTTTGGACGGGGACGATGATGGCTTAGATACCCGGGGAATGGAGTTATTGTTTATGAGTGTGCTGTTTGAGTTTGGTTGAAGGAAGCATGTGGTACTATGGTTTACTATATGTCAAGTGCTGTTGCGGGTTGGGAGGTTTTAAGATATGATATCAATTCGGCTTCAGGTTTAAGTTTCCCAGAGGAGGTTTCACATGGCATGGCACGCCACCGCCATGTTCGCTATACTATGTACAATACTCGTAGCTCGATTCGCTCTCTCTCTCTCGACCAAAGAAATCAAAGAGAGCCAGCAGTAATATAAGACGAGGAATCTCGGTCAACCATCTAGTACTCGACCAACTTAATCTTGCCCCTCAACTCCTCAGACAGCTCCTCCTGCTTAACCATGCCCAGCTGAATCGCGTCGCCCCAGACAAACATGGCTCGCTCCTGCGCGTAGCCAAGGTAGTCGAACTCCTCTTCCTCCTCCTCGGCGGCGTCGCCACCGTTGGACGACGGGTCGGAGTCCCCGCCGTTCTGGTCTGCTGCTGCTTCTGCTGCGAGGCCTTCGGTGGGCTCCTGCCCGCCCTCTTTGCTCGTCTCGCCGGCACCGGCTTTGTTGTCGAGGTCGAAGTCGGGGAGGTCCGGGATGTGGGCTTGTACGATGCCCCATGCCGCCCATTGTACCGAGTTCGCGAGACGCCATAGCCTTGTCTCGGCCATGAGGCGCCGGATCTCTTCTTCTGTTTTCTTCTCTGCTTGGGCTTCCTGCTCCTGGTGCGAGTACTTCTCACCCGGCGGCGCGCGCGAGTCCAGCATGAATGCGGAGATGGTGGTGGGCACTGCGGTGGCAGCCAAGGCGGTCGTGCTGCCGGAGTGGTGCAGAGGGCCAAGGTGAGGGGTTGGAGGGTTGGAGGCAGAGCCGCCGGCTGCGCGGTAGGTTGGGTTGTGGACGAGATAGGCGCGGATGAATCTGTACTGCTCGTCTGGGGTAGGGTAGTAGCGGGTGCTGCAGCGGTACGGTAGCTGTTCGTGGTAATTGTAGCACCATTCAGTCTGTCAAATCGTTGTTAGCATTCTGGCCTGGTAGATACAAACTAGGATGATGTGGATCTTACAAAGTGATTTGCAAACTCAAGGCCAGGCAGATTGGCGTTGGAGTATTCGAAGTCGATGACGACGAGCTGTTTGTGGTGGTTTGCTGGCAGCAACAGAGGAGACTTGCCGTCCGGCTCGAGGCGCAAGATATTTCCATACTGGGTCTATGGAGTTGTTAGCAAGGTACCATGAACCGCATGTAATGAATCCTACATCGTTGTGTGCGAAGACAAGCCGCTCGTTGACCTTCTCTCTGCCCCCGTACTGGTCCTCAAGCCACTGCCTATACTTCTCTACCATCTTGCGGAAGTCGGCCCATTTCACGCCCAACACATAACCTCGCTGTTTCCAGGCATCTTCCGGGGCGAGAACAGCATCCTTTGGAGTGTTCTCGACCTGCTCGTCGAGCCAGGTGACGATCTTCTCGCAGCGATCCACCCACTTGTCCCAATTCTGCCACACGAAAGGTCCATCTTCTCGCTCTTCGCGCAAAAGGTCGATACCTTCGTGCAGCTCTCTCATGCGCTTAGCAATCTGCTTGGACACATCAGGGCTGCGAAGGTCTTGGAACGTGAGTGGCTTCGCGTTGAGGAACTCCTCGAAGCGGCCGTTGGTGAATGTACCGAGCAGGCGCGGTCCTATCCGCTTACGAGCAAGGCGTTTGAGGATTCGTAGTTCGGCCTCTCGATCGATGAGATGCTCTACCTGTGGACCGTAGACTCGAAGGAGTACTTTGCTGTAGGATTCGTTAGATCAGATTCTCCTTTACATATCAAGACAAGCTTACGGTGGAGGGTTCTTCGGGACTGGCTGGGAGGTTCCGTCTTGATTCTCCTTGGGCTTCAGAGCGTGTGGCATACTGACGACATAGATAGTGTTGGTCATGGCACCGCTCAAGCGTTCGACGTCGATCTCGCCACTCTGCTCGAGAGGAACACGTCGCCAGCCCTTCAGTTTCAAGGTATGGGCCAGTCGCAGAATCTCATACTTGAAGGTTGCCCATGCCTCCTTCTCCTTTTTCTTGCTCTTCTTGGACCCAACAGAAGCGGAATCATCGCCAACGTCCGGTCCTCCAGCGCCGTATGCCATGGTCTTGGTATTGTCGAGAGTGGCCTCGCAGCTAGGAACCAACTCCTCGGCTCCGTCGAAATAGTCTGTGTCGGAAGAGACCGTTGAATGACGTCTCATGCGAGAAGCAAGCTTGTGTCCATGAGAGTGTCGTCGCTTGTGGGAATCCGACTTGAGTGACAATGTCCGCTCTAGGATTGTGGCAAGTTCATCGAGTGCGAGTGAGCCATCAGAGGAATCGGACGGTCTCCTCTCTCGGTCACCCGAGGTCTCGGAGTCACCAACAACCAGAAGCTCGGTTTTGCTGGACGCTTCCTTCTTTGAAGCGCTGCGCTTGGCTTTGCGCGCACTACGTCTGGATTTCTCGCTCTTCAGCCAGGCCGAGACTTGATGAATCAAATCATGGTGATGATGGTGGTGATGGCCACCGCTGCCGCTCCTGGATCCAGACAAGGACTCCTCGCTCAAGAGCGAAGTAAGTGAAGGGTTACCAAGAAGTCCAGCTCTTTCTTTGGACGACAATCGTTCCATCGACGGTCTACCTGAGAGACGCTTACCGCTCACATTGGCGCGGTGGACCTTGGGACCGGTCTCGGATTCAGTGGGAGTTTCAGTCGGGGGAGAGATGGCCTCTGGCTCATCTGTGAATGCAACTATGGACATGAGTGAGCTAAGATTGTATCAATTGACCTGCTGGTTCAGTGCTGCGAGGACGAATCAAGAACAATGTGCATGGCTTGACGCAAGGGCTGAGGTTACTGCAATGGGTGACTGGACGTTTTGATTGGGCAAACAATCATGGAAATATCAATGTCGCACGGGATCTGATGTATTACACTTTGAACTTCGAAGCATCTGTGGCAAGACCTGGCGCTTCAAAGGGGAAAAAGTGAATGCGGAAATAGTTAACACAGTCGCATGAGGCAGAACGAGAGTGGAGAGGATGGGAAGGAGATCAACGAACCCTTTGTAGGAGCTGGCCGGGAAGATTGCGCATCTTCCATTGTGATTTTTCTGTTGATATGGGAAGAGTGACGGGTCAAGTTTGGAGAAGTTTCAGGATCAGTGAGGTTGGGGTTGTTGTTCATTGGAGGGGTCGAGTGACATGTGCGTATGACGCGCTGGGTGGAGCGAACCAAAAGCGGAAAGGTAAGGTCGATTTGCTAGTCGGGCCAGGAACTGGTTTGGGCCCTTTGGGGTGAAACTAGATAACAGGTAATAGGTAATTGTAGGTATTGGAGGCAGGACGAGGTCAATATTGATAGTTTGGTGTTAGGAAACCGTCCACCGGTGAGAATCAATCTCAGGTAAGGGTGAGTTTGGTTGATGGGTTTCGGTTCCGTAAGAGGAGATACGGGCGAAGGAAAACGGGTCGGTTGGGTTAAATGGCAGGTGGGAAGGATGGTGGGTATTAGACGATAAGCGACGAGAAGCCAGTCCAAGTCCAGTTCAAGTCCAATCCAAGTCCAATCCAAGTCCAGGTCCAGGTCAGTCCAGGTCAGTCTTTGGTGGGATGATACGAGTGATACGGGTGATTCTCGACGTGGGTACGAATAGCAGAAGCAGGAAATGGTGGGGTGGCCTATTTATTATAGGTAGAATAGTTGAAACTTGTAGGGACAAGAAGTAGGAATGAGCAGTCTGTAAAAGACTGTAGCAGTGCTGGTAGTACGAGTAATAAGAAGAAGAATACTGATAATAGGATGTGTAGTCGAATCCACACCGTGCGCAGTCGATTGGTAGTAATTCGTTGCGCTCTCGGTCGTGTGAGTTGTACACACTTGTTTGCTTTGCCTCGACTACTGAAACAGGTAATGTGGACAGAACCCGCCAAAAGGCAAAAGACAGGATTCGTGAACACAATGACGATGGTGGTGACGGACGGTGGCGATGACGATGGCTGTCTTTGACTATACCATGTGGCTGTGTCGGTCGCACAGGAGTAAAGTCAAGTCATACGAATGGTAATGATAATTGGACGGAGCATTTGAACCATTCAGGTACACGATGGCAAAAGCACTTTCAAAAATGAAACGACCAGACAAGTTGATGAGCGAATGGTGACGGATCGGTTCAAGGTGGTCAGATTGATGGTACTCGTAAGAGAGAGAAGGAAAAGCTTCAGGAAATAGTTGAAGTCGTTCAGATAATCATTCGTATTCTTCGTTTCTTTCTGGAAGGAACAGCAGGTATTCTTTTCATCTACGTTCTTTCCCAGTCTGTACACACGCGCATTGAAGCGGCCTTGGCACATATCCATCCACGCTTCGTGACCATACATTAGGTACTTTAGGTAACTACCTAGGTACCTCGTAGGTACTCAGCCTAATAGATTCGTTGCCTGGTCAATTGTCGCCACCAGATGAACATCTCTATCGCTTTTCGTAACATAGCCGTGCCCGTTCAAATCGATTCCATACTCGTCGGTACGGTACGTTCACATGGCAAATATCGTCGTTGAAGTCTCCACATATAAGGGAATTGAAATGTATAATATCATCATGTACATACACTATACACCAAGTGAAATAATAATGCCTTGAGTTTTCCATTGCCTCCGCTACCTAGCAGGAATGAATGGCTTCTAGAAGTGCGCCGAAGCTCCCCTCCTCCTGGAAATCAATAAATACATATACTCTCCCAAAAACGCCTTGCTAGTAAATATGGCCATGTCCGACCTGGAATTCCCACACATGTGAATAAAAGAATACACGTATACACTATCGTACCACGAACAAACAAGACGCCGACTTTTTAGATGACGGCCCATTCGACCGTTTCCAGCGCCAACATGACGAGAATGAGGGTCGAGGGAAGAATCCAGACGACGTAGCTGTGGAAGAGCAGTTGCGACATGGCGCCCATGTACACGTTGTTGATCTGGCAGATCTGGGCGAGCTGGAGCGCGCTGGGGGCGCCCGTGAGAAGGAAGCAGACGATGACGAAGATGGGGTCGTCCAGAATGCTGACGGGGACGAACTTGGCGGTCAGCGCGAGGAGAGGTGCCATGATGATGGTCGGGAGCACCATGCGGCTGATCAATGAAGCGATGACGAGTTTCTTTTCCACAGCTTTGTCTTCGAGGGAGTGGTTGTCCTCCTTGGGGAGCGTGTTGCGGGCGAGATTGGCACCCAGGACGACCAGGATAAGCGGGACTGCTACCTGCCCGCTCTGGCTGATTGCTCGCGTGACAGAGTTGCTAACGAACGATCCTGGCGAGAAGAAGATTTGCTGTAGCTTGGGTACGGAGGCGATGATGATCGCAGCAAGCATAGCCCACAATGGCGGATTCATGAATTCCCACAGCCCGAAGGCGAACTTCTTGAGGAACGAAGAAGTCTTTGCCAATGTCTTTTGAAGCCAATTGGGCAGCGCATCAAATGCGCTCCGCGAGGCCTGCGCAGTCTTCGAAGAGATCGCGTGCGCAATGCTGCGGACCCATCTCTTGAACCTCAACCACCACCCCTTGGGTCCACTCGGGATACTCTCCTCCACTTGCCCGGCGATAGCAGCACCATTGCCGTTCCCATTCATGTTTCCGGGGCCCTTGATGGTGGTATTTCCATTCGTAGGTGTCGTGAAAGCGGCATGTGACGGCAGATTGGTGCGTTGTATCAAGGCGGAGAGGGAGCTGGAGCTGGAGGAGGAAGTAGAGGGGCCATAGGTACGGCTGAATTCAGGAGTGATGTCGCCGGACTCATAATCCGAATGCGAATCGTCGTGAAGTAGGTGTTCCGCCTCTTCGTCACTATATTCTCCGTTCTCGATGGCCGAATTCCTGCCCAGATCGTCGTCTTTGTACGCGCTGGCAGGAGCCAATAGTACGTTGAACCCCCACGTCCAGCGCACCAATTGACCTAACTGCTGGAAAATCAAAAGATATAGAATGCCGCGCGCCGCGACCTCGTTGTCGTTGTCGCCCGGTATCCTATCCCAGTGTAGTCCTTTCAGAGTTTTGGAAAGCGAGATGACGAGGGAGATGGGGAGGGAGTTGGAGTTTCCGAAGACCTAGTATTGTCAATATGCCTATCTACGCAGCGGTTCGTTCCGGAATACGTACAGCCATTGCGATAACAAAGTTCTTGGCCCGCTTGTTGAATTTGCAGATCCGAGAGACGGCGAGAGCGGCAACATAGGAAACGATCAATTGGACGATGAAGATGAAGGGAATGACACCGAGTTCGACCAATTTATCGGCGGTAAGCTGAGAAGCCAGTTTGGTAAAGACTGTGCATTGTATATTGTTAGTCGTAGATTCAACCAAGAATACTGTGAGGAAGGGGGTTCTTACTCAGACATGGTGTGAACAGTTGAGTGTTGAGGTTCGCGACAAACTTTTGGTTCTCTGCATCGAACATGCCCATGCGCGCAACGATGTAGCCGGGAAGACTCACGCAGACAACCTCAAGGACGGCCTCAAAGACCAGGAGGGTGAGATTGGCGAAATCTGGATGGGAGCTGTGTGGCGGGAGCTTCTTCTTGAAGACGTCCATGATGCCATTGCCGCCGTACTCGTAGGATGGGGTTACAGCCATGGAGGTGAAGTCTGGTCGTATGGGAGAGGCGAGCGAGCGCAGTCGAAAAGATCGTGCGCCATCGAAGAAAGACATGTCTGAGGAATGTCTCCTCAGGATAGAGTTTGTCGCCGTATATGTTTTATGGGTTGGGGGTTGAGGAGAGGTGTTCGGGAGTGCAGCGGATGATGAAGCGTCGGGCGCGTCTGGGAAACGTCACAGAGGGCGGACGGAAAGTTTACGAGCGCGCCGCGGCCATGGCGATGGCGACAAGCGAGTTCATCATTGTCGGATTGAGATGTAGCGTCGGTGGTGAGTTTTGAAACGGAGGCAGCAAGGTAGACAGTTGGTTGGAACAAGTATAGCGCGCGTAATCTGTGAGGCGCAGAGGGTGCACAGCGCAGAGATGAGATGGCAGTTGGCAGTCACTATGATAGAGTGAATGGACGGGGGAGGGTCCGGGAGGGGGAAGGCAGTAACTAATGATGACGGTTCAAAGAAGACTTGGTAAAGTATTGGCAGGCAACGGACTAGTGAGGAAAAGAGTAGGGGCGGTGGCAGTGAGAGGAAGTGAGCCAAACAAGATTGATTGTGCGCGTATCGTGAAAGCTGACTGGTTAGATGGGGGAAGCAAAGGAGGATAAGGGGATGGTTGATGCGATACCATGGATCGATTAGATGATGCCAACGGTTACGCCAACGCTGCTTATATCGAGTATACTACACCACACAGTCTTAATTATGTGAGTAGTACCTCGTACATACATATATACTATCCATAAGCCATACGTACCTATGTATCGTATCTATTGTGTACCTACACAGTACGAAGTAGTTATGTATGTATACTGTAATTACTGATAGATGAAGACCAACCTGATAAAACAGGTTATGGCGATGACCGTATATGCCAAGCCAAAGCCCCCCAACAAATTTCTCTGCCTCTATCTCCACAGTATGAGTAGGTATCCATATAACTTCGAGGTAACTAGCATGTCAACCTATGAGGATACTGATCGAGCTATTGATCGAAATACTGATCGAGATAATCGAAATGTACTCCACTCCGTATGTACTACAAGTACATTTACATTTCCGAATAACTACGTATTACTGGTGGTAGATCTGCAGTTTGATAATCCTTCTGAGTACTAGGGTGGATGTTGTGCCTGGCGATACTTGCTATTCTTGCCATGCCCGCCCGCCTCGTCTTTCCCTACGAGTCTCTCTCTCCTCGGGGTAGTCTCCCAAACTACGTGTACTCCGAACTTGGAACTGTTCTGTTGATGATCAAGATATTATTATTGAACATTCGAACGGTGTGAACAATGCCAAACAAGAAAACTTGTTTGCTCCGGATCAGATTTCAAGCTACTTACCCATACCTTGTCTGTCTGTATACTTGTATTTATTGATTATCCACCTCCTGCACAAGCATTATTGGGTAAAGCTTCATTCAATTGTCCAACGAGATCATACATACTTCTCTACCTCTACTCGTATTATATTCAAACAGAGCAACGAGTCGAATACTTGTAATGATAAATCGACTAAGCAGTTTGGTCGCCATCTTCCTGTTTGCGTCCCCTGTTGCTTTATGTTGCTGATTAACCCTCGTTTCGTTGCTTCGCTACAAGTACCTTGCCCACAAGACACGCTGCGATCTGCGCACCGTCCACAGTGACGACAGTAGACAGTATTGTTGCTCGTAGCAAAGAACCTGCATCTGCAGTGGTGACTGTACACTGTAGTATCACTGCCCATGTTCATCCATCTGATTATTCCTACTTGACTGTACAGCGTACACCTACGCGTACGAGTATCTATCAGTACTCTACGAATGGGTATACGAGCTTTTGTAATTTATTCCTAATCACTTCTTTTGTCTACTACCCACCGGCTGGTGACATGCGATGTGCTGCTTCGTGAATCATGAATCGTCATCAGGACGACAGAACAAACACGATCGTATAGCGTGGACTGCAATCAAGGGGAAATGCAAGGTTCTACGATTCACGAATTAAAAAAACAAACAGCCCTTCTTCTTCCACTTGTACAGTCATCCATCGGCCTTTTTTACTCATACACTGCTTGATCGAGTGGTGCTAGTAGGAATAGTTGGCTTACCTGACCACAACTGGGCTTGCGACATCCCGCCTATGTTTCCCCCAGTGGCCCCTTGTGCCCCTCTCCACCCATTCACCTCTCAGACCTTGTTCGCACACGGAACAGTAGAGTAAAACAAGTACAAGTACAGTATAATTACAATAAGTACGCAATACAGACCACTCAGTAACAAGTATCTATTACCCAGTGTAGTAGTCTTACTGGTCCCCTCGACCGCCGCCTAAGCTAGCTATATCAATTCACCTTAGGGTCCCTCTTAGTAACCTAAGCTTGCTTGCACCCTCCCCTACCTCCTCTATCCCCTTCTAAACTATACCTACTCTCTCTTTCTCTCTCTCTTCTCCCGCATCTAAATTATTTCGACTCTAGCCCTCTTCAAAAAACCCACCAGGTCCGCATCTTTTTTTTCTCTCTGTGTGTCCAACTCAAAAGTTCGCCGTCTCCCCGCCATGATACGCCTTGGCTGCGCTGCACATCCCACTCCATCATTGTGATTTCACACTCCTGCGGGAAAACGTCACTATCCGCGCCGCCACGGATCCCGCGACCCACAACCTCACCACCACGAACCTGTCGTCCATTGCTCGCCAGACACTCCTCCTAAGAGGTCCAGTCGTGCCATACGTATCACACCTACTATACGTACCTGGATATCTCTCAATCCACCCTCCTCCGTCCGACTCTGCTCCCCCTGCATACCGAGTGTGTACCGACTTTGTCCTCCTTCCAACCCCACCAGACGTCAAACAGACGTCTGCCGCACGCGTCCACCACAACCCCCTCTACCACCACCACCATGGCTGCCACGCCTGATGGAGACTTCGACTCCGATAGTCCTCTAGAGTCTCCCTCTCTCGAGTCGCCATCCCTATCACCAGCATCCGAACTCGCCCCCGATGTTTCTCCAGCCTCCCCCACATCCCTCGATCCCGCTCGAACAGGTCCGCGATCGATATCCTCGGGAGGTCTGCCGACAAGTTCAATGACCCAGTCCTCTACACCGCTAGGAAACATCAATGCCGCGAGGAATCCTCGCGCAAATGCCCCCACCATCTCGAGCAGAGGTAGTGGTCTCAATGTGTCGCAAGACATCCTCGCCCGAATCCAAGCAGTCCACCTCGGCCGACAAAACAATCCTCCCCCCGGCGGTTCAGCAAGACCGCCTCTCATGTCTCCCGGCGGCGCTGGTGCTCCAATGATGGGTAGGCCCAGTCCAGCTTCACCTGGAGGGCCCATGATGGCGGGAGGCGTGCCAGCCAACTTCCGAATGCCCCCAGGTGGAAAACCTGGCATTCCCACTTTCCAGTCCGCCCCTGCCGTTCCCGGTGCACGTCCAGGAGGTTCAAAGCCATCCCTCGCAGAAAAGCGTGGCCTCAAACTTCCTGGAGGCTTGCCTGGCGCAAGTCCTGCCGGCCCCGCGCCTAAGAAGAAGCCAGGCTTGACACTGGCACAGTTGAACGGTGACAATGGCGCTGCGTCAAGTCAGCCTCCGAAGCAGGAGACAATGATGGACAAGTACGCCGAGTTCCTCGATCAGAAGACGGGTAGTCTCCGTTTCAAGGGAAAGGCAGTACTGAACAGTGAGGGCGTGCAGTTTGCCAGTGGCATCACTTTCAACATATCACTAGACGAAGTAGATACGCTCGACGAACTGGGTAAGGGTAATTATGGTACCGTGTATAAAGTACGACACAGCCGACCCCGAATGCGCAAACCCGGACAAGGACTCGCTGGCAACAAAGCGTTACCAGGTTCCCCTACTAGGAAAACCGCCGATGGAGAGAGCCCGACATCCGCAAAGCCTTTGGGAGGAACCGGAATCGTCATGGCCATGAAGGAGATCCGACTCGAGCTGGACGATGCCAAGTTCGCGGCGATCATCATGGAGTTGGACATCCTCCATCGCTGCATATCCCCCTATATCGTTGACTTTTATGGCGCTTTCTTCCAGGAAGGAGCGGTGTACATCTGCATGGAATTCATGGACGGTGGTTCGATAGACAAGCTGTACGGTGACGGCATTCCCGAGAATGTCCTGCGCAAGATCACGTTGGCGACAGTTATGGGCTTGAAATCACTCAAGGACGACCACAACATCATACACCGAGACGTCAAGCCAACCAACATCCTCATGAGTACTCGGGGTCACATCAAGATTTGTGATTTCGGAGTGAGTGGAAATCTCGTCGCAAGTATCGCGAAGACGAACATTGGATGCCAGAGTTACATGGCACCCGAGAGAATCTCATCAGGCGGAATGTCTCAACCAGGTGCCAGTGGCGGTACATACAGCGTTCAGAGTGATATCTGGAGCTTAGGACTTACCATTATCGAATGCGCCCTGGGTCGGTACCCATACCCTCCGGAAACATACAATAACATCTTCAGTCAGCTCAGCGTAAGTCAAGTGATCCTCCTTCTCAAGTTCATGGGTTCTAATTTATGTAGGCTATTGTGGATGGTGAACCCCCAGATCTACCGGAAGATGGGTACTCGGACGCAGCACGAAACTTTGTCCGCGGTTGCTTGAACAAGATCCCGAACCTACGACCAACATATGCCATGCTCCTCCAGCATGCATGGCTCGCTCCTCTGGTGAAACCGAACACTATTACGGAGGAGGACGAGGAAGAAGCCGAGGCGGGAGGCAATGCCCAGCCCACAGCAGACGGGGCAGAGCAGGCGAGCGAGCCCGAGCCCGAGCCGCTGAACGCGGAAAATGCCGCCGTGGTGATAGATCAGGAAGTGGCAGACTGGGTCAAGGACGCGGTCGAGAAGCGTAAGAAGGGAATCCTAGGCAAGGCACCAAAGCCTGCATTGCACGCAGCACCTCTTGACGCCGTATCGAGTCCTTCGGGCGCAGGGGTGAATGGACTAGACCTACCACCCGCTACAGAAACCGCCGCCTAAAGCAATTCAAGCATCATCAACTTTGAATTCAATATCACATGGCATACCCACGAAGATGGTTCCAATAAGAGCGTGGGATTCAAGGCTCTTTCATGGCCGCGTCATTGTTGCATTGCCTCATTCTCACAGCCCCCGATATCACCTTGTCTCTTCGTCGGGCCGTCCGCAACTTATTCTTATGTGCATAACGAGTTCAAGCAACACGCGCATACCTACCGCGCAAGTCCTTTATATAAACAACGCACCACTGGACGGACAGACCATCAGTGAGGCAATCGCTATTTTTTTTTTTTTGCAGCACAGCAGCACACATATGTTATGGGACATTTGGCGAAGCATGCCGCAGGACCTCTAGTTACCCTTCGCCTTGACAGTTGGGGGATCTTTTTTTGCATGGATGGAGCTATATATGATATAGAAATACGAGGAATCTAGCGGAACACTTCAGATGTTGTATGACCAGTTGCTTCTTATGTGATGTTTGTTGTTATCTTGTAACTCTTCTCTGCACAGCATGGCACGCAATTGTGAGCTCTCTAAGTCAATTTGACGTGTAATCACACTAAATCGTATGAGAAATGTAGTAAATATGTCAGGGCTTAATACTTGTAAATAATATGCATTATGATATACTACGATGTTCCCAAATAATTCAATAAGTAGTGTATGGGTTATTGTGGAATAAAGACAAAGAAAATAATCATTAGTTCTTCACCATGTGTTGTCCTCAATGCACGTAGAATGCTCTAGCTCAATCACCGTCACTCTAAGGTGGTCGACATGGGAAGTGGCGCACGAATAGCGAGGAAGGTCCGGGCGCCAAGCGTCACCCCCGACATACCGACAGGTGTTCACATCAAATGTCCAAGTTGCCCCAACTCCACGAATTCCTTATTTTCTATACTTTCTTTGCTATGCCACACACACCTAGGACGTAGAGCAAACCTCCTCTGGAATAAGTTACATACGCATGCGCTCCGTTCAGACTCTCCTTAGATTCCTTTAATTTCTCTTCTACGTCGCCGTCCCGGCCTAGGGATCACTATTCGCCATGTCTGGCACCGACTACAATTACGATGAACAGGTACGACACTTCCCGATCCTCGCCTTTGGGCCCTGCTGACAATCCTAGGGACAATTCTTCCCCTACTTCATCCTTACGATGACCAGTTTGGTCACAATCCCCGTCACATACTCCTGGCTCAAACCGAGCAAAGGTGCGCACCACCCCGCGCAGGACTCGGGATGCCCAATCCTTTGGCACACACTCTAATCTAGGCGTAGAACTCGAGAACACGGCGACCCGAATAAACTCTGACTTCAATCCCGAGCATGCGGATCTCATTGATGGGCAGCGCAAGAAGCAGAAGCGACGGGAACGAAGGTTCAAGCGAATGTTGACCAGTTTGGGAGGATGGCTAGTTATCGCTGGAATGATCTACTTGATCATTGTTACCACGCAGGCTGAGATGAAGATATATGATCCATATGAGGTGCTAGGAATCTCTCGAGTAAGTGCACACTGCGGCCTGGGTGTTGAAACAAATGTCTAACGAGGAAACAGTCTTCCAGTGAGAAAGAGATTAAGAGCCGCTACCGTAAACTTTCCCTCACACTCCACCCCGACAAGGCACGCGAGGATCCCGCCCAAAACATCACAAAGGAAACTATCAACGATCACTGGGTCGAGGTTAGCAAAGCGTTCAAGGCTCTCACTGATGAGGACATCCGCGAGAACTGGCTCAAGTACGGAAACCCCGATGGCAAGCAAAGCTTCAGCATCGGCATTGCGCTCCCTAAATGGATCGTCACCGAGGGTCATGGCAAATACGTGTTGCTCATGTACGCAATCGCGCTTGGAGTCATTCTCCCTTACACTGTCGGCAAATGGTGGTATGGCACGCAGAAATTGACAAAGGAGAAGATTCTCATCACCAGCGCTGGAAAGCTGTTCCGTGAATATGACAACGAACAAGGCGAGAGTGGAGTCATCGGTACGCTCAGTAGTGCGGACGAATACAACGAGGTTCTCAAAGGTCCCAAGGCAGAGCAAGGTCTCTCCAAATTGGAATCAAGGGTGCTTGCGGAGTCTTCGCCAATTCCCGCGGTTCTCACCACCAAAGACCGTCAAAAGCTCGAGGACCTGGATGATAGCCGAAGGAGGAAGGTTTTGACACTACTGTGGGCATACCTTGGCCGCATTGAACTTGATGAACCTGCCCTTAATGATGGTACGTATTTCAATCCGGAACCTTTTACACTTCTAACAGGTTGCAGAAAAATACGAAGTCGCTCCTATCGCACTCAAGTTGAACGAAGCATATACCTCGATCGCTCTGGCATACGGAAGTACTAGGGCAGTCCTCTCCGCCTATCACACCTCGCAAAACATCATCCAAGCCGTGAGACCTGGCGCATCTGCTCTTGAACAGCTACCCCACTTCACCCCAGAGATTGCTGCTGCAGCCGAGGCCGAGCGATCAAAGACTCACTTGACTGTCCAAGAGTTCATGCGCCTTCCCGTCCAAGAACGCAAGGCACGTGTTGTGAAACCTGGTCTCTTGACTGAAGCTCAATTCCAACAAGCTTCTGCGATTGCATCACAGATTCCCGTTTTGAACGTTGAGCGAGCATTCTTCAAGGTTGTTGGCGAACGTTTCGTCACCCCGAGTAGCTTGGTACAATTCGTCGTCAAAGGCCGATTCATTCCTCCAGGAGCTGCTGGAATTCCTCAAGTTAAGCCGGCAGATCTTGAGGACATCGACCCCGAGGAGGGCGACCTCTCTGCTTTGCGCAAAGACGACAAGGCTGGCGAGAAGCCCATCCAGCCGCCCCTTGCTCATGCGCCCTACTACGCGAGAGATCATGCTCCCAAATGGCACATCTTCCTCGCCGACAGCAAGCAGGGCAAGGTCGCTGTCCCTCCATTCTCGTTCTCTACGTTTGATAAGCCTATCCTTGATGATGCTGGAAAGCTCACCTATAACGTGCAAACCTTGAAGATGCAATTCGGAGCTCCCCCGCAACCCGGCACCTACACATTCGTCATGTACATGGTGTGTGACAGCTACCTTGGCATGGATACCAAGATGGAAGTCACACTTGTGGTCGAGGACGCAAGCAAGGCAGAGGAGGTGGACGAAGACGATGAGATCAGCGAGCCAGACGAGGGTAAGTACCGATGACAATTTCCCCCCTTAAACAGAACGCATGATTGATCGTGTTTTACAGATACCATTGCCGGCCAAATGCGAGCACTCAAGTCTGGCGAAGTCCCAGGATCAAAGCCGAAGAAACGAAGAACCGACAACGACGACTCAAGCGACGGTAGCGATACCGAGGGAGACGTCGAGTCAGAAAGCGAGACTGATACTGATACCGACGAAGAGTAGAAGAACTGTTTTCAATTGCTTCCAGGCGGGATTGTATAGCGGTGCGAGAGGGGGTTAATCAGTCACTGTACGGCGGGGCGGGGCTGGTAGGGCAAGTCTGATTGTAGCATTTCCAAGGCGTTCTCAGAGCAGCAGCGTGTGTCTCCGCTGGTGGGATTCGATGGTTATTTTCTTCGTCTTGCTGGGCTGGGACAAATAGCAGGGTAGTACGTGTACATGAGTCGAGAGTCCGGCCTTTTTTCTCTCTCCCATCCAAAAAGAAAATTGGGTCTTTCCTCCATACCAGATTTAGAATATCCTGAGGCAGGTGAATAGGCAAACATGGTGTTCCGAACCTTTTCAAAACGTGGGCGACGAGAGAGGGGGGGTTTGTGTGCTCGTTCAAGTCAAGTCGTTCGACCCTTGTGATGATCGCCTCCTCCTAGCATCCAAAGTGGTGTGGTTTTCCCCCCCTCCCAGCGATCACGAACAACAGAAATCAGGAACCCATCACATCCGAAAGCCCCAGGCATTGACTTATAGCATGGAAATATAGTGCTAATTTGTGCCTGAGGAGGTCGCGTGGCCGCACTGCGGGTCGCACATCGTGAGGACACTGGGCCATCCTACACGTGCTCGGTTTCACACCCGTCTCGCTTGCTTCCTCTGCAACCTTACAAACCTTACAAACCTTACAGCCTGTTCTCTCCAGCCACACTCTAGATGCCCTATGCCCTACGCACTGTCTCACATCCACGGTATCTACCCGGGATTGACAAATGTGCTACTCACGTCCACATTCACCCCCGCGCGCTCGCTACCTAAGGCTACATGATCCTCACGCCTCTGGCCCCGTGCGTGCCGTGCAGTTGCGTCGGGGGGTTTTGCCATATCTTGGCCTGCAGATCCGGATTGCCCTCCACCCGCACATCAGACCCATCCTGAGGCCCTCTCTCCCCTCGCATTGGGGCCTGCCTGCCTGCCTCAGGGAGGAGAGGCACGCAGAGCACGCCAGAGCGACGCAGGGAGCGACTGGATAAGCTACTCTTGGCGTGCGTTTGAGGCGCGCTGGGGGAGGGCTTGGCGGTCGTCGGGAGGTGTGTAGGCCGGAGGATTTGTTGACCATTTTGTGTGTGTTGCCTGGGGGTGATGGCGGCGGGGAGGGGAGGACTGAGGCAAGTGTGGTGTGGAAGTTTTGTGATGGGCGGATTGCATGTGCCGGACGGAGTATGAGCATGCAGCATTGCAGCATTGCAGCATGAATGTGAAGAATATAAGTCCAGAGATGTGCTGTCCGTTCAAGTTGTTTCTTTCTCTCTCCTCACTCACATCCACTATCATTCAATCGACAATCCTTTCCTCCCTTCCCCCCTTCAATCTTTAACTTGATTTAATATAGCGACTTTGATAGTCTGCAATAGTTTTTTTCACACGCTTTGATAGCCTTTCATTACGAACGATCTTCTTCTGAACATTCACTTTCATACGTCTGCGACGTTTAGTAATTACTACGACATCACCTCTAATACCCGCCTCTTGGAACGTAATTGCTCAATTATATATCCCTCTCTCCAATTATATTCAAGATGTTCTTCAAGACATACGCCACGGTAGCTCTTGCGACTGGTCTCGCTGGTAAGTCAATGCAGGCAATATCAACCACTCACAGTGACTAACACAACATCCAGCTGCTAAGCCCATTGCTCCTCGCACACCCAACAACAACCTTGTCTTCGGCAACAATGCGGGCCGCAATGCCCAGGGCTTCAGCTTCATCGACGGCTTCAACAACTTCAACAACCAGCAGCAAGTGATCCAGATCCAAGAGCAGAACCTGCAGATCATCGACAACGGCTTCCAACAGCAAGTCGTGCAGCAAGCCAATGAGGTCCTCATCGTCAACAACCAGCAGAACGGCTTCAACAACCAGCTCAACAACCTGTTCCGCAAGTCCAACTTCCGCAACAACTTCAACCAGCAGTCGACCGTCATGCTCGTCGTGCAGGAGATCCAGATCGCCGTCGATGATGGCCGCGGCAACCAGTTCCAGCAGAACGTCTTCGCGCAGAGCGCCGTCGTCGCCAACCGTGGCCTCGCCGCCACCCAGACCGTCATGATCTTCCAGCAGGAGACCCTCATCGCGCAGAACATCCTCGGCGGCGTCGGAGGCTTCCAGAACTTCCAGAACAACATCCTCGGCGGTGGCAAGGGCAGGGGCGGAAACAACATCGTCAGCGTCCCCACCCAGACCGCGGCAGTCCAGCTCTTCGGCAGCAAGCCCACTTGGAGCTCTGTCGCTGAGGACCCCGCCGCTACTCTCGGTGGCGTCTGGCAGGCTGAGCTCGAGGACGTCCAGAAGATCGAGAACAACAACGGCGACAACGACCTCAACAACCAGGCTGCTGAGCAGGAGAAGAAGGCGCTCGACGAGGCCAAGGCTGCCGAGGAGGCCGCGAAGAAGGAGGCCGAGCAGCAGCAGCAACAGCAGAACCAGGAGGGCGAGCAGAACAACGCAGAGGAGGAGCAGAAGAAGGCCGAAGAGGAGGCCGCCAAGCAGGCTGAAGAGCAGAAGAAGGCCGAGGAGGCGCAGAACCAACAATCTGCTGCTGAGCCTGCCGCCACCGCCGCCCCTGCTGCTCCTGCTGCTGCTCCTGCTGAGGGCGAGAAGCTATAAACGAACTTGTTCCATCGCGTGAAATGAGTGGACTTCCTGCTGTCGGAGTCTAGGTTTTTCTCTTTTGGACTATCGTCGTTTCTTCTTTTCTGGTGGCCCGTGAACAGACATACCCGAGCACAAATAGGTTGCAGTGTTAGCTCTCGCCCAGAGGATAGAGTCCCGGGCTGAATGAATGATTAGGATTAGCATGGTCTTTTCCCAACGTCCTTATGAATACCGCGGGGAAGAAAAGAAAGGAACACTGGGAAGGATAGGGAAGGAAAGGAGAGGATTTAGAAATGAAAAGTGAGCAGTGAAGTGTCGATGCAAGCTTTCTTCGCTCACTCGTTCAACTTACTATTTTTCAAAATACATGAATCATTTCATTATGTATGTATGTATACCCAAATCGAAATTTTTGAATGTTGCTGTTTGATTTGCTTTGCCAAGTTGCCGTTGTCTGTTTTCGTGAAGTGGTCTGAATTGGTTTGAGTACTGTGATGAGATGGTAATTGACATGCGAAAACGAAATAATGGCAGAGACCATATTAGGCGTGAGCGGGAAGATGAGGAGTATGGAAGGTGGAGGAGTTCGTGATCGAGTGGGCAACAGGTACGTAGAATATTAGTTTGACCCTCGCACTTAGAGAGAACACATTGATGATGGCAGTAGTGAGATTTTGTGGGGAGAAAAGGGAAAAGAAGGGGAAGTGAACATTGGAGGGAAAGACGTTGGAAAGGGAGGGTTTATTGGATTTTGTTCTGATGTCACCTCTATGTAGAATTAGGTGGGGTTCGAGAGTGCAGATGCATGTGTTGCACTGAGGGGGAAACTGTCATAGGTGATAGCTGGGAAAGGACATACACTCAGGCAGGCACGCAGACAGACAGACAGACAGCGTCGCAGTTGCTTTCATTGGGACGAGAGATTTTCGCGGTCGCTTCGTCTGTTCGATAGCGTTGCTTCGAAAATGCGATATTAATGAGTTGCAACACGAAAAGACAGTGATCCTCTAGTTACACACTCATCTAGGCGGAAGACTTGCGTAGGGGTATGCCTTTTCTTTTGGGGATTTTGCTATGCACATCATATCGGTTTCGTGTATGCGTTAGAGTTGTTTGATGGGTATGTGACTTTGATATGAACATAGTTCACCCCGATGGTCTTCCTCCTGTGTCTGGAGGCTAAGTACTCATCGCGTAAGAATATTGAGATTGGCTTGCGGAACTCGTGCATGTGTTTCAAGCGAGCATTCCAGGAGGATGATAACCACGCTGCCTATCTCTTAGATTTGACGGCACAATACCATAGCAGCATGGTACTCCTTTCTCGAATGCCAACCACATCTCATCCAGCCCAGCATGTCACGACCTATCAAGACTCTCATCACTGATGTTATATCATGTAGGACAATTCGAAGATGGACGAACAATTGTTTCAATGTGGATCGATTAATGAATATCTATAGCGAGTCGACGGCATCCCGCTTGCACGCCCATCTCTGCCAAACTATACGACACGATTCTTACGAAAGGCGACCGACGTCGATGATCAAAGGAGTTTACTAAACTTTTCATAAAATTGTCAGCTAAAGTGCAATTTGAAATGAGTGACAAGAAATGCGTTCCGACAAGAATGTTGAGTTGTTTTGTGTTTCAGAATTTTCAGTGCGTAATATTTGAGTCCGCATGGTGTAATTAGGACAGCTCCAATATATGAGATTCATCATTTGACAAGAAGAGTTGGTTTTTTTTGGGTTGCGCGTTGAAATGGAAGGCAGGGAAGAGAGGCTTACCTGGGGGAAGGTTGGGGTGTGTTGAGTCTGCTGTGTGAGTGTGTTAAGAGTGATGATTGAGATGATGCATAGCTAATTGATACGATGGTCTTAGATCGAAGACGCGTCAGATACCAAAGGCGTTGTTGTTGGTGGTGGATGGTGTTTTGTTTGTTGGAGGTTTGGTGAAGAGGAAAAAAATTGGTTAAGACCAGTTGACTAGACCATTCGTGGCAAAGCGTACAATTACATACATGAGTTGGAACATCATGATGATAACGGGAACTTCATTCACTACCAAGTAGGATTTCGTGGAATGAGGACATTTAATGCGTACTGAGAAGCCTTTCAACATGCCTAAGGAGATGAATTCGCATGCCCTTACAAGTAGAAGAGAAATAAGAATCACGCCACCAAAACGAGATGTAGGACGCAAGGTTATATTCAATATAGTGGTTGTATTCTTGGAATTGGGAATGCCTTTGGGCATAAATGTACTGTACAATGTAGTGGTCCTTTAAAGCATGTTGCAAAGAGGCCCCTTGTATCAAGTCTGGTGGTTCGTTCCACAGGGATCACTTTCCAAATTGATGTTTTAAATCCCCCATCAATCGGACATGTGTTTCCTCTTCCTTCTTACAAATGGTTTCGTGCTGTTCTTTTCGGACTTATCTTGATGAAGCGCATCCAAATTTCCACAAGAGGTAGAGCTTGTGCTCATCACCACGACAACGTCAACTTTCTCGGAGCACGTCAATGGTATAGCCTCGACTCGGAACCTTGAGAACAAGATTGCTCTGATTTGACTTCGAGCAACCTTTTCCTTCATGACGCACTGATATGCTTCCGCTTTCGCGTGGGGGGAATCTCCTGTAAGATATTTGAACGCTCGAAATCTATCAGCATCACTGTTTTAGTGATTGGATTCCATAGTACATTCGGACCATGCACGTCCCCATGCTCCACTCCACAATCCAGGATTTGTGTTTCTATTTTGCTCGCTTCGGCATTCAGATCTCGACCCATAGTTGTCATCAAGTCCTTGCACGCCCGCTCACCTGCCCAGGACATTAACAGCATGTGGTGTATTCTTACCCCATAATCGAGATACCAAGGTATCTTCAGGGAGATACTCCCGAGATAGACTGGCACAAGCTCCCCTTGAATCTTTTCTAAGTGTCGGTAAACTAAGGCTTCGTGCTCCAAGTCTTCTTTGAACGCCATCACAGTTCCTTTTGCGACAAAAGTGTATTCGTAGTGCTCCAGAGATAATTTGAACAGAGCACCACGGGCACCTTGCTTTCCGAGTGGCAAAATTCCATTATCGGGATCTTCATCGAGTTGATGTAACATATGTTCCACAAAAGACTTGTGATTCATAGTATGATGGTTGGTATTTCGATAGCCACGATGTGCGTCGATATTTGGACAAGAATCATCTAAGAGCTGTTCTCGTACGAGTCCGAGCAGGCAGGCTTGAGTGCAGTACGGCCGGTGGCGTATATCATTCTCTGTAGCTTGCTTCAAAATCTCGCTTGTATATGTCTCTTTGCTGGACTTCTGTGCGTGATCATCTCGGTTGCTTGATGTTTTAGCGTCTGGGTCATCGTCTGAGCTAGATGGGCTTTGTTGATCCTGCACAGAACCGTAGCTAGCCTTTCGTTTCGCTGCCGTCTTCGATTTCAACATGATTGGGGAGCGCGTGACAGAGTACTTTCGGTCTTCGGACCGCGAGGATCGTGGAGAAGTGGTGTTTTCTTTCTCGGGCATCTGGCTTAATGTAAGCTCCTCGCCAATGCCTGACCTGTCGGCATCTGTCACAATAGCCTTTCGCCATTTCTGAGAACAAGGCTTTGAGCGCATTGCCATTAAACAAAAGGCCAAGGTCTGGCCAACTGCGGTCCGATGAGGTAAGATATCCATCCCGGCCTCGGCCTCAGCTTCAACGAGAGGTTCTGCAAGATGGTGGTAGAGCGTGTGTGGCTCATGCACTAGAATCTTTAGAAAGACGTCGATAGGTCCGGAAGTTATTTTGCTATACAGGAGGCCATTCTCAACCATGGAGGAATAAGCCTGAGCAAAAGCTGTTGTCACCAACTGTTCCGATCTATACACAAAGTTTGAATCCGAATTTGACGGTATTGTAGTCCGATTGATGACTTCAGACAGATTCATGGATCCACTATCCGCTCGCTGAAGGCCAGTTCTCAGCACAGAGGCCGTCAGTCCGTCAGCTGCTTCGTATTGCACAAGCATGCAGAGGCGCTGTGCACCGTTGGATTCCTCGACGTAGACGCAACGCTGATCGGTGCGTCGGGGATTTGGGGTCGAGTCTGAAGTCTGAGCCTGAACCTCTTCGTTGCTATCATCAAGAGAGCTGACGGGCCATGCGAACAAAATACTGCCTTCCAATTGAAGGCGAGTGTCGTTTATCTGTGCAAGTTGTTCGATGACTGTCTCCACAGGGTTTTCAACGGCCACTGAGTGATATATCTCCACAGTCTTCTCACTTGCCAGTGGTCGGTTGTGAAGCATTCGCTCAAGTTGCTTTCCACGTTCTTCGATGAAATGAAGGGAGGAAAATAATCGCTTATCGGCGACACAGTCGCCAACGGTCTGGAAAATGTGGTGCTGTCTTGTTTGAAAATCTTCCCAAGGCTTCAATAACCTCGGGCGAGGCATGTCTCCCGGTCTCGACATAGAGCTCTGTGTGTGAAGATTCCAGTACGCCTGGACACGAATTGGCCCAGAGAGTGATGTATGATGGGCGCGAAGATATTCTTGAAGAGTGGTACGTTTGGTCTTCGCTTCTGCTTCTTGTCGCTCCTGCTTTGTTTCCTTAATCAACTGCTTTAGACGCGCAATCTCTTGTTGCTCCCACGATGTCATTGGGCGGTTGCGTGCTTGTTGTTGAGCGGAAAGTATGCGTTCGTGTTGTTGAAAGAGGACCAATGAGCTGTATACGCCCTCCAGCTCTATGTTCCTCTCTGGTTGCTCGCGAAAATATCTAGGTTGGTAGGTCTCTAACGCAAGAATTTAAGTAGCAGGAAGTCAAGTACGTGGCAGTAGGTACCTGCGTAGTTGGCCCCGACGCCCTCTAGGCTGCCACAGGCACTAGTATTATTGAAGACGTAAATATCTAAATCACTTTAGAGAAAATGGTGTGTGCAATTTAAGGTTGTGGACCTGGTCTCTAATTGGTCGATCTGTGAGGCTCTTTGTTGAAATGGAATTTCACCTGTCGGTTACGGTACATTGGGGCTGGAGTCACTTCATTTTTAGCTCTCACTTGACTAAGTCGTGATGTAGCTGCGGGGCTACGCTTCTTCTGATGGTAACAACGGTGCAAGATGATCCAGCCGCTCAAATGAAAATGGAAGTGAAGCTTAGAAAACCCCATCGTCTTCAGATCTGCCATCCTCAGGAAAGATCTCCTTTGCGAGGCGAGACCCAAATGTGAAAACAGTCAAGTGAAGATGTGTGTAGAAAAACATCTTAGTCTTGGCCTGCAAGTACCAAGCGGTTTGATTGTATTATTGTGAGCAATCGAAAGCATAGGCTGTATGATCATGAGAGAAATGACAGTGAACAATAGCAAAGAGGGTGGAGTCAGGCACCTGGCCTTGTCTACTGGAATGGACACGTCTGAAGTAGAAGTCAAGGAAGATGGATGCTGTGCATTACTGCGGGATACTACATACATAAGATAAATCTGGTTGTTATTGTTGACCGATATGTGCTCGAAATGTCAGTGCAAGACTATCGTGATTTATGCCATCAATAAGAGACATGGGCTGCCTTATTCTGGACATAACTATTGGAATGTGTCCATAGATAGGGTAATAGTTACGTAGAAGAGAAAGAATTTGCCTGAGTACTTGATCGTATGAAGACCATAATCATGACCAACTTGGTCCCTTGCAATTTGTTTGGAAGCTTTTGGTGGAGATTTCAGTTTCAGGTATTGGCATAACTTCATTTCATCGCATTAAGACTTCAAATTACTTTTTGTATAATAGGTACGGTCTCACAACGGGAACTCTTGGTGAGTAATAGGGAAAACTGTGCCTGAACATCAAGAATCGAGATATAGGACTGCGACTAGGATCGACCAAAATGGCTTTGGTCGTCAGGCACCGCCGCGGCGGCTGGCAAGGAACAGGTACGTGCCTCATATACCGATTAATGGACAGTGGCGGACAGGCCCAATTGACGGCTTGGACTTGGTGACAGTTGAAACAGTGGGTCGGAACGACCGATACTTGGCGGGGAGTCGGGCGGTGTTCAGGGCGTGATCCACTCCTACACATTGACTACTTAGGCATCTGGAAATGCTCTCCGAAAGAGGAAATCGTGTTTGTCGTGGAGATGAGTGAGGATAAAGGGGATGAAAGGAAGGTCGAAGGTAGAACGCAGATTACGTTTTGAAGTGAATGAGGAGGGGAGATGAAGGAGAATGAGTGGATCGAAAGAAGGCAATGGTCGCGGCTAACGGGAGTGCCTAGCTGGTGCAAGAGTGCGAGGGCTCGAGGTTCAGGACAAATGAACGGCGACAGATGACCAAGCGCTACGAGACATTGTGCCACAGAACTGCGTAAGTTCTTTTCGGGATCGGATGAGGCGAGGGGAGACCTACAAGGCTCGCTGGTGGAAGCATCGCCCGACAGCGGTCATTGGGAATCCCAAAGGTACACTCCGTTTGCTCAATCGAAAGTAGGTTTCTGATAGGCAAAGTCTAATTTGGAGGGGAAGAGATGCCTTAGAGAGAGCCTCTGGAAGAATGCACCGTCCCTGGACGAGCTTGTGCATCACAAGCCCGAGCTCTGCAGCACATGCGGATGTAACCAAACTCGGCAGGTATCTCTTCCTCGAAGTTTCTGCGAAGGATTCGTATGGTCTTGTCTCTCCATGCACCCAGCCGGAGGACGCATCATGAGCTAGATGAGACGGCGCAGTGAGAATGTATTGTTCATCTTTAGAGCCATCGGGAACTTGAACTTGGTCATCCTTTTTGAAAAAGCATTTATGCTTCTGCGCACACCCATAGTCCCTTGCGGAGACACAGCGGTCGTCCTTGACGAATTGAATTGATACAAGCAAAACAAAGAGGTAAGTGGAAATGCCCCTAAAACAGGTCATGCAGGAGTAAAGACCAAGTAGGATCTGGATAGGATGAGCGGATGCTTGCAGTGTTAATTTAGGTAGGACAGGGCTAACGTTAAACATTCATCCCGCCGCTCATCCAGTAAGCAAAGGCAGGAGGCAGGAGGTAGAGGAAACATGCAGCTTGCGTGACAGTCTACTCACCTCTACGTACGACTCATAAGACATGTTGTAACAAGTTCATCCGTGGTATGTGGTCATCGGTACATACCCATGCATTCCATGCCCCATGTCAGTGCCAGTGTCTATCGATAAGAACAGGGCCAGCGAAAATGGCCCTGGATTGCAGGATTGATCTGGATTGCCTGAAGGATTCATTGAATTATGAAAGGAGGGTGTGCTTAAAAACCATGTCTCAGGGCGGCTAAGCAGGTACATACAGTGCTATGCAATAGATTTGCGGCGATTTGATGGGTCTGTCGGATTGGCATTCTTCATGTTGCAGTGACGACCTATGCAGGCATCTATGACGGCTGCGGTCTTGTCAGGCGATATTCTTTGCTTCCTAGTCCGTCTCCCACATTGAGCCACAGATATGCCTCACATACGCCAGAGAGCCATGTGAGGCTCTAGGGGTGATGGATCAGATTCATCTGGGCAAGGTCAAGTGCGCGGTTCCCCAGTTGTTCCCGTTCTGTGGTTTTATTCGGTTATCGCCTCCCCCCTTGCCCAGGGAGCCTTTTGGTGGCAGAGACAAGCGCCAGGTTGGTTACGAAAGGGGGAAAGCTTGAAACATGCACGGAACGACCCCCAGAAATGGCGGGTTCATGGTCAATCAAACTCCAAGATGCTGCAACCAGATTACCACCATCTATCATCACCACCACTCAACCGTACCCTTTCTCCATCTCCAGAATTTAGACTGAGTTCAGGAACAAACGCCCCAGATGACTCTCCACTGGCTCTTCCCGCACCCGACATTGCGTTTCGAAACATCAAACGCCGCTCTAACTAACACCCTGCAGTGACCTCCGATGAGACGGAGCTGCGCACACTGGCTGTGGCAAAGCCATGGGCACGCTTCTGTTTGTCTCATGCTTTGTCTTTGGAACCCAGTCGAGGTTCGCTATAGATCCCTCTGCGCGGCCTTTGTGTTGCACAACGGCTGAGGCGCTGGCTTGCTCATCTCCCGCTAGACCCTCGCCGCTGATATTGCTCACACCTCTGAGCACTTGGTAGCCACTATAGGTCATGAGTGCAATGTTTAAGAAGGCTTCAACGCCGCTATTCACTTTCATCATCACACCGTGACACACTCTTTTGCAGGCAAGCCCTGAGTCTTGGTGGACTTTTCACTCCTTCACTCCTTTCGTGTTTTTGGTTACCAAACGCAGGCCCGTTTACCCTCTTTCAGCCTCTTCCTTGTAGCCGTTGTCTTCCGTTCTTCTGTTACTGGACTTGCGACCTGAATCTCAGAGTCAACATACACAGTGCAACATCTTGTCAACTGACATCTGTCAAAGCAAGCTTGTCATATTCGTTGTGCAGTTTCGAAGCAAAGCCAAAACGAAAGAAAGCAGCCCGTTCTTTGCCCTTGTCACTCTTTTATACATAAGAACCGCAAACTCTTGTCCTTTACACGCACTATCATCAACCTCATCTCAGGGAAACGCAATAAACTACACGTCACCATGTATATGACTCTTGCCGTTATGGCGCTCATGGGCGCAGCTCATGCCCACATGCACCTGCAATTCCCCCCAACTTTGAGGGGTGATAACAACCCCTTCACCAAGCAGGTTGACCCCAAGCTCAACTACCCCTACGGCTGCTGTGGAATGGAACCTCTCGATACTTGCCACGGCCATCTTGATGCTCTTGACACTGACGAAGGTCAATCTGTCGTGACCTGGAAAGCTGGTCAAACCGCCAACTTCACGCTCTCGGGCCACAGGATCCGTTCTGAAATTGAGAACCCTGAGGGAGGTATGTATCACGCTCTCTGGCATATTCATTGAACATATCTAATGAAGATTAAAGGTACCCATTACGGGGGCTCATGCCAAATCGGGTTCTCCGTTGATGGTGGTAAGACGTTCAAGATCGCCTCAACCTGGAATGGGAACTGTCCTTTGCGCGAGGGCTCTCAAGATCCCAGCACCCAGAAGTTCGACTTCACCGTCCCAGCAGACATGCCTTCTGGAAAGGCAGTCTTCGCCTGGACTTGGATCAATCGTGAGAAGGAATTCAACATGAACTGCGCATCGGTCACCATCACTGGCGGTAAAAGCGAATCCCCCAAGGGCCCACAGCAAAGTGCTTCTCCCACCAAGCCACAGCAGAGTGCCACCCCTACTCCACCAAGTTCACAGCCTCCGAACCAGCAGTACACACTCTCTGGTTGCACGTGCGAGTGTCCAAGCGACTCATGGACTAAAGGCTGCGAATGCTACGACTGCACGTCGCCCAAGACAAAGCGTCACCTCGTGGCCCGACAAGCCTTGGATCTCCACAAGCGTCGCCTCCAGAGCTTTGCATCACGCAACACCAATGCCCGACGCGTTGTGGCCTTCGCCCAACGTGGAAACATGATGATCAACCCCAGCGGCTGCGACCTTCCAGGTAACCCCAACGAAGTCGAGTTTGACCCTGCCGGTGGTGAAATTCATGAGGGCGATGGCGAGTACAACCTCGCTCCGCTTCAGTGCTGAGAGATGCTTCGCATTCGCTTCTCTGAGGCATAAATCCCTTAGTTTCGCGTAGGTTGATCCTACCTTTCATTTCTGACTGTATATACCCTTTGTGCATCGTTTTGTTTCCATCCTTTCTCTTCTCTACACAACACCTTTGGCAATCGTCACTCCCCCAATCTTTGAAACTCTCTTGCAGGATAGTTCGTATCTCAAGGCATCGCTGGCGGGATTTCGAGATCAATCTTCACAATGCATGGCACAACTTTCATACTTCTTCAAATATTCATAACAATCAGTCAATATCATACACATCAAAGGTCTAGGAATTGTGATAGTGTCCGATCTGAACCCGTGATGCTTTCGTCATTTGACACATACAAGTCATTAACATTGTATGAACAGCAGTGTAAGATCATTCGCTACGTAGATATAGTCTCTGTCTCTACACTCGTCGAAGTAGGATACGATACGAGGGCCATCTCGTATGATAGTACACAACAATCCATATTTCAAGACCCGTACTCTGGTTAATAGTAGAGATCTATGCGTCATCTTTATCTACCAACAACAGCATGCTTCTCAGTGTCTACGGTATTATTTTAGTACAATCAGATCCCAAGTGCTTCTACAACGTGTGGTCAAAATGTCAAGTCTTTACCAGGCGCCTTCACGCGGCGAAGCCACCGAAATCCCCAGAGTTTGATAAGAGCAGGAAGTACGTCTGGCTCAAAATCTGTACCTGGTTTTCGGTGTAGCTTTTGAGCAAGGTCGAGATGAAATGTAGGATGGAGCCACATAGCCTCGTTTTCCGTTTTCTAGAGAATGGCTATTGTGCTAAAGTCTAGCTATAAGAGCCCGTCTTAGTCTTTCTTTCGAGCAGCCAAAAGCAAATAAAGCGGGCCAGGAATCGGTTGGGGATATCGCAGCCGGGGCAGATCTTACATACACCAAGTACACACAGTAAGGCCTAAACTATTAGCATTATAGCTTGTAACTAATATCGAGTCCGCCTAATAAGATTATTTGGTTCATGTAATTGCTAGCGTCCATTCTAAGCAAAAGGTTTTATTTGGCGTAGCGATATACAATCTCAGCCCTACATAAAGCCGGCCACCCGCTTTTCTCAGTCACCATAGGATTGCCTTCAGCCTTGCCAGATTTTCAAGCTTCGGAGATGAATATGAGAGGTTCGGAAGAATATACGTCCGCACCCGAGCTTACTTGACTCGTCCTATTCAGCTGGCATCTGTTTCTCAGCCTGACTACATCAATCCTCGACAGTGAACTGAACAACAGACCTCAGGTCTCACGAATGACAGAATCGGGAACTCGCATGTATTGTTCCCTACTCCATATATTTGAGTATGTTGGATCAAATTTCTCTCCCTCTTAGCTTTGTTTAAACGTCCACAGAACTTAGCTGTAATTCTGACCATAGTCAGGTCTATACCCGGTCCTTTCCCAATAACTGCATCGTGCAAAAGCAGTTCAAACAGCAAGGGAAGCAATGCGCAAGTTTTTACGAGATATAGCCCTCACCTCTGCAACAAAGCTAGACTTCGACAGAGGAACACGTTTGACCAACGAGGGGCGTCACAGTGAGGCAGAGGACGTATTTCGCCAATTAGTGCGCATGCAAGAAGAGACACTTGGACCAGACCACAAAGACACGCTCTACAGCAAGTTCTGGCTAGGAAAAACGCTCTATAGGCAGGAGACGTATAGTGAGGCAGAGGAGGTGCTTCGTCAAACAGTGCGCGGGCAAGAGCAGACACTTGGACCAGACCATGCGAACACGCTACATAGCAAGCGCTGGCTAGGAGCAGCACTCTGTAAGCAGGAGAAGTACAGTGAGGCAGAGGAGGTGCTTCGCCAGACATTGCATAGGCTCGAGCAGACACTTGGACCAGACCGTGCGGACACGCTATCTTGCAAGGGCTGGCTAGGAGTAACACTCTATAAGCAGGAGAAGTACAGTGAGGCAGAGGAGGTACTTCGCCAGACATTACGTGGGAAAGAGCGAGCACTCGGACAAGACCACATTTCCTCGCTCGACACCAGGTTCTGGCTGGGATCAGTGCTCAATGAGCAGAAGAAATACATGGAGGCAGAGGAGCTGCTGCGACATCTGGTCCAACTTCGGGCAAAGGTTCTAGGCGTGAATCATGAGGACACTCATGAAAGCAAAGAATTGCTACAAAAGGTCATTCATGCAAATACGCCATCCGCGACAATCACGCCATCCGCGACAACCACGCCATCCGCGACAACCACGCCATCCGCGACAACCACGCCGAGCGAGACAACCACGCCGAGCGAGACAATAGAGCCTCATATAAAGACTGTTTTGGGCCGACTGAGTGATCTTTTCGCCGATAACAATAATAAGCAATTGGTATACACCGACACCCAGATCCAACAAGTCGCGCGATTACTACGGCAGATTAATCAACAATGGAGCAAAGTTCCAAGATTGTACATAGTTCTTCGAACTATCGACTGTTTAACCGCCATTGACACTTTCATCGACTTAGGCTACTCCGACCACTGGCTCCCCTTTACCGAAAATGGTCTTCCGTCATGTCTTCGACCCGGCGGGTGCTCACAGTTCGTCACTGCACAAAACCGGGTGATGACTAAGTCAATGGACCTTGAGAAAGGCAAGCATTGCCATTTCCAAGGGCATGACTCACTTCCGCTAGAAATGAAAGGCACCCTTGGTTCTGGAGGGTTTGGACAGGTTGACCGAGTTCTCAGCACAATCAGCTTCCGGGAGTATGCACTCAAGCGAGTGTCCCGGAGAAATTTTCTCGGTGGGCGAACAGCAGATGCTAAACGACGAAAAGAATGCGTTCAACAGTTCATCACCGAGATCAAAGTTCTGAAACGTTTAAGGCACCACCACGTGGTGGAGTTCATCGGAAGTTACACCGACTCACAGCACATAGGGCTAATCATGTGTCCTGTTGCTGATATGGATCTGTCCACCTACCTTGCGCGTGCCGATATGCCAACCTTTGGAGAGCTTCGGACCTTCTTTGGCTGTCTAGCTAGGGCGCTTGAGTTCTTGCACGGACAAAGTATCAGGCACAAAGACATCAAGCCTAGCAATATCTTGGTACACGGCGGAAACGTCCTATTCACTGACTTCGGACTGGCGCTCGACTTCACGGATCGGGACGGTAGCACTACAACTAGCATGGTGAATGGCATGACACCGAAGTACTGTGCGCCCGAGGTAGCCAACTACGAGCCTCGAAACACCTCGTCTGATATCTGGAGTCTAGGAGTCGTTTTCCTCGAGATGGTAGCGGTTCTCAAAGGTAAAACGGTGGAAGGACTTTACAAATTTCTTGGAGAGCATGGATCACGGCAGACATTCATGCGTTCAAATCTTGCTGGCATGCGTATGTTCATCGCGCAGCTTAGAGCAATAGGCAGCCCTACCGACAACGTAGTGCTTGATTGGGTCCAGGACATGGTAGAACCTCAACCACAGGAGCGGCTCACGGCGACATCGCTGATGAATTCTATCAATAGCGCATGTCAGCAACTGGGGCGTGGAGCCTTCTGCGGCATATGCTGCGCTTCGAAGGACGACGCTACAAGTGACTTGGATGAGTACTTTGATGAGCTAGACATATCTGATCCTGAGTAGAGCTTTCAAGCTTCTTACAGTTAACACATGGCGTACCTTTTCTTGATGTGGCGACATACGTTCAGCATCGGACTCAGTAGGGCAAAGAAGCTTCAATGATAGAGTCATAATCAATAAGATGCCATGGTCAGTTGACTGAAGATCACAAGAGTACGGAATCATCTGTAAAATCGGGATGAAGATTTTCTGACAAACCCATAAGCGTTGTTGTAAAGTACAGGTAGTAAAAGTTTGGTTTGATGCTCCTTTTACGTGGAGGGTTTATTAATTTTATAACGTCAATTTGTCTGATAGCACCCACTGTATGAAGTCCTGTACAGTTATGCCTAATTCCAATAGCATAGATCTATTTCAATCCGCCCTTCCGCCCGGCCTCTCGAGCTTTCTCACTACCGGGTTCAAAAGAACCAGATGAGGCTTGACCACCCTTGGAAGCAATGTCTCTCTGTCATGAAACTTTAACAACCTGTACATTACCAAAAGGTTTCACGAGGGAAGGTTACCTGCTTGTCGGCATCCATACTAGCAAAGCCGCCAAGATGCGAGGCCTCGCCGCCCTTCTTAGCGATGTTCTGCACCTCCTCCTTGGGGCGGTTGGCGAAGTTTCCTGGGTTGGTGTTGTCGGTCATGATGGTATTTGGGATAAGTTTGTGGTGTAATGTAAGAAGGAGGTACTGTTGCTTTTTGGAGTTGAATGGGATATGATGTGGTAGGAATGACTCTTTAAGGGCGGTGTTCTTCTGCAAATACTTATACTTTTACGTTCAGAAGTGATTGCCGTCAGCGTGAGGTCACTCGAGCCATGATGCAATGCAATAGTCAGAGGTTATACAGCTCTACTAGTGCATTACACGCATCAAGTCGGGCATGTCAATCTAACAATACTTAGGTCTGATCGTAAAAGGTGAGGCACGACGAACGCCATGAAGGCTACGACGGATCTGGCGAGCGCTATGGCAGGCAATCGGCGGGTATCTGACGCCGTCGATGTCATCTCCGTTCTTCTCGACCCCTGTCTGTCGTTCGGGAATCGTGGGGTAGATTGAGAGATTTCGGCTTGAGGTCAAAGTTTAGTTTTTCATGACGTCTACATGTCAACAAAGCCAGCACCTGGATTCTAGAAGTATTGCAATAGAGTAAGCATTGCTTTGCATTGTCTGATCAATCGAAGGCCCTCAGAGGAGCAGATGACAGAGTCCATTGAACAATCACATGTATAATTCCAGTAGAAATTCCAATGAACGAGGTAGAATGTATGTTGTCATTATGATCTGTTTACACTTGGACTTGCGTTAGTGCATTGTGGAATTCCCAATTGTCTCGAAGCAAATACATCGAAGCTAGACTTGTCCCTGACAATCACGTGTAGGCGCGTCAGCGTGCGACCGTGTCATCGATATTTCGTCAGATTGCAATGAGGCATTGTGTAATTGATATGCATCATCGTATTTAGGGTAGACATTGTTGTCATGACGTTCAATTAAAAGGAGGGCTCTCCGGAAGACTATTCCTTGATAAGGTTAGTGGAACTTAGAGCATCGGGATACTCTTGAGATCTATAGATGCATGAAGCTGAGTAACGATTCTGAACTAACATGCTAATTGTAATGGTATGTTCCTTTCTTAATGGTCAGTAGGAATGGTAAACGACGTTGCACATAGGACTTAGAGTCTTCACTCATTTGATTCATGATAGTGAATCAATGAAGCAGTATGCGCACAGCTGTCTGGATTGAAAGCGCCCTGATGCACCGCGCACCAATAGACAGTGAAGCAAGTATCTGAGGGGATATTTCGTAGAATTAAAGGATCTACGAAACAGTTTGCTGGCGCAAATCACATGCACTTCCCATAGCAAAGAATGTGCCAGTCCGCATTCCGCATCAGCAGGCAGCGCTTATGCAATCAGCAGCCCAGCGCAAACAAACTGTCTCAAAAACTGCCGACCGAACCGTCTATATAAGATGGGCCGACCAGAGTCGCGTTTCATCCGCATGCTGTCTTTCGGCTTGGCCCGGAGTCGCATGTGTGGCTTTGAAACATTGGTACGGACACACGCCCCCACATGTGCCGGCATCCTCAAACGACACGCGGATAACATCAAACATCAATTATATGAACGCGCCCAATCCTCACTGGCTGATGAGGGGAAAACGTGAATATATATGGCATTCTTTGAAGGTTTGGCAGGCTTCTTGGTTGCGCTTAGTATATGCGGAAACGTTCGATTACCCACAAGTTTACCCACGGCTTGTCTGTCCACTTGCGGACTGCGGCGGTTGTCGAAGAAGCTGGCCTCAGAAAAGGGGATACTTCCAAGATGTAGTACAATGCCTTCGATCCGGTCCGCGTATGCTTTTTTGTGGTACGACGAGTATCTTGCGAATTGTCGCAACCAAGAGATCACGACTTAGAGTGTGTTCAAGCACGTCGCATCAGATTGCGCAGTTGTGGACGCGGCTGTCGTCGTCATTTCCATATAAACGGCCCATCGCATTGATTCACGAGCACGTACGAATGCGCCTATGTACTCTCTAATTTTGGAGCTATCAGATCCTGAGTCCTGAAGCAGTAATGGACGCCCTGTCTGGGACAGACAGAGGGGATGTGCCTTCCAAGGAACATGACCAAGCGAACCGTAATCAACGAATGAGGACGTGTCGCACATTCACCACCCTAGTCTTCCTCAGGCTCGTGGGCCCTGGCATGATTTCTGAAACAAAGACTGTTGAAAGTTCTCAAAAGGAAATGCGTAGATCATACCTAGTTTGGCCTTGGCTGCCTTGGGGTCATTGATGATTACCCATTTGCGTCGTTACGAAATGCCTTATAGATGTTTCCTGTTCTGCCTTCTCCTGTGATCGCTTTTGCATCAACTTCCTTTCCTTTTCTTAACATTCTTGTTAATTCGTTGGTGTTTATTTCTATCTGTCGCTGGATATTCGGCAGATCACCGTTGAACGGTTTGTAGTCATTCTTTTCTTCGTTTCTTCCACACACCGTTGATCGGTACTCCCACTATAATCCACTCCTTCGTCGACGATACAGTACCAATCCGGAAAACATCCAAAATGCATATCCTCACAACATCAACACTCTCCCTTCTGGTCGCGAGCGCAGCAGCCGCTCCCCTAGCATCTGCGCCCATGAAGCGCCAGGAACCCGGCAACACGACTACACCCACTGGCGGAAACAAGCTCATCACAGTCATTGTCGGCGGACCGCAAGACACCTTCATCCCGAACAAAGTCAACGCCGCGCCTGGAGACATCATCCAATTCCAGTTCAGCAATGGAAACCACACGGTGACGCAGTCGACCGCGACCGATGCGTGCAAGCCCCTGGCAGGCGGCGTCCACAGTGGACATATTCCCTTCCAGGACGGACAGCAGACTGTGGGAACGTTCAATATGTTGGTACCGAGCTCGGACACTATGTTCCTGTACTGCGCGACTGGGCCGCATTGCCAGAATGGCCAGGTTATGATCGTCAATCCGTAAGCGCTTGTCCCAGGAAACTGTCTACAATATGCGATGCTAACGTAGTAATTTCTAGCGCAAATGACCAGCAGATTCTCGACTACACCAAGTTGGCCGCGGCATCAGGAGAGAGTGTCGACGGTGCCGAAGCAAGAGGCGGCATCATTAGCGAGCTTCCGCTTGCCAACGCGGCCTTTACGCCTGCCCCACCTGAGGAGGTAAGTTCTACTCCAGTGACATTTCAAGCTGGAACTTTGTCATTTACTAAAGTTAGGGTTAGGCGGCTCCTCCCGCATCTCCGGCAGAGGCTGCACCACCAGCGCCGGCGGTCGAGACACCTCCTGTCGAGGAAGAGAAAAAGGAGGAAGAAAAGGAGAAGGAGGAGGAGTCTGAATCGGAATCAGACTCGGACTCGGACTCTGATTCTGATTCGGACGACGAGGACGAGGACGAGGACGAAGATGAAGATGATTAGTGGTGGAAGCAGAGATGTGGAAGAGCAACGCATGAAGCGTGCGAGGCATGAATGAAGATATACAACTAGGCACAAAGCCGACCCTGCACATGGTGTAGTAAGAGGCTGTCGCCACTTCCCAAGGCGTCAACTTTCCCAGGTGACGACGCGCGGCACCCAATACTGGGCATAGCCAACAGACTCAGGACTAACATGCCCATGTCGAGCCGCGTGGTAAAGTCATGCCGTGATGAGTGTATTTTGACCATTCTTGCTATGGCTTGGTCAGATTTGGGTGCCGATATCAAGCTTCGAAGGATGAAAGTCGGATTTTCTTGAACATATATTTTTAATAAGCTACCTCGCATTGAGGTTAGTAAATATTTCGACAACGAATTAAGCAAAGAAATTAAATCATGTACATTTGAAAAGTGCTAAATACAGTGAAATTCCGTCAAATCATATACACTGACATCATACATCAATTAAATCGTTTGACCCATTTGGCGTCGTTCTTGGGTAGATACACCGCACTGGGACCAGAGCGTCTCTTCACCTTAGCAGAACTCTCAGTATGAGCCGCGGTGATGTTTCCGCAGTCAGGAGTAGTCAGTTGCTGTCCAAACTGATCCACAGCCCAGATGAGAACGCCGTTCGTCCATCCGAAGCCGGTCACGACTTCGTACTCTCCACCACCGCCGACGGCGTTGATCTCAGTGTCTGCGTACTTCTCAAACATGGTGCCATTTGCGCCTTCCTCTACACCCTCAAGCTGAGGGAAATCGGGGGTCTGGCCGCCGGTGGATCGCCATGTGCAGAATGTGGAATCGAGATATCGCTGTGCGAGGCGGAGAGCGAGGTTTTGCGCCCAGACGTAATCTTCGTCAGTCGTATTTCCGCTATACTGAGTTGGGACCTCGTAAGGAGTGTTCATGAGGCCTTTGATAAGGATGTACTGGAGTGGCGGCCACACATTGGGCTCATCCCACTGCTGGCCTGTTTGTAAATTACTAGCAGCGATGGCACCAGCCCTGTCATCGAGAAGCTCTTCAATGCGAGCGAATGCGCGGCGAATCGCGGTAGGGTTGTTCTTGATGCCATCGGGTGCGGCGCCGGACCAGAATGGGTAGAATTGTGAGGGGGCAAAGGCAACTTGTTGGCCTTCGGGGGCACCGGATTCGTCATCTGCGACGGTAGAGTTGTCTGCTGGGATATATATGTCCTTGGCGCCTGAAGTCAGATTGTAATCGAAGTAGGAGAAATGCTCCTCGTCCCAGAGGACAGCAAGCATAGCCTCACTGCGTTCCTGTGCCAGGTTGGCCCACTCTTTCGCCGCCGAGTAGTTGCCCTCGCGCCGATGGAATTCAGCGATCGTGATCTCGTTGTGATAGAGGATTGAATTGAGCTCCACAGGAATAATGTTCCGGGTGTTCAAAGACCGAAGTGGGAAGAAGGTATCTGTGATAGCATCGTTGGGATTCGCAATCCAGCGTGAGGTGTAATCAAAGCCACTTTCGGCACCAGAAGCCAGGTTGGAATAAAGCTCAGCGATTTCCTCGTCTGTGAGTGGTGTCGTAACATTGAATGTTTTGCCCTCTTCATTGTAGAACGTCCCGTTGGTAGCAGTCTCGTAGTCTTCGCGGTATGACTCGGGTCTAGGTTGGTTGTTGTCTACTTCATAATTATTCAAAGAGTAGTTGGTCCCCCCAACCTCTATCACAACAGTCCTATTCTGAACCCAAAACTCATGCTCTTTTTCTAGAAGAGGGAGTGCTCGCTCTAATAGAGTGGTGTTTTGCGTGTACTCAACGTATACGCGAACCATCTGGGCAAGGAGAGGAGGTTGGGATCTGTTCAAGTAGTATTTACGCGCTCCATTAGGAACGAACCCAAATTCCTCAACGAAGTCTAGGAAATTTTCAATGATGTTTTCGGCAATCTGGGTGAATGAACCTTTGGTCCTAAGAAGGCCCTCGACGATCCAGAAAGAATCCCAATAATATGGTTCTCGGAACCGACCACCGGCGATTACAAAAGTGCGGTTTACCGGCAGAAACGAATCGTCGCAACCCGTGCAGTTGGTACGTTCTACATATCGACGAGTCAACTGAGGCCAAATGTCAATCACCTGGCTGGTGAAGTTGGCTACAGTGCTGCTGTTGACGTTGTCCAAGAAGTCGGGTGATGTTTCAAGCTGATCGACTGGGACCTCCTCAAGCTCGCCGCCCGCAACGCCAAAGTTTTCTGTGAGGAAGTCTTGCAATTCGGTGTTGTTTTGAATGGGCCTGGACAGATTCTGGAAGGCAGCAAGTACTTCGTCCGAGGGTTTCAATGTCGGCCTTAGTAACTATGTTAATCCTTGCTTGTGTAACAATAGGGGAGCGTTAATCTTACAAGTCTACGAATAGCTTCGAATCTTCAAAGGGACGAGCGAGCCCGATCTCTCTGAGCATGTCGCCATAACAGTAGATCTCGGAATCACAAGGCGCTGTAATATTGCCATTTGTGTATATAGAGGCCACGAGAGGCACGAGGGTCAACGCCCATGAGATCGAGCACTTCATGATGGGAGGCAACACAAAATGCAGAGAAGATGTCAGGCACACTTCGAGTGTAATGTCACGGGAGGTGCGATACTTTTATGTCTCCTCACGGAGCATTGATCCGGCTTGTGCCTATGCGCATTTGCGTAATAACCTGACCGGACGTGCAAAGCTATGGGCCAAAAAGACAGGGAACGTCAGCGGCGTGCACACTGAGCAACCAGAAAGAGCTTAAGCTATGGAACATGCAGAGACACCAGAAGAGCCGCGTGGCACGCCAATGGGCTGACGGCTGGGTATTTTCTCTGTACCCCACAAAACCTCATTGTGGAGAAGTACAAACAGTCAGGTTCCCTCTTTGATGGCGTTGCTCAAGATGCTCCAGTGATGTCACGCCAAGGCGGCCATCCGCCGATGGCCATCACTCGATGCTGGGAAGTCTTGCCAGCCACGATGGTACGCGATTTCAAGAAATGCTGAGAATCATTTTGAATGGATTTATGGCCCTGGACAGCAAAAGGCTACTGTAAAATTCGCATTCCAGCGTTGAGCCAAGGTTGTGTATTGGTATGATGAGGTATGTTATGGCAAAGAAGGATACGGAGCAATCTTCTCCATGTTACATAGATACGGAGCAGTTGCCAATTGTACGGTGCAAGGCCATCTCCTTCATAAGAATAAATCAAGTAATGATCAGTGAATGACTGTGAGACCATGTATGTATCTTGATCAATTTAACATATTTCTCTTGTCCGTGAATCTTGCTTCCGGCATACAGGACACACCATGTAATTTCATATTTGCAATAATCGGATCAGTGCCTCTCCACATCGGAAGCATTCCGGGATCCTCGGTTTGTACACATTGCTGATCGGATTCTGCCGCGCATATGCGGAAAGGTCGCGAGAATGTATCGGCATTGTAAACTTATGGAGCCAAAGAGGAATGAGCGTCGTTAAGGGCAAAGTGTTTGTTTGCCTTCGAGACATGCGATGTGCTCGGCTGTGTGCGCTCCGAAATCGGAGGTCCGGCTTTCGGCGGGGTACTACAATTTCATGTGGGGGAGCTTCTTCTTGAAATATTTCGAGCTTGTCGCTGTCACACTCTCACAATCATTTTCTCGAACAATCCACCAACATGCCTGAATTCAACATTGTAGTATTTGGCGGTAAGTACAGACCTTCTCAAGAGAAACTAACAGCTGACCCATTGGACCCTAGGCGATGGTGTTGGCCCTGAGGTAAAGCTACATGCGTCCATTGCAAAGACTAGGCTCACATGAATCATCTCTAGGTCGTAGCAGAGGCAATCAAGGTATGTACCACCTCCGATAGAGCACTTGGATAAATCATTAACATCAATCGTAGGTCCTCAAGGTCGTCGAGAACAACACCGATGTGAAGTTCAACTTCCAGGACCATCTCTTCGGAGGGGTACGTCAATTGCCATCTGCTCAGATGAGCACACGCTGACACAATTATAGTGCTCTATTGACGCACACAACAATCCCCTGACAGAGGAGGCATTGGCTGCTGCCAAGTCAGCAAATGCCATCATTCTCGGCGCCGTGGGAGGACCGGTAAAGACCAAGACCCGGCCGCAACGTTAGCATGTGCTAATCAACTCTTCAGAAATGGGGAACCGGCAAGGTTCGACCTGAACAAGGCATCTTGCGACTCCGAAAAGAACTCGGTACTTTCGGTAACCTCCGACCCTGCTTCTTCGCTTCAGACTCCCTCGTCGATGCATCCCCGCTCAAGGCCGAGGTCTGCCGTGGCACAAACTTCAACATCATCCGCGAACTCACGGGTGGAATATACTTTGGCGACCGAAAGGAGGATGAGGGTGATGGCAAGGCTATGGACACAGAACCCTACTCGGTGGAGGAGATCGAGCGTGTGGTGCGATTGGCAGGTAACCTCGCTTCCGTTGAGAACCCACCGGTCCCTGTCTGGAGTCTGGACAAGGCCAACGTGTTGGCAACTTCAAGATTATGGCGCAAGACTTTCGAGAGGATCATGAAGGAGGAGTACCCACACCTCAAGTCTGGAACACATCTCATCGACTCCGCCGCCATGTTGATGGTGAAGAACCCCAGAGCTTTGAACGGTGTCATTGTCACCAGCAACCTTTTCGGAGACATCATCAGCGACGAGGCTAGTGTCATCCCTGGAAGCTTGGGTCTCCTCCCCAGTGCCAGTTTGGGAGGAATCCCCGATGGCAAGACCAATATCAATGGCATCTACGAGCCCATTCACGGTATGTTTACCAATTACTCACAGAGTCGTCCATATCTAACTTTCCCCAGGCTCTGCTCCCGACATCGCTGGGCAAGGCATCGTCAACCCTGTCGCAACAATTCTCTCAATGAGCATGATGTTGAAATACTCCCTCTGCCGTCCCGAGATCGCACAGAAGATCGACGAGGCAACGAAGATTGTCATCGACAATGGAATTCGCACCAAGGACATCGGCGGTTCCGCCAAGACCTCCGAGGTTGGTGATGCCGTCGCGGCTGAGCTTGAGAAGCTCCTCAAGAAATAAACGAATAAGAATAGAAAGATGACTACTTGGAAAAGACTATAGTAGATCAAGCTGAGTAAAAAAGAAATCTGGCATTCTAAAAGTGGACGTGGGATTTTAGCTGATACCCGGCCATGAACAACGCGCATCAACGAGATACCGAGCCATCGCGCTCCCTAACATAATCATCCAATCAACATTGTTCCCATTTCATCTTTTTGCGCCATGCTGATGTTGTGTTAACGAGTTCTGTCTTAGCCTGGTCAGTGCAGACGCCACAGCTACGAGACGTTACATTATGGATAGCGTACGAGTAGGCTGAAGCTAAACTTTCTACACAGCTCATGAACTGCATGCAAGAACAGTATTTACTAAGCGAATCCTACAGACAAGAGACGAAATGGCATAACTAGTGCATCCACTGGCCTGTTTACCTTGGAATGTTTCCATGCTCAGCCTTCTTTCACTGAACAGTGGCGCCAAGTGTTTCTTCAGCCTAGAAGATACAGCCAAAGACATACGAAGACACGTTAAGCTAACCTCCTACTCGCATGCTATGCCCGCAATTGTACAAACCGAGGTCTTTAAACTGCTAGTTCTTTATACTATACTCTAGAATGTCCATTTCAAGTGTGGAAAGCGGCCAGGCCGATGTGCCCATCAGCATCTTGGGATTACAATGCACTAAAGTCACTTCACGGTTCCTTTGGGTGCATTGCTGCAGCCAACCGATTGAATCATAGTAATAAGGCTGAGAATCAAACATGTGGCTCACTCAGGACAATGACCGTGCTACCATGACTGCAGCTTGTTGGTCAAGGTATAATGCCTTCTGCGACCACAGCGTGGAAGAACAACTATAAAGATGGGGCCGTAAGCATATCTTTCATTTCGATCATCTTGAATCCTCATCTTCATCTCCTCTATTCACAGTAGTCATCCTCCTGCACATAGCCAATAACTGGTTCTTCACTGATCCCATCACACATCTCCCAGTCAGACGACCAAGACACAATGGCAACCAGTACAGTCACAGTAGACAATGCAGTCGCGAGCACCAAACCTCCCAAACCCTCATCTGAACACATCTGGGAGACAGGTCCAATGCAATTGATACCCACACCAACATATCAAACCGGGCAAACCGACCCCTTCACAAACGCAGCCTCAGAAATGGCCCTCGTCCACAACTGTCCGAACCCCCTCTCCCCAACTCTCCATAATTCCATCTCAACTAACACTCCCCGCCAGGCATCATCCGCGCCATAAACACAATCTACCACCAAGCCCCCCTCGTCACCCCCTCAGACTACAAATCCTTCACATCCTACTGCCTCGCCACCTACGAAGGCCTCGAAGCCCACCACAACGGCGAGGAAGAGCACTTCTTCCCCGAGGTCGAACGCCTCACCGGAATCACAGACATCATGTCCACCAACATCTCCCAGCACGCGGCCTTCCACACCGCCTTCGACGCGTGGGGCAACTGGCTCAAGGCCGTAAAAAGCGGCGACAAGACGTTCGACGGAAAGCAGTGCGTGCGGATAATGGACCAGTTCATGGCGCCTCTGGCGACGCATCTCGCGGATGAGATTCCAACGCTGCTTGCTCTCGCGGAGTACGCGGACAAGATTGACATCCAAGCGATTCTCAAGGCCGAGGCGGAGCAGGTCATGGCGAAGATGTCGAAGACGACGCAGCTTCCTTTGATCCTGTTGAATCATGATACGACGTTCGAGGGGGGCATTCATCGTTTCCCGCCGCTGCCTGGGCCGGTCATCTGGGTGCTGAGGGAGGCGTTTGGGAGGTGGAATGCGGATTGGTGGAAGTTTGCGGCGTGTGGGTTTGATGGGAGGCCGAAGGCGCTGTATGCTTCTTGAATGAATGGCATGTTGTCTTGTACGAGCTGGCGAGGTATGTTGTAAGGTATGGGCGAGCTTTCATCTGGGCTAGATTGGCGCTGTCGGATTATGGTAAGGATATCACAAAACAGTAAACGGGCAAAATTTCAAGTCATACATCTTCCTCTCTCCCTCGCTCTTTCAAACGTGTTACAAACCCTCAAGACCTTCGAATGCGATATATGCGAAAGCGTGACTCAGACATTGACTCACGACCTCCATAAAGTAACCCCAAACCCTACACCCCAACGCCAACCACCAGCATCACCATCACCACCATCCAACACCCTAAGCAACCCCACCTTTCCTACATAACAATATCTATTCAAAAAAGTAAACAAACAAACAGAAACATGGCATTCACAGACTTCGCCCAAACCATCCACGACCTCAACCCCCTCCTCCAACGCACCGATGCCGACCCCCGCCCCGTAGTCCTCATGACATGCGGCCTCGCAGGTACCCTCCCCCCCTTCCTCCCTCCCTTCCCCCCATATCCACCCCCTCACCGTCCCACACAGGCGCCGGAAAAACAACCCTAGGCCGCGCCGTCCTCGCCCAACACCCACACTTCACGCGCATCTCCATCGACGCCATCATCGGGTCCCGCCACGGCATCTACGGGCGCGACTACGATGCCGACCCGGCGCTGTACGACGCGTACATGGAGGAGGCGGACGGGATCTACCTCGCGGAATTTGAGCGGCTGCTCGCGGAGGGGAGGGACGTGTTGTTGGAGCGGTCGTTCTATGCTAGGGAGGATCGGGAGGAGTTTAGGGGGTTGGCGGAGGGGAAGGGGGCGAGGGTCGTGTTGGTGTTTTTGAAGGCGGAGGGCGAGGAGGGGAAGGAGAGGCTGTGGGAGAGGATTGGGAGGAGGAGTGAGGGGGTGAGGACGGCGGATTCGGCGCTCGAGATTAGTAGGGAGGTGTTTGATGGGTATTGGGCTGGGTTTGAGGATCCTGTGGGTGAGGGTGAGGTTGTGGTCAAGGTCGCGTGAGAGAAATGTGGAGGTTGGTGATTGTTTATGTTTGATCGTGTTTTTATTACTTTAATTACATCATGGCATACCCATCTCCATACTTACAACGTAGCTGTGCTACAAGTAGGAGGTTCGTAGCTTTTCGTAGTATTGTGTGATTTCCACAATATTTATCCTAATGTTACAGGTATATAACCACCCTGCTGAGACTGAAACCCTCCAAGCCCGGGGTTTCCCAGCCGGTGTGAACTCCATCGCCGTTTAACGCCCCAAGGCACTGCTCAAAATCGTGCAGGGAATGCAGGGAATAGAAGAGGGCAAGTTGGGGGAAGGGGAATTGGCAGAAGGGAATTTGGCAGAAAAGAATCGCCAAGTAACGCTCACTTACTCAGAATGCATACATGGCGCGCATGTTCCAAATGGCATCTTCGACGCTGTCGGACGTCCAACCTGCTTGCGGCACAATCTGCGCTACAACCGAATCCCGTTCGTCCCTCGACAAAAGGAGGAAACGCTCGACAAGGTCGCCGTCAATCGCGCCCTTGCATGGCGTGTAATAGCTTCGGAAGGCAAGATGATCACGGCCTGAAATTGGCTTGTCATCATTGCGGAGAACGAGCTCCAAAGACTGGAACATCTTGAAGTCTCTTCGCGATTGAAAAGGGATCATAGCACCGAGCGTTCCCTGAAGACCAGCCCAGAAGATGACTCGTTCACCTCCATTAAGAAGGGACGTCTTCTGCACTGCGACGGGAATGTCGTTGGTGAAATAATGCATGAGGAGGTCTAGGCGGTTGGCTGTACCGCCAAGGAAGCCCTTCTCCTGCGTCAGATGCTGGCCATCGATCGTTTCGTCGGCAAGTTCAGAGATTTTTGGTGGGCATCGTACAATCCACATGTTTCCAAACTTGTCCCCTCCAACAGTAGTGTCGTAGTCGAGCATCTCTGCGCAGGTGGTCCATCGAGAAACGGAATCATCGGCAAAAGGAATCAATCGATTTGGATGAATCAAGTCCTTGTGCACAACGTATGTGACGGATTGATTTTGGTCCGATACGACAAGACGGCTTCCTTGTGATGTGATGCCTACAATGCGGTTCGTGGTGCATTTGCGGGCTTGAGCTTTCCGAAGCAGGTTTTTCATACCACAGTCGAAGATACATAGATCTGCACCAACACTAACGGCGAGCTTACCCTTGAAAGGGATGGCGGCGAGAGGAGCATCGTCGACCTCTGTCTCGTGTACTAATTTCAGGTCCCTACCATCGTCGGAGACCTTATACAGCTGGATGGATGCTCCGGCAAACTTGAAGGCTGGGGAGAAGGTGAGTCCAGAGACAACACCGACGGCAAGGAAAACTTCATTATTTTGAGATTCAAAAGGAACAAGTGCAGCACTAACGGCAGACTGGTTGTTCTCGAGCTCAATGGTAGTAACCACAGCCTTTTCCGTCACGGGATCCACAACCTGAATGCACGATGCCCAGTGACCTGGTTGTCTGGGATGACCGAAATCAGCAGCGGGTAGGTCATCCTCATTTGTATCCGCATCAGGAGCGTCTCCATTCTCCGACTCGTGTTCTTTTTTAAAGCCATTTGGCTCATCCGCTTTGAGCTTTGCTTGTGTCACGGCATCCATTGTGTTGCCATCATTCTCGATGACATAGTAGACTTGTTGTTCGGGATAACCGATCATCTTCCGTGGGGTATATTTGAGTGGTATGGATTCCTGAGTTGTGTTGTTGGCGAGGTCGACAAAAGCGAATATCCTAATACTTGTTTAGTAGCATTCGAGTAATGAATGTGCTGACATCTTATGAGAGTGAATAGTGCTTTCAGTAGGAACAATTGGTACAATAATGTAAATGTGTCCTCATGGAAATAGGATACCTTGGTTTCATCATAGAGCAGGAAGAAAAAGAGAAAGAGAACGGATGCTCCTTACCTAAGTTCGCTAGCGGAGACACAGATGACACCCTTGAAAGATGAACCTTCGAAGTTCCAAGCAGCATCAAATGTCTGGTTGGCCAAGGGTGTAGTTGCCATGGATCCAGTCCGAGGATTCGTGTAACTGAGCCAGGGCCGCGAGGTCATGGCGAGAATAGCCGATTCACCTGCAGCGGTAACACGAGCAAATCTCACGGGAGCCGGTCCAAGGAATCGGCGCCGTGTATCACCAATTTCTCCAGTATGCTCGTCCAGCGTGGATCGAATGTAGATACCCGACCTCAGACCAATGTGCAGATACTGGCTATATCCTTGAGGTGATCGATCGCGCATATAGCAGATGGATAATGCACTGGGCGCAGCGGACACAACCTGAAGGGAGATATTCACCAGGATGGTGTTGTCCTGGTCTGGACTGAGATTGTAAATGCGAATGGTTTGATCGCTGCATCCAACAGCAAGGAAGTAACTTCGGACACTGCCTTCTGGGACATCAGGCATCGCCAGGCATGTAATGGTGTGCTCGAGGCTGATCTCATCATCGGCCTTAGCTAGAGAGCTGTCTTGATCGCATTCAAAATAGTAAATCTCTCCCGAGCTGAGAGCAATGGCAACCTGGCGGTTGTTGGCAGCGTATGCGACGATGGTTCGATGAGGAGGTACAGACCAATCGGTCAAGTCAGTGTGTTCTCCTGCAGAGTCATCATCCGGGAAGCGAAGCCCACGAATGTGCCTGATGCCCCGAGGATGAATCTGGATAATGCAATCCTCGCCAAATTGTTGTACGCCGAGAGTGATAACATCATCCAAAAACCCTGTATTTGATGCTTCCTCTACATCCTCGCCAATCTTTAAAACCAGAGTACGGCTGAGAAGGCAGAGAATAATGAGAGTGTCCGTATCATCTTCGGTGGACAACTTTGTGGTCCAAACGCCCGTTGCCTGCTGTGGCAAGGGAGACTCAATGAGATCCAGGACTTGTAGGGCATTTCGAGTCGTCCTAAAAGTGCTGCGAGCACCAGTTCCAGACACCGTGTATATTTGCGGTGCGTCTTCTCCAGTCATGTCAGAGACCTCCATGTCCATAATGGGGTGCAAGCTTGCAATAGTCTCAACAGCTGTAAGATTTTTCAGAGGGCGTGGTCGGAAGAAGGGCGGAGCGAAAGATGCTAGGGGATCCGTAGGAAATTGGCTGCTCGAATACTCTGGATCATCCGTCTCATCACCAAGAGCCTCAAGCTCGTAGAGAATCCGATCTCCAGATTCGCAGGCGCAGAAAACGAAACCCGCTCTCAAGATGCAAATACTTGTGGCGACAGGAATCGTGTCGAAGTACTTGATCTTGATGCTGTTCACAACACCACCAGCGGTATCGAAGGTGACCTTGAAGACATCTCCATCTTCGGTTTGGAGAAGGTAGAAGAAATCGCCACCTTTGAGGGTATAAAGAGTGCCAGATACGATGATACGTGTGCGATTAGGATCCTCTGTCGGGCCTTCCCGGCGGGGAATGGCCAGACGATGGATGTCGGATGACTTGTTGTACATGCGGCGGTAACTGATGTTGTCTTCGCCGCAGCATAGCACTCCACTGGGAGCATTTGGTCCTCCCGGTACACGGAACAGGATGTTTGACGTACGGTCTACTGGCTCAGACCACTTGCGCACGATATGGTTCAAACCCAAGTCCAGCTCGTAGTAGACCAGCTCTTTCTCAAGAACTTCGTATGCTTCGCCAGTGGGGTCGGTCTCAGATGAAGAGTAATCCAACTCGAGGGCGCCAAAAATAGGATTGTCATACCCTACATCAAGGCCAAGGAGATAGTGTACGAGGGTCTGAGGTTTGTGTGCCTCGAGTGGCGAGGAGATTGCAATGTCCATCTGACCAGTTCGAGTGAGGACATACACGAGCTTATTCTTCTCGATCGATGCAAGCATGATCGCTCTGCCTTTGGGATCGGCGGCGAGATATTCTCCCGGCACGACTCGCCTGACTCCAGACTTTCCAAACGTTTCAAAATGAAGAGTGGCAAGCTTGTTCTCGGCAGGATGGTACTCGAAAGTGACGAGGCGGCCTGAATCAGTTGATATCGCAATCATATCTGGTTAAGTTCAGCTAGTGTTCTTTTGCAAAAGGCCATCTCTTCCACCGCACGTTCAGGTAGCGAAGCCGAATGCGGTCGAAGAACCTTCTAAAATCACTAATTTGCTTCGCGTGTGTACAGAGGTACGTACCTTTTGTTCCACCGGCGAGACGAAACTTGGCGATGTTACGGATGATGCCGAACACATCTTGAGAGAAGATTTCATGGAAACCTTTCTGCCGACGCGAAACTTCGAGGAGTGCGAGGCGGGACCCGTTCGCACTGAGAATTTGCTGTTTGCCGTTGCCGCAAAAGTCTCCCACAAGTGCCTCTTGCGTCGCTGACGGTGACTGCACCGTCAGGGCGTACATGGACATAGTGGAGAAGCTCGTCATTGTGTCCAGCAGCGGGCTCTTGCCCAGGCAATGGCGCGGACGCTCGTATTCAGGAAAGCAGGATGCTCTCTTCGCGCGATTGAGGAGGTCGCGACGAAGTGTTAGGAGGAGTGAAGTTGCTGAGAGAAAGTTTCGAGTTGGGAGCTTTGGCCATTGTCGCTTAGTCACAGCACGCTTACCATTTCCAGCGAGACTACTGGAGAGCTTCATGAGAGCTTGACTGGCCCAGCATTTTCTAGAGACGGATGCATTCAGATGTGACTTCAATTCCAACTAGGTAGGGAATATTCAAAAGTATAAAATAGAACACGTATCATAGCTGCGAATTCCCACAACATCACCCTATTCATCTTTACTATAGTACCCAACATCCCCACTCCTCTTCCCCATCTCAATGAGCTTCTCCCTCATCGAGCTCGCCCTCTTCGCAACATCCGGATCGAAATCATCAAAATCATACTGTCCCACCCACTCCCCAACACCATGCTGTAGCACATTCCTCGCCCTCTCTCCCCCCGCCTTACTACTCCCAATACTCCCATGCAACGTCATCCTCTCCTTCTCCGGATCATACGCGCCCCTATGCAGAATGTTATTATTATAAAACGCCACCTCTCCCGCCTTCAACTTCACCACCAATTGCTCCGGCATGTTCTGCTCGTAGGGGTCGGCATTACGCTCGAATTCCGTGCGTGCACGCTTGTGCGAGCCAGGCACCACGATCAGCGATGCGTCGTCGAAGAGCGCGAGGTTCCACTGCGCGTGGTACCCTGGCTTCTGTAGACGCTCCATCTCTTGCTCGGGCGTCGCGTCCGCGGGGATGTCGTCTCTGTGCCAGCGGAGTTCGAATTTCTTGTCGGGCCGGACAAGCATGTTGTAGAGTTCCATGACGAGGTCTTCTTCCTCGCAGCCGATGAGGGTTTTGACGTATTTGAGGAGTTCGGTGTCGAAGTAGCTCTTGGCGAAGGTGAGGTGGTCGGGGTTAGAGGGGTGGAGGAGGTGCTGTACGCCCCATATTCCGTTGGAGGGATCTTGGGGCCATGGTGGGAATTGCTTGGGTAGTGTGCGGATGTAGGGCCATTGTCCTGATCGCGCGGCTTTTGTGGATCGCGAAGCTGCTTCGCGGAGTGTAGGAAGATCAAAAGAAGGGAACAGAGAGGCCGGGAGGACTACGAAACCGTCGCGTTCGAGTGAGGCCAGAGCAGTTTGATAAGGATCATCTGACGTCACATGGCTAAGGTTGGAGCCAGATGATCTATCTATCTGTGTCTTCGATTCTGTGATCGTTGCCATTTTGATATGTGAAATTCAGTCAACTGAGTGTATGTCGTGAGATATCTGGCAAGCTTCTAGTTATGTACGCAGCAAGCGTGACCGTGCTGCAGGCTATAACCTCAGTGTCCATTTGCTCCTGCAACCGCTATGTAACGTTAACGTGAGGTCGACAGCGAGATTGCCGTTACCCCGCTACACTATTGGGTGCATCCCAGTGGATCGTTTGCACTAGAAGTAGACCTCGATCAACATTGCGCCCCAGTCACTTGTCAATGTCAATAGCACTTCTCTCCAATGGTTGGCGTCTCTGCCGTTTGAATAATTCATCACGTCCATCAAAGCTCGTATAGAAGTTCGTTGCAGCATTAGGTGACATGTTTACGTTCTATGCGTCGTCACCAAATAAATGATACATAAATGAGAGTCGCAGCCGTTTACCGGCCATATGTAGTATCCTCATATCTATATGATTCGTTCGCCTACCCTATTTATCCACAGATGTAACCGAAAACCTCTGCCTCGATCCGGAATGTACCAACCTCAAGGTAGCCTTGGGCTTTATGTTATATGTATCATGATGGATTGATTTGTGAACAGGAAAGAAAGAAAATACAAGGGGGGGATATCATGTCGACAATAAAGGGAAATATGAGAATGAAAGAAAATGTTGACAAACAATATTGACTTCATGCATCTGCAATGGAATGCCTCGCTTCCTCACGAGAGCACAGAGAATGCTCACGGGTGGCCCGTTAACTCGGCAGGAAAGCGAACCAAGTCAACAATTGTATACCAGGCGTTCATGTGTAACATATTAACAGCGTGTTTGAACGTCCAAGACGCACAAAATCAAAAGGTGTAGAGTCTGAAAATTTCCTGGCTGGAAGCAATGATGACAATGTACCCAATGAGGTCTGGTCCAAGAAAGACATTGCTCAAAAGTCGTTGCCCAGTGCCGCCTCCCAGTCCGCGGGATGTTCGAAAGCAGTGGTGAACTCGTCATCATCAGAATCAGAGGACTCGCCTGTCTGTATTGATGAACGGATCGGTCTTGGTTTTATGTTCGCATGGATCTCCCGGATCAAAGCTCTCGTTCCCGGTCTGCTCTGAACTTTCAACGTGGCGAGTTCCCTACCAGCCATGTGGAAAACAAAAGGTGCTTTTTTATCAGACGGATACTTGGTGTAGAGTGCAGAAGCTTTGATGCATTCCCACATGGAGAACTTCTTGTGCAGATACGGCATAAGTAGAGGCTTTATGTCAGGGTGGTCCTTCTCGACAGGTAGGATGCGGCTGTACTTCTCGTAGCATTCTTCAACAACTTTGTTGTAGTTGCGAGATCGGACGCCCTTGCCCATATTCCTATTCCAATGATTCAAGACGTCTTCAAATCTTTTAGTGAGACCATTGAGCTCATCGCGGACGATTTTGCTGTTTTGTTGGTAGAGGTAGTGAAAGGGGTATTGAAGGGAAGGGTCCACAGTCTCTGCTCCCTTTGACAACTCATTGCTGACCTGGTCCAAGGTTTCAATGTTGTGGTCTCGCACAACGCCAAAATACAGGAAATCGATGACATTATCCCGATTGTGTGGGAACTTCTTTCTTCTAAGGGTGTCGGATTCCCCCATATCCTTCGCGGTATCGCATGCTTCCATAGCTTGCTTGTATGCTGGTATTGGCAGATCCGCTGGCAGACCGATGGCTGACTTGACCTTCGCAAAATCGCTTTTCGTGAAAACAAATCCCTGTTTTGAACTGTCCACAAGCAAATCATGGATATCACACAGATAGTCGATCTTCTTAGACCAAACACGGTTCTCCAAATAAGCCTGCTTTTCAAGATAGTTAGTAGCGAGACCTAGCATTGATGGATTCGTCCGGAACGCCAAGGCCTCTTTCAGAAAGCCATCGACTGTGCTGAGATCTGTTGTAGACATCACGTCCTCGACCTTGCGTCTGTCCCGTTTGATTTGGTACGCATTGGGGTCCGGAGATTCTACAGGTGCCTGGGCATTCTGAAAGTCAGACACAAGCGCCGTCTCCCAACACACCCAAAAGATATCTCCGTCGTAGTCTCCACCTTGCAACTTTCCAGCCAACGGATACTGGCCTTTACTAGGGAACACAGCTATATCCAGAAGATGGGAAAGGCCAGGGTGGATGCAGGCTTGGATTTTCTGAATATCGGAACGCCGACAAGCAGGCTGCCGAGCGACCAGAACATCCATTTGATCGAGACCTTGATAGCTCTCGTCGGTCATTTGGTCAACAAATGCGGATGAAAACTGCAAATGCATTTGGCCTGGGGCCAGGATGCCATATAGATCGGCGACGCCGTATACAAATGTCGCTCTTCCCAGTGGCGTTCGCAGCTTCTTTTCTTGTAGAAGTTGCTGTTTCTCAATGACGCGTTTCAAACAGCGAGCAAGGTATGGAGACTCGACTGGAGAGAAACCTGTCTCTAGGAGATATCTTACTTTTTCACTCAACGACTGTGGCAAAGCTGCTTGCCAGCTCACATGCTCTTCCCGGTCTCTCGGGCCTTGTTTGTGCAACCATTCGTACAACTTCACTGGGTCATGAAGTATATCAAGAAGGTGTTGCCTCTCGACATCGAGGCGCTCCTTCATGAGCTTAGCAATGACTTTTGGGGAGACACCTCGGTCCACCAAGATTGGGATGAAGGAGATGTGAAGATCGCTAGCGACAGGTGGTGAGCTATAATTGACAAGGTCAAATGACAATCTTCGAACATCGTATTGCTCGTCAAAATAGTCGTCAGCGTGCGGCTTGAACTTCAGCTGGCTTTCGTTTATTTCAATCCGAATCTTCAGATGGTCAGGGTCCCTAGTATAGGATTCAGCACTGATCATCCAAAGACCTTTAGCACCACCTATGCGTCCTTGGAAAGCGCTGGGAAGAGGATCTCTTGTGCCAGTGGTCTTCTTGTACAACTGCCAAATTGCCTTGGCCGCGCCGACTGACATGACGCTACAGCCATCATTCATGACCTCTTGCTTGACGACAGGCCGCCACTTAAGCGTCTGATCGTCGAAGCGACTTTCTTCCACCGTGCCATCGGCCAGGATGTCTGGAACGTATTCAACCTGGGAGGGTATGAATGTAAAAGTAGGAGTTGTCCGTGAAAGACCCAAGTCAAAACGCGCGTGTGCCTTGAGATAACTCTGTTCCTGGTTGATCCTAAATGGGAAGAACCAATTCAACAAATGACCTATAGAGCAGGGAGTTTTGATACCAAGCCCTTCGGTGGCGAAGAGTACTACCCTTCTGTCGTATTTCAGAGCATCATTGATGCGGGTGCCTTTGTTCCTTTTGATGGCTTCCACATGAAATGCTCGCCATTTTCGCCCCAAAAAGGTATGTTCGTTATTGTACCATTCGATCCATTGTTTCTGGATGAGATCCTCGTCGCCGGATTTGAGCTCTGCGCGATCTGGTCTGCTTTCATATGCGATGATGTCGAGATATAGAAAGCGATCTGCTCCGAAAGCACGCTGGAAGCGGCACGATTTGTCGGCTTGAATTGGCAGGAGCTCCAGAGTGTAGATAGGCTCGGTTTGCAATTTGTTAAAATTCACGCGCCCTTTGAAAGTATATCCGTCAAAGTTCCGATCGTTCGCCGACCAGACTTCCTTGGGCTCTTGAAGATGTTCGACTGGGCAGATCGGATGAAGCCTCATGTTTTCGGCAAAGGATTGATGTGTATTTGAGGCATATTTATCAATGCATTGAGTCACCACATTCATGCCGATGTTGTGTTGATTTGCGATTCGACAACAAATAAACAAGATAAAAAATGGAAAGTCACCTCCACCTTCTTCAATGTCGTTGAATAGATTTTTGTGGGGGATGTCTCGGACATGGTGGGATATTTTCCTAGGTGAACGGAATGCCCGACCAGGAGGATTGCTCGAGACTTGCATTCCCCGGGGTTGGGAGGGCACTTGATGAATATCGCTTGCGATAAGCATAGCAGTCTCGTCGACAGAGCCATAAGTCGATGTACTCTGCCCTATCGATTGACCATTTCGCCGCCTATGCTCTGTCTCTAACTTCGTCGATAAGACAGGGATGTCGGGGAAGTCCATCGAGTCAATGCTTGTTGAGCTAGAGCGGGCATGCTTGTGGAACTTAAAGGAATCTCCCGGAGCCTCCGTGTTAAAAGAAGTAGCAGCAGTGGTTGGTTGAGTGCTCTGTGAACTTTTCGCGTTTGCAGACCAAACCGTATCAAAGGATGTAGCTGGGGTTTCCTTATCTGAGTATGGCTGCTGGGGGAGCATGGATGCGTAATTCAAATGCTTCTTCAATGTTTTGCGGCTTTGTTTTGGCTGTACGAGTGACATTCCCTCGCCCTTTGATCGCCGTATAAGTTTGGGGGAAGGGGAGTCATTGTTGGAGCTGTCTGAAGATCGTTTTCCGGAGGGCCTCTCCAAACGGCGAGGGCCTTCTACCAGCCTTCTCTGCGTAGATCGAGCGGTAGTAGTAGGTGAAGGAGGCGTCTGGAAGTCTTCATCTTCCTCCGTGGTGGACCCATCTTCAATTACGACCTCATCGGTATGGGCGTTCTGCAAGGTAGAGGTTGCTAGCCTGGTTGCTAGCGCTTCATAAAGTTAGCATCCTATCTCAAGCGACAAGGACGAAATAAGAAAGGTATTAGCAAGGGTAAGAACGGCCCTTGAAAGATATCAAGATGACAGGTCCATAACTTGGCTTCTATCCATAGCTGCGATCATTTATGTACTTACAGGTTCGTCGTTGGACATGGGGTGAAGCTTCACAGGTAACAGTTGCGAGTCTAGAAGCTGTCCGTTTTGACTGAGGGGTTCCTTGTTGGGGTAACAGTTCATCAAGTATCGCGAGTCTCGAAGATGCTGAGAGTAGATGCGCACATGCTTTGAACTCATCGAGCTTTTTTGTTAAAAGGTCGTGATCTTGCCAGTAGAGGAAAGTAATCTTTTTGGAGATTTTAGATGCCCTGTCGCTCGCACGAGTTTCCGGGGACCGTATCTCATTTGTATCCAGTCCCAATTGCCAATCCTTTTCCAATGAAAGTATCAATTCATGTAGAGCTGTCCCTGGCCGTGGGTGTCGTGGTGTCCGTGGTACAGGTGCGGGGTTGTTGGAATCAGCTTGTCCGCCGGCGGCTAAGCTAATCGAGCGTCGCATTGGGCCCGCTAGCGCGATTTTGGAGATTGCCAATGACTATTGTGGTACCAAAGTTTGTAGAAGTCGTGTAGATATACGTTAGTGTGTCAATGTCAAAGGTAAATGTAAATATGAGATGGCAGGAATCAGCGAAGGAAAGCCGTCGGCAGTGCCTGAGGCTGGCGTTTGTAGTTGCATGCATGGACGGACGGGATTGGCCGGCACTTCCATCACGCTAGCACGTATTCACCTGACAAAAAAAGCAATTATAATGAGGCTCCTGCTGGTTGGTTGTAGAGACAGAGGTTTCAAGCGCCATGGTTTGGTATCTTATTGATTACTTTTTCGAGGAGAAGAGGAAGAAGGAGAAGAGTAGCTATTCCATTGTGAGCGCGTTCTACAGAGAAAAGTTCGGGTGATCTCACAGAGAAGCTCAACCAAGAAGAGCGCTACCATATTAGCACCACGGGGAATCATTCACTGGCAGTCACATACAGACAACAAGCACAATTGGTAGTTCACCGAAAGTTCTCTGGGTTCAGGTTCATTTTTTAGCGCTAGGGCGGATATCCTGTCATGCATCTGAAGTCGTAAATTCAATCCCCTTCTGACAAATCCCACACTTTCCTCGGCTGGTTTAGACCTTCATCTCAGAGAGACCGTGCTTCCAGACGGTAACGAAGGGGGTAACGCCGTCCTCGCGGTAGTTGAGGAGGATGACCCTAGAAGAAAATCAATCATTTGCACAACCATGGGCGGAGATAATTGACAACTTACATGCCATCGGGGTCCATGGACTCGCCGATCAGGAACTCGTAGTCCTTGAAGTTTGTGACGATCTTCTTGGCGAAGCCCTGAGCACCCTTCTCGAACTCCTTGATCTCGTCCTCGCTGGCGCCCTTCTCGGCGAGACCCTCCTTGACCTTCTTCATGTAGGCTGGTATCATTTAGCGACTTCATTCTGCTGTGAGTTGAGGGAGGTTGTCTCACTCTTAAGGTGGGAAAGGTACGACTTCTTGTCGAAAGAAGTCTCGTTCAAACGGAAAGAGTGGACAACGTCGATGACGGTCTGGGCGGCATCATCAGTGCCCTCGTCGGCGTCCTCGGCGGAGGGGTTGGCTCCGATATCTATATTCCATATGAGACCCCGCACAAATCTAGTACGTGGTGGGGGTTGGATGCAAACGCACCGATGTTGTCGCCTCCAACAGTGATCCTCGTGCAGTCGGCCTCGTAGGCGATGTTGTCAACCAACTTCAAGTTGTACGAGTCGGAGATGATCTCGTCACCGGTGATGATGTCCTGCAAAGAATCATTAGTATGCGCTGGGCAAGATGAGGACGAGGGGGGGGAAACTTGTCAAAAAGAAGGGAACATGAGGAAAGGGTCTTGGAGGGGGCGGGGTATATAGCAATATGATGCGAATAACCAAAATGGCAATAACTTACCTTGTAAATGATCATTTTGACTGATTTTGGAGAAAGAGAAGTGTAGGATAGAGAAGAAAAGAAAAGAAGTAACTGGAGGAAGAGTGTATGTGGAGAGAGATGGGGGACTTATGGGAAAAAAGTGCGACGGGACCAAAGAGACTCAAAAGTTGAGAACGACGGCCTTTTGGTGGGGTCGAATTTTGATGTCAAAAGGGCGCTAAACCCTACCGGGACACTAGCCTGTTCTCGGCCATCTCAATTCTGCCAAGCTGCGCACGGACTCTTTTCTGTTTTAAAAACCAGGGAGGCGAAAAAGAAAATTACCATCCGGGCAATGGAATCAAGGAAATCCCGACTCCCGAGAACGAGACAGGGGAAATTGGGGGGTTAACGGACGATGATGGAGGTCCGAGGACGGTGGTTCTGGTGGTAATTGGATAATTGGATATCTAAGTCACTTTGTAGTGGTAGATTTGGGCGGTGGCAGTGGAAGTATCATGATGTCTTGTCGCTGACTGTACTAACTAATAACTTACTATACTTCCATGACATCTCCTCCTCCTCAACTCTTCCTCCCACGAATAGAAAGCACCACTCTCACCAGACCTCCAGGCCTCCCTCGCTCTGCCCACCTCTTGCCTCTCCTTTAAGCCTTCTTCTGCGCCGACCTTTTGTTACTTTTACATCCTATTTCTTCGCTTTTGCATCCACCTCATTCTCCCTCCTCTACTCTACTCCTTAATCAAACGGCTACCCGCGACATCCGAATCCAGGAGCTCCACCACCACAGTCAGCGCATCTTCCTCTCTCGTCAGCCTCTTCTTCACTTCCACATAGAGGAGATAATAATACCCCGACACTGCTCTCTGGACAACTACATTTCACCACCTCACGATCGTGTCGTCACAAAGAAACACTCCCACCTAATTGAACCCTGCCAATCCCCCAACTCCGCAGCCATCCGCCATGGCGACCGCGAACATTTCTTACGAACTTCCTTCCTTACCGGAATATTCTCTCCAGCCGCTTCCTCCTTTACTTCCATGGATATCCGATGCATATCTTGCTCTCGCCATGCCAATCATAGGCTATTGGGTCGTCTCCATGTTCTTCCATCTAATCGACGTTTACGATCTCTTCCCACAGTACCGCCTACACACACCGGCCGAGGTTCTGAAGCGCAACCATGTCACCAGATGGGAGGTCTTCCGCGACGTCATTATACAACAGATTATCCAGACCATATTCGGAATTGCAATGGATATGCTGGATGAGGACGCAATGACTGGCAAGGACGATTTCAACGTAGCCTGGTACGCCCAAAAGATCAGGATTGCACAAAGGGCCATTCCTTTCATTCTGGCGACCGTGGGCCTTAACCCGACTGCATTAGCAAGCAAGTTGTCTGCTTCACAACCGATGCTCGCTGGTGCAATTGCTGGAGGACAATACGGCGGTGTCGTCCCGGCATTCCAGTCCTGGGAACTCCTGGTCGCAAAGGCTCTTTACTGGTACGGCGTTCCCGCATGCCAATTCCTAGCTGGAGTGCTCTGCGTCGACACGTGGGAGTACTTCTTGCACCGCATCATGCACACGAATAAGTGGCTTTATAGTATGTTCATCACCCCACTTCTGCGCCATCTAATCTAACTGTATCAGCCACCTTCCACTCTCGCCACCATAGGCTCTATGTCCCTTACGCGTATGGCGCATTGTACAATCACCCGTTCGAAGGATTTCTCCTTGACACCCTTGGTACTGGTCTTGCGTATCTCGTTACCGGTATGACGGTTAGGCAGTCAATCTGGTTCTTCACCGGCTCTGCTATCAAGACTGTCGATGACCATTGTGGATATGCCCTACCCTTTGATCCCCTACAGCATATCACCTCCAATAATGCCGCTTATCACGACATTCATCATCAAAGCTGGGGCATCAAGACCAACTTCTCGCAGCCATTCTTCACTTTCTGGGACAAGTGGTGCAACACGATGTGGAAGGGCGACTCTAGCTCACGTTACGAGAGGGCTCGCCGTACCGCTCAGCTGAAACTCGACCAGGAAAAAGAGACTACCGCGACCGATGCATCCCCGGAGACCATTGCGGCTGCAGCCTCAGAAGTTGACGATGCCATTCGTGCTCAGCAGATCTCTGCGCCCCGTATCACCAGAAAGAAAGCATCAAGCATTTCACAATCCCCATCAGACAATTTGAAAGGCCTACGCAATAAGGTCAACGAAAGCCTGCATGGACGCGGCGCAAATGTGTTGGGCCTCGAAAGCCGACATTGATTACCGCATATCCAAGAGTGGCAACCAGCTTCGCAAGCGCATTAACAAGAGTAGTGTATGTAATGTTTAGTATCCTAGATGTATAAAACTTGCTTGGGGCTACTTCTCTTTTCTTTGTATCATTCTATTTCCGGACTTCTCTTTCGGTCTACCAACTATGCAGGCAGAGCTTGCTAGATTTCACACTTCATCTTATTTCACAAGCACGCTCGTTATGTTTACTATGAGGGACATTTGGCGGCGTTTATGGACGGTTGGAATTGAGGGATTCTATTCAGCATCAGATCACCCCTGGTATAATCAGTTATCAGCAATTCCACTCGGTTTTGGTAACAAAGCATTGTGTAAAGCAAGTGAACATTGTCGTCGGTTAACAAGTATCTAAATTGCTATCCAGGTTGCTTCGTCGTGTGATATTCACGCACATATACCCGTCGACATCTCCTGGGCTTGCCAAAAGCATCGGGCTTTCTGTCCAATATCGACTGCTAATGTTCCTGAAATCATGCGAGAGCTGTGGTGATTATACGTCACGGGCATGTACAATACATTCTGTGAACAGGACTGGTTCACTCGGCTAAGTTTTACACAATGCATTCCAACTCACGAATGTACAGTGATTATTGCAAAGGACATAATAAATACATCGGATAGTTCCATCGATCAGATACCCACCACACACACTGACTATCAATGTAGTACCAACACTCTTATCCCTCTCCTTGATATCATTATTACCTATATTTTTACTTATATTTTTATCCCGATCCCTACGATTATTCTTATCTACCTATATCCCTACTCCCTATATACACAACGAACACAAGATGGCAGCAGCAGCCCTCCAAAGCTTTTACGAGCAAACCAAAACGCTCATCCAACCCTCCCCCCTCACCCTCCACGACCTCTCCAAACCCGACATAGTATCCCTCGTCGCCCTCCTCCGCAACTGGCCCATCGACCCCGGCAGCGCCAAACACTACTGGACCGACATCCAGCGCCTAACCTCCAAACTCCCCTCGCACCTCCGCAACACCTCCCCCCTACACCTCAAACCGACTCATTCCCTCATCTGCGCCGGTCACGCCGGCCTCAACCCCTCACTCATCATCTCCATATGGAGCACCCTCCGCGGGGAGATGGAATCCTCAATCGGCCCCTTCTTGTACCCGATCATCGTGGGCGCAGGACTCCCTGCACATCAGGAATATCAAGCCCGCCAGCTCGAGCCGGTGCTCAGGATGTGGCAGCCGGACTACGACCCCGCGGACCACGTTCCCGCCGGTCGAACCCCCTTACCCACGGGTAAGGAGGGCCTTTGGGCGTTCCAGTATAACAAGTGTCCTGCGTGTATGCTCGCGCGGCTCGGGTCCGAGAAAGACGAGCTGGCTGCGCTGCTTTCGGGGATGGTGGGACGGTTGCGGTCGGGGGTTGTCGGGCGGAGGGACGACGTGAGGAGTCGGCGGGTGAGGTGGGTGCTCGCGGCGCTGAAGCTGTGTCGTGGGGGCGTGAAGGCGGCGGATGAGGCGTGGGTGTTTGGACTTGAGTTGAAGAGGGTGAGGAGGGCGTGGAAGGAGCATCGGAAGGGGGTTGCTGTGAAGGGTGGGTTTTATGGGAATCAGAAGGTTTGGACGGTGCCTATTGCGTATGCTGGGACGGAGGGTAGTGAGGGCCGGGAGACGCCGTCGGATGTGAGTCGCTCGTTTCATTCGGAGGCTTCGTATGATATCGAGTTGATCGATTTTTGTCAGAAATTCGTGCCGGAGATTCATACTAGAAGGGAAAGTGACATCCCTTCGTTCACTGGTTTCACTAAGGAGGGCGTGCGGGAACTGCATAGTCCAGATGGCTCGTATGCCTCTTCAGAGGAGGCTCGAGTCAACGACTATGAAGATGAATTCGAGTGGGAAGTAGGATCTCATTCTTCGACCTTTTCGAATACATCACGGAACGCTGGTGCTAATGGAGGCCAGCCATCAAATACTGCTTGTCGATCGATGTATGGCGGATACCCAGGGTATAATACTCGGAGAAGCTGAACATCGAGAACGTAAGTTCTTACGACGCCCTTATAATCTAATCCGACCCATTCTTACCAAGTATATAACCAATCTAGAATCGTACATTCCTCAGCCTACTATTGTATTAGCCCTAATCATGCCTTAAAAGTTCAGTGCAGCTCTGCATCCCCAAACTCCCCGTCACATTCACCATTCATTGCCCCATATCAAATGCCTCCCCAACGATGACACACCCCCCTCCGTCCTTCCTCAGTATAAACGACAAATCTTCATCCTTAAGTTTTCCCCTACATCTCCCTTTCTTCACAAACAGCGTAGCAGTCCCCATATCCCCCTTTATCATCCTAAAAACACTACCACGCCAACCCACCTTCCATACCACATTATCAATCATAACCAGAGCCTCGACTCCCATCTTCTACCCACCTCTCCCACTGCCTCCTGATTCCTCTCATCTTTCTAGCAGAAACTATTCATCAATGACGACATATCCATTCCCTCGCTAGTCTTATCGCAAGGTCTTCTCTCCCCGCATCAGACCACGACACTTCTCTACTAACGTAGTATCCCTTCCAGAAACTGGCGATGTAGTTGCCATACACCACCGCCCTCACATCGTCATTCCCTCCATTGTGGTCTTTGAACAGGATACTGGGTCGTGGGCTTCGACTTACAGGCCTGTCCGCCAACAGCGTGCAAAGTCACGAACGCTTGGAGCGGCATCCCACTACTGTCATCCGTCTTCTGTGAAAACCGAGTCTTTCCAAGGCGTGTCTGCCGGTAGTTCACATCTCGGGGCAGTTTCCGTCACTGCTAAACATGATGGGCTCTTGGATGTACATACAAGTGCCATGATCTACGACTCCCCCAGCGGAAGTTCTGATCATCCAACGGCAATACACTTCGCCTCATCATTCAAATCCCAATCCGGCGTCCACGAAGTTAAACACGACTTCACGCACGAGCAAACTCAACATCAACATCAACATCACCATCACCATCAAAAAAAAACCAAACACCATCCATCATTCAAAAACGATTTTCATTCATCATTTACATCTCCTCTGTCCTTCTCCCCTCGATCCTCTGTCCCTCGGGTTTCCCAAGTCGTTCGCATACGATCGACCATGCTCCCTCTCCTTCCCCCCTCGCTTCCGCGCTCTTTGTTATGGTTAAAAGTATATATCGCGTACATATAAAATAAAGATGGTATCAAAAATGCCTCCCTCCCAGCCTCCTCACCAGCCTAAGCGCCAGCCTAACCCGAAAAAAAACATGAAGAAAATGAAGAAAGCATATAGGAACGAAAAAGATAGGGCGGGCGACGGGCGTGCGCGAGTACGTCGAAGTATTTCCATACACTCGTGATATAGTGATATAGTTAACCACGAGGGTGAAAGAAGACGTAGGATTCGACGACCAATAGCGAGGAAAAAAATCTAGACCCCAAACCTAAGGGGTCGCGGAGATTTTCCTCTCGCCTGGTAATAATGATTTTTTTCTTTGGGTGGTGTTGGTACCTGTCGCACGCGCGCGCGGCGTATTAACGCCTGAAACTCCGCAAAACACCATGGAAATGGGCCACAACCTGAAACACCGTTCGCTCACACAAACGAGGAGGGAAATTCTATCGTCAACCATTTCCGGAGATTGGACGATGTTTATGCTATTATGCACGGGAATTCGTTTAAAAAAAACGGAGAACGTGCGTGGATGGGTGGATGGGTGGAGTGATGGGTCGGTCGATCGAGAGATTCGTATGCGTGGGTGACGTTTTTCGGATCATACCGCTCCCATCTCGATTTCTCTTCTCCGCTCCTCGCGACTGACTGCCCGCGAATGCGTGCTCTGTGCGCCGATGCTGGACGGTCGGTTCTGCGTCCTTCCGCGGTCCCATCGATCCCACGCCTGCTGTTCTGAGAGGCTGTCCGGCCTGCTGTTCGCGCGATTGCGGTTCCTGTCCCAGTCTGTGTATGCGGTGTGCGGTGTGCCGACCAGCTCAGAGCTGGTTGCCAGTCGTCTCGCTTCTTCCTCGTCTTCTGGCAGGTCTATGCGGAACGTTGCGCTGGAGGCGTCGGGAGAGGGCCTTGAGTCGCTCTTCGTGAGCAGGAGGAGCTTCATCTGTTGGGTGATCCTGTCGTCCTCCGACAGGGGGATTTCGGTGGGCCGGGGGGAGGTTGCACGCGTGGCGGTCGGATACACATTTTGGAGGTAGTTGGCGTAAAACGTGGGCTCGGACCAGAGGTTTGAGCGTGAGCCCGCGGCCTCCCTCAATTTGACGATCCGCCTGTGGGTCCAGAGTAAGAGACCACTGTAAAGGACGGTCGCGGCGGTGGCGATAATGATCGCAGTTATGGCAGCCGTGCCCCATTCGAATCGATTGGACGATGAAAAGTTGTATGCTATCGTAAGTAGGCCGATGGCGGACATGGTGAGGGCGGGCCTGCAAGGTGTTTGATCAGCATTGTGTGTGATGTGACAGGTACGGGGTTTCAAACATACAAGAAGATCTGCTCGGCCTGGAAGAGCTCATTGCGGCATGCAAAGCATAGTAGCGCTGTGAAAGAATAGCCTGCCGTGAGCAATGCGACCACAAAGACCGTGAGCACGGGTTGGCTGAATTTGAGGTCTGGTTCTTTTGCATACAGGCCTGGTAGAATGAGATAGCTGGATCGCAGTTGTTAGTAAATTGACTGTTCTATGCAGATATCTGTTGAAAGTGCAACTCACCCTCCTAGAATCATCCAAGAGGCAATCAGCGCTATGAGGCGCCAATACCACGGTGTGTGTTCGCGATCATTGTATGAGCCGTCCTGCAGGTTGATATATCGCTTGGAAGCCGAGCGCTTTGACATTTGGGCGGTCGCAAATGCCTATATCGTAGGACTTTGGTATTAAATGTATGTAGTAGAGAGTAATGCGGAAGCTGTTGGCTTGAGTGGGTTTATCGTGTTATGTGTATGAATGAGGCGAAGTAGGCTTCAGCTCAGCTCCCGGGCGCTAACATGTGCTGTGCGGAAGAACCCCTCATCCAGGTAGAGGGAGTGTATACGGGATAAACGAGCGATCGAGGCCTCTCTGCCTGGAAGATCTTGTATAATTTGTCTGGCGGACGGGCCGGTAGAGGAAGATAGAGAGGAGTTGTGAAGTGGGTGAGCAATTCAGCCTAACGAGTGAGATCCGGGATCGCGGGTCGCTTTTGATGGAGAAGAGAGAAAGAGAGAGATGCGCAACAGCAATGGGGGAATGTAGAGGAGACCGATTTCCGAGGTATTTGACAGTTGGCAACCAGAATCGACGGTTGACGGGTAGGTGACAAAGAGGAGGAGGATGAGGAAGAGGGAAGTGGAGGGGATTAATGGGGGAAGGATGAGGGTGGAGTGGAGTCTAGATGAGATGCTTGAAATGTCTGCGACGACGAGGCGATGTTGGGTTTGGGGAACGTAAGTATTCGTATGTAACTCGACTGTGGGTAAGTTAATGGAAGGGTAAGGGCATGGGTATGGGTAGGTAGCTGTGGGTAATGGGTAAGGGTATGGGATATGGGTATGAATGTGGTATGGGGTGGTGAATGGAACAGGACATGGGCTATGAAGGGCTTATGGCTATGGTATTGACTATTGACTTATTGATACACCTCTTGTCTGTACTACTTCTTCCTCCTACTCCTCTTACGACTCCTCTCTCCTCCGCCTACTCCGCTGCTTACGCCTCGCCTATGCCTCCAATTACCACGCAATAACTATGCCGCCACCTATGTACTACTTACCTAGGTAGTCTGTGATACCTACCGGCTGCAATCGTTACACACATACTAGACGAACGAGGGTCTGAATACGATGATGAACCGTAGCTACGTGCTTTCACTTGATCGAGTCAATTACTTTAGTTACCGCACGTCCACCCGCTTGCCCGCCGCCGTCGCTTTCAAAGTCCGGGATAATGTACTCTTGAGGCGTGGAGTGGACTCTAGACAACAACTTACAACAGCCCCCGTACCAACCTCCATCTAGGTATTGCCATCCTGTTCTCATCCCATACCGTACTTTCATATTCTTACATCCCCTCTGTTGTATCACTGACCTTGTGTCCCATCATTTCAATATTGTAGCATAGCACCGCATCATAGCCAGATGGGACGATCTCTTCCCACTCAGCCACATGCGCCTAGGTGTACATCCAAAAGCTAAGCACGATCTACCTACTCACAGACTCACAAACACACAGACACACGGCAATCTATCAATTACATTACTCGTTGCCTGGCCTTGATTTGCCTTGCCTTGCCTTGCCTCAGAGGGACGTCGAGGCCAGGGTCAACGGCTGTGGACGCGGGCTGAGAGGCGATCGTTGGCGGACGGACAACGGCTTCTTCCCCTCCCTGGCTGGCTTCCGTTCTCTCGCGCGCCGCCCACGACTCATTCATTCCCTTTCACTCTCTCCACTCGCCTCCCCCTCCCCCCTCACCCCTCTTGTTCCATCCCATTATCCATTATTCATTCAGATTCATTCATTATTCAATACTCCGGATTGCACTTAACAACTCCACTTACCCGTAAACAAACAGGACACGCATGCGCCCTGCATTCATCTCCTTGTTCGCCATGCGCTGTGATGAGCCACTCGGCGTCAATTGTTTCCTTAATCTTTCTCGAATACGGAGGAGTCTCGACTGAACTGGAAAATCAGTTCGAATCTTCTCCCCATCAATACATGTTCCAATTCACGCCCTCTTTGTCCTCTCATGTCAGCCTCCCTCCAACCTCCAACTGTCCACTCGCACTAACTTGATACTAAACTCAATCACAAGCTGATGCTCACGGGAACTGTTCAAGCACGGATAGATTGAATCACTAGCATGGCAACTGGCATGCTTTGGTGACCGGGTAGGGCTACTCACAGGCCGCTCCCTGGCTGTTAGACTGCGCTGGCGTCTTGTTGGTCTGGCGGCTCCAGCCTGTCACCAAACCCATCCTTATGCCAAGTGAGCCTTGGGACGATCCACTCAATATTACATTCGTACAAAGCTGCCCAGCTTATGTTTTTTCTGTCTACCTCAAGCGACTCTAGTCCTCCAATTCGTGATGGGTCGGGCTGACTTCGCCGCTCTCCCTCACTATCAATCGTACGTCTCACTTCTCACCTCCGCCACCATTGTCGTCGGATCAGCCTCGGACCGGGCACATGCAATGCAATGCCTCCGCTCTTCTCCCAGTCGTATTTCTCTGTTACGACTAGCCTGGTCGTCACCTAGAGACAGCATCTACAGTAGGTAAACTGCTAGGTACATTGTGAATCTCGCAAACGTAAGCGTATGCGGACCCTGCATGTAATGGACTTCCTCTGCAATGTCCCGTATTCGTACGTATACAATACACATGTCAAGAGTGGTCCTTCCAACCTCCTCTTCCCGCTCGTCGTTGTAGCGCAGGACCATAGGCCAGGTCCAACCTTTCATTATCAAGTTGCCTTTGTTTCAGGTCACATCATTTCTTGCTTACTCTTTTTGATGCGATCCCGTCTTCTGGCACGTTTTCCTCGTTGGTGACGGCTTGCTTTGAGTCGCGCCTTATCTTCTTTGCGCAGGATCTCGCCCCATCGGACTTGGCACAGCCTTCAGTATTGAACACACATCAGATTTCCTCACAAGTTGCAGTTACAGTCGCAGCCATCCAGTCTGGGTGTAGTGCGACTTGAACACCCTATGCGCCTTACAACCGCCCCAGCCCTCTGCTTCACCTTTGCCAACAAAGACAATCCTCAGTCTCGGCTATCCTACCCCAATTTGCTGCTAGAGGGAGTGATCACAGTCAAGCAACGCTGAGCCTGTGTGCCTGTCTCTTGTTCGATTGCGAAGAGTCCCCTCATCCATTCATTCCCCACAGGCAGAAAACCACAGCCGTTAGAAAGACGTCACCAGTCAACTGTGCCTCCTCCGTACCTGAATCCCCTCATCCCGGTCGCCATATGCACCGCCCCCATGCAACTGGTACCCAACAGCTCCACGGATCGACTCGCTTGTCCCATCTCACATGCAAGAACCTCCGACCCTGCCACCACCCCGACAGGCTTCTCACGATCATGTGCTACCGTTGTGGTCTTACTTCGATGCCAGGTAGACACTCATTGGCTGTGTTCGTCCTAGGTTCGAATACTCCATTTAGTCCCGATTAGGCAGCGCACGACAGAGATGTTACTCAACAGCACGCAAATCACTCGGTTTGTACTTTTTACTATTCTTAGGCGTTCAGGATTTCACAACGTCGAACTAACTCTTTGAAAACAAATCAACTCTATAATGACCAGAACAGTCGAGCTGAATTGTTATCAGCAGACACGTCAATTGGCCCACCAAAATATCCAAAGATGACAATCTGTCAGCTCATGATATGTCATCTCACTGCCAAAAGAGGCCTTACACCATCAACATATCTAGCGTGTACTGTGCACACTTTCTTAATCTGATAGCCTACTTAGGTATAGAGACCTTGCAGTTTGAATCATGTTGAATTGAACATACCTCGTACATCATGGACCCGTAGTCTGGTTGCTGGAAGCATCGAGGTTCACGCCATCGAGTAAATATCTATCTTTTACCAATCGGACAGTTTCTTTGTATCAGCATGTACGATCTGGCGTCAGATATTCCTTCTTCCCCTTTCTCTACGTTGTAATCTCGATGATTTCTGCAAGTAAATCAGTGGCAATTGCGATGCTCCCTTCCTTTCTGCTATATCCTTATCAGCAGGATTTTCAACCACGAGACTCCTGCTGACTGTACTCTAGAAGTTATGGTCGGAGCATTACTTGCTACTGACATTGATTTGAGTTTAGCGTACCATTCCATGTTGTCGGATCTCGAGTGATATAGAATTCCTTCGAGTCCAACCACGTACGATAGGGCATCGCTCCCCGTAGATTCGATATACCACAACCGTGATCGATCAATAATTGCAAAGATTCCAAGTATCTCTACAAAGAGTCGTGATACAAGCCACCTCAACGCTAATTCTAGCTACAGACAAATGCATGACGCTACTTAATTGGTCAGATACACCACTAGCGCCATATCTCTCCAATGACTTCACTCCATCTATCAACAATGACCCAATCCCCCAGGACGCCCCATCAAACCCCATTCCCATAAAAAAACAAGGACCGTGACTCCAGGAACCCCATCCCCCAATGTCCCCCAAAATCGCCATCATCGGCGCTGGCCCAGGAGGCACCATGCTCGCGCGCCTGCTCCACCAATCCTCCATCCCAACCACCATCTTCGAAGCCGAGACGTCCATCGACGACCGCTCGCAAGGCGGCTCCCTGGACCTCCGCGCCGGAACCGGTCTCCTCGCAATGCAGAAAGCCGGCCTATTCCAGGAGTTCCTAAAGCTCGCCCGGTACGACGGCGAGGCGCTGCTGCTCTGCGACAAGAGGCAGACGACGTGGATGGCGCGGCCGGCGGGGGACGCCGCGCGCAAGAGTGCGTTGCAAGAGGCGCCGGAGATCGATAGGGTGTTGTTGCGGCGCTTGCTGATCGAGAGTATCCCGGATGGCTGCGTACGCTGGGGACGGAAGGTCGTGAGCGTGGATGAGGATCGCGGGTTGCATTTTGCGGATGGGAGTGTTGAGAGGGGGTTCGATCTCGTGGTTGGGGCGGACGGCGCGTGGAGTAGGGTGAGGAGGTTTCTGTCTGAGGAGGTGCCGGCGTATGCGGGGCTTGGGGGGTATATGTTGGATGTTCCTGCTGATGCTGAGATGCGTGCACCGAGGGCGTTCGGGTTTGTGAATAGGGGGAGTGTGTTTGCGTTTTCTGATCAGAAGAGTTTGAGTGGGCAGTTTGTCAGTGACAAGAGCATCAGGGTCTCGACGTGGAGTGTCCGCGACGAGAAGTGGATCGCGGAGAAGGGAGAGGATGCATCTGATCCGGTGAAAGTCAAGGCGGAATTGCGACAGGTTTTCGAGGACTGGAGCCCGGATCTTTTGAATCTCATCGATAGTACAGATGGACCCGTGTATCCGAAGAACCTCTACACTCTTCCCGTGGGCTTCAAATGGGAGCATCAGGAAGGCGTGACTCTCCTCGGCGATGCCGCACACCTAATGACGCCTTTCGCTGGCGTCGGGGTCAACACTGCTCTCTATGATGCCATGTTACTCTGCAGAGCCATTGTGGAAGCCCAAAATTCACCAACGCCTGCTGCAAGTTTAGACAAAAGTATCATTCAATACGAGAAGACTATGTGGGGACACGCACATAAGGCCCAGCAGATGTCCTACGATGCAATGGTAGACATGATATTCACACCTGGAGCACCACGGACCACAATAGAGCGCTGGATGCTCCGATTCATCAGGGCAGAATTCTCAGTCGTGGTATACCCATTCGCAGCAGTAGCAGTGTACATTGGATTCTTCTTCTACAAACTCTTCGTCTGAGATCTCAAACCCCTTGTCCTCCTCTACCTCTCTGGTACCATCGAAATCTAGCTCGCTCCACCGACTCCACAGGCAAGACCTTCTCTATTTCGCAACCAAGCTGTACTGCGTAGTAGTAAACACCGCATTCGACCCAACAAACGGCTCCGTACCGGCACCCGCACTCTGCAAGATCTGCGTCTTGCTCAACCCATGATTCTTGCTCAAATAATCCACAAACGCCAGCAAATCGCCACTGAAATCGCTCACGTTGCCACTCGCGGGAACAAAGCTGAACACGTTCATCTGCCCATTTGGTCCATTGTACAGCTTCCAGCTCTTGCCGGCGACAGTGGGCGTCGCGATGGGGGAACCGGACGAGGAGATGGGACCCGCGCCGCCGAGCGCGCCGAGCCAGATCATGATTTCGTACTCTGCGTTGCCTGAGGCGGTGGAGGACGTGAAGAGGTCGTAGGCGACGTTGGCGACGAGGGAGGTCCCGGTGTATGTCCATTTCCAGGTCGAGGCGAGGGAGGTGAATTGCGAGAGGGGTTTCTTGGTGATGGTGGTGACGGCGTTGGCGTAGGACTTTACGTTGTATTGTCTGGGGTAGGTTTTAGTGATGGGATCTTGGGGAATGGGGAGGGGGAATAGACTTACCCTCCGGCCCATGACCATTTCGTGTGCCACTTCAAGTTGCTGCCGCTCAGTCCGTCGAGCGTAGTGCACTGCGAGCCTGACGTCGCGGCATCTCTGCCCCAGAGGTTCTATCAAATAGTCAGCACCATCATCACTATCACTCTCCATCACTCCCATTCCACCCCTCTTCCATCGAACCTTCATACTGGGATGATTAACTCACATTATACAAAGTATAAGTCCCAGAAACAACATTATCCCACTGTCCGCACATATCCGCGCGCTTCTCAAACACATTCGTCGGTGCGGCGCCAACGGCAGCGGACAGGGAGAGCATCCCACCGGCGATAAGAGGGAACTTCATGATTGCTACTATTGTTGTCTTTCGAAGTACGTGTCCGAGTCCGTTGTCTTTTCCAATCAATCAAGAAGATGAAGGAATGGGATGGGATGGTAAAGACGAAAAGCAGAGAAGGGAAGAGGGCGAAAGCTTATTTATATCAAGCCTTCCCACGTCCCTTATTATCGTTCCTTTTCTCCACAGACGACAAATCTCCGAATCGTTGCTCCATTTGGAAAGGGACGTGTCGGCGAGCGTTGACGTATGTGGGTGTGTGCGGATTCATGGGTTTCTTTTTCTCCATACTATGGTGTCTGTAAGTCGCACCGCACAGCCACATATCTCCGGCGTTTCCATATATTTAAATTGATAAACCATAAGGGGAGAAGAAAGTAGGGCCGGGAGGCGGAACAATTACATTGACAAGTCCCTTTGGTTCATGAATTAGCTACTTTGAACGTTGCTTTGCTATGTCTCTAAGTACATTTACGTGAAGACAAGTAGGGCCACCCTGGTAAGGTTTCATTTATTCCAAACCCCTAGAAACATATTGTATGGACCTATTTAAATATATGTTTAATTTCTAGATGTTTAGTTCGGTTTGGAAGTTAGCTAGTTAATCGGTCCTAATCGGCCAAAACGAATGTTTGTGTTCAGACGTCCACTTCATAATCGACTGACGTCGACCTCTGAACATTACTGTGTACACTTCATCCCAGCATCACTGCAACGACCAGAAACTGACAAACAATACAAACCGTAACCAAAACATCTAAATCCTCCCCTTTCCCTCTCTTTCCGACCTTTTGTCCTCCTCATGTTGAATTGTATCCAGGTCCCCTTTCCCGGCCCATCTCGGCGATAAATGATAGGTGGACGAACCCGCACCCCTGTCCGTTCCGCTGCACCCCGCGATCGACGTTTTTCTGGAGAAATCATTCTCCGATGAGCGACACAAGATATTAAATTAAAGATATACTCCGTATAGGTTGTGTAATTGAGACGGTGGTTATAGTCGCAGGATGAAGTCTGTAGTTTGTTGTACGGAAGGGGCGAGGGAGTTGTTGGAAGTATAGATGTTTGTCAGACTTGGTTGTGACTACAACTGTCTATGTTTGTGTAAATAGATAGACAAACATTTATGTGTATGTATGTATGTGTATTTGCCTAGGTGTGTACGTACGTTTCAAGTATAAATGCATGATCAAACTAAATAAATTTAATATTAGAGGAATAGGTAGCCCTTCTTACTGTATAATATGTAGCCTGCACTACGCCTGCACTACACCTTCACTACGCCTTCACTACACCTTCACTATATTTTCATCTTCGTTATCTTCACTACATCTTCACTACATCACCACGTATTCACCACGTTCACCACGTCTTCACCACGTCTTCACCTTTCCTCACCATCCCCCCTCCTCCCCACCAACATCTCCTCATCCGTCCTCCTTCCTCCTCACCAACACCAGCACCCACAACACTACCCCGATCCCCATGAACCAAAAACCAAAAGCAGCGTCCAAATCCGTCTTCGTCATCGTCATCTCAAGACAGAAACCCTTCTCCCAAACCACTGATTGCCACTCTCGTCGATTTCGTACCTTTCATACTAAGAGCAAAATATGTAAACGCATATCGTACGTAGTCCGAGTCAGAAGACTGATGTGGTGAGTCATGCCACGCTATAACTATCGATGCCTGCTGGAATTTGTCTTCGACTTCGGGGCTATATTATGTTGATTTTTCATTGGAGAGTAGTGAGTGTAGTGATGTGTATGAGGTTCCGTATGTCCGGTCGTTGTGATGTACGAAAGGTGTGGGTGTAGTCATGGAATATATAAATTCTACACCATATATGCTCGGATGGAAGTGGGTAGGACCTACTCTACATTTGGTCGGAGGATTTTTCATATATCACAGTTGATGTTTGCAAAGGCAAAGAAATGAATTTGAAGCTGCTCATCTATTCTTTCAAACACATTTGAATATGGAGGGCGGACAATCACTGCTGCTGTTACAACTCATGCAAGGTCAAACTTCAAGCCCAATTCCTGAGAAGAAGAGAAACACCATACGAACTACGATGACTCGAAAACATCGACGTGATGTACCCCTCTCATGACGCCGGACGACTCGCAATGGCTGCCTTGGTACGGGACATCTCCATCAACAACGGATCACTATGAGAAGCACTGATACTAGGAGGCGGCTGGTGGCTGACGACAAGCTTTCTTCTCCCAACACAGCTGATGTGTGAGATAATCAGCTGCTCGATAGGACGGTGGCTTGCGGGCTCATATCTTGACAGCACGTGTGCTGGCAGTACGTGGCGCCGACCAGCTACGCCTGACATGAGGAGCAGCTTACGAGGTACGAGGGTCGCCGTGGAGTGTCTGGCTTGAATGCATCGTCATTGGTCGGAGAGCTCGTCCAGCCAGACTGCGATCCCGAAATGTGATATGATCTTTGGTTCAAACTATCGGTCTGTATGTCTACTGCATCAAGGCCATCAGCTGCTTCGGCCACCTGCCTTGTTCGGAGTTGCTCGCAAGCCTTCTCGCGAGAGAACAAAGGGTGAGTTGAGTGATCGCGGGCCCAACAACGCCAGTGCAGTCGATCTGACCATGTTCAAAGGGTGTGGATTGCGAACTTTGCGAACTTCCTTGCACCCGATGTCTGGCCAAGATGTTTAGGTTGCCCAGCGTCTTTGATTCGGCGTTGACCCCATAGGTGGAGGTTTAGTCCAACGAAAGCGATGGGTGCCACAGGTCATGGATGTGCTCTGTCTGGATGTACACACCTGTGGCTGCTATTTGAGGCGGTCAGAGAAAGTCTCAGATCGACTCTGGGTTCCGCAAGGGAGCTGTGGCGTTCCGATTGGATTGCTCGACACATCCACTCCAAGTCGAACCACCTAGTCCTGGTAGCAGTGACACGTAAGAGTCTGTACGATTGTGTACGCACAGTACTCCCCGGGCATTTTTGGTGGTCACTGCCATGTCATGCGATGATGCGGCTGGGATTAATGCGTGGCTTACCTGTGCAATTGGTGAACTGCCGCTTACGGTTACTAAGTGAAAACGAAGAAGCTCAAAACCTAAAAAAACGTTGGAGCTTTTGGAAACGACGATTGAAGTAAGGCTCAAGTCAAGATCGGGCCTGGGACATGATATTCCGCCTCTATCAGCCAATTGGCCTATGAGTTCCGTATTCACATCTTCCCAATTGGCCGAGTCAATTGTATTTCGTACATGTGACAAGTATAAACGTTGAGAGGCCCACACGGCCGGGACAAAAAGTCCCCCAAGGGGCGGCAGTAGCTCATGGGTAAAAGCGGTTGTGATGCTGCTAGTCGTGTTGAGGAGATCTGGATCCCGAAGCTACGGCGTTGTGCTATGTGATTCGATACAGCCGCTCCGAGGCACAACGGCAGGCAGTGAGAAGGCGAACAATTGGTGGTCAGAATTGCTGGCAAAAGAATAGGAAAACCCCACTCTGGGGGATCGTAGTCCACACCTGGGGTTCTCTGGTGCATTTGGTAATAAGTCTGTATGACGTGGGACTGGGAGACGTAAGTATGAAACGCGGCGATCCTAGCCGGAATCGAGGTCCTATTGGATGGTGGTTTGGAGTGCCTTTGGACGCTTTTAGGCGAGCCAGTTAGCCTGGGCCACGACTTTTGCAAAATGTTTCGGAGCCAACACTGCGTACCTGAATCATCGACTGCGATCGAGATGGCAGTCCTCAGGGCAGGATTGTAAGTCACTTACGAACAACACCATTCAGTCTAACAGTCTCAAGACGTAACACGAGGGAGAGATCCCAATTTAATGTCCCGGTTTGAAGATATTCTGACAGGGACAGTGTGTGGGTGTCGTAATATGTCATTTCTAAGATCGATCATAATCTGCGGACGTTTGAAACCAACCTCAGCCATCAACAATTAGGGCGGTGGTCGCATGGGCTGATAGTTCGTCCTCGCGTTGTTTACTGAAGAAAAGGACGCGTTATTTAGGGCGGGGTTGACCATAATTGTCCCGCTGCGGTGATAACTAGCAGTTCGTGGGCCATGAGTGGTTGAGGTAAAACGCGCAAACAGTGTTCTACTGGATTCGAAAGACTACTGTAGCTTTGACTACTACTGTGTAGGGAGTGAACAGACCCAGACTTGGAAAACGTTTGAATGTTAGACAATTAACCTACTGAAATTCGAGCGTTAGTCGCAGCGCTATTGTGTTGCTTGCTGTACTGACGTCCAGATCCCCCGCCAGGAGGAGGGCGCGATGCGAACTTGTACGACTGACTTGATGGCGTCCTCACATCTGCGTGATGATATAATCAATGCGAGCGAGGTCTAATCGTACAATGGTGGACGGTTCAACGACTGGATCGGGACATCATATACGGACTACGGAGTGCCACAGGGTTGATAATGGTGAAGAACTGTTACGTCCTCGACAAAGAACCGCATCGCGGCAGAGACCGACTGTAGTCGGTTCCACGACTCTGGTGCGTGGTAAACTTTGTTACAGCTGGCCTGCCTGTCCGGACAGGAAAATGTGAGGCTGACCGCAACGTCACGCTGCCGCCAACTCATTGAATTCGCAAGAATGGAGGCTGTCAAACCGAGGTGGGAGGGTTTTTCTCTAGGTGCTCGATGTACGAAGTACGCGGACTTATTCTTGGTCTGTAGAGCTAGTGGCCCGTCGAGTACGCGATCTCACCAGCGGCGTGTCATGTCAAGATAGCTACTTGTAATCTCCAGGACATTACAAGGAATTTCAGGGAAGCACTTCGATTGCAATCATGATTCTTGTGGAATTTGAGACGTTGTCTGATCAGTGAGCCTGATCCATGTAAACGGGTGCGATTGAGGATGATCTGCGGCGAATTTGAATGTGATTGGCTGTTCACTGATATAAAAAAAGGACACGGGTGTGGAGTCCCTACTTTACTTCGTTGACCAAAGCACAACTAAAGGGCTCGCGTCACCCATGGCGTAGGGCATGCATGAAAGCGGGGACAGGGAGAAAGACTCGGTGTAACACCGACGCTTGAACGGCTTCGATCGACGTGCTATCATATCATGAGCTGATATACCAGGGTTTCGGTAGTCGGTGAGGTAGATGTAGTTATTCCGCACTGTGCTGTGTCGATGGTGCTTGTGTGCCGTGAGCTGTACGAACTCTAATCTACCAGAGTCGAAGCCAACAGGAGCATCAAACAAAGTCATCTCGGTCTCGTTCTGCAGCCGCCTCGGCAAAGTGCCTTATTTCCCCAGGCCTTGGCGCAATGTACCTGTAATCGTTTGAGACGCAAAGGCCAATCGTATGTAGCCAGGCCAGGCAAGTAACTTTCTCATCGGAACTTGGACCTGCAGAGATCTTGATAGTCGTGGGACGACTATGCACCACTGTGCATGCTTACAAGTCACAACGGTACAGGCCGGTGCTCATTTGAGGGAGGGGTTCATCCGGCTCGGAGCGGTGGCTGGTTAACACCGTCGCTGCTCGCATAGAGACTCGGCCGATAGTTGAATAAATAAACACGCACGCCTGTCTAGAGAAAAAGACGAGTGTAGGGAAAACTGACAACCCACTTGTAGTAGTCGTGAAGTGCGATGTAGTGACTCAAATGATCATATACCGCAATCTTTCAATTACCATGCTTGAAAACATAGCTGCACGATGGCAAAGAAAAAGAAAAAAGCAGCCGACCCAGCTGCATGTGTTGTAGTGCAGAAGCCCCACGAGCATGGCACGCATGGGTACCGCCTACTCGTTGACTCTTATCGTCAAACGGGTACAGCGCGCCGGCTAGACCATTTGGAGCTCTTGAATCCACGGACGCTGTGGACCTTCATTCTGATGCATGCATGTTCAGCACCCGCTGGATCGAATGCACATGTCGTCCACCGCTCTTCGTCGTCGTGGATCGCGAGCGGCCATGAGCCATGGACCATGGGCCATTACCTTGGCCTGGAGACGCTCAGTACGCTGGAGGCTCAATACGCGTAGCCGAGAAACGGTGACTGAACCTGAACCCCACAGCAAACAGGCCTCATCCTGCCCTGTTGCCAGCGGTGCAATTCGTTGTCGTCGTTTTGTTGTTGTCGCCCACCACGACGAAGACGACGGAGGATGACAGGGACTCCAGGGTATGCGGTGATGCCGTACCCAGGTAGGCAAAATGAGAATCAAGCGTGCAAGCCTGCTCACAAGCTCAGATTTGGATCCTCACCCGGTCGTATTCAGTAGCGCGAGCAAATGAGCAGTCTTGCATCCCATCCACTTAAGCTCGCACTGGGCGCTCGTAGGTGCCGTTCCGTGGCCGTGCGCGCATGCATCTTCGCCTCCCGCCTACACAGAAACTACAGGAGAGGAGGACCAAGACGCGCCCGGCGGACATGTTGCAGTTTCGAATTGTGCTGAGCCCTCTGGCGGGTCCTTTGAATTTTTTTTTTGTTTGGAGATGATGGCATGCGGAATGCAGGCGAGGGTCGTTTGCAGCAGGCTAGTAGGTACGGAATCTGCTCTGCTTCGTTGGTTGCTCGGAAGCGGGTTGTCGTCTGGAATGCGTGACTGCCTAGGAGCGGCGGTGACGGCAACGAGCGTGAACACCTACGATCTGCCGTGCCCTGCAGCAACTGAGCGCACGGCAGACAGTGCTGCTGAACGGTATGTGTGCTGTATCATGTATGCATAGATGAAAGAGGGTAGAAAGACCGGGAGGTGAATGAAAGACGACGACGATGCTATTTGATGGACTACTGAAGTTTTGTGTAGTGGTTTGGAAGTTATATCTGATTGATTTGTAGCCGTAATGGTTGACGGATGGACGTACAAGGGGTGGGGGAGGTGGGAAGGAAGGAGCAAAAGGGAAAGGGTAGGCGCGGGGGGCTCACGCTAAAACTAACCATGGCTGATGGATCTATTGCTCTCTACAGTACGAGAAGAGGGCTCAGTACAAAAGGATACAGAACATATAGTACCTAGATAACTACTGACCAGTGTGCATGAGATGAAGAAGTGTGGATATGTATGTACATGTATGTGCAAGCAGTACGGAGTACATGCAGTACCTAGGTATCTAAATGATGATGATTACAAGGTATTACTGCTAATATCAAACACGGGTATCCAGACCCGCGGGCCGGGCATAATTAAAATGGCGAGTGGTGCATGTACTCTTTATCTTTATGTACTCTGTACCATGAGTAGATTGATGTACATGTAGAATAGATCAGAGGTTTGGATGTATGGAATTGGCAATGTTTATTTGGGGAGTATGCTGGTGAGATATCGTGATGAGATGGTAAGAGGAGTACCCTGTAGGATGTATGTATAGACAGCACTCCGTACATCTAGAAGTAAGTATTGGTGAGTCAAAGAATTGGAGTTGTAGGCAGGGAAGTTGTCGGTGTGCACAAGCAATACCATCTTCTATAAATTGATTGATGGATGCGTGCGTGCGTGTGCGTGTGGGTGGGCGGGTGGATAATGGATTCGTGAAGGGGTAGGGATCAGGGGGTTTATCGTTTGGTGGATAGGATAGGGGAGTACATACATAGTGTACACTAAGTCACTAGTCACTACAGTCACTACAGTCACCACTATTTGTACACACTACACTACTCCGTACCTACACAGTAACTAAGGACTCTAGGGAACAAGGGGACTAGGGAGACTCCAAGGAGACTAAGGGGACTAAGGAGAGTAATGGGATGGGGATATGTAGGGGACAAATGATGCGTGCAATCCCGCCTGTCGCCGTTGCCGCTGCTTCGGGAAAAGGATAGACCCGACCATGATCGAATGATTGTACTTGGTGACCCCGTGGGAGGGCAATGTTGGCCGCGAACATGAACTTGAAACACTGCATTTGCAATCCGTCGTTGCCATGTCAGGGTAATCTTCCCACTCGGTTCAGGGTAATCTTCCAAGTTCGATCCATCGACTGGGGAAGTAGATAGTAGTCTTGATAGGACCTGATAGATACTTTGTGGTGTTCACGAATTGTTTCTTTCTTTCTTCCTCTCTCTCTCACTACCACCGCCGCCACCTCACCAATCCGATTGAACGATTCTATACCATACCGTGGCCCCGTACCTAGGTACTCTATATTTGCACATACACTTCTCTTCAGCTACACGAGTACACACACGTGTATCTCTATTTTCTTATACGCTCTTCTCACTGGAGGAGAAGGGTGAATGAACTGAACGACATCAACACTCCTGGAAACAGCCAAGCCACAAGGACGACGAGCTTACCTTACGGGGCGACAAGGCATCCCGCCAGTAGTAATACTTCTAGGAATAGGTGATTGACTGATTGATCGATCGAGGGGAGTTCTCGTACGGGGATCCTGTGGAGTAAATTGGTTTCCTGAGGTAAGTGAAGAAGCGCAAGAACGCAATTGGACGATGATTGGGTCCGATGAAGAGCATGTTGATGGTTGGTGATGGTGATGGTGATAATAATAATAACAATAAGCCAGTTCGTGTCAGTCCTCCGTGGGTCAGTCACTCAGATCTACAGTATCACAGCCAACACCATCCACGACTTCGACAACAGCGAAACAATCTCTTCTAATTCCTTCGTCAACTCCCATAAATCATCATCAGCATCATCGCCAATCGAACAATCCCCGTAAAGGCGCGTATAACGAAAAGGTACACATCCATCCATCCATCATCCCAGCTTTTCCCCTTCTTTCTCTGCTCAACTGGAATTGGCTTAGCCCGGAAAGGCACACTTCCCGGCCCGTGTGCCCCTACTATTCCCAAACGGGCAACCTCCCAATCCTCCTCTCCCTCCTGAGGCCCGCTTCTACTCGTCCACCCAACCCATCCCAGCCTATCCCATCCCATTAACCCATTCTCTCTTCTCAGTCTCTCTCACCCACCAAAAGTCCAAACGCCGCCGGGCTCTCACTCTCTCCTCTCCTCCTCCTTCTCTACTACTTTCACTTCAACCTCCACCACCTCCACATCTACTCTCACTCACTCTCCCCCCCCATTCCCTACCTCTATTCTTTTTCTTTTCTGCTCCATCCTCTTTAACGCCAATCGTCCTCACTGTTTGCTCTTCATCCAGTCGAATTTCACGCTCGATATCCGTCCAATGCAGGCTTGATTGTCTGCTCGGGAGGCTTGGTACACTTTGCCAGCTCCGTCGATTTCACGACAGCCTCTCCAGCGCGCCCTCCCTCCAGACGGCCTTTTCTTTTTTGGCATTTTATCTCTGTTTTAATAGCCCTTTCTCGGTTTCTTCTCTTTTATCTGGTAGCATCTCCCTTTTTCCTTAATCCTACGCCTGCCCGAAGCAATCGTTGTCGCCAACGGGAAAAGTCCTCGCTGCGAAAGGGGTACGTCCGCCAACTGCCTTCTCCTCTCTCTCCCATCTTCTGATGCCTCCTCCCTGACCCACAATTACCTCACCTGCCCCCTGGTGAACCCTTTCCTCTCAATCACTCCACACTCTTTAAAATCTTGTCTGTTTTCAAAGCAACATTGCAGCAGCATCAGTCGACTAATACGTCCATCATCTCCAGATAACACCCTACTCTCGCTTGTTTCTCGACTCTCTTATCGCCGCTCTACTCCCCTCCAATCGTCGACGGTACCCTCACCCTTCTTCGATCGAGCACGCAGCCGCTTCTCAGTGAAGGGTTCCGATGGCTCAGGTACTTGCACCCGTCATTCAGTCCTCCGGTTCCATGACCATGCTCCACACCTCCTCGGACGCTTTTGCAAATCAGTCGGTACAACAGCCTCACCCCCAACAGCCCAGAAATTCACAAATGAACCGATCCTCCGTCTACAATGGCCAGACTGGAGGCACTGGATATCGGGGCACATCATCGGCCCCGATAGCACCATATGCCTTCTCGAGCACACCCCAGCTACGCCAGGAGAACAGAATCGTATCGGCCCCAACGCACCAATTCAGTGCAGGAGCTCGCCTCGGTCACCCTTCTCATCCATCTTCCTCGTCAGACTCGACTGTATCGACGTCTGGATCCTCCAGTCGCTCTTCCACCGGCCCACACTTCTCGTCGAAAGATGACAGTGTGCTGGCCACGTCCGAGCATAGGAAGGATACCTCTACGTCCTCCATCACTTTGTCTACCTCCGTACCTGACCTTTCCTTGTCTCTGCAGGATTCAAACCCGGCTAAGCCTTCACCAAGCCGCTACCGCGCAAGTGCTCGCCGAACCGACTCCTCCAATACCATCACCGCTGGTTCTGCGGCAGCTACACCCACTCAATTGTCGCCTTCAATAGGTGGCCCCCCAGTCCTTGCCTCTCCAAAAATTGATGTTGGTCCCATCATGGCATTGGATGATCTTCAGGCTCCAACTAGACCTGGACACAACCGGGCAAGCAGTGTAGATGATATGCAAGTGCCCCGGCAAGCCTCTACAGACCAGGCAAAGAGATACAGGAGAAGGAGCTTAAGTGGACTTGATGCCACGGCCCAAGCTAGCAGCGGTGCCTCGCCTGCACCCCTCGAGGCTCCAATCTCCAACCCTAACAAGCGCAATACTCCAGAATTGAGACCGGTTTCGAGCTCCAACCAAAAGGGAAGTCGGCCCACCTCACGTCAAAGCCACGAGCGACAAGGCAGTGCTGGCAGTGGGTCTTCCAGTGTCTCTAGGCCATCGGTATGTGTCTTCCATGAAGGTGTCTCGAAGAGGAAATCTAACTGACTTTTTCAGTCTCGACAAGGTTCTATATCTCAAGGACCTGTCTCGCCCAGAACTGCAACCGAGCCTGTAAAGCGTACCATCGCTCCTTCACCTCTGTCACAATCTGGATCCACGGTTCCAGCCAAAAAGGGAGCAGATGCACCTGCTGAACGAAGCCCGGCCATGCAACACCTCACCGCGTTGAACGATAAGGAGTCCGGCCGAGGAGTAAAGTCACGATTGAGGAGAGCATTCTCCTTTGGCAGTGCTGCTGAGCTTCGCCGGGCAACTGCTGAGAACAACCTTTCTGCGGAGCGCGCCAAATTGCGTAAGGATCGGTTCGACAACGAGCAGGATGCTGAACAGGCAGCCATTGTTGCAAAACAGGAGGCTGCCGGTATTGGTGCCGGTATCTACAACGGACAAGGTGGATTTTCAGGATCTACAGACAACCTTTCGATATCTTCAACCGCCTCGTCGGCGTCCATCATGCTCCGCAAAATGGGCAGTGGCATGAGGAAAGGTGGCAGGTCTATCAAGGGGCTCTTCCGACCCAAATCTGTCATTGGTGTTCCTGCGGCAGACGGACCTATTGCCCAGCCTAGTGTTGGACCAGTCACCATGGTGTCAGTAGAAGCTGAGCGTCAGAAGGTCAATGTCAACGTGGACCCCCGCGAACAAGCCGGGGGTGGCACTGGGTACCCCAAACTCGAAAGAAATTCAATGGAGCCAGGGCAGACACCTCTCGATATTCCTTCGTTTAGCTCCGGACCAAACGAATTCTCTCGCAAGAGTATTGTTGGCGGAGACCGAGAGCGGGCGGAGGTTCTGTCTTCTATCAAGAAAGGCATCCTTAAGCGTGAGTGCGATCAACATGGGACTTGATGACTCGATCTAACTTTCCTTCAGGCACCGGTCCCAACTCCGAAACTTCTTCACCTGTTCTCCGCCCTGTTGACGCTCATCATTCGAACGAGACCCCCAAATCGAGTGCTCCCAGCACCCCACACGACGAGCAGTCGCGCCAAGCTCCAATTGGCGGCGATGATTATTTTGGTCGACCTCCAAGGATCATGAGTCCCAGCACCAGAAGCCTTCCCACCACTCCCCAAGGCGGCCGAGGAAACATCAGCTTTAGCCCACGCATCCAGTTTTACGATGCTTGGTCAGCTTCCGACTACGACCGCCGGGGCGAGATTGCGACTTGCAACCGACTCACACCTATGCTGGCACAGCAGATCAAGGAGGAGCTCAATACCTTCAAAATGGTGCGTTAACCATTGCAATCTGGTGTACCTTAGAAAACAGTACTAACAAATCTTATAGGAAATGGAAGTCCATGAGCTCTCCAAACCCCACACCCATTTCTTCTAATGATCATGCATTTTCATCTGGACCTCACTGGCGTCTTGGCGATTACATTGCGGCTACACTTGGTATGGAGCAACTAGCATTGACGCGTGCTCTCTAGCTCTTCTCCATCTTCTGGTTACAATGGACTTGTGTGTCTATGTCTTTCAGGAATTGCAAGCAACCCATGGGGCATTTCCTTCTGTCTTAGCGAGCATATTAAGCAGATAGAGGCGCTTGCTCGGAAACGAGCAATTGAAGAGAGGAGGAGGACATGGAAAAGCAAGCGGTTACATGCGAGGGGTCTGCTTTCTTTCCTTGCCTTCATCGTCTCCAACTACCTGTTTCAGCACATCTCTCTCTCAAGCTTGAGGATCCCATCTCATTGTCTATTAGTGCACTTTGTGCGGTGTGTCGTTATCTCTATTCGTTTAGCTATCTCTCAATTAGTGGTGGTGGGTGTGGTAGAGCAGTAAAAATCCAAAGGACAAGGCTGGTTTCGGTGTCCTCTTCGTGGACAACCTTGTAATATTGCTTTTGGGAGATGCATCTCGTGCCGATCGTGTGTTGCCTACCAGATCTACTGCGCCGTACTTATCTCTCTAGTTGCCTCTACTATATGCCAATCTGTATGCCATATGGTGGCATATGACGGCGGGGTGTGCGCTTCATACGAGGTTCATGTCGTGATGCATGGTCAAGTGCGGGAGTTGGTCTGATAATGGCAATGTGGTCAGGATGCGCCCGGTTCCCTCTCGCCAACCAGCGTCCGCCCCGGCTACACACCCTTTTTGTGGCGACAATCGCGATAGCGCTAAATTGTGCCTCCGCATTGAGGGCGTCCCGCGAGGAGTACGTCAGACAATAAATTTCGACCCAGCGTCAATAATAGCACTTTGCCTTGGTCATATACTATTGCAATCTCCGCCGCAAGATATACATTCATTGTTTTCGCAATCGGGATCGCAGGCCTTGGCTGGCAGAGAAGAGAAAGACCCTTGATGGTTCGGACGGACGTTACACTACGCTTGCATACTTCCTTTACCAATAGTCTTTTGAACCCATCTAGGTACTTAGGGACGTTGAAATGGCGCCTTCCTTTTGGGGAAGCCTTCGATTTTTTCGAGAAACATTGGCAGGCCTCATGACCGAGGCCGAGGACAAGGGTACAGAGCTGCATCGTCGACTTGCTGGTGCATGGCGATGTACCACGTTGAAATGTCGGTATAGACACACCTTTCGGCACGTATTGCAAGTCTGCAAAATTCTCTATCGGCCATATCGAAAAATGGTTCTGCTCGGGACGTGTTGTTTTGACAGTCACGTGATTGGAGGAAGGAACGAGATCACGTGATATGGTGACTAACCCGATTGATTAAGCGAATGCCAAGGTGCCACTCTCCAGTGCCTCCATTTTGTCGTTCAGGCTTCCTCAACCGTAGGCTTGTAACGACACATCCACGACAACTATCAAAATGGTAGATACACCCCGTCCACGATGAAGAAGACGAACAGTCGAGACTGATAATCATCCAGGCACCAGCAGCAACCGGTGGCAAGAAGCAAAAGAAGAAGTGGTCCAAGGGCAAGGGTACGTTATCACCACGACATCGCACACATCCAGACACTCGATACCCTCCATTTTTGTGCCTCTGAAGAGGCTTATCGATATTCCTCTTCGCGAGCGCCTTTCCCTCCACATCTCTGGCACATTTCCCAACCGTCGCCATCGACTTTGCGTCTCCCCGCGACGAACCGCCACTGACAATTTCACAGTCAAGGACAAGGCCCAGCACGCCGTCGTTCTCGACAAGCAGACCAACGACAAGCTCCAGAAGGATGTCCAGTCTTACCGCCTCATCACCGTCGCCACCCTCGTCGATCGTCTGAAGATTAACGGATCGCTCGCCAGGCAGGCGCTCGCTGATCTCGAGGAGAACGGCCAGATCAAGAAGGTCGTCGGTCACTCCAAGTTGAGCATCTACAGTACGTCCCCCGAGCGAAGGGAACACACCGAAGACGACGGAGAATTTTTATACTAACTATATCCCAGCTCGTGCCGTCGGCGCCACCGACTAAGCGATTTCGTTCCACGGAAAAAATTAAAAAGAAACTGAACGAATAGATGCGAGGTCCACTTGCGATTTCCCAACGATAAACAAACTCAAAAAATGAACTTCTCAATACCAACTTGTTTATTTTACATTTCCCTCCTTCTTTCTCTCTCCCCAAATATGAATCGGCGTATGAATTTTTGCGGACGGAAAATATACCACCGGTAGTGGGGGGAACTCACAGAGAATGCAATGGAACGATGGGATGAGAGAAGGGGCATCGGCTTTGCTCTGGGTGAATGCTTTTTGTTTTGCCGGGCGAAGGTTTTATGTAACTGAATGAAACGGAAATCCAGGAAGCCTCGTTTCGAACTTGTCGTATTCGTTGACGATGATGAGGGTGATCATGATTTACATGCCGTATTCCCAGATGACCAAGCCGCCCATCACACATATTGTCTACCTAGGATACCTTCTTAACACAACAGTTTGTTTCTAACTAACCCTTTAGCTACCACGTCACCCTCTGTCGATATCTAATTCCCGATCCATCTCCCACTCCAACGTCTCTCCTCCCACATCATAGCATTGCCATCGCCAAGACACCATGTCCATCATATGCCCTTCCACAACACCTGTCATTACCGTCAGCCCCCTCACGAATCTAACAATACCCTCCTTCAACCCTCTCCCGTCTTCCCTTCCAATGCATGTCATATCAGAATTACGAAAACGCAAGCTGCTGAAGCGTTTTAAACCTGCATACGTAAAGAGCCACACGTATATCCACACCACCACGTGTCTCGTTTTCATCTCCTCTCTGCTTCGCTCTGTTTGTTTGTTTGAAAGGTTTGCTTGCTTGTTTTAAGGTTAAATTTTGATTTTCTCGTTTCCACACACTCCTAAACAACCCTCCCCAAACCTCCATCCCCAACGTCATCTACAAATCCTTCCTAACCGGCCTCGCCTTCCTCGCCTCCTCACAAAGCTCCCTCTTCTCCAGCTTCTCCAACCACCCCTCCTCCCTCACCACCTCCCCAACCCTCCTATACGGCTTCCCCTTATCCCCCCTGAACAACGTATGCCAATGCTCCAACCCCTCCCTAACCCTCCTCCTCGCCTCCCTCAACTCCCTCGCATGCCTATTCTTCCTCTCCCCCTTACTCAGTTCCCTCCTCTCCCCGGGCTCCTTATAATCCGGATGCCCAGGCTCCGGGTCAATAGGCATGTACATCAATTCGACCCCACGCAAGTCGGGCGTCTGGTCCTCTGCGAAACACCCAGTCAGGAACGCGCGCGCGGCGTCCCGCCCCGCGAAGAAATGGTACGAGCCGCCGGGGCCGTAGGTCCCCGGCGAGGAGGACACGTCGTAGATTGTGCCGTTGAGGGCGAGGTAGATGGGGAGGGAGGGGTCGGTGCCGTCGTAGGTGGCGAGTTGGGCGTCTGTTAGGTGGACGGTTCCGCGCTGTGTACATTCTATCAGCTATGCATGTTCCTTTCTGTGGGTGGTGATGGAAGAGGGAAGAGGGGGAATTGGGGGAATTTGGGGGTGGGAATACGTACGAGTAAGCCTTTCCACTCCCGCGCCCGCGTCCACCATGGGTTGTAGCCCCATGTGAGGCTGGATCCTGAGGTTGCGAGGTAGCTTGTTCCGCAGCTGAGTATCAGCACGCCTGCGAGCACGCGCAGTGCGTCGAGGATGGTGAATTTGTTGCGTCTGTCGTCCTCCTCTGTTGTTGTCGCGACGTTTTTGGTTGTGCTGGAGGGGGAGTCGGAGGGGGAGTCGGAGGGCCGTGAGGCGTTTGGACGGTACCGTGCTGACGACATTGTTTGGTGGTTGTCGTGTGGTGTGGGTTTGGGGAGGAGAAGGTATGGCGTAGGGTTTCTTGAGATGTTGTGAGTGCTCGGAGTTGTCGGAGGTAAGGTTACATAGGCGGTGGGTTAGGCCGGATTGGTGTTGGAGTTGTGCGTGGAGTTCAGGTACCCGAGTCGTTGTCTGAGTTAGTAGCAATGGGCGGTCGTCGACTTGATGTCTCTGTTTTGGTCGAGCGATTGTTCTTTGGAAAGGAATCGCTTTCTCTGAAGACGACGACGATGGTGATGGGTTGTAATGCCAATGCCCTCACCAATCTTCTAAACAAATCCAATTGCAAATGAAGTGTTAAATTCTCCTCCGCTTCCCCAAAAAAGTATCTCAACCTCAAAAGCCAAATCTCTAAAATCAAAATAAAATAAAATTCTCCGTCACACCAAAGTAGCAAAACATAGAGCTACGCCATCCCTTTTCTACCTCCCTCGCCGTCCTTCTAAAAAAATAAATTAAGTCCTCTTATTCCGAGTGGCCATCGTGGCCTTTGCCCGCCAACCCAAGCTTCAGCATTAGTAAATTGGTTTATTAGATAAAGTACAAAGAAAACCACAGAGCACGCAACGCAACTCCGGAACGATCGCGGTCCGGCGCTCCGACCGGTGGCTACATGGATAGGAATCACGGAAATGTGACTAGTGGGGATGCATATCAAAAGGTTGTTGTGGATCAATTATCCGCGGCGGGAAATTCAATGTTGTAACGTGGTATGATCGTGGTGCCATTGGACGGATGGATGGTAATTTAGGCGGGGGATGGGGGATGAGAGATTGATCCTTGTAAGTGGTCGGTTACCACGCGAGCGAGCGAGGGTGCGAGGGTGCGGCACGATTGATATGAATGACTTAGCCACATGTATGGTATCGTGATGTATTGCATGCTGGGTGAGTGAAAAGAAAGGCACGAAAGTCGTTCATAAACATTTGGTGAAGAAGATATAGAGTGTGATGTCGAATTCAATTGGACATATTCTGAGCCTTTCTTTTGCTACTATACACTTCATAGACCTCAAGTCATTTTTTAACTTCGTATCCAGCTTGCTGCGTTACTACCCGTTGCGAACGCTACTTTTTGGTTGCAAGGCCCCATCATATCATTCGTTTTTGAGAAGAGACAAGAAATACTAGTCCTGCTATGGAAAATATTGAATGGGGTTGCCTTTCGTTTTCCAGCAAGATCATAGACCGACCCGTCATCAGCTCGTTTGGATAACGGGGAGATCCCGCTCGGCTCTTGGGAAGACCTGTTTCAAGGCATCCTGGAACACGCCGACGTTGTAGTCGACAACTGCCTTCTTCTCGGCTGGGCTGTCATCGCCCATGAGACATATCAAGGCAAGGTATCTGTCATGCGTTAGAGTGACGTTCAACCGTGAGCGGATTGATATCTAGGACTCACTTGTTGATCTCCCGTAAGTAAAGGTAGTTGTTGCCCTTCTTCTCCATCGTGATGAGGCTCTCTGCATCGTTGTTCCCGTTCTCCACGACTTCGGCGTTGCCGTTCTCGGCAGGACGGTCCCATCCGTAGATCTCGCTGACGTCGATGACGACGTCAATGTAGTCGGAGCAGATCTCGTAACTGCCAATGTCCGTCGGGCTGGTGTCTGTTGCGATGTAGATCTTACTCATGATATCGAACAGGTACGCCTTCTCGATCTTGCAAGTCGAGCAGAGGCTGTTGAGAAGGGCTTCGAGGGTTGGGAGCTGTGGGATCAGTTTCTGGATGACCTTGGAGAATGCCTCGAAGATAGAGTGGTCGTAGATGCTGGTTTGGTAGAAGGAGACGGGCGCGTTCTCGTAGCCGTGGTCGGAGAGCTCGTCTTGGACTCGCTGGATGATGTCCCGGAATGTGTCGCCTTTGTAGTCCTCGGAGAGGCCGTCTACCTTGTGGACGAACACTTCGACGTTGATGTTGGGGTACGAGTGCTGTAGGTTCAAGATGGTGGTGTTGAGGCGCATTATAGCTTCGAGATATTCATCTTGAGCATCGATGACCCAGATCAATGCTCCGATCTCCTCGAAGATGTTGTCGACGTCAAAGGCCGGATCGAAATAGTCGAGGTGGCCCGGGAAATCCCAAACTTGAAAGTCCATGAAAGAGCTGCGATACCATCAACAACAACAATCAAACAGACATACTCATCATACTCACTGCATAGACTCCTTCTTGATCCTCGTAGTCGTTTCTAGATACAGAGTTTCGCTTGGCGGGAGTTTGTGAAACACTACACTGGAAATGGACGACTTGCCGCTCCTGTGGTACAAGGTTAGCTCGCTTGGTAGTCAAGTCGGATCGATCTGATATGACCCACCTTCGCTGACCCATGAGCAGCAATCTGGGTTTACCATCTCCCGCCTTACTGTTAGGAAGGCGACCAGTGTGGTAGCGTGGGGTGACATCTGTAGGGGGAGCCTCGGCATCTGGGAGGTCCTGCAAGAAGCGCATCATTGTTAGTTGTGCTCCTGGCTTCAGTCGGGAAGGCCCTGGTGGAGGCGCTTCCGGTTCATCGTAATGACGATCGTGAGGAAAGAAATGATGAGAAGACACAGACGAACGCCTGTAATGAGAATCCATCATAGCAGAAATTGTACAGGGTATCGATAAGAGGAAAGCAGAGCCCGCAATGGAGAGAGAGAAATGGAGAGAGCAAGCAACAAAAGCAATCGCTGAGCGCCGAGCAATAAAAGAGGAAGTGCCGAAAGTGGAAAGAGGAAAGAAAGAAATGTATGAATAACACAGTCTTCGTCTTGTCTTTCTATAGTCTTACTTGGGTGACATGGTGACTCGGGAAAGGATTGATGAGGGTATATAGTGATGGCGACGGTGAAGGCCGTCAGTGGTAGGGATGCCGACCGGGAAGAGGTGTAACAACAGGCAGCTTGTACAGATAATGTGACGTGGCGACGAAAAGGAGAGGAACTGTGAGAGGTGACAAGAGGAAAGGAAGGGCTGGATTGGCAGCGACGGGGATTGACAGGATTGTGAGGTTCTACAAGCGTAATACGTGCAGGCGTGTAGCCGCTAGATGGACACAAAAACGTCAAGCCATGGCAGGTTGCGGGTGTACGCCCTCGGCTTGAAATGTATGAAGACGAGATAGGGCAGAGAGGATTCGCAAGGGAGATGGGTTGATATAGAATGGAGCGTCGTCAAGAAAGGGATAGCTGGCGAGGCGACAGAAAGGAAGGGAGGGAGAGAGATGTGAGGGAAGACTGATAGGAATGGGGGATAGGGATGGCAATGGTGTTGTATATGGTGATGACGATGATGGAAATGAGGATGATGGGGAGAGTAGTTAAAAGGAAAGGTTGGATGCTCACCTCCATGACTGCGGAAGGGCAGGCAGTATGTATGTAATAAGGATAGTATGACTTCCCACCACAAGGAAAAAAAAAATAAGGTGTGCACGGCCAACAGTGGCAGCAGAGCTACGCAGAGCAGATAGGGCAGACGCAGGAAGAGCCCCAGTGCGGTACGGGACAAACTCCTCCTGAGCAAACAAACCTCCACCACCTAAAACCACCAGGTAATGCGGTGTACCTTACCTGGTGCTGGTAGAATATCTCTCTACCCAGATACCTAAAGGCTAACTGCGTAACTCGTAGGGATCCAGATAGTTGGACTTAGTTTAGTATGGAGTTTAATACTGCAGGAGAGCTCGCGTGAGCTTTGGGCCGATAGCCCCTTTGGATTTCTAAGCCCAAAAGGAAGCAAGCGACTTGGTATACTGTACAGTACGGTAGTTGTACTATACTGCCCTACTCTCCCAGGTACAGCTTCTGTGCGCGTGAACCAGTAATGGAGCAGAAGTGTCAGAATGAACTAAGGGGGAGATGGGTAGGAAGGGTAGAGTTGCAGAAAAGAGACCAGACCAGACCAGACCAGACAGCGGCGGCCCGTTGGTGACAGATTATTACTCCAGTAGTAGTGGCAGAATAGTGCGGGCCCTTCCGGCCGTGGTAACAAAAGTGTAGGAAATATATGGAGTGGTTACTGTAGCGAGTGGGTTACAGTTGGTGGAAGCGAAAGGGAAAGCCCCGTTTTGCGGCTTCTTGACTCTCTGTGTCTTCCTTTGGGCGGTGGCAGTTAAGGACAAGGATCCTGGCAATTCTGATGTTTGCCCTATCCTACGAGTAACGAGCAAAACTGGTATCTGACTGTCGCGGATGGGCACGGATACGATTGGGTGATGTCGACGCCAGGTCACCACCACGACCACCAGATGATCGAATCTTCACAATACGGCGGTGCACCACAGGAGTGCAGGACCGTGGGCAGAGGAGGGATCACTTGAAGAGATCGCACACGGTATGTGGACGAGTATGACAGGCTTGTGCCACACGAGATGCGACAGGGTTGGCCAGAGAGTTGCGGGTGGTTGCTGAAATGATGTGACGTCGAAGAGTGAGGATGATGAACGAGGATGCGACAAAGATGAATGGCAAGTATGGAGACGTATGAGATGAAGTAGAAGTGTAGGTACGTATAGTAAGGCACAATCCAGTACAATACAGTACGGGGGGTGGTTGAAGATGGTGAGGGATATGCGGATGTAGACAGCAGTACGGAGTGGATGGAAGATGGGAGGTGGAGATGGATGGGATAGGGATGGAGGGAGGATGATGACGGGGGTGGGGGCCGGATTATCCAGGTATTGTTCCGTAGATACGGGTTAGTGTCAACCAATTCACCCATCCCAAACCTTCCATCATCGCTTCTACAATACGTTCCATTACTCTTCCACCACCAACAACCTCCACAACCTCCCTATCATCGTTCGCTAATTGAAAACCATCAGAACGATCTTCAGGCACCAAATCCACTAACCATAACAAGTATCTCCAACCTACAGCTTCGTATTTGTATCTCCACGACATCACAGCATCAACATCATCACTTGAACTTCTTTCTTCAATTCGCCTTGAATCTTCTGCTCATCGCTTTCCTTTTTCTTTCCTTCCTTTTCCTTTACCTCAGCACGCCTGCTTAGCTCTCCTTACTACGGTATCACTGCGGACGCATTCAGCTCGCTCACTGCCTCGAGATGGCGGCGCCCGAGCCAGCACACGCACCGCACCAGCCGACACCTCCTTCGTTGGCCTCACTCGTGCCAGAAAAAATGACTCGATATCGTCATCACGGAGTTTACGGCAACTCTCATTTCGGACTGTGAACGGTACGCAGACCAGAGGGATGTGACTGAATAAAGGAACAAATTGAAAAACCATGCGCTGTGTTCCCGTCATCTCGAAACCAGCACACCCATATACTTGCCTCCTTCCTTATCTCATATCCTCCATCCGAAGTATGCCGTCATGATCTATATCACGCCAAGTGCACGCGCAGAACAGCAAAGGTCAAGTTATTCGTAAATTACTGTTTCGGAATATAACCCCTGCAACCCTGCAACACGGCCGTTCTAGAAGCCCAAAGGAAGACCTTCCAGATGCGCGCCTCAGCGCCCGATGCTGGTGCTACTCGTAGTGCGGGTGCCAATTAACGGCACCCAACGTCCTGATCCGCAGCCTGCATATACCACCAACCAAGCACGGCGTTGATAGATTGAAATCATTGGATTGGCTCGATGCAGATTCGTCGGGCAGCGCAGCGGTGAGAGCAGGTAGCTGAGCTAACGCTACGACGGTGACATTTCTTTCTTTCTTGCTTTTCCTTCTGACTTTTCTCCTTTTCAACATGGAACGTTCTAAGCCATTGCAACTTTCACAGCTTTTACATCGCTACAATCGATGTTCTCCTCCAACATCATTTCGTTCAGGCCATGACCTACTTCCAATCACAAATCCACTCCTCTGGTACGGAGATAGGCCGGGTATGCACAATGATCTAGACCATGTCTCCCCAATCTGGGGCGCATATGATTGCCGCGCCCAACAACATTACGTCTATCCGAGTCTTCGGATTTATGAAGTGCACTGTTCGGTAGGGGAAACTGAGGATATTGCGAGTACATATCAGACTATGCTACCAGTAACTAGATGATCGAACAAAATCGTCAAGGAAATAAAGAACATCATGAAATCCCCACAACCATAAACGCCAACCCACTGCTTCCAAGCGCCAATCCGACAACATGTTCACGTTCACGAGCTTCCAATGACTTCGGCTCCAAGCACACCAGCAGCCAACTGCCCCAACCCGCCCAAAAAGGTGAGCAAAAGAGTCAATGCTGTCGACTCGCCCCCAGCAACTAGATCTTCCACGGAAGCGCCGTCGGTCTCTGTCTGCTTGACTTCTTTCACGGCGTTCGTGGGAGGCTCGTATGCACTCTCCGCGTCCGACTCGAAGTCTGATCGCGCCTTTCTCCTCGTGCTCCGGCGCACGCTACCGGCTGCGGGAGCAGGTGTTCCGGCACCATTTGACGTGCCCTTCTTCGGGCGGCCCCGCCTCTTCGGGGTCGTTGGTGGCAGCTCCTCTTCGACTTTCTTCTCCACTACATCTGCTACCTCCGCTACCTCCTTGGTAAACGCAACGTGTTTCTCCTTTTGGGACGACGAGAAGTACCAGAGCAGACTGTTGTCGAGGATATCATCGATTTCTAGGTTTCGAACAAAGGTCCAAGCTAGGAGACCGGTGACGGTGAAGAAAACATCAGTGCCGGTGATGCTGATCACTGGATGCTTGCTCACGTGCTTCAGCTGTTGAGCCGCGTTCCCTAGACCCTGTAGAAAGCGGTTGGAGCTATCCTGCTTGCCCATCGCGTTCTTGAACAGGTCGTACACGGACGTCTGTTCCGGGGGCGTGTTGGCGGCGATGATAGTGGCGAAAAGGTCCCAACATAAGCCAAACGATGTAAGTCCCAGGACCCAAAACGTCCTCGCGAACGATCGATGCGCAGCTTCCTTCGTAGCGTGCTGCTGTCCCCAGCTTGCGGGTATAATCTGTCTACATCAGTTTAGGACTCTCGAGCATCGCGAATCTGCCCATACCTGTGGTGCGAATGCTAGATAGAATGGTATGGCGTAGTACCCAATTCGAACTGCAGTGAGGTTGGCGCCACCCGCTATCAGCGTTGGCAAGTAAAGCAAGGCGACGAACGATGCCACAACTGGCGTGTAGAGAAACACCGGCTTAGGCGCAAAAAGGGCATTGTGTTTCAGAGTGTCCTCGCTGTGCAGCGCCACCGGAGTGAACAGTATTGTGACGAAGAACAGATTGAGCGCATAACCCAAGCTTCCAACGAGGCTCAAGGAGACAAATGCTGCGATTGTCTTGTTAGACAGATTGCGTCTCCTCCCTATCATACGGTTAGTACAATTGATAATACCATCCATGAACAGAATGACTGCGCACCTTCGACACCAAAGAAGATTGCAGCCGCTGCAAGTCCAACTGCATGTTGGCTTGTATACAAGAACCCCTCTGTTGAGCCCACGGAAAGCGCATCAGACTCGGCGATCAAATCCACATCACTGAACCAGTCACCCAGCCGCCATCGTCCTACACCTTCCTCTCCCGTGCCGTACCAGCCCGTCCACAAGCTCCCAGGTGCCTCGTGGTTGCGCTGCTCGGCCCAATCGAAGTAAGACAGAATGCGCCAAGCAGCACTGAACGTGGAGACAGCAGCGATAGAGAAAAAGGCAAGGCCCGCGAAGAGCGCAGCATGGCGATCGCGCAAGGGTTGCTGTGCGCGCGTCGAGGTTGGCGGCGGCAGCGAGCGTGCGGCGCGACGTATGGTGCGAACGAGGTATGCGCTCAGGCCGGCGACGACGAGCGCCTGGCTGGAGAAAACTCCAAGCGGATATGCGTTGCTGCGCGATGTCGCGCTGGGGTCGAGCGGGGCCATGGTCTATCTACTTATCGATATCTCTTTACGATGGTGTTGCTTTGGAGTAGTAGTGCTGAAGCTATGTCAACATGGTGCGCCGCACGCGATGTATGGTTGCTGGATGTGTATGTTGTGGTAAGGTATGCAGTGGATACACGCGAGGCCCAACCCTGTCTATTGTAGTATGTATGCCACGAGTAGATGTAGTGGTGTAGGATCTGGAGAATGGAGAGCTGAGAGGTTTGTTTTGATCTGTGAGATCGCGTGTGGAGGGTGTTATTTGTGTGGAAGGGAAGAGAGTAGATGAAAGCCTGAGATGCCCCGCGCAAGACAATAAGCAAAGCAGGCGGCTCAATTCATCCAAACTGTTGTGACCTGTAATGGCCTGGCTGGGTCTTGTTATGTTTCCATGGGCCCCAAGACAAGACGTCACCGCATCCCATCCCATCAACCCAGTGATGAACATCGACTAACCGTAAGTGGTAAGGTCAATATGAGTATGGGAAGCTGGGGCCACCTACACTGAGTTCCATGATGGATCCACATCATCACCTCTCCCATTCGTAGCTGAGAGCATGTGAACCGTCTACCGTCTCTGGCACTACCTTTCTTAGGGTTCGCCAGACAATGTACCACCTCTTCAAATCAATATATCTCCATGCAACAAGCAAAGAAGGTCCGCCCCCTTCCCCCTACCCCAAACCCACACCCTCCCGCTAACCAACTCACCAACAGAATACTCCATCCTCGTCCTCGGCCTCGACAACGCCGGCAAAACCACCCTCCTCGAGCAAATAAAAGCCGCCTACTCCGCCAACCACCCGAACCTCAAGACCGTCCCCACCGTCGGCCAGAATGTCGCAACCGTTGAGCTCCCGGCCCCAAACCCCCTGTACCTAAAGATCTGGGACGTCGGCGGCCAGCACTCGCTGCGCGGCCTCTGGCAATCCTACTACTCGTCCTGCCACGCCATCGTCTTCGTGATCGACTCCACCGACGTCGGCGACGCGGACATCGCCACGCTGTCCACGGACGCAGGCCGCAACGACGAGCATGGCCGCCTCGACGAGTGCCGCCTTGTGCTTGAGTCCGTACTGCACAACGAAGACGCGACGGGTGTACCGATCCTCGTACTTGCGAACAAGCAGGATCGCGAGGACTGCGTGGAGGTTGTAAGGATTAAGGAGGGGCTTGTGAGGAAGGTGTTTGAGGGCGAGAAGGGCGGAAATGTCAGGGATAGTAGGGTGTTGCCTTGCTCGGCGTTGACGGGTACGGGCGTCCAGGAGGCGGTCGAGTGGTTGTGTAGTCGAGTAAGGTGGAATAAGGAGGCGAGGCCGCCGGTTATGAGATGAGAGGAGTGGAGAGGAGCTGTTTGGGCTGGCAATGCAAAGTGTGCAGAATTGTATGCAAAGATAAGAGTGGAGATATATACCCCAGATTTTGATTCGTTGGTTTTAAAGTGTTCTGAGGTATTCATCACGTCGACGTGAGTATCTTTGAGAAGGTCAGACTGGATTGTGATATTGTGACTTGAATATCTGTTTGAAGATGCGTGCATGTACGAAGCAAAGCCTAGGGCACAAGCCCCCAATTGCCCAGAGAAGAGAATCGGCAACCATACCTGCCTCCTAGCCATTCACCGAGAGACTGTAGACTGTCATTATGTCGTGTACATCAAAGTGACTGCAAAGAACATGTCACACACGAACTCTGCCATTGCAATCCGGCAACATTAGTTTCCGACATCTCCTCATCGCCCATGGTGTGCCTTCTAGTTGAACCAAGTAGGACTTGTCCCTGAGGTAAGGAAACCCCATAATGGTATCATCTGAATTTTGAAGTACGATACCTAGAGGGGGATCCGTGCTGACTACTATTGAATCATGCATTTTGAAAAAGTGCAGTGTTAGGATAGGGAGATTCAGGATAGAGTAATATCGAGAATAGGAGAAAATGGGCGAGGCTTTGATCTAAATGGAGGATTCGATAATTATCTTGAGAGAATGACCAATTCGAGAAGGCTGAACTTTGCGAAGTTGAGAGGTTTGCGGAGAATGGCCGCTGTCGTTTCTCCGCCATGATTGGCTTTGAGCATCCATAGGATGTATAAATTGAGATATGTTCCTTAATCAACATTCAAACCTCCAGTTATCCCTTGAATATATTTCTATTTTTTTCGATCGACAAAATACAGTCGTGCCCTGAAACTTGCTTGATATGTGGTCATGTTCTACTATTCTGTTGGATAAAACTGAATCCTTGCGTCTCAGAATCCCTTAGGAGAGTGGTACACAAATTGAGCCTGTGTGCCCAGCATGAAAAGGTTTACCTCTTCAACAATAACAATGGATTTGGCTCATCATAGAATTTACGGTAAATGCATCGATGCGGAAATGTTTGTTGCCTCAAGAGATGGAGCACGGACCCGATATCCTTGCGGCCTTCGTCACGCGAAGAGCATGTAGATGCGAATACCATCTACATCTCACAAGTACAGTGTGTGTTGGAAGAGGTCTATGGATCCGCCAATTGCGGAGAATCCTCGCATTCAATCGCGGGTGAAAACTAAAGCTCTCCAGATCCTCACGCTTGCGGTCACCAAGCTAGCCACGCAAAGATATCTCCGCAAGCTCTTTACACGCTCGAGTGGCACCATTCTCTGTCTTAACTTCTGCATCAAATTCGGCGACTCTGTCACTCTGCCCGAAGCAAACGCACTCCGCTTCGTCGCAAAGCACACCTCTATCCCTGTACCAAAAGTCCACCATGCTTTCATGCGCAATGGCAAGGCCTATATACTCATGGAAAGGATCCGTGGCGAGTGCGTAGCTAATAGATGGCATTCGCTCTCGGACGCGTCAAAATCGGAAATATTCAATCAGCTGAAACAAATGGTACAAGAACTTCGGTCTGTACCTTGCCAGACCGACGGTGTGAGCAATCTGAACCGTGGTCCGCTTCACGATTGTCGGCTTCAACCCTCTTCCTGGGGACCTTCCCGCACCATCGCCGATTTTCACTTGTCGCTCCGGAATAACGTAACCCTCGAGTCTCTTGAGTCATCACATTCGTTGAGTCCCGCTGTTGTATCGGACCTAAGACGGCTTATTACGTTTCATGAGTCAACGCTGCGAGGCCCTGTCCTCACACATGGTGATCTGAGCAGCCTTAATATACTTATCCGCGACGATAAAGTGGTTGGTATCGTTGATTGGGATACGGCCGGGTGGCTACCCTACTATTGGGAGTACACGATGGCATGGCATGCCAATCCCCAGAATTACTTTTGGCAGAATGAGGTGAGGAATTTTCTAGACGCACAGGAGGAGGAAGTAGGCATGGAGAAGCTCAGGCGTATGTACTTCAGTGACATTTGAATTGACTATGTGCTCCTGAGGGCCGGGGATGAAGGGCAGATATTGACACATGGCGATTTTTAAAGGAACGGCTTTCAAGGAGTATACTTCTTATTGAAGTTAAAGAATACCCCAGCATACAGGACCGACATTTGCAAATGCTAAGTTATGGCACAGGAGTACGAAGCTCACTAGATTCCGAGACACCATCTTCTTAACACTTCTATTGAATCCGCCCGTCATTACCATTTTCTTTGTTTTTTATACCAATCAACCGTTCGGTCAAGTCCCTCTTGTAGTCCAACTGGAGGGCTATACTGCAACCTTTCGTTGGCCTTGTCAATATTCAAGGTGTAGGAAGAAACAGCGTATCTCACAGCTGCAGTAGATACCGCCGACCGTCTTTTCCCCAACGAAAAAGCCCAAACCAACCATTCGGCTAGAAATCCAATCGTCAAACCTATGGGCTTAGGAATTGATACTACATCATTGTGCGTAATCGGTGACCCAAAGAGGTTGGAAGTTCTCATAGTGAAATCCCAGAAAGGAATCCGTTCGTCGTTCGTGATGTTGAACACCTCGCCCTCCACACGTTCAGCAGCCGGTAATGGCGCCTCCCTATGGGCGGCTATCAGAGCCCGAGCAGCGAGAAGGTGGGCATGGCAAACATTGTCAACATAGACGAAGTCGTAGAGATTCTCGCCGCTCCCAAACCTGTACTTTTCTTGCCCTCTCTTCACGACATTTAGAATATTCTCAAAGAACAGCGGGTCATCCGGGCCAAATGTCGTGCAAGGACGTAGAGCACACGTCAACATCCCATTGGCATTCTTCCGGTTCGCAGCAATCACTTCTTGCTCGGAAACCCCCTTGGCTAGGGAGTAGCTGCGTGACTGCTTCGAGGCATCGAGGACTGGTAGTTCCTTCACGTCTCGTAGTTCCGCAACGTCGTCGTACCCGACTGCAGTGGAGGAAGTTAGAACCAGAACCCGCGTACCCCCATCGCGATCGGCGGTTGCAAGAAGGTTTCGCGTCCCTTCTACGCTGACGCGCCAGTGAAGCTGAGGGTCAGGTTCCATGGAAGGTGGGCAGGCTATGTGGAAGATGACGAGTGGTGGATTCGCCATTGCAGCGAAAGCTGCATCAACTGCAGATGGATCGGTGATATCGCCGGTGATGTAGATCGCAGAGGCATGTTGGCGTGATGGGCGATTGGTGTCGATGTCGAAAGCATAGACTTTGCAATTGGGTTCGACCTCGAGTATGGCGGAAACAAGGTGGTGGCCAATGAAGCCGCACCCGCCGGTTACGAGGACGGATTTGAGGCTGGGTTTATCGTTTGGAGGGGCCATGTGTGAAGCGTGGAGGGGCCCTCACAACATAAAAGTAGCAAGAAGCCTGATCAACTAACCAACTACGAAGGAGCAGACTAAGTGTGGAATAGAAGATAAGGTTAACAAACTGACCGCTGACATATAGCCGATTATCTATCTATTCCAACAGGAACGGCGCAGTCGTCCCTCTGTCGCAATCGTCCCGCAACCAGAACACCGGGTTCACCTTAGCACATATAGCCAGTGTGGTAGGAGGAAATCATCTTGGCAATTGAGTGCCGCAATTGAACTGATTAGAAGGTGAAGGCCTTCATAATGTATTGTGTGCCGCAATTGAACTGATTAGAAGGTGAAGGCCTTCATAATTTATTGTGTGCATGAATATGCCGTGTATGTAGCCTCCATTTCAATTTTCCTACTTCCAAACCCATAAGCTCCGACTATTGGTATAATGCTTCAAGCCCTCAATGCCCCATTCCATTCCGATCCCACTTTCCTTGTGGCCGCCAAATGGAATTTTTGGGTCTACGTCAAAGTGTGAGTTCACCCAAACGCTCCCTGCTTCTAGTTGTCTCGCCATCCTTTCAGCGCGTTTTACATCACGACTCCACACTGAAGCACCAAGACCGGCTTTGCTTGCGTTTGCGCGCTCGATGACTGAAGACGTAGTGTAAGTAAGTCTATCGCTAGTTGTGGGGATTAAACTCCAACTCACCATCTATCTCATCCGACCACTTCAACAAAGGAACTATTGGTCCGAATGGTTCATCCGTTACGATGGAAGAATCTTCAGGAGGATTGTCAATAATAGCTGGAGTGATGAAGTACCCTCCTGATGCAGAATCCTGTGCAGAACCCGCAAGGGCCGTTTTCCAGCCTTGCTTCTCGATTTGTGCATAGAGGCCTTTGACTTTTTCGTACCTAATCTGAATTAGCGACAATTCGTATTGGAAATCAGCATGGGGCAGCATCTCACTGCATCTTGTTCTGTATCGGGCCTACAACGACACCCTCTTCCATTCCGGACCCTGTCTTGATGGTAGACTTTGTGAAAGCCACCATCTTATCACGGAAGGTATCGTAGATACGTTCGTGGACATATATTCTCTTTGCCAGCATGCAGATTTGTCCAGAGTTCAAGAAACTCAACATGGCAAGCTTCGGCACGCACGCGTCTATGTCGACGTCTTCACACACAATCGCAGCATCGTTGCCCCCTAATTCAAGGACATAACGCTTTAGCGTTTTCGCACAGGAAGCTGCCACAAGCTTCCCAGTCGCTGTTGATCCTGTAAAAGCAATCTTGTCGATGGACGGGTGTTCTGTAATCCATGGCCCCAAGTCATCATTTCCAGAAAGTACTTGAACCACACCAGGAGGGAACACGTGCATTGCCAATTCCCCAAGTTTCAAGTTGCAGTATGGCGTGTATGGGGATGGCTTCATGATGAATGTATTTCCAGTTATGAGTGCAGGCCCAAGCTTACCAACGCCGAGCAGGATAGGCCAGTTCCAAGGCACTATACCTGCACACACTCCCAATGCAGGGTATGTTGAGTATACAGTCTTCTCTGCATCATCCTGGAGAATCTCGTCGCGAAGTTCCATGGTAGCAAATGCTCGTAGCCAAGTCAGACTGCGCTCAATCTCGTTATTCGACAGGGACAGCGGTTTGCCTTGTTCCATGGTAAGTAACAGGGCCAGTTCCTGTTGATTGGCTTCGATGGCATCCGCATAATCGAGGAGCAATTTGGCGCGCTCTGAAAATGGGGTTTTACTCCAGGATTTGAAGGCTGTCTTCGCTCCTGCGACTGCGACATCGAGGTCTTCTTTGCGCGCGATCGGAACCTCGAAGAGGTTTTCGCCTGTTGCTGGGTTGATAGAGGAGCGTGTCTGTGGTGTCGGCACGAATTGATTGTTGATTATGTTTCCCGGATAAGTCTAAGGCCCATTTGTCAGATTCTATTAGTGTCTCAAAGAAAGTGTTTAGCATACAGCGATGTCCAGTTTAATTGCCATGATTTGTGCTAGGTGCGAGGGGATCGAGTTATGGAAATGAAGACCGTCGTTCACAGATTGTGTGAACCACTCTGTACTTATGCTACTGTTTCTAACGGGGCACAGGTCTCACCTAACCCCGCATCTGACTGCTCTATAACTTGGCATGCACTCGTCTCTCCGGGAGTAATGCACGGGATACCAACAGGGCAATATTTTGCTAGAATATGCAGTATCTGACAAGGGCCATTTTCCAGATCTTTCTTAGTGCAACACTTAAAGTTCTACAGAGGGTTGGCACGTCAGGCTAGCCACCTGCTAACTTTATGTATATTCTATACCTAAAGTGTCTACTTAAGAATGTGCTGTAGCTAGTAAACAATCTTAACTGCTTGTAATAAACCTTGCTAAAATACTGTTGTAGGCACAAAATACTAGCATGGGGCCAGCCTGACGTGATTGACCGGCTATCCACTTTCTTGGCTAGGTGTGATTGGGGCTGAGCTGGAGGATCTGCCTATAGACGATTCATCGTGTCTATCAGAGCTAGAGTGACCAGTTCGGGACGCGGCTCGTGTCGTTGCCATTGCTCTCTCTCGTGATGCGCTTTGAATGGCTTCGAGACCACGGTAGCGCATTTCGATTGTATCTTTGACCCAGAAGTAACAAGACTCAGTTAGACGCATTCGCTTGTAGATAGGATCCATTATACTAGTTTGAACTTCAAGATTGATGCCACAAAGATTCATGAAGTCAAATCATGAGGAATCGTTCTCCTCATCCCAGGTGTCCTGATCGCGGAAACGCTTTAGATAACCGACAGCGACTTCCACGAATGGAATATCACCATCGGGATCGACTTCAAATCGGCCTGGAGGAGTTGAAGGCCAATTATTGCAATGATCCCAAATTCGATTGGCCGCAGTATTGGTATATCCAAGGTACTTCAGAGTTGCCAGGGAAATTAGAACCTCAGGAATAGTCACATACATTTCAGTGACTGAGGAAGATGGTGTTGATGAAATGGGAGTCAGTGGAAGGTGGGAGTTCTCTTCATCACTGTATCTGCCCAAGCGCCGTCTATGGACTAAACGAGTGCCATTTTCGCTGACTGGGCTTATGAGCCCAGCAGCAGAGAGGTCCTCTGCATCAGCAGATGCGAGCACGGACATGATGAAGATGCTTGTGTCTTGGAAAGCCTGTATTTGGAGCTGTAGAGAATTTAGAGGAGATGGTGAAGAGAAGTCGAGAGATGGTGAAGAGAAGTCGAGAGATAGTAAAGAGAAGTCGAGAGATGGTGAAGAGAAGTCAAGAGATGGTAAAGAGAAGTCGAGAGATGGTGAAGAGAAGTCAAGAGATGGTAAAGAGAAGTAGAGAGATGGTGAAAAGAAGTAGAGAGATGGTGAAAAGAAGTAGAGGAATTTGAGTAGTCGAATGTTGTATTTAAAGTGTGTGAGAGATTGAGATTGTTGGTGTAAACCTGTCAGGGCGTGTTTTGTTGAGATGGGGTGTCTTCCCGTGATACGGTTGTTGAGGCCGTCAATGACGGAAACGGCGTGTGAAGCTACTGGTTCGGCTGTCCGGTATTGTTTGAAGTAAGTACCAGGTACCAGGTGTAAGACGGGTATGTTGTTCGACTGGGCCAAACGTCGCTAGGGCTGGTATGTGGGACAGGTTGCTGGTAATTGTCGGTTGATAGAGCAGCATTTGTATTTGAAACAAAACGGACGCGGTGACGTAGGGATTGGGTTCGCAGTCGAGCGTGTCCGTATTATTGTCCGTTCTTGTCGTCTCGTTGTGATGCCGTTGTGAAAAGAAAAATGGCAACACACGGAGCGACTCTTGTCTCTCCGGGAGTAATGCACGGGATATCAACAGGGCATTACTTTGCTAGAATATGCAGTAACTAACAAGGGCATTTTCCAGATCTTTCTTAGTACAACACCTAAAATTCTACACTTCAACACAAATAGCGTTAGGTAGAATTGGTACAATCTTTACCGGATAAGTACATGCACTAAGCTGTCGAAATGCTCCATCTTCAGCTCATCCAAAGGAATTTTGTCAGCCGGACATAATTCATCTCGAACATCCATCGCTTCCATTCGCCTGGCGCTCCCGGCTCCTGGCCTCTTTTCGTGGCGTAGAACCTCGCTCTGGAGGAACAAAGCCCTTGCGATTTCTCGGTTGTAGTAACCAGTCCGCGAAAGAGTGCCAATGGCTTGGTCGAGCAGTAGTCTGGAAATTCCAAAGTTAGGCATGAAGGATCCAAATTCAAAGATTGGGGGGAGGGAAAAGTCTTACTCTGCTTCATGCAATCTGCTCCTGTCCTGGTTGACCAGAATCTGGCGTGCGATCATGACACGTGCGTGAGCGACATCCACATGCTCGTCACCTTTGACTTCGAGATAGATATTCAACGCACGGGTGTAATAGTTCATGCATAGATCTTGTGGTGAGGTGCCGTCAACAGGCTTATGGTTGTGCGGTGATTGATCGACGGATGAAGGGAGACTTTGTGGCTCTAGGGCGAGATCATTCCACTCCACAAAATTTTTGTCGAAGTTTTGTCTGTATGTGACATTTCCCAGGTCGAACAGCAAGCCAGCGCTTCTGTTGATACGGTCAGAATTTTCAAATATAGTCTGATACAGCACCTTTGCCTACCGTCCTGATCTTTTATCATCCACGCCGTACTTGTCTGAGCGATGTTTTACTGCTTCTTTGAGTAGGGATGAGGCTTCATCGAACTCCTCTTTCAAGTGATGCCAGTACGCCTTTCCGCGTAGACAATTGAACAAATTGATCTCTTCATATCCTGGTAGTTGTTTCCGTATCTGAATCGAGTCGTCGAACAGTTGCTTGACAGCTTCGGTGGCTTCTTCATTGTAAATGTATGCCATACCCAGCTCCGAATGCGCCGCGGCATATTTGCTGTTGAGCGCTCCAGTTTCTTTGAACATGATATCCTGCGTCGACTTGAATTCATGGTAGTGCCGTAGTCCCGTCTTGTGATCATTGATTGCCATGGCTATGGCGCCCGCTGTGCTATGTCTAGACGAGACCAAGTCAACCATGTCTTCCGCTACATGGATTTTCACGACATCAAATGTATCGAGCAACGGAAGGGCCCGGGGATAAAGCCCCCTGCCCATGCAAAACCTATCAATGCCATATTAGTGACGTCCATGCCATGCAAGATTTACACCAGTCTGTTACGCACCAAGCTGTTTCGACCAGCACCGTTGCGAGTTCTCGTGTTGCGCAATGGCGTTGAACTTCAAGTCCAGCATTCTGATATGAATTCGATACGTGGTCAATGTGGGATAGTAGGGCTTGCTTCAAATCTCGCAAGTCCTTCACATTTATCAACGAGAAGTTCACCTCAGCAGTGACCTCTTTCGGCCATGCGGCACATAGAAGCCGGGATGTAGCGATGAAGGCCCTGGAGAAGGTCGTAGAATCTTTGAGGTACGTAGCCTTTATTGCGCCTTGGAGGATCTCATCAATGGAAAGGGTTTCGCTGTTCTCATTGTAATGCAAGAGTCTATCTTCTTGGAGACTCTTGCGGCATGAAATATAGCTATTTGGATCAGGGTAGTAACCAAGATTGGTGATCGCCCAGTGCGTCGTGAGAAGTTGCTCCGGGATCTGTACATGACGGAGGAAAGCCAGAACACTCAACAGGGCAGCTTCGGAGGGACTTCGCTTGTCCAGCGCCCACATTGCGGCTATGGATGGCAGGCTTGATGTTCCTTGGTCAAGGAATCGCTTCTTTTGGGAGGCCTGGGAAAGCTTAAACTGGGAAAGGCTTTCTACACCGTTGCGGAATGCTGTTGCTACACTAGCAACCGCATATGGAATGCATTGCCAGTCCTGAACAATATCTATGATATTGGGGTCGTTGGACGAGCTAGATGGTAGACCAGCAATTGATGAGAATAACCGCACCGCTTCATGTGTCGATAAAGGTCCAAGATCGCATCCATTTGTATCTAGGAACGCGCGAGATCGGAGATTCTGATTTCGACTGATGACGAGAATGGCTCCGTCAGCTTCCCTAGGCCAAAGATCAACAGTGAAGTTGGCAGCTTTGGCATCGTCCATTACAATCAGCCATGTAGCAGGTTTTGTTTCGTTGGATCGTCGGTTTCTCGATTCCGGTTCATGAAGCCATTGGCGCAAGACAGCCACGATGGCTGTATCGTCATTCTCCTGGGCCGACACTATGTCCAAGCTCGAGGCAAATGCGGCATATTCGCTTATCAGCGTCAATTTATTATCAGCGTCAATCCATGCGATGGTATCATAGTTAGCCTTGTATCGCTGGATATACTCTTTTGCGACGCTGGTTTTGCCAAATCCCGGCTTTCCGGACAGAACAAAGGCCCTTAGTTGAGGCGGGACAGCCCCCTGTGGCGCCCTTTGCTTCGCATTGCTACTTACGGCGGAACCCTCAGTAAGCGCCTTGTGTATGTCTTTCAATAGATCGTCCCTCCCAAACAGCCCGTTTGTTGGCGGTTTTGGAAGATGATAATAGCAAGGAACACGGGCTGTAGGAACACTAGTCGCCATGCTTTTGGTATTTGCAAGCCTCTTTCGTAAACGTGCTCTCGATTTGATATCGGATAAAGGTTGCCTGACTCTCTCACTACTCGAGCTGCCTGCACTTGCTGCGATGTCTGATGATGTTGTATCTGTCCTGGTCTCTTCTAAGGTGTCTCGTCTCAGCTGGACGTTGATTTGTAGGGCGCTGTGCTGTTCCTCGAACGAACGAAGTCGTTTGTAGGCGATGACAGGGGTAGCCAAGACTTACCCTGTAAGATCCCGTAGTTGTTTGCCCTCCGACGTGCCTTTTGTGCGATCTCTTTTAGCAGGTCCGTAAGCTCAAGATCGTTTGCGCCTTTGAAGAAGTCGGCCAACTCGCCACTCATAGGTATTGTTCTTCCCGCTGCTTTGTCGACCCACTGCTGAACAGTCATTGGAATTCCCGACGAGAAGAAGTTAGAAGAACTTTGTGAAAGCGAGCTGACTTACCACTCGCTCCTCTCTCCTACCACCGTTGCGGAATCTTCGACGGCCGTACTGTTTCCTGACAGTTTCGACAAAAGTCGCTATGGGGAAGTCAAAGTATTGATTATCGAAGTCATGCGCTATCTTCTTGACAGATTTAAGCGGTTCATCCAGTTTTGTTACCTTCTTACCTGGTATCGATTTGCCGCTGATCAATCTTGAAAGAGCTTTTGCAGCGTCGACTTTATCAACCTCATCGAGTTGGGGAGTGCCCACGAGGATGATTCCGTCGATGTTGTCTAATAAACTTCTGGCCTGAGCGTTACTCTCCTGGTTTTGTCGAGCAGAACAAAGAGCCTGCAGTCTTCAGTCCATGTGTTCCTTACACAAATTTTGGTGGGATTAGATACATACTTGCTTCAATGCGATCCCTGCTAAGCGAAAGCCAACAAAGACAATGTGCGACGTCCTCTGCTGATAGTACTACGTGAGCTCGGGTATCACAGAGACGGGAACCAAATGGCAAGTTACTTCGTAGAAGGCGTACAACTCCAATAGGAGGATGTCTCGCACATTGTGCAACGCATTGGTAAGATCATCAGGTCTGTTGGCAAACTGCATACCCAGAGGAAGATGAATGATTGCGGCTGAGATATTTGCCTGACATATAGTGTGCAATTGATTGACCCATTCTCCGTGGGCCAAATCAGGCTCCGCGCCTTCGAATCCGTCAACGTATATGATGCTTTAGCATTTTAGCTTCTGGTTCAGAGAAACTGTTCGAAAAGGACTCGGACTCACTCTGTGCCATCCGGATTCTGCTTTGGTACCCTCTCTAGTATGCGTGGTGTTCTATTGGTCATTATGAATCCTGACCGTGGCAATCAGTAGCTGACGAAGACCTGATGAAAATATCTGAGAGAACGTATGAGAAACAATGGGCCTCAAACGCTAGCTCTGTAGATTACTTGGACGGAAAAGAAATCGTCTGCGACTCCAGCCAGGCTGAGTTGTCTGCAGGACTCCAAACAATCAGCCGCGCTCACGTGGCGATAGTAGAAGATCCATGTTACACAAAGTCCTGCCGGTGTATGTACTCTTCGATGTGCTAAAAGCACTATTGGTTGACGATATCATGAGGCTGACTTGGGCGGGGTATGCCTGTCGGCATTGCTCGACACCCAACTTAATACATGGACATCCCAAAGTTTCCCTCCCAAGAGTATTGACTTCTATAACCTTCTTCAAATTAAACTTGCCTTGACTGGTGAAAACACTTGCGACGCGACGTTGTTGAGTTGGCCAAACATGTCTTCCCCCATCCAACCATGGAAAGTCCTCCTCGGAGAGCTCCAGCAGGATTCGCTTCCTCAGCCTTGTCGAAAAGATTGCGAGCTCGACAGCCTTACGGGAGAACCATCTGGAGTTGTGTTTGAGCGCGAACTCAATATGGTATTCAAGTAAGTGAGCTTTATCTCGTGAGATGTTTAGATTTATCCAAGGTTGGAATCTGATTTAACTCGTGTGAATGTAGCAAAACCGACGTTGCGCCACAGTCTTCGAGCGTGGCGAAGATCGCGTTTACTCGAAATCCGAAGCCATCAGATAAGGAATCTCGCGCGGGGTAGTCACTTTCAAGTGGGCTGTGATCCCGCTACTATCACGAATATACCTCTTTTATCTCGATAGACTATGTGTTTGGCGTATCGGTTGTGGACATGACACAGGGGCGACTACTGGTGATAAGGGCATCTTTATGAGACTAAGAATGATAACTACGTATAATGACATTAAATGAATGGTTTCCTTCCACATAGACGCAATCTTCCCAACTATTCGAAGTATAGAATTACGCGGACTTCGACGCTTTCCCGGCATCTTGGAAAGTTGGTTCCCACAGGTTGTTGGTAGAACGAGGCATGCGGAACTCCTACATAACACATCGTGTCAATTTAGTGATTCTCTTTTATCTCGTCTATCATCAAAAGGGCGAAACATACCTGGCTTGCCGGTGGAATCGAATTGTCGAAATAGAAGCAATTCGGAAGGCTGGTGGTCGCTCAGGTAGTGCCACCTTTGCGCAGGATTGTAATGGATAAGTACGTTCTCAATGACTTTTAAGTTGGCCAGTCCCTTTTTGGGCGTATCATTTAAATCCTCTGCGCTGCTGAGGTAAATGTTGTCTAGATCCATGAAATCTAGCATAAGATCGACCGAGGCTGCGTCGCATACGGCAAGAGGCCAGTCTTGCAAAGGGCCGAACAGCGGTCGCCAGACACTGTCATGCCAGTTAATGCAAATCTCTACCCGCCCAGAAAATAGGCACCCACTTGAGAGTAATGTATCTACCTGATAGTAACCTGTCGTAATCAAAGGGATTGAGCTCCTTGACAAGGGCTCCGGTTTCCTTCTCATTGATATCTAAAGTCGTGTCAAAGTTTATACTTTGTAATGTGCATGGACAATACTGACCAATATGCGCTTGCCGCGCAGGTTGTGGATACGTACTGGATTGTACCTCTCCATCAAGTTCGCGGGACGACTTCTCAGGCCATGCCTCGTGTCGTTTGCGTATCTTCTTTACCGTCAAATCCAAGCAACACTGATCCAAACAGCGTATGTGCACTCACAGAGCAGTCGAATATCTGCACAGAGGCTGCGTTTGTGTACATCAATAAGGCATCTGCCACTTCTTTGCAGTATGTCTGTTCCACTTTGTGGCGATCTTCAAAGTCATCGTAGGTCATGGCACTTGCCATTTCCAGGACGGCGATACCATTTTCCTCAAAGGATAGCGAGTGCGCTTCCTTACGCAGGTCGTGCAGAGGTACATCGTGAACCTCCCGGACAAGGTTATCATGCGGTAGTGTGGTCGGCAAGGAACGATGGATCGAGTACGGTTTCACTCGATCGTAAAAAGGGTCTTTGGCGAGGAAATCGATCGAAGCTTTAGCTTGATGGGTTGTTGTTCGCGCTGCCATAGCGGGCGATAGTGCGACGCGGGTGCGGGGGGTGCGGGTCGGTCCTTTGCGACGGCGGATGCGCTAGCTGGCTGAGTGCTCAGCCTGCTCTTCTTATATTAACTACAATGAATTGCATAGGCCTTGATTGCGTCTTGCAGTACGCTGGGCAGAGCCTCATACATACTCACATGATTCCCCGTGCCCCGCAACCGTCAAGTGGCAGCCTAAATATGCGTATGCATCTGCGACAAAGTAGAACTGGAGATGAAGCTTGCCAAGCTGCTGTCGTCGTTGAGTGAATTGAGCGACTCGGAGCTACAGTGGCGTAGGTAAAACTTGCTGATCTGTCTCCCGTCGACGGAAAAGTAATCACGTCATGTCCTGATGTAAAGGGCAAAATGTATTCATTCCATTTGACTCACCACCCGCTAACGAGTAAAGAAAATTGTCATCAAGAAAAGCAAATACCATGCCATCAAGAAAACCGAAGAGCGTGTTGTCCAGGAAACAACAATATAAGACAAAGGAAATAACAGAAAATTCACTCTCTGAAGAATTGTGATTCGGAACAGTGAAAACGGGAAAACGATAGCTGAACTATAGGAATTCAGGCCGTACGATCTGTTTAAGGGAGGGGGACAGAAGCTTGAAAAAAAAAAAATGAGGAAATCAAGGAAAAAATCAAGGAGAACCAGCGACTGCAGCATAAGTCTTCCTCAACCTGCGCTTCTTCCCCAGGCTTGCGCCCGAGAGAAATTTCCAAACAGTTCCACGATCCAAATTGAACATCGCCAAGGACAACAATAATACAGGAGCCGTTACTGAAAAGAAGGTATAAATACCCTTGCGCGACTGATCGAAGGTAACGAAGTTCATTCCGAAAATTGAAGTACAAAAGGACAGAGGGATGAATATGAAGGCGAGTAACGTCAGTCGATATACCCGCTGGCCTTGTAAAATAGCATTCCTTGCTTCTTGCAAGCTCGCCTGATTTGTGAGAGCAGTCATGGACATTTTGCATTGCTCTTGCAACGCGTGGGTCCTATCGAGGATGTAGCGGATGTCGCGGTGCAGTTGTTCGGCCATCAGTTCGGGTTTGTTTGCCGAAGATCGAGGCCAATCTAGGATATCACGTGTCTCAATCAGTTGGAGGACATCCATAGTGGAGTTGGCATGACGGTTCAGGATGTCCTTGTAGAAGTCTAGGGTGTGTTGGACTTCCAGCATTGTCGACACATATTTTCCCGGTTCTATGTCAAGCGCATCCAAACCTGAGGCGACAACATTCAGAAATTGGACCTCTGAAGTTCCCCAGAATTGGAATAATTCGTGTAGTGCATATAAAGAGTCCTCGCTCATTCGTTTCGCATTCAAAGATCTACCATAACACAACGGGAGCAACGAGACGCTCTGAGGTCGCCCCTTGTCGCTGTGTACTGGAGAGCCAGATGGGAACAGCCTGTGTTTTGCGCCTTTAAGGGAAATCATACGTTTGAACATTGTCACTGGGAAAATCGAAGCCCCCTGATGAAGACCTAGATGTACCCACGGCCCAGGGGGGCTTTGCAACAAATCATCCCCCGAGTCGAGCCATATCAACGCTAGTTGAGGAATTAGCGTAACCCCATTCATTGTTGCAGTGACTGACCTGTCCATCTCCCGTCGCTCTTCTCTTGCGACACATATACAGTGACGAGTTGTTCAAGACTAAATATACTCTCGCTGTGTACATCGAATGCACGAACAATGGAGTTTCCGGTTTTCCAATGAGAACCCTTGAGACTGGAAAGATACTTTCCCATGCCCCTTGCAGCTGTCGACCTTATTTTTGACACGCTCTCGCCTACTGGCGCGTCATAATGGCCTACAGTTGTCAAGGTCAGGTGGAAGATGGAAGTTTGGGAGCTTGGCAGGACGAAGGGGGACTGCCTAAGAAGAGCTTGGTGGTGATGGAAGAAGGAGAGATGTCTGTAGAAAACCTCTGGGTCGATACGGAAGCGTGCTCCAATCTGGCTCACCCACTCGGGACTAGGATAGCCTCTAAGAAATACCAGCACGTTAGTATCCGGACCACTTACCCCCAAGCTGTCCTTCAAAGGCAGGGCCAACTCATGTCCTGCGATGTGCGCCGACTCCTCGACTTTGCCATCCAACATATAGAGCCAAGCGAAACTTGGTGTTGATTTCGGGGACATATAAGATGTTGGTCGTGAACTTAACCATTTTGCTAGGTCTGACCAGTCTTGACCTTGGTAGAGCGAGTCTCTTGCGCTGGTAGTTGCATGATCGCAGATTCGCTTGATGTAGCTGGAGGCATCGACTGCAAGATGGAAATGGGTTAGCGCATGTTGTGTTCATGCCATGGGCTTGAAGAATGTATCGTGATAATCTACATACGTTGTTTAGGTGTTGATGAATACAATGGCGGTGGCCGGCTAGCAAGGCTGAGGCCGGCGGTAAGGCTGACTGGTGCAAGAGGGGTCGCTGTTGTTTCTGAGCCTGCGACTAACGGATCGGGAGATGGAGCACTTCGGGTCGGACTGGCCCCATCGCCATCGGAAGAGTAGATGCTATGTACTGACATCTCCAGACTGCGGTGTTAGATCTGAACGCAATAATGGGACACATCCCCACGGCTTCTGGTGAGATGTTCGGCCATTCAAAAGCAAAATGGTCATCAGGCTGAACTTTGGCGGAAATATGGCGGTAAGTGAGATGATGACCACTGTAACCCGGCTGGAGTACCCTGTTCGGATGAATATATAACCGTCGCTTGGCAACAGCAATTCCAGCTTCTACTGCATCAGCCACCCACAAGGCTGAAATGCCCTTCCAGTGTACTTCTGCAGGGTGAATCCTAGAATTTCTATCAAATTTCCACGTCAACTGTACTTTCTAATGCATTACTGATGATCGTCGAACTTCATAGCTTTCGCCCAACATTGCGTTGGCGTGGTTCAAGGTATTCTTGTAACAAAGCAAGGTGAATTAAAGTTTAAAAGCATTCATAAGAACCGCGAATTGAAAGAAGCTACTTGCTTTACCGGAGTAATTCGCCGTCCACCTATTTGACGGTGACCATCTATAGCTTGTCCCATTCTGCCATCTTCAGCCAGCAAATATTGTAGAAGACCATGTTCATTGATTGTTGCGAAGTAGGGTTCTCCTGCCACGTCAGTGTAAATCATGCAGTCTGAGGAAGAACATGACTCATGGGCTGCCATTGGCGATCTTCCACATTGAAGTAAGTGGAGTGTTGGCGAAAGTTTCGGGCTGTACACGAAGAAGTAAAATGGGATCCGAAGTGACCTTCTGAGAATATAGCCGGCGTAGTTATGCAACTGCATGGTAACGACTATTTGTATTTTACAAGTTCATCAACCAATGGTACGAGAGATATTACCTGCACAAGGCTCTTGAAGTCAGAGAGACCATGTAATCGAATCATAGGTCCAATGTGGGTCTGCCCCGTCATCAATTGTTCTTGGAGAAAATTAAGAATCAGCAGTGTCGTCCTCGATGTGGGTGTTTGACTCTCATCATTGCACACAGTGTGTAAAAGAGGGAAGCGCCACAATGAAATTCAGCCAGTAAGCACATCAAGTAAATTGACGTTGAATATGCTTCAATGACCCTTAAACCAATACTGCACGTCTGTATATCTGACAGATAACACATAGCACTGCAACAAAGGACACTGTGTGAGAGAGAATGTGGAGATAGCATCCTACATTATGAAGTGATTAGATAGGGTATAGATAAACCAGGGGGATATGAAACATATGATTGAGTGTAACTTTTACCATTCCTCATCAAGAATGGGAGCCAGACTGCTCAGCAACGCACGAGTCTCAATGATCTTGTTGGCCAATGAAAGCACCAACTATTCCAACGACTGAGCTTCACACATCTTCGAATACATGCCACCTTGCGCGAGCAGATCCTTGTGCATTCCCATCTCCGCGATCTTACCCCTGTAGAAGACGCAAATCAGATCAGCGTCCTTGACAGTGCTCAAGCGGTGCGCAACAGCAATGGTAATCCTGTCGCTCTCCATTGCAGCCCGTGCCAATGCACCTTGTACTATCTTCTCGCTCTCCGTATCAAGCGCACTTGTTGCCTCATCAAGCAGTAGGATCTTCGGCTTGCGAATCAGCGCTCGCGCAATAGCGATGCGCTGCTTCTGCCTACCAGACAGCTGCGCGCCGCTGGACCCAACATCCGTAGCCAGGCCTTCAGGTAGAGAGGACACGAAGTCCCATGCGTTGGCCGCACGCAGCGCTTCTTCGATCCGACCATTGAAGTCTGAGGCTGCGGTATCGATGTCCGAGTCGCTGACGCCTAGCGCGACGTTCTCACGGATAGTGCCTTGGAACAGGGTAGGTTCTTGCTGCACAAGGGTCACGAGACGGCGGAACGCGTGCGGGTTGAGCGTAGTCAGCGAGACACTGTCAATATTGATTGCGCCGGACGAAGGATCGTAGAAGCGCTCGAGTAGTGCGATCATGGTTGATTTGCCACACCCGGATGCACCGACAAATGCAACGAATTGGCCTCTTCGAATCTATACGATTGTTAGTCGACTTAATGTGTGGAACATGCTAGAGTGAAATACCTCGAGATCAACGCCTTTTAGAACTGTGGTCTCAGGGCGGAGGGGATAGCTGAATCGAAGATTGTTCATGTCGATTGCATCTCCTGAGCTGGGAGTGTTGTCGCGGTTTTCTGGAGTCTCCTGGATAGTTGGCTGAAGCTCCTCGAGCCAGAAGATGTAGTTGGCTGCGTTGATACCCTTGGTGATACTCGTCGAGAATTGGAAGAGCTGTGCAGCTGACTGTCCCGAGTAGAAGACACCCATAAAGGCAACGAAGAAGGCGTACGGGCTGATTTCCCCAAACGACAGGAGACGGCAGCCGTACCAGAATCCAAGAGCCATGAACCAATACTCAATGGCTTGAGTGAAAGCAAAGCATAGCATTAAGGTGAACAGCGGCTTCTTGGAGTGTGCCACGGCTTGATCAAGTTCTTCAGTATACTTTTCAAGGACAGATTCCTCGATAGTGAGCGAGGACACAGTACGAATGGCAGTTATTGCTTCTGATGCGATGGAGGCACTTGCAGAGTAGCGTTTAGAAACATCCCGGTCGAGCTTCGCGTCAAATCGAATTTTCAAGTAGCCGGCAGTGACAAGTGGTGGGAGACCAGCACACACAACGACTAAGCCAAACTTCCAGCTATACACGATAGCCAGTATGCTGCAGGCGCTGATGTTGAATACCGCGACGAGAATGAGTCCGATGTTGTAGCCCATCAACTCTAGGACTGACTGCGGGTTGGAGTCGACCCGACTGGTAAGAGCACCTGCGTTATTCTCCGTGCGGTCGAAGAATTGAAGATCCTGGCGGAGCATGTGATGGAGACCGAGTTTGCGCAGCTTGTGACTCAGTTGCTGCGCGACGACATTGGTAGCATATCCGAGAGCAAAGTAGGCGATGAAACAGCCGACGGCAAGGACGATGTACATAGTAGCATAAAAACTTCCTTTGTCTTCCATTTCTCGGCCTTGAAGGGGGAATATTTCCATGATATGGGCGAGCAAAATTGCCTGGCCAGGGAAAGTGGCACCTGGAGACTGTCAGCATGGTCGTATAGAACTGGCACAGAGACGGTATCTACCAGCTAAAACACACCCAGCAAACACGATGAAGTACGTCCAGGCAAGTTCAGGTGTCAGCCGGATGAGACGGGTAATGACGTTTAGGATTCCCTGCTGGCCGTGGTGATCGTAGTTATCACGCTCTTTTTGAGTTTCCATACGTTGATCTACGGAAACAGCGTACTGTGTCGCAGTCCTGGTCAAGTCAAGGGACTCCAGCTTTGAGTTGGGTGTTTCTTCAACTACTATATCATCTGGAGATACAGCCTCCGGCACATTGAGATTCTGGATTTGGACGAGACGTGCATAAGCTTCGCCCTTGGCCATCAATACCTCGTGGGAACCCGCCTCGATGATCTTCCCCTTAGCCATGACGACGATATTATCAGCCTTTCGAATGGTAACGAGTTTATGCGCAATAACGACTGTTGTGCGACCCTCAGAGGCCTTGTCAAGTGCTTGCTGAACAATACCTTCAGCATTAGGGTCTAATGCACTAGTAGCCTCATCAAGGAGAAGGATCTTAGGCTGAGACACAATGCTACGGGCAATAGCAATACGCTGCTTCTGACCACCAGAAAGTAAGCCACCGCGCTGTCCAATCTCAGTATCATATCCGTTGGGAAGGCCAGAAATGAAATCGTGTGCAAACGCGATTTTGCAAGCTTCCTGGATGCGCTCCATTTGCTCCTGGCGTGTGACATTTGCCCACTGTGTACCGACGAGGCCGTGCTTGATGTTGTCGAATACGGATCCTTGAAATAAGACGGGCTCCTGCTGAACAAGGCGGACATTCCTCCGAAGCCAACTGAGATTCAATTCCTGAATTGGACAACCATCTAGGGTGATAGAGCCAGACTGGACATTGTACCATCGCTCGATGAGGCCGATAATAGTACTTTTACCTGAGCCCGATTGACCCTGTCTAGCAGTCAGCGCCCATTCACGTGCAGAGAAAAGTTGAACCTACCACTAGAGCTGTGACTTTGCCAGCAGGGATCTTAAGAGAGAACTTGTTAAGAATAGTGACACCTGGCCGCGTCGGGTATGCGAAGGTGATATCCTGGAGCTCAATATTTCCAATTGTCTCCACTGGCTGCTTGCCATTTGTATTGAAGGGGTCGATTTGAGATTTCCTATCGATCAAATCGAACAGTTTGGCTGCCGCTGCTGTAGCCCTTGTGAAGTCAATTGAGTACGGTGCGAGGGTTGTGAGACTGGTAGCCGCGATGATAACCGACAAAAGGACACTGCGACGTTAGCACGTATGCTCCAGCAGGATAACAATCATAGGACACTTACGTGAATATTGTGCCAGCATTATGAATCTCACCCCGAGCCAGCATCCGAATACCCTGCCAGAAGGCCAACCCATAACCGAGGTAAATGATGCAGTATTCGGAAGAGAACAAAATACCAAAGAGTGGTGAGATCTTCTTTCCAACATTGTGGGCGTCGATCAAATAGCTGTCGAAATTCCCGACTAGGTTCTGGTGCATGCCGAAAGCAGATATTGTACGTGCGCTAGAAAGAATACCCTCAGCAAAGGAGTTCGACTGCGCAAATATCTCAAGCATCCTGGTCTCATAACCAGCCATCATACCAGCAGCAGCGCCATTGACGATGAGGGTTGCGGGCGCAATGCACAGACAGATAAGGGTGAGCTTCCATTGGGCGACGAAGGCGATGATGAAGGCGGTAATGAAGGAAGAGAGGCCTTGGAACGTCAGACCGAACTTCTCGCTGATCCCACCTTGAATCAATCGGCCGTTAGAGGTAGCCTGTGTGGCTATCGAGCCACCGCTGCCGATATCGAAAAATGCGATTTCTTGGCTGAGCGCAGCTTTAAGGTAATGATGCCGAATGTTTCGAGTTATGCGATAAGAGGTGTAAGTCAACAGTGTGTTGTAGATATAAGATAGTATGAATCTTCCGATTCCTAGATAGACGAAATAAAGAGCAAGTTCTGCTGCGTCCTCGCGAAATTGGCCTGGTGCAGATTCTCCGGAGGTGAATTGGGTAAGGATGGTAATGAACTCTCCGAAGATAAGATTTTGCAGGGCGATTCCAGCGCCAGAAACAACGGCAGCCGCAATGGCGATGCCTTGCAACATATAGTCGATTGAGCTTCCATACTTGAAGATCCTTGTGTATGCTGCAAAGCCAGACTGCTCTTGAGGGGAATCTACGTCGAGGCGGTCAGCGACGGTGGCAGCATGACTCTCTTCCACGGAGTTCTTGATTTTCTTCTCCTCCTCCCCCTTTGCACTCATCTTTAGACTGCGCGTTCCCGAGATGCTAGTTCCTTCCAGAATCTAATTAGATGTTAACAGGGATTGAATGGCGACTATTCGGGTGGACTGTTTGACGATCTTGTATTTCGAGGAGCAGCCAAAGCACATGAAGAGACACATATAGTACAATTAAAATACAAATGAGTTAAACGGTGAAGGAACAATGTATGTTAAACGAATTATATAGGGCTATTAAAGAACAGCAGACACAACTTGGTCAATGATATGTAAATAAATGGTGACGAAAGGGGTAAAGCTCATTGCCTCATTGGGCAGTCCCGGAACCCGCAAAAACCGTTCCGTTGCCTATCTCAAAGAGGACAGCGAGCATGTGACAAGTACCTTGCGTCAAATTTGACATCACGGCGCTGGAGCCCGCAAACCCCGCCGCTCCACTCAGTGACCGAACAGACTGGCCACTGTGACAGTGTGTCATCCTTCCCTGTGAGTGATGATCTCTGCAGGCAATATCTTCCAGCCAATTTGGGATCATACCGCTGAAGGTGTTGCTGCAATCAAGATGGGTCGCGAGTCCAGGGCCAAACCACTGAATATGGCCCACAGATGGAATGCACTGGTGCTACGTTAGTTAACGAATAAAATTGCCCAAGAACCCAATGTGACTGGGAGCTACGGTAAGGATAATGTGTAGGAGTTCAAGGAGGTCTCTACTTATTTCGACAAAGATTCAAAATTCTTTCTTGGGAGGTTGACTGCTAAAGCTGTAAGATGCAAAAAGCTGATACCGAAGAGATCTTGTTGTGGTCAACACATTAACCTACATCAATCCTCATTGACCCTTTGCTATATGATTTTGATGCATTTTCCCTGCAGTCGGAGATCGTATTCTACTCTTTCAAACGTAACATAGATTTCAAGAAACCAAACATCTAAGGAAAGCCTGTGGCATCATTCAATCCGGAACATTCACCGAGACTTCCTTGGCATCCGACTGGAAACATGAAGTATTACGCTAACATAGATTGGCTGCCACGCAGCGCCCTTAGTACTCCAGCGCAAGATTTGTCTGGTGTCCGAGACTCCCGATTCCGGCCGATGCACCACCGAGACGTCTGCTTCAACGTGTATTTATACTCTGAAAGTGCTTTTGTGTTATAAGCTCATACCTTCTCAATTGCAAGTTCAGTCCTTTCCTGTGTCATAGCATTCAATATGGGCGTTAAAGTTATCATTGTTGGAGGGAGCATTTCCGGCTTATCCCTTGCCAACATGCTCGAGAAATTCGACATCGATTATGTTCTTCTCGAAGGTCATTCTACCATTGCACCCCAGCTTGGCGCAAGTCTCGGTTTGCTTCCGAGTGGACTACGCATTTTGGATCAACTTGGATGTTACGAAAGGATTCAGAAGATTGCTGGAAACACATACTACAAAGCTAGCATGCGGCTTTTCGGAGGGGGAGCTTGGGATGATCCAAAACCTGTAACATTTTCTGAGAAGTTGGAAGAGAGGTATGTCCCTCATTCAGAGCAACGATTGTGTAAATGATGCTGACTGACACCTTTAGAATTGGATATCCGCAGATATTCGTCGATCGCCAATCCGTGATCCAAGTTCTGTTCGATAATCTCAAATTCCCGGAAAGAGTTCTTACGAACAAGCGTGTGAACCGAGTGGAAAATCACCAGGACAAAGTGACTGTGGTCACAAAAGATGGATCGACGTATACCGGAGACTTTGTAGTTGGAGCTGATGGCATCCACAGCACCGTCAGACAGGAAATGTGGAGAGCAGCACATGAGGAACAGTCAAATCTGTTTTCATCTGACCCATTTCAAGGTTTGTAGTTCCTGTTACCATCATCGAAATTACTAAAAGCATTTGCAGACCTCCAGTGTGAATCGAAGTGCATCTTCGGCATTTCGAGAAAGCCAGCCGCCCTACCAAAGTCACCTCTTCAAATCAATGCGTTCTTCAAGAACTGTAACTATATGATCATATCTGCACCAGAGGACCGCATTTATTGGTTTTTATTCGCGCCCTTGGACAAAGTGTTCGGCAAAGATATCCCCAAATTTTCGAAAGAGGACGAACGAGCTCTGGCGGAGAAGCATTTCCAAGATCGCCTTACGGACGACATGTTATTCGAGGATCTCTATGAAAATAGGTTGCAAACGTCTCTCGTGAGCACTGAAGATCATGTTTTTCCTCGCTGGCATTACCGCCGGATCATTACGATCGGAGATGCTGCTCACAAGGTAAGCCATGCAACAGGCAGTCATTAAATAATGGCTACTGACCGAAAATTTCAACAGTTGCACCCGATCAGCGCCCAAGGTGGAAACGGCGCCATGGAAACCTCAGCAGTTCTGACAAATTCGCTCGTTGCAACGATAAAGGCCCACGGGTCTGATACGCCGCTCAACGAAGAAGACATCACCGCGATGTTTACCGATATCCAAGCGAAGCGCTTCCAACGCGCCGTTGATGCAGTTAACCAGGGCCGCAAGACAAATTCTGCGTCGATCAAAGAGACCGTAGCTTCGCGGATCTTTGTCAACCATTTCTTCCCCCGCTTTGGACAGAGTCTGATCTTTAAACTCGTCATTAAAAACACTCTCACTGGCCCCGTTATCGAGGACCTTCCCCTTCCTTCACGTCACTCTGAGGCCCTGGAGCGCCACAAAATGACACATTCACGTAAATGGCCAGTATTTTGGAGCTTCATTTCAGTTGGTGTTGGATTATTTTCGATTCTTTTGTATAATCATAGCCAGTTCTTTCCCATCACTCGACACGATTTGCTTTAGGAAAACTGGTCTTATCTCCCGTGGGGAGGTGTTACAGGGGTTTTAGGCCAAACAGTAGCCACATAATCATAATTTGAATTTGTTGGAAAGTGTACGTTGTGGGGCATCTAATCGGCGGTGATTGAGTTGTTTCCAAAGTAATCCCAAGAACATAAACTCCCACAGCAAAGCACCACGTTCCGTACGTGCACAATAAAGTTATGTAAGACTTTTAATGACTGTACCACAGGGAGTCATAAAAGATGCGGTCCTTACTACTCTCTCATCGTAGAGCTTACATCCATATCCTGCAACGTTTCCATGGAAGATTGGTTGTCATAGAACCAATTTTCCAACTCCGCTCCGTTACCCATCCAAAACATCGGATTCACTGCCCATTGAAGCTCGTCGGTGTTGATCTCACTGTTTCTAGGGTCATGAATAAGATCCGGTTGTACTTCTTCGTGACTTCCCAACGACTGTACAAATGATTGATTTGCCGAGTATGTCCGGGCGTGTGGAAGTCCAAGAGCAGCCAGCTGCGCTTCTGTTTCTTCCGCCCGCACCTCAATGTATCTGACTGCAATGTTATAGAGTACCTGGAAAAGCTTGTGCATTTTCGCAGCCGGCTCTGAAACGGCTGATGCGGATTCAATTGACTTCAAAAATGCTTCGAGACGTGCAAGGTCCGCATGGTCTCGGGTTTCCATGACATTGCAGAATACTACTATGATCGGAACGAAAGGTGCAAAGAGAAGTGTCCTGCAGATGTGAGTACCTGTGTGCAATTCGCGATTATCTCCGCTACTCACCAATGAATGTACGTAGAGAAGTAGAGGTTGTTGCCTTTCTGAATGATTTCCATGCATTCATGATGCTTCGCTATGGTCGCCCTTGCGACTTGTACGCAATCTGAGCTGAATGTTGTCAAGCAATGGGGTGCTCGTGGGGCAGCTCGGTAGACATGGGTAAGAAGCGATAGCCGAAGGACCGCATCTGAGGTAGCATAAAAGTCCATGAGATTTTCGCCTGCATTCTCCTTCGACACTTTGAGCCATTTATTCTGTGATCAATGTTAGTTTCCTGCAACACACGATCTCAAAGCCCGATTTTTGCTCCACATACCATTGTCGTTTGTGTCTCGTGCTCCAAATCATGTAGAGTTGATCTAAGTAGTTCAATTCTGGATTGGCGGACGGAGTCTGGTTGATTTATCGATCCAGGAGAATAGAGATATTCATAGATGTTGCCTTGGCACCTCGCAAGTTTAATCCACAAGACGAAGTAAGCAAGAACAGATTCTTGCCCAACGCTGGGTGGCGATGGAAGATCGATGCCTATATCCCACTCTGGAATGGTTGAAGCTCTACCGAGACGAAGGGAGAGACTCTTGTCCACATAGTAGGTGCTCCAGAATAGAAATTGCGTGTATCTATGGTCTTCAGGGTTTTTACCATTGATGCATACAGTTCGGTGGTAACCTAAAGTTTGACATAATTCTGACGCTTTGGATGACAGAGACCAGCATAGTAAGGACTTTGATGACCCAATTGCATAGAAAGCCTAGGAGGCTGTTAGTCTGGGAGCAATCATCTCTACGATACAGGACATACAGCGAAGAGAAGAGCAGCAACCACGTTTGGTGCTGCTGGTATATGTAACGGAAGATTTGCTAGCCCAGCCTCGAGGTTATCGCGACACAAGCGAGCATATGAAAGGTGTTGCTCCTTTTCGTTTTCGGAGATGTCAGCCACACAAGCAAAGTCCCAAAAGAGAGAATATAGGCCAGCATTGACGCTAATGAAGTCAAAGGGTGAAAACTGATCTGCGAAATAAACCTCGAGACATAAATCCCCAAAAGACTTCATCGTGATGTATTCGTAGACCCACCCTGAGCCAGCAAGCCGTTGGACTATTACACAAAAGCGTAGGTTAGAGGTCGTGCCTGAATTACTCTCTCATGAGGTGCAAGACACTTACCTTTTGCGATACGAATGAGTGATACAGCTTTCTGGATAGGGGGTAAATCACGCCGCTGCGCTTGGCTCGGTAGCTTTACACGCGCTGCCACGGGCTCGCTCAATATATTGGATGGATTAGAGTCATTAGCTATGGTTGAAAGAGCATCCAGCGTTCTACGGGTCTCTGGGTCAGGCTGCCCAAGTAGGTCAGTCGTCACAAAATTCTGTACAAACTCGTTGACGAATACAGAGTGAGCAGACAAGGACGACTGCCCTTCCACGATTGGGGTTGTGGCAGAATCTGAGTAGCTGGGGGAGGGTGCATTTGTAGAAAGAACACAGGTTGTTCCTGAGGGGTCGCAACGTGACCCTCTGTTATTGCTGACCCTCGAGCTCTGCGTTTTGAGATCTCTCAACAACTGGGTCATAGCCTCGAGGCGGTGATCGATCTGATCGATCTTTTTCTCGCTATACAGTTCAAATTGTATCAGAATGTTTCATTTTGCTTGTTCAACCAGGGGCTCTGTGGAAGGAAAATAGAACAAGGGAAGGCAATATTTTGAAGAGCAAGAGGTGCAGGTGTTAAGACGCAGGTACCACGTACTACTGAGGGGTAAGTAGGATGCGTGTCCGCTTCTCTCTCGGTCTGTTGGCCAAGTACGTACACTCGGTTCTAGTACGTTGACATTGAAGACAAGGAACGGCTCTATCGCATCGTGTCTTTCTGGTGTCAACACGATACGGTCAAGATAATGTCTAGGTAATTACGAGAGATAATGCACATACCTTGCGTGTACGACAAGGTTCACACTGCATTTAAGTTAGATGTGCTTGTTGATGTTGGTGGAACAAGAGAGATGACTGACCGCACGCGCGGAATTTCTAACACAAGAGTCTGATACCAACGACGACTCGGCACCCTCATCGTAATCGCTGACGTTCAGCTGCACGTTGTCCATAGTGAAAGATTCAATCAGATTACCCAGGTGACATGGCGTTTTTGACAACCCCTGGGGTCTTCAAGTTGAATTTCTTTTCCCGCGGTCGTCATAGAAGTTGGTGGCATTGTCCGGTGGCCGCATGTCCCGGCCCCGAAGTGTCTGTGCACCATTTGCCCAATAGTACCATGGAACGTGAGAACCGCGAACACTTAGTATCAGATGATGGAGTGAACCGAAAATCCTGAAATACAACGAATTAAGCCACTGAGTGTTTACTGTATTTGCTTGCTTGCTTGTTCGCCTGGTGAATCTCGCGCAATGCTATGTTCAGGTGACAGGCATGTGGACTGGACGTTGATCCATGCCACTCCACTTTATCTCACGAAGAGAATTGTAGTCTGACTACTCTTTATAAATGCTGGCGCTAAGTTTATCTAGACAGTATTTCTATTTGTTCATGCTCGCGTAGCCCCACCGGTACCTGAGGGCTCCAGCCATGGCTCTTTTGTGTTTGGGGGTTCAGTGCTGTTGGTGGCCGCGTGCTCCGACCTCCGGCTTTCCTGCACTTGGAGTGAAGCTTAGTTAGTGATGAGGCGTAAAATTGATCTCAAAATTTCACACTTGGCGGGTTATAAGCGTCGGGGCATATTTCCTTCAGCATCAGGGTCTTTAAATGTTGATGAAAGTATACCTGTGAAGTACGCCAACAGATGCTCGAACAGGTGAGGGAAAAGTTCCGAACATCGCCAAACCAAACGAGGGTCGTCGATATAACTTGTGCGCCCAAAGCCGACCTCCTTCAGCTCCTTTATGACTCCTTTCGCTCTAGATTTGTTATCATCATGAAACCCACGAAAGGCAACTCCCCGGAGGTCACGAAAGCAACCTTTGAATACCTCTAATTTGTACTGCATTCCTTGCAGCGCTTCCTTCCAGACCGCCACGATGCGAACGCAATCAACGCCAGTATTTCAATGCTCAAACTTCTCCGGGCATCGAGGAATAATCAAGGATGTTCAAAAGACGCCGGCGTGCGCGATGTTCTGCAAGGACTTTCTGCTAAAGGCATGCTTTTTGAGCTCATTTGCAATACACTGGAAGCTAAGTAACGACCTGCAGCATCCGTAGCTGTTATACAAATCACAGAGCAAATGCCGGCGTCTTCATTAGCAGACATACTGAGGCGGTATGCTTCGAGATGTTTGAGCTGTCACCTAATAAAGAGGCCGTTACGCCTAAAAGCAGCAGGCTCATTCACGGCTTCCCAACAAATGCAGTGGAGGTTACTCTAGAGCAGTCTCCACTACAATGATTACAAGTACATTCTCCCTCTCAACATCGAGCAACTAGATCTCCCAGAACAGAGGCATACCAATGCACTCGTACTGAAGAATTTATTGCGCCCCGAGAACGGCATCGCGTTAATGTCAGGAGAGATGATGGCCCAGAACTTCAGTGCTATGTCCTTTTTGGAGGCCCTCACTACAATGAGTTCTGAACCCCGGGTTATTTTACACGTCGGGACTCAAGTCATTGACTCCACAAACCTGGAGGTCGCACAGGCATGGTTGGGCCTTCATTCATCCGACGAGAAAACGTAAGCTGTGGTGTCTTCTTGAATGATCAGGATGAAATCATGGTACTCGATAAAGGCGGCACGGTCGAGGAACTACAAACTTCTCCCTATGCGGATCAGCTGGACCCGTGCCTGGTTTATCTAGATGAAGCGCACACCAGAGGTATAGATCTTAGACTTCCTGCACATTATCAAGCTGCAGTTACTCCAGGTGCCAATGTAACGAAAGACAGACTGACCCAAGCCTGTATGAGAATGCGAAAGCTTGGAAAGGGACAAAGTGTAATTTTCTTTATATCGAAACACATTGAACAGGAAATCCGTCAGAGTTGTGGCCATGAAGACAAGTCGCCGGAAATAATCACGGTGTCGAATGTTGTCTCTTGGGCTATCACCGAAACGTGCAAGGATTTTCGCAGAGCAGTGCCAACTTGGCTGAATCAAGGACTCCGATTTACTAAGCGTCAACCCATCTGGCATCATCTCACTGACCAAGACGATAAGAGTCGACGGGAATATGGCGAAGAATTCAAAGAGGATGATGCTCCCTCTCTAGAAATGCGATACCGTCCACGCCCACGCCAATAAGACCTTCCTTCAAGGTTCAATGGGATCAGCCCGCGCTATGCAGCTGTGTTTCAGGATCGATGCCAGCAATTCGAGCTCACAGAAATGCACCATGCCTCACTTGATGAAGAACAAGAGCGGGAATTGGCGCCCGAGGCTGAACAAGAATACCAAATGGAGGAACTTCCCAAGGTCAAGCCAGCAGAAAATTCAATCCATCCAGGTCTGGACAAATTTATTGTCGAGGGCATATTGCCCAAGGATCCGTTTCTCCCGGCGTTTGCGACTCTCGAGACTACATCAGCGACGCAACAATTGATGTGTCTGAATTCCCGAGCGCTATACTGGTCACGCGGGATTTTGCTGTGACTGTCGATAGATCGTTTGGCCCCGAACTATTCTAAGATGCTTTCCAAAGACCTGTTCAGTGGATCCTGACCGTGCGAAAAAATCCTAATGTGCTCATCGTCGTCAGCCCCTACGAGGTTCAACAGCTCTTGTCACACCTTGAGCAATCTAGGCACGTGAAGCTCCATCTGTTTTCTGCAAAGGTCAACCTAGGATACGATTCGCTTGATCACTTGAATCTCTACAACGTATTCGAGAGACAAGGTGCATCGATCCATTCCACGAGCCATTGTCAGTCGCTTGTGTCAGTTCTCCGGCCAACTCTACCTAATATCCTTCGACGACTATGTAGAGCTCTGCAACTGGCTCGGCCTCGCTTGGGAAGCCACGAACGAGGATGTCGTACTTGGACCGGGCGGATTCATGATTGCCAGCCTAAAGCACGAGGCTGGAACGCCGGTTTCCGGTTTCTCAAAGAGCCCCGTACACTTCCTGAAGGTTCTCACCTCAAAGGTCCGGAAGCACAGTGAGCATATTGAGAGAACACACATGGGCAGGATTTTCCAAGGGGTACGATTGCTAAAGAGTGACTTTGAGGATATGGCAAATAATCAGTGAAAGTAAATCCTATCAATCTTGCAGTTATCCATGTTGTTCCTCATAGAGAAAATTCTTTACTTGATAGAAATTTAAAAATATGAGTAATAAGTAAGTACGTCACGAGTGAATGCACACGGAGGTTTGTTTAAGATTTCCATTCATGAGGTAAAATAAAATTTAACACTTAGTATATTACCTACTTGTATTAGTATTATGGTATATCATGATATAATCTGATAGTGTAGTCAAAGCCTCTCCTATTGAAACTGTATTACCATAGATGACTTCAGGATCGACCGTGTCTTTGTACGATCTAGTAAAGGTTACTTACACCATGGGCTTAGTTAGATGGTTTGAAAACAAATCAAGGACGGAGAATAGATACGATTGGGGAGTTAAAGAATTCGAATATATTTATCTTTGGACATGTTGTCGCTATAGTTGCATTCAATGTTCCCGAGGGCACAATGAAAGCACGGATTTTTTTTTTGGTAACGTCCATGACAGCCTCAAGCTGCATTGCTGCAATCGACTCAGAAGCGGGTCTACCTAGGCCAATTAGATTTTGGATTACGCATACCTTTCGCCAGCGCTAGGTATTGCCTTATGTAGTTAGCTAGGATTGCTACTTTTTGGAAGCGCTAATGAATCAGGTAATACCAGGGATAAAAGATACTGCAATGCTTACGGGCAGCTCGGGGGAGTATTGCTTGGGATTGTCCATAGCATGCCAAAAAGCCTGAGAATAGGTCGTATCGGCATGTGAGCAAGCGATTTGGGCGGTTGAAAAGAGTTGTATTCGTGACTTCCGACAGGAGACGATAGTGTGCAAGGGAGAGTTTCGGGCCAACCCGAAGAAAGATGCATAGCAATCATACGCGTAGTAGACCCAAATCTGACAATTAAACCTAGGTTCCCGATAGTTAAGCAAACCCCTTCCAGGATACTCCTTAGGAAATACTTGAAAATATCAGTTTTAAAGATTCTGCCCTGTTCGTAAGCTCCTTCGCCCTTGTGACTCTCTCTTGCGCCCTTAATCTAAATCTTTCTCGGGTCTTTTGCGTAAGATTTGCTCAGTTGTCAGATATCTAGGTTTGTGTTTGTTCGACACTAAGCATCTACCCATGGGCCATACGCATGGGAAGGTCCCTGCAGTATAATTGCAAGGTACTATAATCAACTATCTAGGACTAGGCTAGGTATCTAACCAAGTTCAACTTATGTTGACTCATTGCTAATGGCTTGGCATAACAGAACTGCGACCTCGAGGCTTCAACTTCGTAGACATGCACTAAGATTGCGTAGAAAGTAAATAAGAGAAGCAAATACTTAATATGACTAGGTATCTAGTTCTTTTAGTAAAATTTATACTTAGCCACCGAGGATTAACCTATATAAGATTCTCTATCTCCAGTCTGAAATTTTGTGCAAGTATAAATATATTTGACACAAGTAACTTGATCGAAGTCACGTACATTTATTTAGGGAATCTGAATGGGGTTTCAGCTCTTCAAGACTCCTGGTCACGGATCATATGATACCGACCCCTTGCTCGAGGCAGCAACGACTTCCGCCGCCACATATAGCAGAGATCTGGAAGCCGATGACAGCGACAGCGATGATGATAATGACGAAAACCAAGATGTGAAGGATGCACGCACCGAGAGGCTCCGCGATACAGGAGGGTGGCTCGGATACCTGAGAGACTTCACGATTTTCTTACCCTACGTAGTGCCTCGTCGGGATTTCAAGGTGCAGCTTTGCCTGCTCATCTGCATCATCACACTCGTTTTAGAGCGTCTCATGCAAGTCGCGATACCTTATACCCTCGGGATAATCGCAGACAAAGTCACATCTGGATCTGCACCTGTCCAAGAGCTTCTGGTTTTCCTTGGTCTCGACGTTCTGCACGGCTCTTCAGGCCTCGGTCTCATTCAGGATCTATCGAAAATTCCCATCAAGCAGTTCTCGTATAAAAGGCTTACCAACGCCGCCTTCAATCATGTCATGGCACAATCGATCGACTTTCATTCAACACAGGATTCAGCCGAGATAATGAAGGCGGTCGAGCAAGGAGAAGCTGTGGGCAACGTGCTAGAGTCCGTGGTTTTTGACATCGCACCACCCTTGATCGATGTTATTGTTGCCTGCACTATCTTCTACCAAAGATTCGGACCTGCAGTGGCAATGGTACTGTTTGGCGCGTCAGTGGCCTACTTGGTTTTGGAAACTTCTTCAACCCGACTCACAACTGACGACCGGAGGAAGCTGACGAAGGCAGCGCGAGTCGAGACTCGTAAGATACATCAAGCGATCCAAGGATGGCAGACCGTGGTCTACTTCAACCAATTCCATCGTGAGACTCGGAACCTGGCCGGTGCAGTGTCTGAACACATGAAGGCCAAGACGCGATTTGAGGCGCGACAAGCGCTCATCCAAGCCCTGGTGGAATTGTTTGTACCTGTCACTTTCTTCACACTGGCCTACCTGGTTCTACGACACATCGCTGCCGGAACAGCATCACCGGGAGACTTTGTCTTTTTCTTGACGTATTGGGATTCAATCATTTACCCACTGAAGTTCCTGACAGAGCACTTCCGCTGGCTCGTGAGCGACTTTGTCGACGCCGAGAGACTCCTTTTTCTTCTCAAGACTAAGCCATCGATCGTCGACGCGCCCGAGGCGTTGCCCCTTGCCCCTTGTGTCAATGAAGTTCGTTTTGATGAGGTTTCTTTCCAGTACGAAGAAGGCCGTTACGCACTACAAGACATCTCGTTTACCGCCTCGGCGGGACAAGTTGTCGCGCTCGTTGGTGAAACAGGTGCCGGCAAGTCGTCAATACTAAAACTGCTCTTGCGTATGCACGACATCACAGCTGGCAGTATTACCTTCTCAAATCAGGATATACGGGATGTTACGATCAGTTCCATTCGCAATGCTGTAAGCGTTGTCCCCCAGACTCCGATGTTTTTCAATGCGCCCATCATAGAGAATGTGCGGTATGCGCGCAGCACAGCAACTGATGAAGATGTACACGAGGCGTGTCGCGCAGCTGCTATACACGACACTATCATGCGTTACCCAGAAAGCTATGATACGCAAGTTGGTGAGCGCGGAGTCAAGCTGTCGGGAGGTGAGGCGCAGAGATTGGCAATCGCACGGGCATTGCTCAAGAATGCACCAATTGTGCTGTTAGACGAAGCAACTAGTGCTGTTGACACAATTACAGAAGGGCGAATCAAAAGCGTGTTAGGGAATCTTCGGCGGGGGAGGATTTGGATAGTAATTGCACACCGACTCAGCACTATTGTAGATGCCGACCAGATCTTAGTGTTACACGAGGGCCGTTTGGTTGAGAAGGGGAGCCATGCTGAGTTATGCGAGAAAAGGGGAAGATACTGGAAGCTTTGGGAACAGTCTTAGAGCATCATATTGCCGATAACATATTGAGTTCTACACGGTTTCAGCCACCGCCTACGCACTTATGCCTAGTAAAGCAGTCATTGCAAACAGAGAGCACTGTGCGAATGTTCTCTTCGTTGCTTCGCTATGATCGTTGTGGCAGTCTGCCTCCATCTCCGTTTAACGTAACTAGGTATAGAATAGAGCGCAAAGTCAACGCAGGATCGCATTCGCACGCTCCGGGCGTCTTAAAACTTAACAACATCAACAGACCCGATAGCCAGTCACCACTCGACATACGCGCCGGACGTTAACTATACCGGAACCCGGATTTCTGTCTGGGAGTGAACATTAAGACTCTCGACAAAGTGAAGCAATCACTATCCTAGTATTCTAGATACTAACGGTGGTGAAATGCACTTATGAACCGATTTCATATCTTGTTCTTCTCAGAGATAAGATATGCAAACTCGAAATTCCTAGCGATGAACCAGATGACTTATTTTTCCATCAAAACCACTTTCAGATCAATGGTGTACCGATCCAGTTGACTCTTATCTCTGGAGCAGACTCATAGTGAAACCATGAACGGAAAGACTACAAGTTTCGACATCGCTGCTCGCTCGGCCCTCTGCTCGCCTTTATAAGTATCGCCAAATCAAGTAGTTGTGTTTTGGGATGCGTCCCTAGCACATTGGCTACTTCCGGTACGACAATGATTATTCATTGCATCGAAACAGATTAGAACTTGACCACCAGCTTCGAGCCTGATACTTGTTTCGACCGAAGTCTGCCGAGACCTTCAGAAATGCCACCAAAACCGCCATCGATTGAGGTTAGAGGAGGCGCCTTGATTATTCTTGCAAGTTGGAAGAGGCTTGCGTAAAATCTGACCAGGGCATCGCGATCTGTGGATGAAGCAGGATACTTCGGACCAATGGGGGATAGCCAGGCAAATGCCCGTCCAAGAAGCTGAAAAGACATGATCATCTTCACTTCGACCCCAGGAATGCTGGCCTTAGTGTCGAGTAATGTCACCACTTTGCCACCGTTATTCTGCAGAATTTGCGCACAAAACTCAGTCGACTTGCCCTCTGAGAAGCAGTCAAGAGCTCGGGTAATGCTTGGATGTGCTGTGGCTATGTCTTGAACTGCTGTTGGCTCGTGGTAGTCGAAAACATGATCCGCGCCATATGCTTTGACAAGCTCAAAAGAATGAGGCGATGCCGTTGTTATGACTTTGTAGCCTGCCATTTTTGCCATCTGAATTGCGAAAAGGCCCACGCTACTTGAACCCGCATAGATGAAGATCGAAGTTCCAGCTGGACTCTGCTGATTTCCATTCTCATCAGGCCAAGGAACGTCCAAATGGAGGTGTAGTGCCTGCATAGCTGTGGCCGCCGAAATGCCGTATGTGGAGGCTGCCTCATCGCTGATAGTGTCGGGAATCTTCCATATAAGGTCCGCTTCCACCTTGATGTATTCTGCAAACGAGCCGCGGCCTTCATCAATGCCGCCTTGCACAAACCCAGCAACACGGTCGTTGACCTTCCATCTACCGAGTGCGGCCTCTCCAATCTCTTCAATGACTCCTGCAAAATCACAGCCGGCAATCTTGCCCGGAGGAGCAATGAAATCGATGAACTTGGCATCAATGGGATTGAGGGCAACTGCATGGATTTTAACTAGGACTTCAGTCTTAGAGGGTATAGATAAAGGGATATCCTCCTCTTTGACGTCTTCGCCAAACGACTTTCCGGTAAACAAATTAGCAGATCGTGCGAACACTCCGCGCTGTGTCACAAGGGCTTTCATCGCGATTTTCTGATCGTGTACAAGACTTTCGCGCGAAACAGCTGCAGAAATGAAACTTCCTGAGTGTTGTGATCTCTCATGTCCTTTATGAGACAGCAATGCATTCAACATTGCCAGTTTTCGGACCAAGTTTCGTGCGCGGTACTATGATCCGGATTTCTGTGATGATGATTAGTATTCGTTCTATGTTGCGGGTTAGTAGCCGCTTGCGCGCTCGGCTAACCAACCAGACTATCGGCCTTAGTTACATTGACTTTCCCAAAGATCACTAATATTGTATCAAACAATATGCGTCTAGCAGCGGTCCAGATGGCATCGAAGGCACAGTTGTGTTTGCGGGCACTGCACTCGGCTGTATCATCTGAAGATGTTCGCCATTCACACTAAACACTCATAGGCATATGATTACTCAACATGTCGACTTAAGTGCTGTTCGCTCGCACCATTGTGCTTGCCGCACGCAGTCCTAGCCTTCTGTTCAATCAATACCCGCTCAACTTATTCCGATTCTCCCTGCTCCTGCGCTTATACAGCTGAAAGCATGTCTGCACCGATTGTCTTCATCACGGGATCTACTGGTTTCATTGGAGCCCAGGTCACCCTAGCTGCCTTATGTGCTGGCTATAATGTGAGGTTGAGTGTCAGGCGCTCAACTCAAACCGAAGGACTGCGTCAAGCATTCCACGAGTTTGATGATAAGCTCGATTTTGTCGTCATACCTGACTATACCATAGCGGGTGCCTTTGACTCTGCGCTCAAGGATGTGCATCATATCATTCATCTTGCTTCTCCCCTACCCAAACCCGGCGAAGATCTTCTGACCCCAGCAGTCAAGGGGACGACCTCGGTACTAGAATCCGCGCATCGCACTCCATCTGTTAAGACGGTTGTCATAACCGCATCGGTAGCGTCCTTAATCCCCCTCGGAAAAGGGGCTGATGGGCTTGTTGTGACCGGTACAAGCTCAATCTCTGGCGTCTATCGAAACGTTCTAACTGAATGAATTACAGAAAGTATCGACAAGGAAGAGCTATCTTTCGACCACTCCATCGTTCCCTCACTTGAGCCATTTGGCCAATACCATGCTAGCAAATTGGCGTCGTACACGGCCACTCTAGACTTTGTTGCATCCAAAAGTCCTCGCTTCTCTACTGTCACGCTCCATCCCGTGTTCGTATTCGGCCCGAGCCTTCTACAATATTCACCGGAAGAGCTATCTGGGACGAATGCGATGCTGTTCGGATCGCTATATTCAGAAGAGCCGATGTTCGCACCGTTTCGCGGCGTACATGTACTGGATGTTGCGGAGGCTCATATTAAAGCTCTTCATCTGCCCCAAAGAGCAATATCTTCGTATCTGCTCTCTGCAAAGGATCGTTCATGGGAGGAGGTGCTGGACTTTGTCAAGGAAGAGTTTCCCACGGCGGGCTTTAAAGCGAAGGCAAAGTCCGGTGACCGCTGGAATGTTGACACAACTCGTGCTCAGAATGAACTCGGCCTACAGTCGTGGAGGGAGATGGAGGTGCAAGTCAAGGACGTGGTGGATCAGCAGCTAAAGCTTCGTGCCAGTGAGGCTAGCAGAGCCAACAAGCCCCCAGCATAGACTACATACACATTCAGATGAGAATAGCATACTCCTACAGACTTTTATGCACTATTGTGGCCTGTGGCCCTTTTGTGAGATCACTCGTGCCTCTCACAGGCATACACTACCTTGACGATTATTTAAACATTAACACTTACATAGTTTAGAGGCACGTTTATCTGTAATAATGGGGGCAGCATTTCCACATGATTTTATCAACATTATGTTATGTCTACCAATTGACCGTATCCTCAATTTTTGACCAGGAACGCAGTTATTAAAGGCCGGTTGTGACGATTATGCATCCAGCATAATCGATCGCTGCTGCTGAGTGGCGCATCCCTCGTCACACCCGAGGTCTGATAAAAGATTCTATTCCAGATTGGCAACAGGAAGCACAATACCCTTCGCGTTTCCAAACAAATTAGAATGATGTATTAATAAAGTACAAAATTAACAAGCTAAAAAGCAAAGTCCACACTACTTCTATTATCGAGCAAAAAGTCAAAACATATAGAAACATAGGAGATCTCCGGGCCTTGCCTCATAAGTTATGGGTCAAGAGCTCTTGTTCTGTCCAATCCCAAAGCTTTTCTGCTAGTTCATCATTGTTCACCATCTTGTTGCCCGTCACCTTCTTCTTCAGAGGTACATAATATGCACCTGATTCTAGCTCACTAGAACGACCTGTCGCTGCCCAAAGCTGGCCGTATGCACCTTTGTGCACATCGGTGAAAAATAGGTTGACGACGATTTTGAATAGCCACTGAAGATACGGGTATCTTTTCATCATTTCTGTGGCGAGGCCGGTTTTAACCACCCCAGGATGAAGTGATACGCATTTGATGCCCGGGTATCGTTTGGCTAGAGACTTTATGTATAGCAGGTTTGCCAATTTCGATTGGCCATAACGAGCGGTGCCGGAGATGTCTGCCTGGGTGGTCTTGAGCTGGGAGAAGAGAATGCCTTCCTTGGGTCCAAATTGGTGGGCGTCGGAACTGAGTTGAACAACGCGAACGTCGCTACCTGGCAGTTTCGATGTTTTCTCAAGTAAAGGAAGAAGCAACTTCGTGAACAATGCCGGGCCCATATGGTTCGAGCCAAAATGCATCTCATAGCCATCTTCCGTCAGCGAAGGAGGGACCCCCATAAGTCCAGCGTTATTGAGCAGCACGTCCAGGCGATCGTACCGCTCCAAAATCGACCTTGCAGCCTTCTTAATCGAGTCGAAGGATGAAAGGTCCAACGAAAGGAAGGTCAGCTTTATTCCAGGAACCTCAGTCTCGATCTCCTTAATGGCTTCAAGGGCTTTTTTCTCAGACCGGGCTGTCATCACAATCTCTCGCGGAGCGTGCTTCCCTAGCTGCGTGATGGATTCTTTGCCGAGCCCGCTATTACCACCGGTCACAATTATGACCTTCCCGGCCAGGTCTGGGATATCTTTGTTGGGTGAAAATGACATGATTGTTATTTTGAAGTCTTGGTAGGAAACGTTTTATCGGAAAAGACAAGATTTTGATGCAAAAGGTTGGGTTTGTCTGAACATCAATAGTTCGGCGATAGTTAATATATTAATTCTCACCAAGTACTTTCTCCAGCATTTAGTCCGTCAAGATGATTACTGCGTAAAGTATTCGTAGCATTTGTATGATTACTCATCTCTATTGGGCCGGATTTTGTCCAAGGCAAATACTCGGAACCCGTCGTTTGTTCCACAGGCTAGCACTTGGATGTCTCGGACCGAAACTAGCGTCCGCAACTACAAGCCCTCCGTTTATGATAACGAGAGCAACAGGGGACCACGATGTGTTAGGGAACATAGGCATTAGAATACCCTGCGAGCTTCTCCAGGCCATGATAAAGGGATGCTATCGTAGCAACATACAATTTGAATTCGAATCATGATGGGATTACTGTCGACAAGATCAATGATGATTGCCAACCAGGAGCACGGCTGACGATAACCAAATTCAGCTGTAATAGCGCGGCACCGATACTTGAAAGATAGTAAAGGTGCAAATGTAGCTCTTGTCCCTAGCCAGCTTCGCTTCTATATCGTCCGAGCGCATTGTAGTTTCGACTTCTCTTGTCACAAGATGCGGCGGGTACGATCCGTGTCTAGCGTGAAGGTAACGGGAAAACGTTCATGTACACTGCTCATGTGGCGCCGTCGTGCTGCAGCCACGACCAAAAACGGATTTGGAGGACTCGCTGAGTTAGCCGCAATTTTGTGGTCAGATAGCGATCACAAGGGACCATGTCAGGTTCGATTTGTTTGCTTTGCTGGTGTGGTTAGCGGTAAATTCTGTCACTCGTATGTCGTAGGTAGACTGCTTCAAGGAGATTGCTGATAGATCCATGGATGCGGCAAATGAGTGCAATTTGCTGCAAGAAAGCTGTCGCAAGCTAGCCCGTAGCTTCGCAATATGGAGCTGGTGAGAAGTGTGTGGATTCATATATATAGCATTTATGCTTGCCATTATATCATAGCTTCGATATTATTCAAGTACAGCGTCCATCTAATCGAGCTAAGAACCTTATTCTCATAGTAGCCTTATCCACTGACTTTTCATGAGATCAAAATGTTAACAGCAATGTTGTACTCACCCACCATAAAATAAGCGTAAAACGCAGCTCTATAGTTTAGGAGAGGCTGCATGTTTCTAAGGCGTCCTGTTAAATGTGTTTACAGTTTATAGGCTGGCAAAAGCCACCTGCTTTGTCCTTCACCTCAGCCTGACCTCTTGAATCGGCGTATTGTGGTATTTGAACTCGAACCCCGCACTGATCCACAATGTCAACCTCCTTCCCCTCTCCAAGCTATTCTTCCTCAATTGGAACTTTCTTTGCCGCTTCCTACTCATAACAAAGTCAAAATGTCATTGTTTCTCGATATCGCCACTGGATTAATCGCAGTCGGAAGTTTATCGACTGCCGCAGCCTCATGGTACAGTGCCTATATGCAAGCAAGCAATGCTGGAAATGTGGAAGAAGCAGTAAGCTCATCTTGTCCTTATAAAATACTCATTGTGCTACAGGTTGCCAATAATGCATTAGTAGCTGACGTTAGACAGAATTACTGTTATGCGCAATTAGGTCAATGCTTAGCGGAGGAGGGCCATCTCAACTAGACTTACAAATGAGCAAGCTGTTACAAGCAGATTTGTTTAGCTTGTTTGTTCAAGACTTGTATTTCATTCTCGTAGAATGGATGGCATTTACAGAGAATAAGAGTCATTTCTGGTGACAGAAGACGGCCTGTAGGCCTAGATAGTGCCCTGCGCGTCTGCAGAGCACAGCCAGTTTCCATTCAATCGAGCTAAGAAATATATCTCACAGTGGTCCTACTACCAACCTTTCCATGGGATCCAAGTGCCAATAACAATGTCGTTCTCATCCACAACAAAGTAAGCGTAAAATGCAGCTGCAGTAATGCAAGAATGCTGGCACCAAAGGAAAACCTTTTCGCCTACTTTGAAGAGATTTCCAACTTTTTCATCTACGTTCTGTTTTGTGCAGCCCAGTATACCGTGTTCTTGAGAGACACGAATTACGTCCCAATGTTGTTGATCCACGACCTTGCCGTGTCCAGGATACTCACTAGCTTCTCGAGCTAGAACAATTACCCCTGCATTTATCAAGGCTTCGTTACGCTCGGGATAGACGCTCACGACATCTGCGCATACGCGAATCGCTTGATGGTTTATCGAGATGACACCTGTAGAGACTTGTTGGAGATCGTTCGTTGGAAAATTGCCTAGCTCTGATTAGTGTTGTACTTGAAGCTTTGAAAGGATTTCTATGTACCGGCATGAAGCTCGAGTGTTACGTTTGGTGGCAGCTTTTCGTTCAATCTATCAATTACGTGTGCTGTAGGCGTTGCGCCAATTGACACAATGAGTGGCCTGGTCGTTGATACAAATGAAGCTGCCGCAGCAACCTCCGCCACCTCATGTTGCAGCATCTCGACTACGCTCTCCTCTGTCCGGCAGCCGTATGAATGGTTTGCATGGCAATAGATGCCTTTTAGATTGGCGGACTGCGAGGCCTCGACTGCTTGCAACAATTCCTTAAGTCGCGGTGAATTCGTAGCGAGGCCGGCCCTGCGAGCGCCTACATCGATCTTAATAAAGACATCCCATGTTGCCCCAGAGCTTTCCAGAAGTGCCAATTGGTCGCAACTGTCGACAAGTAGATCGATCTTGATCTCCTTTCGGAGAGCAGTTAAGCGAGGAATAACACTCTTGTAGACAGGCATACCAAATATAGCCTAACACAAGAATTAGTGAACCGACTTCCTCAAAGACGTCGAGGATGCTGGTGAGAAAGTTAAGCCCGTGGATCACTTTATACACCATGAGCAAATCCAGCGAACAGCGACATACCTCATCTAGAAGACCTTCTTTGACTAAGGGTAGAGACCCAACTATCTCAGGAATGGTAGAGCACACAACTTTGCGGTACAAACCATTTCCCAGCATGAGACGTGTTATCTCCAAAGTCTGTGATGTAGTAAGTGAGTATCTAAATCGATTTCATTTCAATTCAAAACAAACCTTCAGTGTCTTTAGATGTGGTCTAAACGAAATACCGAGCCTCGAAACATCGTCGTGCAATTTGTTGATATTTTGCGCTATTATGGATTTATTTATGATAAGAGAAGGTGTTGGAAGCTCCCGCACATGGCGACCAATGTAGATTTTGTGATGCTCAAAGGCGTAATCCATGTTCGTAGTTTGAATGAAATCTCGGAGAGACCTGCAAGTAGAGTCTGTGGAAACGACCTAGGTACACTCATTGGGGCCAAAGACCCTTTATTCGATAGACTGAGGAGGGCGCTAGCATACATCGAGAACGCTAATCTATTTCACATCGCGCGCTGAAGTTGAAGCTCTTGCGGGACATGAATAAATTGGTCAACGTTGAGTTGTCCCAGGAATATACTAAAGAAGCTAATACTAATCAAGTAGGGATATAATATATTATCTAGAGCCCTGTAGAGATTGTACTCCTCACGCGTCGTATCACTGATCTGGTGTGCAAGCCATGGGCCCATCTTGAATTTATGTTGCATCCATATGGGAAAAATAACGAAGAGCCATTAAGAGCAGCGCACTGTAACATGAACGACCACAAATTAAATGGTTGGAGTAGAAGCTCACTTCAGTATGCGTACAAAGACGTGGGCCGACGCAAATATATTAGCGCGCTACCAATCGCCTTCTTGTGATCACTGACTCTGCTAGCTAACCATAGCAATACACTCGATCTCAACAGGGACCCTCTTTGGTAGTTCCTTCACCGCGACGCAGCTACGTGCAGGAAGAGAAGTGAAATACTTCTCATATACATTATTGACCTCTGCAAAGTTGCTCATGTCCGTTAGGAACACTGTTGTTTTGATCGCAATGTCTAGACTCGAACCTCCTGCTTCTAAGATTGCAGCAATATTGCGGATGCACCGCTCCGTTTGCAATGCCACCGATAAGCTCAAGTCGATATTTCCAGACTCATCCGCGGGAAGCTGACCGCTGGTGAAGATCAATGGTGGAACCTTGATGGCTTGGGACTGCTAATTTGTCAATGCTGAATTGGTCGCAAGCTTCTCGCCACGTACGTAGGGACCGGATGCTGTGTAGTCGTCAGTGATCCAGAGTTTCAGGTCAATGTATGTCTATCTACCTGGAGCAGCATTTTGGGCTTCAATGGTTTGCTTGGGTGGCATGGTGACGGGGCCAGTACCGCGATTAGTTGTAAGTGTGTCGCTTACTAGCAATCCACATCATCCCATTGATAGTGATATATGTTGTTCCCGCCGCGTTCTAGATGCTCAATATGTCCGCACGCGCAGGTGTGCGAGCCGCGACATGGCGGTAATGATAGTACGTAACGATGGGCGAGCGCGGAAAACGCTCTGATTGGGCCACCCCGTTTATTCATTAAGGAACCCACACCATAGAGTTAGCACCCCCTAGCCAAGATCTGGGGTACAATAGATAGACCGAACCTCTGGCAGTAGGTCAGTGGGAGTGATTGATTGCCATGGATACGAGATCTGCTCGTTATAATTACGGCTGATCTACCCCCTTCACCTGATATTCGACACTGTGGAGATACTCTGATCGAGCTTCATCGCGCAGTACGTAAGACAAGTCATGTCTACGAAAGACAGTGAACCAAAATCAGGTAGTCTCGACTTGGAGAAGATTGAGACGCACGGTACGCTTCAAACAGCCTACGATGAGCGCTTGTACTGACATCAAGCCAGCCGTTGGCGAAGTGCAAGAGCTTCGCAGAAACTTCTCCTTATTCTCTGTTCTCGGAATCTCTTTCTCGCTTGCGAATTCTTGGTTTGGGATATCTACAGCGTTGGCCACTGGTATCAATGCAGGTGGTCCTGTTCAGCTAGTGTATGGCACCATCATCATTGGCATCGTATGCTTATGCATCGGGGCCTCGTTGGCGGAACTGGCATCAGCTATGCCAGATGCTGGTGGACAATACTACTGGACAAGTCAACTCGCATCTCCGAGGTATGCGCGGTTTGCGAGCTATCTCACCGGCTGGATAGCATGGGCCGGGTCATTGTTTACCTGTGCAAGTATTGCACTGGGCGTTGGGAATTTGTGCATGGGATGCATTCAAATGGCTCACCCAGGCCTGTGAGTGAAAGTAAGCAAATGCGGTTGATAAATACTGACATGGCGCAGAGAAATCAAACCCTGGATGTCATTCCTCGCGTATCAAGTCGTCAATGCTGCGTGTGCACTGTTCAACACATACAGCAAGATACTGCCCAGTCTCACACTCTTTACTCTATGGAGTTCTATCATCTCCTTCTTGGTCATAATCCTCGCAATTTCCTGCAAAGCACCAAGCCATCAATCCGCGCACTGGGTATTTACGACCTTCATTAATCGGACAGGGTGGGACAGTAATGGCATTGCTTTCATTGTTGGGCTCATCAACCCGAATTGGGCATTCAATGGCCTCGATTGCGCAACACATATGGCAGAAGAGGCTAGGGATCCTGAGAGGATCGTCCCAATCGCGATACTCGGAACCGTTGGTATTGGCTTTGTCACCGCTTGGTTGTTTGGCATTGCTATGTTGTTCAGTATCCAGGACTTCGATTTGATCTCCAGCACGCCAACGGGCGTACCAATTCTGGAACTGTTTGACCAGAGCCTTCACAACAAGGCGGGCGCCATTGTGTTACTCTCCCTTATCACCGTAACGGGATGTGGCTGTTTGATTGCATCCCACACCTGGTATGTTACATTGCCTTCGCCATCCCATACTTATTTGATGGCTACTGACATCTTCGCCTCATTGTTAGGCAAGCACGCCTCTGCTGGTCTTTTGCTAGAGATAATGGACTTCCATATTCTCGGTTTCTCGCCACTGTCCATCCCAAAGCTCACGTTCCTATCAATGCGCACATTGTCAGCAGCATCATCGTTGCCGTCCTGGGGTGCCTTTACCTTGCATCGTACTCGGCTTTCAACAGTATGGTTACCGCTTGCATAGTCTTGCTCTATTTGTCCTACAGCATTCCAGTGTTGTGCCTTTGGCTATACGGGCGGTCGAAATTGCGGCGTGGACCGTTCTGGCTGGGGCGGCTTGGATGGGTTTGTAACAGTGTATTGTTCGGCTGGTTTCTCTTTGCGTTGGTGGTAAGTAGTCGCCATTCAGATACCGAATCTGCGTGTGCTAACGTTTCCAGATGTATTCGTTTCCGCCAATCTATCCAGTCAGTGCGGATAATATGAACTATGTGTCGGTCGTCTACTTTGTGGTTTCTGCAATTGTAATAGCGTGGTGGTATGCCTCTGCAAGGAAGAGTTATAGTGTTACTCACGCCGGCGCACACCGAGATTGAAATAGGAAACAAGAGAGTCACAGCGAGCGTCGACCTAGTCGATGCATACCAACTTTTCCCAACAATGTCGGCTTTTCTGATTGATAAACCAATCGCTCATTAATGTTACCTGAGGGTGTGAGAATACCTTCGTGGAGTCTAGGCTTTCCAATGTAAACTAAAGTCTACAATATTTCAATGTTGTTTCTTCACAGACATCTCTTCATACTAATTTAGCTGAGGGTGGCCAGTGTGAGGACCTCGAAAATTGATACCTGGCTTGTAATAGTTATAAGATATGGATACGTGGCGAAATGTGCATAAAGTTCATCAGGAAATGGTGTTCCACATTGTGCAATTCATCACCAAAAGACAAACCAGCATTTTGGATGGGAGTATGAAGGACCGGAGCCATACTCAATACAGTGAATCACAGGATAAAAGGACAATGTGGTCATAGGCAACGGATCTAGAGGAGCATCTGTGATGCATTGAAATGGGGAGCGACTATATAAAATCCATAGACAAGTGACACAACAAATTCAGACGGTCTCGATATACCTCTTGAACTCCCAATCAGTCACCGCTTCTCTCCAAAGCTTCAGCTCGTGATCCCTTGTCGTTGAAAAGAAGTCTACGAACTCGTCCGAGAACAGTTTGCGCGCAATGCTTGCAGGCGAGCGAAAGCGCTGCACTGCATGCTCAAGAGTGTTCGGCAAGGGGGTAGGGGTATCCTGTCGCGCTGAATTTGGTGGCACCAATATGTCAAGCTTTTGCTCGATGCCGTGCAAGCCAGCTGCGACAATGGAAGCAAGTGCATAGTGTGGATGTAAATCTGCCCCGGGGATGCGGATCTCAAAGCGCGTTGCCTTTGCACTACTCACTGGAGGTGCAATGAGCCGGATTGAGGCAAGTCGATCTTCTAAGCCCCACGAAATATTAATCGGCGCCCAATAGTTCTCCACGAGCCGCTTGTATGAATTGATTGTTGGTGCAAATAGCGGCATGATATCTGGAAGCGCGTTCAAGATGCCAGCGAGGAAAAAGCGACCTATATCAGACAAGTGGGCTATATCGCTCCAGGCTGCACCTGTGTCTTCGGATTCACGAGCAAACAGATTCTGACCATCTGCAGTGCACAGCGAAATATGGATATGCCCAGAATTACCCGGCAGGCCGTGAATCGGCTTGGCCATAAAGCATGGCGTGGCATTGTGTTCGATTCCAACTGACTTGGTAAGTAGCCTGTGGAAGGTTAGCCAAGTAGCTGGTTGCATATTGTGGTATAACTGACTTGAACAACGAGACCCTATCCGCAATCTCAGCTACTTGGTTCATTGCTAAAGCCTGCAATTTGGTGAGTCAAAGCTCCACTGAAAGTCTGAGTAATACGCACTGCTTCAAATACGCCAGGTCCACTCTCGGTATGCCATCCTTCGATATCACACCGGAACTGTCTGCTTGTGTCGAAGATGTTATAGAAGTAATCCTTATTCGCCGTTGGTCGCAACACACTATACCCGAACATGCCCGAAGTCAATTGCCGGAGGGACGATGGTGAATTGGAAGCTAGGAATGCGCCCAAATTCTTATGCGACGCAGATGATTCGTATCCATCTTGAGAGGGTGTCTGAAAGTTCATGAATTCAAGCTCGACTAAATCATGTCGATGGTTAGCATTGTTTCATGTGTTTGAAACATTACGAACCTCCAGCCAGACCCTGCCATCCTTTGGACTCCAATCTTTGCGAAATGTTTCGCAGCATGCTGCGGCCATCTGCATGTACAGGCTTGTCATTCGAGACAAAACGTAGCAGGAAAAAGGGAATGTTATCTTCCCATGGTACACGCCTGAAGGTTTTTAGGTCCGGGAAAGCGGTGAAATCGGCATAGCCTGATTGCAACGATGTCACGTTCGTTTCGTAGGCATACAGTTCGTCGTGCATGTCCCATCCGAATATAGCGGAACTCATCCCAAATCCCTTTTCGGCGGTTGACAGGAATTTCTCCACTGACATAATCTTACCACGGAGAATGCCATCACAATCGACTCCCGCAACTTTGACTTTGTTGTCATGACGCAGGAATTCTGCGAGAGTTTGATTGTTAGGTAAAATTGAATGCGAGATCTGAGGTGCAATTTCGGAATCTGGTGTTCGTTGGTCCATGTCGCAGGAGTTCGAAGTTGACGTGTGAGAGCTCATGAGTTTAGCAAAGCGTAGAAAATGTCGTGTCGAACAATAATCAGGCAGAAGTATGTTCAATGAAACTAAATGGGTAATCAATAAGCCGCCGGAATCCATTTCTCCAATGCATCGGAACTTGAATTCCAACTCAATGAGGGGAAGAGGATGGAGAGAGCGCGCACCGAACTGAAGCATCGATGGATCAGACCAATCAAAAGTGGTACCGCGCCCTAGCCCGAGTGTTCAGACCAATCAGGGGTGATACCGCGCTCACTAGAGGCGAGGCGCGCTCTCCAATGCACGACCTCTTTCCTTCATCGCGCAGTTGTAATTTATGTCCCGGATATGTAATTAGGGCCATGAACTCAGCGCCATCTATAGGATACGGTTTGGGTCCTGGCATTTCATGGCCCGTTCTTCCTCTCATCTTACCACCATGGTAGCGCTGTTGAGAATTGCCATACTTGAGTGCGACAAACCTGTCGACCCCATTCTACAACAAAGGGGTACTTATGGCGATATCTTCGAGCAGCTCTTCGACAGAACAGCTTCCGGTTCTATCAAAGCAAACTTACCAGAATGGAAATTCAGCAAATATGACGTAGTTGATCGCCAAATTTATCCATCACTCGACAAGATTGATGGACTACTGTTGACCGGAAGCAGTCTGTTTGACCTGATCATTATAGCAGGGCAATGGCTGATCTCTTTGCAGAACACGATTCCTTCGCAGACTTGCCTTGGATCAGTCAATTGGTTGACTATGTACGCGCGGCGTTTAATGCACGAAAACCAATCGTGGGAATTTGTTTCGGGCATCAGATACTTGCAAGGGCAATGGGAGCTGAAGTGGGAAGAGATTCTAGTGGATGGGAAGTTTCTGTCGACAAGATTCATCTTACCGATACTGGTATCAGCCTCTTTGGAAAGGAATCACTGGTAAGGATGTGTACTGTATTCTGGAATTCGTGCTGAAAGAAAATGGCCAGACGATGCATCAAATGCATCGCGATGTGGTCCGAACTGTGCCAGATGGCTTCCAGAATCTGGGCATTAGCCCTTGCTGTGAGATACAGGGACTGTTTTTACCGTATCGAGCATTGTCCGTACAAGCCCATCCCGAGTTCGATCATTTCATCACAACCGCTATCTTGCAAAAGAGGCATGCGGATGGTATTTTCAGCGATATCATGTACGAGGATGGGAATACACGAGCGATTCTGAAGCATGACGGAGCTGTGGTCGCTAAGGCCATTCTCCAGCTTTTTGTAGATGCACAGAGGGCTCAGGAGTAGATGTTCGAAAGAGAGAGTAGGTACTACTGTGGCTTTGATAGCTTTAATTTTTTCGCAAGTGCATACTCTTGAGCGCTCGCAAGGAGATAATAGTATGATGCCTAACAGATAGCATGGGCATCTCTCATATATGTTTTCACGAGTCCAAACCGCCTTCCACATACAAATTGTTGTTCATTTAATATATCGGTGCTGATCGTCGTTCAGATGGAGCGAGAAGAACTAGTATATAGTACGAGGTAATTAGAGTACGTATGTATTGCCATCGGGTATGCCCCTAGCGTTCATTTATCGATTATCGACTAAAGCTACTTGGATTCATACCGAAACTACACATGCGTTGACTAGGCATTGTTTAAAGGAAACCAGCGAAGCGCATATGTAATCGGCCCTAAGCGAGTTAAGATAGTCACTGGACTCATGCAACCTACCAACTAACCAACCTCCCTCCCAACCACTAGTTATATAGTGACGGAACGATCAACGACAACCAAAAACCCCGCTTACTCCATCTACCAGACTCTACAACTATGAAGCCAGCATATTGAGTATGACATAACATGGTCACATGTTCAATGCTTGCGGGTTGATCCTTGTTGCGGCATCTCATCCATAACAATTCATTTTCCCCTTTCAAAATGCCCGAACCACATCACATTCAATAACAACTGATCACAATGGCAAACGCTCTTCGTCGAAGATCCCATGCAATTCAGCGTGCGCGAACCGGCTGCCTCACGTGTCGCGGCCGCAAGAAAAAGTGTGGTGAAGAGAAACCAACTTGTCGCGGCTGCATCCGTAACAAGCTGGAGTGCGTTTGGCCTAATTGCATTACTGGAGCAAGACGCCAAAGTCAAGCAACGAAAGACGTCCCTTCTGAGTCCTCCCAAAAGTCTCCTCCTCTTCCAACACTCGATCCGGCTCCGTCAATATCTTTACCAACGACCCCGGTTGATGAAGTGAGAACTCCTGAAGACAACTCGACTACGTCAACACCGACCCTTGATCCTACCTTCCTTGTGCAAGCAGGCGTACACGATGAAGGCGAGACCGATGGTCCGCAGTCGGAATTTGTTGATTTTGAATTTCCATACGTTCATCCACAGTACGAAACGTCAATCGTCATCCCACAGGCCCCGTCTGTGATGCCCCAGCTAAGCCAAGGATCCTTCGATCTACTAAGTCACTATCTATCAAGGACGGCCAACAGCATGGGAAACGGCTCAACCGAATCTAACCCCTTCATAATTCAGATCGTTCCTCTGGCCTTTTCCAGTGAATTAATTTTGCGCCTGATTCTTACACAAAGCGCCGCCCAACGTGCTCTTTCCGCACCTGAACCTGCACACGTGGAAGCAACAGAGCATTACACCACTTCACTAGGACTCTTCCGTAGTGCTGTAGAGCATTTTATTGCTGGTAGCCAGACTGATAGTCTTATCATTGCTGCCGGAGCACTCATCTTGTGCTTCACTGAGGTTAGTGCTTCTTTGATCCTCACTCGTGCAAGCACTGACTTCGGCCTAGACGGCAAGAGGCGATACTCAGGGCATTATATTCGATCATTTGACAGCTGCGCAAAGTATACTTCGACATCTTTTTGATAACACGAGCCATCTATTTGGTGGAAGTTTCAAAGACTTTCTTCTAGAGTACTACGCCTAGTTACACAGCGACCTTGAGCATGATATCGGTAAACCCTCTTTACAGCGAGCAGCTGCTTCTCTCTCCCGATATCGCAAAAGAGGCTCGAGCACTCGTGGAGTCCCACTATGTTGGCCATCTCTGTGGATGTTGGCTGGAATTACTCCTCTTCATACCGCAGATATTTGAACTTCGCCGCAAGATAGTAACGACACACGATACCACTCTCCCAATTCAACTTGGCGCTGATGAAATCATTGAGTTCTCGGAGGTTTACCACCGCATTCTACGGTTCATTCCAGATATTACCTCACGCTCCGATACATACCAAGCATGTTTTGTTTTTCAAAAGGCTGTTATTCTGTATCACTTGACTGTTCTCGAGAACACAGTATCACCTTCAACTGGAGCGCACCGGAATTTAATCAATGACACCATAGCAGATTCTATGGGCCACCTGGAATGCATATCATCTAGCTCTCGCATCAATACGAGTTTATGCTGGCCACTTGCTGTCATTGGATCATGTTCCGATGATGAAGTAACGCAATCATACATTCGTACTAGACTACAGATCATGTCTGGAGTGGTCGGACTTGGCAACATCGACAAAACCTTGACATTGTTAGAGTACATGTGGTGTCATCCTAATCTAGCACGGAGTCCTTGGACAATATGCGATGCGATGCAAGAGGCTGAAATGTGGTTTTCATTTGCATGATCGCTACAGTAGATCTACCTTCCCAGATTTTTGGGAGCCTCAGTTGCAGGTCCCTCTGGAGTCACATACGCCTTGGTCAACCCTCCATCAACAACAAAGTCTGTTGCGTTGACAAAGCTACTTTCATCACTCGCCAAGAAAATCACGGCCTGCGCTTGTTCGATAGCCTCGCCGAATCGACCAGTGGGGAAGTGAACCTCGCGCCTGAACCGTTTCTCTTTATCATCGCCCAAAAAGTCCTGAAGCATCGGAGTACTGGAGAGAAATAAGTATTGACAGTCTCAACTGAAGAGCGCAGGTACTTACTTGAGCGGTGCTGGGCATAAAGAGTTGAAGCGGTATCCTAGTTCTTGTCAGTTGTGGAATATCAATAAGCTTCTGGTGAAAACATGCCTTCACGGGCATGCACAATAGCCAGCTCTCGGGTCAAAGCAAGGACGGCACCCTTGCTAGCTGTGTATGCAAGTTGAGGAGTGGCTGCTCCTACTAGTGCGACCATGCTGGCAGTATTGATGATGCTGCCCTTCTTCTTTCCATGGCGTCTTAGACTGCGAACCGCATGTTTTGAGCCATACCAGACACCTTTAACATTTATGTTCATGGTCAAATCCCAAATATTATCCGGGCACTCTTCTGCATCACCATCTTTGGGATGCATGATACCAGCATTGTTGAACATAATATCGACTCCTCCCCAGCTGTCGAGGTGGGTAACAGCAGCCTCAACATCGGCCTCTTTGCTGACGTCGACCACTTTGGTCTCCACTCTGCCTTTGTGATCTGGTACAACTTCCCTTGCCTTTGCGATAGCTTTCTCTAAAGCAGGAGTGGAAATGTCCGTCATAAGCACTGAGGCGCCTTCACGAAGCATCAAAATGACAGTCTCAAGACCAACACCACTGCAGGGATTCGTCAGCACATTCAAGGCTGACCAACAAGGCTGGGAGATACTTGCCCACCCGCCCCCGTCACAATCGCGTTCTTGCTGTCGAGTCTGCCCATGATTCTTGCTTTTGTTGATCTTAAAGTAGTTGGAATGTCAAAGCCGTTCAATGTTTAAAGTTATTCGATATGTTGGTAGCGAGATAGAGATAGAGGAGCAACAGGAAAGATATAGGACTGCGGACGGCTTTCAAGACTCACCTGTTTAATGAAGATCACTGACCGGTGCGACCGCACCTGCTGCAAGAATAAGCGCATTTGCACCATTCAGAGCACTCCACGAAGGCATGCATGTTGCAAGACAGAGCAATATAGCGCGGCTACGCGCATTGGTGGGGCAGTGCGACGCGGACCGCGCTCCATCACCTAGGTTGCCCAAGTAGATAACGACGGCGCGCTTAGATTTACGGATGCATCTGTTGCGCAGAGACCTATAATCGTTCACATGATGTTGTTTTATTAATCAAGTTCCAAGTCTGTTATCTTCAGGCACCTGTCGTCTTTTTGGACATCTTGTCGGAACTCAACGCGAAATCCACACCAATTCATCATTCTCGACTTTGTCTTCAAGATGACTTCAGAAATTATCAAAACTGTCTCCCCAGCAACTGGAGAAGTAATAATTAGTAACAATGGTACCACCTTGTCCGATTCACAACGAATTGCGAAAAGCTCCGCCAAAGCCTTCGCAACTTGGAAGGCTACGCCTTTTGCTCAACGCAAATCCCTTGTTTCGAAGGCACTTGTCATAATCCAGGAACGAAAAGAACAGCTCGGCCATGAACTTACGACTCAGATGGGCCGTCCCATTAGGTACAGTGCGAAGGAGATTGAAACCATGCAAAAGCGCGCCGACTACCTTCTAGACATTGCAGAAGAAGCACTTCAGCAGATCCCGGGACGACCTGAGAATGGCTTCACTCGATACATAACAAAGCAGCCTGTAGGGCCGACGTTGATTGTTTTCGCCTGGAATGTACGTCGCGGCGATCCCGTTCAAGAACGATATACTCACCATTGATAGTTCCCATACCTCATCATCGTGAACTCACTCATCCCCGCCTTGCTCGCCGGCAACACAGTCGTACTCAAGCCGTCACCACAAACCCCACTCATTGGCGAGTCCCTCTGCGAAATCTTCACTGAAGCTGGACTCCCGAAAGACGTACTTCAAGTCATTCATACTGGTAACCCTGAGACGCTCAAGAAACTTGTTGCTATACCAGAATTCCAACTCATTACCTTTACTGGATCAACAGCTGTTGGAAAAGCCCTTCGGGAAGCAACGGCTGGGCGTATTGTACCTATAGGCCTGGAGTTAGGAGGTAACGACCCAGCCTATGTCAGAGCAGATGCCGACTTGAAATATGTCGCTGCACAGTTAGTAGATGGAGCTGTGTTCAACACTGGTCAGAGTTGCTGCGCAGTCGAGAGACTGTATGTCCATGAGAGCATCCACGACAATTTCGTCAAGGAGTTGCAGGATGAGCTTGGCCAGTACGACCCGTTCCCTTGAGCACATACCATGATTCAGGACACTGACATATCACAGCTACAACGTCGGCGACCCCTTCGATACCACGACAAACGTCGGTCCAGCGATATCCGCTGCAGCAGTCAAAAACATAACTGCGCAGATTGATGACGCCCTTTCAAAGGGTGCACATGATGCTACCCCCAAAAACCCAAGCTTTTCCTCTCTCCCAACAAAGGGCTTCTACATCGCACCACGTCTACTCACGGGAGTCAACCACACTATGGACGTTATGCGCGAAGAAACCTTTGGCCCCGTCATTCCAGTGTGCAAGGTAGCATCTGACGAAGAAGCAATTGCATTGATGAATGATAGCAACTATGGGCTTACTGCAAGTGTCTGGACTAAAGATATTCAAGAGGGGCACAAGATTATTGCAGAGCTAGATGCAGGGACTGTTTTTGTGAACCGCTGCGATTACCCAAACCCCGACTTAGCATGGAGCGGGTGGAAGGACAGTGGGCTTGGGTGCACCCTAGGGCCGAAGGGCTTCGATGCTTTCGTAAAGTTGAAGAGCTGGCATATCAAAGAGGTGCATGGCTGATGATGGTAAATGCTACGTACTCCTTGTTTGAACTGCTGCAACCATTGTGTGCTGCGAAATTTGAGAAATGAATTTATCAATTTGTATCACAAACACTTGCCAACCTTACTGGCCTTCTTCTCTACAGTAAAATTTTCTAGCCCAAGATCTGCACGATGGAAAACGAATATAGAATGATCTATGCCCATGGGCTCAAATTCCGAACGATTGGTGTGATGGTTGTGCCTGCCTATTTGAGCAGTAAACTAGTGCTCAAGAATGTTCTACAGACACCATTTAGAATCTTTGATTTCCATCCCGCCATCTTCATGCACACATCTGCAATCTAATACACATGACCGTGGAAAACAGAACAGAGGCCTATAGGCAATCGAAGTATTGATTGCTGGCTCTAGCCAAATTGTAAAGTTGTTAATTCGGGTATGTTGTCTGCGATGTACCTCACTTTACAGGGCGCAGTCACCTCTAGAACAAACAGCAGACTCATTGCCAGGCTCGTGGAATACTGCATGGTAAACTTTTGTCTATGATTTTGTGACAATGAGATATAATTCTTCGATCAAGAAATAGCTACGGAGCTATTGCTATTTTGACAAATACGGTTTCTACCGCAATCAGAGACAGTTACAAACGCGCCGTGAAGCCGTTCTTGTCAATTTTTGCCAAATAGTCAGGCCCAATGTCCTCCACCTTTGTGATACCAGCAAGACCCATACACAGTTTGAATTCGTCGCGAATCAGTTGCAAGGCAAGCTCAACGCCCTCCTGGCCCTTGTAAGCCAATCCCCACAGGATGGGCCTGCCAATCCACACAAAGTCCGCACCAAGCGCCAACGCCTTAAATACATCAGTGCCATGTCGAATGCCACCGTCGACGTGGACCGGAATCCTCTTCTCCTGGCTCCGTACGGCAGCTACAACTTCGGGCAGCGCATCGATGGTTGCCAATGAACTATTAAGCTGGCGACCACCATGGTTCGAAACAATAATGCCATCAACGCCGTAGTGGCAAGCTAAAACCGCATCTTCCCCTGTCATGACACCCTTGACCCAGACCTCCATCTCAGGATGACATTGTTCCTTTAGCCACTCGATGTCCTTCTCCCACGTTAACGTTGGGTTGGCGGCGTGTGTGTGGAATCGGATGGGTCCCCGTGGCCATACCCTCTTCTCGCCATCATAATACCCTGCCTCGCTGTATGTCGACTTTGCGTCACTGTCACCTGAGCTCTCGTCGACACGGTTCGCAAAATTTGCAATCCGCAGGTGTTTCGGCAGCGTGAACTGATTCCTGATCTCGAGGTTGCGACGCCCGAGGACCGGCGTGTCGACTGTGAGTAGCACGGCTTTGTAGCCCTTTGCCTTGGCACGCTTTATCAGCTTTACACTGTGGTCACGGTCTTCGAACAAGTACAGCTGCAGCGCCATAGGTGTGTCGCCAATTGCGTCCTTGACGTCCTCAAGTGTCTGTGTTGCGAAAGAGCTCAACCCCATGACGACGTCTTGCTTCTTGCATGCACTCGCCGTTGCGATCTCACCATCTGGGTGCGCCAGACAATGCATTGCAGTACTGGCTGCGCCAACAGGCATACAAGAATTCTGGCCAAAGACATTGACTGTCGTGTCGATAGCCGAGATATCGCGAAGAACTCGAGGGCGAATACGGTATTTTTGATATGCGGTGATGTTTTCGGCAAGCGTGCTGCCAGAGTCCGAACCTTCATTATAGTAGTCCCGAGTCTGTTTGTCCATTCGCTGCGCTGCCAGCACGCGCAAATCTTCGATACTCAAACATTGGAGGTCGGTAATGTCTCTGTTGTATGCCATGGTGATGGTATTGGAGGGCAATCAACCGTGACCAAAGATCCTGGGGAAACACGCACAGCAATAATCAGCGGCCCCATTGCCATTTATCTACAGAGAGATGGCGCGTCGGGCTGGATACCTGCTAACTTCATGTATGTTCTATACCTAAAGTGTCTATGTAAGAGTGTACTGTAGCCAGTAAACAACCTTAACTGCTTGCTCAACTCCGGGGTCGGTGGGCCTAGGTGATTTTAGATCTGATAAGTGCGGCTGGAGATGATTTCGGATCTGATAAGCGTGGTTAGATCCGGAAATGTTAGTTCTCGGATGGAGATCAATAACGTCTTGGAAGGAGTGATTTGAACCTCCAAAAGCAAGCTGATCAGCCGTCTTTGTCCGCACGGACTTCTCGCCGGTATCGGAACCCAGAACATGGAATATCACCTCACAATTTTCAGGTTCCAGATCTTTGTCCTTACAATAGAAATCTCGCCTTGAGCGCCATTATTGTCTATACAAACACTCGGAGGGTTAAAACGGAGGCGGGTCGCTACGACGCTAATGCTTTCGGGACAGTACCTCCCGAGATTTACTCGAAATGTCGACTAGTGTACTACAGCCAGCGATGTATGTACCTTAAATCCGGTCTAGAGCCTCATCAAGCTCTTCTAGAGTCACGCTTGAGCCATATCTTGTTTCTATACCCGTTGCAGACATTAAGTGCTCGACGCAGGACGCAAAGTCAGCACCATCTTTGGCCCTCCAATTTTGTAATTGCTTTGAAAGTGTCGCACCGAGTCCCTGTGCTTGGACGATGATCGATTCAAGGCGCTTTTCTTTTAGATTGAAGACCGCGGTCTGCCCGGCGCTCCGGAAACATACATGATAAGAAGGCAATAGCTCCTGGTGCTTCTCGTGGAATCATTCGATCATGCTTATTGAACCAGTTAACGACTATTTCGACGACAGAATCCAGGGTATTGGGTATTTTCAAAGTTTTTCTGGTGGGGATTTTATCTAATTCCTCGAGGAGGCCGCACAGAACACTAAAGCTGAACGGCATGCTGATAGACGAGTAAATTGCGTTGAATTGAAAGATGAACGTTTCTGCCTGTGTATAATGGGTCGGCGTGGGTGGATAGGCATCACCTCTGTCACAAGTTCGGGCTGGGACAAGGTTGGTATAAATGAAGAAGCCATTTCCTAATTGGACGCCTGCTTCCAGACGATGAACGCGTCACCGAAACCTCGCAAAACAGCCGAAGATCAGAGCTTTCTATTAGCCTTATACGCGTCATCAGAGAAAGAAAGAAAACCCCGAGGGATATAGAGTTCGCTGTTGAAATAACTAGATGGTGATCGCGGACTCGTTGGATCAGGTCTCCCATGCATCGAGCTCCTACACCCAAATCTGGGGGCTTGCTTACGGCGCTGTAGCACGGCGTAACTTCACTACCTTAGAGTGGCGACTCTCGTTGAGCATCGCCTCATCAAGAAGAAAGGGCATTACGACGCCCGCGCTACACTTGAGCTAGAAGTACTTTCGCATGACATCAGTTCAGAATGGCCCATACCAAGACCCACGATTTGCGTCGCCATAGGCTGATAGGATGTAGGAGAGCAGGGTAAAGTTGCCCAGCTACTACAATGGCCACCCAACACCACCGCATGAAGGGGCTTGCTGAGTAGAAATGACGTCCCGTGCAGCAACGGAGCTCCCGATGGATGTAAACGGCATTGTCCCTGGCTGAATATTGCATGAGCTTGCCCGCCGTGACACTACCATCCAGATGCAAGACTGCCAGAACCCTAGTTGTTGCACATGAACAAGGCGTTGTCCGAGGTTGATAGCGCTGCCTCCTTCATGCTGGGATGGGTAATGTGTATCAATTGTCCGAAGCCGAACAACAACTCAGTCCCGACAGGATCGCTCAAGGTTCTCCAAGTCATTGAAACTTAAATCATCTCCCCGCGATATCATGATGATAAATAGCACAGGTAGAGTTGAAGTCGGGTCCCGCTCAATCGTGAGTCCAACCCACGAAAAACCATGCATCTTTATAAATACTAGTTCGCCAGTGATTCAAATTGAAAGCCATGGATATTCACACAGACCTCTAGATCCAATGAACAAACCCAGTCCCATCCCATACAAAGCACCAATACCGCACAACTTTGAATCATCAGTCAAGTCCCGACGATAGGATCTGGTGTGATTAGCCAAGTCCAGAGTGCTGCAGATACATCAACAACTGCACTTCCGGATGAAGCTGAGGCATTGATACCACGAAACTGTTCAATTGGCACAAAAGAATTCTATGTCGGACTCGCTCACAACGTGACATACCACATCATTCCTCTCAACATCTCGAAATTTATACCGGCAGGGGTTAAACAGGTACTTCAGAAACATTCAGCCTCTTGATGATGCTTTGACCACGCTCACGACGCCAAATATCTAGGGCGCTTTGATAATTGGCGTAGTCTTAGCCTTTATTATGACCACTTTTTCAATGTTTTCAATATTCGGTAGGACTCTCCCTTACGGCTATTTTTCTGCGGTCAGAGTTCCGAGAGTTGGAGTTCTCACTTTTTGCATCTATTGTTACCGCAGAAACCTGAGGCTATGAGGTCGCCCCCGCAGAGCAGCTTGAAAACTTTTCAGCGACACTTTGTCAATGCATCAGATCAATTCCAAATTTCACTCGGCTAGTGACCTGTAAATCTTGTGCAGAAGTATAATGTGTCGGAACGCATCCAAATATTATTAGTGAAGAGACCCATAGAATCTAGTAGGGATAGAACTATCATTGAAGAAAAACAGGTTGAATATCCCCCGGTAAGAGAAGGCCAAGAAAGAAGCGTCGAAATATGGTCGTAAAGAACCAATGTCATTAAGAGACGAAGAAACAGAGGCCGATGAAGCGCCTGTCAGTCATTACTGCAAGAAGAGTGAGCAATGCCACACTCATTGCTCCATAATTCCCCTAACGGCAACCTCGCCAACATCATTTAGAAAGCCTTCTCGAAGGACTCTCGCGCCAATGGTGCGAACTAGTCAACGAGCGGATGTGCGTGGCTACGGTCCCCCAAGGTCACGGCTTTCACGCGCAGTCGGCCATGATCCCCCTACCCCTAAGATCGGCAACCATGAGGGAATGGAGGCACGCAGCTATCTTCTCGTCGGCCGTTTTGTTCGGTATATCACACTTTATCTACTGTAGTGGAGTCAATTGCCGCGACACTGCAAGCGCTGTGGGATGAGTTTCGAAACCTTGCGGCCGGCTTCTCTGGAGGGTACCGATTAGGAAAGACACAGCTTATACATATAGCAACCTCAGAGATATGGATTCCCTAGACGAGTTACTCTAACCCTAATATGATCCTTCGAAGCTCAGGGCAGGGCTAAAATCCCTTGTACTGGGGCTGATAATACCCTCGACAAATTATCACCGCAGCGCGCCCACCACCAATAATTACTACCGTTCTATTACGCAAGAAACAAATAGTCCTATTTTTATGCACAGATGATTAGGGTTCATCTAGGAGCAAAGTTGTGGTTCGGCGTTACTAAAGGCCGAAGGTCTCCACATTCGAAGGACTCGGCGTTCGGTGAAAAGATTACTTATTTTGGAAAAGTGATATGATACGCAATGGGGGTGCCGACATCATCCTTTCGGTGATAACATCTCCGCCGATGGCTTTGTAGCTCATGAAGTAGGACAAGTATGGCAACAATGAATATATAAAGCTGGCGCTGCTTGTTGAAGACAAGCTCGAACTCTTAGGTGCGATATCACAACCGTACGCAAGTCTATCAACTTCTAAACATATCTTCAGTCAAACATTTACTATTTTCAACAAACGAATCACGAGAAGAAAAATAAATGCCTCTGAAAGTCGTCATTATTGGGTCTGGCGTTGCCGGCTTGGCAACTGCTGCTATCTTGCGCAAGAAGGCAAATGTCACAATCCTGGAGCGTAGCACGGAGGAACGCATTGCCGGAGGGCAGGGCGTTGGACTCGGTCCTAACGCGACCAAGATTCTTGATTCTATGGGCTATGATCGCGTGCAATCGCATGCTGTGACCTCCAAGGGATTCAAAGCGTATGATGTATCTAACGGAAACCTCGTGAAGAAGATACCGATGGACGTTGTTGGAGAATACGGAGCGGATTGGCTCATGACCCTGCGAAAAGACTTTAGAGCCGAGTTACTACGACTGGCGACAGAGCATGATGAGAGCACCAGGCCTACTCTCCGTTACAACTGTAAGGTGGAAAATATCGACGTTCACGAAGGAGCTGTAACGCTCCAGGGCGGCGAGGTGCTCTCTGCCGATGTCATTGTTGGTAAGCTCTTCCATGTTAAAAAATATTTGGCATATGCTTATTCCGAACAGTTGCTTCAGGCATTCATACCGATCTGAAAGAGAAAATTGTTGGCAACGACAGATTCAAGGCAACTCCAACTGGCCAGACTATCTTCCGTTTTCTTGTCTCAGCCTCGAATGCTACAAAAGTAGTCGGAAAACTGCCTGAGTGGTGGGATCCCAAAGAAGGGGGGTATTTATCGATCATGAGAACTGACGATGGCACCAATCGTGCTCTGATCACGTACCCGTGCTGTGACTTCAAATACGTCAACTTCAGTTGTGCTTTTCCGAACCACTATTTGAAATCAAGCGCGGGGGAATCATGGTTTACAGATGGCAATCTCGATGAAGTTTTGGAAATCTTTAAAGACTTCCCCGCCCCTTATGCAGACTTCATGAAGTAAGTGCAGTTCCAGATCATTCTCACTGCGCTAGAAACTTACTGTCTAAGGCATGCCGAGGAAATAAAGGTATGGGAACTCCGGGATCACGACCCATTGCCTACCTATGTACAAGGCCGAGCAGTGCTCATCGGCGACGCTGCCCACGCTATGGCTCCCTTCCAAGGACAGGGCGGAGCCCAAGCTCTTGAAGATGCAGAAGGTCTTCGCATCCTAATTGAGAACAATATCTCGCGCGGGGATATACCAGAGGCCCTTAAGCGTTGGGACAAGGCTCGTAGGCCCAGGGCCTCGCAAGTTCAGGAGAATACACGACAAGCTAGCCGTAAACTCAACGAGGTTGACTCGATGAAAAACATGGCCTATAACTGGACGTATGACGGAATTTTTGAGGCGTTGAAGGATTTGGAGACTTGAAATCGCCGATTGAGAAGGGATGTGCTGTGTTTCCTATTGATAGATCAGCGCTTTTGATTGCTAGTAACTAGTAAATATAAGATAGCACGGCAAACTTGATGTAGGAGCCGTTTGGTTAGATAATCTTGTGTAAGATAGCTTACCCAGAGTTGGTAGACTTGCGGCATAGGAGGTTGTGTACTGCCCTTTATCATTCCCTATAATCATGGTGATTGGCAGTCCTCGTGTCGGATATTTTTCGGGTGAGGGAAAAGCCCCTGCGCCGTGGTCTACATAGTGAGAAGTGCATTTGGCTCCTTGATATCCCACCAGAAACAGTCCAGTAATAATCGGGACTTGATAAGTATCCCCCAGGGCCAGCCTGAAGTGCACTGCTCCCGTCCCTTATGGAGGAAGAAACGATTCCTTGGCGAATAGGATCCCAAGGCCGAAAGCCCCGCACTCTGGTTTCCTGCTTGCCATGTCATCGACGCAAAGTGAAGTGCGACCGTGAGCAGCCCTGCAACAGATGTTTGATAGCAGGACGGAGTAATGACTGCATCTACCAAAACCCGCGGTCTCCTCGTGCGTCATTTCCAGCCATTGGCGCCTTCATTGATGGCAAGGCACGCCTGGCTAGGGCAAACTCTTGGGCTAGTTTATGCTGGGAGGTAGGTTGCAACACCTTGGCTTTAGCCCATGCTAATGATAACCCAAGTTCGAAGAAGCTCGTCCATATCTGTTCGGCCTCGACCCTGAGTTCCGCGCAATGTATGACAAGGTGGAAGGGCTAAAATCCTTGTTCTTGTCCTCAAATGGCCGCTTTGCCAACAAGGACAATCTTCAAATTGCAAGCGCGTCACTGCGGCTCTCCAAATCGGAACTGTTATCATATATTTCAGATCGTGGGGTCATCGATACCCTGCTTTCTAACTATATGCAGACTTTCAATAGGATTCTACCTCTCTGGAATCCAACACTATTTGACGAGGAAATAGCGAGATTCTGGGATAGCCCCGAGGATGCCGACCTCACGTCTTTTGCTCAACTTTTCGTAATGCTTGGCCTCAGCTGCCACTCTGCGCCAGCTAATACTTCGACTTTGCGCAAACACGACCTTTCCGAGATGTCAAAGACGTTTTTCACGATTGGAGAAGCAGCATTTAATAACTCCCGTTTCAAATCTCTACATGATTTGGCAGGCGTAAGAACGCTTTGTATGATGATAATAGCTAGAATGATAGACTTAGTCCCCATGCATGATACGCAGGACGGTACGCTATTGTTCGGATTGACAGTCCGTGCAGCCCAGAATATGGCTTTAAATCGTCACCCAAGCCTTTTTTCAGGGATGCCTGAGAATGAAGGGATCAATCGGATTATCATCTGGACAACCATCGTCTTTATGGACCAATTTATCTCAATTCACTTCCATCTACCCCCTCTCATCCGCCGAGAGGATCATGACGCTACATTCGAATTCTCTATACAAGATGGCTCAACAACCAGTAATTATGGAATTTGGGAGGAGAGACTAAAGGATAGCAGCGACGAAAACCAACTGGCGTTCCTGGCTTTGATGTCCGCGCTTCTTCCCACAGTATCCGTTATTCTCGAGCAGCTACACTCGACCAAGCCAGCCCTAAATTATGAGGAAGTTGGAAAGCTAAACAAGAAGTTACGAGATAGCTTGAGTCTCGCCATGCAGCTCGCGATGGGAAAAATGGAGGGTGCTACCTCCGCTGACGTTTCAATGCAACGCGGTTTGTTGGAAATATTCATCCGGAGGGTCTTGTTGGATTTACACCAACCATTCGCCATAACCCAAGAGGCTTCAGCCAATGCGGAGCACTCACGTTTAGCAGTGCTCGAGTGTGCGCTAGCTCTTATGATTTGCCAGGAAGGCATATTTGAAGCCGCGGGTCAACATAGCCAGATGAAGTGCCTGCTAGACCTTTTCAAAGATGATTTTGGGATCGCAATCATTTATGTCACTCTTGGAATTCGCCGAGGGGACTTTACTGTCTCGCCAGTCGACACTCTACAGGCTCCACCAGAAGAAGTTGCATGGACGGCGCTAAGAAGGGCTACGGAGCTAACGGAATGGTACACGGGAGTGTCGGTGAAGCATTTTCGAATATACGCGGGAGCTATGTATCTTGTTGCGGCTCTAGAGGCTTTAGAAACTGGGGCGCCGATGATGCAAAAGATGATGGAAGCAGGGCACATGATTATTGCTGCAATAGAAAAACGCAAAGGCAAAGGGGCAGAATGTGGCAACCAGACAACGCTGCATACGAACATTTCTATGTTTGAAGGCTTCGGAGAGCCTGAAGAGATGGGCGGTTTCATAAATGCCTTGGGATTGTCTAGTGGGAATGCAGAGTTACCTGCAGTTAACCCTTGTTTTTATACCTTTCAGTCATAGGTTAGCTTTAAAGTCACCATTTTCCTTAGGGACCCCTCCTCCTCGTGAATAATCATTTAACTCAAGTGGCACCCTACCTCATTCGTGCTCATATAGAGACCAAAAATGGTAACAAACAAAGTGTTAAGACCCAAATTGGGATAATAGCCATATAACGTGCCTTCAACTAAGCACTGAGGACCGACTTCTATGCAGAAAGCCGGAGCATGGGGAGGGATTGCCATGGTGAAGGGAAGGGAGACGAAGGGGAAGAGCAGGAGAGAGTTGGTATGGCTACTTTCGAGTTGACGCATCTTCTTCAAAATGTAAAGAGTTGTAACTGCACTGCCATTTCACCAGCATTCCATGTACCCGCCGAAGTGTCTATGTCATTGATTGTGACGTCCCAGTCATAGACGTCAGGCTACGTAGTTGACCCAACAACTCGCAGAATCAACTACAGGTCAAATCCTTTTCGAGATTGAAGTTTTACATCATTCTCTATAACCGACTACATATTTGGAAGATTATGGAGAAACTGATACATACGACCATTGGACATTGAAAACAGGGCTTCCCGTTCGCTCAGCCATACTTAAGCAATGTACCGGCGGACTAGTAGTTGAGTGGGTGACCATCAGCGAATCCCCGCTGTTGTATGTTTTTTGTTTTTTTTATTTGCCAATTTCATGCTACTTCTAACCAATAGGAAGAAGCCATGTAGGGAGGGTACTTAGAGATTGCGTCTTAGAGATTGCGTCTCTATTATGCAGGCATTGTAAATTTCAGCTAATGTTAGGTTATAGTTACCATCAAATTACGTATATAAGTAGAATAGGTAGTAGCATCGTTTCTATATAACATGAGCAACATCGTTGCGACTTTCACGCTTACAATTATGCTGCTACGATCATGTACATTACAATATCCTTTCACTACATGTCCACAAAGTAACAAAACTTCATTCTCTACATTTCCCACAGAGATAGATTGTGGTGCACCGCAGCAGCTTACAGCGCTAAGTGAACAGCTTAAAGCCACCAGGTACAGCTTTCTGGAACAATCCTTCAGGATCATACTTCTTGCTCACATCCTGCAGCTTCTTCTTATTCTCTGCACCATAAGAATCAATTGGGTCCTGGAAGGCAGCAGCATAGTTCATGAACTCGTAATTGATCGTCTTGTTCCTCGAGCGAGCGTCATACTTGATCTTTTCCAGCGTCGATTGCATGACTTGGAAGACCTTTTCGTCATCGTTCTCATGCTTCCAATACGTGATGAGCAGAACGGATACGAGAGGACCGTGAGCGGGATCTAGGCCGAGAGAGTTCCCGCCCGCCTCCGCTGTCTTCTTGAGTAGCGAAACGGGGTAGGGCTGCAGTGTTAGAGAGCAGACGAGTCCTTCCACGGTCTTGATGGGGTCAAGAGCGGCGGTGTATATGTCGGCAGCCGCTTTGAGCGCGTCCACATCGGCTCTTAAGACGGTGTTCATGTATGAGGTCGTGGATTATCAAGCTTTGTTAGTTCTCTATATGACATATGCTGCAGTGTCATTGGCAGACTTTACCTTCGACGGTCCATGGCATCTCCTGTTTGTTCCGTTGCCGCCTCGACCAATTTGAGCTTCCGCATTGAGTAAAGGGCGTCTACTTGTGGCTGAATATTTGTGAAAGGCTCGAGTACCTCGGGATTTCTTTCAGTCTCTTGAGTATAGTATAGCTGGTTTTGGCACATAGTCTGGCCAAACTGGGCGGCATATCCGATGCTAAGCATAAGATGGGTCTCTGCGGTGGCATTTGGATTCTTCAACTCTGCAACCAGGGCCTCCAGCTGGCTGGGGAAGCTGGGCGTGAAGTAATAGACGCTGCCGCCCCAGAATGGGCCTTGCTTGAAAGTACGGACGTCGTAGCGTGTCACGACGCCGAAATTATTGCCGCCGCCACGCAGTGCGACCAATAGATCAGTATTCTCGTGCTCGTTGGCGTTGACGATGTCGCCAGATGCGAGTACGACTTCGTAGTTGATTACGTTGTCGGCTATGAAGCCTTCACGAGTGGAGAAGAATGAGAGACCGCCTGCTGCGTTGTTAGAAAAACGCATCTTACAGCTCTACAGGATAGGAAGACTTACCTGATAGAGACAGTCCACCAATGCCCCCTTTGCCACTTCGACTTCCAGAGGTCGCGAGACCGAGAGGAAGCAACCTTTCGTAGACTGCGCCCCATCGCTCTCCAGCTGCGATTGAGACGGAATCATCCTTGACCTCTATGCCGGTCAACATACCTAGGTCGAGGGTGATGCCGTCCTGGATATTTGCACAGGCATGGGTGGGCTGTTGACCTCCGCCGCGGATAGCGAACTTGGCGTCCCCATTGCAAGTGTAGGGTTGGGTGATTTGAATGAACTTAAAGACTTCGTGTTTATCCTTGGGTCGGAATATGGCAGCAGGAGTGACGTCACTCTCGATGGCGGAGAGGTACGATCTATTCAGTTCATCGAACTCTAGTGATCCTCGAAGGAATGTCTGATTAATGGGGAAGGCCTTTTGAAGGGCTGCAATAGCCTGCGAGGAGAAATTCATTACGAGAAAAGCAGTAGATAAGGTAGCATACAGTAGTGGAATCGTGAATAGAGCCACAGGTATCATCTATGCTAAAGATTTTATTTTTAACTCCATGAGTCTTCCATTCTCAACTCATTATGTACTCGCCTCTTCAAAGGGAAGCTAGTGCGGATGGATGCTGGCAGTGTTGACAGCCAGAGCCGAAGGATGAGACAATGACAGCCATAGGTATCAAAGTCTAGGTAATGACCCATATATTCGGGGACCAAGACCATGTCCAATACTCGTTATTCGTGCCCTCTTCCGGATACGAAAACATTGTGGCGTTGCTATATTGCGGCGTAGTCATTGCTCTCCAAAGGATCATGACGACCCAACGTTGACTGCCTACCGAACATAGCTAGTGGCTAATAAGCCCAAGCAACTAAGGGAAATCATCACTGGAGTCAATATGATTTCGATTATACAGTAGATGCAACCATCGTCTGAGCGGATCAATAAATTTCTTGTCTTTCGAGAGCTTATGAAACATTGATTCAGGTAGGTAACTATTACATACCTTATAGCTACATACAACACTAGCAATTCAAACAACAGCATCAAATCACCGGAAAGAAAAAGCAAAAGAATGATATCGATAGAATGCAGCAGTTGTCGCTGGACTTGAACAGCGAGCGAGTGACTAGTAGTGCTCGATCTAGTCCTGTCGAGGAGTGAAGATAACTTTGGTATCTCCTTTTGGCAACATGCTGGATCGCCATGTGAACTGTCGTAAGGCATCCAGGTCAACAAGTTCACAGTCAAAGTGCGTTATCACTTGGCCTGTAATGACCTTCATAAGCGCGACAGCGTAGTATTTCCCCGGGCTACGTTCGAGTAAGTGTTTGCTTATGAAGTATTTCATCCGAACTCTTAAATGAGAATGGGAACACATACAATGCCATCCGTTCAGTGCCCCAAACATGCCAAAAGCTGTTGACTTCTGTCAATTTAGAGGACTTCCCCAGCATTACTTTGAAACCTTCACCAGTACCTTCAACAATGGATTGATCTGCGAGCCTGAAGCTGGAATTCCTGGCTCTTGCAGCAGACGATTGCATATTTCTTCTATTAATGAGCCCGCTTAGGTAGTAAGAGTTTGTCTTTTCCTATTCTAGATTATCCATGTTTCTGGATCGATCAAATCAGCGGCGGAGTCAGCTCGGCTTTGTAATTACGCCCCGTTCCACCATGCAACTCCTTTCTGCGCTCGATCCTCTCTGTGTCTATCGCCTGCTAACGCCTCACTTTAGCAATGCCTGAGCAACTACATGAACAACAATCCCAACAGCAATACTCGACGTCTATCCCAGGAGGCACCGAAAACAAACCTGCAAAACCGAAACTAGGAGGCAATGCGAACCGCTTCTGGGGCATCTTTGCCGCACTCTGCATTCTCTCCTTCATATCTGCCCTCGACGTCGCCATCATTACCACCGCTCTTCCCAAAATCACAGCCGAGATTGGTGGCGCTACGCAATATGTTTGGATAGCAAACTCCTTTGTGGTGGCCTCTTCGGTTCTACAGCCACTGGTAGGTCAACTGGCCAACATATTTGGTCGTAGATCTCCACTCATCGTATGTGTCGCTCTCTTCGCCTTAGGGAGCGGTGTATCTGGCGGAGCACATGATCCGGGCATGCTGGTTGCCGGACGCACTGTGCAGGGCGTAGGTGCCGGAGGCATCTACGTACTTCTAGACATCGTGTGCTGCGATCTTGTTCCACTTCGGGAGCGCGGGATGTATCTTGGCCTGATGAACTCGTGGGCTGGCGTTGCCGCGGGTATTGGGCCCGTCGTCGGTGGTGCTCTGGCGGACTCTAACTGGCGCTGGATATTCTACCTTAACATTCCCATCTGCGGGTTGGCACTGGGAGTGATTCTTCTATTCATGCGTTTAAAGACCGGAGCCCAAGAGAACAGCATCCCAAAACTCAACCAGATTGATTATCTGGGCAACTTGATCTTCATCCCCAGCATGGTCGCCCTGCTCTATGGCCTAGTCACGGGTGGAATTGCTCATCCATGGTCAGCATGGCGCATTGTTCTCCCTCTCGTTATCGGCATCGTGGGCTGGATATCGTTCCACATCCAACAACTCTTCACGACCGTCCCAAGTGTACCCACTCGCCTCTTCAGCAACCGCACCTCAGCCACAGCCTACATATTGACATTCACGTCGAGCATCCTCGTACAAGCCCTGTCCTACTTTCTTCCAGTCTTCTTCCAAGCGATATTGGGCACAACCGTCCTCCGCTCGGGGACCAACCTTCTCCCATTTGCGCTCGGCACACTGATCTTTGCCATCATAGGCGGCATCCTCCTTAGTAAATTCGGCCTCTATAAACCCCTCCATGCCACTGCCTTCGCTCTATCCGCCCTGGCCTTTGGCCTTCTCACCATCCTCAATACCACTACCGCAAGATGGGTCATATTCCAGCTCATCGCGAGTGCGGGCTCCGGCATCATTCTCTCGTGTCTCCTTCCAGCCATCATGGCCGCGTTGCCTGAGTCAGATGTCGCTGCTGCAAGCGCATTATACAGCTTCATCCGCACCTTCGGGTACATATGGGGCGTGACCATGCCATCTATCATCTTCAATGGCGTCTTCAACAACAACCTTTCCGTTATCTCGCAGGCGTCCTTGCGCGAGCAGCTCAAGGACGGCGCTGCGTATGCGTTTGCGAGTGAGATGCATCGGATACGCCATACGCTGGATCCGCGTGTGCTCGGTGAGGTTGAGGAGGTGTACATGCGTAGCTTGAGGGCGATCTGGTGGGTCGGGCTGGGGATTAGTATCGTTAGCTTTTTTGCTGTGTTTGTGGAGCGTGGTTTGGAGCTGAGGAAGGAATTGGAGACGGAGTATGGGCTTGCTGAGCAAGACGAAGGGAGTAAAGATAATGATCGGGAAAAGAGTGGTGGACTGGAGGGCATTTGAACTTTTATCTACTGTGTATTTTATCGTCTTTCACTTCGTCTTCGTCTTTCATTTCTGCTTATTCTCTAGTAGTGCAAAGATAACCCAGTCGGTGTCAATCTACTAACCCTACCAGCGTTTGGGCCACCCTGGGCCTGACTCACTTTCACCTCTTATTTTCGGCCTATATAAGGGCCCTAATTTGCAAGAACTTTCAAGAATTCCGAGGCTACCACTGAAGTAGGGAAATCAGCCACTACCAAGAATAGCTTTTCTACGACCTGTGTGGCCGGAGTGGAATCCTCGATTCCACAAAACCTGCACAGTGTTACCGAGTCATACATCGGATACTGCACATTAGCATTGATTTTCTGTTCTGTCTTTTCGGGAACAGCTCAGGTTCAAACCTGGGTTGTTTCTACTTTTCCTTTTTTGCTTTTTTTTGCTTTTTTCTTTATCTCCTTTGATGTATCCGATAGAAAGGTACTCAGATATCTGAGGTACATATGTCATTAGCGCATATTGCCATAGCATAAATCAACAATGTTCCATTGAATGGAAAACAACAATACATGCCTTAACTTGATACCATTTCATAGGAAGTAAGGTCTTGGCTTACGATGATCTGTGTCTCATTAACCCGGTTTTTCTTCCCGACTGTGCCCCCTCACGGCTTCTAATGATGCAGTAGCGATCAACTGATTTGTCTGTACGATCTACAAAGACAACTTGAAATCATAGCTGACCAATTGTTGATACTGTTTGATTGAGGCGTGGTTTGCCAACACCACATGTCTCAGCACGAATCAGCTGTATAAGTTGCGGGCAAAGCAAAGAGATAGCAAAGAGAATCTAGCAAAGCCGAATGTAACGGCACCAGCATCGCCTACAATACGCTTCTATGACCAACGACCATGCAAACCAACAACATCCCTTCTTTGATCCCCGTCTCCTCATTCAACACTCCACTGTCAGAGGCAGCATCCATCCTTACATTCACTATTCTTGCGTTCTTCCTACTCTTCACCCTTGTCAGATACCTTCCCAAAATCACCAAAGCCATTCACATCTCACTAGCAATCACCACCATACCTCTTGCAAGTAAGTCTCCAATCTCAGCTCCTTGACTCGATATCGTTTAAGATCATTTCCAACGACAATAGAATTTCATTAACGCTTGCTTCGTGACGGATGATTGCGATCGGGCGAAGCACTTGGGTATCACGGAGGCATTAAGCTTCCGAACCCACAAAGGTGTGGAGCCGATGAGGAGGAGGTATAAATTGCCTTTGATGGATATAGATGAGATACGATAATTTACAAAGTTGGCTCCAGAGTTATCGTCTCTCGCAGATGTGTGGAATGAAGCTAAGTTTGCTTGGTCGTGGTCGTGTTTGGGGGAGGTTGGAGGCGCCGTGCGGGAACGCACTTCGAACGAGATCATGAGGGTGTGATGTAATGATAAGATATATGTATAACTATCACTCACTGTTTCCTATCAATCCAAAGTCTGATACTGAGCGAGATTGGGTGTTGGGTGTGTCTGTCCATGACACTGGATATCACTCACCTAGGTAGCTATCCCACCTACCAACCTACCATCCTACCATCCCACCTGCCATCCTACCATCTCACCTGCCATCCTACCATCCTACCATTCCACCTGCCATCCTACCATCCCACCTACCAACCTACCTCCCATCCTCCCATCCTACCAACCTACCAACCAACCCACCCCCCTTCATCCCCCCGAACCTCCATCTTCACCCAACACCTCCACACGACACGGATACCCCTCAGAAGGATGCGTCCCCGCCTTCTCAGTCTGATACACCCTATCCCCCCTCACAGTCCTCACTTCCTCCCTCACCTCCCTCACTAACCACCTCATCACCCTCCCCCACAGCCCCTTCCGCTGTTCCTGGATCCTCCCCCACTCCTCATACGCCTCGACGAACCTAAACGCCCTAGCCGTCATAACCAACACAACCTTCACTTCCAACAGCGCAAGTTCCTGCCCGATACACCTCCTCGGACCGACGTCGAACGCCCGCCACGCGCCCTCGGGCGGATACAACGCGTGCCCCGGCTCCACGAGCCACCGCTCGGGCAGGAAATCCATGGGCCACGGCCAGACGCGCGGGTTCATGTGGAGACCTTGGTGCATGAGGATGATGTTGAGGCCTTGTGTAGGGAGGACTTGGCCGTTGAGTGCGGTGAGATTGACGTCCGGGCCGCCGAGGCGCATGTTGGCGGCTGGGGGGTAGAGGCGGAGGGTTTCTTTGATGAAGGCGAGGGTGTAGCGGCATTTGGAGAGGAGGTGAGGGGAGGAGCGGAGGAGGGCGGCGGTTTGGGAGGGGGAGGTGCGGCGGCCGAAGATGGAGTCGTGTTCGTTTTGGAGGAGGGATAGCGCGGTGGGGTTCCGGGTCATCGTGTGGATGGCGAAGGCGATGGTGGAGGAGGTGGTGTCGTTGCCGGCGAAGAGGAAGAGGCGGATGTGGTTGGAGACTATGGCGGCGAAGTCGTCGTCTAGTGTGGATGATTGTAGGAGGTGCCTCTTGTCTTTCTCCGCAATGTAGGCTTCCAATACAAGCGAGATAACGGAGAGTGGACGCTTTGGCTGTTCCTGCAGATTTGCTAGGCGGTCTGCTTTCAGCTCTTCGAAGCGATTATGGAGTTCCTTTTTGATGTAATTGACCATCTTTCGACCGTAATACTTCTGGATGATCGGTCGCAGGGGATTGAGTAGCACCCGAGGATCCCAAAAGGAATGCCACCGAGTAATGGTGTTCAAAGCGGTTGGGATGATATGCTCAGAGCGTTGATAATCGATATTCGAGTCGAGCGTAACTTTCATGATGATGTCGAAAGTCAGACGCGTCGCGAACTCATCCAACGAGAAAATACTACCCTTCCTAGCCTCATTACGGAGTTTCTCGTTGAAGACCTCACAGCAGTCCACAATAAAAGGAACATGGTTCATCAATTTCTGAGCGCTGAATCCAGGATTGAGGAGAGTCCGCCACTTCTTCCAGTCCACGTCATTCATTGAAAGTATACTTGGTCCACCAACGATGGGTTCGACAGAGTCTCCGGCCAAGGGAGGCTTCGGGAGAGCGAGTTTCTGTGTCACCAAGTTGGCTACGTCCGGGTTGGAGACGACAATTGAGGATGGGTAGCTGGGCCAGAGATCGATAAGGAACATCTCTGTATCTGCGAATTCTTGACTTAGATCTTGCATGGCCAGGCCGACGTTTGCAAGTGGTGGGTATCGACTCGTGTAGCGAAGCAGCACAAAAGAATGGCCGAAGCACCAGCTCCAGCCATCCGGCATTGGCAGTGCGGGCGTTAGTTTTGAATCGGTTGATATGAGCACACAGAACTTACGAGACCTTGCTTGCGAAGGCGGTTGATGAACGACCGGTGTCGATATACCGCTAGGACGATGTACGTAAGGCCTGTTGCTGCAATGGCAGCAATTGCAACGATGATGCCTCGCGATATCATGATGACCTGGAAGAGCTCAGTGATGAATGATTCTTGGAAGAGGTAAATCATGATAACCTTCATGAGATATGACACGGGAATAAGGAACAGAATTAAACGCCACCATGACGAAGCCCACACGGCACAGCTTTGATAGCGAAAGCGTATGTTGTATAGGTATTTAATTGAGGCACAATCTAATATCCTAGCTGCTGACGGGATGCACACCGAAGTCAGGTCCATTCATAGTAACAGTAAGAGAAGACAAGCTTGAACAAAAACATTAGCGAGAGCCTAGTTGGACTGATTGGGTTCATGATCTGACCTCGCCGCATTCCTTTTGATTGACATGCGGCGTAGAGGTGGGCGGGCTTACCACGAAACAAAACTATTCATTCTCTCGAGTGGCGTGGATGAGATTTCGAAAATCAATGTTGTGGATAATCAGCATGACATGTAAGGGATGTTAGCCTAAGAAGCATGAATACACGTAAATGAAGTATCGTTGTTAGCTGTGATCTGTACGAGGCTCAAGTTTAGTTGAGCGAAACATAGAAATCGCGACGGACTGAACATTGTGTATTACTCATTGCCCGACTCGAAATCTCGACACCACGTATGTACGTTCGAGTGGCTATACCCTCTATTCGTCAACCCATGTCTGAGATGCTCTGCTCCAAGAGCTCTGTATCAATTAGCGTCGTCTGCGCCATTCCTTCCAAATCCTTCTGAAAACCAAAGAAACAAACCGTTTCTATCAACTCTTCGACCAAATGATTACGATGCGGGAGCTTTGATGGCAAACTGCTTCAAGTACTCGTAGTCGGCAACATTGGCCGCAACGATGTCACGGATGTGCTTCGCGCCCTTCTCGCCGTACTTCTCTGTCCACTCGGCGAAAGCTTCTTCGTCACTCTTTAGGACTTTCTTCTGTTTCAATGCAATGTTAGTCGAACTCTGTCCTACTAAAAATTTGCCGCTGGGTCGACAGCGCCCATTCAAGGTGTTTGTAAAACATACATGCGTCCTGGCCTTCAATCCGGTACTGTTGATCGCGTCCTCATGGAAACCCTTCCACTTCTCAAAGGCTTCCTTGGCATTCTTTTGATCCACTTCATTGTCCCATTCTAACATGGAAGGGTCGTACTCAATGCCCGTGCTCTCGCAAAAGACCTTGAGGATAGCAGGAGGGTTGTCAAGCAGATCATCAGCGTCAACGACGGTAATATCCACGGCGTTGCTCGTCCCATTGGTGCCATTAACGCCATTGGTATGAGACTCGCCGGCGATTTTGGGGCCAACCTGTCCGACGGAACGAAGATAGTCAAACAAACGGCGCAACTCGGAATATCCGGCTTCGTCTGCTCTCAGGTACGTCCATCCGGTGAGCTCATCAAGCGGAGGAACGGTGCAACGGTAGTAGGATGGAATGCTGTACTGAGGATGGCGGATCAAAAAAGCAAAATGGAAACTTCCCAAAAGACCTTTCGGCACAATTGTGGGGTTTCCTTCCTCGGCTTTGGTATCATACGGATAAGGCCGCTGTCCCTTTGGTGAAGTGGGGGTTGTGTCCCGGATTTGAGTTGTGTCCGCACCAGCTGAAGCGTCGTAGTGTTTTAAGCTCGGAGCTATTCTTGCGGGTTCGTTCTCAAGGGGAAACCAGTAAAGGGCCATGTCCTTGACGAAAGCCCGCTTTCCCTAGATGCATTGTGAGCATGTGCCTCCCAAGAAGAACTTGGGCAAGCATCATCATGAAAATGCGTGGAAGAAAAGGAAAGAAAGATGGGGATAAAATTTTGCTTGTGCATATAAGTCTGCGGGAATTTGGGAGAGAAGGGTCGTGTGATATGATGCTGTTATCGTTGCAGTGGTACCAAGGTATATGTGGCTCACGGATTGGCGATGACAAGGGGGTCAGATCTCGGTATGTCGACGAGTTGTATCGCTCGTAGAGAACGCAATAAAGCCACCAAATAGCGTCATTTCGTGGGGAAGGGAAAGGGTGGAACACGTGAAGACGCGCTTCGCAAATGAGAGGAAAGCATTATGAAGGAGAAGCTGATTGGCCGGAATAGACTTCAGATGGGAGATGGAGTGCGAATGGGGAGGGAGGTGAGGCATGTTCTGGGAGAAGAAAAGGATCCAACCTCAAGGTTCGGCTGTGCAAATCTGTCGAAGATGTTCTTGTAGGTGATCTTGCTGTAGCCGCTGCTTTCGCGCTCCTCTTCGCTTTCTTCATAGCGGAGTGCGATTCGTTCTGGGCCATAGTAATAGGCATCGCCAAAGGGTTCGTGAAAGCACTTTAGCGTGTCGCGACGGGTCATGAACACCTTGATCCCAGGTTAGCATCGTCTATGGCGCGAGTTGAAATGACAAGCTGGTACGAACCCGTTCAAAGGCTGTGGAGCATGCCCTAGGGTGTGTCGTTACGAAGAGTGGTTTGCCCGACATTGCGACTGTTTCCGATGTTGAATTCGAGACAATGTTTGAAGTAAGAAGTAAGAAGTAAGAAGTGAAAAGGCTCGACTATGAGAGTCCACGAAGACTAGGCGACAAGTACTATATAAGAAGACGATTGAGATGTGTCAAGCTCACTCTGGCACTGTTGACCGAACAGAGACCGGACGTAAACTAGCAGGGTTTTCTGTGGGCAACGGGGGGTAACAACACTGGACTAGATGCCAACTTCCAATCCGCGACCGATGAGAGGGATGGAGTGGATGAGAAGGCGAGAACGACAAGTTAATTATAATTACTAGATTGCTCTAGGTATCCGTTGGGGGTGGACGGGTAGGGGCGCAATCGCCTGGGCCGGAGACGTGGTAGGTGGGTTGGATGTGGTATGTAGGCTAGACAAGGTGTACCACGTACCGCGCGCAGGGAAAGAAAGCGCCGCCCTGCCACGCGCTGTGTTCTACGGTGCGCCTCCAAGCCTTACTGGATGTCCATATCCAAACAGGGACAGCATCGTGGTAGGCGACAGGTGGCGTTGAGATGGCCCATGGTGTACAGTACCGGTATGTCGCCCTGATGAAGCCACGGTGGGGTTGGTTACCCGAAAGGATTTGGTAGAGCTGGGGTGGGATAACAGTCTAACTGGTAGCGTTTCGGAGAAAGGCAATTGGGAAAAGGACGAGGCAAAATGAAGATGACAAGGGTTAGAGAGAAGGACACAGCGAGAATGTCATTGGAGTAAAAATCGGGTTTGCATGGAAAACTGTGTTCGAATTCTCATTCTACGAGGGATAATTGTTGAGTGTACGGAACAGGTGAGGTTGACTGGAGAGAGATTACGTCACTCTTTAATTCTCTTATTCTCACTAGCCGTTTCCTGCCCCTCAGTTAGTTCACGGGAGCTAGTCTGCTTTGGGCCAAACTGCTTCCCATTTTCGCTTGGCTCAAACCTCCATCGTTCTTCAACCTCACTTCGTCAGTGAGAATGGGCGATATTTGGCAGCGTTTCATTGACAATCACCATGGCACACGTTGCAATTGCTTCAAACGAAGTCTCTAGGCATACACAATTCATTTCTGCTAGCAATCCTCTCACTATCGGTTCAATTGAAGCTTGAATAGCCATGGACTAGCGCACTGACTGCTATCACAACGAAGACAATATTTGTGTTGAACTTTACAACTTTCTAACCTCAATTCCGCTTTGATTCTTTGGGGCCTGTACCAATTGACAGCTCTATTCGCATTGATGAGCTATAGATCGAACAAGACCAAACCTTGGTTCCTCTGCCTCCTGCTACCATTGTGTGACCAAACAATAACAGTGCCATAGCACTCTCTATTATCACTTCCACCTTCACTTGCAATTGTTTATATTGATAACCAATCAATGAGTCAACAATACTATTGTAAAGAGGGATTTCCACGTGGCGCTGCTAGGCACCGAGCAGAGAATGGCGCCATCTCAATACTGCCTTCACTTTCCAATTCCCACCCTTTAAAAACCCTCCCCCCCACAACTTTGTCGCAAACCAACCAACACACGAGAACATTTCTTTGGAAAGAAGAAGAAGAAGAAGCTGACGAGAAGCTTGCAGATACCATCACCATTCTCGTCATCGTTACCATCCTCGTGACTATCACCATCATCATCATCATCGCCATCATCATCGTTGTCATCAACATGACACCACGACCGGAGCAGCCTGCTCCCCGCGCCCAACCGGCGCAACCAGAATCGTCCACCCCGGTGGACACCGCAATCGAGAGCGTGGAAGCGCTCAACCTATCTTCTCAACGTTTGTGTCAAACCCTTATCCCCTGAGCTGATGTGATTGCTAACTGCGTAGCGTCCCTTCAAGCAGGTTCGGCTCAGCAGCGCCCGGAGACGATTGTCGTCAAGTATGACGACTACTTCGAAGAAGTCATGTGCTTCAGCAGCGTCGACAATCGCCCAGAGACTGGCGATGTGTGAGTTTCCCAAACGCATTCAGTGTTTCTCTCCATTTTGTTACCCTCACTAATCCATATTTTCTCGCAGCATCCGAGAGTACATCAGGAGTCTATGTACTCACAATGGCGCCAATGTGCACAGTCAGTGAACCATCCCTCACTTAATCGATGATTACATGCTGATGATCTCATAGCCGGCACCATCAGGATGGACCGAAGCGCCATCCCCTCTGGCCGCTGGTCAATCGCCTTCGCACCCGCCATCCTCGCCCCCAACAGCGCGTGGGTCATCATCTTCGGCGCCCCGCGCGACTCGCAGTTCTTGTGGTTCTTCTGGTCCAGTAGGGGCGGAACCGAGGAGCATGTGCTTCGATTGCTGGTCCACTTGCGCGAGTCGGGAAAGATCAAGGCCGAGGAGCCGATGAAGATTGGCGATGACAGACACAAGAAGCTCTTCGAGATCGTTGAGCAAGCCGTCTGGAAGGACCAAAACCCGGAGTTCGAGACCCATTGGGCGGTTGGAGAATTCAATGCCGTTGAGTGATCGATCGAAAGACTGGACACACGAACGACCCCAAGGTCGCGATGGAGGAATGAAATCACTTTTGTCTTTACGGTGTCGGTGGGATGTATATCAATGTGGGTTTCCTTTGGGCGTTGGCGGAGTTTTAAGATTATACCCTAGTCTACCTTGTGCCATGGATGAGCCAGGTATTGACGGATGAATATTGCACTGCTGCGAGATAAAGCGACCGCTTCATATCAGGGAAGTAGCGGTAAGCCATAGCAAGCACAGCAAGCGCTTTTCAGATAGAACAAGATGATCAAGTCATCTGTTATCAATCGATTATAAATGCAATCCCAACTAGTCTCAATCATGCCAGGGGAACCTCGTGTCACTAATCATGTCTTAAGTTCTTGAGAATTACTTACCTTCAACATGACTACACAACACTCAAATGCTATCGATCCTCCAGTTCTATTCTAATAGGCATAACGATGTATGATTCAACATGGCCGCTTTGGATTTCGACTCATGCCTCGGCCGCGTCATAAAACATTCGGGCACTTCGCACTAGTTCAGAGCCAGGTCTAGGTAGTCCTTAATTGAACGAAGCACATCGAGCAATTCCCTCTCAGTATTTGGTAACATCCTGCGTCGAGATCCAAGTAGCACAAGTCGAACGTAGTCATATTGGGCAACTTATAAATAGCTGGCGGCATACCACATCAAGCACCCCTACCCCAACCAAACCCTTATCGATAGCATCGGAGCTTGGACCCCACGCCAACGAATTAGACGTCCAGAAAAAAAAGTAAACTCCCATATGAATCGCAAACAACCTCAATGTCTTTATACTACGAGGCGGCGGCCCTCCTCGCGAATCCCGAGAAGACGGGCGGCTCGCTGAAGTCGCGACTGTTCAAGAAGAAGGACCTGAAGAGCTCGCCCGGGCAGCTGTACGCGCTGATCACCGAGGCCTCGAAATGGTCTCCGGTGCTCAAGAATGTCATTGAGAAGAGCGGAGTGCTTGCGGAGGAGAAGAAGGTGCGTACTTGTATTGCATTGCGTTGCATGACTGGACCAAACGGTGGTTGAAGAATGAAGGTCTAACAAATTGAACAGCTCACTCCAATCCTCGCACTCCTTCTCACACACGACGTCGTGCTCTCGAAGAACGGCGTTGCCGCCGCTGCAAACCACGTCCTGAAACTCGCCATCAATCGCCACAAAGCGCGACTGACAGCTGAATTCACGAAGGCCCGCGTGCGCGCCGGATTCCCCACCATCAATGCCTTCAGAGAGGCCGTCAACAACGGCGAGTTCGAAGAGGAGGACGAAGATGAAGCCGCGCGAGGCGTCATACGACACCCACGCTGGGTACGAATCAACACCCTGACGACGTCACTGAAAGAGCAACTATCCACGACATTCGCGGGATACACCGAGGCGAGCAGTCTCCAGGACATCCTCTCCTCGCGCGGCTCCGCGAAACTGTACTTCATCGACGCCCACATCCCGAACCTCCTCGCACTACCCTCCAAAATCGACCTATCAAGGAACGCAGCCTACCTCGCCGGGCAACTCATAATGCAAGACAAAGCGTCCTGCTTCCCCGCCTACCTCCTCAACCCAACGCCCGAAGACGGCGACGCGATTGACGGCTGCGCAGCCCCCGGCAACAAAACCACCCACCTCGCCGCGATCCTGCACTCACAGCACCACGACGGCCGCCGAGTCTTCGCCTTTGAGCGTGACGCCCTCCGCGCGAAGACGCTCGAGAAAATGGTGCACACCGCGCTGGCCGACCAAATCGTGACCGTCAAGGCCGCGCACGACTTCCTCGCGTCGAAGCCCACCGCCGACGAATTCGCCAACGTTGGCGCCATCCTCCTCGACCCAAGCTGCTCGGGAAGCGGCATCGTCGGCCGCGACGACGTCCTCAAAATCCACCTCCCCAGCACCTCCTCCACCTCAACCCCCACCGCCCGCGGCAGCAACAACAACAAAAAGCGCAAACGCGGAGCCGACAAACCTCAAGACACCACCACCAGCTCACCAACGACCCTCCGCCTCCCCCTCGACAACACCACCATCCCCGAACAAGAAGAAGAAGAAACTTCCGACACGGAAACCGCAACCGCAAAAACCCTCTCAGACCGCCTAACAGCCCTCTCCACATTCCAGCTCCGCATCCTCACACACGCCATGTCCTTCCCCGCCGCGCGGAAAATAACCTACTCGACATGCTCGACGCACTTCGAGGAGAACGAGGGTGTCGTGCTGCGCGCGCTGGCGTGGAAGACGGCGAAGCGGCGGGGGTGGAGGGTGCTGAGGCGGGAGGAGCAGGTTGAGGGGATGAAGGCGTGGGGGCGGAGGGGGGAGGTCGAGGCGGAGAAGTTGGAGAGGTTGGGGGGGAGGGTGCTGGATGGGGTGGAGGATGTGGAGGGCGTGGTGGAGGGGTGTGTTAGGTGCGAGAAGGGGACGGGGGAGGGGACAATGGGGTTCTTTGTTGCGGCGTTTGTGAGGGATGATGGACTTGCTGGCCGTGAAGATGTCGATACATATCCTCTTCATGAGACGGACTCGAAGGCTGGAGAAGCACTCGAGGCGGACGACCAAGAAGATGAGTGGAACGGCTTCAGCGACGACAACGACGATGTCAATGTCGATACAAAGACGACCCCCTCCAGTACCACAGCTCCGCCCACCACAACTCCGTCCACCACCACCAATCCCACCTCCAACGGCAATACCAGCAAAAGCAAGAAAAAGAAACGCCGCAACAAATAGACCACCTCACCCATCTATCGTAGAACCAAAAGTAGTATATATCAACGAAACCAATCTCGCGGAGCACTCAAATACCATTTCCTTAACATCATATATCTACCTCTTAAAACACCATCTCCTCACATTCAGTCCAACCGAAGAAACACAAGACACGACGCTTGAAAACACAACACGTCAATCCCTGGCTGGTGTGCGGTATATCACCAAAAGCATGAACTTAACATGGGGTCATAGTCCACGTGTTAAATTAAGTGATCACATGCACATACACTAATACACACACGCCAAATGCTCGTTTTTAGAAGAATTCCAATAGATATTACTGATTTGATGATTTCGATGTCTTGGAATTAATAATCCATACATATATAGAATAAATGTGAAAAGTAAGAGGAGATAACGCCGATACAATGCAAAATTTGATCCAATCCGATCCAATGTGATGCGAGATAGTTAAGACCGTTTCGTGTCGTTAGATGAAACATTCCATGAATGAAAGAAAACGCCTGTGAAATGCGATGATGGTGGGAAATTATGGGTTTTTGTTTGGCCGTGCCGTTTCTTTCTTCGTAAAAGGTTGTTGTAAACAGAGCGTGTATGTGTCAAAAGGTCCACGTCCATTTGTGCCGGACATATGGAGTGTGTGGTGAAGAAGAAGATGATAAAGAAGTGATACCACAATATGCCCTCGCCACGGCAAGGCAAGGCAGAAAAAAGGGAAACGATCGGGCTGTTTACTCGACGATAGCGAAGCGCCACATCTGCAGCTCGACCCAGATCCTCGCCATCCCTTTCATCTGCATCACACCTAGTCAGGCGTCATCCTCTCCCGCCACCACCGCAGCACCATTCACAGCACCATTCGCATTCGCAGCGGCGGTAGTAACAGCAGCGACATCACCCGCACCCACCTCCTCGTCGTCCCCCTCCACCTCCTCATCCTCCTCTTCTTCCTCATCCTCCGTATCAAGCTCAGGATGGCACGTCCTACACTGCACGTACATCCTCGCACAGAACCCCCTAACCGTCATCTCAGGGCCGCCATCACTCCCCACGCAGTGCCCCTCGGTACAATACCACGCCCAGTCCCCGCTCTCAGGCACACGCTGCAGGTAGTTCTCGCCCGGCGACCACGTGTCGAGGGAAAACGTAATGTGCGACACGCGCGGGCCGTCCTGCTTAGTCACCTCCCCCGTGGCCGGGTCGAGCACCTCGGACCCCATGGTCTTGAAGCTCTGCGCTGAGTGGTACCATACCCAGAGGGGGTTCCAGAGCGGGTCGCCGATGGCCTTGACGTGCACGTTGAGTTCGCGGACGAGCGAGATGGCGGAGAGTTCGGAGCGCACTTTGGAGGCGAGGGCCCAGGTGGAGGGGGTTAGGTTGCGGGGGTCCGGCACGCCGAGCATCGCGGAGGTCGCGTTGAGTTTGATGTCGCAGCGTCGGACTTTGGCCATGATGGTTGGGGAGACGTTCCATATTCTTTGATCGGAGGAGGGGGAGGGCGTGGAGGTTGGGGAGGCGGTAGTTGCGGGCGCGAAGAAGGATTCATCGCTGGCGTTGAGGTCGCTCTTGGATGCTGCTGCTGGTGGTGGTGTCGTAGGAGTGGCGGGTGTTGTTGTTGATGTCGATGTCGATGATGTTGGAAGGACAGCTACAGGAGTCGTGAAGGGCGGACTGGGTTTGACCTCCGGTAACGCTGGGACTGCGTAGTTTTCAGGCGACACTGTGAGATGGAAGACACGTTTCTTGCAGATTAAGTCCATGAACTCGGCGTAGATTTGCTTGTTGGCCAACAATATCCAGTTGCATTGCTTGGTGTTGCGTTCCGCTGATGAGGGCCGTGTGCTTGGCATCATCCAGGACATCATATCGGAGAGTGAGTGCTTCGCGCATGGTGCCGGCGCCGGGTAGTATGGATCCTCGAGGAGGTTCTCGTAGACCATGTCGCGCAGCTCCGGGGGCAGCGACATGAAAGGGAAGGGATTTTGTAATGCGGACTCCATGGCTCTTCGGTATAGGATGTAGTGGTACAGGCAGCGAATGGCAATGTAAGCGAGGGCCAGGGAGAGTAGGAGTAGTATTACAGATGGGACGGTAAGTGATTGCAAGTCTACTATAACCTTTTCCGACGTCGAAAACAATTCAGTCGCAATGGCAGTGATGGCAGTAGTCAGGGTAGTGAATGGATAGAAGAGCGGAAACAAAATCTGGATCCATGGTTCAGAAGACGGGGCCTCCGCCTTTATGGAAGTGGACGAGGATAGAGTCGCGGGAGGAGCGGGACCAGGGAGGAGGGATGTGTAGGGTAGTGGAGTCGCGTTCATGGTGTTGTCTTGTGGATGTGGAGGGCGCACCGTTTCGCTTGTCACTTGCACTTGACGCACCCCGGGAAGTTCACGGACTCTGCTCGTAACTTTCTAAGGGGCGGCGTTGAATCGAGATTCAAAAGGATCGCCCACTACCGTCCTGAACGAGTGCTACCAAGCAAATTTGCTGCAGAACCGGAGCGGAGCGGCGGATTAAGCGATTCCTGACCTGTTCCGTTTGATGGTGGTGGTGAGGGGATGGTAATGCAGAAGCCGTGAAACTAGAACAAATCCTCCGATGTCTGCTGATACGGTTCGTTTGGATGTGCGGTTTGAGGGGAGTGAGTTCCGCCGGTCAGATGTGGCGCAGAACAGGTCCAGTAGACAGAACGGAGACACAAGCACGCACGAGGTGAAGAGGAGCTATCGTATGAAGAGTCAAGCGTAGTCAAGATAAAGGCAGAAGTGATGTGAAGACAGAGGTCGAGGAGATAAAGTGTCATGTATGTATACGTATAATTATAGGGCAGGCGAACTGCCACCCGTCCACCAGGCAGCGATATTCCTCCCCTTCCACTCGATGATACCTGATACCTTAGTCCCCCTCTACCCACTCGTATTGGCCGTACTTGTACCTGAAAATGCAGGCGAAGCATCAATAAAACTACAACTACAGAAGCACCGCCACATCTTCTATTCCCAATAGGACACTGTTAATTACTCGTGCGTTTTCAGCTGAATCTCCTAGGTGTGAGTCTATCGACTACTGTGTATGTAATGAGTTAGTAACTATTATGCCGTGTACACTCTCCATACGGCGGACTAGGACGCCCAATAACCGCGCAGTGAAGATCCGTCCTTGCACCTTGTCTTGTCTTGTCTTGTCTTGTCTTGTCATCCACCACCAACCACACAGTATACCACGTACATACATACTGTGTAATCCATCCAATGTATGCACATAATAGTCGATTTAAATGAACACCCACACTTCATACGTATACACACACACGTGTATAAGCACATCCCAGCCATCCACTCACCCACTCACTCACTCACCCAGTCAGTCAGCCAAACACAAACATGCAGATCCCATTTCCCCATCCCCATCCCAACTTGTCACTCGACAAAGATGTCCATACGCACGGTACGCACGTAAAACTGCACGGCGCCTAATCCGTCTCCTAATCCCTTACCCTCCTCAGCATCTGCATCGAAATCTACAAGAACAAATACCCCATCTGACAGTCCATCAGATCCGTCTTGTTTCCTGCACGCACGACATCGAAACGTTTCTCCCCCATGAATTATAGCACAGTGACTGTAGACTGTAGTATCCGCGAAACCCACACTTTCCCAAACTATGAAACAACCCCCGACTCCGATCCCTATGTGTCCCCCCCAAACCAAACCAAAACCTCCCCCGGCGAGTCCACAACAGAGAAAAAAGCTCCGTGTCAGACAGTCACTATGCCCCATCTCCTCACCACGCAACAAGCTAGGTAGAAAGGCTTATAATGTAAACGTCCGATCGTTACTTGTACGCCCGCCCGCCCGCCCGCACACTCGCCCCGCTCGTGTCGCTGTAGGAGCGCACAGCGGCTTCGCACCGCAAAGCGCAGCGCAGCGGTTTGTCGGAGGCGGAGGTCGGAGTTCCATGTACATGTGTACACAGTACACACCTCAACTATGCGATCGTTCGCTCGCACACTATGCATACATGTAATTCGCGAGCACGTAAATCAGATACTTCGGAAAAGGTGAGCGAGAGTACTGGCAAGAAATGATATGTTGTTGTCATTTGTGAGTGATCATTCGTAACGAAGGGTATGGTTTTATATGGACATTTGAAGGGTAAAAAAGCATCGTCACCACTCCCCTCCCCTGTCTCCTTTCCAATCAAGTCACCAATCCTCCTACTCTTTCAAAAAAAAAAAGCAGTCGAGAAATCCAAAATCAACAACTGCACTCCAAAAATCTCTACATCATCGGATCGAAGGACAGGAAATGGAAAGCCTTGGACACCGACACCCACCCCTCCATTTGGATATCTTTGAACAAAAAACATACAAAAGCAACATCGGAAAGACGTTGGGACTCAACAACCACCGCAAAAACGCCCTGGCGACTAAGCAAAGCAAGAACAGACATTCGTGACACAAAGATAAAACGTAAATGCTAAAACATAATATTGAAAAGAAAGAAAAGCCATGGTATCGTGTCGGTTGAATCAAGCCGGGAAAACCCTAAACGTCGCGCCTTTTCTGAAAGGGAGTAGAGCTGTGAACAGAAAGTGTGAAACTTTTCGAAAAAGTGTGACCAACTGGCCGTCTGTAATGTGAGGATCGGCCCACGATAGAAGATAGCATCGTTAAGCAACCATGGTCTGATGGTCGCCCTGGGGTGGAAGACGGGCATTGGCGTGGGCAAGTCCCGATTTGGCAGCTTCCTGTAACTGAACCTCCACACCCCTTTCGCGCTCGCGTTCCCGATCGACGGGCGGAGAGGGCCGACTAGACATCGGCCGTGGCTCGTGGAGAGGTGCCAACGGTCCATGCTGTGGAGGTGCGCCGAGATTCGGCTTAGGGGTCATACCCTGGCGCGGAGGACTCATGATGTTGGCGCTGGGAGAGCCGGTGCTTGCCCTATCGCCGCCCTCACTGGTTTCGCCTTCGCTATGCATCCCACTGCTGCCGCCAACATTGATGTGATGAGAGAAGCTGGCGCGCAACTCAGGTTCTCGCACCTCCTTCCACGAACATTTGGCATGTTTCTTTGTGCAACCCATGCAGGCAGTGAGATTCTTCAAACAATCCATATGCAGTCGGCGGCACCGATCGCATGGAGGAAGAATGCGCTCCCCCTTGGCCAAACTTTCCATCCTTTGCACCATCTCCGCCTTGAACGGGCCCCCATCATCCTTCTCTTGCGGTTGGCTCACTCGCTGGGAGGCAGCTGGTAGTAGGCTGGACGGTGTGTTTGGAATTGGGACGGGAGAATTCATCATATGCTGGAGCTCCGAATCGGAATACTGCGGCGGTCTTGCGAGGTTGGAAGGACCAGTCTCGGACGCTCCGGGCGGTGGTTTGCTTGCATTCGGAACTGGCGCAGGCTGGTGCGGTGGTGATTGCTGGCTAATGGAGGAGGGTCGCCTCACCTCATGGCCTCCATTTGTGGGCTGGGACGATGCGCGACGGTCTGTGAGGGTATGGAATTTGGACATCAATTCGTGGCGCGTGGTCTGGGATGCGCCATTCCCATTCTGCTCCGAGTGGGCGCGGTTGACGGCGACGAATCCTCCTGGCGAAGTTTGGGAGGACGGCGCCATGTTAGCACTGCCAGTGGGAGCACCGGCACCGTTCATGAGAGCGACATTGGACGGGCTTGAGGGACGGATTGCAGAAGGCGCAGGGGGAGCGGTAGCGGTAGCGCGTCTGTCGATGATGGCCTGCTTGCGACCTTTCAGTCTGTGGTTAAGTTGTCGGGTGCGCGCAGCAACTATCATTCATGTCAGCACATCGCCATTGAAACGTTCGCCATAGCAGATGTAACATACCTTGATCTGCCAATTGGCAGACTTGACCCAGGTTCTTCTCCAGTATATCCAACGTCCCAAGCTCCTTCTCTTCATCCTCAACGATTGGCTGCGGCGGTATCATCTTCTGCGGTATTCCCGACGAGATCAAGACGAAGTCCTCCTCCGATATCTGAACCCTGCACTGCTTGGTGTAGAATTGGCAGACACGAGCGCCTTCGCTCATTTGCGCCAGGTGGAATTGCTCCGGCTTGTTGCGGGCGAATTCGACAACGTCCAACCAAGTCACATTGATTCCATCCTTCCCGTGGCTCTTAAGCACGCGCGGTGGACCGTCGAACAGTCGCTCGAATCGCTTGATCAAGATTGGGCCGAGAGGGCGCGCGCCGAGGTTACAAGCCATGCTCTCATGGCGGTCGAGCACGCCCTGGTAATCGCTAAGTAGCGAGAGTATGTTGGGTAACGTATCATCGTTTGTGATCAAGGGCAAGTCATTGGTGAGCTGTCTTGCGAGATAGTTGATCTGGAGATGGTTGTGCGTCTTGGCGGTCTTTGGCAGTGGCGCGGATGCTGGATGGATTCCGTCGTGCGAAGGACTTCGTTTCCGCTTGAGGTCTGCCTGGTGGTGTGCGTTGGGATTGGCAGCAGGATTGTGATTATTGTTGTGATTGTGAGAGTGGCTATGAGTATGGTTGTGGTTCATGTTGGCCGGCGAGTCAGCGGCGGACATGGTGAAGAGTGCGCACCTCGCGCAGAGAGCGACAGAGAGGGGATTGGGGAGAGGAAGAGTTAGAGAGTGAGGAGGAGGGGAGTAGATGAGATCTGAGTAGGAGGAGGAGGAGGAGGAGGGAGAGGAGGGAAAGGTGGAGGGTGGAGGTTGGGTCTGGTTGGAGCTAGGCAGGCGGAGAGTGAGCGGGAAATCAAACCGCTCAGGGTAGGTCGTGGCAGTAGCAGGGTTGAGTGGAAGGAGGAGGAGCTGGGGGTAAGTCTTAAGAGCATGTGGCAAACGGCAGCGGAAGCAACGTCGAGCCGGCGTGGAATATCACAATAGTGGCATGGCGTAGGCGAGCCGGCAGTGTAGATATAGAAGAAATAATGAAGCTGTAGAAGTAAGGTATGGGTATGGGTATGGGTATAGGATAGGTATGTGTATGATATAAGGTGGATAGTAATAAAGGGAGGGCGAAAGAAAGGAAGGAAGGAAGGACGGAGGGAGGGAAAGAGAAAGAGAGGACAGGGAAGGGAAGGGAAGGGAAGGAACGAAGGGAAGTGGGAAAATGACTATCAGAGTTAATGTGAGTGGAGCGGGCGACGACCTCGTGCCTGGACTTTTGGCTTTTGCTTTTGCTTCTGCTGTGGCTTTGACTCCGTTCCCACCCTCTCATTAGTGGTTAATTCCCTAGCTAGGTATTCCGTATGTATCGTAATAATGAATGGAAGAAGAGGAAATAGTTGCACACTGAAGAATGTTACAAAAGCTTATTCCTACTGCGTGAAAATGAACACCTTAGTTAGTACTCTGTATAGTAGTAATTTATTGGCCCATTCTCCACCAGAGAGGAGAAGAGCTCCTACCATACAGTACTCACTCTGATTCCCAATCACTCTCTCCGCCCCGCTTACTACAGACAGGACACATCAAGCCCTATATATAATTATATACATTATATACGATGGCTTCACTGAAGACTAGACAAGAGTGTGAAGAGTCTAGACAGACAATACGAGTAAGACTCACCCAGTCATCATTCAAACCAACGAGAACTCAAGGGCAGCAAAAGAAGCAAAAGAAAAGGCTAGCGGAATCTTCTTATGCCCGGTCCAATCACAGCCGACCTCGCCCACGGGGCCACCTCTAAGATAGATCGGCGGGCTGATTCCCTTCCTGAAAGCATCTCCATCCTTCTGCCGCACTCTAGACCCTCACATCCACGCATGCCGTGTCCAAGTAAGAAAACGTCGCTGATGAGATCCCATCCCATAATAATTCAGCCCATACCTACGCACGCAGATGGGTGACGGTGGTGGTGGTTGGTGGCATGGTTACATCCAGCATTTCCATTCGCTGAACCCGCACCGCTGACGAGGACGAGACCGCGAAACCGCGTTGAAACGCACTCGTATGCCTCTCATGGTCGTTCAAACGTAGCCGTACGTCAGACTAGAGTATCAAACCTAGGTGTATCATTATGTATGGACTGTATCCTCATACACCGTTCACGCAGATCTATCCAGCTCAATAACGGGTGGGAGGAGCTTCAAATAGTAGGTGCAATAACGCGCGCTATGTAGGTACTGTAAATGGGATAGGATGGGGGTAGCTTGCGACGACGCAGCGCGCCCTGCCTCGTCATCGCGAGATTATTCCCGTGTGGAAGCTTACGAGTCCAATATCGATGTGAGGGGGTGGGTGCACACTGCACACTGGACTGGACTCTGCAACGCGGGAACTGGACAGGGCAGGGTGTGGATGTTTCCGTTACTCGTTCCATATCGCAGCGTTCGCTACATACGTCGCTCGTAACCTTCGGAGGCGGACGGGCGCAAGAAATGCCTCAAGATGTGATTGGATAGGATTAATAAGGTAACGCTAGTCTATATGAGGTCGTAACTCAATGCACGTGCCAACAGGGAGGAAGGGAGGAAAAACCAAAGGCAAGAGCGGAGAATTCGAATTCCGCCCACAGCTTAGTCAGATCGCACTGTCTCACGTGACGTCTTCCTCCCCACCATCGAGCTTGCGAACGCACGGACCCCAACAACAGATTCGGAAAGCTTCCCATTATCCAACATCCCAAACCACGGCCAGCACCTTCCGACCACCGACGAATATCAACTTCGAGCACTCCCGTCGACATACCAGCGCCCACCACATAACCCTTCAATTCGACCATCGTCCAATTGAATCACACGAATGTCCGAGCGTGGAGCTTTCAGAGGCCGAGGCGGCGGCGGTCGCGGTGACCGTGGAGGACGAGGCGGAAGAGGTGGCGGGGGAGGAGGTGGTGGTCACGGCCACGGCCATGGCCACAGGGGAGAGCACCACGGCGGCGGAGGCGGTGGGGGAGGAAATGACAAGCAGCAAGAGCGCCCGAAGAAGGAGAACATCCTCGACTTGGGCAAATACATGGACAAGCAGATCAGCGTCAAGTTCAGCGGTGGTCGCGAGAGTACGTTGTGTCCCCTAGTTTTCGAAATACGCACGGCAAGCAGAGATGCGGGCGGTAGCTTGGAAGATTGGAAAGCATTGTGTATGGGGGTTATGAAGAGTTGAGCTAACGATACGGCGTAGTCATCGGCACACTGAAAGGCTACGACCAACTCATGAACCTCGTCCTCGATGAGGTCAAAGAAGCAATGACAGGTACGCTCATTTCCTTCCCATCTATCTCAAACAACCCACGCCTGGACTTCGAACCTACATCAGAACTAACACACAACCACAGACGAAGAAGGCAACGTCCAGTGGCGCAAGCTCGGCCTCATCGTCGCGCGAGGAACACTCCTCGTCGTCATTTCCCCCGTCGACGGCAGCGAGGAGATCGCAAATCCCTTCCTACAAGAGGAGGAATGAGGAGGTCCTGTTTTAGCGACGCATACGACCTGATTTACGACTGCAACGCGCAAGGCTGGGGAAGAGGATGGGGACTTGGGCCGGGGGATTCTGCGAAGTGACTTCAACCGACGCGGGGGAATCAAATCAGCTTTCCCGGATTCTTTCGAAAAGGGTGGCATTCAGTGTTCCCTAAGCGTTTTGCAGGAGTTTTCCCCGAACCGAAGTAAGAGAGAAAGACAAAAAAAGCGATACCCCGTGGGTTGTAATCTTCGCGGCCGATGATCTATACACACATTGTCGTCATCATGATCATTTGGGGAAAGGACGAAATGAGTACCTATTGACTTATTGAATAATGACATAATCCCCCGTCTTTCTCATAGCCTACCTAGCATACAATGGAAAAAAAATATGAAAACACGAAACAAAACTAGAGAACGAACCCTTTACAGATTGAGATAAAAAAATGCAATCCCAGCAAACACTGCAACCGGTAATTACATCATATAATAGCAAATTCTCGACTGGTTCAAGATATATTTCATACTAACAGTCCATTATCATATTACTTATTTCATAAAACATTACATACATAGGTAGTCATACTCGTTTCCTACACCCTAGCACATCACACCGTACGGTGTCATACTATACCTTCATGACCCAAGCTCAAACGCAATTTCCATAAAACCCGAAAAACCAACAAAAGAAGATTCGTCACAAAATCCACCCATCATAAATCCGTACCCCACACCCACCGCCATCGTTCTTTCATTCTACCCCATCCCCACTCCATCCATTACTACACAAGTAGAAAAGAAAAGTGACTAAAGGTGAAAGAGACGTTTTGTGAGGGTAACAACCTAGTTCGTCTGGCCATGAGACCGCAGCGGGGAGTTATACCCCTCGACAGTCCTGCTTCCGTCGACGCCGCCCGCGCCGTCGGTGCCGTACTTCTCGACGTTCATGGGGAGTCCGGTGTTGGGCTCTGTTACGAGGCCTTTTTCTTGCTGTGCACTGGAGGTGGTAGGGTTAGTATGAATGTACGTACATCGGTAATGATGGAAGGAGGGGAGGTGGAGGTGGTGAGGACTTACGAGGAAGTGAACTGTTCAGGGTGCTCCAGCGCCTCTCTGGCGGGATGGCCCTTGGGCGGGTCTTTGTGCAACTTGTTGCGGTGCTTGCGGCCCTCGCTGGTGTCGGAGTCCTGGGCGTATTCGTGGGCTGCGAGACCGGATGCGCCTGCTGCGCCTGCGCCGGTGGTGAGGTCCCGCGAGCTGCGGGGGCTGGAGCTCGCGCTGCTGGTTCCCTTTCGTTCCTTGCGGGTCTTGTCGCGGTGGAGGAAGCCGAAGAGGTGGTGCTTTTTCTCCTTGTGTTCGTCTTCGTCTTCGGGGCGTTGTTGTTGCTGCTCGAGCTGTTGTTGTCGCTCGCGCTCCTTTTCTGTCTCCTTTTGGTGGGATTTGGCTTCCGCGGCGACGAACTTGTCGTGCTTTTTCTGGTCCTTTGTTTGCTGCTTCTCCAGCTCGCGCTGCTGCTTTTCGAACGCCTTGTCCTGCTCCTTTTGTCTATGTGCGAGCTCCTTCTGGTCTTGCTTGTGCTGGTGAGCGAGTTCTTTTTCTTCGGCCTTGCGCTGGTGGGCGAGTTCCTTTTCCTCGGCCTTGCGCTGCGCTGCAAGACGCTCCTTTTCGGCCTTCTCGGCGTCGTGCTGGGAGTAGGCGTAGGCGCCTGCTCCGGCTGCTGCTGCTACGCCGGCGGTACCGAGAGCGGCATTGCGCTTGTCGTGGTCTTGCTGCTTGTAGGGGTCTTGAACGGAGTCGTAGCGCTGGTGTCCGGCTTCTGGTTGCTGGGATTGAGACAGAGGAGGTTGCTGGGTTGTTTGGGACAGAGGAGGCTGTTGGCCATGGGAGACAGGAGGCTGTTGAGTCTGAGCGATGGACCCTTGTTGGTATGTCTGGGACTGGGGAGCCTGATCATGGTGTCTTGTTGCAGCATATGCGCCTGCTCCGGCGGCACCGAGTCCTCCAGCTATGGCAGCATCTCTGCCGTAGTGGTGTTCTTTGGACTGGTTGGGGTCATTAGGGTTGTAGGAGCTTGGAGCCGTGGGATCGTGGGCTCCTGGCACAGTTGGGTCGTAGCGTTGGTCGTTCATGGCCGCGGGAGCCTGTGTGCCACGGTGATCTCCATAGCTCTTGGCTGCTTCGTATGCGCCATAGCCTGCTGCTCCGGCTCCTCCCGCCAAAGCTGCATCGCGACCATAATGGTGCTGCTCGGTGGCAGGCTGGGCGGTGGGCTCAGTCGCTTTTTGCTTAGCGGGATCGGGTTGTACACGGGGATCCAAGACGTTGGCGACATTGCTCTTGTGGGGACCAATGGTGTGGGAAGCTGGGTCTTCGGTCGTGGATCCAGACTGGTGATGCTTCTGGAGAGCAGGATCGGGCTGAACCCTTGGGTCGAGGACATTGGCGACGTTGCTCTTGTGAGGGCCAATAGTGGAGGATGCTGGGCCAGTCTCTGGCTTGTCGGCATCACGTTGGCTGGCGTATAAAAGTCCACCCGCAGTAGCAGCGCCAGCGCCAGCTCCGACCAGGGCTTCATTAAGACCGTGATGGCTCTCTGACTGTTCGACTTGAGGTTGCTCACGGGCAGAAGTCTCCGTCTTTGGTGCGGCGGTGTGGGCAGTCACGCTGTGTGGAGATGGCTCCTTTCGAGCAGTAGGGTCAAATCGCTGTTCCTCGAATTTTGGCGCATGTGGGTTGACACGGGGATCAATCTTTGTCGAGCTATAGGGGCTTGCTTCAGCAAGTGCCTCCTGTGTGTTTCCACCCTTTGGCACGGTGTCGTGATGTTTGGTAGCAGCATATGTACCCAAGCCTGCAGCTCCGAGGCCACCGGCAACTGCAGCGTCACGTCCATAATGATGCTGGTTCTTTTCTGGAGTAACAGGTTCCGCAACCGGTGTTTCTTGATGCTGCGTAGAGGGGAGACCGCTGCCTGCGGCGATACCGACAGAAGGTTCGATCGAATGTGACTCGGTGTGCCTACCAGCGGGCCCAGGAATGTATCCTCCAGCTCCTGTCTTCTGGTCGGAGGGTGTCTCCAAAGGCGTCTCTGGAAACTCTCCAGGAATATGAAGATGAGGATCCAACTGGGGATCTAACCTGTTTGCGGTGTCTGTGAAATGGGGGCCATCAGTGAACGACTTTGGGTGAGGCTGCTTCTCGCTGATGCAGGGATCGCCAGTAAAGTTATGCCCGTGACCGAGGTGATCGTGTTCAGACTTAACTGTCGATGAAGTGCTGCCTTTATATGCGGCGGCGGCAGCAGCAACAGCGTCGGAATGGTGCTCAGAGGGTTGCACAGTGCGTTCATTAGATGTTGAAGATGACCCTGTAACTCCAGAAAGGGCTCCATGACCCTGGTTGGTACGCTCCTGCTCAATCTCACGATCATCTTTGCCAGTTCGATTACGGTAAGCATAAGTGCCAGCGCCAGCGCTAGCTGCCAATGCTGCTGCTCCTGCTAGCTTTTCACGGCCGTGACCATCCTGCACGTCGGCTGCTTTCTCTTTGGTTCCAGGTTCTCTTTCGTTGGTAGATGCGTTGTGGGGCTGGGAAGCAGCAGTGTTATGGACGGGGGTAGGGTCATCAACCCTTTTGCTGGAAACAACCCCTCCGGCAAGGGGAAATGAACGGCCAGAGTCAGTTACTGGTTCTTGTCGGAACGAGCGTTCAAAAGGCTGTTCTGAAACGCCGGTTGAAGGTTGAGAAGATTGAGCGAAATCCTTCTTTTCAGTTCTCTCGTTGCCTACTGGAGTGACCCGCTCTCGAGCTTGTTCCGAGCTGTCTCGGAGATTCTCATGATCGGGCTGACGATGGAGTTGATGAGCTACACCAGCAGTACCTGCGCCAATGGCGATATCCTGGCCGAGGTTCGAACTCGTTTTAGGCTCTCTGTCATGTGATCAGTCTTGATTGTCGAGATGCAGAATACGAAGGACATACCCAGAGTTTGTTGTGTTGGTGGCAACCGAGCCCTGCGTAGGGGTTTCGATAGATCTAGTATCGCTACGGGGGCTTAAGGCAGCATGGCCTCCACGGTCCTGTGGAAATCCCATCACACCAGATTTGATGCTCGCGGTGCTGGCACCCTCGGTCAAAGTTCCACGTTGCGTAGAGGTTGTAGTGGCCGGGCTTAAGGTTGATGAAGTAGGGATATCCTTTGATTTCGCCATGACTGGTTCAGATCGCTTCTGCTCTGAGCTGTTCAAGGGTTGTTGTGTGTTCTCAGTCGTAGATTGTCCTGGGCTACTACCGGTGAATTGATCATAAATGGGATGATATCTGCTTGGTGTGTTAGTCCTGGAGCAACATATTGTGGACAGATGCATAAACAGCATCAGCTTCGATGGCACATATTGCAAACTCACTCGTTTGGTTCAACCTGAGCTTCGTTACTAGACTGGGTCGATTTGACACCTGCGAAATGACTGCCCTCTCCAGTTGGACCAGATCTATCAAGACGGGATGAGGTGGGCTCCTGTGCCGTATCTGCAGACTTCCCTTGATCATGGGAAAGGACCTTCTTAAGCTTCTGCATGATGTCGCCCTAGGGTGCGTCGATGATGTTCACAGGGAAGAGGAGGACAGCGGTCAATGCTAGGTGGGGAATATCGTACTCGGTAAGGACAAGGGATTAAAGTACTGATTACATGGAAGATTCAGTTGGCATTAGCAGGATTGTCACAAACCAACGCAAGCATGAGCACAAGGGCAAGCAGCAGGAGCATCAGCCATGAGGTCATACATGAGTAGCGGCAGGAGAGCGCAAACGCGGAGCACCAGTCGTACCAATGGCGGGACACGTCCAACATCAAAATAGTAAAGCTTAACCCACACAGCGATCGATCTGTTTGATACACTATTCTTCAACTCAATAGAGATTTATTCATAAACACCACAAGATCGTTAGATTTGGAGAGAATAACACACGAATTGTCTGTTTATGCTGGCTGATCGACATAATCCCGGTTTATGATCATGTTCTCCAAGTTGGTGGGATCGATTGCCTAGCTTAAAGGAGTCTCTTGAAGATGGGAGAGTCCCTGCAAGGGTAGGAAGCAATCGCCAGAGATGGAACAGGATTAGGTCCTAATGGCTACGCAATCAATTGAAGGCGTGGAATTGTGGACAGCGACGAGAGATGATGTATTGATGTGTAGGGGGCGTGGGCAAGGGAGCGGGAGAGGCTGGAAAGGATGACGTCGTGAGATACTACAATCGTGGATGGTCCGAGCGATGAAACCCCACAGCGAAAAGTCACGTGATGGCACACGACATTTCTCCATATCCGCCCGACGATCTTCCCAGGACACAACCTTGAGGCTTGAGCCAGGGAGTCCCCAGGCCTTACCAGAACTGTTCACTCCCCCTTCTTGGAGCAGCGAGTAATGAACGACCGATGACCGACGACCTGCCCTGTCTGTCTGGAGCACCCTGGGCTTGATGGGCACCCCCCCCTTCCTTCGCTGCCTTTCCTCCATCCTCCGTCCTCCGTCCGATTCAATCAGCGAATAGCGCCGCCCAACCGGGGGTAGCCTGTGCGTACGCGAAGGTTGAGGAATCGGCCGAGCCAGATCCGTATTTGTCGCGATGTTGAAGGACGCCACCAGCAAAGACCGAGTGAGCGCGAGAGTGTGGGTGCTCTGAAATGGAGACTTCACTCTTCACTCTCGTACTCGTACAACACCACATCGTTACCGACCTCTGGTCTGAGGAGATGGGAGTACAGAGTACAGAACACACATCTGTTAGTTACTGACAATCCAAGCAATGCCGTGACCCTCGGCGCATGATGCAGACCGACCGTCGAAAGGATTGTGTTGCCCAACAACGAGATGCGATCTACCACCTTCCCTCTGTAACCTCGCACTCGTACGTAGAAGTTGCACCCGAACGACGTTCCGAGCAGAACAATTAGTATCTGCCCTACGATTTTTGTTGGCCGCCTTGCGCGAGAATTTCTGAGCGGACCATGATCGCTACCTGACCATTGAGGTCTCTACCAGGGCAAATGGCCTATCAAGGCTCTTGAAGATGGTCCTTAGCTCCTCCTCGGCTCCGCCCAGCGCCGGGAGGACCGATGGGCCTGGCGCCGTTATTCGCGCTGCCTCAGTAGTCTCAACTACCTAACTAATCCATCCTAAAGTCCGGTGCGTATTCTGCCATTCAGTCGATTCTGGCTTTAATGACCTTTGCCCCTTGCGCCCCAAGTCCCCAATTATTCTTCCAAATGTCGACTGTATGATTCCAACCCCGTCTTCTGCGAAACCGATGCACGAGCGCAACTGTTCCCGTTACCACTGTCCTAATCAACTACTACTACACACACGCGACGACCGATAAATCGACTTCAAGCAATTCCGCAATACCAAGATCGGCCGCTCTATTGCCCAGTCCTTCTAATCCTGGAGCGCTGAGCGTTTCCTAGAAGTCCTCTCCCCGCGAATTCACGATTGCTGGCACGAAACACATCCGTACAGGGAAAAGGCCGCTCCAGTCTCACGTCCGACCCACAACCTCCTCCACACTCGGTCCTCTCGTCCGCCGTTTCTCCGCTGTCACTCCTGCCTCACTTTCAGTTTCCTGCACGATTCTTCACTGCATTTGAGAGTGCATAGTATCCAGACACAACCTCGCCCGGCCTTCTCCCGACATCTTCGAAATGGCTCTCCGTACACGACTTCGTCGAGCGTTTACTCGCGGCTCTTCAGATGAAGGCTCTGGCGGTCCTCTTAGCAGAATCACCTCAAGATCTTCTAAAAAGGACAAACCAAAGCCAGACCCAAATGTATATCAGCCAGGCGAGAAGATGCCTCCTATGAAATACCGCAGGCCCGTGGACCCTATACACAAAAAGAATCTCGAAGCCTTCAATTGGGCGACTTCTTGGCGACGGAAGAGTGACCCCAGTGTTTACTCGCCCATGGGAAGTCGCATGCCCAGTCGGAAGAACAGCCACACTACACTAGGGAGACGGAGCATCGGCGGCAGGAAGACGAGTTCACGAGCGGATGACTCTGCTGTGGATAGTGGCTTTGGAGGCAGCATTTCCGGAGACACAGATCACCCAAGTCTACTTAGAGAGGGTAGCGAGGAGGAGGGCGATGTCACTAATGGTGAGTTCTCGGCGATGGCAACCAGTCTCTGCATTCAATTTACTGACTCTGTTCAAGTTGGCCTTTCACGACCGCCTACAAATGACCGGCCTCGCAAATCCTCCTCCATCCACGGCCGCCGCTCCCATTCTATACACCGTACCCTTTCAAATAGATCCGGAGGATCACGTCCTCCCACTAAAGATGGTGCCATACGTCGGTCAGGTTCTTCTCGAGGAGAACCATTCACCCCAGCGGAACTCGAGCTGGCTCTCAAACGCTCCCACCTAGAAACTCCGAAGGAAGAATCCGACCGAAGCGGAGATGGAAGCCCGAACACTCCCTCCAACGGCCAACTAAAGCTGAACCGTCAGAGCATTTAATGACGATGCCAACGCCAGCCACGATCATGCCTTTCTCCGCACTATAGACTTTTCTTCTATATTCCTAACCTTTGCGTCTCAAGGTCTTCATTTGACCGTCATTCTTTCTGCATTTGCGAGGTTCCTGGGTCTTCACATTTTCTTGCATTATCTGGTTGCATTTGTTGGTTTGGAGTTCAAAAGGTGACGTTGATGCGTCACTCTCGGAGGCCATACGTTCATAAACGTTCGTTTTACTTACTAGGGAAAATTATTGTAAATAGAGTAGCTGATCAGGGTTGTATATACGCTCCTCCTCGACATCATCGAAGGGATGAAACCACAAGACACAAGGTAAACTTCGTGTTTTACCTCAAATAGAACACCGATTCATGAATCTAAAACGCACGTAACCATGTCATGTTTATCAATGATCCCGCAAAGCCCTCCCATCTGCATGTTCAGCATCCTTGTTTTGCACGACGCATATCTTGAGGTCATTCGATGTCGGCCAAGCTTTATCTTCGAAGACGGAAATTTGCGATGAGGTGGACGGGGAGTTCCGGTACAACATCGGACACTGGGCATCAGCCAGCTTTACGAAGGTCTACGTGAGCAAGTGGAAGTGAATTAGTTGTATAATCAGGAAGACAAACGGTTTGTATTCATGGGCCTCTCAGTGAATGAATAACTGAATACCCAGGAAGACAACCATGGGGGGACGTCATTCGTTATGGACGGAGAGGATGAGCACCTTTTGCTTGTCCCCCGCTAAGTGTCAATGTTTTTATGGGTCGTCAATTGTTGATTTAATGTCTAAGATTCTGATCTGCAATCGATATGACGACTAGATCAGTTGTCAATAGATGTTAGCACATGGGGATTTTTGAGAATTATTTTTTGCATCTGTATATGCATACTAAGATGACCCAATTCGGGGGAATTCTCGATGTACCATGCGTTTGTTTATCACGCGGGATTCAAATGTCAACATCAAACACCCCCACTCTGATCTGGAATTCTGTGAATACCGCCTTTAGGCAGACTCGCAAAGGCCCTTGTGACATGCTAAGATTGTAGTAATTCACAGGTGATAGTACAACGCAACTTAAAAAAGTCAAGTGAGTCTCAACAAGTCAAGTGAGAGAAAGTGACTGTATGATGGTCCGCCCGCTGATTGGCTGATTCTCGCCGCACGGTTCCCCAGACGCTCTCTTACTGGTAGGCGATGCTCTGGCCGCTCTTTGGTGAGGGAAGACAAACACAAGACAAGCACGAGTACAAATACTCTTCTAACCTCTCAAACTGTTGACCAACTTCCCCAAGTACGACCCATCCTACCCTCTCAAACAACTCTGCAGCTTTCTTGTGTACAGCCTTCTTCAATTTCTGGACGCATTGTCCGAGCTGCCAGATATGCGTGTACAGCCATATTTCGTAGTCGAGTGCTGGCACTTCACCGAAACCGACGCCGAGTTTACAGTTCGGTGCCATGGAAATGCTTCCTCATCCAATCAACCGCTGAAAACTTCGATAACTCGCTTTCAGTCAAGGAGAAATATCTAAACTATCTCGAACGTATTCAAGACGACGAGATAGAGGATCCCGAGGCTTGGAAAGATTTCAATGAGTGGGTGCTGGAGCCTTTCGAGCCAATATTCCGTGGCGTTCCACTTCTTCCGGCAAATGAGAAATACACGCTTCAGCAATATCTCTTCCCAGAGATAATATTTTATACATTGCGGTCTGTTGACGGAAAGCTTGTGCCTGTTCCTCAGAGTGAGGAAAAGCAATCTGACCGACTTCCCTTTGGTGTTAAACTACCACAAGAGCTTTGCTCACCATGGTCGTCAATCCACCCAAAACACATTCGATACGGCAACGGAATTGACCACATGCACTCTTGCGATCCAAGAAGGGCCTTTATCGACGGCGATATACCTCGCCGCTATTTTTTCAGATTCCACCATCTAGCACCCCACAGGACCGTAGAGTACGAGCTCACCAAATACGCAAGCATACGAGACGCCGGGCTGGACCACTTACGCATCCCCCAACTCTACGGCATCGTGCAAGATGACGCCGGCCTCGTCTACGGGCTATTGTTCTCACACATTGACAGTGTCAGCGTGAACTTAAGATATGATATGGCAGTCGAGGAAGCACCAACGGATCTCCGAGAGCGGTGGATAAGCCAGATTACAGACACACTTCAAGATTTACACGACGCTGGTATCACATGGGGGAATGCAAAGCCCGATAATGTTATGATCGATGTGAATAACGATGCTTGGCTAATTGAGTTCGGAGGCGGACATGAAGGGTGGGTGGAGGAGGAAATGGAGGAAACATTGGCTGGAACAGTGAAAGGAGACTTACAGGGACTAGCGAAGATTGTAGCATACATTCAATCTTCTGCTGTCGAAAAGGCGTCGCCAGAAACCACGACACACAACGAGATTCAGTAATCTTCTTGCCCTGCTGAATGTCATGAAAAGGACGCTATGTTCATCCAGCAAAAACTGCAATGCCAAGGTCCAACTCGGCCTCTTTACTACTGAGGCACCCAATTGTATACTAGTTCTCTCATACTATCTTAGTCGAAGGAGACTTCGAACTGCTCAAATCAATTCTAAAGGTATCCACTGCGCTTAAATTCCATTGCGTGCAGATGATTCTTTCCTTTGTAGTGCCGTCCACAGTAAAGAAGCCATGCCTCCTGTCTCGTCACCTTTCTGGACTGGTTTGGGTCCCGATTATTCAATTACGTAGCCAATATTTCGCAGGAAAGTCTTATCAGAATTGCCCATCACGCGCTGGTGCTCCTAAATCTGCACTTGCTGAAGATTTGCCACTGAGTATCAAAGATCATTCAATCACCGATCTTTGGCCCAATCTCCCAACATTGTGGTGAGAGCGGCGCGTTTGTGGTGTCAAACGAAAATTCAAACGGAAATCCGAACTTCGTTTGAGCCTTCCAACCTCGTGAAGAGGGTACTGCTTTCGTGACGTCAAAGAAAAAGTGAAGCCTAGTGTTGCGTGCAAACAGCCTGTATTTAGCACCTCACTGCTGTTCATTTTCTCTTCTTTCCTCCTCCATCATTCAGTCACCCATAGCAACTGGTCTCTAGCATTGTCGAAGAGGCTCTCTTGCATCCCCACAACTCTATTCAGCAACATGTGTCATAAGTACCACAAATTATACAAATAGGGACACGATGAACCCAGTCATATAACCTACTGTTCGAAGCATCAGATCAGCACAATTACCGGAAACCCGATCATGTGCAAACCCGGAAAGGGCACCAGGTCAGCAACGACAGCTGCAGACAATATCATGTTCGAGAACTGCGCGTGTAAACTCGCAGATCTAATGAGAAACGGCTGGACATGTTGCCAATGCGGCTATTCCAAAAATTGTATGGACGGATGCTGCGGGCCTCCGAGTGGAGATGGAGACTGCGATCACAGGGTCTGCATAGAATGCACATGTACTCAAACTCAGCGGTAAGTGACTGATCGAGATTCGGGTACGTTGAATTGCTTGCTGATTGACCGCTAGATGAACTGCTATGACTGCTGCCTGTGCAGTATTTAGGACAGCTTTACACGGATTTCGAGACTTCCTATATCAGAAACGGATCTTCCGCACCCTTCCCAAGTAGAACACGATACTTTCCAATACAACATTTTCCAGTACAAAATTTTCCAGCACTATGCCCCAGCATTATGCCGCCAGAATTATGCCGCCAGAAATATACCTCCAGAAATATACCTCCAGCATACGCCTTCCGACCCCGTCCCTATTACCATGGAGCTTGCACTCGAGAAAGTTGACCAACTCGTGCGAACTACAAGTTCTTGACATGGAGACATGGTCCATATAGGCCGAAGGCCATCATTCGACTCGTCAAAGCTGCTCATCACGACAAATCTGAGGAATTGAACCTGGTCAGTCGACACATACATTGAATGATTATTCTCTCTTTTTTGTTACTTGTTATCTTCCTATCGTGGACTCTCACTATTGCCTTTCTCTCGTGCACTTTCGTTATTACCTTCTCTCGTGTGCTTTTGTAATTACTTGTCTATCGTGAGACACCTTGTAAAACTGTTCCACCGTGGGGACTCGGCTGGGCTCGCTTTGTATAGCAGAAATCATCACGAACGGACTATAGCATGCGGGAAATTCGAATTCACAAGCAACGAAGAAAGATATTAGAGGCAGCCTGAGGTACGCAATGAACCGTCGAACTAACGTCTCTCTCATAAACCCAAAGCCGAGAAACCTTGGTGTAGAATGGCAAAAACATCTGAGCGAGCTCCAAAGCTTCGGAGTTACATTGGGTAAGACTGTTTTCAAACCGAGTCCGAAGTCCAAAACCACTCAGCTAGACCAATTCGTGAGTAAACCAGCCAAAAGTGGAATAAGTAAGAAAGGTACGACATGTAGTAAGGGAATGTCGTAGCATAAGCAGATGTGAAAGTAACGTCGCGTTCGTGACAATCGTGGCTCGAAGAATATCCATGAGATGTCTTTTACCGATACGAGTGGCTTCAATCCAGACACGCACTAGAAAGCGTGGGAAAAAGGGAATGAATCACTGTCGAATCACATCGTCTACATATTTTGAACATCGAGACATCGCAACTACTCTCTACTAAGCGCCGGGGGCTCCGAGGCGTTGGAGCTCCTCAGCCGTTGCTAGCTAGCTAATAAGACATCTGCGCCGCCTCGAATTGGATGAGAGACACCGAAAGTGGATGGGGTGCGTCGAGGATGAGTTGCAATGATCCAAGAAGAAACGAGCGCAGATCTTCGATCCATCGTTTTCCAGCATCTGGGATCTCGTGTAAGCTCTGTGATTGCAGCGTAGGATTCTTTTGATGCGGATGCACATGAATCTGGAAATCATCACCTGCCGCTCATGTTATGGTCTCGTGTTACATTCGGTGGGGGAGGTGAACTCGAGTGAGCCAACACATGCAGTTGCATACTAACTATGTCTTCCATGAGGAAGTTCAATCCAATCTCAAGTGATGCGAAGATAAGAGACTGCTGGTAGTTGTTCTTCTTGGGGTGCACGAATATATGCCATGATGGTGCCACTGTGGATGGGGGGTGGAAGGAAGCGTGGGGATTTTTGGTTTCTCAGCTGGGTGGTGTGTGTGTGTGGATGAAGCTTGGAGAACATCAGCATTGCCATACTGCCCCGAATGGTCAGCGAATCCCAGGGCTGATAATGCATTAATGAGCCTGGTCTCTGCAGTGTAGGGGAGAGAAACAGCGACTAGCCCACAGAAAGTCTACCGTTATTGATCATGATTCGTTCATTTTACTTCTTTTCTAAAGGGACAGCGACAAGTCTCAGTAGTATCACACACCAAGTCAGCTTGAATTTCCATGTCTCCAAATCAGGGCATCAGTTCCCCACTGAAACCGACCTGATTGATAGGATGTCGAACAGTGCGTAGGGCCGGCCAACATATTTTCTCTTGGAGATCATCGTTATGGTTCGATTGTCTTGAAGTCCACTTCTATCGGCCATCATCAGTGACTTAGTCCTTGTAGAATGGTACTAGGCGACTGCCGATAGAGCTTCATGGAAGTACAATATCCACCAAGGTTTGGTACTTGTCTCCAATGGGAAACGGAATGCGGCACAAAGCACTTGAATTTATCTCGGCCTAGATCATGCCTTCGTCACCCACATCTTTTGCCATCATGAAATTCTTGCCTCAAGTTGGTCTGGGTGCACCTACGCAGGTACTGAGCGGGGCGATGCAAGCCAAAGTTTGAGCACTGACAACACTCTGAACAGTTGTCAAGGCGGGGATCGCTGTTGTGATCAGAAGCTACAGGACATGCATCCAGGCTCTGTATCTGCCGAATCAGTTTGCTGCCCAGTTGAAGTATCCGGGTCAACGCTCTCGCCTTTCAAGACGTTGCATAGGAGTCTAGTTCAGGCAATGAGCGTCTGCGTGCGTATGTCCAGCCAGGACGCGCCTCACGGTTCACCTTTTTGCCCTTGCTGAGTCCAGTAACTGCAGCTGCAGGCCTTTTGTACGCCTCAAGAGGCAGTTGTGGAAGTCGAGCTTTCATTTTACCCTGCCACCACAAACGAACGATTTCTGCCTTTGCCGTTTCCGTTTCCTACGATTCTATCATGCCGATGGGGGGTCTTCCATGTACCCGGCAGATAACGGCGTACCGGCGAAGAAGCTGGCAGCTATAATTAATGATATATTCGGAGGTTGGATCAGTAAGACTAGCAACACAATCAAGTGCATGGCAATCATCGCTAAGAAATGAGCTGTCAACCACGCTTTCACATGGACTTGAGAATGAAGGATATTAAACGAGCGCTCGTGGCTATCAGCCAGTCACTTTCATCCGCGTGTGGGCTTTCATTCCAGCGTTCGCGCGAGGCAAAAGGCCGTTGAAGGAAGTCCGTACACCCCTTTCTCAACGGCGCGCACTGAACGCGTTGGAAAGCGTTGAGTGTGGAGCCCTGACAGGTGTGTGTAATTATCTCTGATGGGATACAGAGAACGGTGTGGAAGGTCGGTACGGAGTAGTTTGGCCTGTTCAAAGCCCATGTCATCATCTCATACCTTCCGTACGGCAGTGTGAATTGTAGGCAGTGAGATAGTTCCACTTCTCTCCACGCAAGAATGAAGACACAGGTGGCAAGAAAACCAGTAACCAGCATGCTACTCTTTGACTAAACACACTCTGACAGATACCACTGTCGCCACATGTTGTTTGGCATTCAGAGATCGCAGTGCCAACTTTAAGCGTAACGGTTCGAATGAATCCGTTGACGCCCGCAGAATCTATTCCTGCAGGCGAAAAAAAGTATACACGTAGCCTGGTAGAGCCCAAAAATTCGGCAGTATCGGCAGTACTTGTCTGAAGACTGTTCAGTTCGTGCAAGCCCTCCTACTTTGGCCAGAGTGTGGTAGCACAAATATCATTGCTATTTGCCTGGCGCAGCTCGTAGTCAAACTTGTCAAAGTATAATGCGTTTCGCTACTCTAGCTGGAGTATAGCGGTTTCTCGTCGTCCAATGTCCTGTGACCTTGATGCAAGTCATCCTGGCGGTGCTAGGCTTCCAGCTCGACGATCGAATTTGGCCAGCACTGTTGCGGTCGCGTCTCATGTAGTACCAAGGCAATATCTTGACGTCCAACCAGAGAGGTATCCACCGCGTCTGGCGCGCATCTCCAACCGTTGGCCTGCCCAGGAACCCAAGGCAGCGTCTGCTGAAACGGTCAACCTCACACATTGACACCGGGTACCCGCTTTATCGCGATTGATTTGTGTGCGAGAGATAATGGACACATTTATGGCGACACGGAACCGTTTATCACCTATGCCGGTCGCGCCCCTCTTGGTATATTGTGGCTGGTCGGGGGCGGATCGGAGCTCGAAGGTGCACAGAAACAGTACCTAGCCCGCGAACTTCGTATCTTTAGCAGGCTGACATGAGACCATGAGAGAGCTGGGTGGCTAGCATCTCTCTCATTGCGTGTACTGTGTATGGCTGGACGGCCGCGAGGCACCGACATCGCAGATCTGAGTGGTGGACATGCATGCATATCGTTCATTCCATTACTTCTGATCGCCCCCATTCCCTGTACACCAAACGTCAACAACAGGGTAAACCCAATCAGACGATTCAAGATGGCGGCTTATTTTGACGGAGAATTTCTTGCTCTGATCTCGATGATCCTAGTACACTAGGCAAATACAACTCCGGCGCTGTGTAACCCTCTGTTCCAGTTTTGTAATGATGACCCCGGGGCCCATAAACAAATAACTGTGATCAGATGCCTCGTCAGAGTGGTTCTATCAAGTCCATGGGGATACAAGATATTAGATGACATACTGATTTTTTGTGGTGAGATGGAGTGTTGGACAATCGATATTGGTGCCCGTCCAGGTGGGTTGTAGTCCAACCTACTCTGTCCAAAACTTGAGATTCCGCTCTACGGCATGTTCCATTGTAGTTTAGTCTTTATTTCCAATAGCAGTTTCTCTTCAGCAAACAACCAACGGTTTGCAAGGTCGGTCATGCAGCTCGGTGGCAGTCAGAGCGCGTACAACAGCTTGGCCATGATCCACCGGCTCATCCGCGATAGGTTCACTCAACTTTTACATTCTTGCGGCCAGTACTCCGTACTCCATGAAAGTGATCTAAACCGATTGAGTAGCAGACTCAAAAAGGTGCACACACATTGGCTTGGACAAGTGCAACTGCACCCGTCGATGCATATGCAGGTCCGTAGAGGCTGGGGGACTATATCACCTACGGAGGAAGACAAATGCTTGAATCTGGTAAGAATGGCAAGTGGGTCTTAGGCAGTGGCTGCGGGTGATGGCGTTGACCCCACCGTAGACTTGAGGTATCATTCCAAAGAGTGGAGGCGCCTGTGATGGCTGACGTTACAGTGCGCATCAGACCGATGAGCTTCAGATCAGACCCCCCCTCCATCGATTCCCGTTACTCTGGCTCGACTTGGCTTTCTGCAAGGCCATGGATCTGTGTATCTATGTTCAAGACCGTTATGCCCATCAAGTCTTCCCACGACCTTTAATCTGCCGCAAGGTCCCTGTGTACCTCTTCTCAACTTCTCCATCTTTTCACCTTCAAAGCCCTTTGCAGTTGCTCATCCCCGGTGGAGAGATTTCCTGCCCTTGCAGTCGTCCACAATCCAGATCGTCGTTGATTCGCTTAATCTTCCCTTGATTCAAACCACCGTTGAGATCCACCTGTTCGGTTGGCCGTAGAACTCTCGGAAGAGCGCGAATTCTGTACCATTCCAACGCCCTGCCTCTGTCGCGTTCGCGACCGCGCCATCCCATTTGGACATTTTGAACATGTTTCACAGAGGTACGTTAGTGTAATGCTTCTGCATGTCATTCCCACCTTGAGGCTTAAGGTGCTTTTCCGATAGCCCGCAGACCCTGATTCAAAAGCACAAGCCTCGACCCCTTTCTACCCTCCGTGCATCATCCACCTAGATTCCAATCTTCATATCGACTTTGCATTTCAGCCCTTCTTGTTATTTCTTTCAGAGGCTTTGGTAAGTGGAAGCCTTGCCGACACACTCTTTCCATTTTTCATAGACGTAAACAGTCAGCCGCTTTTGACAGTCAAGGTCGTCGACTAACACTGCCAATAGTCGTTACGAATGCTGAGCCGATTGTTCCTATGATGTCTTCCAACTATCGTCAAGACCCAACCAACGACGCTTACCAGTCGTCCCTAGCAGCAGGTTTCTTGACGCCGCCCTCGCAATTCGATGGCCGCAGGGATTCAGTCGCGTCTTCGCAGTCTTCGTACTGCCAGAGCTATTCACCAGAATACTCTGTCCCAGCAACTCCCACAGACCATGGATTCGTCGATGTCATGTCTTACGATATGAGCCATGACTTTCATCATCAGCCCATGCATGCTGCCGCTTTGCATGCAAACGAAAAGGTTCCCGAGCACCCCTATGAGCCCTGGATGATGGTTCAAGTCAACGAACCAGTGTCTGTCCATCAGATGCCATTCGATTCTCAGGAGCTTCTTCCAGCTCCGAGAGACTTCGGGCTGTCTTTGCAGACTTACGACGGCGAAAACAACATGTCCGACCTGACAGTGCCAACATCCAGCGCTGCTTGGGACAACATGTCGCCAATGGTCACCCCTGAACTCAGCCGATTCAGGCAGCCACTTGGCCGACAGAATCGACGTTACCCCCAGCTCGATCTAGGAGCAATCGAGACGGTCCCAAGTCTCTGGAACACGGCCATTCCTGAGGAGCCTCAGCCTCAGCCGATGGTAGCAGAGACCATGGCACCATCAGACGTCATGATGCAGGACTACGTTCTGGTGAATTCGGATGGGCTTGACAGCGCCACATCGTTCGATACCTCTAGCCAGACTTTCCCACCCTCCCCACAGGAAGTCTCTTTCAAGAGAGAGACTTCCGGCTCGTTGAAGGATGATTCCGACAACGATGAGGGACAGTCTCGATCAAGTCATCGCATGTACGTCTCCCCTACAGGGGGGAAGAGCGTCAAGAAGGACCGTCGATCCATGGCAGCAGTCAAGAAGCGGGCCAAGGCTCCCAAAAACCACCAGTACCGAATGGAGCTGGATGGAACCGAGATATTCTGCAGCGTCGAGCCCTTCAAGAAAGAGAAAGACGGCAAGTGCTACCCAATCGGCGGTCCTACCAGGACCATCCACGAGTGTGAGCTCTACCGGTCCGATGGCATACCTTGCAGGCGAAGGTTCAAGCGCCCCGAACACCTCAAGAGGCACGCTGAGACACACTCTGGCAAGCTCAATCATCACTGCAAGATTTGCTTTAAGGGCTTTGGCCGCAACGACAACTGCCAGGCCCACTACGACACACACATCCGACGTCCTGGGAAGAAGGATGGCCGGAACAGGAAGATGTCACTCAGGGAGGTGGAGGAGATCGTCGCAGGTGATGTCAAATTGATTGAGAAGCTACGGTCCAAACATGGATGTGGAGAGGAGTCGACTGCGCTGTGAGCTGCCATGAATCCCTGTATAAACTAGTTTTCGGTTTTGTTTGGTGTCGGTCCCCACATGGTTTTGTCGTTAAGGAATATGTTCACACTTGTGATAATTTTTATTGGTCTGCGGATATTCTTGTAAGCTAATATTCTTGGGCCCGTCTTGTATCGTATGGAGCCATAAAACAAATGAACTATTACGGCCTCATACCAACTGTGTGCTCGCCGTGACTGATGGAGATCCGCGTGAAAGCCCATCGATCAAACAGCTATACATCACATCTTCGTTCATGCTAAGTTCAAAGAGGAGATGAAAGGGTCGTGCGCTGCAGTAGTAGCAAAAGGAAAAAGCTGTGGAACGATGAGGTTGAGGCAGAGTGAAAGCTAAGAGGCCGTTTGTGGAACAATCTAACCCGGTTTAGATTAGTTCACGTGTAACATTATGGGCCTCTAGCTACCCTCCAGCTACATTGCGACCTTGTGACTTTTGACAAATTCTTGGAGACTGTTAGAATGGTAGTTTGTTGTTGTGGTCGGTTGGAGTACGTCAATGGTCATCAAGAAGATGTTGCGAATTTTGGTTCTGTATAACCCACCTAACTTGATGGTGAGGTTGCAATAGGATCCCAGTTACTTGGAATCGTACGAGACTTCAAGCTTGCTTTCGTTTTGTGGGGGTGGGAGTACCGTCGTGTTGGTATCTCAACTTCGGTACAGGTGGTGATCACTAAGTCAATGGCCTTGTCGATCGATAGGCCTGCCTGCGATCCCAGAATATCTTCAAGACGCACGTTGAAAGTCTCAGGAGCTTTCTACGTATGATACTATTGCCGGCGACGGATAGGCGCATGAGAAGTTTCAGCTTTGGCCGCAAGAACAAAGAAAACTCTGTCTCCTATGAGTTGGCCACGCTTTGGATCGATTCCTCCAGGTCCGATGTCAAGCTTTGTAGGATAGTAACGACCACGCACATGACTATTGGATGAGTACGCAAAGCTTACCATGGGACAGCCCGATGCACCTTTCACCGACAATTCGACGAGCGACGATAGATGGTCTCTATCTTCTTCACTCTTCCGTTTCGTTGTTGGTACAGCATAGTTCCCCGCTCACATCTTCCCAGTCAGATGCATCAAGCATGCAGAAGCAGAATGCAGCAAACATTCTCCAGTGGACATACCAGGATTTCCACAGCAGTGGCTTCTTTCGTGCCGATCAGTATGCACAGTTACTAAATGCGACTTCGACGTCCCCACTCCATATCCGATCTTGATCTACAACAGGTCATGTACTTCATTGAGTACCCCAGTGCATGTCACATATGACGTTATTAGGATGTCCTTCAATGCGAGTACGAAATACCCTGTAGATTCAGTACGATTCTAGGCCTGGTCTTCGCTGTTGTGACAGTACCGCTGCCGCCATAGCACCCCCAACAGCGCGCCCACAGCCTTACATCCCGATCGTAAATCGTCCCCAAATGTCGCTCACGTAGCCATCCATGCAGTGAAGCATGCGCCACCCCCATTTGCAATGTTCATCTCTGAGTATTGCCCAACGCCTGATTTGGGGAATTGGTTTGCCTTACCGGGAGGAACTTAAGCGAGTCAACGGGGGGCCGTAATCAAAACAAAGTGTTCCTGACAAGCTTGTGATTGCCATGTGTGATAAGATCAAGACGAACATATCATACGGCCGAATGATTTCTGATCTGATTTGCGGAGTACTACACGGAAAACTCCATGCAGTGCGCTTTCGTACTTCCAGACCTGTTAAAGGCCAAATGTGCTTCACCATCTATACCCACACCGTGGTGACAGGGACTTCGATTGCAGCGGATACGTGGAGCGAACCCACCAAAGTCACTGCAACTGATATGGTAATCGGACGATTTGACGACAAGCACGTTTAAAAGTTAGCCCGCCGTCCGGCTCTGACCGGTTCCTGAAATAGCCATGTGTGAAGGAGCATCCCCCCAACAGAGCTTGCCGAATACAGCCAGTTAGTGTGGCTGACTTCCTTGGCATTTTCGTTGTTAAACGAGGACGAATCAGAATGAGAATTGAACGAGAGGTAGACCCACCCAGCTTCCCCAAAGAGGAAATGTACGAGGATTTCACGTGACTTGTCTGTACCCATCATCCTGCTTAGCGTGAATGGTGTTTGGTTGGGTGAGGCAGGAAGAGAAAAGGTAGATGGGGTATAAAGTAGAAAGCAGGCTCCTGAGGTGAGATTTGTGATTGTATTTGACCTCTCTGCATTTCTGCGTTCCTTTTCGATACAACAGACGAATTTTCCCACCGCTGCCCTCATTACGCTCTCTAACCACTCCATCGCGGAGATAAACATAAGACCAACTTGCCTCCGGCTCATACAAATCTATCTGCTTCATTCATACGCCACGGCCCACCTAGATCATCAAACGCAGAGACCTGACCTTACGCCTTGTGTCACTGCTTTGTGCTCTTCTGAAAGACCACCCCCCTCGTCCGACTATTCTCAACATAATAGCATCGAGCCTATTCCATCAACCCGACCCCACAATTGGAGACCCCATCCAACCATACTCAAGATGCCCGCAATCATGACTCTTCTCAAGCGAGACGACAACATGGGGTTCGCCATCCATCCAGCCCTGATCGTTCTGTGTGTTATGCTCGGCGCCGCGCTTATGGTCACTTGCGGAGCAGGAGTGCATCGAATGTACGGCGTGCGAGTTGAGGACCGGGCACATATGGTACGCTCAGTAGAGCAAGAGTCATATATGCGGGAAGTTCGTGACAGGAATCTGGAAGGACTTATGCATGAAGGCAGGAGAAGTCACTTCAAGCATCCGAGACCACCAGTAAACAGGGGGTGAGTTATGTTAGCCTATTCGATTTCGGATTGTCTCGACGACGACTGACGATCCCCCAAGGGCCTCGCCGTACTCGGAAGCCTGAGCGAATTGTATCGAAACCTGAACGAGGCTATCGATGTCGCGCCGTATTCTACTGGTACATATTAAGCAATCCCAAGGAGAATTTGCTGTTTTCGAGGAGCAAGATACACTGGAAGTGCGGTCTGGTTGGACATGTTAAGGGTTATTGGCGTTTCGTGGATACAACTGGTCATGGAAAGGCCATCTTTACTTGGTTGGAATAGATAACTCTGCATATAATGAATACCATAATATCGCAGCTTGAAACATAGCTGTAAAAGGGATGCATTCTGCCAGGGTCGTGATCGGAAAGTGAAACCAGGAACGTATTCCTCAAAGATATTTAGGGTGTAGTTGAAGTAGCCTGGTCTACCTACGATTCCACACACTTGAGGTCAACGCATGTTAGCCAAGTCGATGTCAACTTCTCGAGCCGGCCATTCGAGAAAGTCGTGATACTCCTTGCCTGCTACAATCACCGCAACAGTGATGAGAGCCGATGGCCAAGTGTTTGACAACCATGCTGACCTCGCGCGATATGCCAAGAGACCCCAGTGTGCGGCTATAACCCACGCTTCTGGAATCTGTTGCTCTAATAGGGTACTGAATTCATGAGAAATGTGGTGTGACCACATCAGTACGGCACCGTAGTCGAAGCGTCCGTAGTCAGACAAGACAGCGTCTCCGATAATTGATTTATGTCGGCCAATTTCCCCATGCGTTAATTGAGAAACCAAAGCGAAGCATTCTCGCAGGTGTCCCAAAGATGCTCTTAGGGTGTCAAAGTAGTACTCATAAGCTCTACCAGGCCGCATCCACATTTTATCTAGACTTTGGATCCTGCGGTCCTCTTCTGCTGATATCGGATCTGCAGGTACTGCGGGTGGCCACCAATCTCGATTGGCCAAAGGGGAAAGTATACCTTGTTGTAGATGATACCAACAAGGTACCAATATGACTAATTGGCCTCTTAGAGCACGGAGCATCCGTACCATTGGCATGGTCAGACAATCGAGGGACTTTGCACTCTGCTGTAACGTAGCTGCCGCGAGAGTGTCTTTGAGCTCATCGTATGCTTCTCCAGTAGTTGCGATCGTGTACGCAGCCAAGGTTGCAGAAAATGCAAACAAGGCATCAGCATTCTCTTCATTCACGCTTTTGAGGGCCAACTGAAACTTCGAGATCCCTCTACTCATTTGTTCGACGGCTGTGACATGGTAAGCATCTTTTTCTGTGCTTCCCGCTTCCGAAATATGAGATAGGTGCAATGAAGATAATGCCAGCATGCCATAGAGGACGAATCGATGTTGTGTACACAGCACTGGTATAGCATTGAGCCAGGCTATCTGCCCATCTCGAGTTACGGCTACAGTTGCAGCCACTACACCTTCAAAATGATCAACTATGCTTTGAATGTGTGCTTTTTGATCAGGAGGGAATTCCTCAAGTGCTCCAGTAGAGACAAGCGCTTGCAGGAGTTTTGGTGAATGAGGTGGGTTCAGGGTTTTCAGAATTGGCTCATTCACATCCAGGGTATCCGATGATTCGGCGGACGGAGATGAAGATCTTTGGCGAAACACTTGTACATCAATGAGTGCTGTTGGCCGCCTGAGTGTATCCGAGGGTCTGTAGTTACAGACGAGATTTCGTTTCGTGCAATGCAGACAGGTCGGTCGGCCTTCGTCGCACTTCCAGGTCAATCAGCTGCAATTCTTCATCCTGTACTTCCGTATCTAACTCTTACTTTTATGCGTCTTTTCTTGCATGCATCACAGCCCTAGTCACAGTGAGGTACGATTAGTATTTGCATTGATTTCGAGCAACTAGATGAGAAGTTTTGTTCATCAAAATGGGGCTTCGGCGCATGCATCGAGATTTGAGAGAGTGAGGTCTTGCATAGGAAGCTGGCTTACAGTTTTGACCTTGTGATGAGCTCTACGGACTACCATATCATGAAATCACGGTGTAGTCTTTGAGCGAAGTACGACGAGGCCGGGGAAAAGGCTAGATTGTCATTTATCGTTCGGTATTTCTAGCAACTGGTGACCTGTTTTCTGCCGTGTGATGGTGCTTCTTGCAAATCAATGTACAACTTGACAATGCGTTAGGTAATTTGTGTAATCTGTGCTAGAGAAGGTGTGATGGAAGGGGAGAGTGCAAGTAAGACGGAAGCTTGATAGAGACACGGATAAATGACTAAGCGGATCGGGACTAGCGGGGTCGAACACGTTCCAACCGCCTCAGCCAGAATCCGGGAATGAGTCTATTCCAGAAGTAACGGCTGCGAAAGGAAAGAATCGCATTCTGAGTGAATACTCGACACCACGAACAAATATGAGTTGCTTGTATCATCATGCAGTTCCGACTCGCCAAAGATACCTTCCTAACGCGTCTTAGCCTATTGCAGTGCAGCCCAATATCGCCGAGAATGAGATATTCCAGCCACAACCGCTGCCATGCATCCCCGCAACGCGACATCGTGTGCCTATTCCAGCCCGGCAGATGATCCACACGAACCATTCACATAATTAAGACAAGACTTTAAAGTAGATTTGAGCTTCCCAATCAGACTTCACAGCATTAAACTTTCAAGCAAAACATCAATAAACGTCTTCACATTGTCTGCTGACCGCTCTGCAGTTCTTAGCTGTCAGCCTGTCCCATGACGTCGGGCGACAAGAAATTGATGCAGGGCTTGTCCATAGCTTCATGGATCGTTACTTGCGGAGTTACATTGACCAGCCGGATCAACAGCGGGGTACAGCCAAACGGGAAGGGTGACCAGAAGCTCGGATTCCTTTGCGCTCGCTGTCGAGAGGTTTAAAATGCATCATTTCGTCACTGTGCCCGGTCTCTGGATCAGAATTCTCTTATTCTGTTCCAGAGCCAGAGGTCTTTCTTCTTCTTCATTTGCAGATTCATTTGCTCACTTCGATATGCGCGGTTCAAGATTGTTCGGTGCTTCGGCCGTTCCCCTGCTTGCTTCGGCCCAATGTCCAGACTACCTAGACTACGCATCTCAAATCCATGGACCGTTGAGCGAGGGCAGATACCAGCTAGCGTATCAACGTCCATCCGAGGATTGTCGAACATTCAAGTCGCAAGGCGTTGAAGATATCATATCTCGCATGCAGTCTGTCATCAAAGACCCGGATCTATACCGTCTCTTCCAGAATGCGTACCCAAACACGCTGGACACTGCTATCAAATGGAAAGGATACTCGAATGGAAACCCCGACGAAGAGCTGACATTCATAATCACCGGAGATATCAACGCTATGTGGCTACGCGACTCGTCAAATCAGATGCAAAGTTATCTGCCACTTTTGAACGCCAGCAGTGATCCGAATTCCATCGCTAGCTTATACCGTGGCACAATAAACCTGCAAGCTCGATATTTGCTCACATCTCCATATTGCAATTCCTTCCAGCCTCCAGTAGAGAGTGGTATAGACATAGCTGTAAACGATGCGTACGTATAAACAGCTGTCGTGGAATGAAGTGAATGATTCTAATATCTATGTGAAGCGCGAGCGAAGACACGGTCTTCCCACCGTACACCAATGAAACAGTGTTCGAATGCAAGTACGAGTTAGACTCTCTGGCAGCATTCCTCGAGGTCTCTGCGAACTACCACGATGCCACGGGCGATTCGGACTTCTTCGGTCGATTTCAGTGGGTCGAAGCCGTTGAAGCCATCTTGAAAGTTGCCGAAGATATGACTCGGCCAACATATGGCGAAGACGGAGCCGTGCTAGACAGTCCATATACCTTCACCCGCCTTACTTCCCGTGCGACCGAGACCTTCCCTAATAGCGGCCTTGGAAATCCCATCGCGAACGGTACTGGTCTGATCAGGAGTGGGTTCCGCCCAAGTGACGATGCGACGATCTACCAGTTCTACATTCCATCCAACATGATGTTCAGCGCCTACCTAGCCTCAGCATCGGAGATCATGAGCAAATTAAACCATCCGAAGGCTTCATCTCTCTCCGAGAAGATGTCCTCTCTCTCGCAATCCCTTCGACGGGCCATCGAGGAGCATGGTACGATCAACCACCCGAAGCACGGCAAAATCTACGCCTTTGAGGTCGACGGCTTCGGCTCCTCGCTGATCATGGACGACGCAAACATTCCTTCGATTCTCTCCGCCCCCTTCGTCGGGTACGAGTATGACGAAGAGGTGTATCAGAACACCCGTGAACTCATTCTGTCATCCGACAATTCCTACTTCATGCGGGGGCCCGTCATCAACGCTATTGGGGGTCCGCACCAGGGCTTCGGACAGGCGTGGCCAATGGCCAGCATCGTGAGGATCCTCACCAGTAACGACGACGAGGAGATTGTCAACGAGTTACGGCAGATTGTGAGTAGCACCGATGGACTGGGTCTGATTCACGAGAGCGTCAATAGCTTCAACCAGAGTCAGTGGACCAGACAGTGGTTCTCGTGGGCAAACGGACTATTCGGCCAAATGATTCTCGACTTGGAGGAGAGGAAGCCAGAACTGCTTGAGACCAGCTTCCAATAAGTAGATGTAGTAGTGGTGCATGTGCAAGATTCCATGTAATGTGACACAGGTAGCATTATTGGTGGGCGGCTATTACGAGCAGACTGGATGGAAGCCTCTGAAACGAAATGTTCGGCAACTTGCATCTAGAACATGAAATACACATACATCCCTACCCTAGTCTACGTTCCCGTGTCTGGCAAAATCGGCTGTGCGATTGAGAAACTCGACCTGTAACGTCGCTCAGCGAGCACGTCTTTTCATGGCCACAAACACGTGCTGGCCGCGCATAGGCTGGATGAGACGTAACGACGAAAATATCGCTGACGTTCATGTTTGTTTTAGTAGATACAATTTCTTCGTCAACGATTGTTTGTTGTGACGAGGGAACGCGTTCGAACTAGTTAAACATCAAATCTTATCAACGTAGTGCGGTTTGGTGGGGGACCCTTCATCAGCGGACACGCGTCCGGCACGAGGGCAAATGAGAGGCTTTTCCTCCACCGGAAGCGGTAATTAGATCTATGAAAAAGTGCCCCGCACGCCTGGGTTCGCACTCTAATTGACGATGAAGCGGAAACGCCGACAAATTTCAACGAAACACTATAGCCTCTTGCCTCTTGGGATGATGCCTGCAGCCAACTATCGACTGTCTGAAGGGGAAAGTTGTTAAGTTCAACAATAACAAATATAGAAGGAGGAAAATATATCGCCGTGGTCGCTTAATGGAAGCATTCACGACAAAGGAAGGAGGAATATCGAGTGATTCGACGAGACGTTCCCCAGATCTGCATAGGCTTGCTACTACTGCGCCGCTGAGAGCGCTTGCCTGCTTGAAAAGATGGTCGGCCTGGAGAGAGCATGACGATTATGTACGAGTGACCTACGGTACGAGACGGTCGGGGATGGAGAGCCGCTGGTTTCAGGAACCGCACAGATAGTGTGAGATGTATATGGAAGGACGCCCCAGCGCATAATCTTGCATTGCACGCGACCCACCTCACGGAGATAATGAAATCAATGCGAAAAAAAGCCACCGTTGAGCGAAAAACATGGGCGTTTGATGGACCTTTCAACGGTATCGCGATGGGTATGTGGGTGTTTTGGGGTAAGAGAAAATGACAACACCAGCAAACAGGTTCTCGGCGGACTACTATGTTCTCCGTAGCGTAGTTGAGTTGGCTGGTCTTGACTCTTGATCGCTCTGGCAACATACAAACATCTGCACGACCTACAGTAGTTCTGTTGGCATGTACTTGTTGTACCTATTGTGATGGACTATCAGCAAGCCAACCGAGGGGAAAGCCGGCATCAACTGATCTGTACAGCTGCACAGGCGCACCAGTTGATGCCCGTGGGGGTGATCGACCGCCCTCACTGGATCGATCGCTTGAGAATTTAATGCAGGGAAGGCCAAACAGAGTACACCGAGTGCAATACGGCAGAGTACAATAATGCCAGTTGAAAGCGACGCCCGCGGTGCGAGTTGCCGGCCAACGAAAGCAAGCATTGGCGTCGTCGATCGAGTCAGGGGGTGGTGCATTCTATTCCATCCAGTCCAGTAATTGGGCCCAGTTCCAGTCTTCGAGGTCCCTTTGGTGCTTCGTTCGCCTAAATGAGCAAGCAAGTAGCGATCCAGCCAGGGGGGAATCTCAAACTCTACCCACCTCTACTCAACTGGGACGATTGTGTATCCCGAATTCCTGCTTCTCGGTCGAGTAACTACTAGCATTATTGGGGTGCATCAATGATCAGATGCATCATGTCTTCTACCATACTGTACCCCAATTCTCACACACCCCCTCCCCTCCGTGAGACGACAACGCTGCAATGCTTCCCTCCAACCTGACGAGGCACAACACAACGAGCGTACTACCATGACAAGTACCATCAGCAACGGTACTCCGTAGTCACTACTTCATTAATCAACAATTTGTGCCATTTCAGACCTGGTCCTAGCACGATAGTTTGACCTAGCGGTGGGACACCTTCGGGAGGTTCGGCGCTCGCGTTTGATGAAAGGTCCCACCCATAAGGGTCTCCCTACCAGCCAACGACAGGCTACTCATGACGATTGTCGCGAACTACCACTTCCACTGGCGTGTTTTGGGCCATGGCTGCCAATAAGCCTCCGCCTATGAAGACCTCATCGCCGCTGTTATTTCCCTCCCGGGGCTGAGGCAGCGCCATGGCTAGTACATAGTAGAGCAATCAGCACTGGCGCTGGCGTTGTCTTGCCCCCAGCTGTTCTATGTTATAGCTTATAATATCGCCATTCTGGAGCACAAGTGTTGTATGATTCTACAAGTAAACCAGAGATCCCTCTCCTCGTCCCTCTTCACCCCCTTACACCTCAGCCTCTATTCAGTAATCGCTGCGTTTTGAGCCCAGTCTCTGCGATTCTGTTTCACGTTGCCCTAATCGCTCAATAGGGAGCTCGATTGCTACTGGATTAAGCGCCCTGGCCCCCATCTCCGTCCATCCTCGGCCGCCTCTACTGTGTGTAACGGGACCCCGATTGGACCAGTCTCAAAACCTCGAATTCCTGCGTCAAGCCATTGCTTGCTACTTCGACTTGACTATTGTTCCCAGCGCCAAACAATTTGCTGTCATTTTTCCTTGGGATAATTCTCCGAGCGTTGCTCCATCTTCTCCCCGGCCATCATCGTGGACTTGCGGTATACCTCACGCTGACCGGGCCTTGTTTCATACATATTTTCAAACGCGCGAAGCGTCCGTCTACCAATTGCTCACTCGCTATCATAAGCCGTCGGGTTGGTGCCCCAGCTACTTCAAACAAAAACGTGCACGCTAATCAGTTATAGTAGGCATTTGGACATGGAATCCTATTTTTGACAGGCCATCTTGGAAGTTTATGCAAGTCGGAATCTATACCGGGTTCGCACGTCCCACGACTCCAGCTTGAGTCTTTGTCACCTTTTAACTACTTGATCGTCCCGGGGCTTCGGACCATGGCAGCTACTACGCTTGTCACTTTCCTTTTGTATGTGTAGTCCGATATCCATCACAAAGCTCCGGTGTGATTAATATATCATTGCAGTGATTGTCCTTCTGCAGCAACGTCTGTGGCACTCTTGGGTTCTTGGGACAACTTCTCCAAACCATATCACCTGCAGAGAGATAAGCGAAGAGGTATCAAGAGTTGGACCGGATGTTTTTCTTTTGACAGCATCATCTGCGACGGAGACTTCGAAGGTCCCAGCATCAAAAGAACCGGCCCACTTCTTATGGGAGGAACGTACTGGTACTACGTAAGAGGAGACTGCCTTTTCAGGAATTGGGAGGAAACGCGACTAATAAATCCCAGTATAAAGTTGATGACGACGAGGAGCACCACAATCCTTCTCAGCCATCTACAACATTCTGTCCTCTCCTTCCCGGACAGCGGCTCAACATACTCGACGTTCCAATGGAGTCAGCAAGCAAGACCAGCCCCGATAGCTTTCATGCTTTCACACGCAACCCCAATGATAAGTATCTGACGCCTGTGCCGCCCAAAACTCTCCCCTCCCCGCGGCTGGGAGATTACTGCAGGGAGACCTACAAAGTCCCCATGCACCCGGGTCGAGAACTGCGAGCGTATACAACACCTTCGCAGGGTCAGTATCGATTCAACAGGACCGAACGTCGTGGGAGGAGCATCTCAGCTTCGCAAGCCTCGCCTTCCGGATCGACTTTTCCTGACCTGAAAGGATTGAAAGATATGATCGTTTCTTCGAAACGCTCTGCACCCAACTCTCGCGGTCACAGTCCTCAACGCAGAGGCAAAGGACTCGAGATTGGCGCACCGGTCTTAATCAGCACTACCGCAGAGGACGTATATTTGGTTCCCTTACCATCAGCCACAACTCCCGAACGCAGCCCTCTGACACCATCGCATATCTCAGCAAAACTTAGAGAGTTCTCTCCGCTCGGCTCGAATCCAGTTGATCCCGTGAGAGACCTAGGTATCACGATCCCGCAAACTAGTCCCGTCATTTCTGAATACGGGCGACCGAAACGTGCCCAATCTCATATTACTTCACCGGTATCCAATGATGTGGAGGCCAATTCTGGCCGAACGCGTGCCAATTCATCAGATATCAGGCGAACACGGGTTTACGTCTATTCCAATGAGCCCTGGGTTTCTTCTCCGAAACTGCCTTCAGAGCCTGAGTGCCTAGAAGAGCCGGCTCCCGTACTACCAAAGCCATTGGCGCCACTCCAGATCCCAAGATCATCGATGAATGAACGCCCATCTTCCCGGCACGGAAGCAAAATGAACACACCAGTCTGCAGTACACCACTCGACAAGGAACTTCCAGCATTGCCTCGATACTTAGTCCCTGCACCGCTCTTTGCTTGCAGTGCTGCATCTAGCCCTGTGTGTCCACCAGAAGCCGAACACAAAGAAGATGTCGATGGCGAGGAAGCACCGGTCATCCCTCTAGCTATGAGGCGCAGCCATTTCTCGACTTGGAGCAGTAACTCGACGACCAGTGACAAAGTCGCTGACGAGGACGACGCTGCCTACTCGCCAACCTTCAGCTCTTCGACGAGCAATTCGAGTGTTCCGAATTCTCCTCAGCAACCGTCGGCCGTCTCTACAGATGCGAATGATCAGCTTAAAGTCGAAGCTCGCGATGTCAGCAATGTAGAGCAGCAAGATGAAGGGGTCACCAGGAGGTCCGCCCGTGGCTCGATGGGCCCTCCATTACTTCGCCTTTCCACACTCTCCTTCGGTTCAAGTCTCTTGCCTCCGGTGATCCACCATGAGCCTACATCACCTCGTCGACAAGCAAGCTGCATCGGCTACTCTGGATTCCAAGGCTACAGCTTGCCCGAGGACGATACTTGTTCACAGTCGACCCTCCTCAAGGAGACATTATCTCTTGAGCCCGTCATCGCCAGCAACAGGTGTTCCTCTACCAGCCAGCTAGAGAAGATGGTGAACGATTTCGGATACCTCAGCGGGTCTGTCTTGTGAGGTCGCTTATTCTCTCATCCTTCATTTCCCTCTTTCAAATTTACGAACGAAGGCCTCGGCACCTTTGATCATCTCACCAACGTACATCACGGCCAAAGCTTTACATTCTGCATTTTCATACCATCTCACACATCTCATCGCTCATCCGACGGCCTATGATGACTTTCATTCTGTCACATCATATCATAAGAGGGAGCTTACTTAGGTCAGCTCGCCTCTTTTCCTGTTCATATACCCTTTTCCTTATCTTTACATACCGCACAACTACATTCAGCGTTAGCGTTTTTTCTCGTCTTTCCAAACGATACCAATGTCGCATAGTTCTTTTCTCACACGACATAACTTCATACTTCAAAACTTCTTGTACATTGAATTATATCCGGATTGGGGTTCTTAGGTTTCGATGTTGGGTTGAATAACATCGACATGGAGGGGAATCTATCTATATACGCCTACTTGGGTGGTTACAACAACAACATGAACATATTAAGTGCTGCAGTCAAGTGCTGCATTGTGAAAGTACACAAATACTCTTTTATTAGTGACGCCTTGCTTGCTGTGAGTAGAACCTAATTGTTGTAACCATGCGCCATAGTAGGTAGATTTGGTACGTCTATGATTTTACGAACAATTATGCAATTAAGTCGCTAGAGGTTTGTGTGAAGGTAAACACTCAAACGAGGAAATGGTCGCTTCGCTATCGTCACAGTGTGCGCACACATGTTCCGCTGCGTAGTAGGCGAGTAACATAATGTAAGGCTTGGCAATTTGACTCGCTTGTCTATCAGTGAATGCATTTTAGAAAATATTCTAAGGGGAGGACAAAGATCTTTTTCGTCGACGTTATATTGCATTATCGAAAACAATAACGACAATCATGCTGTTGCACATGACTTCCGCTATCGATACTGTCATGGCCGCGGTCCCGAATTGACGAGTGTCTGTGATTTTGGAAGGCGAGTCTTGGCACGCTAACAGCAAGCGAGGGTTTGATGACTAACTCCCACACCGAACGTCGAATTCGTTGCCGACCACGAACTTCACGACAACTTCCAACGACATTCCCGCCCTTCATCACACACCACCGTCGCAATGGGTAGGGTTATTAGGAACCAGCGTAAAGGTCGCGGCTCGATCTTCACGGCCAACACCCGTTTGAACAAGGCCCCCGCCCAGTTCAGAACCCTCGACTACGTACGTTGCCGCCCTCACATCCTCAAAAAATCCACACGACGACCCGGACAGAGAGAAAATTGAAAAGCAATTTGAGAACCAAGGGCTAACGAAAGGGAACAGGCCGAGCGCAATGGCTACATTCGAGGTGTCGTAAAGGAGATCGTTCACGACTCCGGTCGTGGTGAGTACTTTCCCCGGGAATTTTTCCCTCGAGATTGTGTGGGCAGAACAATTTACTGACGAAATTTCAACAGGCGCTCCCCTTGCTAAGGTCGTCTTCCGCAACGTATGATATTCACCTACCTCTCGATGCCACGGAATTTTCGTACTCACAATTTTTCCAGCCATACCGATTCAAGCATGACGTCCAGACCTTCATCGCCAACGAGGGCATGTACACTGGCCAGGTTAGACATACCCCAGGTGGATGACGATGATAAGACACCACTGTCACATCCACGCACGCAAGCAATTGCGAAGGAAAAAGCGAAAGAAAAAATTGGCTAACAAACCCGTTCCAGTTCATCTACGCCGGAAAGCACGCCAACTTGACCATCGGCAACGTCCTCCCCCTCGCCTCCGTCCCCGAGGGTACCGTCCTCTCCAACGTCGAGGACAAGTCTGGTGACCGCGGTGCGCTCGGCCGTACCTCCGGAAACTACGTGACCGTCATTGGCCACAACCCCGACGAGGGCAAGACCCGTGTCAAGCTCCCCTCCGGTGCCAAGAAGGTCCTCCCCAGCTCTGCCCGTGGCATGGTTGGTATCGTCGCAGGAGGAGGCCGAACAGACAAGCCTCTCCTCAAGGCCTCGCGAGCCAAGCATAAGGTACGTTCTGACGCTCAAGTCTTGACTTCAGGAATTTTGGCTGACAATATCTGTTACAGTTCGCCGCCAAGCGCAACAGCTGGCCCAAGACTCGTGGTGTTGCCATGAACCCCGTCGACCATCCTCACGGTGGTGGTAACCATCAACATATTGGTAAAGCATCCACCATCTCCCGGGAGGCAGCACAGGGTCAAAAGGCCGGTCTCATCGCGGCCAGGAGGACGGGTCTTCTCCGCGGTACCCAGAAGACCAAGGATTAGACGGTTCACTCACGCAGTGCTGCTCGTGGCGGTGCTGGTGGTGGACGGTGGTAGTTTGGTAGCAGCGACGACAAACGACGACGACCCTAAAGGTGTGACGACTACAAAGCAACGAACCGGAAGTCGAGCGATGCATGCCGCTGCTTTAGGCCCAGTTTCCGTTTTCAAACCACGGACTGGCAAAGGAGGGGGGCCGGCGTTCATGAAACTTCTCTACCTTTATACACTCTCCAAAGATGAAGCTTTTCCTTTCGGCTCTAGGTGCATTCAATTGTGAATTTAACGGTGGGGGAGTGGCCCTGGAAACGGGGAAATGCGAATCAAAAAAGGAACAAAATGAAATTTGCATTAACAAAAAAGAACACGCTCGTGTAATTTGTTTGTGTGATGTGATCTACTCCCACTCCCAATTGTCATCAAACCACCTCACCCATTCACCCTCCTCATACTCCAGCTTCCACACCTCCACATTCCCTCTAATACCCACATACCCACAGACACACAGACACACAATACACAAATCACCTCCCCAAAACAAAACACTCCTTCCTACCAACCACTCCCTCAAAGACCCATCTCACCCTGTACCCCTCCTATCCCATAGCAACCTCACCTCACGATCACTAACACCGTCCACAAACCCCCACACACATTAACGCCCCAAACCCCCATTTCTCCTCTAGCCAATCCCTCTATTTCGAACATTTTCTTGATCCCGCCAAATTAACAAAGCACATCAAACATCCCAATAATGAACCAACTAAAAAACGCCCGAACAGTAGCAAGTACAAACTAACTACCAGTAAAAATGACAGAAAACTCACTCTTTCAGTTGAAATATTTATAGATGCTGTTTCCGGGCTAGTTATAGAAGGTTTGGCGAATGAGTAGGTACTGTGTACGTACCTGGGTGGCTGGTTTGTGTATGTATTGTCGTTTTATCGGGGTCACAAACTATAAAAGCAAATGTATAAACACGAAAAAAATATATATATATACATAAAAAGGTCTCACGAACGAATGAACCGACCAACATACAATTCGCAACTCACTCCTCTTCTGGTCAATTGCTCAATAATTTGTTCACTTCATTTCTATCATTCGCTTAAACCCGTATATTCATACAAGGAACTCATCACTCCCCACGCATCATTCTCTGTCCATACCCATACCCATATCCATACCTACTACCCACCTACGCACGCCTTGAAATAATATCATACACCACATCCCCATTCCATCCATCATTCATCCATCTCCCCCTCCCCTCCTTCCCCTCCTTCCCCCCTATCCCCCGTGTCTTCCCCCTCCCCAAAGTCCAGATCCAAAACGCGGTAGTGTTTCCTATCACTGCCCAGCACCAGGACGACGCGCCGGCCGACCCTACCATTAACAACGAGCTTGAGCGGGGCGAACCGCGCGTCGAAGACGTGGCGCGTCAAGGAGCTGACGTCCGCGGGGGAGAAGACGGTTGTGGTGCGTGATGAGGGGGGCGGTGGTGTGCCGGTGGGTAGGAGGTGGGAACCATATGATGGGGCGGGGAAGGGGGTGTGTTGTATCCTCGGCGTTGATTGTGGGGGGGAGTTTGATTTAGGGGTGGATTTTGGAGGGGATGAGGGGGGCAGGGCGTAGGGGAGGGAGATGAGTACGTTTTCCGAGTCGTCGTTTGTGGAGAAGGGGAGTTGGAGGAGGATGAGGAGGGCCTTGTCGTCTGCGAATTTGGCGTCGATGATGGTGGCGGGGGAGAAGTCGAGCGTGGAGGTCGAGTAGGCGTGGAGGGACTGCGGGAGGGTGGTTATCGTGGAGGTGTGGGTTAGGCGGTGGAGTTGTAGGTGGGAAGGGTGGGTTGGGGAGGACGTGGCGACGTAGGTCGTGATTTGGTCGGGTTGTGTGGATGTGGGCTGTAACGCGATTGATTGTCAGTACCTAGTTCGTAGCAACAACACACTGTGGGAGAAAGAATGTCAACTTACATCGTACACCATACGCATATCAAGAGGGACATGGTCACCCTCCGGCGAAGTCGCAGACGACTCGAGCACAACCCCACAGTCCATACTTATATTCGCCTCCTGCCACTGCGAGATCTGCTGGAAAAGCTGGGTGCACCCTGCATTCAAATGCCGGAAGACATGCTCCAGACACAGCGCCTCCTCCTTGTACGAAGCGCCCTCCTTCAGCAGCTCGACCGCTTTCTTCGTGTCCTCGTAGGTCGCTGGACCCATCTCCCGCTGCGCACTGCTGAGCTCCGCTTCCGGCCTGAGGTACGGCGCTGTGTCGCTTTTGCTGAGGCTGTACTCGATGTATTCGAGCACGAGCCCCGTGTCTACGCCTGCGTCCCTGGCCAGCATCTCCGCTCTGCTCTGGCTCTCGGGCTCCGTGTCTTCGAGGTCGATGACGAAGTGGAGCCATTTATTGAAAGCTTGGAACTGCCGCCTCTCGTCCGCAACGTAATGAAGCGTCGTGTGCGCCAGCAGTCGAAGGTTCTGCAACTGCGTGAGGAGCGATGTGAACGAAGAAGTCGGCGCCGAGAAGATCCAGCCCACATCGTGGTACTCTGCGAGCCCGCGAAGCCGAGAAATAGTGAGCGAGCACCGATCCAGCGCGGGGAGCAAGCTCTCGTGCACGAGTTGCATGATAGTAGCGAGAGATGACGAGACGGTGTTTTCCCAACGTTTATTGCCCTGGACACCCACAATATTAGCAACATCCAGCATACATCAAATTGCCCAACTTACCGCTTGCGTCAACTCGTCCACCAGCCACTCTCGTACAAGATCCGGACAGTGCCCCGTACAAGCCAGATGGAACAGATTCTGCACCAGATTCCCCTGGCCCTTCTCCTCCAGCGTCTCCGAGATGTTCCTCATGAACTTCCCCGGCAGATCCATCGAGTGCTTCCAGAACGTCCTTATCCTCTGGAGACTCTGCTCGACATACAGCAGCAAATTCTGCAACTGACTCGTCTTCGAAGCGATCAAGTGCAGATAGACACCCGCAGAGGGAATAAACCCCAGCGTGAGCGGCACAACCGCCAACCTCGTCTCCGCATCCTTCTTCACCTCCGTCAACAGCACATGGCTACAACTATACGGATGACTCGCATGCAGCACCGCCCTACTACTCGCGAGGTCCCACGCACCCGGCAACCCCACCGTCACCGTCTCCAGGGAATCATACACAGACGGATGCACCGACCCGCTCATCGTACACCGCACAAACATATCCACGGAATTCACATCCTTCGTGTGCTGCGAATGCAACAGCGCGTCGACCTGCGCCTGGGTCCCGAAAACCCCAGACTCCATCTTCTGTCCCATCCGCATGAACGGCGTGGGCGGCGGCGCGGGGATAGCCGGCAGCTTGGGCAACAACGCCTCCATGTCCATCATCGCGAGCTGGTCTGGCAGATCCGGCGCGATGTCCAGGGCCTCGAGATCCGGCTGCCGCTGAAGGTAGTCCTCCAGGTTCGCATAATCATCCTTAACGCTCCCATTACTGCTCACTCCGTCCCAATGCTCCGTCGTCGTACCAGCGACCTCCCCCTCACCAACCCCCATCGTCGACCGTCTCCCCTTCCTCCCCCGTCTCCTCCTCCCCCCCGACCCACCACCACCTCCACCATCCCCAGCACCAGAAGAACCAGAAGAACCAACATCAACAAAATTCAACCCCCACCCCAAACACCCGACCCTCTCCCCCTCCCCTCCACCCCCAGCCTTAACATCCCTCCTAACAACCCTCCCCGTCTCACAACTAACAACATCCACCAACCCATCACTCCAGGCCACGGCGACCGCACCGCCATCGAACCGCCACCCGATAGCGTCGACGACGACATCGTCGTTCTTTCGCCGCAGGCCGAAGGCACGCTGGCCGTTGAGGCGGAACACGTCGAGGTTTTCCTCGGTGGTGACGAGGGCGACGAGGTCCATTGTCGGGCAGTAGGTTAGGAGGGGGGTGTGGATGGGTTGGAGGAGGGTTAGGGAGGCGTGGAGGAGGAGTTTGGGGTGCTTGTGACGGGGGGGTTGGGGGGGTGAGGATGCCATGGTTGGAGAATGGCCGGCTCCAGTATGAGGAAGTTTGTAAGTGTGGGTGTATAGCTCTTTCTGGTGTGTGTTTTTGATTCTTCTTCTTGTTGTTCTTGGTCCTTGTGGTTTTGGTGTGGTGGGTGTGTTCTGTACAATTGGATTTTGAGGTGGTTGTTTTTCCTTTTTTGAGGGAAGATGGTGGTTTGGTGGATTAGATGTCACGTTTGGTGGTGGGGTGGAAAGACGGGTTAGTTGGGTGGTGGTTTGGTGGTGGTGGTGGTCGCGACGGCCGTTTTAGGATGGATGCGGTTAGCGTGGGCCGCGCATTCACGTGGCTAAATACTTTGTGTGGACGACGATGGTGACGATGGTACGTATGACAGGTAGAAGCTATCTTTAATGGTCCTAGGAACATAATTTGGGATGCAATTTCACAGTTCTCAACTGCTTCAAGCGAGCAATCCCAATTCCTTGTCACGCTAATCAGTAGAGGAGACGTTCGGATGAAATGCTTTTCAGCGTCGTCTATTATGCCATAGTCAACGGAGCAGTTAATTCCCCCCGGCGCCATCATCTGCCCGGGAGTAATGCTATGCCCGCCCGACTTATTGCCAAAACAGAATCTACAAATACATCTTCCCTCTATGCGTGAAAGCATCAGAGTCCCTCGTCCCTCTGGTATCCAAAACGAAAGAAAAGAAAAAACAATGATGATGCAAAATAGTTTCAGCATTTCCCCATCTTTGGCCCCGAAATGCTTAAACCAGTTCAGTCAGTCCCTCAAGTTCCCCGTTTTGACGCCGCGATATATCAATGAACAGTAATAACCCAAGTCCCAGATGCAAGGTGTGCAAAATAAAAAAGCATTACGAACGTGAGAACTCCATGGGTCCACAGCGGTGAAAGGAAAAAAAAAAGTGTCGTACCCGTTATTTCCCCGCTCGTCGTTTCGAACTGCTTCCCACACAGCCAGCCGTGCAGTGTCTGTTCTCTCCTAAGAATCAAATAGGCTGCGTTTCATGCTCGGGCGCCGTTGCCCGGATGTCGTATGTACAAGCCGCCGGTGATCCTGTTCCAGGGTCATCGTTGGCGCCATTTTTCCGAGTCGATAAAAAAAGTCGAAAGGCTACTGAGCGCCTCCTCACCGGTCACCGCCCTTGTTGGAAGGCTTCACGGTTTCCTTCTTCACCCTCGTGCTGCCGTTTGCGTTGCGGGTGATCTCTCCCTCGTCGAAGCTTGTGCGTTTCTTTCCTGCGCCGTCGCCCTCGTCCGAGTCTTCGACAAGATCGCCCAGCTCGAATTGGTTCTCGACGTCGTAGTCCGACATCAGCCCTCTGCGGTCGCTCATGCTGTGTCGAGCACTTCCATTTCCACCACCGAGGAAGGGACTGCGGAATCCTGAATCGTTGCTCCGGCGCGCTTGCATGCTTCTTCTTGTTGGGAAGCCAGAAACTCCATCGGTGGGCGCCGCATCTGAGAATTCGTTTCCGAGCTGGCATTTGCCATCGGGGTCTCCTCTCGAAAGGTTCAAAAGGTATACACCGGAGAAGATGATGAGGAATCCGCAAAGGAGTGAGATGGTGTTGACGGCGGAGGTCGTGTTGAAGCCCTGGAACAGGAGGAACGAGGCGATGAGAGTGCAGGTGGTAAAGGTGACGTAATACAAAGGATTGACACTGAAATCTGTTAATCTCTGGCGCAGAACTCCAGACGAGGAATTGAAACTTACATGTTGGTAGAGAACTGGCTGAGAGCCTTGTTGAAGTAGTTCATTTGCGTCATGATGCATCCGACGATCATGATAACAAAGACGTAAGTGGAGGGGTGCGTAAATTGGTTGTCTCCGGCGAATGTCATCTTGAGCGCTGTGCCGAAGGCCTTGATGGCCATGATAGACACGGAGCCTGATGTGGAGCAAATCGAGAGGTAGATGAGAGGGTTCTTGCGGCCGTATTTGGGAGCGATCTTGTAGATCATCAACACGCAGAAGATGGCGACAAATGCGCAATACATGAGGAAGCCTAGACAAAATCGTCAGTATGCACGTTCTGTTAGGTGCGCATTGGTGGGGAAGGCTTACCGGGTTGGATGGCGAACTCGAGGATCTCGTCTACGGACTTGACCTCCTTGTCCGGCGGTGCATGTAGTACGATAATCACGGACCCGATCAGACAGATGGCGCACCCAATTTTCCCAAGAACGCCCAGGTGTTCTTTCAAGAAGTAAGAGCCCAGGACCGCACTGGTACGAGGTTAGTTGTCGAATTATCGCATGTAGAGGAGGTTGTGCATACCCTATGAGCACAGAGAGAGCTCCCAGAGGAGTCACCAGAATGGCGGGAGCAAATGCGTATGCCGCGAAGTTGAAAATTTCACCAAGAACCACTGCGCGCGAGGTATTAGCCGCTGTTGCTGTGAAGCATTTCCTGAATGTAGTCCTTACTTGTAACTATGCCAGCCCACCAAATGGGGTTTCGAAGGTATGCGAAGCCATCGCCATCGAAACCATGCTTCTCAGCCGAAGCGTTCAAGCCCTATTATCTCACAGTCAGTATCGGAAGGCCAGCAGTGGTCGCATCGAGATCGTGGGAGGTGTAGGAGGTGGTGTGTTCAGCGCAGACGAACCTTCTTTGTGATGACGAAACTTGTGCCTGCAAGCGATCAGTGACTGTTACGATAGATGGAGGATGCGATTGCTCTAACGTACCGATTGCTAGTGACGAAGACACGGCCAGCGAGAGGCCTACGTATCTGTTGATGAATGAGCGGCTGTCGTTGTGGTGGTCTGCAGTGCAAACGCGAAACGTACTTGTCTTCCATTTTGGTGTCGCAAAACGAGGTATGCGATCGCGTGGATGCGCCCTCTTCCTCCTGTAGAAGGGAGTAAAAATATCAAGTGCTCCACCGACGAGTTATTCGTTCGTTCGTGAGCGTGGGTGCGAGTGTGCGCGCGTGCGATTGCGGGTGCGGGTGGAGTGTAAGTAGAAGTTGCGAGTGTGAGTGTGAGTGTGAGTGTGAGTGTGAAGGCGTTGGGGTTTGTGTGTGTGGGTGAGTGACTAGTGGTTAGGAGGTAGGGTACTCGTAGCGTAGTGCGGGTGTGGAGAGGGTCTCGAGCGTGGAAAATGGATTTGGGTTCTGGTTCTGGTTCTGGCTGCGGCGGCGTAGACAGTACTTGTTGGTTGGCGTTGGCGTCGGGTGGTGGTGGTGGTGGTGGTGGAAGTAGTGAGTGGACAGTGAATAGTGGATGGATGGCAGGCGGACGGTAGATAGTAGTTGGTAGATGGCCAAGTTAAGATGGTTACGAGTTACGAGTAAGATGGTTGGATGGCGGGTGGTGGGAGTGGAAAAGGGAAAGTCTCCAAAGAGGCGCCGTTCTCTAATCGATAAATCGGGTCGTGCACCGCCGAGGCCCTAGGATATGGGATGGGATGGGATGGCAGAAGAGGATGATATGGAGGCGTGATGTGCTCAGCTGGAAGGGAAGGGAAGGAAAACGAGAGACGAGTCTAGCTGCTACTACTAAGGTAGCACTTGGGGCAAGCTACCACTAGATAGTAGATACTACGACTGCTAACGGGTATTAAGGATCCTCCTCGAAAAGTATAATACTTGGGAGATGCGATCCGAACACGACACGTAGCGCGGATGACCCTGCTTTTCTTACAGAGGAGGAATCAGATATTACTGGTATCTGCAGTAGCGGGTGACCATTACCTGCAGGAGGGGGAAAAGCAGGAACGGAGGCGCGGCAAAGGAGAAGGGATGGGATAGGATAGGATGGACTGGTCTGGGATGTGGATGTGGATGTGGATGATGGACAGGAGATTATTTGGGAAGAGGAGTTGGTGATGGGAATGGGAACAATGGGAATGCCGCTGCCTACGTTACGGGCAGGGTTCGGCAGCAGAGGAGAGTACAAGTAGGGTACGGAAGGTCGAGACGAGACGGGAGGGGGGAATCGATTCACGTTTCACCAAACGCTTGACGACTCCACGGTCACGGTCACGGTCTGTCTCGTCTTGTCCTTGTCTTGTCTTGTCGTTGGTCTTGGAAGGTTTTGGGTTTTGGTTCCAATCGAGCGAGGGAGGGAGGGCGGAGCCGAGATGCGAGGGAAGAAGGGATGTCCGGACGTAACAGTAATAATCCTACGCAGTACGGAGTAGTGAGGCGATGGTAATTGCGATGGCGATGGTAATCAGCAGTTCCTCGTAGCAATAATGTAACGACAGTAGTAATTGTTCGTGATGACAGAAAAGAGATGAAGTGAACGAGTGTGTAGATAGGTGGAGAGGCTGAAGATGACAGGTACAAGAATGCTAGCGGGCAGCAGGTTCACGGGTAAAGGCAGCGGTCCGCGGGCTGCGACGATGAGATATTCAGGCACGATTGCCTGCGACACTTGTGGGTGTGTACGTAGAGAATAGAGCGAAAGAGATAGTCGTAAGGGTGGGATGATGGAATGTATCGTTTGCCATTCGACGTTTCACGACTACAGGGGAGGGGAGGCACTGAAGACTAAACTTAGGCTGCTGGGATGATGGCGTAGGTAGCATCCGTTCATTCGCATCATTCATTATTCAAGACTAAGAGCGAGTATTTTTGGATACCTTTAGACCGTGATCATCAGTTATTCGAATGTGGAGATGGAACCACTAAATTACAATAATACTCGTAGTCTTGTCTTGTGTACTATGAATGTAACCAGCCATTACGTACCCCCTCAGTCGTCACGATCAATTAACCCATTTCCAGTATACCCAGGCGCGCCCACACTACTCCGTTTATCGCCATCTTCACCATCATCATCATCTTCACCATCATCCATAGCATCCGTTCTATGTAAAATACTGTTGAATCTCATAATTAATCACACGTCTCGATCTGGACTATCGATTTTGAAAACCAAGGAAAAAAAAAACTAATACACAGCTGAGCCATTCCCTCCAGCGTTGCGTCTTGTGTTCCTGTTCCTGGCTAGCCACCTAGCCCACTGCTGCGGCCCACGCCCACGCCCACGCCACCGCACGCCACAGGCACAGCGAACCATAACCAAGAACGCAGGGAAAGGGGATAGGATGGGGATGGGCCTTGGTAACGGAACCGCGGGAATTCAAAATTGTAGGTAATTAATCAGAAAATGAACCGTGGTGGTGGAGTACATTTGAGGCTGTGGTGATACTCTTCTTAGGCACTTCGGGTGGGCTTAACTGGGGGGAGGGAGGCGTTGTCGATCAACCTTTCCGGAAGCTGGATGTTCGATGGTGCCGACGCGCTGGGGGGGGAGGAGATCCGATGGTGTTAGTGCTGTGCTGTGCTGTGCTGTCCACTGTTGAGGATGATTATTGTCTACATACTGTTATCTTTCCCGTTGTTGAATTGGAGATTACGATGGCGTTTTTTGAATTCCTCGTCTCATTTACATAGAGTTAGAGATCTCGCGGAGTGTGATTAGGGATTTGCATGTGGCGGCATAGGTACCTACGTACGGGGGCATGGTTCGGCGGGATGTGTGATAGGGCGTGGTGGGTGGCTTTTTCGGGCGTTTTTTTGGGGAGGGTTGTTTTTTTCATGGATGGATGGATGGCTGGCTGACTGGCTGGCTGTGGTCTTGGAGTAACTACCTGTTAGGATGAGAAGTATTGATTTTCAGTCTGTGGTTTATTTTTCTCTGGTGTTTACTATCTGTTGTTGTAGTGTGATGTGATGTATAGAGACGCCATCGATGTGAGTTGTACACGTATCAGGTATTTCGTATCTACCTACCTACATACCTACATCTACCTGTCTGCCTTAGGTATTCAGAGACGCAAGTAGACCTGTCAACGATCCAGGTACGAGATACATGGACAGATACATTTTATCGATAGCTCAAGTGCAATACTTTCCTGCACGTGTTGGTGTGTATAATAAGCAAGATGTGCCTGCATTCGCTGCTATTATTAGATACGAGGGAAGCATTGTAGTTAGGTTTATACCCAGAGATCGTGTTTTCTTATCGATTCACTGTTCATCTAGAATTGGGAGGCTTCCTTTTTTGAACTATTCAATTATTGTAATGATGTGGGTACGTATTTTATTGGGAGGGGCCATGTGAGCTTCATGCTCACCACCGGTGGACCGCCCAATTCGTATGATCGCTGCTGGTGCTGCTGCGGTTGCGCTAGTGATAACATGTATGTAGTCCAGAGGAAGTATGGTGACTACTGATGACGGTGTCCTCGCCTCTTCGTATTCCTTCCTTCCTTCCTTCCGCTCGCCCCGTCTCTCCCATTTCTGAACTTACTGGGTATTGTGGTGTGCATCGAAAGAAATAAAAAATATTGGAAAAGTAAAAGGCAAGTCAAGTGGAAAGAAAAGACAAGAACGCCGTGAGACAAATCGATCGGGGGAGGATTTTCCGCAGAGTCCGGTCGGTCGCGATGCCGAAACAGCAATCGCACCACCCTTCGAACCGATCCCTCCCTCCATCCATCCTCCGCCTCCGCCTCCGCCAACACCGAAGAAATCATCCGATGGCCCACCGACCCCGAAACTCCCTTTTAACACCGTTTATGCCGTAGAACTCGCGTATTATGGAACGCAAACATTCGAAGAAGAGTAAACTGGCGATGTGGATTCGATTCTACCAGACCTGTGGTCCGTCTTTGCTTCTGCGCACATTAGTAACATACCTGAATTGTAAGCAATTAATCATCCGTAAATGCTTGACCTGAATGGAGGGATATGGTGGTTGTCCGGTGACAGGACTGCTTGTTCGAGGGCAAGGCACAGCTGTATCATTAGTCTTGGTAGGATCAACCTTGCGCACAATGGGCATGGTAGATATCTCGTCCGCAAGGCCGTGGGAAATATAAAAGACCGGCGAAACAATCCGGCAATGGAGAAAAGATTCTCGCTGGAAAGGGAGGCTGTCTGTTAGTTCAATGGATTGGCCTGGACGTTGATGGCTTAACTCGTTCACATCTTGGGGCGCTTGTAGTCTGCAGCGAAACTGTTAGTACCCGGCATTTTGACAGCGGGGAAGGATCACGTACCTGTGAATTCGTCCGCACCATCTTGCCCAACGTCGACTTCATCTATGGGTCTCTTCTGGCCCTGTGGAGAACCAATATCTTGATTCTCAAGATAAGAAGCGGTTGAAGGGTCGGTGACGTCCGTTTCTGCTAGACTAGTTTGGCCATGGGCGCTGTACAGCTCGTCTGCGGCAACTTCAGCCGTGGAGGTGGCGTCGATATTTTGTGTGACTTTCTCTGGCATCTCTTCTGAATCTGCGCCAGTCAGGTCCAAGAAGTCGTCCGCATCAACAACTTCTCCTGTGGCGTTGTCAAGTAGGCGGTCGTCTAGAGTATCGTTGCGCCCCTCGGTGTCAAAAGAATCGTTGAGCTTGAGAGCATCGTTCTCTTCTAGATTCACATTTCCGTCGTCATAGTAGTAGTCCGTGTTGTCTTCGTGGGTTTCGGCAGCTGCATACTCGTCTGCTTCCGCATCTTCGCCGTTCTGGCTATACGATTCGGGATAAACCTGCTCCAGCGGTGTATCTTCATAGTTGGTTTCATCCGGATCGGTGGCTTCCTGATACTGACCGTACATCTCGCTGACACCAAGCTCAGTAAGACCCTCATCGTTGAGCTCATCTTCTTCCTCGTCCTCATATGTTGCGCCATCACCCTCTTCAATCTCTGCAGGGACATCATTGCCCTGGACGGTGGAAGATCTGGATGAGTGGTCAATCTGGGTGTTCTCTTCTGCAGCGTTCCCGTTCGATGCATCTTCGTCGTCACTATAATCAACGAGATCATCCCCGTCTTCGTCATATTCATCGGCACCATCTTCATCTTTGTATACAGCTTCTACTTCATCCCCGTCAGACTCGTTGGCAGAAGGAGACCCGCTGGAATCATGTTGAGCGATGGGTTCTGGAGCCTCTTGTGTTTCAGAAGCCTCATCCTCAGCACCGCTGACACTACTGCGAGTGCTTCCATGAGCCTCTTCAGTGCTCGGGGAGTCGTGGTTCGAGCCTTTTTCTTCGTCGTCCTCGACTGTCTCATCTTGATCCTCGCCGGCCGCGTTGTCGTGATCCTCTTCGTGATCATTGCTCCCCCATTGCTCGCCCTGTTCGGTGGGATGGCTAACGTATGAGCTATTGAAATTGGTCTGGCCCGAGGCGATCGCTCTATCCAAGCCTGAAAATCCTACTTGATCATGAACAGCTTTCTGTAAGTCACTGAGGAGCGATATCACCCGTGGGCGGAATTGCAAGGTGATGTAGAATGACTCTGGGTCATTGTTGCCATCCTGGGCATGTAGCTGCAAATACAGATCAACCAAATTACTCAGTTGTGAAACTGCGCAAGCGGTCGAATCTTCGTAGAGCTCCATGCCGTGGAAGTGCTCGAATCGGAAACCCAATTCAGTTCCGCTGCTGAGATCATCACCAAGCTGACTCCTGCAGGCGGAGAACAGATGGGTTATCGGTTCATTTGCAAGTGACTCATTCTCCAATAACCATTCACCCTCGTCATCCTGATGGGGCTTGAAAAGCCAATATTCGGCGCCATCGTAATTAACTGTGATGAGGGGGAGGATGGAGTGATCTGAAACGTGAGATTCCTGGTGCTCTTGATACTCGTGGGGCTCCTGAGGTTCAGCGTCTGCCTGAGACACCTCATGGGCCTCTTGGCTATGATCGTTGTCAATGGCTTCAGCCGATTCAGTTTGGTTCTCGCCATAAATGGCTGTTTGCGTTTCATCTGTGGTCTGCTGGAGAAAGGGGGCCGCCAACTCATCAGCACCCGCCTGCTGCAGGTCTGGTTGGTCATTGCCACTTTGTTGATTCATTGATTCTCCATCTCCACCTGTCCAGGACGCAAGGCCTGTTTCATCGGTGTTTTCTTCATGTGGTACCTGGTGAGCATCCTCATGATTGTGGTTCGAATTGTAATTTGCTTGATCACTAGTCGTGTCTTGAACAGGGGCAAATTCGGAAGTAGGGTTTTCGGCCTGAGCCGGCTGTGTATCTGACTTATCTTCGCCGACCTGTTCTTCATCGTCGGAGTAATCTAGGAGATCCTCTTCCACGTTGTTTTCATCGACATCGAGTGCGAGTTCGACGGTTATCTCGTCAACGGGATTGTCCAATACTTGATCCAGTACATTCGGCGGACCAGATTCGTCCGCATCTTCAAGGTGCAAGTCGGTATATCCGGCCTCATCCTCTTCAATGACGTCCTCCTTGTCGACCATGAACTCATCCTGATCGCCCAAAGCATTTTGTAGATCTGTACCCGCATCAGTCCCAGCATCCTTCAGTGAAAGAACGTCGTCTTCTTGAAGTGTTCCTGGTGCTGAGTCTAGATCCAGATCTATGTCCCCATCATGGATGTTATATCCGTTGTCTGAGTGAAGGTCCATTGCGTCGTTGCCGAGGTGAGCATCGGAGCCCACAAATGACGGTGCGGTTGTGGTCATGGTGTGTGTTTCTAGTGAACAGAGCACTAAGTTGTTGCGGCGGCGTGAGTCAAGTGGTTGCTGTGCCTCACAGCTGGCTAAGACGCGAAGATAGTAGAAGCGCGACGGAGCGCGTAGGTCGCAAGTGGCGAAGCAGTATCGTCGTAATGAAGCGGCTACGCTGAAGATTCCTTTGATTGAGTGTGCTCGATAGAAGGGAGGATCATCGCGCGGTATATATAGAGAGAGGGAGAGGAGATTAGGTTGCGTCCAGGTGATTGTACGAGTTATGTTGCGACCACAAGTTTCGGGAACAAAGGGAGCCAACCACAACTGCGCGTCAAGGATCGCCAACGAGGGTTGCAGTTTCAGCGACGACGATGATTGCAGATATTGAATGACCGCGCTGGTATCCGTTTCCTCGAAAAGAAACAGTTACGGCTCGTCGCGGCTGTTCACGAATAGTGCGCTGGGTGAGAGATGTTTCTTTACTGTGTAAGTAAGGTACGAGGTACGAGGTAGGGTAGGTATGATGTGAAGGAGAAGGGCGACGTCCCTCCCCTTTGAACAATCACCGAGACCAGGCGGAAGTGACTAGCGTTAAACTAGGCACCTAGGCTCCCACTAGCGACCACGTGACCCAATTGGACACCTGGGCACATCGCGAACTTCCAGTGTGGGATAGCTGTAGCAGCACCCTCAAGAGCGTACACGAACAATCGCCGGGTTCTTGCTGCCCGAATACCTCCTCTTTATTGCCCGACAGATTCAGAACCCCTTCTACCAATCCCGACTCATTCCACCACAGCTTTGTACACCGCCGCGTGGACAATTCGCCCTCCCCCGCTAGGACACCGCAACACCCAGTGAACAACAACTCACCTGCGACGGTACCTGGGTTGAACATACACACATTAGCTGTCGTCACAGTACAGAAAAGAAATCACAATGGTACGAATGGACAGCCAAACATTGGTCATCGCCGTCAAGCTAAAGCATGCAGGTTGTCCTCGCAGCTTCAATCTGCACCCGGGGCGGGAAAGCAGTGCTTTCGCGCCAGTTCAGGGAAATGCAGCGCTCCCGCATTGAGGCTCTCCTTGCTGCCTTCCCTAAGCTCGCTGACAGCAACACGCAACATACGACCTGCGAGCAAGATAACGTTCGATACGTATACCAGCCACTCGACGAGCTTTACATGGTGCTCATCACAAACCTACAATCGAACATCCTCCAGGACATCAACTCGCTTCATCTATTTGCACAGGTCGTATCCTCAATATGCAAGTCTCTCGATGAGAGGGAAATACTGAAGAATGCCTTCGAGTTGCTTACCTCTTTCGACGAAATCGTTACACTTGGATATCGGGAGAACTTGACCTTGACCCAGATCAAGACTTTCTTGGATATGGAGTCGCACGAGGAACGAATCCAAGAGATCATCGCTCGCAACAAAGAACTTGAGGCATCGGAGGAACGTAAGCGCAGAGCCAAGCAGCTTGAGATGCAGCGAAAAGAGATGTCAAGGTCGTCTCGTGCGGGTGGAATGGGAGGTGGCATGGGTGGAGGCATGGGCGGAGGTGGTGGACGTACACCACAGTACCCGTCATACACTCCTAGCACCCCGGCCACCGTTCCCGACACCTACGATTCGTATGAAGCAGCCAAAAAGACAACCAGCAAGCCTCTTGCACTCGGCAAGAAGGGCATGCAACTGGGAAAGAAAAGCAAGACGACCAACTATTTCGAACAAGTTGCAGGCGATCTCCCGGCAGAGTCTGAGCCTCTTGTACCAGAACCTAAGGCTTCCGCACCCCTCGCCCCCACGAGCGCCCGCCAGTCCACTTCCACTGACCGCGAGGCTGTACATATCACCACAAATGAGAGTATCTCGGCGAGGTTAGACCGCGAAGGCCTCTTGAAGACTTTCGAAGTCAAGGGAGAATTACAGCTTAAGATTACCGACCCTGCTTTCACGCAAGTCAAACTCGATCTACAAACCGGCAATACCCGTGGCGCCCAGCTCATTACGCATCCTAAGGTTGACAAGAGCGCGTTCAAGAACACCAAAACCATCCAGCTGGCCGACGCCTCTAAAGGGTTCCCTGCCAACATGGGTATCGGGGTCATGAAGTGGAAGCTTGCACCCAGGGCGGACGACGTCTCTGACCCACCAATCACATTCCGCGTCTGGGTCGAGGACTCGGGCAAGATGTTCAACATCACTGTTGAGTATGAGCTCACCGGTTCCGACTCGCTCAAGGATGTGTCCGTCACCATCCCTTACTCCACTGATGAGCCCAATGTATCCTCCTTCGACGCTGTCTACGAAGTCAGCGGTGACAGCATTGAGTGGAACATCGGTGCAGTAGATGAGGAAAACAGCTCAGGGCAATTCGAATTCGAGGCCCAGGCTGACAGCGAATCCGAGTTCTTCCCTATGAGGGTGCATTTCAGCAAGTCGACACCTTACGTCGATGTCGATGTAAGTCGAATCTACTTTCCTCGCGTCGATCTGTACTAACATATCACAGGTATCATCCGTTACCCTGCTCCCCATGGGCCAAGACATCAACTTCTCGAAAGATATTAAATCGGTGGCCGATGTCTATGAAGTTTCGTAGTTGCAGCGCGTGCCTGTTCCAGCTAGTTTCAAACACTGCAACCGTGCATGTGGCACGACGCATGAGATGTACCCGAGCATAGAGAAAAACATCCTTCAATGATGTTGAATGATTAGATTTATTACCCAGAAGATGTCTTGTTCTAATTTGCTCCTTGATGATATCGAATCAGTTGAATATCTTGATTGCTCCATGTCACAGCGACCATAGCCATGGCTTCATTGTATCTGGCTCGATTAATTATTCATCGATAATCATCGATGAACAGAGTCATTGAATGAACACATGACTTTGACGACGAGCACTGTATCTGGATGGGGCTCATTTTCTGTCAGAATCTCGCATGCTTGCCCATGCCGGTCTTTTCACGTCCGATAAGGCCTAGAAATCTCATGTCAGTGCTTGAGTCCTAAATCTTCAAATTAAATAATAACACAGCATTTTCAAAGCATAGTTCTGTATAGTGCAATCAAAAAGAACGAGGACGGCGACAATTGTTGCCTAAACATATATTTTGAAATTTAAATTGTAGAGAAAATGATCAGACGTGCATGTCCGCGTACCGGGCCGCCCCACAACCGGACATCATTTTGCCAGTACTTCGACTTGCAAGTCTTCGTTACTTCACGCACACATCAAAAAACGTAATGCGCTAGCAATTGAATGAAATCGTAGATTCTTATAATCATCCAGTCATCCTTGCAACAAACAATTACCACTAGATCTCGTCGCCCAGTGCTACTCTACACAGAGCCTTATTTCGCCGCAAAACCATCGCCCTCGGAATATCACTGACATCAAGTTTCATCAATTGTTGACGTACGTAAGGAACCCTCGCAGAAGCCCGCAATACTTACTGCAGCATCTGTAGGGAGCTAACAGCCCTGCGTTGAGTAAAGCGTGAAGATCTATATTATATAGCCGTTCCCCTGCCAGGTATGTACAGCAACGATAACAGGTAACTGGTGGTATTTCATCATCCAAAGTTCTTCTTTCGAATGACGTAGCCACGGATGGTCAGCTGAAAGAATTTGCTCTCTAGCAGCAATCACACCCTCCATTAGTTCTATTCCCTGTTCTCTGTGTCCATTGGCTGCGTATGCTTTAGCAAGCTCATGCTGCGAACATAGTACATCAGAGTGATGCTCTGGCAGCGCAGTCATACGGGCATTGACAACGTGCTCCAGCATTTCCACTGCCTCTTGTGTCAGTCCGACAACCCCGGATGCAAAACCAACTGTGTATTGCAAATCCAGTTGTTCGGGGACAATCTCTTCCATCCTAGTATTACAGACCTCCAAGACATCCTCTACCAGATCGCGTGCCTCCTCTTTCTGTTCGTCGGCGTGATATGCTAAAGCAAGTGCAATCTTCGAACGTAGTAGATCAGGGTGATACTCTGGCAGCGTAGACCGACGGACATGAAGAAGGTGCTCTAGCAAGTCTAATGCCTCGTCAAAATCATGGTTGTCTCTGTACGCCGCAGCAAGTAAATGCTGCGCCTCTATTATATGATTTGATAGAGTCTCTTTTCCCTCAGCCGTCAACATCTCGACGAGACCGAAGAACCATCCAATTGATTCATCGAACTCGCGCCTGCATAGTGCATTGCGACCTGCAAGCTGCCTGAACGACGCTTGAATCATCAGGTACCTCTCAAACATAAGCTCCTCGCGAATGTCATAGGCCAAATTCATGAGCCAGTCATCCTCTCTCAAATTATGCAGAGTCCATCCACATCGGAGCAAGATGATAAACATGTGCATTCTTGGTCCCCACGTCACCACGTCCTCTGCTTCTGGTGCCAGGAGAGATAGCAAGTGTAGGCGCACCCCCCTCTCCCACATTTGCCACGTTTTTGTCTTGCCTGTTGACAACGCAAGTAGAGAGCCAGCCGACACCCACGCTTGCTGCTGCTGCTGAGCTTGCAGACGGTCCCTCGCCCACGCGTGCGTGAGAACATGCATCGACAAGTCGCTCGCACCGTCTGTCGAACTCCTCGTCACTAAAAAAAGTGAATCAAGGAGAGTGCTGGCCTCTGTCAGCCGACGGTCGTTCCACTCAGCCGCCTTGACATCGACAAATTTCGGCAGGTAGTATGCAATCACATGTTCCTCAATACGTTCCTCGTTATGTTGCTCGTTATGTTCCTTCAGCAGACGACGGCCTTCGTGCCATGCTTCTTCGAATAGCTGGAGTGGTAGCATGCTCGTCGATAGAGTTCCCAGAATGCTGAGCAGCTCTAGCGCATCTAGGCCAGCCTCGTCGCGCATAAGCCTCTCTGCAGACGCTTCGAATGTAGCGTACACATGTTGATATCGCGACTGCTCTTGACGTGGATAGTGCTCAAGAAGCTGCTTGCGATGAAGCTCATACTTTTCAGGATACTCGTGCATCTCACAGTAACCTTTTGCGATATATGCGCCAGCCTGTATCAGCGCAAGCGTGTGAAACTCCAGCAGATGCACTATCTCTTGCGCCGGCTTCTCGTAGCGCTGCCACTGGTCCTCTTGGACTTGAGCAGCTTTGAGCAGAAGCTGCATGGAAGGTTGTTCCTCTAGGGCTTTTAGGGATTCTGCCGGCACAGTGCTGTGTTGGCTGCAGTCCGACACGCGAGACGTGATTATCAGGGTACCCCTAGTGCCAGATGGGATATATCTCTTGAAGTCGGTTTTGTCGTCGTCGGCGTTGTCCAAAATGAGCAGCCAGCGCTCCTGTGCGCTCGCTAGCACCGAGAGCACACCTTCGATATTATCGACAGGTGATCCAAGCATCTTCGATACCGCTATGAAGCCGTTTTTAGCAGTAGCCTCACTGCTAACATCAACCCAAAAAACGCCCCAAAAGCTGTAAGTGTTAGCTGGCGCTGGGGTATCTATGATCAGACAACGTACTCTGGACGTAATGCATTCGCGACCTGTAGGCACACCTCGCTTTTGCCTATACCGCCCATGCCTGTGATTACGAGTTGCTTGCGTATTGAGTTGCTTGCGCCGTCGTCACGTAAGGCGCTCGTGATACGCTGTATAAGCTCAGTTCGCCCTGTGAATAAGCTGTTGACAGCGCGAGGGACCATCCAATGCGTATCGCATGGCCGCTTAGTTGCAGTGCGGACTGCGTGCACTACGACAGGCGAATATCAGCTATAGGTGCACAAACAAATCATTGTTCATTAAATTATCGAGATTACCTACCAAATCGACCTTCTACCACGCTTGGAGCCTCCCTCTCGTATTGCTGCAGCCTGCCAAGTACGCTGGTGTATCCAGCATCCGTATCAGCGTTGAACTTGACCATCGTCGAATGGTCGCCATCCAGAGGAATCTTCTCCTCTATGGCATCGGGTAGCTGGAGGAGGGCCGACTGGGTTTCCACTGCAGTGTCATAGTGACCGGTTCTCGCCCAGCGTTGATTCTCGTGGTCCTGGTGTAGCTATGTCAGCCAATTCTCCGAGCTTTGCTCGTATACAAGAAAACTTACATAGTCCGCCTGTTGCGTCTGGTTGAGCTCGTAGAAAGATACTATCTTTCGCTCGCGGATGATGTTCCTGAAGTCATCTTGCAGGTGTTCTAGTACGGAAGACTTCTTCTTGATATCGTCGAGCAGTGCATCGCGCCCATTATCGTTCTTCCCCATCATTCTCCTGAAGTTGTCAACTCCCATGCCCTTGTGGGGAGTCCCGAAGAAAAATATGCTGTAGGTAGCCTGGTAAATGGCATGGAGGGCAGCATTGTTGTCCATGTTGCTACGGGCCGCCGCGTGACTGAGGCACTACTCTGGGTATCAGTATTATGGCCACACAGTGCTAGAGCGCAGACCTACATATGCGAGTATAATTCCACCGAAGCTGTGTGCGATGAAGAACAGTGGTCGCTGCTGCAGCTGCCGTTTAGCCATGTTTCATACCAGCACATTGTGATCACCCTTACCTGGTCTTTGTTTCGGACCTTCTTTAGTTCCTCGATGAACGTCCGACTGAAGTCCATGATTTTACCTGTCCCTTTCCCTAACAGCTTCGAATCGTACCCGTATGTCATCGTGCGGCAGTTTGGATGGTCTTCGCTCAGGAAATCCCGAAGCCACATTTGCCTCAGATTGCTTCTCGACCTCCATGAGCCATATGCATGGCCACCGAGGCCGGTGATGGCAACCACACTATAACCACGATATCATTAGCTGCTTAGTATCTCAAGAGAAACAGCGCCGGACAGCACTCCACTTACTCTGCGGTAACAGCGTCCGTCGCAGTTTTGTACAGCTGGGTGAATCCTGAGAACTCGCAATCGAAATTGTAATATCGTTTTGGTGTCACCTTGAGCGGCCAAACATCCTTCGTGCCGTCCAGGAGCTCTCTCAGGAAGTGAGGCCAATCGCCACCAAATTCGACCAGCGCGACTTTCCGCCGTTGGTCGGAGCAGGCTGGCACGATGGCTACCTCGACGTCTGCGGTGCTTCGTTCGTGCTCAGTTAGTCGCTTGTTGATTTCGGTCGTCAGCATCGCCTTGAGCTCGTCGTCAGGTTGCTGGGCTGGCAGGCCCGACACGCGGAAGACGGGGTTTTTGGTCACTGGCTCTCAGATTAGTAAGACCCCTGAAATCGTTTCGTCCCTACCTACTGTTAGAACAACACTAACTTACTTATTTTCTAAGTAGTATAACGTTGTAAGTATAACAAAAAATGTGCAAGGTAATTTGGATAGCAAAATGGTCGGTTTGGGTGAGTGGTTGATGATACTGTAAAGGTGGGCATAGAGAATCTGGGGGGTCTTCAATACCCCCAGAGAGCGGGCAGTGTACCAACAAGCAAACACTAATTTGTCTCATCGCGGGAAGAAGCAGGCAGTAGCTGGGGCTGGAACGCCATCGTGCGCCCTGGGGAACCACGCTCATTCGTCGAAGACACAAGAGGGACCCAATTATAACATATACAATATGTGCAAACCCGAAATGCTAGCCAAGGAGCAAGACGCCTTGAATAACTCAATAGCCGCGTCTTCTTTCAATATTTTGATCCTTGAAACAAGTGCTGCTCTACGGTGAACATCTTGAGTGCTACCTTACTCCTTATGCTGTAGAGTACTCTTTTTTCATATCAGTAAAGAGTGATCCAGCAGTGACCGTAGGCTTTGCAGTTAAGCCTATGGCCCAACAGTCGCCTGTTGGGAAGAGGCTGCCGCCGATCCCAAATACTGGCCCTCACAAGGTACTGTCTTTGAGCAGTCTGCCCGCGGTTGTCTTTCGTCGAGACTTGACTGTGCGGCCCCAGAAGGCACCTACCGATTATCTGAACCTGGACCTCAAGACCCCAAGGCTAAATGGCATTCATCAGCACCTATGGCTTGCTGGTCTTCCCGCTGTCGCAAGACCGTTACACAAGCAGAAACAACTTGGTCGCAGTTTATTGATCACCGAGGATCCAGACGAGCATTTGGTGTGGTTCGAAACGCAGATCCTCTTGAAGCCTCTTCCTTTGTACCTTCTCGACTACACCTGGTGGGTCAAGCACCTCTGCGAATCGGAGGATCTATATCGTTCTGCTTGTGGTCTTCTCTTATCATATGCCTGGCTCGTCGGCTACCCATGCGATCTTGATATTGCCAAAGATGCTGGTCTACTGCCGCACGAAATCTGTTGGCATGACTGGAGCAGTTTCATTGGGACTTTCCTCGATAGCATCGATTCTGATGTACTGAGCAATTCGAACGAACGATACCAGTACGGCGAGTTGCGGCTGAGTCGGCTCAACACCATATATCGATTTATACTTCCTGCGCACTCGTTGCGAGGCTTTCTTCGTGGATATAAATCGGGATCAACGTGGTATTCTGCATACTACGGTGGCTATGTCAGAGGGTTGCTAGTACTGTTCGCCATGTTCTCTGTTACCCTCTCCGCATTGCAAGTTGGCCTGGCCACTCCAAATCTACAGAAGAACCACAGCTTTGGGGTTGCATCGTATGGATTTACAATTGCAACACTTATCTTTATCGTCATAAGCGTGGCTATTGCCTTTCTCTCCTGGGTTTTCCTCTTCTGGTACCATTTGCTATCGACTTGGTGGAACGATAGAAAGAAAGGCAGGGAGTTGCACAGAGATAGAGGATAATTGCGAATTATCTGACTCGGTTGATGGGGTGGCAAGGACGCAGTCGTAGATCCTGAGTTCCTTTTACATGAGTCGGGGGTGGTCTAAATTTGTCTTAGAGGCGAACACAAATTCAAGCCCAATATACCTCTAATAATACATGCCTGCGAGTGGATACCTCTGCACCAAACTTTACCCTACATCGTCCCATGTGCGCACACGATCAGACGCCTCTCCCTGCACTTCTGAATGCCATGCTATGAATTAACGAGACAACCCATCTGCGTTAGAGAAAATCTTCGCTTATAGTCTCTCATGGAAGTATCCAAAGGCCACCGCCCATTGAGGACTTTGCAACTGAAGGTAGGTCCTCTCCAAAATCCAGATCGGCGCCCATCCAAGTTGGTAATCCTATTGTCCAGTCTCTTGTGGATTATTCATCAGTTGAACCCTCAGGGAAGCCATCTCTAGCAAAGTTACAATGGAAACGCAACCCTGTGTGCGAAGGGAAAGTGTACCTTCATTTGAGTCGAACGGGAGAGATTGCGACTGCCATTCTTAAGAGGAAGTCAACGAGCGCCTTCACTTTACATGGTGGGAGATATTGCTGAGGTTGAGCTTTCCCTTGAACGGGGCAACTTGTTGTTTGTACACCTAACTACAGCGTAGTCTGCATGGCTCGATTGATGTTCATAAGGAACACGGCAATAGTTTTTATGGGTCTGTAGCTTTGACATTTAAAATACTAATCATAAGATGAAATACGTAAAATTTAAGTCTAGAACAAGTCTCCAAATATTCTGAACTCAGATATCGCGAAAAAGTACTCTAAATTAGGCGAGTGTTCCGTAATGCGGCTAGCGGGTGTTCCCGCAGGCACGGCAGGGAATCACACATTACACTACTCTTGAGAAAAAAGGTCTGACGGTAAAAATGATGTATATAAAAATTTATTAAAATAGAGTGCTATCAATGCGACCAACGCCGATACAGATGAAAATGTTGCGTGCATAAATGCTAGGTGGTTGTTGTGTTGCTATTTGCTGCCGAGAAATTTCTGGTAGCTATGATGTTTTTTGAAGCGTTGCGCTTTAGTCCGTGTCTAGATAATCACTACTGCTACGTGCCTTTGGGTGAGACCTTCGAGGCCCTCCTGAGCTGGCGGCGTGGATGCCCTACCTCTCGAGGTGGCTGGCTCTTATCAAACGTCTGCGTCTCGGGCTCTTTGTCCGCAAAAGACACTGAAAGACCTTTCCGAGAAGTCGTGGACGACAACCTCAGAGCCGAAGCAATCCGTTCACGATTGATACTTAGGAGGCGCATGGTAGAACGCCTGCGTAGAAGACGTGCCTGGAACTGTGCCGAATCGTCTGCAACACCTTGTACGGTGAAGTCTTCCGGTCTCACCTCCAGAGTTCTCAAGAAATCCTCATTGAAAACAGCAGGATCGGCAAGATTCATGAATGCTTCGAATTCTTCATCGCCCATGTGTAATATGTCAGCACCGGTGTTGTCAGTATTGTTGAGTCCAAAGGCACCCTGGTCCGCGTTGTTCTCAATCGCAGGCACATACTGTGTGTATTGGGTGTATTGGTTGTATTGACCGTCTTGTGGGTATTGTTGTTGATACTGATAATTCGGCTGCGCCATCACAGCAGGTAGTACCTGAGTAAAATCTTCAACCTGAGATACTAGTGGGAGCAACGGAGCTTCGTCGTCTGCCGCAAGGAAATCATCAGGCTCAGCATAGGTCTTGGGGTATTTTCCGGTAGCCTTGAACTCCTGCACACGAGCACTGCGACGAGAAGCCTGTGTGCCATGTTGTGTAGAATTCAAGCCGTCGCCTACGTTGTCATCATCGGATTCGCCGTCATACTCCCATTTTGTCGGGTCATAATGATCATTAATATCATCGTCGGAGTCTTCTTCTTCAATATTTCTACGGTTACTGCCGTTGGTCTTCGCTGGGGTCGGTTCTTCGCTCGGTCCTTCGCTCTGGGGCATTAAGCTCTTGGCTAGTATTCTCTTGGGGGTGAAACCTTTGTATTTCGGCCTTCGAATTCTCATCTTTGCCTCGTATATAGGTTCAAGGATATCAACCCTTCTCAAAAGCAATTCTTTGTTATGGTATTCCTTAACTCTCTCCCGGAAGCCATCGAAAGAATTGTCATATTTTGCCGCCATCTCTTTAATATAGTCTTTCCGAGCATTCTTTGTTTTATATCCTAGTCTTATTGCATGGGTCGTTTCAGCATGATATATCTCCAGATTGCCATGATGGAGTACAACATTTGAACACTTGATTTTTTTGCCAAATTCCTCATGTTGAGCCGGAGGGCGCCTGAGAAGCTTATGGTGGTTCATCCAATACGTGAGGTAGTTTTCCTCAAGCTGCTTTTCCTGTCTTTCGCCTCGCCTATCCGGATCGTGGAGTGGATAATTTTGGAATTCGGGTAGCGTATGTAGCCGACCGTTCTTGCATGCACGGAGGAAGGCCTTTGTGATAGGTAGCTCAGGCCCGTGATCAAGAGATGCCGCCCATCGTCCACACATTTCCATCGAGAACGCACGAGTATCTGGCTTGATATCTACATTAGGTGAAGCGACGAGGAAGGGTAGGTCTAGAAAACGCTCCATGCAGTCGAGATGGACGTAAAAGGAAACTAGGTAGGGGTTGGACTCATGGCTGTACTTGTACCACTTCTCGTCAAAGGCAACCCGATAATGGCCATGAAGGATCGCGCCCGTCGGCTTGTCTGCCAAGTCACGATCTCGGGCTGGGCAGGCGGCGAAGCGGCATGTCGACCAAGTTGAGGTAGAATAACGACGAGCTGAATCTGCGGGTGTTTTCTGGATCCATAGAATGAGCTTCCTGCCCTTACTCTTGTCGGTGGGATAGTTAAGGATGAAGTCGTTCATCTGCCTTGCGGTAAGCGTAAACGCTTTAAGCTCGCCAAAATCATTATACTTGAATTTGGTACTTATGCCTTGCCAGTCTCCGACTGGGTGCTCTTGACTTGGGTATTCCGGTTTATAATTGTTAATCTTCCCCGTACGGGTTGACCTGCCTTTAGTCGCTTTGTTGATCCTAACCCACTTCTTGTCATCATCAAGTTGTGGCTTCTCTGGCTTGTACACCACATTTAAGGAGTCGCGGTCATCAACATCAGCAGACCTGTGACTAGCTTCTGGGGAAGGGCCCATTCTTGACTGTGGATCATAGGAGACCAATGAGGACTTCCCCGTCGAGTTGTGTCCAGACGAGCCATGGGCATGACGAGGACTCCTTCGAGGAGAATTTGGATGATTGTCTTGACTATCAGAGTCCACAAAGTTCACCCGTGGGCGTTTACATTTCCCTATGTAGCTGTTAGTATCAGATAGCCGCGAAGTCCAGCATTGCTTCTTACCGTCATTGTTGCGTGACGCTACAGAAGATGACCAACGGCGTTTCCGCGTATCAAGTGCAGTGACAGGGATTGCTGGTTGTTGATATGCGGTGTGATTATTACTGTTATCACGAATATCATGTTGTTGCACCGCGCAGTCATCGTAAGGCCCAAAGTTATTGTATCCGGGCATAAGGGAGTACCGATAAAGTACCGGGGTGGGATCAGCGTTCGACGGTCGCGGGGCGACTTCATATGCTTTCTCTGGATCACTTGGCACAGCAGCGTTGCTTCTAGCAAGTAGTCGCATAGAAGCTTGCTGTGTCGAGTCATCTAGGCCGTAAAATGTGTCGGGGGCGATGCCAGATGATTGAAAATCAACCTGGTATGGTGCAGGAGCATCTAATGCTGGATCAATGGTGCAAGAATTGTCCAAGGATCGTGGATCAAGGCCAAACCCAGATTGTGCATTACTTGGTACAGCAGCATTATCCATAAAGTTAAAGTTATATTCTCCTACTGGTTGCAAGTTTTGGATCCATTCCGAATCATTGAAGTTAGGAAAATCGAACGCGAGCTGTTCGCCATCGTTACGGGATTTCCCAGAGCTACGACGCCGGTCTTGCGATCCTGGGGAAGCGCCAGCGGACTTCCTTGACATTGTAAAATATTTATCGAAAGGAGCTGTTGAACAAGTCGCTGGTCAGTCGATGTTGTGATTCGGGTGAACGTCAAATGGCGTTGTGAGTTTTCACGACGAGAATAATCAATGATTGAATAAGATGGATGAATGAATGAGGCAAAGTGGACTATATATTTCGAGGAGACGGATGCGACGATTAACGTCTTTGTGAATGTTTCCATTGTAGAAATGCATTGTAGGCTATACTTAGTATCTAGACAATGAATTACAACAATGTACGTAAATACGTCTAAGAATGCTGAGAATGCTGATATTAGCTCTCAAGACAACAAAGGGTGAAGGAATTTAGAAGTCAAAAAGTCGGCATTGTTCGCATTTTGCCATGCCCTTGGCCATATGGTATCCAAATTGTGTACTATTTCGTATGAACAATTTGACCATTCCTAGATACTGTTAGCCACTTGCACTGACTGCGAGTTGATGAACGGTATGTTTCAATTGACAGTCAGAAGGTCTCCAAGCGGTTATTCCACATAGTTGTTTTCAGAACAGGTCTGTGAATTTTGCTTATTTCATCACAAAAGGGTAAGGACGATGGGTTGGTGGAGAGAGATAATACTTACACAGAATGATCGCCGTGACTGCAGATTGACAGATACCTGGGATGATATAAGTGTAGAGCAAGGACAGCCATCAGCTGACATTGAGAGATCCGGAAAGTGTGACGATGTATTTCATGAGCAGTCACACTAGTATTTTGTATGTTGGCTCAGCAGTGATTGAAAAGCAAAGGCTTGAAGGCAAAATTTTCTTTATGAATGCGATGGGGTATGACTAAGCTGCGGATCGGGTCAACCTTGACCCGCGTTGCCTCCAGCAACCACGATGGTGGAGGTTATCGATTGTGCGTCTGATGTTCACGAACTGATCAATAGTTAGAAGTAAAATGCAGCTCTAATAATGTCTGTCAAAGTCTATCCTGTTTCTTGTATTGGGAAGTAAGGGCCGTCTCAGCGTTGTCGCCGCCGAAACAATGCACCCCTCAAGTGGCCTAGAGCGGTCGCCCCAAATACTTTGCTGGAACGGTTTCCAAACAGGAACACAGAACAAATCAGAAAACGTCCGACTAAGACAGTACTTGAACCTATTTCCGGACATTATATGCCGATAATCATGTCTCGTTGCCGACTGATCCCGGTTTTACATAGCACCCATCACTACTCTTTGAGTTGCTTCACCAGTGCCAACTGTTCCGGAAGGCGACCTTCAGATGCCCGTATGATCTTCCCTTGAGAGAACACTTCCCGCTGGTGACTTGGTACATGGCTAATCGCTGATACGTGTTTCTAATTTTCGAAGAGTACAATCCAAGAGTGCTCCGTAAAAAACGATCTAAAAGGGGGTCCTTTTCCATTGGACTGTGTGCGCATGATTGGTGGCTATCGTGTGCCGAGTGAAAAACAAAATCCATCTTGTCTGGAGTTATCACAAACAGAAAGTGCCAGACGATGAAAATTGATCATACCTGTGTTTGAAACCATACGTCTGGAAAGTTCGCGGGGAGTCGACCGTTTCCCCAATGCTCTATCCACCCAATCACCTACGACCTTAGGACCACGGAACAAGGACATCCCACGCATCTGTTTTATCTGGACAATTAGAATCAAGAACGGCATCCCTACATCCGAATGCTGGCGTTCCTTGCACTTTGTGTTATATACGTGACTGTCGACGGTTTGGGTCAGTGTTCGTTCCATCCTCTGCTCGAAGATTCTCGCATGCCGGCGCCATGCCATCTAACTCAACTGATGCCCAGCTGACATCTGCCCTGATCATAACACTTATTGTACTTGGCTGGACGACAGTACTGTTGAGATTATGGGTTAGGTTACGCATTACCAAAAACCCTGGATGGGATGATGCTACTATGGTGATGACACTGGTATGACAACTTTGCTTTTGCAGAACGAATGCTTATATCTTTAGTGCCTGTTTACTTGCTACTGTTCTTTCATCATGGTCGTTGGACGGTCTCTTGCTCAAGAGATGACAGTGGCAACACTTCGACGTATGCTCCTTTATGTTCAGCTTGCCGAGATCTTCTACATAATTACTACAACTCTCCTGAAAGTTTCTTTGGGCCTTTTCTTCCTACGGTTGTTGACGAAAAGGTGGCAAGTCTTAACCTTCTACATCATCCTAGGCGTCTCCGCAGTGTACGGCGTCATCTACACGTTTGTTGCCATCTTCCAGTGTGGAGTTCCGCATGATCTGCTGAACAACCTCCTTCACGGAACCGACCGATGCCTTCCGGAAGCTTTCTCTCTCTTCACAGGATATCTTTACGGCACCATAAATGTCATTGCAGATTGGACATTCGTTCTCATTCCGATATACATCCTTATCGAAAGCGATATGACTCGTCAGTCGAAATTGTCTGTTGGCATTGTGTTGGCACTAGGTGCTATGTGAGTTCAACAAAGAATGTATCCTCGAAGATCTATGCTGACACCTCGTTAGCGGAAGCATCTCCAGCGTCATGCGAATGGTGTTCCTCAAGGGCCTTCTCCTTAATGGGCAGCTTACAAGTATGAAGAAGATATACCCAAGTTGAACTTCGCTAATCTGGATGCAGCCGAAGCCGTCAAGGCAACCTTTTGGGCCACCGCTGAGCCGGGCACTGGCATTATAGCTGCTTCCGTCGCCGTTCTTCGACCACTATTTCGAAAAGTCAAGACCGAGGTACAAGACAGGATAACACAACACAACACAAATCGAAGCAAACCCAAAGATGTCGAGAACAATCCGAATCTCGACTCTCAAAGCTTAGTTGCAATGGCCTCGACGAAACCGACTAGTAGCGGCGGCATTGAAGACTCAAAGAGGGCCTCTCTTTACTCTATCGTTTCTCCGACTCTAGATCGCGATGTGACCTTCGGAGAAGCGCAGGTCGGCCAAGTCATCCACATCCGATTGACGACCCAGGAATATCGACCTCCACCCCCTCCAAAATGATGACATTTACAGACCAGTTCTTTACGATTTTACGCTCTTTCTATTATTTATATTTCCTGGCTGCAGAACCGTATCTGTGACCTAACACGTTCATATCTTGATCTTGGGTACTGGCGTTTTAATCTTTAGATTAGGTTTGGATGCCAGGATGTTTTTGAGAATCTTTCCGACCTGATCGAAACAGACTCTTACTCTATGAAGAGCAATAAGTGTGTTCATGAGTTCTAGACCATGTTGGTAACGCTACCTCGTACATTCGTTGAAGTACAAAAGCCTGAGTGGCACTTTTCTGTTATTACTGTCTAGCTAGCGTGTACTGTACAGTATTCTTATTGTATAAAGTATGTCGTAGTTTAAGATAGATTTACCTTTCCACACCTCGTCGGTATGAACAAACAACTTTTCTGAAAACTCTTTTTAAAAACATAGCAGTGGGCTCCTTTTCGACACGAAGGACGTTTCGAAATGACGTGGGAGGGCGTTGCGTCGGCCATGTGCTTTTCTTAGCCGGAGATTGATCGGACTGTCCCAATACACTCGGGGCTGGAACGTAGAGCAAGAGAAGTCGCAAATATTTTGGTCTTGCACAACCGAATTGTGCGGCAGAAGTTGACAAGCAATGCGCGACAGTAGTTCTTAAGAGTGCGCCCACATGTCTGAGCATTCGTTAGAGAAGAGCCATGAGTTGAAGATATGGAAGGGTGGTACATAGTGTGGGTCCTGAAACGGCAAGTTCGTCGGGGGTGTGGTAAGCTCCCAGCCACAGTGCGGTGCAACTGCGCGAGAGCTCCCCGTGTCCCCATGCTTCCTCCACCACATGGCGCTCACGGCGCTCACGGCGCTCACAAAGATCACTCGGCCTGTGAGACACATAGGTCGCTCTGGCCTTGTTCAACATGGACGGGCTCGGGCTGTGTCATCCTGCTTGTTTTGGACGCCTGATCCCGCTGACATCCTTCGCCTTCTGATATTATGACACACGCCGCAACCGGATTACTTGCTAACCATCATTGCGCGCTGAACCAAACCTCCCAGATTCCCTTTAACGCTGACTTGCTTGCAAAATCCACTCTTGCAGTCGATCACTTACTATCATCTCGTTCAACAGGTCCAAAGGCACAGAGAGAACCATCATGGAGGTAGGTTCTATTGCTCTCCATGCTTGGCGGATTGGATGTATACCCACGGCGTACCCTGGTAGCTAACAAAGAGCTTAGGATTCATTCCGAGACGCAAATGAAGATTTGGATGCCATGTCGCCAGCATCTAGCCATACGGTGACAAACGATATACGCACAAAACCGCTACCATCAATACCGTCCTCACCTCCACCCCCAATCGATGCCCCATACCGCGATGACCCTGCGCCAGAGGCAGCTCACTCGCAGGCAGCTCTACCGCATATGTATCAACAGTATCCGCCGCCATTATCGCCTAGCGGAAGTGTCGTCTACTTCGAGCCATACTCAGACGACCCAAATCGCTCTCGGAATGACGAGGACGTCCCGCTTGCACACTTATACCCATATCCCACAGAGGCACCGCCCGCGTACCACATCATCGTCCCACAAGCCTACCGCAACACATTAATAGCGAACATCCCGAGCTTTCGTGGGGATTCATTAGACGTGGAAGAGGAAGCAGGCATCGACCCTGAAGAATTCGACGACGTGCGACTGACTGTAGAAGCCATCGTAGCTGCAGCAACGGTCGTCATTGTACTATTCCTAGTCTCAGGCATAATGATCTGGTGGATCTTTAGTTTCGGGCTCTAAGCGCGAATAGGCGGACCCTGCGTGTTACCATGGAGGTAAAGAATCGCAAGCTAGCCCCGCGAATGGCATTGTGAAGATGGATTTTAGCGTACTATGATACCTATGGGGCATGAAAACGGGCGTTCTTCCGATTATCCTCACCACTTTAGAAGAAATCTACTTTTATCACGCTCAATCACCGGGCGCATATGCAATTGCCTCATTCAACAGGTTCACACGATGATTGTATCCGACCAGTCCCCAGATTCGCTTGTCCCTCTCCGCTGCCACTTTACTCATTTTCCTTTCGCAAGTTCTTCCAACATAGGTTTCGCCGGCATCGTCGCAAACCTCGCCATGACCTCCAGATTCTTCTCCTTGCTCATCTTCTCATCCTTCCGACTAACCTCCGCAAGAATCTTGAAGTAGTCGATATAGAACGCCGGCGTGAACGTGTTGAAGAACTTCGCCTCTTCCTCGAATGGATTCGAGAAGGTGTGGGGAGCACGAATAGGAACGGTAACGTAGTCTCCAGTCTTCGCATCCACGATCTGCCCGTCGGGCGCGTGGAAGCGGACTGTGCCCTGGGTCACGAGAAAGGTTTCGTCGTGCATTTCGTGCCAGTGGGCTGGCGGACCAGCTGTGCCGGCTGGGATTGTGAATTCGGCGCTTCCGATGCGGTTGTCTGTTTTAGGAACGAACGTCAGCCAGCTCTACTTGATACCCAAGTCGCAAGGACTGATGCCGACTTACCTGTCCGAGAGCCATCTTCCATCACTCGACAGATGATGTGGCCCAACTTGAGTATTTCTCCCGACTTGGCTGGCACGAAGTTTATAGGTCGACGGGGCATGTCCATCTGCGCGAGAGCTTGTCTTGATTCGTCGTCCATGGTGGTGCTTGTTTGCAAACCCAGCAAAAGTTTCAAGAAGGGAGTTATCTACAGTGATTCTTGTGATATCGGGGGAACAGAGAATTATCAGAGTCAGCGTGTGCAGACACAAGATATAGTGTTGAGTACAGCTGATGTTTCTCAACTGCGGAGAGCCGGTGCACTGGAACGCTATTGTCCGGGGCCGATGATGCAGGGACGAGCAGTTGGGATTGGGTTGCTAATTAAGTAGAAAAGCAGCTGGACTGGATGGCCGGTATGGTTTACTCTGTATAGCTTCGAGCGGCTGTATTTATGGAGATTTAGACTCTAATTGTTGATATTCTTTTGTTTACAAGTTGGGCTAATCAACTGGAGAACCAGTAGACTCCTTGCATGATCATCGAAGCATGGCGGGGTACGAGTAGGCCGTCAGTTGAGCAAGCCACCAGGTGTACCCAATGCCATGATTATACAATTATTTGTCTCGTGTTGTTTGGAGTGTATGATGTATTCCCATGAGTACATTCAAGAGACCCTTGATAATCTATTGTTGTCGTGCACTAGAAAACTAGGTACGCACTCGTGGGTGTTGAGTCTAGCGTCATAACCATTCACATGTCGACCAACCTCCAGAATCGGTCCTTTTAACCGTATCAGCCGTCCCACGGCCCCACAAACACAAGTGGCATTTGTGAAACACATGCCCTTTCGCTGGTTCCTAGGTCAACAAGTATATATACAGTTAATTTGCCCATCGTTACATCAATCAACCATCACACGCCTAAAGCGTGTACATCTTCGATGGTCTAGTGGTCATGATTTCCGCTTGTCAGATTCCTCTTGGAATTAACAAGCGCGGGAGACCGGGGTTCGATTCCCCGTCGGAGAGCCATCTTTTTGGTCCTTTTTTTTCCTTCTTTTTGCGTTGTTGGGTGTGGTGGTGGTTGTGTTGTGTGAAGAAGATGGGTGGATAGGCGGGTTGAGTGCCAGGACATATTAGCAGACACACCTAACCTCAAGATACATTGTCAAGTCTTGTCTTAGAACTACTTATTTCGTCTATTTTTTGTTTTTCCAGTGCCTTAAACCTGTAGTGCAGTTACTTAGATGCTCTACTGCATCTGATAAACTATCTCACTACAGCACTAATCTGACATGCTACGAAGCTTCACACCAAATAGACAACACAAAAACTTACAATATTTAATTTTTAGGTACATAGAAGAAGATTCTATGATCCTTAGCCTATGACATAACAGTTTACCTGCAAGCCAGGAGAGTTGTCTAATTTTTAACACATTTTGCATTACTACAGATACGTTTTGTTCTAAGGAAATTACATCTTATTATAACAATTAATAATGCACTGATATCCCTACAATCTGTCATATCAGAAGACTGTAGAGTTACAGACAATTCTCTTAGGACATCATTTATGAATTTCATGTTCCCTGGTCTTGAAGCCAGGCGGCCAGCTAACCTCATCAGCGAGACTCAATTCGACATCGCAACAGTGGTTTCGGATTACTTGTTCAGCGCATGGACTTACGTTTTGACAGCAGCAATGATGACTTACGATTTAGGTAATGACGATATGCTTACTTGCCTCGTCTATTTCTTTAAACGTCTACGCCCTCTCAAGGCCTTTACAATAGTCTCTCGCTAGTACACAATCATCACCCTATAAGATCTTGTAAGCAGATAACCTTATAATGTTATGAGAGATTCGAATGTATTTCTCACAAATGAGCTATACTACTGAAGCCAATCGTGCTATTCAGATAAGAGGTTATAGCCTCAATGTAGAATATTGATCTAAGGATTGACTTTGTTATATTGGACTACAATTTCAACCGAAGATAGCTACTGTTGTCAATAGCTTTCATCGCGAGGGCATTACGACTCCTCCTCCTCCTCCAATACTTCCCCCATCCTCTCCATCTACCACCACCACCACCACCACCAACAACAACAACGACGAAGACGACGAAGACGACGACGAAGATGATGAAGATGATGAAGATGATGAAGATGATGAAGAGAAGCCCGTATCAGCATCATACATTTTCATACGTCCTGCAGCCTATCGCCTAACAAAAATGCTTCCTTCTGGTGCTAACTGGACTGCACCAACTTGATCCTCGTCGGGGAGGAAACTATCTTGATTCCCTGCCCCTTCAGTTTTCGCCTCCCCTAATTCCTCCCATATTTCTATGATACGGGCAGCACTGGCTGAGTGGTGTGTCCCTTCTAGATGGGACTTAAATTCGTTACCTCTAATATGGAGGATAGAGCCTAGACCCTAGAATGGGGTTAGGTTAGGGTAATTAATCTGAGGATTGACCTTGTTGTATTAGAATACGATTTTGATTGAATAACCGCAATCGTTAATGGCCATTTTGAGGAAGCTTGCAAACAAGTCGGTATGTATTGTTAGGCTGTTAATCGACCTTATGATAACTACAACACTTGACGGAGAATCTGCTTGTATGGACTGCAAGAAGCCGCGAATGTCCTTGATTATCTTGTTTGGTTTTCCTCTGGTCCTCTGCCAGTTAGTCTTCTCCTGGTCTTCTCCTGGCTTCCTAGTTTATGGTAGGTTGCTTTGTACCCACGGATTTGTAAAGGCGGCGTGGAGTTTTGCGCGAATCGTTCTCCAGTCGTGATGCCCTCGCGAATACGCCTCAAAACATGATAAGCCTATCCGACCACAAGACTTTCTGTAGTGATGGTTGCTTATTGTTTAAAGACCTTTGTGAAGGCCTTTAGAGGCGTAGCTTGAAATCCAATTTCTCCAGTTATGTAATCGTTCGGCTGGCTTCAGGACCAGTTGTCGCCTCGATTTCATGATTCAATCTGGCGATGAAAGCAGCCACGGCCGCCAGACTCTCTCCGCCCAGTCCATAAGCCAATGAAGGATTGCGACGACCTTCAGCGCATCAAAGCACGACCTTGTGCTTCCGATGTCAACCTGTTCCCAAATGGTCATTTGGTCATTTTTGGAGACAATGAGTAAGTGCCAGTCATGACCCTGGGCGATCAGGAGGGGAAATGCGGGCCACTGCCCGTTACTGTTGCCCTTGATATGGGCAAGTCTCCTCAGCCATGCACCTGTCCATATTGCGATCTGGGGTTTCCATCCGTCCACGACTTCATGGGGCCATTGGTCTCTATATTGATGGCAATTGGATTGTGGCGGGCACGGGTGGTGTGGTTCCACGATTTGATAGATGTACCTGGGAGCAGACCGAGCGAGCGCCATGCTTACTTCAAGGCCAGGTCTGGGTTGAGTGCAATAACGTAGTCAACAACACGGCCGGGTAAAGTGGAGCGCGCAAGAGATGCTGGCTCAATCCTAGCCGTCTTTCTATAACTACTGAGCAAGTGACTACTGTGAATACGGCACGAGCTTACACGTTGTGCATATCGAGCGTCTGCCGGTGTGTAGACGTGTTGCGTGCGAGTTTTAGGAGGGGATTTTGGACTTCGGAGTTCCATTCATCCTCAGAGACACCCGACCCGTGATCATACTTTCGTGCAGTCGCTACGATATCAAGCAATTGCGCCATCGGAGGCATTGAGCCGAGGGTACAGCGCTGCTCCAGATCGGTTGCTCAAGGATACCGAAATCTCATGCCATCTATTGGAGCCAGAGTAGGCACAAGCCCATCTAAGTCGTCGTAGCTCAAGATTTCGATACCAGCTGCAAACCGCTGAGCGGCAATGCGCATGGCGGTAGCGTCCTCCGACTCTCTCCCTTCCGTGTCGTCATCGAAGTTGCAAAAGACGGCAGGCTGCTCATCGAAGTCTTCAAGGAGTGGAGCTGCTTCACAGGGCTCAGGCATCCACTTTTATGTGATTCGACTTCGGACGCGTCGGATAACGCTTCGCTTGAGCTACTTGTGCTTCGAGATGGAGAAAACTGGGGTACATCCACGCTATCGACATCACTACCACTCAGCGATCATGAGTATGGGACAGAGTGCGTACGATAGCTGAGGTCCTTGGAGACTGTCAGTCCAGATCGCGATGTCGGAATTGCTCATTGTTCATGGGACGCGGATTGAACCCTAAAGAGGGTACAACATAAGCCATCGCTCTCTGATTGCATCACTGATTCCTGCCTGAATGGGTTACAAGATAGCTTGAACGTTAATGTGCAGACCTTTGGAGGACGACTGATCATGAGTCGAGCATAGAAATAGTCGGATTATCGATTCTCTGGTTACATGCAATTGTATGCAATTGTATGCACGCACGCGACTGGATGACGCTGTGTATCATGGTCCGTGCGCCGCGGTTGCTGGAGCAGGGCTAGCGCAGGGATTCGTTGTTTACCTCGCGAGACACAACTTCCTCGCCCATGTACACACTACACTGCACAGCAACTATTACTATCCTCACACAGAAGTGACACCACATCCACACTTAAACCCAATACCCTCACAATACCGCCAAGTTGGCTCGACTCAAGGATAGCCCGATCCCGATGGATCCCCCTTCACCATCCAAAAACCCAATGTCGCCTGGCATGCCTGTTTTCCCAGTGTCGCCAGAGCGTCTTGCGGGCACAAAACCGCTATATGGCGCGCCTTCATCGCCACAATCCCCAGCGCTATCAAGTCCGTTACGCATGTCGCCACTGAGATCTTCTCACCGCCGTAATGATTCTGACGTATCCGTTCACGGCCTCGCTGCGCGCTTCGAAACTCTTGATGTTAAGGACCACAAGGAAGCTCAGCAACGATTCGCGCAGGCAATCGACAAGATCAAGGTCAAGCATCTGAGTGAAATGCGCGCACTCGAGAAGCAATACCAAGACAGGCTCTGCCGTCAAGAACAACGGATCGAGCAAATGGTAGAAGCAGAGAAGGCTGCGAAGGAAGCTGTGCAGAACGTCGTTTCGAAAGACGACTGGGACAGACAAAGGAAAGAGTACCGGGAAGCACAGAAGAAATGGGAAGGAAAGGCGAACGAAGTGAACGATCTGAGAAAGCTGGCAGAGAGGAAAGCTGTAAGTGTACCCCGTAAACCTGACGATTGCAAGCCTGACTCTGTTCTAGCACGAAGCCACCCATGAGAATAAGGTTCTTGTGAACAAAGTCAATCACTACAAGAAGAAATGCGTGGAGCTATCGAAGGAAATGATCCAGGCAACAGGCCAGATTCCCACGCTTCAAGCCGATATGCAGAGCCTGAAGAAGGAGCGCCGCAGGCTCGAGTCTGACTTGAAGTTCCATAGCGCCGAAGCGGAGAAATACAAAAACCAGGTCTACGGTCTCCAAGTCGATCTCGAGGGCGTGGAAGCACGACTGAACGAAGAGATCCAAACCGTGAAAGCTACGTTGGCACTAGTTGAGGCAGAGCGTGATGCACTGAAGACAAGCCTGAAAGAAGAGGAAGTGCTGCGTATAGCCGCAGAAGGACAGATCCCCCTCCCCGCCGCGACCACAGATGAACATGACGAATTTGGGTCACCAGTCCGTTCTCCACGCAAACCGCGTGCCTTCGACCGCGATGAAGAGGACAAGGAAAACGTAGCCCCCAAGAAGAATGCCGTTGAGCTCAAGTTCCTTCGCCAGGAACTCGCCGCGGAGAAGCGTCTTCGCATGCGGGCAGAAGATCAAGTCGACTTCATGAAGATGGAATGCCAGTTCCAATGCTGTTCTTGCAGGATTGCAGACCTCAAGGGATCGAAATACGTCCACGACAATGCCCTCACTGCTGACATGGAACTCATCAAGGCCTCTTTACCTGCGATGACTCCACCTGCTAGCGATCACGGAGACGAACAGATGGAGGACGCAGGCCCTGAAGAGGAACTGGTGGAGATTGCCCGACCAAATACGCCCCCGACGGAAGGCGAGGACGTACAGGTTGACAAGACCGAGGAGTCCGCAATCTCAAGTGTCGCAGCAACTGAGTTGCCCTCGGACGGCACTGAGCGAACCTTTGATGCCATTGCTTACCCCGTGCCTCCTGCGAGCGATGCTGTAGAACCTGAGACGGCCTACTCCCCTACCACAGGTACTTTCCATGTGCTGGCTCCACAGACTCAAATGCCCGCATCCATGCACATCGCTACACCAGCCAAACCGTCCCGTCTGGGACAGGCACCTCTCATTGAAGATGCACCAGCATCGTCTCCGTTCGCCCCAGACGCAAGCGGTACTATGATCCACCATGAGGACATTTCTTCAATGCAGCTGAAGCCCGAGCAAATGAATGAATTTGAAAATGTGGTCGACCTACAATCAGAGCAACGAGCTTCCCTCCAGAAGCACCAAGAGATTCAGATTCATGAAGATGTCATTGATGATAGCGATGAGGAGGAGGATGACGAACCACAAACCCCACTACACGGCCCCTCTGCTCCAGCAACGCCTGCACAGTACTTGACTCGTACAATCACTACCACTACAACGATCCCCATACACTTCTCGCCCATGACGCCAGCTGTTCAGGCACCTGACAAGATGATGACGCCTGTCACAGTGGCCCATGCTCCAACGGCCGCCCAAGCGCAAGTGCTCGGTGAGATAACTTTGAATAAGCTCCCATTTGATCGGGAGGCAGCACTCGAGGCTATTCGGCAGAGGCGCGGTCGCGCTCGTAGTATGGCTGCAGGTCAGGGCACCCCTATGAAGAAGATGCTGGAAGGAGTGAAAGAACGTAGAGATATCAGTGCGCCTGTTTCCAAGATACGACGATGAGGATGACAATGCGCACGGACGATTAAAGTCCGAGATCCAGCCTGAAAGCGTAACGGTACGAAATCTTTACTATGAAAGCTGATTATCAGTCTCATCGAGGAGTTGAGCGGCATTGCTCGGAGTTGGGGTTGGTCTTTCAGTTCTGTGGAAATATTGCCATTCTTTGGGGGTTCAACTCTTCGGTCGGTCACTTTGGATATGCGGCTTAATGATACCAGGCGTTAAAGGTTGTATAGTAGCACATGTCCGAGTTAATTTGACCAGTAAAACTTATATTCTGTGCGACCGTTTGGCTTGAGAAACATCCTTTCGTACCATTGTACGAGTGCCTAGGACGAGTGCCTAGGAACGAGGCGGCTTCATTACATACAAAGATAATCTGGATATTGAGCGGCCAATGTACAATGATTCTCAGACAAAGCGTCTCAAATAATTATTTCAGGAGGCAGATGTGATGTTGAGGTGTGAAATGTTCCCGACGGTTATGCGACCCGACACGTGACTTGCACACAGACGTGGGTTTTTCTCGCTTACCTAACTATTTTCGCTTATGGGATCCCTAATTCGCACCCGCACAAATCCACTCAACTCTACCAGCGACCCACGACCATATCGACGCGACCCTCCTCAATACTTCCCGAAGTAAGTTGAGCATTCCTCGAATACACAGCCGCAGCACTCAATTTCCGTCGAAAATTCACCTCCGCGCTGGTTATACCCGAACCTCTCGAGCAAACGAGACTAATTGAAAGTTTTATAGACAGTCGCATAACCGCCAACATGTCTGACGACGGTGCTTCTGAGGTCCAGGTTGAGTCTGGCTCGTTCAACGTGCTTCCCAAGGATGTCGAGGCTGAGCTCGGTAAGTCTCTGGACAGTGGAATCTGGATGAGAAGAGGATAGCCAAGAGTATCATGAATCGGCAATGTTCGCTGGAGGTTGCTCCTTCATGAAATTTTTGAGCTTCCGCGTCTCATGCAGTGACCACTACTCATCTCTTGCGCCGAATGTGTCTAACAAATTTTCAGGCTCCGTCAAGCTTTTCAACAAGTGTTCGTACCCCCGCAATATCAACCCACGATGGAAATTTGGAAGACGCTGTGCTCTTAGGACGATTCATACTACAACTTGCGAGGACTCAATGGATTCGCCTGTTTCGTATGAAGGATTTTGAGCATGCACGGCGTTGACGTTGAACCATTGGTATAACATGGAGACTGACATTTTTCAAAGGGAGCTACGAGGATGTTGAGATCCGTGACATCTCCTTGACCGACTACATCCAGATCAGGTCACCAGTCTACATCTCTCACTCCGCTGGTCGCTATGCCGTCAAGCGTTTCCGCAAGGCTGCTTGCCCCATCATCGAGCGTCTCACCAACTCGCTCATGATGAACGGCCGCAACAACGGAAAGAAGCTCATGGCCGTCCGAATCGTCGCCCACGCTTTCGAGATCATCCACATCATGACCGACCAGAACCCCATCCAGGTCGCAGTCGATGCCATTGTCAACTGCGGTCCCCGCGAAGACAGCACCCGTATCGGATCCGCCGGTACCGTCCGACGTCAAGCCGTCGATGTCTCTCCCCTCCGCCGTGTCAACCAAGCCATTGCCCTCCTCACCGTCGGTGCCCGTGAGGCCTCCTTCCGTAACGTCAAGAGCATCGCCGAGTGCCTTGCCGAAGAGCTCATCAACGCCGCCAAGGGCTCCAGCAACTCGTACGCCATCAAGAAGAAGGACGAGTTGGAGCGTGTGGCCAAGTCCAACCGATAAAGGCTTTCGGGTTATGGGTTGTGTATGGGGATGGACAACTGTGCATGGAGTTTTCTACGTGGCTGGCTGGCTTGTTTAAAAGGCCGGACGGGTTTACATGCATTGGGTCTCTCTTAGGCGAATGAATCACTCTATAGTGGGTGCATGATCAGCAAAATGGAAAACGTTCGATTCATGTTCAAATGGCTTCTCCGGCGCGGGGTAATTGCTCAAACAAAAGTGTTGCATTATGAAGAACAACAAATATTATGTGATCATAAAGCTGATGCCCGTTTATGATATTCTATTACCATCCCTGCAACGATCGCACTGACGCGATGCAGCGTAGCCTACAGTGATACGAAATCTATCCATGTCTCATGTCATCATCGTAGGTCGTCTCATGCTTGGGTCCTCGCCGTTATGATCTTTTCAAGGATGCCGCCAAAATCTTGAAAACTGATCCGACCTTCGTTGGTGTCCCCAAACTGCGCGGCGGCAGCATATGCCTCATCCATAAGCTGAGCATCCACCTTGATGATCCACCCCTCACCAGTGATCATAGTATGGCTTCCATCCTCCCTTTTCGACAAAAGACCCGACGCCCTCACCAGCCGCTCAATCCACAATTGATCCTTCCCCTCCCTCCACGCAATATCCACCAAATTAATACTACCCCTCTTCATCAACTTCTCCCGTACCTCATCCACCACTCTCTCCCTCCTCATCCTCTCCTCCTCGTGCCCCCTCCTCTCCTCTTCCTTCTTTCTCTCCCGCTCCGCCCTCTCCCTCTCCTGAATCTCCCTCTCCACCTCCGCCCGCCGCGCCTTCTCCGCCGCCAACGCGGCCTCCCTCTCCTCGCGCCCCTCATCCTCCCTCATCCTCCTTAGCTCAGCCTCCTGCCTGAAGAATTCGTGGTAAGCTCTACGCTCGTCCCTCCGAGCCAGCGATTTCGCCTTCTTAGCACCAACAATCCTGTTCGCAGCTGTGGGTCGCGGTCGCTCGTTCTGCCCCGCGGCGGGACCAGCATGTGCATTGCCCTCCCACGCCGGCGCCTGGTCCCCCGGCTCGGGCAGTTGGGCGGGAGCGTCCCAGTCTGCAGGGCCTGGGACGCCAGGCGGCGGCGTCGGCGCTGGGGGTAGAGGCTCCGCGACCTCGTCATCGTCTGGCTGGAGGACTAGGTCCCGTTCCAGCGGGAGGTCCTCGTTCGAACCGTCATTTGCGGTGCCGTCGTGCGTGTTGTCGGCCGCCGGTATTGAGGGGTCCCGGTGGGGTTGTTGCTGTGCGTTGAGGCGCTCGACGAGCTGGGGCGCGTAGTAGAGTGTCGCGCAGAGGACGGCGGTGTGGATGAGATCTTGGAGGAGAGGGGTGTTGGGATTTGTGAAGGGAAGGAGGGTGTTGAGGAGGCGTTGCGGTATTGATAGGAGAACGCCCATGGCGGCGTGGTTTGTCCAGATGGCTGATGGGGAAAAGTGGCAGTTGTGGTGGATTGTGGGGGTAGGTGTGGGCTGTAAGTAGTTAAGAGATTCTTGAGAGAGTGTGAATTGGTTTAATGAGTGGCTTGAGTAACTGTGATATAGAGATTGCTACTGTTGCATGGATTTGGGTGCGGATAATATATTTTGGACGGCCTTTGAGAACTGTCTTTGGGAAATTCGTCATGTAAGCGGGATCACTCAGGGCTCACCGGTAGGCTAGTCTGTATTTGATCTAGTTTGATTCGGTCATTTTTTTGAGCAACATTCACACTTCCAAGATTGTTCGAAATATTCTTACCTGCACGATTCTTGTAATATTATTGGAATGAGATAGTCTTCCTTTTTTAAGCATTATGTTTCAGTCAACCTTTTTCTAGTCTTCATTATGAACAACTTGGATCGTTCTCTGAGGATGCCATCCTCGCCTCTGCTTGCACCGGTATATCCAAACGCTGTGGCGAAAACAGGTTCCGCAATGGAAGAGTCAAGAAATTGTGAAGGATGGGAGGCCAAGGACATGAAAAGAATCATCTGAAAGTAGAAATTAACCGTTTGTTCCAGGCCTTTGTGACTACTCGTCTCGTAAACGTGAGGCTTACTCCAGGGTCTTACAGCTGCCGTATGAGAAGGCTGAAAGAGCACAGCCATGGAGGCTGCATCATTTCTCGACTGAACTTCGAAAAATCGCCTCCTGGTTCTCATGTTGTCACTTTAAATCTTGTGATGACCGACGACCACAAACCTATGAGTCTTTGATTCAATCGAATCCAAAGGGAACATCAAATCGATACACAAAACCAGGAATTAAAACAACGTCAACAAAAAGCAGCCGAAGATGCGCTTCTTGAAAACAACAACCCTCTCCTTCGAAGAGATTCCAGACTCCGACATCACGCTCCCGCAAAACCGCTACGCCATCCTCTCCCACAGGTGGTTTCCTGACGAGGACGAAGTGACATATGATGACGTGATCCTTGCCTGCGACCTCTCCGAGCGACGGGGCTGGGCGAAGATCAAGGGCTTCTGCGAGCTGGTGAGGTCTCCAAGCGAGGTTGATTGGAGGCCCTGTCGGACCTTTATCGCACCCTCGGTCTAGTCGCAGCGCTTGCTCACTTGGATCGTACAGTAGCAACACCACACGCTTGTGCAAAACAACATGCATTTGCAGCCCTGTCGCTTTGAAGATTTTGAAGCTGGTCAGGGCACCACCTCGGAGAATACCTTTGTATGGCTGAGGGACGAACAGTAAGACTTTCATTTAATTTTACTCATTTACTCATCCTGACGGAGATTTGACCGTTAAGTTTTGTGTCAAAACTCGTGATTGATAGACAATATCAACCTATTAACGTTGTGCAGGGTTCGGGGCATTGAACCCTAGACATACCCTTGAGCTATCGCCGCTTCTGCGTTCATGATAGATGCACCCGCGGCCCCAATGATAGTATTATGACTTAACACAACGAACATGTAATCAAAAACCCCGCTTGGATCACATCTAACTCTGCCAACATTAACTGTAAATCCTGCTTCAGTGTTTCGATCCAAGCGTGGTTGTGGACGATTAGGCTCGTCATAAACAACAATACTTCGCTTGGGAGCAGAAGAACAATCAAGACCTTGAACATCAGATACGTATCCTTTCAAAGCCGCTTGAACCTGATCTAAACTTGGTGGAGGTCGACTCGTATAACGTAGTGAAACGCATAAAAGATGACCATCAAGTACAGGCACACGATTGCATGCGACGGAAATTGGAACAGTCTGATGGACAATGCTGGCTTCTGGATCCTTTTGGAAATTTCCAAGAATTTTGCCGGCTTCAGCTTGGATCTTATCCTCCTCTCCTGGGATGTAAGGAATGACATTGTCAAGGATATCGAGGCCTAGACGCTATTAGTACTCTTCTTTCTTCTTGCTAAGAAGCAGCTGCGATGCACAAAAACTTACTCGGAACGCCTGGGTATCCGCTGCCTGATATAGCTTGCATCGAAACAGCGCTGGCTTGATCGATAGAACCCAACTTTTGGAGGGCAGCAAATGCTACCACGATGCCAACAACTAAGGCAATTAGAGTAACCCCCGATATATGTCAAAGAATACGCACCGGCACAATTGCTGTTGCACACCAGAAAGCCTTTCTGTAGTTCGTAATGCTGACGCTGGGCGGGAATCATTTGAAGGTGTGATATGTTGACAGTGGGAACTACCAATGGTACTAGTGGATCCATTCGATGATTTCCAGCATTTGAGAAAACAGCAAACTCGGCTTGAAGAAATGCCATTTCAATTTCACCGGCCACGGATGAATCTAGGCCAGAAAAAATGACTTCGCAGTCTGAATAGTGTGATGGCGTGCATGGCCGTACTATCATATCTGCGATCTTGGGAGGGATTGGCGTCGCATGCAGCCAATGAACGACACTGGCATATTGCTTTCCTTCTGACTTTGCAGATGCTCCAACGGCTACCAGTTCAAGGGAAGGGTGGTTTTCCAACAACTGCACAAACCGGGTCCCGACTGCACCGGTCGCACCTAGAATTGCTAATGTGTGTCAATAGGTGTGATTGTTGCAGATGAGAAACACACGAGGGTTTAGGGAGCGGCTTCATACCACACTTCTTCTTTGCGGGTTTTGCATCCATGGTAACACTAATGTAGATATGACTCCGTGTTGGATGTATGATCGAAGAGCATGGACCAGCAGCAGGTGGTTGTGCGATTTTCGCACTGGACCGTGCGCCAAAAAATTTCCGGCTTAGTTATCAACCAAAGAGTCACGTGGACCTCAGACTTCGTGACGGATTAGTTAATCTAGTTACCACAGGTAGTTAGTTAATTACCTAACTAGGTCCATGTACTGACAGTGTCAGTCGCCCACTGTATGTCCAGCAAGTCATCAACTTATCGTTCATCCATTGAAGCCCACATCAAAAAGTCTGGCCTCGCTCGTTCTCTCCGCCATAATTGCGCAATTACCCCACAAGTATCCCTAACTGAAATCCGGAACAGTTGCACTCATCAAAAATGGGCCGAAGCCGACGTCCAACTGAATGAGTACAGTAACTGGCAGGTGTGAACGAGTCGAAGGAGCTTGCAAGTTAAAGCTGGCCGGGTTCTCCCCAGAGCTCTTCTCTCCTCGAAGATTCTCTCCTTAAGAAATCTCTCCGCAGAGCGCTTCTCTCCTCGGAGAAGCCTGTCCACGGAGAGAGTCTCTCCACAAAGAATCTCTCCACAGACCCTCTCCCTCCTTAGTGATCATTGTTCTAGATATCTGCGTATTAGAACGTTTTCCTTGCCCGAATCTTCTAATCCACATTTAAGCATAATGAGTCTCATTTGTCTGTTGTCTGAGCCCGCATTTCGGTGCCTGCTCGGGTCTTACAATTCAACTCTAGGAACGTGACCTCTAACCACCTTCTCGTTTCATATGTCATTTACAGTACGTGAACAAAATTTACAGATCGCGTAAGCGGTTGACTAAAGTCTATGTTGTCGCAAGTGTATGTAGAGTTTGTATCAACAAGGCGAAATCGAGCGAGTTTGCCGAGTCGATTAATAGTATGTATTTGTGGTATCGGATGAGTGCGATTTGTGTTGCTTATCTGGAAGACGTTGTGCACTATCATGGTAATAGTATCGCAGAAGATGAAGACGGTGGGGATGGTGCTGGGAGAAGGAGAGGAAAGGTGTTCGAGGAAAGTGAATGGTACAATAGGGGATGGACACTTCAGGAGCTTATCGTGCCGCGAGATGTAGCGTTCTTCGACCGAGACTGGAAGTTCCTGGGCACGAAAATGGATCTACCGGAGATCATTGAGGAGAAGACGAATGTCCCACGGGAAGTTTTGAGCAATCGGACCAGATCAGTGTTCTGTAGCCCAGAGAATGTCGTGGGCAGCCAACCGGATTACGAAGAGGGTGGAAGATCGAGCGTACAGTTTGCTCGGTCTTTTCGACGTCAACATGGCAATGATATACGGCGAGCGCGAGAAGGCCTTTTTGAGACTTCAACAACATATCATTCAGAAGTGTCGTGACGAATCGATATTCGCATGGGCCATGGATGACTCGATGGGGGAGTACTGGAGCATCTATGCACCATCGCCTTCGTTCTTCAGCCGTTCTAGCGACATAGTCCCCATACCTGGCTAAGACGGGTTCTCTGAACCGAACGGAGAACTCTCCATCAACTTGCCCGTCCGTAGTTGTAGCCCGTCAGAGCGCAAAGCTCTCCTTAATTGTACAAGCGAATTTCATCCAGACAGCAGATTCTACATCATAACCACGATAACGCAAGACTCGAAAGGCTACGTGCGTGTACGGGACTCCGAAGGCAAGAGCGAAGGCCTCATCAGCGCCCACTCAATAAGACACTACCACCCAACCCTTCTTCGCTTCCCAATTGACCCTCGAAGACCTCCTAACCCCATATTTTATGGCTTCTGGCTCCACACTCTGCAACCACCAGGTAATGACGAAACGACACCCATGATTCTATCATCTGCCGAACCCCCCGAACCGGATCATGTCCGCCAAACGAATAGGAGAGCCAACACTGGCATCGTGCACTTCAAGGCACAGGGACAGGCCTCAACACGTCCACCGTGGAGCCAGATCCGCTGGATGAAGGTTGGCTTCGACGCGGACTACAATCCCGTAACGACTTCTTATCGAGTGATTGTACAGATACAATGATTATGTCAAGCTTAATCCTATCACCACCAATGATGTCTCTCAAGGAATAGGTAAAAGATCAAATGAGAGCTCTGATATTTGTAATACTGAGAATGAAAAATAAAAAAATAAAATATAGTAGGATTACTTTAGCTTTTGGTGGCCGAACTTTCTATAGTATGTTTAACTGCGCTCGGGACGTGTGGGGTTTGGGGTACGCGGGTCGGATGCTGAGGGGGACACCCAACGTAATTTTCCAGTCGGCAGCAACACGCGCTGAAATTGAAATTCGATTTCATCATAGAGACACTAATCGCATATTATTGTACCCCAACTTCTGCGCCCGCAATCCTGCTGTCTAGCTCGTAGTTACCCCGGACTCCACACTCTCGGCATGCGATGACGGAGGAGGTGGAGGAGGGGGCCGCAGCTAGCTAATCTGTATAAGTATTTGGACATCTGCACAAGGAGAAGAGAATCACACACAAAGTCAATCTGTGGGGTCCCTAGAGTGCAAATATGTTGCACATTTACACTCTCCTCCTAACGGTGGGATTTCTTGGTTAGTTTAAAAGAGTCGAACAATGTTCAAACGAAGAGTTCCATACTAAATCGACTTCCACTAAAGGGCACTACGTTTCGGGGTTTCGCAACCCCATCATAAGCGGAGTCAACGCGGATCCAACTGCCATTCGTGTGGGAGACGATTACTTCTTAGTAACTTCCTCTTTCGAGTACTTCCCAGGCCTACCCATTTACCATTCTACGGACTTGGTAGACTGGAAAATCATTGGACATGGCCTAACAATTAAGAACGCAATCTACGACCGCCAATTGCTCGCGAGTGGCGGTATTTTTGCACCCACGCTACGCCATTACAATGGCACTTTCTACCTGATAACCAACTACGCCGATTGTAAGCCTCCCTGGAAGACGAACAACCACTTTAGAAGTCGTGTGGTTAACATGAATCCTAATATAGCTTTCAATCCATCTGATCAGCGGCCATTCTTGATCACCACCAACGACATCTTCTCGGGAAATTGGAGTATGCCAACGTACTTTGATCAGACAGGAATCGACCCGGACTTGTTCTTTGACGATGACGGATGCGTATATCTGTCTACCGCTCTGCCTGAATTCGCACCTACAGGTGGGAACAGCACCATCTGGCAGTCTCAGGTGGATGTCACATCTGGAAAATCACTGATCCAGCCTGTAATGATATATCGCTCAGATTTGCCGTTAAAGATTCGGTGGGCCGAGGGCCCCCACGTGTACAAGATCAATGGCTCCTACTACTTGTCTGTCGCCGAAGGTAACAAACGTCTGAGCTCATTTTCTTTGACTATTAGATCTGACGAGACTTACGCGCAGGTGGTACTGAAGTCCTCCATCGCCAGACCATACACCGAGGCCCATCTCCCTCTGGTCCCTGGGAGGCAAGTCCTCTAGGTCCCCTGCTCTTCAACGGCCGCGACACTTCCGCACCAGTCCAACAAACAGGCCACGCCGATCTTATCGTTCGTCCCGACGGCAAATGGTATTCCGTTTTCCTAGCTGTGCGCCCCCAGAATCCCAACAATATCAACGGTTCTTGGATCCTCGGTCGCGAAACTTACTTGAGTCCTGTGACTTGGAGTGAGGACGGCTGGCCTCTGGCTAACAATGGGTCTGAGATCACATTTGAAATGGCAGATCCAGATATTGCTGCCACTTCGATTGAAAACACCACCTGGCATGACACCTTCTCGTCATCTGTCCTGGACCCCAGTTGGGAGTTCCGAGGTACACCTTACGGAGACTGGTACCGTATCAATGATTCATCTTTGGTACTGCGAGGGACGCCACGGGCTCTCGACGCTCTTGACGGCATGGCTCTTGTAATTCGTAGACAGGATAGCCTTTGGCACGATTTCAGTGCAGACTTGGAATTCCAGCCGACGCTCGAATCGCATGAGGCTGGTGTGGTAGCTTGGGTCAACGACGAATACCACAACACCATATCTGTCGTCCTCTGCAAGGACCAGCCAAGTTCAGTCTGTCTCAAAACGGCGACCATTGGGCAAGGGATAGAGATCGATGGTAACGTCACTACAACCTATCATCCTTTGGGCACAGAGCATGTCTCCGATGAGGGCGTGGCTGTACGGATTTACATCAGTGCTACTCCCGAAACCTACAAATTCGGGTATCTTCCTCTGGGATCTGAGAATGTCACCTGGGTCACTGCTTTTCCATCGTCCTGGATGGCGGCTCGTTCTGGGGGACGTACATCTTGGCACGGTGCTCGTATGGGTCTGTATGCGACTGGGAACGGTTTTCCCATGCTCAAAGAAGCAGTCTTTAAAAATGTGGAGGCTGTGAGTAATTATAAATGAGGCCCATGGCTGCAATATAGGTTTAAGATTGGGGTTATGCGACAATCGAAGCCTTTGTACATAGATGAGGCTCGTAAATGAGCTGACTCACAAGCAAAAATGATGTAGACATCCAAAATGAATTCGAGTTCAAAAGTCTTAGACACAATTTAAAGTACAACACTCTCTACTACTGAATGCTGTAAGGCTGCGATCTTGCACAACCGCAGCACCCATCATTCTAACTCCGGCAATGCCCAATCGACCATCCACTTTGACCTCAGCACTTCTTCTATCGTCATTCGTTCCTCTGGCCGGAATTTGAGCATGCCACGTATCAATTCCAGAATCGCCCACGTCTCTTCTTCTCCGAAGATCCCAGTCACCTCAAGCTTCCGCCTATACTTCTGCACAAATTCTTCAAAGGCGCACTCGAGACTCGGCCACTCCTCCCGTTCCTCCGTCGGTTTCCGAGGTATTGTATCGGCTGCGTCAATGCTGTCCTCGTACGATCTTTCCCACAGCTTTCTCCAATTCTGCGGAAAATTTTGAGCGCCGCCCAAGACGTCAATTAGTTGCGCGACGATCTCGTCCCGAGTTTCCGACTCGCTGAAGATGAACTTCATCCCCAAGATCTCCCATACAGCAGTCCCAAGGCTCCAAATATCCGACGGATAGGACATGAGCTCATCCGGCTCGAAAAGAGCCTCAGGAGCCCTTTTCGCCAACGGAATCTTGCAATCCGTACCAAAGCGCTGCTCCGTAGCGGCCGAGAATGCCTCGCCGAAGTCGCTGAGCATCAAACCGTGCGCGTCAGCTAAGGTGAAATCTTGAGCTTTTTTCCCGAGATAGAGTGGTAGTGTGGCTTCGGTAGGGACGTGGGTGGTGTGTGGTTTGCCGTCAACACGCGTGATGGGCACAGTTTCGGGCTCGCCGAATTTGTCTTGGAATTGGGTGATCGACATTTCTTCGAATGTTGATGGAAGTTTGACTAGTACATTGCGAAGATGAAGATCTGATTTTTAATGAGGTTTGGTTGTATTGCTCAAGATGTCGTAGAACAAACATACCCCCGTGAACATATCCGCGGGAGTGGATAAAAGCCACTGCCAGCACCAACTTTGCAGCTAAAGCGCGCGCGACTCGGACAGGGAAGAGGCGACTGAACGATGCTTCCCTGAGGTTCCCTTGAGCTGGAGTCATTGTGTAGCAGGCATGGGTTCCATTAGGTCCACGGATCTCGAATGCGTCGTGAACTTTTGGTAGAGCGTCGCGTGCATCAACACCGAATCCAGTTTGTGAGACCGAACTTGAACCATGTAGCGCCTTTAGGATCCCAGTCTCTCGTCGAGGAGCCGATGGACCTGAAATTCCCATTTTCAGGGCGACATAGCGCTTTGTTCTCTCGTCTTGAGCAAGCCAGATCGTCGCGTAGCCGCCGAATCCTAGTTTGTCGACTATTCGATAGCGATTATGTAGTAGATCGTTGACCATTACAGGATGGTATCCTCCAGGCTCGTACAAATGCAAACGCTCTGCTCCATCAATCCAATGGTACTCGATTGGTGCATTATGTGAATTGGTCGAGAATTGGAAACGTGAAGGAACAACACTGGATAGGTGTTGTGGGTTGGCATGTACGCAAGGTAATCTATTTTTGAATATTGTCGATTGAGAATTCCCGGAATGAGCATAGGTTTTATAAAAGGCAGCCCGAGCGATCTTTGGCGCGATCATAGTCGAAAGAAATTCAAGGTCGAGAAGGAAGGGAGGTTATACTTCGCACAATCGAGGTATCACACAACAAATAGTGCTTATGTAAAACTACACGTCCACGAGATAACATGCACCGGGGAGCAAGCTCATCGTTTTTTCCTTTCGCTCATAAATTCATTGACGTAGATAAATAAAAAGCTGCAATATGTTCTCCCTAGGTACCTACATTCCCATTCCCCTTGTGCATGTAACACAATGAAAAAGTCCCATGTATGTACCATTCCCTATCCAAAGAGAGCCCGCCCCTCGACACCATCAACCCATATATGTCCTCCTCAAGAAAAGTATCAAACCCAGAAAATCATGAAGTTGGCTAGATCGTAAATCCCAAAAAACAGATCCACGTCATAAATGCCCCAACCCCACCTTCACCCTACTACCCGTCGCCAAAACACCCTCGCAATGTTCAGATAAAGCCCTCTTAACAAACGGCATGTGTCTTCCCCTCCTGACCTTGCAAGCTATGATCCTGGTTCGCAAAGTGCGTACTCGGCAGGTCCGATTTGCCTCCACTCGAAGAGAACGTCGATCTGCGACGCATATGCTTGAGGAGTCTGCAGTGTGATCGTCAGCCACATTTTTATTCCGTACCTAATGTCTACAAAAGAGAATGTAGGGCAAGACATACTTCTCATGTTCCTCGATCTTCTTCTTGTCCATGACGTCGAGGGTCTGGAGCGCGAGCTTGAAGTCGTTGATGAGTGCGTCGCAGCGCGACTTCGTGAAGTCCTCGCGCACGACGATGCGCATAAGTTTCATCTTCTCAGAGTGCGGGGCCATGGTGTAGGCGGGGACGACCCAACCGCGTTCGCGAAGCTGGTGGGCACTAGAAGAAGCAAAAAAGAATCATTGATTAGTAAACAGCCTAAGAGACGTATGAAGGAGAAACGTACATGGCGAACTCGTCGTAGTGCTTCTCGAGATCCTCATCAAGACGGCAGGCGACGAGAGGGAGACCGGCTCCACTTCGCTCGGACAGGATGATGAAGCCTAGGGATTCCAGGTTTTTGGCGAGGTAGTCGGCCGTTCGGGTGAGATTGAGCATCACGCGTCTGTATCCTCGCTTGCCTAAGCGGATTAGTTGGTAATATTGCCCAATGATCTGCGAGGCTCCGCGGGAGAAGTTCAGTGTGAAGGATGCTTGGTCGGCGCCGAGATAGTTGATGTTGAAGACGAGCTCCTTGGGTAGGTACTTGGGGTCTCTCCAAACGACCCAACCGACACCTGGGTATACAAGGCCGTATCTGGAGATATCAGTGGACTGCGCATTGAATAAGGACAGAGGGAGACATACTTGTGGCCCGAGACGTTGATACTGACGACCTTTGGTAGTCTGAAATCCCACTCCAAGCCGGGATTGACGAAAGGAGCAACAAAGCCACCACTGGCAGCATCGACGTGGATTGGCACATCGCAATTCCTCTCGACCAACAAGTCATTGATAGCCTTAACGTCTTCATACTCGCCAGTATATGTCGTTCCGAGGATAGCACAAATACCGATAGTGTTCTCATCAATCATATCGACACACTCTTTGGGGTCGATGACAAAGCGGTCGGACGTGCAGTAGACGAAGCGTTCCTCGACATCGAAGTACCTGGCAGCCTTCTCCCAGCACACTTGGACGGCCGCATTCATGATGATGTTGGGATTGTCAAAAGGCTTCCCTTCCTCCTTACGCTTGTTCTGCCAGAGTTTCTTCATGGCCAATACAGCAAGCTGGTATTCAATGCATTAGCAAGCTAGTCGCTTCTAGCGTGACATTGGGCCCTCACCATAATTGCCTGTTTTGGTTAGCGCCGTGCATCAATCAAGGAACATGGTGGAGAAGCTGCTAACCTCGGAGGATCCAATAGTGCTGGTTCCCATGACATTCGTTTCGCCGTCGCTTGTGGGAGCATTGAAAAGTCTTGCAATCATGTTGACGCATCGATTCTGAATATCTGCTGAAACGGGGTATTCCTCGTAATCTGTCCTAAGTGTCAGCTTCTGCTCAGGTAGCACGCGAGAAGCATGGTGCAACTTACCTATGAAGTTCTTTGAGAAGGCCTCGCTGGAGTACAGAATTAATTATCACCATTCAAATAAGCAGGGTTGAAAGGCTTACACCATGAGCTTTTCAGCCTCGTCTTCCTGGTGGTTCATTGTCAGCATTCTGCGAAAGCAGTAGTAGAAACAGTCTCTGTACCATGTATGTCGTGACGAAAGACGCAAGATTCAGCGTAGGTGTCTGTTCTCGTTAGCCACGCCTGAACAGAGCGGAATATCGTTACATACGCCATCTAGAGTCAAATCGTCCTTGATCATGCGGTAAGCTCTATAGAACAAGTCAGCAACCTGCTTTTGTGGTGCGCAGCGAAAACATACACCTGGGGAGGCATTTCCTTCTCTGGCATACTATGTTTCGGTAGATCCGCAGCAGCGAACTTTGAACCGTAGACAGTCGCCGTGTAGTCGTCTTCCTCGTCATCGAATTCGTCGAGCTTGATCTTCTCAAAGCCATTGGCAATGGCAGCCTGCTCTTGGACCTCCTGGTCGGTAGCGACTCGGTTGAGGTGAACCATATCTGCGAGGATGGAGCTGTATGCAACAATGAGAAGAATATAATGAAGAAGTGGGATAGAATTCGATGAGCGAGAATATGTTTTGATTTTAATAAGGAGTAGAAATGAAGTAGAAAGGGGCAGTGGCAGGTAGGACTCCTACATTAGTAGGGTGATTATGGGGAGAGCAGTCAGCAAAATAGGCGGGGTGGCATGCTGGTGGGGTGCGGTGGGGTGTCAGTCGAACATCGATCACCAAAAAAGCACACCTACGTAACACATACACCCGTACACTTGGATCAATCGCTAGACAATGAGACATATGAAAGCGACAGTGACAGCAGAGCCATGTCATTACGGTGGCTGGAGCACCTAATTGGCCATACTGTGAGCTTGGAAGCAAGTTCTGTTGGGGGTTGGGTTAGGGCAAACAGTTAAATCCCGCTGCTGAGCTGGATGTGCACGTTGGCTAGGGCATGTCTAGAACCCAGGCTGTGATTCGAGAAGCCGGCGCGGGACGAGGACAAGCTCACGTACCTGAAGCTTGTTTCGAGAGGTCGATGCTGGTACGGCCGTCAGTGCTGGGGTCGCGAAGCCGCTTACACCGCTTGTTGGTGGAGTTTGGCGTCGTTGTATGCATGTAATGTACGCATCTATTTTGTAGCGCCAAATTAACCCCACCAAGTGAGTTGTAGATTGATCTGATCCATGAGCTTCCGAAAGTAAGAAGCCCCAGTTCAGTCCCGCTTGTGCCGTAAATACATTATTGGCAATTGTGGTCTCACTCTGCAGGCGCGGATGAAGGCGGAGCTAGAGCCCGAGCCTCTATATAATGATGGATTAAGATCTCACGGAGATAGCCTCGTATACGGAAAGCCACGCAATGGAGAGCTCAGAGTGCTTTGACGACACTATAGTTTTGGTGTTCAGAGTCTTGAGAAAAATTGTTGTAAATTATTATGGATGTCCGAAAGGTTCGGTAACGATATCCATTACCCACTGTGATTATATAGACAGTGGATGAATGTCCTATCTATTAGTCGTGGTCTGGCCACTAGTTCTTCCCTGGCAATCGTACACTTCATTGCGCGATAGGAAAGTAGAGCCCATATATGGCCTTGTTAACAAGCAATCCCCAACACACCCGCTACGAGTCTAACAGAACAACGAAAGGTGGATTTAAGGAAACGAAAGTCTGCGCTATCAATACTCCTTCTCTCGTGAAGTCGGCTAGAATGTATCAAAATTGTAAACATGATTATCGCAACCCTCGTTTCGATCATTAATAGGAAATCGCGTTCAAATACGCATGCCGCCGAGCCACACTAAAAACATTGACGATGTTTCGGACAAATCTTCTGCATCCAACGAGTTGATTGTTAGCTGGAATGCGTCTCGCGAAGATCCCATGTGTCTTTGTACGATTCGTAGCTCGTGAAAAGGGCATCAGCATCCATACTCCGAGTATGGCACCTCTCAAAATCCGCGTTGAAACAACCACAATCGTTCGCATATATTCTCCAGTGAAATCTCCCTTTGAGATCAGTCGGGCTAGATGATGTTTGCAATACTGATTCGACTGGCATTCGAGGGTGTTGGCGGAGGTAAAGAGACCGAATTGTTGGGAGACACTGGCGGACCGGGTGCTAATTGTACTCTTTTCATAGGGTTATGAGGTGGAGGATAGTATGAGGCGGGTTGGGAAAGGCGAGCATGATTTTCGTCCATGAGAAGCCGAATTCTCTGTTCAATTCGACTCCACCCATCCCACTCTGTGAAATCATTCTGAGGCGAGCCAGGAGTTGGTCGTAGCGGCAAGTTTGTACCCTGCATAGGGTCATCTACTCCGTGGTTTGCCATTCGCAAGGTTGGGGAGGTATGGGGAGGCGACTGTGGTGGAGCAGATTCTGGAGACCAAATCCAGGCGTGTTCGGGACTGGCCTGCATATCACCACTAACGTATGCAATCATTTCTTCATCATGCTCAAGCTGGTGATGCGCACCGTTGCCACTGCGAACCCGTTCAAGGAGACGATCCAAGAAGAAGGCCAGATTCTTACCACACGCCGCGTTGATCTTTCGACCACTCCCAACCACGGCGGCGAAGTGAAGACAATCGAGTGCAGGCTGGTACTCGGCTCGGAAACAGAGTATCAACATGCAGCGCCAAATGTGCATGCACAACATACTAGAAGCACTTTGACCCACTCTTGTTCGCCAGGTACGATCAAATTCAGGCTTCTCTGGAGCTGTCCGTAGCGTTCGCGATATGTATTGAGCAGTGTCTTGTGCCACCAGTAGGCACCTGCGAAGTGCCTCATTTCGTTCACTCTGTCGGCATACTGGCGACAGATTATGTCGGTAGAGGCAGAATCGAGCAGATTGAAGAGTAAGGACTGTGGGGAGAGCCTGTGGAGCGAGCGGAGAATTGTTTGTGACCTGATCAGTCTCGGTGAAGAGCATCATTATGGAATGAACCTTCTCATCAAAAGCTTGCAAGGCTTCGACAGAGACGATGCTGGACTTCAGAGTGCGGGACAAATCCCAGTATAGCCGTGCCACTTGAATGATCGCCAGAAACCCAGTAAAGGGGGGTTGGCTTGATTGCTGACGCGAAAAGCCTTGAGATATGTATCGATCTTCCGTGGAAGACGGTAGAGAAACTTCGAAGTCATCTTCGTGGATTGACATAGGGATCATTGCTTCAAAAGAGGAAATTCTGCGATGCGTTAGCCAGGTAATGAGTCGGTTTAGCGAGAGATGTCATACCGATCAAGAGTGTACAAAGACCACCAGAGCCGCCTTCTGAGCTCGAGTTCCATGGCTGAGTGAAAGTTCCTCTCAATATGAAGTCCTAAGGTGTGAGCCATCCTGATCGCAGAAGCTAGCCATGTAGCACCCTCCGACTTCTTGTTGCTCTCTATGGAAAATAGACCAAGAAGGAATGCGACTTTGACATGGTTTATTGAAATATCCTGGGCTGGGCGCAAGTGCGCATTTGTGGCCAATTCGAAGTATTTCCTTTCGTCACCGGAAGGCTTGGGAGACCCAGGTTGAGCAAAAGCTGATTGGAGCTGGCCACAAGCCATGACGGCAAAGAACAAGCTAATCCAATCCCGTGGCATTCCTTCAAAGCTCCTCGCAGTATAAACCTGGTCAACCTCGTGCTGGAATGTCGGCCAGTGGAGTATGGGAAAGAGTTCGTGGATCGAATCAAGATATGATCGTGAAAGATGAGCAAACTCCGCCCGAGGAGGCACCTCTGGATGAATTAAGCTATTCTGGGACAGACTGGTACTGGAGCGACTTTGTGAGACATGGTCGAATATGCCTTCAGAATATGTGCGAACATTCCGGCGAACCAGGTCAAAATTTTGCATGGTTGGAGCTTGGATCCTATGTGGCCTGTCGCGAATCTTCGGGTGACTCTCAATCTGGTTTGGTACAGCAGGCCGATCGATTTCCATGGATGTCCGTTCCGTAACTCTCGTCCTTAGATGTGTATTCTCTTGTCGAAGCTCTGCTAGCTGACTCTGGAGATCTTGGACTTGTCTGATGGCTCATTAAAAAACACGTTCTGGCACAGCAAAAAGTACTTACTTGATTGAGGACATCCTACGGTTGGTCTCTTTGGTAAACTGACACTTGTGATTTCGACTGGAGCATTCCGAACATGCTGTGGTTTCGGTGGCGTCGCACTGTAGGGGAGTTAGTGGACTGTTCTTACATGGCCGATCTAGCGTGACAGCGCTGTGTGTAGAGTTTCCGTGTTGTGGCTGCTTCAGAGCCACGCTATGCTCACAATAGGGCAACATGGGAATCTCGAGAGCGTCGTTCCTTCTATCGAACACAATTGAATGTGCAGGAAAGAAGGTCGGTTGTGTTGAGCAAACGTACTGCGATTGCTCGACGACTGTTTGCCGCACCCAGCAGCCTTGAGAGGTATATCCTAGGAGTGTGATCGCATTTCAACGTACCTTAACCTTGCGCTCCCTGCAAGCATCACAGCTGGGGTCTTTCCTTCGCTGCCGATACGCCCTCTTTTGCGCGTTCAAAGCGGATGACGAAATGTGGGTTGGCGAGATTCCGGCTGACATCGTGGAGCCATCATGGATATGCGCTTCTGGCAAACTTCCAGACGCAGTGCTCGGTGATGTGGATGAAGTCCCGTATGAATGAGGATAGGGCGAAGTATTGTATGCTCCAGGCGACCGTGATCCTATCTGAGGTAATGGAGCTGACAAACCATGTGTACGCCCGGCTGGCGCTATCGTGTAAGGACTTGGTGGTGGAATCATGGACTGCGGGGAAGATGTTGACGACCCCGGTGGAGACGTCTGAACTGTCGTTGAGATACTGTCTCTTGGACGTTGAGATAACTTCGAAACGTCCATATCGTTACGATGGAGTGCGAATGGCAACAATACCTTGAGGAAAATAGGGATCTTGTGGGGTCAAGAGAAGGTCGCTTCGGCACCAACCGAACGTCGCTCGGGTATGCCCAACAATATGGAAAGTTCCCGGGGCCGATTTTATCTCTAAAGCCAATGGGACAGGGGTACTCTAGTACATAGTCCTAGCTTGGCCTGGTTTCAAGCTGTGAAAGGGCTGTATTCTTGTGTAGGGCACAGCTGAGAAAGACGGGGCCTGCGACGAATCCTAGTCGTGTAGGCTCGCAGGCTCGGGGTCAAAACACCTCGCCGGAATGAATCGATTGCTGGGCGCTTGACCAGCGATAGCTGATCAACAGGAAATCAAGGAATGTAGCTAGATGCGGATAGGTGTGATTCCACAACGGAAGAGCCAGCGGACTTGTCGTCCAAAATCGGAATGCTGGGGGAGCTAGTTGGTAGGCAACTGTAACAATGACGAGCTGGTTGGCACCGAGAGGGCTGCAGTGAACGAGGGGCGAGAGGATGCAGCGCAACCGAGTAGCGCTCGCCGACCTGGTACAAAAGAGAACGGGATCGCTGTGGTTGGGAAGAAGTAAATGTAGACGTGTGCCTGACGCTCCAATGGTGGAGGCGACGTAACGTCTGCTGATCAGCCCTAGTTCCCGGCTCCTGCTGCAGAGATTGGGAAAACTACAAATGGTCTGTGAGAAGGAGTGGCAGAAGCTTGCCACTTACACTCAGATGTAATGGCTGGAGAAAAGCGAACAGGAGGGCTAAGCTTTGGATCCCGCCACGACGGAGAAATGGAACCTGCACGTTCTTGAAGAATGATAGACAGACTTGAAACAGATATGACAGGGTTCGAATGTTCGAGTCGATGGTGCCGAAGGAATAAGTAAATTGGCCACACTTTTTCGTTTCCAACCAGCCTTGGGACGGGTTCTCGAAGACTCGGGAGGCTGTGGCGGACGGGCGCCACAACGATAGAGCAAACCTATGTACCTACACGCAATAACAAATTGCCGTGATAACAGGGTTGGAAAGGTCACGGCAGAAGTATGGTGTTGCGTGAGGCCCAATGATAATCGTAGTGTGCGTAGGTGAAATGTCCCCCGGTGGATGTACGACGAGGACGAGGCGACTAGAATACGACGTTCTGGCACACCCTCGTCGGATGGAGATCCGGCAGGCTAGGGTAGCGAGCAGTTAAGGGAGAGGATGGGCCTCGGCATCTTACTTGGGATTTTCAGTAATTACATGGTGGTGATGCTTCCAGAAAAGCACCGATCTCGTTCAAGAGGGCAGACGCGGAGGCGCCTCGCCCAAAACAACGGGCAATCCATTCCCAAAGCGTTAACGTCAATGACGAATTTGGGAATGATGTAAATGCAGGGGCGGGCGTGCAAGTGATGGGGAAGGTTCAAGGATGTACGCAGGGTTGAGCGAGTGCTCCAGGGCTGTCAGTGCTGAGCCAGTTGGTGGGTAGACTGGTAGACTGTAGTAATGGAGTGGAGTGTGGTCACTGTGGTGGTCACTATGGTCCGAAGATAGAAGTGAACCGTCTGAATGTTATCGGGCTGGAAGTGTATTGGACTGGAACTGTGCCCGAACGGATCAAACCCCGGCGAAGGCGTCAATCAAAAGTCAGCCTGGCACAGACTAGGAACTACTTTGATCGTAATTGAACGGTTCTGACTGATCAAGATGATACGACGACGGCATTATTGGAGTGAATGGGCAAATTCAAGGTGCTGCGGTGCTGTTGCGGTCGCTGGGCTGGTGTCGCTTCTGGTGCTGCTACCGCCATCGCTACCAGTCTTTGCTGTAACCAGCACACAAGAAATGCCGGGAGATTTTCCTAGTCGTGCTCCACTTGGGATACTACTACGCCTAGCGTACGATGTAAAAAGATACTATTGTAAGCGTTGGGGTGCAGGTAAGTACGATACCACTACTCCGTACTCGTACAGTACTTGCAGTGAGGGCGAACGGACACAGTTGTTGCATAAGCGTCGTTCGGCTACGCAGCCTGCTCGTCCCAATGTGGCACGACCTACACGCTCCAACACGTTGTTGAGAGCAAATTTTCGGGGTGACGGGGGCGACAGGGCGCATCAATGTCGATTCCGTTTGGCCGTCAGCGCGGGGGTTGGTTGGAGGGCGATCGATCCACACGGATGGCGGAAGACGGAAGATGGAAAAAAAGCAGGCAATGGCAGGGCTTGGAAGAAGGAGAAAGGAAAGTCGAAGAGATCCATCATCCGGACGATGGTCGGCAGGATGCTGGTTGGACAGTTGAAAGTGACGATGTACAAGACTACAAGTTACAGTACAGTGAGCGAGCGAGCGATAACCCACCCCGGTGCATGCACAGCACAGGGAAGGTTCCGTGAACGTCGCCGAGTCGCGTCGTCTGTGCTGCTGCTGCTGCTGCACACACAGTTTGTGAATAGGTACGGATCATGGATGATGGGGTGGACCGTGGGTGGTGAATTTGATGGGATGCGATAGATCATGGGATCGCGTGGGTGGATGGATGATGGCGGAGGAGGAGTCAAGGTCTTGGTGTTGTTGGTGTAGGTGTAGATAGACTTTGATGCCATCACGTTCCTTCCCAAAACAACAATAGATAGTTCGTTCCACTCGCCAACGCGACATCTACCAACAAACCAAGCCCACACACTCCTCACCAACCATTCTTCGAATCTTCTATACTCCGTACAACAAGATGATTATTTCACAGCATCAAATCGGTGTGAGAGTCATTATTATTATCGACCAATTTCACTGATTCATCGTCAACTTGACCATGCGCTGCACTGCGTACAACGTCGACAACGTATCTCCGAACCATCCCGCTTGATTGCTGTCGAGAACCACCCCGTCGCTCTCGCCCTTGCCAATGGCCCCCTTGCCAATGCCTTGCCCTACTACCTCTTATGCGAACGAGCATCGTAATGTCAATCGACGTCCATCACAATTACAAAACATCTATCATCACCCGTCTCGTCGGACCACTACCATTCCGCGCTCCCAGTTTCCCTTGCCAGGCGGGCGGCGAGCCTAGACGTTCAGCCAGCCTACAAATACACATCAACCCCTGTCCTGTCCCGTAGGTCGCTCCGTGAGCCCACCACGTGGTTCTCCGCGTCGAAAGCGTCGTAGGTAGAGGGACATCGTGGGCTGCATCGGCGGCGAGTAATAATAAATGGAAGCGGACCTGATCGCGGGCGCATCCCACCGGCGCTAGAACAAACTCTCCCAGTCTCCCTGCGACCATGTTGTCTGTTGCTCTAATTTGCATTCACATCATAGGCTGAGGTCAACGGTCCGTATTCGGCGCTCATGGGCCCAAAGTAGTACCTAGGAACAGACTACTGCGTAGTGCGTTCTGCGTACCGGCTCTGCTCTCCATTTTCAGCCGCATGCTGAGGGCCGCATGGACGATATGCAACTTGCCGAGATGTCAAGAGAGTCAGTTCCCCAGACACGCCAGATGAATTGTCCCTACGGAAAACTGCCGAAACGAGCTACGCTGAGGTACCTGTACTTGTAGTCCTGTACCCGGGAGCTCTAGACTCTGGCACCGTTGTTTGGTTGCCTCCGCTCCCTACCAGTAATCCCTCCCAACCATCGGTCAGCATCCCCGCGGATCTGGTACCTATCGAGTGCCAACTGGCCGTCTCAGGCATCTCAACTTTCAAGGCCACGCGGCACACAAAAAGGAAACTAGATGACCCCTTGTCCACAATGTAAACCACCCTGGATGATTGTGGTCACTACGAGTATTATGGCGGGAGTGGTGGTGTAGCAGTAGTACTCGGAGTGGTGGAGCTATCTATGCCAGGCTTTGCTTTGCCTGACTTGCCTGGCGTGCCCGCTGCAGCGAGCATGCACGTTATGACATGGGCAATTGTGATATCCATCATGTCGACCGATGCTGACCCGCTGGGACATGTACTCTTCATTGGACATACCCCAGGTGAGGAGAAGGCGCCTTGTGTTCCCATCGCCGGGCTCGCGTGCAACCGGGCACAGCAGATTGCATATGCTGCTCATTATTGTTTTTCTTTTTAAGAAACCACCTTCTTCGTGGTGTGCGGAGTAGTGTACCGTGTATCTATGCACGGAGGACCACGACGATTATCGAGTGACTCGAATGACCCGACACCATGACGGGCGTCACAGCGTCTAGAGCCCAGCACCACACACGACAAGAGATCTGCAGGTGCGAGCTCCCGGGCCACTCGGGTTGTGCCGCTGACTGCGGGCCCTGTTCTCGGCACCTCTTCGATTCACCCTGGAAGCCCTTTGGGACAGAGTTTCTCTTTTTCCAAGGAACGACGATCATACTCGTCGAAACCCGGCATTGACTGTATTTCGACCCTGATCTGCATGCGATAAGCCATGATCTTATGAATCGTTGACAAATTCACGCAAAAGGAATAAGGAGCCAGCCCGGCGTAGGTGTATTGGCAGTATTGCACAGTTCGTTCCGAAGGCGATCCAGTCCAGTATGTATTGCGCTCGAGATTTGGGCTTGCGGAGATCAACATCTGGGACGTTTATTTGACAGATGGGTGTGCTGCGCTGTGCTGTGCTGTGCTTCATCGACGTACATTTTGCACTGCCCCCTCGGGGGCGCTACAGACCTCTCGCATGCTCGCAGGTCTCTTACGCCTGGCCGCTGCCGCTTGTTGCTTGGGTTGGAATAAGCAAGCTCGGTTCCATGATTCGGTTACTGCCCTGCCTTGCCCTGCCCTCGTAGGCTCGTAGGCTTGTACTGTGGTAGGGTGCGCCAGACCAGACTGCCAGCGTCACAGTGTGCCAGTGTGGTGTGTAGAGCATAGCAGCCCCCGAAATTCCGCCGGTCGCTCAGTGGCAAGCCAACGCGTAGAGGCATCCCTCCAGGCTCCCAAACCTCCTCCGCTGCATCGTGTGAGAGGAGTTGCTTCCTGTCCCGGTCTGGTTCAAACGCGTTTTCAGGTTTCAACCGTTCCGGACGCCGTTTTAGCGTGCGATCGTCGCTTGTTTCGGCAGATTAGACGGTTATTCAGTGGGTCTAGCCAACCATGCGACGCGGCCACCATCTCCGAATAAATCAATGGCATGCTCTGGACATGAATTTTTCTTTTTCCCACCTAACGTAGGCGAGATCTCTCCGAAATATCTCGCGCAGCCCGTTTGAAAAGTCGTCGAGTTTGCCAGTCCAGTGCACTTGTACAGACTAAACAAAGTACGACGGCTACATGTCTCACAAACCGTCCATTCAAGCAAATTTCGAAGCAAGAGAAGTTTCTGTGCGAGGTACCCACGTTGCGGCCTGAGGGCCCGCCCCTAACCTTAAGTTAACCTCACCTCCTTCTCATCGGCGTCCTCCGTCGAAGATTCTGTTTCCTCGATTGCTTTCTGGTTGACCGCCGAGTGTCGTCTTCCGAAATCTGCACAATGTTGCGCTTGATGGGTCAACTGATCAAACTTCCAATCGTTAGGCTTTTTCACGATGCCCCACCCCGTTATCGCCTGAAGTTCAGGTACATGGTCATAGCCAGAATCTACGTAAATCTGAAAAGTGCTTTGTATTTTTAGAATCTGACTGCGGTCGTAATTTTTTTTACCATTTCAACTGCAAATATACCACAATTTCAATCTTTCATCACTATGTGCAAGTCATCCATTCACACCCTTCTGAAGCAGTTGCCAAAATGTGAACACCACATACATCTGGAAGGAGCTCTGTCTCCTCAACTACTTTTCCAGCTCGCGGAGAAGAACACTATAACGCTTCCGCAAGATGATGAAGCTTTCAAAACACCAGAGTCACTACTTGAGCGATATGAGAGGTTGGCTTTATTTTCGCAACCAGAAGCCACCATCTAACGCTCATCAGATTCACTTCGCTCGATGATTTCCTAGGATATTATTACATTGGAATGTCCGCCCTAATAACCGCCTCAGACTTCGAGGCTCTGGCCTGGGACTACTTCCAACATGCCTCCGCAGATGGTGTTCATCACGCCGAGGTCTTCTTTGATCCCCAAGCGCACACTTCTCGAAATGTAGCCTATCCCACGGTCATCCAAGGTTTCCAAGCCGCGTGCGAACGCGCCGAGAAAGAACTAGGCATAACCACGATTCTGACAGCATGCTACCTACGACATCTGCCGCCCGCGGAGTCCCTCGAAATGTTCCAGAGCCCAGAGGTCCAAGAGAGTTATCGAAACGGCACTGTTAAAGGCATTGGTTTGGATTCCAGCGAGATGAACTTCCCACCCCATCTCTTCGAAGACCTGTACCGTGGTGCAAAAGAGCTGGGTCTGCGCCGGACAGCACACGCCGGTGAAGAGGGTCCGGTATCCTACATTTCCAGCGCCCTCACCATATTAAATGCAGAGCGGATCGATCATGGAATCCAGCTTGCCCAAGACGACGTCTTGTTGAAACAGATCGCAGATCAAGGTACTCTGCTCACTGTGTGTCCTTTGAGTAATGTCGTATTGCGATGCGTCAAGTCCGTCAGCGAAGTCCCCATCCGGAAGTTTCTTGATCATGGGGTCAAGTTCAGCTTGAATAGTGACGATCCAGCGTATTTTGGCGGCCACATCTTGGACAACTATTGCGCAGTGCATGACGCCTTCGAACTCAGTGTGAGCGAGTGGGAAAGTGTGTGCAGGGCAGGCATTGAAGGCAGTTGGTGTTCGGAAGAGAGAAAGACGGAGATGCTGGTTGTATTGGAAAAAGTGATTCGGGAATGGGAGGAGAGCCAGAACTAGGGATCATACAAGCCCATGTTGGAGAGGCTGCGCATATCAGTCTGTCCGGCATTGTCAATCAACACATCTAATGTAAGTTCATATTTTTAGATGCTATCTAAGACCTGGAAGAGGAGGATGGACTTGGTTGGGTCTTACCATCCGATTATATGCTCACCTTGCAGCACCGTACATGTTTTCAGTGTTTCATGCGATGGTTTATTGGAATACCACACTATAGTAGAATTATAGATTTAGATATGGCATTATCCTCTTGAACTGCAGCCTCGGAGAAGGCCTTTGATTATGTTTCTTTTTATGTGGAACACCAGACTGTCTGTATTCTTGCTTTCGTCTGAAGAAGCCAATTTGCATGAACAACACGATTCATATTTCTAATTGTATCCCAAAGATATACATGGCCGCTATACAGTACAATAATCGCAAGACAGATTTCGGCTTGTTAAGAAACTTGAGAGGAGTTTGATCTTTTCTAAGACTTCGCTAGGTTTATCAAGTTTCCAGTATCGAGCCTCTCCTTGGAACCGTAATGATCTACATGTCGAACCACTTGCATACGTCTCCATAAATCATCACATGGTATTCCTCGAATTCTACTTGGACCGTTTATCATATTCTCCACGAGAATACGAAGCAAAATAAACACCATCACAACTAGTCGTTGACTAAAAAGCCGACATCGGGATAAACGCTTATAGACGGCTCATCCAAAGCATTCTCCACCAACCACGACCATAATAAACATGCCAACATCCCCCAAACAATTTCCTCATCAATAAATTCAACAAAGGCAACAGACAGAACAAAACTAAACTTCAATCATAGCCTACAAACATACCACAAAAAATGGCCGACGAGATCGCCCCAGCCCCAGCCTACTTCCCCACATCCTCCGACTCCCCGCTCCATCCACCCCAGGAACTCTACACCCGCCTCGCCAACCTCGACAAATCCACCCTCACACAAACCGCCTCCTTCACCGTCCCTCCCCGCTCAGGAAAAGCATGGAAGGTCCCCGCGGGCTCTATTTTCCGCCTCTCCACCCCGGAGGGCCCCCAAGTAGGTGACCTCAACGTCTGGAACGCGAATGATCCCCGGGAGCGATTCTGGGCTGCAAGGACCCGTCAATTGCAGGGGACGCACGTGAGAGAGGGCGATCGCATGTGGAGCGTTCTGCCGTTCATGAGGCCGCTCTGCGGGATGATCAAGGATGGGTGTTTGGTTAAGGACGCGCCTGGGGGTGGCAGGGAGGAGAGGAGGACGGAGAGAGGTGGTGTGACGAAGTGGGGTGGGAGATGCCATGATCTTTTGGGGACGAGGTGTGATCCTTACGGTACGTATATAAGACATAGATACATAAGGGATTTTGCTAACGAGAACTCAGTTTCAAACATGCTGACTGGCGACTCTTACGACTTCCATTGCCACTCCAATCTGACGAGGGCTATCTTGCCGTTTGGTCTCACGGAGTTTGATGTCCACGATGTGCTGAATGTCTTCCAAGTCACCGGCCTCGATGAGGAGGGTCGCTATTTTATGGAGGCATCGCCGGCAACTCAGGAATCTTTCATCGAGTTTTTCGCTGAGCAAGATCTTCTCTGCGCGCTGAGCACTTGCCCAGGAGGTGATTTGAGTGCTTGGGGCTGGCACCAGGCGGATGCAAGCAAAGGTGGAGACAAGCCAGATATGAAGTCGACTTGTCGACCCATCAAGGTCGAAGTCTACGACATCAAGGAAGAGAACAAGGCTGAGGCACTGAAAGGATGGAAGCAGCCCGAGCGAAGTGCATACAAGGGCGTGCACGGGATGAACATTCCCTTGGGCGAGGATTGAAAAAGTTTCCTAACTTTAGACTCTATTAGATATACAAAATAGACGATACGTTCTAGAGCTTGCTCAAACTCTGGCTCCCTATCATCTCGCCTCCGTCGAGGACGAGCGTATCACCGTTCACGTGAGCTCCCGCTCGACTCGACAGGAACACTACCGCCGCGGCGATATCCTCTGGATGTCCGACTCTTCCGCTCGGAATCGCTTTGGCCCAGTGGTCAGCGCTTCCTTTGCTTTCAATGAGCGCGTTGGCCATCTTCGAAGGGAATATTCCAGGTGCGATGCCGTTGACGAGGATGTGTCGACGACCCAGCTCTACGGCGAGGTTTCGTGTGAGATGTAGGACGGCGGCTTTACTGGCAGCGTAGGAATACGCTGCAAGCTCTCCCAAAGAACCGACTGCGATACCTGCTATGGATCCAGTAACAATCACCCGCGAGGGCTCCTGCAAACTTGCTTTCTTCTCCAGAAGCGGTGCGAACCTGTTTCGTTCACGTCAATACCATTCTCCTAAACCGCCTCTAACCCCGTCTAGCCCAATAAAATAATTGACTAGATATACTTACTTCTGAATCGTGAAAAACACAGCCTTGACATTCAAGTCCATAACTTTATCCCACCCATTCTTCTCATCCACCTTATCGAAATAAGCGCCCCAGGTCGCACCCGCATTCGCGAACAAAATGTCCACGTGATCCGTCTCTTTCCCAACCTCCGTCACCAGTCTCTCGATCTCGGAGATCTTGGAGCTGTCGGCTGGGACGGAGAATGCGCGGCCAGAGATGCCGGGTAGGGCATTCAGCGCTGCGACTGCGGAGTCACATGCTGAGGCTTTGCGCGAGGTGATGAAGACTTTGGAGCAGCCTGCTTGGAGGAGGCTGGAGAGTGATGTGAGTAACGAGAGAAATTAAGTCGAACATAGGGAAAATTATCGAGGGCCTATGCGGTTACATACCCTGATGCTGCGTGTAGTCCGAGGCCTCGCGATCCGCCGGAGACAACGGCGACTTTGCCGTTGAGCGAGAAGATGTTCTTGAAATCGTGGAGTTTTACGTCTGCTTCTGCCATTTTGAGGATTGGAAGTTAAATGGTCAAAGGGTAAAGGTAGGAATAATTGGGGCCAATGCTGGAGGATAGAGTCTCTTATACACCTGAGTCGTTGTAGTCTGTCGAGAGCTTTAGGATATTTACCTCGGTACGTACGAATTGGGAGCTAGTCGGCCAGGGTCTTTGTTTGTGCTCATACAACAGTTGCTAGACCATCAAAACATCGTGAGAGGACAAATTAAACGATGGAGCAGTATGTGATTCCGAGAAGCCAATGTAATCAAGATGCTATTTATTGTCCACATAGATTTCCCCTTTGCCAAACCCTAATATACAAAGCATGTACAGTATAGTAGTATGGTATTGAATCCAGTTCGTCCACTCCTCTAATCAACGTCCTCGACGTATCCTATAGCCTCGCCTACCTTAACTTTCTGGCCTTGTTCCAAGTTCCATCGGAAGCCACCGTGGCGGACGCCCTTGAAGCCCTCGTCAAGACTAGGCCTGGTTCCCTTTGGCGCCTCAAACACGAGTACGATCGTACTACCGAGCTGGAAGCCACCCATCTCTTCTCCACGCTTGAGTGCATGTCCTCCCAACAAACGACTGGCTCCATCATATGAAGCTTCAGCGAAGCCTGAGTAAGGCTCTCCTCGTTTTGCTGCTTCTTCGGCAGCTCGATCAGCGGCAGTATCGGTGGTAAGAGAATTTGTGCGCAATTCGCGATCGAAATTTACCTTGATAGAGCCAACATTAGTAGCACCTACTGGCGTGTAAGAGAAGAAGCCCCATCTCCAGCGACCGAGTAATACTACTCGTTCGTTAAGAGTGAAGAGACCAGGGAGAGTTCGCTGCAGGTATGGTGATACACTGTACAATTCTCCAGCGAAATGGCGTCGGCTCTCAACAACCCAGGATACTGGAGAATGGAAACGATGGTAGTCACCTGGAGCGAGGTAGATGACACAGTAATATAGAGCTGTAGGTGTCTTGACGGCGTTCCCAGGCGCCCACCACGGCCTTTCCGCTTCGCTCAAGGCAAGGTCAGCACGTACTTCAGCTTCTGATGACGGTGCTGCCTTCGTGGATTGATCCGTGGGCATTTCGGAAGGCTTGCCACCCTTGGGCCAGGGACCAGAGAAAAGGTTCGGAAGGGTATACGAGATACCGTTCACTTGGGCAAACTCCTCGTCTGCGCGCATGACATCTTCGTCTCCAACCTTTGTATGTGTTCCACTGGCTTGTGTTTTCGGATCGGCGGTGTCTTGGGAAGGCTTTGCAGGACGAACAGAGCCTAGCAGAGCATCAAGGCTATATGTGACGCCCTTGACTTGCTCGACCTCACCATGCTCGATGATTCCATATTGAATGACCTTGCCATCGGCAGGTGAGACAATAGTGTTTGGGTTTGGATCAATGGGACGAGCCCCGGGTTTGAGAGTACGATAGAAGAACGAGGCTAGGTTGGGGAAGACGTGTAGGTCTGGCTCCTCTACTTCAGAAAGACTAATATGGTCAGGGAATAATGATGATATGACGATGTGGAAAAACTCACTTGACACCAAAGATGAAGGAGTACAATTTGAATCCTGGGACACGAAGATAATATGGAATATTCAACTCATTGAACCGACCCCATACACGTGAAAGTGCCTTCAGCGGCAACGTAGACATAATCTGGACCTGCCTGTAGATTTTTAGCTTCCAGGTAGAATCAACCATAGAATTGGACTGACCATGGGCCACTAGGTCGGATCCTCTCCCTCTTCTTCGGTGTGCCTAGACTATCCACATCCTGGCTATCTGTGCCTCCGCTCTGGGTATGCTTCTCTCTCCTTTGAATGCGATAGATTTGGAATGCTCCGAGGAATGTGACTCCCAATGCGATTGGGATAGGCTTCCATTCGATCTTCGTGCTCTTCAGAGCAGAATTTAATCTTGATCTGAAAGACTCTTTTCTATGATTTTGCTGCTGATCAAACGCAGCCCGTGTAGACGAGAAAGGTCGCGAAGACTGGGATAGACGGTAGCAGGAGGATTGGCAGGTGGGAGGGTATCGAGTGCGGAGGGGTGCTCGGGGGAGCTGACGAGCGCAGGTGGACAGCATGACTACTGCATCTGAAGGGACAATTGGACCCAGTAGCAATTGCGCAGGGTTTCAATGGTATGCGCTCGAAACTGTATTGATGCGCAGCTGTGATATTAGAGTTGAATTGAAGTGTAGTACAGAGTAGTTACTCGTGCTACTTTTTTCCGCAAGGGCAGTGACGTACGGCGCATGTCTTGGCGCGCGGCGATAGATTGATCACGAGTCCGCGCGACAGCTGTTACAGCAACGTTGCGCCTTCCTTACACACCTTATTTGCAACATACACAGTCATTCACTCTCTTTTGAGTTTTGCTTTTGAACGCCTATTGCGACGCCGTGCAGACTCGCATAGAGATATGCCACATTCTCTATAACCTTTACTACAGTCAAGCTTCAGACTTGCACTTATTATAGTGGAGGTGCATGCGACGACCCGCTGCTGACATTTCCGAGCTCTAAGCGCAACGTATGCGATTAAGTGACGCACATCCGCCGGGCATCGCACCCAAACTTCCGACACTCACTTGACACGCCAACATGGATGATGACGTTCTAGAGATCAATCTGAAGATTCTATCCCCGTCGACTGAAGTCAAGGGCGATATCAATCTCCCTTCCATTGCCGCTACCACCACTATCAGCGAGCTCAGGGCCCGATTACAGAATGAGATTGAGACCAGGCCTGCTGTGGAGCGCATGCGGTTGATATATCGGGGGAGGGTAGTTGCCAACGATTCGGATTCATTGATAAACATCTTTGGGCTTGAGAATGTCAGTTGTTGCTCTTTGCTGTGTTGATAGCTTCTAACGACACTCACAGATTCGCACATCCAAAGATCAGACTCTCCACCTTGTCCTACGCGAATTACCCCAATCAGCGACAGACTCTGCTGCTACTGCTGCTCCACGATCGTCTACCGCACCCCCAAATCCCTTCCGTCCGGTCCCAAATCCGCCAGAAACACCTACTCCAACGGTCCCCTTGCGACCAGCTGAACAGGTACCTCGACCCAATACACAGCCGCCTTTCCAGCAACATCCACCGGGTCTCCAATATCAAAACCACCATAATCTGCCACCGAACCCACCTGTATTTGCAGTTCCGGGAGGAATTCACAACCCTGTACTGCAACAGCATATTGGCCAGCTTCTCGCGCGGACGCAGGGCTTAAATGCTGCCCAAGGACAGGATGGTCACCTTCGTCTTCCAAGAGACGGATCTCCAGCCCCTGGGGGAGATGCAAGCACGCCATCGCCTGGAGCAGTACCTACGGCAGGTCCGGGACACGCCCACCCACCAGGGAATACTACCCGAATCATTCGCCATGAGAGCATAGGACCTAATGGGGAACGTTGGACCTACACGGTCAACAACACAAGCATAACGATTCCGGCCCATACTCATGCGCAGTCCATGGCTCCCCGTCCATTTCCACATCCACCTGGCTTTGCTCTGCCGGCTAGGCCGCTATCAGGAGTTCCGGCAGCTGGAGTCGATCAGCTGCTGACTCGTACGAGTGCTGAGCTTCAGCAAGCCAGACAAGAGATGGAGAATGTTAGGGTATTACTGCAGCGACCAGGTGGTCAAGCAAGGGGCATATCGCCCGACGACACATTACTTCCACCTGCATGGCGTATTGACCGCATTCGACTTCACTTGAATAACATCACATTAACGCTCGATAGCCTGCAACACAGGCTCGCTGCTTTATCTACGGAATCGGCCGTGCCCCAAACCAGAGATTTGGCGTCAATGCAGCAGACTGCAGCAGACCTCAGAAGCCAGGCGGCGGACTTGCGTAACACGTTGGGCCGATTACAGGCTCAGAATGCATCCAACCAAGGATCTACAATCCCAAATGGTCTTTCTTCTTCGTCTTCCTCAACCCCAAACGCATCACAGCAAACGTCAGCTGCTCAAGCACCCATAGGCAATGATGCTGGCAATTCAAGTCTTGCGAGCAGCGGTCCTGAATTATTCATTTTATCAAGTCCTCAGGGGCCTGTTGGCATTTTGTTCGACCAACGTGGCACGTATTCTACGGCACCAATGGTGCCTACTCTGCCCTTCCAAGCTTTCACGCAGCAGTTTTCCGCCAACAGACAAATCCTATCAGGCCTGGGACAGCAGCTCGCTCACAATAATGTTCAATTACGAAACCAGATTGCCACTGCACAACCTGCTAACAATGCTCAGCCTGCAACAACTAATCAACCCAACCAGGAGAGGCCTCAGAACCAGAACCAGAACCAGGTCCAGAATCAGGTTCAGAACCAAAACCAAGCGCTCAACCAAGCACAGCCCCAAGCCCCCGATCCGGATCGCGTTATGGTCATGTTTGGTCATGCATGGCTCATCGTGAAGCTTGCATTTTTTGTCTATTTTTTCGCTGGCGGTGGTTCGTGGTACAGACCAATGCTGATAGGTGGTATTGCCGCCGCCGTCTACCTGGCGAATTTGGGGATGTTTGAAGGCCAATTTGATGGCATTCGACGCCACTTCGAAGGGCTGCTTGGGCTTATCGACCAACACCCGAACCGTGCCAATGCGCCACGCAACAACAATGGCCGTGCAGCACAGAGAAATCCTACCCCAGAGGAAGCCGCCCAGCGCCTTGTCCAGGAGCACCATGAAAGGCGGGTTGGGTGGGCAAGGGAAACCTTCCATACAGTCGAGCGCGCCTTCGCGTTGTTCGTTGCTAGCCTTTGGCCGGGCATTGGTGAACGCATGGTGCAGGCCCAAGAGGAGAGGGAGAGGGCGGAGCGTGCGGCGGAAGAAGAGCGTGCGAGGCAAGAAGAGGAGAAGAGAAACCTGGAAGCACAGCAGGCGGAAGAGGAAGCCTCTCGATCGTCAACTGTAGGGTCCAAGGCTGAGATCAAGAGCGACGAGACCAACCCTCAACCCTCATCTAGCAAAGGCAAGGAAAGGGCAGAATATCCAGTGGACTCGGACGCAGTCGTTGCATCGTCATCTTCTTAATTTCGTAGCACAACTAGCGGCGCACAGCTTGGAACTTGTGGTCCTGTATGCGTTTTGGTCTCCTTTTTCTTTATTTTGAATAGCGGGAGCACTTTTCGGCATTAGATACCAAATGACATTTCTTACGATCCTACTCCGTACTTTGATGTTCTCACGCTCCAGACAAATAGACTGCTGCTAGTCTTCTCCTTTGCGGTTGCATGAATCTATGTCCAAGCCGAAGTGACCCCAGCTTCATGACATGTAACACAGTATTGACGAAGCCAGGAGGAACAGTTCCGAACCACACAACACGTAGAGCCTGCCGAAAACAATGGAAAGTCTGTCAAGCTGGTGGTCAATGGATGCTTTGTCGAGACTGTCCTGATCACCCCGGTGGAGGTCCGGAAGGCACAGAGCCAGATGGTTGGATAAGGCATAACGCTGCGAATCACTGATGATTGTCGATGTCGACATACGACTACCCTTTATCGTCTAATGCTAAGATATTGTTATTTGTACCCTACTGCATACCAATTCGCATTGAGTGGCATCATCGCAATGTTTGAAGCTACGCGGATATGATATTCAGAGAATGAATTTCCTGTCCGTCTCAAAACACCTCGGTCATATATCCTTCGGCCGACACGGTATGGCCTTATTCCTTGAAAATTAAAGCATAGGCACTTCTATGAGTCGTCGTCTTCGCGGGTCATTTGGGCCCATATGCTCGTTCTCGCACGGGCAAATTCGTCTTGATATTCTTCATTGCTTTCGGGGTCACCATCTTCGCTGGTAGATGTATCCTGTGCGTCGTCCTCAAACCCATTCAAGAGCCCATCAAGCCATTCATGTTTCCAATAATCCACATCTTCAGGTTTCGTGCCGTCCGACAAGGTCCAGGTGAATGCGTTTCGAGTAGCTACTTCGGAAAGGGTCATACTTTGAATGGTTTGATCGGAGACCAGTGTGATTTGGGTGGTGACTCGCCCATTGAAGCTACAGAGAAGGGTTTCAAGACCAGTGAGAAAGGCTTGAAAGACTTGTCTTAATAGAGCTGGAGGGGGAGCAGTTAATTCATAGTCTTCCTGACGTTGGCCGCCTCCGCCACGCCAGGTCCAAAACTGGTAGATCGGTCGATGACCGCAGCGGATGTGCTCTCGAACTTCAATCGCACACGTCTCAATGCCAACTGTGTCCAAAGGCGCCCATGGACACATAGGCGGAGATGGATATTTGTAGGACGCGTCCATAAGATAGAGCAGCCTGATTTCATCCACACGACGCATGAAACCCTCACCGCTAGTCTCCTGTTCGATTCAAGGCACGCCGTAGAAAGTCGGATCTATGAAAGACTAGGAAGATGCAATCCAATGAGTCGAGCGATATGGAAGATATGATCTTCGCAGCAAGATCCAAAGTCCGTGGTATTAATCCTATAATCCACATGCCCAACCAAATAGGCGCTGAGTTGGGGCGGCGTTGGGCCATCATCCGGATGATGGTATGATCCTGACCAGCGTCTAGAAGAGCTGGAATGCACTCCTTCAATAGTGGACCAAGCCATTCAATCAAAAGATTATATTCTACTTCGTGCTTCCAGAAGCATCCGAAAACCGATGAGATCAGGATGTTAGGAATACAGCTCAAGGCCATAAAATGTGGGAGCTGATCCATAATTGGAATTGGATTTGAAAGAAATCTTGTTTTGTGAATCTCTGGATCCACTATCAATGGCGGAAGAAAAACTGCCGTGCCAAATCTTCCGTGCGAAGGAACAGTCAGTGACGCGGCAAAAGCAGCAAGAAGCTGCCTTCGGACATTATGGCGCTCAGCAAACCTAATAAGATACTCTCGAGCTTGAGCTATGAAAGCTGGAAAGAGTCTTGGCCATCCACGTTTGTTACGATTACCACCTAAACACCTTTGTATCTAATAAATAACATTATTTTATTTGATATTTAAACATTATAAAAATACTGTAAAGACATAAGAAATATTTTAACGTTTTATTATTTTGCCCTCTGTAATGTCTCTGTAGTCAGTCAAATAACCTTATGAGCCTTCCAAGGACCATTTCCGGCGTCCCCCTTAGGCTGAGTTCGGGCTGGCTTCAGTGTGATATTAAACGTTAAGTCAGCCTGAAATACAAAGAGCTAAAGTGCGACAACTTTGACAGGTCCGTACGGAGTAGACCTGATATTTTAGTCAAGGGACCGTGATGCTATAAATCCATGTGTCTAGTAGGTATAGAATATCCTTGTTGTAGCTCTTCACATACTATCTACTTAAGGGTAGTAATAAAAGCGACACCACGTCAAGTAGACTACAGCTTAGCCTACTATACAGTAGCTTACTTGAGTGAAGTAAGCCACTCGGTACTGGGTTACGACTTTGACCATGAGCTGGAATGAGGTCCGTCAAAGATTAGAGCAATTTCTTCCAGTGAGGGCCCCTTTGTCTCTGGGAACAAGAAATACACTCTAACAAGCTCAACCATAACCCAAACAACAAAGATAGTGAATAGACGCCAGGGGATGTCATGGAAACTGATAGGGACCGCGAAGGTGGACAGGATTATAAAGCAGTACTGTACGAAGTAGAAAAAGGCCAGACCCCTAGGTTCGGAGACGGAAGGGCAAGATCTCTGGAATTTGAAGGCCGAGATGTCCGTTGAAACCGAGATTGTAGATAGGAGAGAATATATAAAGCAGGACCACGGCCGAGTAACCGGCAGCTTTGTTGCTGTTGTCTTTGGCAAATTCGGCACTACCAGCGGTAATCGAGATCCCAACGATCCGCATGGCGACGAGGGACGCCAGGAACAAGAACACAAAAGTGTCTATTGGCAAAGCGACGTTTAAGCTGGCAACAACGGAGGTGTTGATAATAAATACGTAGATAGAGCTGACCTGTAACTCAGTGTAGATTGTTGTTTGCTCAATTGTTATACGACAATCTCCCAAACGGCATAACACGAACATTTATCGTAGTTGAAAAGCGGGCAGCAATCACAACAATATGCAAAAAAAAAGCTGGTATGTGACTGGCTCCCCATTGCGGTTCCAATACAATTAGGATAGCTGGATCCATGGTTAGGCTTGTTGATACTGTTGAGCGTACACCTTCGGTGTTACCAGACAGATGGTATGGTAGGAGGAACTGTACCGATGGTATAGTTTGGTTTCATCAGATACGTGTCCCGAGTCTGACTCATTCCAAGAAAGCTATACATATATAAGGCTCCAGATGTAACTTGATTGCTAGTTCTCATTCCTAACGATGTTTACCCTCCCATTGATCACGACGAAGCTGTCGCCCATCATGGCACACGCCGAACCCGCCGAACCTGACCAAGAGCCTAGATCACTGGTCAGTGTTCTGATCACCACTCTCCATTTAGTGGCAGTGCCAACAATCGTCACTCTTACTGCCATGTTCCCCAGCCAACTCGTCGTAGCCTTTCCATGGACTGTCGCTCTTATCGTCCCATATCTAACATTGCTCGGAGCGCTGAGTTGGTTCTATTTTCAACATAGACCCTTGGCTGGCATATGCTGGGTTGCTCTTCCATGGGCATTTGTGATAGGTTCTATCTTGCACGCTACTACGGGGGAAAACATGGATCGTGCGGAACTGTACTGGGGCTTGTGGCTTTTAACATGGCCATTCACCTTTCTCCTCTACGGTATGGGCGTCCATCACAGATGGCAAGAATAGCAACAAAGACGATTCCCTCCTCGAACCGGTTATCGCTTCCCACAGTTTCGGAATGGCCTCACTCGGACAACCCAAAATCCAACCGCTACAACTCCGAGAACTACAAACCCCCAATAGATACCGAGGAGACACGGCTACCGCGGTAAATCCTCTATAATCTGTGCGGGTGAGCTAGTGAATTCGGACAGAGTCACCGTTGTAGTAAGGCGATCCCGTTCTTCTTTGAATTTGTGGTAGAGACTATGTTGTCCGTATGGCACTGATGAAACTCAACCATGGAACGAGCATATCGACGTTTCATTGATTCTCCACGATGATTTGTATCGGGAAAAAAAGGACAGGAGGACAGCTGTTCCTTTACAAGGAGTAACTTTAGTATAATTTATGGAGTTAAGGGAGGATAATGCCTTATAGAAATTAAGTGAAGCAGGGTACAACATGGCTAGGTGTACAGTGCGTGAGCTATTATCAAGATTGGCAGCTAATGTTCGTAACGTATCTTTATGTTCCTTCCTTCTATAGTTGGGCAATCTATAGAACTTCACCTCAAACAATTTTTCGTCTTAAAGGCAGACGCCATGCAGGTTAATGGTGAGTGGGTTGGGGGAGCTGAGGGTATTGCCTTAGGGCTGGCAGCGCGTCTTACTGCAACGTAGGCTGGTAGGTGGGCTACGGCGGACAGACACAGACCGGTAGGCAGGAGGACGGCGTGGATGCGGAGTTGTACGAGCGGGGATTAGGTGCCAGGAGCATTTTTCATAGCGAGTATTAGGCGCCATACATGGTGGCGGCAGCTGGTCCATTAGAAAGGCAAGCACGCTCTACGTAGTTATAACGCCTTGAAATCCAATGTAGATGCCCGCGGGCGCGAGAACCGTGATTGCGACCTCGATGGCGGCAGGAGTTGGGTTGGGTTGGGTTGGGCGTAATAACCTTTTCAGGCTGTGGTCTATTAAGTTGGCTTCTGACCATAGAGCCTACTCAATGAAGAGGAGCGTAGGTAAAGCCGCAGTGAATGTGGGTGTGAAAGTGAGTATGAGTAGGGTAAACGGATGATGGTGGTGGAAGACGAGTAGGGGCGGTGAAGAACGTGTTGATAAATAAGATGGTGAAGAATAGTAGCATGGGCGGGGCTACTAGTAGGGTAGTACTAGGGAACAACAGTTAGAGATTTGCAGCAGCAGCCATTACTTGTGTGTGTAGACTGTAGATAGATCTGAAGGTACGAAGTTGGGAGCTTTAGATGTTATGGATTTCAGGGTCCTTCGGGAGAAGCCTTCGCATGGTCCCTAACCCTAGCGGAACCAGCCAGAACCAATCGAGACCAATCAAGACCAATCAAGGCCAATCAAGTCCAATCGGGGGAGCAGCCCGGACCAATCAAGACCAATCAGGGGAGCAGCCAGGACTATCCGAGGGACATTGAAATGGGCAAACAAACTACGATTGCTGATAAAGCGGCACAATTGGGGAAGAGAAGATTGCGCACCTTACATGCTTTATTATACAAGTAGCAACTTTGATTAGCTTGTCTGCGCTCGCTAGCAGGGAGGGTGGCTGGCCTGTACTGGCCATACCTTGTGTGGTAGTCATCTCTGTAGGTGACTCTATGTAGGAGCTGAGTTGGTTAATTTTTTGTAGGTCAATGCCGCGGAACTCTTGGTACAGTATAATATGTACAATGAGAGCAATCGCTTACAGTGGGGCAATGTGGCTTTGTGGATTGTAATTGTTTTATGGCGTGCAAGGATGCAAATGTCTGCATTCGTCAATGCCTATATAATGCCACGTCCCGCTCTCTGAGAGATCTAGCTTGTGAAAGAATTGTGCAGTCACTATGTTTAATATGAACCTCACCAAGACTCTTGATAGAGGCTGTTACAGCTCACAGTTATCAGTTTCTCTCCTTAAGGTGTAACAGCAGACAGGTGTAAGTTTGCCTTCTGCTGTGGTTACTCTTTCTTTCTAAACCCTGACCACTGCCCTCACCCTCCTTTGGTTGCCTGTCCCACAGGGCGCGAGTGTTATTATTGATGCGCTTGGTTATCTTAAACCCTGAGCTCCCCTCCACCTCCTGCTACTAGTTGGTTTGCTGAGCATATCTTCTGAGTGTGTCTTAATTATACATCTAGGTGAGAGCTGAGAGGCTTGAATTGACGCTTCTGCTTTTGCGCCACTGGGACAGACTGACATCCTTTGATTCTACCGTAGTATTCCCTGCATCATGTTGAATCACCACGGTCTTGCAACACCCTTTCCTGTAGAATCCCGCATGTACGACCCCCAAGGAAGTACTTCTACGGGAAGCGCCGGCTCTGCTTTAGGCAAGGCAGGCTTGTATCACAATGCTTCTAGTGCACTACAGCTGAACATCTTAGAATGGCATCTTATGTACCAAAGGTGTCAACAAGACTTCCTCGACCATGCCCAACACGACCCCGTCGTCCAAGCTGCAGCAACTCTGATTAACATCAGTCTACCCTTCCAACGGACGCAAAGCCCGAGCATGGGTTCCACGGGGTGCGTGTACAATCTGCCATGGCCGAGATCTAGTCTAATAACCGACTCAAGAGGTCGATACCAGGCCCTTACCTGAGGCAACGAAACACTCTCGCTAATACCAAGTTCACGAAGTTTGTCAATGATACCGAGAATGCGAAGACGTTTCTCGTTGTCAAGATCACCGACTGCTGCGAGCTGTAGTGCGTTTGCCATGATCACAGTTGGGAGGAACGCATTTGAGTCTGGAGTATTCGCAATGAGGTGATTGGGCGCAATGCTGCGTGACTCTATAATGTAGCTTGAACGATTAGAGTAGATTATATAGATAGCGATAGGAACCCGTACTTGGATCAACACTTCTCTCCCCCGACGGTATGACCGTTTGCAACTCATTATCTGCTTGCGTTGATGGAGACGCTTTCAGAGAACCGATGCAATACAAGCATCCTGTCCGGGCTTAGTCGAATTGCAAACGCACAATGTAATTACCATACTAAGAAATAGATAAGTCCTGACGACTGCAGGGGGACAAAATGATTGAAACGACCGGAAGGCATGGTGCAGCGAGGAAAATTGTGCGTCTTCCGACTGAATAAAGCTATGTTTTCTGTGAGTGCGCCATACCTAGTCGCCATGAGGCTCAATGTTGAAGGGGATGAGGGTGGTAGACACTTTTCGACCATATGTTTGCTTGAGCTAAGGCCACCCCAGTAGCTGGGCCCACCCGAGCCTTGCATTGTCCATTACACATATCCTCTGGATCCTTGCCTGTGTGAGCATGTAGTCCACGGTTCACATACGCTTCTACGAGGGGTGATGATATGGCCTCGCGTACTCACTGGCTACAAACAGAGTCTCAACGAAAAGCAGAAACCCCCTAGAACAGTCCTGGAACGTAGCCCTTGGAAATACTCCGAACCTGGTGGTTGCTACCCCAGCCTTGTCCAGTCTCCGAAATTCCTTGGCTTCTCGCCGTGTTCCGATCTGGGCGATACAAGCCATGGTCCATTTTTGGCACAACGATAGATCAATGTCCGGAGGCTCGCGCTGCACAGATACATCTCTAGTTTACTTAGCACTGTTGAGCATGCAAAATTTGTGTAATTACTCGGCCTGTCACGAAGTCGACACTGCGTAACATTTCTCATATTCGACATCAGGCTGATCTATCCCTTCTAGCCTTCACCGGATTTCTTTGTGTACCCTCTAGGGAGCAGAGCAGATCATGGTGCTACAGATGTTCATGATTGAACCCCATATACTTTCTAGAACACGAATTACCTTACCGTATCTTGACATGACTAGTTCCCTGAGAAGGGGCACCCAAGCTCAAATATGTTGAGCACATCCTGGTTGGCATGATTTAGGTTTATCGGCGTTTTGACACTTAAGATCATGTAGTCTACTCTTGCTTCTCGACTCTGTCCTTGCCACGGGAAACCCAAATGTCTTTGGCGGGCCAAACGGATGTACGCTCGTGTCTTGAATCCTACTTCAGTCCTCCCAGTTTCAACATCGCCGGTCAAGACTCTACTCTCTATAGTACACTAATCGACTTACGTTGTTTACATGGCTCAGCGCGAGCTTCGAAAGTTGCATCACGAAGTAGTGCATCCCTCGCGATTGAGGTCCAATTCAAGTTCCCAAGAGTGTGGGCTCACCGGAACGCATCTTCCCCTTGTGCTACGATGCCGAAATGCCCAACCCCCCCGAACTGCGGTTCGCAATTTAAGTTACCCTAATCAATTGCCTGGGCTTGCCTTCAAAAATCATCCTGACATTGCATAGCAGATAATTAGCATGGAAGACTACGTGGAGAGCTATTGGACGAGATACTCTCAAGCTTTCCGAGAGAGATGTCGGCGTCTAGCACAGCAACAATGCACAAATTTACATTGCGAAAGCCTACAATTGCCCATTGTCGGCACGAATGGTGCAGATAGTCTTGCACATCATTAACGAACCTTTTGCGAACAATTATGTTGTCCTTTCGAGGCTATGATCCACGCGTAGCTGTCAAACCGAACACCCGCATCATCACTCTACACATCACTCGGTCTGATGAGACTCGTACCATTGCAGTCACGTTAGCACGCACGGCATCCGGAGTATTGCCGACCTTCCCTGGCTCGCCTCCATCTTCTACAACAAATCCCAGGCCAGGACCACTGGCCATCGGCGTGACAATCTTGCGTTCTGTTGCTATCACGGCGTTGCTGTTCTGTATCTGCCGGAGAAGGGGACCGCCTGGGCCCAGAGGCCGAGCTGGTCGAGACGGCCGCGACGGTCACCAAGGCCCGCCAGGTGTTGCTGGTCGAGACGGCCGTGACGGTATTCATGGTGCACCAGGCGTCGCTGGTCGCGATGGCCTCCACGGGCCACAGGGGCCACAGGGACCGCCCGGTCCGAATGGCCCTCAAGGCGTACCGGGTGCGCAAGGAACTCCAGGCGTGCAAGGACCACGAGGTCGGTCGGGATCACGAGGCTCTCATGGGCGCCAGGGAAGTCTGGGACCACGAGGCCGCGATGGGCAACCTGGACCAGCAGGCCAAGATGGTCGCGATGGCCGAGATGGGCGAGATTGTCGAGATGGGCGAGATTGTCGAGATGGGCGAGATTGTCGAGATGGGCGAGATGGGCGAGATGGGCGAGATGGGCGAGATGGGCGAGATTGTCGAGATTGTCGAGATGGGCGAGATTGTCGAGATGGGCGAGATGGTCGGGATGGTTGACACGATTCGGGCTGGTGGTGATTAGTGCAAGGGATCATATTCGCAGGAACCACGAGCACAATTTCAGGTCGGATCATCCAGGAGCGCTGTGATCAGAGGCCAGGAGGCAATGTACGAGCGCAAGATCAAACTATCGAGTTCTTCACATTTTCACAGATCTAAGGTCGCTGTCGGCTATCTGCTTGTAGTGGCCCATCTGCGCACTCGCTGCTCGCATATAGTACCCTTGGTCGCCGGTTCCGAAGCACTGTCACTCATATCTGCCACCTTGCGATTCTTGGAGAGGAGTTTGTAAAGGCTCAAAACGCAGGGGAAAATTATGTTGCTCAACAACGGCTCTGTAGAAACTGTGGTGTAATAGTTGAATCGAAGAGGGGAATCCTGACCCCCAGTTGCTGCCCGGGGAAGAAGGTGACGTAGGGTGTTTTGATACATGTCTGTGCTGGATACTAGCGGTTCCCAAGCGCTAGCACCCACAAGGTGCATTTACTTCCAAGGACAACTCTTCATATGAGTTTCTCTCTGACCGCAGCGGTCCGTGAAACTCTGCCAGAACAGTCAGTCCACACGGACCTTCCATTGCCACGTCGCACTTCACGTCGTAGAACGCTTCCACTAGAGCTGCCACTAAGATACCGATGAATCTAGGGGCAAAGTCAGGCTTAGCTGGACAGGTGAATGGCGAGCCACCAAAAGGCATCCAAGCTCTCATCGGTTCGGACTCGAGACCTATGCTCGTCCAGCGGGATGGCCGAAAGTGTTCCGCGTCAGGGCCCCAGATCTCCGTGTCTCGATGCAGACCCTCGATGTCGGCGGTGGTAATGATTCAAGGATCACTCGCGAATTCAAAATGGCGATGGACGCGACGAGTCGGTGGATATTTATCGAAGAGCCTCACGACAATTGAGGATACCACGCTTATTTCTTCTCTCTCTCCATGAGCAAAGTGCTGTTGCGGGACTGGTCTCTCGAGGTAGGCTTTCAATGCAGCCACCCATGCGCTCACGTCTTTCGCATCTCGGAACCGGACTTCTACGAAATAACGAAGTACTAGTCGCCACATGGTCTCAAACGCGGGGAGGATCAGGTTCATTGCGTTCGTCTGTGGGTCCAATGGGTCGCAACCTGGTACCAATCGACCCAGTGCCTCATGGAGTTTATATTGCTTTATCATGAATGGGCCTTACGAGGTACTTTTGACTGTATCCAGATGCGAGTGATTTCTACAGCGACGAAAGAGATATCCTCGTTGTGCAAACCAGAGGGATCGCATTGATAGATCAGGCTGATGGTCATCTTGAGGACAAAGGACTGTACGAGACAGACAACACTCTGGGGGTACAGACTTCTTACTAGCCGCTTCGCATCGCGTGCAACCATGTCCTAATCTGGCCTGAGGAGTGCTCCGACCATGTTTCTATGAGCGCTATGCCGTTCGTACTGCTTGGTCGTGAAAGCGTTATCAATCCCGAAGGCATAGCTCAACCGTGCGTTTGCTCTGGCTCTGGCCTCGAAAGTTGAAAAAGTTTTGGCAGCGCCGTAGTGCACTCTGCCGGCCATGATCTGTACACACTCGGCTCGGTTCTTCATGATGTAACCCAGCGGTGTTCCACTCAATTTTGAGAAGAACAGATTCGTAAGGACGACAAAGCCTACTAGCGCAGTACAGGAGTAGCACTCTGTATTCTTGAAAAGGATGTTCCATAGTCTCCGAGCAGAGAAGGGCGGTTTCTGCATGCAAACGGTAAATTTGCGTCGCATGTACAACGGCCATATGCCAAATGTCTACTGTCTTACAACTGTGGTACGCGGAACGACCGTATATTAAATGGTCACCAATACTTCACTTGTCAATGCTGAGGCCGGTCAAGATATGCAGCTGCAGCTTGCGAGCTCCCACGCCTTAGGTCTCGCGTAAATAGTCATTGTAAATGATGGGATGTCTAATTACTCCAATTAAGAGCCGTGACATTCTGATTCAATGCCAAGTCGCTGAGCAGGATATAAAGATCAATCCATTGAAGACAAAAGGGGTGGTTTAAGCTTAGAGAACTTCGGACTCACGACATTTCGAAAGAGGAATCTGCCTCTATTGAGTAATGTTAGGGAATCTGCGATGGCTCTACAAGGGGTAGATAGGGCCACATGGCCGGGCTATGCGAGCTTGATCGCGTCAAACACGTCTTGTCACTTCAGGACCGGTCAGCGTACAGCGAACACTACCCATTCACACCATTCAGCTTTGGCTATGATCGGACGATTGGCTCAAGTGCCTGGGGTCGCAAGTTTGGAAGCTGAAGTGAGGGGCTATAGTTTTGGGAGGCAATGAAGCACGAAAGGCCAGGACCCTTTATGAACCTGTACCACGATAGCTCGAGAACGCAGCCCATGTGGAGCCAGTGGATCAGTAAATTTACCGCAGATGGCTTGTGAATGGCAGTTGTGATTTCCAAGAATGGGGGTTCACCGGAATGCTCATCTCCATTGTGGCACAGCAATGACATGCGCATCTTGATATGCAATGCATGTCCGTTGGACCCATCTCCCCAGGAATACGTCTTTCCGGAAGTCCCTGAGTCACGAAATTCCTCAGTTCCAACCATTCGCTTCAGTAATATGCGTTCACCGGTCAACGCACTTCTAAGGTATTGGCATAGCGTATTAGGTCTGCCACGACAACTCCCATCATGGCACCGGGATCGACTTCGCGAAGAACTGCTCGAACGACGCATGACGAAGACTTCGTGGCGGAAACTGAGCGAAACATCAGATGTCTTCTTTTGCATCAGTCGAGCGCGCTACGATGGCTCCTATACCCGGAATCTGCCACCAATCACCCCCCGCCATACTCTGATATACGTCTATATGGTCATCAAGTACACATCGCGATGGGAACTGTACCGAACGACGGCTCGCCTTTGTCGCGTGCCTCACTTCGATCAGGTATGCGAGGTAGTTAATCCGGGTAAAGATCACAAGCTCGCTGAAGTCGCTCTGCGCCATGACATTGACGTGGCGCACTTCAGTAGAGTTTGTCGCCGGCTGCAACGTGTGTGGCCCCTTCTCCCATAGCCTTATGGTCTGCTCGCGCACGCAAGCACAGCGTAAGCAGACGTACGCTGGTGTAGCACGAGTGTCTATCTTCTGTAATTGTGGGAAGATCTTCCAGGACACCCAGGCTGTAGGCAACAAGGCCATGGTCGTCTACTATATATTGCACAACCGCTACATAGATGGCCAGCCATCTTAAGGATTCAGCTCCCCTGACTGCAAGCTCGAAATTTTATCCTTCTACTTATCACCTACAATGAAGCTCTCTCCCGACTTTGAACCAATGCCGTTCAACACGCGTACTCCCCGCAACGATCAAGCCGTCGTAGTAGGCATTTATGGCGTCCCCGGTTGCGGCAAGACGTATCTGCTGCGTCAGCTCAAGCAACTATTGCAGCAGGAGTCGTTCACGTTTCATGACGGGTCTGAGGTAATCGCAAATATCGTGCCTGGAGGTCTTGATGCGTTCCAGAAGCAGAACGAGCAAGAACAGATGCATTGGCGTGGGGTAGCTATCGACAGGATCAAACAGGAGTGCGTGGAGAGCGGTCGGACTGCGGTCGTGGCTGGGCATCTCATGCTTTGGCCCGAGGGTGAGGATGCAGGACAGCTCATATACACTCAGAATGATCTCCAGACCTATACGCATATAGTCTACCTGGACATTCCGGCTGATGTGGTAGCACAACGCAGACAAGACGACGAAGAAAGGAATCGTCCGACCACAACAGTCGATCGTCTGCGTAAATGGCAAGAGGAGGAAAAGAGTCAGCTGGTTCAACTTTGCCGCGAGCACGGAATTCTGCTCTCGATCATGCCGCCACTCCCAGCGCTCCCGGACTTCGTCTCTGCACTCTTACGGGACTTCCGGCACCATACCGAAGGGGACAATCTACGCAAAGCTGAGCTGGCACTGGATGGAGCCATTGCCGCTGGTTCAGGGTCACTGAATACTTTGCTAGTCCTTGACGCGGACAGAACCTTGACTGCAGAGGACACTGGTGCCTTGTTCTGGGAGAAGTTGAGACTCTCGCGCCATACCGCCAAAGAACAGTGTCCTCTCAAGGCCCTGTTCAGCAGTAAACTTGCCTATACGCACACAGCGTTTCGCCAGGCTGTGCTGCTCTACGAAGAAGCGACCAACGACCAAGAATACAACGCGATCTGTCAGGACGTCGCGTCCACGGTGATCATACATCCGGAATTCGTCTCCTTGTTGCAAATGCAGGCTGGTCATAATCATGTTGGCGCCGTGGTGATTAGCTGCGGGCTGCGTCGAGTCTGGGAAATCGTGCTGGAGAGGGCAGGTCTGTCCCAGACTGTGGGAGTCATCGCTGGAGGCCGTATCTCAGATGGGTATGTTGTCACAGAGACCGTCAAGGCAGCCCTGGTGGCCCGTTCGCAACAAATTCACAAGCTGTATGTTTGGGCCTTTGGAGACAGTCCGCTGGACATGGCCATGTTGCGCACTGCAGACCGAGCCGTCGTAGTGTCCGGCGACGAGGGAAGCCGGAGCAAGAGCATGGACGCTGCCCTGCAGGATGCCATTGAGAACCACAAGCTTTCAGCACATCAAGCTCTTCTTCCAAGCTATGCATCGCCACGCTTGAGCACCGACAAGCTGCCCTTGATCGAGCTCACAGATGGAGACTTCATTGCCGCCGTGTTCGGCACTTCGCACTCGCGCGCCCCTCCACAGATTCTTCACATGACCGATAGACATGCAGCCAAAATGCTCATGACGCCGATGCGGGACGCGACAGTCTCTGGGCCGAGCCTTAGGGTAGCCCACGTCCAAGCCGGACGATTCCTAGCACACCATCTCGTAGCGGAAATGATTGGCATCGAAGAATATCCCATTCCTCATGTTCAAGGCCATAACACGAGTGGTTTTCGACTCCTACATGAGCGCCAGACCTTGATCGTGGCACTGATGCGTGGCGGGGAGCCTATGGCTTTCGGAGTGAATGATGCCTTCCCACTTGCTATGTTCTTACACGCCTCTTGTCCCGAGGACATCACGCGAGACTCGGTGAGAGGCCGACTCACTGTGATATTAGTGGATTCTGTAGTCAACAGTGGCAAGACTGTGTTGCAGTTCGTACAGTACATCCGCAGCCTACATGCTACGATCCGAATTGTGATAGTGGCTGGTGTCGTCCAAGCGCAGTGCATGTCGCAAGGTTTGGAGCCGCTTTGCGGGGACGTACAGCTCAACCTGGTTGCGCTTCGCCTGTCGGACAACAAATTCACCGGCAGCGGAACTACTGATACTGGCAATCGCCTCTACAACACCACACACCTTGCTTGACTGAAGGCGCGTAGTCGCAAGAAGATTAGATGGTGAATAGCAAATGGATCAATAATTATAGAGTTGATCTAGCCAAGTCTGGGCTAATTGAATCGTTCCTTTAATTGAATTGTTCTTGAAACTCTACGAACGTGATGTTGACCTCGAGCAGAACAAACACAAGGCTGACACTGGACGAAGATTGTTCGCTCGCTGAGATAGCAAGCCACACCAAAACTCGACTAGCGTCTAACTGTCTCGCATCTTTGTGTGCCACCGTACCTGCACGACTCCACGGGATCTTTTTGCCTGCACTCCAGACGATCCCGTGAAGAACTGATCGTAGATCTATGGCCAAGGCTTGCCTTCTGCTTTTCAACTACACAGAAGGCCATCGTCCTCTTGTGACCAGCGAGTATTTCTTCTAGAGCTTGAGGGCTTATCATCGATGTTGCTTAAGAGCTCATTGCCCTTGTTGCTCTTGTTATACTGCTTGCTTGATCTTTCGTCGTGAGCATCGTTGATTAGTCTACCATCAGCCTGTAGAGATAGAGTGTCTGCCCTGTTCAGTCGCAAGCCAGCTAGAGCGAATACTAGCTGGCCTGGCCCGCCTCTAGGTACATCAGGAAGGCACTCCACAAGACCCGTTAGAAACCACGTGTCTGGCGTGAGCGGCTTGCATGCGACATAAGAGAGGTTTGTTCCCAGACTCAATCCATTCTCTAGAAGCTTGGCTGCACGATTAGGAGACAGTGTTTCCCGGCCGCTGTAAGCGCGAAAGAGAGCTGTCAAGAAGGACCCATCGGCCAAGAGTGGGCGCAATGCGATGTCTGATAGATGCCACTCAGCCTTAGCTGGTGAGATGCTTCCAGAAGGCCTCGTTTCCCAAGTCGCAAGCGGTGGAGCCTCGGATAGGGGACTGATCGCACTAAATGGTGAATTCAAAATACTGCCTTGCCTGCTTGCGGTTGAATTTTGTCCATCTCGAAGACGGCGCCGCGGAACCACAATATTGATGCTGTTCCTATCATCGCTCCCATAATCGCTTCCGTCATCACTCCCGTCATCGGTCTCGTCGGTACTCTCCTCACCATAGTATATTTTATTCTTGAATTTCTCATTAGATAAGTTGGTAACTATATACCTGCCTGTATAATAATATATGCTAATGCATACCTGTACATCCTTCTAGCTGTTAATTAAATATTGGTAGCTAAAAATCTAATACAAGCTAGATTTAGTTGTCTTCTATATATTTCTTATCTATGCCTTTAGATGTAGAAGAATAGAGGATCTTTCTTCTATTTAGCAGACGTTATCATCAACATCATTCCGTATTTCATGGACTGAGGCCTAACAACAGAAGTTCCAGGTACAGCTATTACGCCTACTATACTGTCCCTTCCGGCTGCTTCACATTGCCAGATGACGCCGGGATTTTGGTTTGGTCAGTGCTGCTCCCCTCCTCCATCGACTGAAGCGAGGGCCACCCGGTAGGTCCTCCCACCATGACGCGACCACGGCCACGTTCCCACCCGGCCAGTTCATGTTGCTGCTCTTTTTTGTTCGCACCCTGCTCCGATCCAGGGTACCGAACGTCGGGCGCGCTGGGGTAATCCGAACTTGATGCGCAAGGGAAAAGTCTGACTACCGGTCTGAGCGACGGAAGGCAGACACAGACGACGCCCATGCAGTTCTCTATCGCACTCCAGAGAACAGAGTCATCTACAGACCAATTTGCAGCGAATTTGTTGGGATCCAAGCGGAGTACGAACGGCAAACGCAAAGCAGATGCGATCAAGACACTAGGAATGAAGTTCTGTCAGTGGTTGACTATAAAAGTCTCCATGTAACTGCAGGAAAGAGCAGGACTTACAAGCCACCGAGAAGGAAGAATCCGATAACGAAAACCCTTTGTGTGATGCTGATTTTCAAGCTCCAGACGTAAGGCAGGGGGAGCGCAAGAAGAAAGAGATCAGCTAAGATGTTAGGAATAGAGACGCCAAAGAAGAAGGGCCTCAACTGAATGCATTTCGCCGAGCTTTTCAAGGCCGGCGTCCACAGAGAGGCAACGGGGATGCATTGAAAAGCTGCAACTAAAATCTGAAAATACCCGTGGTCAGTGTTGATATTGAGAGCGCCTCGGTAGATGTGAGGTTGACAAGATCAATGATGTGAATTCAAGGTAAAAGGGGTGAAAGAAACGCAAATTTACCGATGCGATAAACCATCCTACTACGAAACAAGTAACAAAATATATGGGAACGCGCATTGAAGACATGCTAAACAGCCTCCAGTAATATGCTAGTATAGAAGCTTTTAAGCTAAGCTGGGTAACGTAGTACAACAGCTCAGCAATATAGACTGTTTTTGCGTGTGCTGAGAGGAGACTTGGTAGGATAGGATCCCCCTGAATAATACTATCATCTGGGAGATCTGTATTAATGTCAGATATAGAGACGGCGCATGTGAGGTATAGTACTTACCTACAAGTATGAGAGATATAAACACTCCTAGCAAGACCTTGATGGCATATTGTGTTAGTTGACATTGAAACAACGATAATCTCTAAGCATACCAAGCCGGCGCAGGAAAGCCAGTCATCGTACCAGATCTTGGTCCTGGCCACCCTCCGTGCCGTGAAGCGAAGGATTACAGCAAGTACTGCCACTGGGAAACAGACGGATATTGTTGCAATTGTTCGAGTGCGATACGACTTCGTGAGATGAGCTACATTTGCCGCGGACAGAACTTCCATGCTGGCCGAAGAAAAAAGGGGCAGAAGGACGCAGATTCATGTCAATTAGAAAAGGGCTATTCTATCGCAAGCTTCGAAAGTCGGCTTTCTCAGAACTTTATCAATGCTGAGCTAAACGGCTGGCTCGGATCCTTGCTCGTAACAGTGGAGCCAGTGCCCAAGCCTCTTAGATCATTCCTTGTAAAACAGGAAGCAATTACGAAACCATGCCTTTCAGGCTTACCTAACTACATTTTAGAGAAGGTAACGTGCTTTATTACAGCAAATGTGATCTAGGCCAATGCGCTAGTGCTACCAAGTACGAGTATGGCGCTGTATGTATACTGACAATGATGCAGCACAAAGTATAGTATGTAGGCCGCAGACAACCCAACAAATGTCTGGTGAAATAATGGCAGTAAATATGCCGTATGCGTACACAGATCTCTAATGCCGATTGCTTGGCTCTGGTTGGCTAGATCGGAGGCGGCGAGTTCAACCGCCCACTTCCCAAGCCGATTCTACCTATCGGATAGCAGCAGATCCTATCTGGGATGGAGCCTGGTCCTGAGTACCGTAGCAGCCAAGCTTTCGGGAATACAACCGACAAGTACCGCAGCATCGCTTAATATGATTCAACATGGCGTGACATGCTCGACATGCTCAATCGCCAAGAGGATAGAGCAGGTCAAGCAGAAAGATGCTCACAGTGCTCAACCGCTAATGGCATCAAGCACATCGAGCAAGGACTAGGAGGGACAGATATATAAGATGGATAGTGTATAAGATGGATGGTGTCCTATTGTTAAGATCGAAGATCTACTGGTTGTTCTCAGGGAGTATCCGAAAGAGAGCACGAAGCAGGGCGTTGGAAGGGAGTTAAAGATAACTAGTTGGAACAGTAGAATATGTTGTTCGATGGTAACTTAGTTTGAACACGAGAGTCTATAAGGGTCTCCTGTGGGGTTCTATATACTAGAGGAGTCTTATAAGTCTTATTAGTCTTAGCAAGTCTCACGTTGTAAGACTCTAGGAGAATACTAGGACTCGTGAGACCCGAGACTCATGGTCACGTGATGCCTCGTTGGGTCGGTAGTCGTTAGGTCCGGCGCCAAGCGTCTGGTAATTAGTTGAGAGTATAGGATAGACCTATATAAATTTCCTCGAAGCCATAAAAGATATCTCTCCTATTCTCAGTATGAATATAAAGGCTTCAGATATGTACCGTTATGCAAATCCAGGAGATGGGAAGTTCGACTGTCCAGAGCATCGTACGTAGCAAACAGACGGTGGAAATGATGCAAAAGGCCAAAGCCAATTGAGACGCATTTTGGATGGTTATGGATGACCATCACAGAAAAACAATGAACGGTAAATCTCAATAAGTTAGCTAATGATAACACTGATGAGACTAAGCAGATGATTCAAGGAGACCGCTCGCCTCATCTTGTAATTCCTGGATATCGCGAGGAAGCAGTTGAGGCGTACTATGTATGGCATTGCTCTTAGAAGCCAAAAACAAAAGCAAGCCTATAAGGTCGCTCGTGATCTTATACTAGATCGAGTTTTAGTTTTAGAACTCGTCAATATAGACAGCGGTGCTTAAATCTATATAGACCACGGAGTTTAGAAGGTGTAGCGCGACGATTTATTAAAGATATAAAGGTGTTCTTGATTAGTATGATGCATCTTAGCCAACTATATTTTTATCTACATAAGTCCATGGCATAATCAACTGCGAAATTGTGTGCCTAAGCAAGTTCTCGAGCTCTACATGCTTGATAAGCCATGAACATTAGCGATCCAATAGCTACCCTCCCAGAGTGAGCAAGGTCATTGGCTTTGGGTCGCCAAGCTTTATTGGTCTTCTCAATGATAACATTGTATTGAAATAACCGCGCTTCAGGGAAGAGCAGTGGGATAGAATCAATATCGAAGTACGGATGTCCGAAGCGCTTGGATCCCATCCCAGAATTCTTGCATTCTATGGGCTCGACGAACGAGGCCTCCAACTGGAATCTGCAAAATTGGGACTGTGAGAGACCTGCTTCTCGATTCCTCGTTCTCTCACGACTCGTGACCGAATCAGGATATGCCGGTAAGCCGCGGAAGCAGTTGCGTATGTACACACAAAGAAAATTGTTCATTGCGATACTACGAAGACCTACTAGTTTTCCTAAGTACTTTCTACCTTCCTCTTCCAGAGCCAGTCCTCGAATTCCTCCGTTCCTAGCCCCTGTGGAACTTCGTCTAGCGTTGTCTTCCACTTCATCGACATACCAAAGTAAAGATGCCTCGTAGGGTCTTGCACCAGCTCGCTGTATTGTGGTACCTCAGGGCTGTCGTCACCGCCAGTGATACGATATAGAGACAAACATCTCTCTGCAAAAATGCGGGCCCTCGCCAAGTCGCCATTGGCAATAGCAATCTCGAAAGCGTCAGGATATGCCCGAGTCAAGCCGATTATGTCTAGCGTTGGTTCGTTCCAGAGCTGGACTTGTTCATCGACATAATTAAGCATGCGCTGGGCAGATGAAACTAGCCCTTGTACGCCACCCTGTTCGATGATGCAGTCTAATTCATGAACACGGTTCAACTTTGAGTCGCTTTCTCTGCTCTGGACGGGTGCCAAAGAACACAGTGCACACGAGCACGTAAACTTGAATTGGTTGCGAAGTTCTTCCTGTCGCCACCGACGGCCCCTGCGACTGCTAAGGTAAGAGATCGTAATTTCCTCTCCTTTGGGGATATCTTTTACAGCATGTATCGTGAGCTGGTTGAGGTTGTCGTTCCAATAGTTCTGAGCATTGTTGTCACAAGCATGATTGATTCGGCATGCTATGAGGAAAACACCTCCAAGTTGTAAACTCGGTCCGATGGGTAGAGCATTCGTTCGAAATATACCACGGTACTTCGCTGCCGAACTGATATAAGGATAGATATTGTGTAGAGAAAGGAACGCCTGTTGCTGGCTTTCGCTCAAAGAGCTGACTTGTTGATAGACTTGAATTTGTAGCTGTTCCAGATTTGCGACACCAAGACCCGAAGTGAGAAAGGGCGTCTCGGAGACGATTCGCGCACCTACAGGAATGTCCTTGAGGGCGATAAGGCCTTTGCCCTTCCCGGGTACATCCTCAACAGAGTACATGGGTAGGCTTGAGGTAGTTCCCATTGTATCGGGTAATTTGTCTTCGATGGATGTTCCTTTTAACTACAGGCTCAGACAGTATAAATAACTATCAAAGGCAAAGCGTAAAGGACTTGCTTGGTGTCTTGGTAGCTATGGACAATTTGGTGATGAGCACATTTTTAGCGAAAAGATTGACTGTGCTCGAAGCCTACTCAGCTGCACGGGTTGATATACGCTTTTTTTTATGCAGCTGTTATTTTGAGGGCGTTGTGCTGCGAGGATATGCAGGCTCTCGTGGCAGGCAGTAATTGGTTAAGTACCTGTACGAATGTTGAGGCCAATTGCTATGATACATTATACTGCTCACAATGGGTGAAACGTTATCGTCTATCCTGCAAGACGGGTCATACGAGAACTGTTGCATAACACCACAGGGCCTGAATGACAATGTCTGATTGGATGTACAGAAGGCCGTGTACCGCCAGCAAATCACCCGATTGTTTGTCACATTGCAAAAGAGGGAGCCAATGTTTATAATATCCCCCAAAAAGTATGTTTATTTCAAGTTTATGAACGAGTGTCGAAGAAGGTAAATCTAGTTACAACAAATAATGCATCATCCCCTTCAAAAACATTAAGCTGCCAAAAAGAAGAAAAACAAATAAGTCCCAAATGCCCGCAATGCAATCCGCTATGCAAAAAAAATTGACAAACCAAACCAATTCCTTGCTACTCGTCAAAGTAGGACGTTGCCCACCAGGGCCTCCAAAGCATGCTCTGGAGAGAAATGAAGAAGAGGAGGAAGAGAAGACTTCACTTAAGCAGCCTTCTTGAAAGCGGGATCGCAGATGATCTCACTGACCTGGCTCTTCTTGGGCTCGAGGAAAGTCCAGGCGCCCTTGCCGCCATCAGCGAAGGTGGTATCGACGTTGGCGCCGCGCTTGACCTTGATGGGGCGGCGGTTGTTGTCGAGGATCTGGCACCTGAGATCCTGCTTTGCGCCGGCACCGACAGAGAGCGTGACGGAGGTGAAGGGGCCCTTGGAAGCAGTGGGACGCTTGCTGGCACGCCCCTTGACGTTATCGAAGGTTGTCGTTGCGCCGAGCTCGGCGGCGGTGTTCTGCAGGAGGACGCGGACCTTTGTGTCCTTGGCTCGGGCTACTAGGGTAGGGACTTCCTCCTCGTCGTCGATGTCGGCTTCCTCGAGATACTGCTCGACTTCCTCTTCGACCTCGACCTCGGATTCAGCCCTGGGGACTGCGGCGGCGCGGGCGGAACCCTGCTTGAAGGCTGGGTCGCAGATGATGGAGGAGACCTTGGCGGTCTTCTTGAGCGTCCAGGGGCCCTTTCCGCCGTCGGCGAAGGTGATGTCGACGTTGGCGCCGCGGACGACAGTGATGGGCTTGTTCTGCTGGTCGCGGATCTGGCAGCGGAGATTGGGGTTCTTGACCTTTGGTCCGAGGCGGAGCTCGACGGTCTGGAAGGGACCAGAGGAAGATGGGGTCTTGACATCTCGCTTGCCGTCGACGAAGGTGTTTTGGACACCTAGTTCGATGGCCTGGTTGGAGAGAGCGACGCGGACTTCATTGCTGGCTCCGCGGGACTGCAGAGGAGCGGCGAGGGAGCCGGTGGCGGACAGAGCAGCGAGGAAGAGAGTGGAGAATTGCATATTGAAAAGATTGTGGATTGGGGTTTTCCGATTTCTTTATTAGAAAATAAAAGGATAGGAAATAAAGGAAAATAGGAAAGAAGAAAGAGGAAAGAAATGTAGTAGACTGTTTGGATGGTGAACTGTTGTGATGATGATGGAAGTGGTATCTGGGAAGTGTTGATGGATTTATATATCTATGCCCCTGTTGTACACCGACTGCTGAGGCCTTAGATTGTATCTTGATCCCTAAGCAGAAGTTCTGAAATAACTTCACGATCCTAAAATTAACCCCCGTGCCTCTGTCTCTATCTTCGGTAATCCAATACGACGATGCCCAGGAAAGCATCCGACTTGCCATTCACCCGTCCCGCAAACAAGCAAGCCAGCCACCCCTCGTGATTCGAAATCTCACACCAGCACAGCAAAACATCCCGAGCGTATCGTACCTCGCTGCCCATTTCGCCTAGTGCTTACAATCGCGCGCATGTTTGCTGGCGTATGTACCTGCTTAGGCCAGCATATGCGCATCAGCAACAGACGAAGAAACAAAAACATGCCGTGTTCTCCGCTCACCCTTACAAAAAATTACAACGCAGACGCCTCCCAAAAATAACCCCACGAAACATCCGACCAATGAGCGTGGCCCACCACCAAATAACCTTAAATTAAGCTCGCGCCCTACACACGTTCCGATCTGCCGATCTAAATTCGGGCCAAAACTTAGGAGAATGAGGCTAGAACCTCTCGACCTTCAACACCACGCGAGCGGCGAGGACAGGACCTTTCGTCCTCGTGGCGCAGCCCTACGGCGCGCACGTTGTGGAGACCTTCACACGGAATCAACGTCTTCCGGCATGGCATTCATCGTGACTGCCTATTGTTTTGCCAAATCCAGATGGCTGTGCTATTCCATTACATTCCATCCATCTACCACGTGAATGCGTCCTCTATCCCATCACCCATCATCCGTCCGTCGCACACAGACAAGAGCAACATCTCAAACATAGCTTCCGCAATCTAGCCTGCTTACGTCCCACAAGACGACGAAGACGACGATGACCAAGCAGACGCTCTTCTCACCGTTCTCACCACCCAATTTACACTTCCCATCAAAGTTCACCCTCGTATATAGCACTCACCCACAGACCCCTCGCATGCATCTATTTACCCCCTCTCAGCTAACTTGCCCTGCTTACATGCATGTGCGCATATTCCTCATCCATCATGCTCCCCTTTCCCTCCACCGTAACACAAACACAACACCTCAAAAAAAGACCGTCATACAAATCAAATCAAGATTGAAATCAATCAAATAAACATACGCCCCGTGCTCCGCCCCGCCCCGCAGAGCGCGTACCGGACCGCAATGAAACAGACGCCGTGAAACGGCACAGAGGAGGACGAACGGTGCCGCGCGGTGCCGTCGGACTCAGGCGGTCTTGAAGCGTCTACACAGCGGGCGGGTAGACAGGTATATGGCGTGGGTACCTGATCAAGAACGAACCTGTGATTAAAGCGACGGATTGGAATGCAGTGATGCAAGATGGCTTTAGATACGACACGTGATATACGCATATCTACCCACCGTTACCGATATGCAAAGTGAAACGACATGCTCTATTTGTCAAGCACACGAACCAGCTACTTCGTCTGACTGGCATCGGCACGTTAGTCCGTGCCCCAGCGTGTATCCATAGATCGCGGTCGAGCCTGCTGACGACCTACGTCTCCAAGATCCCTGAACGTGCTAGATAGATGAAAAGTTGATGGAATCAGCTCAGACGTAAGAATAACTTAGGAGAGGAGAACATCAGACACAATCGTGGGAGGTCGATGTGTCATTGTGATGAGCTTGTAGATGAATCAGACGCGACCTACAACGGCACCTGTTTAGAAACCTGCCAGACTTCAAGCCCTAGCTCACTGAGTTCGACGTCCGGTATTGTCTTGCAGTGCACGTCGAGCACAAAGAACAGATGGGAGGGCGACGACGGTTCAAACAATATATGTACGTAAACATCCTTGGCTAAGATTTCGAGGTCGAGGCCTTGGGATGCGAAGAAGGATTCCATCATCTCCCTCTGCATCTTGTAGTGTCGCTCGGGGCATTTGAGGACGATGCGTCTGGGAATGGCCTGGGGTCATTGTTTGGTTGTTAGGGGGTCTGTTTACTTGCGGGATGTGGGAACGATGGATTTAAGGGTTGGGTTTGTTTGAGAGATGATAGGACACCACTGAGCTGACCAAGTCTAAGAGCTCGGAAAGCTGAGCCGACCACACCAAACACTCCTCATCGTAGGAGAGCAAGTTGACCTGACCAACGCTAGAAGCTCGCCTACTTGACCTGACCAACCTCAACTCCGTGCATATAGTACTTGTACCTGAACTGACCAACGCTAGTACTCACCCGACCACACCAATCTCTAGTATCACAGTTAACCTGACCACACTAGAAGCTCGCCTATCAATTATGGATTGAGGTTTGGTCAGGCCAACTTTAGTCTTGGCCAGGTCAACTACATTCGAGGAATACCTGGTGTGGTCGGATCAGCTCTTAGCAACAGTCAGGTCAAGTATATAGAATGTGTACGCACCCCTTTCCCATTACAACCTACTAACAAATCATCACCAAGTCAGAATCGCCCGCGCTGCTAGTGACATACGATGTAAGTGACTGCACCAGAACCTCGATCAGCATCTTCACAGCATGAGTTTGCGAGACTTTTGATGCCTGTGAATTGAGGTTCGATTGGGTATAAGATAGGGTTGGTCGTGTATGAATTAGTCTTGGTCACCTCAACTCCATCTAGATATCTAGTGTAGTCAGCCCAGCTCCTAGCATTGGTCATGTCAAGTACAAAACCATATGTACGCACCCTATCCCCGTCCCCATCCCCATCCCATCACACCCCCACAAAGCATCACGCCGTCAACATTGCCTGCCCGATCAGAATGTTCACAGCATGACTTTGAGAGCCTTTTAATGCACATAAGTTCAGGTGCTGTTAGGAATGAGATAGGGTTGGTCGGGTGTGAAGTAGTAGTGATGGTCAGGTCAACTTTCTGACCTCCTAGCGCTGGTTACCTTACCTACATTTCTACATATCGGATATCTGGTGTGGTCGGCTCACCCTCCCCACCTCTTAACGTTAACCACATCAACTGCGTTCCCAGACGTTTGGTGTGGTCAGTTCATTCAACTTTTTGACCTCCTAGCCTTGGTCGGCTCACCTACATTTCTACATATCGGGTTCTGGTGTGGTCGGCTCAGCTCCTAGCGTTAGGCAGTTGAACTTACCTTCCTATGATGGGAGATTTGGTGTGGTCACCTCACCTCCATTTTCACATATCGGAGTTTGGTGTGGTCAGGTCAACTTTTGACCTCCTAGCGTTGGTCACCTCACCTACAATTCTACATATCAGATTCTAGCGTAGTCAGCTCACCTTTCTCATCTCCCCCCTTCTCCCATACTTCCATCCCACACCCCCTCCCCCCCTCCATAAATAATATCACGAAACCACACTGACAAACACCAACACCTCACTTCTCCCCTCTTCCGCACATGTGATAATCGGTAAAATTGGTAATTGGTATCTTGATTTCATTGTCACGTCCTTTCTCATCTCCTACCCTCGCCGTGATATCACATCTGGCGGAGCATCTCCCGATCGCCCTAGGGCCTCTCTACATCATATCATCCCCTCCTTACGCGCTATATTCACGCTCGTGAATATCACGTCTCGAACTATGTATATGTAACTCCCAAAAAAAAGAGAGTCCTCTGTGAAACACAACCTCCCTCGCACCCGCGCGTGCGTGCCCTCCCCAACGCAAAAAGAAAAAACCTCCCCCGATCTATCAAGAAGGGAAAAATGTGTGTGCAATATAGCTAGGTAGGTAGCTAGTTTACAAGCTCCGTGATCTCCAAGAAAAAAGATGAGAAATCCGTGAGTGATGATGGATGAAGAGGTTAAAAAAGACAAACAAAAAAGCACCTTGGTATCGCATGAAGAAAGGGGATAGAAATCGCTGGAAAGCAGGGGGGGGAATGGAACCCCGAGTTAAATGCAAAGCGCCAACGCTGAAGACAGTGAGCAAGATTGGATGGAAAAGTGTTCCGATGAAGAAAGAGGTCGGTCGTGTAATGGGATGATTGTTTACGGCCCATGTTATTGTTGTTGTTATTGTTATTGTTGTTGTGCATGGAGATCAATGTTTTGATTGAATATGGTCCAAGAGGAGAAAACATTGGTCGTCGGCGGGAAAAAAGTCGCGTCCGGCTATTTTTAACCGGACGGCCTACCAGTTCTCGGGACTGGAAATGTGGTATATAAACAGTCGCCCGTCTAATATCGGAGCTTTCCAAGAAGTGAAAAGGAGTAAGCGCATTCGCGCTCTGACTTCATCTACATCGTAACGTCAGCTTCGGGCCATTCTCGATCGGTACGACGCCCAACTTACCTGGATCATGAAGACTCTTGCACGAGAACCACCCACCCCACCTGTCTTCGCCGCGTGCCCGACCTCGCCATTGGCACCTACAACATCCTCCCACACGCTGACGGCGATGCCCAAGCGGGCAATCCTCTCGAAGCACGTTTCGTTCAGTGTCACGTCCAGCATCGTCTCGCCCTTCGACTTGCCCACGACAACGATTCTCTTCTCTTGGGTCGGATCGCGGGTTCCAGGACTACCTTTGCCTTGTCGCGTTATCGATTGAATTGTCATGGGATCTGGAAGCATGATGGTGAGACGGGCTGCGCCCATATCACGCCATTTCGAAGAGAATCTGTCGCGCTCATAAAGACGACACTTTGTATTGGTGATGCCGGCTGGAGCGCCCGGTGCACGAATGGAGGCATCTCCGTTGGGGGTACTTGTTCCGGAGCCGGACCCATTTGACCCTGAGTCAAAGCTACCGATGCTTCGAGATGCCATAGATTGTCTATTGCTGAAGCGGCTATTTCTTCCAAAGCTGAATCTTCCGAGGGCGCTCTTTAGGGCTGTGTTCATCGTGCCCACGGATGATTCAGTTGCGGCAGAGATGGAAGCAGCACGGGTAGTTGTCTTTCTATAAGAGCTTCTGCGTCCAAGACTGCCACCAAACCACCCGCTAGATGATTCTGCCTGAGCGCGAGCAGCATTCTGACGATCCATCGCCTCGGCCCAGCTTGATTGGCCGTACGGTCCACGCGCTTGTTGCAGCGCGAGGTAAGTAGGGTTGTTAATGCGTGACTGATTGATCATAGCGTATAGTTGCGCGCATTCAGTTGGGTTGCGGCTCCTAAGCATAATGTTGTTGCCGCTCTTGATGCGCGATTCAGCGGTAGGTGGGGAGCGAATTGTGATATCAATGCCAGTGGATCTACGCATAGGGACTAGAGGAGTTAGTTCAACGGCAACGAGAGGGGCTTTGCCTTCCGGTTGTATTATTTCGTCGCCGTCTGCCATGAAAGGCTTGGAATGCATGGAGCTAATTTCAAAGACCTCAACCTTTCCTGGAGTTACAACAATGCTGCACTCCTCATGATGTAAACTGTCCCATTTACCGGCATCTGACCATGAAAAGATTGAAGCAATGGCCTTCGTAGCTTGGCCGGAGCCTGGAGGTACTGCTCGGTATGGGGTGTTTGAAGCAGACTGAGACGGGGTGATGGTGCCATTGGGCATAGTGTAAATAGTCGAAGGAGGTGAAACCTTTGGCTCGGTCTTTGGCTCGGTCTTTGGTTGGGGCCGAGGCCTGAGTGGCATTGGCACATCATCGTCAAGCTCGCCCTCCGATGAGTCCGACGTAAGAGAATGATCATCTGAAATTTCCTCGCTCTCGCTCGATGACTCGGTGCAGGTAGACGGCTCATATTCATGCTTCAGGGGCGAGGAAGATCGACGCTTAGTCTTGTATCCTGGTAGGGATGGTGTCAATACTGGAGTGTTGGAGCCCTTGAGTGTGACTGGCGATGATTGACTTGGCGATCGATGAGGTGGTACAGGCGGTGGTTCATCGCCATCCTCAGTAATCTCAGAATCTTCGTGAAGTGGCTCAGCAGCTTGCTTGAGTTTAGGCGGTGCGGATGCGGGCGGCTCTGGCACCTTGACGGGGTCCTCGTCATGCGATGCTTTGACTGGGGTGGTAGGCTGGCTTGTTTTCCTCAGTCTTGGAATGGACGGAAGGTCCATTGATGGGACGGAAGAGACTCGTCGATGGGTTTGAGGACGAACTGGCTCTGGCTCTTCAGTAAAAGATCGGTCACTCTCGGAATCTTCTGATTTATCGGATCCATCGGAATATTCAACTTCTGATGTTGGCAACCACACACTATAACCCTTGCTTGACTGAGACACCGTGGATGCCGATGAGTGAGCGGGTGGAGCAGACCGGCGCTTAGTCTTTCTTCTTACAGGAGTTGCATCCTCGATAGGGTCATCAACAGTAATCTGTCTTGACGGTCGTGGCGATGGGGCTGGCGAGGGGGAAAGGTTCTTAGACATGCGCTTCGCTTTCGTGCGTTTGAGACCAGTCGGGGAGCTGGTTCCAGCCTGCCTCAATGCCTCATTTAGACCTCGCGGCGTTCGCTCAGTGTCATCATCGTGATCGTGAGTTCTAGATCTTGTAGGCGTGCGTGCGATTTCCAGACTGAGGGGAGTTTCGAGGGGTGAGGCAGCTGAGCCTGTGCGAACTCTCCTTCGCACAACCAATTCACCACTTGGTGGCGTAACTGGTGATGTACTAGATGACTTGGGTCGTCGATCTGGGGTATCATGACTCCATTGCTTGGATGTGGAATTGGCTTGTTCTCCCATCGGGATCTCGATCTCATGCGGACTAGGGGTGCGGCTCTTCTGGGGAGGTGTTGATCCTGTCGCAGCTGAGACAAGGGAGGAGGATGCGTGGCTGCTGCTTGGGCGTGCGGGTTTATGTATGAAGCTCTCCTCGCGCTTTAGGTCAGATATTGGTGGTGGAATAGGTTGCAAGCCGAGCATTTGGACCCACTCAAATCCAGCCTGCTCATCGTCAATTGTCAAAGAAGATATCTCACTCCACTCGGTACCGTCAGCATGATATCCGCGAATCATGATGATGATCTCGCCCTGGAGGTCGCCGTTCCTGGAAGAGATGCGGTTGAGTTGGATTGGAGGGAAGAGAAGCCATCGGCCAGTTGAATCGACTTCACAGACGAGAACATCTCCGCCGTTACCTGTGCCTGGCATATTGTCACGGAGTAACAACTCAACGCGACAATTGATCTCTTGCCCGCTAGAATGCAGCAGGTGCAAGTCGAAGTAATCTCTTGCTCGAACATTACGAGAAGCATCTATGCGAACACCTGCGAGGGGTGCCAAACTACGTGGGTCCCGTGCGCGTGTCGGGTCAATGTTGGCGGCTGCCTCGTCTTCCAATCGGGCACGCTCATCGTTGGAACGCTTTCGAGCCGCAGTGACCAGGTCCTGGAACGTAACAGACATCTTCTCGGCCTGCTCGCTCGGCTTGACATGATTGATTCCCTGCAGTGAATGTCAGTGTTGATCTCATCGAATATTTGTGACGCGTCATACCCTTAAGGTCTTGGCCAGATACTTCAGCCGCACCAACGGTCGCTTCAGCATATATGCAACATCCACTCGGTCACCATCAGCGTTGATGACATAGCCTTCAGAATCACGGGGAAGGCCTTCATCCCAAGGGGCAGCATCTTCGGGTCCTTGGACAACCTTGGCAGGTTTGAATGGATCCTCGTCCGCTGGCGCAAGATTGACTACGACATCTTCAAAACCTAATCGCCAAACCTTGATATAGTCGTCGTAGATACGCTGCGCGCTCTGCGCCCAGGGCAAGAAAGCTTCTGGAGTGTCTTTAGGGACGCGCCTGTGTAGGCTTTTCAGACGTTCTAGAGAGACACCCATGTCCACAATGGGTTGTGTGACTTTGGTAGGATCGGTCTTCGATGATCGACTGAATAGACCGGCTGCAACTGCAGAGTCTGATTTAGATAGTACACAACTGAGGAGAACGGGAATTACTCCATCGACGAGCGTGCGAAGCTCTCGCATGTACTTTCTCTCGTCGGAAGCAAGCTCGTTCATGATATCATCTATCGTGGCAGTAGCGAGGCGGCTCCTGTTCGTGCGAATGCTGCGTGTGGACACGATGCTCTTCGTGCCTGCCTTGGGAAGTGACAGCACGGACATCAAATCAGCGTGGCTCGCCATTCTACTGCGTTTCGTGCTCCTACGACTGATCGTTGTGATTGTATCCGTATTGAATTGGTCCGTAACCTCCGAGGCAGTCACATCGTCATAATAATCTATACTTTCAGAGGCAGTCTCGGTGACCTCTGATCCTATAACTTCAGAAGGCGCAGCCGCTGGCGTTTTGGCTGCAAAGGTCTCTACGGAAACGATCGTTGAAAGGCGCTTGCCAGATGGTGGCCACATGCGACGCATAGCAACAGTATCAGGGCGAGGCCTCATTGAAATCTTTTCAAGCTCCATATTTGTGGGGTCAACAGATGACGAGGGGGCAGACGATATTGTGTCATCCGCTGAAATGGTGGATGCTTGAATGGGTGTAGAAGCGGCTCGCTCTTTCGACAGTGAATGCTGGCTCTTGCGACGGGCGCCACGACGACGCAGAGTGGGGCTGGACGATATATCGGTGTCCCTCTTAGGTAGAGACACGTCGCTGGCCTCCGTAGAGATCACAGTCGACGGTGCTTCCTCCGGCTCTCGAGCTTCTGGTGATTCGACTTGATTCTTCGGGCTCCTGGTCCGTCTATTTCTCCTGCGACTGTTCTTGCGCTGTATTGTCACTTCTGGGGGTGGATCTTTCACATCTGTCGAAGCGCTGACCTCGGATTTCTCAGGTTTACGTGATAATTCCAGCGTAGATACTGACTCCTTGGTTGAAACCGACTCTTTCGAATGCCTCCGCGTTCGCGAATCCGCGTCCACGAATGGATCTGGAGTGGTATTCAGCCATGCTTCCAGGCGGCTCCCAAACATTTTAGGAGTTGTCTCGGCGGCTTCTGGCTCTGCAGACCGTGAAGGCTTGTCATCCTCGAGGCTGATCTCCTGGGATTTCCGGCGGGATCGCCTCCTCTCTGTGGGTTTCCTCTCTACGGGTATCCTCTCTGCAGGTGCTCTCTCGGCGGAGAGCGCTCTGGGCAGGTTTTCTGGTGAAGATTGTGGACGTTCCCTCCTGGGCCGTCTCCTCCGTCGTTCCCGGATATCCGTCTCTCGTACTGAATCAGAGTTGGCTTCATCGAACTCCACCGTGATCTGGTTGAGCGGGTCATTCCTGGAACTCGTGATCGGTATGGCCTCCGACTTTCTCCTGGGTGCCAATTTGATAGGTGTGGCATCGTCTGCGGAAAGCGAGCTCCTCGGAGACATGCCAGTCCGAGCTCTCCGCCGCCGTATCCTCACCAACTCAGCTTCCACCTTCGACGCCGACATTGGCGGAGATACTATTGCCGCTTCCGCCTGCTCGACCAGTCTCGCAGCTTTGCCGCCTCCAGATCCACTGCTCACCGGCCGCTTTTCATCCCCAGAACTGGATGCTCCCGAGTATCTCCTCTGCCTCGCATTGCGAACCCTCTGCCCCGTGCCCTTGGGTGTGAATATGATCATTGGCTTCTGGTCTGGCTTGAACGGGACCGAGGGCTTTGCGACGGTAGGCTTCGAATCCGACTTGTCCGTAGACTTGCGAACGGACGGCCGCACCCACGCCGTAGGCACAGGCTTGGGCGACGGACGGTTCGAGCCATCTTTAGGCGGTGACTTCTGCGTCCGCCAGTGTGAATCGCTGATCACCCTCTTCTTGGGCGCAGTCGCGACCTGCACCTCCTCGTCCAATTTATTATGCGTCGGCTGCTGCTTCTTCGCGCTCTTGGGCCGCTGCTGCTGCTCGGGAAGCAGCGCCTCTGTCGACTTGCTCGGCGTGTGTACGGGCTTGGGGCTCACAATCTTCACGTCGATTGCTTTCGTTTTCGGCGTGGTGGGAAGGGCCGGAGAAGCTGGCGAGCTTACTTCCTCGACTGGTGCTGTTGCCGGAGGAGGAGGAGGAGGAGCTGGAACTGCATCATCGACAGGTGCGCCGGCGTCGCTGGTGGACGGAGCGTCGAGCTCGGCCTGCCATTTCCTGATCTTGGCTTGTACGTTGGCAGGCTTGTTTATGCCAATGGCCTTGCCAAAGTCCGTCGGCTTCATGGGAATGGGATGTGCGGTGCGCGGTCGCAGGGGGAGGAGCGAGTGGGTAGAGTTTTGCGTGGGCGTGGGCGTGGGCGTGTGTGGTGATGTTTTGATTTTCTTGGCCGTGGTTTATTGTATCATCATAAGTTGGTTGCGCCTTCCAGATTGGTGTTTTTGTTTCTGGATTTAAGCGGCGGTGTGGGAACGAGTGTTGGGTGTGCTGTGGTGCATTTGAATGAAAGGGAATTGTCGGGTAGCGAGTGTTGAAGGTGGAGTGTTGTGAAGTGAAGTGCAGTAATAGTGAGTGGAGGATGAATGATTGTTTGGGAGTGGAGTGGCGGTGGTGAGCGAGTGCGAGTGGGTTGTTGTTGTTGTACTCGTAGCGGTTTAGTGGCTACTACATACACAGACAGTACTATGTACCTATTTGGTGCATAGTACACACAGTAGGTACTTGGTGGTTTGGTAGGGCAGGTCAGCTTCAGTCCGGTTAGGCTGGTTAGGCTGGTTAGGCTGGCCTGGACTGGACTTGGTTGGCCAGTTGGATCCTCGTATCGCCCCCCAAACGTCAACAAAAGCCCCGCGGCCTCCCGTCAGCAAACCAGCAACCTGCGGAACTATGGGCGGAGCTTGTCTCGTCTTTTGCCTGGCTGATGGTTGTCGCCTTCCGCTCGAGGGATCGAAACGCCTTGCTATGTATACAGCCTGCGATCTGACTTGAAGAAGCAGTTCACCGTCTGTGTGGGAGACGCAAACCGGAAATGAATTGACGATCGAGAGCAAGCAAGCAAAGAGCAAGCAAAGCAAAGCAAAGCAGACCCGATCAAGCCTCGCGTAATTGGTAGTCGAAAAATCCTTGGTCGAATCCACCATCCTTGTCTGCAAGCTTGTTTTTCTTTACTGTGTCAGTTACTGTGACAAGTGTAGTGTGTACCTACCTACCACCCTACCTACCTCGTACTTTCTTTCTTGCTTTTGGCGGGCTCGGGCGGGAGCGAGGGACGATCGATTTCGGATCCTACTCCTGCGAGGCACTACTAACACACAACAAACAACGTCCATAGTTACGTCCCACTGATGTTGACTCCATCCGTTTCGTGCCGATTCTTGTGGACAAGATAGTCCTGTGTATTAAGAAACGCTCCCGATAATCGTTGCGGCGATAGTCGTCACTGTAACTACTCTGTACCAGCAGCTCAGCTGTGACGACCTGTTCCGTCTTCTGTTTGCCCTGTCCACTCGTCATGCCACGGAGAACACCCCAGTCCACCACACCACTCGCTCCCCTCGACGCAATTCGCCCGCGCAACGCAACGTCCCACAACGCCATTCAGGTGTGCCAAGTTTCCCGATCGAGTAGGTTTGCGAATTTCCGTCGAAAACCTATTGCATGAGGGACCAAATTCTCTTGGAGCTTGTGGTTTGCAAGCTTTCTGATTTGCTCGAGGGGGACTGGCCCCAAGCTCCCAAACTCCCACGCCCATTCTTCCAATCCGTGGTGGTGTTCTGCTTTTCGAGGAGACGGGGCGTAGTCGTGCATTTGTCGCGCCAGATAGTTGCAGGCTTTGCGAGTCGATCGGGATGGAGGGTAGCGTTGAGGTAGGCACGACATGTTTGGCGGTGTCCGCTTTCAGGCTGCGGCGGCATAGTTGTACTTTCGCAGTGTTTCATTCCCCTTTCCTTGGAAATTTGTAGAGGAATAGGAAGAGTGAAATAAACTTCAGAAATGCAAAGAGGGTATGACAGATAGTTATACAAAAGCGATGTTTGAAAGCACGTTGTTTCGGTCTGGAATGTATCTAACAATCTAACCATTCCTACCCTCCCACACATTCCCATCACCCCACCTCTCTGATATACTGTCTATGATCGAAGAATCCGCAATCTTCAAACACGGAGGACTTAGTGGGAAAACATTGTAATTAGATATTATGTACGTATTTCTCCCTTTCGCTCTCCCTGTCTCTATATCGGATCTTAAACCGTTCCCGGTCTCTTTTTCCCAAGTATATGCAAAGAAGATGAGACTCTGCCTATAGAACTTTTCGGCCTAAATCCGGCAGTATCCAATGCCCGTTCCAATCCCTATATTCAACCCAAATGATCCCTACAAAAAAAAGGTATTGGAGAATCTAACGGTGTCCCGACCCGTCTATGTTAAACAAACATCTCTAGGACCAATCACCAAACCCCCAAATCTCTACCCTCAGATTCCACAGGAAGTATGACGTGAAATGCGGAATTATATCTCCCCTCACAACATCCTAATTCCTCTTCTTCACACTCCCATTCGCCTTCCCAGCAGCACCGACCTTCTCCAGCCTATCCAACCTCGTCCAGATCTCCCGAACCGCGCCGACGAGCAGCAGACCCGGAATGACGATCCAAAACGCGTTCATGAAGACGAAGTAGCCCCAGAAGTAGAACTGCTCCGGGCGCGAGTAGATGCGGCCGAGGATCCACAGGTCGAACATCGAGGTCGCGTAGTACAGGACGTCGCCGTAGAGCTGGCCGAGCGACACGATGATCTGGAGCGGGTAGCGCAGCGGGTGGTTGGTGGCGATGAGGGCGGCGACGAGGAAGGAGAGGGGGCCCCAGCAGACCTGTGAGTAGGGGGTGTTAGAGAAGGGAGGGTTGGATTTGAGAGGAGGGTAGAGGGGGAAGACGTACGGCGGTGATGGTCTCCATGCAGAGGACGAAAGCGTCCTGTGTGAGGTACCGCGAGTCGCTCAGGCTGTATTCTTTCCAGAGCTGGCCGAAGAGATCTTGCTTCTCGCCCATGGCGCGGAAGTTGTACGCGAAGTAGCCCTCGAAGAAGAAGTGAATGAATCCGCCTGTTCGAACACGAATACAAGTTTCAATTAGCATGCTGCACGAAATGGAATTGGAAGGGGAACAGCAATTGAGAGCGGGTTTGACGTACAAAGAACGAACCACATAACGATGGACAAGTCGCTGATGCTAACATTCGGTCGCAGCTTGGTCGTCACAATGTACGTTATGGCGAAGATGACGCTGCAGCCCGCCGCGAACATGGAGCACAATTGGAGAGTGTTCCATTCGTTTGCGAGGTAGCCCACAATCTCGGCCTCGAGGGGCCAGTAGGGATGTAATGGTATGGCGGAGGCTGCTGGCGGTGCCATTGTGACGTTGGATGGTGCAAAAAGAGTGTCGTGGAGTCGGTCGAGTATAAAGGAGGCCATCTTCAATCGGTCGCGGAAGAGAATTGAGGGATCGGAATAGGGACATACGCTTTGCTGGGAAAGGTTAGTGAATGGGATCTTGTGGAGAGTCGCGTAAAGGGGAGCCGGGGAGCCAAGTCCTGTCCTCGCCTGTTCATGTGATGGCTAGTCTCGTTTTGTCCTTCAATTCTACTCTTATGACTTCATTACTCTCGTGCATAAATACGGCTGTATGGGTCTAAAATAATTGAAGCATTGCTTGCAACGGGGTCAATCTCAACGGGTACTCCTCTTTCATTGATTGGTAAAGTCTATGAGCATATACATACAATTGAGCAACTCGCAACACCACATCGCAAAGGAGATAAGTCCAGGCGCCTGTAGTCACCCACTATACGAACACCTAAACAGTATACAAGCTAAAGAAACATGCGATAAGCTTTTCGTCTTATCTAGAGAATTGACGATAGTTGAAGGAAAGAGTGATCGAGTATTTGCGACCTCCTGTAGGTATCCAATCAGACAAACACGACGTCCGATAATTCCACATCTTCTCGCTCTCGAAAGGGAATAATAGAAATAAAAACGCCCAAGTGCATTGTTTGTCCCCATAAGTCAACCCGAGGGTCATGCATGCCGATGCCGATGCGCGCTCGTGCTCGCGATGATATTAGACGGCGCTGTAGCCTCCTCTACTACCAGACCCTTGCATCGTGTCCTTGACACTTCGTGCCCAGTCCTTGAAGACGTAGGGGATATCGCGGATTGTATCGCCATGAGGTAGGAGGTCCCATCCACGAGCACCATAGCGGTTGTAGTTGAGCCATGAACCGAAGATGAGATAGGATGCGATCGCGAGGAAAAGGCTGCAGTGGGATTTGTTAGCAAAGCTTCGTGATAGACTGCGGTGCTACAGGATCACCGAGTTATTCGCAATCGACTCGAGGAAAACTTACATGATAATAAACCAGGTGAAGAAACCCCAGCCTCCAGATCCTCCAGACCCTCCAGACTCTGGTGGCGCATCTTCGCAGGCATACTTCGTCCGCCAGTCCAACCTCAAGGTCTTCACCTCTTTGCCATCCTTGAGCTTGTCCAATTTGTAGCTGCAGAAGCGCAAGCTATTGTCGCTGTCCTCGCACGTGTCCTCACGCTTTCGGAACTTCTTCTCCTCCTTCTTTTCCCCTCCATCCTCCTCCTTCTTATCATCCTCCTTCTTCTCTCCATCCTTGCCACCCTCCAAGCCCTCAAGGCCAGTCCTATCCTTATCGCACACAAACTCGATGATCGCCCTCTGATCCAACCCCTTCTTGCTCTCAAACGGAAACCTGCCACCATGCAACTCGACCCTCACGCCCTCCCTGCCAGCATCCGCGTTCGACGGCGAGTTCCTCAGCAACTCCGTCTTCGCATCAATGCTCCTCCCATTCCCGCCAAATGTATACGTACCCGCGATGTCGATGGGATGGATTGTGCTGTTGCCTGTCTCATCCAGCGACTTGTCCTCGCGGATCGCGCATACTCGCGTCCCCGGGTGGCAGTGGACGGCGGGCTTGGTGTCGAGCTTCTGGCATAGGTTGAGCGTGAAGTTGTAGCTTGATTGTGTGAGGGCGTCCCAGTCGGAGTCCGCCTCCCAGTGCACGACGTGTTCGCCCGCGAGCTGGCCGAAGTTGAACTTGACGCTGTCGGCGAGGACGTCCTTGCAGTCCCAGGCTGTGGATGGGGCGGGGAAGGTAAGGAGGAGGGTGGAGAGGACGGAGAGGGAGAATAGCGATGAGGGCAGAGACGTTGAGGTCCGTGGTGTCGCGTGAGGTGCCATCCTGGTTTGGTTTTGCGGAGGCCCGGAGGTGTAAGGGAAAGGAGAGGACGGCCGGTCGACAGCAACCAACACGGGCGTTAGGGAAAAGCCGTAGCTGGGTCAAGTTGAATTTAACGAGGGGCGATAATAGAGCAGTGTGTGTTGCTGCTGATGACAAAAGGAAGTTGACGCAGCTGCGTAGATGAGAATGTTGACAGACACTATCGTGGTTGAGTGGCCTTAATCAGACATTCAGGTTGGAGGTTCAAATGACGGAACCGGCCAACTCCTACCGAAATGCTGTAAGAGTGACGCCGCACGTGGCGCAGACAGCATTGCTCCATGACTGGGTGCAGCAATACGAGATACGCCGGTACGATAACCCTTGCAGTTCTTGTCCAATGATAGTCGAGGACTATGTTATTAAGGGAAATCCTTCGAGAACATACAGTACCGAATTGGGTAGCATTGACACACATACAAATGTTCTTTAGTTAGCTTGTTTGATAGAAAATATGCTAGTTCAACCGCGCGTGTTGACTTCGATTTATTATCCTCGCTATAGAAAATATTGGTCGGATGGTTACTGGCAATGCAATCGCTGATGTAGATGGAGCTGGTGCAGGCCAGTAATCGCCATACTGGTTGGGAGGTTACGTAGAAAGATATAAGCAGGACATGCCACGGAATTCTTTGAACAGATCTTGCATGACTCATGAGGATATTTCAGGTGTCATTAGCATGTGAACCAAAAAAAGCAGTTGAAATCGTTCCAACTTCTGAGTAAGTCAGCACAGTCGCTTACGCCACAGCATTTGATATATATACGGGACCACTAACGGGTTTATAGAATAGATTTCTTCAGCCCACCGCGGCGCTCCATTCCCTTCTTAAGCCAACAGGCAAGTGGATACCTCCCTAATGGCTCGTCGCTCAAACTCCAAATCTCCACGTTGTCAACCTGGACGGAGTATAGTGCCTCAATGCCCGGGTTTGTTTTGAATGCTTTTGGATCCATCCCCTCTATCAGTGCGCCTTCGAAATAGATACGCAAATTTCTGAGTTTGATGCATTGCTTGAGTAGCTTGATACATGTCGTTACGTGAAGAGCTGGAAGTTGTAGGAAATTGTCGTCAGAAACTGAGTTCTCATCCCATTTACACTCAAGATCGGACCTGCTTTCCCAAGGAAAGTGGATGGTTGTGATGTTTGCTCGCCCCATCTCGCCGACCGCGATGAGGAGCTTGATTAGGTCGTCCATATCGTCAAGATGAAATGCTGTGACCTGGTAAGCAAGATGGAGTACCTCTTGACGCATCTGTCTGCTGACACTAAGCATGTCAATTTCTGAGCTCAGTGGAAAATAGAAACCACTTGGATCGCCAACACCACCCATAAATGTGACTTTGTTGAAAGTGTCGATATCCCCAATGTGCCATTCTCCACCGTGGAGGGCAAACTTGTATATCCTTTCCCGAATCTCTCGGGGGAGTCGTGAAAGTTTCGATACAGTAGCATAGCGTACATGAGGTTGCAACTAACCCCACAGTCAACACAATGCGTGAAAGAATATTCACTGCAACATACCTGTGCGATTGCTTCTATGCAAAGAACTTCGTTTTCCGTTAAGAGAAATGGTACATGAAGCCCGAAGCCATATTGAATATCAGCAGCCAACCTGTGGAAGCCAACCTGTGGAAGCCAACATTACTTCTTTGTGTGATCGTGACTGTCTGCTGCCCGCACCGTACAGTCTACATAGTCAGTAAATAGTACGTGGTTCGTATCTCAACATACTGACCTGTGTTTTAGTCAATCTTTGACCACTACTCCTAATGTTGTATTCAAATTTTCTTGCCTTCTGGTATGCTTCGTATTCTCTCATGATGAGGTCGAAGGCAGATTTGCCAACCGGGCGAAAATCAGAGTAAAAACGTCTAAAATCTTCAACGTTTAGCCTTAAAGCACTACCATCATATCCAAGCTCTTTCTGCATCTCTGGCAGAGTGCGTGTCGGCTTTCTTTTCACCATGTTGTTTGAGTTGAGGTTGCGTGAGGTACGAAGCTCGTCAACAAGGGCGGGCGGATAACAAAGAAAATGAAAGAAAATGCCTATTTTGGCAAGTAATCTGGATATCCCAGTCCCAACACATTTTGCATCGTAGTAAGCAATGGAGTACAATCTGTCCCTTTTTCTTTTCTAGAGACATTTGAATTTGGCTCCTTTGTAGAGAAAGCAACCACACAAGTGACCAGTATGCCAATCCAGTGTGCCATGGGCAATACTACGGGTATTCCTTGGTCCTGCATTCATTGGACGACAAGGCGATCGATCAAGAGCAAGATTAATTACTACGCCGCATCTGTAGTGACTACTCGATTAGCTATGGAGGTGTTTTATCGCCTGTGCTACCATGATTTCTATCTGCTTCCATCTTCCTGCAAGAAGTTCTCGTTGATTTGTTTCACCAATGTCAGTGCCCTCCATGTCCTTCAAGGTTTGCTGAATGGCTTCTACGTATGTATTCAAGATTTGTAGCAATAAGACGTTGACTTGGCCCTGAGAGGCTTCCCCCTCACTCTCGGCATCTGCGAATTGTTGCCAGTCTTCATACGTGCAGCACAGCATCCGCAATGCTACTTGTGTTCGAAAACAGCATCCGGTTTCTTGGTACAAGAAGTATTTGCCCAAGAACCCTTTATCCCTGAGGTCATTCTTCTGCTGTTCTGTGAATCTTGGAAGAAGGATATCATCAAGGGACACTGCGTCCCATCGATTTTCTGGAAGTACGAATCCATATTCGGTGAGGAGGAAGTCATTGGAGTGGTCACCATAGGAGGTATAAATCTCCTCTCCAGCATGATACACGCGATCTGCTATAAATTTGTAACCTTGTTGAGAGAAAGAGGCATCACAACCGACGTCTGCGTGGTTGAACAAATCAGCAATTGGCAACGCCAATCTGTCGTTATGCGGAAAACGGTTCATCGTGGATGTCTCGAAGTAAAACGACCTCGTGCCGACGAGCAGCCATGAATGCAAGTACTGGTCGTAGTTCATATCTGGGAAAGCTTTCGAGATTGTGGTCCAATCCCGTTCCAGTTCACGTTGTTGCTTCTCTAAAATATCCTTGGCCGGCGTCGGGAGGAAAGTATGCAGCTCCGGTGGCCATAGTAAAGGGATGCTGCTCGCAAAGGAGGGAAGGATTGGGAAAAAGGCGTGATAACTACTGAATCGTTTGGTCTTGTCTAGGATAAGGAACGTGGCTAGAAGAGCATGAATGGACGTCTGTCGAGGTAGCCTCTTGGAGATAGCCTTTGGCACCTGGTCGAGTGATCGAAAAACGCTGGCGGGTACCACTAGGATTACCTCTCCTTCCTTCCACACAATCAGAAATGAAAATCGTGATACTTACGTTTGTATTACCTTGATTTCGCGCGTGGCGACGATGCCCGTGCCTCGTCCAGGAATCAGAATTGGTTGAATCCCGTTCAGCTTCACGTCCTGTCCTACGGCCCAGGATAACAACTCTTCGTGCCGGTCCATTGTGAATATGGAGTCTCAAGATCTGCTCCCATAGTCACTGGTCTCATTAGCTTCATGGCATATATAGGTAGTCAATCCTCAGTGAGTGAGGTTCAGTATGTGAAATCACTCGGCACGCCAAACAAAGGATAGTGTACGTCACACACACACGTGACAGTTCAACAACTACCCAATCTAGTGAAATGAGGATTTGCTTTCCTCACTCGCTATTTCTTCTATAGCGTTCCAGCTTGTGTGGGTTGGTTTCCGCAGTCTTTGGTCACCATGAGTCAGATAACACCGCAACGGATAATCCTCAGCTGTCGCGAACAGTATTATAACGACTGGGAGACGTTGCTTGACGCTTTCTTCGAGTTGCAGAACCTCAAAAATCTCAATGACTACATGATAAACATATGTCGCTTCGATTCCGCACCTTACGTCTTCTACATTGTTGTCGACGTTTATTGCCACACGGTTCCTGTTGTTGAGCTTCCTAGGCTGAAGCTGAGGGTATTCAAAGTCGCAAATCCTGGGAAATAGTATGTTTCCTTCCCCAATCATCTGCGAGACTGGACTAAGTTAGCTCTATCTAGTCGATTCATAGATCTTGGGGAGTCGGCTAGCAATCAAGCTCGCGAACGGTCTCTACAATTGGAGTGGGGGGAACGGATGGGCCCGTGGAACAATCTCCCCAGCAAGGCATAGCGTACACGTGATCTTTCCTTTCCTTTTATTTTGGCTTCTGGTATCTCGATGTCTCCCCTCATTCCCCTCAACATTTGTTCCAATTGTTTTGGTCCTCGCTGTCTCCAGGCCAATGGCTCAAATGACACCGCAACGGATCATTCTTAAAAGTCGCGATGGGTATCATGCAGATCTGGTTTTATAGTTAAGGCTTTCTTTATGTCGCAAAACCTATGTTGTAACGATTTCATCCCAAATATCTTAACACAACCCTTTTCGGTATACTACAATATATTTCATTCTTGATATGAACTCCCACGTGGTTCCATATGTTGTGCTAAGCAACCTTGAACTTAAGTTGTTTAAGGGTGTACAAGCTAATACACAGACCGTATCAGCTACTGTTAAATTGCTAGACTTCAATCAGCTACATGCAATAGTCAATTTCGCTGACTTGGAGGATCCGCGACCGATATGGCTAGCTCACAGTCTCTGAGGTCGAATTGAGGACCTGCCTAATCGGAGGAATCTAGCAGTGGAGCATTGTCACAAACAGCACATGGACCAGACACATGCAAGAATCAAAGCGAGTGAAAAGTGTCAGAATAAACTTAGAGGAGAGGCCTAGGAATTCTTGCTATGGGATGCCCTAATCATATCAGAAAGCTGCTCTACCTCTGTCGCGCCCCGCTGCATTTCAATATACCGGCTGTAAAAATGGAGACCATAGTAACCCCTTTCCTTTGACTCGCACCCACCCACGGCCTTACTACTCTGTGACGCCAATATGTTCAAAAGCCTGGTCTTTCAATGAGTGATCCCCCTCAAGGAAGGCGTCGATGTAGGTCTTGTAGTTCCCGGTCAGTCGGCTTTTCTCGAAGACGCCGTTTTCAGTGCAGTATTCTAGTATGTAGATAACCCAGTTCACCCAGTATTCTCCGTACGTATTCCGGTCTTTCTTTGCGAGCAAAAGCAGTGACTGAACTAGTTGAGTGACGGCTGGGATGCGCACTGGATACAGGTCCTGCGGGAATCGTCGTCGGTTCCCTACGATATCTCGTCCGGGTAGTTGACTAGGATCCGATGCCAGGATTATGCTTTCGCCGTCCACATTTGATAGATCTGAGAGTCGCCATAGAACGTCGGATCGTTTAAAGAAACCCAGCCGTTCGGATTCGGTGATGTGGAGATGGGTATGAGGAGTCGGGGCATAAGGAAGGTCCTTGTTGCTGATGCAATCTTCTGAATTGCACTTCATGAAACCGGCACCTTCAAGAGTGGCATAGGCAGCATCTATGAAGTTATCGTCAACAACGACGTCGATGCCCTGGGATATGCGTTAGAATTGGTCAGCTTAGATTGACGTGAGATACGTACATTGACTATGGTTGGAATGCCAAAAATAGTCAGCATGTAAAGACCCCAGAGGACATAGTGAATCTTAGCAGCATCAAGCCTTGCAGCTACTGATGCCACGAGTCCGTCATCGAGAGGTGGCAACTCAGACCCGTCTTGCCCTGAACCGACGTCTTCAGCCATCGTTAGAGTATCTGATGACAATGGGTTGCGATGCAGTGTAGGTCGTTCGAAACCTTGCAGGTACTTATATATTAATGTGGGTTGCATGCCCTGGCGTCTGCTGTGAGAGCTCCATAGTGAGAGTGATTGTAAGCGTGGACCAATCGTGTGTAGTCTTTTGAACTATCTATACACGGAGGATGGCTATGTGCGTGCGAGCCTGCACCGTCCTCTCCCCGTGGCACGTGACATTCGCTGCCTAATGGTAGCAGATGAAAAGGATTCTTTGTTCAGGTGCGATTCTTAATCACTACAAAACGCCTGATCCGTGCATCAACACGAAAACGTCAACGCCTAAAGCTCAAACAACGTTTTCCCTCCTCATCTCCATCAAGCAACCACCACAAACATGGTAAAGATACAACTCCTCTCTGATCTTCATCTGGAGGCTCCAGCGGCATACGATGTCTTTGAGATTACTCCAACAGCAGAGTACCTTGCGCTGCTCGGAGACATTGGCTACACCAAGGACGTCGGTTTGATCGAATTTCTTCGAAAACACCTGACCCAATTCAAAATCATCTTCTACGTTCTCGGTAACCATGAGCCCTACCACTCATCTTATGCGGCTAGCAAACAACAACTTCTCTCGCTCCAGGCTGAAACCGAACAACAAGCAAGTGGGAAGTTCGTCCTCCTCGACCAAACGCGGTATGATCTCTCGCCAACGGTGTCTATTCTCGGCTGCATGCTGTTCTCCAAGATCACAGCTGCTCAAAAGGACTCTGTCAGTTTTGGACTCAATGATTTCTACCACATCGAGGGTTGGACCGTGGAGGAGCACGTGCAGAAGCACGAATCCGAGCTTCGTTGGCTCAACGCTGAAGTTCAGAAGCTCGCGGAAGGATCCGACCGCAAGATCATCATCATGACACACTACTCCCCGACCGATGATGCTCGTGCTATCGACCCTAAATTCCAGCACAGTACTATCTCGTCTGGCTTCATGACCGATCTGTCCCAGGAGATTTGCTTATCCTCGGAACGTGTGGCGGTGTGGGCGTTCGGACACACTCACTTCAACTGTGATTTTGAACACGACGCCCATCAGACCAGACTTGTCACGAATCAGCGTGGTTACTACTTCGCGCAATCGAACAGCTTCGGTCCGGGAAAGGTGGTCGAGCTTTGAAGGGTCTCAGTCTTGGAAAATAAGACATGGAAGATGGGGAAATGAATACAAGATGCGGTAGGGTGCCCTTCGGAAGAGCCCATGGTTGCCATGATTCTCCCCGGCCCCATGATTCTTACAATATCTCATACCAATGTTTGTATAGCCGGGTTTTCAATCGCTAAAGGAGGTATTAGAAAAGTGTTATGATGAAGACAAACTTGTACACTACACCCCTCTCAGATAATATCTCATATCAGACTGCAGTGGACTATCCATCTGAAATAGGGGAAATCAAAGGATATTCAAATTCGATCGTTCACGTCCGTATCTAGTTTTAGGTGTTACATTTTACATTCATGATCGGTTGTCCTCGGCCAATCAGAGTGCGTTGCTAGTCCCTTCCTACAGCCAATCAGAAGGATTTGTTCGTAGTCAATCTAAAAAGGAGGATATATGACACACCAACACTACAAAGGGCGGGCACATCGGGCTGGTCGCCTGCTAGCTTCACGTATCTTCTATGCCTGAAGTAGCTATTCAAGAGTGTACTGTAGCTAGTAAATAGTCTTAAAGGACTGTCCTAAAACCTCGCGAATACACTATTGTGGGCATAAACTACTAGCAGAAGGCCAACCCAATGTGTCCGCCCTCTATAGGTTGTAAGCGCCAGCGCATACTATTAATCTTTCTATGCAAGTATTAGCCAATTACAATTTCCATGGACAAGCGCTCCGTTTGAAGTTTATCTTGGGTTTCAAGTTTCGGGGAACGTCCCATTGCATCTGATTGATTAACGGCACTGAGGGAATTCCACGCACATGCCAAGGTGATCCCAAGTGGCACAGTGGGCGGATGTGCATAGCAGCAACCGAAACATGTTCAGCTTTGATCAAAAGATTAATGAAATGTTGGCCATCTATAAATGACTCCTATGATCATCAAAGTGACCTTCCATTTTCTTGAGTTCATTCCATTTCAACACTACGCTTACATCACAAGCTTCATTTCACGACTACACGAGCGGCTTACTAGCCCAGACACTTGAACAGGGGGAGGTTGAACTCGTTCACATAAACGAGGTAAAATGGACTCCTTTCAGCTCAGGTCTCAGAGCTCTTGGTGTGAGAGGCTTGAGTGCGTGTTCGGTGGTAGCCATTGTCTCCCCTTAGGCTGCTATCGTTGCTCACATCGGTCCAAACATCTTGGGGTCCCCTGACCCATATTCTTTCATCCACCTTGCGCAAAACAAAATGGATGAGATGATTGGCCTCTTTCGCACTCATCAAAACTTCTTCCTCGGCCATGTCAAAACGTATGTGGTGTGTGCAATTGTAGAGGGGGACTTACAGATTGCACCGGAACAGCTGCAAGTTATACGCCAATCAATCAAAGAACTCGGCCTCTCCAACGCTCTACTCTATTACGAACGAACAATGGAACACTTCATCAACACACAAACACATTTCGGAACGGTCTTGGTGGATGGCAGGCTTGCCGAGCCGAGGACATACGTAGAGGACCGCGATGTTACAGACGCAAAACCAAAGTCGCCGACCTGGCAAGGGAAATATGTAGACGGGGAATGTCAATATGAACTCGTTTTGGATGGTGTTATTCTCTCATCACAAAATACTCCCCCGGTCAATGAATACATCTGGATGCAAGAAGACGCGAGGTGGATACAGTGGGATGGCTATCAGTGGGTGTAAAAAGCGTAGCCTACTACCCTAATTTATATTTACTGAGTAGACTGATCATATTATCATTACGAGTACTCTTGGCCATTTCAAGTGCAGTCCGCCCCCCACGTGGTTTTACTGTTGCGTCTGCTCCACGTTCAAGAAGAAAGGATGCGATATCAACCTTATTATGCCGGACCGCAATATGTAGCGGCGTCTCTAATCCGCCTGAGCCCCACAACAGCCTAGACTGTGGGTCATCATCGAACATGATAGTATCCATAGGACAATCAAGATCCAGGAGTAGTTCAATGACTTCGAGAGTATCGTCTTGTCTACGTTGAACGGTAAAGTGGAGCAATTGGCCTTTGTCAACGCGTCCTCCTTTCTCCAACAGCAGTTTTAATAAGGGTAAAGATGGAGTTCGTTGTACTGCCACGGATATTGCACTGATATCCATATCGCCCCTGGAATTTGGATCGGCACCGCGACGCAAAAGCCACCTTGTGAGATGCTCATCTCCCACATAGTCCCTGTCCAATTAGTCAGTCAACATGTGCTTATGTATTCATTCATACATACCCAAAGCGTGAGCAATGCACTGATGGATCCGCATCGTTGACATTCCATCCCCGATCAGTGAATACTTGGATGATAGCGGCTGAGTTTGCGCTGCCAGACAGAAGAAGGGGCCATCTATTCTCGCAAAGATACAGTAATATCTCAGGGTGGTTTTTGCGGGCCGCCGCGATGAAACTGCCAGAGAATGATCTGAGATCGTCTTGTTTATGCTTGTTCCCGTAGGTGCAGAAGATGGTGACAGCCTCTTTCAAGTTTCCATCTAAGATTGCTTTTTGCAACGAGACAGCCTCTTGTGGAACCTGTACTCTTCCTGTCGAGGGCTGTGAGGGATACTCCTGCGTTGCCATGACAGCGCGGTATGAGATTGGAGATGGAAGGTCTGGCAACAGGTAGTGGACGACGTCAGTGAATGTTCTCAACCTAGCCCCACTACCAGCCTCCCTTGAAGCAAAATCAGTGGTTTCAAGTTGACTTCCAGAAACCGTGCCAGCCAAAACTTTAAGCTGCGCATTCAAGTCCCAGTTGAGATGATTTAGGAGAACGTCGACCAATCCAATATCTCCCAGATATCCTGCCCAGAACAGACTGCCAGTAAGAACGTCAGGCGTTTTAGCGGGAAACGCTGATAGTAATAGGCAGGTCATATCTTTGTGACCATATCGGCATGCATCTTCGATCACCAGTGCAAAGTCATCGTCCTTCAGGCTATGTATGAGCGCACTCATGATATTTTCCAGAATGATCTCACAACCGGATTCTGCCACTGTCCGCGCAATACTAAGCCAAAACCTAGTTTCTCGGTCCAACTGAGGATAAGTAGGACGTCGATCAATCAGAAACATGGCAACCGACTCTTCCATGGATCTGACAGCGGCAAGTATCGCACGCTCAAAGTCTGATGGCTCAAATTCTATGGCGTCCAGTAAGGTCTGAATGATTTCAGTTCGTCCAGCCTCAGCAGCCGCTTCCAAAGCGTGAATGTCACGGAGGTGGCGGAATCGTTTATTGCCTGAAGTCTTTTGATGACGCAATACAAGCTGTACGGTTTCGGAGGTACCAAACACAGCAGCTGCGGTAAGGGGATCACCAAAGTACCTAGTTCGAATGACCGTGTCAATGCCTGTCCTTTGAAGACTTTCTTCGATCATGTTTGGTTCGTCCGCTACTATTGCCGCAATGAGAGCATTGCTTTTCATACATCCCCTATACCGCGATTCATCAGATATGAGATTGTTGAAAATATCCCAGGCAAACATGAACCGAATGGCTGCTTTGACAAGTGCTTTCATGCATACATCTTTCAATGCACTATTAGTGCCACTGTGGCCGATGTAGCTGACCGTGTCTCTGATAGTGCGGCAAAGTGGACTCTTGGAATTCTCGATTCTCGTTTTTGCGTACAAAACCTTGGTGAGTACATTCTTGCTAAGGTTTTGTTGTGCTAGAAGGCTACTTGGTAATCTCAACACGACATCCTCAACGATCTTGTCGAATTGCCCTGGCAGTACTCAGTCTCAGAAGCGACAATTGCAAGTAGGCAGTCGTACGGCACACGAGCCTCAGCCCCACACCCAACGCGGGGCCGATTCCATGAACCACAAGCTCGATGATTTCGATGAAAAGTTCCTCGGGTAATGCGAGCAAGGACATAGTGAAACAGTTCAAGCCGATCGATTCATGATTACATTGTGGGTGATGGAAGCATTCCCTTGCAACAAGTCGCGACAGGAGTTGACGCGCGCCAAGACGGCGCTTACCGTCCGATCTGGAGGATCCAGATCCTCTGGTGAGCATCATAGAACGACGTTCTACATTGTGAAAAATGCAAGGTGCATAGCATCACTAATACGGCCTTCGGCGCATTTGCTGCATAGAGCGGACAATCTTTGACTTTAGTTTTACCTGACCAGTTCTTGTCGTTTGACGCCAAGTTTACGGAACCTCATAGTTCATGGGCGGCATTTCCGTCAATACATGCAGACAACAATGTCGAGCACTCCGTGCACAAATACTTTGCTGCAATGAGGACTATAGGTCTTGACGGCGAACCTGCTTTAATGCAATTGAGATAGTACTCTAGCAAAATAGCAGATGACGCAGAGAAGATCAGATATCATGTTCATCAACCTTTGCGAAAGGCAAGGTACCTATAAATAGGTTCCTTTCTAGCCTCAACTCCGACGACTAATCGTGGCTCCACGCTCTTTCAGTAACTAACAAATACACTTCACGCCAAGTCTCCACATGCAAAGAAAACCATCGTTCTCGAGTCTCGACAGTATCCACAGATAAGTATTATATAATGGATGCATGGATTTCCAAATATGAAAGAACAATTGAAATATATTTCAAATTCTTTGAGTAGAGAAAAGATAATATTGTTACAATTATCATGTGGTCGTAGTCGAATATATGGTTCTTAGCATCCGTCATACATCCGCCCTGCCATCCAGTTATAGACGTAGTATCAACGATTCCACCCCAAGGTATCAACAGTAACTATGCGCACCTCAATGCAATGTACACTATACCACTATCTTAGCGCACCTTTTTCTATTTTTAACAATCGACCTCCACATCGGAAGAAGAAATAGCAATTACATAACGCCACTCTCCGTGTATACACGGGAAGAGATCAGATTATGCGACCTCGACGACGACGAGCGCGAGGCGGGTGGTGGGCTCGCAAGGCGGGTAGAAATAGAGCGAGCGTAGGCACGATAGTTAGTTAGTTGGCACATGTCCTACAGAGGGTTGGTCTAGTTCAAGTTATGTATGCACGTTGGTGGGTTGGCGGCTCGTTAGCCGCATCGTGGCATGTAAGGTATCGTCTAGTTACGGATTACATGAGCTGGGCTGGGCGGAATGTTCCATGGTTTAATTACTCTATGTACAGTGTGTAGGTAGGTGACCGGTTCGACATATAATGATAAGTGGTTGTGGGTGAGGGACAAGAAAGTTGTGGGCGTGAGATACACACACTGCACGTGCGATGCGCTGCAGTGCGATGCGGCGTGATGCGATGCCTACGTACCAACTGCAGGTACTTGTACACACAAGTATCATGTGTATGGCAATAGCATGATACGAGGTAATTAATGCGCGTATCCCAAGCGTTGTCCCGTGTCCTATTACTGCTTGCACATGCCTTGGTGTTGGCGGCGATGCGATGATCTTCGTAATAACTCCCAAGCAGACTAGCCCGCCCACATTGTCCTTCTTTAGTAGGCACTCGTAGGCTCCCACTCCCACGCTTCCGCCTCCTCCCCCAAGGCTGGCTGCGAGCGCTGGCTATAACCGGGAACGCGCGAGTAAGTCGCTGAGAGTGCCAGGCCCAGGTACGGTACCTACCGTGCAAGACTGCCGGCTTCCAGCATTTCATTGGCTGGCTCGGTTAATTGGATAATGAAACGTCAGCGCAAGAGAATCACAGGTTCAGGGTGGAAAATTGGCTACGGGGAAGTGAAATGAAGTCTATTCAAAAGAAGAAGAAGGAAAATCGGCCAGAAAAGAAAATCTATGGTGAAGAAAAAAAGAGAAGCGGAAAAAAAAGCCCAGCCAAGTAACAGTAATACAAAAGTACTCGTATAACAAACGGTCGTCATCGGATATCCTCGTTACGAAAGAAGGTAGAAAAACCTCGCGTAGCGCCCCAATCAGTTCAGTAAGTTTAGCTACTTTACAAGTATCCGTTCGGTAGCCAGGAAGGCTAACGGATATTTGGAATGAGAAGAGAAGCGCTATGACAATAACAACATAGCACTAGTCACTCGCACCCGAGCATTCAAGACCTAGAGCACTAGGACGAATGAGAGAGTGGAGAAATAATGGAGGGGACCTTTTCGTATATGCAACCGAGCGGAACAGGTTCGTGATAACATTCCGGAAGCAGATTTGGGGGAATAAACTCCGAGCGAAACAACAGAAGAGAAAAGGTCGTGTCGTATGTGCCCAACGCAAGCAAGAGTCAATTGGCTTGCCAAATATCAAGGAGAAAAAAGAAAAGAAATAAAGAGAGTCCACCGAGCAAGGCAGGGTAGAAAAAGCAGCAGCGTGCGCCGTTGGAATAATGCATCCGAAGCCCCCATGCACCATCATCCCCCAGCCGCGCGGCGTGGTAGGTATCTTTTGAAACAATACTCGAAACATATCCGGGAATATCAGTTCGTGGCCCATTCGCTTAAAGATCTTTTTAAAGGAAACACCCCGCAGATGCAAATCGTTAATGGTGGGTATACAAACAAAAAGAATCGACTTTATTTTCCAGAGCCGCTGCTCCCGCCATGCCCGCCCTGGGTCCCTGAGCCTCCGTAGTTGGGAGGCATAGGGTAGGGGAAGGGTGCATATGGCAGGTGGTAGGACGGGTTGGAGCCCGTGGAGGACGAGCCCGACGGTCCCGTCGTGGACGTGTTGCTTGGGGATGAGGCAGCGGAAGACATTGCCGTGATTGCTGCTGGTCTAGATCTCCCGCGAGGTTGAGATTTTGATCTTGGCCGGGAGTAAGGGGAAGGTGCCGTTTGAGTCTTCTTGGGCTGCGACCAGTTCTGCTGCGCTCGAGTGCGTGAACCGCTTGGTTTGTCTGGACGTGCAAACTGCTGCTCAGTGGCTGCTACTGCTTCCTTCGGAGACTCGGTTGACGATACTGGTGATGCGGAGAAGAGATGTGCGGGGAGCGTGGAGTCGGGCTGATCCGAGCTTGACCTGTGCGACTCCGAGGGGAGCAGGAGATTCGATAGTGATTGAGAACGCAATCCAGTGTGTGATTGAGGAGCTTCCGATATGCCTAGGCCGGGTTCAGATGGGAGTATTCGTTGTTTTGAGTCTCCAGGCGGTGCTGATGTGGGCTGGCTTTTACTATTAGGTTTCGGTGATTCTGATGGGCTGGTTTGTAGTGGTGGTAATTGATTGCTCATAGGCCTTGAGGAAGTGAAATTAGAAAGATATACAGGTCTTGTACAGGCGAGGTAGGTCGACAGAGGCTGTCTGGGACTGATTAACCTCGTTTGAAGCTGTTGAGATAGTTTGAAGACTGCTCTAACCCAGACCTTATATCTTTCCAGAAACCAGCTGTCGACCATACGATCCTCTTTGAGCCCTACGATGGAATGTTCCTTGGCCAGGGTGTTTACCAAAGATAGAGACAGGTGAGCAGGTAAGGTCGAATCTGTGATATTGTAAGCCTGCAAAGCGTGAAGTAATCAACGTAGTGGAGGCTTAAACAGACCTTCGGTGCAGGTCAGATCCGTAGAAATCTTCTGTAATGCTGGGTCACGAGTGGACGGACAATCGAGAAACGGGAGGGTCGGAGCGGATCTCGGTCGGTAATGAGAGTTGGATATGCGTCGTAATTGGCAGGTCGTCGAGGGCAGATGGTGTATAGTCGGTGTCCAGATGCGTGTGGCGTCAGTTCACGATGTGTGCTGCGTGCACCCCTGGGGGTGGTTTGTTTAAACGAATCCCAATCTGGTGGCGGGGGGCAGCTCCAGGATTGCTGTCGTCAGAATTCAATTGCGAGCCGCATGCACAATGACATGCGGATAAGCCGATGCGATGGAAATGGGATGTGCTATTGACGGTGAATACGAATGGCCTTCACCCAAAGTGGTACCCTGCCGTTCAAACCCGGTTGGAATCGTTGCGATGGCTGTATTGACCAGAATCATTCACGGCTAGGCTGTTCATCATATATATGAAAATAGCAATAGAGGCATGATGGATGAGCCCACTATGAGGTACTCGAGCGCCGATGATGATCAGAAGAGCAAGTCGGGGAAATGGCGGCCACTCCCGTTGCGTAGTGGTAAGCATTGATAAAGGCGTTGGAAAGCATCCGATCAATATTTGAAATAGACATCGTATACACATGGAGTGGCGCTCTGTCCGCTCATTTCAGAACTGAGTCTGATACAGTTTCCGCGAGACTACTGTCCCGAAGCGTCTAGACGATTGGAGATTGAATACATCGGAAGACGTTAGCGCAGCGACCAATTGCGCTTCAGGCGTGATGGACTCATGGGCCCTGACATTGGACTTGAACTGAATGGCCGTTAAACGAGAGAAGCCCGAATCAGGCCGCTCGATCGCATCTAAATTTGGTGCCTTTCTTTTACACCGCAGGGGTGTTGCAAAAAGCTGGATTCTGGAGCCATGTGGGTGCGGGCGTTGCCATTTTACTCAGCTGTTCGATGGAGTTTCCACGCAGTAGTGAAATGCGGCGGATTCTTGTCCCATTGCACGATGGCGTCGACTTGGCGGGGGTTTTTGCGGTGTGTAGATACTTACTTACCACATTACCTACCTACACAATACTAATTGATGGCCCTAGATAGTTAGATAGATGCTAGTATTAGAAATGGCATGAGGTCATGGTGGAAGGCCACGAGGGAAAGGGAAGTGCGGAAAGGAACAAATTTCCCAGAAATAGGTTGCGACTCCATGTCGGAACCAATCCCATCGCATCCGGAACTTTGTAAGCGGCCCATCGCTTGGCTTTGGGGCCTGGAGTTGGACGATGGCACCGATGGGAAATGCTTTGCAGGGGATCATCCTCGCAACCCATAAGGAGCCGGTCTTCGTATTCCATACAGTACCTGGCCCTGAAATTCTACGAACGCAACACGCATGAAATGTTCCCAAAAGAAATTTCATTAGCCATCGACCGGTACCAAATAAAAAAAACCAAAAAGGCCGTTGCATATTCCCGCCTCGATCGCATATGCATATGGGCATGGGGGCAAGAAATGCATCCGTTCCGTCGGGTGTCATCTCAGCCATCTTTCGATGGTTGGGACGAGAACCAACGCTGGCTTCGAGATTTAGGGCATTAGCAAGAAAACAAATATGATGAGCAATATTTCCCTCGTGTTATGTCGATGGATGATTTGTACGGAGGACGCGATGGCCGTTGTCGCCCCAAATGTAGATTGTAGATGCTCATCGGTGATCTGATGTTCTGGTGGTCCCGGCTTTTCCTGTGGCTGACATTATGCATACGTAGTCGGAAGGTTTCACGATGTTTCTATGGTGTTGAAGGGCCAGAGGTGTCGGAGGTGCCAAAAGCGTGATGCTGACAGCCTCGTCAAGCCCCATCGCCCCCAAAAAAGTGTGGCGCTGAATCTCTTAAGTCGAGTCATCGATCTGACCTGCAATAGTAAGTGTATAAGACGACGGTTCTAATAGGCGCAATAATGGGTAGCAGTCTTTTAGATAGGAAGTTGAATCGTAGGTATTCCAAATCGTGAATGTGATAATCGGGGAGGTAAGGCGCATTCCATCGATCGAGAGTCGAAATAGGGACAAAAGGGAGATTGGCGTGATCATCACATGGCGAGAGCATGGTCCATGGGATGAGGGCGACGGGATCAGCCATACTCGGTACTAGGAAGAGTGATGCTACCTTGGGGGGCCAATATGATTGGAGCGGCCTAGTTCACCTACTTCCCTAGTTTCCTTCTTTGGTGATTACTTGTAGGCGTCCACTAACTTACCTACAAGTAAAGTAGAGATGGACGGACTCGGGAGTGTGGATGAATGTTTGGCTGAATGGACCGATGGAGGAGGGATCGTAGTATGGTACACCGCCAGCCATCAATCTTTCGTCTCTCCATATCTAAACAATTTGTCACTGTTGACCCTTAATTAGCCCATTCACTGGAGTTACCTTCCTTGTACCAGACCGACAGAAAACAGAAAAATCCACCTAATTAACTCGCTTTCTCTTTTCTTTTTTTCTTCTTCTTTTTCTTTCTTCGTCCTTCGGGTTACTACTGGTAGTATGAGTAGTAACTAAGAAGTATGAGTAGTTACGAGGACTTGCAAAGTGACGTTGATACTCGTACCCCAGGGTTGATAATAACTTATTCAGCGTGGATTACTCCATGCTTACTTCACCCTCCAACCCACACCAACGCCGACGTCATTACGTCCCTTCATGCTTCCCCATTGGCGTCCCCAACATCACAACCGCTTACCAAAGAATTGTCAATGGGGCGGGGTCCTACATTGGCGCGTCTCCAACGAACAGCAGAGAAGCATTCACTCCTCATCATGTTGTTTCGACCCCATCGCAATATGCGGAATCCATGAAGGTCGTGATTATTCAGGCAGTAGGTGTTCGATGACATCGTCGTAGGCTTTGGTTTCCGTGAGTATGTAAACTTGCACCCGTTGCGCTCTTCAGTTCTTGCTCAGCATTGTTGCATTTCGTCTCTCCACCATTCCTCAGCATTATTCCTCCTCCTCTTCAAACAACTAACAAAAACCCCGGTAGCCACAATACGATCAATCCAAAATCATGGCCTCCGAGAATCGTGCAGCATTCGTCCCTAGTGCCGGCGCAGAGCTGGAAGTGCGAACTTCGGACATCCATCAGCCAGAATCTGGAGAATTGCTAGTTCGCGTCCACGCAGTCGCCATCCAGCCTCTCGATGCCAAAAAGCTGCTCTCCGGATATGGGGGCGCGGGTACTGCCACCTACCCAGCCGTTTTCGGAACCAGCGGTGCGGGTGTCGTCGAGCAGGTCGGATCCGACGTCGTCGGCTTCCAAGCTGGGGACCACGTCGTCTTCGACACGAAAGCCTATGTCGACAACGATGTGAACGTCCGTCAGGGAACGTGGCAGCAGCTCACAATTTGTAGTTCCAAAACCGCGGCGAAGGTACGTTTCTCGGGGACAAAAAAATAAACCAACACCCGCGCCCCCCCCTCCCCATTTTGCATCCGCATCCGTGAATTACAAATACCTAAACTGACACACCCTGCTCCTCCTCCAGATTGGCGACGTCGACTTCGAACAGGCCGTACTGGTCGACTTCCCGTTGCAGACCGCAGTCGCGGCATTGCACCACTTCCTCGGGATGGGGAAGCCCGGGACTGCAAGCCCTAGCGAGAAGGTGCTCGTTTGGGGTGCTGGTGGCGCCGTAGGATCGTATGCTGTGCAGTACGCGAAATCCGTAAGTGTTTTGCTATCCTGTTTCCCTTTTCCTTTGTCATGAATTACTCAACCCCCGATTCGGCCATCCCGATATCTCTATGCCGTCGTTGTAACATCCGGCATAACCATCACTGTCGGGAACTCAAATCCTGGCTTCAACATAGAGACAAAAACACAAATCACGGAAGCAATCTCGCTGACCACACCTCTAGGTCGGCCACACAGTCGTCGTAACTGCCTCCGCACGCGACACCGCGCGGCAGCAATCCCTCGGCGCCTCCGAAGTCATCGACTACAAGTCGCCCGACGCCGTCGAGCGACTCCGCGCCCTGGGTCCCTTCAAGTACCTCATCACGGGCAGCGGCGACGCGGCCTCTCAGCAAGCCCTCGCCTCGCTACTCCAGCCGTCAGGCGGCCGCTTCGCCTCCGTGCTCGGCGGGGACGTCGAACTGCCAGCGAACGTCGAGCGCGTGTACACTGGCTTTTCGCAGGCGGCGCAGAGCGAGGAGCACGCTGCGTGGAGGGACTGGTGGTACGGGGAGTATTTGCCTAAGGTGCTGAGCGAGAAGCTGGTCGAGCCGGTGAAGTTTACGAAGGTGGAGGGCGGGTTGGCGGCGTTGCAGGGGGCGAGTAGGGATGTCTTTGAGGGGAAGGTTAGGGGGAAGTTGGTGGTGAATCCTCAGGAGTAGGGTAGGGGAGGGGGTTGGATTAATAGGAGGGTTTAAACTTGAGTCGTTGGCATGATTGATGCCAATGGGAAAGTGAAAAAACAAAAGGGCAAGCAGGAAAGCAGGCTCATGATACGAATGTCACGAATATATGCAAATGATAAAACAATTTCCAATTAATCACCGTTCTATATAAAAAAGAAAGCATTCCACACTATCCTACATAGAAGAATTTACAAATAAACCTTCTCTAAGGATCGATCAATCAACTTCACAATCCAACAACTTCCCAAACCCATAAGTAAGCAAAGATAAAAGAAAACAAAAATAGCAAGTCGATATATAATCACATTTCCTCCACACTTCCCCAACATCATAAGACCCCATCGCTCACAACCTAACCCACCCCTTTCGTGTCAATGACCTTCCCTCATTCATGCTTCTTCCATATACCATCACTTGCCTCTCCGACACTAAGACGGCAAGATTCGATGTCAGAGCACATCCTCCTGTCTGCCTTGCCTTGGCTTGCCGAGGGGCTGGCGTCAGCGAACCTCTTTCCTCCTCCGTCTTTTCCTTCGGTTCTTCGTCACACGGACGGAGGACACGAGAGTGGTTTTTTTTTATGTAACGTGCCTCAAGGCGTTGGTGATGTGGAGTGAGATTAAGTATGTGAGATTCGTATGTCGCGGACTTAGTATCTGTGCAGGGGGTGGAATGCATATAGGGCTGTGTGAGAATGATGCTGATGTGGCAATGATGATGGTGGCGATATGATAGATATTGCTACATGAGAAGGATCTAAAAAGTTTATGGATAGTATGAATGATCAATAGCCGGCCCAAGAAAACATGATGACAATGATGATGATGGTGATAACAGACAATTACTACAATTTGCTTTCGCCTTGTTGTTTGAGGCGGACGAGGCCCTGGTAGGAAGAGTTAGTGGGTTCGTTTGGGTATGATATGTTATGTTTGGTGTGATAGGGGAAGGTTTAGGTATGTAAAGGAAAGTACTCACCTCTTGCACGCAACTTGCAATGAGCGTGCCGTCCCTCGAAAAGATCTTCTGGAACACCAACCCTCGGCCATCTCCCGTCCAAGGCGTCTCCATCTCCGTGAACATCCACTCGTCCGCCCTGAAAGCCCTCGGGTTGTGGAAGTAGATAGTATGATCCAGACTAACCATCATCCCGATCTCGGGGCTCTTATCCGTCGCCGACACGTCCTCTCCGTTACGGATCCTCCTCAGACGCTCGAGGTCCGCCTTGTCCACGAACCTGACCCGCTTGAGCTCCTCGTCGTCCATGGCGAGGAGTTTCTTGAGGACGTCCTCGTCGATGCTGGACTTGGATTTGTCCTTGCGCGTCTTGGAGTACCGCCACAGCTTGTGCACGCGCGCGATCGTACCGATGAAGTAGCTGTCCGACATGTATGCGAGCGCGGATAGATGCGCCTGGTGGCCGCCGGCGGGCGATATGCGGCCTCGAGCCTTCATCCACTGTCTGCACTTCTTGTCTTCTGCATTCGGCGAGTCGTCTGCGTATGGTCAGTACCCGTATCCCTTGAAGCGCGAAACGTAGGTCCATGCTCACTATTTGTTATCTCTATGCGCTGGCTCTGGAAAGGCCCGCTGGAAGATCCGCCGTGATCGAGGTCGTCCAATCCCTCGATCGGACCTGGTACTTGTGGTAGTTTGGCGGAGTGTTCGACCTTCTGCTCGCCTCCGCTGTTCTGGCGGACGAAGCTCATGGTCGTCGTGAAGATGACCTTGCCGCGCTGTCTCGCCTGTACGGTCCTGGTAGCAAAGGACTTGCCCGACCGGACGCGCTCGACGTGGTATATGATGGGGATCTCGGAATTGCCGGCGAGGACGAAGTAGCAGTGCATGGAGTGGACGGTGAAGTCCTCATCGACGGTGCGCTGGGCGGCGCTGAGGCATTGCGCGATTGCGGCGCCGCCGTAGATGCCGCGGGCGCCTGGAGGGTGCCATAGGGGTCGCCGGTTGGTGAAGAGGTCGGGGTCTATGTCGGAGAGCTGGGTCAGCTCGAGGAGGTTCTCGATGGCGGATTGGGATGGGTCGACGGCGGGTGGTCGGATTAGAGTGGACATGGTGACGCGGGCGGGACGGGCAACCAGTGCTTCCCTTGAGACGAATGGAAAAGTTGTAGAGATGTTGGAAGGGTATGTGAAGGGAATGAGTGAAGGAAAGTGAAATATAAATTATAGGAGTTGTTACAGTAATGTCCCGGGAGTAGCCCAGGAGTGGTCCAGTAGCAGGAGCTGGAGTTGCAACATTCGGAAACATACTCTGAGCCGAGGCAATGGAGGAGGGCACAATCACGGGATTTTTGGGGGGATCACCCATTCCGTATTCCCAAGGTTAACGGTAAATCCATGTAGGGAGGAGGTCTCACATGTTTTCACTAATCATCAGCTTTGATTTAAAAGCAATGGATTTATGACAATGGATTTCAGGTACTCATACTGAGCTGTTCTGGATATGTTCTGTTTCTTGGCGATCTCCAATGGCCGAAGGATGCAAGTAGAAGCGGTAGGTAACGTGGAGTAACACCTGCATACTATCGGCCTCAGCCTATCGTGCTATCGTGCTAATTCTAGTAATCGTCTCCTTAGCGATTTGCTTCAGGGTCCATTCGATGTTTTCTTTTGTTTTTCTCTAGACTCGAACTACTATTGATTGAGTTACGAGCTCCGGAGTCGAACACTTCGCTAGAATAGAGCTTATACGAATCTTGACTGGAACCGAAGGCATATGATGTGATCTATTATTGTACACATCTTTGACGGTAATGTGTTCAAATTGATTTTCACAAGAATTAGTTGGTGACTATTTCCGTAATAGAATTGACTGGGATCTGGCCAAGTGTAGGTTGAAAGAGGAAGGGTTTGGAAGATCAATAAATTAAGACAAGAATTGGAGGAGGAAGAAATCAGGAAAGACAACGTCATACCCTCCACCCTCCGCCGCCCACCTCCAGTTCCAGTTCCAGTTCCAGTTCCAGTGCCAGTCCAGGTCCCAACCCATGCCTGTGACAAGTCCATAGCCAGTCCATACCTTACGAGGTAGTTCCTTGGGTACGAGTACGCCAGTCGACGCCCATTACTGACTGTCAGTGCCAGCCATACCCGACGACGTGCGAATCCGCTTCCCAACTGGCCAACCACAAACCTTTGACACCTTCCACTACCTAACTACCGCACCTCTCTTGTACCTGTACCTGTACTGTACCTTTCTCACCAACACCACCACTACTTCTTCATATCCATTCCAACCCGAGGGGCACCTCACTCTCCATCTGCCCTGGGTGACATTTGTGTATGACCGTCACCAGCACTTGGATCTGTGTTCCTTCCCTCCTTCCTTCCTCACGTTACACCCAAGTGCGCGCGCCAATCTCCGTTACGCAGACTCTCCCCCGCGTCGATCGCATCTTGACATGTCACCCGCCACCAACGAAATCGCACAAACGACTCCCCCATAGCTATTAAGCTGCTAACGACAGCTCAATACACGCACACGCACACGCCCGCTTCCATAAAATAACCTATATCCTTCCTCTCGACATGGCCGAGTCCAATCCAGAGCTGCAGGCCAAGCTGCATGAACTCGAGAATGAACTCGAGGAGGGCGACATCACACAGAAAGGGTCAGTCTAGTCTGGTTGCCGGTCGGTCCTTATGGTCTCGAGAGCACTGTCTCAAGTCTGTTTGTCACAGTCTTGCAGCCACACCTAACGTTCCGGGTACAGGGGACTAACATTCATGTCAGGTACGAAAAGCGAAGAACCGTCCTTCTGTCGCAATATCTCGGACCCGCGCAGGCGGAACAGCTGCAGGGCCAATTGCGACTCCATAGCCCTTCAGACAGCGACGGAGGGTCCGGCTCTCGCACTGCTTCTCTCGCTGCACTCTCCACGCCGGCCGCGCCGCAACCAACGGAACTCCCGACCCTCGACATACAGCGTGCGGAATCCCCCTTCGGAAACCCGGGTCAAGGCGACACGAGGACACCGCAGGAGTACATTGCATACCCACCTAGCCAAGTTGGGCGCTTCCAGGAAAGACAGCTGGGCATAAGGACGAACTCGCTGCAGAGGCAACCGTCCCAGGCCAGTGAGACATTCATTCCTCGACCACAAACCCCAGAATACGCTCCGTACTCTCGCGATGGCTCCATGCTCGGCAATTTCGCCTTCAATCCGGACACCCAGCCTGGATATGATGGTGGATATGGGTCTCCGGGGGGAGAAATCAGTCGGCGGAGCACGATGCTCGAGAACCACCAAGGGTACTTTTCCGATTTTACCGGGCAACAAATGCAGGACCATAGGGACTCATATGGTGGGCCAAACCGATACTCATCTGGCGATGCCTTCTCTCCTACCGTTGCCATTCCCCCTCCTATGCTCAGCCAAACAGATCTACCAGCAGGTATGGTAGAGACGCAGCTTCCACTAGAGCCACGAGACCTGCCCTTCAACGTCTATGATCCGCACAATCCCAACATTTTGATGTCAAAATTCGACAATATCGGAGCTGTCCTGCGGCATCGAGGACGAGTACAGCCGAGACAGACTGCTTTCTGGGTTCTCGATTCGAAGGGAAAAGAGACCGCTTCAATCAGCTGGGAGAAGGTCGCTAGTCGCGCAGAGAAAGTCGCAAAGGTGATAAGAGACAAGAGCAATCTGTATCGTGGTGATCGAGTGGCTTTGGTGTATCGAGATACTGAAATCATCGAGTTTGTGGTAGCGCTGATGGGTTGCTTCATCGCTGGCGTGGTGGCTGTTCCCATCAACAGTGTGGATGACTACCAGAAACTCATCCTTCTGTTGACTACAACCCAGGCCCACCTCGCACTGACGACCGATAACAACCTGAAGGCCTTCCATAGGGATATCAGCCAAAACCGATTAAAGTGGCCCAGTGGAGTAGAGTGGTGGAAGACCAACGAGTTCGGAAGTTATCACCCTAAGAAGCATGATGACACTCCTGCATTGCAGGTTCCGGAAGTTGCGTATATCGAGTTCTCCAGGGCACCCACCGGTGATTTGCGAGGTGTGGTTCTCAGCCACAGGACCATAATGCACCAGATGGCATGCATCAGCGCCATGATGTCCACGGTCCCTACCGGCAACGGCCCTTCAGACACATTCAACTCCAACCTCAGAGATCGGAGCGGTAATTTCATCAACAACCATGCGAGGTCCTCGCCCACAGAAGTCATCTTGAGTTATCTAGACCCGCGAGAGAGTGCAGGCATGATTCTTGCGGTTCTATATTCAGTGTACGGAGGACATACTACCGTTTGGCTTGAATCAAAGACCGTCGAAACTCCCGGCCTTTATGCCCACCTCATCACGAAATACAAAACCTCGATCATGGTTGCCGATTACCCTGGTCTCAAACGCGCCGTTTACAATTACCAGCAAGATCCCATGGCAACGAGAAACTTCAAGAAGAACTCCGAGCCAAACTTTTCAAGCGTAAAAATCTGCCTTATCGATACGTTGACTGTGGACTGCGAATTCCATGAAATCCTGGGTGATCGATGGCTACGACCTATGAGAAATCCCAGGGCTTCCCAACTCATCGCACCCATGCTGTGCTTACCTGAACATGGCGGCATGATTGTATCTGTGAGAGATTGGCTGGGCGGCGAGGAGCGTATGGGATGCCCCCTCAGCATGGAGGAGGAAGAGGAAGAAGATGCGGATAAAGATAAGAACGACCCAAGCGCACTAAATGGCTACACGAGCTTGATTGGCGGTGGTGGCACGTCGAAGAAGACGAACCAGAAGAAGAGCAGGACCGAGCTGACAGAAATACTCCTCGATAAAGAAGCTCTCAAGCTGAACGAAGTCGTCGTTATCGCCATGGGTGAGGAGGCTCGAAAGCGCAGCAACGAGCCGGGGACAATGAGGGTTGGAGCATTTGGCTACCCCATTCCAGACGCAACATTGGCTGTGGTTGATCCAGAGACAAATCTGTTGTGCTCACCATATTCCATTGGTGAGATATGGGTTGATTCCCCTTCGCTGTCCGGAGGCTTCTGGCAGCTGCAGAAACACACTGAGACCATCTTCCATGCACGGCCTTATAGATTTGTAGAGGGAAGCCCTACACCCCAGTTGCTAGAACTAGAATTCCTGCGAACGGGCTTACTTGGGTGTGTGGTTGATGGCAAAATCTTCGTGTTGGGCCTGTACGAAGATCGAATAAGGCAGCGTGTTGAATGGGTCGAGCATGGTGTTTTCGAAGCAGAGCATCGATACTTCTTTGTACAGCATTTGGTGGTCAGCATCATGAAGACGGTGCCCAAGATATACGACTGGTAAGTCATTTCAAAGTACTCTATAAGGGCCGAGTTAACACAATCTAGTTCTGCGTTCGATGCTCACGTCAATGGAGAATATCTGCCCATAATACTGATAGAAACCCAATCCGCCTCGACAGCTCCCACGAACCCTGGTGGTCCGCCTCGCCAGCTAGATATCCCCTTCCTCGATTCGCTGTCCGATCGTGTTATGGAAGTGCTCTACAACGAACATCACCTCCGCGTCTACTGTGTCATGATCACTGCCCCGAACACACTTCCTCGTGTCGTCAAGAATGGCCGACGTGAGATTGGCAACATGCTCTGCAGGAAAGAATTCGATAACGGCTCTCTTCCTTGCGTCCATGTCAAGTTTGGCGTCGAACGGGCCGTCCAGAACCTAGGACTCGGAGACGATCCGGCCGGTGGTATCTGGTCCCCGCTAGCCTCCATGGCACGAGGCCAATACCTGTTGATGCAGGACAAACAATACTCTGGCGTTGACCCACGCGAAGTCGTGATCGATGACCGAACGTCCACCCCTCTGAATCAGTTCTCCAACATCCACGACCTGATGCAATGGCGGGTTTCTCGGCAAACAGAAGAGCTGTCATACTGTACGATTGACGGCCGCGGACGTGAAGGGAAAGGCGTGAACTGGAAGAAGTTCGACATCAAGGTCGCCTCGGTCGCGATGTACCTCAAAAACAAGGTCAAAGTGCAAGCCGGCGACCACCTCCTTCTCATGTATACGCACTCTGAGGACTTCGTATACGCAGTCCACGCTTGTTTCTGTCTGGGTGCTGTTGCCATTCCCATGGCGCCTATCGACCAGAACAGATTGAACGAAGATGCCCCGGCATTACTCCATATCCTTTCTGACTTCAAAATCAAGGCCATCCTCGTTAACGCGGAGGTGGAACACCTTTTAAAGCTGAAGCAAGTGTCGCAGCATCTTAAGCAGTCTGCCGTCATTCTCAAGGTCAATATGCCCCACACATACAATACATCCAAACCACCGAAACAGTCAAGCGGATGCCGTGACCACGGCCTGACGATGCGTCCTGCGTGGGTACAGCCGGGCTATCCCGTTCTCGTGTGGACGTACTGGACTCCTGATCAGCGCCGCATCGCCGTCCAACTGGGCCACGACACCATCATGGCGCTCTGCAAGGTCCAGAAAGAGACGTGCCAGATGACCAGCAATAGACCTGTGTTGGGATGTGTGCGGAGCACGATTGGACTCGGCTTCATCCATACATGCTTGATGGGTATCTTCCTAGCCGCGCCCACATATCTTGTCTCTCCAGTCGACTTTGCGACGAACCCGAACATTCTGTTCCAAACATTATCAAGATACAAGATCAAAGATGCGTACGCGACGAGTCAGATGTTGGATTATGCGATAGCACAAGGAGCCGGGAAGACGATGGGGATGCACGAGTTAAAGAATCTCATGATTGCTACTGATAGTAGACCTAGGTCTGACGTTTGTAAGTCTTCATCACTGCTTTTCTATTTGACCATCTACATGTAGGTGACTTGATGGAACATACACTAACGTTTCAATACACTAGTCTCGAGAGTGCGTGTGCATTTCTCTGGAGCAAGCCTTGATAGGACGGCGATCAACACAGTATACTCACACGTTCTGAACCCTATGGTCGCATCACGTTCATACATGTGCATTGAGCCTGTGGAATTGCATCTTGACATGAGTGCCCTACGACGAGGTCTCATCATGCCCGTGGATGTAGACACGGAGCCTAACGCGCTATTAATCCAAGACTCAGGCATGGTACCCGTGAATACGTTAATCTCGATTGTCAACCCAGAGACCAACCAGCTCTGCCTCGTGGGCGAGTATGGCGAGATTTGGGTGCAATCCGAAGCGAACGCCTTCAGTTTCTACGGCTCAAAGGAGCGACTGGATGCGGAGCGATTCAACGGCCGTACTGTCGACGGCGACCCCAACGTGCGTTACGTCCGCACGGGAGATTTGGGATTCCTGCACAATGTGACTCGTCCCATCGGACCCAACGGAGCGCCTGTGGACATGCAGGTGCTGTTTGTGCTTGGCAGCATAGGCGACACGTTTGAGGTAAACGGCCTCAATCACTTCTCGACTGACATTGAGTCGTCGGTCGAACGATGCCATCGAAATATCGTTTCTGGGGGATGGTAAGTCAATTTATTACTCGGTCATTCACTATCAGTGTGGCTTTCTTTTGATTGCCAGGCCGGCACGCTATTCACATAAGAGAGATTACTGACATCTCGCTAGTGCTGTCTTCCAAGCTGGCGGCTTGGTGGTCGTGGTGGTGGAGATTTTCCGCAGGAACTTCCTGGCATCCATGGTCCCTGTCATTGTCAATGCGATCCTCAACGAGCACCAGCTTGTCATTGACATTGTCGCATTTGTGATCAAGGGGGACTTCCATCGCTCGCGACTAGGGGAGAAGCAGCGAGGGAAGATTCTAGCGGGCTGGGTGACTCGCAAGATGCGAACGATAGCCCAATACAGCATTCGCGATCCCAATGGCACCGACAATCAAATTACCGAGGTGGCGGAACCCGCAGGGCGCACGAGCACCTTCAGGAACAACACTGGGCCTGGAAGCACAAAGGGAAGCGTCAGGGCAGGAAGCACGCTCGGCCTGAGCGCGCAGATGCAGAATCTACATGTCAACACGGGCAGCATTAGCGGTCCTGGTGGAGTCGTGGCCGTCCAAGAATTGCCAGGAGCACAGTCGGCGGACTATGGCCCGCCCGCCGGTGTATCCGAGATGCCGGCACAGAACTATCCAGACTCGATACCTGAGCTTGGGGCCACCGGCCTGCCACGAGAGGGCGACGATACGCCTACAGATATGTATGGGGCAGCAGCGCGACGAGAGTTCCCGCCTCACTTGACGAGTGTCACCGGGGCGGGGATGCATTACTCTCCCGTCGACCAGACGGGCGTCTTCGACGACGATGCGAGTCGCAACAGTGGCCAACCGCAACAACAGTACGCTCAGTACACGCAGCAGCAGCAGCAGTACGGCGCAGAGGGAGGCGTAACGTCGCCTCTGCCCTCGATACTCCGCCCAGGCGGAGGGGGAATAGACGATGGCATGGCGGCGGCGGCGGTCGGACCACCCAAGCCGTTCGTCGTGGCCAACGCTGCGGCGGACGACTCCACGCCACAGCCGGGGGCCAACCATTGGTCGTCCTACCCACCACCCTCCGATCAACATCACCAACAACAGCAACAGCAACCCACACCCTACCAAAACTACAACCACGCCTACGACGAAGAATCCGAATACCCGTCCTACGGCGGCTACCAAGGTGGTGGTGGTGGTGGCTACGGCGGTGGCTACGGGGGCGGCGGCGGTGGTGGTCTGAGAGTCGCGAACCGAGATTCAAGTGACGAGGGCAGCAGTAGTCGAGGAGAGGACAACAACAACACCAACGCTAACAATGACAGCGGAGGCGGGAGGACGTCCAACGACGAGTGGGCGTCCGACGCGATTCGGAGCATGAATTTCGCCACTACTGGCGCTCCTGCGGATCCAACGACGACTTCGACGACGGCGAAGTAGAGCATGGGTTGGGGGTTTTGTGTCGTTGGGTGGGTGGATGTATCACTATACTATGTTATGGTACCTATGCATTTGTATGTATGTAAGAAGATGATGACAGTGATGAATTTAAGAAGACTATGAATTAACACCATTTTGAATGATTCTTTCTTAGTGCTGTCAATGTTTCGAAGGTTAGGCTACCAATTGATGGATGATAACTAATGATGTGTTGTTTCAATTGGATACATGCAAGCATGAAGCATTATACAAAATTCCCTAGACAACAACATACACACAACCATCAACCCTTCCCCTCCCCTCCCCTCCCCGTTTCCCCGAGCAAAAAAGTAAATACCTAGATGATCAATTATAATTCCATCAGTGATGATATTCATACATCATACATGAATCCGTAGAACCAACCCCAGCCAAATACCCTTCCCACAGGTACACCAATCCGATTGATACCTACCTCAACTCAACCTGCATTATTTTTTCTATCATTATAATATTTCCAAAAGCTCCTGTAGATGATAATCTATTTAATTATAACAGACTGTTTTTGATTCCATGGGTATGTGTAGAGGAATTAATTTTCAAGTTCCGCTATTGGTTTTTTATTGTGAAGCTTGGGAAGTTTACATGTGGTTCCGTGAGGCTGATTCAATTGCTCAAATCGAATCAAATCAATTTCATTCGTCTTAATTTCGATTTCATCAAATCAAAATTTAATTTTTATTCAATTAATTGTATCACTTCGTGTTAACATTGCTACTTTCCTCCCCCCCTGACCACCCTGTTCCGGGTTTCTAGAAAGAGAATTATACCCCCAGCGACGCTCCACGTATAGCAGGATAAGATACTGGTGATATACCCCTTCGCTGGGGAGGGATTCCAACTGGGATGTACCTGGCATGGAATGAGATGGAATTATTTTAATTATTTCTACAAAACATGGGATGTTTGTTAGGATGTTGTAGCGTTGTTGGAAGTTTAGTATGTAATTGATTGATTATTTGCTTGTGTATATGCCTACATCTATGAGTGCAATGGCTTTGTAGCCCTCGACACATTCGGGTGTATTTCTGTTCACCTATATATTCTAAGCACGTAAATTGAAATTAAGAAACTCCTTCCATCTGTCTGTACTCCGTATTTACCTAATCCATAAATGCCCAATCCCAGCGCGTACATATACAAATGCAGGTACATTGTCTGCCTCCATACCTATATATAAGCGCTCAACATAATCATCGCATCGTAAGCCGCATACACGACCACATACCTACACAGTAAGTAAGAGGGGAAGCAAAACAATACGAGCGCGGCGCTTATGATATCATCTCCCCCTCCTCTCGTCGCTAGTTAGGTACTATTACAGTACACAAGCATGCATCTCCCCTCGAATGTTGGTGGTGCACATTTCCTGCATACACCAACACGAAAAACGTGCGGTTAGCTATCGATTGAACCCCCCCCCCCATCCCAGCTCACCAGAAGGCGTTGTTTCGATAAATTATTTATTGTAGGCGCGCGCGCACGTGTGTTGGCGGGCGGTTTAGTTATGTGTTATTTCTACAAATGTACTGCTCCGTACCTAGGAGGGTAACAACTAGGTAGTTACGGCGGGAGGTTGGTTACCGGTTCCTGGCATTTCAAAATCTTCCTGTAAATTAAGTACCTAGGTATTCTAGCGTGGGTGAGCGAGCGCGTGGGTGAGCAGGTCGACTACAAGTATACATGTATACCAAGCCTTGCCCTGGCCTGCCTGTCAGGTCAGGTCAGGTCCGGGATGGTGATAGTGATGATGGGAGGAGACGGCGGTGGAGATTTGACGAGATGACCCAGGTGGGTGTTCATATCGCATGGTGCGAAGGGCAGGGGTTACTTGGCCGTTAACGCGATTCGCCCGTGGCGTTATTTCATCTCATCTACCAGAGGGGATCTCACGAGGTCACGGTACTTTGCGTGCGTGCGTGTATGACGAGCGAGCGAACAAGTAAACGAAACAAGTAGGCAATTCGAACGCGCCCTGGACGAGTATCTGTCCATTGTTTCCGGGCGATTTGTTCCGTTCGATCGAGCGAGTGTGTCTGACAGAACCTAACTACCACTCTGCCCCCCCGGTTAGGTTGTTTCGCGAAAGAACCGCATGAAGACGCATGACGTTGGCAATTCAACCACCCACTCAATCAAATCAATCGTGTTTCCGTGACCTATCTAGGTAGTTTACTTGTTTCCTGGCCTTACCAGGCGGGCGGGCTGTGCGAACAGACAACCCAACCCAGGGATGGGGGATGACAGACGAGGTGAAACCGCAGCGTCGAGATGTTCGCTGGCATGATCGTGGGCGGCTGGTCTACCTCACCTACATTAGGTACTCTACAACGACATACCTACCTACCTACGATAAGACATCGTGGGCGAGCCGTGGACGCACGCCAAGAACACATTTCTGTCGTGTATACCGAGAATGTGCATCGGAGCTGTGGTGGGAAGCGGCTGCGATAGGTGGTGTTTCTATTGTTTTTTTTTCCATGGCATGCATGTGAGAAAGAGAGGGAAGAACGGCAGGCCGGAGCGGGCGGAGTGGAGTGGAGATTGAGATTTCGGCGCTGGGAAAAACGGCCGTTAGTGGGGAGATAAAAGAGAGAAGTACAGTAGGTATGCATGTGGCTGGCACTTGAAGGAAGGAAGTAAGTCAAAGCATGAGGCATGAGCGTGCTTGAGTCAAGATGAAATGACGAGGCGATTAGTGAGATGGGATGGAATTAGATTGATAAAAGACGTCTTCACAGTCGAGAACAGAGTGAACCAGGGGTCGACGTTGATTGGCCGGGCGGGTAAGGCCCTGAGGGGCAAAAAGCAAAGTCTATTGTTTGGGATGGCTGTAAGTGGATTAGCGTGTGGACTACCCACGAGACTTGTTCCTTGGTGCGCACGGTGCGGTGCAGGGATGATGCAGACGGATCGCCCCTAGGGTTCCTCACGGCTGGTGATCTGAATGAGGAAGTCTGTCACCGGAGGTCGGGTTCTAGAGTCCTGGCTGTTCGGAGGGGCAGTATTGGTAAAAAGGTATGGTCGTTTCATAGAGATGGCTCGATACGATGCGATTCATCGTCATACATATATACATATGCCTACGGTTTGATCTACGTGGGAGTAGGAGTCGGAGTCGGAGTGGCTGTGTTGAGTAATGGATGACTGAGTGAATGAATCGATGGAAGATGCCGTTGATGGGAGGAATTGGAGGAATTGATGTCAGGTTAAATCAGGCCCAGGTCAGGCCAGGTCAGTGTCAGGCAGTTGCATACCTAATGAACATACCTACTTGTACAGAGTATATGTGTGTGTGTGTAACGGACACTAAGCGAGAGGGAAGAGACGATGGAAGTAGGCAAGCAGTTGCATGAAGCCGTAGTTTGTTTCTGAGTGTAAAGGTTAGGCAAGGAGTGAGGACAGTGTTCGAATGTTGTGTTGGGTGTGCGTAACGGTGACGGAGAAGCTGAGGCTGTTGGGTATGACAGAGTCAAGGGAGAGAGGGAGGATGCATCATGCCGTGTGCAATAGTTGGTGATTGTGTGATGTGAATAGGTGGTTGTGTGTTGTAAGTTGTGGTGGGGGTGTTGATGGAATTGAGTGGTGGAGAAGGGAGATGTACTCATGCATGTATACCATCATACAAATGCAAGTATAAATTAGCTACGGTGGCTACGGATAGATACCCCGAACGGTACAAGACAGCGAGACGATGAAGAGTACCTAGAGAGTATCTCGAGAGTGGCTCAGCTCATCCAATCTACTAAAATTGTAGTCTGTAGTCTACGATCAGGGGAGGAAGGATAGACTAACTGGATTAAGCTACCGGCATAACCGTTCCGCCGACCCAAAGAAGCTGACTTACCCAGGACAAGACATGACGGTGAAGAGAAAGCAGAGGAAGGAAGAAGGGCTGGGCTGGACTGGAGGAACGAAGGAAGATATTTTCATGTTGATTGGAGGATGTAGGGTGTACTTAGCCATTAGCAGTGTGTACAGTGTGTGCTCTGTGTAATGGGTACCTCGATTGCTGGGCGTGACTATTGGATTCAGAAGCTTAACAATCGATTGACCCCTGTCCATGTTTCACAATTCATGAACCAATCATGTGTGTGTTCCTGGCTTACCCTCCCTCTTCTGAGTCTTTCCTCTCTCAGGTCAAGTCAGGTCTATTCAGGTTCTCAGGTCTTGGTCAGGCCTCTCAGGTTCTCGTCAGGCCTATCACGTCTTCTCGTTGGATATCTTCTCCTGTGTTTCATGCGTGGCCATGGACGCCACCTCTCGCGTAGGTATGTATTTTGTGAACATGCTACCACTGACAAGTACCTAGGTATTAAACACTTGTCGACGTTTGCAAGGATACACATACACACTCGACTGATGCTGGCCAACCGCTCGAACCACCCAATACCAAACGGAACCTCGCTTCTCCCTCTACCACCTGCTAGCTTCCACATTTTTGCTTCCTTCTCATCTCGCTCCACTCTGAAAGTCTCCAATCCAGCCCACTCTCGATCCACCGTCCATTCAATGCAGGCCCCCTTGGCCTTTTCTCTGTATTATCGTTTCCATCGTTTCTTCTGTTTCTATCGTATCGCTTCTCCCGCCAGGCCCTGACCCTTGTCATTGGCCACCCCACCCCTGCACCTGCCCATAGCTCCTTCCCCCCCTCGACCCGTACCTTCCAGGCTTCTGGGTTGTTCATATCCACTCCTTTCGCCGCATCGATCTCAACTTCACACCGTTACCTCGACCGTCACTCTCTCTCCCAGTCTCCCTCCCTCCACAAGGAGAATCTTTTCTCTGTACATTCGTTATTTGTTGCGCCCTGTCATCCAAATCACTCTCTTTGTAGAGTCTTCCATTCGTTCATCACCCCATTTTCAACAAAACCCCTGGCATCACCACCACCCTTTTGGCCTGCGACTCCCGTCTGAATCCCTCCCAACCCCCTCAGCCACAACAAAACCCACATTCACTCTTCACCTTCACCACCTTCACCTCTCCGGTCCCCACTTCATCGTCACCGTTGACCACCGTTGACCACCGTCCTCATCCTCTTACCATCCGCCTCACCCCACCGATTTCCCTCTCACCAACCCTCGAAACATCTCACCACCGCGACTTGCCTGGCCACTACTACTACTACTACTACTACTACTTCACAGTCTTCAATCCTCGGTCCCTCCGCCTGGTGCATCCAATTCAATTCACTTCGCCTTTCTTCCCGTTTCGAAACATCAACATCAACAGCCTGGTTAGCTTTGCCCATTGTCGACTGCCTCTAACAACGTTGTTCGTCCCGAACTTGACTATCCTTTTGTTATGACTTCCTGGTGAACCACTCGCTTTGTGCTTCTCAAGTCTTCCGGATTAACAACGCACCTTCACTTCGGCATCCAATACACAATATCGACTTCATTCAAGTACAATACACATAACAGTCGCTTGTCAATAATAGTGATCGACGCTCACATTGACCAACCGTTCCCACCCATTGCAATTTCATCAAGATCTTCTTCACGCACCCGGAGTGCCGCCAACATTCATTCCAATCTATCACATCTTCACAGCTGCAACAAGAGAAACGCGTAAAACTAGATCGACCCTCAACTACTACCTGACACGAGCGAGGTTATCGTCGTCACCCCTTTCCTGTTTATACTCTTCGCATCTACGCGTGCGACCTCGAAATACTCACCCCTCCTCCTGTATACATGTCCTCTTACCTTGCGCCCCGTGCGGTGGAGCAGGCCTCGTCACTCTTCGACTCTCTCACCCGGCGCCATGTCATCGAGGGAGGTTTCCTCAAGGGCTGGGATGCCGAGAAGAACCACGACCTCAGGTTTTCCTTCGGCCTGACCGGCGTGGACCAGATCGGTAACTACCTATGGGTCGATGTGTTGGTGTTTACATTCATTGCCATCGGCGGCTTCACCCTCATCCTCTTCCTTGTCAACATCGTCTGGAGACAGATGCGCCATGTGACCACCATGGGAAACCCTACTAGGCAGGAGTACTGGGAGGGAAACCGAACGAGGTGGTGGCCCTGGATCAATAGACACGTCCTCATGGCTCCTTTGCACAAGAAGCGCCACAACCGTGGCTTCCAGATTAGCTCCGCCATCGACAACGGTACCCTGCCTGGCCGGTGGCACACCCTCATCCTCACCGTCTACGTCGCAGCCAACATCGCGTGGTGCTGCATCCTTCCCTGGAACGAGGAGCGCGCGTCGGTCGTCGCGGCGCTGCGCGGTCGCTCTGGTACCCTCTCTGCGCTCAACATGATCCCCACCGTCCTCTTCGCGCTCCGCAACAACCCACTGATCTCCATCCTTCAAGTCTCGTACGACGACTTCAACCTTTTCCACCGCTGGGCCGCTCGCATCACCATCCTCGAGGCCATCGTCCACACCGTCGCCTGGCTCGCCAACACCGCAGAGGGCGGCGGTTGGGTTTCCGTCGCCAATGCCCTCCGCACCGAGTCCTCCTACACCTGGGGCATGGTCGGCACCTGTGCCTTCACCCTGATCGGCATCCAGGCCGCCTCTCCTCTTCGCCATGCCTTCTACGAGACGTTCCTCAACATCCATCGTCTCATGGCGTGGGTCGCCTTCGTAGGCGTCTGGGTCCATCTCCGCGACCACGGCCTTCCCCAGATCCCATGGATGCAGCTCATCTTCATCCTCTACGGACTCGAGATCTTCGCGCGCATAGTCCGAGTGTGGTACAACTCTGTGCGCGTCAACGGCTTCTCCAGGGTCAAGGTTGAGGCCATGCCCGGCGAGGCTGTTCGCGTCACCATCGACTTGGTGCGTCCGTGGTATGCCCGCCCCGGCTGCCATGTGCACCTCTACATCCCCACCATGACTTGGCTCTCCTCCCACCCCTTCTCTGTCGCCTGGGCTCCGACCGCCGCCCTCGACTCTAAGGAGATGACGCTGCCCACTCTGGAAGGCCAGATCCTGTCGCCGCATGCTCCCAAGAAGTCCAATCAGATCAGCCTCATCTGCCGTGCCCGCACAGGCTTCACCCGCCAAATGTTCGATCGTGCCTCCGCCTCTCCCAACGAGACTTTCACCACCTGGGGTATGCTCGAAGGCCCTTACGGCGGTCACCACTCTCTCGACTCGTACGGCACCGTGGTGTTGTTTGCTGGCGGTGTCGGCATCACCCATCAGGTCATGTACATCAAGCACCTCATCGACGGCGCCCACCGTGGAACCACCTCGACCCAGAAGATCGTCCTCATCTGGACGGTGCCCAACTCCGAGTGCCTTGAATGGATTCGACCCTGGATGGATGAGATCCTTCGCATGCCTGGCCGCAAGAAGGTTCTTCGCGTCCTCCTCTTCATTTCGCGTCCGAAGCGCGCGCTCGTCAACACCAGCGAGACCGTCAAGATGCTCGAGGGCCGACCCAACCACGCCCAGCTCACCCGCGACGAGTTCCGAAATCGCGTCGGTGCCATGGCCGTCACAGTGTGTGCCGGTGGTGCCTTCGCTGACGAGGTCCGCGCTGCCGTGAGACCACTGGTCACCGAGGGATCCATCGATTTCATCGAAGAGGCTTTCACCTACTAGAATTCCTCCTGTGGAGGCCCCCAATCAACCCATAGATCTCTCGGCATTTCCAACATTTCTCTCTCCTAATATGTATCGCGCGCATCATCCGTCCGACTACCTGCGAGGGGAGTCAGCGGCATAGCATTCCCCCCTTTTATACTGCCCATTCTTGCACATAGTCCCGCCTTTCAATTCTCCTGTATCATATTTTCTGACCTTTAACCATTTTGTCTATCACCCCCTTGTAGTTAAATCGTATTGTTATTGCCGACCCCAACTTACTCTCCTTTCCCCCCCTGTTATGTATATTTTCGATGCATGAATGCATGAAAGCGTTGGCGTTTTTGTATTTACAAAAAGTAGTTTTCCTATCCATCATAGCATCGACGCGTGGTCGAGGGTGGTAGTGGTGTGCGGTGCTTGTAGCATGGCAGGAAGAGCGAGGGGACGAAGAAGCATCGAGGAGGAGCGCAGAGGACAGGGAGATGTCTGCTGCATATTCGCCAGCCAGCCATCCACCCATTCAAACCCCATAAACCAACCAAATCAAATCAAATCAATCAAGTTCAAACTCAATGTATCGTATCAATCGTGCAATCACATCATATGCCGTCGAGTCTGTGCGTCAGGCTGGGTAACTCGTTGTCTTTGTTGAAGTTCTTTGATATCCATAACGCACGCGAGGGGCCAACCTTTATCTAACTTATCCCAGCAAGCAAGCAACAAGCAACAAACGACAAACCAAACAACCAAACAAAGCAAGCACAAAGCAAAGGAACATAAAGCCATCCATCTATTGTCCACCCGCCCGCACCGCCACTACCACTCGATCAATACCCACCACTCACCACTCACTACCACCACCTATCTATCTATACACACATCTTCACCAAACACTGGAACGAGACCAAAAAAAGAGACGCCAGGATGCATACCAGCCATATCATATCCTCCCCATCCTTCTCGTCTATTGTCGAGGTGGGAAGGTGGGGAAGGACTCCATCCGTTTCTTCCTTCTTTGGTCATCCGGGGGCAGCATAAACCCCCTCCCCCCCTCGCTGCGCACGCAAGCCCTGAATTAAAACCCCAAGAGAGCGAGAACCAAAAAAAAAAACTCCTTGTCTCCAAAAAGAAGGAAAGAATAGAAACAAAGAAAAATGAGCGGCGAACCGTACCTCGGGGCCCACGAAAAAAAAAGGAAGGACTTGCTGACTGACTGACTGACTGAGATCTTTATGTTCGTTCCTCAGGGAAGAAGGGGGAGGAGTGCATGTTTCGCCAGCCCGCGAAGTCAATGGCCGTGAGGTCTCGTCTGAGTGCCATTGTAACCTCCTGTGCGGGGGTGGGGGCGGCGTCTTTCCTTTCACCTTCTTCCTCCTCGGGGATCTGCACTGCGGTCATCGTCGCCGTCGATGGAGGATGATCGGAGTCCAGGATGACAGGCAACAAGACGAACGGGATGTGATTGAGCCTGTAGTCGAAGACGCCGCGGTACGCCTGGCGGTAGGACAGCAGAGCGAACGCAGTGCCGATTGCGTAGCCGGCGAGGACGTCGTGCCAGTGGTGCCAGTAGTCCGCGACCTTGCTGAGGGCCATGAGGGCGCCTACGATGAGCGGGGCCGTGAGGAGGAGGTGCTGCCAGTATCGTGCTGGGTGGTCCGCGACGATCTTGAACTTGGCGTTGAGGTAGAGGGCGAGGAAGGTGAAGGATGCGGCGGCGGCGGAGGAGTGGCCGGACGGAAAGGACATGAGGGCGTTGGAGAGCTGCTAGCTCGACTGCGTGGTGCAGACTGTGGAGGTGTGGTATTCGAGCGGGGAGGACGGGGTGGACGGGAAGGGCGCGCAGATGGCGTAGAAGTTCGGGCGCAGGCCGCCGATGAAGAGTTTGATGAGGCTTTGGGTTAGGGTCGAGGTCGTGAGGGCGTAGGTGTAGCCTAGGATCTGGGATGTGGGTTAATCTTTGTTTCCTGTTTGCTTGATTGATATGCGTGAATGGCCGCACGACTCACAGCAGCGTTGCAGTCCCAGAAATTCCCAATCAGAAACAGAGATATCGGTACGATGACCACCACGGGAATCAAGAACGACACCACGAGCGACAGCCACGTCGGAACGAACTCGTCCACCCTCGGATACGCATACCTCGGATCGTCCAGTCGGAAGTACTTTGGCGTCAGTGGCGCCGCCCGCAGCGCGATGACCAGCGGGATTATGCCCGTGAGAAGCAGCAGCAGCACGTTGCGCCACTGCGAGCGCACGAATGCGGGGATCGAGGGGGCGTCCGGGAAGTTGAGTTTCTGGATCAGGGTTCGGATGGAGGGAGGAGGCTTTTCAGACTGGTGATCGTGGGAGGAGGATGTTCGCGTTGCTGATCTGAAGGTGATGCGTTTTGGGGTCTTGGGGACGCGGGCGTCGAGGTTGGAGATCGGGATTATGGCGTCGCGAGATGGTGTCGGGGCGGTTGGAGATGTTGGCATGATGGACTTGGTCATGCGTGTGTGATAAGGATGGAGAAAGTCTATGCGGTATGAATCTGGCTGTTGTTTGCAACTTGGTGGGTTGTTGTATGGTGCAAAGCTGGCGGTCGATGGGAGTGTCCATCGTAGCGTTCTGTGTTGTAGAAGGTGCTTCCCCTAGCTGAAGCTTCTGGTGAAGGAAGGCATAGGTGAGTGGTATGATAGACGTCAGTTCATAAGGCTAGGAGTGTCAGTGACGATATCAACGAGACACGATTCGAGTATCATAGACTGATGAATGAGAATGAGCCTAGACGGATACTTTCGTTGCTTCTCGCATCGAGTGCAGTTCGATGCTGTTCTCACCAGTTCAATACATGACGTCTCTCACTACGCGGCGAAGCGCACATGGCTACCAGGGGCATTTGCAGCCGTCTTTGAAAGGCATCTGTAGTTGTTGTGGTATCATTACTCGGACAAGGCTGAGATATGTCTCCAAAAATACCACCATCCCCACAATAAGAATGTGTAAAGGGTATGATCATCACATCGCTGAATAGGAAGTGGTTGGGAATCAAAGTAAAGTAAATGCCATGGACTTATTGAAGATAAGGGCCTCACACAACAAGGGATATAGATTGATAAGGTTGATGCTGAACATGCAGTTATCCCACAAGTTTTCAAGACCCTGGGGCAGATGACACGGTGGGGTGAGACTTCTTCATGCGGAGTTCGACGCTCTACAACGTCAAGTATGACGAAACAATTGAACTGTCTAATGGGACAGCTACCGAACATAGAAACGCATGTGCTTGGGGTTTCGATCAGGGATGTAGGAGGAAAGTCAGTGTGAAGGACCAACAAGGAAGTGAAGGTCATCCGATAATGAACATAACGATAGGTTGGAGATAGTAGCACTGAAATACCTAGTTGCCAAGTCATGGATGGCAAGAGCTGATTGGTCGAAAGGCACTTAGGCTATATACAGACGGTTGACACGTCGGTTCGTCCTCCTGCAAGTATCACCTGTATACATTACCCTTAATCAGCTGTCTTATAGCAAATAAGAGGCAGTATATGCACGTATTATTCCGTGCGTCTGCTAAAACAACTAGCAGGCAGACGACCCGACGTGTCAACCCTCCGTAGATATTTCGCTTGCCATGTCTCGTGTCTGACGCTACGAAGCAAACAGCCATTATCCCCAACCCTATCCAAAAAGCTATCATTTCCGGGATGTGCATCATTGTTCCGTTAGCGCTTTGACAGTAACGTATACACAAATGCACAGCATGCTTGTATGCGCACCTGTGGTAGCAGTAGAAGAAAGGCATTATACAGTTAGAGCACCCCTTCGCCGCAAGGACCAAGTATAAGTAGGAAGCAAAGTAACAAGTAAACAGGCCACTGCGACCAGTATATTTGACCGGAGTCTTTATACATACGCCACGGCGCCACCTCATTGTTACGCCTACCCGCGCTTTTATTGTTGCAATGTGTACCAAACGGGTCTGGAGAATCAGTCATTATGCTTGTGGTCATATAGTTGACGGCCTTTTGATCGATATTATCTATTGCGCGAGAAAGGACGAAGTTGGCCACAGGATAGTGACGATTACGGGAGGTTCCACGAGCAATGATGGAAGTTGCGATGGTTGTGTTAGCAAGAATCCTTGACTTATGGAGCTGGTTACTCATGAGGAGGAGAATATTGTCACGGCCTATGTTCACGAAAAAGGGCACCATACACACGAATCTACGTAGGCTCATCCGAGCTTACGCCAAATCTCATATATTTCAATCATTTCTTTCATATTACGGCTTGTTGTAGAGTCCATTCTTGATGGAGTTTTGTATACAATAAATTATTAAGCGGCTCCTGACGATCAAGCTAGAGGGAACGGTGACTTGAACTGTAGATCTAGTGATACGATATATGCCCAAAGAAATCGCCATGCCGGGCGATGCAATGCAATCCGTTGTAAAGCCTCAAGGCAAAGGTTCACCCAAACCTTTTCTCTCAATCACAACTCATGCCCTTTTCTTCTTCACTCCTCACTTCCCTACAACCGATCGAGTCTGCGACCACTCGCGAAGTTATAATCGTCGTCCAGCCCGTCACGTGCGGCCAACAGTTCCTTCGACCAGCCTTGGAATGGTTTCTTCAGCGCTGCCACGAGTTTTGACCCCGTTGATGTTGGCTTGGTGGATGACGTTGATGATGTTGAGTTTTCCCGTGGGATGTCATGGGACAAACGGATCGTTGATGCTTTTGAGGGTGACATGCCGTCTACGGAGCAGCGAGTCGAGGTTGGATCCATCGTGCGATGAGTGTAGCTTAAGCCGTAGGTTTGAGTAGATGGTTCAGGCCCGCCAGGGTATTTGAGTGGAAGCCAGGTGGAGACGACCTCAGGAGTAGGGAAAGGTCGGTCCAAAAAGACCTCTTTTAGTAGCTGCTATTCGTTGTTTATACATCTGGTCTTTCGACCATTTGCATTGAACTTTCTTCATGACGCCGAGCGAACCCCGAGTGTCGTGATCGAGGAGTGGGCATTGGGCACAGCTAGGCCACCAACGATGAATTGTGATTGGCCAAATCCTCGGGTGGCGAGCGCGAATTTCTCGGAGAAATCGCACTACAATCTTGATGATGAAGTCTTTGCAAAGGAGAAGATAAAACTTGTTGGGAGCGCAGGGGTAAAACGCAATAGTGCCATATCAGCGTCATTTATTATCACTTTCAAATTAGATTCAGAGAGCTGCTGGCGCAATCCATATACAACAAGCTGATGTCAAGAGGTAATATATGCAAGACCCAAACAGTGAATAGGTATCTAGGTATGACAAGTGTGAACTACATTGTGGAAGTCCTTCCCAGAATGTCAGCGTGACTGACTTAGCTTGTAGATCATCGGCGTAGGCCAGAATAGGCTTGATGGATCTGAAGGGTGGGTTCAGCCAGGATCGGGATTCATCACAAGCCCCAGGTGGAGACAGTGTAGGAGAAAAGACGTTGTTGCTATCAACATGTAGTCCTAACAAGAAGATACCGTGACTCCATGATCGTAGAAGGAGATGATGTCTTCAATTTTTGAATAATGAGACCTCGCAACCGAGCCTGCTGTACCACCAAACTATGGTACCAGTCATTTCTTGAAGCTTGCATTTATCATCCACCGGTGGTGGAGATTGAAAGAAACTGATGCGAATATAACGTCGATCTTGCAATACAGAAATATAACGAGGTCTGTCAGTATATTTCACAATTTCCTTGTCGTATCGAAATTGCCCGACGGTTGCCTTGTACTCTTTATAATGGAGAAGCATTCCAAGACACCAGCTTCCTTCCATGCAGAGTTCGGCCTGTTCTACGTCGGCCAGAGAAGCCTCAGAATACATCCAGTCTCGTTGACTGAAATCGGTGAAAGGACACCTTGTCCGATAATATCGAATTTTAGGTGGCCTTGTGGGTTCTAGTTCATCATCCTCTGTGCGTGCGGGAATAGTACCAAACAGGTGGTTACCGTATACAATACCAAAGTCGCTCTGGTAGAAAGCGCGTATCGGTCCGGATGCCATGTGCACAAAATTCAACTTTTCTTGCGCCACAGGCGAGAAATATGGAACCAGCCAAACAACTTTGTGCTTTGTTTGAATCTATGAATTCTTTAGCAAAGTATGTAAAGTGTGATTAATAGCTTACCACCAGCCCAGCTATCCTGAGAAACTCGTTGGGATAAACTGCCCATATATTTTCAATGTCATCTGCACTCGACAGCGGGAAATACGTCCACATGGCAGATGAATTCAGTCGTGTGTATAGAGAAAGATCTGTGTGGGCCGTGATAGTGTGAAGGTCGCCCGAAATATTCGACATTGAGATACCAGTCGCTTTATTCAGAGGAACATAATGAAGAAACATGTCGTTATCCGGCTGGGGGATACGAAGGTCTTGGAGAAGAGAATCAGGTTGCATAAGAAACGGTAAGCCTGAGAAGTCCCACATGATTTTGCTATTTGTTGCGGCAGACTCTAAAATTCGCTCTAGAAACAAGCCCTAGTCGTGGTCAATTGGCATGTATTAAATCACATGACTCTTAGTATCAGTACCTTGGATTTCACGTAGAAGGGTTCGTTTAGAGCAGCAACTGCGTATACCCAATCGCCCTTTGACCTCGTAGGAATTGCCCCATCGGAGCACACAAATTCAATGGCCGTGATACCAATTCTGTTGATCCGTACACAGATGTAGTCGTACATCTCGTCGCAGGGCTTAATCAAGGAAGATCCGGGGACCTCTTCGTTATACAGCCCAGTGATATATGACGTTCCCCCGAACTCAAAGCGAGTCTCGAACACTGCTGCCCGACCAGACACGTGATAAGAGCGGGGGGGATATTTCTGCAGTTCAGATAGTACAGCGGGCATATCGCCGATGATAGACAATGCATTCTGAAAAGGGCTTCCCGCTGCAATAGGCGCGATGGAGTCGGACAAAATCTCGTTCGGGAGGGTTCGTAATCTGCGTAGTAGGCATTTGCAGCACGTGCAAGTATGTTCATGGGCTCTGGGTGTCTTTATCCGAAATTTCTCTATTGCCTCGTTCATTGACTTCTGGTTGAATGACCTCCTGGATACTTGGAGCATATGCTTGACGCCAGATGGGCCATCCACTGGTAAGATTGGATCCAGCGCTTTCCCAAGCTCGAAAAGCTGCCGCGTAGCTTCAGGCTCCGGCCTGAAATATTCGCGGAAAAACGATTGGAAAAGTTCTAGACACAACGGATGGAATGCGAACGCCTCCTCATGAGTCGTACAGAAGGGGCATACTTGATCCGGAAAATGAGCTGTCTTGCGTTGATGAGCCCATCTAAAGGAATCGTTGGAATGGATCACTGCCTAAAGTGAGTAACGTATTCCACTCAATGAAAAATAGTGTACCTAATAAGACTTCCTGATCCTCTTCAATGCAGTTGTGGCAGAAATTGCACGCCCAAGAAGTAATTTTGAGATTCATCTTTAGTTATGAATCGAACGGATTGAAAGGCTGTGGAGATCGGTCTTCGTTTTAACATGAGAGAGCAACTGTGTAACACTGGCACAAGGCCTATCAGCACTCTCTTACATCCCCGCACATACGTCCTTCGGGAGGATTCTGCAGCTTATATCCTACTATCTACCACCAATGACTTGAAAGCAGCTGTATCACCATGCATGTGTATGATGATTCCGCTGTTTACAGTTAGCGGACGGATGGGAAACGAGGCCGAGCCTATAATGTCGTCAACAAGGTACGATGGCAGTTCCCCCTCACGACGCCCTGTCCATCAACTGTCCAATTGACCAGTGGATGAATTGGTTTTTTTCGTGATGTGCACAAACTTGACCTTCATACCCTGGGTATCATTCTCTCATGAGTTGAAAGATTACACTTAGTGTGGCATTTCTCCACCACGTTGCGCTTCCTTCGACCGATTCGTCGTCTTGCAGCTTCTTTCAATCGCGTCTCCGCTTTCCAAGGGATTCACGAGGCCGCCCACAACTTGTTCTTTGCTTGCGAAATCTGCAAGTCGCCCACTGAATCTACTCAATCATTGCCACAAGCGCTCTTTTTCTCCTCTCCCGCCACATAGAAGCTAAGCCATCTTGTAACTCTTTGCTTTTGCTCTTCGGTACGCCACCAACTCCCATACATGCTCGCCGAGTCTCTTGAAGTATTGTAAGCTCTGACATTGACTGCGATCATACTTCAGTCACTTTCCAGCCTTGTCACCCCAGCTGGGCTGATGGGTGATCCAAGAACCATGTTCAGGTCATTGCCCAGCAGAGATCAGTAGCACAAGCCTTGCCCCGCTTCGTCTCCTCGGTCAGCTCAGTCAGTAGCGACCCCATCTCTGCCCGTGCCTTCTCCTCCTCAAACTCCTCTGCGTGTTCCAAAGTCCACCATCTGGACACGGATCATGGAAGGATCGAGGATGAAGTTGCAACGGTTGACATTGCCGTGACTAAGCCCCTACCATGTGGATCCCGCAACGCGGTCTCGCATTCATACATGTTGTCTATCAAAGCAAAGTCGCCGTCGAATTCCTCCAGCAGCACCCCAATAACGCGGCCGTTCTCTGTGAGGTGGACTTGGAATGTAATAAGCCCATCTCTCGGTATGGCTGGCACATGGCGGGTTCATCGAAGACAGTCGTAGAATGTATAGATAGTGGACTCTATGCCCGGCTCGGACTCGATAAGAACTACCCCATCTTTTTATTTTCATGTTTCACTTCTGCAACGTTTCGTGCTCATATAAACATAGATTCTGCTATTTACACTCATGTATTATCTGTTCTCAACCTTTATCAACTTGCACGGGGTTGACATCGCGGGCAGGGGAATTGGCACAATGCGACCGCCAGTTCGAGCGCCAATCCAACCTGCAATGCGATGTGATAGATCCGGAGGATACCATATCGCGTAACTACTGTGCCAAACACCTGCCAAAAGAAAGCAAGGCCATGACGAAATACATGGCAAGCCAGGAGCGCCATGAGCAACACAGGTGCGCCTGAAAGATGGCTATGCCGTTGATTCATGTAGTCGCGGCGTTGTTATCTTCTTTACTGAGGATAGTTGCCTGTTGATTAGTTTGTATTCTGCATGTAACGGAACTATAGTGGTGGAAGGATTAGGGGCTCTTTCCTAGATGCTGGCCAGAGAATCCGATAGACGTGGCGAAAATATACACTAGGTTGACGGGTACGAAGATAAGCAGGACTGTATGGAAAGAGATATAATGTGAAGGCATTCGTTCCTTAAGTTAAGCGCACATATCGTCGTGTGATGACCTCCGCCGCGGAGTAACAATGCCGGGCATGCTCCAGAAACTCTGCTTCCGATCTGGCACGGTACTGCAAGCCCCTCCAAAATATCCTACCGTCGCTGCCTGGAGGCGTCAAACGCTTTTCAACGTCGCGATCTAGCTTCTGCCGGTCATAGAGTTCAAAGTTCCGTTCACAACCTCGGCACCAAAGCCCATTTTCAACGTCGTTCCCTGACATGGATGGAAAAGTGATGGCGCCCATACCTTCAAAACTGTCACCCGAATAGTATGAAAGACTTTCCAAGGTCAAAGGATCTTGAGAAAAGGGCAGCAACGGAGCATCTTGGTACAATGTTGCCTCGCGGAACTTTGTCAATGTCATATTCAAACGTTTTGCGGCTAGATTTCTTGCCACTGCCTCGGCGGAGCCGTGCACCTTAATTGCCAGCTCTTTCGCAATTCGGACACTGATGAGTCTGATTGGCCGGGCCCGATATTTGCTGGTTCGGACAGCGTATGTCCCCGGAATACTTCTCATGATGGGCTGATCTTTTAACTGTTGTCGAGTGAGATCGAAACAGTCTCTTGCGACTGAGAGGGGGATCAACCACAACGACTGATTATTCGTAAGGCACGCGAGACAGCATCCTTCAGAGGAGAGGAGAAATAGGTAGGCGCCGTACTGTCCACAAGAGATGCATCGATCCGAGCGAAGAGCCGCTTGAAGTGTTGTCACGGAATGGAGGCCAATTAATCTCGTTTGACTCAGTGCTGGGGCAATATGGCCGGCGACAGTCGCAAGATCTCTGTATGCAGGTAGCGATTCAATGATGACTCTCCCGCGCAGAGAAACTTGTGAAATGCGTGATAGCGACCCTAAGTCCAGATAACTGATTATAGCATGCAGAAGCTCAAGGGGCAGATTATCAAGTAGTCCAAATGACAATTGAGGTTGGCGTTGAATCTTGGACATGGACAGCTTGGGAGATTCGCCAAGTGTGATCACACCTCTAAGAATGTATTTTGGCCGATGAGAGAGATGAGAAAGATAATCTTCTTTTGAAAATGCACTGCCAGGCATAGCTGTGAATAATTTGCAACATATGAGGTGTAAAACGAGAAGTTGAGAGGGGACTCGACGCGCGGTTTGGTGCAATGGTCGTGGTCTAATACAGGCACCAATCATGTGATTAAATTGCATGTGATTTGACTTAGAGTGACTAGTACGGTTCCTAGGAGAGCATTGAACGAGTGGGAGGGACAGTGACGAGTGATAGCCGTGAGGTGAGGTTAACAAAGAGGGATTTGGAGTTAGTGGATAGGACTAAGTCATGGACGAAGCAGCAGCAACACGAGCAAGGAGGTATTGCATTGTAGCATATTCTTATGTTGAAGCTAGGTTACCCGGAGTCGCAATACAGCGCCTACTCTCCTTTCTCATTTCACGGCCGAGAAAGTCATGCTCATCGTCCAGCTAGGGGTGGGGTCACTGTCGTGCCCGCACAGGAAAAGACAAGTGCATCAAGCTAGTTTGATTTACATGTAGATTGGGATCTGGCGGCAGTTATGCTGCCTATTATGTGAATGCTACTTTCTTAGCAAGTGTGCATTGGATATATTTTATGTAGGTCATCACCGTTCGTTCTCGACTGATTCACTATCCCTCGCAGCCCTTTCAATCTCATCTCTCCTCTTTGCATCTCTGACCGCCGCATCCACCGCATCGGTAAGATCAAGATGAAAGAATGGCCGATCAACCCCATAAAGCGGTTCATACTCCCCCCTTTTCTCATCCTCATCGACCTCCGAACGGACCTCACTCTTCGCCACCTTCTTGCCCTCACCCTGCAGCGGCCTTGCCCCACCAGACCTCCTCTCCTCATCCAACTCCTGCATCTTGCCCACCAAACTAGCCCTTCGTTTCCGATCCTCCTGCGTAGCGCCCGCGAGCGATGTCGCAACCGTATACACGGGCTTCCAATTGCCGATCGCCTCGGGGCTGCCCGGGTATCCGAACCCAGCGAAGGCCAGCGCGCGGCGCGTCCATTGGTTCTGGATGCCGGCGAAGTGCCATTCGACGATGCTGGGGGCGGCGTACCGGTCAAGTGTGTTGCGGAGGTCGATGAGGCCTTGGATGTTGGTGATATCGATGATATTGACGGCGGAGAAGTCGAGGACGACGGAGCGGAGGAGCGGGCGCGATTTCATGGCTTCTGTGTCTTTTGATGAGGAGGGGGCGTCGTTCCATAGGCGGTCCTTGAGAGGCACGCCGTCATCGGCATGGGTGCGGCGCGTGTGGGCGTAGATATAGCTGGTAATGTGTTCCATGTGCTGAGCCACGTTGATGTAGTTGAAATTCTCGTGAAAACGGTAGATGAAGACGCCGGGATGAGGCGGCTCGATCTTGATCTTAGGGTTCATGCTCGATTTCCCTGCCAAAGGTACGTATACGTCGCGCCCATGGTCGTCGTCACGCTTATTTTCCGAGCTGGGCGAGCACGACCGCGCCGCAATGTCTTCCCCGCCAAAAGGTGAAGGTCCTGTTCGACTTACGCGAACCCGGCCCTGGGAGCTTCCAGGAGTTCTGGCCAAGCGGACTAAGAGCAGAACGAAGGACAGTACAATAGTGGTGTAAATTGATGTTTCCAACGAGGAGAACAACGCCAGAATGACGCCAACCACCCAAATGAGAAGTTCCAGCGGCGACAGTTTCCAATACTTGTACAGCGACTGCGGCGGGGTTATCAAATTACATGTAGCATGGATAATGAGGCCCGCGAGTGCTGCCATGGGAATGTAATAGAACACTGAAGTAAGTGCGTACAGCGCCAGAATCAGAATCATGGCACTAAACAACCCTGCGAGTGGCGTCCGTACCCCCGCCTTGGAGAGAACAGCAGACGCTCCAAATGAGCCAGTGCAGACATATCCTCCAACGAAGGGACTCAAGATGTTCGCTACGCCTTGAGCGACCATCTCCTGCGATGGTATAACGGTGTAGCCAAAGATGCGACCAAAAGATTTCGCGATAGCAATATGCTCAACGATGAGAATGATCACGATGGCTGGCAGTTCAGCGGCTACAAGGCCGAATAGTTCGGGGTCCATCTTTGGCACGCTGGCATGCTTGAAGCCTACAGAATATATTGTGAGCATTTGCGGACGTATCAATCAAAACCAACTTTTCAAACCTACCAGGCTCAATCTTTCCCACGATACGGAACCTGGAATGGCCCTCGGGAAGGCTTCGATGGACTAGCCAAGAGATGAATGTATATAGTAGAATCGTGAAGGTTAGTCGGAGAGAATTCAGCATGGCCCATACACGTTTCTTGCTTGGCTGACGGATTTCCATTTTGGCGCAGGCGTCTCGGATGATGAAGAGGAGCGCAATCGAGGTCAGTCCAATGGCGGCATCAAGTTTCGCTTTGGGAAGACTCTTAAACGTGTTTATCAGGACACGGTACGGTGCTTCTCTTGTATTGATGCCGCTTATGCCTAGAACTACCGGTATCTGCGTTGACATGATAGTGATACTGGCGGAGGTAACGAACGCAGAAATAGGAACGTATGGAATAAACTCGATGACCCATCCTAAACGAAGGAGACCTAGGACAAGTATGATGGCTCCGGCAAGAAATGAAAGTGCATGTGCTACCTCTTGAGGGTGGTATACTCCAGGCTTCTCAGCCTCTACTTTGCTGATAACGCCGCCGACTAGTAGTGAGCCAACTGCAGTGGTCTGGAATCGTTAGATATTAGCCTGCTATCTCCGGTTTGACTGACTTTATACTTACCCCGATCACGATATCTTTGGATGTACCGAAGACCCAGTACAGAGCTGCACCGGTGAATGATGTGTAGAGGCCATACTCTGGTGTCAGTCTTGCTAGCAGAGCATATGCCATTGCCTGCGGAACAACGACAAGTCCCACCGTTAGACCTTTTGCGATGTGAGCGGAAGCCTACGGTCGTTGATCTTTACTACTCACCAGCGATAGCATCCCCCAGCATCCAGTGAACGTTGTATCGGCGCGTCCAACCCACCGACGGGAAGAGATTGCGAGCATATCGAGCAGCACCTGCTCGTGTAGGTACCTGGTCTCGAAGCCATTCTCTCACCGACGGATCATCTTCGATGTGTTGGTTCACTGAGGTCTCTTCGGCGCGTTTCCGCAAAGCCTCGACTTTCTCTTTACGAGCTCCATTGTTAGCATGGAAGACCTTCTCCAGCACAGTATCGCATACATTCTTTGCAGCCATGCTTTGGCCACAGTGCGACAGGAACTGCGCTTTATGGCAATATGTAAGGTTGTTGGAAGATAAATGGAGGTGAGGAGGAATTGATTGAGCAAGCACGAGTGTGAAGAAGGAAGTCGGCGTTAGGCTGTCGGTGGCAGGATGTCGGTGTCTTCGGGCGTCATTATTGGACACTAGGACTACAGGTGCCCGCCCGAAAGATAGTCGCCGTCTTTGATCCTCACTCGGCGGGGACGGATGCGTAATGCGCTGTCATGTTAGCGCATTCAAGATGCGGAGATTCACACCGTCGAGCTTGGCGAAACCTTTTATCGATGATGCTTCAAGTGGTGGTTCATGTTTTGATTGTCGTGGTAGCAGCTGCCCACACGCAATCTGTGCGCGTTTCTACAGTGTATGGTCCAATGCTCAAAAGTGCATACAAATCTACACATGAGGTCGATCAGAACATCAATTGATGTGATCGTTAAGGAAATATCGACATTACAACACTGATCGTAATGATACGAAAAGTCTTCCTCGGATAAGACGAGTGACTAGTTATCCGTATTGATGCAGGCGGGAGGCGACACAAGTGTAACCTCAAACGGCACAAAATTCCTTTGAAGAAGAGCCTATCAAGATGACATCGTTGTTTGTTAAAACTCGTCCTTAACGTCAATACTTTGCTCTCGGGTGCCCTTGCTTTGAAGCTGTAGCATAAAGGGTGCATTACTTCTTCTAACAAGCTCTGGTTACTGGCTATGGTGGTGGGTGTGTAGAGTACTCCGCACTCCGCAGAACTAACGCCGACTTCAAAATAGTGGGCCTCGCATTATGCGCGTTTTTGATGGCTTTGATTGGATCGTATAGTTACGACACGGAAAAGAACGAAAACTGAACTATCACCTGACTTTGCAGGATTTGTGATAGCCATGCATTCTTGCTAGTATTTGCCCATCAACAGGCTGCCTGCCGCCTTGGCTACTGCAATGTTATCAATACTACGGCGGCCCAGGTTCATTGCCGAGATACCCAGTACCAATGTAGAGCTTGTGGCTCGTGATCAAGAGAAAAAAGCCGTTGTATCAATGATAACTGATTCCATTGCAATTTTGCTTTCATACTCTCTAATCTTTTTAGAAACATAAATATACAGGGGAATTGAGCAAGAAATGTGGAGGGCTTAGAAGAGATATAATACACACGACGCGAAGACAATGGCAACTAACTCTTTGAGCATGATCGTCGCTCCTACAGATGTCCCAGACAACACAGCAGTATCCGACTCAGCACCCTTAAGGAAATCTAAACCCAAGGGCCGAAGCAATCCCCCGGGAATTCTGGATATCCAAATGCACTGTTGCTAGCACTGCAAGAAGCTGCTGTAGCCGGGGCAGTCTCTTTGTCGGAAATACCAAATAGAGGTTAGCGTTTTGCGCGTCGTCTGGCTTGAATCGATCATTATGCTTGCGTTTGCCCTCCAGTTGGAGTGAGTCGTTGAGTCGTTGATACAAAGTCCCCAAGACTTGACTTGTCAACTTTGATGTTCCGGTCATATTGTTTATATCGGCCACGGGCTCGTAGCCTAGGCTTAAACAACCAATACCCAAGGTCTTGAGAAGTGACATCGACGCTACGACAATCAAGTCTGCCGTTCCCCGCTGTGCATCAACAGCTTCGACGCAAGGGTCAAGATGATACCCTTGGTTCTTTCCAAGTTTTCGTAGGCCTCCAAATCCATGAATTCTTCCGTCCTTGTCCTTGATGTAGATGTAAAAAATCTCGCCGGGATAGGAACGGAAGTCGAACAACGTGAGGTATGATTGAACCTTTGAAGAGTCTTCCCGCGATAGATGCCACTGGTTATATATATCCATGATAGCGGACTCGAGCTGATCATTCTGCTCATGAGCTGGGTCGTACATCGCAAGCTCCAATCCTCCTCTTTGTGGGTCGAGAAGTTGTCTTGCCTGCGCGTAGATGCGTTTACTGCAAGCCCCAGATAGGATTGGGTTGGTTACAGGATTCAATGTCCTTTCGATGCCAAAGTTGATTGAAACCCATTGTTTGTCAATAGCGAACTGCTTGAACGTCTCGCTCATGCCCAAAAATGCCATTTGTCGCGTCGACCTGCCGGTTTCCAGCTGGAACTCTCGTAGTACACTGTCGAAGAGGTATGGCTCGCATAATGGATCCCCACAGATTACCGCCAAATCGTTATGTACTTTATAACAGATGGCACCAGGTACTTCCCTGGTTATAAAGACGGCGTAGCTCGCATCAGTCAAGACCATGTGTGCTACCTGGCTATATCGTGAGAGCAGACTCTCGAGGGATGCTCGGCTGCTGGGAACCTCGGGAGAAGGTCGCAAACAGTAGGGAGGCGGCGGTATCGAGGTTGTGTACGTAGGCAGGGCGTTTCGGGGTTCTTTCTCATCCATCTGTGTTGTCCTAGGTAGCGCATAGCTCATGATTTGTTGCGTAGCGATGCCGAGAACGATCGTGGCGAAATTGACTTCCGACATGCCCATACTCTTGAGACTTGAATGGGACTGTACAGGTACTGGACTCGAAACATTTCTTTGGATGTGAGTTGCCTTCAGCATGGCCTTTAATTGACTCCCTAGGTCATCAAAGAAGTCGCGTCGTGCGTTCGATACACTGTTGTTCCCTGGACTTTTCACTGAAGTGAGCGTCTTGTGCTGTTTCATTTTCGCAGCAGCATCCATTGTCAAAAGAATTCGAATTAATGAAGTAATGGGATTAGGCTTGTTGTTATGCTTGGGCAGGCGGTTTTCATGTCATCTTTAAAAGGCTTCTCCGGATACCACGGGATTGATAAAGTTAAAGTAGGCAAAACATTGTCATAGGATGGCTGGAGTTAGCTCTCACCACACTCCAAACATGACTCCTTGAGGGGGCGGATTTAGCCCATTCGTCATTGTCGCACCCCATTGTGAGGTTGTGATAGAGATTGGACCTATAACCCTAGACATGCTAGTATACTGTATACCAAGCTAGGAAAGCAAGTGCGCCCAAATTAATTGTTGAGCTCAGCCGGATTTCGGCATGGCCAAAGTATTTTCTAGTCAAACAAGCATGGCTAAGCTCAAGCAAGCTTGCAGCATTACTGCTCTTGGACATCCACGATCTCGGGTCCCACGGAGCCCGCAGAGCCCATACCTAGATCCCGCAGCTTCTGGAACACAACACAGCGCGTGCTGCAGCCCGCACTAAGCCACAGTTTCTACGTGAATAATGAGGCGCAGTTCAATGCTATCAAAAAGGTATGAAGAAGCGCGGGCTAAAGAACATGCGAGGCATATCGTTGTTTTGATGGTCAAGCTGTCTATGATATCATGTGTGTACTACCCTTTATATACTCTATTTTGTATGGTTCTTAAGCAAGCATTTTAACAAGATTGAATTTCAGCACTTCTATATGTGCTTACACAAACTCTACGTCTCACTGAAGCCATGCCAGCACCGGTGGTATTCCATGATACGACGCTGTTCAGGTGATCAGAACTTCGCAAATTGCCAGCAGCTAGCACTCCAGGGCTGGGAAGAGAAGTCCAATTCGTGCCCGTTCTGCTATGGTTCTGCTTCTTCTGCCTTTGAATATCGATTGATCGGAAACGACCGCAAACCACACATTGGTGGGCTCCCAAGGGACAGCCAGGGTAAGATGAAGCTTAGTTTAGAGACAAAATCTAGGTTAGGCCATAGTATATACTAACTGCGTTATTAGGCAGTTTCTCTACGACAGGACTAAATGAGAATCATAATGCACAAAGAGCAGAAAAGAATAGGGTTCTGACAGCCCGTTTAGGTACAATTCTGTCACCATTGTATGAACCACAGCAACAATCCTCTGAATGCACCTAACCGGAAGAACAGAGAAAATAGAAAATGATATATCCTTCGAGGGCAGCAAATAGCGTTACTTCAACACCCATTTAACAAGCGGTTTCGTGTTTACAAACAATGTAATGTTCCCAATGGACAACTTTGAAAGTTCAACCGTAGAATAAGTAATTTATCCAATAATGCCTCATTGGGTCGTGTTTTGTTTGTCAAGCATGTGCTGGATGCTATGTTACAAAGGAAACAATTTGCCTATGACTATGAATGCCGAATTCGTAGGCCCGTTAACACGCATGTGAAAATCAAATGATCAGACAGTAATCTCTTACATGATTGTCGGCAAAGGAGAAATGTCTCCATCCTGTTCAACAATGATTACGTACGTCCTAGGTTTGATTTTAAGAGTTCCTCGCTTCTGTTATCCCTTGTTCGCTGCACTGTATGTGCTGCAGCAGCTTCCTTCTTTCGTCTAGTGCTTGTTTGATTCCATATCGGTACAGCTTTGTAGGATATCCTGTTAGCCATTTCCTCGATCGAGTTAAGCACAGCGGTAAGGGAAGCAGGCAATTAGCTTTTACGCCGTTGTGTACGATTACCAACTAGGCTCGGTTTAGCGCCCGTCTCCAGAGCGTTCCTGGATGCTCTAATTTCCCAAAAGAGTAGCCTCTGTAGTAGGCGGTATTGCCGTACGGGATTTGGCCGTAAAAATTGCTATGTTTCGGGACGTTCACAGTCCAACATGGTCTTGTTACACATGCAAAATCTTGAATTGCTCTTATCGAATTCAGTCTTCAAGATTTAAGTGATGGCTTGTGGATCGAGAATCTCGCCCTACCTTCCTCGTCCCACATTCCTTACACTACAAGCAAGAGGCTGGACCATAAACAGTTCAAGAGGAGCTACAGCGGGCTTCATGTTGAGTCACCAGGTAGTTCATGCAATTAGAATTCGTCCTCGTCTCTCTATGAATGCCTGAAAACCCCGGTGTCCACGCAATCCGTAAGTGTAATTTCAGTGGAGCAACGCTAGTTGAGCCACGCGTGTGGCTTAGAGGCCATTAGTTGGTCTGTAAAATCTACAATTCATACAGTTCATAGTATGTCAGTGCATATCTATTTTACTTATCTTTGACCAACACGACAACTCACAATGCATCATCTACTATTATCGGGATACAGATTGATCAAGAGCGCAACTAACCATGGAGCCAAAGATTGCTCACATCAAGAATGAGGCTCTCTCAACCCTTCTCCATCGCGCAGCCCTAATTCTCTGTTGTGCCATTCTCGCTATTGTTCTGTTCTCCAACTTTTTAGAACGATGGTTATTAGCAAGAATGTATCCAGCTATCTGGGAAAAGTTGTCCAACGGCAACAACGAGAGACGTCGCCGCTCTTTTACTTATTTGCACATTGGTGTGTTCATCATGGCATTGCTCATCATCTTTGGCGCCTATCCAGTCTTCAGATTCCTCCTTCGCGATGTTCGACTTTCTTCTATGCTCTTCGAAAACACCACCTACGGCGACTATATGTTAGTCCTTTCACAAATCTACAGCGCCTATTACCTCTTCGAAGTGTGTTTCCGGACTAGATTTGCCAGTGCCATCAGCATCGCACATCACGCCGGCCTGTTGATAGTCATCCAGACCGCCCTGGCTCTTTTTGGAGATTTGCGCAAGCATCCAGAAGCAATCTTGGAGTTCTATATGTGCATGGTGTGGGGTAAGTGCGCTTTTCTATATCATTCCTCCCATTCCTCACTATTGTTCGTCCAGCGGTAGTGAGTTTAAAAGGACTTGAGCATGGTAGGGAGATAATCCAGAGCTGACTCATTATGTCTCATTACAGGTGCTTTCGATGTGATTGTTGAGCTACCTCTGTACACGTTCATGATAATCTGGCGTGTCAAATGCAACGATCATCGGTTATTGTCCCGAATGGCGTACGCTTGCTGCGTCTGGGTCATGTTGGGTGCAACTACTGAAACCGCAATCACTATCTGGCTTCTCAAGCGCTCGTGGTCTCGTTGGGGTCTATCATGCCGTATTCTCCTTCCTCTAGTGTTCTCCCTCTGGATCTCCACGCAACTCTATGGCGCCTATAGGATCTACTGCATGGCTCGAAGCAAGGCACAGTTGGCGAGTCCGCGTGACGAGGAACAGCAAAGCCCTGGTTATGGTCAGGTGCTGGGAGGTGGAAACAACAACTTGGTCGCACGACCCAAGGCATAATTCTTTCGTAACGTTACAGATGCTGAAAGGAAAGTGCTAGTCATAAAGATCTCACATGTAAATAGGCCTGAGTAGAAATCACCAATTTCTGGGACTGGACAATTTGGGAATCGTTTGAATGTACAATACTTCTTCTCATTTGTGAATGACTTCATTTTTCGTCATGGTTTCGTCCCTATGTTTGTATGCTGGTTGCTTTTTCCGCCATGTCTGTATACAATGAGTATACTAGCGCTTTGAGCGGCAGCACTATGTTGTGGACGCGCAATGGCCCGCGCTTCAGTTTACCAGTTCAAGAATAGGTGACGCGCTAGCTATAAATACTGCAACTCCCTAGAAGCATCATCCAGATTTCAGACACCACGAGGCAGACTCTAGGGAGATAGACCCCTAGGCAATAAATGCCAATGCTGGTCAGACGCATTACTTATTCTCATATACGGAGTATCTCTGCCATTTGTTAGAGGCTATCCAAGGACCCAAGAACGATGGGTGAAATACGAAATACGCAATGCGATCTTAAGTCTGGGGGTAGAGACAGCAGCAAAGAGCTCAGGCAGCAAAATACGGGATATTCACTGATGCAGCAACCCCGAAATAATGCAAAGGTGACTGAATGAATCACTGCTTAGAGTACTAGTAGCTAGGCAGGGATCGCGCAGCTGATACGGAGCTGCGCTGAGGACCTTACACCACCCCTAAGCGCAAGGCAGACAAGATAGGGATCCCAGATATAGAAGATGAAACTGGCTCTGGAAAATACCGTAGTTTGTTGTATATTATGTAGTATGATAGCCTTTCCAACATTGGGCTACGAGGCCAGCTCGTTGGTGAATGGACAAAGGTAGAAGCAAAAGCTCTAATCTATGTGTGATTAATATTCCAAAAGAAATATGGTTAAGATGAACAAAAGAAACCCTAGATCGGACAGTTTGATTTACTCCAAGTTCTGCGCCTCGCACATTTGCTTATACATTCCACCCTTCGCAACTAGTTGCGCGTGAGTTCCCTTCTCAACGATGCGTCCACCATAGAATACGCAAATGAGATGTGCATCCTTAATGGTTGATAACCTGTGCGCGACCGCAATGGTGATTCGCTGCCCATCGCTCGACGCATCGCTCAATGCCCGCTGAACAATTTTTTCGGATTCCGTGTCCAGTGCACTAGTAGCTTCGTCCAGCAGAAGAATCCTTGGATTGCGAAGGAGTGCCCTGGCTATTGCGATACGCTGACGTTGTCCACCTGACAACTGGGTGCCGCTATTGCCACAGTCTGTATTCAACCCTTCTGGAAGTGATGCAATGAACTCCCAAGCATTAGCGGCCCGACATGCTTCCTCGATGGCTGAATCTGTGATTTCTTCTCCAGAATCGATGCCCAAAGAAATGTTCTCACGAATGCTGCCACGAAACAAGACTGGTTCTTGTTGCACCAAAGCAATGATGCGACGGTAGAGGCGAGGATTGAAGGTAGGCACCGCATCGCCGTCAATGCGGATGGATCCAGAAGTTGGGTCGTAGAATCGCTCGAGCATTGCAATCATGGTGCTTTTGCCGCAGCCCGAGGCACCGACAAAGGCAACAAATTGGCCCTTGTGGATCTGTTATGTATTAGTGTCTATGTTATAGATCGCGGCTTCGCGATGAAAAAACTCACATTCAGACTGATTCCGCGAAGGACTCTTGCGTCGGGCCTCAGAGGATAAGCGAATCGTAAATCATCGCAAAGCACATTATCGCCAGATTTAGGTGCGGAGTGCATATTGTCCGGGTTTCCTTGGATCGTAGGCCGAGCATCATGAAGCCAGAAGAGGTAGTTGGCAGAGTTCCTTCCTTTCGTCATACTGCTTGAGTATTGGAACATTTGGGAAGCAGATTGGCCGGAGAAGAACATGGCCATGAAAGCAACAAAGAACTCATACATGGTGACTTCACCGGTTGAAAGTAGGCGGCATCCGTACCTTATTGATCAATTAGTAGATATATTGAATTCGCTGAGGTAGGCTTACCAAAATCCAAGTGCTAGAAAGAAGTACTCAATGCATTGAGTAAGAGAGAAGAGGATAGTCATTGTGAAAAGGGGGCGGATTGAAAATGAGACAGCATTGTTGAGCTCCGTAGCATAACGTTCAAGAACGGACTGCTCGATGGCAAGCGAGGATACAGTTCTAATGGCGGTGACAGCCTCAGAAGCAATAGCAGCACTTTCCGAATAGTTTTCGGAGACGGTGTGGTCCAATTTGGAATCGAGACGAACTTTCAGGTAACCTGCGCCAACAAGTGGTGGTAAGCCAGCAAATGCGACGACAAGCCCAAATTTCCATGTAAACACTATTGCAAGTATCGCACATACGCCGACGTTGATAGTGGCGATCAGAATCATAGCGATATTGAATCCCATCAACTCTAACACGCTTTGTGGATTAGAGCTCAATTTGCCGGCAAGGGCGCCAGTATTGTTTTCCCTGTGGTCGAAGAATTGCAGGTCTTGCCGAAGGAAGTCGTCTAAGCACTGTCTTCGGAACTTATGGCTCAAAGTCTGTTACGTGTCAATAGCGCAAAATCGCAAGAGGGTGAGTGCAACATACCTGCGCAACAACGTTCGTTGTCCAGCCCATGATGAAGTAACAAACAAGAACCCCAAGGGCCAGTACGAAAAACATCAGTGCAAGGAAGTTGCTCCGAGTGGTCATCTCAGAAATTGGCATGGTGAAGACATCTAAAAGTTTCCCCATAAGGAGTGCTTGACCAGGATTTGCACCAGCTGTACAATGGTTAGTCATGGCCTGACCTAAGTTCCACTCTACTTGTATTTGGATGACTTACCAGCTGCTACACATCCGAGAACGACCATAGTATAGGTCCATTTCAATTCAGGCGTTTCCTGGATGATTCGTAGAATGACACGTACCAGTCCCATCTGTTTGTGGCTGGCGTAACTTCCACGTTCCAGACTGGATGTTGTAGGGTTCGGTTCGTTCATCTGGCGGGATATTAGTGTCGTCATTGGCTCAACCTTGTCGTATACGCCAGCATCATCTACAGATTCTGCTAATATTTCGCTGCTAGCAGAAGACTCAGAGTCGCCGACAGAAAGGTTTTGCGCCTTCACAAGTCTAGAATATGCCCCATCCCCTTGCATCAGAGCGTCATGGTTTCCTTGTTCGACAATCTTGCCATGGCTCATGACTACAATGTTGTCAGCTCTCCGAATGGTTGCTAACTTATGTGCTATGACAATGGTAGTTCGTCCTTTTGAAGCCTCATCGAGGGCTCGTTGTACAATACCCTCAGCGTGGGGGTCTAGAGCGCTGGTCGCTTCATCGAGCAGGAGTACCTTAGGCTGCGAGATAATACTTCTGGCAATGGCGACTCTTTGTTTCTGTCCTCCAGATAATAAACTACCTCTTTGTCCAATGGAAGTGTGATATCCTTCCGGCAACTCCGTAATGAAATCGTGGGCGAATGAAACCTTGGCAGCCTCTTGAACGAGTCTCATTTGTTCATCCTGGGATGCGCTCTCCCACCGAGTGCCGACAAGACCGTACGCGATATTTTGGAAGACAGTTCCCTGGAACAACACAGGCTCCTATTGATAACGTTAGTCAAGCAAACCATAACACCGGCTGGAGGTACTTTACTTGCTGAACCAGGCGGACGTTTCGTCGCAGCCAGTTCAGGTTCAATGCATCGATGGAAACGCCATCTAGCTTGATTGTACCAGAGCTCGGGTTGTACCATCGCTCAATGAGGCCAATAATCGTACTCTTTCCTGAGCCGCTTGTTCCCTGTCCAGGTATCAACACCTATCTTATCAATTTTAGAGGCTCGTGCAGGATTCTTACTACTAGGGCCGTCACTTTGCCAGCTGGGATATGCAGAGAGAAGTCGTCAAGCACTGTTACGCCAGGGCGAGTTGGATATGCAAAATTAATGCCTTCGATGTCGACATCACCCACAGTTTCCTTTGGTTTGAGCCCCGATTCATCAAAGGGGTCAATTTCGGAGCTGCGGTCGATGAGTTGGAAGAGCTTGAGCGCAGCCGATCCTGCCCGTCCAAAATCGATGAAATAAGGCGCGAGACTCGTAACGCTCGTTGTTCCAATCACGACAGAAAGGAGGACCCTATGATAGTCAGTAAATTGGCAGTGTGGGTAGCTCAAAGACCCTACGTAAAGATTTGGCCAGTGTTCTTGATTTCCCCTCTGCTGTACATCTGAATGCCTTGCCAGAATGCCAGTGCAAAGCCAGCATAGATGACGAAAAACTCAAATGAGAATAGTACGCCATAGATTGGAGATTTCTTGTTTCCTAATGAATGTGCGTGCCTCAGGAAGCGGTCGAACTTCTCGACGAGTCTTTCGCGGAGCTCAAAAGCGTGTACTGTACGGGCACTGGCGAGAATTCCTTCGGCTAACGAACCCGCCTCGGCGTATGTGTCGAGGATTTTGTACTCAACGGCGGCATCTAGGGTGGCTGTCACCCCAGTGACGATCAGAATCGCGGGTGCAATGCTGAGTGTAATGAGTGTAAGTTTCCATTGCGTTACAAGCGCAATGGTATACGCTGCGATAAAGACTGCGACTCCTTGGAAGCTGATAGCAAGCTTCTCTGAAATGCCCATTTGGATGGTACGGCCATTTGAGATCGCCTGGCTTGCGATAGAACCACCGGTTCCAAAGTCGAAATACGCAACTTCTTGACGCAGGGCTGCATGGAGGTATGAACGTCGGATATTACGTGTAATACGATAGGCGGCTAGAGTAGACAGTGACGTGTATACGTAGGAGAGAGCAAACTTTGCGATACCTATATAGACAAAGTACAACCTATGGAGGATAAGAACTTAGTAGAGGTGAGAGACGATCGATATATCAACTCACGCGAGTTTTGCGGCAGCTCTGGGGAATTCAGCTCCATCTGCTGTTTCGGATGCAAAGCCTGTGATTTGCGTAATGAATGAACCGAAGATCAAATTCTGAAGTGCTGTGCCGACACCAGATGCAACAGATGTAACAGCCACAATTACAAACATGACATGATCTATAGAGGCGCCGAAAGTGAAGACCCTCTGGATCGCGTTAGCAAAGTACCTGTAAGCTCGAAAAGAGATACACACCAGATACGCCTTCAGGGCACTGTCTTCCCGATCGCCATCTTGGGTTGATTTTGGTCCCTCCTGTCGTTTTTCAGACATGATTTCCAAGGCCTAGAACGGTGGCGAGTCACTCCGTTCAAGCGTTGTGTATCGAGGAAACAGCGTCCGCTTGCTTTACAACTTGTTTTCGTCCCAGAGGCTAATGATACTTATAATATGCGCAGCAACTGACTTTTAATTCCCCATTAGTGATTTTCTCAAGATCCTAACACATCTTGATGTGCTCCACGTACGGGCTCCGCGCGTTGCAATGTCTTGGAAGCCCTGGGGGCCCAAGAGATGGGCTCAGATACTACATGAGTGAAAGTACTGCACAACACGACTATCACGGGGGCCGTGGAGTTCGATCTGTTCCTTTGTTTTCTTGGAAGCCCCTGGATGTCGCACGGATAAAATGTGTTGTGTTGGTGCAACAGTATCATTAGACATGTGCAGAGTACAGATATAGTAAAGTTCTTGTGGATATTCGGATCAATACCAAGAGAAACATCGACCGTACACTCAATTTGTCGTGACCAACGGCGCTTAACGGGGCCCGCGGACTGCCATCAGGCGCTTGACGGAGGCCGCGGACCGTGCACTGTGAGGTATACACAGTGCCAATACCAGATACAGCAGAAGTAACAGCCACGATTATAAATATAAAATAATCTATAGATATGCTAAAAGTGAAGATCCTCTGGATTGCGTTAGCAAAGCACCTGTAGGCTCAAGAAGAGATACACACCAGATATGCCTTTAGGGCACTCTTTCCTGGGTAAAGCTTCAAGACACTAGCTACTAAACGTTTCTTCTAAGAAATTGAAGGGTACTTGTCGATTTAAAGCCTTTATACAGATCTTGGAGCCAGCCTCATCCGCAGAATCATCTTCTCTCAGCATAGGAGCCTCTTCTACATCTGTTCCGAACTCACCTCCACGCCCTCTCCCCCTCAAAACTGCTATTTCTATTGCATCTCCATCCTGCACTATTCCCTCCCTCCCTGAGGTCTTCATCTCTTCACCCTGCTGCTTCTGCACCGCAACTGCAATCACACTGCCCAAGATAAGCCCGCTTCCTGCCAAGCTCCACCATCCCGGGTTCAGTCCGAAGACCAGCTTATCAAGCACGAGCGCAAACAGCACGTTGGTATATACCATATTTGTAGCCCTGGCCCCATTCGATCTTCCACCAATTGCAAGACTGCTCGTGAGTAAGAATTGCGTGAGGAATCCGCAGATGCCTAGGAAGATAAGCAGCGTCCATTGGCGAACATCTGCGGGTGCTGCAAAAGAGGGGAAAGACGGAATGGGGAGTGAGAGGGATATGGCAGAGACGAGCGTGCTCCAGACGGCGAAGTAGTTTACGCTTATAAGAGGGTGTGCTCGCGGGCCTATCCACCAGATTATTGTGTAGACTGCGGCAGAGCCGAGGACACCGATTAACGCTAGCGCAACCCCCGAGAGCCGTTCGGCGGATGTAGGGCCTGGAAACAAATCGCTAGATGTTGTAGAGGTTTCGTTCCTGGGGGTTAATGGAGATGGGGTGGTGGGGAAGATAGATGTTGGGCGTGCGATGAGAAAGACCCCGATAAAAGAGACGAGAGATGTATATTGAGCGGAGCGGGGGAAGGACTCTTTGAGAAAGAGATAGCAGGCGTAGGATGCTACTGATGGGGCGAGGAAGGTAATGACTACGGCATCCGCTATTGGGAGGTATCGTAGTGAATATTCGAGCCGTTCAGTATGCCTATGCTTCATTCTGTGTGGCGTACTTACAATACAAGCCATAAGTACCAAAGAAGTCACAGATTCCACGTCCAACAAGTAGCCTTATAATCCCCATTGCACCGGATGGAAAGTCTGGCACGCTTTTCCACCACATCCACAAGCAGCAGCATATCATATTGAGTCCCATTCTAGCAAAAAGGATCTGCAGGGGATGCGTCCCGTTTTCCCCCACCCCCAGAAGCCTTGTGGCAGCGTTCATCAACGCCCCAAACAGCTGAGAGAACAAGACCAGGAGAAGTCCTTTATTTCTCTCCCATATGTTCTTACACATACTTCTTAGAATATTTGGCTCGGCTCTTCCAGACGTAGGGTACAAATATGGATCTCCATAGCTAGGAAGTCTCACAGAGGACATGGTGCTCGACGAGGATTTACCCTAATGCTCCGCTAGATTGCATTTGAGGATCACGGCATGACGATGTTGAGCGGAGAATTCGAATCTTCACAGATTATCTACGGCCTCATGAACGACTTCTTACCCACGCCGATCGCATTTGGCAAATTCAAGGCTCCAGGTCCTCCTACGTACTTTTACCTATGCGAGTTCGTTAATATGGATGTCACAGTGGCCCCGGACCCGGCGGAATTCACAAAGCGACTCGCGCAGCTCCATCGAATCAGTAGGTCGCCCACTGGTAAATTTGGTTTCGATGTCCAGACCTACGATGGGCAGGTAACCCATATCGTTGAATGGCAAGATAAATGGGAGACATTTTTCACGAACATGTTAATGAATATCTATGAGAAAGACCTTGCTACTAATGGTAGATGGGTAGAGATGGAACGAGCTACTAAACAGATTGTCCATGTCGTTATCCCCAGGCTGCTCGGCGCTCTCCAGGCTGGAGACAGAAAGCTAGAGCCTGCTATCATACACGGTGACCTCTGGGAAGGAAATATGGGTATTAATGTGCAGAATGGTAAAAGCATCTTATTCGACGCTGGGTCGTACTACGGTCACAATGAGAGTATGTATTGAATTCAATCGAACTACAAGATGGTTACTGAACCCTAATAAAGTAGAACTGGGAATCTGGAGATGCCAATTCAGTTCAGTCTTTCGTTCCAAAGAATACCTTGAGCATTATCTCAGCAATTATCGCGAGCAGAGCCCGTTGCGGAGTTCGATAACCGAAACAGACTTTACAGCCTGAAAAACGACATCAACTATTCCGTTGGCCATCTAGGAACTTCATTGCGAAGAAGGTAAGATTGATATCTCTCTGGACCCTTGTTATAAGCTTGCTGCTCGTTCCCAGATATGACTGACTGGCAATCTTTATTTCATAGTGCCTACAACAACATATGTTATCTATGCGAGAAATATGGTCTAATTGAAGGGATAGATAAGTGTGATCCTCAGATCGACCCATCGGTGACGGGGTCTTATATTGCGCCTTATCTCCCTGAAAAACCTGGTCTGATTTTGGCAATTGCGACGTGCAGGACGTGGAAAGCGACTTAGGCTAGTTGTAACCTCGTTGCAAGCTAAACGAGCAATAATCCTTGATGCTAATAGCACTCAGACGACCTCTCAAGTCTCGAACGAATATAATTTTCATTTGAATATGCTACTTTGTGTGCAAGATCAAACCTCTCATTGATTGTCTTCCTCTAGAGCTCTCAACATTTAAAAGCTACTATATGCTACCTGAACTTCATACATGTTCTTGACCTCTCAGTCAATCTTCAAGATAAAAACATGCCGTTATGATCGGAAGAGTGTACTTTCACAAAATCACGCATGTCGCTTTCAATTTTCTCGTAGAACTGGTTCCAAAAGCTCCAAAAGAGCCGAGAGACTTAGCTTACTGAGAGTCTCTTCATCCAGATTGTGATCTCGGATCAATGTCTGCCGCAACTTTGTTGAGCTGATGTCTTCAGTAACAGGCTTCGAGTATTTTAGGTAGTAACCCCGCTTTGGAGGATCACTGTCACTAGTACCTGTGCATGTCCACAGCACGACCCCGGCTTCACCAACTTCTCCGTCACCTAGCAGAGAGAGGTTAGCTATATTAGGAAGGTATACTCCAGATGCACTGTATATACTGACTGTCGCCATAACTACGCGTAGTGCGTGACCATTCTCCGAATCCGTTCCACACCACCGGCTGCCCATTTGAAAGAAAGTGAGAAGCGATATGCCTGGCTCTGTTGGTGAACATAGCGCCAGGAAATGCAATTGGCATGATGTTTAAAGGATCTTCGATATCCAAGTTATCCGGACCAACCAATCGAGCAATCGACAACTTGAATCCGTCTGCGCTTGTCAACCGAAGTAAAGCCTCGGTGACTGGCTTGAAGGGATACCAGGTGGCAGTCCACACCCACACTCTCTCTTTCGTTACTGAAGAAATGGCACCCCAAAGCTCCGCTCTTCGGATTTGTGGAAGGAAGAATTCGGGACAGTTTTTCGATATTTTGTTCCTCAAGTGCCAGTCTTCACTGGGGAGGATGATGATGGCAACTGCCGCTACCTCTGGTCTTAGGCCCGATAGAAGAGCATTAATGTGGCCCCGGTGTGGAGGATTAAACGAGCCCGCGTACACGAGAAGAAGATTTTCGTTGTCGGATTGTAAAGTGCCAGTCAACGCCTGGATCGCACCGAGATCAGTTTCCGAAGTCAGGCCAATCTCGTTGTAGGCCATCTGGAGATAGCTTTTGAAAGATATCTCTGTCTTCTCCATGATTACTTTATGAGGTGCGTATTATTTGAAGATCTTAAACTGAAGCGCAACGAGAATGGATAGGATTTAAAGGAGATTTAGGAAACGATAACCGGAATTCGGGTTTTTCTTTCACCGCACTTGGCTAAAGATGGACTCTATAGACGCAGGCGAGGCATTCTAATACCACTATCCACTTCGTGTTACACATTCAATAGCCAATAGAACGGTACAGGAAGTTGCCGGCCACGTCAGATCAGTATAGCTCAATTCAGTCTATCATAACGCTAATTCAACGATCGTTTAACATGAGTGCTTTAGTCTTTCCGTGTTTTGCTTTGGGAAATTGAGAGGAAATTATGTGAAATCATACAGTAAAGTAGCTAACACCTTTAATGGTATTCCCGGGGTGAGAAAATCCCCATCAACAACTCGATTTTTTGATAAGTCATTGCCAAGTAACAAGATGCTATAAGCTGTATGCAGAGTCGCCAGGGCCGATTAATATAGTATTACCCCTCGATACTGACATTCAATACTGATACCGAGTGACTGTGACGGGATCAGGCATGTGCGTATACTGAATGTGCTGTACTATGCTTGGCTGATCGTCTAGATAGCACGTCATGCTGACCGCTTTCTTTTGTAGCTGCAAGCACAGTAATACCTCGTACTCCCTGCAGGTTTGACAATCAAGAGGACCAGGATCGGCATGTACTAGTCCGACAGCAAATCTCTGAACTCCTTTCTCGGTATAAAGCAAAGCGTTGAGCGTGAGACAGATAGAATAATTAGTTTCGTTCTACACCAATATCTCTTATCTTCTGATCCTAGCGACACGATAAAATAGCTGTCACTCAAGAAACGAAGTTCGATTTGATCAGGCTTATGACTTCCTTTGTATTGGTCATCGCATAATTAACAATCGATTTAACGTAGAAACCTACGAGTCGCCGACTATATAATGTTTGGAAATGGTATTTAAACACTATAATATCGCCAAGACTCTACTCCGTGCGATTCAGACAAAACTAACATTACAATTCCAGCGATTTGTGGGGGTACAAACAAAAATCCAAATAATTATGAGGTAGCTCACGCAGATATAGTTTTGTCAATCTTTTGTTCTTTTCAACAATCTATCATTACCGCCCACGTGTTTATATACCTCAGCTACGAATTCGACCGCCTCGACGGGTTGGTTGCGGTGTGGAGGGATGAATGTTCTGAAATGGGTAAACAGCTTGATAGTCTGCCAGATCTGGTATGCCTCTTTCCCTTTAGTTTCTGTTTCTATTTAGTAGCAGTCCCACCCATATTCTTATACTTTTATAGATTACATTCGGTGTTGCTCCAGTTATAATGCTGTACTCTGTTGGATTTCGCACGCCGGTAGATCAGACTGTGTTGATATTCTATGTACTCTGCGGTGTCGCTCGGTTAGCAAGATTCAACATCACGGCAGACACGATACCGAAGAACGAGCATGGCAGGGCACTTTACTACGAAGGCATAACTATCTCATATGCAGCACTGGTAATATCAACTGCGGTGGCTGTCTATTGTTGGATTGGTAGGACATCAGAGGATTATGTTCTGATGGTTTTATTCATAGGCACTTGGAGCGAATTCCATCCAGCCATAATTCCTGTAATCGCGATTGGTGCCGCGATGGTAAGCAAGAGGCTAAAGTTGCCGGGAGTTTGAACACTTGTTATACCGGGTATTACTGTAGCAGTCTTTGGTAGCTGTTGGTCGATCTCGCCGCTGCAGCTTTGATTTCAAGATCAGGATCTGCTTCTAGGTTTTCTAGTGTGAAATGACTAGAGCTATATAGCTATTCCTACTCTGCCCTCTCTTCCCTTTCTGATTAGCTGATTTACTTACTTGTTTGTCCTATAGCTGTGCTTATACGAATCCCTTACGTTCTGGAAACTATACATAGCTACCTACCTTATAGCAGCCTATGTTATGCACCTTTTCCTGCAAACGCATTTTCTGCATTAGCATGAAGCTTTGAGCCTTATGGGAGAGCTAGCTAGATACGTTCATTTACTTGTCAGCCTTAAGAAGCTCGTAGCTGTAAGATCTTGCCGAAAGTGAAGACCCTCTGGAAGAAGCATGGTACGGGAGTTATTCAACATCTCAGTGGAATCACAAGAAGTAAGATTGCCAGAGTGTTTTCATTTATGAAAGCAGGTTTGCTCAGACAAACATGGTGTGTTCTTGTACTAACGTCTCGTGTGTGATTTTGCGTAGTCTCGAGGTCCTACCAAAGTCCACTGGCTGTAGGAATGTGCTATGCACGGTTCCATCTCCAAAGAAGTAAATACTAGTCATCAGCCCAGGGTGTTGAAGCCTTGAAGGTGTGCACTAATAACGATCATTGTTATCGTAGATCGATCATCAGTGTGGAGACGGGAGATTCTATGCATCTAGACTCTATTAAGCGCTAGTCCTCTTTTGTAGTTTGTATGAGATACGAATGGCACCATAGCACCTTTCACCGCTTGAACCCCACCATGTTTCTTCAACCTCACATTCACGCCATGGCCTACCTACCTGGCACCTCTGGAAAATACATCTTCTGGCTGCGATACTTCATTGTTCGGATCCTTTGAACAAATAGACCCTGCTCTAGACCCGTGCCGACACCCTACCGCAGCCGCGGGGTATCAACGTCATATAGACATCTTTGATTTGTCTATAATAACACATATAACTCTGCACAGATCCTCTTCAATTTTATTTCGCATTTTTTGAGTGTTCACCATGACCGCCGCTTCGAATCCTCTCGACATGCCTGCGCGCTTCGCCATAGAGCTAGAAAAGCTCGACCCCGATGTCGCTTTTCGAGCGTCGCTCTCCCACGTCCATCACACATGGGCGCGTACCTTCCATTCTCGCCCAGAGCTATATATTCGCCCACAAACCCTCCAAGAGATCCAGAAAGTAGTAACGCTTGCTCGACGTATGCGTCGTCGTGTAGTCACGGTTGGCTGTGGTCACTCGCCCTCTGATCTCACATGCACCTCGGCATGGATGGTAAATCTGGACGACTACAACAAGGTGTTGAAGGTGGACAGAGAAAGAAAGACAATGACAGTTGAGGCTGGAATAAGGATGCACAATCTAAATTTAGCGGCGAAAGAGCATGGACTCACGATGCCATCACTCGGTTCTATCGACGATCAGTCGATCGCGGGTGCTATAGCTACGGCTACTCATGGGAGTTCATTGTCCCATGGCCTCATCTCCGAGTCTATTGTCAGCCTACGTATAGTTCTCTCTAATGGACAGTCTGTAAAATGTTCACCGACCCAGTCGCCCGACCTCTTTCGCGCCGCCCTCGTCTCTCTTGGTGCGTTAGGCATCATTGTAGAGGTTGAATACCAGTTGAGGGAGCATTCTGATATTGAATGGGTTCAGACAATCCTGCCAATTGAAGATGTGCTTGCAAAGTGGGAGAATGGGCTCTGGACATCGGATGAGTTTGTGCGTGTTTGGTGGCTACCATATATGCGTCGTGCCATTGTATGGCGTGCTTCCGCTTCAACGAAACCACTCCGGAAACCTGAGTATAACTGGTATGGGGGGGCCATGGGCTATCACTCCTACCATATACTCCTCTGGATTTCGCAATATGTTCCCCGTGTTTTGCCTTGGGTTGAGTGGTTCGTCTTCGGAATGCAGTATGGATTCAAAGACGGCTATACCATGTCCGCCGTTGAGGAACAGCGCACCGGTTTGCTCATGAATTGCCTCTATTCGCAGTTCGTGAATGAGTGGAGCATTCCATTGTCTAAAGGCCCCGAGGCTCTCACTCGCTTGACCAACTGGTTACATGGGGATGAGCGAGGCTCCGCTATCCCGTTCAGCCCTAAGGGGTTGTATGTGCATTCGCCAATCGAAGTTAGGGTTGCTCGACCCAACGCGAGTGGCACGCGCCCCTATCTAGACACCTCCTTTGCCGATACACCTTCGCTATACCTCAACGCAACCCTATACCGCCCATATGGACAGAACCCTCCATGCCGAGAGAGGTACTATGAAGCTTTCGAACACCTAATGAAAGAGATGGGCGGGCGACCACACTGGGCTAAGAACTTCCAATCGGTCGACCATCGTTATCTATCATCTGTTTACGATACCGATCTCGACGATTTCCTTCGCGTCCGAAACGAAGTCGACCCTGACGGCATGTTCTTAGGCGCTTGGCATAGACGCACAATCCTGCCTCCTCGATCAGAGCTACCCATATTTCCATTGGAGGAGAAGGAAGTCGTGCGCCGCGATCGTAGCACAGGTGGCGCTGATTGGATCGGCCAACAAGCACGATGGTGGGATGGCGGAGAAGATGTTTTTGAGAAGAAAGATATCACGGAGACTGGCAGCGAGGAAAGCTTTGATTTGATGGCAGGGGCTGAGGCGGAAGCAAGTATTCTTCTTGAGAGCCTGAAGGATGAGCTGGATAGCCCGGAGTTTGAACGAAGAGTCAGAGAGGGCTCGTCCGGAGATCAGGTATTTGAAAAAATGTAGAGTCATTGAGGCACTAAATACATAACTATCCGAACACCGTTGATTGACTATATGTTCACCCATGCATTGTTGCTGATGACCTCCTGCTAGATTTTACGCAACTCTAATAACTCCTCTGGCTGTCATATGTGTACTTCGCATGTGATTCGCAATGATGTAGGCGATTATATCGAATACGAATACCCAACGCCATTTTGAGCATAATATAGTAGTGTGCATGAAGCACTTGAACAAGTCAGGCAATTTGAATTATCCTGAATATGCAGGGCTCAATCTTTTAATAGCACACAACATAATAAAAATGACACAGTCCATCGAATTCAACCCTATTGTGTTTTCTCCACCATTGCTAAAATGCTCGAGATGTATCAACTCTTCAACGTTCAGCTCCTACTCCTAATCATCTTTCAGGTATCAGCAGCAACCATCATCCTAAATTCATTCACCACATCCGGCCCATCATGCCCACCCGACTCCGCTCTCACCACCGCACACATATTCCCATCCTCTTCAAACAATGGCTTCAACTTCACCCAGCGGATCGATAACTTCCGCCCACGCCTCGGCCCGGGTGTACCTATCACAGCATCACGTAGCAACTGCACAGTAACTCTCAACGTCACCCTGTCCGAGCCCAACACACGCATCTACCTAAACCTTAACGGCGGATATTTCAGCGGCTACGCGCCGATGATAAAAGGCGACACGATGCAAACCGTTGCCACGTACGACTGGCTTGATAACCCCCTCCACGTAAGAAGCCACTCGTGCCCGCGATTGATGATAGAGCAGCATTGACGGGATTCACAGATTCGCAATTCACTCATACTTAGGGGCCCTAATGTGGGGAGGTTTGACAGACGAGGCGACACGACGGACGACAATGAGAACTATTCCCCTTGCAATGGCGGCATCTTGACAGCGGTGTTCTACGCGCGACTATCGACGACGAGTAATGAGGTGAGGGGAGAGTTCCCTGTGGACGTGGAGCCGGAGGTGGAAAGGTGGGGGATCACGACGAGTATGCATGAGGTTCCTTGTCGAAGCACTGCTTAAACTGCTTCTGTTTTTATTTCTTGGACTTGTCTATATACAAGTAGCGGAGAATGATCATGCTTTGATCAAATTCCTCCTTTTGGGGGATCTATTTACAAGACACAGCCGTCGGCACACTCCGGATCAGTCGAGTTGTACGCGATCATTCCTGCACTGCCTCCTGGTTCAATGCTAGGGTCGCGTGGGCTTTGGAACATGCGGCCGTCGGCCGGGGAGTAGATAGTTTCTAGGATATCGCCAAAAGGATTCCGGATGTTCGCTATGGCCTGGCCCTTAGTGACGGGGTCATTCGCATGCACCAATTGCTCGACGAAGCCTCCGTATGTAGAGTGCGTGTCTTCGAACGTGTTGATGATGTACGTATTGCTTAGATCCGGCTGGTACGGTTCTGTGGCGTTTGATGGGATGATATGCAAGTCGTCCATGACGCGGTTGACGAAGTCGAAGACCCGATCTATGAGCGTCTCGTTCCAGAACTTGGCGAGTCCCATCTCGACGGTTATGGATGGGATCTTGTTCTCCACGAAGGTGGTTTCGATCGATCCTTTCTCGCCTGGGTCGATCTTGAGGGTGTCGGGCTGGAGGAGCTTGGATAGCCGCTCGACGTAAGGGAGGCGCCAGTCGGAGTAGCACCATAGTGATGTCTCGTCGCCGGAGCTTGGGGTGTGGAGATCTAGTCCTACATCTACTTGCGAGGTGTTGCCCCAGATGTTGTTCCAGATGTTGTATGCCAGGAGCTGTGCGCCGTTGCCGCCTACTGATGGGTGTTTTCCAGGGAAAACTCGGTTGACGTTTGTGAAGAATCCAGAATCACCAGCTGTGAAGTAGTTACGTTGATTCAAGTAAATTCCTAGTGGGTTAACAGTTGGAATTCCAATCACTGCCATACATCAGCGCGGAGGCCTTCAGTTCTTTTTGAAAGATTGTCTTACCAGTTCCATTAAGAGTATCTACTTGACCTTGCAGTTGCTCAAAGATCCTCTGAATCACTCTAACGCCGTTTAGCTCGTCGCCATGAATTGCAGCAGACAGTGACAGCTTTTTCCCAGTTTGCAGACTGTCATTGGTTCCGCGAGCAACAAAGACTGGAACATGAACGGGCAATCCTCCATTCAGCTCTCCGACTCTGAGATAGTATCTTGATACTGTCTGGGCAGGAACATCCGATAGATTAAGATACGAAATGACCGGCACATTATTAAGCTTGTCGCCGGTGAAATTGGTTGCGTTTGTACCACTCGCCAATGCAAGCGTCGTAAAAAGACTATTGGAGATGCGCATTTTGTTCAATTGATTGAATTAAATTAAGGCGTAGATATCGAGAACAGCGCGTATCTGAGAAATAAATAATCGGACTTTCTCACTATCTACTGGAGCTCGACCAACCCCGCGTGACGACATAGCTAGAGCTGTTGGATGCATTAGGAAGGTAACAAGACTCGATACTGCGGTTATTTTACCTAATTGAGAACCCATATCTCGGGAAGTCCTGGCCACCCACTGTGTTTACGATCACCACCTAAACACCTTTGTATCCAGTAAAGAATATTACTTTATTTAATGTTTAAAGATAGTAGAAATATTGCGAAGACTTAAGAAACATCTTCAATTTTTGTTATTCTGCCCTTTGTAATGTCTCTGTAGTCAGTTAAATAACCTCACGAGCCTTCCCAGGACTATTTCCGGCTTCCCCCTTTGGCTGAGAGTACTACAACCGCAAAGGGACATGAATTCACTCTGTTCCATGGTGTCTGGTTGGTATTTTCTGGGAACACGAGCGTTCGTATCTTCTGTTTGATTTACAATAGCTTCGTACTAGTACGATCGTTGATGAAAAGACGAACACGATCATGCAAGCTACCAACATTGGAGAATTGTATAGTTTTCGATCGTTCTAGTGCAAGTTTTCGGATATCAATGTTACTAAAAGCATAGCTGTCAACCGAAAGGAAGGTAAGGCGAGCAATTGACCAAGAGATCGCACATGTTGGGTTCCTTTACTCCGCTGTTTAGCATTATGTGTATTCCAAGTTTTTGGGGTACATGCTTCCTTCATGTTCTACTCAAAGAAACCATCAAACTTGTTACCATGAGGCCTGAACATTCTGTCCTAGAACGCATCCAGTCAATATTCCGCATAGAAGAATTACCGCACTTCTAGCGCTTCGAACGAAGTCTGCCGATATCGTTTTCCTGACGATTGATCTATGTAGTTATCCGCATGTTAGCTTACCAACGTTGGTACGGTCAGCAACACACATATAGCTGTCAACGCCGAAATCCGAGCAACTGACGCTTATATTCGGATGCTCTTAAGACGCTTATTAGAGTTGAATTGGATAGTCAATACGAGGCGCGAGCTTTCAGCGATTCTATAGAGGGTTGGCACGCCGGGCTGGTCACCTGCTAACTCCATGTATGTTCTATACCGAAAAGGTCTATTTAAGAGTGTACTGTAGCCAGTAAACTATCTAAAATGCTCGCGATAAACCTCACGAAGGAACTGCTGTGGACATAAAATACTAGCACGGGGCCAGCTCGACGTGCCAACCCTCTGTACGTTGCTCAATCACTAGTCTCTGTATGGTCAAATAGCCACGGTTGAAAGAATGAAGAGTCGAAGCGGAGGCAACTCCATCCATCCCCTTTCAAAGATACACGGGTGACGGTATTCTGCAGCTGAATTGCTAAATAGTTGAGTAGTACCAGATTGTTTGACGTGCTGACGAGAGCCCAATTATTGGATAACATTTGTCGTTGTGGTCAGGAATGCTACTCCACGAGCACAAAGCGACATATCTTCAACCAAAAATGGTCCCAAGAGGACTTCAGTTCTGGATACCAGGGACAATGGATGAGATCATTGCATGGGAATTAGTAGACTAAGAACCACGTACCCGGATCATAAACCAGTACGCTTGAATCTCAGGATGTCTTTCCTTATTTCGTGGTGGGACGGTGATCGGAATGCAACCCCTCACGTAGTAATCTTTTCATGCTTACCAGTCTGCTTGATGGCGGTTTGAAGATCATTGTCTTTATAAATGTTGTATGAGTGAGCTAAATATTTGACGAAATTCTAAAGTTTTACCTTGTTCTAGCATCAATACCATGCATCTAGACTTAATCCAAACTTTCGAGATCTTCATATTCATCATAGGCGTCACAGCTCAGGTGGATTCTTATTCTGTCGAGGAATCACCACAAGAACAGCCAAATCCAACCACCCTGATCCAAGCCGTGGTAATCGAACTGCCAGACTTTGATATCGTGACGCCATCATCAGATCCTTTCAATGCTGAGGTTGGATCCCAAATCATTAGCGGAGCAGCACCCACGATCAATGATCTCGACCTCGACTTCGGACTCCCGGTTTTGGGCATGAGCTCTGTCACCTCGAGTATAGTACCTTCACCAATACCTACTCGACGACCAAGGCCTAGACCAAGACCACGTCCCAGACCCAGGCCATACCTTACAGTGACAGACTCCTACAACACTAGCTCAATCGTCACCGCCAACCCTTCGCTTCTAGCAGAGTACGTCGCATCAGTATCCATTGATTCATCTCTTGCAGAAAATTCCGCTTCAACTCTCGATGGAGCAGCGACATCTCTCGCCGAAGTCCCAGCCTTTTTAGTCCCTACACCCAAGCTAGTTTCATTCAACAGGTCTGTTCCTCTTCCTCTTGCAAGGCCAACAATAAGTCACACCTACACCCACAAGTTTGTAACCCTCAGACCAACATTGCCACCGACGTCAGCCAACCATGAGATACGTCGGCCGTGTAAATGTGACGAAGGAGTCGTTCCTGGCGTTTACTGTGGGTATTGCTCTCAGGTACTTTCTTGTAAGCGAGGGTCAGGTTGCTTTGGAAATGGATTTACGTGTGGAGAGACTTGTCACGATCTTGGGTATTTGGAGTTTTGCTTCAGGTCGACGGTGGTGGAGGATAAGGAGAATTGTCCTTTATTTCCTTGACGGATTGTGTTCCGTTGTGTTTGAAGTAGTCAAATGAGAAATGTTTTTCCTGCGTGCACTGGCAATGCCTTCGCCCGGAGCACTTGAAAATGTAGTCTATTTGAATGACCTAGTATGGCCAATTGTGCTCTTAATACAGCCTCTTTGCAATGGCGATCTGCTCACTCTTCTTCCAAAAATGCTGTCAAACATCTTCCCAGAGCGCTGTTAACAACTGAGCCATGGTGATCTCCTTCAAAGACATATTTTCCCAACTTGCTGAACTTAGTCGAACGTTTTAGCCGTTCGTACATATCGTCGATATTTCCGCCCATTCTCCGCGCTTCAGCTGTCTGCCTCCTCTCCTCCCACCGCTCGTCTGACTCTCTGGATCGCCGTATCGGCGTCAACTCCAAAGACCCATACATCAATTGCAGCTCTGGTAAACCCTTACCGCTGTCTACAATCTCCTTTCCCAAAAATCGAGCCTCTTCCTCCAAGACACTTTCCTCCGCCCACCAGATCGACGGACTGCAAGCATAATAAACATCAAACTTCGCGCGACCGGTAAACAGCGCATGCACCGCACATAGCGCGCCAAACGAATGCCCAAAGAACGCCTCCCGGGCAATAGTAATATCGGGAAACTCCCTGCGCACCAAAGCCTTGACGTCGCGCTCGACAAAATCCAAGAATTCGTCCACGCCTCCCGTACGGATCGATGTTGCCGCTTCATTGATTTCTTTCTCGGGAAGCGTATAGTCGTAGCTCCGGTCAATGATATTGTACAGTGACTTTGTCTCTGTTGGGTCGTGCGTGTATCCTATCGCAACGACGATGGCGCCCCCGCAGAAGAAGGGCGACATCTCCCCGCGCCAGCATATTTCCGATGCAGTGAGGAACACAGTGTTGCCGTCTAGGAGATAGACCACGGGGATGTTGTTTGAGCGGACGTCGAGGGTCTTGGCCCAGTCGAGGGGCGTAGAGATCTGGATTGCATAGTGCTGGCCGTTTGTTGAGGATATGAGGTGATGTGTGGTTGTCCCTGAGTAGGGTAGCTTGGTGTGTGTTACTGGGTTGGGACTTGGATCAACGCGCATTTTGATTTATGATATTTTGCGATTATTGTTTTGGATAGCAAGATTAGTGCGTTGTTATGCGGTTGAGTACCCTGGCGATGTGGGATGCTGTTTATTTGGCAAGGAAACAATCGCGTGGTACATCTCCGAGTTCGGCTTGGTGGCGCAAGGCGCCCGGCTCACAGGAATAAGGGCGTTGCGCATCACGAGAGTAACATATCTTGGCTCAACCTAGCTAACATGGATTCCGATTTTGATGAGATGCTCAGATCAGTCTGTAATCCTGAAAGACAATAAAAATCACGGGACTGACGTAGTAAAGAAAGGAACTCAAAGCTTAAGATCGGACAATGCCCCCGATTCGCTTAGGGGCTGGGTACGACAACGACAGTATGGATATATAGCGACTATACCAGGCAGTATTCGCAGGTGGAAGTGAGTAGAAAATACATTGTGGCCCTTCATCCGATTGGATGGTACAAATCTTTTGATGTTACGCCCATTTTTTTTTTTACAACTTTGCCCTCCTTTGCAGATAAAATCTGATACCGACGGCAACTACACGGTGTCAGCTACTCTGCACACAATAGACTCGAGGCAAAAAACTACATAGAAATTTTATACATGATACGAGAATTGAAAAAGTGTCACGAAGGACTTTTGTAGACAAAGGAAAATAATTCGCGTCGATAGGCAGAGCGTTCACTTACTAACGACAGCAGTCAGGCTCTTGAGGCCGATGAGCCCAAGAAACCAGCTCGCCCATCCTAAAGATCGACCCTCCCGATCAAAGTCTGGCTTGAGGCCATTCATCTTGGAGAATTTGTTCTGTTTCGCTAGGGTATACGGGGGGTATCGAATATCGAGCATGCCCTCAATCCAGGCTGGAGTAGTGGTGATGGACCGACGATGGGTGAATGTTTCAAATGAAGATTTGCCACGATAAGCCCCCGTACCAGATGTTCCAACACCGCCAAATGGCATTGTGGGAATAGAGGCATGGAAGAATCCATCGTTCATGGAAGCTCCGCCTGAGCGGGTTTGGCTGATAACTGGGTATGTGTCAGTGGTTGTACTAAATTCAGGATTGATTTGACAATGTTACCTTTAGCAACTTCTTCCTTGCTTCCGAAGGGGTAGACACCGAGTGGAGTATCGTGCACTTCATTTGCGATCTTGATAGCCTCATCCAAATCTGTTACTGGCAGGATAGGCAACAAGGGGCCGAAGCTTTCGTCCTTCAGCATGCTGTCCTCTGTGCTGTCGACAAGGACTACGGTGGGCTCAATAAAGAGTTCACTCTCGTCCATCTCGCCTCCGATAACAATCTTGCCATTGGAGTCGTCCACCATCTTCTTGAGCCTTTGGAATTGCCTCTGGTTGACAATTCGTCCATAGTCAGGTGACTTCTTGACACCCTGGGGATAGAATTCTTTCAGGGCGGTTTTCAGCTCCCTGATAAAGTCTTGGACAATATCCTTATCAACAAGCGTGAAATTCTGGGACAGACAGACTTGGCCAGCATTGAGAGTTTTGGCCCATAGCAAGCGTCGCGCCGCAAGTCGTGGGTCTGCTTGCTTTGTAACGATTGCGGGATTGCGCCCTCCCAGCTCCAAAGTGACTGGAGTAAGAGTTTCCGCTGCCTTCTTAGCGATAATTGTGCCTACGTTTGCTGAACCAGTGTAGAAGATCTTGTCCCACTTTTGATCGAGCAATGCAGTAGTCTCTGGAACGCCGCCTTGAATAACTGTATAGCAAGAGGGATCAAGAGATTCAGCAAAGACCTTTTGCAACACAGCTGCAGTGTGCGGTGCTTGCTCAGAGGGCTTGAGAACAGCAGTACAACCAGCAGCAATAGCACCGATCACAGGACCGACGGATAGCTGGACAGGGAAGTTGTATGCTCTAAGAGAAGAAGTCAGTATGCCGAAAAAAAAGACATCCATACGGACTGCGATAGACGTACCCAATGACGAGCACGGTGCCCATAGGATCTTTCCTGATTCTTGGTCCAAAGAATTTGTTGGTCAAAGCGATGTCCTCCGGCTTCTCGTCCTGTGCCCATTTTGTGACGTTCTTTGACATGAATATACAGTCGTTCATGGTCCAAGAGATCTCCGTAAGATATGCCTCGAAGCTCGATTTGCCGATGTCCTTCTTGCATGCTTCGGCGATAAGCTCAGAGTTGTCCTTGAGACTGGTGAAACATGTCAGTTAGATGCTAGACAGTAACAATGGTGTATTGCGCACCCCCAGTAAAGCTTTCTCAGCTGTTGTATTCTGAACTCCAGTGGCCGTGTCTTGTGGGAAAGGAAGCTGGCGCGAATGCCGGCCGTGATGCTGGGAATGGCATCGATCGAGGTGTGCTCGAAGGGAGGTAGCTGTGCCATGATGGTTGATGTAGCAGGAGGAACGCGCTGGGATTGTGGATGATGGTACGGAGTATTGTTGATGTAAACCGAATGATCCGTGTCAATCGGCGTGTCGAGCGGGATCAGGGAGTTGGTGAGGCAGTGATTGATATGGTGAAAGGTGCCCCCTTTTGAGTTCTAGAGCTATGCCACTGATGCGACGTTCACAGGCTTGTCAATCATGCCTCGGTCCCGCTCGGTGAATCGCGGCCCCCGCAATTGTAACCTCTCCAGGACTAGTCTTCCAGTGCGACGGTCGAACAACGTTCCGTCGAATAAATAAATCGAGTTCCATTATTCGTCACCACCGTTGTTGGCTTGAACGTCCATCACGAACTGTCACCCCTACGAGTACGAGGCTGTTGGTTACGAGGTACTGTCGCGAGTTGAGATTCACCAAATACGAAACTTGATGATGGTGACTACAATATGCTAAATATTACACAATGCAACGAGCGAATGTTGCAAATTAATTGCCTTCGATAACCTATTTCTTTCGAATTATTTCTGGGCGCAGGTCAAATGAGCTGCATATCTTCACAGGTCACGGGGAGGGTCGCTAGTGATGGGTACTGTAAATGTCGATTTTGATTATCTTTGCCGACGCTGAACGCGATACTGAGATATTTATCTCCTTTCACTTTCATTCAACCATTTGTACACCACTCTGGCATCCTTGCCCCGGTACCTCTCATCGTTCTTTGCTTCATCGAATGCCTCTAGGGTGGGCTTGTCCAATATAGTCCTTGCGCCTACCATTTCGGCTAGGTCACTTCCCATCTGGAGAACCTTTCGACATAATTCAATTCTGAAACCACCTTCGTACCCTCTTGAACTGGGCACATTGGGTTGGATGCCCGGAACAGGATTGCTCTTACTTGTGACCCAGCATTGCCCTCCACTTACATTGATAACATCAGTTAACAATGACAGATCCAGGTTCATCTTCGCGCCAATATTCAAAGCCTCGGACGCCGCTAAAGACGTAATCGCAGAAAGATAGTTGTTGATGACTTTGAACGCCGTACCAGCACCCACGTCTCCGCACAGGAAGACGCTGTCTGCCTTTCCCATATGTGCCAATGTATTTTTCACGGTGGGGAAGACATCCTTGTCATTTGTACCGACCATGAACGTCAATGTCCCATCTTGCGCACCCATTGGGCCACCTGATACAGGAGCATCCACGAAGGCTAACTTGGAGGAAGCGCTCGATATCGAAGTAGCTTTTGCAACCTCCAAGATCGTCGAAGTTTCGATGGTTCCACATTCCATTATTATCTTCTTCTCAAGTGTAGAGGATTCTTTGTATAATGCTTCCACGCCTGCAAGGACCCCGTCTGAACCATTGAGATACACCTGCTTTACCGCGTCAGACCCTGGAAGCATTGTAATCACAATGTTCTATTGAGTATTTGTAAGCCTCATCCACCGGTATGTGTTGCGCGGAGATGTCAAAGCTTACGGAGTTCTGCACCGCTTCGTATCCACTCTTGACCACTCGCACTGGCCCATGGCCTTCTGAGTCTTCCTGGAACTTCGAGATAGCTTCTGGGACCACATCACAGACAAGTAATGTGTATGAAGAATCGAGACCTTTCCGAAGGTTCAATGCCATGGGATATCCCATTACACCTAGGCCTAGGCATCGTCAATGTATCGAGCGCCCGAAGAATGCTAGACTCAGTATGCGCACCTATGAAGGCCAAAGTTTTATCTGCTGAAGCCATTTCAGGTCTCTATAAAATATATTGCAGTGGTATGTCCAGCGGTCAATCTGGCCCATTCAACCTCGCTTTCTTCAATCACTTCGTTTCACACTCTCTGGATTATTGTCCGCCCTTCTGAATCGGAAGCGTGTGTATCGGAATCCGCCTGATGTTACCCGGGTATTTGGGGAAGGAATTTCAAATAACAACTCATCGAACGATCTTGATGATTTGGACCAAGATTTACTTGCTTGTTCGTGGTCATGTACAACGCCAACCCCCTCATCCAGCGTTCCTGCACCCCACATTCTCCAAATGCGGGGAAATCGATCATAGCAGACTCCGCTCTTCCACCCCAACCAATTTCCCCAGCCTGATTCATGATCATCATTTCCGCAGGAATATTTGCCACCCAATGCATTGTAATTGTCCTTGTTCTGACCCCTAGGATACCCGATGAATGCATAGCCTGCCAACGCATGCGCACGGTACGGAAATACGGTTTCCATGTCCAACCAAGCTCGACGCATGGGTATCATGACGGCGATACCATTGTAGTTTGGAGTCGATTGACTCGGCATCCTAATTCTTACACGAGCAGACCGCAACGTTGTAGTAAGTGCTATAAACATCGACAATATCTCGTACTGATCGCCGCCTCAAGCGTCGCCTTGTGATCCTTCAGCGCACTTTCCATCTTACAATACCAAACCATGGGTGACCACACCTCTATCAAGGACGCGTCCATTTCGGAAAAGAAGCAAGAACAGATCACCAACGAGTATCTCCAACAAGATGAGCCTCCAGCAACCATTGCATCTAAACAAGCCGAAGACAAACTCCGTCGCAAGCTTGATAGGTTCATTGCGCCAGTGATGATGCTCCTAATGTTGATATCTTATCTCGATAGAGGAAATATTGGCTTCGCGGCTACTCAAGGGATGACGCAGGATATCAAACTTAAGGGTACTGAGCTCAATGTGAGTGTATTTTAAAGTTAATCATGAACCACATCGATACTGATTCCACTGGCAGACAGCGGTGTCTGTGTTTTACATCTTTTACATCTTAGCAGAGTTTCCTACCTCAATCCTCGTCAAACGCCTCCAGTTCAACCGTGTTATTCCAGTCATCACATTCTCGTGGGGTTTAGTGTGCCTATGCACTGGGTTCGTGCAAAACTTCGCGGGTTTAATTGTTTGTCGTATTCTACTTGGCTTCTTCGAGGGCTGCTTGTTTCCTGCTATGACACTTTTCATGTGTAATTGGTACACGAGAGAAGAGCTTGGAATTCGTGTGGCTTATCTGTTCGTTGCTAGTGCCCTGTCGGGAGCATTCGGAGGTCTTATTGCTTGGGGCATTCTCCATATGGATGGCGCGGCTGGCTACCCAGGCTGGCGATGGTCTGTTCTTCCTCCATACTACCATATATTGAAGGTCTCCTAATGGATCAATAGGCTCTACATCATCGAAGGCATCATCACTCTAGTATGGGCCGTTATCTGCATCTGGGTCGTGCCCAAGAACTACGAAACAGCCTATTTCCTCAACAGCGATGAAAAAGCCATCATGCGCCAACGAGCCGAGCGCGCTGAAGCCTACTCTGGAGGTAGCGGCCACTATGGCAAAGCAGAGATCAAAGAAGCTGCCAAAGATATCAAAAGCTGGTTTCATGGCACTATTCAGATCTTCGTGGTGACAATCCTATATGGTTTCGGAACTTTTCTTCCAATTATAATTCGTTACGGCTTCAATTATTCGACTGAGCAGGTACTTACTTCATCTCATTCACCATCAGAACCATCTTCGATCATCAGCTTATTTGTCAACAGGCACAATATCTTGTCATCCCCGTCAACCTCTGGGGCGCAATTGTCTATGCCATCGGTGCCTACCTTTCCGACCGCTATCAAAAGCGCTTCTTGCCCCTAATCCTCATGGCACCCTTCGGCATCGTAGGCTACGTCATCCTCTTATCCCCAGTCTCCACCGGCATCCGATACTTCGCTACCTACCTCATCGCAACCTCATGTTTCCTCTGCACGGGCGGCAACATCACCTGGCTCTCTGTAAACTGCGCCCCGGACGGAAAACGCGCAGCAAGTCTGGGAATCCTCCTCACCCTCACGAACATTGGCGGTGTCGTCAGTGGCCAGATTTATCAGTCTAATGCTGCACCTGGGTATAAGCTTGGTCATGGATGGTCGTTGGGGTGTCTAGTGTTTGCTTGGTGCGCTTGGTGGGTTATCTTTGCTATCTACAAGCGACGTGAAAAGAGGAAGGATGCAAAACTTGCAGCGGGATATACAAGGGTGGAAGGGAGTATGTATACGGATCGTGAGCCAGATTTTAGATACCAGATCTAGGGTAGTCACGTTTTCTGAGATTGGGAAAAGGTGGATCGATTAAAGGATCCATTGGGTCTCCACCTTTCGGTGTGGGGGGACGGGGGGGCAGACAGCAAGCACGCCTACGTGCGATCGTAGACTTTCCAATGCAACAATCCTATTCGCAGCATGATCCCATATATTCAACCAATGGCCCTTTTTCTGTCCATTTTACACGCATCCACGCTACCAGCCCGGCGTACGCTCCCAGAACATGGGAATATCTTGCTCGGCTCTAAATTCCGGTCGATAGAAGCCATCGAATCGGTTTCAGTGCCGAAGTCGCAGGGACAAATTTGCGCGGTGTCCCTGGATTTGGGGTAATCATGCTTCGTTATTCTACCACTACCCGTATGTTGGGGAATAGAGGGAACGGAAAAGGCCGGAAATGTTTCTCCAATCAAGCAATGCCATGACTCGTGCCAGGTACTCTAGGTCCTGATGGTGCCTGAAGAGGTTGTACTAATCTTACTAGGACGTAAAAGATGAACAGAGAAGACATGAGCATGAAACCTCCATTACTGGATTCACTGCTGTAAAAATGGATCTCCTAGTAACTCTTTCGCCGAAGACCGTTCCTTTGGATCCCAAGTGAGTAGCCTTTTAGCGAATTTGATAAACAATTCTTTATCGTCTTCTGGAATCTGTTCAACAGATGATGCGAAATCAAGTGAGGGTATGTCGCCCTTGTACTGTAGCTGATCTAATGTATTGTTAGTCGATATAATTGAAGGCCCGTCAACGGTCAATTCCCATACCATTCAGATCGTAAAACAGGGACGTCCGCTTGCCTCGCTGCAGTAGAGCTGACGGCGGTGGCCCTAGTAGCGCCGTTATACAGGCAAGATGAAGTTTATCATCATAATTGGCTTCTATGTCAAGCTCTTGAAACAAGGATTGCTTTCCAAACAGATCCCAGAGCTATAGAGCTGTCAATGATATATCTCGCGTTAGATCATACTAACATAACATACCATAACTCCTAAACTCCAAATGTCAGCGCTGTATGTCCGACCAGCATCTAGAATTACTTCAGGAGCACGCAATGGCTCTGCTTGAATTGCTCCATAGTGCGGACCGTCCCCTTGGCAGAGAAGCCGTAATCAGTAATAGCAATTCGGCCCAAGGCCTTTGGGATGTTTGAGATCGGTCCAAATTGGTTTCGAGAGAGGTAAATTGTTCTATCTTCGCGAATCGCTTGTGGCAGCGGATTTTTATACTCGTCATATGCGCTCTTTTCTAGAATTGCGGGCTCTTCCAAGCTGGCCATGATATTATCGGCTTTGATATCTGATAGAGTAAGCCTGGTAATCGACTAAAAGAGGCTGAACATACCGGCATGAACGATTTTGCATTCGCTATGCAGAAAATCCAAGCCTTGTAGGATCTCCTGCAACAAAATCTTCAAAATATGCACCGGAATCGTACCATTCCGAAATCTTATTTTCACGAGCCAAAGCGGCTCTCGAATTGGCTCATAGATCAATGCAAGATGGCTGTTGAAGCTGAAATGAATTCAGCAGGCTACGCAAAAATTCTTTTCCTTCGTGATTTGACGATTTCTGAGTTATGATGCGAGAAATGGCTAGCTCATTTTCAGCACTTCGCTTCTCAGGGTGGCATGAATGAATTTTCAATGCAACATATCTCTCAGCATTCCATCTCCATCTACTGTTCGTCAGCGCAGTCGAAGACGTGCTTTTGGCGTAAAACGTAGCTGGAATAGGTCTCGTGCTAACCAGACTGTCGAGCTGGTACCGAAGCCAAGTTTGGTCGCTAATTGATACCTTTGATTGACAAATTCCCCCAAACTAGCTGGATAGAAATACCGGGGATCGTAATAGGGCGTTGTATCTTCCTCAAGTAGACCTATCTTGTCGAGTTTTGGGGCTATAGCAGTTGAGGACGGCCAAGGTCGATGCCTGAATGTGCTGGCCAAAGTCATCAAAAAAGATCTAGATTGGTGAATATCAGCTATCCTGCCTGAGTGGCATCAAGGAGCTCACGTCTAGCAATCCATGCCGTCAATGGAGGTCTTAAGTGTGGAAGTCTTTGGTTAGGAAGGCGCATTTGAAGGAAGCCAATCACCAGATCTCCCGTTTCTCAGGCACCGCACGGGCGCCCCCTGCCATTCTGGACGTCTTTCGTATGCGACCATGTGTCCACGCATCAGTAGGGTGAATAGATTTAGCTACAAAGCAAAAAGGTTGGCACTGGTAGCGAAGAGGCACAAAGACCAGATGTAACGGCGACTTGTTTTGACGACTGAGGACGTATGGGCCAATCCCTCGAAATTGGACAGCGGGGAGCGAACACCATGTTTCTGGGCGGCAAAGAATGGCTTCACGGAAATCGTTCGTATTCTAAAGGAAGCAGAAGCCCCTCAGAGTAGGTTACGAACTGACTACTGTTTCTATCGCTTATGGTCGGATTGGGGTGAGGGTTGTAGTGACCTTGATAAGTTTCACACGAAGTCTAGGACTAAAAGCTGGGATGGCATTTTTCATAGCTCATGAAAATTAATAGCGCGCACCTTTCCTCAAACCAACGATGCAATATGTTTTGCCTCAAAGATGTCCAGGGTAAAACCGATCAGAGTTCCTCTCCCTCCACTCCTTATCATGCGCGACCACAACCTCGACGTCGACCTCACCATTACCTTCTTCCCTCACCTTCCCAGCCTTGAGTAACTTTGCAATCCTTTTCACCGTCGTTTCAGCGACACCAGTATCAGCATGTACACTTCTCACTCCACCCTTTCCATCATCGTACAACGCAATTCCCTTATCCCCAGTCAAGATCCTTGGGTCGTGACAACAGTCGCCACCAAGGTACACCCACTTCTTCGGTCCCGTGCGCGCCAAAATATTCACATGGCCGAACAGGTGACCTGGCGCATCGACGATGTACACCGAACCATCGCCATAGAAATCCACAACTGCAGGGAACTCGCCTAGAGGTCTCCACTCGTGCTTAGTCTGCGAGACGAATCCCTTCGCTACGTCTTCTTGTCGGACGGGTGGGAGCTCGCGGGTTCGGTCTACAGGCAGCTCGTGCGGGTTGAAGATTTCCGCTGGATACAAAGGACCGCCGCCGTTTTGTAGCAGATGGATGGTACCGCTTCCTACGACGAACTCTGCGTTTGGGAAGTCGGAAGGCGTACCTACGTGATCCCAATGGACGTGAGATAATATCACAGTGTCGATATCTTCGGGCCCGGAACCACCTTTTCGCAGACTGTCTGCCACATCTGGAGATACGATGGTCGGCTGACGCTGCGCAATGTGGTGTTGTTGGGCGTCACGGTAGCCCTTGAAATCTCGCTTTAGACCGAGGTCGAAGACGAGTTTGGAAGTCTTGGAGGCGGACTGGCGTTGTATGAGGAAAGAGAGACTTGGTACTGTGGCTCTTTTCTCTGGATCTGCATCAGTGACGAAGAGATGCTCAGGGAGGGTGAGATGGCCTCCCTCTAGTGCTGAGATTGTCACGTAGGTCTGGGAAGGGGACGGGGCGGGAAATGTGATGAAATCTACATCTGGAGCCATGATAATATTTTTGCTTGACTTTTTCTGTGATCTGATTAATCTCACCTCGTATGCATACAGTAATGGAAGATATCATCAATTCATTCGTTGACTTTCTGGACATGGGACGTTGGGGTAGCTGTACTGATTGGACACGGACCGCCCCACATTCCCCAACTCCTTGCTGTAGCGTGTGGGGAAGATGGGGACAGGTGCAGATCGACTTTTAAAGCAGCAGTAACACAACTCGTGTAAGTGGATGACGAAAAAGGACATACAGAATTGAGCTACGAGGTATTGCTGAACTAGAGACATTGCAAAGAAACTCCGAATTCATTTCCAAAGAAAGGAAAGATAGGGAAAAGAAGTCTAAAGCTTGCTTGCACCAAAGAAACGACCATTGTTCACAGGGTTATTCTCCCACTCGACGTCATGTGCAAAAATAATCTCCACCCCATCACGTTCGAGCTCTCGAATGCGCGAAATCGTCTCTTGTGCAGCCTGCTTATCTGCGTGAATACAGCAGACTTGCCCATGCACATCATTCCATTCTCCTATCTCCTTCTCTCCTGTTAGTAGACGCCGATCGTGGCATGCATCGCCCGCGAGGTACACTTGGTGAGAATCTGATAGCCTAGCTAGTATGTTGATGTGTCCGGGTAGATGTCCTGGAGCATTGACAATGTACAGCGATCCGTCGTTGAAGAGATCTAGCGTCTCGGGACATCGCCCGTATGGTTGCCACGGTCGGTGAAAGTTCAATACGCCCGATTCTTCCTCCGAGAACTTCGAGTTCGGCTGTGTGCCAGAGGGATCCGAAAGCTCAACGAATCGGCCATGAGGCAATAGATCAGACTCGAAAAAAGAATGTCCGCCACGCAGTGTTACGGATGTCCCGTTCAGAAGTGATGTTGCTCCACTGCCAACAACAAATGTGGAGGTAGGAAAGTCACGCGGTTCGCCGACATGATCCCAATGCACCTGGAATACGAGACATGAAGTCAGAGAATTGGTCTACTAATATCTGGGTTAGGAACTTACATGAGAGTAGATGACATAGTCAATATCTTCCGGGTGTAGTCCACCCTTGACTAAACTCTTGACTACATCAGGGTCGGTTGTCATAGGCTGTCTGGTGACCACATGTTTCTGAATGGGCTCTGCATATCTTTCAATGTTTTTCCTCAGTCCGAGATCAAACACAATTCTTGTTGTCTTTCCGCTATGTATGTTGTGGTGTTGGATTAGGAAGGAAAGCGAGGGTACGGTCTTGCGCGCGTCTCGAGATATTGGATGAACGAATTGATATTCGGGCAGGGAAAAATGACCAGCATCTAACGCATGCACCGATACAGTCACTCTTTCGGGAGGTGGCGAAGGAGGTGCATTCTGTCTCAGCAGCACTGTCGAAGTCATCTCAATGGTACTGTATCAAATGGATGCAGCTACAAGCGCTTGATGAAATATAAGCCACGGCATAGTCACAAAGACAACGCAGTTGTGTTATTATTTCACTTTGAGGAGCTTGGCTTGCAATAAGACGATTTAGCGGGTACCACAATGGCTCTGCGGCTAGTGTTGGGGAAAGGTGGTCTAGAAATGGTGGGAGTTGTTTCTCCAACTGAGGTGGGGAAGATTGATGAGATTGGGGCGAACCCTAAACTCGCGCTTCCTTCTTGATTATTGATCCATGAATCGTAAAAAGGCCTGACAGGGAGTCACTACAGCAATTACTGTCGACGAGTGGATTAAAACAGCAGATAAGAACAAAAGCAAACGCTCTCAAGAATTTCTGCTTTGGAAAATTATCAGAGACCGTCATGGCGGATACGCACCAATTCAGTACACTGGGATTTATTGGCCTCGGGGCCATGGGAAAACCCATGGTTGTGCACCTAGCGAATAAATTACCACCAGAATCAAAATTATACGTCTTTGACGTCTTTGAGAAAGTTGTGGACGATTTAGTGGCAGAGTACCCTGGTAGAATCTACAAAGGAACCAGTGCAAAAGATGTTGCACAACGATCGGTAGGAAAATAATCAGCCATCAAATCGCGATAATCAGCTCATACGACAACAGGAAACTATCATTACTATGGTTCCCGAAGGCGCCCATGTTCGATCGGTATACCTCGATCCTCAAAACGGCGTGTGTTCCACAGATATCTCCGGCAAACTTCTAATCGACTGCTCGACGATAGATACAGCTACAAGTTTAGCTGTGAAGGATCATATTAATCAGAATTTCCCTACAGCATCTTTCTACGACTCACCGGTCAGTGGCGGAGTAGTGGGGGCAATAAAGGGTACAATCGCGTTCTTCCTCGGATGTGCAGAGTCGGATCCGAACCTAAAGCACTTAACATATCTTGCGACTCTGATGGGAAAACAAATAATCCCCTGTGGTGGGCCTTCATTGGGCCTTGCTGCGAAGCTTTCCAACAACTATCTGTCAGGCGTTATTGCTATCGCATGTTCAGAAGCCTTCGATATGGGCATGCGATCAGGACTTGACCCCCGGGTCCTGTACAAAGTTTATGGAGCTGGTACGGCGCAAAACGCAATATGCGACAAGTTCTGCCCGGTTCCAGACGTTTACCCTGAAGCGCCATCCACCGGAGGCTACAAGCAAGGGTTCAAAGTCGAGTTGATGAAGAAGGATTTTGGATTAGCAGTCGATATGGCAAAGCGCGTTGGTTCGAAGAATGTTTTGGGTGATGTAGGGCTGGAAACATATGAGAACGCCAGCAAGGATCCGCAGTGTCGCGGCCTCGATTCGCGTGTAGTGTATAGGTACCTTGGGGGCAACGAGGATTGGCAACTCAAGTCAAATGGTGCATGATAGCGCCTGCTGTACGATGAATCTAGAGAATTAGAACAACAATAGTCCGATGTCGCTGATTGTTCGATTACAAGCGCGTGCATTATTGTGACGTAAACTACACTTCACCATGGTGTTGGGGAAGTTGGGGAAAGTTGGGGAAGAGGGGCAGAACTACCCCAGCACCGATGATTGGCGGCCCACATGAGGGGAAATTGACATATTGAAGGATGAATGAATTATCTTCAGAACTCCCTTATTCATCCCAATTCCACTTCATTTGATCTCTTTAAAGCAATCTGTTTGCTGGCTGAATACATTTCTGAATAGCCTGCTTCAATCCGAGACACAGCCCTTGAACGGACCAGCAATTTTCCACCAACCGCACGCCCAAAATGTCGTCCGACCCAAAGTACGATGATCTCCACAAGCAGTTATTCGAGGAGGGCTTGAAGATGCGCCGCAGTGTTGTGGGAGACGAATATGTCGACCGCGCTTTGGCCAACGGTTCGACGGAGTTCTCTCGGGCAGGACAAGAGAGTATGTTCATCACTCTGGCCAATCTAAGGCTATAATTGATCTGACTGTGAATTTAGTTGTAACTGAATGGTGCTGGGGATATGCATGGACAAGGTACAACGGGCTCGTTCTTCTTATTTGTATCACGAAGTGGGACTGACCAGATCCCAGACCAGGTCTTACCAAACAACAGCGTAGTCTTCTGAATATTGGCATGCTGATGGCCCTGAACCGCGCTCCTGAACTCGCCGTGCATATTCGAGGGGCGAGAAATAACGGTCTATCCGAGCTTGAGATACGGGAAGCTATCATTCACGCGACCACATATTGCGGCGTGCCAGCTGGTGTAGATGCCATGAAGACTGCAGAGAAGGTTCTCAACGACATGGCGGAGAAGGGCGAAGCGCAGCGAGAACTGGCCAACAAGAGCGAGAGGGCATAACTCTATGTCGAATGAGATGTATAGAATAGGTTTCATACAGTTAGATAAAATGTAGTCACGTTGAACAAACAGGGGTGAATCGAGGAATGAATGACATAAGCGAAAGGTCGATATGACATGTCGCCTCTACGATCTTCATCCGTCGACCTTCTCAGCATCACAGCATCAAATGATCGAGCTGAAATAGCTTTAGTCTGACGGCATTTTTCCAGTGGTGATGATTCCGTGAACGAGCCTAATGACTCGTGAAATGCGACCCGCGATTGCCAAGCGCGCCGGCGTGGCTGGGAGGTGCCACCAACGCTTCCCCACATGTGAATCGATTGGTGACATCTCCGCACATCCATCCTCCGTTCTGTATCTCCGCAATCCTCACACAGCTATCCTCGCTTGTCTCCAATTTCCCAAATATCCTGTGTTGCCCTGTGTCGTGCCAGTCTCCAATCTTTGTTGTAATCCATTTTTTTGGCGACCCCAATGGGCTCAGATGTCTTGTCGAGTTACTAGCCATTTTTTCCAGCCGCCTGCCTGAGCTCTCCGGCTCCAAAAGGCAATGGAGGCGAGTACGGCTACCGAGCACATGCCGGCCCCCTCGGTGGGGAAGAAGGAGAAGGAGAAGAGGTTTCAGTGTCAACATTGCCAACGCATGTTTGCTCGCTTGGAGCACTTGCAACGCCATGAACGAATACGTAAGTCATCTGATTGATCAATCATCAGGTTGCAGGGAACTCAATTGCAGCTCGACAGATAGCGGTGTCAAACCATTCAGCTGTGCTGAGTGTAATTATTCGTTTACCAGAAGGTATTTTAACAGACTACCTTCGTCAAAGTTGTACTGACTGCGTAGTGATCTACTTGTGCGCCATGAGCGATTAACACACCATAAAGAAAATGGACAACAAAAGCCTGCCCAAACGCCAACGGCCGACGAAGGTCAAACCAGAGAGAGTCGGCCTAGTAAGCGTTTGCGATCAAGTTTTGACGCTGGGAGGCCTGTCCCACAGCTCCCTAGTATGATGCCGACACCAGCTGCTGCCAATGTAGAGGTGCAGCATGAACATCGTCTGCACCCTCCTCTCCCACCTGTAAACCTAACTCCAAACAATGATCATGAAGAGTTTTCCCTAGCCGCACTTTCGATGGCTGCCGAGTATCAGGCTTTGCATGGGGCATTGATCGGCAATGGGTCTTCTAACCACGAAGTGTCTGGTCCTATGCCAATGCAGGATGAGCATATAGCAAGGACCATCGAACAACCAATGACAACGGCAACGCCAATGGACGTTCATGGCCCTAGCTTGGGCGATTCTCTGGATAGCCTCGCTGCTTTTCTTGATAATGAATCGCTTTCAACATTTCACTATGCAGGACTGATTAACACCGAACAGCCAATGCCGTTCTTCTCGCCGGAATCCTTCAACTACGGACAAGACCTGATATCTACTAACACCACTCTTGCACCATCCGGTCGTGTTAATGGATCAAATCAACATGAAGAGACGACCACATTTTCTCGTTTTGGATCGCGATTACCATCGTTACAACCAGACGATCAGAATCAAACAACAGAACAACAGAGAAGGCTTCTTTCGGATGTTTCCATCGCGGACCGGCAAATGATTGCGGACAAACTTGAAGAGTTTGCGTCTGTTCTTCCTCATGACTTTCGGCTACCTACTCGATTGGCCCTTTGCCGCTATCTCAGTGCCTACATTTCCGGCTTCCATGAACACATGCCTTTTCTACACTTCCCCACAATGACCATAGAGAACTGCTCGATCGAATTGATTCTTGCCTTGGCTGCCGTCGGAGCGCAGTACACATTTGAAGGGGAACGTGCCGTGGAAATCTTCCATGCTAGCCGCGCAATCGCCACCCATCGGATACGACGAAGAGATGCCCGTTTGGTACAGATACATCGTCGCGCAGAATCCGATCGCTCTTCATCTCAAGATCTGGACGGAACATCAGCTTCCCGCACACCTCCTCGCTTGGGGTCAATATCCGGGCCTCTTGGATTGCCATCTCATTCCGATCTGCTTTCAGTTGACGAGGAAGACTTGATGCAAACCGCGCAAGCTTTGCTGTTGTTGATGGCGCTCTGTACCTGGGCTAAACACAAAGAGATCCTTCGCGAGGCCCTGGCTATACAAAGTATTCTCGCTACCCTGATTCGAGACGACGGTCTTCAAAACGAGCCTTTGCGAGAGAAGCTTTCATGGGAAGACTGGGTCCGACGAGAGACCGTGAAGCGTACAAAATTCATTGTATACGGCTTTTCGAACCTGCATTGCATCGTATACAACATCCCCCCATTCATCTTGACATCCGAGATAAAACTCACCCTGCCTTGCAGTGCTTCTGAGTTCAAAGCTCCCAACGAAAAGCTCTGGAGAGAGGCGAGAAAAGACAGATTCCAGGAAATACACTTCCAAGAAGCGTTGCAGAGGCTGTTCTCGAAGAGCGGCCGGGACATCACTGAATGGAATTCAAGTGCAGGGAACTATGCTTTAATCCACGCCATCATCCAGCACATATTCTTCGCGCGCCAGGTCGCGAGAGGTCGATTTGACAACTCGGCTGATCTCAGCAAAGACGACGTGGTTTCGCTTGAGAACGCTCTGAGGAACTGGCAGATCGGCTGGACGCGAAACCCAGAGTCGTCGCTTGATCCCATGAGCCAGAACGGGCCGGTGGCATTCAATTCGACTGCGTTGCTGCGACTGGCTTACATTCGCTTGTACGTTGACACAGCGGGGCGGGCACTGGAAACTCGCGATCCGGTACTCATTGCCAATGCTCTCCGCCAGGGGTCCGCAGTTCGCCGAACAACAAAAATCACGCGAGCTGTTCTTCACTCAGCGCACGCGCTCAGTATTCCCATCAAAATCGGATACAGACTCGTCGCGAAGACGCAATTTTTCATATGGTCTATCCAACATTCTCTGTGCACCCTGGAATGCGCGTCATTATTGAGCAAGTGGCTGGAAGCCCTATCCTTCCCCAACCCCGACCCACCTATATCCGAGGACGAGCGCAGGATAGCCGCTATTGTGAGGGGCATGCTCGACGAAACGGAGTTTGCCTTACCGGCCAACATCACGGAGGATTCTCCGGGATACACGAAGCACCTGAGTGCTGGAGTGCTCAGGGTGTGGGCAACAATCTTCAGAGGTGCACAGACATGGGCCATTGTCGATGTAATCGGAAATGCTCTTAACCTATATGCGGATATGGTCGAAGCTGAATGAGCCTGATGGATAGGGAATTCGATCCGTGCAGGTACCTGGAGTTGGCGTACGCTTTCAATCACTATGCCACTACCTGGGGTAATTATACAATTACTCAAGAGCAAGATCTATGACCAATTTCCCTCCACCACCTTTGTGGTACTCCTCGACCAGCTCATTCAGCTTCGCCAAAGGAAAGGACTTGGTGAGTGCTCGGATTCCATGTTCAGCCGAGAAGTTGAGCATCTCCCGTAGCATCCGATTGCTCCCTACCAAAGACCCGAATATCGAGATATCGCGGAAGACTATATCTCGCGAAGAGATATGGAACCCCTTTTCAGGAAAGGAGACGACCACGCATTTCCCATGAGTCTTTAGCAGCGTCATGCCGTAATCGAACGCCTGCTGGCTCTCTGGAAGGATAATCACCGCATCCAAGCCCATTTCACCAACGTCTTGTTTCCCATCCTCTGCTCCAATCTGCTGCACAACATCCGTAGCTTTCTCAGCCCGAGCATCAACGATCCTCGCCCCCGTCTCCAGACTCCTCGCCAGCTTCAGCGGCGCGTCCGCTGCATCCACCCCCAATACCCTGAACCCCATCTTTCCCGCATACTGCAACCCCAGATGCCCCAGTCCACCTCCCGCCCCCATAATCCCCACCCTTTCACCCACCTCCAACCTCGCCCGCTTGAGCGCCGCATAAATCGTCACCCCCGCACACATCAACGGCGCCGCTTCGACCGCCGACACATCCTCCGGCACGGGTGCAATCTGCCTCGCATCCACGACCGCGTACTCCGCAAACCCGCCGTCTCTACTCAACCCATTGTTCCCCGCATTCACGCAGTGCACAGAGTACCCCTCGTCGTCCCGCGCCACCGGATCCCGCGACCCCGCCTCACCCTGGCACTCAAAGCACGATCCGCAGGCGTGGAACGCACGCCCGGGGACCCCGACTCTGTCGCCGATGGCGAACGAGCGGGCTTGGGCGCTTGGGGAGGAGAAGTGCGATACTACGGTGCCGGCGAACTCGTGGCAGCCGATGTGGGGGAACGACGGCGGGAGGCCGGGCATCTGACCCGAGGCGAGGACGAGGTCGGTGTGGCAGTAGGAGGCGGCGGTGACTTTGATGAGGATGTCGTGGGGGTGTGAGGGCTGGGGGATGGGGACGGTGAGGAGGGTGTAGGGGGTGTTGTAGGATGAGAGGAGTTGCGCTTGCATTGTTTTTGGGGTGTTCGTGGTCATGTTTGAGGGTGTGTTGGATGGAAGTAATTGTAGATGTTGTGATATCTCAGAGCATCATGAGAGATTGTATGGTGGTGGTAGGTAATAATTAACTTTCCCCAACATTGAACGATCCCCGCTCGTTGCGGGGAAAGGGTCCAGGTGGTGGGGCTTCCATGTCCCTGGGTCAACTCTACCCCGACCTCATCTCAGTGAAGTACTGAGAAAACAAGATAGATATCTATCCCTCAAAAACTTCAAGATAGACTCCTCAAGGAAACACTCCATAGCAACATCCATCACCACCCAATTTCACCACCCCAACTCCCTCACCAATCCCCCAAAACCTCCCACCATGGCCCTCCCACCCACGCAAGATGCCCTCATACCCACACAAGAATCCCTCACACCCGCCCAAGAATCCCTCAAAAACCGCTTCACGACCCTCCTCGGCGCCCCATCCTTCGACGCACAATGGTCGCGCCTCCTCACGCACTCCCCCGCCATGTTCGCCGCCTCCCTCCGCCTCACCTCCATCCCCCATCAAAAATCCCACCTCCCCCCCAAGATCCAATCCCTAATCGCCCTCGCCGTCTCAGCATCCTCAACACACCTCCACGCCCCCTCAATCCACCGCTCCATGCGTGCCGCCCTCTCGCACGGCGCCTCCAAACCCGAGATCCTCGAAGTCCTGTGCTTAACCTCCACGCTCGGGATTCACGCGTGCAACATCGGCGTGCCGTTACTCTTCGAAGTGATGCGGGAGGAGGGACGGGACATGGGGAGCGGGATGGAGGGCATGAGTGAAGAGCAGTGGGGGTTGAGGCGAGAGTTTGAGGCGAAGAGGGGGTATTGGCATGCGTTTTGGGAGGATTTCCTGAGGTTGAGCCCGGAGTTTTTCGGGGCGTATGTCGAGTTTAGTGGTGTGCCGTGGGGGGAGGAGGGGGTGTTGGAGCCGAAGGTATGTGAGATTCGTTGTTTTTGTTTGTTGGATTGATGGGTGGTGTGGTTTTGGGATGTGAGAGTATACCTAACTGACTAATGTGTTTTGAGTAGGTGAAAGAGTTGGTGTATTGTGCTTTCGATGCCGCGGCGACGCATCTGTACCAGCCGGGACTGAAGCTGCACATGAAGAATGTGCTTGGGTATGGGGGTACGCCTGAAGAGATCATGGAGGTTCTGGAGATCGCGTCGTTGCTGTCTGTAAGTACGATGGACGTTGCGCTGCCTATTTTGGAACAGGAGCTGGAGGACGCGGGAATGTCGTGACGGTAGGGTGTGTCTCGGATGTGGACAAAGAAATGGCGAAACAGATAATTCCAAACGAATATATTTCATAGCGAAAGGATTTTTGATGCATGGAAATACGACGTGTAGAACATATTTTCCATTGTGACATCACAATGGCCAACCCACTTTGCTATTTCCCATTCCTTCACTACTGTAACACCGCAACAACCAAAAAATTAACATCAACTCACAAAACAAATCAAAACAAACCGAAAATCAAAGTCATCTATCTCCAGCCACCAACACCCCTAATCTCAACATCATCCGCCCACAATATTCCCAGCTCCAGCTCCATCCTCCTCCGTATGTCCCCCCTCGCCTCATCCGGCTCCAAGCCACGAGAACCCAGGGTCCAGTTCCGATCGCCCTCGGAAGCTGCTACCAATACGACATAAATCCAATTAAAATTCCTTGGTACCTGCAGGGAACAGCGTCGCATCATCTCTCCACGCGCACAAGGCAGACATTCTACACGTTCGCGTGGTTGTTTATGCTATTCATAGCCACGTACCTACTTATCCCGCCGCCAAGCTTCCCAAAAGGGTTCCAACCAGCGAGACCGCACGTGCGATGTACCTGCATCGAGCGAAAGGATGCCGAAAGATGTAGCTGTGGAGTAACCTATGTAGGACAATTGCGCGAAGCGGAACGTAGTTGGATTGCTTCGTGAGGCTGGGTGGGAAATTGCGATGTGAGTGAGTGGTACGACCTCACTGCTTGAATCGGATGTGGTGAATGGTACGGTACAATGCGAGATTCTTGAGGTATAAAGGGCGCGACGGTCGCGGGGAAATGCTATAAAGCACGAGTATTAGAGACATTCGATTTGATATTCTTCGAGATGCAATTTTCCGTCGTTACACTTGCCTGCACGTTGCTGCTTGCCTCATTCGGCCATGCGCTGCCGTCGGGTGGTCCGCTTGAAAGCAGGGCGGAACTTGGGCACGACAAGATCAAACCCATGGGAGAAGCAGTCGGAGGCGGCGACGGCGCCGTTCTGTACAAGAAATTCCAGCCGACGCTGAAGGTTCAGGGCGGCTGCGTGCCGTTCCCCGCGGTTGACAAGGACGGCAACGTCAGGTAAGTGAAGCTCAAGCTCCATCCGCGAGCAGGTGTCTCACTCACTCCCTTTGTATGTACATTCGCGGTGAATTGACTGACATGTGTATAGCAAAGGGCTAAAGGCAACGGGACTTCACAATGGGAAGTGCAGCAAGAGCACCGGGCAGATCTACTGCCGTGGCCACAACATCGACGGCAAGTTTGCGATTTTGTACGCGTGGTACATGCCCAAGGACGCGTTCTCGCACAGGCACGACTTCGAGTACATCGTAGTGTGGCTCTCGAGCAACAAGAAGGACGCGAAGTTGCTGGGCGTCGCGTACTCGAGGCACGGTGATACAGTGAAGATAAAGGCGCCTAACGTCGGGCTCAAGAACAACCGCCTGAGGGTTCAGTACTATCTCGACGGATCGAGCTACTCGGTTAAGAAGCACAACTATGCGGAGGGGGGCTTTCAGCCGTTGATCAACTATGCGCAGATGCCGGACAAGGCGCGCAAGACGTTGGCGGGGCATAGTTTTGGGAGTGCGAATGTGCCGTTCATTGACAAGAACTTCATCAACAACATCAAGGAGGCGAAGCTGTGATTTAGTGGTAGGATGGGAGTGTGGAGATCTGTGGTTGCGGTTTTCATTCTATGTCAGGCAATCGCCCGATACTGACAATGACACAACTGTGTTTTTGTATTTGAAGAACTTTGAACGGGTATGGCTCAGACTGGAGTCACGTAGATTCGAGTGTCGATTCACTAATTTATCTGTCTACACTCTCCAATTGAATGAATCTATTCTATACTTTTGCCTCTAGTTGCCCACACTGTCACTGACAAAAGACGTCCGCTGCATCCTCATAGACACATCAACCCTTACTCCCTACACAAACTCTACGGACGCAGTCGTTTTACCTCTATTATCATCGTGAAGCTAGAAACAACACTCACACCCTCTTACAACACTTACTCTCTCTTATAATAGTCTCTCTTCTCTTATAATAGTCTCTCTTCTCTTATAATAGTCTCTCTTCTCTTATAATAGTCTCTCTTCTCTTATAACACTTACACTCTCTCACAACACTCACCCAACCTCACCCCACTCACCCAACCTCACCCCACCCTTCACCTCACTCACTCTTTACCCACTCTTCACTCAACCTCACTCAACCTCACTCAACCTCACTCAACCTCACTCAACCTCAGAGTGAGGAGTGAGGAGTGAGGAGTGAGTGAGGTAAGTGTGTTGTGAGAGAACGTAAGTGTTGTGAGAGAGGTGACAGTGTTGTGAGACTGTTGTGAGACTGTTGTGAGTGTTGTGAGTGTTGTGAGTGATGTAAGAGACTGTGAGTAAGAGACTGTATCATGAGTGTTGTAAGTGAGAGACTGTGTTATAAGTGTTGTAAGGGAGAGTAAGTATTGTTTCTAGCTTTATGATGATAATAGAGGTAAAATAACTGCGCCTGTAGGATTTGTGTTGTAAGAGAGGCAAGAGTGTTGTAAGACTGTTATAAGTGTTGTAAGACTGTTATGAGAGTAAGTAAGTGTTATAAGTAAGAGACTGTGTTATAAGAGGTTGTGAGTGTTGTGAGAGACTGACTATGTTGTGGACTCACTATGTTGTGAGAGACTGTGTTGTGAGAGTTGTGAGAGTTGTGAGAGAGAGTGAGTGTTGTGAGAGAGACTGTTGTGAGAGCAACTGTTGTAAGAGAGGGGAGAGGATTGTGAGTGTTGTGAGTGTTGTAAGTGTTGTAACAGTGTGGTAAGTGTTATAGGTGTTGTAAGAGAGTGTAAGTGAGTGAGGTAAGTGTTATAAGAGATTGTAAGTGTTGCGAGAGATTGTAAAGTAAGGTTAGATAAGGTTAAGTGAGGTTAGGTGTGAGTGTTAAGTGAGGTGAAGTGAGGTGAAGTGAAGTGAAGTGAAGTGAAGTGAAGTGCGGTGAAGTGAAGTGAAGTGCGGTGAGGTGAAGAGTGGTGAAGAGTGAATAAACCCTCACCTTACTTCTACAACCCTAACCCTAATTATAATCCTATCCTACACCTAATGCAGTTAAAGAGCAATAAGAGATATAGTGTAGTGTAACGAGCGTGCATATTTTTTCCTATGTACCAACCCACCCCCCCCCATCCATCAACCAAGAATTTTGTCTAAACGAGCGTAAGAAGTGAAGAAGTGTAAAAACGTCCAAAAAGCGAAAACGAGCGAGTGTGATCCAGCACTGTATATACCATCTAACCCACCCAACACTCAACCCACGAAAATGCACCATGCAGCATCCCATCCCACAAAACACCCAAAACACCAAACGCACATGCAAGAAACAAACTCAAGAAGACAAAAACGAAGCAGATTCCCTACCGGCGAAAGCTCTTCCGCACAGGACTCCTATCCCCTCGCTCATCCTCCTCCCTCTCCTCATCAATGACATACAACCCCAACCCCCAATCACTCTCCCTCTCACTGCCTCCCATCAACCTCCCTGTCCCCACCCCTTTCCCCCCTCCAACCGAAGAAGACGACACGAGCTCCCCACCGTTCATACTCCACCCCCACTCCCCGCCCTCCCCCAGCGACGGAAAAGCAAGGAGATGGGAGGGGGGAGAGTCAAGGGTGGTGGGCGAATCGATTCCCCCGCCGCCGAGTTTCTGCTCGCCGAGGTCGAATTCGACGCCCTCGAAATCAAGCGGTTCTAGCTGCCACGCCTTCTGCTTCTGCCTCGACGAAGAAGCTTCGGAGGTGTCTGGGTCGGGGGTGCATGTCACGGAGCTGGACAGCGGAGACGGGGAGGACGAGGAGGAAAGGGTAGGTAGGGGAGCCGTGACGCTCCTCGCCAACATCCTTGGTCGTAGCGGGAGTTTGAGGCGCGCTGATGTGGATGTGGATGTGGATGTGGGTTGTGCGGGCGGGGGCGGCGCGACGCGGACGTGCGGCGAGGGGAAGAGCTTGGGCGGGGGGAAGCTGTATCCGCGTCTCCTTGCGTATCCGCCGGCGCTGATGATGCCTTCGGTGTTGTTGTTGCGGAGGCGTTGGCGGAGGGAGAGGGAGAAGGGTGCGGGCGAGGGGGAGGCAGGCGGGGACGGGTACGCCATGTATTCCTCGCTGGTGCTCGACCGGCGGGACGCATCGATGGGGGAGGCGGGTGGGGAGGGGTATGCGGAGCTGGGTTGGCTTGATGGCGTGCCACGCTCACTGGGAGTGTTTGGTGTTGAGGAGGAAGGGGAGAAGTTCGAGTGCGTGGAGTGGAATGACAGGGCGGGCGAAGTTGCAACGGAAGACGCGATGGGGAGAGAGATGGTAGACTGCACGATCTGAGGGAAGAGAGTGTATCGCGGCGACGATCCCGCTGTGAATGAAAACGCCGGCGAAGAAGCAGCAGTCGCCTTGCAGCTATCCACGTCGCTGACCTCGCTCGCTGAACTCTCTCTTTCGAAGTCCCCCCCGACCGAGGATCCCGCACACGTCGACGCCTCAGACGAGGCGATCGAGCTGCCCGTGTTGCTGCGGCTCCGATTCCCCGGGCCTGAGTTGGCGCGGCGTCGGCGGCGCTGCAGTGCTTGGGACTCTGCAGCGCGCACGAGGTTCTGGTCCAGAATGCGGAGGTTCGCGGGCTTGGGAGTGTGGATGACGGTCTTGTATGTCTGGGCTGGTGGTTGCTCACCGCGAGTCAGAGAGTTGTAGACGGGACGAGACATGTTTGGCGACGACATGATGGTCTCGATGGAAGGGAGAGGGTGGATATAAGGTCCAGCAGGAGTCTCTGGCGCCCTGGGTCTCTTCTCTCCTGTCCGTAGGGGAAGCTGTGTAGTACTTGGGAGGACTGCGGTCGGTGTTGTAGGTTCGGAAGCTAAACTTATCAGCGGACGGTCTTGCACATATCAATACCAATCACCACTTACAAGCTTCCTCAATCCGTGGCATGTATTCGCTGGCACAATGCCTTACCCACTCCTCTGTCTGCCGGCCCTGGGCCTGCCGCCTGATCTCCGCTTCCATGGTAGGTCGTCCAGAGCCTTCCGCTGCAGGGAAGGAGGACTGCGAGGAACACAGCTGGCGGTTGCTTTGCATGCTTCTTGTCGGTAGCGCAGCGAGGAGGCTACGTCGGCGGGGTTGTTCAGCGAGATGGCCGACGAAACGTCCGCGAAGAGGAGGAAGAGAATGAGAAACAGAGAGAACAGAGAGAATCTAGTCGGCGTAGAAGTTGAGGCGAGCGAAGGCATGAATATCAGTTAGATGCTCGCGGGCATGCTAGTTTGGAAATTCCTGGTTCGAAAAGTAATGATTGTTGATCGACTTGCTGCAGCCGTTGGAAAGGAAAATGCGAATCGAATCAATGAACGAATGGATGTGTACAGTTGTAAGGAGTGAAGTCAGTTAGTCCATGAGGATGATTTGAGAAGAGGACATGTTCTTAATCTTATAACAACTGTACAGATGGCCCAACAAGAAGCACGATCCTCTGCCTCAGTTCGAGATCCTCCCCACATCATGTCTCTGATGTCGTTGATAGCCTGAGGGGCGGAGTTAAGGATTGGACTGACTGGGCGACCCCCCCTGGTATTGGATGGCGGCGCTGTCGGGTCGGAGTTGGGACGGTCGCGCGTGGCGGGGCAGCAGGAGGGGTAGCAGGGCAGGTGAGAACAGAGTTACAACTGCTACGAACAGACGAGAGGCTAAGCAGCCATGTGGAGAAAATCCAAAGAGGGCACGCCTCATCTAGGCGTTTTCAAACGTGCCCTGTGTGGTGATGGACGTTGATGCTCTCTCTGTTTGCATTAGGTCAGCCAGCCAGCCGACGCTTACCGCCTGCCGCCGCCGCGTTAACGTCCGTATAGAGAGAGACTGAGCAAGGAACATTAATGATCACGACATAAAAATGTAGATCGTGGAGAGATATCTCACATGAACACCAAATCTGGCTCTTCGAGAAAGCTGGAAATGGCATCGAGTAAGCTCGAAACAACGACCAAGGCGAGGATCCCAGCCGTTCAATTGGCCACAGAGGCAGAAACACGTTCGTAGGTTTCTGGTCAAAACAATGGAAGAGGCGCAGATTCTACGAAAGATCCCACTACACCCTCGACCCATTTCGTCAGCTACTGTATAATTAGCGGTCGATGCATGGATGGCATGCATGTCATGAGCGTGAGATGTGATATGTACTCAGTACTGTATGTATTTACGAGGACCGGGGCTCGACGGTAAGCGAAAGAAGCGAAAGAGTTACCCCACCGATCTGCCTCGTGCATCTCGCTCGTATTCACAGCAAAATGGTCACGAAAATCAATAACAAAGACTCAGATAGATCACAAAATACGAGCAAGGAAGATGGTCCGTAGGCGCAGCCCGCAGCCCGCCGCCATGTGCAGCTTCTCAAACACAGAAGGAAGAAACGTCGAGTTGTACGGAAATTAACTTCATATGCGTAAAGTAGTCTCCACTTGCAAAATGGCCAGAACTGGAGGCCCGTCACAGGTGTACATTCCACTTGGCGATGGGGGCGCAGATGGCCTTCTCACATTTCTGACCATGCTGACCAATGAGATCCAGAAACCCAGTCGCACGAGCGTGGGTTGAACCGTAGCAGGCTGTGGTGGCTCGACGGTTTGACATCTGTCGGAAGGTTTATGCAATTCTCGAAATTCGATGCGTCGGAAGCCACCAACGTCGATCATTCAAGCAATCGTGACCCCTCACCTCATGCCTCGATGGAAATTTTGTCAGTCTCCAAGCATTAATCCAAGTCATCACAATTCAGAGTTTTCCAGAGGCGTCGAGCGAAGGACGATTATTCCAGTGTTTGCTCAAACGGCTTTCGCCATGAGCCGTGGCCGGCCGAAGAGGGCACACGAGGCGAGCAGTCTCGATTTCCACGCCACATCTCGACGCCCGCGGGTGTGGCCTTTCCGAGACGTGATGCGAAAAAAAGCGACGTTGACGAGCAAGTCTCCCTTCTGGACAGCTTCCACTGAGCTCACATGTCTGTCCAGAGAGGGGTTCCTTGCTGATCGTATGGTGAATGCCCATAGATAGTCGCATAGTGGGGTAGGGGCGATCCATTGGGGGATGAATATAGAATACAGGTCAGCCAACGGTTTCAAGGTCGCTCGGAAGATTTATTTCCCAGTGAGAATCCAGTCCTTGAGATAGATGGGATCTGAGTAGTGAGCACGTCGAGACGTAACGTAAAAGAAGGGGGCGAAGCCACAACGTCAAAACAAGCGCCGAGGTAAGCGTGGCCCTAAGGGATGGGATCTATGGTACTGGTCCTCTTTAGTGGCGATCCGCGGTTGGGTCCGTCGCTAATTGGATGGGGTGCCGCCGGTTGCCCCACCCATCTACGCCGCCCAACGTCAGCCCGTCCCTGCACGATCGAGACGGGCGAGTGGTGATGGTAAAGAGCAGCATTTAGTAGCAGTGGCTCATTTTCCTTATTGGGACTCGTACTTCAATGCACCGATCCAGGTATAGAAAATTTATCACATCAGGCGTAAACGGTCGTACTCGAAGCTTTCACTGCCGAACTGAGGCTGGAATCGTGCAGCCTCGCGAGCAATTCGACTTGGATCACGCCAGCATCCACTCCACTGCTATTCTAATGGAGCAATCTAATTGCCTGCGAGCTCCGGCGGCGTATGCATCGTTCACTCGTGTCTGTATGTGCATTCACACAGACTGCGGCGAGGATGCAGTCTGCACGTTTAGTCAACCGAAATTCAGGTTGATCGTCACGAGAGACTTAGGGCTGATGCTGGAGACTTTGGTGTGAGGCGAATGTCTTCAACTCTAACGACCAGACTTCGTCCCTGGCACTAGTGTTGTTGCGTCCAAGAAGAGTAACAACTAATATAATGTATAATTGTCCTTTGAATCTATATTGCCGATCCAATGATCGTATCGTTTCGTTTCGACTCCACCTGTTGCGAGTCTCTATTGTTGAGAAAGGTTTGTAAAAGCCAACCGCTATGCTTAATGTTGAATACTCCGCTTTAGCCATCCATCGTAGAAATCCAGAATCCAGAATCCTCCCATATTACCGTAAAACGCCACCAGCAGGTTAATTTACCTCCATTAAAAGTGTGAGACCATCTCAAACGGCCAGATCGGGGCTTAGAAAAGGCCATCAATCTCTCCCGTTTCAGTGTTCACATCGACCTGGAGGTACCCTGGCGCAGTCGGGAGGCCAGGAATGGTCTGGATATCAGCGGCCAGTGCGTAGAGGTAGCCGGCTCCAGCGGCCATTCTGACATCTCGGATGGGTACCGTGAAGCCAGTTGGGGCACCCTTGAGAGCAGGGTCATGGCTGAGCGAGTACTGGGTCTTTGCAACGCAGATGGGGAGGTTTCCAAGACCCTGCTTGACATAGGTATCGACCTTCTTCTGTGCAAGCTCGGAGAACTCGACCTTGTCAGCACCATACATGCGCTGGCCAATGCTCTCGATGCGTTCTTGGACGGAGCCCTCAAGGCTGTAGAGAAGCTTGAAATCTGGCTTGTCCTTCGAACTGGCAGCGATGACACCCTTGGCGAGCTCGACGGCGCCCTTACCACCTTCGGCCCAATGGTTGGCGGGAATGGCATCCTCGGCCCCAGCGGCGAGTGCCTCCTCCTTGATGACATCGATTTCAGCTTGAGTGTCGGTGGAGAAACGATTGATGGCCACGACGACTGGCACTCCGAATGACTTAGCGTTGGCAATCTGTTTCCTCAGGTTGACGCAGCCCTTGCGGAGGATTTCGACGTTCTCGGTTCGATAGACCTCTTGAAGCTGTGCCCCGGGGGCGATATCGGGTCCACCGCCATGCACTTTGAGGGCACGAACGGTTGCAACGATAACGACGGTGTCCGGGACTAGGCCAGAAGATCGGCACTTGATGTTGAAAAATCGCTCACCACCCATGGTGAAGTCGAAGCCGGCCTCGGTGATAACGTAGCCTGCCTTGTCGTCGTGGTCCTCGCCTGGCTCAGTACCAGCAAGCTTAAGAGCAAGCTTATCGGCGAGAACGGACGAGGCACCAATACTGATGTTGGCGAAGGGGCCAGCATGCACGAATACGGGGGTTCCCTCCAAGGTCTGCATCAAGTTGGGCTTGATAGCGTCCTTGAGGAGCGCAGTCAACGCGCCACCCGCACCAATGTCGTCGCAGGTCACGGGATCGCCACTGCGGGAGCTGGCCACGACCATACGTCCGAGACGTTCCCTCAAGTCGGAGAGGTCGTTGCTGAGGGCAAGGATCGCCATACATTCGCTAGCAACGGAGATGTCAAATCCAGTCTTGCGCGTCTGGCCCTTCTCCGTGGGCGCCTCACCAATGGTGATGGAACGAAGATGCCTGTCGTTGACATCGAGCACACGCCGCCATGTGATGGTCTCGGGGTCGATGTCCAACCTGGCGAAGCGGTTGATCTCGTCCTCGGTCAGGTCATTGGGGTTGGTCTTGTCGATACCAAGCTTCTTCAAGCGGCGGAACATGACAGGGGCGAATTCACGCTTACCCTTCTTCTCGGGTACCAGTCTCTTGTAGAGGGGTCCATTCTTCTGAGTGTTCTCGTGGAAGATGCGAGTCTCGATGGCGGCAGCAAGCAAGTTGTTTGCAGCAGTGATGGCGTGAATGTCGCCAGTAAGGTGGAGGTTGAACTCATCCATGGGAATGACCTGGCTGTAACCTCCTCCCGCGGCACCTCCCTTGATACCGAACGTCGGGCCCATGCTCGGCTGCCTCACATTTGCGAAAGCGATCTTGCCGAGATGGCCTCCAAGCGCCTGTGCAAGACCAACAGTGGTAGTCGACTTGCCCTCACCGAGTGGAGTAGGCGTGATACCCGCAACGAGAATGTAACGCCCATTCTTGCGGTGCTCGAGGCGGCTAAGGACAGACAAGTCGACCTTGGCCTTGGTGGCGCCATAGGGCTCAAGTTCGCTCTGCAGAAGACCAATCTCCTTTCCGATGGTGGTGATCTGCTTGGGGTGTTGTTTCCTCGAAACCTCGATGTCTGAGGGGACGGGGTCCTCGAGCTTGAGGGGGAGAGGCGAGATCTTACGCTCCTTCAGCCTGTCAAACGTGGCATTGGCGGAGTCGACCACGTTCTGAAGGAGCATGGCGACGGTCATGGGACCCACACCTCCGGGGACGGGAGTGATCTGGGATGCGACCTCGGCAGCGGAGTCGAAATCGACGTCTCCCACGAGCCTCTGGCCAGACTTCTTGCTAGCATCGGGGATGTAGTTGGTACCGACATCGATGACGACGGCGCCGGGCTTGAGCCAGTCTCCCTTGACGAAGTGGGCCTTGCCGATGGCGGCGACGAGGATATCGGCCTGCTTGATGACCTCGGGCAGGTTCTGGGTCTTGGAGTGGCAGATGGTGACGGTGGCATCGGCGTTCTTAAGAAGATAGCTGACGGGGCTGCCAACGATGTCGCTCCGTCCGAGGACGACAGCGTTCTTCCCTGCGACGTCAACTTCTGCTTCCTTCAGGAGGACCATGACGCCCTTGGGGGTGCAAGGGGTGAAGAGAGGCTGTCCACCGCGCTTGGCCAGTCCTCCAATGCTGGCGATTCCGAATCCATCGACATCCTTCTCGTCTGCGACGGCGGATGTGATGGCATGCTCGGAGATGTGCTTGGGGAGGGGGAGTTGGACGAGGATGCCGTGGATGGAGGGATTGTTGTTGTACTCGTAGAGCTTGTAGAGGAGCTCGGCTTCAGAGACGTCCTCGGGGAAGTGGACGAGCTCGCAGTCGATGTTGGCCTGGAGGATATGCGTTAGTGTTGGGTTTTTAGGGGGATATGAATGTGTGTGAATATGTTGGAGGATAGATGCATGTGCATGTGTATGTGTAAATGTATGTTTGTATGTGCATGTGTGTGCAAGTGAATGTTCATGTGTGCAGGAGTTATTTATGATGCGACTCACCTCCTCAGCAGCCTTCAACTTCATGCGCACATAAGTAGCTGCATCCGATAGTCAATTACACTGCAACACCTCCCAATCTCAATCGAAACCTACAAGAATCAGATCTATCACCCACTGCAAGAGATTATCAGTACGGTTGTCACACAATTGCTGGTTGTTGGGGGGACATACCTTGGATGATCTTCAGGGAGGGCTTGTAGCGGGGGTTGCTCTCCTGCTGCTTCTTGATCTGCTCGCACAGGCCGAGACGGATGCTGCGGGCAATTGCAGTGCCGTCAATCTTTGTGGCAGTCATGAGGGGCGAGGATGAAGTGGAGAAGAGACGAGGAGGAGGGGAGAAAGGAAGGGCACTGAGGCCGTGATAAGGATGAGGATGAGGTTGATGAGGATGAAATATTCTGAGCGACGGCGGGGTAGCTTTGGGGGAAGTTCTGCGATTGGCAGCTACGGCTGCGAATGCGGACGCGCTCCTCCCCAATCTCACGGATGGTGACGGCGTAACCCGGCACACTCGCACACACGCGCACTTTGATGATCCTCCTCCTCCTCCAGTTGCTCGACGCTGCAACAACATCATCTTGTTTCTCTTGTTTCTCTTTTTCTCTCCCGATTACTTTTCTTCCTCTCGTCCTCTGTAGTCACCTATCCTTTCTCTCTCTCGATACTATTCTCGCGTCTTTCTCGGAGCTCTTTCGCCTTTTTCCACAACAACTCCTCTTTTTCTCGCTTTCTCGCAAGTCCTCACCTGTTCCAGCTTTTTTGTCCTTTCCTACGGGGAGGTTGGCCGTGTGAGTGATAGTCCAATGTATGGAGGGATCATTGGCGGTGATTTTTAACCTATGTACCAAAGAATTAATCCAGAACCAGAGCTAGTCGAACGCCGGAACGCGTCTGTCTTGTCTGACTGGCTGGGAGAAAAATTCGAATCGGAAGAAGGAATTGTCTGTCTGTCTGTCCACAGTCCATCCCCCGGTACGAGTACTGGAGTCACCGAATGCGCAAAAATTCCTGCCTTGAACGAGCGGACGAACGACACGATAAGATAAGACGGCAAAGCAAAAGAGTTAGAAAGTGAAGCGAGAGAGCGACACCAGATCAAGCACTCATAGTTCGAAAGGAACAACAGGTGTCAAGAGAACAAGTCCCATTCCCAAGATCCATGACTCACCACATACCCCATAGGTACCCTCAATTAAAACCCACAATGCACAATTAACCCCATTTCCAATTCCTCGTTTTTCCCTTTGATTTTCCCGCCGGGCAAAGGCGACAAACCAGAGAGGGGATCTGTATCTTTGTGCAGCGAGCTCTTTGGATTGCCTACAATGGCTAGAACGTTAGCTAAAAGAAACTAGACGACGTCCAATCCGAAAGCGGTCCGCGTCTAGTGAGGGTGAAGAAGAGAGTTGTGATGGTGTCGTGCGACACCACGATCTTGCCAATTACGTACATCTTCAGCACAGCATAGTACTCTGCTGCGGGTGTGCTATTTCGAAAGTGAAGTGTCACTACTGCTTTGACTTGATATGTTGGAGATAATTCAGGCTTAGATACAGACGTCTCGAGTGAGCAATGACGGTCCTCAGTGCTCCTCCACCCAACGCACCACCTCCACATAAAATCCAAAATCCCATCGAACACGCACACACATCCTCCACCAAGCACCCAAAATCTAAAGCGGTCCGCGTTGGTGAGGGACTGAGGGTGTAGAGTCGTGATGGTGTTGTGAGAGTGTCGTGCAACACCACAACTTGTCAATTACGTGCATTCTCAACACTCCGTTGCTAACATTATGAGAATAGGTGCAGTATTCAGAGGAATGTCATAAAACCCAAAACCCCAAAATCCATCCCATAGCTCATACCACTACTCACAACGTTCTAACCAGAAGAAATGACGCTGATTTCTTTTTTTACACGCCTGGGTGGCTATGACTACAGATACTGCAGGGCCTAGGTAGGTACCTAGGTACGCGTGAACACACATACACACATAGAAACACTTATAGACATAGACACACATGGACAGACACAGACACACAACATGAAGCATTCACAGATACCTTTATATGTACTATTCATCATCATCATCATCATCATCTAGGGTCGGTCATACGACCTCTTATCTACGTTTACGCTTCCCCGTCGTTCTAACCTTGATACAGCTCGCTGGCGAAGTGTGTGCAAGAACGAGCGCATGCAAAACCACTGTATGTAAAGCACCGTCTATCTACGCAGCGAAGGGGGGGATATGTCAGAGTCAGACTGATTCCCATCAAATACTCCTGAGCGTGTAGACTGGGGAAACCGAAAAGGTAGTCGTGTGGATCGTCCCGTATCATTGTCCTTCTTCACGGATGTACAACGCAACGCAACACCACCCTACAACTTCTCCTTCAGACTGCTCTTCAACCTCCTCTCCACCGCCTCAAGGTACTCGTTCGTGGTAACCCACGCCGCGCGGTCCTTCCTTCCCGTCGCAAGCGCAAGATCCTTCGTCATGATGCCGTCGACGTCAACAGCGTCAACGCACGCCTTCTCGAGCTGCTGCGCGAAGACGACGAGCTCGGGAGTGCCGTCGAGCTCGCCGCGCTTGGTGAGACCCTGCGTCCACGCGAAGATGGACGCGATCGGGTTCGTCGACGTCTCGCGGCCCTTCTGGTGCTCGCGGAAATGGCGGGTCACGGTGCCGTGGGCGGCTTCCGCCTCGAACGTCTTGCCGTCGGGGGTGATGAGGACGGAGGTCATGAGGCCGAGGGAGCCGAAGCCTTGGGCCACGATGTCGGATTGTACGTCGCCGTCGTAGTCTGTGGGTTGCGTGTTAGTCACTCTGTACTTGTGGGAGGGTGAAATGGTCGGGGGGGGGGGGGGGGGGGGGGGGGTGGGGGGGGTGGGGGGGGGGGGGGGGGGGGGGGGGGGTTAAGGGGACGCACTCTTCATGGCGATGATCATGCCGCCCTCGCTCTTGATCATCTGGGCGACCATGTCGTCAATAAGACGGTGCTCGTACCAGATGCCCGCGGCGTCGAAGTCCTTCTTATACTGTCCATCATAAATCTCCTGGAAGATGTCCTTGAAACGACCATCATACGCCTTGAGGATCGTGTTCTTGGTGCTCATGTACAGCGGGAGCTTCTTGTCGAGCGCGAGCTTGAAGCTGGCGTGCGCGAACCCGGAGATCGACTCCGCCGTGTTGTACTGCGTCTGCGCGACGCCGCCGCCCGCGGGGAAGTCGTACACCTTGATCGTCTCGGGCTTCCCGCCCTTGGGCGTGAATACCATCTCCAGCGTGCCCTCGCCCTCAATCACGCGGTCCTTGGCCCGGTACTGGTCGCCGAATGCGTGGCGCCCGATGATGATGGGCTGCTTCCAGCCGGGTACGAGGCGGGGGATGCGGGGGATGACAATGGGAGCACGGAAGACGGTACCGCCGCTGGGACACACATGTCAGTATCTACATCCAATTTCTGCATAACTCGAAACTGCTGGCATGGCATTGGGGAACGTACAGGTGGTTTCGGATGGTGCCGTTGGGGGACAGCCACATCTTCTTGAGCTTGAACTCCTCGACGCGCTGCTCGTCCGGGGTGATGGTGGCGCACTTGACGCCGACGGAGTACTTCTTGATGGCCTCGGCGGCATCGAGAGTCACCTTGTCCTCCGTCTCGTCACGGTAGGGGAGACCCAGGTCGTAGTACTTGAGGTCGATGTCCAGGTACGGGTGGATGAACCTGTCCTTGATCTCCTGCCAGATGATCCTGGTCATCTCGTCTCCGTCCAGCTCCACCACCGGGTTCTTCACCTTGATCTTCTTGATCCCCGTCGACGCCATCCTTCTCTGCTGTGCGAGGAATGCGGTGGAGATGGTCGAGGTGGTGGAGTCGAGAGCTCCGAGCTGCTGGTTGCGGCGGGCGGTTGCGATGCCGACAGCGGGTCTGGTAGTAGAGGACAAGCACCTGGTAGCGAAGGCGCAAGAGCGTTGGCGAGGGAATCGTTGGAGAGCAGAGGATGCAGTGCGAACTGCGGAAGTCGATGTAGGCCTCATAGCTGTTCGGTAGGTTTTAGATGTTCGTAGTAGCGTGTCCCGTAGCTCCGAAATCAGTGGTGAATAACCTCGGAAAGAAGTAGTGGCGCTGCAGCGACCCAAAGGTAAGTAAGTATAAACTATGTAAGTTGACAACGACAGGGACGGGTCCTCGGTGGAAAAAGTAGTTTCCGGCCGCGCAGCAGAGAGGGAATAGCAATTGCAAAGGAGAGAAATGATAGGTCGAGGTCGTCTTACCCTGGGAGAGTTCGAGACGGATGTGTCTGGGGAACAGCGGCGGGGTAAAGGCTTCCGAGGTGCAAAGGAGAGGCGGTACTTGTAGAGCGGTATGTATGTACCTACAAAGTAACCGGTAGGAGTAGGAGGAGGTACGAGATAGGTAGGTCGCTATGTGACAAGAGACGAAACGAGGCGGCAAGTGACGGGAGCGACCGATGGCCTTTTTATTGACACGGTTCGAACGACAGACCGGCGGACAGACGACAGACAGACAGAGAGGTATGACAAGACTTTAACAGAACAGCACAAGCCGGCGAGCCGTCACAGTTAGACGAACAAACATTGCACAGGTACCATCCCATCCCATGCCATATCATACCATACCTACCTAGGTGTCATACACAACCTTATCAAAAAGAGAAAACCCTGCGCCGGAACTAATTTACCTGCAAGTATGAATAAAAAGTATCCATCCAGAGTCCCTCGAGAGACCGAGAGCGGGAGTCGCAGCACGTAGCGGGAGAGTACTTAGGCGGCTAAATATCGACCATGTACTGACCATGTACCCCACTACTCCTACTGGAAGGTCGTCGGCATCCAGGGACGCACGACGACTCCTTCGATGTGTGTGTGTCGCGCGTCGTCGTCGTCTGGCTCGACTGATTTATTCTTAATTGATTCATTGATTGATGGGACGAACTTCCAGGATTTGATTGCTTGCTTGCGTTTCAATGCAAGCTCGACCTGCCGGTTCGTTCAAGGAATGAATGGCACGCGCGATGTTCGGAGCAGCAGCAGTAGTCAGTGCTGGACGAGAGCTCCGCTCCGTCTGCGGCATGGCATGGTATGGCATGTGTTTGCTGTTCCTGTTACTCCAAGGCATTTCGTCACAGGCCGGCCGCTCAGGGCGCGTGGGGCCTATGTCGTCAAGCCGCTGGGGGCGTAGCAGAAGGGCACCGAAAGCGGCGCGCGCTCGCAGCGGGGGGGGCTCGCCCATCTCCGGCGGGCGGGCGGGCGTTCGGAGGTAGTTACAGGTGGATTGACGATGTCGGACGAGCGCAGCGCCCGATGGTGGAGGAAGCTGTGGGTAGGAGATGGAGATGAGAATGTTAGCTGTGAGTCAGTATAGGTATGTGATCAAGAGGGATGATAGTTATGTTGGAGACGGCGGATGTTTGTGCAGGTCCTCCGTGTTAAATTGTTGTTCAATTTTGTTGGGGGGCTTCCGCCGGATTGCGGGGTGCGTCAATCCAGACAGCAGAGCACTCAGCACAGAGGAACAGAGACAAGGTGATCAGAGTAATAATGACGATGCAGACAATTCCAGTGTCCGAGGAAGAAGACGAAGAAATCATAACGAGGGAGGGGAACCCTTGAATATTTGTACGTACGTCCCATCTCTCTGTTTCCCCCTTCTCCCTCTCCCTTCTCTCCGTTCCTTTCGTCCAACCACTTGTCACTACTACTGCTGCTATGTAGCTGTCGTGTACCTGACAACGCCTCTCCTCTCCTCTCTCCTCTCCTATTTTTGCCCAAGCGATTAGCGGAAGCGCTCTCTGCATCCAACATATCCAATGAACGACTACATCCCCATCACCATTACGAACATAGACTTTGCACTCGCGGCACCCAATTGGGCAATGGTTCTGAAAGGTACGAATGAAAAGTCGTCTGCGCACCCGACGGTGGCACAACCTCCCGTCCTGTCTTTGCTACATTCCGATTCGGTCCGATGTGCTCCTGTCGAGAGGAGTGGGCACTGACTTGCATCTCACATGTGTACATCGTTCGCTCGAGGCTTGTAGAGCATCAGACACGCATTGAAGAGGGGGCGGGGGTTTTAGAAAGCAGTATGAATATCTGGAAGAATGCATCTAAACGTAAACTAGGCGAGGCAATTCGATCGATTGCAGCACAAGCGTAGACTCCATCCCCATCTCTCCCATCACATATCCCCCTCCCGTAACCACCGGGTGCTTGCTAAAGTTCAATAGAGCCATTCTTGTCACCTGCGTATCCAAAGGGGGGGAGGAAGGCTAATTGGTGATCTCGAGTGCCTCCTCGGTGGCCTTGGTGAGGCGATCCCAAGTTACCAAGTTGCCCAACGCACGCTTCTGGAGCGCGCTCACGAGGCTCAGGCCGAAGACATAGCTGGCGTTGACCCAACCGAACCTATCAACAGGATTAGTATATGAATTTCGGGCTTCAATGTTATGATTTACTCACCCTTCACGAGGAACTCCCTTAAAGTCGCTACCCTGGTTACCATACTCCGCATCGACCTTGTGGGGATCGATCTCGCGTGTAACGTCATACTTCTCCACGACCACGCCGTTGTAATCGACAAACGCCTTAGTGACCATGTACAGCCAACGGTATGCAAGTCGCTGTGCCTCTTCCACGTACCCGTAACGATCAAGGCCAACCCAGGCAAGTATCTGCTGCGGGGCCCATCCGTACGGGTAGTCCCACTGGCGATTGGGACGGTTGATGCCGATAGCACCACGGGACTTCTCAGTACCAGATACTAGCCCTCCAAACATCTCCATCTTGGGGAGAGCGCGTTCCACCAAGAGGGTAGCCTGGCGAGGAGAGGCAAGGCCCGACCACATTGGCCAGAACGTCGTGGCACTCTCGTAGTCTGTCTGCTGCTTCTTCACCGTGTCGTAGTCGAAGTACATGCCGGCTTCGTCGTTCCACAGGTACTTGTCAACCGCAGCCTTTCGTTTGATGGCTCGGCGGTCCCACATGGCGGACGTTTCGAACGTGCCGGGCACGAGACCAGGCGCGGCAAACTCGGGGGGTATCTCGAGTTTGTCTCCGAAATGCTTGCTCAGGATGTTGCTAATATCCCTCTCGTACTTGTACAGCAGGGCGTTGATGTCGACTACCGCCAGGTTGGCAGCAACCTTCTCCAGGCGGTAAGATGTGTCGTGTCCGGACTCGCGCACAGCACGATCGTGCAAGAAGTATTCGTCCAGCTCGGGCTCCTCGACCCGCTGGTGATTGTAGGCATCAACGAATTCCTTGAACGTCATATTGTGCTTCTCTGCGTATGGCGTCAGGATATGTTCGAAGTGAGATGCCTCCGTCTCAGGCGGAACTCCGAGACCAGTGGGCCGGTAGCGGGAGAGGCCAGTCTCGGGATCCAGGCGCGGGCTGCTGGTCCATACGGTGTGGTACTCCTTAATGGCCGCGAGCACAGCTTCACGCAAGAAGTCCAAGGCACCGTCTTCGTGTTTGATGCGGTCATGAACACGAAGGGCCATGTCGGTGAGGAAGGGTGGCTGAGAGCGGCCAAGGTAGTAGGATCGGTTGGCATTCAAGATCTTCCCATAATGCTTGATGCTGAAGCAGAAGTGGGTAACCATGTTCTTAACAATGTCGACACGGTTATTGAGGAGGAGTCCGAGAGAAGACATGTAGGTATCCCAGCCGTAAAGTTCGTTGAATCTTCCGCCTGGCACAATGAACGGGAGTCCTCGCATGTCCTTTTTGCCGGTCGCGGGATCCGTGTACTCCTCCATTGCGATTGCAAGAAGGCCTGGTGCGGCGTTCAAGTCACGTACATAGGCTGGATCGACGCAGTTCTCGGCCAGGTACTGAACATCCAGGTCCATCTCGGGATGCTCTTTGGCAATCCGAGTGTAGTATTCATACTGCTCGGGTGCTCCGCGTGGGACGTAGATACGCGGACGTGGATGATCAGTCCAGTCCTTGGTATCCTTTCCAACCTGGGCAATGTTGGAGCCGTCGATGCGGCGCGTCAACCCATCCCAGAAGGTATCAGATATCAGACGGGAGAGGCGACTGACTGGATTCTCGTTGAGACGCGATTCGTCGAGAACGATCGTCTTCCGTCCGTATTCTTGGGCGAGGGTAAGCTCTTGGAGCAAGTTCGAGATCATGTAGTTGCCTCTAATATCGAAACTATTATGCGCGTTGGACTTGAAGGTTCCAAGCGAGATTTGCTACGAATGTCAGTCAGTGAGACGTTCTTTGTGTGGGTCGTCGGGGTCAGAATCATTGGGAGAATTCTCACCTTTGGGCCATGATCATCGATTGTGATCTGGAAGTTTTCATCGGTGTCCTCGCGGGCAAGTAGGGTTTTCAGGGTTGGTTCGACCTGGACCAGGAACCTACGGGGGCGGCTATACAGCTCGTCTAAATACCTTGTCAGTAACACGACATTCCACAGGGGGCGGGTAGCTCGATTAAACATACCGTGACTGGAGCGACGACTGGGGAAACCGCTGATGGCATCACCGATAGCATTGCGTCCGCTGTGAAGGTCGAAATTCTGGGAAGATATTAGCGATGCGATTGGGGGGAGGAAGCAGTGTAAACATGGGATGGTAGTATACTCACAGCAGAATAGGTGCGGTACTTGATGTGTCTTTTGGAGTGGGACGTCCCGTAGTACTGAGCAGGAGCGGCGTAGGGGTCGAGGCCAGCGGATGAAAGTCTTGTACGCTGAAATTGCGAGTTCATGCTACGGCGGAACGAACTGGCAGTCGATCGGAGTAGGTCGTTGAAGGTAAAGATGCGAGGGACAGTGGTGGAGTGGTTTGCGCCAACGAGGGTGGTACTTTGTGCGGTGTAGGAGTGTTGTAGATTTTTGAGAGGTGAAAAGGGTACGGAGGTGTGAAGTACTGTATGACGGCACACAGCGGGGGATAAGTTGGGGGCAGTTCAGACCGCTACTATATAGACCGGTACCAGCGAGCGAGTATCAGCAAGTACCAGTCCCAGCAAGTAGGGGTATGCACCTGAGTGGACTGGGTGGAGTGAATTGGGTAAGTACTATTGGTAGGTACTACAGGTAGGGTACCCGGGTACGAATAGCAGGTACGTGATGAGTGGGGCGGGAAACGTTGGAGAGGAATGTTCGCCCTCCACCAACAAGAATACTTGTACTTGTATGGAGTAGTTGTCTATGAACTCGCCGTATCAGAGTCCAGGATGCCGCGATGTGCTGCTTTCAACGAAAGATGGACTGGTTTAGTATATCTTCAGTTATTGACTTTTCACAAGTGCAGATAATGATACTTGTGCTTGTACTTGCACTTGCAGTCTGGAGAGACAGCAAAGCGAAAGTTGACTGGTTGGCTGTTCGCTTGATCGGTTGGTCGGTTGTTGGCGGCTCAGTGAAGGACAAGGCGCAGGAAGATGGACTCTATAAGGACAAGATTTTCCTGTTGTCGGTCTGAAAGTTGTATCTTGTGCTTCGGAAGCCGTGGGGAGAGCAAGTCAGACGAGGGCGTTGGAGTGGGATGACTGGGCGGACAGAGGGCAAACGAATCCTTTTGTATATCCCAATAGACTTCCAGTACTTTGGTAACAAGCAACGAGTGCAACTTTTGTATTATTGGCAATAATAGAGAGGGAGGGAGTGAAGAAGCGGCCCTTGGTTCGCTCAGCCTTATTCTATACAGCCATTATTCTTGTCATCAACTATTGTTTCGTTGTTGTGAATGCGTCTATTGTCCATCCATATATTCAAGGTATTATCATAGGACAGAGGAGCAAGGAGCCATTCAACCAAGGAGGGAACGTTTGAGTGTACCAATCAATGGAATCCAATTCCTTCTCCAATTTCGGCTTCTCATCATTATTACTACTGGTTTCGAAGGTGTGTTTGCTCTCTCTTCATTGAAGCCCTGATCATTCCAAAAATTCCATTCTCCACCTTCTCGTATCTTTCTAACCCTTCGAGGTCTTGTGCCTTTCCAGTGCCCGACTCCTGACCAATCACAACCCTTTATATTTCGGTCCGATTAGCGGCTCCCCCGGTTTTCGAACAACTTTTCAGAAAGAGTCTTCGCTGATCAAACGTCATGCTCCGTACTCATTCACTCACCTACTGTACTCATCCTTCTCTGACCCGCGCAGTTCGGTTCCTTGCAAGATCTTTCCCCCGCCATGGCCCATGGTCGGTCGGATTAGGATATAGACAATGAAGATACTCGTATTAACATTCTAACCAGCGCAGATGGGGTCAAGCGACCATCCCCGCCCTACGTTTTTGCGGCCCTCCACCGCGGTTAATTACTCAGTCTTGCGTCGCCTGTAATTGGTGCTTCATCATGCTGCCAAACATTGAATGGCATTGATCACGGTGCAGCCGGTTCTGATTGGTGGTTGCGGACTCAATGGAAGTCTGTGTCGACCATCGTGACTTTCTTCCCGTGGTTGTTCTTTTTGCGCCACGGTCACGCCTGGGCTTGAATCTTATGCCAGCGAAATCACTCGATTCCTGGCCAATCATGCCATGGCAAAGAAGAAAATCAAACAGCAGCATAACGATCCATATTATCGTATGAATAACGCGGCCCACCAGGGCATGAAATTTTGGCATTGCGCCAATTACTAGTTTACAGGGTGTATCATACAACAATCCCATGAACGCCTGTACAAGAATCCACGAATTATCCCAACTCCGCGCTAGAAAGCAGCCATACAACAAACAAAAGAAAGCACCGGAACCGTATGACTCCACAGTTACCAATTAGACCTCTTCTGCTTTCTTGTCTTTCCCTTTGGCCTTTCTTTTTTTGACTCCTCGTCCCGTGCCTCGATAGTGTCCTGGAAACGGGACACCGAGAGCGTGTCAGACGAGGCCCTTAGGCTTCCGGTGTCTCGGTCGTGGAATCCATTCGAGGACATGCCCACGGTGCGCATCTCGGATGCCAGCTTTCGGAGGTCGACTGCTTCGTGAGGATCGTATCCAGCACCCATTTCTCGGAATGCGCATCGAGCCACCCATGGATGGCTGTCGTGTAGTGGGTGCAGCTTGATAAATCGGTCAAGCGGTGTCTCAGACGGATCCAGCTGAACTGTGTCTAGACCTCCTGCCTCTGCAGCCTGTCGTAGGTGTTGATGAGTCTGGCGGACATGAAGATCTGCATCTTCCAAATCGTCCATGTCGTCCACCAACCGGTGGTACGCCTCCATCTCAGCTACAGCGATTTCTTCGTTCCGTATCCGGTCATCATGTGAATTCTTTAAGAAGGTGTCAGCTGTCTTCCCGGAACGCAATCACTGAGAGCATGCACCTACTTCTGCATTATGTTTGCGTAAATTCTCTTCCGAAAGACGCATCGTGGGTCTTGTAGGGACCTCTTTGATCATGTTTCAAATCTTTCTCTTGGCAAGTGCACCAAAAATCGGCCGTTCTGAGCAGAATGATGGTTTCCTGACCAGTTTCCGATGAGATGTGGTGGATGTGGACTTCCCGATCGTGTTTTGGAGATGATTGGGTGATACGATGCGGTCGATACGATACGGTCAATCGGCGCGAATGGTGAAGAACACACTGTAGTCACTCACTTTGATCTAGGGAATTCATGTACTATATAATCCGGCGATGTTGACTGGTGCCCTGGCCATCTCGCCGACCACCACGAGGCCGCTTTTAGATATCCTGGTTCCGAAACTCATCACCAAAGCAGGGGACGATGCCCTTGCTGCAATATCTACAGAAGGAGGCGTTCATTCTAATCATGGGATTTACCTAAATTGGACGATCCCGACGCACGGTCTTGAAAGCTGAATCTTGGCTGGGAACACGAGGATGATCCACGCACTGATCAGAAGCTCGAGCGGCCTATGACGATAGCACTACAGCGCCATGCGGTTGGTCCCTGGCCTCCTCTTCATGTGTCGGAGTAGAGGTGTAGGGAGCAACGAGCCTTCGGCAGTGCGCGCCGATTACAACACCAAATTTGGCTTTCTCGACAAAACAAGCCAACGATCTGTTCAAACAGCACGTTAGTCGGGCTGGTGTTGTATCTCGCACGTATCCAGTAGTTGCATCGAAAGGGATGATGATCTGCCTTTCGATCCCTCACAATCCGATCGATCGAAATTGGTTGTTCGACATCTAGGGAAGCTAGCAAGCCTTATCCACGAATTCATAACAATTGAACGCCGCTCGTTCGATCCTTGGAAGCATCCTGCGCCACGGCCTCTCAATCGCAGCGAGCAAGTCCAGGACAAGTCCAATTTACTTTTGCTCGGCGACCCCAGATGTTCTGAGCGTTGCTGTGTTATTCCTATTGCGATCCGGCCCACAACTTCGCGTTCGCGTCTTAAATGTATCAAGGGGCCTCTTAGTACGCATATTATCGTTACATGGATGCAAGCGTCCCGCATCCTCGATTCACCCGCCTATACCACGACATTGGCGGAGAATGATCTGAAGGAGATGAAATCGAGAAGTGAAGTTCTTTTTTCTTGATTATTCCCCAGTTAATTATTTGCTTTTCGAAATCTCTTCAAATGGCTTGCTCCTGAGTGGATCCATCGCGCTGGGTCCTCCAGATTCCGACACTGTGGTTCTGGGCCGATTTGACAGGCTGGGGGCCAATTCAGCTGCACTAAAGGAGAGTGCCGGCGACTTGGGCACCAACCTCACCGTGGACATCACGTTCCCTGGATTAGGTTCACGCTGGTACCCTGGATTTGCCATTTATTGGGCATCACATGGTGCATTGGCTCGGATGCAGCCGTACTCTGAAGACGGCGAGGCTGAGAAATAATGGGGCTGCCTAGGATACTGATATCGTTCCCGCGTTGCGTCCATCAACACAGAGTTTACGAACACGATAGTCCCTACCGGATCGCAGTATTCGCTCTCTTGGACTAAATTTACATGGGATGAATGTTTCCGTCCCTATTTGTGTAGGGCATCGACACTCTCGTCTCATCCCGCTCTGGCGCATTATCTCCAGTAATTATCCATCTCACAATCCGAACATTCAGCAAGCCACAATTCATTTTGCCGGTATGGGCTCAGTATGAGGACTCCTTAAGCTGTGACAGCCCGGCACTTCCGATCAGGCGGCGCGTGCATTGTTTACTCGACGTACGTGTTGCTGGTCCCTCAAAACATCATCCTCGTAGCACTTCGGAATGACCAATTCCGCGGCTTATGGAGTATCTGGTCCATGATGCCTGGTACTCTGCAGCTTACTGTACGCACCCACAGGAAGTTGCAAGGCCATCACTCACTTCAGGAAGATATCACATATCTCCCACCAATACCCGCCAGCGTCACACAGAAGGAGTCACATTGATGCCAGCCAACCCTAGCCTACATATTCCCAATACACCGGCTCGTCGATTACCAGGCCCCTTTCCCCACAACTAGCGATCCATCGACCGCCTGGCGATTATTTTGGTGGAAATGTCTTAGATCCCTGTAACGTTACATAAACATAAACTGCAAAACTGAACCAAACCGTCTCCTCTCTCCTTCCGCCATTACCGGAAAGAGATTTGAGTGCAGGGAGAAAAAGCAAAGCTTAGAAGATACAAATCCTCCGAGTCGAACAGCATGCGCCATCCCGATCCTGAGATTGCACAACATCCTCCAACCCAAGATTCGCATGTGCCTTCAATCTTTCCGATCCACATATTACTTTTGACGGTCGATTAGTTCGGCATACGGCTCCACGAGGACATGGTTGAATGTGCTCGATGGAGGAAAGGCGGTAAGTGGGCCAATTCACGATTTCCATGGTGCAAGTATGATTACTGAAGCCCAATGCGCGCGAGATACTGTCTACCTACTTGATTTGGCTTCCGCAAAAGACTTTTCTAGCATCAACCATGGATGACCCGCAACCGTGTCCTACTTCTGTGCTTTTGGGAAATGTGGTCGTCAGACCCGATTGAATGGTTGCCGGAATTGACTTCTCTTGCGTCTTGGGAGAGTACCAAGTAAGCAATCGTCACATCAAACGATGGGTCTGCCGTGCGTGTAGCATTCCCATGACGATAAGACGCATCAGCAAGAAGTAGTCGCCATGGTCGGTCGGCAATCCAATTTTAAATATTCGTCTTGCTGACAGCTTTCCCTATCCTAGACGCTGACCCGATGGTGCTATGTCCCTGCATCATCACGTAAGAGCCATTCACATGTTCAACGTCTACGGTCGGAATTCCTAGACCACAAGTGCACCACATCTCCTGAGTGGAATGTTTGGTACGCAATCTTCTATCAAAACTGTAATTCTAGAAGTCCATCTAAACCAAGTCTTCGTCGTCGCCCACTTCACTACACAAAGAACTCGACTTTGCCAATGTCAACTTTCTTAGTTCTGACCGCTTTTCCCCCTTCTTTTCCAGATCTCTACAGATTCTCCTTCAAAACTAGACGCAATGTCCCGTTGAGAAGCGCTCCCCTTCGCGTGTCAACCGCCACATGCACGCGATCAACACCAACGTTCTCCGTAATCCCTCTCTCTATCCACCAAACCAACTAATGATCCACCAGTTCCTCAAGAACCTCAATGTATCACAATCCGTACCCTCTCATCACACATCTTCACACATAGCCTTGACAGACATGGCGTCTCTCTCGAACATACGACGAACGACCCCACACCGATATCTGAGAACCTGTTTCTTGTTAGTTGTGGCTGGTAGGATTTGATGACTGAACCGGTTGCGCGAATACGGTGTTCGAGGCAGTGTTCGTTTCCATGGGAGTCGCACATGTAAAGGCTGTACGAGGCATGTGTAAAGGCATGTGAAGATATGTAAGAACATGTGTATAGATATACGAAGAAATGTCAGAATATATAATAATCTCTGCTAATCTGTGCCAGTCTCTGCTAATCCGTGCCAGTTTGTGACCTTAGTGTGATCTTAGTGTGACCTACATATGTTCTACATTTGTTCTTCATATGAAGTTTCAGATATGGAACCAGTCGACGAGGCGGTGAGTCCTGATTCAATGTGGTGATGATAGTCGTCGGTGGGTGATAATGCCCTCACACGGCTCAACTATTACTCCCGTTTCGTCTGAAGTGCTTGGGGTTGCCACGGGTTCCAGATGTTGAGTTGATCTTGATGTCGTTCTGCCCCGAATCTATGGTTTGTAGACATGAATATCAGGGCATCAGATGACAACAACTTCAAATATGAAGATCACAGTATGAAATTTTTAACGCCCGCCAAAGCAAACTCATCATCACAACCTGGCTACGGAAGCCTCAACCTCCTCTCTCTCAACCACTCATAATCCGCCATACTCGCCTCAACTAGCACCCTCAACCTCTCCCCCAACACCTCCCCGAACTCCTTCCCCCACTTCACGACCTCATCCTCAACCACCAGCCCCTCCGCCGTCTTCCCTCCCACGATGCCCCGACTCCCCAGCAAAGTATCCTTCATCCTCCTCTCGACCTTACTCAAACCCGCAACCTCCGTCTCACTCGCCCTCTCCCATTCATACCTAACCAACTTCTCATCCAACCCGACAGCCCTAGCATACAACCTCACGACCTCCGGCCTCCCCACCACATCATCCGCCTCAACCACAATCGGATACCTCACGCCCTCGACCCTCGACTCCCTCCCCTCCCCCTCCCCATCCCCATCATAAAACTCATACAGCGCCCTCGACCAATGAAACGTCGCCTCCCACCTCTGCGTCGCCTCACCCTTAAGCACGCTCTCCACCCCCTCATTATCAATCGCCGTCCTCAGCAAACTCGGGAACACGAGCGCGGGGTGCCTCACCAGAAACGTCGGCCTCCATCCCCGCAGCACCTCATCCGGCACCGCCGTCTCATTCAGCGCACTCTTCGTCGCGTCCGGGCCCTGCGATGCCGTCTGCACCGTCCACGGCGCGGGCAACAGCTGCTGCTGCTCGAGGTCGGGGAACAGAAACGACGTCTCGGACACCGGCTCGATGAGCCAGTTCACGTGGATCTTGACGTAGGACGACTTGCCGGCCGCCACGACGGCGGAGTGGAAGGCCTCGAGCTCCTCGTACGACGTCTGGAATGCGTCGCGCAGGGCGTCGCGCTCGTCGGACGTCCAGGCCGGAAGCGGCTTGCCGGCCAGGTGGTGCGAGAAGCGTTGGACGGTGGGCGCGAGGAAGAAGTAGCCGTCCGAGGGGTGCCGGTGGATGGACGGCTGGGACGGGAGGTTCAGGATGCGGGTTAGGAGGTGCGAGGAGGTGCGGGGGAGGGTGAGTAGGATGTTGTGGATGGGGGGCTTCTGAGGTGAGGTTGGGGTCTCGGGGGGTGTTGCGGGTGCCATGGTGGATGATGTGGTTCCTGATGTTGGGGGGGAGGGAGATGGGAGGTTTGGATGTGATCGTCAGGTTTGTCCAGAGTGGTGTCGCCCGTACACTGGGAGATTATATGGTGGCTCACAATAGTCCGTGGATGGAGCGACGCGGTGTAGTTTCTAGACGCAACTACTTCTCGCGATGAACAGAACACTGCAAGTAGTCACGCGACGAGTCCTTAGAAGCCGTGAACTCTCCCAGACGGGCACACGCACGGCGCAGAAAATGCGAGAAGCAGGAATCACAAGCGCAGCCACCGACGATGAAGCATGCACTAGACACAGTCGATGGGCGATAGAAGGGTGTTGTTGTGAAAGCAAAACTTTGTATATCTAGGAGCCTTGAAGCTGAAGGTCGCGAGGTTTGGTTGTTGTCGATAATTGCTTTTCCCACTGCCCCCGCCTATGGAGGTTGTGCAACTTGGCTGGTCGCAATCACGCCATTATAGATCAAAGAGCGTGTTTGCGCTTCTGGGCAACTTCGACTAGCAACCTAAGGAGACTTTTACTTTGGACTGGGCGCATATTTTCTCAAATGAATTCGTTTTGGTTTGGATTTTTAAATGATGGATTTGTATCGTGGTATTAAGATACTTGATTTTTAAGTCTATTCGGCGGAGAGGATGTGTACATGTCTCCTGGGTGTGTCGGGTATCTATAAGGAGGACTGGCTTCGCTCAATGCAATATGGTTCGCTCAACAATGCTGACAAGGACGACGACAAAGGAGACAGTGACAATGAGGAAAGGATAGAGAAATCTAGACCACGATGATGCGGCAAAGTGACATTGATGATACAGTGACCCCGCGATGAATGCAGAGGACAAGTGTAGAAATAGGCAGAGAGTCGCAATGCAAAAGAGAATGGAATAGAAAATAAACAAATTGAAAGAACGAATAATGAAGTACAAATACATGAGACAGTAATCGAAAAATATCAGAAACAGACGGGGGTCGGAAAAAAAGATATCGAATCGAAAACATGAAGGGAAATATGTGGCCAGAGCAAATTTGTGTGTTCAAGGGTATTCCGCGCGATCATTCCAAAAACATTCCATCATTTCGTAAAGTCTCCGTCATATGCAGACGGTGCCCAGGAGGTCTTTGAATGCCAGTCATGCCATGCCATGTGGAAAAATCCCTCGCTCGCTATGCCGATGCACTATCCAACAGTCGCGGGAAGGAACGTAAGAAGAAGACGCTCCAGATAAGTGGGAAGAAATCTTGAGAAACGCGGAATCAATCAAAGAAAACTCCTGGAAAAGCGATGATGCTCATCCATGCACGCGTGTATACCGAGGCGCTCGAAATTGAAATGAAGATGAGGAGAAGAAAACAAAATAAAGCAAATGCGACGCATGCAGTAAAAATGAGCCCGAGGGCTGTGAAGAATGACCTACTAGATGCCCCAGCCCTCCCATCCGTGGCTGATCATCTTATCCAGGACGTTGATGACGCCGTCTAACAATTCACCTTGACCGTCACCACCGTGTCCAGTGCTGGCACTGGTTGGACCGGCGCCCACGACGCTGTCCCGGGCGTCGAAGGCACCACTCCGTAGGCGCATTTTTACCCAGCGTAGCAACGCTGAGCATCCATGCTGCCATTGCATGACATCGCGAGGCCAGATGGGAACCAAGCCGAGATACTCGAGTTCGACTTTTGCGTTGCTGAGGAATTCCTCGGTGGTGGCATTGATCTCGGAAAACATCATCCCGTGCGAAGTGGGAACAATGGGAGACGAGTGTGAGGTCGGAATTAGTCCAGTTGTTGATGGATGCATGGGGTTTGGTGATTGTGATGTCCTAGAGCTCGTGGCCGAGAGATGGGTCGGGGTTGCTGGCATGAGCCCACCGCTAAATCCATCGTAGGGAAGAGGAGAGGGTGTTTGATGCGGCATTGGATGGCTCCGCGACGGCTGAGGGCCGACCATTCGACTGTGCGCTATAGCTGTGATTGACCAAACGACTAATGTGGCGAAATAAAGTCCCATATCGGCACCGAGTTCGAGCCGGAGCTGATCAGAAGGTGTGGCCGTTGCTTGTTGCAGAATGTCAATTGCAAGCTTGAGCGCTTCCTTTGCTGGAAATATTTGAGGCTCGGCAGGAACCCACAACCCCTCCGCCCAGCTTCGTACGCTTGCCTTGTGGTTATTGAAGGCATGAGGAGTAGGAATCTTCTCGGACAAGATCCAGGACTCTCCTGCAACGGCCAACAAAGAACGGACAGGTGTGAGTTGCACTAGCTTCGCTGTGAAAAGGCGGTGTTGGGTAAGGATCGATGGGTCTAGCAAGTGGTCGATGGAATCCGGCGGTGGAGTGATGTAAGAGACGCTGTTATTGGCCTGGTTGTAATGAACAGCAATGAGAACAGACGATTGGAATGGGTCAAAGAGCGATGCCCCAAAGTCCGAGTTGACGTCTTGAACAAGAGCTGGCATGTAAGGGTATTGTTGGCAAGCAATTGCCCACTCTGGAAAGTCGGCCGCATCCCACATGGCTGAGTGAACTGGGAAAGGTAGATCCATGCCTGAAATTGAATCCGTCGGCGATGGAGAGCTCCGTGCAAGGAGAGATGCTTGCTGGTACTCCAACACAAAACAGCATTGCAATAGGCGCTGTTGGCTAGCAAGTCCAATCCATTGCATCCACCGCTCATTGGTGGCATGCGCAGGCTGTGCTAACATAGGTAATTCATTCATCATGTTAGTGGTGGATGCTCGGAAATTTGCGAGTACCTAGTCATGTCAGTCAATAAAGAAGAATACAGGACAGGAAAGCACTCACCTTGAAGTAAAGGCTCTCGAATCGAGATGACAGTTTTTTAGCTGCGCGCCTCGCACGATATTGTGAGAGCAATTCAACCAAGAAAAGTGACTGCAAATCGCACAGCCGCTCTTCCTCACACATCGTTTCTTGATCTCTCTGCAGCCATATTAGTCTTGAACTCATTGTCCATGCGCATGAGGAGGCGAACTGACTTGTCTGAGCAATTTCAAGCATCGGTCGTGAAGGATCCGTGACTTGCGCTTGGCGCTGGGGTCGTTCGAGTACTGCATGCCGATCGCGATCATCGCAGCTCGTAACATTGGCGACTGGGCCATCATGCGCTCGAATGAAGCTCGATGAACGACGGGAAAAGATGGGTGAAAGAGTCTCCAATAAGTGTCAAGATATTGTCCAAACGGAGAGGAGTCTGCGAATTGTTCCATACCGAATGACTGGTCAGGGAACAGGTATGACTGTTCCTCTTCATCTCTCTGTGCCATCAACTTGGGACCATAAGAAGGGCCGTATCCAGACATGCTATGCAAAGCAGGTGGAATGGTCATGCCGGGCATAGGGTATCCAGGATTGACGTAGGGTATGTGGGTGACTGGCCTGGCTTCGGATCCCCATGTATAGGTTCCCGTCGAGGTTGCCGATATAGGCGATCGCGAAGGAATGACCCAGCGCGTATCGTTGAAAGAGCTTTCAGACGATGCGCGAGTCCGCGGGACATACGCTTGGCTGCTGGAAAAGTAGGGATAATCGGCATTGGGATAGGGCGAGGCATGGCCACTCGAAGGCGATACGCTGAAGGGATCATGAAATGGATTGCCCTGCAGTCCCTCGACTTGGATAGGCATTGGTTGGCCATGTAGATGGGGCGAAAAGCGAGCAGCCTTGTTCACACTGCTTGGGGATGTTAGTAAATGCATTTCAACTCTTTGATGATCAGACAAAAGAAAGAACATGACATCTGATGCGCTGCTGAAACTCACTTGAAAGAAAAGTTGAAATTCGGAGAAGAACGAGGAAATGGACGAGAATTGAAACTTGACGAAGGAAGATTGGGAGTACGAAAAGTATCTGGGGTATACCTTGGGTCTGGCGTCGTCTCCGGGATGGGAGAAGCGACCACTGGTGAAAAATATTCATGGTGAGGAGTAAGAGCAGTTATGATAGTTGGCGGCTGGGGAACAGCTGTTGTCTGATCTTCGACCTCTGCAGAAGGTTGTGGGCTGAAGTAAGAGTCGAGTTGAGAATCTTTACCAGTCTCGCCACTATGAAGAGTAAGTGACTGATGTATGGGCGGGCTGGAGTGCATTCTGCTCACTGTCTTTCCTGGTGCCTCTGTAGGAGATCTAATCTGTAGAAAGTCTTCCCACAGTCCGGGTACTCGCAAATCAGTGTCTCAGAAGCGTGATTCTTCTTGTGTCGTCTAGATGTGATGTCAATACTAATTCCATCTATGCTATTAGGCAAACGGGAGCTTGACCTTAAATGTTCAGCACGGGTATAAGACTGTGGAAGCAGTTAGTCGAGCGAACTGGAAAGGAAATTCTTCTATTCTAGATTGCAGGTGCAGTGCGTTGAGCATCCACATGGCGAGGATTCCATGATCGCTGCATTTGCATCTGGTGGTGGAACGACCGATAAAGAGCTGGGGACGGAAGGAACGTACCTTTCCGCACTCGCAATCATGAACTTTGAGGCCTTTCTTAGCCTTACTGACACGGCCGGTCCTGGTATAGCTAATGGGCTTCATGTCTGGCGAAACTAGGCTTGGGCTGGTGGATCGTTGCATCGTGGAACGGGCACCGCGGGAGGAGCCGACGTGGGGGCCAGATGAACCCTCTTTCCTGGTTCCTGGACGGCGTCGAGATGGAGTGGATTTGGTGCCTTGGGTACGTTCATCTGATGATGCAGAGTCTTTGCGCTGTCGTCGAGGTTGATGAAATGTTGACTGAGTGTTGCCTTCGGTATGGGAAATAGTCGAGGCCAATGGGCGGCCGCCTTGCTCACTAGGATCAGACATAGCTGACGAAGGGCGGCGAAGGGAGGAGTATATATCCAAAGATCTTGAGGGGGCGGGACGGATCCTCCAAGAGCCGCAAAGTGGAGAACTAGACTCGGACAGGTTGGGGTTCAAGAAAAAGATGTATGGTAGCGGCGAACGGTCCAGATCCGGTAGTACAGCAGACGGCTATGGGTCAACGGTCATGTCTTGGATAGATGCGGAGAGTATTATGTGTTTGAAGAAGAAAGGCGGATTCGGGAGGAAGACGCCTCAAGAAAATAGTAAAGAGAAGGACAGGGGAGAGTTGACAAAGATGGTAGAGAATCCAGATTGGGGAAGCAATACCGTTCCAAATCAGGATTCTGACGATAGATGCAAAGGTGCTGCGCCTGCAAGCGATGTTCGTGGTGGACTGGCAGACTGTAAATATCTTTCTGCGGGCTGTGTCTGAGCCAAGAACAGAGCAAAAGATGAGATTCGTGTTAGAGAAGGGGGAAGATGGTGGAAAGAGAAAAGGTAGACGTAGAATGAGATGCAGCAGCTGCAGGTCCGACTCGCCCTGCCCTTGAGGGTGCACGAGTTACATGGATGATGGGATGATGGATGAGATGGGATGGGATGGGATCAGGGGCAGAGCCAGTTGGATGGCGCGGCGGCGGCTCCCAAGTGTGTCTACGCTCACACACACTCCATCTCTTACGGCGGTAGAGGGCTAGTTAGTGGGAATAATCATGGTAATGGTAACGGTACATAGTCGACGATCGAGTGCAAACTCGCATGCTTGACGCTTGAGCCTACGGGCATGGCTACAGTAGAGGGGGGGGGGGGATACAATACAGGGTGGAACCGAACGGTTCCAGCATCTGGGCGCAGTGGCCGAGAAAGCATCCGCGCTCCAAATTTGGGGTGATTTAGGATCGTAGCCCTGTGATACCCCTGTGAGGGAGTGAGCCGTGAGAAAGCTGGTGCACACCTTCTGAGGGCGCTGGATGGAGGCGTCAGAAAGATTCAGGGTCGTGAGTGGACAACTGGACCGCCAAAAAACCATAGAGCGGACGGACCGTTCCCGCATCAAACCATTCCTCGAGCGTACCGCAGCGCCTAGCGGTAGTCTTGTTACTAAGGTGGGCGTGGCTTGGATGCATGGGGTGAGGGTACCTGGTTGAACTAGGACGAGATGGTTGTTGTGGTTGCTACGGGTTGCTTTTAGAAGGACACACTCGAAATAGCGAGAGATGTGAATGGCCAGGGGGAGAATATGGCAGCGGGCTTAAGCCTTGAGTGGGAGGGCAGTGGTAGGAATAGCCACTCAGCCTTCCTGCACCGCTGCACCCACTTACTGTACTGCTGTACTACAGTCTAGCACACCTTGCCATCCACATGAGCAGCCCACTACCGAATCTTCACCAATCCCATGTCCCCTTGAGAGGACAATCCTCTATTCCCAGTCCGCCCAAGCCTGCCGCTTACCGCTGAAGGATTGCGATCACGACACCCATCGTTGAAAGCCCCACGATATGCTTGACACCCCAAATGCTGTCGGAACTGTGTCTGTGTGCGTGTGTGTGTGTAATGGACCTGGCATGCTCGATGCTGTCACCGATGCGGTCATCGCTGGCCCCATCTCTGTCTGGGCAGTCTACTGCAATTCGCAAAGTCTGTCTTGAGAAGTGTGCACACTGCACCGCACATGTTACTTGCAAGGGGCATGCGAAGGGTTCGTTCGACCATCCTCGACGACCCTCGATAATCTTCAACAAACCAAAAGGGCATTCGACCATTCACCCCTGCAGACACACGTCGCGATAATGCCCGACCGACCAGTGCAACAGGGAGAGACAATCTGGGAATGCAATCTGGTGCTTGTGGGCCCGGTGATCCAGTCCAGGACTCAGGAGCAATACTTGTTGGAAGAGCCATTGGCGGGGCCCTTGTATAATGCTGGTTGGCTCCATGAACGGGGGAGGGGGTGGATGATGGAATGGGTTTGATTATTGCTGTGTGTTTTGTGTGTTTGTCTTCAGACTGGCACCCAGAGCCCACTAGTAACGAAAGTCCTTTCAAAGTAAATTCCTGCCCCAGGCCGACGGGGATTCCCAGACAATACCCGTGCACTACTGGACATTGGTGAGCGCAAGAGTATGGCCTCGAACGACAACCTTAACGGCAGCGCACAGTCAACCGTCTACCCGTCGACCGTCCGACTACACAATCCATCCAATATGGATTTCATTGTGTAGGAAATTCGAGAGCCCTACCATGTTGAAACTGCCTTCGCGGCTGCTCATTCGTTCGTATGGGAAATATCCAGCGGGCTTTAAGCATCATTGTGCGTGTCAGCACGGTGAAGTGTCTCTCCGCAAGGCCAAGGAACAAATCTCCACATGGGCCGGGCAGTCGCGCTGACCGCGATGCTGCCCGTGTGGGACGCCTAAATCTAGACAACTGCTCGCTCGAGCAAGGCTTGATGAACACGTCAATCAAGCTTCTCTGGCAAAAGCGCCGTGTCTGCTAGGGTGCATTCACTCCGCGGCGGACATCCAACGGTGTCAAACCAGCGGCATAGGCTTGCTGCGTTACGAAATATCAGGACTTCAAAGCCGATAATCAACCTTCCTTGTTGAAAACTTATCAGCGATTAGTGCTCAGATGCTCGTGCAAAGGAAAAATAATAATAATGAGGGTGCAGTGACTACTGCAGGTCGCACGTCAGAAAGGACAAGGGATCCGTCCTGACCGGTTTGCGAGGCTCGAGCGCCAATACTGTTCTGCAGATTTCCCCCCCATTACCCTCATCTCCCACCTCCAAATGCAGTCAAGGGAGCATCAGAAAGCGACGGAAGAACCGCAGAATCGCTGCACATGGTGTTGAGCTAGGATGACCGTCTCGAGATTGATGGTCAGATTTGAGCATTCATGTGAGGAAGGTCGGTTACCGACTGCGTGCAACGGGCTGCCCGTAATTACCTTCCACCACGTTGTGGGCGCTCGCCATCTCTCCCAGGAGTCGTCAAGACGTGGTCGCCCAAGCGGTCGGGTTGTCGATGGGCATGGGTTTGGATATCCCTCTGTTCTCCCGCAACCGAAAGTGTGGTCTCGCGGAGTGTGAATTGTAGGGGCAGCATGAATTTTCCGTCTTGGTCATGCTAGCTTGACAAATCGCATCGCCCGGTAATCCAGAAACGCACAGGATCAACGGTCCAGCGCTTAACGGCTCATGTCGCAGCAAAACAAAGCAGAGCAAGTCGTCGCTGGCACGACTTTCTACGTACCTACAGTACCTTGGTAGTCGTTGCTGCCCCTACTCCATTCTTCAAGGTTGCACTCTCTGCCGTCCCAGGGTGCAAACACGTGCGCCTGTGTCTGCTCAATCTGGCTGTTAGTTCTGGTGGAACCCTGGGCATTTGCCAGTTGTGTGTAAGCGTCAGACTGCATCGTTGCGCTTTTGGGCAGGCTCTGGTGTTCGTCGGAACTTGGAATCGGTCTAAGAAACTGCCTGACACCTTGGCAGGCCATGGGGGTTACGATTATTGGGAATTTTGGCTTGCATCGACTCCATGTACTTCAATTTTCGAGAAGCTGACACCGTGAGAACTCAAAATCGAATCGCGATGCAAGCGACGATGAAATTGTGAAATCTTCCCGACGTCATCCTGTTAGTTATCGCATGCAAAAGGGGAATGGCGACCGACACCCCCAAGACAGTGCTGGACTGCAGGTGCACTCGGTGGGTGGATCTACACAGTAGAGATGAGCTCACTCAACAACATTATTGAACCTTGAGGTGCGAGGTGCGAGGTGAGACGGAGACAGACGTATCGACTCGAACCTGTACAATCAATTCGAAGCATGCTCAAGATCCTTCTGCACGCTCGCACGTGGAGCTTCATGCATGACAGTCACCGAGACAGAAATTATTGAATGGTGGCCAAACCATATGAGTGGCTGGAAAGCATCAAATCCTAGACATGTTACGCAAAGTCCGCTGCTGCTGGAGCGCGGCGAGGCCTCAAGTCCCGACATCGCAATATTTCCCGCGTTCCAGCCATGAGATGGCAGGCCTGATGAAAGCCGATATTTAATTGATATACCTCCCGCCAGAAGACCTAGTGGTAGGCCAACGACTGTGCGCTGAGACATGGCCAATCCAGCTTTCCAGCCCTATCATCGAAACGGATCTGCTCGAGCGAGTTGGAAATTGGGAATGGAACCAACGACCACTGCGTGAGTGGTTTCATGCCATGCCTAGACGACCTGGAAGAATTCTTGCATCGGCCTGTGAATTCGTCCGATACACGGCAGCGGCGGCAATTCGTCGATGAATCCGAATGCGAATCAAAGTGCAATACAAAGTGTCGCGAGCAAGATAGTCACGGTTCTGGACGTTGAAGATTTCCTTGACTCGAGCCCGGCTGCCCACCGTGCAGTCGGTTACATCCACTTGTTCCTTGTCACTCTAGTTCGAATCCTTCGGTCACGATTCCCATGTTGGCTTTGAAATGCAACTATGGCCCACGTCGCGCTCTTGCGAAGCAGGTGTATTCATGATCGTAAGATGTGCGCTCGTTTGCGATGGTAGCGGCGGGGACACAATTACGAGGCTGTTCTCCCCAGCGCTGCCCTACAGCGACAGCGTAAAGCGAGTTTCCACAGCTCAATCGCATGATGAGTGGGGCAGCACCCGGAAAAGCTGACTCGTCTCCAATCATCGGTTAGATCCGAGTGGTAGGATTCCTATGCACGACAAAAGCTCCTAAGAGTTTCGAACTCCTCCGTAGTGTGGTCTGTTTGAACAAGTCGCACTGAACCATTTAGTTTCCCTCAGTCATTTTGCAAGCAATAATGGATTTTCCGATAACGGCATTGACCTTGACGGATATAATTCTCGCAATATCAACAACTTCGGCCATCCTGCGGTTTGTGGATTGCTGTCCTGGCCTGATCCTTGATTATCACTAGGCGAGAAGGAAAATCTATGATTGATTCATAGCATAACGGCAAGCGAATTATGCAATCTTCCTCATCCCGCAAAACAAATAAAGCAGTGCTGATCGTTATGCTATGAATCCGTTGAGTGCAGAAAACTTCAATAGTAGCACGCGCATGCCGATCCATGCCATGATTCAGTACAGAGTACCACGACTGAAGACGCAAGAAATAAGCCCTATCGCTTAGTCGAACTGGCGCATCGCAACCCCTCAACTGTCGCGCACGCCGATGCGGAGTCGATAGACGAAGTGGCAGTCGTGAGGAATCGGGCCGTCGCTTCGTGATAATTGCTTTTGGTGTACGCGCGCAGACTTCTTGATGATGGTAAGTTCTAAAGAAAGATCCCGATTGAACAAAGGTGATCAGTATACGGAGTAGATGCAAACATTATCTTTGTGTCGGTTAGTGCGCGTGTGCATCCACGGACATGCAGCCTTGACAGTAGTCGCAGTAGGTAAAACATAGTGTATTCTGTACGCGCCGGTGGCAGACAGTTACAGCCTCAGTGAGTGTGCCGGGGATCATCCAACACAACACCGAAATATCTTCCCCGGTATCAAGTCTAACGATGTTGGGACGTTGGTTATATACGAACAAATGCGAGAAAGGAAGCGCGCAGAGAGAGACAACGTACCGTTACATTGGCTGTTCATAATTTGAATCATTATTCTTGTTGCCAGCATATATGAACTATCAAAATCATCATATATGTATCTACTAACCAACGAACTTAACCATTGGCGATAATAACTTAATGACATGACTCCACCAATTGAGTGAGCGTTGTCTCGAAAGGGCTAAGGGTTGAGCAATTCACCTTACCAAGGCGCGCTAAACCCCTTTCCCTCCCGTGTGTCTATTTTAAATCCAACCTCCATCTCCCCAAATCTCTCAACCTCCTCATCCGGACCTTGTCATGTCCATCTTCTTCCCCTCCCAGTCATTACACAGTATTCCTTCACCCTCGCCCTCATCCTCACGGACCCCTCACCCATCTCTGCCATCACATGGCATATGCATGCACGGCGCTGACCCTGCCCCCTTCCACCCCGCGATCAAAGACGATGAGGCTGATCGCACTCCCCCGTCCCACCCTGTCGCATAGCCTTCCTATCACAGATGGTGCTGGCTCGCTCACTACGCCCACAACCTATCCGCGTCTCGTTGTCCCGTTGTCCCGCTGGACGTGTGTATGGTGTGCACTGTGCACTACCGTGTTTCTGCGTCCTGTTGTCCCTTCATCGCGAGGAGGGTCTGTCTCCACAAGTATCCACCCTTCCGTCCTGAACCTGACTCTCCTACCAAAAGACCGCTGTCTGCCTTGCGCTCGACGTGCTTGTCTCCCGTCCCATCATCGCATCACATAGTCTTCTAACTCTGGCTCGATTTGCGACCTGGCCCAGTCCATATTGCACGCAGCAGTTGGGGTTATCAAGCGACACTTTGTCCGCATTATAATTCTACATCATACCTGCATTTTAAGTGGCCCGCGCAGCTAGGCAAATTGTGGTGCAATCTGTTTCCAACCCGTTGAATACAGTTGTCCCCTCCGCGAGGCTGACCCTCAATCAAGGTATCCACAAGTGACAAGGTATTATTGTACAATGCCGTTTCTCGCTCGTCGAGCCAAATGTTGCACTACCCGTAACACCTGATGACGTCTTTGCCTCAACCGTATACACCTACTCTTAACTTAGGAAACTAAGTATGTATTGTATGTACACTTCTCACAGCCTCAAAAGCACAAATATAGTACACAACATCACCATCGAACGACCATTCTACAACAATGACGCATCGTTGTATGACATTGATGGTATCTGAGCCTCCACCACATTTTTCCATCTTTCCATACTCCGACTTTATGTAATCTGTCTCCAGCGGCATCTGGATATCCAATAAGATGTCTCTTCTCTAAGCGCTCACTCGCACGAGAACCATGCGCGCAACAGACAATACAAAACTAGAACGGAAATGTGTCGCTGCACACCCTCTATGCCCAGCTCACCTAAGATCTGCTCTCATTCACCCTTCTTGCCTCTGGCTCCCTGCTGGGAAATCCTTGTCTTCTGAGGTGTTGTCAGAATCAAATCGCACTCGCTTGTTCTCTCCACCCTGGCCACTGCTCCTATCTCCATCTCACTCCACGTCGTGCATGCCCTATCCGGTCTTCACCCTCCCGTCGGGTACACTGACGACTCCAGGAGCCGTCTCACCTCATCAACACCGCCGCCGTCACTCTTCTCGAATTCTCCGCACCATCACCCCTTTCTTTCTCCCTAATCGCTATTTATCATTTGTCAGTTTTCTCAATACTCCCCGTTCCGCAGCAGCCGATGAGTATCGTAAGCAGAGCAAGCCAGCAAGCGCTTCAGCAGACTGTACGGCCTCTGTGATACTTTCCACCCAAATCTGCCCACTGGCTGTACCATTTTGCGCATAGCGTGGGGCGTAAAAAACGTTTCCAAAATTGTCCGTGCCATGCCAAAGCCATCCTTACAACCAACACCTATAGACATGCAACTAAATTCATTGACCCTCTATGCTGCTTGATTTCACTCTACGACGGAGTTTCAAACACATCTTGCCCCTGCAGTATACATCCACAGCTAAGGTTCGAGATTTTTCTCGCGCCTAAGAAACTAGCTTTGTCCGTATCACATGATTATGTCTTACCCTCCTTTTAGACGGGGAGAAGGCGACGGGTGGCGGGTGGCGGGCTTATGTCTCTGACTGAAACACGACTAAACATTGTCAACATCATCTACGCAGTGGTTCAGAATTTCAATCTAGACTTGGGGAAAATGTCTCTCTGTGAAATATGTTGGAGACGATTTTCCCCACTCTAGACCACTAGGAAATCGGTTGGAGTGGTCGATTATATTCAATTATACAATGAAGATCCAGATCTGGCAGCCACCAACACTCACTGAAACTATCGCCTCCGCTCTTGAGTGGGATGCCTAAATAGTGCATGTCCATATACGTGTCACAGCATCAAACACGCTTTCTGTGGGTGCCTCTCCCCGCTCAAAAGAACGAAAGGATATCCTACTCTTGGCCATTCACTCCATGTATGGGTCGTGGCAATCGGACTCTTCACTTTCCCCTCGACTGAGCTCACGTAGAAGCAATATGCACTTTTTCGCATATCAGTACTCAGTGAGAGATATTAGGCTTTATAGAATCCCACGTGCATCATCGCGGCCCGCAGGTGCATTGCCTCGCCTACAACCGGGTCATGGTACAACATAAGCTAACGGTTTTGAAAAAGAAAGGACGAAGTGCCGAATGTACGATGTGGAGAATGATCATCTCTCCCGCACCCGCATCACTTCTATATAATCGCCCCGGGCGTACAAGTGTGGGTGATCGCGCGAGGGGAGGATTACAGCGCGGTAGACATACATCCATACATCCATACATACACTTCTTTCCAGACTACGATATGCTGAACATCGTGCTATACGTCTAGCTGCTGTGAACTAGTTACAAATTCGCACGTAGTTTAGGAATGAGAATCGCTCGTACATTTCAGGCGCCCTAACCAGACATGCAAGTCATTTATCATTGGCCTGAACGACTATGCATTACAATGTATGCCCAAGTAAGGATTGCGCGACTTGGGTTCTCGTACGCAATCATCGTGTTACGACTTGAACCAGGATCGGGGAATTCTTCTCTGGCATCCCACGCACTCACTTCCCGTTGTAAGTGACAATCATCGGCAGGAGCTTACTGTCTCTATAACGCGCGTCTACAATGCAATTCATCCTTCTTCCTTACCGCTTCTACTTGAGCTCGCGTCTATCAACCGTCTCAAGGGAATTCCTGTCGGTAGAAGTCAATCATAATTTCCACCTCGAACCAAAGTGGATTACCAGTGCCAACACTTTAAGATCCCAATGGCTTTGGCATGTCTCTTTGTGGCGATCCGCCTAACCTTTCAGTCCATCAGCATTCGTATATCATCTTGCTTCATCTTGATCGTCTATTCTTTTCCCTCTACATAAAACTTCCATATACCTTTCATCGTATGATTACACAATACCTCAAATAAGCAAGAAATCTCACACCAAACATTAAACCAAGTCCTTCCTGCTTCCCAAACCCCTCTCGCGAGTTCTACGCGTCTCTACAGTGACAACCATATGCATGAAACACATCCACCAACATATCTACCCTGTCCGTCGTGTCTGTATGGCCGGCCAGCTGGCTCGCCCATGCTCAGCCTCGTTTTGTGTTCCCCTATACCACTCAACTCCCTCATGCGCATGACCCTCTCAACATACCTTTCGTTATCTCGTACCCAAACGACGAGCGAACCCCAGTCTCTGTCTCTCCCCTTCGACGTGCGTACAAACCTACGTCCCACCGCAAGGCTGAGCAGGGGTGGTGTTGCCGTCTGTGTTGCGCAATCCGACAGAGGGTTCGGGATGCTCGGGATGCTAGGGACCGCGGGAAGGAGTGAGCACAAGCGTGTGTGTGTCGTTATTCTCCGGTGTTGGGAGGAGTGATGTGAGTGGGTGGGTTGCGAGGGTTGGGCTGCTATATTTGGTCGGTTGGCCTGAGGGATGGTTGCGGCGGTCGGTCGGCGTGGGTGTGTATAAAGATGGCCTTGTCGTCTTGCTAGGCTGTTGGCTGGTCTTGTGTCTTCCTTGTGGTTTTCTTCGACTTGGTCTTTCTTGGAGGGCGTGGTGCTGGTGGGTTGCTTTGGGGTGACTTGGTGTGGGATAGGGGGTTGAAGAGGTGGTGTTGCACTGAGGGGATCCAGGGGCATCGAAGGTCGGTCGGGGAAAGACAGCATCATCGCGTCAACTCGGATCAGGAGAAAGTTCGATCATGGTTACCATCATCTACGGCCAATTATACTCTAGGACACTCGTACGGCGGATGATACACGACGGTGTGGGATGGCTTTCGGGTCGAGCATTAGACTTCACGTTAACTTGGGACTGGATCGGGATGGGAGGAAACGAACATGCCATTACATGTGGCATTTCAAGATGAATGAGCGACCTCATGACTATCTAGGATTGGTGGAAAGAGCGTTTCAGTTCATTACGACAGTGTTGTCGTCGATCCGTCTTCCTCGCGACAAACGATCGGTTACCCCTTTCGCCGTTCTAGAACCACACACTTTCGAGATGAGACTTGCACTCAGCATGCCATCTGACTATGTTATGAACAGTTAAATCCCATGTTGTAAGGAATAGCACTGCCATCTCGAACGTAGTCGTCCAGTCTCAGGACTCTCGACCTTCAAGATGCACTCAACGCACTACGCCACCATCATCCAAGAACGGAAGATAAGACCTATATACTCACGTGTGGGCATCTCAGAGGCTCACTCACAAGTTAAATCTGACCATGCAGTCCTTTGGCGCAATCAATATCGCGCTTGTCAGCACGTCTCCTCGAACAGCCACGACGAACCTCTTCAATCCTCCAACAGACACCTCCGTATTGCTACCACCGCTTGGGTACGAGAGAAGTTGTACAAGAGGACATCGGAAAGAAGATCGTTCAGAAGGAAGGCATTAATAGTTGGTGATTTGATTTGGCTTGAAGAATAAAGGGTAAAGGAATATCGTCGAGCAACTGGAGAAAAAACAAAAACAAAAGATCATTTTTCTGCCATCGAGTATATGATGCGAGTAATGGCATACGGTTTATCGGAACACTACTACCGGAGGGAAAATATGAGTTATCAATACGTCGACGTTTATCGCCAGTCTTCCAAGGCCTTATGTAGGTAATGGGTGGTCATGAAGGAAGTCTCTCAAGTACGTGGCGATCCATCGAAGACTGGAGTTGACTCAACAGAAAACTATTCAAGCTACACACGTTCATTACTATTATTCTGCACACCACTAAACGTCATCCTGCAAATGCTAAACAGCAACAAATTATTCAGCCTCAAGTGTACCCTATGGAGTCTGCTCGCATACTCCATTTCCTCCACAGCACAAGTACCTCAATGAACAAACCCGAGAATAGGACAAGAAGATGGCTCACTCTTCTTAAGTGCCCTGGTCTACCATACTTCGCCGATGATGTTGTTCAGAGTCCGGCAGCTCGTGGGCCTGTCCATCACTGTCAAGTTCATTGACCACTCCTCCCTTCCATTCACTCTCTTGCGTCGCTGTGTTCTCACCACTGAGCTCACCCGGTGTGATTTGCTTGCTCATGTCGCGGAGCTTTCGTTGGCATCGATACCGCGCTAGAATGTATCCTAGAGCGAAGAAGACGCAAGAAGCTGCCACGATCCCGACACCAAACCCAATCCTAGCGTCATGTAGAAGGTCATCTGCATTGCTCTTGCCGGTAGGTAATGTCTGATTAATTTTATTCAGACTCCCCAGCTTCTGGGGAATATAAACGGCCTTGTATTCGAAACCTGCCGCGCAGCAGTCCTTCGTATCGCCACAGCACCATTTCTCAGAGGTCGCAGTATCGTCACACGGCGTGAGCTGAACTACTTGGTCGGCATTAAACTGCCACTGTTATTAGCAAGCACTTCCTACAGTGTATAGATGAAGGAACGTTGTGAACTCACCCCTGAACTGCACACGTCCAGACATCCACCTTCATCCCAATCCTGATTCGTGCAAGTGACTCGATAAAAGTGATCCCACGGAGGATATTCCTCGCCGGGTTTGCTAGAGAATCCACGGTTGCGGCAAACACCGCTCGGAAGACATTCATCTGCAGTAGGTCCAAACTTGGTATCGTTTCCTGGTGCGTTGTCCCATCCTGTTTGGCAGCATATCTTTGAAAGCGGGCTGGCTGGGTCGTTGGAACATGCTCGGGTGGCTTCGTCTTCCTTTGCTGTGCCATTAGGAAGAAAACATGTGCACGATGCGAGTCGAACAAACACAAAAAAAGAGAGGTACACGAAATTTAGTTTCGCAAGGCTGAAATTCATTATGAAATATCGGATCTTGACTTTCATTGTCTTTGTCTGCAAAATGGCATCAGGCTGAGCTTTTTAAGTTATTTCGCTGCTGTTCGCAAGGCTCGTGCAACAGTCAAAAAAGCTGCTCGACCCCAAGCCCGAAACACCAATTAGGAATACAGTTGAGGTGAACTCACAGCTCAATATCTGCAATCCTTCAGTGGGCTGAAATTCGGATAGCTAAATGGTTGAAGCTTCGCGTAAAGGCTCGTCCTTCAAGGATCGTATGCGTTGCGCGCATCTCCAACCTATTCTTAGTATATTTCATTTCCACATTCGGCCGGCGATCCCCAGAAGCCCCCACTATGTGTGGAGGTCGATCTCTGGAAGAAACGTTATATGCTTTCCTTTTCAATATTCCCCGATCTTTCCAAACATTACACACGTGAGTTTTACGAAGAGAAACTTTCTATTTCAAGAACTCAATTGCAGATCGGACTGACTATATACGGCTATGAAAGAAAAGATTGTGCACAAAATGCTAGACAGGTAGAAGGAAATATCTAGGTATCGCAGTTGTGCACATGCTGTTCAGAAGCAAGTACGAGTGCGAGATAAGGATGGATAGGAGGGACAATATTCGCATGAGTGCCTACTGTTAAGGCTTGAACATGCGATTCCCTCACTACTTTTCCCAATCTTTTAAGCAGCCGAGGACAAGATCAAGCATTGGGTGATCTGTGCCTCAAGCACGTAAATGATCCCTGAGCCGGCGCAGAGCATTCATGAAGTTCCCGTACCTCCAGCTTGTGGCAGGGAAGTTCTCGTAGCTTGTGGCAGGGAAGTTACTCGTAGCTTGTGACAGGTTTGTTTGTTTTAGCTATCAGTATGTCGAAAAGGTTTTCACCGGGTTTCATCTCGCAAGCCTTCACCTCGCAAGCCTCCATTATTTGCACCTTAAGCTCTTCTGAAGGACTATCGTCTAGTAACCGGTATATGAAAGCTAGGTTGAATATGGTGCTCTGCGAAAAATAATGCTCTATGCCCCACCACTTCTTGTAAATCTCCAGCATTTGCACCTTTACCTTTCCTGCAGCCTCTCAATTTTCTTGATTCCAGTACATCTCGAAGAGGTTTTGCAAGCTCTCTAGCGTATCTAGATCCTCGCCTTGCTGCATCTTGCGGGTCTCCATTATTTGCAGATATGAGGTTCCAAAGAAATATGAGACGTCAGAAACAGAGCTGCTAGAATATAAGATAAGGTTGTGCGTTGTTTCGATGATCAATTTTCGGATGCTTCTTATACCCACTTCTAGGATGGTCATGAAAGAAAAGATTGTTCAAAAAATGCTGAACAGGTAGAAGGAAATGTTCAGGTATCATTAGAAGTAGGTCGGCTATTGTCAGGTTGTCGGCATTGTCTCGCATTGTCTAAATAGCCCATTCTGCAACAGTGGCCTGAACTTCGAGAACAGGCTGCATTGTATAGATGGCTATGATTGGAATAGAAATTTTGATAAATGAATGTTCATGATTCGAGTTCATTAGTACGGCACCCATATTTGCTAATCTAAATATTCCAGAATAGTGCACATATGAACAGGGTGACTTGAGTTCCGTTTGTATAATGTTTCTACATAGCTGGTTCAGAAAATGGAACTGTAAATAACTCATTTGCTCACTGTAGTATCAAATGCATGCACACAGATACCTGATGAGTATATATTCTGATTCCATCAGCATGCAAGTACTTTAATCATAACTCAAAACACAGCAGAAATCACTTCAGTTCTTTCAAAACACCATCCCTCAGAGCATCTACACAATAAAATGGCCGAATACTCGCAGACTGTCGAGAAGGTCGTGGAGAAGAGCTCCAAAGAAGACCAAAAGGAGAGCACTATTGTAAACTTGTCTATCTGGTACAACAACAAGAAGTACAGCATAAACGACCGTAAAAATCCGTACAGCTCCACCTACAAGCTTGCATGTGACTGCATTAAGAAGAATACGGAAATGGCGGCTGCTCGGAGAAAAGTCGCGAGACTCCTTTCCTCTGAACTAGAAACAAGAACGGAAGCCTTAGGTAAAGCGGTATCCATGCACGCTACCTGCAAGAAGGATGCTGATAAGCTTGGCAAAGTCGCGAGCGCAGTTGACTACTCAGAGGTCGTAGATTTCTACCGTAGTCAAGGTGAATCTACTCAACAGGCGGAATCGATGGCAACTAAGTTGAAAGAGAAGGTGAACCGCGGAGTGTCACTATTAAGGGACACTCCCGCACCACAGAAACCATATCTGGATGAAGCTGTGCATCAAATACATTGTCAAAACTGCATCCGAGGTATCAAATGCCCTGAGAAGAGGAAGGTGCAGGAATAAGGTGCGAAATTTTCTCTTCGATCAAGTTGCCATTACACGCTAACAGCCCCCTTAGAAGCATCGAACGAGCTGCCCCCTTTTATGGACCTGCGGGAAAAGCTTTCCTTTATTTGCAAGGAAGTTTTGCAGGGCTCCTCAATCGGTGGGGAGATCCAGGATCAGTCTCGGGGGATTTTTCAAGGCGAACATATTTCAATTTCTTAGTTACGGGCACATCTCACTTCTTCCAGGTGGCTTCACTGGAATGTCTCTCGCTGGCCTGTTTACATGTTACTCTGCTTCCAAGCCACTTGCAGAATGGAGAAGATTAGATGGCAAATATCATTATGTGCTTTCCAACCTTCGTATATATCGGTACCCGTGCAGTTGTGAAATATGAGTGATTAGGAAGTGTGACTCGGCGTGAATCGTTTGTTTAGCCAAACTCAGTCCATGTCCTGCACAGCACGGATACATTGAAACATGACACTTCTGACTCTTGTGCAAGTTTTCGTTTTCGAAGTGATGACGATTTTCTCTTGTTATTCTGATTCGAGGTGTGGGTTACAGACGGATGTTTGGACCATTTGTGACTGTACATCCAGTGTTCCGTGCGCGACGAGTGACAGTTTTGGTACTGTGTAATTAGTGAGTCTTGCAATTAATGACTTAGCTACCATGACTGTTTGTGAGTCCTTTTGCTTGTTCTCATCTACTGATACATAGCAACACGGACATATATGGCAGATATAAACATCATTTCTCGTGGGGATTCAATGCCATTTTCTTCATCAGTACATCTTTTCCATTCTCATCATTCACCAAAGCCAGAATCGAATCTATCCAGTACATCGCCATGCAGAATCCAACCACCCAAGACGAAAATAAGACTTACAGGAGTGCTTTGACATTGTTACAAATTGAACCGAACGAGGCCAACGTCCAGACACTGAAGAACCAAAGGGCAATTAGTAACTACACAAAGACCGACTACCACCGGTGGGCGTTGCTTGTGTTGGACTGCCTTCTGTTTGATGCCCTCCGCGACGCCATAGAAATTGCGATTGAGGTTAAACCGCTTATATCGGACCAGCACGAGCTTATACGAAAGTGCATCAAGGGAAGAATAGAAGCAGTCGAAACAAAACATCAGCAGGGTCTCATTGACAACCCCATGAGCCGTCATACCCCACTCCAAGGCCTCTTCAGCAAATTCTTCGAGATTGCCGCGAATATATGCCTTCTATGGCTTGGGCTCAAGTCGGGATTTCTCACAGAGAGAGAATGGCACAACTTCACTGATCTCTGGAATCTCCGTCTCTTGGAAGCTTATCACCAGTTTTCCACCTCCGCGCTTAACGTAATCCAGACACTGACCGAGCCCCACGTTGCCGAACAAACTGTAACACAATCAAGAAACCAGACCAAGGGACTTTTATTCAGAGCTACACGGCAACTGTCCGTGACGATTCAAGTTTTTGCAGAAGCCGAGTGAACGTGACGGTCGATGCCACCACGATCTGGGCATGCTGGCCGCCACGGAAGATGATCAGGCATCATGGTCTCAATCGAGCTTTCCTTTTCCCACGGCCACAATCTCCCAGCAAGGAAGTCTTTTGAAGCCTTTGTTCTGTCCAGTTCTGTCAGGACGGAATCAGGGATCCTCCCCTCACCCCCCAATATCTTACCAGAATATCTCTTATTATACCCACTGGCACTGGTTTCATTTTATCTGATGGTGTTTGTTAGTATACCCTAATGTAGTTGTTTGGAGGTACTAATACCACCATTTCCTGTTCTAGTGTCTTTACCTTTTGCATTAGGTACCTACTACCTTTCTGGATTACGTCGCGACTCGTGAATGACAAATGATATCAACTTCTGGGGGTACATCACTGGGATCAATCTAGTCATGATACATGGATTTGAGAACTCGACCAGGGAATATGATGTTATGGGTTGTTGTGCTTGATCTGTGATGTACTACCAGTGTAATTACCGCACTCCATATACGTCAACGCTTGCATTAATGAACACCACAACTGTAGAACGGCGGCGACTACGGCCCATTATCTTGGACGGAAGTTACTTCTTAGCGTCGGACTGTAAATCAGTTCCACGAAAGTCCTAGGAGATATATTTATCAACTACTGGAACACCTTAACTGTAAGCCTAACTGGAAATTAATCACCAGCGTGGAAGAAGTACAGTTTCGTTCCATCTGAATCCATTGGCGGTTGGGATCGGTAGAGTTATGTACTCGTATACTGCACATGTACAGCGTTGGATGTTTGGATGGATAACTGGGTATCCCTCACACGTGCTATGAGATATGCGAGTACGTACTCGTAGGTTACGGTGTAGTATGGAGTATCGTCTGAAGTTTGAGTGGGTTTGAGTGTACTATTCAGTACGTAGCTAGTACCTGAACATGAAAGCTTGCTAGACGTACGTCTACTGCTAGCACAGAAGAGACAGATATTTCTAACCAGCTATACCCGAAACAAGGATTTGTATGAGCTGTAGCCACTCGCCGCACGCGTCGTCGGGCCCATTTCATCATAAATCCGTTTGGAGAAAGCGCAAGGACGGACCTGGGTGGGTGTTCTCACTGCGAGCTACGGATTGGATACATAGGACAAATGATATAGTGTATCATCACTTCACTGAGCAGCACGCTATGTGCGATATTCAAACGAACAGAGGAATTCACGCGGAGGACGGTATGTACCGATACAATAATGCCATTGGAGTGATTTGTTTTGTCGTTTTTTCTCTAATGCGTATATCTAACCGATGAGACCCATGACACCCTTTTGAAATCCAAACGAGCCCCAACTGCGCCCCAAAAAATTCATTGGAACAACAGCGAGACCACGAAGTTTCCTGGAAAGTAAAACCGATCTGTACAGTCTGTGGTTGTTCATGCCCATTCCGTAGCATCGTGTTCCAAGTCAATCTATCGCTTCGATCCCGACATGATCTGATGTGGTTGGTTGTCCTTCCATCCCGTCCAAACGCCCGCTAATCCAAAGATTGTTCGTCACCGAAGAAGATTCAAGTAAAGACCAGCACGCATTGCCTCTCTACTTCTTCTTCGGGAACTTGGGTTGCCCAATCTTGTCTGCGCTGCCTCGGAGGGTGACGTTCAGCAGCCTCTCGATCTTGCCCAGGAGCTGCTGATCAGGTGCGGCGGTACCTCGCTCTAGGTCTGCGATGACGGTGGGGGTGGTGTTGCACTTGGTGGCGAGGTCCTTCTGGGTCATGGTGGATCCCTTGTCGTTCTTGGCTTCGGATCGAGCCTTTGCGAGGGCTGCGCCGACGTCCTTGCCAACGGTCTTGGGCTTGATGATATCGTCGGATCGGTCGACCTTTGTGAGACGCTGACCTTCGCCTCCACCAGATACCTATAGCCAATCGTGTTAGCGAGATGCAAATCTTTTCCATCGCGACTTCTCTTTCGTGGCCCAAGAAAATGGGGAGTTTAGAGTAACCATGATGGAGAAAAAACTTACGGCATTGGCAGTGCTGTACTTCTTCTCGGTGGAGAGAACAGCTCCGCTCCTCTGTGCGGCGTTCAAAGCAGACTTGCCCTTGATGACAGTCTCACGGGGACCAGCAGCTCCGCCACGGGTGCGGCTGCCGATCTTGGTGACGGAATCCCAATCGTCGCTCATTTTGTCCGTAATGGAAGAGTGCCGTTGAGTATGCGGGAGAGGATATGTGCAGTGGTTGTGGGTACGGGAGGAAGAGTGTTGTGTGAGAGTTGCGGTTGTGTGGGGGGCGATGAGGGTAGTTTATGTAGGCAGCGGGACCGGATCGGAATGACGTTTGGTGCGTGTGAAGTTGCCTCTCGCGCGGTGATTGCAGTCGGTAAGACGGTAGGTAGAAGGAGTGATTGGAATGAAGAAGAGAAGAAATAGAACAAGAGAGCTTTTCAGACTTCACGACTAAAAAGCCACGGTGGTTTGTAAGGAACCAAAGGCTCCTCCTAATGAGACTGATGATGATGGGGCAATGGGCTGTGACTCTTCGTATGGTGGCAGTGACACAATGAGAGACGCCGTTCTGGCCAATCACAGGTCGGGACGCTGTTATTCTGCCAAGCCACTGACCTTCTAGAATCATCTTCATCTTCGCCTTCACCTTCACCTTCGCCTTCACTTCACGTTCACTTCATCTTCACCTAAACCTTAATTCAACACAGCTTCATTCATCACCTAGAAGATTCATATTCCCATTTCAAATTCAATTAAATTACTCGTCAGACAATGAGACTTTCAGCCCTTCCACTAGTGTTAGCCGTACACTACGAGTACGAGTAACCGCCCTTTGCTACACCCATTACTCCCAATTCAATTCGGAACTCTGCCCTTGGATGTAGTTCATCACTCATTATGACTCAATCGAATGATTTGCTTTGTATTCACCACTATCTAATGATCTAGTTAACATCAGTCCTCTCGTTGTCGATCATCCTCCGATATAGGACACTTTTGTAGTTTGTTCCGATGCGCTGTCATACCGAATAGTGATGAGTACTTCCACCATGTCATTTGAAATTCCATTAATCTGTTCATTTGCATTTATCAGCTCCTGCCTCAGGCATACGATACTGTTCTGGACGTCTTGCATACCTCTTTGCACCATGTCCCGATATATTTTCTTTCACAACACAAATCTTCATATCTGCAGGTTCTGTATGCTCATATTTGTTGTTATTGATCTGTTCTCTTTACTTGATGTGACTGGAATATATTTTTTCTCAAATCAAAATTAGAGGGAGGGAATGGTAAAATGCAGAGGAAGGGGACAGGGAAGAATGTGGGGTTACAAGCCTGGTTCATGATCCTATATGGCCTTAGTACTATCTCATAGCACACAGCAGCCCGGTGCGCTTTCGACGGCAGTATTGGAACTGTACACGACCGACGGTCGGGCACGAGTATGAAGGCATTACGGCGATCCAATTCCTATTACGAATAGTACTCACCCTTCAAGTGAGGCCTTTCATGTTAACGTACGTCCAGGCCCCCTTGTTACCATGGTAAATCCCCAAAGCGGTATTGCAGCTCGGGCGGCCTACGTGGTTTGGTCGGGCACTTTACCTATGCGCCCCGAGAGTCTGCTCCTGATGCCCTCCTGACTGCTCGTTCTTCGCTGTCAGAGAAGCAGACGCGACTTGCGCATTTTCACTCGCAAATCAGGATATGGCAAACTATGCAGGCAGTACCACGCTTCATCATGGCCAAAAGCGATAGCCATTCCCTTCCACTGCTGGAAGGGAGAAGATCTGGTTGTACAATCAACTGGCCGCGAGATGGATAGAATTGTAGCTTCAACCAACCAACCATGAAGGGCCTCTTACCCTGACCACTTCCGCTTCAGGCTTCGACATTCCAAGGAACACCTTTGCGCCGAGGTAGTCTTGGGAAATCCGAGGGGAGGTTTGGAGAATGTGTTGAAGTTTCGTGGAGGAAGAAAGCCAAGTTCTGCCCAGTGGGTAAAGTTGTCCTTGTTCATATCTTCGTCCACAGAAACACTGGCCTGTAGAACTTTTCAAAAATCGTTCCTTGGTACATCCAAGACGGGAGACGAGAGCTGGATGGGATCTGAAATAGAAAGACGTAGGACCAGACCACGGAGACATGGAGACGATGAGACGGCCGCCAGGCGCAAGCATCCGCTTCCAGAGCAGTAGAGCCTGTCGTCGCTGTCCAGGGGTGAGGTGTTGAAGACGTGAGCCGTCAGGATGATTCTGCAGCTCCTGCTCAGGCCGGGCAGGTTATCATATGTGACGCTGCCCGTATACTGGACCTGTCCCTTCCAAGATCGAGACGCTCTCGCCACCCTGGGGGTTGACGAGCCCAACAGTCGAAATTGACGGTTGTCCTACTCTGAGATGGTCGGAAGTGGGCTGGACTGTTGACTCCTTTCACTGGATGCGTCCCTGGTTTGCTTGCCCGGCCATCAACTCTCCATCGAAGTCGGTCGTGCGCTATCATCTTTGCTAGTCAAAGCTATCGTTGGTCGCCGTGGTTCAGTTCATGCTATCAACCACACTCTACGCGGCAGACGGATGCGGCCTTCTTCCTGCCAGCTGCGGCTGCTGTTATCGTTTCCTACCACTCTACCGCCATCGTCTGATCTGACCGCCGTTCGCGATGGCTACCGACAAGCACAAGGTTTCGGACTCAACCCGCCGGGAGTCCCCTTAGGAAAGTAGGTTTAATGTCGAACTTGCCTAAGGCTTCTAGGTAACCTAAACCATTTTCAAGAGTCTGGGAAACACTGGTACGCGCAATTGTATATGCGCTGCCTCCCCACCACTCTTCGTTCGGAAGGGTCGCTGAGGAAGAGCGGGCATAAGCCTTTGACCTTCTCCAAGGCGGGTTCTGTCTTATGCGTGGCGATGAAAGCAAGCCGAGCTCCAGATACGGCAAGAAAGTTTGTAAAAATCGCCATCAGGTCGTCCGGTAACAATTCCACACAGTCTCTCGGTGGAATGCATGGCCGTCTCTGTCAGCTGCTGCTGCGTCCGCCGTAACTTCCTCAGTCAGTCAGTTGCCGTCCCACGCGAGTTTGTTGGCGCTCGCATACGCAGTCAAAATGTGTAGCTACTGCACTTGGTGACAATGATAGTAGAACAAGTTCTGTCGCTCGCGGCAAAATGCCTTGTAGTCCTCATCAGGGGTTCTCTAGTCAGTTCAGTCAGTTGCTCGGGGCAGATCCGTTTCATGGTGCATCCCAGCCAATGTCCAGAGCAGGAGTCGGTACGGCCCGAGATGGGGTAAATGCCAGTGGCACGCCGCTCCTCAGCCCTAAGGCTTCCGTCGAGCCATGTTCGCGTCCAGAGTTGCGCTACGTAGGCCGGCCACGGTCCTAGTTTGCCGGAACGTTTCCAACGTCGTCCATTACTGCACCAACAGCCTGTCGCTACCGGGCACGCCGCCGTGGAAGACGTTCCCAATCGCTCCGGCGCCTCTGGATCAAACCATCGAAGGCACACGTGTAGGCCGCCTGATACGTGTGAAGGCTCCGTCACGTTACTACAGATACTCAGCCCGAGGTGGAGTTGGCATGTCCATCGACGGCCCTACTGAACCAACCACCAACCCGGCAACGGAACCGCTCCATGATAACCACACGAACCCGACCGGCACCTATAATCCTCCCGGTCGATCCTCAGGAATTCGGTGATGGGCAAGGTGCATGCCGCTCAGACGAGACACAACTAGAAAGTTCAGGCCATGTTCACAACCCTGAATGGTGGTAGATCGAAATAACGCGTGAAGAGTAGTCAGTGGGCTCCGTCCTGTCGTTGCTGCTGTTCCACCAAACTCTCAGAGTGACCGTGATCCCGACTACGCCTCTTCCCACTCTCCAAGCGATCCTGGTCATGACAGCGCTCTGGGTGTTTGGAGGAGCCTAGTAGCGGCGCACTTTCCTATGGTTCAATTTGACGACCTTCTCTTGGGGGACATCATCCCAGGCGAAATCGTACGTTCCATTATCGTGTTCCACTACAAGTAGATGACATCGTACATACCTACCAGCCCTTCTTTGTTGCTCGGTCTGTAGGTCTACTGTCATGTGTAGTCGTTCCTCACGTCTACTAGAATGGGCGAGGCTCTGGATCCAAAAGTAGTCGTATCTTCGGAACATTAACAGTTCTGCTTGAGCCGTGCAAAAATTTAAAGTATGTTGTATTTTGAATCTAGTCTCGGCTGTAGGATTATCGGGCGTCGCAGTGTCTGTAAAGCCTACCCTTGGGGGGTAGAAAGGGAAGCCATCGTGGCGATGGTGGTCGAGGATGCAAAGTTGATTGCAAGAGTGGGTGATTTTTGAAGGTCAAGGGGAGTGGTTGCGTTAGAATGAAGGGTTGCTTTTGGTCTTCATATAGTTTACAGTGAAAGGAGACCAGTCGCTAAATGGTTATTTGCCTTGCACAGCAAACCCACCCCAGTGAAAGGAGTCCAAGCGTCACGTGCTCATCTGCCTTGCACAGCAAACCCACCCCAGTGAAAGGAGTTCAATCGCCAAATGGTTATTTGCCTTGCACAACACATCAACCCCAGTGAAAGGAATTCAGTCGCCAAGTGCTCATTGCCCAAGTCTACAACAAAGTTCAGTGAAGAGTCAATTTGGGCTGTACAAAACAGCTTGCCTCGTCTCTTGTTCCTTCCTATCATAAATTTCACCTTAAAGAGTTCGCCTCGTAATCGTCCAAGCGCATGTCCTGAACGAATGCTTCCGTAAGAAGTTCTTCCGCTGTCGGACGTTGATCAGGATCAACTACTAGCATCCGCCTCAGGTATCTCGCAAGCATTACTATGTACCTTTCTACCTCAGGCCTCCCTTCCAGAGGTTTGTATCGAGATGCCGCGTTCTTCCTTTTCTCATCATGCTTACAGACTTCACCGCGTACGTATTCCTCCAAGGTTATCATTCCAATATCAAAGCCTACAATTAGTTAGAAATGATTTTGACTTAGAATTGAATAGAAGGAAGACTGAATAACTTACTAATACCGGTCGGGACAGTTTTCCAGAGGTTGTTCTTTGTACCTTCTATTATGGCATTCAAGAGCCAATCAACCGAAGACTCCCCTATAGATCTGTAGATCTGGGGTATCAAAGTGCGCGTATCATCTCTATTGCCGATTTGAAACAATTCCTGGCGAGAAGCAACCCAGTACGTCTAACACAAGTTAGATTTTGTACGGGTTCAAAGTAATACTTGCTTACAATACAGGCAAGCTGCCATATATCCATTGCTTTGGATAGAGGCTTCTTGAAAACCATTTCAGGCGGTTGTAGGAAAGCGCTCGTATCAGCAGAGGTAGGAAACTCGTCGGCAAAGAACGCTGCATGACAGGCATTGTAAGTTGCGATACTTTATTCAGGATCGTTTATAGTCAGGACCGTTGATAGGACTTACAAGAGGAGAAGTCTACAATCTTAACAGATACTCTGAAAGCTGTGTTTTTCATCTTGTCTTCATCAATGGAGGTCGTGGCCTTTCCGACCAAATGAGTTGGGATGTGACGGCTACTATCACCACCATCGCGAGGGACCTCCTCAATTTCTGGTTCATCATAGTAACAGTAGTCGGGCAGAGGTAACATAATGTTGTTGCTGTGTAATTCTAGAAACCTGTTAGCTTTGCCAAATATCAGGATTACTATACAGACCGCCGTGCACAACACCGCACTTTTGCATGAAATCCACTGCAAGGAGGAGTTGCCGACTAAAAAGGCGACATTCAAATCCATCCAAGCGACCAAGCCTTTTAGCATCGGTATACTCAGACAATGTTTCTCCCAGTGACTCTGTAACAATGAACAGATGGCGTCCGTTTATACCATCGTGATAGAAATGGTCAAGAAGCTGAAGGACATGTTCGCGTCCTGGGTGATCTAGATCGTTGTTGCGAAGGCGTTGCAAGATTTGGTGTTCCTTGGTGTTACTACTTTCTTGTGCTGACAAGACCTTGATAGCAACGAAGTTGTCGTTACTGCTAAACGTTAGTAATTTGAACTGTTGCAAGGTGGTACGTAAACGTATCATACTGGAGATCTCTTGCTCCCCACACAGTAGACAAAGCTCCCCATCCGAGCTTCTGCTCTATCTTATATCGCCCTTCTTTGTACATTTCGCCGATGTAGACAGGGTGGAATTTTCCAGGGCCATATTTCGTTGTGGTCTCGGAGAATATAGAGCCTATACCAGGCCTCCAAACTCCGTCATCATCGATAATGCCATTATCGCCGTACATGCTATCATCGTCGAGCATGCTATCATCGTCGAGCATGCTATCGTCGCTAGAAGTCTCGTTGACGTCTTGGGTATCCATGATGGCTATGAAGACAAGATCGTGTATCCTAGGCTATAGTTTAAGAAAAGTGTAGCCAACTTCCGAGGTTTAGATTCTGCCCTGATCTTTCATACAATTTATACCCCTACCATAGAGCGGACTTACACGCCATCAACTGTGCGCCATAAAAGCACAGATCACATTTGTGCAAACAATTATGAGCATGTGCGGCATGACAGATTTGCGGCGCCGCGGTAGTTGTTCGAATTGACGCCAGACACGATACCCCTCTTGTATGGCGTTTCTTGTCTGCCTTTGTGTCTTCAGACCACTAGCCAGACTAGACCTCCCTAGAACCGAGAAATTCCAACAATTCGGTATCATCTGCATGTAGCCACCCTGATTCTTCCGTGATGTCTTTCTTTGATGATAATTCGAGGGTGCCTCTACTTTGACAAGATGAACAAAGTAACGCGCTTTGCGAAGGTGCAATTCGAAGGTACCGAAAAGCCTCCCGCATATGTCGTTCAAGGTTTCTTTGAGCAATCGCCAAGTGCGTCTCCAAGAGCTTCACTAGTCGAAATTGGCAAGTCTTTCACATAGGCGACAGCAATAGGAAATTAGCAACAATTCACTGATGATGGGTCTCTGGAAGAAATTAACTTACGCCCGAGGGTTTCTAGAGTAGGATTCAACCAGTTCAGTGTCAGTGATAAGAAAGGACTATGGCAAAATGGGACGGTCACAGTGGGGTAATACAAAAGTCACACTTGTGCCGTGAACTCTATACATTTGAGGATCATTCTCCCAGATAATAGTATCCACCCGAACGAAGAGTCGAATGGGACTTGGTGCTGGGAAGGCTTGGCAATAATTTGAAAGAATTGAGTTCAAGCTATCGGGAACCAATTACTTCACGAATTTGTACAATACAAAAGAATGCAGATTTCTAGGAAGCGCACACTTCACAAATTTGTATAATGAAAAAGAATGCAGATTTATCCCCAGCACGGCTCTCTTGTGCAGAATGCCTCAAAAGAGTGTCAATGTGAATCTAGAGGTTGGGTACCAATTTTTCATATAAAGTCAGCTTCAATGAGAAACACCAGGCTCCTCTCTTCATCTCTGTCATAGTTACATTCAACCTTGCTGGAGCATTCCTTGTATATCTGGTCAGCTCCTGAAATAAATTCTTCTAAACTCTTTTCCTGACACAACCCTGTGCTATAGACTGACATGGCTACCTGGGATGACGTGGATCAGGCGCTGAACTCCATGAAAATCGTGTCTCTCATCAGATTCCGTGGAGGTACAGCACAGGATCGGTCGGGCGAGATGAAGAAACTGCATCGCAACGGAGAATTTCACCCTTTCTATACCAAAATAGAGGGCATTGAGTCAGCCGTATGGCTCTACAAAGGGCTTTGTAAAGACCCTAACGCCGTGGAGGATATCGACTGGAACAGGATTTGCGAACTTACCAAGCTTGGCAATGACTTGGGATATCGCTCTGTTGGAATCATCACTCTCCCCGACCCATTCGACGCAACTTACACAACCTACGAAGTCAGCAAGGATCAGCTTGTCATCAACTTGCTTCCCGCCTTCTTCAAAGAACGTTTTGAGTTCCCTGTCCATTTGAAAGGTGAAAAGTCACTTCAGTGGATTGTAGAGGCTCATGCGCGGCATGCGTGCGTCATAAACTGGCCTGAGGGTGCAGAAAATGAAGGCCCAACCTGTCTTCCACACCTGCCCAATACTGTCAATGAACTCGAGCTGTGTGGCATGCCAAAGATCTTCCGCACCAACGTGCCCTGGAGAGATGGGAGAGATGGGCGCGACACTCGCGGTCACTGGGTACACGAATTTGTACAAAATCTGCGCGAGGTAAAGATACTGACCTTTTCCGGGTCTGACCAGGACCCTGAGTGTCTGTTGCGTCTCAAAGGCTGGACGGGTCAATTGTGTATCAAGGATGGATCGGGGAGAGAGATTATAGGTCAATTGTGTAACAAGGATGAATCGGGGAAAGAGAGTATTGAAATAGACAAGAGGGATGATGGTAAGAAATGGCGCCGAATTAATGCTTTTCGCAAAGCATTCCGTCGTTAAGTACTATCGTAGATAGCAAGGACGTTTCAAATTTGCGCTGCTTAGTTTTTACTCCTTAAATCAACATTCTTTTCCTAACCAGAAAGTATTCTAAAGGTGATTGCCTATAATAACTATCCTTTTCCTGTTGCTGTGACCTTACTCCTCCTCCCTTTAATTCTCCTTGAATACTCTCTTCCTCTAGCCCTGCGTCTAGTTAACAAATGGGAATTGATATTTAGCAAATCTTCTAAGTTAGCTAAAAAGGATAGTTCAGTTGATCACCGGACGTTTAAATTGTAAATACTAACTCATCTCTTACTGTGCAGTTGGACAGCATCATTCGTGACTATCATTCAGTAGCTTTCAGTCAAATACTCATTGAATTCAACGCTATCTAACGTTGCTCTCTTGAAACATTCGCAATATTTGGACTCTCTCTAGCTCTCTACTATGTTTTTCCTGAAGCTCCGCTTTCCCCACCTACTTCCTCGTTTTCGCCTTTGGCTCTGTAGGTCCTGTCTCGAGCGAATCTGCCTCTGTTGCAGGCTTCCGTTTCCGCCACGTTGCCCTTATTGACGAACCTTTCATTCGTCATTATTGGATATCCATGTTTTCTAACGACGCAAGAACTTCTGCTGAAACGGGTGTTTTAGGAGACTGTTGTTCTGCGTCTTGCACTTGACCCGTCTCTATTGATTGACAAGGGCCTACTATCTCCATCTTGGAAATTCAGATAAAAATGACTAAATTGGGAGCTTTGTCATAGTTCAGAGTACTATTGCAGTGGTTCCCTCCATCCTCAAATCAAAAACAAGGCCTCAATGCCATTGTTGAAGGCTAACGCCTATCCCTTTGCCACGCAAGTGCATCAGTGCCACAAGTTCCGAGAGCTACTTCTACCCCTCTTCACGCTCTCTTCGGATTGCATCGAAATCGTCCTGTTTCATGGCCCGTCTTCACCATTCTTTCCCAGCCTTTTTCAGAGGTCCAGAGTTCTTCGTCAGGCGACGCTCAGCTTCGCTGTTTTAATCCCTCAGAAGACTAATGTAATTCTGATCAAGGGTATGTCGTCACTATGGCAATTCTCCTGCATAAGTCTGAACAGATTCATGACATCTTCCGATGGCACTGGTGTTACCGGAGCCACAGGTGTTACTGGTGTCTGGATTGCTCCATGTTGCGTTCCAGCTTCGAAGGGTGTACTAGTAGCTTGTGAGGCGTCTGGCTTTCCGATGCCACGAGTAACTCGTGAAGGATTGAATAGAAATAGGCTGGTCTTACCCTAGCTAGCATGTACGTTTTCTTTGTTAATCACACTTTCCTTGCCGCACTATATCTCTGTGAAGTGCTCTTTGTTGGCATTCGTAGGGCCCCTACGATAATGGCGCTCAACCTCGGTTCGATATGCGGTTTTCAACGACCCGAAAACTGATACGTCACAGGGCTGTATCTTGCAGCTTACATTTGATAATATTGTTCTCAAAGCAGAACTCTAATATCTCAATAGTTTCATGGCTTCCAAAGTCATCACAGATTAGTATCCGCTCTTTTGCGTTAGCGCAAGCTTTTGTCTAAGGGTTAAAACTTTGCTTGATCTGCTGTAAAATGATAAAAAAATGGTGTACCTTGGTTTAGACAAGGCATAGATCCATCCGGGGGCCGGCTACAATGCCCAGTTACTCTTGTGGGTACACGCGGGTCAGATGATCATGGGATTTAGACACTCACCGCTTGCACAGACGCATTTGATAGCAGTTACCATCGTCCGCCTTGTGCCAGTTCGTCTATAGTCCCGTCGATTGTCTGCACCTACTAGAACTTCGACAGAGCCAGCATAGAAAGCCTCCATGTTATAGAAATTATCCTGGCTAACGTCTAGTGTTGTTGTCATGGCAGTCCTAGGCCATGGGCCTATTATGCTTTGACTCGATCTGCGGATGACACTTACGGAAGGCCTGAGGCCAGTTCTCCGTAGATAGTTTGGACGGTTAGTTCGCAGTACGTTGGCGGGTGAAGTAGAAGGCAAGTCCAGATATATACCTGACACGTATGGGTGTTCCCACAGCACCTATTCGTAATATGAAATCAACAAGAGCCTTTTATTCTCTCTTCAGGTGGGGTAAGGCACTGCTGGCTTTGTGCCTTCTCCTTCATCGAAGGCCTTTTGCGACGCTCCCGGTAGTATCGAGTATGTTAAGGAATTTCCTTATGTTTCGCAGGACGTTCATGCTAAGGCGCATCAGTATAGCACGTTTCAGTCAATGCTAAATTGATGCTGGAGCAAGGGTGTAAACACACTACAGCTCCCTGTAGACGAGAAAGCACGAGCGATAGAATGGCGCACCGCTATGTGATACTCCGCGCAAGCGTCTGTTGTATAGAGGAAAGTTATTAGAATAACTAGGTAGTACAGAGAAGCTATAGAAGTCATTTGGGAATGCTCTTGATGTTTCATCTAGAAATCGTTGCGGCACGGCAAGACTTCGTGACAAAGGGATAGACAGTTAGTCGGTTGTATCTTCCCTTAGCAAGGGGGACTCTGAGGTTTGACAAAAACAGATTACAGGAAGAGGGTGTTTTAGGAAAAAACATTATATCGTTCGCTCTTGCATTATGCCATACATCCCTCATCAACGACGTTTTCACTCTTAAGGCATGCCCGCATTATTCTCGCCGACTACTACATGATGATACCTAGCACCTTGGCCCTTTGCAAAATCAATGAAACGTTACCATGCTTAAAAAATCAACTTCTTAATAATTGTATATAAATGTTCTTAGTCTTAGTCAAGACGGCTGCTCAAGCAATTTATTCGCTTGCCAATGCACCGGGCTTCGTAGAAGAACGCGTCACCTTGCAAGTAGTGAAAGCGACACTTGATACCATTTTTTTCACATAGGCTTGTGAACTCAAGAATCTGGCCAGCTCGCACAATACTATCAGTCCGACGAAATTTGATGTCAAGCTGCCGAAGCTTTGGTACAAAATACCTCCACTCTGGCTCCGCAAACATGCTTTCGAAGAACATGATCCATTGTCCAGGGTGCAACCAAAGTGCATTCGGCTGGCCATCGACGCAGTCTTTCCTCAGTGTTAGTGTCTCCAGTTGCGGCGGTAAACGGCGCCAGAAATCCAACATCTCGCGTTCTTCTCCTCGTGCTTTATTACAAGAGACATGACTGAAAAGAAATGGTGGGGGAATGGTCAGATGTCTAAGGGCTTTGAAAGCCCGCAACGAACAGTGTTCTTGGAGAGGTTTCTGGCAATACTCAATTCTATTGCGACCCTTGCAGGTGAGCTTCAAGGTAACAAGAGTGTCCTTAACCCTGCACAGTGCCGATTCAAAATCGACTTCTTTAATATTATCGAAACCGGTATATTCGAGTTCCTCCACCGACTTTAATCGGTAAACAGCACATTTAGTCTCCCAGTATCAATAGTATTGCAGCAAAGACGAAGAGTCTTGAGCTTTGCATCCTGAGGAACAATATGGTACCAGATCTCGGGATGCCTAGACCAAACAGCTTCCGGGTTGATGGCAAACTCCTCGAGCGTGGGACACCTAAGAAGATGAAGGTACGGCTTGAGTATAGGATCCTTTGCCCATCCTTTATCCTCCAGCTTGACGGCTCGTAATTTCTGGAACCCCGAGTATGATCGATCATCGTTATTGGTGTAATCAAGTTTAGCAACCATGTTTTCGAAGTACTCGTTGTCCTGCAAAAATGCCGAATCGACCCGAAACAAAGACAGATTTGGACATGACCATGAGAGGAGAACGATTGGCAGACCTGGATGATGCGCAACATCACGCTTCCAATATTTGTGCGAGAGTATGTCTGGAAATTGCGTCTTGGGGACAGCCATTCCTCTCCCCGATTCCAGCGCTCCACCATTGATTCCCATTCGACTCGGATGATCCGATTGGTAAACCCGGATTTCCCCCTGTATTAGTTGTCTAGTTCCATAGGGGTTTTTCCCGACCGTAAATTCGAGTCCAGTCACTAGATCAGCGAGTGTGGGATTTTCCATAAAGGTTCGCAGGAGTAAGTTGATTCGTGGCTCACAGAGCCTATAGCAATCAAGTTTGGCATTAACTATGCTGCAAGGAGAATGCTTACATTGCTTGTCCGCATGCCATTTGAATCTAATGATTTTCATTAAACTTCCAAGTGTCCTGAATCGTAGCGTTTTGCTGGTTCTCGAAAGGCATGAGAGGTCATGGCGTTCAAGATCGTTGACTATTTCGTAAATAAGCTCCTGTGGGAGTGTTTCGAAAAGTGATAGTTTGTTTGACATGTTTTCGGACATTGCAGGTGAGTTGAAGAACGTCGAGTTTCACTTGTTGTCGAGAAGCTGATCTTATATACGAGGATTGTGCAAGCCATAGATCTCAACCTTGGCTAGGTAGGAACTCATTGGGAGCGAAAACTTGAAAGAGACAATGAAACCTAATCGTTTCCCCTCCTTTGATCAACGTGCACTATTTGATCTGAGGCCAGTTCACAGCCCACTTTAGTCGTCTATTTTCACAATGGCGTTGTGCAACCGCAGGGTACGAAAATAGATGTTGGTACCATTGCATTGTGAATGCTTTCACACGAGAAAGGAACATACTTCTATTATACGAAGAAAGAATGGGCCCAAGTCCATGGAGGCTTCCTTGTCTGTGAATGGTAATCACGGAGTTTTGTAATTAATAGTTGCAACAGCGCACTCTCGTGATTATGGCTTCGCGCACGAACTTGACATTGAATTTACTTGCGCACCGTTCTTGGAAATAAAACAGAAGGATTTCGAAATCGAAGAGCCATTGTGTGCTGTGATAGAGACCTAATGTCATATTTTCGAACATCGTGCCATGAACTCTAGACTTGTGATCTCCAGCTGGCGACCTAACTCCGAGTTGCCTCCGAGAGAGACATTGTCAACCAACAGCAACACTACACCCAGCATCTCGAATTGAGATCGTGTATTTCACAGACATCAAACATGAATTCCCCAGAATAATTTCGCCAAGATTGCACATATGCATTAATGCGAATTCTATTCGGATCGCCCTAGCGTCTCACACGCAACGATCAGTCGACGAACCACCAGCGCGCATTCCGACTCCTCCCGTGATCGCACCACCGTCATAGACACCTTTTCACAAACCTTCCTCATGCGGCTCATTCACGACAACCGCATTGAGTAACTTCAACGACCGCCCTAGGAACCGACAGGAGGCTCCGTACACTTCGGTGGCCCCTCGCTGGGCTCCTTCGGCGGTTCCTCCCTCTCGCCATCAACCTTTTCCGCCCTCAAAAGCACCGGAATCACGCCACCCGTCTCGAGCGCGAACTTCCTGTGTCCGACGGCCTCGAGGATGCTCCCGATGGCGCCAGAGTGGCTGGTGAACGACAGCACCACGCCTTCGTCGTGCGTAAAGATGTCGTCGAGCAGCTGGCTGAGTCGGAAGCGGCGCGCGCCGTTGGGCTCGCGCAACTCAGCGCTCCAGAGGGGGTCGTCCTCTGCGAACCCCGGCTCAAAGGCCAGGTGCGGGAAAATCGTTTTCAGGTGCGTTGCGGGGCTGCGGCGGTCGCAGGTGTGGATACCGAGAGTCTCGCGGAGGAGCTGGTCGTTGGTGTCAGTTCTACACTCGTCTCCCTTTTCTTTCAGCGATGGGGTAGCCGGGGAAACTGTACCTCTTTGATGATGGGCTTGTACTCGTTGCCGGGGCCCAGTTCCAGGCCTTTGAAGCTCAAATCCGCAGTCTCGATCGCCCTCGTCAGGGGACTCACGTAGAACGTCTCTGGAGATGGGATCCCGTCTGGTAGCAATAGACTCCAGAGCTCGTGCACATCTCGCGCTTGACCCTCGCCCACGCCCGTCAGGTTGGCATCGGCCCACGTGATGCCATCTGCGCCGTCCAACATCGACCAGTAGCACTGTGGTATTGTATTAACGCCATGTCTTGTCTTGATAGATAATTGATGAGCAGGAGATGGAAAGAAAACTTACGTCCCAAGCAGCAGTGCCGTACTTCGTCTCAGCGACGTTGTGCCATCCCTGGCCGTGTCTGCCCAGGAACAGCACTTTGATATATTCGTTCTCCGCGCTCTCGTCGTTCAGCTTGCGGACGTACTTTTCGAAACGGCGCCATTGCTGTTTTGCGCTCGATTCTTCCGTGTCGCCGGATTCATCGGATGGGTAGGACCGGTTGATGAGTCCGAAGTTGGATTTTCTCTACAGCATTCGTTCATCAAGTCAGCACTGAGATCGAAGGGATGGAATTTGAAAGGTAAAGGAGTTCGTACGAAATCAAATTCCTTGTCGTTGGTCTCGTCCTCGGATTGCTGGAAATAGCCCTTCAAGACCGTAAACTTGAAATGATGGCTTTTCGGCACCCCGTGGCCGACTGGCGCAGAAGTAGAAGCAGAAGCACTTTGCATGACGAAAAAGAGCGCTAGAAGAGTTGCGATGAAAAGGACAGGACTGTTACTGCGAGTCAATTAGAGTCACGGGCGACGAGATGTGGATTGTTTCGCGTACATGAATCTATTCGTGCTGAAGATGCGGTTGTAAGATGAGAGCATTGTTGATATTCGGGATGGTTCAACTCATGTGTATGAAGTCATTGTTAAAAATGCATTTTCCCCATGGTTCACTCGGAATCTGATATGCGATATTTGGCAATGATGGAAGATTGTACTCGTAGTCTACGTCGGGGATGAGGTCCCTCAGGTCGACCCCACTAAAAGGCCCGTCCGGCCAGTCAGATTGCGACAAGCGCCGAAAAATATATGACCTGCCAAGAGCGGTGGTATTAATTGCAGGCAAGATGCAATTGTAGGTCTTTTCAAGCTACAGCCTCGTCTATTGCTTGCGGCTACATGCTCCCGCCCGTTCGAGACTTTTTGTTTCCTTCGATTCCTCCCAAAAAGAGATCCAGTCCTTTTCTATTGGGACTGCCGGACCCGCCACCTGAACGCCATTGCATGCATCATAGGACAACTGAACAGATTTACAAGTTCGCTTGTTCTTGCTGCTCCCGCTCCCGCTCGACCTCGTACTTGAAGTCGAAGTAAGGCTTGTCGAAATGATGCACTCGCACGTATCCGTCCTCTCCTCCGCTGCAGTAGCCGGTACCCTGGGGGTGAACTGCGACGTAGTTCAGGGGACCGAAATGGCCTCTCACACGGCCAATCTCCTCCGCGAAAATCTTGTGCCAGAAACGGGCTTCGAACTTTCCTTGACGTGCCGAGGTCGTGGTGACGTCCATGGCGGCCTGTCCTCCTCCGAGGATAACGTAGTCCTTGACGGGTGTGATCGCGGCCGAGTTGAGGGGTGTATCGGTGGTGTAGGTCTTGAGAACCTCGAGGCTGTCTGCGGCAAGGATCTATTGTGATTATCAGTAGACGGCTCATCTCAAATGTGCGATTCCAAGTGCTCGCCCACCTTTGCGCTCTTGTCCTTCGAGGCAGTGATGAAGTATGTCCTGTCCTGGCTCCATTGGAGATCGGTGACTGTACGCTCGTCAGTCTTGCATCATGTTTTGACCTGAAGATTGTTCTTACTGAGCATGTCCGTCTCGTGTGCCTGTGTGTTGAAAAGGAGCTCGCCGGTCTTGGCATCGAATTGAGAGACGCTTCCATCCTCGTGGCAAGCAATGATGTAGAACGCCAAGTAAGAGAATCCGGCCACGGTAGCCTTGCTGTCCTCGCAGACTATTCTCAGAGACTGCTCGTTTGTCTGCTCGGCAGCAGGATCGGGGTTGATCTCGTAAACAACGATCGTAGAAAGATGTCCGGAACGCTTCTCAGTGACACCGAGGAGCTGGCGACCATCGGGGCTGAATTCGACGCGCTTGATCGCAGTGGGGAAGTCCCAGGTCTTCAAAAGTTTGCCGGTCTGCACCTCCCACAATCGCAAAGTGTTGTCCGCACCACCAGAGGCCAGGAGAACGGAATCCGGGCTAACATCAACCGTCCAAAGTGCTCCCTGATGACCATGATACGTTCCTAACCGCTCACCGTTGTGAGAAAACCAAGCTGTGCCAGTATTAGATCCCATTTCCTCTAAGAATCGATTTCCTAGTACGAACCGCAAATAACATGATCCTTCGAAACCGAGAACTGCGAACGTTAGCCGGGCCTACGAGATAGGTTTTGCGCGGGGAAAATTCGTACGATAATGTCGCCATCGGGATTATACTTGACTGCGCGCTGATCAGCATTTTTGCAAGAGTTGTCGAAAATAGCAGCTGTTGTGCATTTCGACTTCGATAGCCGAACAACAGCCACCTAGACTCGCAGAGAGAAGGGAAGCGACTTACCCTGAGTGAGCGCACGCTCGTGGCCGGACAAGAGGATGGGACGCATGTTGGCGGTATGTGTATGTGGAGGAGTGGTGGTGGGGTGGCGTCTGTTAAATTCGCATCTGGCTGTGATGACTGTGGTATCAAATCCATGGTGGGAATCATCCGAATCGGGGATAGCGCGAACTACGTCCCGCCAGCGTTCACATACAGATCATCAGAGGATCACGAGAATATCTCAACGTACGAGAGAAGATGCGCAATCCAGCCATTTTTTTCAGTGTATCATTAGTTCAATCTAATAGGAAGAGTATTTTGCTTCGAACATATGTTTCTGTTCCGAGAGGTTGCCGTCTCGACCAAAATAGTGGTCATCTCTCACTTGAATGTCGCACAAATGTTAAATTATCACATCTGCATTTTCCATTTGCCAGCAATTCATAACAAAGGTGTAGGAATTGAACTGAGGACGAGGAAGAGCTATGAAAGATAACGCAATCTTCACATTTGCTATCCCACAAGTCGAGATTCGATTAGGGATGATGAGTAGGCAACATGATGAGCTCTTGGATCAGCGTGCCTTCACTTGATCAATCCCCTCTCACACAGCTGTCAACTTCACCTTCACCTTCACCGCGAGCTGGCCACCGTGACGCCCCACCGAATAGCCACAAAATTTTAGCGAGAAAGACTTTATCAGCAACACTGCAAGATCCAAAAACATCACCATCAACCCCACCTCAACCCACCACCCTTCAAGATACGATGCAGGAGATTGTCGCTCAGCTGCTTGCAACTCTCGAGCCACTTGGCCGGGATGAGTATTTCACGGCATTTGGCCCTGGAGGGCGGTTCCTGTTTGGCACGCCAAATGGTTACGCAGCAAAGCATCTTCCTGATGAAGTCATGAAGCGCCTCAGCAGCAAGACTGTTCGCAAGATTCGATTTGCATCTTTCGGAAGCCATGAGCATGTCTGGTTTGTAGCCTATGATACATATCCTTTCGGCACATACTACGGTAAGTTGAGTTTGACTTGCAACCAAACCTATATTTTAATGCTCTGGAAGACGTGGGCCCATCCACTGCGCCAGCACTCTGCAGATTCCTGAATTTTGTCCAACGAGCGGACAAGAAGTCTACTTCGAAATTTCTTCGCGTACAGTTTGGAGACGGAAACTCCTACCTCGCCTGGAGCTCCACTTCCTGGATCAGCTATGGGATTGACAGAGGCCTTAAAGATTTCCTCAATGATATGAGCAAAGTCGACCCGCTCAATACCTTTCGAAGAATTTTCACCTCCAATGCTCCATCGAACATTGCCTTTCACTCTGATGGATCCTTCATTCTCGCTCGCAAGGAGAATAGACTTACCCCACAGCATGGTCTCTTTCAGAATTGTGCCTACAAGATCAAGTCGGGTGCTATTCTGGAAGGATGGATCCAGTTGCTTGGAACCAATGCCTATGATCCTGACCGTTTCCAAGATCTTGCTGTTAGTATCACTATAAAAAATTGATATCTCGAGGTTATCAAAACGGCTCTAACCATACAGTACTTCGCGATTGACGCACACTGCAAAACGGCTGAGAGCTACGTCTTCATTAAGGCACGAAAGCGCCAGGCCGAAGCCGACTTCGTCTTGCGCATTGGCGCTTCGGAGTCTACGAATCGTCTTTCGCCGCCCGACGCCTCGGTTCAGCTCAGTCAACAGCCACGGGGATCCCAGTGGGCTAAGATGCTTCGCAGTGGCCGCCCGCACACGTCAGATACCTGGGAATTGATGCTCAACAAAGGCCAAAGGATCAAGATCCTTGAGGAGAAAGGAAATGGCTGGTTCGTTGCCCAGACTCTGGCCAACAATATTGGTTATGTACACAAGACTTGGTTTGCCTATGATCCTCCCCACCTCACCAAGACCCGCACTCCCTACCAGCGGTACATAGATGATACAGGAGGACTGTTCAAACCAGGAACCATTCGAGAATTTCCAGAGATCAAGCGTTATGTTGACAGCCAATGCGAGGAGGTCAATTGCCAATCTACAAAAGGACTTCCCGGTGGACTCGAGGTTTGCGTCCACGAAATCAGGAAACTATTCCAAGGATCTCCAGAATATGGCTATGTATTCCTCAAAGAAGAGCGAAACAAATGGCATCCAGACAAGTTTGCGAGGTTCTGTCATCCTGAGCATCGCGACGACATGAAGAAGAAAGCGGAGTGTCTCTTTGTTCTCATCGGTTGTCTCATGGATGACCTCGAGACGAAGGATACCTAAGCGCGGCGTCTGGGGTAATAGTTGAGCTTTCTGACCTATGATGTTCAGATGGCAGGGCGGCAGGGAAGCATGTGATTAGAACATTGGAACACGTGGGATCACAAAGGAACGGTAGGAAGGCCTCGTCGCTATGCAGTGGTTGTTCTTATAACGATCATCATATCCAGCACAGCCTGGAAAAATTCTACAAGCGGTGAAAGAAAGATACCTAGGTAGATTGCGCGCAGACTCGCGCTCAACGGCAATTTACATATATGTTTCTCAGTTGCGAAGTGTCTGTCTTGGTCACACGATGGTGTTGAAGTAATGACGCAGCAAGACTAGGTCTCTATCAGGTATTTGTTAGTCTCTTTATGTCCTAGTCGTTGATTAAGCGACCCTGCCCTGCTCTAGTTATCTCCCTTCGTTACGGTACAAGTTCCCCAGGCGAAGGTCACCACGACGTGCTTGATTCCTGAGAGTCGCGTTCCCTTTAAGATACTTCCATCTCGGACGGGCCGGTCCCATTATTTCGCATCCCGCTCAAGAGAGAGAGGCATCTGTCTTCAAGCTATTCAAGGAGACAATACTCTTCCCATCCAACGCCATTTCCGTTCATCTCAACCCCAACCACACGGCTTCCCCTCACGCACGTGCACGCGATGGGAGACCTCGAACTATTGTCCATGGTGGACGAACTACTTCTGAACATTATAGAGCAAATCGACGACCACGCGGCTCTATGTAGTCTTTCCGCGACCTGCTCGCGATTCAGAGGCCTAGTTGAACCTTTCATTTGGCGAAATCTATTGATCCTCAATGGAGATCAAGCAAGTGAAATTGCGCTCTCCCTTCAGAGCTGCCCAGAACGTCTGGCGAATATCCAAGAGCTAGCCATTCACTACAAGCACGATGATGCTTCCGGTATTGGACGTCTGAATCCTTTCATCTACGACATGTCTCGATTGCGCCATCTGACGATCGAATCACCTTGTCCGAACAACGGCGAATGGAGACACGAAGCGGTGTTCACAGCTGAAACGAAGATCGATTACTCGACCCTATTCGAAAAATCAGTAGCTCGTGAACTTTCATCGCCGCCATTGCAGATGCTCCAATCATGTTTGTGGAACCCAAGTGACTTATATCAAGACTCTTAGCTGACCAACAATAGTGACGCTCCATGGCCATGGGAGGTTCAATTCAAAGTTCAAGCTCGGAAGCGTTGCATACATTTTCTTCCATCCCACCATTTTGGATATCACCATTTCGTGTACCAACTTTGAGATCGACGATGGCATAGTAGACGCCAAGAAGATACCAATCCAGAGCATGAAGTCAACGGCACTACGGTCACTTAAATTCATCGAATGCAACGTCTACCTGGACATGTTGGAAGTGGCACTGAGTCTTCCCAAAGCCCTCAAGGAGCTCCACGTCGGCGAACGAGTATTCGCGTGGGACGACTGCGTACCCAAATCCGACAAGCCCATGACCGGACACGCACGCTTTGTCGACATCCTCCAACTCCAAGCCAACTCGCTCGAATGCCTCGAGCACACCGGCGGCCGATACATCAACCCCGCTCGGCCCACGTCAGACCCAGCAAATAGCAGAAAGCTATCTCAGTTCAAAAACCTCAAGCATCTAAAAGTTGACAGCCGGTCCGCTCTCCTCAAATACGTCACCGAAGACGGTTGCCCGGACTCCCTGCACACCCTGAAGATAACCGACGACGTCGAAGCCGTGTGCCTCGTCGCCGTCTTCCAACCCCTCTACCTCCACTTCAGCGACTTCCTCAAACGCATGTGCACCGTCGCCGCCAAGCTCCCCTCCACCGTAAACATCGACATCTGCTTCTCGCACCACTCGCGCGGGCCCTCCCTCGCAGGGAACATGTACTCCTTCTGGACCTCGCGCCAGGGCCGCAAGCTCGTCTACGACATCGCAAGCACCCTGCAATCCCACAACGCGCGCCTCCGCATCTTCGCAGAGACATTCCTGAAGGGGATTTCGTACATCGAGCCGTACATGTACAGCGAGGAGCGGCCAACTGAGGAGCTGCTGTACGACTCGCAGAACTACTGGTCTTTCTCCAGGACGGATTACCAGAGCGTGGATGATAAGAATTTGAATGGCGGAGAGTCGCCCGTGGATGAGGAGGACGAGGAGGGGGTCGGATCGTTTTTCGTCGGGAACTGGGCGGATATGGATTTCGGGGAGATGCTGCTCAACGGGCTTGTGAATGGGGAAGTACATCTCTAGGGGAACTGATGTTCAAGGAGACAGGCTGCTATGCAAGAGCTGCGTGCAACGTCCTTTTCTGACGGCTTTCCCCCGGTTTTCCTCTTACCACGCCCTTCCACATCGAATGAATGAACGAGCACCCACGATTACGTTTTTCCTGCGATCAGTTTATGTTTCCTTGCGGCGTCGGTAATCTTTTTCTCTCTTAGTCCTTGATTTCATCTGCTCTTCAAGTCCGATATGGCGTTACTGGTCACGGCTGCGTTTGTTTGCATATGCAGGGAGGCACCTTTTGCTTTACATCCCTGATACGCATTGATTTTAACAGTATAATTCTCCTAGGAGATGTCTCAAGAGGCGCGTTTGAACGGGTTCGGTATGCCATTAGCTAGGGTATCTATCACTGAATGAAAGTCTACGTCCTTTTTTCCATTTCCTTTTCCAGGCCTTCCCACATCTCATTTCCCAACGATCACGCAAACAGCACCCCTGAAATCATCGCAACCACCACCCGGCGCCATAACCCAACCCCAACAGACCCGCCCTCCCCATCCTCACCCCCAACCAAACTCCCACAAAAACAGAAGAAAGAACCAAGGTACGAAACCCACCCACACGCCTCCTCCCCCCCTCCGTCCCCCCGCCTCCGCCCCATTAACAACAACCTGCCCCCTGACCACGCACCCCCCGACACTCGTCGCCGAGAGCGTCGGCGGAAGCCCACCCCCTACCGTCCTCGTGGCGTTCCCGCCGCGCCTCAGCTCCGCGTCCACGGCGCCGCAGAACCCCGCGCCGGGGACGAGGCGGTCCTGCACGCGGCCCGCGAGCACGCTCGCGGCGTTGGCGAAGCCCTGCTGCGTGAAGAAGTCGCGGCATTTGGCGGCGGGGGCGTCGAAGGCGGCGGTTGCGAGGGCGAGCATGGAGATGGTTTGGATGGAGGATGGGTTAGGGGCGGAGGCCATGGCGGAGTTCGAGGTCGAGGTGGAAGTTATGGTGCCGCAGGGGGTTGTGGTGGAGGTGGAGGTGTAGCATGCGCAGAAGGCTTGGGCGGAGGGGTCGAGGGAGTGGAATTGCGGGCGGGCGGAGAGGCAGGATCGGAGGGATGAGGCGTAGGATCTGCAGTTGGAGAAGTTGGAGGAGGGGAATGAGGTTGTTGTTGATGGTGGTGGTGTTGCTGGGATCGTTAGCTGTGGAGGGTTGGGGGATGGGGTTGGAGACGTACTTGTGGTGGTTGTTTTTGGGAGTAAGGTGTTTTCTTCTTCCTCTGGGCTGGTGGAGCTTGCGGGTTGTAATATGGCATCAACGATTTGGACTACCATGTCGACGCCTTCTTCGATTCTTCCCAGTGTCTGCTCCAGGCGCATCATGTTTGATTGGACTTGTTCTGGTGGGACTGGTGCTGCTGGTGGATTGCCATCGGGGCTGAACGGTTTCGGCGGGGTCACCGGTTTTGGGAAACTGGGGATGTCTGGCACAGTGGGGACATTTGGTTCATTTGGTGGTCGGAATTTGGGGAATGCGCAATATGCTGTTCCAACTAGAAGGATGTGTACTACCAAAGTGGTCTTTGGCTGCATCTCGACAGTCGTTGAGGTGTTGGTTGAAGATAACCTGAGGTCTCGAGGATGACTCGTAGCAAAGGCATTGCGCTGGATGGGAGGGCATCAAGAAATAGAAAATCAGAGGGCAATCGGGCGTATTGTGTAGCAATGTTCATGGCAGTGTAATTGTTCATGCGTCGCATGAGCCTCGCTGTAGGATCAAGTTGACTGTGTTTCAGGACCCATGCGCCTCAGCTGGGGGCCAACTTAGAGAAAAGCGTCACCTCGATCAACAATGCAGTGCGCCTTTCTCCCCTGTCTCTGTGGGCACCCACAGTGAAATGTCAGCAGAAGATCCAAACCCAAGGTTAACAATAATCAGATGTAGAACTTCCCGCTAGCTGTTACGGAGTGTATAGCCATCGCGAAGGAGACTGTTCTGTGGGTGTGTCGAGACTCTCATATGGTTGAGCGAGCGTTGACGAGTACGTACCGAATAATATTTCAATATAAGAAAGAGCTACAGATATTATGACGACTGAGCCTGAATACGCTCATCCGATGGCTACCAGTTCCCGTCCTACAGCATTGAATAAGCTAGCAATTGTTATCAGCCTTCGAAATCAGACGTTTGAACCTGACATCAGCGGCTCGGTTAGAGTAAGAACTTCTCTAGTCAGTCTAGATGTCCATTGGAGCTCATTTCCTTTTCGTCTGAGAGGCCCATAGTAATTATCTTTCACGCCATTGTGTTCCAATTCAAAATATTGCAAACCTGGATACGTCAAGGAGTGGTAGCCACGAGAAGGACCCGTGCTTCTCTTCACCTCCAAGCACCAATCGTATGGATCTCGAGACTTGCGACCCCGATTCATGAATGGCTCAAGGTAGTCCCGAGCCGTTGAACCGGAAGCATTGTCTTGATCCAAAGATGATGGTGAGCCGCCTACCATCAAAGTTGCAACCCGGAGCAATTCACGCTGCAACACCGCGAATGCTGCAGCACTATACCTTACAAAGTTCTTCAATGACTCTGGCCTGAGGTAAGGTTTGAGAACACGAAAGACTACACGATCGAACCCGTCTCCAAGCTTTTCTAGAGGGCTGAGGTCGACTGCGAAGAATGCATCATGAGCTTCCTCTTGCTCGTATATCAAGCTCCATAAGCTGACGTTGATTGTTATATCTTTGACGGCATGCTTCATCTTCCCGAGCGTGAGAAGCATACAATTTCCTACAGTGTGACGGCACTGGTTCATATACATTTCGTGGCGGGTCGGGGACTCTTTCTCGACTCGAGGATGGATGTGTGTTAATACCACAGCATGGCGATGGGGAGGTTGCCGCGTGGGCCCAATCTTCCGGACGCGATTCAGCTGAATTGCCGACCTCGATGGTATAGGTGGTCCACTTAATGGTTTGTTGAAATAAGCATAACAGTATGCCACAAGATAGAATTGATCCAACGCCTCGGTGTAGATTTGTCGACATGTCAAAATCCAATACGGCAAGCCGTCGTCTGGGGGGAGGGGATCGCGATCGCTGAAGGGCAACGCAGTTTCGCGGGGTGTGTATTCAATGAAGACATGCACGCCTTCGTCACCCCTCTCCACCATGTTGTATCCTGTACCTATCCATAGGTGGTGATAGATCAGGTTGCGTATTTCGGCAGGCAGAAGCAAGAAGGGGGACTGTGCCGCCATTGAATATGGATTCTCGGTGGCGACGGAAGCGTAGAAACAAAGGGGAACGGTGAACGCTGGATATAGAGTAAAGAGAAGATCTCGGGGGATAGGCGGCAATGTGGAATTGTACGTCGTGAAATAAGACGGGGACTTGGGATAATTATAACAGGTAAGGTATGGTGAAGACCACGTAGTTGGAGTAGTGGTACGTTAGCGTAGTGGTCTTTGAAGCAGTAGTAAAAGGTAGACAATGTAGGATGTATATCTATGTAATTGTTATTTTGTATTTATGAGGGTTTGACATAGACACAGTAACTGAGACAAACAGGAGAAGAGAGAGAGAATGAGAGAGGGGGATGATGCCTTGTTGTTCGGGGTAATTGATCGGTAGCCACCAATTTGCAGGGTTCTTGCTAAGCGACGTCGGCGCATCGAATTACACCAAATTTGTAAGGAAAACTATGTATTATTGTCTATTGCTGAAAAGGTTGGTAAAAAAACGTAGAGCGAGCTGCGTAAGCAGAGGCCCTGGCAGGAACTGATTGCTGATAGAGTGACTGAGTCCCTAGATATCCTCTACTATCTGAAAACTGAGTATTCTAGGTGGCATAGAGGCTCTGAGCAGATGGCGGTGGCCTCCTGAGTGAATAGAACATGGCTGCGAAAGTTGAAAATTTGGTTGTAGATAGTTGTAAGTTGGTGCAGGGGTTGGCAGGAGAGTTTGAAGAGCAGGTAACAAAGCTGGCGGATGGACTGGAGCTGTTGGAGTTCCTCTATAAACGTATACGTTTGGTACAGTGTCACGATCTGTCTCAATCCTCCTACTAGATAACCCCCCGGGATCTATCCAGAGATAGGTCGGACTGTACATGGGACCTGTGGAGCAGTATATATATCGTATTACTTATACAAATCCTTACTCCTTAGGGACTTGTCTCTATCTACTACTGAATATATCCTGTTACTCCTCTTACTCAATTGTGCCTGATAGCCCCTAACTAATCACATCTTACATACAGCCCCTGTTGAATTATTAGTCTACTGCCTTAGAAGTTAAGAAGCAGGTAGAATATTGCACTGAGAGGGTCCTGGTTTATAGTATCTGAATAGTTTAGTGTAGCAGAATAGATGAGGCTATTCGGGGACCATGTGTATGGGAAAGGGCACTAGGCAGGGCATAGATAGGTCAATTCGGGCTGCCCAAGAGAGATCAAGGTATCATCAACCTTCCCTACCTATTCGCCGATTGCGGGTCGTGCCTGTGATGCTCCCTACTACAGAGGCGTCTATACGCGACAACAGTGAAGGTTTCTAGGACTCTCTCTGTGTTCTAGTAATGCTTGATTTGACTGTTCTGGTACCTTTTGTACTAATACACGTTTGCTGGATCTGTGGCTCTATTACTAGAGGCGTCCCAGGAACTAAATATTAGGGACAATCTGCTGCAGCTGCCTGATTATTTCAGCAATGCTGCTAGTATTGGCGTATTCGTTAATTAAGGTAGTTGAAACCTCAGGCGTAATTTGTTCCTCTCTATAGGTAAAAATCCTATAAGGGTCCTTATCTAGTAGGTGGTTGTAAATAGCTAAGGCGTAATCTACTATATACTAAGTATTGAGAGTGCATTTCTCCTTTGCAACTAACTTAAACATTGTAGGACATTTATACTGAATGCTGGAGGCTCCTCTTTTCTCTAGGTAGATAGGTAGATAGAAGGATATTAGATCGGGAGGATAGTTAGATCGGGGGGATAGTTAGATCGGGAGGATGGGTGGATAGGGAGGATAGGTGCATGTGTAGATAGTTAGTTGAGCTGGTTGCTTCTAGCCCTTATTACATATATGGAGGAGCTTGTAAGGTACAGAGGGTAGGCGCGCTGGGCTAGCTACCTGCTGGCATTATGTAACTTTTAACCTTAAGCAACATATCAGAGGTTGTAAATGCACGTGTTGTTCCTTGTAGAAGCTATAAATACTGGCAGGCGGCCAGCCTGACGCACCTGCGCGTTCTTTGGAAAGTACAAATTACGGTATGTGATGTCCCCTTTACGCGAAGAGCCTGCTGGGCTGCCTTCAATGATATATAACTCTCTTCTAGTGGTAGAGGGTGCTTGCAGAGAACTCCTTGCTCTGGATTGTAAAGGTCAGGATGGTAGTTCCTAGGCGTCCGACAACAACGCAGATCCTGCACAAAACACATAGGGAAAGGGTTAGAAGGGTTAGTGAGCTTAGAGATAGGGTAGAATCTATCAAAATAACGTTGAAAAGTACTCTGTTAGGAGTATTTTGTGTAGGATCTGCGTTGTTGTTGTAGCCTTATCTAGTGGTGAATTGCACAAGTAGGTAAGAGGATCCTCGGCCTGTGCACTATTAACGATACTAGGCGAGAGGGGCAGTAATTTAGAGACTATCGCCAATATCCCTGGGACCTCATAGGTTATTGGGCCAAATCAGCAAGTGGGCCACCTCCCTGCAACTTCTACCAGGAGATATAAATTGCGAAAATGCAATACTATAGCTATTCCTACCTTCTCTTTTGATCTCTATCTGTTTTTGATATTTATTACTGTTGGTGGCGTGAGAGAGATGGCCCTGTAGCACGTGACCATGAATTAGCATCACCGCTGCTTTGTTCTAGTTTCTAGATAAGTGACAAACGCCCGCCCCAGCTGGAGTCCGTGTCCTCTCTTCATATACGGAAGACATGAGATCCGAAAGAAGCATCCCCTCCTCCCAACAGTCCAGCTGCACAGTCTGAGACGCAGAGTAAGTACCACAGTATAATTGTTAGTGCAAGCATCTAGCGAGACCAGTGGATGATTTTCTTTTTGGCTCGGCGAGGCGAATGGAGAATGCCCAGGCCAGGGCTGAAAGAGGCGGAGGAGCTGAACGACGGATGGTGGAGACTAAGGGCGTATTGGCGGGAGGTGGTGGGAGGGGAGGTTAAGAGGGATTTCATGATGGATTTGTAGGTTCATGGAATTGGTGTGATGCTTTATTCTATAATATGGGTGTTCCTGATGTGAGGTACAGTGGTATTTTAGTGCATACACACTGTGTAGAGTACGGAGTACATGTACAGTATGATACAGGCAATACCTCAGAAGGCTAGAGGAGGAATATGGAACTACCAAAAATAGACGAGCACACTGTAAGCACGTACACAGTTTAGCTCAAGATAGGCAAGGCGAGCAGGGCAGTCCAAGACGGATCACATTGGTTATTCAAAGCAGACCGGTCGGTGGTAGTTGTGGCTGATGATGGCGGATGGCATCTCAGACTCTGGTTTGGACAGCAAGGGAGGCCAACCAACACACAGAAAAAGATGGCGGTGCAGATGATCAAAAGAGGGTACCGCACGAGTAATGAGGTTGAGGTTAACTAATACTACACGGTAGTTAACACCTCGTGGAGAACGCATAATCTGGAAGAAACGGCCGACTCCTACGCTTTATCTCCTCAGACCTTATTGCCATTTAACTCTAATGAACCCCATTTTTGGGCCTTCTGAACTGATCAGACGTACGCAGTAGGCCTGCTAAGCTGGATTTGGCCGGTTGTCCCAAATTATGTGGTGTTCCATCACTAGAGCCACGACTTAGACGCAAGTTGAAGCGGCGCAAATCTAGCCCTGAATAGTTTCGGTTACTTATCCTTAACTTGGGCGGGCAACGGGAGAGGGGGCTGAGGGGGAGAGCTGAGAAAACACGACGGATGACAATAATCCTCACCCACAGTTCACAATAGTTACTAGGTTGTAGCACATAATTAAAATTAAGAAGAGAAAAAGTAGAAGAAGGTATCACGATCCTACTTCTTCTGTTCCTCTTCTTTCCTCCCTTCTCCTCTTCCATCCCCCCACTTCCGCAGTGTCACCCGAACTGTCTGTGTCCATTGTACAACACCATCGACTCGTTGCTGGGGTAATAGAATAAAGGCGGATAGGGCTTCAACCTCTTTTGATCTCCCTAGCCTACGATCCCAGGATTCTGAGTGGATCAGAGGCCATCCTACCGACCTATCGAGTGACGCAGGATCCCCACCAAGAACATCCTCGCCTTTGTCGAACCGTCTTCCGCCGTCCGTCTTTCGCTGTTCTAATTTCTGCCGATCTGCAACAACCCGTACTTGTAACCATCATCTGCCAACTCTGAAACGCCGCCGCCCAGCGAATTCGCACGACAATCTTCCTAATTCCCGCTTCCTCCCCTGCCGCGTCGTCGTCCTGTTTGTACAGTACAGGCACTGTAATTGGACAGACACACTCTTCGCGACGAGAGACTCAAGCAAGAACTGGGAACTTGGAACTGCCAGAACCACTCCCTTCGCTTGCTGCTCATACTCGCAATTAGCTTGCTGCCCCATAATTGCGGACTCGAAGCTACCTACGAGTATTGACAGTAGGCAGTAGGTGCAGCCTGGCAACCAACTACCTCACACCAGCAACCCGATACCAAACAATTCATCATTGTGCCTATAGCCCGAACCTGCACCTGCACCTGCATCTGCATCTGTCCGGGTCAATTTCATCATCCCCTTGCGGCGGGTCGGTGGCATTAAGTCTTGTTGTTCTGCCTGTCAAAGCGCAGCGCACAGCATCAATCAACAAAGCAACAAACAATCATCGTCATCCCCACCTCCCACCACCACCAACATAACGATCTGCTGCAACAACAGCGAAACGGTCAAAGATCTTTGCCATGTCTGGCTACAATCGCATTGGTAAGTGCATTTGTGGCTCCTTATCCGTCTTTTCCCTCTACATAGCCCTGTTTCAATGCCCCCATTACGACTCCCTTCAACTGCGCCACACCCTGCGGCAACTTTTCTAAATCGTACTCGCAACTACGGCGTACTTTTCCTTTTATTATCGTGTACTCGTACTTGCGTATTACTGTACCTGGGTAATTACAGTGGGCAGTGGACACTGGACAGTGGATTGTGGACTGTGTACCAACATTCCTGGCCCTTTACACACCTATTACACCTTCCTCCGTTTGTTCCCCAGATATCCTTTAACACTCCGTCGGAATCACGGCCTCAACCTGACACACTCGCTCCACCAAAACATCATCCTCCTCACTCTCCCCAACCCTTCTCTTCTACTTTCCACACCACTCACCCTCTCGTTACGAATAATCTTTTATTTCTACGCCATAGACTTAAAACTTAAACTAAACAACATTCCTAACCCTCGCTTTGAGCAGGCTCGTCTGGAGGTGACGACCATTACGACGACCCCATGGATTCGCGACGACCTGGTCGCACTCCCTCACCAGGGCACCCTCTCCAAAGCTACCAACTCGATGACAGATATGGCTCCAGCGCCGGTCCTCTAGAAATCCCAATGGGTCCTGGCCCAGGGCCTGGCACACCTAGCGATCGTTTACAGCTGCAACCAAGTGTGAGTGTTTGCGCGCCGCCGCCGCCAGGCTGTTATGAATTTGGGTTTCAAAGCGCAACAGCTAACAACACAAAAACAACAGTACTCGGTAGAAAACATCCCGTACGGACACACCGATTACCACGACGACTACCGACCGCAACCTCACCACCAGGGTAGCGACTACTCCCTCGATCCTCAACAGCACGCCGATGCCTACTACCAACCACCATACAACCCAGCCCACTCGCCGCACGAAGATGCAGGTCATCCATACGGCGCACAGCCAGACCACTACTGGCAGGATGATGACGACAGGCGGCCCATGATCGGGGGAGGAACAGCTTATGGACCAGATCCTCACGACGGGCCAGATCTGGGCCCAGATAACGGATATCACGATGAACCACAACCTCAGCCCACACCTAGTCCGGCTCCCATCAAGCGTTGGAAGACGGTCAAGGAGGTGCAATTGTTCAAGGGCAATCTCGTCCTCGATTGCCCCATCCCCCCACGACTGCTGAACCAAGTCCCACATGCACAGCCTCCCGAGCGTGACGAGTTTACTCATATGCGCTACTCCGCGGCGACTTGCGATCCTGCTGATTTTGCGGCAGAGCGCTTCACGTTGCGCCAGAAGCTTTTCGCCAAGCCCAGGCACACGGAGCTCTTCATTGTCGTTACTATGTATAACGAGGAGGACGAGCTGTTCGCGCGAACCATGATTGGTGTAATCAAGAACATCGAATACATGAATTCGCGCACCAACAGCAAGACCTGGGGCAAGGACGCGTGGAAGAAGATCGTGGTTTGCGTCGTAAGCGACGGACGTGCCAAGATCAACCCTAGGACTCGCGCCGTTTTGGCTGGTTTGGGTGTCTATCAGGATGGTATCGCCAAGCAGCAAGTCAACGGCAAGGATGTGACGGCACATATCTACGAGGTAATTATTAATTATAGAAACAATCGCCACCTGTTCCGAGACGAGATGACTAATTTGAGATATAGTACACAACGCAAATGGCTATTGACATCAAGAAGGGCGTTGTCGGCGTACGGAAGGGAAACACGCCCGTGCAGATGCTCTTCTGCTTGAAGGAAAAGAACCAGAAGAAGATCAATTCCCATCGATGGTTCTTCCAAGCTTTCGGCTCCGTCTTGGACCCCAATATCTGCGTCCTCATCGACGCAGGAACGAAACCCGGCAAGGATTCGATTTACCATTTATGGAAGGCGTTTGATCTCGAACCGATGTGCGCAGGTGCCTGCGGTGAGATCAAGGCCATGCTGGTAGGCTACTCGTCGCAACACAGAACTTTGAGACAGAGAACTAACATCCTATACAGGTACACGGAAAGAAGCTGCTCAACCCACTCGTCGCAACACAGAACTTCGAGTACAAGATGAGTAACATCCTGGACAAACCTCTGGAGTCTGCCTTTGGTTTCATTACTGTCCTTCCCGGTGCCTTCTCTGCTTACCGATACGTTGCGCTCCAGAACGACAAGACTGGAAACGGCCCGCTGGAGAAGTATTTCGCCGGTGAGAAGATGCACGGAGCCAATGCCGGAATCTTCACCGCCAACATGTACCTCGCTGAAGATCGTATTCTCTGTTTCGAGCTGGTGTCCAAGAGGAACTGTCACTGGATCCTGCAGTACGTCAAGTCCGCCAACGGTGAGACTGACGTGCCTGTGGAAATGGCCGATTTCATTCTTCAGCGTCGACGTTGGCTCAACGGTTCTTTCTTCGCTGCTGTTTATGCCTTGGCCCACTCGTTCGACATCTTCCGCAGCGATCACTCCTTCATTCGAAAGATGATGTTCTTGGTTGAGTTCGTCTATCAGACCATTAGTATGATCTTCGCTTGGTTCGCTCTTGGTAACTTCTTCTTGGTCTTCCGCATCCTCACGAAATCGCTCGCATCGGAAATTGGTACTGCTGGAAACGTTCTGTTCATCGTCTTCGAATGGTTATACATTGGCGTCTTGATTACATGTTTCATCCTCGCGCTTGGCAACAGGCCGCAAGGTTCGAATAAGTTCTACATGACGATGGTGTATTTCTGGTGCTTGATCATGGCCTACCTCATGTTTGCCTCCATCTTCATCACTGTGCGATCCGTGCAATCGCAGATCAAGGAGAATAACGGGTTCAACTTTGCCGACATCTTCAAAGACAGGATCTTCTTCACGCTCGTCGTTTCGCTGGCCTCGACGTACGTCATGTATTTCGTTGTATCATTCCTATTCCTGGACCCCTGGCACATGTTCACCTCTTTCATCCAATACCTCCTCATGACGCCTACGTACGTCAACATTCTAAACGTCTACGCCTTCTGTAACACCCACGATATTACATGGGGAACAAAGGGCGATGACAAGGCAGAAAAGCTCCCGTCCGTTACGACCAAAGCCGATGGTAAAGCCGATATTCAAGCGCCCACCGACGACGCCGATCTGAATTCCATGTATGAGAACGAACTCCGCGTGTTCTCAACCAAATATGTCGAGCCCAAGAAGACCCCCTCCCAAGAAGACAAGCAAGAGGATTATTACAAGGGCTTCCGATCTAGCGTCGTCTTGTTCTGGATGTTCTGCAATCTAGGGCTCTGCGCATTGGTGTTGCAATCCGGTGGATTGGAGGTCACCGTGTCGTCGGCGGCTGAGGCCGAGAAGAAGAAGAATAAGGTCGCCGAGATTTACTTGGGCGTCGTGCTGTGGAGTGTTGCTGGATTGAGTGCCTTCCGATTTATTGGTGCGATATGGTTTTTGGTTGTTCGCATGGTAAGTCTGCCCTAGTTCCGTGTTTGTTTTACCACGGACAAAGCTAACATATTGTACAGTTCCGAGGTGTCTAAGTTACGATTACGACTGGCGTTCCCCCCAAAGACTTTTCCACGAAGTTTCCCAACAACGATCGGGATGGGCATTTGCATGACCTTGCTTGTTTTCGATTCTTCTTTTTCCCCAAGCGGCATGGCATTGGTATGGCGTGGGTCCATGTATTCCACACCCCACACGTTGATTGTTTCTTGTAAAGCTAGATGTAAAAAAGCCCCCAGTCATGATGCATGGGGTTGTCTTTCCGTTCAAGCTTTTTCTCCTCCATGAATCGAATCGGCTTGGGGTGATGATCATTCTTTCTCCCTCCCCCCCCCGCTCGCGTCCTGGATATGGTTTTCTAGCTGTTGTTATCTCCATGAACTTGATACCACTGAACATTAGTTATATTGAGATTATGAAATCGAAAATTTTGGAATTCTATTAACTCTCTCTCCTCCCTCTCTCCTCCCTCTCTTACAGCACTCTTAAAATCTCTCCTCCCTCTTTTATAATACTCTTTTATAATACTCTCTCCTTTTTTATAACCCTTTTTCTTTGTTCTCTCCTCTCTCTCCTCTCTCTCCTCTCTCTCCTCTCTCTCCTCTCTCTAACTGTAGCAGGGTTTCTATCCTTCTTCTCCCTACTCATTAGATCTGCCAATTCGGACATGCCTCGGAGGATATAATATATAGGCCAGTCACGGGGTGATGAGAGCTCTTGATTGAAGTCAATGCGCTTTCCTTTTCGATATCAAAACAGCAATATTTCCAAGTGTTTCCGCCTAAGATGTACTGTAGTTGCTATGAACAGGCGTCTTTCGCTCATGGGGGTGGGGTATACATAAATGTTCCAAGCACAATTTCAAGAAGATACTTTTCCGGTCTAATCAATAAACCTCACGACATTCACTCCAGTCCGCGTTCCGTAATCTCGGGATGCTTCTTCTCCCAGACACGCAAACCAAGCTGCACGAATATCGAAGCGACAGTCATGGCCACTGCCAATGGAAATCCAATCGGGTATTTCGGCGCATCAGCAACTCGCCACGCGCCGAGCGGAATGGTCGCATGCCCGACATACACGATCGTCACGGTCATCGCGACAATGATGGATCGTGCTTCCGGCTCCTTGCGCATGAGCTCGGCCATCCAGGCCATGAGCGATGGCCCGTTGGCGTTCGTGGTGTACGTCAGGAAGTAGAAAGCCATCACCACGTGGTCACGCGCCGGCCATGCGCACAACACTGCAAGGAATATGGCGTGCGCGGTGAGAGATCCAACGCTGACCTGCCACCTCCAGTTCTTCCAGTCCGAAAGAGCGTTGAGGCCAACGCTCGTGACAATCTGCAACGCGTAGCCGCCCAGGGGGAGGATGTTCACTTGGTACGTGCTGTACACCCGCTCTCCGGCAGGATTCTTGATCGACTCGAGGTACAAAACGAAGTACGAATTTGCGCGATGTGCCCATGCGGCGAGAGCGAACCCGAAGAGGAAGAAGTATGTTATGGGGTGGACGACAATCTTTCGGAGTTTCTTGCGAAGTAGTGATGCGGAGATTAGCTCAGAGGTATTCGCTCCGAAACTGTTCATGCGCCAGTTGGCCAGGCGTCTCTCTTCCTTAGTCAACCACAGAGCGCGGGTTATGGCAGGCGAGTCGGGAATAGTGATGAAGCCGAGGAGACCTTGACCAACGGTGACTGAGCCTGCGATGATGAAGAGCCATTGCCAGCCCGCGAGGTTGTGGACGCCGTTCATATTCCGGTATAGCGCAGCTTGCAACGCTCCCAAGAACATGGCTCCAGCCACGTCGCTAACGTTGAAGCAGGCCAGTCGGAAGGCTAGCTCTTTCGGCGTGTACCAGTTGAAGATGAGAGATACAACAGTGGGCCAAAAGGCAGCGGCAAGCGCACCAAGAAAGAATCGAAGAGCATAGATAGTCTTTGCATCCGGTGCTTTGTATGTGCTGACAGAGGTTAGCTTTGGGTATAGCACAAGTCAGGTCATCCACTCACAAGAGCACAAGCAAGCCCCAGATGATCTCGCAGGTCGGCAGAAAGTAGGATGGCCTCACTTTCGTCTGGATAAGTTGGCCCGGAATGAGAAAAATGGCATAGCCAATGGAAAAGAAAGTATTGAAGTTGACAAGTTCGTTGCCTCGCAAGTTCAATGATTCACGCATTCCGGATACGTATGCCTGGGTTGTTGCACTTTGGTCCATTTCCTATCGCAAGTTCAGCAATGTACTCATGTATTTGTCCACAGATCGTGTTACCTTCATAATACCAGCCAAGAACATCCATGCCAGCAACATCACGTCCAATTTGAAGAGGAGGACGTGGCGCGGGTTGCGAAAATAGGGAATGACCTGACCAACGTGACGAAACACGCCTGTCACCTCTGTGAGCTCGATGGCGCTCTCATTGCAATCCAGCTCTTCTACATCTGCGGATTTGAGGTTGTCGGTTCGGTCGAGGATTTTATCTTCCGGGAAACCGTAGGCATTTTGTTGTTTCGGAGGCTGAGGTGCGGCATTCCCTTTGTCGGCCATTGTAACGGAAACAAGATTGACAGGAATGGATGAAGGCGACTTGAATGCTCAACGTTTTTTCATCAAGGCGTACGACTTCAATTTATCAAGTGTTGCAACAATGCATCGAGCCATCGTTACGGTACATCTGCGGGAATGGACCGAGAATTCAACAGTAAACGAGACGACGGCCCGATTCATGGGAGGGTATATAATTGAAAGACCTCCACTGCCCCATATATGGATTGCATATCTATACTCTCAAGAGTGTAGTCGGTTGATAACGCAAGTCTTGGAAGCTGAGAAGGAAAGTCGCCATTCGCTCGTGTTCAAACAAAGTCAGGTCAGGGTCGCTTGGCGGAGCACGTCATTTTTTGCAGAGGCACGGAATATGCATCTACGCATCCAACATATCCATTTTACGACATCGTAACAATATGGCCAGGGAAGATCGAATGTTTTTTTTCTCAATTCTCTCCTGTATCGGCTCTATTTGTAGAAAGCTAGTCCGCTCAAAATACGAGTACGACTCATGTCTGAATGTCGGACCAGATCAATTGAATAGTGGGATGTCTGCTTTGCCTTGAGCGACGTTGAAGGAGTAAGTAGTTACTTACCAAAGGAGACCAACATCATCTGCGATCTAACAATTACAATTGATCATCCTTCCAATGTGTTCTGTAGTTGCCACCACCGTTGATTGGCATGGGTATAAGTTGACCAGTGGCAATATCTCTTCTGCTCTACGACACTAACCTTCGAAACAGTTGTTTGTATCGATTGAATTTGAGGTCACTTGTTTCGTTGATGGTTATCCCTTTGCATTGTCCGTGGTGATCTCCGCCTGACTGGTGAAAGCTTCCACGATCGAAGCCAAGCGAAAATTAATATAGCCGTTGGATGTCCTCCATTTATGGTGTTCTCATTGAAGCAACACTCATTGAAGCGACCCAAGTACTCGTGACAGCGGCTGTCAGCTCGGTGAAGTACAGACACAAGTTTTGTGGAAGTAGTGTCCTTGACAAGACATTTCTTGTTGATGAGATTCGAGTTCCAAGTTCGAAGTCGACAGCTGAATCAGATATCGGTCGTGTACCACTCAATTTCTCAGACAAAGAATGGTTCGACAAACGCTTCCGTTGAATCGCCGTGCGTATAGGTTCACAAGCTTTGAAAGCCGCATGACGAATTCTCCGGTTAAAGCTTGATTCCGCACGTGTTGGAAATGCTCGAGGATATATAATGTGCTTTACAATGGTTGGCGCACAGACGGAATTTTCCGAATGTCAACGATTACTCAACATGTAACCCATCACTGTAGGTCGAGTAGGTTAATTGTCAACAATGCGGTGGGACTTTGACAATGTTACAAATGAGTTTCATGTCGTCGGAACCAATTTGCATCCGATCCGCAACAATTGGGCACGCTAGACCTATCACGGCTACTCCACAGCGATTGAATTCCGCATTCTTAATCAGCTTCAACTCTCTGCAAGTGCCGATAATCAACAATTGCATGCGATCTTATATAACATATATCTGATTTGATTCCGAAGAGTACTGTTTCCGGTTACACGTTGAAGATAGTGTGTCGATTGATTTCGAAGCCTGGCATTACGACCGCACCTCACACCTAACACGATGGCTATGGCGTGCGAAGTTGCTAAGCAGCCCCCTCTTAGCTGGGGGTTCTTCATTTGAAGTATGGCCGAAATGGGGACGAGGAAAAGCATCATGAATATATAAATCAAGTGCTGTCTCGGACAGGCTAACATTCACTCCATCACATCATCCAACATTCTACCAACCCAACAGCATCTCTCCATAAACAAAACACCTCGTTTCTCAATCCATCCACAACTCCACAACTCCCACAACAATGTCTGAAATCAAGAACGTTATCATCATCGGTGTAAGTGCCATTGCCATCACTACCATTCCAAAATCAACGCTAACAACAACAGGCCGGTGGCAACCTCGGTCCCTCCATCTTGAACGCATTCCTAGCTTCATCCGCCTTCAACACCACAGTCCTATCACGTGAGGACTCCAAATCGACATTCCCTGCCAACGTCAAGGTCATCCGAGCCGACTACACATCCTCGGAATCTCTCACTAGCGCATTCAAGGGTCAAGATGCCGTCGTCTCTCTCGTTGGCGGTATGGCACTCGGAGACCAGAAGAACTTCATCGACGCCGCCATCGCAGCCGGCGTGCAGCGTTTCTTGCCATCCGAGTACGGTGTCGACACTGCGAACCCGCAAACACTAGAGATTGCACCCATCATGGGAGCAAAGAATGCTACCGTCGAGTACCTCAGGAGCAAGGAGGATCAGATTAGCTGGACCAGCATCCAGACCGGTGCGTTCTTCGATTGGGTAAGATCCTCCTGTTACGCCGGCCCCGAACGCCGACACTCGTATACTGCGATCAGCCATGCTAACATCACTTCAGGGTCTCATGGTCGGTTTCTTGGGCTTTGACGCAGCGAGCAAGACCGCAACTTTCATCGACGAGGGCAAGGGTGCCTTCACCACGACAAACCTCTCCCAGGTCGGAGAAGCCGTTGTCAAGGTCCTATCCAAGCCATCCGAGACCAAGAACCAATATGTCCGCGTGTCTTCCTTCGCTACCTCGCAGGCCGAGCTCCTCCCAGCGATCGAGAAGGCCACCGGCGGAGAGAAGTGGACCGTCAAGAACATTTCCAGCGAGGAACTCCGCAAGCGAGGCAACGAGAGATTGGCGAAGCAGGACTTCGGTGGCATCGGTGACTTGATCCAGGTGTGCGCTTTCAGCAAGGCGAACTTGGGCGACTTGCGCGCTCCTGGTCTGTGGAACGACAAGCTCGGTCTTTCCAAGGCGGATTTCGAGGCGTCGGTTCAGACTGGTATTAGCGGAAAGCTTGTTGGTCAGTAGTTTTGATAGCTGCCGAGTAATAAACAAGTAGAATTAAGCTTATGATTGTTGTTTACCTAGATTCAGTGACGCCGCCTCGCAGTCGTGTCTCTCCCATCCTCGAGAAGATCAAGCGCATTCTCGCTTGCTCTTCTTCGCGCAGTTAGGTTGTTGAATGGTTTTCAGACACTTGGAAAAAAGGAGATACCCCGATATTCGATACAGCGCTTTCCATTTCGCGATACCTGCTCAACTGGCCCTCACCGCGAAACCCGTCCAACTTGCAGCTTTAAAGCCAAAAGGCAAACACTAGTCACTCAGATAGAATTTACTTTGTTTCACATACATCATGATGTCACTCAAATTTGAAAGCTTTGATTGAATTCCCATTGTAATGTACCTATGGTACGACTTTGAAAGTCAGTAAGTCAAGGCACGACCGCGATGCTTCTCACCAAGCTTGCAGTCGGCCCATCTATAAAGAAGAAAGGAAAGTTGTTATCAGCCCATCATGTTATCAACTTCCTTCGAAATGTAGCGCAAGTGCGCAAATATAATGTACAAAAAGGGGTTCCAGTGTACAATCGATCAGAAGGAATCAAGACGAAAAGGTTGTCAAGGTCGAATTGGTCTCCTGAACAGGCTGAAGATCGTCGTCAAGTGTCGTGCAAGCTGACCTCAAAACTTCAAACCTGAAGTATTGCCCACAAAGATACCACCAGCAATAATACATGAATAAGAACCGTTCGTAGCAGCGTACTCATTAGTGAAAGGACCTCCATGTGAAACAACTGCCGATGCAACACAACGTTGATGACGAGACAAGCGATCGTGAAAATGCAATCGAATGCCATCTTCAAAACAAAAGCGGATGCGAGGAGGAACGCTCATGGAGAATCAAATGCTATAAGGATCGAACTTCAGACCGCCCATGGCCTTCAGCTCGTTCCAGAAGTGCAGAAGATAGTCGCGCTGCATGCGGATGTTTTCCAGGTACTGCTCATCGTGGGACTGCTGCCGAGTGATTTTCCAGGATTCGGCCAGCTCAATAGTGTCGAGATAGATGTTGAGGCCTCTATCAACTTGCCGAGCAATCTCTTCCGTGGTATTGGCTCCGAAAATCGATGCGTTGGAGTTGAGGGGGCCCGGTGATTCGAGAATATCCGCCGTATCATAATGATAGACTGTTTCACGCCAGTCGAACTCTTCCTTGGAATCACTGCCCACATAAGACTCGAATTCGATCACCTGCTCACGATAGCTTTCCATGGCAGCCTTGAAGACACCGACACCGTCCGAGTTGTCTTTGCGAAGCATGGCTGGGGCACCCAACTTCTTGGAAAGATAGAATACCCAAATGCCCGGGAAGGCTTGGCCAACATCCAATCGATTAAGACCCTTGATGGTAGTGAGACTGGCTATGACCGTGAAGAACAAGACGATGGCATGACGCATCATGAAATCAGTGTCGAGCATATCCACCTTCAGATATTTGAGATTCTTGGCATGCTGCGCGATGTAGGCGATAGCCTCGGTCATACCGTAAGCGAAGTTGTAGATGGGTCTTGCGCCCCTAATGACACTGCATTTGCAGATGTCGTTGGGCACATTGGGATTCGGGCGTATCGTGATCTCGATTTTGCGGAGCAACTTCAATTTGTCAGATCCGAATACACGGACCATAGAGGGGATACGAGTTCCAGCCCTGAGTGGTGGTGCTATCTGCAGCGCTCTGAAGCGGTAGAGAATCCAAGTGGCCTCCTCATTCAACTGCTTGCAGACTAGGAAGATGCTCAAGGGCGGATGGTCGTCATGAGGGAGGACAACCTTTCCGAGATCTTTGCATGTTCCGATGTGTTTAGCAAACAACCTGAAGGGATTGTCCGAACAGATGACCTCCTTCAAGATCTCCTCGCGGAGGACGTATGGTAGCGTCATGAGATGGGGAGGTTCGTCCATCATCTTTGCTGATTGGTGTATGAAGGTGAGGTGCGAGCTTCGCAGTGGCACTTCTCACCGGGACCTGCATTAGCATGGGCATTTTCTGAAGAGGTAGTGCAGGCTTCATAGGTAGTATGGATAGCAGAGGAAGTGGCAGAGGCAGAGGGAGTGGCAGAGGCAGAGGGAGTGGCAGAGGCAGAGGGAGTGGCAGAGGCAGAGGGAGTGACAATGGGGATGGCAGTATGGGCAACTAAAAAAGCACAAATGGCCTACCTTGAGAAAGTGTGTGTGAGACTTGGGACTCCGTTCGATCTCTCCCTCAAGTAAAGGAGGTTGAGTTGAGTTTTGTGGGTGGAGAGGGAAAGGTTTGGATGGGCGACGGAGCAGCCTTTGTATCTTGTTTACAACGCGACGTCTGTGCGCGACCTTGCTATAAGTGGCTGCCCAGAGACGAGTAAAAGTGAAGGTGAGTCAGTTTGCGATCAGAGGTGAAGGCCTGAGATTGACCTCTGATGAGTGAGTGAGGAGCCTTGCGGGCCTTCAAGTTTGCAGTGAGTGAGCCAAGGTGAGAGAGAGAGAGAGAGAGAGAGAGAGAGAGAGAGAGAGAGAGAGAGGAAGATTGCTGAAGGACTGATGGATCCCACTAAAAGCTAGGTCTCCCTTAAGATAGAGAGGGGCAGTGAGAGTGTGAGATGAGAAGGGAGGAGAAGATGAGATAATCAGAGACGGTGAGAGGAGCAGATAGTGCGAAGAGAAGGTGAGGGAGGAAAACTTAAAGAGAGAGAGAGAGAGTAATGGTCAGATAGAACCAAATAATAGTCAGTTCACGCACCAAAATAAACTGATCTAAGGCAATCTACAGAAGTGAAGCCCTTGCCGAAGAATTTCTATTCCAGCAAAGGGATTGCTGTTGAGGCCTAGGTCATCCAAATATCATATCATTCTCCCAACACTATCCTTCTCTCCAAAATTGAGCCTCCAGCAGTTCGTAAGAATTTGGACTTCTCTATAACCAGGTCGTACCGCTGTGTGTAGCCAAGCTTCTTCAGTTCTTTCCACTCACGTAGGAGATCTCTAATTTCATCGTCCCAAAAGTTCAGATGATCCATGAGTGTCTCGAAATCCACAGGTGGGTAAGATCGTTTCCTTTCTTGCACCTCTCTCCACAGCGAGTGCCTATGTCGAAAGTATCTTGTGAATGGTGACAAGTATTTCGACAGGTCCGCCTTCTCCCCAGTTTGAACAAGGGCATCCTCGGAGGACTCGAAGTGAATGATGAAGTTTCTGTACTCCCCAATTTCTGACTTCCAGTTGATTTTTGGAAGCTCATCGACTTTTTGTAAGGGATACCTTTTACGAATCTCCGCGACAACGAGCCGCCTCTCATATTGCCAATAGTCCAATGCGTTGAAAACTGCATCGCCAAAGCTCCAAGGCGGGGATGTTAGAACAGTTTTCGCTTCATGTCGCTGTCGCTCCCATCTCAGCAGATAGACTGCAAAGAGCCGAAGACTCCGGATGTGGGAGACAATGCGTAGAATACTAAAGAGCGTATCTCTTGCACGGTAGTTCAAAACATCCGCGAACCAATGCAGGCGAAGATGGTGCAAATTTGAAGCATTGAAGGCAAGTTTTACGAAACAGTCGCCCCAGTACAATGCGTGGCTCTCCCAACTGTCCTTCGAGGTCAGTGCTGGTACTTCAAAATGGCTTCTTTCAGAGCGAAAGCCTTACTTAAGATTCTTGAGTTGTATATCCAGTTTACGAAGACGGGCTATGTTCTTCCCCCCAATTATCTCAAGCCATTTTCCGAAGGATTTATCTGCTCGGGGTTCCCACACGTCCGGTGGTTTTCCAAAGTGAAAATGATTTTGTCGATACAGCACCTCTGCGCCATCTTCTGCGAGCGACTTGCAGACCCTCAAGATCGCAATGTCGAGACGTCTGGCTTTCGCTTTCTCGCTGGGATCGAGGATCTCGGTTCGACAGAGTAACTCGGACAATATCTGGTTTCGTATTTCGCTAGGCAATGTGATGAGCTTTGGCCCCGCCATGTCGTGTTCTCTACACCCGGAAAACACAATGAGCACAGACTGGAGGCGATCAGGGCTCTCGCCGTGACGCTGTCGTCATATCAACTCGTTGATACAGCCTCTGGATTCACTCTCGGCTTACCGTGATGGAGAGATCAAGTTCAAGTTGGCAGTGTGGGGTTACTCGAATTGTCGAAGAGCAGTACCATGTTGACGAAGAAAACGTTTCACGCTGGGTGTATATACATATAGCGCTTGGTCCTTGCATGCACGTCGAGTCACTGAAAGCTAGGAGTCAATTATAACGGCACTAAATCGTGACACAGAGCGACATGGCCGTTACTAGACCGTAGCCTACCGTGTTGAGTCACTTCCGGTAATACGTGAACTGGGGTAGCAAGAAACCATATTTATCTATCAAGTTACTACAAATAATTACACGCTATGCCTAGCTAACATCAAAGATAATGACACTAAACTCCAGAAAAAACCATCTCCATATGCTATCTAATCTAGCGCATATTAGCTAGATGTCATCATCGTATATCCCTCTATGATAGTCTATTACTCTTCATACGAGTCAGCAAGCTGAGGCACCACAATGCCTAGCTCCTTCAGTTCATCCCAGAAAGACATAAGGACTTTCAAACGTTGGAGTTGAAGCTCTAGGGAATACGGAAGACCGCTTTCTGAACGCTCGTATTCACCCGACTGGTGACGACGGAGCTTGTCTGCCAATGCATCCAACATGGAGGGAGGGCAAGAGGGAGCATCGGGGGCAACGTCACTCGAATAAATCCTAGTTGGATAATCCTGCTTGGGCTTCACGACTATGGGGCGCTCGTGGCAAGCATGGGTTGCTTCGAGAAGCAAACAGGGCTCGGTTTTCCAACCGTCAACGCCTTCTGGAGAGGTGGTCAATTCAGGTATATTCGCTTTTTCTAGCCATCGCACATTGAAGGAGGTCAAAAGAATTGCGGGCTTTAAACACCAAGGTCGCATAGCACCCTGCTTGAGTGTTACAGGTATCCGCATTTTATAACTGAGGTAGTGAATCCATACGCGCGGAACCCGCTCTGCTGTTACTTCAAGACCACGAAGAGTTGTAATTGAAGAAATGGCTCGAAGCATACTAATCGACAGCAATAAGCAATCCGGAGCATATTCTTTCTTGCCACATATATTTAGGGATAGATAGCGCAAGTTTGTAGCGTGACGTGCGAGCTTTTCCATTACCCTGCAATTGAGTCGACAACGATCGATCTCCTTTTCGAGTTGCGACCAATATTTAGATTTACGTCTAAATGCGCTATGGAGGAAAGGTAGAGGGAGTCTTCTGGTGGCGGAAGTAAGCAGTGATAAGTTAAATGATCCAATCTTGTCGAGCCACTGATCAACCCCTTCAATCGATGCGTGCAAAATGAATGTGTTCATCCGGTACAGTACATAGGTGGCATCATTGTGCATCTCTCGACAGGTTGATAGGATAGATGGATGGACGTCGTCCCGCGTGGATAGTTGGATAGAGTCAGACCTGCGGGGGCCTAATCGAATAGATGACAAGGTCACAGGATCATACTTGGAGAAACGCGAAGGCCTGTCGGTACAGAGAAGATATTTCAGTATCTCTACTCTGACATCGTAAGGCAGTGTCATCAATGTCAGCCGTGGCATGATGCTTTCTTGTCTCGGCACCTCTTGCGATTTTGGAAACGGACGGATACGAACGTGGGTAATGTAATGAGGTAAGGACTCAGTAGTGATTTGAGCTGCGTGTGAGGGAAGGACGTCTCGTCTTTGCGAGGGTTTAAATCAGAGTGGTGAGACAAAGGAAGTATGAAGGAGTACGGCCCCCATTGAGTTGACCATGGCATTGTGACAAGGCAAATAACGCAATGAGTACACCATCGCATTGTGAGAGTGGCAAGCAGCGCATTGAAAGGGCGAGAAGACGGACAAATGGAGATTCTAAAAATATTGTGATTGTGCGTAATTTTGATTCAAGTGGCTGGGAAACCGCCGCATGTTGCGTACCACGCGCAATGCAATTAAGCAAATAGAGTAATGATAATGAAAAGAAGGAAGCTCAAGAAGTGGCTACGCGCTGTCCACAAACTTACCTACACAGAACTACAAGAAGAAGCCGAGCAAGAGCTACTCGACGAAGGTCGTCGCCCAGAAGCCTCAGCCAAATCCTTCTCTCCAAGTATTACTCGCTCGCACCAGGAGCACCAGCTCCTAACCTTACCAGCCACTTCACGCTCGAGGAACTGCATGGTTTTATCCTCTTCATCCTTGTAGATCTTAACAACATCACCCACGAGCACTTGCTTTTTATGCTTCATCTTGAATCCACCCCCAACACCCTCAATCTCTTGTGCAAGATAGCTCGTCCCCGTCCATCGATCCGGGGAGGAGCCTTCCAACGAGGCAAGCGTTTCCGCATCGCACTCGATCTCGTGCTCAACTATCCTTGCAGCGAGGCAACTAGGTCCACGTCCGCATTCAACGCCCTCATTCCCTTGGCCAGCGCCCGTTCCGACGCCTCCCAAGTAATGGCTGTATCGCGTTCGCCAACTCCAAGCTCGAACATACATGGTATCGGCGTTCCTAAGATGCTGGCCACATGGTTGGCATAACCAGACCACCTCGGCACAGCGACAAGGAGCGCGCTGAAAGGCCGACGCCGTAAAAGCTCGGGAGGAGTGATCTTCAAAGAACTTGGGCTGACAATTGGGTGTGGAAGGGGGGGACGGGGTTGCGCTCGTAGCCGCCCGAGGACGCTGGGGTGCGGTGATCAGATGAAGCGGGGCCTTTGTACAGGCACGGCAGAGGCGCCGATGCCGTACACGAACGACAGGTGTGGGCGGAGGCTTGATGGTACAATTCTAACAATGTCATGGTCAGTCGGTTATCGTGGCTCATGCTCCGCTTCGTGAATTCCTTACCCGGCACACAACGCTGGCGCAACGCTGGCACTCGCCCACCATGTCACGCGCGCATTGGCCGACCTTTCCAGTGGTGTGCTGTCGACTGTAGACGTCTCTAACCCTCAGGGTATGGTCAGTCTTCAGTTCCGCCGTCTCCAAATCACAGTGTAACGTGTGGCGGATCAGCTGGTCGCGGTATTCGAGGAGATTGGCGCGGAATTGGCGGCAGGTGCGTGACAGATTGTGCAAAGTGTTTAGATCAAGCTGGCTGGCTAGCTGTCTAACGATACTGTTGTGTTAATCTGGTTAGCGATTCAACATTCGCGACACGGAGCTCAGTCCTTGCGTGGTTCAGGCTCACGGATAACAGCTCAGGGCGGCGGAGAACCCATTGATATTGGGATTCGGACGACCATCCTGGCGAGCTGTGTCCTGCTCTGGCGTGCTTGTGCTGTTGCTCAGTAAGGGACGATACAACGGCTTATTTGAGGTGAAGCTCAATGAAGCATGTCGCCGAGGTTGGACAGTAGTCGTGCCGTCGAAAAGAGAGGTAGAGGGAGAGCTGGCCGCGACTGGAAATGAAGTAGATTCCGGGAGCATTGGCGGCTCGTCGTCAAGATCAATCATGAGCACCATTGTAGACAATTAGGGAAAGACGCCGGTAGCATTTAAGCCAGCCAGTACGATGCGCCTGAGAAGGGAGAGGAGCGGAGGAGAGCGGGTTTGTTCAAGAGGGATAGGCAGATGGGTAGAGAGGAGAGAGCAGGGAAAGCGAGACAGCAAGAGAGGTGGACGTATGAGGTGTTTTATGAAGGTACTCGACTCGTACTCATAGTGAGGGCAGCATCGCGGTCGACGGGCAACGATGACGTGCAGGGTTGGTTTGGTAACTAACTAAGGTAGTATTAGAGACTCTAAGGGGTGGGTCCCACCACACTCCCCTCATAACTTCTAACAGTCGTAATCGCACAAGGTGTGTGCCTGTATCCAGTTAATACCTGGAAAGTGATTATATATTTCGACGGTTCCCAGAGCTAAAGTGGGTGATGATGATGGTAATGACCTTACATACGAGGTGGTGGATGTCTAACCGCAAGGGTGATAAAACGCCGTAGACGCGTCAGTTGTAAGAGGTCACGTGCTCTCATCACCGACTTCGCAATCAATTAGATCTTATCAGATGGAATCTTCACGTAACGAAAACCTCAATTCCGTATTCCATCTTCCATCCTCATCCACTCTCCCCTTTTCTTTCATCGTCAGCCCATGCAAGATCCTTGAAATTACGCCTCAAGCGCCGCTTCCAAGACTCCACAAATCCCTCATCATCAGGGGAGAAAATTTGCCAACACGCATGACTCGGCCCAGTCCACGGCCCCATACCTATACCTCCCTGATGCTGAACACCTCTCCAGAGTCTCCACACAGGAAAATCTGATAAAATTTGATCTGATAATAATTGCGTGCTCCAGTCAGGTAACTACCTTGTACTTACTACTTGGGTACGTGCCTAGGTAGGTAATCATTGCTATGAAAAGCTCGTGTTCTTCCTTAAAACCCCTTCTTACGTTGGAATGATGAAGTGCATATCGTCGTCATATTTTGAACTCAAATCAAGTGCTTATGACATGACAGTGTATTCTTTCAATCTCTAGCTTGCTACACGTTCGGATCTAGTTCTTGGAAAGAGAAATCATTCCCGCAAAACCTGACTGTCTTCAGCCTCCATCTTGTAAGGATTTCGGGCCCACTTGGTACTCGTATCTCATGGTACAGCACCTGCATGAGGTTCACCGCCCTATCTGTCCAGATGTTGCTTGCTGAACTAGTTTTAGTAAATCGCCCGGGTAGTATTAGAAACCTTTCTCTATCAAGGCCATTTTTCATGAAAAAATTCACGGTTTAGTTGCAAAGGGTGAGGATCCTTTGTGCAAATGGATCGACCAAATTTGGACCAAGGGCCCTCGTTGAGGTTGATATCTAGGTACCTATCTGCGGATATATAAAGTACATTGGATCGCCTCAAACAAAGATCCCGAGCTGATGTTTCGGAGTGGTATGTGAGCGCCGTGCAACATCTGCACGATGACCGGACGCAGCATCTATTTGCTTTTATCGCACTTATTGTAGGTTTGCGAGCTCTTACTCGAGCAAAGTTTGTGCCTCCGCACCTGGGCTCGCAGCGGAACTGCAAATTCTATCGTCATTGTTTCAACGACTGAAACAGCCTCGTAGCATCTTCATTATGTTCATACGGAAGTTCTGTTCAATAGAATACTCCAAAAGCCATGGAGTTCCCCGCCATCGGCTAGGGCTTGCATAGTCGCACGTCCGGACCTGTCGATCTTCAAACATCCAAATCGGGTTAGTCTCCGTCATCATCGACGCGACGCGACGGAACTCCCCACGTCATTCCCCCATGGTGAGAACTGTGTCCGATGAGACTGTGTCCGATGAGACTGTGTCTGTGAGACATACATCTTCCAATTGTTTCTTGATGTCAGCGGTACCTGATCTACAGCCGCTCAGATCGAAACGAAGTCTCCAGCGACCTGGGTCAGGTACGGATGGCTCCGCGAAACATTACGATACACTGCCACCCGCGATGTCCTTCACGTCCACTGTGCAACTGTGCAATTCCGCCGTAAGACACTGACGGAACTTCAGCAGAAGATGTAGTGGATGAATGTAATGACAATGTGCGTATAAGAAAGCACTTCTCTCGCGCACTGTAGATCACATCATCATCAACCACTCATCTCAATCATCTAGCTTGCAGTATATTCTTCAAATTCTAAATACTTTCATTCCAACCTAATCGTTAGCCATCGCCTATCATCCAATATGCTTTTCGCTACCAGCTTCATTCTCGGCCTTGCCAGCCTCGCCGCCGCCGCCCCCAACGCTGAGAGCTTCATCTCCAAGCGTGATGTCTTCGACAAATGCTCCGTCTTCGGCGACAACTGTGCCTCTCAGGACCAGTCCTTCTGCGATTCCTCTCGAGGCAAGGTCTCCATCTGCCACAAGATGGGCCAGGACTGCTGGATCCGATTCACCCAGGAGTCCTGCTCCGCCAAGCGCGAGGCTGAGCTCGTGGAGAAGCGCGATGAGTTCAACAAGTGCGCTACCTTCGGTTCGAACTGCAATACCGACGGGCAGGAGTTCTGCCAGGATGGCAAGACCAGAATCTGCCATCAAGTCCCATTCAGCAATGGCGAGTGCTGGGTCAGGCTCACACAGGAGCCTTGCGCCGCGAAGCGTGAGGCTGATGTTGAGGCCATCGCCGTCGAGAAGCGCGACGAGTTCAACAAGTGCGCCACATTTGGGTCCAAGTGCTCGTCTGATGGCAATACCTTCTGCGACGGCGGCATTCAGAAGGTCTGCCACCAGGTTGGCTTTGGAAGTGGTGAATGCTGGATTCGCAATACTGCCACGAAGTGCTAGATGCGCAACACTGCCAACATGTGCTAGATGCACCGTCATCGTAGCATGGGGAGCACCCCAACATTGCTTCGTACAATGTAAATATTTTCTTTGAATGGAATAAATGGCTTCAGGTGCCTTTGATAGGGATCGGGCGCGACGTTCCTTTGGTATATAAGATCACGACTTTGGACGCATACATACTTGTCTGTTTCATATCTCTTCTCTAGATAGATTTTCGAATCAATTAGATCTCTATTTGATGATATTCACATAACAAGTTTGAATTTTTGTCCCAACTCAGTGTGTGTTGTTCATGTACATACAGCTGGATTCATTGTTGCGATCGCTGTACTAACCTCGTACCGGATGAATCAAGCTGCATCTATAACCTCCACCAACGAAAGTCGAACGGCGGAGGCATGGCTCAGTCATTCAACATGTGCGCGCATCCTAATCCTTGACATCCAGAAATTGCAGAACCGCCATGCATGACAAAATGAAGCTAAGCTACCCCTGCTGTCCTACCATCAAAGCTCAATCCGTATAAACAAAATCGAGCAAACATTTAATCGCTTTGCGAGGTCATCAAACTCACCTTCACTTCCTGACGTTTCCTTTATGAGGAGGCATAAGCTTGTATTCTCAACCTCTTGATCACTCAGTCTCTCATCTTCCCAATTCAATCCCGATGGCGTCTACTCCTCAAGAGAACCAGGATTGTGGGCTTGGTACACCCCCAACGATGGGTTCATTCGATGCCAAAAACTCCTCTGTTGAATATATTAGTGAAACCATCGAACACAAGTCATTGCCTTCACCCGCACCGTCGGTCAAGAGCTTCGGTGCCATCTCCCGCAAAAGCACTTCAGTACCACCCACGCTCTCATGGCGATTCTCCAACCCTCCGGCGATCAAACCCATTACGACCCCATGTCAACCGGCCGCAAGAAAGCAGCACGAAGAACTAGTCCAGATCCAATACCGCAGCTGGTGCGCCGACGTCTCGATATTCCACTACGCCGATGCGATCGTTCCTGTGAAGACTTTCATGACGAGCTTGACGCACTTTGGCCTGGGCTACGAGCACACGCTTAGGGCCGTGGACTTTCTGAGTGATCAAAGCTGTTTTCCCGTTGCTCCAGGGAATGAACCCGTGCCCGGAACCATCGAGGCAGTGTACCTGCCCAACATCTTCCGCAACAAGGGCTCCGCTGTGGGTTTCAGGAACGAGGCTGAGGACGAGATTCTGTTGTATTGCTTCAATGTTCCTGTGGAGTCGTATCTGATAGATGCTCGAAGCGCCAATGGTGATAAGTTGTTCGATAAGGTGGCTATTCTGGAGAAAGGTGGTACAGCGAAGGATGGGAAGGGTTGGAAGGGCAACATAGAGCACATGGTATGGCATATCGGCGTGAACACTGCGACGAGGAAGCCAATCCGATTGAAGCTGTCCCAAAAGCCACTGCTATCGAGGACGCCGCAGAAGTCACTCATGTCGAAGACGCCACAGAGACCATCCAAGACCGACTTTCCTGGCGCAACATCGCCTCTACCATATGTTGGTGAGACTGTTGGAAGAGGAGGAAAGGTTGTCAATCCAAATCGAGCAACGAGGGGCTCTGGAATTGTGTCAAGGAGGTATCGATATTGATGGTCAGACGTTCTGGAACTTATACTGCCCTATGCTACTCTTACAGGGCAGTACAGCTGCGAGTATGTCCTTACCAGCGCCTCTGAATACTGTCTTGCAAATAAGGCCCCGCAAACACGCAGTATACTCTGATTTTGGACGTTTGAGTTGCATACTGCAGCATTTCAAAAAGTTGACCGAACGACGAAGGTTTCGCAAAGTACTTTTGTTAGTGTATAAATATAATACCTGCCACCCTGCCTCTCATCATTCAAGCTTGACAGTTGGAATTAACTAAGTACATAATCCATGCATGTACGGAAGAAACCAAGCAAGGGCGGCAATTGGGGTCATTCTCAGCCATTGAGAACGACAATAGATAAATGATAAACTAAAAGTATCCAGATCAATTTCATGCACGTGTGTAATTATTGGATGTCAAATTCGGGTTTCTTTCGTTTTATGGCATGGCTTACGGCACGTAAGTGTGGTACGTCGTTGGGGTACCGAAAGTGGCGTACCTGAGCCGTCCCGCCAATAGAATTGCGCGATATTCCCTCGTAGTGACGGAAAGATAGGCGGCGGAGTAACCTTGGGACAAGAGAGAAGAAAATTGGCCCGATAGATAGCTCAACACTATACATCTAGACCGGCTGCTCATCATGGTCGCTTGATCGTTCTTCACCATATCGTCCTTCTCTTCCTTGGTTACTGCACTGTGTAGAGGCCCCTCGACGCCAGAAGGACGCCTTCCTGGCGGATTGCTCGGCTGGCCGAATCGACATCATAGATATTGCCAATTGCGGACGAAGACAGTCTTGCCGTCATGGCCACCGGTCTCCTCTTATCATTCGTGGCAGCAGTCCAAGCCTCTCTATCTGTAATTCTGGTCATCTTCTACGGCGCTCTAGCAGCAAAGCTATCTCTGCTCAACTCTGCCAATGGCAAAGCCATTTCGAAGATCTGCGTGCAGATGTTTCTTCCCTTGTTGCTCCTTGTACAGATTGGATCGGAATTACATCTAGAATCTGCACATCGCTATGGTATTATATTGGCATGGGCGATTATCTGTCATATCATATCATTCGTGATTGGCATTGTCGGACATGTGTTTCTTGGATTTCCCGACTGGATCACGGCAGCAATCATGTTTAACAATACGACAAGCTATCCATTATTGTTGATACAGAGCCTCGACCAAACCGGAATCTTGAAGACTTTGATTGTGGAGGACGAGAGTACGAAGGCTGCGATCGAAAGGGCAAAGAGCTATTTCCTGGTTTTCGCGACAGTGTCAAGTTGCTTGACATTCGCTATTGGACCACGACTCATCGACTCAGAGCATGCGCCTGAAGCGGATAGCTCCTCGGTGGAAGATGAGACATCAAATGGGAATGTCACTATTGCTGCAACAGACATTGAGAGTGGAAGCGGAAACACAACGCCAACGCCAACATCACCAGTCTCACCAACAGAGCGCTCTCGATTGCTCCCACCCCGGAGGAAATCGCACCATCAACGGCATACGTCCATCACATTCTTCCCATCGCAGCCCAAGTTCGCATCGCTTCCTCGGAGACCGTTCTATATTCCTCGACCCAAGTGGAAGGACTTCAGTCCCCGGGCTCAGTGGTGGCTACTGTTTCTCTACGACTTCGTGAATGCGCCTCTGGTAGGCGCCGTGCTCGGAGCCATCATCGGATTAACACCGGCCTTGCACCGCGCGTTCTTCAATGACACTTACTCCGGCGGTTTCTTTACGGCCTGGTTGACTGAAAGCTGGAAGAATGTCGGTGGATTGTTCGTACCATTGCCGCTCATCGTTGCAGGGATCTCATTGTACACTTCGTACAAGGAGTCCAAGCAACCTTCACAGGCGCAATGTGTGTCTTCTAAATCGGTACCTTGGTTTACGACGTTCATACTCGTCATCCGCTTCGTCATCTGGCCAGTGTTTAGCATTGGTGTGATCTATGCAATTGTGAAAAAGGCAGGTAGACATGGAGTCTTGGGCTCTGATCCGATGCTGTGGTTTACAATGATGATCATGCCCACTGGGCCACCTGCGATGAAGCTGATCACCATGGTTCAGGTATCGGACGCTGGTGCTGATGATGAGCGACAAATTGCCAAAATTTTGACCATATCGTATATCATTAGTCCATTACTGGCGTTCACTGTTGTCGGTGCGCTCAATGCAAGCCGGGCCGCTATTGGCGTTTGATTTGATTGTGATTTGATTCATATTTGCTGACATGTAGTTGAATATATACTGTAGACATCTCAACCCAATGCAAACATTGTTGCACCTGACGACCATGTGCTGAGTTCTTGTATTGAGGTGACAGTATGGACTCTACATAACCAAGCATCCGCCTTCGGTCTTAGCTCCTTTCTCAGTCGTCGTCTTTGCCGCCGTCTTCGCGATATCCTCGAGCACCTGTCGACACAATTCCCCAGTCACCGCGCTGCACTCCGCGTATAGATCAGCTCTAAGCTCTTGTGCAACCAACAGTCCTTCTTGAGGCATCACACTTGGCCCCCGTCCGCCATCTCTTGATTCCTCCTCCGTCCACTCCTTTCTCAAGTCCCTCTTCAGACCCAAAACCATCACAGGTAGGGCATCGTTGCAGTCAAAGTGTGAGTTCACCAACTCGCGCCATCGCTGCTTCAGCGAGAGAAGGCTGTCGCGGCGCGTAATATCGAAGCAGAGTATTAGGAAGGAGGGCTCGAGAAGGGTATAGTTGGTCGGAGAGGCAGTGTCATAAAAGGCGAGCGCATACGGGCGCCGGTACAGGGTCAGATTGAATTGGAAAGGCTGGTCCATGTCGCGTAGCGCAGGGAGCTCGGAATGTGAAGCCCCATCATCCTGTGGGCGGCCGCCGATGCTCAGTCGCCTGATAGGATCATCAGTATATGGGCATTGAGCGGGGACGTTGCATGCGTAGGTACTTACGAGAGGAACGTCGACTTACCCACTTCGCTGTCGCCAAGAAGAAGGACTGTAATCTCTGGCGGTGCGTCAAGGTACTCCATTGTTGAAGTCGAGAAGTAAGTATCTTTGGGGCTCGAGGCCGTTCCCACTTTGTCAGGGTGGCCTCATCGTTTGAGATTGCTTTTTCTGTTCTTGGACGTTGGAGGACATTCACAGCTCTAGATGGCGCTAACGGGATTAGCCTATCTTGGCACGGCCGATAAGATAAGACAATATGCCGTTGTTACAACCAGGTTTGTACCTCTCGAACAGTGGAGATGCAGATGCATAAAGACTCGTCATGAGCTTGTTCAATCTCCCCTGTAACCTACATGCAGGAGCATGAAGAAGGTGGAATGTCATCACTAGTGGAACTCCACCTTGGCGGATATGATGACAGTTGTGGGGAAGGTCATCAATTAGCCAATACATGTCAGTATGAATTCAAGTGTAGATGCGATCGAAGGAAGACTGACGGATCAAGCAATATTCGTGCATTTCAGGCTGTCCCCTATTCCGCTCTACGAGCCAATGGCCTTAGAACTTTTCCGTCCGATGAGACATTTGCTTATTGCTATATCTCAGTTCGGGTTGGTGCCGGCTCCCCATTTGCACGTCGTATAGCTGGATCGCGTCAACTACTCGATCTCAGCTCAAGTATTCGAGCTTACATATGTCAGCATTGTACAAAGATCCTAGTTGCAGGATCTTTAAATCCTGCAGCTTACTTTTAGGTACCTTATTTCGTACGGAAGCCAGGCCATTGATCTGGAATCGGTGTTAAGGGCACTACAGAAACACAATCCGGTGTTTGCTGGTACCGAAGCGCGAGGCCATTGTTCCAGGAATGTACGGATGTGTAACCACATATGCACAACACCCGGCGGGGCTCTTTCGATAGATATCTTGGATCATCTATATAAGATCAAGGCATTTTACCACCCTCCACACGGCGCAGCTCAGTGATTTGTTCTTTTGCATCTTCCCTGACCATCACCGCTTTATTGTACAGAACTTCCGAGAGTACTTTGCATGCAACATGTCTTCATTCATCATCAAGGATGTCAGAATCTTCACTGGCGAGAAGGTCATTTCAGACGGATACATATACGTCAAGGATGGTCTAATCAAAGCCGTTGGGCCTGTTGAAGGTGTCCCACAAGCCTCCGTTAAGACGTACTCAAAGCCAGGACATACACTCCTCCCGGGATTTATTGACTGCCACATTCACGCAGATAAGGCAAACCCTATTGCTTTGCCCCAAGCCCTACGCTTCGGAGTCACTACTGTTTGCGACATGCACAATGAGCTGGGAAATGTCCCAAAACTACATGAGCAAGCGCTGAAGCCAGATACCGCCTCTTACAAAACGGCGGGTGCATCAGCAACAGTTGAAAACGGCTGGCCTGCTGCAGTTATAACAGCATTGGACAAAAGCGAAGAGACGGCGGCGGAAATAGCGGCCTGGCCCAGATTGACAGACCGTCAGAGTGTCATTGACTACCTGGAGTGGAACAAGAAGGAAATGCGACCTGATTACATCAAACTCATGAATGAATCAGGAACCTGCATGGGTATGAAATTGAATAAACCTTCTTTTGAGCTCCAGAAGATCATCGTAGAAGAGGCGAACAAGCGAGGATATCTGACGGTCGCTCATGCTCTGTCGCTCGACGATGCCATCGAAATTCTTAATGCTGGAGTCAACGGCCTGACTCATACCATTTGCGATCAACCGCCGAATGAAGAGCTCATCAAAGCGTACAAAAGAAACAATGCGTGGCTGAACCCGACACTGTCTGCTATAGGAAGCTTGACAACCGAAGGGAAGGAGATCCAGGAGCGCTTCGCTCATGACAAAAGAGTAGAGGGCTTGCTTGAGGCAAAGGGCATCGCAGCTCTTTGTAGTTGCATGGCATTCGCTGTAGAACACGGGAAAGTAGAGAATGCATATGAGAGTGTAAGACAGCTGAGAGCAGCCGGGATTGATATCGTCTGGTAAGTTTACAGACACAATTGAATATATCGTACTAACGCTATCAAGTGGAAGTGACTCCGCTGGTCCGGCGCTGGGAACTGCGTTTGGACTTTCGCTTCACCAGGAGCTGTATCTCTTTGTGCACAAAGTAGGAATGACACCTGAAGAGGCTATCCGATCTGCCACAAGTCTCACGGCACGACGCTTCAATTTCGCAGATCGCGGTAGGCTGGAAGAGGGTTTCAACGCGGACTTGCTGTTAGTTGAGGGGAATCCTTTAGAGGATATCGATGCGACACTTAACATTCGAGGTGTGTGGCGCGAAGGGCACGCCTGCAGTGCGCATGTAGGGAAAATTTAAAGGGTGAAGGTTCGACGCTAGCCCTCCTGTAGATAGATGTTCTAGTAGCATGTTCTGCACTGCGCAATGTAGTGTGGAAGTCATGTTGTAGAGAGCTATCTTAGAGGCACTACTTATGCATAAAAGGACTCTTACTTGAATATTCCTATAGGAAACAAGCGTGTCTAGCTTTACTTCAACAGCTGCCACTTTCCGCACCTTCACGAACCGATAGCAGACTTAACTCTAGGCTTCCATAGAAAGTTGTTTCGATGTCTGTATCCACTTTCACCCATTTTCTATATAACTTCTAATTTCTCTTGAAAAGTGACAATCTACCCTCATGCTTTACAAATTACCAACCCATCCATCAATAATAAGCCAGGACCCCCTAGATGCTCTGGGCTGGGACAATGCGGATCAGGACCCAGTACAAGCTGACGTGATTGATGCTCTGCTTCGTAAAGCGAGCAGCAGCATCGAAGAAGCAGGCAATGCTGGTGCCCTACCGAAGCTCATTGAAGATCCCTCATGGACGAGTCACGGAAACGGGAAACTAGAAACTCGCGGTTTGAAGCAGTTCCTCCAAAACGCAAAGATTTCCAATTCGGCTGTTCGGTCTGTGATAAATGCTGCACGACAAATGCAAGATCTATTCCCTGACCACGCTATTCAAACTATTGAGAATGCCGGGAATAATGCAACGCTCAACGCAGTGCAAGTGAATAGCTTACTTGCTCATCAAGTCCTTGGGAGAGCTGTCGCAAACAGCAAAGGCTACTTGGGGAATACCCTGCTTCACTGCATGGTATAAAACTGAGCAGTTCCATCCCTCCTGCTCTCCTTCACTAATATCTTCTTCCCCACCTTGACGGCCATCATAGAAGAGATTACCTTCTCGCAGTCAGTCCTTCAGTCATTCGAACATCGCTCTTAGGAACGGCCAGGTCAGGTCAAGTCAAGTCAGGTGAGTCCGCACTCCGTCAGTATTCCTTCGCATTACACAAGAGCCTTGGGAAATCTTAATACTGATGTTCCTCAACAGCGGCTGCAGAATGGAGGCGCAAAACAACTGCTCGCAGAATGATACGGCGTGCCTGCCGGGAGGGTCGGACGGCGGCAGCACTGAGGTCGAGATGGGATTTTCGACGCAGCTTGACCTCGACCAAGAGATGTTAAAGGCCGAGAACGAGGTCATGGCAACGGAAGAAGCACTTGCGGCAGACGGTGGCCGCTTTGAGCCAGCTCCGTGCGTTGCTGTACTGCCCCCATGGTAATTCCATCATTCCTGACATTGGTCCAGACAGCTGTACAAGACGCCAATTACGATTCTCTTCGGATTCGAGCTTGAGAACCAGTTCGTATGTCATCTCGAAATCCTAAGCTGCTACTCCACGAAAATTGCTCAAGAGTTCGAAGATCATAAGGAGCACGGAATCCAAGTCTCCAAAGCGAAGATGATGGAGCAAAGGCTTGAGGATTTACTATATAAATTTCTCGACGAGGAGGACATCGAATTGCGGAAAGACATTTCGCACGAGGTTTGGATTGCGTCACGCATGTTAACATTAGCAGCGGGCGGGCTAACATGTAAGAACAGATGATAGAACAACTTCACCTGATAATCAGACACTATCCGATGGTCAGCCTACGCGACTCTCTGAGAGACCATATGGCGGACATCTTGTGGGCTGTGTTTGCGGATAACAAATGTCACAAGGACTCATCGTCAGCATCCGCGACAAGGAAAAAGCTTCAAGGTCAGTCTCTGTTCCAACAGACGCAGCATCTAAATTTGCATGGCCTGGAAGCCTTCACGATACGTGTCAATTTACTGCTCGATCGGATTAGGTTGAGCCACCAGAAGAAGGCAAAGAAGAATGTGAACGTCGCGTTTGCTGACAATCAGATCCTACTTCCAAACCACGATGAAAGCACCGTGTACACAGTCATCCACTGGGTCTATAACCAACAGCTTCAGTACAATAGCGGGAAGGAGCTATGCAGAACGTACGACCTTGCAGAGGCACTGGGAATGCATGTGCTAGCAGGGCAATGCCTCCATATTCTCGAGGGTGCAGCCATTGCCGCCATCCAAGATGCTAAGAATAGAGGACTCTCGATCCGGACCGTCATGGAGAACGACGCGAAATATTCGAAGAGCCGGACACCAGGCCACCCAAGCAACGGTCGAGATCATCTAGCCGACATCGTGTCTGCGGTGTTCTACAGCGTCCTCGCGTCGAAGAATCCGCCGCCTAGTCTGGAGAGAATCGTCGTCGACACAGTTGCGAGCTCACTCGATCCGGCTTTCTATGAGTGGTTGAGGCCCATGGCGTCGGAACTCATGAAGGACAGGATAATCACTGCCCTGATGTCTCGACCGTTTTGAGCGTGCACTATCTTAGCTCGATTGTGCACAACTTGCGTGGGATTTGGGGGCCCCTTCACGGTACACAAGACTATACTGCCTGCTTCCTCAAGTGCTTGCAAGCATAGCACCCTACCCACATCTCCGCGTCATCTTTTCATGCATCTAAGGCGGAAAGAGGCAACTTACTACATGAAACCTACCATATATTCCCTCAGGACCGGCCGGTCATTTTTCAAAAGTTTTGGGATCTTGGGCAGCATCTAAGGCGGAAAGAGGTAACTTTCACACGAAACCTACCATATTTTCCCTCGGGACCGGCGGGCGGTCATTTTACAAAAGTTTTGGATCTTGGGCGGGCATGCATCAGCAAGCAAGAAAAGGCACTTGCTTGGGCACTAGGGATCTTTGCACCAAATTTGCGGTCATTCTGATACATATTCACTTCCTATCTCCCAAAGGGGCAATGAGGACTTACATGAGAGAGACAGTGGGGGGTGAACAAATGACGGATTTCCCGCCCTGTCTAGAAGATACTTGGGTTTGATAGCAATCCGACTTACTTCATCTCTTCCAAATCATGTAGACGCCCGTGTGACATGTGCACGTCTTGTCTCAAGCTTCCCTCCAAACCAAAGACGCCTTTGTTTTCCGATCGTCCTGAGCGAGGCCCCGCCGCGCCCGCCGCCCGCGCGGCCCTCATGGACGGCCAGAGCTGATGATGATCCTGAAGCAGGAAAACCTGGCCCATTAGACATTGTCCCCGAGCAGGCGGCCGGGGGATTGATCGGTGCGGGCATTTCGCATCGCGCCACCACCACCGGCGATCCCTGTCTCGAACTGAGGTATCTCATCCCAAGGCCTGGACGCAACCGGCGAGACCGCCCGCAGAGCTTAGGCCTGTCTCCTCCTCTTCTCCTACTAACTACTTCTCGTGTGCCCGCCCGTCGCACAAACGAAGCTGGAATCGAACGACCTTTCCGCGGTCGAAACTGCGCACTGCTGATCCATATCCCCTCCTCCTATCCGCGTTACTCGAAACGGGCATGACGTCTCGGCGGACCGCGGTACGAAAGGCCATGTTCGGATAGGAAATGACTTGGGTGTTGGGGTGTGACGGTCGACTGAAATGTGTATGGGCGGCGAAAGGGGAGGGCCATGGAAAGAGGCGTTTTCCTTCTCTTGTGTGTTGCAGGCAAGGGACTTGTGAGTGGCCGGCCGATCGACGTTCAAATGGATGGTTCGAACGTTCCGGCAACCGGGTTGGAGTCGGGGTGGAGTGCATGCGTTTGTACTTGTAAGTGTAGTGTGTACGTCGTGAAACTGGGTTGTTGTGGTGTTGAGCCACCGCCCCCGGTGCACAGCCTGGTGGAGGAGAGTGCAGTGATGGGGTTGGGGTTTGATGGCTACACTCGTACAGTGTGGCTAGGCTAGACTGATACAGATGTCAGAACATGAATGTTTACGGAGTAACTCCTAGACAAACAATTAGTGCATGTAGATACGTATCTGTGCAGAGGAGATCGATTCCAGGAAACTCACATTCAGTTATGCTTCATTGAGTGGACACTGCATTCAGAGCCCACTCTGAGCCTGATATGCCTTCGGCATTACACAACCTCCCCCAAGTACCCAAAACATCGACAAGCGCTGTCACAACCTCAAACACGCCAATGACAGCCCTTGTAATCTAGGCGTACCTTGCTTCTAAGACATGCTACACAAAGTGCTCGTATCTGTGCAAGACCGTTGCACCCCACATCCCAACACGCTCTTGTGCGACATAGAGCATGATCCGTGCCAGGGCGCCCTCAGTGCAGAACTGGCAGGACCTGTTCTTCCCTCGCGCCATGAGTCCATCGTGTTCCCACTGGTGAATCTGAAATCCAGACACACTAGCTAACTCGGAGATGGAAGGGATGAGAGGCACATCGCACGCTCTGACGCCAGGCATTGCTATCCCTGGAATGCAGGACCGGCGAGCGGCAGAGTCCACAAGAGAGGGACCTAGGCACAGGTAGGGGAAAGGTTGCGAAACGTCAACAGGCGCTGAACTCCGCGGGTCGTTTGTTGTTGTTCCCCACTGTTTTGTTCAAAGCAAACGGAAGGTACCCATTCCCACAGCTTCTCTCATGCCATGGTCGCCCGATCCGTAACGATTTGCGTCGGTCGATCCACCGGAGAAAAGCTATCGCCAAGAGGGTAATACCATGGGAGCAGGGGAGACATGCACGTCACGGCCAGGTTCGGTGAAGCCTCAATTCCTCTTCGAGCCGTGTGTCTGACGGATCAGGGGGGAGGCGTCACAATGTGGCATGCACGCTGTCTGTCGTGTTCGACAAAAGCCTCTGCATTCCACGTGGGGACACACACATACACACACATACACAGACACACACATAGGCACGGATCGAGGAGGCAGGACGGACTGCCGCCCGAGCCTGATAGCCCGGCGGTTGGTTGGGGGTGGGGAAGAAGGGGAGGGAAGGGGAGGGGGAGACAAGGGAAAGGAACGAATGTTATATTGCATGTTCGTGCCGGCTGTCCCTCTCATCTCGTTTCGTATCTTGTCGTGCAGCTGGTATTTTCTCCATCCAAACTTTTGGGAAGTTCGATGCTGTGCCCAGGAAGTCGTGAATGGAAAGTGTTGTTTTGATCATCACTGCCTATAACAACGGTTAGTGGAAAGTGTAAAACGATACATCATTCATTCCCTTCAAACATCTTGGACTCAACTCTTCCACCCACACACCCACAAATACACACAAACACACATAATACTCACGGTCGCCTTTTTGGACCATTTTGGAGTCTCGCGCGTATGTATCATGTCACTCTCTCGATTATGGACACTTGCTGATGATTGCGGTCAGTGAATTGATAGGCTCGTTGGTCTATCCCTACTCGTACCTACTCTCGTTCTCTGGACTGTCCGTGAGGAAGAAAGCCGATTTCACTTCGCTTGACCTTTTTTTCCAGTTGACGTCAAGATGCACGAATCCAAACAATCAGTTTCACTTATGGACTGGTGGTCTTGGCGAGGGCCACTGCACGAGATGGCTGCTCACAGACTTCCACTCCCGCTTCCTTTTCTTTCTCTTCCAAATGACGATACCTTAAAATCACTTGAACGCTCCTTCCAAGAATTGAATAGACTAGAAAAGGCAACCGTTCGTCGACCAACCTCGTGCGCCACCTTCACCAGTGACACGACCATCTCGCAAGATACTTCACTTTCGTTAACGTCCATACCTCAATCGAAGATCGTCTACGAAATGGATCCACTTCCGCCGAAACAGCCTATTAGGCTACTTCGCCATCTTCGTCTGTCCATGCTGACGGTATATCGCCGCATCTTCACCATCATCGTTCTCCTCAACATGATTGGTTTGTTCCTGCTCATCCAATCCCCCGCTAAACTGGAAGACATGTCCACGTGGGCATCGGCCAACTTCCTCGTGGCAATTCTCTTTCGTCAAGACTGGGTCGTCAACATCATATTTCGCTCTGCATGGCTTGTACCCTGGAGCATGCCTCTCCGCCTGCGCCGAATGGTAGCTCGTGCCTACATGTATGGAGGAGTGCATAGTGGCGCTGCTCTCGCCGGAACAATGTGGTTCTTCACCTTCACTCTGATGTTGACTGTACGCTTCGCTGGTGAAGGTCAATACACGAATCTGATCTTCGTGATCACCTGGTTCATTCTGATTGTACTTGCGATAATCTGCTTCCTCTCCTTGCCAAACTTGAGGTCGAAATATCACAACACATTCGAAATTACGCATCGATTCCTGGGTTGGTCATCCATCTTGCTATTTTGGACACAGCTTATGCTTCTCATCAAGTCCAAATCCTTTCATAAGCAGGAAACCTTCAGGACCGTGCTCATTCGTGCGCCAACATTCTGGAACCTATTGATCCTCACTTGCTTGATACTGGCTCCATGGCTGCGCCTTCGTCGCTGGACCTTTACGCCTCATGTCCTATCCTCGCATGCCCTTCGCCTTCACTTCACCAACCGCATTCACCGATTCTCCTGCCTGGCAATCTCAATCTCGCCCTTTGGTGAATATCATCCCTTTGCCACGTTCCCCTCTACGAACCCTTCCGAGCCTGGCTCGTCACTCATCATTTCAGCCGCGGGTGATTGGACCAAGGAACAGATTCGCATTGCTAACGACCTGATCCGGGAGAACAACGCCTACAATTCTGAAAAGAAGATGACCTTCTGGATCAAGGGCAGCCCCAAAGCAGGTGTGCTGTCCCTAACGTGCATCTTCCAACGCGTCGTGATCATCACCACAGGCTCTGGCATAGGACCGTCACTGTCCTCACTGGTTGAACGCCCCGTTGCGCAAGTCGCTCGCTTGATCTGGAGCACACGGTCACCGGAACTCACATACGGCTCTGCTATCTGCAGAGAGGTCTCTAATGTCGATCCAGACGCAATTGTCATCGACACTGACACCATGGGCCGTCCTGACCTCATCCAAGTCGCCTGGAAAGTGTACAGCGAGATGAAGGCCGAAGCTGTGTTCGTACTCAGCAATGAAGCAACGACGAAGAAGGTCGTGTATGGCCTCGAGAGCAGGGGCGTTCCCGCCTTTGGTCCCATCTGGGACTCTTGAGACACATTCTCTCTCTTCTCTCGTCTTGCCTGCAACGAGGCATTCAGCCTCTGACAAGGCATCAGGCTTCTAAGAAAGCATTAACGGGCGACATCACTTTTCCTTGGGGAATGAAGTATTCAATTGGGCGGATAATATGATTGAGTATGCATCAACGAATATGCTTATCGATTGGGCATTACTGGTGACTGGTTATGATGAATGTATATGGGCGGGCAAACATCGTTTTTTTTTGGTCTTTCACCTTTCTCCTCTCTCCTTTTGGTGAACGGGCTTTCTTTTCTTTTTTGTGTATAATGATTATACCCCACTTTTTCGATAGTTATTTTCAATATATCTTTCCAACATTGAAAGTAGACTTCGTAGTTCGTCATGACTTTCCGTGAAGATCTGCTGCGCATTCACCTACGTGACCAACCAGAGTAGCCAGGGAGAATTTAAGTGGAGACACAATGCAGTAATCATTCACTGTTCCCATTGCCTTTGGTAGGAATTTGAGCTTGACCGTGGTGCTGGGTCCATGGGCTTACAGGAACCAAACTGGCAACCAAAATGCCACAGGGCCGTAACACCTTCGTTGTAACAGCGGAATATGAGAGGAGTTCGGGATGGTTGATATTCTATACTATTTAGAAATATCCCTATCAAAATGTAGCTGTTGCACAAGACTACATGTGATTGGCTGATAGCTTCTGATATGCGTCACGCTAACCCGATCCAGCCACACCGAGGTTTTTGCCTTTCACTCGAACGACCGCATCGTCACTCAACATTCAGCTGTTTCTCACACCACGTCTCGTCCTCCCGTCACCTCGAATCTATCATTCACTCCCTTGTCCAATTGTCACACGCAATTGGCTCCGCTCGACCATGCAAGTAGCACTGCTACAGTAGAAGACCACGCGCGGCACGGAGCTTACTTTCAAACATCCACCTACACCAACCAACCTTTTTCCAACCTCCATCAACCAACCCTCCGCTCCCCAGAGCCCTCCGGAGAAAAAGCTCTCAACATGGTCAAATTCTACTCCTCAAACGACACGTACGCCTACCCCTTCCCCGCCGTCACGCTCGCCTACTTCCTCCGGTATCCGAATCCATACTCGACCCACGTGCTCTCGACCGACACCATTGCCCGGCACTACGACGCCGAAAAGCAGCAGCTCACGACGGTGCGCCTGCACCTCAAGCGCTCGAAGCTGCCGAGCGCGGTCCTGAAGCTTGTCCCCAGGTCCCTGCTCGGCGCATCCGCCAGCGGCGACACGCAGTCGTACATCCTCGAGAAGTCGGTCGTCGACATGAGGAACGGCGTCATGGACACGGAATCCCGCAACCTCGAGTGGACTGGCATCCTCAGCGTCATCGAGCGCCAGCAGTTCCGGCGCCCTACCTCCCCCGCACAGGAGGACGCGAAGTTCTGGCAGGGCATGGAGGGCGCGGCTCGTCGACACGGGTTCCTGTCGTTCGGCCCCGGCGCAAAGGTCGAAGACAACGGAGAGACGACCGAGGTGACGAGCTCAGTGACGCTGCTCTCCCACGTCGGCGAGAGGTGGAAGAAGAGGAAGGCCGCCGAAGGTGCTACCGCCGCCGGTGCCGCCGAGGACGACCAGCAGCCCCAGAAGATGGGCTTCCTAAAGAGCTGGACCACGGCGTCCCTGCAGCGCAGCATCGAGGGGATTGGCCTGAAGCGCGCGATGAGGAGCCAGCCCAACGCCAAAGAGGGCATGAAGGTGGTGCTGCAGCGCATGCGGGAGGGCGGCCTCGTCGCCGTGCTCGAGGGCATGCGCCAGGATCGCGAGGCAGGCCTTCTCACATACGGCGAATCTAAAAGCGGACCTCCTCGCCGTGGAGGAGACGGGGGAGCCGATTGAAACGAATTTCCTTTCCTCCCTTCCTCCCTTTCGCATCATTCGCAGGAGCAAACAGCGTTCCGTTCCGTAACGAATTCCAAACCCCCCAAAAGTAAAAAAGGACCATGAAAAACACGTCACTCTACGTCCATCCATCATTCCAACATCCTCGTTCCTCTCTTCTTCTTCACCAACCTCTTTTATGGAATATATTTACATTTAGCGAAGGCGCCATGGGTATTATTTATCTTTTCGTTTCATTTCGTTTCGTTTCGTTTTCTCTCCTGTTTTATGAACCAGAACTCTCCTACTCTACCAACCTCACGAAACCAACGGCCCAATCAACAAACGTACTCTTTCCACATTTGTTCTTCTCCTTCTCCCCTTCTCCTCTGTATTCATACAACTCTCTTCCTCTCTCCCTCTCCCCCTCCGTGTGTGTGCGTGTGTGCGTGTGCGTATGGAAACGATATCGTCTACTCTGTCCCGTCTAGTCTTTGTTTCTCGGAGGGCAAAAAACAAAAATGTATGTACGGTATAAACGAAACCTTTGAAATCCTAATGGAAAAACCAGTTTCTCTTTCCCCAAAAAAGAAGAACAAGAAAAACCTTGATCCCTCCCATGTGCAAGCAATAACCACTTCTACACAAGCAAGCGTGAGTGACGACGGGTACCTACGGCAGAGGGATATCTCTTGGGACTTTGACGAATGCAGTTACTGATTGTATATCTAACCATATTTTGCTGAATGATTTAATCACAGACCCCACATGTGACAGCTAAATGGCTCACAGACTGCAGCTCTCTATGTACATGCTCCATGGGAACCCAGGTGAGCTTGATATCATTGCTGGTTCGCGTTGGGGCCTTTCTTTCCGATCAAGCCCCCCTTCCGCAGTCCGAAGAAGCTCAACGGAATGACAATAACACAGCCAGCAAATATTGTCCAGAACGCGGCTCTGAAACCTACCATGAGCCAAGCCTCGTGGGTAGTGGCGTCCGACCTCTCCGAGACGGACCTCGCAATGACCGCTATTATAGCCAGGCCAACAGAGTTGCCAAACTGACAGATTTCACTGAAGACGCCACCAGCGAGCGACTGTGTATCATCAGGAAATGCATCCGAGATGACGAGGTTCGAGATCGTAAATAGGGCTGTTGTTTCTCAATCAGTAAAGTGAGATGAAATTTGTTTACAGTGCCGCACTGACCATCAGGGTTGATAGGTGATAGTACCAGAGCCCAGAAGGGCGCAAACCAGTAGTTAGAGTTCATGGGCATCGTGGCCATCAGAAGAGGGGAGATCGCTGTCACTATGGCGGTTATGACGGCGAGGCTCTGTATGTGAACCCGCGAGACGAGGTAACCTGTCAACACGTTGATGAATAGGCCTCCGCATACATGGGGTATGAACCTCAAGGAGCTCTCGAGCGCTGAGGTGTGCTCTATCTGTTGGAAGCTGTACGATGAATGTTAGATATTTCAGGAATCGTGGAATGTATCAGTCGAACGAGCTTACTAGAGTGTCGTCAAGTACTGGATGCAATTCATACCAGCCCAGCTCAGAAACACACAAACGCAAATGGACGAAAAGACCGCGTTCCGCCAAAGGCTGTTTGGAATAAGAGCTGGCCGACCTCTCCGCGTCTGGTAACTCATCCAAAAAGGGAACAACAGGATGAGTATAATAGACAACAGAAGCAGCACAATGGCCTGCGGATCTCTTACGCTCAAGCTGGAAGTTATCGCGGCCAAAACGTACAGTAGTAGGCCCAGGCCGACGCTGATGACGATCGCGCCGACCCAGTCGATATCTCGCGTGAGTCGACGGATGCGTGAATCAGTATGACTAGCCTGGTGAATATTCGGCAGCAACCATATGGCCGCAGTGGATATCAGGAAGTTCATCATAGCAGCAATGTAGTAAGCCCACCTCCACCCGATGGTGTCAGTGAATACACCGCCCAAGACAAGGCCTAGAGCGAAGCCCAAGGGTGATCCAAGACCAACTGTCGCGAATGCTACATTGCGCCAATTTCCCTTGGGAAAGGTATTGGTAATGAAGCTCACTGTAGTGGGGAGGCTCACGGCAATGGAAGCACCTTGGAACGTCCGAAACATGATGATTTGAATGCCGGAGCGAGAGAAGCCGACCGCCAGGGTAAAGGCGATGTAGAGGTAAGTTCCAGTCAGCCACATCAGTTTGGTGCCGACGATGTCGGCGATGGCACCAAAAATCAGTAACAAACATCCCGCAGCAAGATTGTAGACGGCCACAGGCCAGAAGATCAGGGCTTCGGAGAGGTGGACATCAAGAGCCACGCGTGGCAAAGCGGCCACAAGGATTCCAGTGCCAAAGGTATTGATCACATAGAGGCTTGCCAGTATACCAATAATGGATACTCTTCGAGCGGTTGATAGCTTTCCAGCAGCCAGTATGGTACTTTCAGTAGTAGATTCACCAGCCTCCACGTTGTTGTCTTGCTCCTGTTTGGTGTCCCGTTGCTTGTCTTTTTGCTCCTCGGATGGATTTTCGGATCGAAAATTATTCATTTCTGAGGATGGAACTAGCAATGATGGATCCAACCCATCTGTAGAGAACGACATGAGTATCGATTGTTTGTTCGCCATCGCTGCTATAGATTCCGGCAAAGGGTATCGATGTCGAAAACTTATAGAGACAGCTTCGTAAATTGTATCGGTGATTTAGGATGATCAGTAACAAATGATTTTTGTACAAGCCGATGCTCTGTATCATGAAATAGGGACTCGAGAAACGGCCATAAATGTACTATACCATATGAGTGGTGGCATCGTGGTGCAGTGATGGGGCGCATGTCGTCGTAGCTGCGCCGATGAAGCTGCGGCGCCGTTGATGGAAGGACCGGATTAAGACCTGCGCACTCCCTCGAGACATGGGTTTGGTAGTCCGGAGCTTATATCTTTACAAGTTCGGTAACACATCCGTTGACTGTCTTTGTTGCAAGGTACCGTGTAGTACATCGATGATCCAATCTAAGTGGATCTATATTGGAACTGGTTTAGTACATGTGACAGAGCAATCCGTTTCTGTTCTGTCACAAGTGCGAACGGCGAAACCATCCTTTCTGGACTAGCACTCGATGGTACTTGTCAATCACCGAGTCTTAGGGCCCAACAAAGGATCTATGTTACGCCTGTGAAGAGGAATGTTTCATGCACTGTCGTTGCCTACATTCCTTAGCTTAGTCGAACAGCACTAGACCATGTAGAGATTTTCCGTCTCGCAGTCCTATCGATTACTTTATTGTGTATATCCAAGTGTAAATCGTGGCTCAGTGTGGTTCAATCTAGACTGATGGATTCTCATTGTCGAGATACACGTGAGTGGTGTCAAAACATGGCATTAACGGCGATATCGTACAATTATAGATACACCATGGCTCCCTAGTCTTCCATTGTTGTAAAACTTGATATTGCCCAATTGGGTCGATTGAAGGTCACTCGTACTCTAGGTACTATCTTTCTTTCGCATGTCGCATATTTTCAACAACCTCATCAGGATCCTCGATGCTGTCTGTCGTCTCCAACGAGAACTAATCCGTAGCTCCTTTTGCAAATCATTTCAGATGAACCGTATGTTTTCTTCATCAATGGGGCGGTTAGATCGCGCACTATCACGCTGAAGATCGGTTGTTTCAAACGGGGAGGCCTCCTACTGATCTCAGTCCCTACCATGCAGTTCACAACAAAGTAACTGTTTCCGCAATTGTGCATGGATGACTTTCTATTGGTGAACAGACTCAAGCCTACTGTGCCCAAGACAATGAAGAATCCGGCTATTTCACTCAGGCAGCAGCAATATACTTTGTTTGGGGGAACTGGTGGGGTTACAGTCACGTTGCATCCAAATAGCCGGTTGTATTGCATGAAGCCCGTTTAGGTAGCAAAGGATCTGAATGGCATGTCCCGAGCAGCACTCAGATCTACCATTTCGCGCGAAACAGGATTTTCTTGTATCCACTAACGAAAGGCCTCATCTGATATTTCTCACAGTTACTCGTTGCCAAGTGCAATATCCATTGCTGACATCAAGGTTTCACCAGGGGCGTTCTTGGAGCCTGGACATTCGGACCTTTTTCCTCATCCAAAATGGACTGGGTCCGACGAGGCTGAATATATATTGTCAAACGTCGTTTCCTGCCTCTACATTGGTTACCAAGCAATTTGTGGTCACATAAGCTTCCCAGCCTCCTTCCTAAACCTGCACTACAGAGCTGAAACTCGCAGGTTATTCTCGTCTACATTGCCTGTTGTAGAAAGGCAGGCAAGTCATGTCTCTACATTGAGGATACAAGATGTCTCGGTATTCTGAAAGACATGTATGTCTTCCGTTTGGTTGTAGAGAGTGTAGGGGTCATTTGGGGGACTCGCACTACCCTCGCTGCCTTGCCATGAGGACATCATTTGATTTGTAGGGCTGTAGGAAGACGCGAGTGAATTGCGTTACTGCGATCGAACTTTTCTCAATGTTGTTCAACTGCAGATGAATTTCGGTTCGCGAATTGCAAGTACAGAAATACTGTTAATATTGCAGCACCGGGCACCGTAGCTCTCGAATGCGAAAGATGGTTTCCAACTGGTCCGCCGGAGAGAAAGTGAATGTTGCTTGCAGGTGAGCCAAGGTTATGGATAAAGCATGAGCTGAAAGTATCAATATACAAGTTCTATTTACAGGAGTTCCCCATTACGCGGAATAATGCGTGACAATATCGATGGCATTGAGTGTCTCCAGTGAAAACCTGGACCAGCTTGAAGAGACATCGACATCGCTCAAGGGTCGACCAACCTATCTTGCTGAGATGCCCCCCCTTCACGAAGCCCACTGCGCAGTAAGTAACCCTTGCAACGAAGGATATCCCTTCACCTCTGGAGTATCCGCATCGCAACGGAAATACCTTCGCGGAATCTTGGACGTGAATGTCGGCCTCATGACGACAAATGATCAAGACTTCAGGCCATGTGATCATTAGTAGCCCTGCGGAGAGATTCGACCAGCTAGAAATGAATCTAAAAGCGAATAAACAGGCATACCACTGCTGAGAGGATTTCCACGAGGCGGCCATGTGCCGTGTAGACCCAAAAATATCCATCTTCACATGAGATAAAGTATTCCTAAATGAAGCGTGATGCCATAAACGAATGGGGAAAATGGGACAAATTGCATGCATTGGCGGAGTCAAGGATGTTTGATGTGTCAAGTAAAAGTTACCTGGTTTATCAAATACTGGAAGAAAGGCATCGTGAATTGCTTCTATGTAATCACATCGCACGCAAGATTGAAAGTGTGAGGTTGCAAGCAGAATATACTAGGAGAACTGCTATTTACAGAACGAGTTATTTCAGCGCCTTGTGGAGTTTTTGGGCTCGATTTCATGCAGAATGAGCTTCTTGTACCCTTCTACTGCACTCTCCAGTTCCCCCAGAGTGATGGACTCATCGGCGGTATGGGCTTTCAGAATATCCCCAGGCCCGTAGAGATAACGCGAGTGATTACCCTGCAGCCTGGGAATATCTGTACCATATGCCATCACATCAGTCTCAAATCCTGGTGGGGGTCAGTCTTTTTCTTTTCTTTTCACTCATCTATCGGAAATTTGTGGCGAAAATTACTTACCTTCTACGTCGCAGTTGGTATCAACAACTCCAAAACCGAAAGGGCACTCCATTGTGAAGGCTTCAGGATCAACACTGGTGAGAATCTCTTGCAGCCTGTCTTGAACAATGGTGTGCCCGGAATCTTGAGGTCCAATGGCGACGCGAATTGCAAGTGATGCGTTTGCTGCATCAGGAATGACATTGGCCGCGATCCCGCCCGCCATCAAGCCCACATTGATGGTAGTGTTGCCATACAGCTCGCTCTTGCCAAGATCAGTGTCGATCGCCTTCAGCAGACCCCGCATGAGTACTTCGTTGGCGCTCTTGCCGGACTCAGGATACCCACTGTGACCCGATAAGCCCTTGACCTTGATGTTACAGGCCAAGGCTCCCTTGTGACCGCATGCCAAAGTGCTGTTCGTAGGCTCCCCAAAGATAGCAACACTTGGCTGGGTGCCTCGCTCCGCCATGACGGCGGAGAAGTAGAGCATGCCATCGCCATTGACCTCCTCACCGACAACAAAGACGAGCATCACATCGTCCCCGGTGATGGAACCAGCAGACAGGAGCTCCAGCACTGCCAGTGTCTGTGCTGCCACAGCGCCCTTTGCATCAGAGGTTCCACGGCCTGCGATAACGGTTTCGGCCGTGGGTGGGTCGGGCCCCGAGCGTGAATAGTTAAAGTATGGAGGCACAACATCTATGTGTGTCGTCACAATGATACGAGAATAGTTGGAGGTGCGCGGCTGCGGCCAGGCAAGCACATTGAATCGCTCTGATGACGGCAAGAACTGCCGCTCGGTGGCAAGACCTTGCTCAGAGAGGTAGTCAATCAGAAAGTTCCCGACCTCAGCCTCGCCCCCATATATTGAGGGAATCTCGACGATCGATTGGTGGAGAGAAAGCAGCCTGTCACGGTATGACGGGGCCGTTTCTGCGTGCACCGCGAGTGGTTGAAAGATACACAAGGGAAGCAGCAAGGCCGATATGGCTGCCTGTTTCATTTTGTGTAACTAATTATTGGCCTGAAAAGAGGACGAAACAATGCGCGTTCCCGAGTTATGGGTAGCAGATAACGATTGTATTTCGGTAGAATGCTATCCTGGATGATTTATGTGAGGGGTGAGTGGGAAGAGAAGAGAATTGGCTCCTTGATTGTTTGCTTAAGTATTCCGACGCAGCCAAGCAAATCACCCTCGTCAACTATGCGCTTCATCTCGATGCATCTGGTAGAGCATAGGATTTCATAGAAATGGTCCGTATGCATGGTGTAGCATTTGTGAGTTCGTGTAGTTACCATTGTAGCCTCGTATAGTTCCCCGAAGTGCATGGATCGTCGTTGAAGGACATGCACGGTCCATCTAAGACACGTTGCTGGTCAAAATTATGGGGCCGTCCCGTTCCCGAATTGTCTAGTTCCCGCGATCAGCCCCACAGTGACCACACACCTGACGACCGCTATTCGACAACTATGGAGTACCAACCATCAATTTCAACAAGACTGTGTACCCCGTAGATATGCGAAGAGAAAGAAAGGGGAACATTCCTTGACGTGCGATTTCATGGACGGACAATTCATGCACTGCCTGTTCTTGCCCGCATCATCGTTCTCTCCTAGCCATCATTTTACTGGCTGAAGAACAAATGCGAAGTACGTGAGATTACCTTGAAGAGGAGATTGATTAACCCGCTTAACGGAATGGCGCTCAGCCCCGAGTTTGTCCTACCCCAAGACTACTTGCTCCCAACCTCGTTCAACAGAGAATGGCTGCGCTTGCCCTCAAAGGCATCTGGAAATTTACCGATGAGACGGGAGTGCTGGACAAGGTGCTCTTCGGACTGCGACCCGTCCATTAGTACGACATATCGCATATTTCAGAAATAGTGGAGAAAGTCCGATTTCTCGCGACGCTGCAGCTGTTTTTGCAAGCTACCTCGCCATGGCTCCTATCTACTACGAGACGGGTGGACACCTGATTGCCGCCAGCATCTCTTTAGCGGTGGTAAACGTAATTGCGGTAGCGACAAAATTCTGGGTCCGGCTCAGGTTCAAACAGCCTCTGTTGGCCGACGACTGGCTCTTGGTGCCTGCAACAGTATGTATTCATACTTCTTCGTCCCCTTACTAGGCCATTATAGTCTTCATCGGCGTCAATGTCACTGCTGTTAGCCGTCATGGCAATATTAGGTGGGGCTAATGAATGATAGATTTTGTCTATCGTGATCGGGTCGATGCTCAGCTATGGTGCTTCAAAGCACACCCTGGGGCGTTTGACCAGTATTCCCACTGGAGTTGAAAACCATGCGGAGTTGGAAATGGCTCGATTGATTGAAGCAAGAAAGGTACGTTACTCAAGACCCAACAAGTGGAAACATGGTCAACGATGAACTAAACTTGGGTCCAGATCCAGTACCCCTTTCTGTTCTTGCATCCACTGGCAATGGGCCTGGTCAGATGCAGCTTCCTATTCCTCTACCTACGCATCTTCTCTATCAACAGACCTCGCGTTCTAGTCATCGCGTCCATCTATGTCGTGTTAGCTTGGTCGCTGTCATTCTTCTTCGCCGAGGTGTTCCAGTGTGGGACCCACTTCCGTTCCAACTGGGGCGCAACACCAGTCTTCGCAGCACATTGTCCAAAAACGCTGATGATTTTGTTTATCAATTTCCTCACCAGCGCCATTCTTGACATCTACATCCTTATCCTGCCCATGCCATTTGTAGGTCTCACTATTAGCTTCTTCACCAGCCGTAAAACTGATGGTGTTTACAGATCTTGAAATTGAAATTGAATGTCGTAAAGAAGGTTGGTGTGATGTCAATCCTGATAGTAGGCTCATCGTGCGTCCACGATCCTTGGATGAATTCAAATTTGATTGGTTCTAATCTCACGAGATAGCACGGTTGTGGCTTCTGTACTCCGCCTTGCCATCATGGGCCCCCGCGCTCTGATCAAGCAAAACGGTCGGGCGTTGACGGTTGAGATGAGATCTGGTTCGTCCCCCTTCGTGACACGCATCTCCCTCCAGCCATGAAACTGACACGAAATGTAACAGCAAGTCTGGCATCGACAATGTACTGGGGTATGGTGGAACTTGGGACTGCCATATTCGTAGCTTGTCTCCCTACGATACAGAAACTGTTCAGACCGCAAGATGGAGCGGGACTTCTTTCCCGCCTTGGTGCGACATGGGCGTCGTCAAACCCCAAAAGTCACACCACATCTTCATCATCGCCGTCGTTTGAATCCAAGCACACGGGCAGGCCGCGGATCAACGTCGACCGTACGGTCGACATTGCGTATGACGAGACGGACAGGGACAATAGGCCAATTTTGTATGGAGTTGACAATGCCTGGACGAAATGCAGCAGGAAGAGCGAGGATACGAGCGACATTGAGTTGCAGTCAGGCCTGGCGAGGTCGGCTGTCTACGTCGAGACGAGGGCTGGATGCTGAATTGGTCTTCAGGATGTCGCACTGCTTGGGACAGGTTGTGATACGAACAAGGATACATGATGAGATTGCTAATTGGGAGTACGGAGTGTATGTCCGATAGATTCAAACGAGCAAAGTGCACACGTATCTATTCTAGACCAGGCCCATAGACAAGATGCATGGAGAGAAATTGGATGTGACAGGGGCTGAAGGGTGCCTGCGAACGGTCAAATGTCAAAAAAATGACATGTTGCCTCAGAATCGCCTCTTGAGGAGTATGTGGGGAAGACGCGGTATGCAGCTGATCTCAAAGAGAAAGTACAGAAGAAGGTGGGAGGCCTCGAGTCCCTGTATTCCTTGAGCTTCACTGGCTTTGTTTGCTTGATCTGCATTGGCGATAATCGACTCTCTACGCCAAGACGGATACACACAGTTGTAGAGGAGACTCTGCAAGGCAACTCGAATGCAATCCAGCGGAAAGAGTAACTTGGAAACGGATTTTCTGCAAGCATCCTCACCGTTCGAGCGAAATGAAGGCATTTCCAAAAATCACACCTCTGGTCCATTGCTTAGGCCATTCGACTGAGAGGTCATCCATAGTGTTCACTTCTTTTGCTTGTAGAATTGTAGTTACGATTACTGTAGATGTTTGAAGTTTGTATTCAGTCCCTCTAACCTCATCCAATTCGGAGTATTTCTTTTTGTGTGGCTTGTACGGTGTATGCGTACGGAGTAAAGCGATTGGCAGTGGTGTGGGCGGGAGCGGGAGTACTGTTTCGACGATCGTGGGGTGCGCACCCATGATCGACGCAGGGGATGACATGGACCGAAGCAAACGAATATGCGACCCGCCACGGTGTGACGCGAGAGGTTCAGCTTGGATTTTATATCTGATGAGCACTTCAGCCTCGAGTAGTCTTGCAACTCTCCATTCCAACTCCCCACTCCAACTCCCCATTTCATTTTCCCATTTCATTTTGTTCCACTTCGTTGATATTCTCACAATGAATCTCCTCGCCGACTTGAAGATGAAGCAAACGCTCATGGGGCTTGTTGCTGTTGCGACAGGCACATCTGGCGTTCTCTTCGAAATCGGGCGTGGCAGGGTCGTCAAGGTAGCTTATGACACCCCCGAGGCCACGGAGAAGCTCGTGATCGAGGAAAAGATTTATGAGCGTCTCGGGATTCATCCCTACATCACAAGGCTTGTGTATGAGTACAACAGAATGATTGTTCTCGAACAGCACGTGTGCACTATGCGCCAACATCTGGCGTACACACGCCATCTTGGAGAACGTCCCCAAAAAGACCAAGTCTTCGAATGGGCGATCTGGATCTCGCAAGCTCTCCACCACGCTCACTCCCAAAATGTCCTCCAGGTCGACATCGGTCCCCACAACGTTATGCTGACCTCTGACGCCATCCCGAAGTTGTGCGATTTCGCCGGTTCGTCTATCGATGGATCTCGACCTTCCGTCGAACCGCCGCCCCATGGAGCATATCCATACATGCGGGATGGCATGCCGTCCATTCACTCCGAGATCTTTGCACTTGGTTCTATGTTCTACGAGCTCGAGACGACACGCAAACCATACTACAAGAAGAAGCCAAATGAGATCAAAATCTTGTTCAAACGGGGAACCTTCCCTGTCACCAGAAAGCTTGTCCTAGGCGAGGTCATCCTCAAGTGCTGGAGATCCCAGTACAGGAACGTTGGCGAAATCATTCAAGATCTCGTTCGTGTTGAGGAAGAGTACATGGCGGCGGAAGCAGTGAGGGCGGAAGCAGAGCGGCGCCGAAGGGCAGCGCAGAACCAGTAAGTCAGCATCCATGAACCACCTTCCGCTATCGTATTGCTAAAACCTAAAGACGAATACGGTATTTCCTTGCTGCCCTTAATCTCTTCTATCATCAATGCCATCGCCGTTGAGCTGCGTCGTTCTGATGGGTTCCTCTCTCGACTAAGCTGCGTCGCTAAAATGGTTTTCTCTCTCGGTTGTGCCACCCATTTCATTTGTTTCAATCCCCTAATGATCGTGTAATGACTCTCATGGCTTGTACCTCTGTATGGTTAATCATGTCTCCTCCCATCTCGGTTCATCTCGTGTAATGGCTTCCATGGCTTGTCTCTCTATATGGTCAACCATGTCTCCTTCCATCTTGGTGTATCTCTGTATGGTTAAAAATTTCTCCTCCATCTCGGCCTCTCTACGTAGCGATATATGGTAATCACGCTCACCATGCACGTTTCAGACTTGAATCTATGTTTCCAGCTGCAGAGTGATCCTTCCATTGAGTCGGAAATTCGTAGAACATGGAATCAGTTTCCATGCATGAGTGACTTCTCAGTAGGGACCGGAGTTGTCACACTCGTTGCACCCGGTACCCTGACATGGAACTATGTTGTTGAACATGGATATGCGACCATAAACGGCCCTAATGGCCGTAGTCTGTTTTAGTGCAACGAGTCCGCAGCAAGACGAGATCATTGCACGCAATGTTTACTGGTTACGGATCTTCTCAGCATCGTCAGATTGTGTCGATGGGTAAGTGTGATTGCTGGTTTCGGTTTTCGAGAGCACCAACCTAGGTCGTTACTTCCGCAGCATTGGTTGATGTTCGGGCGGCCTGCCTTGGCAACATTCGCGCATCTTGACACTGCGGGACTTGAAGACCAATGAAGAGTACTATCACGAGTACACATTGAAACTACCTGTCTATCCTACAACAACGCTCCTAACGCTGAGGAGGAGAATTATCTGGTATTTCCGAAACCTCCTCCCCCTGCGACTCTACATCCGATATGTACAAACTCAAATCATCCAGCGGGTCTCGAGGCGGTCTCGAGCCAGCGTGCTGAAGCTCGTGCGAAGCGACATTCTCGAGATGAACAGGCCCCGTCACTGTATTCGACTCTGTATCATTCTTCTTCTTATCCGACCGCCTGAACCGCCACATGCGTGGCGGCGTCGTCTGCCGGCCGTCGCGACTTCTCGTGTGCTCGGTCGAGAGGCCCCCCACAGTCGGGAACGCCTTGCGGAATATGGGCTTCAGCGTCGGTAGACAACCTGCAAATCGAGAGTGTTGGTTAGCGACTGCTTGAGTGTGTGGGCTTGTGGGTGCGAAAGGTACCTGCGAAGACGGCCATGTTTACTTCCACGGCGCCCCAGGCGGTGAAGAGGGCGCTGTCGTGGGGCAGTTGCACGGTTTCTTGGTTGTATTTCCATGACTCGATGAGGACGAATACTGAGGCCACACATACGCTGAGGATTGATGTCAGTAGGTCACTTCGAGTAGTGAAAGAGTTGTTGTATTCTTACATGACCCCTGAATGGAAGATGGTCGTGACCGCAAGCTTCTTGCTCAACGAGAGGTGCATCTTCGCGACCGGGAATACTGGCAGCAAAAGTATCAATATGTCCAATATGCAGTGGCAAAGCACCGTGCTGAAGAAGAAGTTGGACACGTTGATCGTGCAATGCCCATGTATATCCTTGTCCCAGATAAAACGTATGGGAACACATTGGAATATGGTGAGGAACCATTTGACCAATGCCCATATCACGACGGCGACGTAGATTATTTGTATAGGTATTCGGATGGAGGTATGTTGGAATATCCGCCAGTAGAATGAGAGAATGGAGAGCTTCGAAAAGGCGAGCGAGATCGTGTAGAACACCTCCTCGAGCCACAGACACAGTCGCGATATCTCGCGAATATGATCGGCGGAAGGGTCACCCGGGGGAGGAAGCGTTTGACCGAGACTGTAATTCGCGGTCCCTGTGACAATTAGAATCGGAAGATATCGTGGAGTGGAATTCGGTTGCGTACAATAAACAACGTCTATACAATAAGCAAGAGCGAAAATCTGCGGAACGTTCGGTCAGCAGTGTAAGACAACTACCCCAGTGGAAAGCATACATATGCGATCACGCAAAACCAGTCATCGAACCAGTACTTCATCTTGATCATCCGCCGTGATAAGAGACGTAGGACCAGCGCCACGATCGCTGCTGGCATGGTAATGAACACGGCGGCATAGACGTTTGGCTGTAGCCCAGCCATTGTAGGCGAGCCATGCAATGCTACATTGGCGTATGCAAAAGCGAAAGACGTCAGAAGGGTAGAAACGAGTCAATTGAAAGTCGTGATGTGTGATGTAATAACAAGGCACGACACGAGGGAGGTTCGAAAATAATGGACAAGGTATGGGGAAGAACCAGGGTAACGGAATCATGGAGGCATCAAGTGGGTATGGTAACTCGTATACAGTAGACTGGACTGCGTCCATTCATCTGGGAGTCTATCCGTAGCTTCGGCGATATCTTTCATCTTTGAAGGCAATTGGCACAGTGGGATTGGATCGAACTTCGAGAACCAAGGTAGATCCCAAGCTGGGCGACGCTACCCCGCCACGAGTGGCTTCCCGGTTCCGGCTTCCATTGGCCCATCTCGACTTTATCACCCCACATCCCACCAGCTGGGCGCGCGAATGGATCGGGAGCAGACCCGCGCCAAAGCTGATGATACGAGTACGAGTAGCTGACCTTGGATTGTGAGGATGATGATGAGCCAGTGATTGAATTACGGGAACACACGTTGTATCTCACGGAAAGGCTCCAGTTAAATGATAATGATAATGATATGCTGTCTCATGGCAGATTAGATCGTTTGCGTGGTACTTTGTCATTTGGCGTGAACGCTGAAATGACTCCTATACAACGCTTTCATTGAAGCTATCGAGCAGAGCTTATTTTGCTTATTTCCGTGGCTTGCTCATTAGATAGCCTGTCACCCACCTGCCATGACTTTATTGCTTTTGAGATACCCCTTAGATAATTCAAAATTTAAAAAACAAACATCAAAGTAAAATATAGCCTTGCTCAGAAACACTATGAGGGGAATGGGTTGGGTGCAGATTTCGTGCAGCAATTTATTCGTTAGAATATTAGAGACCTTTATTGTTAGATTTTGGATGAAATAGAAAAAATTAAGAAAGCCCCAACGAACACTATTCTAACCTTCCTGCTATGTTTTATAACACGAGGCAGTAAAAAGTCTATGTTAAGGAGACAGGTACATACAGAAGAATCACACTGCTATAAGCACTCCTCCCTCGGCCTCAGTTCGATATCCAACTTCTTCTTCTCCCAGAATATAAATGTTCTCTGATCCCCAAAATCACCCGGAGGTACAGTAGCTTTGATGTCGAATGCGTACAATATGCGTGCAAGTGTTATGCGCATTTCGGCCCACGCGAGCTTCTGACCTACACACTTGTGGCGCCCGAGAAGAAACGGCTCAAAAGACGCGATTTTGTCGTTCGGGTAAGGGGAGGATGGAAGGAAACGTTCAGGTATGAAAGAGTCAGGATTGGTGAAATTTGTTGCCGAGCGGAAGGTCGGAAATTGATTAACAGCCAAATAAGTCTACCCTTATCAGCATATGGTTTAATGAAAGGATCTCGAGGGGGGATGTGCTCACATTTCCAGGAACCCACTTTCCGGCTATCATTTCCCCTTCTTTAGGTGTGACCCGTGGTTGGCCAACTGCAGCTGGAGGACCTAACCTGATGCCTTCTTCGATAACAGCTGTCAAATAATCCAAGTGTGATAGATTCGCTATTTTGATATCCTCTTCGGTAGCGAAGGCATCTCGTATCTCCTTTTGCACTCTTTCCATTCTTTCAGGATTCTTGAGCAGTTGCATAAATATCGAAACCATGGCCGTGGCTGTAGTCTCTGATCCAGCGAAGATAAGCACAGTCATATTCGCTTCAACCTCGTCCATTGGTATCTTGACCTCGCCCTTCTCTTCATTATAAGCCATGATCGAACCGACAAAATCTTGGCTCTTGGCTTTGTGCTCCATGGCAAGTCGTTGCATCAGCTTCTCATGCACAAGCTGTTTGTGATATTGCATCTTCTCCAACACCTTCGCGGGGATCACATACTTCATCAACTTGTCAAGCGGCCTGAAGTAATTGATTGATGCCATCATAGCAATACCCTTGCCGAAGCTACACGAGATTTCCACCCAAGGGTGCGCGTAGCCTTGCTTTACACTTCCAAAGGACTCACCAAACGAAAGTGCGCCGGAGATATCGAACGCGAGGAAGTTGAGCCAGTCTGAAATGTTCACAATAATGCGACCTTGGTTCTTAATAGCGTCCTGCTTGAAATTCTGGATCATGGTATCGACAAGTGATTCCAGGATAGGAGCGTGCTCGATGACTGCATGTTCCGTGAATGCTCCCATCAGTGCTCTTCTGTTTCGCACATGTGTGGCCTCATCGGTGCTGACGATGCTGAGTGGATGGGTTGCTTCTTCTTGCCCTGCCCAGATTCGGTTCTTGAAAATATTGCGGTTGCCGTATATATCTTTCCAGGCACGGGCATCGGTGTATGAGAGTTCATCCGGAGCAATGCGAACTACAGGACCATATCGATCATGCAGATCTCGGAGATGGCGATGGAAATTTCCAGATTGCATAGAACATGTCCAAGTCAGTCGAGTTGCTGCCCATAATCGGGGACCTGGATAATGGCGCAATGGGTGTAGGTAAAGGTTGTATAATACTTTTACTACAATCTGAAATCTTGTTAGCTCTCGCATTGCTATGCATGAAGATCTGCATTTCGAATATGAGCTAGCAGACAATAATACATTGATAAGGTTGGAACAAACTTACTCCCGTGACGAGAATGATGCTGCAAAAAGCGGCATAGTCCAATATAATCGTGAAGACATGTAACATTGTGTGTAAATTTTGTGAAATCGATTGTCTGAATTCGCGGAGCGGAATGGCATTTTCAAAAGCTGATATATTGTAGCTGTTGGATCGCCGAATCGGGCTGTGTGGCCTCCATGGGATCTCGGTCTCTCGTTTCGTTACGTGCGGCGAGCCACTGAGCGTAGATCCTGTGGCCGCCTCCACTTTTCTTCATGGCCTCACTGCTGATAATCTAGAACGATAGAAGTTAACGATGCTCATCGAGTCTCTTTTAATTCTCTTTGATCTCGCGCCTATGATTTCCTACAGCCTCGATCGCAAGTCCAATCCATTGACGCACAATGTTACGATCGCATTGTCCGACTCTTTGCATAGGTCTTTATGAGATTGCTTACCACAAACTCATTTGACGTTCTTGTGCATATACCCGGCATCCCACGAACTCATTTTGGGTGGAGAGACCAGTCTTCCGACCCTCACATACACGCATTAAATCCTTGCACAACCCCGGGCCTGTTAGGCGCCCAAATTCATGATGTCATGACCGTAGTAATGGTGGAATGGGTTAACAGTCACAGTCACTGCTGTTGTGAACAAAGGAGGCAGATTCCGAGTATGTAGGGATAAGGTAGTAATTGGCTTGAGTTTTCTTTAATGCGCATCAGCGCTGCGCAATTACCCGTGAGATTTCGTCCTCTTACACCAAGGGAGAAATACGTTGACCACGTTGCTCCGCTCTAGTGGAAATTATACTGAATAGATGTCCAGATTTCTAAGATTAATTGAAGCCTTCCGATGCAACCTATCGCCAATCTCCCATGAATCTCCCTGTTCCCTGCTTCCAGTCCACCCGGGCCGCAATGGGACCAAAAATGCTCAGTAGTAAACCTATCAGCAGCACAAACCCCATATGGATCCAACTCAACAAAGGAATGAATTGTACGCGATCAAGAGCGGCGATCTCCCCCGACTTTGGTTCTTTTCTTCTTCTTTGCTCTTCCTTAGCCCAGTCTGTTCTCAACGAGCGATCGGACAAGACTTGTTCGGCTACCAACTTCGCGCCAGCTAGTACAATGGGTACACCAGTCCCAGGGTGCGTGCTGGCGCCTACGAAATACAGAGATTTGATGTTTGGATGTTTCGTTTTGGGTCGAAAGGAAAGGACGTTGAAGAATGAGTGAGAGAGACCGAGAATTGCTCCTCGATCGAGATTGAATCTGTCTCTCCAGGTAGGAGGTGTATTTATGGATTGATGAACAATGTGAGGGGCGAGTGAGATGTTGAGACGCGATTCGATAGTCGCTAGTATAGTCTTTCGTGCTGTTGCAACCATGGAATCCCAATTTTGGGTTGTACCAGAGGTGTTTGATTTACCTTTATGCAATTCGGTCATAGAATCGAGTAGATGGCCGACGGGCACAAGGACAACCAAGGTGTCGCAACCTTCAGGTGCAGCAGTTGGATCTACGCGCGAGGGTACGTTGACATAGAAACTCGGTTCGTTGGGGATCAAGTGTTTCTTGAAGATGCTATCGAAACTCTCTCTGTAGTTCTCGGCGAGGAAGATATTGTGCGCGGAAAGCTCCGTGAATCTTCTGTCAAGGCCCCAATAAAAAGATATACTAGAGCAAGAGGCCTCTCGTTTGGATAATCGTTTCGAGTAGGATGTCGAGGGCAAGAGATTTGTGTATGAATATACAAGATCAGCATTGCAGATAACGACGTCTGCTTCAAGAACTTCATTAGTGCCCTCGAGAATGACGCCTTTAGCTCGCGTTCCGTCTTCGGATAGTAGAATCTGAGAGATTCCAGTTTTAAGGCGATACTTCACGCCCAAGCGCTTGCCGACGTTCACCAAGCCCTCGACGACCTACAAAGATCAGCACCGAACGGCATTGTGCATAGCAGCTATCTAGCTATCGAGTACAACATACCTTGTGGAAACCGCCAATTGGATACCAAATACCCTCAGCCAATTCTGTATATTGGAGCAAGGAATAGGTTCCTGGAGCATCAAAGGGACTCATCCCCATGTACATACTAGCAAAAGTAAAGACGCGCCTCAGCCTTTCCGTCCAAAAGTACTTGCTCGCCCGGCCATAGATACTTTCAAATGGATGCAACTGCAGGACATGCCGCAAAAAGCTTGGTCTTGTCATGCTCAATAGGGAATAGAAATTTTTCTTCAAAACATGCGTTACGGAATGCTCGTAATGGCGATGAGCTTCCTGCAGAAACGAGAGGTAGCGCTCGAAGCCATCTTTGCCCTCAAAACGTTCGATTTCGGACTTCATGATGGCAAGATCGGTCGATAAGGCGAAAGATGTGTTGTCGTGAAAGTGGATGTTGTAATTGGGCTCACATTTGACGAGCTTGATGCCTTCATCCTCCATTGTAGTTCCAAGCTCACGGAAGGTTTCATGGAAAAGATGAGGCAGTAACAAGAGACTCGGCCCTTGATCGAATCGCTGTGCAGCTTGTCAGAGAACTCCCATCATGTCAAAAATATGCAATGTGAGCATACGTATCCATCTTCGTGTATTAGCGAGCACCGTCCTCCCGTGAAGTCATTCTTCTCGATCACGGTAACTTCGCATCCTGACTTTCGTAATCGAGCTGCGGTAGCGACACCACCAACACCAGCGCCGACTATAATAACGCTTGGTTTACGTATCCTACCCATCTCGAAAAGGTGAAACTGAATATCACGGGATGCGGTTGACAAAGTATTGTTTATTTCGCAGACGCGTAGGCGCCAAGTTGTTGACAGATAAAGTCATGACGTCTTGTCCATTCCCACCAAGGATCGGGGTGATTGCACTGAAATACCGATGTAAGGACTCAACACAAAATACCAGATGCACACCGCGCTTAGGACAGTGATGTAGAACGAAAGATAAGGGCAATGTAAGTTTTTTTAATCCACCAAGGTCTTGAATATTATTATTACTTGTTATGGCGGCGAGAAATGAGCAAGCTTAGAGAGGTAACGATCGACCCCAAGTTCGATTGGAGTCTTGGTCTAGCCGAATTCGGAAAACCATTCCTCTGCTTGTATATGGTGCTCGTACTCGTATGCTGTGGGTATTATATTATTTATGACTCTAACGAGCTTTCACAGATCCTCCCGTCCAACATCAATGACGCCTCGTTCTAACCTTGTTGATTTCATCGAGATTACATAGATGTGTTCCTGAAACGGTTCCACGATTCACTGTATCTTAGGATTTGTTTGTCATCACTTAGCAAATGTAAAGTAGGTCCGTATTAATACTTTGCTAAAAAGAAAACATGTCAATACAGGCGTGCAATTCCTTCCGACTTTCTGATCATATATCATCAGAGACGTACATGTATCCAACATACGATGAATTACCATTTCGAATAGTAAGTAGCGCAATATCTTTCCTCCGTCCATTACTGCCCTCTCCGCCTTATGTTCTGATTCATTCTGCCTGAGCTACGCATTGATTATCTCTTCAAGCATTCTTCTCCTCGCATTTTGGTAAATGGCTGATATGGAATTGGCTAGACTGTAGTATTCGCAACCTGCGCTGGTGGAGCACCAGTACCAGTCGTGACTGTACCAGGCGCGGTATGATAGCCAGAAGTAACGCCGGTGGTAGGCTCAGGATGTTCAGTGGCGTGAACACCATTAGTTACGCTGTTTGTAGTACCAGGAGCTGCATGGACACCATTGGTATGGCCATTCGTAGCTCCGTGCTTTTCATGCAGTCCCTGGGTTCCACCACGGTAACTTGGGTCATCCTCATAATCGCGAATGGCCAATCCTAATCGAGCGGGATCAATGTTCCTGTGTCCCCAGATCAAGAGGGCACCAAAGACGGGTTTTGCAAGGAAGTCAAGGATGCCGTAAAACACGGCCTCGGAGTCGGGGGCGATGATGTTTCCTCCCTCACAGACTCCCCATGCGATTGGGTAGAGGGTCCAGAGGAGAGCAGTCAAAGAGCCACAGTAGAAAAATACCCTGCGGACATCGTCGCCAAGTATGGAGGAGTGACGGCGGGCTTCCCAAACAAGCTGATAGAGGATGTAGAATAGCGCAGCGCAACCTATGGCGACTGTTAATATATCGACGTACACCATTCAAAGCAGACATACCGAACGTAAAGTAACCCCACTTGTAGGAAGAGCGGACCAGTGCGCCGATAAGACCAGTAACAATCATGACTTCGTCAATCAAAATGACCCATAAGATTGTTGGCCACGGCATACCGGCTGTAAGAAGTAAATCCATTAGAAGTAGGGGAGTCGTGATGAACCAGTCGATATATCGAACATAGAAGATCTCACGATAGAGCCCACGGACTTTAGGATTAGAACGACGAAACTCAACGGCAATAGGAGTGAAGCCAAGGTTAGAGCCCATTGTAAAGTAAGCGATGGCAGCGACGAGCACAATAGCAGCAGTAATGTAATGGAAAATACGGTCGCGACGATGTTTCGTGAACGCTAGACCAATGAAAGCCATAGCCGCGACAGTCATAATAGCACAAATGGCAAAATAAAAGTCCGATCCACGACGGGTGATGGCAATTTCGGCAAGTCTTCCGTTGACGAAATTGTCTATCACAATATGTGAGCACTCCTATCTGTTGACAATGAGCGTAACGGCAACTCACTGTTGATTCGCACTGCATCGTTCCTCCGTGCCTCGATTGAGTCCATTGTGTCTGGCCTATGGTTGCAGAATATGTCGAAGGAGTTGAGAGTAATCTGAAGCGTAGCACATGCCACATGGAACCCTTGGGTGCAACCAGTTTATGTAGGGCGCTTCCAAATAGTAAAATGGATGACGCACGTGTCTATGCTCGAATATCCTTCCATCGCAGATACACCCATAATCATACCTCGTAATAAAGTCACCGCGAGCTATGGGATGCATCATGTGAGCATGTCATCTACACGTAAATTCATCAACTTTACTCGAAAACGGTGCCGGGACGTTCCGGTCTAGATCGAAACTCATGAGAGCATCTTGATGAGGATTGGTGCATTTGAGGGCTGGTGATATGCTACCTCCTTCTGGTAGATATCTATGATGTAAATGTAGGGATAGCTCTTTGTCCCGGGATTGATTCTATCCAGTAGTCTCCCGCGCTAGCGCTTGATGTTGCTCTTCCTCAATCCACTTGATGTGAATGGTGAGTCTTGCCACCAATTAGACGGTAGAGTGAATGAGAGATGTCAGATCAAGCCTTTCTGAGCGGGGCCAGCGAGGTGGGAGGGGAGTTAAAATATACGTCGAATGTACTTGTCAGTCTAGACTACCCCGTCTATTCCAACTGTAAACAGGCATCGCTTTGGTAAAATAACATCTGAATATCATGTCGGATGCCAAAATAGAAAGTTTGGCAGCAGAGTACGGAGAATGAATTCGTACCCTGGCAGGTCTGCACATGTTGTGGATACAGCCATGCTAATGTGTGCCTACGCAGTAGAAATCGCACGCCCCTTACGGTTGGTAAAATGTCGTAAACCGCAATTCTCCGGGTGTATGCGCTTTGATTCTAATATGGATTGAGTGCGTTATCCTCTAATATAATCTTGGGTATATTGCTACTTTCTCATCTGTGAGGCTTAGATAGTAGACGTTAAGAAATCTCAGCGCGATGTCATGATCACACCCGCCAAGTCAAGTTGATTCTAATATCTATCCTGACGCTGCGATCATCGTACCCTTTATTTTAGACCACAATGTTTTTGGTTTGTCAACAGGCATAGTCCTTGTCAGCTCGACGGGTCTCTGTAAACGAATTTGATCTTCCGTGAACCAATTGCCGTGCAGCCCGTACGGAACCCGCTGTGGTAAAGATATTCTTGCGATGATATCTTGCATATTCTTGGCGTCGATAATCCACAGCTCGGAAACTGCTCCCTCGGGGCATTCCCCAAATCGATTCAATTGAGCTTCGTTGAAGGCGTAAAACAAAAGGTAGCCATCATCTTCAGATTCAGGCTTGTCACGGGAGACAAACCGCGCTTCCTGTGCGTACCACCCATCAGGCATACGAAATGCTTTGATTGGATCTTGATCTTCGGCACTTGAAAAGATCTGTGATATGCTGCGCGTATCCACGCATCCCGTCACAGGTTCTGGCCGTCTATTTTGAGCTCGTGTTAGAAGTGTCAAGACATCCATCTTCACCAGGACATCAATTTTTGTAGCTTTTCCGAGAGCAGCACCGAAGGACTCGTGGGATGTACTGCAGCCGTAGATGTATTTCGCAGCCGACATATCAACGGCTGGGTTCAGAGTGGGGAATTCAAAAGGTATTGACGAAAGCGCATACTGGTGGGTCACCGTCGGAATTGGGGAGTCGAGAGAGAACCGATAGTAGTAGAGACGACACTGCTCTTCGTCGTCACTTGAAATTGGCGGATCTTTGCATGGGGGCGTTGCATCGTAGGCAACCTTGGCATGCCGTTGCTCAGACAAGAGCGGCTCGAGCTCGCCGAGCTTCTCAGTATTGTCGATATCATCGTCAAGGTCATACTTCGCAAAGAAGGACATGCGGGGGCGCTTCGTTACTACTTCTTTGCGGTGAGGATGCGGAGGAGGTGTGAGATTGCCAGCACTGAAGACGAGGGATGCGGACGTAAGACGACAGGTCAATAGATTTACGGCCGCCGTGTTGCCATGCGCATCATTTTCGTCCCAGGTGTTCGCCGTATGAAAAATACAACATCCGTCTGTTTCGAACCACTTCACCTTTTCCGGTTGTCGGCGAGGGAAAACACCAAAACGAGCAGGGCTGTTTGGTTCAAAGCAGACCACAGGATGATTCCGAAGCAGGTTGAATGGGGTTAGAGTCAGAGGAAGATCGAGAATGACAGTGTTGTTGCGGGATACTCCAAAATCGTGCATCATCTTGCCACCCGAACACCCGGGAACGGGAGCATTCAGTAAATTTGGAAGAGGAGTTCCGGGTTTCCTTTCCCGTGGGATCACCGAATAGTGTACATATGGAGCCACAAATGTGCAGTGGAAAAGTAACATTTCCCCTGTGCATGGGTCAACCTTTGGGTGGCCTGTGGTCCATTCTTTCATGAAACTGAGGACTCCTTTTCCACCAAACCTGGCATCTTGTTCATCAGTGCCTTGAGACAACACTTCCTCTCCCTCTGCCTGTTTTCCGTCGTACCAGCCGACAGTTTCAAGGCCGGGAAGCCTCACACGCATCGGAGGCCCGCTTTCGCATGTAGCTAAAGCACGTCCATCGTGATATATTATTCCGGTGTTGGCGACGCTGATTCTTTTGATGGCCTGCTGCGAGCCGGGTAGGTGGGATAATAGTACAAGGAAGATGCTTCGAAAGATGCGTATTAATATTACGATTAGACTTGCAATTGGACTGACGAGCGTTGCAATACTGGGAAGTATGGGTGTTCGTAAATTCGTATTCTCGAAACTCGAAAGACAGACGTCGGTCAATATGTACTGATTGACAAAGTGTGGTGTGACGCGGTTCGATCCAGAAGATGACCGTTTGAAGAGTACTCCAGCAAGCATTCCATCGCCATCAAACCAGTGGGCATCTCTCCCGAGATCCGAATTGGAGACCGGATTACCACCGTTGCGAACATACTGTCCGCCCAAGAGCTCCGAGGGTATGGACCCAATGTACGAGCATGGTGTTGATTGAAAGGTATCCGTGACAGGAGCAAAGTTTCCAGTGAGGTATCTTGGAGGAAGTTAGTATGATATTTACTTACAGAACATCAGCCCATAAAGTAGTAACATACGGATGTTCAGACTTTCGCTTCCTTTTCCCTACAATGGTGGACATCGCAACTGACGCCTCCCTGATAAGTGGGTGTACAGACGAAGTGAATAAGCCCGAATGTATAGGTGGGCGCCCCTGTCTAAGTCTCGTGTGAAACCCGTACTGCAGTAGTGGAGGAGGGAGTGATCGCAGTAAGATTGATCTCTCGAGTCTCATTATTGTCCATTCGGTCCAAGCACATGCATTTCCAGGACTGACGTGAACGGCACCTCATCCTACAAGGGTCTAGAAGCTTGTTCGGCAGGCGTGTGAGATTATCTTGACATTCAAGGCTAAAGAGCTGGCGACCGGATGGCTCGGAGAGAAGGATAGGGTTCTATGATGGGGAATTGGAGGTATTATTCGTTGCTTCACATGATTCTCTGATTGGCAATAGGAATGATGACGTCGTGATTAAACGTCCTCTAGTCCATGCTAACCAGATTCGGGCTAGATACATTCACCATAGTCTTTGGCACGTCGCCCAAGTCCTCAACGACAACTCGATTATCGGTCATGGACGCCTTTTCTGTTGTCGTTCCTGTTTTGCGCCTACAGCCGTGCCGTTGTGCTTTAGCACGCCCCTGCATTCGGCGTTTAGCATCAATGTGAATTCTCGCGTTTGCATGGAGCTCAATAGATTGACGACCAATACACTGACCTGTGCGACGCAACGCAATGGGCTTCGAATATGCTTTGGTGTATGTTGTGTTGTGGAAAGCAAGGAGTGCAATTTATACGTGGCTGACAATCTCGTGATAGGCACGTCAAGTACACAATTCCTCCTGCAATACTTCTCACACAGTTGTACCGGCCTCTTTTCTCCAAGCTTGACGCCTACAAAATCGTCTTCCTAATCACGGCATGTGAAGCCACCTAACATCCATACAAAGCTTTCGCTAATTGTTGTAGATTGCTGTGGTGTCTACCATACCTTGGGATTCGTACCTGATTCGCACGCGGATATGGAGCTATCCGTCACACGTCATTATTGGCCCGAAGTTGTTCGACATTCCCATTGAAGAGGTCTTCTTCTTCATCATTCAGACGTACAACACTTCCCTGTTCTATCTAATACTCAGTAAACCCACATTCCAGCCAATCTACCTCCGCGTCGAAAGACACGGCTCAGACCGGCTATGGCCCTGGTATAAATTGATCGGCCAGTGGTCGTTTATAAGCATCATTGCGCTTGGTTGGAGCTTGGTGAAAGGTGGTGTTGAGGGAACCTACACTGGATTGATCCTTATTTGGGCAGTACCTTTTTTGCTTCTGCTTTGGTGTGTACTCAGAATATAAAATGAAGACTCACACTGAACGTTAGCAGGTCATTGGCATACCAATTCATTCTCGGGCTTCCGCTCTCGAATACGCTAGTGCCCATCGCTATTCCTACACTGTATCTCTGGATCATCGACACATTGGCATTGAAAAGAGGCACGTGGGTCATAAACACTGGTACGAAAGTTGGGCTACATCTTTGGGACGGATTGGAAATCGAGGAAGCCCTCTTCTTCTTGGTCACCAACACCTTGATCATCTTTGGCCAAATTGCATTCGATCACGCACTGTCGATCCTGTACACATTTCCAGACCTCTTCCCCGATGCGCCGCTCTTGCCATCACCCCTCCTACTCATCCGCGCACTGTTAACAGCAGTGTACCGATGGGACGAAGACAGGATCAACGGACTCAAGGAGGCAGTTACGCGGTTGAAAAAGAAGAGCCGGAGTTTTTACTTCGCGAGTTCGACCTTCCAAGGCCAACTCCGGACAGACTTGCTTCTTCTCTACTCGTTCTGTCGCGTAGCCGACGACCTCGTCGACGACGCAGCCACCGCTTCGGAAGCCAGCGCATGGATAGCCAAGCTCCACCGCTACCTCGAACTCATCTACTCTCGTGACGAAAAGACAGACACTCGAATAAGCGACTACGTCGTTCAAAACTTTCCCCCGGGGACACAATATGCTCTCCTCCAACTCCCCTACCTCAAAATCTCCCGCCAACCCCTCGAAGACCTCCTCCACGGCTTCGAAACGGACCTCGAATTCACCCCAACCTCCCACCCGATCAACACGGAATCAGACCTCCAGACGTACGCGCACCGCGTGGCAGGCACAGTAGCCCGGATGTGCATCGAGTGCATCTTCTACGATTACCAATGCACCTCCACGACACCCTCCTTCGAGAGAGACCAGAAACAGCGCATCATCGACGCGGGAGACGTCGCCGGCATCGCGCTGCAGTACGTCAACATTGCGCGCGACATCGCCGTGGACGCAAAGATGGGAAGAGTGTACATTCCAACCACGTGGCTGACCGCCGAAGGCCTGTCGCACGATTCGATTTTGAAAGATCCCCACGGCGTACATGTGGAAAGCCTGCGCACGAAGTTACTAGACAAGGCGTTCGCGCTTTACGATCAAGCCAGCGAGGCCATCGAGGAGCTTCCCGTCGAGGCGAGGGGCCCCATCCGTGTGGCCGTGGAGAGCTACATGGAGATTGGGCGGGTCTTGAGGCAGGAAGGATATGTTGTGAAAGCCGGGAGAGCAACTGTGCCAAAGATCAGGAGATTGAGGGTTGCCTGGAAAGCCTTGAAGGGTCGGCTGCAGAAATGATGAGGATAGGTCGGCTTGGTTTGACGTTGAAAAGTAAGGTGGAAGGTCAAGGATAATGATAAGGTGTCGATGCCAATTTATTTCAGCTGGAAGATACCCGTTGCATAGACTTTTCCACTCCTTGTAGCTGCTTCTTACTGCTCGAGAAATCACCTGTTGATTTGATACCTATGCATTGCTACGAACAAGTGCCCCAAAAGAGCTATGTAGATGAGGAAAAAATCCATTCCCACAAAGGTACGGGGTATTTAAGCATGCCGAATATAATGCCGAAATGCGAAAAGGTTATAAAAATCGCTGCGTTTCACACGACCAGATATATTCTTCCTCCTTGCAACTACCGTGTATCATTTGAATTTTGTTGCTTCATCGTTGTTTAAGATGGCCATCCTTGTTGTATATATTCTCATCTCTCGGTCTGGCACAAACTCAGGCAAAACTCCCTGAAGTCACCCCTCGTCGCCTCGCCGAGGTCTTCTTCGACAAGCGTACCGTATTTCTCCTCGTACTCCCTCTTGACGCGCATGAGGTGCAAACGATCCCAGTGTAGGCGCACGAGGCGCGAGATGAGAAGTTCGTGGCGTTGCTGGCGGTCGTGCTTGGCGGATGTCGAGCTCTTGGATGGGTTCGAGGAGCTAGGGGTTTCAATGAGGTCCATGAGGGCATGGTGGAGCAGCATCGAGTCTCGTGCTGGCCGGTTGATGACGCCGTTGAGGATGTGCGCCACGACTTCGCCCTAGAGAGCATGTTTGTTAGTGTCCATTCAGGGCCGGCTATTGTGGGAGGCTGGTAGAAAGAGAAGTACTTACGACTAGGTTGTTACTCTTTCTCAGCGCGTCTCTTGCGAAGTTGCCCCGGTACTTTCTCTCGTATGTTCGCAAGACTTCCCGGAGGTGTGCGTCCGAGCGGAGGATGACGATGTTGAGCATAGCACTCTCGCCACCCTCTCGTGCTTGTATCGCTTTGTACAAGGTGTCTACATCCCTGTTTCTGTACTCAACGTCCCAGATCTCGCTTTCTTCCTGTCGTTCGCCTTCCAATGCCATGAGTACCGCTTTTCTGAATTTGTCCGCTTTCAATTCCTTGTCCATGCACCGCGTCAGCGAATCTCCGTATCGCTTGTCACGGAAGGCATCTTTGATCTCCCGGATCTCGTGGTTCTGTCGTCCCATGAGTGCCTCGATCAGTAACTCCCTTTTAGCATTGCCGCTCTGGTACCAGTAGTTCGCCCAGTATCCCTCACTTTCGTACCGGCCTAATGCAGTCACGTAGGCAACTTTCCCAAAGTTACCAGTCGTCTTCAGCTTGATGTGCTTTGCGATATTGATGCCTCGTCCTTGGACCTTGCAGTGTCGCTTGTACTCGTTGCGCAGCTCGAGCATCTGGTCGTGTGTCAGAGCGGGGAGGATGTCAATTAGGGGATCCGCGTTTATGGGTCGTGCTGCCAGCGCTTCGACAATATCAAGCGCATCGTCACGGGCGTCATAGATCTTGACCCTCTTCTCCTTCTCTCGCTCACGTTCGCGGTCTCGAGGGTTGCGGCTTCGGTCGCGATGGCGGTCGTCTTCGCGGTCTCGAGCTATATCGCCATAAGCAGCGAGGGCAAGCTTATCGCGGTGCTTGGAACGCGGTGGGCTATCAGACGGGCGGCCCGAAACCGAAGAATGAGAGCGGTGACGGCCTCCTTTTCCTTGAACAGACGCACTGGACGATCGGGGGTCGAGTGCCAAATCGTCAATGTCGTCGTCCAACATCATTGCATGAGGCATGGGTGATAAGGACTGGTATGTTCCGTGGTAGGCTTCGAGCAGAGGGCTCGGCGGAGGGAGGCCGCCACCGCCTCCGCCAGGAAACCCGCCTGGCATCCCCCCAGGTACAATAGTCTGTATATCTGGACGGTTACCGCTAACGGAAAGTCTGTCCATGCGTTGATTGAGCCCATCTGGGCGGCCTCCAGATACGGACAGGCTGTGTGGGCGCAGACCCGGCGACGGTGGCGCATTGAGCTTGCCTGCTCCTTGTGGTACCATCTCAACGACCTTGCGCCCGTCATACGAACTCACTGATCTTGAATGTGATCGATGGTGGTCCTCGGGTCGTGGAGATTTGGGACCCATCGGGGGTGGGGGCGGGTATTGGTGTTGCGGTGGTGGGTTCTGCTGCTTTGATGAGGATTGGGGGGGTGCGGCTTGTGGCATCGCAGTGTACTGCGGTTGCTGTGACTGCTGGGGATATGGAGAAGAGGGTTTGGCGGGTTGTGCTGTATACCTCAACGCAGGTTGCGCTTGCTGTTGCCCAGCATTGACGGGCTTCGCCGTGTATGTGATTTTGTCTGGTTGCGGCGCATACTGAAAAGACCCGCTCTGGTTCGCAGGAGCTGCAGTAAAGCCGTACTGTCCGTTGGTCTGCGTGTACTGAATGTTCGGATTGGTGTTGTACGATACGTTGCCTGGGGCAGGAGGACCGGCGTTCGAATACTGGTATTGTGCAGCGGCCTGGGCCTGTTGCATGTAGCCGGGACGCTGCTCGGGGGGCAGGTCGCTGTAATTGCCCATGGTGATGGGTTCACTACCTGGAGGTCTTGTCGCCATTGTCGTCTCAGCTGGGTGCTTTTTTCTGGGAAGAAGACAGGGCCGCAGGTGTCTGGGATATTAAGTACTCACGGAGGAAATTGTTGACCCGGCTGCCTAACTTCATAATTGTAGTCGAACTGCGGGGTAGATCCCTCATGCTCACGCTCACGCTCACGCTCAGCTGGCGCTGCCGAGTAATATTGAGGCCCTGGGGAGGGAGCTCGTGAATGGCTGCGGGAACGCTCGCGTCCGCGACCGGGGGACTTTGACCGCGACCGATGCTTCCTGTCGTCTGGGCGCAACGACATGACGAAACAATGCGACTGCTATAAGCTTCGAAAGGGGTTCTCTTCAAGTATAGCTCCGGGAATGGTATACGAGGGTCGGAGGATTGCGACTAGAGCTGGCGGGGATTTGTGGTTTGTTTACCAGCTGTTGCAATTGGAAGCAAACAAAACAATGGCTGCCAAAGCGTCGGCGTCGATCTCTCCCCAGGAGCTGTCAAGGAACTGAGTTGACTGTGGACAAGCAAAGTGGTGAGGTGAGTATTATGTGACCAGGGGGTGGTAGAGAAGGTAGTTAGTTAGTAAGGTGAATTGATGGTAAGAAAGATGAGGAAACAATTGAGGTGAGGCTGAGGCTGAGAAAATGTGATGGCGGGGAGGGGGTGGCAGGTACTCAGTACAACACAACACAACACAGCATACAGAATAGAGACAGAAAAGACGGGTTTACCACAATTCAATTAATAGTTACTAACCTCCCTGTGTAGCCGTAGTTAATGTCAGCATCTCCTATTCCATTTCTTGTTGTTCCCGTACCGTTCCACTCAACTGCATGACAAGAACAATTCATTCGAAGGTTTGTCGCGCGAGGATCCACAAGTTTGTCCCTCCTGTGCCGTCTTAGTCTCCTAAAACATACAATAACCCCCCGTTCCCCTGTGGCCCCCCAGCATCTTTCAAGATATAAGAAGGCGGGAAAGGTAAGGCCTTTGGGTCCTTGGGGGCCGCCCGTGTCTCACTGGTGAACCCGCTCTCATCGGATTCTCAAGAAGCTGGGGGCCGAAACTGCAAAATGGACTGCAGCAAAGCTCAAGTCTATTGTATCGTTGTCTGGGTAGATCGAATGATTCTTTGAGAGAAGGCAGAGCTAAGGCTACAGCGTACGGAGTAGTATGTTAAATATATGATGATATTAATTATTTTATTTAACTACATTCTTTTCTGCCAATACGAAAACATTGTCGTTACTAATGCCCTAGTGACGTGGAATGCGGAGAAGCGTACACATCAACGGAGATGCATCACGGTGGGATGTGGGATGCCTAGACCTTTCTTCAAGACAAATGGACAGTCACGGCATGTTTACACTCCGTACGTAATTTTCGGAGATGTTCAGACTTGGCTATATCTGCAAAGGCGCTGGAGCATTCATCTGTGACTATCTTCGTGTTCGGAATGGGTTACGAGGACTCCGCACGCAGTACAGAGTACAGAGTGCATACTTCGTAGAGGATGTTGATATAGAGACGGGTTTCAGCTCACTTCTCGTCCTCGTACAATCATTCAGCTCCCACGCCACACTTCAGCCCTTCAGAGCCCAGAAGATTCGAATTCGAATTCATGTGCCCGGGGTCTCCCGCTCCAGCAACTCCACATAACTACCTAACTAACAGTTAACACTTTGAACAGAGTTACTGTCCTCCCTCTAAACCAGATATGGCAAGATTGTCGGTCTACCTTCAGACGTTAGATATCGGAGGCTCTATGGAGCAACGATAACTTAAGTAGGTACCTAGGTAGGCGCTCCCTACGGTTTTCAAGAGTATCGGTATAGGGCGGCTTCACGAGAACGCGAGAACAATCTGTCGATCGTAGGCATGTAGATGAGCAGGCCTTGAAAAAGGCAAGGGTAGCATCGTCACAAGTCTCTATTTCCATCAGAGCAAGCGGTACTATTGAAGCCACCGCATCCTGGGAGCTCAACTTGCACTCGTGACCTATAGAAAGAACAAATCATGAACGGTCCGGTGTCAATGATTCCACGCCTTTGGTGGTGAAATGCTGAGGCTGAACATGAACGTCTCTATGTTCGTCGAATAAAAAATCGGCGTCGGAAGTGTTGCTTGATGAGACGAAGCACAAGTCCTAGGCTAGACCCGGGCCGGCCCCAAAATTCAAGAGAGAAAAAAGTTCGACAACGCCGCCACGTTTTTTTAATTGTGGATAAGGTAGTTATCTAATTGGCAAATGACGAGACCAGCGAGCGAAAGATTGTCGCCGATGTCTGTGCGAAGGGAGGAACAGACGCTCGAAGGCTTCGTATCGTTTTTTATAACCCGCATATCCGTAGCACCGCGCGTTGGGACTTTTATAGGCATTGAGTGCTGCTACAGTCTACACAGTACAACTTATCAAAGTCCACGTAGCTTATCTCCATTGATACTACTGAGGCACTCCACCCTATCACGATGCCGACTGGGCAAATGCTGTCTCTACCCATCATCGCACCAGCGGCTAACACTCAATTTCAGTCACCACTCATTCGCCTTCCAGCCGAAATCAAGCATATTATATATGGCTACTGCTTCACGGCTGATAGCCCTATCGTTGATCCTGCTATCAGGTGTTCGCCATCGAGGAATACCTTCATCCCGAGGAGCGAACTTGGTCTGACCATCTTGCGAACTTGCCGTGGAGCTTACCACGATGCTGACATCCGCCCTCTTTTCTCTCGGAACACTTTTCGATTTACCAATGTCGACCGCGCACGATGTTTTTTCCAGGGCCTTGGCAGTGATCTTGCTGCGCATGTGCAGGATATCGAATTTGACGCGAAGAACGTAAGTTCCGGGCACCCAGATATTGCTCGAGAATTGCTCCACTACATATCATGGGGTTGTGCGAAATGTGAGAAAGATATGAGCGGCTTGCATATCGATGCTCCAGGATTGAACTGCCTACGGTTCAACTTTGACTCTTGGCCTTGCATTTCCATGTACAGGGCGGACCTCTGGAATCTCCTAAGGAATTTGCTCCAAAACGTGCAGGGCCTCGACCGGATCGTAGTTACTGGCGCCAGCAAAGGCAGTGCCATGGCGCGACGCGAGCCCTGGTCACCCGTGCACTATGTAGGGGGGAACGATGTCGGTGCTGATGATCTTGTGCAGCGAATGTGGCGCGCAGTAGGAGATGTCAACGACAGAGATAAAATCATCAGGTGGACACGAAGCAAAGGGAAAATCCATCTCGAGGTCGTAGCACCAGATTCTCTGCACCAGCAGGTTGGAGGAAGCTGGGGAGCGCTCATCACGTGCAAATCCCGAACGGATGCGTGGCCGGAAAATGGCTCTTGCAGTTGGAGCGCATACGAAAATCGTAACTCGGGCGTGACCGAGCCCACGACCAAAGGCATCAATCCCAGCGCCGCCGAATAATGGGTCTTGCTGGGTCCCATGGACCCCGGATCTCATTCTTATATTTCTGGAGGCCGATCAACCACCAGCTGCAGATTCCCATGGCAAAAAAGGTGATGACACCACCAAGTATTACGCCGGCGATCCACGCTCCGCGCCCGCCGCCTGTCAACGTCACACATACACCTCCGCATGCGTTAACAACCAATGCGATGGTCAATACCAGATTCCCATGCCAGGACCTAGAGCGGAGTTGGCGGCGGAAGATGGGGAAGAGGCCGAATACCTCAATCGAGAATAGCGTCAACGAGAAGACGTGCGTGGTCGAAGGTAGACGTGAAGCCAGGACGGTGGATGCCATCAGCGCAGAGTTCGTGGAAATGGATGCAGGAAGACTGGTTATCGCATTAGGATATCTATTGCTTTATAATTAGATGGATTTGAACATACTGAGAACCCGATCCCTCTCCATAATCAAAGAACGCAACGTTCATGCAGAGCAACCATGTACTCATTGCCCAGATCGAATCGCTTGTGGTGGACATGGTAAGAGACTTAAGAATTGGACTCAAGCCCAGCAATGCGGCATAGATCAGAAGCGCCGATTTCACAGTTGCGAGGCGTTGCTGGTTTCGTGGCGAGATTGATGATGTTGGGTCTACGTATGGTGCCTGTTGTTTCGTTGGTGATCCTGGCAAGGGGTCCGCCTGTCCCGTTCTTGGTGCTTCGGACTCATTCGATGTGATAGAGGTTGTGCTAGTGGTGTGCGAGTGGACTGGTCTGAACTTGCCCTCGTTCTCGAGTGCTAACTCTGATCCATGTGGCCCTTTCGGAGGCAAGACTGAACCAGACCATGTATTCGTAACCTCCTCGACACCATTTTCCTGTTTGTCCGCGGCCGCTTTTGCAGCTTCGGCCTCCTCTTCGCCCAACCAGTAGTCCCAAAGAGCCCATGCTAACACAGTACAGAAGCTTGCCCAGCTTACTACCGATATGGGAGAAACCCGTTCTTGTACGATGGCGACGAAGCAACAGCAGAATATAGCGACAGACGCAATATGCTGCACGATGACGGTCGAATCGGCCATGAGCGACCAGAACTCATAGGGTTGAAGACGGGGGTTGCGTTGTAAATGGTCAAGGAAGGTCTCCTCATCTGTGTAATTATCGGGAACTGCAACATCAGCACCGGCCTGTCTCTACTGTGGGGAAAAGACGTACATGGTTGCTTGAACCATAACAGCTTCTTGTAATTACCCTTCCTGCGGCGACTCGCACTGCGCGTTCTTTCGCGCCTCCATCTGGCGCTCATTGCCGCTTCAACAGCGAGGGGTCCTCGCGAGGCCTCGCTGTTGTAGGCATCTTCAGGCGCGAGTCGATCGGGATCGATATGATTCAATTTAATGGTCTCTCGCGTCGCCGTCGAGTTCGACATTTACACTTGAGGTGTTGGTGATGTGTCGAGGAGCGATGGAATAGTGTGACGAAGACACGTCGTGTGCACAATCAGATCAGTTGGCTGGGGCGTTGCCGCTAGGACCATTTCATTCCGACCAAGGCCAAGGTTCCGAACATTCGTTCCGATACGGACGGATCAAACACTTCAGCGTGTCCGTTCAGCCTCGCCATGGTATCACACAGCACGTGAACTAGATTTGTTTGCTTGACGCTCAAAACTCTTCATCTTCTACTTGATTCACTAACAAACTCTCCCCCACCATCCTCAACTTTGTCCCTCCCCGCTCCTACTTACTTACCTATGGTTACTTCGTATTTCTCGCTTCCAACTGAACTTCGTGTCGCTATCCTCGAGGATGTAGTCCATACTCCTCGCGCGACGCCCCCAGACGCAACTGACTACGTGCGACAGACGGTTGACGTTAAGGACAGCGACCCGTGTGGTCAGGTCATTTACAACCCATGCATTGGTCCTGGCGCACTGCTCCTCGTTAGCAAACGCTTCAGTATTGATGCTCGGTTTGTCTTGGATCAAAAGCGTCGTGTCGTGCTCGACCTTCTGCCTTGCAGAAGTGTCAACTTCCCTACGAATGGTAAGCAAAATCATCTGTGGGGAAGATTTGCCCCGCGCTTGGCTAAGTGGCGTGAATTAGATGTTGCACAAGAACGTTTTCGTCGATCAATGATAGAGAGGGCTGTCGACATGCTTCCCCCCGCTCGGCTTCCTGAGAGTATCTACACGTTCCACCCTATCATGGCAACATGGCTTGTTCCTCCAGGTCCAGGAATGGATCATACCAACATCACCGGCCTAGACGTCCATTTTCGCAATCCAGGAGATGTCGTGGTAACTAATGTGTCACGTAGGCATTCGTATCACAATCCCAGGCACCAAGATTCCAGCTAACCTCTTATTAGATCGAACATCAATTCTATTAATTCGCATCGTTCACAACATCGTGGGTATGAGTATTTCCGAGGATCCTTTCAACTTCTACGACGCCCTTCTTGTAAGGGGGCAACGCATCCCCATTATCAGAGTCCTCTTCGCCGCTCCACCATCCGATGGCCTTCCGGTCCCTCCTCCCCATCGATTTGGTTCTGAAGACCACATGGACATCACGTGGAAGTCATTAATGTTGCTTTTTCATAGCTTCCGGTCCGTACCTAATCATCCTAGCTTGAGGGGTACCTGCAACGTTACGAGCACCATCGAGCTTTGTCTCAATGGCTATTGGGTCTTCCGCTTCCACTTTTCAGCCGAAGCACGGTTTCCGGAGGGCAACTGCATGGTACCAGAAGCAAATGTAGAGTTCCTGGAGGAGCACGGCTTTGGGGTCAATCTCGTCAAGACCGGTTACAGTGGTTCTTCTGGCAGGGAAGTTCACATGCTCCAGGTAACGTTCAAGGGGGAGGGTGACATGGCCTTTTGGCACGTAAGTTACTGCCCCTGATTGTTTTTGAGAGAATGAGCTACTTCGAGGACCTTTTTCTAGGTTATCATCTCTTATCTCCTGTCTTCAAATTCTCCTTTGTCTTGGGGTTTGGGCTTTCTTTTGGTTATTGACGCACAACGGCCCTATTTCCTGTCTTCAAATTCTCTTTGTCTTGAGGTTTGTGCTTTCTTTTTATTATTGACGACCAACGGCCTTTTTTCCAGTCTTCGAATTCTGATTTATCTCAAGGTTTGGGCTTTCTTTTGATCATTGACGCGAAACGGCCTTACAACCAAAAAAACACTCCAGATAAACCATAGGTAGTATATGATATGCAAAGTATTTGGTAAAAGACATGTGCAACGGTTGGTAACTGGTGAATCGTAAAAGTCAATAGTAATGTTACAATTCTGGATCCATTCATGATTAAGGCATACATCTCTTCCCTTCAAACATATTTCCAAACTCCGTGATAATGCACCGACAATTGGCCAATGTCTACGTGAGGTATTACAAGACATTTGATAGCAACTGCTAAATGTCACGAACTCGCCCCCTCATTTGTTCTGCTACCAAATACAGCAACTACTATGTTATGGACTACACAAATTGGAGACACCTAGAAGTGACCTGATCTTAAACCCGCACACGTATTGCCTCGTCACCATTGCTAGAACAACACTACTTAATGATCATGTGTAGCTGCTCCATTGGCTCTTTAGGATTTTGGATAAACTCTGCCGTATATGAGTTTGATTATAGGAACACACCAGGCGGGTTTTTGTAAAGACCACATGCAAAGTACATTGCAGTGGTGTGTGTGGACGGCTCTGGTCGACCTTGTTCGTCCTAGACTTCATTCTATGATTCATTCACCATCCATACAGGTTGCAGGTGGCAGCTTTCTCCGGCTTAAGCTAAGACTTCTTAATTCACCTCTCCATGCACGGGGCCCCTCAGTCCTTTAGGTAAGAAAAATTGAGGATGGCACAATATTCGCAGACACGGAACCCCTTGTGTTGTCGTGCATCTTGCAGTGCTGCATGCATATTGTACGTTCGTTCAATTTCGAAGGTCTTCGAGAGCCTTGTCCAACATGATTCGCCGTTCAAGTGGCACATTTGAACTTGAAGGACTATGCTTAAACACAGCGGCGGTCGCAGCACAAGTATCTTCATCAGTGCCGTTCCTTTCGAATGGGAGCGCATATTCCAGTAGGAATCTGACAACCCATCTATTGACAGTGTAAGTACTGGCGGCAGATGATCGAAGGCATGCTTCCTGGAACACGAACAAACGATCCTTCATCTTATCCACACGAGGCCAATACTTGGAAAGTTCCATCAAGGCTTCGAAATTGCGCGTGAGCTGTAGCTTCGCGGTGTCGACCTCTTCAGGGTTGCCGAATAACAGTAAGTGTAATAGCACTGATGATGACACTATGGTCATGTGTGCAACTGTCAGAAACACTACATGGCAGTCTCCCAGCCCGCGGGCTGTCCATAGTAAGCGGCTGAATGACAACCCATGGGACCTGCATTTACTGGCATATGCAATGGTCCTAGGATTGGGTTCGCAGTTTGGTTCAAGATATTGAAAGTACAGCAAGGTGTGGAAGTAATGGTATCCCAGATGGAGACCAACAAACAGACCACCGGTACCTTGCTTTCGGTACCGTTCGAGGTTTGGCTCGTTCATGATCATGTACAGAGGTAGTGAGTTGTGCCAGTCTTGCAAACGGGCTTCGATGCGCTGTACTTGAGCATCGACTGTCGGTCGATCCACGTAGTCTTGGGTAAGGGAAAGATTCATGTCTTGGATTTCGTCAACGATGTCCACCAATGTGATATTATATGCCCAAAGACCGTTCCTTTGCCGCTCGAACGAGAGCTCATCGGCTGGTCGCAGGAGTTGGAAATCTCTTTCGTCCATGGGCAATTCCATGGATCGATTGATGAACGGAATCTCGCGAGGTAGGCCAAGCCCGGGTGTGCACCACCTGTCCGCCATGAACAAAGACCACCAGATTCTACATTTCGTCTCTTTCAAGATGGGGAGATCTCTGTTATCTTGTTTGTGAAGGCCCAGAATGTACGCCATTCGGTTTGCAATACCTGAAGTTCGTGTCAGTGGGAGGTATGATCAACATGATAAAGGGGAACGAACCAAAATACAAGCCTTCCAACTTGTGGTTCTGCTCCGCGGCATAGCTGTTGGCGAGGAGTATGCAAGCTTGTACATTTGAAATGGAGATATCTTCAAGGTTCTGGGAGATGAGAGATTTTGCCTTCGAAATGAAGAAAGTCGAGAGATTACGGTGCGCCTCGTCCAGAGACAACCGACACCCCAAGGCGCAGAGCGCTGCAAGCATGGTGTCGGACAACGTGCCGCTGTGATACTGCTCCCAGAAGGTCCACTCTTGGAACAGACTGTGCGGCCGATCATGAACAAATTTGAAGTACAACTGGATAAAGTGGGATATCTCTTTCGGGGTCAATGAGCGCAACTCACGATCCCATTGTGGCAGGTCTGCTGGGGGCGCAATAGTACATGTGTTTGGCCCTGTCCAGGGAACAGTCGTATATACTTTGGGTCTCTTCCACAGTCTTGAGCACTTGATGTTTCGCCTCTGACAGGTTAGACATGCTGACTGCGGATCTCCGGGATCCTGCGTGCACCTGATTTTGGTGACTCTGCATTCGGGGCAGGCGGTCGCATGCTTCATGGTATAGTACAAGGTGTGTTCGTGCGTGTCGGTGTTTTTCGAAGTCCACGAGATTCAGACGAGACCAAGCATGAACATTGCAGCCTTTCTTGCGTACGGCTCTGTTGAGTTGAGCTGCAGGCGTTGTTTAGGGTTAGGGAGACATGAATATCGTGCGTGACCGGGGCCGACAGGAGCTGTGGAATCTGGGGATGCAGGAAATGTGGGGTAATCCGTAATGAATTGGTCAAATTTAGCCTCAGCCGCACTAGACCTCTAATTGGTTAGATCGCCCGAAGTCGTCCGCATCTGCTTAGTGATACTGTATACATTGACTCGTATTAAATAACTACCTAAGGCACCTGACATGGGTAGGTACCTATCCTATATAGTATAGGTACGTGGGTACTTTGACACCAGTAGCCTAGGTACCGTACCTATCATCAAGGGAAGACTGGCCACTTGGATTCAATCTTCAAACTTATTTAGAAGATGTACAGTATCACGTCTGATAGTTGGCTTCTCCAATGGACGCTCTTCTTTCTCCTCAGGAGACCTAGGTACCTAGCTACTCCTGAAACGCTGGTTGTGAACACATAAGGTCCGATTCAAGCCGTTTGTTTCTTGGATCAATGCTTACCCTTTTCTGATGCTATACATGGACGCAAGGCCTAGTCTCTTTACAGGCATTGCTCCAGAGCGCTCTATCATTCCAAAGTTCTAGAATTTTTGATCATTGCAACAGAGGATGACTTATATGGGTACTCTTCTGACGTTGCCGACCGAGGTTGTTTGAACAGATGTTCATTTTCCCTGAGCGACTGGTATGTACACGTACAATTCAAAGCGACATGTTCCCGTCCCTAATAGGTGATGCCATTTCCATCCTCCCGTGCCCGCTCAGGTCACAACGACCGAGAGTCATTCTTTCCCAAATCATAGGATTGGAGTTGAAGTCATAGCTTTGTTTGATGGTTCGACTTTGGCTTTTCCTCCTAGAAGTTGTATTCGCTCGTATCCGCTAACCGTTCGTAACAAGTTCCCTACTGACTAGTTCCAAGGTTAAGAGACAACTGATGACTAACCTTCGACGTTTTTGTGAATAAATTCATGGACAGCACTGTGACCATAACAAAGAAGTATATTTTCGAAATGGTTTAGTCACTCGTTGATCGATCGATCGATTCCCCTCTTCGAGTCTTTGTTTGAAGAGGATGGTGGTTCACGTGATGTCTTGGCATAGGTCAGCGTCCAAGGCTTCGTGAACTGTGCCGCATCAGCACGCCCTTGATCTAAAGAGACGTTTATAACCCTCTGATCTAGCCGTGATCTGATGGATATCTGTCTGTCTCTTCAACCATGGAGCCTCGCATAGCGACTCTGTTGCTGGGCGATAGCAGCCCGTCCGGTTCAATCTCTACATTACCGCCACTCCCAAACAGCCAACTTAGGCCCCTCCTCCCTGCCCCCGCGACGCATCGAAATGACATTCCAGGCGTCGAAAACCTCGCCGGTCCGAGGTTACGTCCAATATCAGTCCGCCCAAAATCGAGCGTACCCATCGCGGAAGTATTGAATCAAGAAGCCCCAGCCGCTCCGCAGCAGTTCGCCACCACCGTCTCGCACAACCCCGCACAACCACAACTGTTCAGCGGGAGGCTGCAGGACATACTCTTAGATCCCTCCCAAGAGCGTGCAAGTAAGAGGAGGAAAGTCGATGGGCAGACAACACCACCTGCGCTCCCCGGGAGCGAGAATAACCTTTTGACCTTACCCAAACTTCCACAACTACCAAAGAAGACTTCTCGCAGACCTAGGATACCTCCCCTATTACAGGGACTACACCAACCTCCCCCCCTTCCTCCTGAGGGAAGGCTGTTCCCACCTATCACAGGAGAAAGGGGTGGGTTTAGCAAGGAACTTGGCGACCGGGTGGGGCTGAGAAGTCCAGCTGCACCAGCAAGGAACAAGGAGAAAGAGGACCATATCCCTGGAGAAATCGCAGTAGTCTTGCGGAACAGCGTTTCTCAAAGAGGAGAAGGCAAGGGAAAGGACAGACTAGTAGATGCGACATTCTACGAGGCTGCCAATGAGCCTAACAAAGAAATACAGCGACCTGGGGATACTGGAGAGAATTCTTCGGGAAAGGGAAAGACTACGAAAAGGCGTAACAAATGGACGAATCAAGAGACACAAGATCTCTTAAGAGGTGTAAGCATGTTTGGCATTGGCAACTGGAAGAAGATCGTGAATCACCCCGGCTTCGACTTTCATCAACGCACGGCTGTGGATCTGAAGGATCGCTTTCGAACTTGCTGCCCAGATGAAACTGGCAAATCCCGCCAAATCAATTCGCAGACCACGCACTCGAGGGACTCGAACAATGACCTCACGCTCGCTACCGGTTTGCAAGGAGATGAAGCTACTCCAGCTACAACGTCTGTGGCGCCAGACGAAGCATCATCCAAACCAAAGAAGCCACGAAAATCTAGGTCAGACAAACAGGAGAAATCAACTGAACAGTTGGCCGAGATGGGCATTCAGGAACCCTTCGCTCGATCCAAACGTCGCCAGCGTGTTGAATTTACCGAGAAGGATGACGAAAACCTCTGGAAGGGATACAAGCAGTACGGCCCAGTGTGGCACTTGATCAAGGAAGACGCAAACTTTGGTTTCCGTCATCGTCATCCGACAGACCTCCGTGATCGATTTCGTATCAGATATGCAGAGGAATATGCTAAAGCAGGCTATAAATTAAAGACGAAGAACACCCCGGGACCCAGAGCAAATGAAGAGAGCAATCAAGAAAACTTCGAAGTTGCGCCTGTGACAGCGAACAAAAATACATTACAGGAGGCCACCCCGATACACATAAACTCTTCTTCTACATCCAATTTGAAAGTCCACACACTTTCGCAGCCGCTCCGCAACTCATTCCCCACCCCGTATGAGGATTTCTCCGACATTATATCTGAAGATGACGGCGAGAACAGAAAGAGCCCCATAACGTTGAGTCGCCACATTTTCCAATGGGCAGACGCGAACCCCTCCCAAGCACCATCGATGGCAAGCGCCTCTACCATGCCGACGATTGCGAACCTCACTGGGGACTTCGGGATGCACTTTCTCACAGGTGCGGATGGCATGCACATCGACCCCCAGGAGCTCCGACTGCCAGTGGCATCAATGCAACAGGGCGTGTTTTCGGTATTGCCTGCATATACGCCGAATCAACAGCATTTCGGATCCACGATTCCGATGAATGCAGGACCAACCACGGTGCCTGCGCCGGCACCTGGTCCCAGCTCAGGCTCTATGATGGCGTCGGCATCTAACAAACAATCCGTTAGCTCGCTTCTTCGCACGCCCAATTTGCCTACGATCGTATATCCACATGTCCCGATGTCAAGCGCCCGCAATACAATGCACAAACTGCCTCGTCCCGCCGATCTATTATCGGGGGTTGATCACGACAGTCGTCAGGAAGTGCAGACTACTGGGCTTGCCCTCGACGACGGATTAGCCATGGGGTTTTCGCTTCACTCACATAACGCAACCTTAGCACCACTAGTCGGGGGTGCCAATATGAACGGTGTAGGAAGAAACTTGGTCATGTTGGACAGAGAAAGGGGTGGCCTGGGAGAAGACGCATTTGGCGAGAGAAGCCTGCTCAATAGCAGTATTTAAACTAGTAACATTCGCTTTGTTTTTTTGTTTTTTTTTTTGGATGGCGGCAGTTCAGAAGTATGTTGTTATATTGATTACTTGACGGCAGTGTATTAATTTGAAGTTTGAGATACCCTATAGCAATTAGCTACTATATTCTATTCCTACAAATGGCTCTTGACGTGCTCCGTTGTAACGCCTTCGTGTCTAATCTATAGCTCATCATGTCTATTGCCTCGCGTGGACGATTGCGATTGCCTTCCATTACTTGTGCTCGAGTCCTTGTTCGGACTCCCGCTCGCCTGATCATCCTCCTTCGCCGCCTTCTCCGTCTCGATGCTCACCTCGAACAAACCACTCCCAACCAATCGTTCCCCCTTCACGTGAGCGACCTCAAGCTCGAACCATGCATCTGTCCTGGGGATGTCATCGATTCCCAACTCCGCCCTAAAGGTCGCATTGCCTTCAAGTCCGATGATGAGGTCTTTAACCACCATGTTCCGCCTGACATGACGCACGGCCACTTTTAGGGATAATCGGGGTGTGAGCGGCGCGACCGCGATAATTACGTTGTCAACCGCACCTGCGTCGAAGGAATATCGCCGGGGCTCTGATTCAGGTGTTACGTAGTCGCTGATAGATTGTCCGCTTAGAAGCAATGTAGCTGTGTCGCCGGCGTTGTCGTAATGTGTGAGGCCGCGGGACACGACATGGTCGAGGAAGCGCGGGATGGTGTGCAGGGAGTGGAGGATACTGTAGGTTCCGCCGGTATCAAGGACGGCATTGATGAGCTCTTCCTCTTTGGATTTCGAGAGCTGAAGAAGATCGTTGGAGATCTCGATTGAAGGGAGAGGAAGCGGGGAGGGAGGGAGGAGGCCAAGATGGACGCGGATCCCTTCTTTACCTGCCCGGATGATGTGTTCAGTCTGGTCAGAGAGATGTGTATCTCGGCTGCTGGTCAACGCGACAATGGCAGTTTTGTTACAGGGGAGGGCGGACTTGTTCGCCAGTAAGGAGGTTACTGCGGTTGAGAAATCAAGACCTTCTGTTACGAGAGAGAAACTGTTGCTTCCTTCATTTTCTCGGAAAGGCTTCTCCAATTCATTGCTGGAACCTCGACTTTTGGTAGAATTCTGGCGTGTCAGACCCTCGCCCGGGCCCTCGTCGTGTGCTTGTCCTTGAACTTCTTGAACCAGCCATTTCTGTATTGGCACTTGCATCTCAGCAATGCGGTCTTGATTCCCTTGTGCGTCTCGTAGAATTGCGACACGTCTGCCGTAACAGTCGACTGTTGGGTTATCTCGGACCAAGGCGCATATCATGAGATTACCTCTCTCCGTGCCATAGGATCTCCGAATCTCCTCCCTGAAGTACCGCCATTGTCGGCGGGAGTCGCGAATTGCTGCAGCCACTGCTCGCTCAAAGTTGCCAGGGAAATCGCTGCGCGGAGTATTGGGGCCTGGCTTGCTAGTTTTGCCAGTGACCTCATCGATGATTCCGTTGTCCTTGTTGAGTGTATGATGAGTGATGCGTCCTGTGCAATCAAGAGAACCAGGTTCCAGTGGATGTCCAGCTTTTCCCACGGGTCCGTCGGTAAGGATACCACCAAAGCACCCAGTCGTCAGGTCGTGTGGTACCTGTTCGGAAATGTTGTTTTCGGCGCGCAGATCCAAAAACATCGGAGCATCATTGCGCAATAGACCTGGCGGGTTAGAAGCGTTGAAGGGGGGCTGGGCATCGTCAGCCCAGTTACTGTGTGCATAGAAGTCCTGGATTCCATGCAGCGCTCGTCCGAAACCTTCGATCGCGGAGCATTTAGACCTTCCGAAAACGTGCATCTGGAGCTCAGGAAAAGAGAACATGCAATCACGTGAAGATATATCGACCTCAGGCGCAACAATCCTTGCGTCAATGTCGGTGATCTTATCGGCCGCGGCAATACCCTCCGCAAACCGCATTCGCAGATGATTAGCGCAGTCTTGGAGGGTTGCAGTTGCCTGTAGCCGTGTACGTGGATAAGTGTCGTTCAATCCGAAAGCGACAGCGTCAAGGAAATCGGCATTGTCGCAGTGAGCGTTTGGGCCTTCTGGTATTGGATCCAGCATGTCTGGAGCGCCAACAGCTCCGTTTGAACCCTGTCCGACGTATCCCTCCTCTTCAGAAGTTCCTGCCAGCTGATGCAGTGTCATTTCTTCGAAACATCTTCCATCGGATACCGGGTTGTTGGAGTTGCACGCGAACGCGGCCCTGGTAATTCTTTCATGCTCGCAGTGTTGGCCGATGACAGCCGGCTCGTTGATCGTTCCGAATGCATCCCCTCTGGATGTAAACAGCAGAATGGCCCGAAGTGCTATATAAAGCAAAGACGTCCGTCGTATATACATTATCTTCCAGTAAGAAAAGCTACCTGTAAGGTGGGGCAGGCGTTGATCTCGACGACGCAGGTGTATGTGTTTTCTGTATCACGTCCATAAGGGGAGCGATTTGGGAGTCAAAATGATTTCATGAAATATCGTCGAAGATGCGTGCGCTTGTTTCAGGTGTGAACTAGGCTGATGGTCGTCGTGACACCTTTGTTGCAAAATGCAAAAAGTCAGACGAACGACGAGCAGCATCATCATCAGGATGATGTAATCACGTGGGAGATAAGCCTAGCATCCCCGAGAAAATCAGCCTCGAAAACGACACTGGTCGTATCATACTGATGAAGCATGTCTCTTGCCATCAGCGACGGAGTTCAGCGATTACTTTGATCTACAGTAGTTTCACGCACTCGTAAGATGTAGCAATCAAGCACGCGTTTGCAGCGTCTGGGTGTTCCTGTAGATCTGCAATTTAGTGCTGACCATACACATCTCTCCGTGCTTAACCGTCCATTCCCGGTTTAGCTCTGTCTCCCCTCAGAGTCACACCCAGCAACATTGATGCTGCAATCGTTCTTGAATCCCAGATGTTTATTCTATTAAAAGGCCGTGTCTGTTCTGGATTTTTCACGAATCAATTTGCGCCTTGTATCGGTCTTTCCAAACGTTTTCATCCAAATTTTTCAAGCAGCTACTTCAGATCGGTTACAATGAAACAGTCGGTAGATACAGGGTGTGTTGTATGATCCATATTTCAATGAAGTCATTATATACTGAAACATAATATCCAGAGCAAATCCTCTGGGATTCCTTGTCCCAGACGAACCCGCAGAGCCGCCAAGCTACGACATTACCCTCACTGGTCGCTATGTCACCATCGTGCCCATATCTCCCGATCATGCCGAAGATCTCTACGAACAAATAGGAGATGAAAAACATATTCCGTTATTCGACTACCTCTTCGACGAGCACCCAAACTCAGTAGAGGAACTCCGTGCATCACTAACCCAAAAATCTAAAACATCGAATCCATGGGCCTATGCAATCCTATCCAATGACGCTGCAGCGGGTTCAACCAAAGCAGTGGGAATGGCCTCACTGATGCGGATGGACCAGCCAAATCGTGTGATAGAGGTTGGCAGTATATTATACACTCCCGCGCTACAACGCACCCCCGCTGCCACGGAGGCCATGTACCTCCTCGCCAGATATGTCTTTGAGACCCTGCATTTCCGGCGCTACGAGTGGAAGTTGAATTCATTGAACGCGCCGTCACATCGTGCTGCCAAGCGTCTGGGCTTCGTGTATGAGGGGACGTTCAGGCAGCACATGATCGCCAGGGGACAGAATCGTGATACAGCGTGGTATTCTATCATTGATTCGGAATGGCCGGTCATGAAGTCTGCTTTTGAGCAGTGGCTGAGTGTAGAGAACTTCGATGCGGAGGGAAGGCAGAAGAAAAGGCTAGAGGATTTCAGGGGATAATATTTGTTTATGGCAGTATCTGCCTTTGCCTTGGTTTAGACTTTAATGGTTAGACAAACGCGATGATACAGAACGAGGACGGTGGGAGAATGGTTTATGAACCGCTAAATACCCATACTTCCCACTCGAAGTAACCGAACAACTGACTCGAGTTCATATGAACCATGCTTAATCGAACTTTTTCTTCAACTTCTATAATTTTGATGAAACTCGTCAACGATTTAAAATTTATAATGGCAGGTGCATGAGGACCCGGCGAGGGTTGTCATGCTATCCTCGCCACCCGAGCGCCGTGCTTGCTAAATGAAACCAGCCGTTCGCACTCAGAAGACCGAGTCGTGCAATTGGCAATCGTCTAAAACCATACATCACTGATTTTCTTGGCTAGTGGCTACTATTGATCGGCGGTTGGCTTTGAGGAAGTATGCGAAGGGGCTAGGGTGAGAAAGAATCAAGACTTCGAAGAGCGTAATCGATGGAGCCAATCCAGCAGACATGGTCATACATGAATCTTCTCTGCAGCTTCTGAAAGCGAAGAGTCATAAAGATGAAGGAGAGACAACCGTCTGACACAACTGTCATCTCTTGCGCCACAAGTTCACCGTGAGCAGGCAGAGTTACATTACTTACAGTCACTCTCTCGACAGTGCGGAATACACATATTCTCCGGCAAAACATCAATCAGCAGAATGGTCTGATTTGATCTAGATTCTAGCAATATTTTTGGAACTTATGTAAGTGATGATTATCGAATAGTGCGGTGGCACATGATGCGGCATGAACTAAGTGCCAAGCTATCAACCTTGGAAGATACTGATGGGTTCAATACATTACACTGTTTAACAGTGTATCATCACTGAAAAAGGTGTCGAGCAACAATAGCTGATAAAGGACGTGAATCGTTACTTGAATTCAAATTTGATCCTTGTCCCGAAGGAACTACCTTGCTCTTATAATCTAGCGCCGGTCAAAAGCAATTGAGAGGGGATGAAAGTATATATAAAAACATTTCCTCCGCAGTCCAAAACACCAATTCGCTAGGTCGATTTGTTCCACAATGACCTTAGGTTTGGATGATTCAGGGCCAACATCGAGCCTATGTTTCCCCCTCTCCTCTATCGGAATTATTTGGAAAACTCCCTCGCCAATGCCAATGCAAAGGAAACAAGACGTGGGTCGATTAAAGTTACGCATGCACAGTGAATATGGCGATCAATGTCCGTTAGTGAACCCTCTCCTCGAGAGGGGAGTCATGTCCCTCTCCCGTTGTAGCGGAATCCACATCGAACCTTATCGCTCATTTTACACCCAGCTCGAACGATGTTGAGGTGGGTCCATTACATATTCGAGACGAAAATCAATGGGTCCCTGTTCATTGACAAGCGTTGATCAGCTCTAATGTCCATTGATGGGAAGGGCTTTCTGCGGAGCCGTACCGTTGGAGGTGGCGCCAGCCATCTTGGTGTCAGAGGAGGTAGGGTTGTTGGTGTGGTAGGCCTTGATGCCATCGGGAGTGGCCTTGATGGTAGCCTCACCGGGGTTCCAGTTGGCGGGGCAGACCTGCTGAGAGTCAACGCTGTGTTCCCATAGACTGGGAGGTTGTATTGTATCCAAACGTACCTCGCCATACTTGTCAGTGAACTGGAAGGCATCGATGAGACGGAGGGTCTCGTCAACGCTACGGCCAACGGGAAGATCGTTGATGGTAATCTACGATACTGTTAGCCTGTGCCCAAGTTGAACGAAGTCGCTTGCCCAAGCGCAATCTTGTAGATTGCTTATCCAGCACTCACCTGTCGTACGACACCGTTGGGGTCGATCAAGAAGAGACCGCGGAGCGCGATTCCCTCCTCCTCGATCAAGACGCCGTAGTCCTTGCTCAACTGATGGTTCTTGTCGCTCAAGAGAGGGATGTTGATCTGGCCGAGACCTCCGTCACGTCGGCTGGCGTTGGTCCAGGCCAACAAGCTGTACTCGCTATCTGTGCTGGCGAAGACGACAGAGGCGCCACGGGCAGCGAAGTCGGCAGCGCGGTCGCTGAAGGCGATGATCTCAGTGGGGCAGACGAAGGTCCAAGCCATGGGAATGAAGCCGAGGACGAGCCATTGCTTGTTGTTGGAGTAGGACGAGATGCTGAGCTCTGTGCGAAGGAGAGACAGTTAGCTGGGTGTGTCTGTTTGGTAAAGGCGACACGGTCCGCTCGCGCAATTGAATTGGTAGGTCACAGCACGGGGGTTAAAGGTATTCGTGGAGTCGTACCTTCGATGGTGCCATCAACGACGGAGGGGCCAGAGAATTGGGGAGCAGGCTTCTGGACCCTGACTTTGGGCTGGTAGGCAGAGTAGGCCATTGTGAATTGAAGGTTTGGAAGGGCAAAAATTGGAGGGAAGGTAGTCGTAGTGGGTGGTGTGAGCAATGTAGGTAGCTGGAGCAGATTGCTTGTAGTGAGATTGCAAGAGTGGATGGGCAGTCGCGAATCCGTATCTCAGAGGCTTCGAGGGGAGTTTATAGGAAAACTTTCGGAGTCGGGAGCGGTGGAGGCAAGAAGTAGCGCGATGACGAAAAGAGAGATACCTAGATGGAAAGCTAGGAAAGGCCTTGCAGGTTTAGGAAAGATCCGAAGGGGGCAAGGAAGAAGCAGAATGGAATGGAACGAGAGGGAGGGCGAGAGAGACAAGACAGTAACAGTAACTAATTAGAGGGATAAGTTACTGGGGTTCTGTTCTGTGTATGTACTGTAGGTACTCGTATGGTACGAGGTATAACGGTTTCTATTAATGACTAGACAGGATTCTCGCGAGACTTAGGGAGACTTTGATGTGACCTAGGATTCCACACAAAAATACCACAGTCTACCCGTACCTGCAAAGTAGAGAATTGGTAACAGATAGCGATCGCCTGTAACCGCATCAAGCTTAGCGCTATTGGTTGGATAAGCAAACCGTTCCCTCCCACGTCTGGCCCAGGGACCAAATCACTAATTAATACCGAGTGCGAGTACAATGGAGGTATACAGTAACTACACAGTAATGGCAAAGACTCATCGACGACGTGACAAATAAATAAATAAAGAAAAGAGAGACCAACACGAGAAGGACGAGAACGGACAAGACAAGGCATGTACATACGGAGTTCTGTGTACCTAACATATCGACAACAACACACCGCCCATCTACAACCTACCAACATCATCGTTTCAGAATATGAATACACCAATATTCATTACGGAGTAATACAATCTATGTTATAGTATGTACATGTGCATACCTCCATCGGGTACCCACCTACAAGGCTACAATCACCTACTGTACTTGTTAACTACCCACCTACTGCGTCCGTAATGACCTCCTAATTAGCCCTACGATGAGAGTCAATTCCATTCGATCAACTACCTACGTATGCATCTAGGTAGTCAGGTACGATAATACGTATTACGGAGTAATGGGAGACAACGTAAAATTTCCAATAGTAAGTACACCGAGTACCGAATACGGACAAGCAGCCATAACGATGGGGAATTACAAAACATGTACAGTCTAGTACCCAAAAGGTCCCACTTTCCATCGTCATATCTACCAGCGAAAAACCCAGTCCCAGTAATTAATTGGTGAGAGAACTGAGAATGCTCAGAAGACGAGAGAGACCTTGTCCCGAATTAACTCCCGCTATCGGCCTCGTCCGAGCGTCCACACTTGGTACCTTGTCTTGTAAGTGGTATCATCGTCTCACAAGTAGTACCCAAAGTACGCAAGCAGCAGAAATCCGAGGATTCGAGGCTCTTCTGCTTACTTTTCATGTTTCGCACCACCGCGACTGTCTCCATAATCCATACCTACCGTGCTGCCTTTAGCTTAGGTACTCGTAGATTGCTATTCTCTTCCTCCGATCCATTGCCAGCAGCCGTTTGGACCATACACACCAGGCACGCGCCCGCCTCATTGGCCAGTACACCATTCGCGAAATCCCGTGCCATTCTATCAGACCAGCCTAACCACCAGTGCCACCCTAACCAGCCCTAGAAAGACGAAAGAACCACAAATGGAATTTTCTTCCGCTGAGCGGCTGAAGCCAAGAAAGAAAGAAAAGAAGAAAAAATAAGAGGACAGGGCCGGCTCTTGCACTCGCCTCGCTTTCGCCCTACAGGCTACGAGTGCTCCCCGTACTGCACAGTGTAAGGGTACCTAGGTACATACGTTTCTATGGCGTGATTCGTCGCCGCAATGACACAGTCGTGATAGTGTACATACCATTTCTACCTCGTAATACAAATACAAGCTAGCATTGCATCACATGGAAAGGATCATCTGTCCTGAACAGCTCGCTTGAAATCGACGCAACTCTTACATTACATACTACAGACAGGCAGACACATGGCAGTGCATTGCGCGTTACTAAAACTATCTTAGGTGCCTTGCTAGGATGGATGGCATTGTGTACATACCTCGTACGTACATGTCCATACATCTTCATGCAGTGGGATTTTGCCTCACTCCGATCTTATCTGATCTTTTCTTATCTTCTACTCCGTACATCCGACTAGGCTATATCCAGCACTACACCCACCCTTTTGCTTTGCTTTGCTATAATAGTCTAGTGTAATGGTTATACTGTACTGTGTCTCTTTATTCTACTCCGAGATCCGCCACGCTCGCAGTGGTAATGCTTGGATCCTCATCACCGCGGGCTTGATGAAGCCCCAGAATGTAACAATGCCGAAGATGATGCACACAATGTTCATGATGTAGTATCCATCCGTCGTCACGATGCAAGACCCGCCGCCCGCCTCACATCGGTGTTTGTCGGCAGAGAGTGAACACGAGAAGGCTTTCGTGATGAGATCGCCCTTGAGCTTGTCGGCAGCCGGAGCCGTCACTGGCGGCTGACATGTTGCCACGGTGAAGTAATCCACAAACTGCAGCACGAAATAGCGCGGGAATGTACCGCCTAGATTCGAGACGCTTAGGAATTGTTAGCAACCAACATTCAGATAAAAGTGGAGAGTGGGTATCCTTACGTCGCCAGGAGAGTCATGTACGTCCCGCCGATGACTGGGTCGGAGATCTTTGCATGGAACGCCGAAACCGCCACAAACATGACCGTGTTCATGAATGTGGACAAAACGTGCTCACAGATGACCAGTAGCAAATACCATGTCGTCGTGCCTCCTGCCGGGAACACTGACACGACGGCTTGCGCGAACCCCGCGGCGCCTAGTCTGCCCACAAATGCCCAACACCAGATGTGCATCGGTGGGTATGTTTGACACCATTTGCCAATATAGTATCCGAGGAAGATTTCGATGGGAAAGTCGATGAGAATCGTCAGCGCAAGATCCTCCTGACTGAATCCCTTGTCAAGCAACTTCAAGCTGGTGACGGCGTCATTGGCCTGGAAACCAATCTTCGCGATCAGATGGATGACGATGAAGGTCTGAATGTTCTTGAGCTTCAGAATGCCCCACATGGTCTGATACACTTCCATGATGCCGTCGGTGTTCTTCGTGCGCTCTTCCCGCTTGAAGATCGCGAGACCAAACGTTACGATCAGATAGGCCCAGCCCCAGAATCTAAGGTATCCGTCTAGTGTCATTAGACCGACATCCAATGGTGCATCTGCGGGCCTAAACCACTTGTTCGAGAAGTCCGGGGCTTCAAAGGCCAGGAACACTGTGTACGATAGGAACTGTCCCGCCGTCAATCCGACCGTTTGCGCCGTCGATGCGAAAGCAAGGTTCTCTTGCGAGAGAAGAGTCAATGCCCAACCTAGGTGATTATTAGCCTTCATCTTGTATGCTTTTCTGATCGAACCGTCTTACCATCAACCGCAATGTCCTGTGTCGCACAGAGGAAGACCAGCGCAAACCACCATGAAGTGAAGCCCCAAATATCGCCTCCCTCTTGTCCAACGGCCTCCATCATCCCCTTGACATTCGATGCCAGCCACAGCATCGAAAATCCCGAGACTGTCTGAATAGGCAAGATCCAACTCTTGCGACGGCCGAGTCTAGGTGTCCACACAGCGTCCACGATAGGACTCCATAGTAGTTTTAACGAGTAAGGATATGCTGCTAGTGAGAACACCCCGATAGCACCATAGGAAACATCTCTCTTGAGCAGGAAGGGCACAGATCCAGTCGCCAGGCCCATTGGGATTCCTTGCAGGAAATACAGCAATACTAGCAGCAGGAAATTCCGCTGATCCTTCTTCGACAACTCGGAGAATCCCTTGCCAGACTCCTCTTCATCATTGCTGGTTCCCAGCGCCGGTACTGGATCGTCCAAGTTGAAGCTCGATCTGCTCATCAGAGATGCCGCCTGGCCCTCGGGACTGTCCAGCGTGGCATGTTTCCGCCTGTGCTCAACGATTCCGTTCATGGTGCCCGTTGCGTTTGCATCCCCGTTCTGGTCCCGCAGCGAGTCGGTAGAGGTCTGTCTTGCAACGGATGTACGAGTTGATTTTTTTGCGCCGCGTTTGCTCATTTGTGCCTCTGTATCTGAACCTGAGTCAATGTCGGAGGAGGATGTGGGATAACTATCGCGGAGGAGATGTTCGTGCTCAGGGGCTTGGGTTGGCGAATACGGGTCTGCGTGCGGGTGGGCTGGGGATCGGATGCTCGAGTCCCTGTGGTGAGAAGTTGATGCTGAAGGGCTGAGGGATTGTAACTCGACGTCGGCTTGACCGGTAACCCGATGGTGATGCGCTTGCTGGTTCTGCTCGTGTTGGGCGATGGGTTGGATTGAAGATCGACGGGTTTCAAGAGTCGATGGTAAGGAAGGAACAATGAATGAAGGGAGCGTGTCGCCTGGAGTGGTAGGCATCCATGTGGTGACAAATGAATAAACCCCTCGGAGGGAGAACGTGTCGTTTAGTTTAGCGGATAAAAAGATACAATATTACGGTTCCTGGAACGTGGCCAATTGGTCTGTGGCGGAGGAGAGGCAGGGTCGCCGACGTTGCGCTGACGTCTAGCGTCGGTCTCTAGCGATACGAGATTCTGATACGAGTCGATTAGGGGTTCAAGATGGGGAAAAGATGAGGGCTGATGTTTATGTACCTAGGTAAGTATGCGACACCGAGAATAGGATCGTGATGCCACGCAGTTTATGCATCTCACAGCCCCGGCGGGCCTTTATCTTTGGGCGTTTCTTTGATCCTCCCCCTTCCCCCTCTCGCCTATCCTATTCAACTCTCAGGATCTCCGCATTCCGCGACTCGGGCCAAGCCTTTCATCCACGTTACTTGTACGACACGTGGATACGCGATATAAACCTTTCCCCTTCGAGACAGCTTCCCTTCCCTCACTCGTAATTATTACCTTACATCACACGCCAACCACAATCCTCAACGCGTATCGATCCCCGCCAATCTTGCTTCCACAATGTTTGACCAAGAGAAAAAGGAAGCATATCTTCAAAACCTACGCGACATGGTTGCTGCCGCCGAAAAAGAACGCGACAACCTTGCTGCCATCCTTCTATCTACCCCGCATCTTTCAACGCGACTCCAGAAAGGTCCCGTCGCCAACGAACACCTACGCGAAACCGCCATGAACCTCCTAAAGCGGCAATCGAAGCGAAATGTTGAAAACATCTATCGTACCTGTGCCGGTGTTACAGCTTACAAAGTCAGAGATCCTGACCCGAACGCGGTGGACAATGGCAACATCCTAGGTGTGCGAATCGAAGTGTTTCTTGAAGGCAAATTCGTGGATAAATATCACGTACTATTCAATCGACCCAATCCGAGGCACAAGTCCATGTTGCGGGTACATCACCATACCATTCCTCCGTGCATACCTTTGCAAGCACTCGCCGCCAAGTGGATGCCCCAATCCCAGCGCGATTCGAGCTCAAGAACGGGACAGGACTTGGTTCGATTCGGGCGCAAGTTACGAAAAGAGTTGACATTGTGGCATATCAGAAAAGCTGCAGTGGACAAATTACGTGTCGCCGCTGGTCTACCTAGTTCGACCGAGCAAACAAAGTCATCGGCGACAGAGCAGTCAACATATGGAAAGGTGCTCAATGCGTTTACGAGTGACGATGAGACCGACCCAGAGGATCATGATGATGATGATGACGACGTTGTGTCCAACGAGAGAAGTAGAGTTGTCAATATCACGGATATCGGAGCCGACTTAGCTGCTCAAGAAATTTTCATCACATGGTCCAATAACCAGATTGGTGCTGTCGTACTTAACAAGGATGGGCAGGTTAAGGAAGGTGCCTTCCGGAGCTCTGATGGCGTCAGGTTGAAGGAGATGGAGCGTAAGGCTGTTGGGAGTCTCGAAGGACTCTTACAGAGGCTGTCAGAGTGAGGTCACGTTTACCATCACTTGTACGAGGTAGAAAGAAGCCTCTGGAAGTTATGAAGAAGTTGGAAGAAGTGTCTGCCTACCTACTGTCCCTACAACACCAACATATATGGTAGTGTCTATTCATTTACTGTCCCTACAACACAAGAATATTTATATTTCTAGGTACTATCAGGCTATAGTATTAGGATAAATTAACATATAGTTATAATAAATCAACATATCGGGTAACTTATAAGTTCTTCTGACGCGCAAAGGTGTTTTATGGGTCAATTGTTGATGATACTTACTGTACTCAGTATGCTGGTGGGTAGGCGCTCACTAATTCTAACTGCTTCAAGCCTAATATTGAAAGCGTTGTGGGGCAGCGATCGCTAGCCATCTGCGCCATCTGAAGTAGGACTAGTGTGAAAAGGGATATATATTTTTCGCTCCGCGCAACTGGGCATCAACACACAACCATCATTCATCAACATGAACATTGAACATCGAACCATCGCAACAGGCCGAGCAGTCCCTGTCAAATATTCCATTTCCGGTCTTCAACGGTAGAACGTCTCTAAAATAAGGAGCGTGTAACCCCAGTCATCCCATATGTCGAATTCCATAGACATCGTCCACCCTCTTCAGTATACGTCGTCTTTCCTTCTCGATGAGAGACTCGTTTGTCAATAGAGGAATATGAAAACCAATTCATGATACCTATTCATCATTTTTCCTCAAATGGTGATACGTCTTTCCGTCCCAAGGGCTGGCGTAGGTGCTTGGAGTGGGACATTCCCTTGCGCGGTTTATTCAATTCTTTTCGAGTTTGGGAAACGGGATACTTTTTGTAATACATCGGCGCACATAGTCAATGAGTTCCTCCACCATGAAATGTTGATTCTCGTGCATGAGATGGTAAGCTGGATAGGATCACCCGCCGCCACTGGACTAGATCCACATGTTAGAGCCCATTAATAGTTTAAGCATGAGCATGGGCATGGGCACGAGCGTGATGTCGCTCTCCGCCACAGTCTTGAACATTGTTCTCCCTTTCGCAGCTTCAGATTGCATTCGCATACGGGCGCTTCTTGGTTGGCAAGGTGGCTATAGCGATGAAATAGGAAAACGACAAGTTGGTTATATAGTTGGTGTCAAGGAATCTCCACTGCATCAAGATTCCATTGGTCAATTGACTTCACAATGATGTCTGTACCGATATTGCCTGCAAGATCATCTAGTACAGTTTTTGACATATATTCTTAACCCCTTCTAAAGCCTTTCCCTTCTAATGGCCTTTCCCAGATGTGCTGTTGGGGAGGAATTCTTCTTTTTGGGTTTCTAGGAATTTGTGAGTTGCTTTCAGATCACGATGTATTATCTTTGTTCAATGAGCTGAGTTCGGTATGAGCATGGTAGTTTAAACCTAAATTTATGGATTGAAGTCATAACACTATCGTTCCTTTTACTTCTTTTCTTGCATTCCCTTTTTCATTTCCAATGTTTGCTATCACCATGCTACTCTGAAGCAAGAATTGTTCTCCATGTTTATTGGTATGCATCAGAAAATAAGTATGACAATTGGTACATACGTTGATTGTTGAGTTTCCCTTTAGCAAATTCCCACATCCTGACCGGAAGAGATTATTGATTCAAGGGAGAAGGTGCTGTTGATGTCTATTCTCTTCCCAACGGACACATTGATCGAAGAAATCCAGAGTTTTCAACGTATGTGCACCATTGTCACCCCTCTCTCACCTCCTAATTCAAACTTCAACAGTATAGTCGACCAAACTGTTGATTGAAAACATGCTAATCAAGGCATGTAACGCAAACCTCGGGCTAACCCCCACCAAATTAGCTCAAGCTTCTCTATGCTGCTACTATGAAACGAGGGGCTCAAAGAATACACTCACAGGATTGACAGCAGTGTTCAGGGCCGTGGCAAAGCACGCCGCATCTGCGATCGGGTTCAGGCCCTCCTCGACGAGCGCAGCGGCACAGGTGACGGATGCAGGGGCAAGCGCGACGACGCACTTCAAGACGTCGCAGCCAGAGGCGGCTTTGGCGTCGATGAGGGATTGGGCTTCTGCTTGGACTTGGGCCATTGCGGGCTGAGGTTTACGTAGTACTAAGGATTGAGATGGAAGGGCGAGGGTAGTTGTTGCAAGGGTCAGGAGGATAGTGATGGCGGCCGCAGTGGAGGTACGGGTGATGGTATACATTGTGGTGGGGTGTAGGGTCTGGAGGAGTAGGAGATAATGGGGTAGGACTGTAGGGTATTGAAATGAATGGATTATAGTGTACGACTGTTGACAAGTTCCTGCTGTGATGTGTGTCCCTTTTCAAACCAAGAAGCACATTATCCTTTTATACGTAGGGATTTGATATATCAACTGTGAGAATTGTCACGATTTTGTAGCTTTGAAAAAGCGTGCACAAGCGAAGGAGTGAATCACTCCGTCCGTACAACTACCGTCCGTATGCCACTCTTGAGCTTCAGTGTCAAGTGAGCAGCTTTCATTGTGCCGGATGTTCTACTCTGAAGCGAGAAGGTAGAGTCCTTCTGGAAGGTCGGAAGGGACTGAAGGATTAGAGCCTCTAGTGTCGTACGGACTTGAATATGCTCCTGTTGATCCGTTGTTTACCATGTGCTCTCCCTATCAACTTTTATTAGAGTACGCAATGATCAGGCGTGCCATCTAGGTGTCCCGATTGCAAAGGGTCACCACTTTGGCAGTAATTGTCTTTGACGATGTGCCACCTGAATATTCAGACTCGAGGCTTTCAAGGAGACCTAGGAGAGAAGTGCAAGGACACACGTTTTCGAATCATCTATGAATATTGAATTGTAGAGGCATAACAATTCTTGAATATTGCGGGTGATCAAGCCCACCATCCACGCCAAAAGCTGTGCGTGTGGATACCCGAATGAAACAAGCATTCCAAGCATTCGCCGTATCAAGTGACATCTCGGATAAGCTTCGTGGGGAAGCTGTGGATATACCCAGCTATACCTACGCAAGTCCGATGGTTGGCGTTGGTAAGATCGGACTGGGTAACCTATTAGACGACAATGTGGAGAAGACGCCGGTGTGGTAGGCCTCAAATGCTAGGTCAGCGCTGGTATACTATAGGAAGGATATTCATTTTCCTATCCCGATTTCATTTGATGCACTATGTTCGTAAGGACAAGGAGGAAGAAAGACGTCAATGATGAAGAAGAAAGAAGGGTGTGAGAGTGTGGTAGTTGTGATGTGAGTGATTAATCCATTCCTAGTTAGTGTCAGGAATTGGTTGTACTGAACGTTCGAGTTAGCCATGATGCTCAAAGATAAAACTTCTATTCCTTCTTTCTGGATGCATTTCTTGGTTTCCTGGCACTTGCTCTCCAGTGAAGAGTGACGCCAGGCATGCGATCATGCGGCTTTCCTGTTATTGTTGTGAGATCGAAAAGTGTGGGGCAGTGAGGGGCGGTGCAGTGGCGCATCCTCACAGCTGAGAGCTACAAGGAATAAAGTACAGGAACCCCCCCAAAAGGCATCGCAGTTGAAGAAACCTTCTTTCCTTTCATCTGACCATCCATTGAATCTACGCGGTTCACTATATTGCCAGTCTTACCATGTCAAAGGAGATCAGAGCCTTTCAGGTCTCTCGCTCACTCGGCGCGTTATTAGGCGTCCATGCAGGTGACTCACTGGGTGCAACTCTCGAATTCCAAAACTACCATCAAATAAAAAAGAAATATCCAGATGGACTGCGCGAGATTATCGGCGGAGGTGGATTCCGATGGCCAGCGGGACATGCGACAGACGATACTGATCTCACACGGGCAGCAGTGTTAGCCTACGTGGATCGTAAAAAGGCCAGGACCACGGGTGGGAAACATGCACATGACTTCGACGTGGTGCGGTCTACGGCGGATCATTGTGTGGACTGGCTATATGGATCATGGCCAGGTCGTAAACCTGGGAGCGCTCCTGTCGATATTGGCAATGCGACCCAGGTGGGGTTGCAATTGTACCAAAAGACAGGTGATCCGAGGAGGGCGGGAGCGGGACGAGACCAGGCGGGAAATGGAAGTCTGATGAGGTGCATACCGACGGCACTGTTTGCGGAGTCGAGAGATAAGAGGGTGATGGAGAGTTGGGAGATCAGCGCCATCACGCACAACGACTTCCGGTGCAGGGCAGCATGCATGGTTTATAACGAGATTGTGGCCGCACTGATAGATGGGAAGACGGTGGAAGCGGCCATAAGGGAGGGTAAGAGGGTGATTGAGGAATGGGATGCACCCATCTTGGACGAGGCGATTGAGAGAGGGAGGAGACTGGACTTGAAGATGCTTGCCGAGAAAGGGCCTGGGTCGGAGCATTCGGACTTGACCAGAGGATACGTCTTGAGTGCATTCACACTGTCTATTGCAGCCTTGTTCGACGGGAGAAGCTTTGAGGATGTCGTGGTTGATGTGACGAGACTTGGAGGGGATACGGATACGAATGGAGCGATTGTTGGAGGAATGTTGGGGGCGAAGGTTGGGATTGAGGGTATTCCGGATAGGTGGGTTAGGAAATTGCAGTTCAGGGACGAATTTGAGGCCGCAGTGAGATACTTGGTGTAAGCAGTTCAACATGAACATGTGCTATACTAGCGATGATGATGCTGTGAGGAAGAAGAGGAGTGCGGTCTCTCTGTAGAACTCGGATGTACCTGAACAAGCAAGCGAGGGAAGGTATTCGTCTACAATAAGTGAATGATACAAGCGTACGAGGGATGATGTTGACGATGTACGCAGGTACCTAGGTGCCTCATGTATGTACATGTAGCATAATTACTTGACTACCTAGGTAGGTTATAGGTATCTACATAAAGAGAGGACCATAGTTAGTATAAACACCCAACACTGGTTATTTAATGACAATAAGAAGATAAAGAGGAATAGGTATTTGAGTGGGAAGAGTACGAGTACTGTTCGTCTATTACTTGTGATCATAAGTGGGAGTCGGTAAAACGTACCATCCCACCACAGTGGAACAATGCATTGGATGATGGACATGAACTGTCGGCCGCGGAAAATGAAAGAAAGTCATGTCGATCCAGGCGAGGGCAGATGATCATCAGCCCGGAGATCATCAGATAACTTACACAGTGTTTAGGCGGTAGATACTGTGTAGAAAGACTGACTGACGCTTGTGTGTATCTCTATATGCAAGTCAGTCATGATTCATCTACTCGTATGGGTATGGTTGCAGGAGGAACAAGGCTACCTATACTGCATGCGAATCAAGACTTAGGAGATGGAATCTGTGATAGAATTAGTTAAGTTCAGACCTACTTATTATATTAGGTACGTAGATAGGTGGTTCGGTGCGTATGTACACACCGTACCGTTAAGGATAGATGATGGTCTTTAGGCGTGGTCTAGATGTATCATGTAGGTGTATGATGATGTTCTGCCCCAGATTTGACTAACTGATTACTTGGAGGTACTTGGCTGATGGTGGAGGTACACCAAAGTGACTAACCAAGTCACGTTAATACACAGTTTACACTAGTACTGACTGGTACTGGTATCAGCACCCAAGGTACCCCAAGGTCAGTTCGAGTGACTAGGCTAGAGACGGGAGTAGTTTAGTGGGCGATTGGGGAGTGAGGGGAAGCTCGATGCGCCTCCGCATCTACCACATGTACTATTATGTACCGCTTATGTACATATACATGTGCATACACACTGATTGCTGCTACAATACGGGTATAAGTACAAGCCCATCGGAACAGGTATACATACCTAGCTACAGCAACTCCACGTCGCATGAGACACGAGACTCTCAATTCCAACCTCCCCTCGACTCATCCACCCAACTAGATTACGAGTAGATTACTATAAACTGTTCCAATTCGTGTTCCTGTTCTCGTCAATCTTCTATTTAGGTTACAGCCCCCCCCTCCCACTTCGTTGCTTGCTTTTGCTTTTGCTTTTGCTTTTCTTTTGGCTGCTCAGCTCACCCACGAGTCACGGCCTGACGTCAATCCACGACGACGACCACAACACCAACCAACACCACTTCTTCCACCTTCCTTCCACCTTTCCTATTCCCCTCTCCCTCTTTACTCCTCACCTTCGCCCTCACTCTCACTCTCACTCTCACCCTCACCCTCAAACAATACCATCCCCCACAATCATGTTCTCCCGCCGTGCCTGTGCAAGCCTGCGCGCCCGATCCTCTGCTGCCGCCGCGGCCGCCGTCCATCCACCCGCCCACTCGCGTCCCTTCGCCGCTTTCGCTGCTGCACAGAGCTCCTCACAAACTCCCGCCCTCGCAGACATCACCCACGATACCGCCGCATCCTTCAACAAGCGCCAGAGAGAGTTCCGCGAGGGCCTTGAAGCTGCTCGCAAAAAGAAGGAACAGCAAGAAAGTCAGTCCCATCCCATCCCTTCTCCATTCCCTTGTGTAGTGTGTAGCTAGGACCTCCCCCCACCCACGCCACCCCAAGTCAATTCGTTGTCGCGGATATCTCAAGCTCATTGACTAACAATTCCCCATGCAGAGGAGGCTCGCGAGCGTGAAGCTCAAGATGGCAAGTCAAAGAAGGGCGGCGCCCTCTCTTCCCTGATCTACGGCACCCCCGAGGGCCGCGAACTCGACAAGGACATCGAGAGAAGCTTCTCTCAGGTCCTCGCACGAGGCAAATACGTCCACTCCATCGTCTTCCACGAGGTCAAGCCCGACAAGGTCGACGAATACACGGAGCTTGTTGGCCAATGGTATCCCAAGATGGCCTCCGTGCCTGAAAATAAGGTCCACCTCGTCGGCAGCTGGAGGACCGAAGTAGGCGATTGCGATACTTTTGGTATGCATGACTCTTTGGCAATCACTTTTCCCCATTGGTAACCAGTACGCTGACATGCGATTCACACCAGTTCACATTTGGGAATACCAACGGTATGAAGGCTACCACGATTCACTACATGCCATCCACCACCACCCCGAATACCCCGATTTCGAAAGAAAGCTCAAGACACTCATCACGTCTAAGAAGACGTCCCTGATGCAGGAGTTCTCCTTCTGGCCGACCACCCCTCCGCGCGATCTGGGCGGTCTCTTCGAGCTGCGCTCGTACACCCTGCACCCCGGAAACTTGCTCGAATGGGAGACACACTGGAGGCGAGGCCTCAAGGCACGCCGAGAGGTCATGGAAGGTGTGGGAGCCTGGTTCGTGCAGATTGGCGAATTGAATACGGTCCATCACCTTTGGCAGTTCGCAGATTTGGAGGAGCGCAAGATCCGCCGAGAGCAGAGCTGGGGCGTGGAGGGCTGGGGAGAGACTGTGCATAAGACAGTACCTCTGATTCAGACGATGAAGAGCAGGATCTTGGTACCTTGCCCCTGGAGCCCCGTTGCGTAAAGTCCAGTTACAGGAGCGGAAAGGACATTGAGAATTCGTGTACTAGCTAGCCTGAAATATGGGACCGGGCGGGAAAGCACAATGGACAAAGTCGGAAGGTGTAGTCATTTTGCAATTGGTGAAGGTTGTAGCATACTATGGATTGCTTTGGAAGAGATAGTCAATTCCGCAACCGCAGGTGGTCATTCGTCGAGTACAGAGGCAAGGTCGAATTGTTACCTAGCAAGAACAAACATTCTGCCCATCCAGACACAAAACTTTGCCCGCAGAAAACCAGACTCGTACTACATTTCCGTCTATAGTGCACTCAAGACGGACAGATATAAGGAGGAGCAACCTTGACAAGAAATGGGTACCTAAGTAACTAACAATTGCTTCGAATCACATCATCTCCAACAGTGAATCAACTTTCGACATGAGATACGCCATTTGATAACTACAATCCCACGTAATATGAGGGATGCGAAATTTGTTCTTTTATTATTTTTACCTGGTGCTGACTAGCACCGTCACGTCGATGAGAGAAAAGATGTTCCTTTCGGGCTGAGGTCTCTTTTTGAGATATCCGGTGGTGACTATTTTGATATACAACTCAGTCCCCACAGCCATATGGGCAAGTATTGCTAATGGTGAGATACCCGCGTGGGGGCACCAAATCCCCCATCAATACGATGTATCTAGTGACATCTAGAACAACGCAAGTCTCCAACCTCCACTGACTACTCTCGCCAAAACATACGCCGCAAAAGCTACTGCATAGGCCACGCCCGCAAACACAATCAAGCCCACATACTCACCACCGTCTCTCTCCAGGATGGCTCCGGCAATGGGAATACCAATCAGAGCGCCCACACTGGAAATGCAAAACGCCGTGCCGCTCCTCTTGCCCAAATCCTCCACCTTGCTGACCTGCGCGATGGACACAGGCGTGAGACTGATCGCCGCGCCGGACCAAAACCCAAAAAGTATCGTGAACGCCGTCACGCGGCGTTCATCCCCACCGGCCGTGAGCCACAGTGTCAGTAGGAGCGTTGCGCACACGAAGGCCGTGACGCACATGGTGTTGAATGTGCCGAATCTGTCTGCGACGTAGCCTGGCAACACGCGGCCGGGCATGGCACCGACGTTGAGGAGCACATTCAGCATGTACGCGTCGTGAGGCTCAAATCCCGCGTGCAATGCGTAGGAACAGATGTACGAGTACGGTATGAAGACTGCGAACTCGATCAGGAAGACGCCCAGAGTTGTCGTTGCGAACTTGGGATCCCGCAAGGCTTTGATGTCGATGGTCGTTCTGGCTGCGGGATTGTTCGGCAGACGCTTTCGGAGTAGGATGCAGGCCACGAGAAGGACGACGGCGCAGATGAGCGCAATGATCCGCATTGTCCATGGGAATCCGATCTCGGGCGCGACGTACATCATTATCAAGGGGAATGCGATACCTCCCAACCCTCCAGCCGTAAATGCGATTCCTGCAGCAAACGCCCGACGACATTTGAACCAGTGGCCTATGGCGGCCACGCTGGGATTAAATAAGAACGATGCTGATATGCCTCCAAGGACGCCGAAGGAAAGAAGGAATTGGTAAAACTCTGGGGGATGAAGAGATTCAGCATAACTTTTTGAGTCGGAGATCAGAGTAGTACCCTACCTTTGCAGAAACTAAGGCATACTAGAGAGGTGACAATTCCAATTGACCCAGGAATGACCACGACTCGAATATCATACTTGTCGACGATTGGACCTTACGTATCCGTCAGCTACTCTTATAAATGCCCTCTACATCCTTACTTGTTTCAGCCACCGAACCAAAAGCTCAACTTACCGACCTGCACTCCCGGCAGATAGAGGAAAAAAGCATAGCAACTGAATATCCAGCCGATCTTCGACTCGGGAAGTCCATGGAGCTCGTGTTCGGACACCCAGGCTTGGAGAATCGCGAGAGTATTCAGGAGGCCCATGGACGGTATCATGGCGCACCAAGCGCCGAGAACGACGAGCCAGGCATCGAGCCCACCATCGGGGTACGGGCTTTCTGTCGGCGGTAAGGTTGAGATGTCGCTTTTGGATTCGAGATCCTCTTCAGTGGGACCGTGAGGATGGAGTGAGATGCTGTCTGCGGTGTATGCTTCTGGAGGGATGTTCACTTGGAGCGCCATGAGCTATTCAGGAAATGAACAATAGCCAGACTAAGTCGGCTATCAAGCAGGTATGTACCCCCGACACCCTGTATGTGAATTCAAACCTTCAAGTTTAAATACATTGGCTTTTGGTATATCTCATTGTGTCTTGAAGAAGCTCGGACGAAAAGAAGCAATGCCATTAGCGGATCAGCATGCCCCAAAAATGGTCTGAGCCGGATACGCAGCACCCGTTCGTCGATATTTGCTGTAGTTGATTTACTACTCCACAGTATCCCACCCACGGTTTCTTTCGATTCGTTGACGAACATTTATTTGCCCATTCACATAGTCGGTATCACTTTCCGACGGGAAACCGCACTGGCTACTTCCATTTGCATTTATAATCAACTAGCACTTAGGTACCTAGGTACTTACCTAGGTATATTCGGACATATAAGAGGTAGGTAGGTAGAACACCATTGGATTTATTGAAGTACGAGTACTTATATCTGGAAGAAGAGCACAAGGGACTTGCTGTCAATCAACAGTACCTAGTTAGCTTAGCTTCAATAATCTTCCATTCGTCGGTCGGGCATATGATTTGGTATCAATTGCTTTAAGTGCGTCCACCTCAGTGCAATTTGACCCTGCTTTCACTGCAAGAACAGATACTATGAAGGAGGAGGAGGAAAGCATTGGATGGAGAAGGCATAAACATTATGGTTCCTTAGGTGCATAGCTGTGTATGTATATATGCTGCTTTATCCACGCTCGCTTGTTGTTGTTGGTCCCCACGCGGAGACACGTGCCCTCCCCCACCAACGTCATCACAGAATCACAAGACAGAAACGCCGATCACCGTCTAACCTGGAAATTTTGATCGTGCGTTCTGTTGTCATCCCCATCTACCGACACATTACAACACAACCAACCCATTTCATAGAACCCTTTGATACTCCTATCTTCTGGTGCACCCTCAACGGCATCGCGAAGATGGTTTACATTCGCCAGGACAAGCTTTCGAAGCTGAAAGAGTACAAGTACTCTGGCGTTGACCACAGTCTTGTCTCGCGCTACGTGCTGAAGCCATTTTACACACATGTCGTGATCAAATGCTTTCCCATGTGGATGGCGTAAGTAATAGCCAGATTACATTGGAGAAGTATAGTGCTGACCACTTGGTAGGCCGAATCTCGTACGTATACCTGTCGCGCAAACTTGCCCTCGAGCATCACACCTTGCCCTTAATCCGCATATCGAAGCTACGCGTGCTGATATTCAGATGATACACAGATCACTTTGACTGGTTTTGGATTTGTTGTTGCCAATTTTTTGACGCTGCTCTGGTATACCCCAACGTTGGACAAAGACTGCCCTCCGTGGGTGTACGCAAGTTGGGCAATCGGCCTGTTTCTTTACCAGACCTTTGATGCCGTAGATGGATCCCAGGCCAGAAGGACGGGTCAGAGTGGTCCGCTGGGCGAGCTGTTCGACCATGGCGTAGATGCGGTCAACACCTCGCTGGAAGTGCTGCTCTTCTCTGCAACAATGAACCTTGGACAAGGGTGGAAGACCGTCCTAACTCTATTCGCTTGTAAGTAGACCTCTGGCGTGAACGATGACATGGTCCTAATAGTCACAGCGCTCATGACTTTCTACGTTCAAACCTGGGAGGAGTATCATACCCACACTTTGACTCTCGGAATCATCTCTGGACCTGTCGAGGGTATCTTGACCCTCTGCATCATCTACGCCGCGACCGCCTTCCTCGGAGGTGGCAGCTTCTGGCAGCGCTCACTGCTCGAGAGCGTTGGTGTTCAACGCTACGAGTTTATCCCTGGATTTATCTACAACCTAGCCTGGAACGAATGGTACATGGTATACGGCAGCGTTGTCCTTGTCTTCAATACAATCTCTAGGTAAGCCACCCACCACGATCCTGTATCCTTCTCCGGTGTTCAAAGCTGACGACGAGGCAACTAGTGCGCACAACGTGATGAAAGCCCGCCGATCCCGAGGCCAAAAGACTCGCGTTGCCCTACTCGGCCTTCTTACTTTCGGGGCAGCTTGGACGTTGATCCCAGCCTACCTCTACCTCCAACCCGTGATCCTCCGCCAACATCTCGTTCCCTTCATCTTCTACGCCGGTCTCGTGAATGCCTATTCTGTCGGCCGTATCATCATATCTCACCTTACTAAATCTCGCTTCCCGCGTGGCAATGTCCTCATTTACCCTCTCATTTACGGGGTCATCGACTCTCTTGGACCCTTCCTACAGGCCAAGATCGGTTTTGGATGGCCTAGTGCGCTCGGCGACGATGTCTACCAGGTTGCATTTGTGTTCATGTGTCTCGGTCTCGCTGTCGGAGTTCACGGTAGTTTCGTGGTTGATGTTATCTGGACCATCTGCGACTACTTAGACATCTGGTGTTTGACAATCAAATACCCTTACCAACCTGTGAAAGAGAACGAGGAGAAAGCGAAGAAGGGCCAGTAATTCCTACTGGAAACAACTACCTCTATGAATTACGCACACCCTTTGCCGCGCTTAACTGTCTTGCCTAGTATCGCACTTTACGACTAGAGGACAAGCCAGCGTTTGATATTGGTCGATGTGCATAAATTTGCGTCGCCATTCGCGAGACGAGGGAGGTAGATCGATGGAGCCATCAGTGCGAGAGGAGATCGAAGAATGAGAGACCTGTGGCTTGACTATGCACTGCTTTCGCAATGTAAGATTTCCAAGTTGCGGGCTAGAAGTTTCATGGGTTGTTTAGACACGAGTTTAATACCCCTTTCCTTTATCGTTAGAGTAGGTTTTTTGTTCTTTTTGCGTTTTGACATGTATCCAGTATCATGACTCTGGCTTGCAACGACTGCGACTACTGTATTCCACTTGAAGTATAGGGTGGGTTTGTACGACTTGTTAACATTGCATTGTGATCCTGAAGCAAGACGTTGGGAACATCATCGTGTTGAATTTGTTTTTTAATATTGTCTAATTGGTACGTCTTCAATTTGCATCTAGGTGGTACTAGAAAGGAAAGGTATGTCTGTTGTCTACGAGACAATACATGTCATTTCCTGATTCTGACTCGGCAGGGGAATCCGCCTGCCACTTCCTATGTCTGCATGGTAGCCTCTTTTCTCCAATCACTATCTTGATCCTAGATTCAGGATGCGATATATCCCAGTCATCGTATGTGGGACTGATATCAAATAACCCAACAGTCATGACTTGCACTACTTCCCACTTCAATACGAACCAACGTTTGCCCAATGTAGCTTCGAGGTCCCCGCTCAAGTTTCCTCCAAGCTCCTTTATCAGGCGCTCATTCTGGATAACACCATTATCGGTGCTTTCATTACTCATTCGCTGGCTCCCGACTCAAAAATATACGTCCAGGCTGAGCAAGGTTTTCGGTAACCTTTTCCTTGTCGAGCCCGGCAATGTACGACCGAGGGTTCTTGTCATACCCACACCCAATATTCATTACCTATTCATCCAATGAGCTTACACTTTGCAATGTATTTCGTCGTCACCAATCAAATATCTTCTAGGGGGACAATCACAACATAGGTCCTACGCGGTTGATCATCGCGAACCGGGGAAGGGTCATGTAAGTTGCACACGATACACAACCTTGCTCATTGAAATCATCTGAGGAATACTTTCTCTTCTCTTCACGAGTGAGGTGTCGATCGATTGGTCCAAAATCGGTGGGATACAGTGATCCTATACCCCGGCTCGGCAATTGCTTGGTCGCGCTGCGAGGATAATATAGTATAAAGTGCATACTCATCTACCGATTAATTTCACTTATCAAGGTTACTTGGATGCTGAGATTCTCAAAACTCGGGAGTTCTGCACGTACGTAGCTGAGAGTTTCTGTTTAAATGGCCTGGTCAGGGCCCTTTTGGTAAGGGTCCTGTTTCAGCGCCGCTCTCCCGACAGCAACACCAAGATCAAGTAATCATGACGCTATCAACTCTTGCACTCGTTGCGCTGTTTGTTAGGGATGTGTTTTCACAGCAAAGTCCAGGAGCAGCCGATTTCCTGAGGTTCGGCTGCTCACAACTCGTTGTGGAGCGCGCCGACCCATTAGTCACTCCTGGGTTGAATCCATCGCCGCATACTCACCAGATCGTGGGCGGAAATTCATTTAACATTACCGTATGTCGCAGCAATTCTATGTCTCACAGCAGAATACGGAAAACATTGTTAATCGTGAGCAGATGGACCCGTACACCATAGACCCACCGAAACAATCAACTTGCACCTCTTGCATATACAAAGAGGACTTCAGTAACTATTGGACTGCCTCAATCTACTTCCAGTCCCCAGAGAACGGAACATTCAAGAAGGTTCCTCAGATGGCAAATGGCAGACAGAACAGAACGCTGCTTGAGCAAGATGGCGGACTCACTGTCTACTATATGCGACCATTTAGTGGGAGCAACAAGAAGACTACTGCCATGAAGCCGGTAGATGCACCTCCTGCGAAGTGAATCGAAACATCTTGTTGACGTATGACAGGGCTTCAGAATGTTTGCCGGGGACCCAGCGCTCCGCAGCAAGACAGGCACATACCCCGGAATCTGCCATCGCTGTCTCTCCAAGGCAGATCGTTTGATGGGTGGCAATGGAGCCCCTTGCGATTCCAAGGACACCGCTGCTTTCCCATCCTCCCCATGCCCAGGTGGCATTCGTGCTACCATTATCTTTCCTTCCTGCTGGGACGGAAAGAATTTGGACAGTCCGGATCACAGAAGTCATGTTGCATATGCACCGGGGAGTGGTGCACTAGCTGGTGATAAATGCCCCAGTACACACCCCGTTCGAATCCCGCAGGTTATGTAAGTGCTATTGAATTGATCACCAATGAAGCTCACCAAGATAGCAGTAGCTCACATATGTCTTAGGTATGAGATTATGTTCGACACATCCGGGTTTGCTGATCCCAAGTATTACAAAAACGGCAAGCAGCCCTTGGTATACAGCTTTGGCGATGCGTAAGTCTTGTCCTACGAACTATGTGATTGGACCAGGCTAACCGTTACAAAAGTACTGGCTATGGTGCACATGGTGATTATCTATTTGGCTGGGAGGGTGATGCACTGCAGAGAGGCATGGATGCGCTTGGAAATAAATGCGGTAGCGAGGACTGCACTTCAGCCTTGAAGATTCAGTCCGGAAATGATGCCATTGCCTGCACGAAGGCTCAAATGGCGAAGGAAGATGTCGGCTCAAACAACTGTAAGTGCCATTGTGAGATGCCATGGTGCAAAGCTGACTTCGATCCCAGGGCTGAAGGAATTACCCGGCGGTGCTACTGTCACATTTGAGTAATTGTTTTAGGTGATTGACCTTGAAAGATGTGCGAGACAACCTCGAAGATTATACTTCATTACAATAGTAAGATTATTGAGCACGTTTCAAGCCAGAAGAAGTCTGATTTAGGTATACCTAGCTCTAACTCACTCTCGTATATTGTCCGTTTTACCTTTTGACTAGCATATAGTTGAATGACCGAACTTTAGCAAGATGTGCTCTTTACGAGAATATATGCAGCTTTCAACACTGGCGATGGCATGATAGCTGACCCCTACAATGAAAGAGCCCGAGAACTGCCCTATCACACTCAAGCATTATCGCACTACGAGCCAACATGCTGAAAAGAGTGTTCAAAGAAATCGACCAGTTTTGCGCCCGCTTCATCAACATGATCGTACAGATCTGCATGTGTGAGGCCCTCTACTGAATATAATTCTTTCGGCTCTCGAGCTTTCACGATCCCATATCCACTGAACCACCTTGTTGCTGCCCTTGATCCCGTTATCATCAGCAACGGTCTCGGACTAATCAGATAGTTGAAAGCGAAAGCGTCGAAATTAGCCATCATATCCCAGCTCCTTGCAAGGCAAGTATTCGGCGCCCGTTTGTGGGGTTGCCTCTTGCGAAAGTATTGCGTCAAGTCTTGAAACGACTCAGTCAGCCCGACTGCTTCTTCAAGCGTCGACGGGATCAGTTTCACTAGATCCACTTTCTCCCCTCCAATGTCACTGTTCCGATCTTTTGCAGCAAGTTCTAGCTGCCCCTTCAGAGTATCCAAGTTGGCTGAATCCCGATCGAATCCACGGCGCGCCATTATCCCAACACACACGGCGGCTGTTGTTGCGCACGCTCTGATGCGAAGGTCGGTCTGTGCAGCAAATGAGGCATATCCGCCAGAGGCGCATATTCCTAAGACACCTATCCTGTCAGAATCGACATCTCTGCGCCCCACCAGGTATGTGACGGCACTTTTAATATCCTCGACACGCTGATATGGGTCTTCGAGTGAGCGGGGCTCGCCCTCCGATTCGCCTTGAAATGCTGCATCGAATGTAAGACAGAAGAAGCCTGCTTTGCAAAGCAAACGTGCGTAATTGGCGGGGGATTGTTCTTTTATCGAGGACCATGGATGTGCGATGACAATGGCAGCTCCCTTCTGGTCACGTGTTGTGACATTGGGACGATAAAGATGGGCTTTAAGTCTGTATGCTCGAGAGGTGAAGAACACCCTGTCTGGTGATATTTCCATGGGATATGGAATGAAGTTAGGAGTTCGAAAGATCGGCTTAGTTTTCAAGAAGGCAAACAGTCCAAGGCTGTCTGTATATACGATGACGAGCACAATCCGAAGATCGTCGGCATTGATCACGTGCTAAGCCGTACGAAGGACTTTGACCAACCGTTGTATTGCTAGTGGGGCGAGAGATTCCACTGCCCGAATGTTTTCGGCTGACGACACTTGTATATTTAAGGTATTTCTTTTGTTCTCGGGCAGATGCTGCATGGCCGACTGTTAGTAACAGTGGGCGCTGGTGAATGACCTATAGGAGTGAGAAGGTTCCACCAGAGCGGCCAGACGTCGAACTCTCTCACTCGACAGTCAATTGCCCGAACGACTCGTTTCTTGGTCTCCCATGATTGGTTCCTTGGAATCCAGACATTTATCGGATTTTTCTCTTCAATACTGTGTCAAAGATTTGCAATGTATGTTCAATTGAGATCCTTCGAGGACATGGTTGGAGATGAAGAGTACGTACATTACTGACGTCGAGAACGCCACGGCAACGATTATTCGCCCCTTGACTTAAATGTTACTTTATTTTTCAAAAGAAAAAAAGAAAAGAAAAAGAGAGGACTATATAGAACCACAATAAAAACGTACCATTGCTGGGATAGGCTGTGAGTACTTTGGGAGTGTACAAAGTCAAGTGTAGCAGTAGCATAACGGCCCCTCCATTAATCACACTATGCCCATTTGAGCTTTGCTCGCCGTATGTGACGATCAATCATCCACATCATCTCAAGCTCCATCAAGTACGAATTAGCAAACGCTTTGCACGATCGGTGTTGCTTTTAAATATCTCATACTATATCGTTCATATCAATGCCAATATCTACTAGCTCCTATATTGTCTTCGTAGGCGCTGTCTACATAGACACCATTCTTTCTGTTCCCCACTTCCCAGCAGAAGACGAAAAGCTGCGTGCTCACAAGCAAACCCGACGACGAGGCGGCAACTGTGCAAATTCGCTACAAGTCCTCGAGCAACTCATCGAGTGGGATCCGTTTCGTCCCAAGGATAATGAGGGTAGAAGGGCAGCGATTGAAGGCACATTTGGCCGACTGCACTTACTCGCTGTTCTTCCGGACTTCAAATCTCAAGACGTCAAATTCATCAGGGAGTCCTTGCCAGGCACAAGTTTCGTACCCTGTTCAATATTTCGCTCTAACATGCAACATGCTGCATCTAGCTATATTATTCAGAACGAATCTAAGGGAACTCGTACCATCGTCAGTTATAATGGCCTGCCGGAGATGACTTTCAAAGAGTTCGACGAACAGATTTCAAGATTCAATGCTCTTTCTCTAGACCTCGTCACGAAAACATGGTACCATTTCGAGGTAATGTACATACATGCACCCCACAACGCGTGATTTTTGGACGGCTCCGGTCGTATCACTTTTTTACGGTGGAATGCGCGTGCCACTAACCGCAAGGCAGGGACGGAATTCAGATACTCTCCTCCAATGCGTCAAGCACATACGGAATAACGACACACACTGTCAATTCAGTGTAGAGTTGGAGAAACCAGATCGTGTTGGGTTGATTGAAGTAGCCTCTTTAGCAGATGTTGTTTTCTATTCCAAACTGTGGGCTGAAGGTCATGGATTTGAGGGTCCAAGACCATTCTTAGAAGCTCAAGTGGGCAACGTAAGATCTGGTGCACTATTAATCTGCACATGGGGGGCAGAAGGTGCAACTGCTCTTCAAACAGGAATGACAAAGGGTGCTGGCGAGCTGTGGGAAAGCTCTGAGGCATGGCAGCCTCCGTCAAGTCAGGAGGGAGACATTTCTTCTAACCAGGACTCCGTAATTGAGTGAGTGACTACGATCTTGACCAATCAAGTCCGGGATACTAAGTGTGGCAGTCCCGTTGGTGCGGGTGATTCGTTTATCGCTGGAATTCTGTTCTGCATTCTTCATCGCCAAACATGGTCATTGCGACGGAAGATAGCGTTTGCAAGTGAACTGGCGGGCCGCAAAGTCTTTCAAAATGGCTTTGACAATCTTGGAGAACAAATTTTTTCTATCCTGAAGAAGAAGTGAATCGATTCCACGGAATCATCCCATCCGAAGGAGGTCGCGCCCTTACTGCAGATGAAATCTGCTCGTCCAAAGTCGCTCCACATTCCTAAATAAAATCGCTTCCTTCTGGGCGTCAGAGAGGAATTTGGCATCAACTAGGGCAGCAACATTTGCATTGACATCCCAAAAGCCCATTCCATATGGGTAGTCCTGATTTTTGGTAGTATTAGTCACTGCAGCTAAGGAGGGCAATCGTACGCAAGTGAAGCCAAAAGTGTATAGGTACTCACCGTTCCAAAAACGAATTGACTGGTGGGTACACCGTTTGCCATCAACCCCTTGATCTGATTTGGATACACAGGACCGGCGCTATCGTACCAAAACCTTGTTGCGTATGCCTTTCTTACATCTTCTGCGTCTTTTGGAAATCCTATCAAGAAGCGATCTTGGATACTTGGGAAGGCTCCCGCCCCATGCGATACTCGCCAATGAATGTTAGGATACTCTAAGATAGTTCTGTTCGCTGTAATACTCGATATTGCCCGGGCGGTCTCGAAGTAAAACTCGCCCAGACCAGCGCGTAGTGGTGCTGTAAATCCTAATTAGCAATTGGAGTTTAAGCGTGCCACAACCACAGCACATGACCAACTACTCACATGGATTGGAGTTAAGGAATCTTCCGTCCTCGAGTCGAATGACTGGATCAGTTGGGTGAATGAAGACGACTGCCCTGTCATCTTCTTGGTTTTGAAGATACTCCCATAGAGGGTTGAAAGACTTATCTCCTGGATAAATGCCTTCATGATTCGTCAATATACCAACACCAAGCGCACCCAATTCTGTAAGGCAGTACTGCACTTCTCTTATAGCCTCTTCTAGATATGGTAATGAAGTCACTGCAAGCCAGGAAAATCGCTGCGGGTACGCGCATCCCAACTCAGCATTGAATTCATTCAAAAGCCTCGCCAATGCGATTGTCTTCGCTCTATCGGCGGGGAAAGCGTTTGCCTGAGGGGTGCTGAAACAAAGTATGGACCGTTTGATCTTTTGCTCTGCCATAAAGTTTAGATGCGAATCTACGTCCCATGAAGGTGTTCTGCGGCCGGCAGCAAGAGGTTGCAGCTCACGGAACCAGTCTGGCACTGGATGAACGTGAGTATCGATCTTCGTTGCATTCTCAAAATCGGGCAAATCAGATCTGATAGATTGAGATATTGCTTCAATAGATTCCAGTGCATCATCAAGGAATGGAAGTACTGTTAAATCAATACCATCACGCTTCGCATTGGTAATGATCCTGTTCACTGGGGAAGGTCTGTCCATCGCAAAGAATGAGACTCCGGACGAGATGGCGAGGAGATTGATAGATCTCCAGGTTAGAGATACCTATTTAATGCTTTGGAATAATCCTTGGTATTTATCAAGCTGTGACACAGGTCGCTAGAGTTCGGCCGGAATTGTGGTTGTAGATCTCACTCGGCTCCCCACACTATAAGAAAAACCCCGTAGAATTAGGCCCTCGGTACATCGTAGTATACCTAGCGAAGAATAGCGTACATGCAAATATCAACCTCAACTGGTGGATAGAGCTCCTTAGCTAGGTTTCATAAGTTGCCTCTCGCTATGAGCCTACTCAGCAAGTACCTGTGCCACAGGAATGTAGGCTTCTAACGATGACGAGTATTCAGAATGCAAGATCGCCTCGCAGAAAGTAGGAGCGGAATGCAAAACATTGTGATCGCGAAGAATGAATGCCATGCGAAATGGAGAATTCCTCTTTTGCATTGATTGCACTGTGAAACTTTAAAGCTCTGGAGTTCCCTTTCAAGATGCTATTGTCTCAACTTATACGTGGATTCTCGTATTGGACATATCTTATCTCTTCCACTCTCTGAGCAGCTTCCATCTCGGTCGATATTGGAGAGAAAATGAAGGGAATCGTACACTCTTTAACCACACTGTTGTTGCCATTGTTGGCTGCGGCTACTGCAGTCAATCTTGGCAACGACGCTAGCAGTGATCTCGTTCAAAAGCGAGTCGAGGCCGGGGGAGGTGGCGGACACGGTGGTGGGCACGGTGGTGGAGGAGGACATGGAGGAGGGGGAGGGGGAGGACACGGCGGCGGAGGAGGGGGAGGACACGGCGGCGGAGGATTCCACGGTGGTGGAGGAGGAGGAGGAGGAGGAGGAGGAGGAGGAGGCGGAGAACATGGTGGAGGCGGAGGGCATGGTGGAGGCGGACACGAAGGCGGACATGAAGGTGGCCATGATCACCACGAAGGCCATGGCCATGGACATAAGAACTACGGCTTTGGAGGTTTCGATACCTCCCACTTTCCTTATGGAATCCCAACATGCGACACTTCCTGCGGCAATATCGGTATCAACTACGCAAAATACGATAATATCTTCTACAGGCCTCCAGGCCCGGGTGATACGAGAAATTTTAGGCCAGCTGAGTACAAAACTATACGGCCACGATACAATGGGACAACAACGTATATAGGGTACAAGGCCCTTGTCGCAGCTTCCATATACGGACAGCCAATCGAACCGGTCGAGGATCTGGTCATTGATCACACATTCTACCTCTGTGCGCCCATGACAGGCAACTATGTCTTCTCATCTATCTCCGCAGACGATATAACCGAGATCTGGTTGGGAGCCAAGGCATACCGCGGTTGGACCAGACCAAACGTAGATATAGAGCAGACGTACGTTGTCGGCACGCAGACGCCAGTAAGCACTACGGTCTTTCTACAAAAAGGTCAAAACTTCCCCGTTCGCGTCATGGGCGGAAACTACCAAGGGGCGGGAGAAATCAATGTCGGGATTTTCGCCCCGGACGGGCGTGCGCTACTTAAGACGAATGCACTGAATCCGTCTGCTAGTATCACCAGCCAGTTCCTTCTAAAATATATCTGTGGGGACCGATCCTCCGTGTTCCCACCGTGGGGCAATGAGCAGTGATAGCTATGAACTTAGTGGTTATATATGTTGTTGCATTCGGAAGTAATTCAATGTTGCGGATATAGCTTCACTTGACAATGATCACACGTACTTTCTTATAACATTTATGATATTGGCCATATACATGTAAACTACCTACCTTTTGACAATCCTCAGGATCAAGGTGCTTTCGCACAGAGACCATCTTACCAGAGACAACCCAGGGATAGGTTTACAGCAGTTCGGGTGGCACTATGCTTGCCCTATTCACAGATATCCACAATCGTTCTGAACATCCTGTCGACATTTTCCAGATCTTCTTCTAGTGAGTACGCATTGGACTTATCCTCGGGGCCTCCCCATGGAGCAATGGGGGGGCTGGCGTCCATCCTGATACAGTCGTAAAATTCGACGACAGGCTTCCCATCTTTGTTCCCGAGAATCACAATTTTACCACCATTAAAGTGGGCGTCTCTCTTTGATAAAGCTAGTGAGTGCCAGCTCCTTGATTGAAACTCAATTGAGCGGTGTTGACGACGACTCGCGTGAAAGGAAAACCCACCATGTTTACCAACTTCACGTCTTAGGATATCGGCTCGAGAAGCCTCAGTCTCGACTGCAAGAATCAAGACAATTCTTTCGCTCGATGAATCTACTTTGGTCAATAGAATATCTTCTTTCTCAGGCGGTGATGTTGGCTTTGGGGGTTCATCTCTTTGAGGCGCTTTCGTTACAAACCAGTAGACACTCCTTGAGTCTTGATCATCCTGAAAGATACAAATCTCACTCTTAGGACATCTCACACTGAACTGCGGGGAATGGAAATAATGGCGTAGCAGATTTGAAGCAAGCCTGCTACCTATCTCGGGCAGTGTGCGATTAACGTAGTCCCACGTCTTCCGCTTATGCTGGTATGCCTGACTATAGTTCTGATATAACAGCGCTAGTGGCTTTGGGAATATTGGCAACGGCGAGGGAACCGTCTGACGGCCGTTTTGATCTTCGTGAATCTCGATAGACGGAATTATGCCATTGAGGTAGTGATCTGGGCCTGGCCATTTGAACGTTGTCTCAGTAGCGGGCTCTTCACGGTTCTGTTCATTGGGCGCGCAGGTAACCTCACTGCTTGACTCCGGTACTGTGGGTGGTGGAAACCCAGTCATTTTTGCTGACGGAAGAAGGGGTTGACTAGGATGAACTCGATTCGAGGAGGTCAGAATTGTCTCGGGTACAATCAGGTTCAGCAGGTTTTGTAAGTGCTACAATAAAACCAGGCCCGTTAATGAGGTCTTCTTCCTGAACTCTTATAGATCGGCAGGAGAGACTTTTGTGTTCACAATCCTTATGAACTCGCGTAGTGAAAATAAAGAAAAGTCTTCCCGTCATTGTTAATGCTCACAACTCACATTGTGTAGCTAAGAGTCTTCACAATAAGGCTCATTGTGTATTAAATAGCAGTGCATAATGTTCGGCAAATGGTTTCACCAGGATCATCCGAAGAATCAGCTAGAGTTAACGCATGTATCTTCGATCTGGCTGTCAACATTGCAGAAGCTAATGGTTTTCGGAGTTGAACACAGGAACAGCAACGAGCTTGTTGCATGATTCGAAGAAGCACAAATGATCCATTGGTATCAACTTAGGCGGCGACTCCTGCCATGGATCAAGCGCAGAATCCAAAATTTAGAATGAATATATCAGCAAATTTATCTAGTAATATGGAACTTATTCGTATATCTTGTGTAAGGCTTTCCTCGAAGAGTTGACGTTACGATGGAGTTGTTTCTTATAGCAAGAGTTTGCTATTGGTAAAATTTGGCCGACTTGCGTACTGCACACTCATAGACTAATCTAGGCACACACACAAAGAGAGGCCGCCGCACATCCCTGCACGATTGTATTAGTTCTATACCAGTCTCGCCCTTTCGCATTGTTCGAGATACTGCATTACATGAAACGGCTTGTTACATCGGTTGGTCGTTCTGCGAAGCTCAAGCACGCCGATGCATTAGCAAATGTGAGAAGAATGGCATCATTGACGTCATGATTAAAGATGAGACCAGGCGGGCGAAAGATTATAGGCTGATTCACGGATGAGGAAAAATCAACAGCTAAACATATAAGGCGACCCGAGAGTGGTGTTTCCTTTGTCCATTAGGTGAGCATATTTTCATAGAATCACAAAGACCTCTTAAATGGCAACGCTCGATGCGTAACTGGGAACATGCTGAGCTACCAGCAGTGAGTATCAACAGCAGGCCCAATTTCCATTCTTTGGGTTCGTTGCTTCATGATGCGCCCGCTAACATTGCAGGCATTTCTTTCTGGAGAATGAGATAATCACCCTCCGTTTTCGACAATCTTTCAGCTATGTTCTAGACGAATTCTGCACAGCATAATTCTTCAAGTATCATCTTGATTCAGGGTCCTCCATTAGCATCCGTCTCTCCAAGTGCTAAAGTAGATCCAATTTTGTCAAGCACTGTGCACTCCGTTGTTGCAGCGAGTGCCGTAGTCACTGTACCTCACTCCTACAGTCAATATCTCTTGATGAATCGCCAGCGAATGTCATTGTGAAATGAATTCTGGAACCAAGCAATGATAGAACCAATTCGGATGCACATGTCGCTACAACCGCTTCGAGCCGTCTTAATCTTTACAGTTCGAGATTGGGGGACGGGCAAATTCAGTGAGTTCTGCAACTTAGTAGCACTAGCAAGTAGATACATCACGTTCGTAATCTGACCATGTTACGATGTTTCTACTTGAAGTTGTCACACTGTTTACTAAATGTCCTTTCTCACAATGACAAGTTTAACAACCAGGTTTCCAATACTACTCCACAGATGCTCCCTCTCCCCAATTCGCTCGCCGATTAGAACACGGAGTGATTCGAGCGTACCGTATGACATAAGATACGGTTAGGTCCATCACAGGATCTCTCAATCGTATGTATATCTTGCCGTCATCAGTCCTCAAAAGTTCTTCAGTTTTCTTCATTTTCCATTCACCAACTTATATCGATGGCATCTAGATATGATACAGCGATATCTCTCAATGAGCGTCTCGACCTTCCACCGCTAGGCCTTGAAGAAGCTCGAGGACTATGCCACTATGCCTAAGACTTCATCAGCATTGTCCTTCGGTGCTTCGTAGACCGTCCCCTCAGACCGTCTCAGCTTTAATAGCGTCATTCGTTTTTGTCACGGGGCGTTCTCTCTCATGCACACAAAGCTGCTGTTGAGGCGCGCGGTTTGGAGCCTTGAATCATATTTAGCTGGGATGGAACATCCGTCCCTGAACGGTGGGGCTATGGCGGGCTGAGGTGAGTATAATCGGGGCGACGACGGGGAATGATGTCTATAATGGCGTCAGTGTGAATGTGTTTGACAGTGAGTTGCCTGCTGGACTGTCTCGTGTCTGTTCTAATCGGGAAAATGTACCCTAAAAGTCGTTGCGGTTCAATGAAGGGCGAACAATCAACAATTGGTGTGCGATCTTTTATGTCACTGCACAAGTACAATTAGTAAGTAGAACTGAGCAAGTATAATTGATCCATCTGCCATGTACAACTCATAAAGCGGATTATATAAGCAAGCCTTGCTATGCGCCTCTTCTAACATTTGTGCTCATCAGTGTGATTTTCTTTCCTTTCTTCTTCCTCCCTCCGCCTGGTGCTTTCTTGGCGGGTTCTCCTTCCTCCAGAGACATTGCTTGTGCCTGCGCAATCATGTCTTCTTCCTGCAAGAGATCCTTCTCCCAGCCCTGGAGCCATCCGTCGTCTGGGACTCCATGATCTTGTGGGCCTACAGTCGGAGAGCCTGACGATGCAACAGCTGCCGTGCCCCATACAGTACGCGGCGCTGAAGGACTGGTAGATGGTGATGCCAGGGAAGCGAAACCCTGGCCCCTACGGGGGGGCCATGGCGGAGATGTTGAAGCCGAGACAGCTTCATCCTCAGCTTCAGCCTGGGCTACTGCTTCTGCTGCATCATCTTGCATACTTCCTGATGCTAATGGCAAGAAATCGTCTGCTGTAAAGCGCTCAGATATGCTAGGTCGCTTCCTTCTCTGCGATGCAAATTCTGCATATTCTGCTTTCTCCGCTCGAATACGCGCCTTCTCTTCTCTTGTTTCCTTGTCCATATTTCTCTGTCGTCTCTTCTCAATCTCTGGCTTGAATCGCTCTAGTATCTCAGGTGCAACAGTATCGGTCCAGTCGCATTCTAAAAAGCTCACTTCGCACCCATAGGGTAGATGTGCCAGATATTTGGTACGCTTGCGCAGATCATCATCAACTACATGGCCAGTAGAAACACGCTCCACGCGTGGCAATATGGTGGAAGGGAAGGCGGCAAAATTGCCAAATGCAGATTTCAGAATCCGTATATCCAACGGCGAAAGATAGTAATGTAATAGCGCTTGATAGAAAAAGTACTCGGACGGAGTATGTTGATGATCGTGGTGTTGGCGATTGCGAATTTCAGCCAGTGTAGAGCCGATCCCATGACTAGCTCGCGACGAATGGGACGAGATGGACAATTTCCTGCTGTGTGGGGCATGGTCAGTAGGTTCTGGATCGGTTGCTGCAGCCGGAAGCAGGCAAGTCTCTGGTGCTGATGTCTGCATCTGAGGGGTGCTGTTTAGGCTTTGGCCTGGCCTAGTGGAGTTTTGGAGTGAGTACAGGTCCGGAGTGTCGGCCTGACTCTCGTTCAATACAATCGGTGCCCTCTTTGGCTTTGGTTCTGCCGGCTTGATCGGTATTTCCGGTGGGTTGCCCATTCCCTTCAGTTTCTCTTTTGCATCACGAATGGCACGCACAGCCTTCCGCATCCATTGTACATTGTCTTCGCCGAACATCAGCTCATCTTCTTTCTCCTGTTGCTCGAGGAAGACTATCTCAGCGTCATATTGGGAAAGCATGTAGTCCTCGCCTCCCCTCATGACTCTGGCATAGTCCATGACCTCCGCGGCGTAATGCCATGGGATGTCCTCGTCCATCCCCAGAGCGTCGGCCCCGTCCCTCGGCATAGCCAGCGTACTTCCAGCTGACCGCATCACTAGCCGAAGGACAACATCTCCACCCTCACGAGGAGGAGGCCCTTCTTGTCCGATGTACCATCGCACTGGCCTCGTTTCTGAGATGTAGATGGTATCGAAGCACAGGGGGCACTTCTTCGATCGTGCCCTTTTCTCCGGGGGTTTTCCTTCGTCCTCCGAGTGCATGTAGCGAATGAGGCAGGGCAAGCAAAATATGTGGCCACACCTTGCCATCCTCGGTGCCACCGGCGTCCCCAAGCAAATGGGGCATGAAGCGTCCTGGGACTCGGAGGATGCTAGTATTTGTAAGACCTGATCCCATTCCAGGTGAACGTCTGCGTCGACACTTTGGGCTCGATAGTCACCGCGCGGATCGACGATGAATCGGTAGTTTGCGTGAACGTATCTGCGACCAGTCAGAGAGGAGATTTCGCCGGTGGGTGGCGCACGCACCTCGCCTTGTCGACAGCGTGATATCCCGAGCCCAATCCCCAGGTAGGATTGCGGCGATAATTCCTTCCCCGATTATGTTGCTGGTGTGACTGGGGGCGGGGGGGAAGCTGGAAGTTCATGAGATGGGTGATGGAGGTCTGGCCCTTTCTACTGTTGAAGGGACGCATGGCGAGCTACATGCCATATCAGTCGAGAGCTCAGGTCGCAAGTACCTGCATGGTGGCCGACGTACCGACTCTGCAATAGCATCCTCATCCGCCTGACGAAATGCACGCCTGGAGCCCTTATGCTGCCTCTTGGCCAGCTGGTTGTTGCGGGGGAAGGATGAAGATCGTGACGAAGCCCCCGCTCCGAAGCTGCTACCTCCACCTCGGCGCTGTCCGTAGCTATCCCCTGTGGCGATTGAGTATGGTTGTGCCTGGGCTGGAGAGGGTTGCCCTGAAGGTGCGGCTGCTTTTGAGGAGGTCGAGATGGTTGGTGGGTTTGAAGACATGATACTGTCACCACCAACAGCGCTCGAGAATGGGCGATGACGATGTTGGTGGGAGACGGGCCGGGGCGGTAGGCGGGTTTAGAGGACCGTCTCTGACTGTATGAGAGAAGGGACACGGGTTCGGGCCGAGGAGGAAAAGGAGGAGGCTGCTGAGAAAGGGGTAAGACTATTATTATTGTGGAGGGGATAATCTTGCAAAGAAGAAAGAAAAGAAAAGAAAAGAATTGTGTACTCTGTAACGTAGGTAATGGGCGGGGATGGATGGAGAGAAAGGATGAGTTGACTAAATGGCAGGTGGATAGTTATGTTACGAGTACTTGTAGGTGGGTTTGGAGTCTTAGGACCATTAGGTACACCATACAGTACGGGAACGGAGTATACCTCCCAGGTACCTAGCTAGGCAAGGGTGCTTTAGCTGTCCAATATGTATACCTAGGTACCGACCTAAGTATGTACTCCGTAATTAGGGTTGACCTAGGCTCTAGCCACCAGGATATATCTACGAGGTACATGTCAGGTTGTCCTTTCAGAAAGGCACTATACTACGAGTACACATATCTCTCTTTTTCTCTCTTCTATGTGTGTGTATCTACATATGTATCTATCACTCGCTGAACTGCACTAATTACCTAGGTAGGGTAGGTACTTAGGTACCCACCCATGCAGTACGTAGTACACAAGTAGACAATCCCAAACCCAACCCTCTGCTATCAAACTTGTCTATGATATACGAGGTGAGCGAAGGCACTGTACATAGGAGTAGCACTATTGGGCAATCATAGTAACCTGGGAACGTTAGGCCGTTTGTTGGGAACTTACCCAGTAATCTATAGTATCACGTGATTCGAGATCATATTGACTTGCCGGGTAGTTATGGCGCTGTGTTTGTCATCTTACACAGACACAGACAGTAAAGTAACAAACCGGATGAGAGCTATTGTTGCATCCTCTGGTTAGTACTTGTATATTTCTAATACTAAAGGTGATCAGGAGCAGCCTACCTAGGTATCTACCTGGTAACTAAAGGTTGTACATGCACTAGTACCCGCATCCGCCGAGAGTATGCAACCGCTGACCCGACCGGAAACCCCCCCCCCCAGCAATAATTCTCTAAGTGTAACCACCACCACCTCCACCACCATCATCATCATCATCAACCACCTCCACCACAACCATAACCAACATCTCCACCACCACAACCTTGATCCTCCGCCTCACTTCCTCTTCATCTACAACCCTCCCCCTCTCCCCTTCTTTGCCTCCGCCTCCGCCACGCCCGCGCCCGCCATCCCCACTCATCGTCACTCCCTCGCGATCGCTTTGGATAAGCATTGCGTAGACGTTGCCCGTCAGACGTCTGCGCTTTTCGCAATCCCCTCCCCCGTTGCCTCACAAGTTGGTCGCTTGGTCGCTTGGCCGGCGCTGACTGTGACGGCAACATTGGACATCCAACGACCATGATGCCAGGCGCCCATATCCCGCCGACTGTGCCTCACCACCACCAAGGTAGGCGGCAAGGGGATCATCAATATCACTATCAACTTCCCCCTCAGACTCACTCGCCCGTCCACCATCACCACCATCACCACCATCACAATCCATACGCCGCTCAATACCATCCGCAGCATCACTATGGAGCTCCGCACGTAACGCCCTTCCCACAACAGGTCGCGCAATGGTATCAGCCCAACCCGTATCACCAACCTCACCAGTACGCTATGCCCCCTCGTCCCTTCCAGCCTCATGGCTCGCCGATCGTCGTCTCCTCTCATCCCCATGCCATGGTTCCTATGCCGCCCGTCAACCGCTCGCTTGGACAGACTCCCCCCATCGCCCACTCGCGGACGCCGCCCGTCATGAGGACCCAGACGCCTCAACCCGCACCCTCGACCCCATCGGTGACATCGCACACCCATGTCTCCTCACCGACGCCGCCTACCGATATGACAACTCCCACCCCTCCGCCTATCACGCCTTCCGGGCCTTCCTTTTCCGCCGCTCCTCCATCGCCCACTGAGACACATAGAATGCCATACTACCCTAAGCTGCCCTGGCTGTCTGTCCCTGATGAACCATTTCCGCCACGATCTGCTCGAAGAAGAAGGAAACGACGGACTCCGGTGTCTGCTGATGGGGATAGTACGGCATTTCCCTCGCGCGACGATGCCGCGGTCAAAACGGAAACAGAAGCGGAGGTGGATGCACAACAGTCTCCCACGGCGCGTGCAAGAGAATCGGATTCTTCTACCATCGCTGCTACCCCGGACGTGGATACGCCAACAACCTCCCAAGCCCCGTCAGAAGTTGAACTTGAATATGCACAAACACTCTCGGCATCGTCACCGAAGTCAACTCAACCGACCAAAGCACCAATCTCTTCACATACCCGAACTGCTACGATTCCTGCTATTCCTTTGGTCCCTATCAAATCAGCTAAAGCGCCGAGTGTCGGTTCTACGACCCAAAAATCAGCAAAATCGGTTGTGGTAGACAAGGAGGGACTCAAGAAGACGGAGGAAGTTGCAGCGACGCCCGCTGCGGAGAGCAATATTTCTGACGAAACCCCGAAAGCTTCTCCGCCGCCGAAACAACCTGTGAGCTCGTGGGCTGCGCTGCTGAGATCAAAAGCCAGTGCTGCAGCCGGCCAGACTCCTGTTCCTCCTCACGGCGTTATCGCCGCCAACGGTGCCCCCGCGTCGAAGGGAAATACCCTTTCCGACGTACTCGCATCTTTCTCTGTCAAGAACGACAAGAAGATCTCTTTTCTCGAGCCTCGCGGCCTTGTAAATTCTGGCAATCTGTGTTATATGAATTCTGTGAGTACAATGGATATCATCTACCAAGGCGACTGACTGATCCCTGGCCCAGATTCTTCAAGTATTGATTTTCTGCGTTCCATTCTTCGATCTCTTAGACAAGGTTGCACAGCGAGCAGTGCATAGCTTCAAAAGTGAGACCCCTCTAATCGATGCAATGATAATGTTCATGCGCGACTTCAAGGTCATCGACTCCGCAGAGTCGGCTGAGAAGCTTCGTATGCGCCTCAAGGACAACGAGCTGGAGCAGTATGGTGACCCGCTGTCTCCAGAGTATGTGTACGATGTAATCAAGCGCCTTCCTCGTTTTGATAATATGAAGCGTGGTTCTCAGGAGGACGCAGAGGAGTTCTTGGGTTTCTTGCTGGCTGGTCTACACGACGAATGCGCACACGTCATCAAGAGCGGACGGCGGCCATCCGTCTCAGCCGAAGCTCTTACATCCCCAAAGAGTGAACGTTCAGGCTCTGTCGACAGCGGGTGGCAGGAGGTCGGACCCAAGCAAAAGTCAGCAGTCACTCAATCGTCGGGCGCCATTGAGATTGAAACACCTCTGACCAAGATATTCGGCGGTAAGCTTCGTTCCGAATACAGGAAGCCTGGCGAGAAACCTTCCATTACACTCGAGCCATACCAGCCCCTGCAGCTGGACATCAGCTCACCTGCCATCAACAACATCTCGGATGCCCTCAAGGCCATGACCCATTTGGAGACGCTCGATGGATCCACCCGAGGTGCTCGCGCATCCACCAAGCAAGTGTTCATTGAATCACTGCCCCCGGTGCTGATCTTGCACCTCAAGCGTTTCCACTACGACGCCAACGGGCCTCAAAAGATTTGGAAGAAGATCGGATATCCACTCGATCTTGAGATCCCGAAGGATGTGTTCCCGCAGCACATGCGTGGCAGCTTCGGCGTTCGAGGGGGTCTTCCCCGCTATCGCCTTACTGCGGTCGTTTACCACCACGGGAAGAACGCCAGTGGTGGGCATTACACTGTCGATCTCCGTCGCCAGGAAGGCCGCGAATGGGTCCGGATGGACGATACCATCATCCGTCGTATTCGCCCTGAGGACGTTGCGGAGGGTGGTGCTGAGGAAGACCCCAAGGCCCTGGCTGCTGCTTTGGAGCAACACAAGCAGGACGCAAGCAAGGGCCGCAACTTCTATGAACTGGGGGGTGAGGAACAGGAGAGGAAGGATGGGGGAGGCTGGAGCAAAGTCAACGGTGTAGACAAAAAAGGTTCCGAGAAGAAGTGGAGCGCCATTGCCAACGGCACTGCTACCCCTCCGAGTGCTGGAAAGAGAACGCCGCTGCCGAAGGAGAATGTGCGGGACAACAAAGTGGCGTACATTCTCTTCTATCAGCGCGTTGAGGCTTGAAGAGGGAGCCATTAACGACTAAATCTTTAACACTATTTTTCCGTCATGTAAACCACTACATCCACCTCGGACTTGGCATTTGGGGGAGGAGATACAAAAGTTCTTTAAAGCGGCATTTGCATGCAAAAAGATGAGGATAGGGCTGGTGATGTGGATGAGAAAGTATGCACGGCGCCGCGTGATACGCTATTCCATCGGTCACAAAGCTGAAGCGGGATGGCAGAGAGAGACGGAGGGCCAAGGAGGTACTAGAGCACGATGATACCCATTCCATACCATGGCCTGGTGGTCATCAACTTTAGTAGAACAGCGGCGACACGAGATGAAGAAAAGCCATATATGTAATGAAAATCATAGTCACACACTACATGCTTAGATCTGTCGGTCCAGTGTTCCTTCTTTGAATGACATTTTCTAACCATTCTTATCTTGGACAGTGGCGCTGAGTTGTTGCGCTGAAGACTTGCCGGAAACTGAAGGTCTCGTGCACAGGAAAACCCATCTTCTTAACAAACATCCTCAACCTCGACGTCACCTCCATCCCTCGGGCCCAGATCTGAACGCAGCGTACGGTTGAATAACTCTTTGAGCATCTCGAAGCAGATTCCCGAGAGGGCAGGATCGTACCTGCCCTTGGAAAGCTCATCGCGGATGAAGGCATCTGAATAGCCGAACAAGGGTCAGCAGCAATGTCAAAAAAAAACTTATGAAGCAATGCAGTTGGGAAGGAACTCACGCTGCGCCCAAGCCGGCTCGAAAAACGTGAACCTGATCCCCTTCTCATGCAATGTCTTCCTAATTAAATCACGTCCAGCCGGGGGAACATGTGTATCCATCTTTCCAAAGATCATCGTCAACTCTCCCTTGATCTCGCCGCAACGTTCAAGGCTGTCGTCCTTCTTTCCCTCGCCCAACGTCGCGGAGTGAATATCTGTCGCAAAGTAGCACACAGCTGCCAAGATGCGCGGGTCCAAAGCGCAGCGAAAGGCAAGGTGACCGCCTAAGCACATGCCCGTCGTGCCAATGCGGCCAGTGCAGGTGGGGAGGGAACAAAGGAGGTCGATGGAGAGGGTGGCGTCTTCGTCGTAGGCAGAGACTTTCTGTGGGTGTCGAATTAGATGTGTGGTGGGTGGGGATAGGGCGCTTGGTGAGGCGGAGAATAGTTGATCGGCGAAGGTATTGTTCTGAGTTTACATTACCTTTGCAACTTTCCACTCATTCCCCTTGTCTGTTCCTGGGCCATCATAGGCTAGGGGTTCTGGGCCGGTGAACTCATGGTAGCTTGAAGGTGCAGCGACGATGTAGCCCTGTGATGCGATTTGGCGGCAAAATCGAGCGACGGGTCCGGTCACTGGAGGGAGGTTTTAGTGGAAGGTGTAATTGCAAAGTGATTTCTTTGCAGAGGTTCAGAGTAGGCTTCCAAGTTGTATTTAGTGCAAACAAGACATAGTGACGATCTATGAATTGAATGGATGCAAAAAAGCTAAGTAGTAGAAAGGGTGCTGATGAATCACGTAGGAGGTGCATTTGTGTCGATTGCTGAGACGAAGGGCAAGGAAAGGAAGAATAGATCAAATGATGGAAAAAGAAAAGAAAGAACATAGAGAAACAATTCAGCAAGGCGAGAAAATGATGGACCATATCTGCAAACGAATAGGAGTGGAGGCACCTACCTTGATATATTTCGCTGAATACCACCACACCGGGAAACTTGGCCTTAGGATAATTTGCGATGGTCGGATGGAATAGAAATATTCCTATCATGCCATTGTGAGTCCAGAACTACGACGAGAGTGTACTTCAATTGGAGCTCACTCATGTCATTCCCTGCTACGGTGGGTACATCTCGATGAGATTCTTCGATAAGCATTTTGGCACGATGAGGTGTTCTTTGAACTTGGTTAGCATGTGTGTACAGATATGTATGCGAATGCCAACAATGAATACCTTTTTTCTCCGTAGATGAGATACTGCTTGTTCAGATTCTCTTAAAGGGAGAGAGACGGGGGGAGACAGTAGAAGATTGATGGAGGATGGAGGGTGGATCTGAAGATGGAAAGATATACGAGTAGGACTGTGGAGGGGAGGGGTACACTAAGTCCACATGAACTATGGGTGTTTAGACTATTGACTAATTCAGAACAAGTTGAATTGAAATGAATCCTCCAATCAGTAACGGTATTAATGTTTGATAGATAATTAGTAATCAAATTTACCACTAAAGTTAATCACCAGTTCTGCTCCTACTCCTATCTTAGATAGGTAGTCTGGTAGGTAGGGAATACTCATATAGTAGGTGAATACCTCCCAGTCACTTATAACGATTCTCTAGCCATTCAAACCAAATACTGTGCGCTATGGATACCTCAAGACTTAAGTGCACCACCTGCTCTGAGGACGACTAAGAATTACTCATACAAGGTACTAACTAAATACCCTCGTACCATTTAGTCAGATCATCAAATAGCGACTCGTACTTGAAACTACTCACTCGTACTCATGATTACCCGCAAGTGCCTAATTCACCTAATCTTTTCCATACTTTTGCACCAGACTCTTCATGATAGCGATGGCTCCCGATCTATAACCGCCGCCAAATATAGCATGATGATTGAGGTGGTGGTACAACTCGTACAGTCGCACCCGATCCTCATATTCTTCCACAGGTTCCGTTCTGGGGCAGATCTGATGATATTCGTCGAGAAAACTTCCGCCGAAACCACCAAACATTTTCATAATACCTAGTTCAAACTCGCTATGCGCATAACATGCGCTTGAGTCGTATACAACAGGCTCAGGGTCTCCTCCCCGCGAATCGAGTATTCCGAAGCCCGCGTTGCCGCTCCAAAGATCTCCATGAACCACGACCGGGACCACACCTTTCCCTCCATTGAGGTGGTCATCCCCGAGAAGCCTCGGGACAACTTTGGATGCCGTGGCTTCGACAAGCGCGCTTAGGTCCTGGTCTGGTCCATTTGACTCCTCGGACCGTCGCAAGATAAACCGCAGTCGATTTTCAGCGTAAAATTCAGCCCAGGAACTTTGATAGCTGTTATCCTGAGGAGTATCACCACAACACGTCGTGGCTGGGAATCCAAATACGGGTTTGCTATAGCCTTCCGGTATGGGCGCAGGCGTAGTGTGCAATTCCCCCAGCTTGGACGCGAGGGAACGACCGCACGCTTTTGTTGCTGCGCAAGGTTTAAGATTGAGGTAATCAGTCACTAGAAAGTATGTCGATGGCTGGCCAGAGAATTGACCATGGCCGAACGACTGTGGGGCTAACGAAGGCACGACGGCGTGCAATGCCTCGAGGGATGCATGCTCCCCTACACTTTCCAATCAGATACTTGGCCCGGTTTTCGATTGTCTTCGTTGTAAAGGAGAGGCAATGGGGCTTCAAAATACCTACCTTCAAACATCATCGCCGCATCTTTCCCTCTCCCAGTCTTCATGAAATAGGACCTTTTTGAGCCATCTTTGAGCTTTGTCACAATCTTGTATGTTGAAGCCGAACTACAACCACCTCCGCCGGCGGAGGATGCGCTGGTGTTTTCAGAGTCAAGCTTCAGAAGCTCTACAACTGCAGGGTCAAGCATTATGCTAATACCTCGTATTTCTTGCACATGACAGAAAGAGTCTCGGGGTATTCACCAGAGCCTTTCCAGCGATTTAGAAGCTCAAGATGTATCGAGAAAAGGGAGTAGTGAGAATAGTGGAGGTACCTATAGGTAGGTGTAGGCGGGTGGTTACTAGCCAAAGGAATGGTGACGTAATTGGGGGGCCGTAGGTACCTATACCTACTAGCACTCTAGGTACCTATCTAGGTACCTGGAACTCAAGGTAACTACCTACTCACACATTAACTATAGCTGGAGGTACTCGTAGCCCTCCCTCACCTACCGTGCCAGCCTTGCGCATCTAATCTCCCTCTCTCTCTCTCCCTCCAAGAATGCGTACCTCATTATTGTGTTCTACCCCTTGTCCATACGAGTTATCGTGATTCTGGTCGTGATCTTGACAAAGCCAAAGCTACGCCAAGATTGATCCTTCCCCTCCAAGCAATAATGGCAACCTTTGCCTCATTTAGGATACAAACATGGCCGAGCCTCTCTTCTCTGCCGTGACCTGTATAAGCGATCTTCCCAACTTCGCTTCACCGGAAAATCGCTAGCCGTGCCGGATCCGACTATTATAAAAGTATCTCCTTCGCCTTGCATCGAGTTCACTACTACACACAGTAAGGTTCTACCGGTATCAGGCCATGTCACCATGTCCGCGCACCTACAACCAAGGCAATGGCAGCCTCCAGCATACGAGCACACAACGAAGGATATTTCAAAGCCATCCGAACCTAGCGCCAGCACAAATCTCACCTTTGTCTTGATTGGCAACCGCATATTCGCGACTGACAATCCCTCTCGGACGCTATACCACCTTTCCTCAGATACCTTAAGCGGCAAACACAAGGTGATAAGTATCGAAAAATGCATATACAAGATAAAGGATGTCGAGCCACCGCGGTATGAAGATATTGAAAGCGCAGTGTCACTCGATGATGACACCAAAGGTGCGAGATCTACAACATCCAGTCCAGTGAAGTCCGAAGGAAAATTATCTTTGCTGGATGTTGGTTCTGCGTCCCCCCTCGATCATGCTCCACGCGTGACATACCACCGCACAGAGATATATACCATCAAGAAGCCTTGGATGCAGACGATAGGTGACACCGTCGTGCTTGAAGGGGCGAGGAAGCAGTCATTCAAATCCGCGTATCTGGTTTCGCTTCCAACGCAATCCTCATGGAGAGTTTGTACAAGTAATGAGGTTTGGAACCCTGGGAAACTAGCCGACACAGTGGAGGTGTGGAAAATAGAGAAGAAAAGCGGTGCATGGACTTGGAAATCAAAGAATAAGGAGATTCTGAGCCTGGAAAACAATGTTGTATCACAAACAAATGATAACAACGAACGTAACATGAAAGTTGTTGGAAAAGTGAACGAGTGCGAGATGGATCTCCTGGTGTCATCTTGGGTCGCAAGGATTGCCTTCGAAGCGTGGAAGATGGATCAAGAGCCAATGAGCTTTTCAAAATGTACGTTTTCGATGTTTCCGCATCAGGTTTTAACATGTATCTGATTTGGGGCAGTCCGACGACTAATTTCGAATCACGGGAGTGCAAGAGCGCCAGGCATCTATGGCTGAGGTTATGTCGAATTTCGTTCCGATAGGAGCAGCAACGTTCTACCGGCTACCGGCTATGCTGTTAATCTAATTTGCGATTCGATGTATGTTTTCAGGATCACATCAAATCTAGAAGTTGGCTTTCTCTTGTTTGCCGATAATGCCTCGTTCTTCTGTTCTCCGATTGTATCTAACTAAGGTTGCACGGACTCAGTAACAGTCTCGATGGTACCATCCTCGTGCTCAGCTTCTAGCGAGTGGTCGTAAAACACCCAGTCCTTTCCCGGACCATCAAGCGAACCACCTGTAGATATCTACAACAGAGGTTGAGAAATGCTACAACCCAGCATACTAATGCTGGGCATGTTTTAACATGGCTCGTAAAAGTCCTTTAGTGAAACGCGGCTGTTGGCTTGCCCAATTCGCGACATACGGGTTAGAACATTCAGGTTTCTCTGATGCTAACACACTAAAAGTACCATGGTGTATAATTACCTAAGTACGCATGACTAGATATGTATTCGTTTTTATTTTAGAAGCTGTGGATTCTAGAAGTACTGTTGGCGCCGCCATGATTCAGACTTAGTAGTAGAATTAGATAGATTGACTGGGACGAACTTTTCCGATCTCAATACAAAGAAGGTTCACAAACAACAATGGTCAATATATATGATTTCGAAGTCAATATTAGAACTAGCTTCGCTTTTACTACTGTTCAACAACTTATATCCGTGGAAGTTGCTGGGTAAAATTGGCCAATGATGCCCAAAGGCCAACGGGAACCTGGCTTTCTTTCAATTTGACTAGCATGTCATTTGTCGAGTTTTGAAGCACAGGCGACAGTTCTCTCAAGTGAGTCCGTGGTTGACTCTTCGGTGCTCGGTGCAGCGTAATGATCCGTTGCTACCTAGTCATAGTGTGTAGTTGGTCACGGTTGTCCGTTCACCTACTCAAACTTTGGCTTGGATCGTAATCTTTGTTATTCAGGAATTCAACGTCTGGCACAAAAGTTGGTCTATTCGACTATTACCATATCATCTTACACTCCGAGCCCGATTATCATAGCCAGCTGTTTTCATTCATCTACTGCTTGGCTTTCTACGAGCGCGTACGCCGTTCAAGCATCTACAACTACACATGCCTTCAAGGCGTTCAAATCCGACAATGAAATCACCTGGTCTATCACCTATGTACCCAATACAGACAGACCCGACCCGCAAACTCCGACACATCCTAATGCGACAGGAAATGTTGGACAGTGATAACTTTTGGCAGAGGCGCAAAGCCAGCGCTATACACGACTCTAATATCACGGAATCTGCCACGTACCTTCGCGAACGTTCTCAGAGTGCTACGAGGCCGTCAAAACAATCGATGGAGCCTCTTCCAGATTGTTATACATTGCTGCCCTTCTTAAGTATTAATTACCCTATCCCATAAGCATCATTCTCCTTTTACCTCGACCGGTCTAACTGAACAAATACAGCAACTAAGGAACTATGGGATCAGCACCTGTCTAGCCCTACACGCGAGACACAAGATATTGTCTCTAAATTCTGCCGGACCGTCCGCGAACGCTATCTCACTACAAATCGAAAATCGCTCAATCAACGTCCGGTCAACAGATGTACCTTCGCACCGTATAACTGTGGGAGAACAGAAGTGATCATGGAGAATAGAAGACAGAAGATTTGCCCCTTTCAAATATCCGGGCAGATTGAGCCAGTGATGCCCAATCTTGGATTCGTCGGGGAAGACGCCAGTCTATTCAAAGACATGCAGCGCATAAAAGCTCGGCCACCAAGCCGGGTTTTGTACAAAGCAGAAGAGTGCAGTGATGACGCAAAGAAGTGCTCTCATTCTCTAGACACAAAGTCTCTTCCTGTAAACGATCAACCCCATCTCTTCGAAGCACAATACATTGGCCCTATCGCACGCCCAGATGTTTCGTCGAATCCACCTTTGCAACTACCGCCATCACTAGAGGGGGCCAATGCACAGAACACTCAGCCGGTACTTCAAGGCCTCGGAACAAATTCGACTCCGATTTGGCAAATATACAGCCAGAATCGTACACATGATGCGCCTCGAATATCATTCCCAAGTCAAGCTCAGCCTGCAGCCACTCGTAGACAAGATAATAAAATTACCTTTACGGACACACGCAGTTTCGATATCTGGCATCGATCCCAGAAACGGCAACCACGAGCCTACCATCCTAATCTAAAATTTACACAGGCACTGAATGTTACTCACGATACCAATGCATTAAATCCAAATGACTGTAACGTACGTGCAGAGCGAGAACACGAACGACCCACCGACGACAAGCCCTGATTTCTGCCGATCTTCTATGAGCATTGCGACAAAGGAGGTGTTCGGTTCAAAGCCAATTTAGCGCTGCCAGTGAATGCCCGACTCGTCGATTCTTACTTCTGTTTGTATAGTACGACTTGATTGTCCTGCATGCCTCTGGAACGTTTAGAAGAAGGGATTACTTCATCTTAGTGCAACCAGAAAGGTCGTCAAGCCGCCCATGATGTCGCAGTGTATACAAGCTGCTCGTAGCACAACATTCAATCATGAGTGTTCTTGCAAGGGCAGGCTCAGAGGGGCTATTTTTACACTGATAGGGCAAATCCGATGGTTCTTGGAATTTGCCACGTCTCTAGCTGCCTGTTCGGATACCTGCTTTGCTCGTTGTTGATATGCATCCCAGCTATGCTATGTATCTTCGGTAGTAATCAGCAATACGCTCATGAATCAGTACACCTCACACTTTTATCTCATGAAAATAATAGGATTTGCTAGCAAGTTGTTCTGATCATGTTCCTAATGTAGTAGTGCGGATGAGTACGGACGAATAATCACCTGTTTTTATGCAACTATCCTTTTCAGAGGGGAAAAGATTTCATGATTCTAGGGAGAACGGGGGTTCAATTCAAAGCCAGTCCATCTTCACCGATTTTACAAAAGCAACGGGACTGGCGTAGAGAACGGACGAGGAGTGGAGTCTTTCATGGCTATATTTCAGGCATCTGTACGAACATGGCAATGACTCTGATGCAATCCTCGCAGACATGTCACGATGTTACATAAATCCAGTTCTCTTGCACACGTGGTAACTAAGTGTCACCAGGATTATCTTTCACTTAGGCAGACCACTAGTACGTGATAGTCGTGACTGTCCACGGGACCCATTGCGTACCACAGGTTCAAGGTTCAAGGGGTGCTCGGAATAAATATAGCGGAATCCCTCTATGCAATCAGGAATTCATAATATCGAACTGCCTCGCTATTCTGCTATTTCCTAGTGTACTCCGTACACGTACCGCTATTTCAGTGTGTGTGGGTCATAGACATAAAGACTCCAGAGGACGGGGTCGTGACGCTGCAGCAGGAGGTGTTGACTCGCATTCCAATTGAATCGCAGAGTAAAGCGTTCCATATACGGATTCGAAAGATGGATGGTGGCAAATTAGACTTCTTCAGATGCATGGTACGACTACATCCGTTTGAAATGCACAAAAGAAAAGAATCTATCAGGCTGGCGATGGTCTGCACTTTCAGGGGGATCAATTCTAGCCGGCGCAGGTGGTGAGACCAGGTAATCACTGATCACTTAAATACCGTCGGCATCAGCAATTACGAGGGCATATGCAAGATGTCACAAGATCTCTGTAAACTTAAAGCGTGTAGCTGCCCAGACATCAAAGTCTCTGCATTGGGAACGAAGGCTACACGGCCATACAATTCCAGTACGCAAGAAACGAACCGTCTTCTAGATACATGGTGATTGACTTTCTTACCAGGCAAATCACAGACCGGGGCAGTATGCGAGATTGAATACTCACAAGTCAAAGAAATATAGTTATACGAATGAACAGAGCGGCTGGACTATTGAGGGAGCGAGTTCGCTCCCGAAAGATGCGAGAAAAGAAGCAAGATGAATCCATTCCGGTTGCTGCCGTCCCATTTCGCAGCGAGATCCGATCATGTTTATCAGAAGGATCAGAAAAGCACATCCTTGTGGAGATGAATGTGCATCAAATAGAAGCAGCTCGTACGGCCCCGCAAAGCTTGATCCCACAACAGGCACGCCACGCATTGTGCATGCTAATCTTGTAATGTGGGCATTACGGATCTACTCATCAGAGAAAAATGAAATTCACAGCAATGGCTGGATCCTACCTACGTCTTTTGCCGATTATGCAGAACCGGTGGTTTTACCCAGCAACCGTATAAACTACCCACTGATTATTTGAGAGTTCCCAATCGTTCATTTGACAGCCAGATCATCATTGTATATGTTACTCGGTAGAGCTAGTCCACTTTATTAAATTATCTCCCAGTCCTCCGGCAGACGAAAACCCCGGCAAATGCCGGAGATATTTAGCAGAACGCTGAATCCCACGAAATTATTGTTCAGCTGGCAATGCTCTACGGAACTTCCGTCACATTAGCAGTCTATGTAGAATTCTTACAGGCAACCTACACATTGATTCTGTTCTTCTATCCTTCTGCAGGTGACCATGGTAGGAAAGGAATGAACATGTCAGGTTTCCAGCTTGCATTATGACTAGAAACACCTGCCCTCTGTTCTCGGGTTTGTCATCAATTAAATGGCTGCTCAAGCCTCGCAATATATTCACTACTCAAGAGCAAATGAAGGTGCACGTACAGCAAGGCCAGTGCCCGGTAGTTAGATCTTGCAGCCGTATTGCTCCCATTTAAATAGCACCAGTGCCCGTCTATCGACAAAATTGTTATCGCTTGATCCAGACGCTCTTATACAGCTACGATATCACACGTACGACAGGCGAGATGCTAACAGCTGCCCTTTTCATCCTCTCGGTCGCAGGGCTGGGTCTCTCGCAGGCGCCAGAAGGCTATCGCACTGTCTATATCACCTCGATGGTAGACACCAAATATGTTGTCGTCCCAGCTGCCCCATCACCTCCAAAGAGTGGCAATACCGTTGTTGTGCAAACACTCAACAACAAACCAGAACAACAGTGGTATCTCAAGGCTGATGCAAGCAAGATTCAACTGGCTGCCACGCAATTGTGCCTTGATGCAGGAGAAAAGAGTAGAGCGCCCAGTGTCAATTTTACAAAGAGGCACTAATGAGTATCTACAGGTAACTGGAAGGACATGGGAAAGATTTGGTTGAAAGATTGTTCCGATACTGTTGAAGGCCAGCAGTGGAATGTCATGGCCGATGGACGAATTGCCCTAGTCAAGTCGAGCCCTCGTAAGAAATATACAAGCGCAATCATAGATCAAGGTTAACCTTTAGACAGAGCAATGTATTGACCTCCAGTATATGAGAGCTACCCCTAACAATCCTGTTGGGCTGTATGCTTGCGCAGGACTTGGAAATACTGGAGCAAAGGATAAGGGTATTAATTGGCCACTTGTAAATGCTACTACAGTCTAAGGGTA